GTTCTCTCCAGGACTTTTCCAAGTTCCTCCACGATCAGGATGATGCGCTCAACCGCATCACCGATCGTATGGACCAGGTCCTGGCTCGCCGTGAAGAGGATGTCCGCCAAGTTGTCGCCGCCAGTGTCCAGGAGGCCCTCCGCAGCTACCAGGCCCAGCTACCTCCTCCTGCTCCCGCTCCCGCTCCGATCCGTCGTGCAGGTCGCCCCTACTTCGGCGTTCCTGACGACGTCGATGATCCTGCCCAAGACCCCGAGGACAACCCTGCTGGTCGCAACTCTGCCACCAGGCAGATAGGTCCTCCCGACCGCTTCTCTGGTAAGGACCCGAGCCGCTGCAATGCCTTCCTCTCGCATTGCAGACTGGCCTTCGTGTCCAACCCTCCCCTCTTCCAGACTGAAAGGGATAAGGTGTTTTACGCCTTATCCTATCTCGATGGTACTGCTGCAGACTACATGCAGCCGTACATCGATCAGTTGGAGAGAGACCCCGAGTGCTCCCCCCCTGCCATCCGTGACTTTGCCGGTTTTTCCGAGTGGCTCCGTGCTGCCTTTGGCCAGGTTCAGCCCACCATCGCCGCTGCTCGCGAGATGGTCAGGCTTTACCAAGTCACCTCCGCCGCCGCCTATGCCGCCGAGTACCGCCGCCAAGCCGTCCACCTCGTCACTTGGTCCCAAGACCCTCTCATGTTCCACTTCGAGAGTGGACTCAAGCCCTCGGTCCAAGATGAACTCTCCCGCCGCTCCTTCGACAACCTCGAAGATCTTATGCAAGCGGCGATCGCCATCGACAACCGCCAGGAGGACCAACGTTCCCGCCGTCCCAACCACCGCTCCGCTCCTGCTCCTGCTCCTGCTCGTCCGGCTCCTCTCCCTTTCCGTCCGGCTCCTCGTCCCTTCGCTTCTGCTCCTCCTCCTCGCCCCGCTCAAGCCTTCAACGTTCCGCAGCCCATGGACCTCAGCCAGGCTTCCGCTCGCAGGCTGACCGCCGAGGACAAGGCCGCCCTCCGTGCTGCCAACCGCTGCTTTTATTGCAAGCAGGAAGGGCACATTGCCCTTCGCTGCCCCAATAAGACCTCCTCCCGCTTGGCTGCCATCGATGCTTCTTTGGCTGTCGTTGATGTGAATAAACTTGACGACCAGGAAAACTTCTCTGCCTAGAAAAGGTCGGAGGAGCTTTCCTAGGCGTCAATCATGTCATAAATCTTCCTCCTGTAAATGTCTCCACGGTAAATCACTCTTCTGCCTTTTGCCATCTTGCCCCCGTCACCATTGCCACCGTTTCCACCGCTCTTGCTTCTTCGTCTTCGCCTCCCGAGCCTGACATCCAACGTCAGCCCTCCCTCGCTGTGACTCTGCTGTGCGGTCCAGAGTCCATACGGGCAACCGCCATGATCGATACCGGCGCGGTTACTTCGTTTATGGACACTGGATTCGCCGCAACCCACGCTCTCCCCACCTTTGAAACTTCTTTCGTCATCACTCTTGCCGATGGCTCTTCGATGGAGTCTAGTCTTGGAGTTTGTGTTTCTATGATCACAGGCATCAGCCACTATGAACAAATCTCGTTCGCGCTGATTCCCTTGGCTTCATACCCGATCATCTTGGGTATGGATTGGATCAAGAAACACAAACCCTACTTTGACTGGCACCATGACTCTATTTTCTTGCCTTGCACCTCTATCCACAGTTTGGCCTCCCCGTTCTCTCCCGAGCCACAGTCCTCTAGGTCCAGCCCTGCCGAGTCCCCTGCTGAGGTCCCCGCCGAGCCTGCCGTGTCCCTGCCCGAGTCCAAGATTGTTCCTGCCGAGTCCCCAGCCAAGTCCCCAGCCGTGCCCGAGATCCTCCCTGCCTTGCCTCCTGCCGTGCCCAAGCCCAGTCCTGCCTTGCCTCCTGCCGTCCCCAAGACCAAGACCCAGTCCCTACCCAGCGTCAGCCTGATCGGCAGCATCCCCTTCCAGCACGCCGTCCAGAAGGAAGGCCTGGAAGTGTTCCTCTTGGATGCTGCCCGAGTCCTGTCCCTCTGCTCCGTCGACGCTGGAGCCAAGCCCAAGGCCGAGCCCTCTGTCCCCTCCAAGTACTCGTCCTTTGCCAAGGTGTTTTCCAAGTCCGAGGCCGACAAGCTCCCCCAGCACCGCCCTTACGACCACACGATCCCGTTGGTCGAAGGTGCGTCTCCGTCGTTTGGGCCCGTCTACAACCTCTCCAAGCCGGAGATGGACGCCCTCCACACCTACATCCAAGAGAACTTGTCCAAGGGTTTCATCCGCCGTTCCGAGTCCCCTGCCAGTGCCCCAGTTCGCCGAGTTCGTTTAAGGTGTCTGCATACCAGTCTGGAGGTTGCCGGTTCGAAACCGATGCTGACACTGAATTTCGGAAAAGCCCGAGCTGGGGTGCCGTTCATGTTCCAGTCCTATCGAGCCATTATGGCTGACCTATAAGGGGGAGATAGTGTCATGAACCGAGTTTCCTTGCCTTGTATCTTGCCTAGTTATCTTGCCTTGTCCTTGAAATGAACTTTGTATTTTTAGTATCCTAAGCCTTGGATCTAGAATAAAACTTTGGCTTTACACTTGACACTCTGTGTCCCAGTCCAGTCCCCGCTCCTCTCCCTACGTTCGAGTCTTGTATTAGGACTCTTGCGCACTTCCCTGCTTGCCCCGTTGTCCAGTCTTGACACTTACCAGAGCTCCTGAGACAGGGCACAACCAGCGCCGACGAAGACCTAGAGCTCTCAACCAGCACGGTGTCGACAATCAAGGTCAACTCGTTATGGTTCGCCGACGATGGAGTACTTGTCGCAAGTCCAGCTTCGACACAGAAGCTCCTGGATATATGCGAACGACACAGCACCGAAAACAGGTACAAGTTCGCACCAAGCAAATGCGAGATCATCCTGTCGACCAACTACCCCGCCGCGACCACCAAGGCCACTCTCTACGGAGAAGAGCTGCCGACGGCGAAAGAGTTCAAATACCTTGGAACGATCATCGACGCCAACGGGTTCCGAGTCGATCGACAAGTCGACCACCTGGTCGAGAAAGCCAACATGGCCGTGAAGAGCATCGTCAAGCTTGGAATCAGGCTCGGAGGAGCGTCTGCAAGGACCATCGTGAGAACTTACCGAGCCTTCATCAGGCCAAGGCTCGAATACGGCCTGGCACTGGACCTCCTACCCGAGGCACAGCAAGAACGAATCGACAAGGTCCAGACAAATGCACTGAGGGCAATGTTCAGAGTCGGCCCTGGGACATCGGCCGGAGCCATGCATCTGAGCTGTGGACTGCCAAAACTGTCCATGAGAATTAAGATCCTGACCTTCCAAACCTGGACGAGATGGGAAGACGCGTCCTCCGATCACATCAAGCTCATAGCACTGATCATGAGAAACACAATCAGACACCCCCACCACCCCAACCAATTCCTTGGCTACCAAGTGATGGAAGACCCGTATTGGGTCAAACTAATGCGCAGACTAGACTCGGACCAAAGCCTAACCGCAACCGAGGCCTTCCTGGGGAAGGAAGGAGCGCAACGGAAACCGACCAGCCCAGTCCCACGATCAACACCAGAACAGATCGAGATCGTCACGGGACTCATCATGGTCCCACTATCCACCTCGCAACGACGCAGACGGCTGCTCGGGAACGGGCTCTCCGGGATCACGAGTAGTGAGGAAGGATCTCACAACCGAACAAACCGACAGAGTACCACCACGATGAATGAGGACGCTGTCACCACACCCATCAAGGAGCTCATGCTCACTGAGCATATGAGAACAGCGTTTCGAGGGAATCAACAGCTGACGGCGGCATGCACACCGTCAACCCAGATGTCAGGTCTCTGGATGGCGGAGGGGTACCAAGGATCCAAACCCATCCTCGAGCTCATGGTTCGGTGGAGACTCGGAGCCTTCCCGGGCCATCACACAGGCCGGCTTCAAATATGCCGACAATGTTCGACAAACGGAGCCACCGTGGAGTTCAACCGCACCCACGCACAGCGGTGCATCGACCCAAGAGGGATCCTCCCGAGGAAGGTGCGCCAACTTCAACGATCACACCCAGCATGGGTGGAGCCTCAGACCATCGGAGTGGGACCAGTCGACAAGCTGCTGGACCTGATCACCTTTGAGCAACAGAAAGCAAGACAGAAGAACCACGAGGACACTGACGGTGGAGCGGATTGCAGGCCACCACCAATCGTGTCCGACACCACGTCGGATGGGGAGACCAGCATTGACGAAGCAGTCTCGGATGACGACGGGGAGTCGCTCTGGTACCCACATCGAGAGGTGCTGGCACGACTGGAGCGACTCCGGCTGACCGACGACGACTCAACAGACCTGAGCTCCGAAATGAGCTCGGTGCCAGACTGGGAATTGAATCTGGAGAGAGATCTGGACTTTTCCTTCCTCACCAACATCGACGACGACCTGCCCAGCCACGGATGGGACTGGGAGAGCGATCAGAGTGTCGACTTGCTCTCGAACACAACACCAAGCATCGATCTGATCGACGATGCCGATCTGAGCCCGGACCTGGTCTCGGACGACGACCTCGGACTCGGAGACACACCGTTCCCAACGACCAGCAGGAGAGGCAGCCTTCTCCCCACACCGAGCAGTGACAGAGCGACTGGGGCGCTCAGGGCCACGAGGCCACGACAGCGACCCCAACGAACAAAGCCGTGGATGGGCTTTGAGGAGATCCCGGAGAGGAGCTCCCATGGCCAGAGAGAAAGGGTCCCCGAGCGGGACCTGGAGACATGCGAGTCCCTGTGGGACCTCTTGGAGGAAGTGTTCACCCGCATGGCTCGCCGTGTGGGCTGGAGAGTCGGCGAGAGCCGCAACAGGGGCGTGTGAGCCTGCTTGTACGCCCACTGCCGGGTACCGCATGGTACTGATGGCTTGTTGAATATTCCTGAATATACAACTATTGTAAACAAAAAAAACAAAAAAAAAAAAGCGCTCGAGTTTGCACCGCCACCCTCGTGGCTGGTGAACAATTCTCTAGAACAATATCCTGCAGTCAATCTCATATCTTGGGAGGAATGATCGGTGGCGAGGTGGCATCGTTTGTATATTCTGACAGTGAATCACAGAAACTTAGTGCCAGTACTCTTGAAATACTTTCCAGAATGCTTGAGTTTGGTCAAGTCCTTCATGAGTTTCTTTACCTCCTCGTGCGATGGTGGAGCGCGATGATAGGCACCAATGCCGTCGGTGAGAATCTTGCGCTCGCTCTCGTAGATCTGCTTGAGCTTGGTGAGGCCTTCGATTTTGGTCTGCTGCTGGGCAGAGCTGCCAGGAAGCTGGTTCGAAGACTCGCGGGCCTCCTTGATCAGATGATCGAGGTACTTGAGCAGGGCATCGTTGTAGAGGACGATGCCGTTTGCCTTGACAAAGACGGCGAATTTGGCACTGATGGACATGATGGTGCGCTCCTCGTCCTCCAGATCGACGATCTTCTTTCGGAGCCTGTCGATGGCCATCTGGATCTGCTTGGCGTTGTCTTGCTCATCTTGGATCTGCTTGCGCGATTGCTCATTCACATGAACAATTTGCTTTTCGAAAACCATTTTCCAGGAAATACTGAGATGGTATCGATAAGAATGTGAGCATATTCTACAGGTTCCCCTTTTCATAGCTCTGCAGTCTAATAGGGCTTCATCTCCAATAACTTCACGTGGTACTTTGATTTCGAGACATCGCTCATGGCACTTGGTCACGTAGTCTGTGATCGTTCGTCCTTCCTTATCAGTGACATACTTGACGCAACTAGGATGGGAGCACACCGTGACGGGATGAGGAAGTTCTTGTGGAATAGGGATGTCGACGGTGACATTGAGGGCCTTTTGGAGATCAGCCACGGACGCCGAGGTTGAGCTCAGGGCCTTGATCTGATCATCGAGGGTCTTCTTGTTGACCCTGATCCTTGCCGCGACATCAGCAAGTGGCTTGTAGAGCTCGAGAACCTGGCTTCGGACCTCGTACAGGACGACAGTCTTTTCAGTTTCGAAGCTCTCGATGCTGGCAATTGTTTCCAGCATCTTGCGGCAGGTCTCTGAGGACTTGGCCCACGAGTTGCGGAAGTCCTCTTGCTCGGCACTGGTGAAGTTGACCTGTCCCCTTGCAAGGAGATATCGATAGGCCTCGTTGTCGACCATGAATATGTTCGTGCTGGTGATTGGAATGCTGACTCTCGAGTCGCGCTTGATCTCGTCGAGAAGGCTCTTGAGGGCCGGCATCGTGTCTCCCGGACGGTAGAGAGTGCTTCTGGCGTTTGTGAACATGAACATGATGTTGTTGACGCAGTCCTTGTGCAAGCTCTTGAGGAGCTCCTTGATGCAGTATCGGAACCAGGTGGTCAGGCGGCTGTTGTTTGGCTTCAGCAGCATCAGGATGCCGTTGATTTCGGGATAGTCAGCGATGTACTTGATGATGAGATCCATGTTATCCTTGTCATGCTGGATACCGCGAGTGTCGCCCATGCCGGGTGTGTCGATGAGCTTCACCTGTACGGGTTCTCTATTGCTGAGACTTGCATAAAAGACATAGGTGCGCGGGTGTTGGGTCGAGGACTGGCCAGGGTTGCGCTGCTCATTCCTGCGGGCTGCTGAAGAACCACAATAAGTCGAGCCATAGTTAGCACGCCTCATAACTGAACTCCCTGCTCGACCTGGATGCTACTATGCGACTCCGCTTCTCACATTAGACACCCACCATCGCTATTATCATCAAGGGCAAGTCGTTCGGATCTAATGACAATCTCTTCTTCAAGGGACTCGGAGTCGTACAGGAAAAACTCGGTCGGGATGAGCGTGAGGGCATCATCGGGTCCAATAACGAACAACTCTTCAAAGGTCAGATAGTTGGCTAAGGCGTTGATGAGGGTCGACTTTCCGACACTTGTTTCGCCGAGGATCAAGATTGTCAGGATCCTTGGTTTCTGGAAGTCACGGTCGGCTGGTCTCTCCGTTGCTCGGAACCGGGAGTTGGGCATGGACCCGGTGGTTCTTTGCGGATTCGGGTTCCGGGGCACCTGAGCTGACTGAGGCATGCCCGATAAAGGACCCGTATGGGAGAGGTGGGTTGCGAATGAGACTTTTAGTAGGAATATGGAAATATATCAGAGACCACCAACATGAGTGATATCAAATCATCAGGTCGACAAGAGGTACTGAGTCATATTCCTACCCCTGACGATCTTGAACTGCGCGAGCCTAGTGGCAAGGCGACGAGCTTTGGATTGCAAAGTGGCTGATGGAGAGATTGCGATGGGGTTTCGTTTGGAAGCTCCTCATTGCACACCTTGAGATGGTTGGCGATTTCCGGAAATGCTGGACGGCTGCCCGGATCCTGATGCCAGAATCGCTCAAGGAGCTGCCAGAGAGAATCGGCGATCTCAGGCACCCTCCGAGGCCGCTTCCCTCGACAAATCTGGCTCTCGATCACCTTGTCCTTCATGGGTCGTCCGTCGCTTGTGACCCACGAGGGCTTCCCATTGTTCAGAGTCTCGTAAGTCATGATTCCAAAGGCGTACACGTCGGTTCTCTTGGATGACCCCGCCGGATCATCATCGTCAAACATCTCTGGGGCCATATGATCCATGGTCCCGCCAACCATTCCTCCCATATTTGTTCGAATGGAGGCGGAGCTGTACTTGGTTTGAGACATTCCAAAGTCTGAAATAACAGCACGAGGGCCAGCGTCCAGCAACACGTTCTGAGACTTGAGGTCGCCGTGGACGATGCTGTAGGTGTGGAGATATGTCATGCCGCTCGTGACTTGAATCAGCAGTGCTAGCTTCTCGCCAACAGAGCGCGGTGCGTCGGCCACGGAAACGTATCCCTTGAGTGTCCCGTTCGGCATAAACGGAGAGACCATGAACGGCTTGCTCTCTGTATCGCAAGCGCCGAGCAAAGGGAGGATGTGGGGATGATGGAGCCGGTGCCAAATGTTGATTTCCCGGCGAAATTCGGCCAGCTCCGCTCTGGTGCAGGTACATCGGAGCTGCTTCACGGCAACATCGGCTCCGAGATAGGTGGCCCGGAACACATCGCCAAACCCTCCACCAGCGATGGGGTTTATCGTCCAGTTGGTGATGAGCTCTGGCTTGATGAACCAGGATTCTTGAGCCATGGTTCGGAGAGCAGGGGTCAATCAGTTGCCAGACGACTGAGAGAGCGGCCAAAATCGAAACGGGCGTTTGAGAAGCTGTGTCCCGAGCGAAATTGGAGGGTATCAGAAAACTGATCACATGAACGGTGCCGTTTCCATAATTGGACAACTTGCCTCCTTTGGGATCGGTCCCACCTTGGCTCGCGCTCATTGTGGCATTGTATTACCCTGTCTCAGAAGCACGCGACTCACACGTGATGCGCAGCAGGGTGGATCGATTCTGCATTCGATCCATGACCCTGGCTCGTGCCCTGGCTCCTCGCTGCGTCTCTCCGACTCCTCGCTGTCTTCTCGCCAGCTCTCCTATGCCATTCGTTCACCCGACACATCATCCCTCACATCCTCCCTCCTATCTGTCATATCATCCGTCCTGTTGAGCAAGATCGGCGACAGCGCGACCATCCAAGCTCAAGCAGAGATCGATCCCCACCCGCCGCTCAGCTCCAACATCCACCGACACCAGCATGTCCGCCGCCTGCGTCCATTCCCAGTCGCACTTTTCCCCGCCTTTGCTTTCAACTCACATCTACAAGGAGGAGTGTACTCTGTGCTTTGACAACTATGTAAGGGCATCATGTCGCTTCGTCACCACCATATTCCGTGCCTTTCAATCTCCACTCTCGAACTGACCCGGCCCATTCTGATCCTATTTGATCCAATCCGATCTCGGGCCAACATATTCGACTTGATTGCAGGATACGGAAGCGGGCATCGACGTCTGTCTAAGCTGCTTCAATGGTGGCTGCTTGGGCAACGATCGCAACCATTCGGCTCTGCACTTTGCAAAGACGAGCCACCCCCTTGCCGTCAACATCAAGCGGGTCCCCAAACCCGAGCGGGTGCGTGTCGCCTGCCTGCTCGGCCGTGCTATCCTCCCTCGACCACATTCACTCATGTGTCCGACTCGTGTTGCAGACCGATGCTGCGCCCCCACCGACAAAGATAACAAAACTCGCCATCGAAGCGCCAAAGGAGGACGAACTCTTCGATTTCATTACCTCTCTCAAGTGTCTTGCCTGTGGTGGCGTGGAGCTGGACAAAAGCACTGGCCAGGTTCGTCGCTGGATCCCGTCGTCATCATGGGCCATGAGCAGAGTCTGGATGCCGCTGTTCCTGCCACTCACCCAGACGAGCTCACTCATAGTTCCCGGCACTCATCAAACGGGTCCTGGAGGCACACTCGGCAAAGAAAATGTCCGAGATCCAAGCCTGGGAGCACGAGATCTCGACTTGCTCACACACAACCGTGCTCGAGCAGCAACCCCTCAAGATGGTGAACACCCGCGGTATGGTGCACCGCCCGCACACATGAATGAGTTCACAGCTCTCACCAGATCTCTACTATGTCTCATCGTGCAGAGTCCATCACTTGCTCTGACTGCAGCCTTAACGAGAACCTGTGGCTCTGCCTGACCTGCGGCAATCTGGGCTGCGGGCGACAGCAGTATGGCGGCACTGGTGGAAATGGACATGGCGTGGGCCATTTCGATGCCACCCGCCACCCCGTCTCTGTCAAACTCGGAACCATCACGCCTGAAGGAACCGCAGGTGAGGTTTCTGTCGACAGGATGTATGCTCTGTTTGTGGGCTGTCTCACCTATCAACAGTGGCTCATGTTGCCCCACTTGTGCTCCTCCCAGACGTGTACTGCTATATCTGCGACGAGGAGCGCATCGATCCCAACCTGGCCGCCCATCTTGCTAGCTTTGGTATCAACATTGCCGCCCAGCAAAAGACTGAAAAGTCTCTGACGGAGCTTGTGAGTCGATATCGCCGTCGATTGGAGCGCGCTTCTCCTGGCATTGTCGCCGGTATCATCAAGCTTCTCGCTGACAGTTCCGCATGTTGTCCAGCAACTCGAGCAGAATCTCAAGTTTGACTTTAGCATGGCCACCGAAGACGGCAAACAGTTTGAGCCAGCCTTTGGGCCTGGCAGCACTGGCCTCCTGAATCTTGGAAACACGTATGTGCAGACCGGTGATATGCGTTCGTGCTGCGATCTTCACTTGCCACACTTACTCATCGTGCTCCTCCCCTTGATAACCAGATGCTACATGGCGTCGGTGCTGCAGACCATTTTCAGTCTCAAACCCTTCCAAGAGCGGTAAGCTTGCGTCATCCACTTGACAACCATCACTCTGGAGCCGACTAACCCCTGAGCCCACAAATAGGTACTTTGGCCAAGACCATGTGCTTGTCTGTCGTGACAGCCCTGCAACATGCTTCCACTGCCAGATGGCAAAGCTGGCCGACGGTCTGCTGAGCGGACGGTACTCTGTCCCGGGAACGTCCACCTCCGAGGCTCTCTCCGGCCAAGACGGCATAGCGCCTTCCATGTTCAAGTCCATGATTGGCAAAGGCCATGCCGAGTTTTCGACTATGCGGCAGCAAGACGCTCAGGAGTTTCTCCAGCATCTGCTCAAGATCGTTGAGCAAAAAGAGCGCCAAACCTCGCGCGACCCGACGCAGGCGTTCAAGTTCCAAACCGAGCAGCGGCTGGAGTGCCTGCAGTGTCGCAAGGTCAAATACCGTCTTGCGGACGAGAGCGCGCTGCAGCTTCCTGTTCCATCAAACCTCGAAGGCGTCGATGACGAGGGCCGCGAAAAGTACTCGCCAGTGGCCTTTGGCGAATGCCTCAAGCAGCTCGTCTCAGAGGACTTGCGCGAATACAACTGCCCTCAGTGTCGCGAACCGACACCATCAGCTATGTTAGTATCACGCTGCTTCGACTGGTCTTGCTCTAGTCTTTGCACGGTATTCATTCGCAGCCTTTTGTGACTTGGTCAGAACAACGCGCTTCAAGACCTTCCCAGATTTCCTTGTGTGCCCCATGAGTCGCTTCATCATCGGCACCAACTACGTGATGAAGAAGCTGAGTAAGTACAGACGGTCAGACGTGCTGCAGTTTCGAGTGGCTACAGTTGATCTTCATGACTCTTCAGTTTGGTCACGATGCAGCTTCCTTTGTTTTTCATTGATCCGCGACTGATCTTTATCTCGCAATCCAAAATGCCCAGCCTGCGATATCCTTGCGCCACTCGACCTTAACCTCGACGAATATCGTGGGCATGGCCTCAAAGAATCGGAAGAGCTGCTGCCTGAAGGTGAGTTGCGGCTCGGTGTCTGCTCGCGAGAATGCGTCGGTGCTGATCCGTTGTCCTGATGCCACCTGCCAACTCGATCGCAGACTCCGGATCGGAGGCTCGGCCGAGTTTCAACGCCCAAGTCGTGGAGCAGTTGATGAGCATGGGCTTTCCCGAGATCCGATGCCAGAAAGCCTGCCTCGCCACCGGTGGCCAGGACGCCGAAGTGGCCATGAACTGGCTGTTTGAGCACATGGACGACGCAGGTCTGTAATCCGGATCCCATTCTACAGCGATCCTTGCGTGTGAATCAGATAGGTGCAGTACAACCCAACAGCTGACTCACTGGATTGCCCCGCCTTTTGCCTTTACCCCTGCTCCCTGCTTCACCCAGACATCGACGATCCTATCCGCACGGAATCTGGAGGCTCAGTCCAGCCCGCGGAAGGCGATGTTCAGATGCTCTGTGATATGGGATTCACACCGGCACAGGCACGCCGCGGACTCAAGGAAACGGTAAGCGCCCGGATCAATGCACACTCTGCCGCGGGATGTTCACGCTTGCCGGTGACGCATGGTTTGAGGTACCGAGACTCATCCACAGCCCGATCCACTCCAGAACAACAACGTCGAGCGCGCAGTGGACTGGCTCTTCAGCCACGCGGGTGAGCTTGACCAGCCAGCACAAGACGAAGAGATGCCCAGTGCCGACAGAGGTAAGTTCAGTGCTGGTCCCTGTCTCATAGTAGCGACTGCCTATGTCCTGATCCAATGCGCTCATCGCTGACGGAAACGCTGCCCTCCCAGCTGTCGCTGCTGACGATCGCCCAGCCAACTACCGCCTCGTCGGGTTCATCTCCCACCGCGGAACTTCGACCGGATGCGGGCACTACATCGCCCACATCTTGAAGGAGGATGGCCAGTGGCTGATCTTCAACGACAACAAGGTCGCCAAAGTGCCCGACATCCATAAAGCCGTTGGCGAGGGATACATCTATGTCTACCAGCGACAGTGAACGCAGGCGGATCTTGCCGTCGTCGCTCTGCTGTCGAGCCCGATCAGATCGATGGTGGCAACGGGCGTGGCTATCCTCTGTGGTGAACAATCTCCTTCTGGCAATAAATCAGAATGCCCCATCGTGCTGATCCTCTCCGTATTCCCATTTGGAGACACGGCCTGATGCATCTCGATATTCTGCACCAAGTGTGAATCGCGTCTCCACGTGATTTACTGGTTTCGCTCGATTCCCTTGATTCCGCAGCCGCAAACCGACCTGTTCCTGTTGTCTCTCATCACCACCGTCCACCATCACCATCCAAACATGGCGTGGCCCACCCTCGGATCGATCTCGAGCTACGTCTGGCCCTCGTGGGGCAGCACCCAGCCTTTGCCGCCGGCGATCCAGGTCGCAGTAGTCGAGTCTCTAGCCCAAGCAAATCCTTCAGTTTCAGCGACACAATCCGCTCCCGATCCTCTCGACACCACGCCTCGATCGCCGCCTGCAGCATCACCCGAGGTCCTGGCCCATGTGCAGACCGACACGAGAAGCAAAGTCGACATCCAGTCCGACGAGTGGTACAAATACAACAAGTCTGTATCCGTCGAATGCACCTTCAGACTGTTGCGGTGATCTGGATCTTGGTCAGCTCTGTTGTTGCAATGAGGACATCCGCCAGACTCGACTGACTTTGATGGGCTGTACCATTGGACTGATTGTCCCATCTGCTTCCGCTCCAGATACATCCTTGGCGGCGCTTCGATCATCGGCTTTGGCTCGCTCATCTACACCATCCGCGAACGGACCAAAGGTTCGCACCGCATTCCGATCTGCGCAGATCTGTTCGCCCACATCATCGCCATCATCGTCCCGACATGATCCACATCGACAAATGCAGGTACTCTCATCGGTGCGCCCTTCGACGCCGCTGACCGCTCCGATCTGCTCGATTCACCCAGGCCGTCTGCAGATCCCCCTCGATGAGCTGCTGAATCGCGATCCGACCGCCAGGGCTGCAAACCCCAAGCTCGCAGCCTACATGTTTGCTGGCCGTGCGTTTGGAACAGCGACACTCCTGATGCTGACGGGAACCTGTGCGCTCACCATGGGTGTTGCCAGCTGGATGCAAGTCAACAGCGTAAGTGGATAGTAGCCCGATGGCTTGACTTGGTCGTATTCTGTCACAACGCACTCGGCTTGCAGCGTCAGAGCACCACCGACCCATCTGAGGGCCTCTCTGTGTTTGTGACCTCATGCCGCTGTCCACCTTCTCCTGACACCGATCGATTAATGCCGATAGCTCAAAGAGTTCTCCGAGAAGGCCAAGGCCAAGAGCCGCGAGCTGTTCCCCAAACTCTACCAGAGCAATCGTGACGATGGCAAATTTGACCAGGCCGCTCACGAGTTCCTGACGGAGCTGCGGGAGGACTTTCGACGAGAGCGAGAGGGTGAGGGCTACCAGCAGACCGAAGCGTCGACGATCATCAGCAAGCATGTCAAGGACAAGCTGGGCCTGAAGTCGTAGATGTGTGAGCGGCTTGAGTTTTGTGGCCAACATCAGCGCAGGATGCCCGCAATAGATCATCGCATCCATGGCCTCAGATTGCGATTGTATGCCATTGCGCGCAGGAGTGAGTGCCGAGAGCCAGTGAGGGTTGGTGGTTTGCGAGCGTCATGCCATCCCGATCCTGCCTGGCGCCAAATCCATTCCTGTTCTTCATCTGCCACTTGCCACCTGCCATCTACCATCTGCCACTTGCCATCTACCATCTACTCATCGGGGCCAACACACCGTCTCCACTGCTGCCGTCGCTGATCTCTGAAATCTGCATCGCCCGCAGCATTGAAACCAGTCTGCATCATGGCAACGGCACCACGGCACACCCAGCCGCTTCCCCCCAGAAACCAGCTGCCTGCTCAAACCGGTTCCTCTGGCAGCCTTCTTGCGGCCATCGCTGCCACCAGCACACGCAACACCCGCTTTTCGCAGCATCTGGGTGACTATGAGCTCAAAGAGACGCTTGGGCGGGGCGGATTTGCTGTCGTCCGCAGAGCCCAGAGCCTGAGCGCTGGATCGTTCGGCGTCCAAGTCGCCATCAAGATGGTATGGCCTCAGCAGGGCCTGCTTTGGGACAGCAACCTGAGCGACCAGCCGACCATCGCACTCCTGCCTTGTCGCTCACCTCATTGATATCCACTTCTGCGGCTCTGCCGATGGCCCACATCCAGATCGATAAACGTTTGATGCACCAAGCCAACATGACGAAGCGAGTCGTGAACGAGGTGCATATCCACTGCCAGCTCAAGCATCCCTCGATTCTGCAGCTCCTCACATTCTTCGAAGACGACCGCCACGTCTATCTCGTCATGGAGCTCTGTGAAAACGGAGAGCTGTACCGCTACCTCCAGAAACGCAAGTCCCTTTCCGAGGCCGAGACTCGCGGCGTCATGGTTCAGATCATCAGCGGCCTCGAGTATCTGCACAGCAACCGGATTGTCCATCGCGATCTCAAACTGTCGAATCTGCTGCTGACCCGGAACTATGAAATCGTGAGCTTCCATCGGCACATCTGAGCAGGCACTTTCGCAGTCCGCAGATTTGCTTGCAGAGACGAACAGATGATAAGCCATTAACCGACGATCCTTGTGACGCTGTGCTCGGACACCTACCAACGAACGACTCTTCGACCACATCCATCATCTCTCCGTGCGGAAATCTCAGAAAATCGCAGACTTTGGCCTCGCCGCCAAACTTGCACACCACGACGGAGAGCAGCAGACCATGTGCGGGACGCCAAACTACATCTCGCCGTGAGTTATCCAGAGGAGTTGTTTGCCATCGTTGGAGCTGGTTTCGATATTGGCAGATTCGACCGCACAGCGGCTTCTATGGCTTGGATCGATCAACAACCGAGAACTTACGGCCCTGTCCAAGCAAAGTGGTGTTGTGGTGTTGGTGGCGTTTGAGGGCCCAGAGACAGCGCTGTCCTCTTCTAACTTGGTTTCGCTCACAAATGAAGGGAAATCGTCTCATGCGAGCCGCACGGACTGCCATCGGATGTGTGGTCGCTGGGCTGTCTTATGGCAACGATTCTGACTGGCAAGCCCCCATTTGAGGTACCATCCGTGCTCTGCATGTCTGGTGTTGATCACTGCATCATCAGCGGCGCCTCTGCGGCCCTGCGTCGCCCAAGTTCTCACGTCATTGCCAATCCATCCTGCAGAGCAAAGCTGTCCGGGACACTCTCGACCGAGTCACTCGCGCCGAGTACAGTCTTCCCGACACGCTCTCAAGCGACGCCGCAGACCTGATCCACCGAATGCTGCAAAAAGTAGTCGTCGCCACGGCTTTGTACACCCCGCATCGCACGGATCGCTCTCGCCACCGATGATGGACGAGGATTGCTCATATGTTCGTGTATCAACTCATTTCGCAGGAACCGTACAAGCGCATCTCGCTCTCAGAAGCCATGCGGCACTCGTTCTTCGCACCAAAGTCTGGAAAGACAGTCCCTCTTGGGCCGCCGGACTTGCCCTATTCCGAAGATGCGCATGTAGTCGTCGATGAACATGCAGCCCGTCAATCATCCCGCAATATCGAGCCGCGCATCACAAAGTCCCGCAGAGCAGATGAGGAAGCTTTGCCAGAGACACAACTTGCGTGTGAGTATCCCCGCATGCTCCTTTGGGCAACTCGCCGAGACATTGTCACTGGGTGAGAGTGGAGATTGAATGCACAGCAGCAAACGCTCCAACAAAGTCAGGGATGTAGATTCGCCCCTTGATCTCAGATGCAGGCGACTGTCTGGGTCATTGGCAAATCTGATATTCACGGATCACATATCATCGAACCAGTGGGTGGATCGCCTGCTGGACCAGGCGCATCTGACGCGGCATCGGTGGCTTCGTTGAGCACCTCGAGGCTCAAGCCCATGTCGCAAAGGACCAAGCACGGAGTTGTCTCGATTCTGGCCTCAGGCCATGTTCAGCTTGACTTTGGGGCCCCGTCCGACATCATGGTGATCAGCCCAAGCGGCGACGAGGTAGAGTCGGTGCATCGATCGACACACAGTTTCAGTCAGACTGGGCTGACAGCGATGCAGCACTTGCATGCACCGTTATAATCACGCACTGACTCAAATGCTGCCTCTCACCCATTCTCGTTTCCGAACCTGGCTTTGCTCATCGCTATACTCCAGATCCGACTCTACCAACACAGCACCAGCTTTTCTCTTGGTGAGAGCGAGCCCCTCATCATCTACAAAAAAGACCGCCTGCCCCGAGACTGTGTGAAGAAATACCGCTACGCCGTTCGGTTTGTGGATCTTGTCCGATCCAAGACACCCAAGGTAAACACGGTCGCCGTGAGCAGTGTGCGTGGCAAATATGGGATGGATGTGTCAATTGCCGCCATTGAAACATGGAGTCTATGCGATAGTCTTTGTGGCACTCCCATTCGTGGAGCCACTTTCAGTGGAGCTAAAATCTCCCCACGGCCAAACGGGAACTTTGTCCATCTCACACCGGACTCTTGTGAACTGATTCTGCTCGATTCAAGATCATTTTTTCCTCGCCCCAGGCCACGTGCTATCTGATGGAAAACGAGCCGCTGGCCGACTTTGAAATGGCCTTCTACAACGGGTACAAGCTCCACAGCTCGACCGCGAAGCAGCGGATCGAACTCAGGATCCCCAAGGAGCCTTCTGGAGCCGCATCCGGAATGGCGCACGCCTCGAAACGAACTGACAAAGTTCAAAGCGAATACGCGACGTATGCCATCGATCTCAAAGGCACCGAAAGCAGCATCCCGCCCGAACTGTTGCCGTACTTTCGCCACGGACAGTACTGCCTCAAGATCTGCTTGGATGTCGAGACCTCTGCCAAGCTCGATCCGTCCGTCAAATACCCGCTCATCCTCAAGTCCTCGACAACGCCAACTCAAGCGCAACTGCCGGCTGTGGACAGAATCGAAACAAGCCCAACGCAGACGCTGTTCCAAGGATATACGACAGCCCCGTCGACAGTGTATCCCGACTCGCTTTCGGATATGAGCACGCCATCCTCTGCGGCTGCAGGGACACCGCGAGTCGGTCGGTATCCAAGCCGGTCAGGAGTGGCAGGGACGCTGTCCTCGTCGTCGTGTACAGGCACACTGCGGAGAGCCCACAGCGATGGCACACTCCAACGAGCAGCGCCGCCCACACCGACAACGTGGTCATCAGCAGGATCATCGATTCAAAGCCCAGGAAAGGATGGCCAGGCGACACCTTCGCCAGCGTGCCCCTCAACAACGACAGCGCGCACAGATGCGACGAATGGAGCAGGCTCTCTGGGGTCCCTGCGAACAGAGGGCCGCAAACAGAGCCACCCAGCTCCAGCTGCGCCGACAGAATCGTACGGGCGTCCGAGCACGTACTCTAGTATCAAGAATCGACATCCAGCACGAGACGCTGTTGCCGACAGAGGCTGCAAAGAGGCTCCACCAGGGAGAGAGTCAATGCCAGAGTTAGCAGCAGCAGCACAAACACAAGTGCCCAAGGTGTCGCCGACATGCAGCAGATCTGGTGTCTCGACACCGACAGACTCGACCCACACGAGGCCGTCCAGATCATCAAGAAGCAAAGCCACAGAGCCGAACAATCGGGTTGGATTGGGCGGCGCCACTGAGTCGCACACCATGGACGAGCCGAGAATGCGGTTTCTCCCAGGCGTGGGGTGGTGCAGCTTTGAGGACGAGCACAGCGGGGTTTTCAAACTCATGTTCGTCGACGGGACGCTGATGACGATCGATTCGAAAGATCAGACGCTGGGCTGGCGCAGCTTTGATCCGACCGCGGAGATCTGTCCAGGACACGAGCCAAGCACCAGGTAAGAACGCAAGCCAGTGGAGTTGGCAGTGTTCACCATATTGCAACTGCGGTGATGTTGGTGATGTTGGTGATGTTGGTGATGTTGGTGATGTTGGTGATGTTGGTGATGTTGGTGATGTTGGTGATGTTGGTGATTTGACATGGGTAGCTCGCTAACGTCCCTTCCCTGTGCAGATACGCCATCAACGAGAAGTTGCCGGCTGCAGTCAAGTCCAAGCTCGGTCACTTTGCCGAGTTCCTGCAAGCATCCTCACACCCGTGTGATGACGATGCAGATGCCAAAGTTGCAACGGCATGAGGCGTGTCAGTGTCAAGGCCAGCAATATACCGGACGCACTTTGGCAACATGGCTGCGCGGACAACTTTGACCGACGATAGGGTCCAGTGCTGAACAGAGTTGGTGCACGCACAGGTGAAACATGCACATGGGGATGGAGCTGCGGTGGCCAAGAGTCAGGATGCCCGAGAATGGGCCGATTGCGGGTTCACAAGTGGTGCTGGAGCGGATCGCACAAGGGCGATCCTGAAACGCAGGCCGGCGCGCCGAACCAACTGGGATGCGACGAAGACGGCTGCGGGATTCGTGGCGATGCGGTCGTGGTGATGTCCAGGAGACGATGGAATGGCGATATGCATCCCGGGTGGTGTGATTGTGGTGTGATTGTGGTTGTGATTGTGACTCTGATTGTGATTGTGACTGTGTGGTGTCGTTGCTGTTCGCGTCTTGTCCCTTTCGCCCCGCCACGCGCCCCCTTCCTCTGCGCTCTCACGCTGACCACACCTTCAGGGCCCACAAGAGTGCACACTCTCCCGCACAGGCGACACCTTCACACCCATTTTGGCTCTCGGAACAACAACGGCGCAACGCGCCCAACAACGCTTCCCTTCATCCCGCCCCCTTTGTCGCACAAGCCGTCGCACGACTGTCGCACGGGCTGTTGCTGTTTCTGCGGCCACAGTCACTCTGCGCTCACTCTCTCGCTGCCGTCTCGCTTGCCTCTCGCCCCGCCTCGCCCCGCCTCGCTGCCCCCGCCCCAAAGTCACCATCCGTCCATCGCATCATCCATCCGTCCTCCGCATCCTCCATCGCATCGTCATCGCATCGCCCATCTGCCCCGGAGTCTGCTGCTCCCCACTCTTGCTCCCTCGCACTATCCCGTCGCCTCGCTCCTCTCTGCAATGTCCCTGTATCGAATCGTTGTCCTGGGCGATGGCGGTGTCGGCAAGACCGCCCTGACCACCCAGGTGCGTTGACTCGTCCTGCACTCTCTGCATCAGCGCTGTTGTCCGCCCAGCCCAAGAAAGCCGCCGATCATCGCCATTGTCCTTGATCCCGGTGATCATGTCCCGCAAATCGACTTTCACGGCCTCCCTGGCCCACATACAGCCGTTGCTGCTGTGTCCATGCTGTCGTCGCCTTCGAGTCTGTTCGACTTGGACATTGCGGCTCTTCCGCTTCTCGGCTCTGTCGTTGGCGTCGGCTTCCTCGGACTCTGGCCATGCGATCCCAGCTGCAACATCTCATCGAGTCTGGAATCGATGCTAACCAAGCACCGGCTCTCGCCATCTCCTGTTTCCATCGCCTCGGCGGCTTCGATTCCGTCGGTTTCCCTCTGTCCAGCTCTGTCGAAACCAGTTCGTTGGTAAGCTCCTCACATGGCCGACTTCCGCAACATCCCTGCTGCAACTTGGCGCCTGATCTCTGTGATCAAGCGCCGCTGTGAATACCATGCGATCCTTCCGCTCACCCTTGCGATTCGGTATATCTTTGCTCCCCCGTGTTCGCCCATCCAGAGGTAAGATGGCGTCCCCAGACCCTTTCTCGACATTCACCAGCGGCTTGCTCCAGAGTGCCTGCCCGTCCCTGCATCCACATGGCCCGGCCACGGTGCAGGCGTGGCTGGCATCATCCCGATGGTGCTCGAGACGGACCCAGCCGACTGCCTCGAGTTCATACGGCGTTAGGCAGCCCGCTTTCCGACAACACATGGCCTGGCACAATCTCGCTTGCAGCCTTGTTTCCTCCGACAGCGAATCTTTGCCGTGCCATATCCCCTGGCTAACCGGACCATCCGATTCCGCCCTCTGTCGATCCATCTGCTCCATCTGGCGTGGTCTCCAATATCATCGTCCCCCTCGCCTGCCGCCACTCGCACTTCCCTGGTCCAGTCGTACGATCCCACCATCGAGGACTCGTACCGCAAACAGGTTGTCATCGACGACAAGCCCTGTGTCCTGGAAATCCTCGACACTGCCGGCCAGGAGGAGTACACAGCGTGAGTGTGCTTTCGCCTGCTGCCCCCTATATTCAGCCGCGCATCCTTAACCCGCCGTACCTGTCGCAGCCTGCTTACCCGTCTTTCTCTCGCCAGCCTTCGAGACCAGTGGATCCGTGACGGCGACGGCTTCGTCCTCGTCTACTCCATCATCTCCAGAGCCACCTTTGATCGTGTCGAGCGGTTCCGCCAGCAAATCGTTCGGGTGAAAGAGTCCGAAAACGTGGCCCTGATCCTCGTCGGCAACAAGTGTGACCGCAACCACGACCGAGAAGTGTCCCGGGAGGAGGGCCAGCTGATGGCCAAGCGGCTGCAGTGCTCCTGGATCGAAGCCAGCGCCAAGAACTGTGTCAACGTCGAAAAGTGAGTCTTGGCGGCACCCAACATTGGTCCTGTTCGCAGACAGCAATCACTCGCTGCGTCCGCTGCATCAACATGCCGCTCCTGTCGTCTCGACTTTGAGCCGCTGACGAATGTCCAGCGGCATTGAGGCCATGGAGTGTGCGTGGCTGGTTGTCGTATGGCTCGTCTCGTTTGGATGTCTCGTATCGTTTGGGTGCCATGCTCCCGCTCACCTGCTAACTCTCGAACTGTCCGTCGCATCGCATGCTCTCTCTCTCCCATCTGCTCTTGCTGGGCACGCCAATAGTGCTTTTTACAGCGTAAGTCCCATCCCCCATCAATTGCTCTGCCAGCCACCGCCGTCTGCTCGCCCCTTCGTCAACCCGCACCCCACCCCACAATCCTCTCCATGGACGCACGACAGCGAACCTGCCACTGGGTTGCTGACTCGCCTCCGTCCAACCCATCCTCCAGGTCGTCAGAAAGATTCGCCAGTCGCAGGTCCCGACCCAGCAGCGTCCGACCCAGCCCCGACACAGCACCAGCAACCCAAAGCCGAAATGCGCCATCTTATGAGCGGCCTGCTGGCCCACCACCGCTCCCGAGTATGGCGGGCACCCGACATCATCATCGCACCATCTCCTCGTTTCTAAATCGCTTTAATGGCACCTAGCGTGCCGCCGTAATTGCCCGTCCTTCTTTCTTTTTTTGCCGCACAACCTCAGGGACCCCAGCCCGAGCAGAAACGCGCCGCATTGTATTTCTTCACCAACCCTTTCCACTCTATTTTCCTTCCTCTTCTTATTCTCTTCCCTCTTTCTTTTTCTGCTTTTCTTGCCCCTCTCGCTTCACTCCGCACCTTATTTTTTGGAGCACACACGCAACCCGCAGTCCAACCACCACCTCCGCTTGGCGAGATTGATGGCTGCGTCCCGAGTCCTTGGCTGTGCCCAGCCTCGCCGCCTCTCCTTCGCCTCCACTTTGCCCTCTTGTTGTCTGTATATTGCCTTCTGCAGGTCTCGTTCTCTCGCGCTCCCGGCCGCCATCCAAGTAAAATAACGGGTCCACCCGGTTTTCTTGAATCACCGACAGAATGGAGTGGTGGAATGGAGCGGTGTGTCTTGTTCCTGTGGCTCCAGGAATGCAATGACAGTCCATGGGACACAGGAGCACCAAGTCCAGTTTCATAATGCTGTATTCAACATGCGCACATCGGAAAGAAAAGGGAGCCAGGTCCACAGAAAAAACAAGCAAAAAAGCGATAGCAACAAAGACAACGAACACCAGAGGCGGGAATGAGTTGACAGACAAACAACGGGGACGGCAGACAGAAGCAGGGCGGCGCTAGAGCAGAGGCAGAAGCAGCAGCCATGGGAGGGAGCTGTCAGGGGGAGGTTGTATCGCTGTACTCCACAGGTGGAGATCCAACCAGACCACAGACAGGAGATACCGGTTGAGAACCCCCAAGCGAGACGAACCACAGGAGCGACAAAGATAGAAAGGATAAGCGAGGTTGGGAGCCCTCAGAGAGAAAAACTGCGAGCAAATGGAGAGAGTGCAAGGGCAAGTGGAGAAAGAAAGCGGCTCACGAGAACCAGCTGAACCATCGCTTGCGCGAGATCACCAGGTCTTCGGCAATGTCGGTCTCGTCCTCATCCTCGATCACTTCTTCGTTGTCGACACGATCCAGGTACAGCTCGCGTTCCATAGCCTCGCGGGCACGCTCGGGCACATCGGGAATGGCGATGACAATGATGTACTGCAGATGGCACCACGGCGACGCAGACAGGTTAGTGCCAGGGATCAATGCTCAGCAGCCGGTCGCCCATGCAACAGTCAATCTGAACGGACTGATGTGCTGTGTCTCGATGTTGCTGTTGCTGTCGCCACTTCAACCAGACAAAGACACAACCCCTGGCAAGGGTGTGGGCTTACCTTCAGGATCAAGACAATGTGCTCAAACAGCAGCACAAATGCAAGCTTGACCGCCGTGGGGTTGGTCGGGCTGATGGCGTTGGCAATGTACTCGTCAAAGTAGTCCGAGCTGAATGCGATGATGACGCCGTTTGTGAACACACCGACGTACGACACGGCCGTCAGGATGTCCTCCCAGAGGCCGATGTTTTGGGCTGGGTTGCGGCAGCAAAACAAGGCAAGGGCCGAGCGGTGGGAAAGGAAGAACACCATCAGTTCACAGGCACGCCTGGCCGATTCGCTTCAGAGCAGAACGCACAATGGGCACGATGGGGAGGGACCACTGATCGCTGCACATCGCATAGCGCAAATGCAAAGCCGCGACATACCTCGGAGAGAGAAGGGGCGACGGTGCTCAACGAGCAAACGATAGGAATCTGCAGGGGCGCAGACGGGCAGGTTCGTCCCGCGTTAACATCTCGCAACGGACAAGTCCTATCATCGATCATATGCTGCACCGTGAACTCACCAATGCGGATCTCGACGATGTTGTTCAGGGCGGCAAAGAACGGGGCCAGAGGGAAGGCGCACGAGAACAGCGAAATGAAGCCGAACTGGAGGACTGTTGGCAGTGCGTCATCGCAGGAAGAGTCAGTCCAAACTGACCACAACGCACCCTCATTCGGCAGCCGCCAGCGGATCCACAAGGCCATCACAGCAGCGTGCCGCGATCCAAGTCGGTGGTCCAAGTCGTCGGCCACTGCCCCAGCAGAAGCCGTGTCACCGAGTATACGACAGGATGCGCGCACCTTTAGCAGAGTAGTCGTCCTCTTGCGAGTAAGGCGTCAGGATGTCATCGTGCATGAACTGAGGACGTGTGTGGTTGGTAAAGTCGGTCGAGTTGGATCGCTTGGACACCTTCTTCCTCCAGAGTTTGTAGGACTTGAGCAGTTTACTGCCCGCGAGTGTGGAATATACGAGTGGGAAAACCAGTTGCAGCAGCATGGCGGGAGCAACAGATTGCAGCGCACCAGGGTCTCGAAATAGCCGTGCACACCAGAAACGCGGCGATGCTGGACTTACGGAATGACAACTTGTTGGATCTGGGCAACGAACTGGAGGCCGAGGAAAATAATGATCAAGTTGATCATCAGCTCCGACAGGCAGCTGCTCTTGGAAGAAAATCCGCACGAGTCCGACAGACCTGGGCCACCGCAACAAGCAGCGACAGTGAATGAAGCAGCCATCAGTGAGAAAGTAGAGCACACCCGCGTGTATCGAGCGAGCAGCGGAGGTGAAGAACACGCGGCACTAAACACATCGAACTCGTTCGACTGGTCGACGGTGATCATCCCCTCTCAGCAGTATTCCTCGGACAAAGGACGTACCAAAGATCAGCTCCTGGCCGATCACGTTCTTGAACATGCCGATGTAAATCAGCGATGAGTATGTGACGATGAACGAGCCCAGGAACTTTTTGACAGTGAGCGAGTTGTCATAGTCAATGTTGGACTTCCAGTTGAGCCACTCGTTAAGCTTTGTGGAGATGGAGTCGTACAACTATACCGAGTCCGCAACACGAGGAGCAATGGTGTCAGTCTATGTGCGCAAGGGACAAAATGCAGGCGATGATACGATTTGATTCGCGTGGCATCATCGCACAGACGCAACAACGCGAAATAACACCCTTCCCCCGTGCAACTGCTGCGATGCCTACCGGTGTGAGCACAAAGATGATCACGAGCGAGATCAGGGCCGACGACACTACCGAGATCGTGGTCGAGACGTGGGTGCGGGCGAAGGCGCGCCAGATCACGATCGCAAACTGCACCACGCCCATAAACACGGCCGAGAAGAAGATCACGGTCCAGGCGACCGTGCGGCGACGGTCCTGAACGGGCTTGGGGAAGTACACCTCGGTTTTCTTGGTGACGGGCGACTTGCGGAGGGCCGTGCCGTGCCTGTTGGCGACCCAACGGACCGGGAGTGCGAGACACAGCAATGAGCACGATACAGCAGTGGGCGAGCAGCTGCGCGGGTGCATCTGGCAAGGTGCGCCTCGACCGGACCCACAGAGTACGACAGTACAATCGACTTTTCTATACCCACCACTGGGCACGGCGGTTTTCGACGACTTTCATGTCCGTGACCTTCCACATGACCTTCAAGATTGCGTTCTGGCGCTTCCAGAACTCCAGGAACAGAGCAGACCTGGAGATGGGACACGATCAGCCGCCGTTGCGTACTCACAGCCCCACAGCCTCACAGCGATAGGAGCGAATCGTAATCGGCTTGTTGCCACCAAACACTCACCAGACGCCCATGAAGATCGCAAAGGGCAGCGTCAGGAAGTTGTCAAAGATCAAGAAGAAGCGAATGCTGATCTCGTTGTTGGCCTCGTCCAGGCTGTTGAACTTGATCGGGACCAAACTACCATAGATGATCCCGCTGATGGTGATGACGATGCCGACGATGGCAGCAAAGACTGTCCAGAGGGCATAAAAGTCTGGTCGAGCGGCGCCGCAATGTCCGGGTGAGTACGGCGGCCGGATCGCTGAGACACGGCGGCGCAGTTGCAGGGTGGGACGGCAGGAGCAAAAAAAAAAAAAAACAAGAGTGGAACTTACTCAGCCAGGCAAAGTAGAAAGCAATCTTTTCGCCGAAATAGTTGCGAATCTGGCGCAGGGGAAGCGAAACCAGGATGTGGGAGTTGTTGATCTCGGTGAACATCACATGGCGGGGATTGGTCTCGCTCGATGCGCCCTGGTGATGCGCCGGTCCATCGTGGATAGCGAATACATCGGTGTAGACGCCGTCGGCAATCAGATTCTCGATGCCTGTAGTGCCAGACACAAATAGAAAGAGCAACAGGAGAATTGCAGTGAGTTCCAAAAGTCCATTGGCGACCAGCGAGGTCGCCTGCGCCGAGGCGGGCTGCTCCCTAGCCGGGGCCAGTATAACGGCTCTGAAACGCGAAACGTACCCTGGTTCAGCTTGCTGCCACCAAAGCCGCGGATCTTGATGCGTCGGATAACAGCGCCAGTCTGAAGCAAACAGTCCAGGCACGCAATGAATTTCCCACCCACACGGAATGTTAGTTGCGAGTTGGCCGCCGCGCACAAAGTGCTGAATGCAACAGATCTTCCACAGGCCGCCCAACTCGCAAACAGACGAGAGCGGCGACTCACCAGCAGGTTGCGGTGACTGTTGCTGAAGAAACGGATCTGGAGCTGTCCTTCGGGATCCATGCCGCCACGGAAATCGGCCACGCGGTCGCGGTGGAAAGGCTCGGCGTCGACTTGGATCGGCAGCGTCACGATGGCAAACATGTACCGAATCAGCGACCGGAGCTGGCGGCTGGGGCTCTCCGAGTAGTACTCCTCGTTCTCCTGATCAAAGGTCTTCTTGGTGACCGGAGGAGGGCCGTCCCGGATCCTGGCCGAGACGATCTTATCGCCCGATGAGGCTGCGCCAGCGTCGGAGCCGTTTCCGCCGGTGGGGACATTCGCGATGGTGTCGTTGGACTTTTCCTCCACCTTCAGAATGGCGACGCCGCCGCCCTCGATGGGGACGCTGACGGTAGCGACGTTGGCGTCGGGCTTCTCGTTGCGGCGCGGAGTCGCTGGAGTCGCTGTAAGGCCCTTCATCTTCATCTGCTTGGCATGCTCCTCGCGGACACGCTCGCTTCTCTGGAGCACTCGCTCGCGGATGCGCTCAAAACGTTGCTGGCATTACCGATCGACAGGAGCATGCAATCGCATACAAAATCGCAGGTAAGCATGTGGGCGAGGACAAAGACAAAGCGCTGAGAGTCCAGCACCGGCTGTGCTAATATATGCCCGCGGGACTCACCGTGACGGTGAGCTTGAGCTGGAGCTTCTCGGCCTCCTGGCACAGTTTGGCAAAAGGAATCAGAATCTTCACGTAGGTGGGACCATCCTCGACGTCCATGTCCTTTTCGCGGACCAGGAACAGGTTGTTGAGGAGCAGCTCGAACTCAAACTTTGCCCGAGCCTTCTGGAGGCTCTGGTCTCTCTCGGACGGCTTTGCGGCGCCATTGAGAGCCAGGTGCAGCGACGAAACCGAGGCCGAGGGCGAGCCGTGCTTGTGGTGCTTGGCAGGGGGGTCGTATTTGAGAACGACGTCCCAGTGGGTGTTGACATGGGCGTAGAGGATCTTGATGATGGCATCGGCATGCACAAAGACACCCTCTCGAGCGCCTGGCGGGCGGGATTGAGCGGTGGGTCCACGCAAGTGCGGTGTGGATGGAGTCGGTGTTGTGTCAACGGCGGGTTCCACGGCAGAGTCGAGGGGATAATTTCGGGTTCAGCAGGCCGAACACAGAGAGCGGGAGCAGATGAGCCGCCAAGCCGTGCAAATCACCAACTCCCAGTGTGCGGCGGGTCACCGGGCAGACAGCAGAGGGTTCATGGTCCAGCCGAGCGACCCTGTCTTGGCAGGGGAAAGGGAGGCGCCATGCCAAGTCCAGACACACATCACTCACAGAAATTCTGGCAGGCGTCGGCAAAGGTGGCTTGCGGATTCTGCAGCTTCCAGGCTAGGATCTGGTCAAAGGCGGTGATGTCGTCGTTGTAGACGAGGTGGATGGCGGTGCCCTTGTAGTAGCGGGTCGTCACAGCGGCCTCGAGGCCGAGGTCCAGATCCCCCTCGGGCTCGAACGACTCTTGTGCCAGCTTGAGCGAGACGGCCTCGTCGTTGGCGCTGCCGATGGCGATGCGGCTCTGGCCATGGTCGGGCGGAAACGACGCGGTTGTGATGATGGTCTGCGGGATGACCGGGTCGGCTTTCTTGGAAGCCATCTGCGGGGTGGATGTCTGCGGAGACGGGGGAAGGGCGGTCGATCCGGCGGGCGAGATGGAGGAAGAGGGCAGGCCGCAGAACGGGCGGCGGGATTGCGAGGGACAGAAGGCCGACAAAGAGTGGACAGAAACAGGCGGCCATGAGCGCGGCGGATGTATGGAGTGCGCCACTGTTACTGTGGACGCGTGTGCTGTGGCAGAGCACTGTGTACGTGTGTGTGTGGTTGTGTCTGTGATTTGGGACACTGTCGTGCGACGCAGCACAAAACTCTGGCAGCTGTCCAGGCCACAGTGTAGTGGCGGCGATGGTACCACCAAGGTGGCGCCGTCTCCAAAAGAGCGACCCCGTGCAACCCCAGAAGCGCACAAGTCGCACGGGAGCGCGTGCATCCAGTGTGCATCCAGCGTGCACAACGCGACTCGCCACAGACAATCAGCCATGATGGATGCAAGCAGGCGTGAACATGGCATGTATTGGTTCTCCTGGGGGGGGGCAGTCGCGGGACATGATACGCAATGGCATCTAGAGGCGCTCAATGACGATGGACGAGGCAGCGCCGCCTCCGTTGCAGATGCCCGTGACGCCGATCTGTCCGGGCTTGAGCAGATGCACCAGGGAGACGAGGATGCGGGATCCAGAGGATCTGCAAACACCGAATGGCAAGCGCAGTTAGTGTCTCCAACCGGCATCTCGAGGAATGGCGGATTGCTCGCCGGGCCAACGAGCAACTTACCCGATAGGGTGGCCGAGCGAGACGGCACCGCCAGCGACGTTGATCTTGGCGGGATCGAGAGAGAGAATCTGGGAGCACGGACAGGAACCCCCAAGCCGCGTTATTGACTGCATCCTGGACGTCCATACCACGATCGACAGCATTACGCCACGATCTAGAGGAGTCACACCCATCGCTGGCGGCCAGGTGCCAAAGCAACGCAGTCAGAGCGAGCGCGATGTACCTTCTCGTTGGCTTTGACGACGGCACTAAAGGCCTCGTTGATCTCAAAGAGGCTCACGTCGTCCTTGGACAATCCAGCGCGCTTCAGGGCAATCGGGATGGCCAGGCTCGGAGCGATGGTGAACTTCTTGGGAGCAGTGGCGGCCTCGCCAAAGGACAGGATCCGGGCAAGAGGCTTGATGCCGAGCTCGTCGGCCTTGGCGCGGGTCGTCAGGATCAGAGCCGAGGCACCGTCGTTCAGAGTCGAGGAATTGGCGGCAGTGACGGTGCCTGCCAAACGAGATCGCATTCGTGTGTCAGGACATGGACGATGCCCCACTACTATCACCGCCAAGGGCAGACCTGCAGAATGGCATCTGTCGGATATGCGTCTCGCAGAGCGGCAACACTCCGCTGGGCTGTCGATGGCATGTCCACTCACCGCTCTTGACAAAGACGCCCTTGAGAGTGGGGATCTTGTCAAACTTGACGTTGGTGTACTCCTCGTCGCGATCGATGATCTTGTCGCCCTTGGGACTCTTGATGGTGACGGGGATGACTTCTTCCTTGAACAGACCCTTCTCCCAGGCCTCAGCGGAGCGCTTGTAGGACGAGATCGCATGGGCGTCCTGCTCCTCGCGGGTGATGTTGTACTCGACAGCCGTTTCCTCGGCGCAGTTGCCCATGTGCACCTGAAGTGAGCTGTGCGCATCAGTCTGTGGTCTCGGAATGGCACTGCCGGGATTGTGGGACATTCACCGACCCACGATCCGACAATGCTCCAATGCAGCCACTCACGCCAGTCCCAGCTCTCATCCGATATCTCGCTTCGATCTGCCGACGTCCTGCACTCCCCAATGCAACACCTACGTTGTTGTAAACATCCCACAGACCATCCTTGATGATGCCATCCTGGGCTGTCTGGTGGCCAAACTCTGCAAATCGCCATCAGACCACCGGTCAGTATTGTCGGCTGTGCGCTGGTTCCAAGCCACCCAGTGTGGATCGCATCGCTGTGTCTCGTGCTTGCTCTCGTTGATTCACTCCATGGCTTTCACCGCAGTCAAAACCAGCCGTCGCGATCTTCCGCCCGAAGCAGGTCCTGGCATGCCTCTCAAGTACTTACGGGCGCCGCGTGGGAAGTAAAAGGGCACGTTGCTCATGCTCTCCATGCCGCCGGCGACGACAACCGAGCGGTGTCCGAGGGCCAGAGTCTCGGCGGCAAAGATCACAGCCTTGCTGCCGGAAGCGCAGACCTTGTTGACGGTGGTGGCCTCGGTGCTGTCCAAGAGTCCAGCCTTGAGGGCAGCCTGGCGAGCGGGAGCCTGTCCCAGACCCGCCGAGACGACGTTGCCCATGAACACCTCCTCAACCTGCGCGACAGGGAGATTGGGGACCTTGGCCAAGGCGCCCTTGATAGCTGAAGGATCGGCATGCGGCGCAAATGGAAATTCCGCGATCAGCATCGATTTGGCGACCCGCGAGCTTCATGGGCGGCCGTTCAAACGCGCCATCGACACTCCCACTGGATTCCCAACCGACGAGATCACACCCCATTCTGGCCCAAGGACGATACGAAGTAACGGACGATCGGAGGTCAGAATCCACGCCAGGACTCACCAAGGGCACCGAGTTCAGTAGCCGTGAACTTGGCGAGCGACTTTTGGAACGAGCCGACGGGAGTTCGGACAGCAGCAACGATGACGACCTCCTGGAAATGGACCATGGATTGGATGTGAATGGCGTGAGACATATGCCTTGTCTGGCAACAACTGTCGCCCAAGAGAGGTGGTGTGCGCCGCCAGCAGGAGCATCTGGAATGGATTGTCGTGCTCGATGCCCCAGCCACCCGCTTACGTTGTGAGCCCCAGTCGCAAACGAGCGAGCACCAGAGGCGCGGACGGCGTTGACAAGAGTGCGGCGAGAGACCAGCATGGCGAGACGAGGGGATATCAGATGTGGTTTCGGATGCGGAGAGTGCGTCGATCTGTCGAGGAGGAGTGCGCCGATCTGGGACGAAGAGCAGTCGATGCCGATGCCGATGTGGAGGGGTGGGCGTGCGAGGGCACCGGAACCAGCGTCTCGCTCGGCGCGTCTCGCCCCGTGCTTAGCGGCCTCTCGTCGCGTCCTCGCCGTGCCCTCGCTGCACCTCGGCCTCGCTGCGCTCCGTCGGAGTTTGGCGCCGCTTCGGGCGAACCAGGTCCGAGTTCCGAAACGCGCCGGCTGCGCCTGCCGGGTGCAACCAATCAGCGGCCGCAGCCACAAGAAGCCGCACCGTGGCTGGCCACGAGTCCTCCCGGCAAGTGTGTGTGTGTTTCGTCAACCAGCGTGTCAGCATTCGACACCACTGGATTCGGCCTTGAATGCACGGCAGATCGACCAAATGTATTCGGTGTTGTACTCCCCGCAATCAAACGACTGCCTGCTTGCCGCGACTTGCCCTCCATCATCGCCGTTGTGAGTCTTGGGACCCGCTGCAGATCTATGGTCTAGCTCCGGCCCTCGTCTATGCTTGCGTTCGAGAGTCGTGTTGTGACCGTGTCCGGCTTCGCTTGCCCTCGTCAAAATTGCGCACGAGTTCGTGGTAAAACAGCACCCCTAACGAATACGTGTGCTGGCCGATGCGTTCGTTGACGTCGTGCGAACCAAACGTTTCGTTCGAAAAGAACGGGCTGAATCGGAATATGTTGCTCGTCAGATTGCGATACCTGTTCGTAAGAGCCGTCAGAGTGGCGTGAGAATTCTTTTCGATCCATGCTTCTACGATAGAAGGGTGCCGCGTCGTTGTGCCCCGTCCAAGCAGTATGGAATCGACTCGCAGCCAAGTGGCGAGCAGTCGTCCTGGTGCATCCACATCATCGCTCGCGCTTACCACTTGGCGTCTGTGCTCCCCGGCTCGAGCGTCGGCGTGCCATACACCCGCTGATCAGGCATCGGGTGGTAGCTGCCATGTCGCCGAGGCTCAAACACATGCCGGATGGTGCCCACCAGCACGTCAAAGGGCTCGCTTCCAAAGCTGTCCGAAACGACGCTCGGCTCGACAGTGCCCCTCAGCACCCGGACCTCAATCTCGCCAAACGAGATCGCCTCAAAGTACTGCGCCCCGGAAAACTTGGGATCGCCGTGGGACGCCGTGTCGACTTTGCGGATTGCCGTCCGGATGTTGGTGTTTTCGTCGTACAGGAAGATCTCAAATCCAAAAGCCTCTTCCATCCTGCGGACGGTGTCGACAATGTGCTTGCGCACAGAGGTAGACGAGTCGAAAGAGGCGATGCGGTGGTTGAGGACCGCGCTGGCCTGGTCCGGCAGCGTATTCGACTTGTGGCCTCCCTGGATCACGGTCGCGGTTTCGGTCGTGGCCATCATCGAATACAAGACTGGCGACTCGGACAGGATCTTGATCAGAAACGTCCGCGAGAACGACCCGCCCATGATCAGATTGCGACGGTCCTGGGACAGCTCGACGGCACTTGGAGGCGCATGTTCGGCGTAGCAGCGCAGCTGGACCATGAACGGGTCGAGGTCGTGCAGCTTGGGTGTGAACCGGGTGATTTGTAACTGCCCGATGATGGCCGACAGAACGGCGATCGACGAGCGGATGGGCATGACGACCGATGATCCGCCAGGCGTCCGGACCGTGATCTGGATGTCCATGTATCCCTTCTCGGCCGTGCCTATGCTGGCAAAGTTGGTGTCGAGCTCGGGTCTGGATGGAAAGTCGGCAGTGGCGGTGGCAATGGCAATGGCAATGGCAATGGCAATGGCAGCAGTCAGGTGCTGTGGTCGTACTTGGTTTCAACGGACAGAGTCCTTTGCCACCGGCGATGCCGCTGCTAACGCGAGTCTCACCGAATCATGGATCCATCATTCAGCACAAATTCGACGTTGCCGAGGTATCCGTTCGCTTCGAGGTATGCAGCGATTGCCTGGGCACCCGCCGACTCGGTGTGGCGGGGGCAACATTGAGATGAATCGAGTCCCGACCACGGTCGGTTTCCAAGGGTCCGGATAGGGGTTGACACGGCAGGATGAGCATTGTTTTCTCAGTTGTGCTACTGAAACCAACAGCAGTCGTTCTGCAACTACTCTCGATGGCGACACAGCACCGACCAAAGTCATCCATGTCACAGACCACGGCCGGCGGATGTTTGTGGCCGGTGACAGGAATCGCTTGTTCGCCGCCGCACTCGCCTCGATTGCAGCCCAGACGCAATACTTATCTCTTCGTCATGCCCGAATGCCATGATGATGGTCCGCCGGGGCTCAAAGCCCGTCGTCAACAGGCTCTCGATTGCCTCCAGCATCGCCATCATCGAGTTCTTGGCATCGCTAGCGCCGCGGCCCCAGATATACCCGGACGTGATGGTGCCCGAGAATGGCGGGTAGAACCACTGGCCGGCCGAGGTTGGGGAGACGGGGGCGACGTCTTGGTGGGCCGAGAGCATCATTGGTTTGAGCAAAGGATCGGAGCCCTTCAGGATGTACACCAGCGAGTAGTTCGCGACCTTGGTCCAGGCAAACTTGTCGTGGCTGCCGCCGGCATCACAGGGTTCGATAGACGGACGATCGGACCGAGCGGTGAATCGTTGTGTTGGACGCCATGGTTGAAGCACGATGATGTTGAGGGTCGATCGTCATTTGGAGAGTAATGTGTCAGAAAGGCACATGGATAGCCACACTGCTCAATGCCCAACGGCGGTCATTCGGTCGAGCCGACTTCTGCAACACAATCCAAGGCTGCAGATGGAGGACGATCTGGACAGTCCATCAGCAGAATCGGCACATGCATCAATCCAGTGACCCCCCAAAGCCTCTCGCTTGGGCGAGGGGTCTGCATTCAGGGAGACCAGTCTGACTTACATGCGCGGGTATGAGCTCTGCAGGAACTGGTGAAAGCGGTCAAACTCGGAATAGTTTGTGGGATTCGACAGCCCAGCTCCGGCAACAGAATCGTACGAGACTGTTTGAAACGAGATGGCCTGGCCTAACCGCTTGGCAAAGAGATTCTGCCACTCGGGGTCGGTGAAGACTTGTGCGCTCCAGGGCTGGTGGCCGCTGGAGGTGTTGGTCGAGGGCGACATCGGGGGCGGCTGCGTGCAGTGGTTTGCCGGGCCCGACGATCCCGTCCGAACAAACATGACAGTCAGGAAGACAAAGACGCCCGCCGTGACGACGAGGTTGATGATCCATCGCCGATGAGCCACGAACCGGCTGCATGCGATGGCAAATGGCGGCACGATGCTGTTGTATGTTGGCGGCGGATCGAGGTCGTCGGTCGACTCGGTCGACTCTTGGCTCTGGGCAGGCTCGGGACGGGCTGGGGCCTCACGCAGTGGGAGATGCGACGAGCGTGCGGACTGACCGGGCTGGGCCGAGTCGTCTCTTGCGACGGATGTGTACGAGAACAGATTCAGCTCCATTTGGGTGAGATGTTGTGTGAAGGGTGTTGTGCGAAGGGTGCTGAATGCTGGATGGTGCTCTGGCTTGATATCGCCGACGGTTGGATCGGCAACCAGACCGACAGACACACGACTGCGCCGATGGACAGCGAGATCGACAGACAGACAGACAGAGGGCAAGAGCAGCCAACCCAGGATGAGGAGAAGCAGCCTCGCCAAGCAGCCGCGGATGCGCTTTGTGCTTGTGCTCTTGCCTTTTCGGCGCACCACGCTCGCAAACTCAATCAGGGAGAAGGTTCGGCGAGCCCGATCCAGCGGACGCCATCGGAGCTGGGGGGTGGGTTGGTGCCGAGGTGTGCTCCAGACTAATGCCCAATGCGTTCGAGACTAATGCCCAGTGCGTTCGAGACTAATGTCCAGTGCGTTCGAGACTAATGCCCAGTGCATTCCAGGGTCATTGCACTTGCATTCCAGGGTCATTGCACTTGCATTCCAATTGGCAGATCGGTCTGTTCATACACCCAGCCATAGCGCGGCCAGCCAGCGCCGGCTCGAGCCAGCAATCCGCCCTCGTGCGATTCGAGTGGCGGTGGGGGTGAAACGCCTTCAAAACGACCGCCGCGGCCGCTCTTGCCAGGGATCGCCGTCTTCTTCATCGTCGCCAGGTCCATCAATCCCCAGGCAATCCCAGGCAATCCCCAGGCAATCCCCAGGCAATCCCGGGCAACACCCCCCCCCAAGCATCACTCCCCGCCTCCCGCGCTGCCATGAACGCCCTGCTCGACAACCAGTGTCCTCTGGACGAGAACATCACCAAGCTCATACTCGGTGGTCTCATCTCCGTCGGCCTGTTCGCCTCGTACATCCCCCAGGTGCGTTTCTCTGTCGGTCATCCCGTCGCAGCGTCATCCCGTCGATTCAGGAGTCTGCGCCGATTCATTCCGACAGACACACCTCTGCCTGCCCTGGCTCACCCACTGCTCTCCCGCGGCGATCTTGCCCCAGGTCTACAAGCTCTTCCAGACCAAGACTTCCGAGGGCCTGTCCATCTGGTTCCTCTTCCTCGGATGCCTCGGAGTCACCTCGACCTTCTTCAACGTCCTCCTCCTGCAGTTCAACGTCGTCCAGTGCTGCACCCACGCCGTGAGTATCTCCCCCCCCCCTGATGTCGTGCGACGCAGTGCTGTCGACGAGCGTCTGTGCCGTCCCGCCAATCTAACCGGCTGTCTGCTCCGCCCTTCATCAGTGGTCGCCCCTGCTCTGCGCCGAGAACTCGATGGGTCTCGTCCAGACCGCCGTTGGTCTCTTCTGCTTTATCGTGATGTGAGTCCCTTGCAACATCCATTCATGAGTCTCTGCTGATACGACCCCTGTCGGTCTTGCCTCTCCTCACCTCTAACGCCCCGACCCCTGCTCGTCTCCCGTCCGACAGTTTTGCCCTGTTCTTCTACTTCTACCCCCAGGACCAGAAGGTCACCCACCTCCGATCCAGCGTCACCGGCGAGATCCGCCAGGTTCTCTCCAAGGGTTACCGTGAGGATATCTACATTGGTGTTGCCAACCTGCTCTACATCCTCGTCGCTGCCATCACCGCCACCGTTCTGCTCGTTGGCCAGCTCGATGTCCAGTGGGTCGCCGGTGCCTTCGGCCTCATTGCCCTCCTCGGCTCGCTCTTCCAGTTTATCCCCCAGATCTGGCAGACCTGGACCACTCGCGTAAGTGTGCGGTTTGGCTGGTGCATGACTCGAAGCCGAATCCAGATCAGCGTATTGCCCTGCAGCCAAGCGGTGCCTCGTGGATCAACCGTATGTCTGATCCGGTACTGACGCTGGCCACCTTTTTGTCACATGAAATCCCTCACCCGCCACAACGCATCTCCTTTGGTCCACTATTACCTCCGCGCCTTTCTTCCTGGCGCGCGCACCCCTTTGAACGTCGTCTCGACTGTCGTTTCCTGCAGTCCGTCGGCGCCCTCAGTGTTCCCATGATCCTGATCCAGTGCCCCGGTAAGTATGCTGCCCAACATGGCTCGTGACTCCTCAACAGCAGGCTCTGTCCCCCATTGCGATGCCTGTTCACTAACGCTGCTGGGTGGCTGCTTTCGTGTGCCCCAGGTGCCTTTGCCTTTGCCTACTCCCTCTTCATCCAGCCCAACACCAACTGGACCTCTTGGGCCTCGTACTTTGCCGCCGGTGTCCTCCAGGTCGTCCTCCTGATCATCTGCGTCTTCTTCACCAAGAAGTCGCCCGAAGACCAGGCCGCCGCCCGTCCTCTCCTCCACTAAGCGCCACCGTCCCCATCTCAACCGCCGACCGCCTTATCTTTCTTTGCCATCTCTGCATTGTGTGCATGTCGATTTCGTGTTTTGTTTTTGACCATGTCTGAGTATTGGTGTGCGCCGGATGGACGGACTTTGCATTCGGCGCACAGTCTGTTGGGAACCACATGGGATTGCTGGAGAACAAGTTTCTGGCCCTGACCGATAGAGCAGAATATACTCGCTATTCAATATCTGCGGTGATGCAAACAGAACGGGAGGATGGGGCCGTAGTGTTCGGCCGCCATTCGCTGCAACTACGTGATCTCGAAGCTCGGGGACTTGGTATATCAACAGAAATACAGATACGACACGGGGAGGAGCAGGATCATGCCACTCTCACTTGACAGCCCCACAGGGTGATTCGATGCGATATCGTCAGTACCCGAGTACCGCCGCAACGGTGCTTTGTATATTGAATCCATTGGACACATTGGATATCGAACATGGCATTGCCCATCTTGGATGCTCGTCGTGTGATTTGCTTCATCGCTATGTCTGCCTGCATGCTTATTGTTGCATACTGGTTGTTGAGAAGCGACGCTTGGACGGGACATCCAGATCAGGATTAGTAGTCAAGCACCTCGAGGTTACGGATGGCATTTGCGTGGCCCTGATCGGCGGACTTGCGGTACCAGAATATGGCGGCGTCAACGTCTTTGGGAACACCGTAGCCGTTCTTGTAGCAGGCGGCGAGCCAGCACTGTCCTGACCGATTTCCCTGCTCGGCCGACTTGCGAAACCACTCGGACGCCTTCTTCATATCCTTGGCAACTCCCCATCCCCAATAGTGGCATACACCAACGACGTACTGCCCGTATGAATTGCCTTGGCCGGCTGATTCGCTAAGCCACTGAAGCGCCTTCGTTTTGTCCATCGAAACTCCCCCGCCAAAGCAATAGCACTCTCCGATCCAGTATTGGCTGTCGCTGTGGCCATCGCTGGCGAGCTGTTCAAAGATGGTTGCTGCCTTCTGTCGATCCTCTGAGGCCCCAAAACCGTTGACCAGACACACGGCCATGAGATGCTTGCACAGCCAGTCCTGGTCGGATCCCAACTGGCACAGCTCAAAGAACTTGCGGGCGGAGGTGTTGGATGAGGCAGTCGATTTCCATAACGCTGCCAAGCAATTGTCCTCGCCAAGTGAGAATTCATCCGACTTGTTTTCCCGAATGATCTTGATTCCCTTCTGTTTGTCCTGTTGGGTTCCCCGGCCAAGGTAGAACATCCACCCAAGCATGTGGGTGGCGATGGGCTTGAAGATCGGGTCGGTGGATTTGTTGATAACTTCCTGCCAGAACCAAAAGGCGCTGCGGTCGTTCTTGGCCATTCCCTCGCCAATGAGAGCAAGCCAAGCCATTTGGAAGCATGCTTCGAGGTTACCGCGGTCTGCAGCGGCCTTATAAAACTGGGCCGCGAGCTTCCAATCTCCGTGGCGGGCAGTCAGACCATCCGAAATGAACTTGGCCGCCTCGAGACAGGCTGCTGGGTCGCCCCGCTTGGCACGGGAGACCAATTGACTGGACAGATGTGGAGCATCGGCAATGTCGTCAAAATGGAGCTCATCAAGACGACTAGACTGGGACGGAGAGCGGCTGGTATCGATGCCGCTGGCCTGAACAGCAACACGATCGGCGGCCGGGAAAGCCGGTGGCTGTACAGGACGGTCGTATGGTTTGAGGGCGACAAGGATGTCCGGGAACGAGGGTCTGTCTGTGGGTTCGTGGGCCCAGCAGCGGTCGATAAGAGCCCAAATGTCGTCTGGGATGCCAGGGAACTGCTTGGGACGCTTGTGTTGGAGTAGCTGGGATATGATCTGGGCTTGCTTCATCGGAGCATTGTCCTTGGTGATCCAGGACTCCTTACCATCGTTGAGCACCTCGTACATGGTCATGGCGAACGCAAAAACGTCGGTATTCTTCGAGCTGCCGGCTGGCTCATCGTCCAGCATCTCTGGCGCCATATAGCCTGGGGTGCCGCCAGAAGAGCTGGAACCCTTGACTCGTGCGGCTGATGCAGATGTGTGTTTCGTTCGGGAGAGGCCAAAGTCGGTGATGACCGAGTTGAATGAGGCGTCCAGGAGGACGTTGACGGCTTTCAGATCGCCGTGGACGACTCTGTTGCCGTGGAGGTAAGACATGCCGGCGGCGACTTGGTAGAGGAGACGGAGTTTCTCTTTGACGGAACGGGGGTTGCTTGGATCCGAGACAAACTTGAGGAGGGTGTCGTTGGGCATGAACGGCGACACCATGAATGGGTGGATGGACTTGCCGCTGGCGTCCTTGTCACAAGCACCAAGCAGGGGCAGGATGTGTGGATGACTGAGGCGATGCCAGATGCCAATTTCCCGCTCAAAGTAGACGAGCGCCTGGTCATTGAAGCGGGAATGAAGCCTCTTGGCGGCCACTCTGGTCCCGTAGTATGAAGCCGTGAACACCTCGCCAAAGCCACCACTGGCGATGGGTTTGGTTGACCAGTCCGTGACGGCATCGTTGGGAATGAACCAGGATTGCGCATCGCTGGCAGGAGGTTCAAGACCAGCGGGAACGGGGGCTCTGCTGGCCATGTTGAGTATGTTGAATATAGAGGCTGGGCAGCTGGAGCTGGAGCTGGAGCTGGAGCTGGAGCTGGAGCTGGAGCTGGAGCCAGGAGAGCGCTGGCAATAGATGAGAGTCGGCAAGGGACGCTGGCGGGAGAGCAAGACAAACCCTGGCAAGCAAAGACGGAGCACAAGGAAGCCCAAGCCACGCCATGCCATTCGGTGGAACTGGGTCGGGTGCGTGTCCCGGCCAGAGGGGGGAGCTCAAAGGAGGGCCACAAGAGAGCACTACGAGATATGTCTGGATCACGTGACATGATGAAATCCCGACAAGGCTTGCTGCGCGCTTTTCAGACAAATCAGACAGGTTGTCCAACGGGTATCGCGTACCCTGGTCACAACGAGATTTGCAGGCTCGATTCCTGCGATCGTTGATCGGGACAGCTGTCGGCCGCCCTGTGCCGCCTGGCCCGTCCCCATACGGTTACAGCGTATGATGCGACTCCTGGCCAGAGATTGCTGAGCGTGCTGATGGGGCCCAGCCAGTCGTTATCAGACTTCGTCGGGCAGTGTCGTTCCTTTTTGCTGAATTGTGACACAGGTTTCCAAGCCTCATCCTGCCCACTTCCTCAAGGATACCCACCTAATTTGGTTGTCCGACCGCGTCTGGAATACGGCCTTGCCATCATCAATCTGAGCGGACCCACGATGAACGATCTGCAACGATGCATGATGGAGACACTTCGATCCGCCCTCAACATCCGCCACAACATATCCGGGCCGGCGATACAGGCGGTCACGGGATATACTCTATGTCAACTCGGAAACAAGTACTGACGATCAAGTGCTTCGGCCGCTGGTACGATCGCAGGGGCGACCCAGGCTTCCTCACGTCGCAGGTGCTCAGACACATTGCGGAGCTCCCAGCAAGGGATGCAAACAAAAGGATCCTCTCCAAGCTGACCGGAAACGCCACCTGGAAAGAGCTGGAACAGCAGCACAGAACCTCCCCAGAGCATTCAAGACCGGCCCTATTCGAGAAGGGGACAGGGACAGGCGTTCCCATCAAGAAGGCAATGATCATGCGCTTCTACGAAAAGGAAAGAAACCCAAGCAAGGTGATGTCGATCGCAGGCACCTACAAATGGGATGGAGACCCTATCCTGACCGCACGGATGCCAGTGATATCAGTCGCTCAAGCCCGAAGAATGTTCCTCTGGCGGGCCGGAGGCTTCCCTCCCAAACCTGACGGAGCGTGCAGAAAGCCCGGACCCAATGGTCCCAAAGTCCCCGTGAACAGGAAACATGCGTCGGAATGTGTCCGAGCCAAGAACCGTCTCGAGCAGTATGTACACCCTGCGAGGATCTCCGAAGGCGTCACTTACATCGGGCTTGCAACCGGCACACTCCCCAAGCTGGCTCGAGTGCCCGCAAGACCAGCCACCATCGACCAGGAAAACTGAGCAAATGGCGAGCCAAACGCGAACGAATCCTCAACAACAGACCAGCGATCTGGCTGGATGTCGTGGCGGTGTTGGATGACATCGCAACTGAATGTCTGTCGTGGACGCCAATCCCTCGGATACGCCACGCACGACAGTAGGAGCCTGAGGAAGTAATGCCACAGGCATACGCCAGCACAAGTCTGGACATGGAAGTCGGAGCTGCAGATTCCAAACTGTCACTGGATGGATGAGTTCGGCAAAACTTGACATCGCCGCAATGACGATTGTAAAATGTCCTGGTTGGCAAAAACCAACACCCAGTGCCAGTGCCCGCCAGGGACGCTAAGGCAAAGTCTTAATAAAAACCCACCCATTGACGACGCTGACAAATGGGTTGTGGGCAGGTGTCCCATTTCCCCTGAATAGAGTGTACGAGAGTGTATTGATGACAGGCCCACATTTGAAACATGGACTAACGGGGTGTTATGTGTCTGCCTTTTGGGGTGCGCTTCAGCTCTTGGATCGCTTTGGTCTTCGAGGGACGACAACAGTCATGAGATCACGCGCGGTGATCACTTCTCGAGGCTCGGAGGGATCCTCAGGCAGCAGATACGTCGATAGGGCCAATTGCCGGATCTCGTCCATAACAAGCATGCTTTCGGGAGACTCGTCGCCCTTGTATCGAGAGGAGAAGTGGTTCAAAATCAGCAGCTTTGCGCCGACGGCCCGCGCAAACCTCCCGGCCATCTGCGGGGTCGAATGTCCGTGCGCTATCGTCTTGACTTCGATCTCCTCGGCACTGGCGCCGTTTTGGCGGTCCTGCTCCAGACATGCATTGGTGGCCTCGTGGATGACAACAGTAGCTCCCATACACACGGGGGCGACAGCCATGGAGTCGTGAGTGTCGCCGAGGATGACGATCTTGCGTCCCGGTGTGGGTTTGGACAGGAAGTCGTCCGGAACCAGCATCGTCTGGTCCGGCAGAGTCACTGTCGATCCGGCCTTGAGCTTGGCGAGAAGCGAAAGCGGGTTCCGGATTCCTTGGGCCTTTAATGCGTTGGCATTGCGATTCAGATGCGGCTGGATCGAGGCAACGTCCAGGTTGCCGGGAGCACTCTCCTCTTGCAAAATGTAACCAAGCGATGGGACGGTATGGGCGATGCTGACAACTTGAACGGCAAAGACTCCAAGATCGAGGGACCACAGCGATGCAGCACCGCTGCCGCAGGGGCTATCGGCGATCTGGTTGCGGCCTGGGAGCTCCTCCGGATGGAGATCTGCTTCGGTGGAGGATTCGGCGGTCTCGGGGTTGTCGTGAAACTCGTGCACTCGAAACCGACACGGCAGCCGAGAGCAGGAAGACCGCAGGGAGTTGCGAACAAACGCCCGGGTTCCAACGGGGCCGTAGATCTCGATCACCGTTCCGCTGCTGCTGTTGTTCTGGGTCGGGCCATCCTCCACGGCGTCGCTGTCGCCATCACCGGGGGCGTCGTCACGAGCGCCTTGCTTCTGGCTAACGGTGCAGAGCAAGCCCGGCAGACCAAAGACATGGTCCTGGACGCCGATGGATTGCAGTCGGCGATTCGTTGGGTGCATGTGTGCAGCGGAACCGGACGAGCGTGGTGAGTATGGAACGCAGAGCGCAGGAGAGACGGCGAGAGCGCCGCTGTCGACATGCACAGGAGCCAGTAACGTACCCCGTGCAGATGCGTGATGAAAATCCGCTCGATCTTGCCCAACTTGAGGTCGCTCCGGACCAGCTGATGCTGGGTGCCCTCGCCGGCATCAAAGATCCAGATGGAGCCGTCGACACGGAGGGCCAGGGAGGAGTGGCTGCGGGTGCGCGAGGGGATTGCGCTGGCTGTGCCGAGGAAGGTGATGTCGATGTCGACCGCCATGGGTTGGCTGTGCGGGAGGAACAATCGGCAAGATGGGCAAGATGGATGGGATTGGCAAGATGGGCGAGACGGATGGGATTGGCAGGATAGTCACCGATCCGATTACGTCCGCTCCGCGCCACCGCCGCCACCCACATCGCCCTCATGGAAGCATCAAGGTGGCCTCGACAAACGAGTTCAACACCTCGCAAGTGTGGTCCAAGTGCCTGGAGCCAGCTCGGCTGGAAGGACTCGATACGCCCAGTGTTGCGAATTCCCACTTTGTCAGGAGCTGCAAGAATCTCAGCTGCCGGACAGTTTTTTTTTTATTTTGTTTCAATAGCGCACCTTTATTTGCGTGCACCTGCCCTCAGCATCACTGATACTCGGCAAAGCGTCGTTCTGGAAGGTGGCTATACGCCTCCTCCCCTGGGCTATCTTCTATGGGTAGGTGCTGCCCACCCAGCAAGGACTATTGTCAGCTTCCCAAAGATTTGTGAGATCGTACCCAACAGCGCATCTACATCTGTGTCAGTTCTCACGAAGCGCACCATCCTCTTACTGCTGTCGTATCCAACAGGTCTGAGGAGGTCGAGGATCTTGTCGATCGGTCCCACGCTGTCGTGCGTCGGTTCCTCCCACTCTGGGTGTCGGTCTTCGTACTCTCGGACCACCTTTTTTTTTCTCTCTCTTTCTTTATTGTACGCCGCCGTGGCGGCGCACTAGCCATCAGGACCCCGTGGTCCCCGGCATCTCGCTCTTCATGGAGTACATCGAGTGTTTAAAAGTCCCACTCAGGAATGTCGCCGGGCCTGGCTTGCCATCCAGCGAGTCTCCACATCAGGGTATGGAAGATCTGTTCCAGATCAGTCCACAGACCGTTGAAGGCCTGTCCCACGATGGGTTCTTCGTATTCCAGCTTGCCAACCTCTCCTAGCATATCCAACAATTTATCAATAGGCCCGACACCTTCGGTCTCGGGCTCGGTCCATCCAGTGAAAATATCCTTATAGCCCTGTACCAGGGCGTCCAAGGCGTCTTCCTCATCCACACACGTCTGTGCGTGGGATCTGCTCAGTTCGATTCGGCCTTCGCCGTTGCGTTTGCACTTTTTGCAGAGGCGGTACTTGCCGTGTGGGTGCCCGGGGAATGCCCCCAGTCTCCACCACACCATTACTACGTGTAGTCTGCGTGGGATGCTTGGTCCAAGTTGGGTCCAGACTCCCGACATCTTTGTTCTTGGTGTGCACGCAGCCGTCAGCTGCTGTCCTCGCTTGAACGATGTGTGGGCATCGTGGGTCAGCATGAGTGTTTTGACCGACAGGATCTGTGTGCGATCCGTGGTCGAGTCGTCGTCCTTGGCAAAGGCCATGGACATCGAGAACGTGGCGTTCTTCTCCTTGCGGGTGCAGGTCAGGTTCCATTGGATGCTTTCGTAGAAGGGCTTGCCAAGGTATGGCTGGTCCTTCATCGCCGTGGATCGGATAAAGCGGGTGATGAGGGCGATCATCTTGTCGTCGTGTGTGGCGACGTCTTCCCATCGTCCTCGGCATTAGATGCCGAGGACCTTGGCTCTTGTCGCCATCGTGGGTAATCCGCAATTGAGGTGCAGTGCTCCGTGTGAAGTCGTGCGAGCGGTGCGGAACAGTAAGTTCAGGCAGAAGGTTTGTGTCCGGTGGAGCCGCTTCTGTTCGTTCTTTGGGATGGCGTCGAGGGCGAGGCCGTATTCCATCATTGGCCGCAGGAACGTGCGGTATGCAATCGTCAGTGTCTTGGCGTGAGGTTCCCAAGGGTCAGGCCCATCTTGGTCATGTTGGATGCTGCTTCTCTTGTTCTGGTCACCATTCGGTCCTGGCAGATTGTCGATGCGGAATCCATTGACGTCGATCATGGCGCCGAGGTACTTGAAGATCTTGGTCTCAGGGAGGTTTTGGCCATAGAGGCGCAAACCCGTTTGTTTGTCGGTGCAGTGGTCTGAGAAGATGACCTCGCACTTTGGGGGTGAGAACCTGTATCGGTTTCTCCGGCTGTGGGCCTCGCACAGATTGAGGAGTGGTTGTGCTTGTCCAGGTTTGCAGATCAGGACACCGTCATCGGCGAACCACAGTGAGTTCACTTTGATGGTGGCCCCGTTGCGTCCCTGGAGGGGAGTGCCTCCCATATCTCGGAGACGTCTTGGTAGATCGTCGATGAAGGCGCTGAACATGAGTGGGCTCAGCACCGATCCTTGGATCAGTCCTTTCTGGAGCCATACTGGCTTGGATCTTCGGCCCTTGCTGACCATTTGGATGGATACCCGGTCAAACATGGCTTTGAGGAAGCCGAGGGCGATGCCTTTCATTCTTCGCTGCTTGAGCTTGGTCCAGAGTCTCTCGCGCCATACTGTGTCATAGGCGGCTTTGATGTCGAGGAAGATCAGAGAGTACTCCTCACCGTTCATCTTGTGGTGCTTGATCAGGGTGTCCAGGGCGACGATCTGGTCAAGGGTTCCTCGTTTCGCTCGGAATCCGCCTTGGGCGACGTCCATGTCTCCTGCCTGTTCTGCCAGGAAGGGGAGCATGATCCTTTCCACGATCCTCCTGCATGTCTGAGTGAGGCCGATAGGGCGATACATGGTCGGGTCCAGGGTCGATCCCTTCTGCTTGTACACTGGGTGGATCAGCACGCTGTTCCATTCGCTTGGCACCACACTGGCCTTGAGCGCCGCCATGATGATCAGGCGGAGCCACTCGGCTATCACTGGTGCGACTGGTATGAGCATTTCGCTCTTGATCTTGTCGGATCCCGTTGCCTTGCGGCGTGGTGCCTTCTCGATGGTCTCTTGGATGTGCTCCAGCGATACTTCTGGGAGCCGCTTGTCGGGCGGCAGGAGGGTCGCCTCCGTGCTCAGGGGTGGTGGGGTTATACTTCTGTCGTACTCTGTCCCGCTGTCCTGCGAGGCAGAGGATACCTTGCCAAAGTGCACCACGAGTTTCTCGAGAGTCGGATCCGAGTTGTCAAAGAGATGTGATCCTTCCCTCTCCTTCCTCGTGCGCATCGCTCCGATGGTCTTGGTCATCTCGGAGCACTTCTGGGTGTCCATCATGGCCATGGATTCCTTCCATGACCGTATGCCGTTCTTGCGCTTGAGCTGGGTGATGGCCTTTCTCGTGGACCGAAGCTGACGACGCAGGTCGTCCAACTCTTCCGTGTCGTACTCGGGGGTCTGGGCGAGCATTCTGCTCAGGCATCGCCGTTCTCGTTCCAGGCGTCGAATTTCGGGCCCCTGTGTGCCCTCGATCCGCCCAGGGCTGATGCTGGATGGCCCCTTGGTAGGTTTCTGTTCTTCTGCGCTTTGGCGACCATTGCTGGCAGTGGGCCAGTGGGCGGGGTGCGGTTTGTTCTCTGGTGTGTGTTCTCTTGCTGGGATCCCGCGAATATCGAGATCTTGTGAGAGCTGGGTGATCCCTGGATGCTGGTGGAATGGGGAGAGGTGCTGTTAGAGTTTGCTGGCCATGTGGTGACCCGCACCATGACGATCGATCAATATCAGCGATTGTAATGGAACAGTACTGATTTGCATATTGAATGTATTGAATATATTGAAGGTCAAATATAACACCACACGGCCGCTGTCGCTTCTTCGGAACTATTTTACAAGTCCACTGTGTGGTATCGTGATGTCTGGGAAGGGTATTTGAGGCGCGGCTTACTTGACTTCTCAGGTTATATGCTCAGTATCGCGACTCGGCTGTTTGGGATTGGCACTTGAAAGTGGGCACAGAGATCAGGGCCACTTGCCGAGGTGCTCGAGGTTACGGATGGCAAGCTTGTGACCCTGTTCAGCGGACTTGCGGTACCAGAAGACGGCGGCGTCGATGTTCTTGATGACACCTTCACCATTCTTGTAGCGGTGACCGAGATCGCACTGTCCATATCGATTGCCCTGCTCGGCCGATTCGCGGAGCCATTCGACTGCCTTGGTTTCGTCCTTGGCGACTCCGATTCCAAGTATGCAGCACACACCGACCCACCACTGCCCAAACGAGTTGCCTTGGCCGGCTGATTCGCTGAACCACTCAAATGCCTTCTTTCGGTCCGGTGATACTCCCCCACCGCATCGATAGCATTCTCCGATCCAGTATTGGCTGTCGCTGTGGCCGTCGTTGGCGAGCTGTTCAAAGATGGTTGCTGCCTTCTGTCGATCCTCTGAGGCCCCAAATCCATCGATCAGACACACAGCAACGAGATGCTTGCACAGCCATTCACGATCTGATCCAAGCTGGCACAGCTCGAAGAACTTGCGTGATGTGGGAGATTCAGACTTGATGTCATTCCATAGCGCTGCCAGACACTCGTCCTCTCCGAAAGAGAACTCATCCGATCTGTTCTCTCGGATGATCTTGATACCCTTCTGCCTGTCCTGCTGGGTGCCTCGGCCAAGGTAGTGCATCCACCCAAGCATGTGGGTGGCGATAGGTTTGAGGACTGGGTCGGTGGATTTGTTGCTGACCTCCTGCCAGCGGTTGAGAGCATCTTTATCGCTTTGCTCGACACCATGGCCAATGAACGAGAACCAGCCACGGAGGAACACGATATGGAGTCGGCCATCTTCAATGCCTCGATCTGCGGCCTTGGAGTACCACTCGATGGCTGTGTTCAAGTCTTGATCGACGCCTTCGCCATCCTCGTAGCATCGACCGAGGGCAACTTGGGCCTGGGGCATCTCACGTTCAGCAATACTGCGGTACAACTGGACAACCTTGGTGTGGTCTTGGTTGGTACCGATGTCATCGTGATAACATCCAGCCAGATGGAACTGGGCCATTGGATGATCAGCTTCGGCCGCCCTCTCCAGATGGCGTACGATTTGTTGGCAGATTACGGGCTGCCTGGATGGGTCCACGGACTGCTGGCCACGGAGATCGGCTTGGAGGATCCTTGCCAAGAAGAATGATGCGGCAACATTGCCCTCCTCGGCTTGATCTTCAAGCCAGGAGCGGTCGGTTGTCTCTTGATCCTTGCAATGAAGCGATATGGCGATCTGGTCGCTCGGCGTGAGGCCGATCTGCAGCGATCCATCAGGACGACACAAACCTGCATTCTGGCACCAGGTGTGGAAGCGAGCCACCCCGGCTCAGGAGAGGCTGCGCCCGTTTGCACACTCGGAGCAAGGTTTTGGTGGTAATCAGGTCGAGGACAAGCTGGAAGCCCTCGTTGCAACAGATGATGGTGAAGATGTCTGGGTTGTGGTCATCCATGGCCAGTCGAGTCATGTCCCAAGAGGAGGAGGCAGAGAGGCAATGCCTTGGCTGGAGATGAGAGGAAACGAGGGCTCTGCGAGGAACGGACGATGCAGTCGAGGGAAGAGGGGAGAATCGATGAGAAACCCGGACGAGTGGCAATGTATCCACAAACGCAAGCCACACCCTGGATGCGATCGCCGAGATGGCAAAGCGACCGCTCAGATGGGTCCAACTCCACTGGCATGAACCCGCACAGCCAGGCGCTATCTGCGGCCCTGGAAGGGCCATGCTCCACGAGTCGAGACGAGTCGACCGACTTGGAGGCAGCACAAAGCACATTATGGATAGAGTCTCATCCTTGGTATGAACCGATTGCATTGCGGAGCACGAATGAAGTGTGCCCACAAACGAGGCTGCCTCTTCGGCCACTGTAAGTCTCCAAGTGTTCGTAAAACAAAGCTCAAGCATGCCTCGGACAGAGACCCAGAGCAGCCACCGTGATGGACAGACAAGATCCGCGAACCGCCGGGCGGTTCAAGCAGAGGAATCGAATAATACGGCACCCTCACAAAGAACAACACTCATACAAAAAGGAATGTGAAAGAACCACCCATCGAATCATTGCCGAATCACCGCCTGCTGATCAGCGGCGGCCGGTGCGGGTGAAGATGCTGACTTCGGGGTACTCTTCGTCCTTGAGTTCGCTTGACGGGACCTTTGGCTCGCCCAAGAAGCGAGCGTGATAGAGGTAGTTGAGACACTTTTTGACGATCGTCTCTGACGAGGGACAGGGTGTTGGGTAGATCGAGCGGGTGTTGGCGTTGTCGACCTTGAAGGACATGTCCATCATGATGTGCATGAGCGGGAACAGGGCGTTGTTTTCAAGCGAAGGATTGGCCTCGAGGAGAGCTTTGAACTTTTCGCGGGTGTCGAACAGGACCGGCCACCCACAAGCATTCGCGATCTCAAACACGCGCTTTTCGGTGATGATGCTTTGTGATGGAGGGGTGTGTGCATGGTATGAGTGATAAGCGGACACTGGTGGCAGAGCCCTTTGCAGTCGACATTCTGCACAAGGCATTCTGCACATGGGATTCTGCACATGGCATTCTGCACATGTTTTCGCAACACATCACACCACACATCACATTGCACACTACACATCACCATTCCTCACCTGTGCTCCGAGTCGCTGATGTGGAACACAAACTTGGACAGGGACTCCTCCGAGCCGGCAATCTCGGCAACCACCTTGGCGACATGGTCGACGGGATCCATGGTCATCGTGACGAGAGTGGCGTGCGAGGGAGCAACACCGAGCTGAATGCATCCCTTGACATATCGCCAGATGTAGTCATCCGTGTTGGACACTGGGGCGATGGAGGGTGTGAAGGTGTCAGTTGGTGTCAGTTGGTGTCAGTTGGTGGATGAGTAGCACTTGACAATCGAGACCATCGATTCATGGCCAGTCCATGGAGCGAATGAGACATCTGCACCACACCACATCGCATCACATCACACCACACTCGACTCACCTCCGTAATGGCTGTCGCCGACGATGCCAGCTGGGCGGATGATGGTCACCGGCACTCCCCTCGATCTTGCCTTGTTGGCCAGCTGCTCAGAGACCCACTTGGTCTGGCCATACCCGCCAGAGATGTTCCAGGCCGAGTAGATCGTCTCCTCGAGCGGCTTGTCTGCCTTCTTGGCCATCGGGATCGTGCCGATGGTCGAGATGTAGTGCAGCGGCTTCAGGTGGTGGGTTGTGGCCAGTCTCAGGGCCGTCGCCGTGCCGAGGACGTTGGGTCCCCTGAGTCTGTCATAGTCAAACAGCCAGTGGACCTCGGCGCCATTGTGGACAATCATGTCGGTCTCCTCGCTGATCTCCTTCCATCGCTCGTCCGAGAGTCCCCACTTGTCCTGCGACAGGTTGCCGCACAGTCCAACGAGTCGAGACTTGAGGTTGTGGTCAAGGAAGGCTCTCTGGCTCGGATCGAGGACCAACTTCTGAGCCGTGTTGATGATGCGGTCGATGGCGGCCTGCTCGGTCGGGGCTCGGACCAGGCAGTTGATCTTGGCCCGAGGGAACTTGTGTGCCAGCTCAAAGACCAGGAAGGCACCGAGGAAGCCAGTGGCACCGGTCAGGACGATGCCGCGAGGGTCCTTGGGATAGACAAACGGAGGGAGACCCTCGGCCGTCACACTCGCATCGTCGAGCTTGGCGGCTTCGGCAGCCAGATGGACGGTCGGGGGAATCATCGGCCTGTCGTCGAGAATGTCGACGACCAGCTGGGCAACATCAGTCGGTGTCATGGCGTTCGACAGGAGGATCAGTGGCGAGATCTCGACATTGAACTCGTCCTTGATGGCGAGAGCCAGACGGCCGACACTCAGCGAGTCAAAGCCGACACCGCCGATGTAGTAGTTGCGGCCGTCGAGGGCGGCAATGTCGAGGATCTGGCTGCCGAGCGCCGAGATCTTGACGGCCGTGCGAGACAGGGGAGTGTTGGCGAGTTTCAGGGGAGGATAGACAACCGACTTGCCAAAGCTGTCGGCATCCTCGGCGATGCGCCTGAGCTTCTTGAGGTCACGCTTGCCCGAGTCGTTGAAGGGGAACTCGTCGAGCTCGAAGCAGTTGTGGATCGGGAACTTGGCGACGTTCTTGAGCGCAAACAAGTCCTCGATATATCCGATCGTCTCGCCAGGGGTAACATTCGGGTTGGATCCTTTCCGAGGGACATACAGCATTACAATCTTGAGCTCGGAGGTCTGGATGAAAATGCAGTCGCTGATGGTCTTGGACATGTGCTGGAGAACCAACTCCTCGAGGGCGTTGAGGTCGACATAGACGCCGTTGACCTTGATCTTCTGGTCGAATCTGGAGTGATGGTGTGAAGTGAGGGAGTGGATGACGTGAGTACTCGAGATACAGGATGGCGTGAGGTCCTCAGCATACCAGATATACACTCGTCATCGATAAGAGATGCAACACCCGGCCATCGACCTCACCTTCCAACCACAGTGAACTCTTTCTCGCCAACCATCTCGACCCAGTCCATGGTGCAGACACGGGGCGAGCCGTCCTCAAGGAAACCAAATGAGGCGAGCTTGTCATTCGGATTTGCACTGACAAAGCTCGGGTGATCTTTGATGGGATGGTCCTTGTCGACGGCAAAGACGAGGACGCCGCTCTTCGAGACACTCTGGTCGACGATGCTGCCCTCCTCGTCAAAGAGAAGGCAGCGAATTCCGGGTTTGGCCAGCTTGTAGACAAGTCTCTTCGGAGTCTCCTGTGACGGAAGGATATGTAGCAGCGCCATACCACCTATCAAGCCAGACTAGCGGACATCCAGCAGAATTAGTGAGGAAAGCCAGCCAAAGGCAAGCTGACTCGACGATCATCGTACCTCACTCGATCCATAAGCACAAAACAGCACTGCGTTTGGACAGAGATTCCTGGCCTGCTGCACGAGGGAGGGCGGAACAAGCTCCGATCCGAAGCCAACTCGTTTCAAGCTCTTCCATTGGACAGAAGGTGTCCGTGAAAGGGCCACCCCAAAGATCATCTTCATGAACGACGGGGTCTTTGAAATGGTACCGTGGTTAGCAAAGCTGTGCCGTCCGATTCACGATCGGTGCCCCCTGCACTACATTCCTACCAGGAACATGTACTGGAGGCCATCATCCATCATTTTGATGACGCTGAGCACTTTCTCCAGCGTGTTTGGCGAGGGCTTTGGGATCCACAGCGAGCCTTTCATATTGATCGTGTTGTACATCAGGGCCTTGGTGGTTCCAAAGGACGGACACTGTCGAGCATACTGGATCAGGACGACATGAAGCAAAGTGACGCCATCAAAGCAACGTACCTGAGAAAGAGCCACGCTTGTATAGCGCGAGCCCAGTGTCGCGCGGCCGGCTGCTGCACCCGAGTGTGTGGCTTTGTAACTAAAGCGATTGACAGGTCAGGAATGTGCTATAAATACGTGTGCCACAGAGCTCGCACACCGTCCGAGCAGATCACGTACGTCTTGGGAACACCTGAGGGACAAGGCCGCAGCTGTTAGAGCGTTCGGCAAGGCCATTCGAGTGCGCTCGCTCTGCGGATCTGCAGCCGCCTTACCCGTTGTGCCTGATGTGCACGCATAGGTCACAAACTCATCGAGAGGCTCGCAGGCTGCCAGCGAGGGAGCCGGAACTTCGTCCATGAGAGGAAAGACCGAGCCATCGACAAGCTCGACGCCTTCGGTGCGACCAGGCTTGGTGTGATGGAAGAGGATGTACTTGATTCCGTGTCTGCGTCGGGTGCGATTGTCAGTGCCACATCCAGATCTGGGCGCCGCAGCCTCCAGTCGAGTCCCCGGTGCCATCGTGCTCACCCACACGACAGCAGTCGACATCGTACCGTTGACAAAGAGCCTTGCGGGCAGCAGGGGGCAGGTTGAGTCCAAAGCAGAGCGATTTCCTGGGAGACAGCTCGGAGGTGAGTGTCCATCGGCCCAGCCCAATCAAACACAGCACCGGTGGCCGCGGCCGATTCATGTGCAGCCCGGGTGGCCGATAGCTCCGATCTGGGCGAGACTCACTTGCCGAGAATCCACAAAGCAAACGAATAGAAAATCCAGTTGGCCTCGGCCTCGCAGAAAGCGCCAATGACCTCGTGGCCGTCGTCGTCCCAGCCAGGGAGAGCCTTGAGAGCCTGGGCGATGGAATAGGCCCGCTTCCACACCTGCAGATAGGTATATCGCTCTGAGGCGCCGCTCTCGTAGGTGTTGATCAGGAGGGCATCGGGCTCGTCGCGAGCCATGCTGACGAGACGCTCGACGGGATGGAGCCAGGGGCCAAAGGCATCGGGCTGAGGACGAAACGTTGGCTGCTGGGAGGCAGAGACATTCTGGTCCTTGGAGGGGTTTGTGGACCCTCCAAAACAGCAGGAGAGGGCCCTGAGCATGCTGGGGTGGGATGCCGGCGACGAAAGGATACCAAAAGTGCAGGCGAACCCAGCAGAGTTCCGACGGCCAGAGGAACAGAACTGGCTTTATATCTGGATCGGCGGTCGTTTGCTGTTTGCTGTTTGCTGCTCTGTGCCTCAGCAGTGGGTCGGACTGAGCGACACTTGGCCCTGTTTGGAACGTGCCTGTTCCACACGCCGCTGCAGCTGTTTGCCCCGAGAAGTGCAAATCCGCAACTCGGCAGTCGTATCTTTGTCTCAGTGCCAGGCGGTGATCGATGACACTCGGGCTCGTGCGGACGACCATCACCACGAGGATCCCGATGTGCCAGCACAAGGCGGTCTGTTGAAGCATGGGTCGTCCAGCACGGTCCTTCGTGGGCACTTCCGAGGTTCTGCTTGACAGAGCGGGATTGTCGGTGGCCTGCGGTCAGAATATCTTCGCAACCATGGGTGCAGCATGCGGATGCCAAGTCGACTTGGATGCATTCCCCGGTCATGGTCTGGAACAGCGCTCACTTGCAGCCTCCCCGCCGACACCCAGCAGGCCGACGGCGACCAGCAATGTGCATGGCCATCTCTTCCACAGAGAGTGCTCCACATGCATGCATCGTGCGTCATCCAGAGGCTCTGCATCCTTCCCGCTCGCTCCAGCACCCTCTCCGCGTCGGCATCCTGGCTGGTTTCGCGGTTGGTATCCTGGTTGGTATCGTTGCTGTTTGATCCAGGGTCATGTTTCGATGCCGTTCCTTGTGCGGCCGGATCGCAGCGCTGATTGGCGGCGATGGGATCACGGGGAGAGCCATCCTGGCTTGGGCGGCGTTCGCGTCGTTTCCAGCACATTCGAGGACCTGCGTTGATCCTCGGGCGAGTGCGTGCGTGCGAAATATTGCCACTTGCAGTCGTTCCGCACAGCACCGGATGCATGCCTTGGGCATACGGCCCTCGAGATATAAATTGCCGCGGGCACCTCGGCAAGGGAGGTCCGTCGCTAACTTCAAGCAAGCAAGTCTCTCAGCTCACTCAGCCCACTCAGCCCACTCACTCAGCCCACTCACTCAGCCCAGCACTTCCCTCTCAACATCGCCATGAGCCTCTTCCTCTTCAACTCGGACCCGTTCTTCCAAGATCCCTTTGAGTACGAGCGCCGCGTGTTCGGCCGCATGAACCGTCTGATGAACCAGCTGATTGCCGACGACCGCCTCGCTGCATCTGCACAGGAGGGCGAGAAGCAGCCTGAACAGTCCTCGGACAACCAGTCCGGCAGCCAGTCGGAGAGCCAGTCGGTGTCGCGCCCGGCTCCCAGCGGCTGGGGATTCTACAAGACCCCGCGCCTGGATGTCATCGAGAACGAAACCGAGTTTGTTGTCAAGGCCGACCTCCCCGGACTCAAGAAGGTAGGCGTCGAGTTGCATGTCCATCCGCAGCAGGGGATCTTGTCCATGCCTGTCCATACTTGTCCATACCTGCCCGTGCTTGCCCGTGCTTGTTGCAGCCGAAACAGCACTTCCGACTCACGCAACCGCACATGTGTTCCCACCGCAGGATGACGTCCATGTGTCGCTGCTCGACGATGTGCTCACGATCGAGGGCGAACGCCGCTCCTCGCACGAGGAAAAGAAGGACACCTACCACATGGTCGAGTGCTCGTACGGCCAGTTCCAGCGCAAGATCCGGCTTCCCCCGACTGTGGACGCCCAGAGCATCCAGGGCAAGATGACCGACGGTGTCCTCGAGCTCAAGATTGGCAAGAAGGCACTGCCGCCTCCTCCCGAGGCCAAGAAGATTGCGATCAACTAGAGCCCGTGCCAGTGCAAGCCCAGCAATAGTTGCGCCGTGGTCTCTCTGGAGACCGCCACAATCAACATCCATCGGTTGCTCGACACGATTCAAATGTGTGTTCCAGCACTGTCGGTCAGGGGGCAGCTCCTGCATACCCATGACAATTAGTGAATCTTGTCTTGCTGCTCGGTTCGTCTTGTCATTGTCAATATACACTGTGTTTGTGTCTGAACGAGAGGATATGTTCCACGGTCGAACCACATCATTCCCCCTCTCATTCACCTGGATGATCCAGGCTCCCCCTGCCACACTTGCCCATGCCGAGCCCATGTCCCCAACAGCCGACCGCGCGCCTCAGTCACATGCCGACGCTGCCCCCAACCCCATGGCTGCTGATGTCAGCGGCGGCCACGCGTCGCTGTCCCCACAAAACGGGTTGGGCCAGCGAGCCAATCCGCAGCCAGCCACCAGCCGCCCTCTCGCTCTCCTGCTCTCGCTGTCCTGCTCTCGCCCTCGCTGTCCCACACAATCTCCCACCCAGTGGCCTCCTCGCTGCGCTCTCGCCGTGCTCTCGCTCCTCGCCACCCCGACGCGAAAAAATCGACTTTGCGTCGCCTTCCCGTCATCAAAGCGCCGTCGACTTGCCGACCCATTCCACCGACCCATACATCCCGCATCCGCTCGCTCATTCCTGCTGCCGCTCCTTCGCCCTCTCACCCCTTTCCCGTCTGCCCTTTGCATCCAGTGTATGTCGAGTGCCTTGGCTCTGCGCACTGGCCTGATTCGATCTTGTTCCTGGTCCCGATCTCGCTGCGTCCTCCTCCGTCTCGTCCTCCTCCGTCAGTTCCGATCATCGGCCCCAGCCTCCCTTCCCTACATTCCGCGCCCTCACCCGCCCTGCTCGCCCATCTCCATCGCCCGTGCCCATCTCTCCCAGCAGGACCTGCGCCTCTCCTCCTCCACCATCAACACCATGTCCGCACAGCTTCTCAATGGCAAGGCCCTTGCCGAGTAAGAATTGCATCCGCCAGATCCGGGGCTTGCAATTGCATCCATGATCCTGCATGGAATCGTCCTTGTGCTCTCATTGTAATTGAACCGTGGACTTCAATTGGGGTCAGCTCGCATCCGCCCGTCGCTCATACTCCCGATCCCTCTCGCCTCGGTCGCATAGAACCATCCACCTCAAGCTGCGACAGCAAGTCGAGCAGCTCAAGACTGTCTACGATGGCTTTGAGCCGCATCTGGCCATCGTCCAGGTCGGCGACCGCGAAGACTCGTCCGTCTATGTCCGCATGAAGCAGCAAGCCGGAGCCAAGGTCGGTGTAGCGTCATTCGCTGGGTCTATCTGCGATCAGGAGCAGAGCGTCCGTCATCGGTGCTTTCTGCTCTGGTTTCAGGCCCATTGATCCGCGAGCTTTCTGACCGTCAACACCCCTTGCCTTCATCACACTCTTCTCTTATCGCCTTGCTTCCCCGACTGCAACCGATCCTTCAACAATCCAGATCGGTATCCGTGTCACTCACCACAAGCTGCCCGAGACGACGACCCAGTACCAGCTCATGCAGGCCGTCCAGACCCTCAACAACGATCATGCCGTCCACGGCATCATTGTCCAGCTCCCGCTTCCCAAGGACCTCGACGAACAGGCCGTCACCGACGCCATTGACATCCGCAAGGATGTGGACGGGTGCGTGTCTACTCATCCGGGCTTCTGGATATGAGACCTGGTTCAGTTAGTGTTGTCTCGACTCAGACCACCTCATATCGTGAACTTCCCCATCTATACCTGCATCTCGGGTCTTGGAGCATCATTCATGCTCCATCCAATATCCCACGACACTGGCCGCCACTGATCCGCCACCATCGACCCTAGATTCCATTCCCTGAACATTGGCCAGCTCGCCAAGAAGGACAACGAGCCCCTCTTCATTCCTTGCACACCCAAGGGCTGCATGGAGCTGCTCAAGGTCACCAGTACGTCACACCCATCGTACCGATTGCACCCGGTTGCATCCGGATGCATCTCTTTTGTTCAGGCCAGTCTTGTTCCCCTCGGGCATGTCCATGGCGGTCTGTGTATGGATTCTGACAGCCGGCGTCGTGCAACTCCCAGACACCAGCCTCGCAGGCAAGAAGGCCGTTGTTGTCGGTCGCAGCAACATCGTTGGCATGCCTGTTGCCCAGCTGCTTCAGGGGGCCGATGCGACCGTCACGCTGTGCCACTCCAAGACCCAGAACCTGGCCGAAATCGTAAGCTCGTGGATTCTCGATGTGTGCTGAGCTGGGATTGCCAAGCGAGCCCACATCCGCCGCGCAGATCTCGCTCAGAGAGAGCCAGCATGCATGTCGATTTCATGCATGGTCATCCTCACACACGGCCATCCACGCACACGTTCGCTGCTACTCCAACAGGTCAAGACCGCCGACATCATCATTGCTGCCGTCGGCAAGCCCCAGCTCATCCAGGGATCGTGGGTCAAGCCCGGAGCCATCGTCATTGACGTTGGCACCAACGCCGTCCCCGACAGCACCAAAAAGTCTGGCATTCGCTGGGTCGGCGATGTCAACTTTGAGGAGGCCTCGCAGGTTGCCTCGTGGATCACCCCCGTCCCCGGCGGTGTCGGTCCCATGACCGTCGCCATGCTCCTGGAGAACACCGTCGAGAGTTCCAAGCGGTTCCTCAAGGGCTTCCACGTCAAGACCGAGTACCTGCCCCTGAATCTCGTGCGACCCGTCCCCAGGTGTGCATTCTGCAGCACAAAGCAGCGGTGATAGCGACAGATCCCTTGACCCAGAAGCTCAGGTTGTTTCGCAGGATGGAGACCTGGCACCGAGTTGGTGCGTCTGTGGGCGGAGTGCTGAGATTGCGTCATCAACCACTAATGTACCGCTCTCCAGTGACATCGATATCGCCATGGCTCAGAAGCCCAAGCTGATCCGCCAGGTTGCCCAAGAGCTGGGTCTCTTTGAAACCGAGGTACGTTGTGCCTTGCACCCCGGTTGGCGACTTGATTGTTGCATCTACAGATACCACCTCCATCCTTCCCTTTCTCCCTGCCTTTCTCCCTGCCTTTCTCCCTCCCTTTCTCCCGTGCGCTAACCGTCCATTTACTCACCGTCGCCCACGACACATCCATCGCGCAGTACGAGCAATATGGCTTGTTCAAGGGCAAGGTGTGCCTCGAGGTCATGGACCGCCTCAAGCACCTCCGAAACGGCAAATACGTTGTCGTCACTGGGTAAGCTTCGTGTGCGAACTCTCCCGACCACGATCCACATCTTGGTGGCATCATACTGACAAGTGGCGCCTTTGTCGCTCCACCTTTGCAAAGCATCACCCCCACTCCCCTCGGCGAGGGCAAGTCCACCACCTCCATCGGCCTGGTGCAGGCCCTTGGTGCTCACCTCAAGAAGCGCGCCTTTGCCTGTGTGCGCCAGCCCTCTCAGGGCCCTACCTTTGGTATCAAGGGCGGTGCTGCCGGCGGCGGCTACTCTCAGGTCATCCCCATGGACGAGTTCAACCTGCACTTGACTGGCGACATCCACGCCGTCACTGCTGCCAACAACCTGCTCGCTGCTGCCATCGACGCCCGCATGTTCCACGAATCGACGCAGACGGACGCTGCACTGTTTGATCGCCTGTGCCCTGCCAAGAAGGGTGTGCGCAAGTTCTCTCCCGTCATGCTTGGCCGTCTGCAGGTCAGTAGAATCGCCGGCAGCCATGTGGCGACCCGAGTGGCAGCTTGTGCTCACCTGACGCATGCGACTGAAACGGGTACCTTCGCCATATCGTTCCTGTTGTGGCCTCGCCATCCAGCGCCTCGGCATCGACAAGACCAACCCCGACGACCTGACCCCCGAAGAAAAGTCCCGCTTCGCCCGCCTCGACATCGACGTCGAGACCATCACCTGGCAGCGCGTCGTCGACACCAACGACCGTTTCCTGAGAAAGATCACCGTCGGCCAGGGCGAGCAGGAGCAGGGTCGTGTCCGTCAGACAGGCTTTGACATTGCCGTCGCCTCTGAGGTCATGGCCGTCCTGGCTCTGACCACTAGCCTCAGGGATATGCGTGAGCGGTAAGTGTCTCGCGACGATGTCGATGCTGCGCTCACCTTTCATCGAGCCGGACCCGTCACCATTCCATCAAGCATCACATGGAGCACTCCAGGAAACTAACGCCACGCGGACCTTGCATCCACCACCGTCAGTCTCGGACGCATGGTCGTCGCCAGCAACAAGCGGGGCGAGCCCATCACCTGTGACGACATTGGATGCGGCGGTGCTCTGACGGTCCTGATGAAGGACGCCATCAAGCCCAACCTGATGCAGACCCTCGAAGGCACCCCCGTCTTTGTCCACGCCGGTCCCTTTGCCAACATTGCCCACGGCAACAGCAGCATCATCGCTGACCGCATTGCCCTCAAGCTGACCGGAACCGAACCCACCTCCACCAACCACGACGAAGAAGCCGGCTATGTCGTCACCGAGGCCGGCTTTGGCGCCGACATTGGCATGGAAAAGTTCTTTGACATCAAGTGCCGCTACTCGGGCCTCGTTCCAGACTGCGTTGTCCTTGTTGCTACGGTCAAGGCCCTGAAGATGCACGGCGGCGGCCCCGATGTTGTTGCGGGCAAGCCCCTGCCCGAGGAGTACCTCAACGAGAACCTTCCCCTGCTCGAGAAGGGCTGTGAAAACATGGCCAAGCACATCCAGAACGCCAAGAAGTTTGGCATGCCTGTCGTTGTTGCCATCAATCGCTTCAGGTAAGCGCCCGGACAGCAGGGCCGGCAGAGCTGCGCGACCCAAATGCACCTGAAGACAATCTCGTCCTTAGATTGCGTAAGCGTCTGACCCTCAGCCTCGCTCATTCGTGCCAACAGCACCGATACTGATGCCGAGATGGAGGTTGTCCGCCGCAAGGCTCTCGAGGCCGGTGCCTTTGACTCGGTTGCCTGCAGCCACTGGGCTGACGGTGGTGCTGGTGCCGTTGATCTTGCCGAGGCTGTGGTCAAGGCCAGCGCCTCCGAGAAGGAGTTCAAGTTCCTCTATGATCTGGATCTCGGCATCGAGGAGAAGATTGCCACGATCGCCAGAGAGATGTATGGTGCCGATGGCATCGAGCTCAGCGAGGCTGCCCGGAAGAAGATTGAGACCTACACCGCTCAGGCAAGTCCCTCCCCTGCTTCCCTGCCTCCCTGCTTCCCCCGTTGTTCAGCCCACGCATAATTTGATCATCGTTTCCCTGCCGGGTGATGCAACCTGCACTAACGAATACGCATCGCTTCGTGCACTTGCCGCAATCACAGGGTTTCGCCAACCTTCCCATCTGCATGGCCAAGACCCATCTCAGTCTCTCGCACGACCCCAAGCTCAAGGGTGTGCCCTCGGGATTCACCGTCCCTGTCCGTGACATCCGTGCCTCCGTTGGTGCGGGCTTCCTGTATCCTCTGCTGGGCACCATGCAGACCATGCCGGGTCTGTCGACTGTAAGTTGGATGGCGCAGCTCAGACGGACAGCGCATGCGAGTGTATGCTGGGAGAGTCAACTGGCCTCAAAAGACGACCGACCCCTCCCCCGCTAACTCGGGCTCGTTTCTCTCCGTTCGTTCTCCGCAGCGCCCGTGCTTCTTCGACGTCGACATCGACCTCGAGACTGGCCGTGTCCACGGTCTGTTCTAAACCTCCCCGCTTCCTTTCGCTGCGAGCATGACGACCTGTGGTGGCCGCCACCGCACATACTTTGCAAATATAGCTTGTTGCTCCCTCCCGCCCATTCACGAAGAGCCCGCTGATTGCATTGTATCATACGCATCGGAGCGGCTCGTCAACGGCAGGCCATCAGCCCGCTGCTGCTGCTGTTGCTGTTGATCATCTGCAGGCTCACCTTGAGCGACATGTTCTTGGAATACTGGTGCCGATGCGGGTCCCGCTCAGACATTCATGGCGCGGCGGGCCAGTGCTGGGTTTGAAGTGTCGGGTCCTGTCTTCCACGTCCCCTCTTTCCCGTTGTTCCGCATCGATCGCCGCACTTTCCCGGCCAGACCCGGACGATATCGCCAGCACACCCTCTCCAGCCCGAATACAAGGTCGGTTGCCTTGCCGCCAACTATATCCAGCTACACCCTCTCTCACATTCTTGCTGCATCCAGCACCGACACGCACTGCCCGGGCTTTTGCATCCATGCAGTCGCAGTCGCAGATGGAGAGAATCTGGGCGAGCCGACTCGTCAGCCAGTGCTCAATCAAGCAGATGAACATGGCATCGCTGCGGATGATGTCATGGGGCGGCGTCTGCAATCGTCACTCACTGCTCCAAACCATCACGCATCTGGCCGTCCCGGTCGCCCTGCATCTGCCTCGCTTGGCTCGCTCGCCCCGTTGCCGACAGAAGCACCCATCCGCTTGGCCATTTATCCATCCCTCCTCGCCTTTCTTCCCGTGCAGACACTGCTCAAAGCCCGACCCGCCGCCGCCCTCGACTGCTATTGAACCCACGGCACAGGCCAGCACCCACTCGCTAGCGCAGTCATGTCTGAGGATCCGTTCTTTGCTGTCAAGGAGTGAGTGTCGCTCAAGCTCACACCGCAGAATGGCTTTGCCGATGCCTCCGATCGATCGAGCTCTGGTCTTGAGCGCCCACAACCCACCGTCGGCTGCTCACCATGCCGCCGTTCTCAATTTCGTCCACAGCGAGGTCGAGATGGCAATGGCCAATGCCACACAGCTCTTCCAGAACTGGAATCGGTTACAGCTCTCCGTGAGCTCGTCCACGCCCTTTTCGCAGCCATCGGACGCTTTCCAGCAGCACAGCTCTTCCGACGCCGAGGAGCTGCGATGGACCACAACCGAGATCAAGGGCGCCATCCAGTCGATCGAGCTGGACCTCAAGGACCTGGAGGACACTGTGAAAATCGTGCAGGCGAATCCCGAGCGGTTCAAGCTGGATCCGCGCGAGGTCGTCCAGCGCAAGGACTTTGTCAAGAAGATGAAGAAGACGGTCGAGGTATGTGAGCGAGCGCCGGGCAGCCTTGGCTTATAGCGGGGCAAGAAAGTCTCAACCGACTCGACTCATCCGCGATGATTGAATGCGCCTGGATTTGCAGGAGATGAAGCAGGCTGTCAACAACCCTAGCACCATCAAGCGCACCGAAACGGCTCAGCGCAACACTCTGCTCGCCTCCAAGCCATCACCGGGCGATAAGTCGAGTCCGCAGCTGACGAACCGACAAGGCCCCACCCAGCAGGACTACGAGCGCCGGAACACCCGGTTTATCGAGAACGAGTCACTCAACCAGCAGCAAATCATGAGACACCAGGATCAGCAGCTGGACGGCATTTCGTCGACCATCACGGGCATGCGGGAGGTTGCCACGGTGATCGGCATGGAGCTTGACGATCAAACAAGGTGCGTGTGCGCAATGGCTGCTCCACGGTGCAGATATATCGCCGTTGCTGTTGCATCCGCAGAGCTCTCAGCCAAGACAGTGCGGTCAACAGCAGCGCTCTAACGCCTGCCTTCCGCTCCGCGCCACTCCGCGGCTCAAACTTGTCCCAGACTCATCGAGGATGTCGATGAGCGTGTCGACACGACCTCGGGCAAGCTGAAAGCCGGCATGAAGCGACTGGATAACTTTATCCAGTCCAACTCGAGTACGTTTTTCCGATGCCTGATTTGCACTGGCTTGTATCTCGGGAACGAGCCAAGCAACGCCTGACTTTGCTCATTCATTGACGAGCAGTATTGCTGACTCTACTGCCATGTTTACCCTGTGGTCATGCCCATCCCCTCCGTCCTCCCGCCTGCTCCTTCGCCGCATCAAGACAAGAAGCAGCAGATCACCATATGCATACTGGTGATCATCTTGATCATCGTTTTGGTGTGTGTGATTTCGCTCTAGTCAGAGGGCATCGTTGTCTACTTTATTATCTGCGCGTGGTTGCATCGCTGGCCCCCTGCAATCTCGCGTATTCGTCCTTCTGCGTCGGCACCCTTCCGTCCCGTCGTCCAGACCCCTCTCTTGCGTCGACCGAGATGCAATGAAGCAACAGCATCCAACACACTGCCCAACACTGACCAACACTGACCAGGGCGGATGGGGCGGGTGCGTGGCGGTGCCTGCTGCGCATCTGTGCCAGTATGAAGCCCATCTTGCCATATGCGGAAAATGAATTGCTTTTTTGTTGCTGTCTTTGGGCGAGCCGATCCAGCACCGATCTTCCAGAGGCACTCCAGCAGACGCTCCAGCAGACTCTCCAGCAGACGCTCTCTGAATCGCAGGGGCCTCCAGGACGCTCATCCGCCGCCGCAGCAACAGCACCGTCGGCTGCACAGGACTCACTCCCACTCCGCATCCAGCTCATCTCCTGAATCGCCAATCCAACAGCAGCCATGGGTGGAGAAACTCGAATGCATCCCTACAAGGCCAAGGAGAAGAAGAAGCATCTCAAGACCAAAGAGGAGCTGCTGGCCGAGAACGAGCCCCCCGTCGCACCCGAGGGACGCACCGTCATCGCCCAGTTCATCTCCTCCGACGACGGATCCTCGACTGGCCCGCCCCTGAACCTGCCGGCGAATGTGACTCCGGAGCAGCTCAAGCTGCTGCTGAACGACCTACTGCAGAACGAAGACCCGCTGCCGTACTCGTTCTTTGTAAGCGACAGCGAGATCACGAACGATCTCAACACCGACATCATCGAGGGCAAGAAGTGCTCGACAGAAGAAACCATCACGATTCTGTATCAACCGCAGGCAGTCTTCCGGATCCGCAACGTCACCCGGTGCACATCCTCGCTAACGGGTATGAGGCGACTCTGGGCTGTGCATCGCTTGGAGATGCGGTAGCCGCATCTGCGCCCCGTCTTTCGGAGCATGTGGACGAATTCCACCAGCGGCATGGCTGTGCTCATCGCTCGGGCCCAACTCTGATCGTGTTGTCCTTTATCGCCCCGCTCCGCCCAACTCAATCAATCCAATTCGCAAACAACCGGCGCATCCATTCGATATGTCGACCGTCCCTTCCGCGGCGCTCCCGTGCTCGTTAACGCCTTTCAGGGCACTCCGAGGCCATCCTGTCAGTGTGCTTCAGTCCAGATGGCTCCCAGCTGGCAACAGGATCAGGAGACACCACCGTCCGCATCTGGGATCTCAATACCGAGACCCCGCAGTTCACCCTGACAGGTGCGGTATTCGAACAGTCCGGCACTGGGCCACCTCTGTCGAGAGAGCGGTAGATTCGCCACATACTGACCCCTGACATGCCATGGCACAGGACACAAGAACTGGGTGCAGCACGTCGCATGGGCCCCGGACTCGTCGATGCTTGCGTCGGGCGGAATGGATACATCGGTGAGTCCTCACACGGAGGCCGGTAACATCCGTCGTCCGTCGGGGTGCTCTGCTGCACTCTATGAAATGAACCAAACTGACGAGTAGCCGCATCCCTGCAGATCCGTCTCTGGAACCCCAAAACGGGCAAAGCCATCGGAACAGACCTGAAGGGCCACACAAAACCGATCACAAGCATCGTCTGGGAGCCATACATGAGGTCCGTCCGCCCGTTGTTCCTGCTGCCAGGAGGCGTACCGTGGCTGACTTGTCGCTCTGCTCCTCTCTAGGAGTGCCAACTGCAACCGATTCGCAACGGGCTCGATGGACGGTACCGTTCGTGTCTGGGACGCTGTCCAACGGCGGACGCTGTTCACGCTGTCGCAGCACACCGGCCCGGTGATGTGTGTGAAGTGGGGCGGCGATGGACTGATCTACACCGGCTCGCGCGACAAGACCATCAAAGTTTGGGACTCGGCTGACGTATGTACCTCGCAGCCTCCCGACACACCGGCAGTGCGCCGCTGATGTTGAGCTGTGGATGTTGCTCAAACGGTGTTGGAGTTGATTTACCTGTGCCACTTCCGACCCCCACCACGCTCGAGCTAATGTCGATGCGATGCGGACACTTTGACATCCAGGGCAAGTTGGTTCGATCGCTCGAAGGCCACGCACACTGGGTGAATCACTTGACCCTGAGCACAGACTATGTGCTGCGATCCGGCCCATATGACCACACCGGCAAGATCTTTACGTCGCGGGAAGAAGGTGTGCAGCTGCGAGTCTCTCCAGCGTCCAACACGATGGCGGAGCACCGTTCGCTGTCTCGGCGCCAATCAACTGGGGCTGTTGTAGTATGCTTACCATCCTGTATCTTCTTGGTCGCTGCCAGCTCATCGTGTCGCCATCGAACGATACCACCAGTTCAAGGGCCCCAAACCCGAGCGGCTCGCCAGTGGCTCGGACGATCACACACTCTTTCTGTGGGAGCCGTCGACGACGAAAAAGGCCATCGCACGCATGACGGGCCACCAACAGCTGGTCAACCACCTGAGCTTCTCGCCCGACGGCCGGATGATTGCCAGCGCCTCCTTCGACAAGAGCGTCAAGCTGTGGGACGGCGTCACCGGAAAATTCATCAACACTCTGCGTGGCCACGTCGGCAGCGTCTACCAGACCACCTGGAGCGCCGACAGCCGCATCGTGCTCAGCGGCAGCAAGGACTCGACCCTCAAGTGCTGGGATCTCAAGACACACAAGATCAAGATGGACCTCCCAGGCCATCTCGACGAAGTGTTTTCGGTCGACTGGAGCCCCCGTGGCGACCGTGTGGCCAGCGGCGGAAAGGACAGGATCCTCAAGATGTAAGTAGCAATTCATCAGCGACCCATCGGCTCATGCGGGCTAGTTGTGCTTGGATGCAGCCCCGCTTGCATCCCGGACGTGTCCATACAGCGCACTTACTGAACCACCTGGCTTCATGTCCACAGCTGGCGACAGTAGCAAGGATGCCGATCAAGGCAATGTCTCGGACTATCTGCCGAATATATCTTTGGATCTTGCCGACCAAACTGATCGAGAGTGTGCTGGTCAAGGACGCAGCGGTGATGGGCTCGGCGGCGGTAGACCTGCAGGATAGCTCGTCGCGGACTCTGGCGACAGTCGAAGCGATTCACCCATCGCCATTCTGCATGACGCACAAACTTGGCAGCAGGATCAGGGGCACAGGTCTATTGTCTCATGCGGCGGATAGATGTGGCCATGATGGACAGACTGCCCGATTCGCGCTGTCGAGTCTAGTATTCGCGACAGTCCATGTAGATGCCGACCGAGGCATCGTCTTCGAGGCTGAAAACGGGCACAAACGTGGTGGAGCATTCACAACCAACGAATCCTGGCAGCATGCATGGTCAATGCAGCAGAGTGGTGTGAGATTCAGCCGCACCTTCCCTTTGATCTGCCTCCTCCAACCTCGTTTCCAATTCTCCACCAACACCGACTGGCGCAACTGGCGCACGAGCACAATATCTCACCTGCAAAGACATCAGCAGGATCCAGCGAGCACACGTAAAACACGCGCAGGGCGGCGTGGGTGTTGTCGGGCTTGCTTCCAGCTGGGAAGGCCAGCTTGTGCATTTCGGTGATCGCAGCCTTGCACAGCTCAGCCAACGAGACCTGTGGATCGCCGCTCTTGTTTCCTAATTCATCCGTAACAAGATGAGTGCGGCGTCAGCACAACGAAGCAGTCGAGGCACTTGCCTCCAAGGGAGCTGGTTTGGCCGTCTGCGTGCCACAGTTCCACATGCAAGCCTACCATTGCGAATCAGTCCAACGATTGCAGACGTGGTGCCAAGCTGGCGTTGGTGGACACTCCATCCCGTCGGCGTCCCATCGTTGACAGCGCTCGCTGTGTTGGTACGTGCAGATATGTAAATGATCGTCGCAGAGTTAGACCGCGCCAGGAGGATCCCATTCGTTTCGGTGGAGGACGAGACATACCACGGGTATTTGTGTCGGGCTTTGGCAGCTTGCTCCGGATGGTGTCGTCCTTGTCGTGGTCGTCGTCGGAATCGTACTCGGCTGTCCGAAGGAGCTCCGTGGTATCGATATGGCTGATACTCTCGAGACATCGCCCGTATGCGATGTTGGGATTGTGAGCAAAGAGCTGCCACTCGATGTGGGCATTCCGCGGCAGGCGGGTGACGTTGACAAACAGAACGGGCAGCGGAGCGATACCTTCGCGCTGCAGGGTTTCATTCCGTCCCCCACCGACATCGCATCCGAGTGTTGGCAAAGGAACAGGTGAACAGACGATCAGTTCCCGTTTGTCATCGATAAGCACGCATTTCCAGGGAGAGTTGGTCCGCTCACCTCCAGCGTGTGATTCCAGACATCCCGGGCGAATACCAGTGCCGCCTGGCTGACACAGTAGCAGACGCCACCGATCACATTGCGGCGCCATTCCAGCCATGGATGGCTCACGGCAGCAGTGTCGTCCTCGGTCTGCACGAGGTTCAGGACTGCCGAGAGCACCGAGGATACGTTGAGTAGCGAGATCAAGAACTCGGACTGAAGGGTTTCGGTGGTGACTCCAGAATGATATGGGTTCGGCATTGTCATCGAGGCGCCGATGAGAGGAATCTGGCCCGCGAGGATGATCTGGTCCATGATCTGGAAGCATACGGCAAGAGTGGCGGCATTCTTCATAAGTAAACTCGGGATGGTGCCATCGACCGATGAACGACTTCATCCGATGTAATGCCGAGTTGGCTTACCATGGCTGCCTGGCTATAAGGGCTGCAGTCAAACAAGTAAATATCGATGGATTAGGAGCGAGCAACACCAGTGACAGCCCGGATGCCGCCAGCAGCGAGGGATATCGGCAGTGGCCGAGATTGCACTTGCCCTGTGAAGCTGCACACTTACCCAATGTTGGCAGGACTGTGCTCACCCCAATAGCCGAGTATGGGTTAGTGGTGCTTCTTTCCAGGTGCCGACGGGATTGTGTTGTCGGCACGGACACCATTTCAGTGCGACCGACGCAGTCTTTACATGACCGTGTGGTACATTATTGCCGCACAGGCAGCGCCATGCGATTGGATCGGCGGAAATATACTCACGCCCAGTACGAAATGCCTTGGACATGGAGCGTTTCCTTTCTCCTGGAGCCGCCGGGATCACGGAATGCAAGGCAATCGATCTGTGCCAGAATAGGCCTCGGTAACGGGGCTTCGACAGTAACCCTGAATCATTGTTAGCAAACGTAGGTTAGTTCTCGCTTCCAAGTCGAGCACCCTGCGACTCAGCTTTGGCTGTCCAGTTCCTCCCCGAGTCTGGACAGTCCGATGATGGGCGGTCGTACCGTGTCGGGGGATTGATCGTGAAGAATGTGCCGTATACCGAGTTGAGCTTGGCAAAGTCGTCCATATCGCGCACGTAGACATGGATGATCAGGACATCGCCCCACGACATGCCCTGCGCGCCGAGCTTGTCTGCAGGTGTTTGAATTGAGTGCTGTGAGTGCTTGCACACTTTGTCCATGTGTACAACTGAATAGCAGACGCGGCAGGTGGGGATCTCCCTCACCTTGGATGTGATTCATAATGCAGAGTGCCTGCTCCTCGAGACCGCCGACACTCCCCGGGTCAACGGCCAGAGCAGTCACGCCTGAGAGACTGTAGAACGATCCTTGACGACGCTCGCTGATGGGCGGGCCAGTCTTGACGACGAGCTCAGGCCTTTGGGGACCCTCGCTGTCGCTGAGCAGGGCGTCCTGTGACTTGGACAGCTGCATGGCAAGTCGGTTACGCTTTACATCGTGAGATGACGATTCCTTGTGTACCTTTTCGGATCGACACACTCCCATCGCATCTATCGGCGATTTCAGGAACGCCTGTGCGGACTGCCACTTCTCCCCTCATGGCCATCGTCTGATAGCGTGCCGACCAGTACTCAGCTCAGCGCAATCAGTCCACAGGGGCGTCCAAGATACCGCCTTGGCGACCGCGGTTCCACTACTCACCAACTCGGCCGGCAATTCTATCGAAGTTGGAACAGCCCGGATGAGCCGCTGCTTGAGCTCCTCGGACAGCTCGGCCGAATGGCCCTCTTTGTCAACAACATGCGCGGCCTTGATCTTGAGATAAGCGACAATGGCAAGTGCGTCGTCCGAGTGGACAACGACCTCGGTCGAGTCCCTGGCGTTGCCAGAATCACAATCAGTCCAAATTGGACGCAGACGATAAGGCGAATCATCGAGGAACCGTCTCGGGCAACTTACAGGACAATCCGCTTCTTGAACAGGGGACAGTCGAGAGTGAGAGTTTCGTATTCACCGCCCTCGCCACAAATGTGGCAGTCGTAGAGTTGATTCTGGGGGCCATTTGAGTTAGTTCCGTGGGATAGGAGCTGCCAAGCGCTCAGACGGGGGAGGAGCATACGATCCCATCCCGCTCGATTGGGACTCACATACCATTCTGACCAAATGTGGGTGGATTTGCTGAAGGCTCTGCCCCAAGTGCTTCTCGCTCAAACCTGCAATTAGAACGACAAAGCAGCATCAACAGCTGTCCAAGCCGTCGGCGTTTGTCGGGGAAAATAACGAATGCTCCGAGCAAACTGGCATGTGGCAAGATTGATTGGACTACCGGCATCTCACCCATGGCTGCGACTTTGATGATGACGGCATGCAGCCCGCTCTCGATCATCTCCTCCATGAGCTTGGCTTGGTCTCGTCTCCACAGGTACGCCAGGGACGTCAGTCCCAGTCGCTGGCAGCTGGTTGTCCACAGTCACATCGTCAGCCGGGCCTGTCCATCAGCGGATGCTGAAGCAACAGCGATGGATATCTAATAGCGACTCGGCAGCGGGCGGGCTTACACATTCTCGACCCGGACTCGCTGGTAGCTCGACAGGATAGCGCCGACAGCAACAGCTTCGACCTGTGGAACAGCGCTCTGCCGAACGGTCACATCAATCAGTACGCTGTCCCCCAGCCATCGCAGGCAGGAGCAGACAAGATCGACCGAGCCGGTGGTTGTGGGACTGGCATCCTCTCACCTTGACTTCGGAAAGAAGCTCCAGAAGGTCCTCAACCTCATCTTGGTCGTTTGGGACATAGTTTGCGTCCTGGACAACAGACGATCGCTTGATTTCTTTCCGGAACATCGGCAAGCCCATGCAGTCGGCATACAGGCCGATGGCATCGTGGCCGACCGTCTGAAACATGAAGCTGTCCAGCTCGTCTGGTTGGGGTTCGAGAAACAGAGCAAGGGTCAGTCGCCCGGGCGTCCCGAGTGGCAGAGACAGTGTCATATAAGTGAGTGACCCTGCCAGAGTCAAGCAAGAGCAACCGGCAATGGCCCAAGGCAGTCTTTCTCGTCCACAGCCAAAGTCGGTGTCGATGGACGATCCGATCCAACTGCCCAAAAGCCCGGAGCTTGGAGGCCTCGTGAGTCGAGCACAGCGGACGAGAGCAACAGATAGAGTCCTTCACCTTTTCCCTTGTGTTCTGGAGGAAGCAGGTTCGCCAAGGCGACGATCTCATGGCCGTTGGCGACGCAGTGCATCATGTTGAAGCAGCTGTCCTTGCCGCCGCTGACGAGGGCTACGACTTTCATTGCTTGGGTGTGATATGCTGGACTGACAGAGCTGGATGATGGTATGCAACAATGCCTTCCTGGCCCTTTCGTGGTGCTTGTTCTTGACTCGGGATGTGCGGTGCTGCCGAAGCGTCAAAATGCGGCAATCGAGATCGAGATCGAGGTCAGGATCTGGACCAGAATCGGAGTGGGAACGGAGCAAGATGAGGACTGAGCCAGCCGACACTGAACAGACCGACACCATTTCGACGCCGGACTGCTGAGTGCTGACGTGCCCAAGACGACAGTGCTCACAGTGCTCACTCGCAGAGAATTCCCGTTGCGTCGGTAGAAGGCGATTTGTTTTGTCCGAGTCGGGCCGAGGTTTGTCGGGCGATCGAGCTTGCCACCGCGAGTCAGGATCAGCAATGCCAAAGGACGGCGGCCCAGCGATATGCAGCCCAACGAGATGCAGATTCCAATGGTGCCAAAGCCTGGCGGCGATGCGAGGTTGGGCTCTGATGTGATCTCGGGGGTTTCTGTCGGTGGTTGTCAACGGTTCCGGTGCCGATCGGCGATTGTTGCGTCCGTTTGACCATTGTGCACCTCCCAAGGCTGCTATCAATGGCTGTCGTTACCGATGCTCCGCGAGGCGATTGTGTCTGATCCTGCATCGTGCGCTTGCGGCCATTTGACCTGCTGGCGATATCTCCGAGACATCCGTTGTTGGTTCTCGGCGGGCCATGGGCATCAGAACCATCATCGTCATCGTCATCGTCATCGTCATCAGAATCATCTGATATCTGGCTGGACCAGCCGCCATTGAGCCTGGCGCTCCTCTGTTCCCATCTGCCCTCCCAGGATCCGCCAAACGTCCACCATCTGCGAGATTTTGAATTGCACTCCAGACACCGATCCAGTGCAGGCAATGAACCCATACTACAACACAGCCACGGCGCCGGCTTCGGCTTCGGCATATCCGTCGTTCGGATATTCGGCCCCGACAGATTCGTCGTTCAAGCCGACTCAGTATTCCAGCGAGCAGGTTGTCACCGTGGGCCGTTTGCCAGACGTTGATCTCTTCCAGCCCACTCAGGCCCATTCTCGTTGCTGCTCGGAACCTCAATCGTTCTGCCATCCTTCGTATTCGCTCGCGTGGGCTGCAGTTTGACTCCGTTGGGTTGTGGACATCGCACCTTTGCCGTCCGACTCATTGGCTACCCTTTGGTCTGAACCACAGGAAGTCCGGCTCTTCAACAGCAACCCCGAGCGAGAAGCATACGAGAGCATGGCAGATCTCTTCAGCATCATCGTTGCTACCGAGCAGCTCGAGAAGGCATATCTGCGGGACACCGTCAGCACGCAAGAGTACGGATGTCGCTCGAGCTTGCCTCTATTGCTTCGGCTCCGATATGCTGCTCCCTCATTCGGAGGACACAGCATGGCGGCACACCAGAGGATGGGCCAACTGACCGACTGATACCGCTGCTGTGCTCCCAGGTATACTCCGGCTTGCCTGAAGCTCATTAGCCAGTTCAAGACAGCCATCAACGATCCCAGCATTCCGAATCTCGAAGGGTTTCTGCAACAATACAAGGTATCCTGCCAGGGGGGGGGGCTGTCTTGGTTCATGTCCGAGCACTGCCCCGTCTGCATATCCGAACAGACCCTGCCTCTTTTCATTGACTGACTGTGGATGCCCTCGGATCGCATTCCCAGCTGCGGCAATCGTGTCCTCTGGGACTCAAGCGGCTCATGGAAACGGGTGTGCCTGCCACCGTCGAGCATGCCACCACCGAAGCCCCGTCGGCTGCGTCTGTCAAATACAGCGTCGATACCACTCAGGTAACGGGTCGATGATATCACGGCCTCAACCACATGCGCGACGAGATGTCTAATTCCCTCCCGCCGATGCATGCGATGCCACCTTTAAACAGGGATTCATCACGCTCATGGACGCTCTGAAGCTCAACCTCGTGGCTGTCGATCAGATCCACCCGCTGCTGAGCGATCTTGTCCAGAACCTCAACAAAGTCACACATCTGCCTCCCGACTACACTGGCAAGAAGAGGATTGTTCATTGGTATGTTGGGTTGGAGGCGTTTGACAACAGACTCACTGCCGATATCGCTGAAGGGGAGGCCCAGTGGGAAGGAGGGGGGGGGAACTGCAGATTACTGACACCGTCCGCTCGTCTTCAGGCTTATCACGCTGAACAAAATGAAGTATGTGGCAGCTCGTTGGTCGAGCCATGCGGTGGTGCCGGCCGTATGTGCGGTTTCTCTGTCCGGTTACATTCTCACTCGTGCTCACCCACTTGCTTTCCCAGGGCATCGGATACCATCAACGAAGAGCAGACTCGCCAGCTTCTCTTCGACTTGGAGAGGTACGTGCGAGCACCGCGGCATCATGACAGTTGCTGTGTGGGCGGTCGCCGTGGTGCATGTCGCAGCTTGTGCTGGCGGACTCTGCCGATACTGACCAATGATCGGATCTGCGGCTGCGTTTTGATGCATCTCACGGCGGTGATTTTCCACCAGTGCGTATTCCGAGTTCCGATCGGCGCTGTCCAAGTGAGCCGGCGGTGCCATACCGAGAGCCCAAACGCCGCCTGTGAATATCATCTGGAATTCTGCCCATTTGTTGGAATTGGCTGGCTGGTTGGCGATGGATAAGACAACACCTTCCTCCCCAGTGTCTGTCGAGCAAGAAGCCGAACCGCTGCCCACAATCGAGTGCCGGGCTGCTCCTCGCATTTGGTCGAGAGCAGCGGGTTGTGCTCGTTGGCACCGAGGCAGATGCCGAATCGCAAGGCCGTTCGCAACTTGCTGCTACGGCCATCACGATGCTGGAGCATGAAGCCAAACACTCCCCCCCAGCGACACCAGCCCTAAGCACATGAATACACGAGATAATTGTATTCTCAAACAGAAGTGGCTATGAACAGGCGATTCTCATTGCTCAGCAGATACAAGAGAGAGGGAGCACGAGCGGGAGAAGCTTGAATATGGGAGTGGTTGGGAGATCAAGAGATCAAGAGATCAAGAGGCGGTCTTCTCCTTCGTTACAGACTGGCAGGCTTCTCCAGCCAGGGCTTGCCGACACCGCCGGTGCAAACCTGCAGGCCGCGCTGGACACCAGGGCGAGCAGCGATGCGCTCGGCCCAGCGGTTCAGGTTATGGTAGCGACTCACGCCGAGGAACTCGCCGCCAATGACGCCGCTGGGGTGCTTGTAGCCCGATCCGATGCGGAGCATGTTGAACCAAGGGAAGATGGCAAAGTCGGCAATGGTGACCTCATCGCCGACAATGTACTCGCGGTCCTTGAGGTGCTTGTCGAGGACGTCGCAGAGACGCTGGGTCTCCATACCGTAGCGGGCAACGCCGTAGTTGCGAGCCTCGATCTGGTCCTCGGGGGCATAGACAAAGAAGTGGCCAAAGTTGCCGGTCATGGGTCCTGAGCGAGCGGCAAGTGCCGGGAAGAACAAGTTCAATGCCATTGGTCAGAGAGTACAGCAATACCGGGGTGATCACCTCGATCAACCAAGATCAACCAGCCAGGATGAACTGCCTCTTGTTGCTGGTCGCATTCTTACCTTGGCCGCCAATCTGCCAGAACAGCCAGCTGATGACCTCGGTGCGGAGACGAGGGCTGGCCGGCAGGAACTTGCCGTGCTTCTCGGCGAGATAGAGCATGATCGAGGCCGACTCAAAGAGGTTGATGGGCTGGTGGTCGGGGCCATCGAGATCGACGGCGGCGGGGATCTTGGAGTTTGGGTTGATCTGGACAAAGCCCTTGTCGAACTGGCTGCCGCCGAGGGAGACGAAGTGGGCGTCGTACTCGATGCCGAGCTCCTCGAGGATGATGCCGACCTTGGCGCCGTTCGGGGTGCCGAGCGAGTAGAGCTGGAAGGGAGCCGTGCCGACGGGGACTTCCTTGTCGTTGCGGGCGCCGGCCGTCGGGGCGTTGGTCGATGCAAACTTGTTGCCGGCCGTGCGGGCATACAGGTCCTCGATGTGGCTGGGAGGAGTCCAGACCTTGGGGGCAGAGGAGTCGGATGACATGGCGGCAGACAAAGTCTTTGGGCGAGCGATGGGTCGGGCGAGTCGAGAGAGACGAAGTGGACGAGGCGATGGAGCGATCAGACGGCGGGCGACGAGCATGGCTTTATGGGACCAGGGGGCGGCTGGTCGGAGAGCTTTTGAGCGCCTGGATTTCAAATGCCGTTGATGGCGCCCGTTTGTCATCTCAAAGCGCTGGCGCAGACATCCGCACCGCCGATGCATTCGCACGCCCGTCGCAGCACTCTGTCAGCAACGGAATCCTCTCCGGGCGGTGACAAATGCCGAGGCCCGACGACATCCGGAGCCGGGCTGGTGGGGTGTGTTCGGGTGGTGGACCAAAGGGCTCGCTGGCCATGGCTTGCGATGGTGCAATCTGGCCTGGACATCTCGCCACCCCTGCTCTGTGCGGCCGGGTTTCTGCATCTGTAACTACGTGTATTTCCAGCTGCAATCATGATCCATTCGTTGAACATTTTTTTGGTACCGCTCGCGTCCAAGTCAGGAAGCAAGAGGGATTTCGGACATTATGGTAAACGCCAAGTGCGGGAGGAGAAGGAGGGCAAAACTGTCAAAAATAAATAGACTTGCGGGGCCAGGCCGTGGGAGATTCAAAGTCGTGGGGGGCGTGGTATTGTGGACAAATGTACAGACGAGAGAGGGGGCCGCCCCCAGCTGCTTTAGTGCTTGGGAGGGTTGGTGAAGACCAGGCGGTTGGAGCCGCCCGCCCAGGTGGGGAGGTCCTCGAGGGCATCCTCGGTGGAGAGGTTAACGAGGGCGTCCTTGAGCTGCTTGGGGGTGTAGTCCTCGAACTCGGGCTGGGAAATCAGCAGGGCGAGGACGCCGGCAATGTGGGGTGAGGCCTGCATTTGTCCGATGTGGGTCGGAGAAAGTGTGTCAGCGAATGGCGCTGCAGTCGGTGCAGAAGAAGAGACGCACAAATGGAAGGCAGATGCAGATGGGCCATGCGAACGTACCATGGAGGTTCCGGAGATGATGTTGGTGGCGACGTTGCTGCCGATCCAGGCAGACTCAATCTCCTGGCCGGGGGCAAAGATGTCGACGCAGTCGCCGTGGTTCGAGAACCAGGCAGCCTCGTCGCGCTGTATGCGAAAGAAACAGTGAATCGAGGGTGAGCATGTCGAGTGAGCATGTTAAGCGAGCTCAACCCAGCCAAGTACCCCTCCCTCCACACGACTACAACATACCGAGTTGGAGGCACCGACGGTGACGGCGAGCTGCGAAGCAGCAGGCGAGTAGTCGCAGGCATCGAGGCCGTCGTTTCCAGCCGCAACGGCGAAATTAACACCCGCCTTGACAGCCTGGATGTGAGATGCAAAGGGACGCCATGTTAGTTTTACTCCGACCTTCGTATCCCCCGGCTGAGACCAGTCGATATCCAAAAACGGCGCTATACTGGCGAATGTACCGAGCAAGCTCATCTGCGGCCGACAACATACCACATCAACGGCTCGGTCCAGGGCCCTCGACCGGCCACCGCCCAGAGACATGTTGGCGACACTCTTGGTCTTGCCCTTGTCTCTCGACTTGCGCTCCTCGTGGTCAGTGACGACCCAGTCGATGCCGCTGATGACATCCGAAAGCGAGCCCGAGCCGTTCGAGCGCAGGACCTTGATGGCCTTGACCTTGGCCTTTTTGGCAACGCCGTAGGTCTTGCCTGCGATGGTACCGGCGACGTGGGTGCCGTGGCCGTTGCCGTCAACGTCGGGATCGCCCTCGGGAATAGTGGCGCCCCACTCGGCACGGCCCTCAAAATCCTTGTGGTGGATGTTCACGCCGGTGTCGACGACATAGCTGGATGTGCATGGTGCAGTAAGAGGCAGCGCAAGGAATGTGGCATGTAGCAGGAGGGCAATGGATGAAGGTAAGCAACAGCAACCCTATCCGGTGATAGCATGCCCGAGCACTATGCTGCAGCAGACGCAACCATGGTGCCGCAATGCTACTTACGCAGTAACACCCTCGCCGGCCTCCGGAGCGTAAATGTACTCGTAGGGCTGCCTGGGCAGGCTTCTATGCGAGATGCGGGCCAGGCCCCAGGGAGCATCGTTCTGGGTCTCAATGGCGTAGACGGTCTGGTCGTGCTCGACAAACTCGACCTATTCATGCCGAGCGAGGATGGGCAGGACGAGTCAGCAAAGATGCAGGTCTAAGGAGCAGCAGGATGCAGGTCTAAGGAGCAGCAGAATGCAGGCCATCTCCACTTCGTTTCTCCATTGCCGTCGCCACTTACGTGCTCGCTGTTGCGAATGTAGGCGAGGGTCTCGGCGTCGAAGCGGCCGGAGTAGCCCTTGAGCTTGCCGCCAATCTGGAACTGGCGCTGAACCTGGTTCAGGCCCGAGTTCTTGCGGCCAGAGCGCTTGGAGGTTTGGATGAAGTTGCTCTTCTGAAGCAGCGACAGATGGTCGGAGAGATCGACATGGTCCTTGAGGACGACAATGTACGAGTCCTGGATCAGGTCTGAGTTGCTGGCGGCCAGCAGAGGAGCCTCGCGGGAGACCTTGGCGGCATACGAATGGCCAATGGCCGAGGCGAGGACAAACAGGCAAAAGGGAGTGATGCGCATGGCGGGCTAGTTGGACCGAGCGGGGGTTCTGGATTCGGGTGGAGGGGGAAGGCGATGAGGAGCGAGGAGAATCGACAAGTGGCTAGAGGGATAGTACGGCAGCGAGCGAGCGATTCAACGGAGAGACGAAAGAGAGGGAAACAAATGGGCAGCTGGAAAGGAGCGAAGCGAGCTTGGAGGATAAGAGCAGACCGAGGGCGATGAGAGCGAGAGGGAGGTGAGCCGGATGGGGGAGTATTTAAGGGCGGCCGAGGGCATGACGGCGCAGGCGAAGCTGGTGCACTCATGACTGCCGGGGGGGGGCTCACATGGTGTTTGTCCAGGCCACATGTCCTCAGCCAAGGCCAATGGCGCGAGCCCGTCGCCTTGGAGGCCATCAGGAGGCCGTCAGGAGGAGGCCGGGGTGACGTCTTTGGGGCGGCGGCTGCTGCCATGCCAGCGCCGCAGCCGATGTGCGGTTCAGCGGCCGCAAGCGTCGGGCGGATGCGGATGGCGATGTGATTGCGATACGGGTGTGCGTATCTCGCAGGTGCGGTTCGGGCGTGTGGGTGGATGAGAGGCGGGCCGTGGTGGGCGGGAACGATGATGTGACCAGACGGAGCCGGCGGGCGACTCGATAAGCGAGTCGACTCGCCGAACGGATCGACGAACGGATCGACGAACGAATCGGTGGCTGGCAAAGGAATGGATGGACGGAATGCCGAGCAGGGACAGGCGCCATGGGAACGGTGTCCGAGCAGCAGCGGCTGGTGGGAGGTCGTCCAAGGACATTTATCGGAATGCATGGCACGAGTGCAGATCACATCAATGCGGGATGCATCTCTCACCACGCCGCGATTATAATGTATTATTCGATGCGAATCGCAATCGTTGCAGAGCAGTCCTGGTGGGGTATCCACTTGATTACTTGGTTGCTTGGTTGTTTGGTTGATTGCTTGGTTGATCACTTGCTTGCTTGCTTGGCTGTTTGTCGGAGTCCAGAGCCAGTCAGCTGACCGCATGTTTCTGGCGCGCGGATTGGCCCGCCTGGCTCGGCGCCTGATTGGCGGCACGAGGTGTGGCGCGCCTGGGCGAGTCGATCCATTCGATCCACTCGATCCAATCCACTCGATCTAATCCACTCGATCCGGCTCGATCCGCCACCCACATTTGATTTCGGCGAATCGCATGCTCAGCCTCGTGTGACAATTTTTTTTTTTTTGGACAATCCCTCAAAATCAGCCAGCCGCACCACACCTCTCTTCCGCCTTCTCCAGAAGCATCGCCAGGACAGGCAACATCAGGTATGCTTGCCCGCCACCGCCGAGCCTGCTGCATGTCGCATGCGGGTCCTTCGCATCCACCTTTGTCTCTGCCCCGGGCGTCGGTGCTGCTGTCGCTGCCGAGGATGCCGAATCGCTGGTGCTGGTCCGGCCCTTGCCTTGCCGTGGCCTCAGCAAGCAAGCCACTCTGACCCGCTCGCCCATCCGTCGCCCTCTGGCCCAGTCCATTCGCACGGATCGTCTGCTTTCCTCCTTCTGTCTGCACAACGTCCTCGGATCCCTGTCCGCCGACACTTCTCCCCTCCCGAGCCTCGAATACTCCCCCGACTCGCCCGTCTCCGCCGCACACATGTTCGAGTTCGTGCCCTTGGTCGATCAGATTGGCAACCTGCTCACCGACCTCACCAGCTCGGATTCCAATTCGAAGCGACGAGAGGCCGCCCGCAAGCTCGCCGAGCTCATCAAGAACAACGGCGGCGTCTCCATCATCTATGACTACGAAATCCTGCCCAACCTCAAGGGTGCTGCCGAGTACAAAAAGTCGGCTGCCGTCCGTGAGGGCGCCCTGCTGGCCTTCAACGCCATAGTCGAGTTGTGCGGCTACTCTATCCAGCCCTTTGTCATCGGCAAAGGTGTCGACGGCGACATTCTCTCCATCGTTCTGGATATGCATGCCGACAAGGAGGCCTCCGTCCGCCGCGCCGCTGATGATGCCATCAAGACGATCCTCGGCCAGGTCGTTGACGAGACCGTCCGGCTCTACTGGCCGACCCTGCTCGAGGTGCTCAAGAACGAGCGCTCCAAGTGGCAGACCAAGGAAGCGGCCCTCAAGCTCATTGGATCGCTTGCCAAAAAGTTCACCCAAATCACCAACGACTGCCTGCCATTGCTCGTTCCTGCTGTCTCCGAGGCCATGTGGGATACCAAGCCCGAGGTACCCGTTGTCCGCCTGCACGGCTGCCTGGCCGGCGCGGCTGTTGTTGCATCAGCGTCTTGGGCTCCTCCGGCCTCGACAGCGCACGCACCATGCTCTGCATTGTTCTGATGAATCTCGCTCTCCGACTTTGCGTCTCCCTCGTCCACTCCAGGTCTGCAAGGCTGCCCACACCGCCATGTCGGCCGTCTGCAACTGTCTCACCAACATCGACCTGACCCACCTCCTCCCTGACCTCGTCGGCTGCATCGCTCGCCCTGAAGAAGTCCCTGCCTGCATCGCCAAGCTGGCTGCCACCACCTTCGTCACCACCGTCGAGGGCCCCACACTGGCCATCATGACCCCGCTGCTGTCGCGAGCTCTGCAGGAGCGCAAGACCAGCATGCTCCGACAGACAGCCCTCATCATCGGCAACATGTGCAAGCTCGTCACCAACCCCGCCGATGCCCACCAGTTCCTCCCGGTCTTGCTCCCGGGTCTGGAGCGAGTCATTGAAGTTGCCGGCGACCCAGAGTTCCGCGAGGTCGCCACGAATGCCAAGGATACCCTGATCCGCGTCGGTGGAGGCGACCACCGCGAGGACCTTGACAAGAGCGAGGATGTAAGATCGATCCATACGCTGCGCTCCCCCGCCAGACTACCAGTCACTCACCCCAGCACCCTCGTTTGCTTTGAATTGATTGTATGCGTGCCTCGCTGACCCATCCCACCCCCTGCGATTCCGGCTCATGAACAGCTCGACGACGCCCCGGCTGGCATCTTCAAGAAGCTCCAGACCCTGCTTGGCCCCATGGTCGATGCCGAGCTCCTGTCCTTCCCGCCCTTCCAGCTCGTGCTGGAGCTTGTCTCGGCCGTGGCCTCCAACTTTGTCAAGGACTCGCAGTACACCCTCAAGACGTGGCTCAAGCACACGCCGCTCTTCCTGCAGGCGTATCTGACGGCCGAGCAGGCCGAATCCCTCGTCACCCAGCTCAACAACCTCCAAAAGTCCAAGCGTCGGGATGTCCAGATTGCCTCGGGCGACGATGCCGAGGGCGAGGAGCTTTGCAACTGCGACTTTAGCTTGGCCTACGGCGCCATGCTGCTCCTCAACCGCACCAACCTGCGATTGGTCCGTGGCCAGCGCTACGGCCTCTGTGGTCCCAACGGCGCCGGCAAGTCGACGCTGATGAAGGCCATTGCCAACGGCCAGCTCAACGGCTTCCCTTCGCCCGACGAGCTCCGCACCATCTACGTCGGCCACGACCTGCAGGCCTCCGAGGCCGATCTGCCTCCCGTTGACTTTGTCGCGGCCGACCCCAAGATCGCGGGTCAGTCGCGGGAAGAGATCCACCAGGTCCTGGTTTCCGTCGGATTCACTCCCGAACGCCTGCAGCTGCCCATCTCCAAGCTCTCTGGCGGCTGGAAGATGAAACTCGAGCTGGCCAGAGCCATGCTTATGAAGGCCGACATTCTTCTCCTGGACGAACCGACCAACCACCTCGACAAGGAGAATGTGGCCTGGCTGGAGAACTACCTCAACAGCCTCACGACCGTCACGAGCATGATCGTCTCGCACGACTCGGGCTTTTTGGACAATGTCGTGAGTACCTGAGCAGCATCCAGCGCATCGCTTGCGCTTTGGTCGTTGGATGGGTCGGATCAAGGCGACTGCTTCAGCGGTGTGGTGCTGGCGAGGCACGGTCATGCCGTTGGAGTGTCGCTATGGAGGCTGCTTTTGCGCTGTCCAACGCCCCCTCCTCAGATTCACTGATCGCTGCGTCCACTCACCTTGCTTTGTTATCGTCCAGTGCACCTACATCATCCATTACGAGCAGCTCAAGCTCAAGACATACAAGGGCAACTTGTCAGAGTTTGTCAAGATCAAGCCCGAGGCCAAGGCTTACTACGAGCTGGCTGCGACCCAGCTCAAGTACATCTTCCCCAAGCCCGGTGTCCTTGACGGCGTCAAGAACCCCAACAAGGCCGTGATTCGCATGGTTGGAATCAAATACAGCTACCCGAACACCAACCGACTGGCGCTCGACGATATCAACGTGGCATGCTCGCTGTCGTCGCGCATTGCCGTCATCGGCCCCAACGGCGCGGGCAAGTCGACGCTGATCAAAGTTCTCACGGGCGAGGCTGTCCCGCAGGAGGGAATCGTCTACAAGCACCCGACGTTGCGACTGGCCTACGTCGCCCAGCACGCCTTCCACCACGTCGAGCAGCACCTCGACAAGACTGCCAACGAATACATCCGCTGGCGCTTTGCCAATGGCGACGACAAGGAAGTGCTCGAGAAGGCCTCGCGCCAGATCAGCGACGAGGAGAAGGCCCTGATGAACCGCGAGATCAAGTTTGAGGACCAGTTGCGCCGCGTCGAGATGCTCATGGGCCGCCGCAAGTACAAGCGCACGTTTGAGTACGAGGTCAAGTGGGTTGGACTGAGACACAAGTACAACTCGTGGATCATGCGCGACCAGCTGCAGGAGTGGGGCTTTTCCAAGCTTCTCCAGGTGAGCCGCTGCATCTGAGCATCTGCCATGATTGCATTGGCCAAGACAGGTGTTTGCGCCAAGACGGGTGTTTGCATCATGATATCGCGCCTCTTGGCCGCTTGAACCTGCTCGGGTCGCAGTGTCCCTGACGCCTGATATCCCTGTCCCATGCCAGGCCTACGACGATCGCGAAGCCATGAACCCCGGTATCTACTACCGCCCCCTCACCTCGCCCATCGTCCAGAAGCATCTCCAGGACTTTGGCCTGGATCCCGAGTTCAGCACTCACGGTCTGATTCGGGGTCTCAGTGGCGGACAGAAGGTCAAGGTCGTGCTGGCAGCTGCCATGTGGAACAACCCGCACATGGTCGTGCTCGACGAGGTATGCTGCTCGAGCCAGATCGGCCACCGAGTTGATCCAAACCCCGAATGCGCAGCGATCTAACTGGACTGTGCGCTTGCTCTCACAGCCCACCAACTACCTCGATCGCGACTCGCTCGGTGCTCTCGCCCAGGCGATCCGTGAATACGCCGGCGGTGTGATCATGATCTCGCACAACTCCGAGTTCACTGGCGCCATTTGCACCGAAGTCTGGCATGTCGACAACGGCAAGGTGAGTCTTTGACAGGCATGCTTGCTGTGCTTCGACTGTTGCAGCGTCAAGTCTTGAACGTGGCCGTGTTGCTGGCCCTGGCGCTGCTGCTGACCGCGTTCAATGTTTCTAGATCACCATCCAAGGCAAGTCGAGCACTGTGACCTCCAAGGAAATCGAGGAGGGCCTTGAGGCCGTCAAGCTCGGCAAGGAGACCTCGAAGGACACCGATGTCGCCGGAGACGCGGCCACTTCTGCTGGTGCCCCCCAGGAGACGTCCTCCAAGGCCGGCTCTGCCTCTGCTTCGCCTGTCCCCGCCAAAAAGGCGGCGCCTCTCGGCATGGGCGGCAAGAAGCTGACCCGCAAGGAGCTTAAGGAACTCGAACGTCGCCGCCTCGTCGCCAGCTTCAAGGGCAAATCCCTCAGCAGTGACGAGGAAGAAATGGGCGAGGGGCGTGGCCTGCTCCCGGCCAACGGCAAGCTCGGCAACTTCTAAGCGCCCGTTGCCTGACCAGGCGGCAGCTGGTGGTCTATCGATGATTCGAAGCGGGAGTGAGGATGGGGAGAGGGCGCTGCTTTGCGAAAGCAGATGATGTCTCGCCGAGTCTTGTCCGTCGACTGTCCTGTCATTGCAAGCACCGACGGCCCCTGACCACACCACAACAGGGTTTCTGGTGCCGCAGACTCTCGCAGCCGATGCGAACTTGGCCGCCGTCGCAGCCGTTTGTCGGAGTTTTTGTTGTTAGGATTCAAGACGCGGGGGGGGGGTTTGGAGAGGGTGGGTGGCTTCATGTTGCTGGGGGAGATCGCCACTGGACGGCGTCTGCCTCTGGGGGTCCTTTGCTGGCCCACGCACTGTCTACACAATATAACCCTGATGCCAGGGGAACAGGACTGCTCTCGGCTTGCGGGCGCCGCATATGCCATCGCCGCATATGCCATCGTTGCGGATATCGCTGCCGATGTCGCTGCAGATTGACAATCCAGCTGTCCAGCCCTAACCCTGCGCGTCCACAGGCATCATGGGCCTGCGCCCCAGCCCTTGCCCGCGTGCTTTTTTTTCTTCGTCTGTCTGGGCTGCCGTCGATGCCGATCCAGATCTGCACATCCCCACAGAGACAACCTGCCGCAAAAGCCCACCCTGCATCGGCCCTTCCATCCTGCCGCGAGAGCCAGAGAGGCCGTGTCCCTGCCCGATTCCCTGACACCCTCGTCCTCTCTCACTCCCTCCCTTTCCTTCTTCGTTGCCTTCGTAAGTGAGCTGTATCTGCCATGCATCCAGATCGCCCCTCCCGCACATCCACGCCAATGTCCTCTCGATCCAGGACGGATCTGCATCCAAGTCCATGCCAGTGGCCGGTCCACGATTGTGTGCGATTGCGTGCGATTGTATGCGATTGTATGCGACTGCGTGCGACTGATGGCTACTGTAGACGCTTTCCAGCCACATGCATTGGCACTGTACCCCTGATTTCCCCCCCCCTTCTCGGTCTCGGATTGCTCATCCGGGCATTGTTTTTGTTTCTTCCTGATCCTGAACGCATCGTGCCGACGCAGGGGGCCCCAGCCGCAAGCGGGCGATCCATCCGAGCTTGCCAGACCTTGCATCCATAAGAGGGGAAGGCGGCGGCGGAGGATAATCTCGACGATCCCGCACCGCCATGAGGCCCTTCGTAATTCGACGATGGCTGGCTTCACCGCCCCTGTTATCCAGCAGCAGCAGCAGCAGCTGTTGCGTCGATCCAAAGCACATACTGGCCCTGCATGCATGTCGGCCAGCCACACATTCGCATCAAACCTATCCAGCCCACCTGTACCATCCGAACCACAACCACAACCACGGCCACGGCCACGGCCATGTTCCGTTACTTTCGCTTTCGCTGCTCGATCTCGGCCGAGCGCACTTTCACTCCCACGCTCACAGCAGGACTGCGGCCCACCCGATGGCGAGCCCCAATCCGCAGAACCACGCCGACTTCCGGAAACTGGAAGCCGAGCAGCCTCTGGAATCGTCGCACCCACACTCGGCTCAAGGTAAGCCCTCCATCAGCAGCACTGTCGTCGGCTCGGGATCGACCTGATTGCATCGACTCAATCTGCCTCTACATGCATGCGTTCATGCGGTCTTGCCTTCAAGTCGGGGGTCAAGCTTTGCCCTCCGTCTCGTGCTAACAGCATTCTGCCGCCAGATCCAGAGCCATCGACCACCAAAGTAGTCAGTTCACCAGCACAATCGCCGAATCCCATCCAGCCTGCCTCAGCGCCAGCGCATCTGCAGCCCAAGCAGGATGAGAAGCCCCGAGCGGCGTCGCAACACGAGGACACATACGAGAGCATCGACTATGCCTCCGAAGACAACGACGATATGATCGAAACCCTCATCTGGAAAGAGTCGCAGCCCCAATTGACGGGCACGTCTTCGTCCAGCGAGACTCTTGCCAGCCCGAAACCGTCCCAGGATGATAGCGACTCGCGCGAGGACTACATGTTCGATCTGCTGCTGTATCATGTCACTACCCTGTCTGGGTTTTCCAGGCGGTGGGAAGGCGAGCCGTCGCGCCAGCGCTTCCGTCGCTTCTACAAGGAGCTGCGATCAGATCCGCGTGGGCTGGCGATCCTCGGACGACTCAGCCAGGAGCAATTCACAGTGCTGCTCAAGTACTCAGAGATCCGCTCGGACGCTTCTGCCGAGGCCTTTGTCCGACTCGTGATTGCAGATATGCGGAGCCTCGGGCTCGTCGACGAGTATCTCTTCAGCACCGTGCTGATGAAGGCAAGACGGGGCTTGCCTGGGTCGACAGCCAAGATCGAGCAGTTTATCGAGGATTTCCACCAGAGCGGACTGGAGATCAGCCCCAGGATCTACGTTCTGTACCTGGAAACCGTGATCCGGGAGTTTGGGCCCAAGTATGCCATCAAGTGGCTCCGGGCGCACCCGGAGCGAGCGAGCCTGTTCGACCAGCGCACCGCCGACATGATGATCACCAATGGCCTTTGCCGCATCGGCGCCGTTCGGGATGTCGAGTCCATGGTCTCCAAGCTCCGGACGTCCCATGCCGACGACAGCTGGCTCGATCTCTATCTCGTGCGTGTCTACTCGACCGTGGGTGACTGGAAGACGACGGCGCGCTACTATCGCCGGTACGTCGACAGCGGCAACGTCCCACCCGTGTCGGTCTACCAGATCGTTTTGCAGATGCTCCTCAACGGAGATCTTCGCAACCGCTACCGAGGCGACATCCGCAGCCACACTCTGTCGCAGACCTTTTCCAGGCCAACGACGTCTGCTCGGAAGCGCAAGGACCCCAAGGACCCCAAAGAGTGGAAAGAGTCCAAGCACACGGCGCACGGCGATTCCCAGCCAAACACACCCGGCCTGGCCTCCGAGTCGAGCGAATCTTCGAAAGCCCGGAGCGACTACTCCCGCCGCCTGTCGCTCGAGGAAGAGGACGAGATGTACGAGCTTGGCGTCACTGTCTTCAAGGAGATGAAGACGCTCGGGGTCAAGCCCAACTCCAAGATCTACTGCATCTTCATGCAGTCCAACTTCCGGCGACAGCTATTCTCGCGCGTCGAGGATCTGTACACAGAGATGTGCAGCCTCGGGATCGAGCCCGATGCGCGAATCTACGGCATCCTTCTGCAAAGCCGGGCTGAAAGCGGTCGGCTGCAAGAGTTTGAGCAGATGATTGACCACCTTGATCGCGAAGGCATCGACATCGACATCCATCTCTACTGCATCATCATGGACGGGTACATCACCCTCAAGAGCTTTGACGGCGCCCTGTACTGGTTCGAGAAGCTGCGGAAGGAGCGGATAGCCCTGAACCTGGTCGGGTACACGGTCGCCATCCGGCTGATGTGTATGGTCGGCAACATGCGCATGGCCCTCGAGATAGCAAGCCAGATGGAGGCCGACGGCGTTATGCCCAACATTGTCACCTACAACACTCTGATCCAAGGCTACTGCGACTTTGGCGACATCCCTGCGGCCCACCGACTCTTGCAAAAGTTCCCCGAGTCGCTCAAGCCCTCGGTGACCACCTACAATATCCTGCTCCACGCCAACGCCAAGCGCCACCACTTTGACACCGTCAACAGCCTCTATTCGGAGATGCTCGACCGGGGCATCCAGCCAGACGTGTCGACCTACACGATCCTGATGCAGATCCAGGCCACGCTCGTCAACTCGAGCGGCGCCGTCAGCGTCTACGACGAGCTCGTCAAAGTCGGGCATCGGCCGAACATCACCACCTACCAGATCCTGATGAAGGCCTTTGCCAACTCGAGCAATGTCGAGCGTGCCATCGCGATTCTGGAAACGGCCCAAAAGGACATGCACGTCAACGACTCGGTCTCGCTGGGGATCCTCCAGAACGACCTTTTGAACACGCTACTCAAGCTCAACCAGCCCGACGAGGCGCTGAGGGCCTACCACCGCCTGAACCCCGGCGGGCCCAGCGGCCCGCTCTACGGCCGCATCACCCTCAACACCCTCGACATTCTGGTGCGGATCAGCGGCCAGCTCAAGGACCCGCTGGCGGCGCATCAGTGGGTGCGCGAGTCGGCGCGACTGGACATTGTCCTCGACACCCGCATCTACAACGCCCTCATGAAGGCCTACCTCACTGTCGGCAACACCCGCGGCTGCTTCAGTGCGTACAAAGAGATGAGCGACATGGGCATCCGCCCGGATGTCAGCACATATACCTTGCTCGTGACCGCCCGCGGCCAGAGCGACGGCCGTGACGGCCAGCGCAGCGTCTTTGCATCTGCGTCCCGGCCGGCCTCGGACAAGTCTCAGATGCCGCAGCGCCCACACGAGCGCCGCGACGGATCCAAGATCGGATCAAAGCCGGCACCGATGGGCAGCCAACACGGTCCAATGTCGGGAAACGACGAAGGCAGCAATGATGAAGCACCCAGACGAGAACTCGATGATTCTCTCAAGAAGTGGTATCGTCGCCAGAGGACGATCTCAAGTATGGTATCGAAGGAACTGTCAGAACGCAGAGCCAGCGTGTGAGCAGCGACAGAGCCCACCGCCAGCCCGCCCGATCGCCGCCCCCCTGGCATCCCGGCATCCTGGTATCCCTGCATCGCTCTGCTCGGGTCTGTCGCGCCGAGGGCGACGATCGCAACGGCAGCCAGCGGCATTTGCCCAACTGCTCCCATTCTCCGATGGGTCCGCAGTGTAGAACGAGCGAATGCCTGCCCGACTGCCCTTCCTACTCGAGCCACCGTACTTGACCATCATTGCTGCCTAATGTGCATCCACACACCGTATTCCCCCCCCCGCCGAACGGGACGTTTTCCTCCCAAGCGCCTTCCGGCAACCCAATCGCCGCTACTACTATTTTTTTTGAATGGAATACATACATACACGCATCCGCCATTCTTTGCAACGACCACAGCTCATCCCGGTGTGCCATTGGTGTGCCATGGGCATCCATTGGTGTACCATGGGCATCCATTGGCACCCATTGGCATCCATCGGCACCCATCGGCATCCATTGGCACCCATTGGCATCCATGGGCGATCCGGCTTCCCCATGCTTTCCGCTTTGCTGGGTCTGCTGCCGTTCTCCCGTGGGAATTGCCACAGTGTCTCGCAGTTCCCCGCTTTCCCGGGGGGTGTCTGTCGTGGGGCGGAATGCTTGGCCAACCCTGATTGAGTGCCGCTGCTTTCGACAACAGTTCTGCTGAGAAATCGCCCCGGTCGGCTTTCGCAGCATCGGCGATATCAAACCATCGGCCTCACTGCCTGCCCGCTCTGGACAGACAGTCTCAGCGCATCAAAAGAGCAGCCCATCGCCCTCGCCCCAGCCTGCCTTTGTCTTCTTTCCTGCGAGCTTGGCTCAGACGAGCAACCTCTCCTTCCCAATCGTCCTCCTTCCCGATGCCCCAGACATCCTCTGAGCAGACGCCGCTGTTGGCACCCCAGCAGGTATGTCGCTGTCGCCGTCGTTGCTGGACGATCACGGCGCCCGCTCCCTTCGGCTCCCTTCGGCTCCCTTCGGCTCCCTTTCGCTTCCGTTGGCCAGGGCCACCCACCTCCTGTCGATCGCCTCTGCTAATCCCCGATCCCTGGCACCGCTGTCCTCGACCACTTTGCTGGCGGTGGCATGCTGCTGTTCTTCCTCCTGGATCACCCAGAGCGTCCCCCACCATGCCGTCGACGTGCCGACCTACCGGGATGCTCACACCTCTGTCCCGAATCCATCTGTCGGCACACAGCGACCTGGCCGGGCCCCCCGGATCGTGGCCCTGGATCTGCTGCGGGGCCTGCTGATGATCTTTGAGTCGATCGATCGTAAGAATCGCTCCTTGCCGCAGGGGCGCTTGCATCCGAGCCGTCGTCTGTGGGTGGCTCGTGGATGCGTTGGGATCAGAATCACATCTCGCTCACGCTCTGTCCACACATGCTCGTCGGTGTTGATCCCAACCGCTGTTGATCCCGGCGCCATGATATGCAGACAGTCGTGAGGCCTTGACCGCCCTTCATCTTGGTAAGCCCAATCCCGCAGTCGACACTCCCACGGCCCTGGCAAGCTCTAACTGGCAAGATCTAACATCCCGTGCTGCTCGATTGCATCCTAAGCCCATGAACAGTGGTTCGAGGTCCCTCTCTATGGCACCAATGCCTACCACTTCCTGATGCGCTTCGTCACGGCCTTTTGCGCACCCGGCTTCATGATGACCATGGGTGTGAGCATCACACTCTTCACCGGCAGCCGCAAGCGGATCGGCTGGTCGGATGCCCGCATCCTTCAGCACTTTGCCATCCGCGGCTTCTTGCTGGCTCTGATCAACTTTTGGATGACGATGAGCTTCGTGGCTCCCTCGGGCAAGCCCCTCCTCTTGACGACCGTGCTCTTTGCCCTCGGCATCGACATGATCCTGGGTGCCATTGTGCTCCTGGCCGAGACCAGACTCACGAGCTATCTCTATCAACGGATCGAGAACTCGTCCCTGCCCCAGCACGACAAGGATCGCCATCAGTACCGTCTCCGACTGGCCTCGGTGCTGTTCTACCTGATCGCCGCCGTGATCCTGGCCGTTGTCATCACCGCCGTCACCCCGGTATACGATGGCGCCACGCCGCCAAAGGAGAGCGACTTTAGTTTCTGGTATCTGCTGTGGGTCCTGCCGTACACCGACATGATGGGCGATGGTGCTCGGATCGGAAGCGTCTACCCGCCGCTGGCTTGGCTCAGTGTTGTGCTCTGGGGTATCTTTGTCGGCAAGGTCATGACCGAGTTCAAGCTTGGATTCAACGACAACATCAAGTTCCACACGGTCTTGTCGGTGGTGCTCTTGGCCATCTTCTTCCCACTCCGAGCCCTTGGCGGCTTCGGAAACATCAACCCTGGCCTGGCCCACCAGCCCGGCGAGCTCCCCTGGGTAGCTTTCTTCAATCTGATCAAGTACCCTCCCGATGTGGCCTATCTGACCTGGAACTTGGGTGCAAACCACCTGTTCTTGGTGCTGTTCCTGCTCGCCACCAGTACCGAGGCTGCGGCCAACGCCCCTGGACCCTGGTCTCTCCGTGGCCTTGTCAGTCGGGTCGTTCCTTTGGACGCCTGGGAAACGATCAAGTCGCCCAACAATCCTGTGATGAGCTATGGCGTCTCGAGCTTCTTCTTCTACATCGGGCACTTCCAAGTGTTCTTCTTTGCCGCCTGGTGGATGAAGATATTCGGCATCGAGCCCTTTGCCCCGGGCCTGGAGTACTGGGTCGCTTGGGTCGCGGGCATGTGGCTCATGTTCCTCGGCTGCCGATGGTACGGCCAATTCAAGGCCAGCCAGCCCGCAGATTCGATCTTCCGCTTCTTCTAGCCCTGCCATATCATCGAGCATACCGGAAGCAGTGCCTGGCCTGTGTTTCCGAGGAAGGAAGACCCTGTGGTGTCATTTGACCGTCGCAATACACACCTTCTCGCTCGCAAACCGGTCTTTCGGAGACGACCTCCACGCAGCACCACAGTGGGCAGAGACAAGAGTGTTGATTGGCGGCGCCCTGAATCGGCTGCGACTTGCAGTGCAGAACCCCGCACGTCTCCCTGCAAGGAGGGGGAGGAAAATGGCGGGCTTGGCTGGGGCAATCCATGATAAGCCGATTGAAGCGGCCCACGTCGGCCACAGCCGATACTTTGCCTGCCTCAAGCCCAAACGGCGTTCCCATCGTCATCCCGTCAAGCCGCATCGTAACCATCACCCACGGACGGACTCAGAATGAGACTCACCACCTCAACCGTTCTCGTTTGTCTTTTGTTGGTTCTGGCCGGTGAGTGATGTGGCTGTCCAGCCAGCTCCGCCCCACAAACCCATTCCAACACCGACTCGATGAAACAGCTTACCCGTCCGGCTCGCGTGCAATTCCTCGCAGGCCCGCTCGCCGTCAGCGCCATCGTCCTGGTCGACAGCCGATGGATGGCAACGCAGCTTAACTCGGCGCAGTGGACGCTCCCGGCCGGCGCCAACTTCACCCAAGGCTTCATTGTCCAGCAATCAGGAACAGCACGCGTGAGTTACATGCGTCGAGGCTGGATGCTTGATATTCCGCGCCCAACCAGGCAAACATGGGCCACCTCGCGAGCGACTCGAGCGACTCGAGAACAGAGGAAACGGGGAGCCTCGGCTCTACTGTGCGATTTCCGCTCGAGCTGGAAGTGGCTCTGCTGACTGCCTTGACTCTAACCCCCGTGTGTCTCGCGCGCCCATCCAACTTGCAATTTTGGCCGCCGTGGCTCGGTATATCCAGTTCCTGAACATGCGGGTTGGTGTCTGGAGCCCCAGCACCTTCTCCATCGACATTAGCTTCTACACAGCAGCAGTCCCTCCGACACTGCTCTCAACGTGCTCGTATTCGAACCTGCAGTTTGGCAGCAGCAGCACTGCGGCAACAACCATTCCTCTGTGCCCCGGCTTGACTCTGACCGCCGGCCAAAGCATCACCCTTGTCCTCAGCAACCCGTCCAGCAACCTCAACTTCTGGGCTGTGCCATCGGTCCGCAGTCCCAGCTTTGTACCCGGGGTCGTTCCGGGTCCCAATGGCGGCACCACGAACATGATTTTCTGGATCGTGCAGTGAGGCCAGCATCAAGCCTCCACAATGCCAATGCGGCACTCACGTTCTCGCCAGGCTTGATGGAATTGGGCGCAGGATGCTTTTGCAAATCTCGACGCTTTTGTGAATTTCGGTGCTGTTCAAAGCAGACGACCCATACTGACTCAAACTACGATTTGCACACTGTGCATCCAAGGCTATACACTCTGCTGAATATAGCCACTACACAAAAGTCGCGACAGTACTCGTTTCATTGAATATACGCAGAGCGGCGGTGTGCTCGGTAACGATAGCGGTGCAGGCAGTGGCAGTAAATGCACCTGTTTGCGCTGTTATTTGGCTGGTGGTGACGACTCGGCGCCGTTTGGCTGGTGACGACTCGACACCGTTTGGCAGCCGAATTGACTCAACCGCATGGTCCGCACAAGTTTCCGGTGGTGCTCATGTCGTAAAGCATCTGTATTCAGCTCCAAACATCAACAGCAGCGCTCCTCTGCATCATTCAGACCGCGCTGCTTCTACCAGGCATGCATTGAGACGAAGTGCTTTCTTTCTATCGCCTGTGTCTCCAAAAACGTCTCGGGATCAGCGCGAATGGCGTCGACTGGAATCGCAGACGGCTCCTTGTGCGAACAGCAAGTACCACGGCCGAGCGACAGGCGACCGAGCTGCCGCTGCTCGAGACATCAAACCCAGCCACTCCAACGGGTCTTTGTTACAAACGACGCCCGACTCTACTCGGTCTCCTCGGCGACAGCTTCAGCAGGCGCCTCGCTTGCCGGAGCATCCACCGGCTCTTGCTCTTGCTCTTGCCCTTGCTCTTGCTCCGGCTCTGGCTCCGGCTCTGCCGCCGCTGCAGGCTCCTCTGTTCCACCGACAGCCACGTCTTCGATGTCATTTGTTTCTGAGATCACCTGTGCTGGCGCCGCTGCCTTCTGCGGGGCAGCCGATACTGTTGTGCTTTCGTACTTGAGTTCCTTTCGAATGGCATCAATGACCCCAGCGCAGGACATTTCCTTGCCGCTGACAGAATCGAATGCAAGCGCGATCCAGCGTTAGGTTCGGTTGGGCCGCTCCCGGCAGCAAGAGTGATGCACAGACACGACTGTGTGCTGTCGGATGTACCTCTGCAGCGCCTGGATAGCGCGGAATGTGTCGTCGACGGAGGTTTGATCAATGTCAGGATCCTTGTCGGCAAGGAACTGGAAGCATTCGGTGATGATATTGGCTGCGATCTTTCCGTTGTTGGCAAGCAGTTTGCATATCGACTCGATGGTGGCCGGGAGGGTCTGTGATGTCACGGTTTTTGTGAGCGCGAAACATCAGCGAAGGGCGGCCCAAGGTCAAGCACAGCACGAGCACAGCACAAGCATCACGGCATAGAATTCGGTGTAGCCCTTGGCATGGTTGGGCGTCAGTCGGGGCGGCATCATTCGAGGATCCGATACGAGGGACGATGCGAGGGACGATGCGCGCAGACGATGCCAAGGGAGCAGCAATGATAAAATGGAACATACTCCCGATGCTGAGGCGACCAATAGAAACCAAAACTTCAGCCACGGGATGCGGTCGCCTTGCCAGCCACCGACGCTGATGGAAGCAAAGCGGGATATATCAATCGAGGCTGCGCGACTCAGAGCAGGCACCAGCACAGGCAGCAGCGGGCAGGCGAGGAATGTGGGCTCGGTCGATGGGTGATGCGCAAGGCCCGTTCAATTGCCCGAGGGTGTGCACCACCAACACACGACAAGACATACGCAATGATCTCGTTCATCTGCATCTGCACGACCCCGTTGTCGTTGCAGGCGGCCTCGACCTCCTTCTTGCTCACAAGGGCTCGATCGGTGTGGGCAAACTGCAGCGGACAGTCATTCGAAAAGGGTTATCAACACGCGTCGGTTGCAACTGAGGGAGCGAGAAAATGCACACGCTCGACCCTGGAAGATGCGGGTCTGCATGGCTGTATCGAATGTGTGCTTGACGGAGGTATGCGCTAATGTGGATGGGCGTCGCTTTGGCCTGTGGTTGCCGATGGCAGGCGCCCGGTCACTCTGGCGACCAGGCAGCACGAGGCTCCGTCTCCATCAAGGCAACATACCTTTCCATAAAACGCCTCGAGCTGAAGGTCCGTCAGCTTCTTGCCGCTGCTCTGACTCTTCTGCTTTGCCAACCGGCCGAAATACTCGGCCGAACTCGCGATGATATCCGCAGGCTGGGTCTTGATGATGTGTTTGGCGTAGTTCTTGAGGATCTCGGGCAGATCAGGCGGGATCTTGATTTGCTCGGCGCAGTAGAGAGAGTCGTTCATTGCTGTAGCAGAGAAAGGAGGGGTGGCCGGCGGGAGCGCTGAGGTTTGTGGTGCAGTCTTATGCTTGCTCTCTTGTTCGCAAGACGTTCTGGCTTTGCTGAGAAGGTAAGTAATGTGGCAGTCGCGTCGGCTCTGGACTCGACGCCGTTTCTTGGTAAGTGCCAGTCGAGTCTGAGAGGAGAGGCCCTGCCGAAGCGGCTATGGAGCCGCACTTGGATTGCCGGGAGCACCAGCCGGCCCGAGCGGGGCCAGTGCATGTGATGGCAACCTCCGCCCAAAGAGGGAGACAATCCCAGGGCTGCATATCCCTGGCCAGACTCACGGCGAAGGAGGCTTGGCGAGAGTGATCGCAGGAAGCTCAAATGGCGATGGTCATTTTATTCTGTACCGTCTTGCTCGATGCATACCATTCCACATTGCACCGAGAATGGGACCGGGGTAGAAGAGTACTCAAAAGCGCCATCTGAGTGAGTATCATGGAAACAAACCAAACGCGCAGAAGCATCTGTTCAGTGAGCCAGAGCCACGATCGAAAGCGCAAGAGCCGCCAACAGCTCTGCGACAGCGATGGGGCGCCGGCCCGAGTCCGAGGTGGGTGGCTGCGTTGCAATCAAGTTGGTCTTGTTTCCGGACGCATTGCTCTGGGATGCCGAAGGCGGAGCCGGAGGCTGTTGGGAGGTGGAGGTGGCTACCTGGCGAATCTGGGCCGTGGCAATCAGCTGGTTGACGGGATCCACGGCAAAGATTCTCAGCTCTGTGAAGTCAGAGAACGAGGCTTGGGAGCCAGGCTGGCTTCGCAGGGTGAAGACTGGAGAGTCAAGGTTTCCGACTTGCTGGATAACCTGGTCGTCCGAGACAGTGATTGCGACGCTGGAGCCGGGAGAGCCGCCGTACCACAAGACTTGTCCTGGAGGCGAGCCATAGAATGTAAAATTGTGGACAACAAACTAGGGGAGAACAGGAGAACTGAACAGTCAGTGGTGTATGCCTGTCAAAGACACTGGTATGGGTCCCATATCACTTGCGTTTGAAGCACTATGCATCGTTCTAGTGCATTATCCCTCTGGCCTCGGTGTCTCATGATGAACCAATGTGCCGGCCAAAGCGCATGTCCACTTACCGTGCATCCTGTCAAGACTTGAACGTTACCATTGATAGTGATTGGGACGTTGGGGTTCGAGACCCAGGTTGTAGATTGCTGAACGAGCGGGGCATTCTGGATGATATCGGATGGTATTTGGTTGGGGTCGCAAACCGATGCAGCGACGCCGGTGAGGGATGCACCGAGGGCCAGGGCCGAGTAGAGAGCGAGCTTCATTTGTAGCAAAGCGATTCTGGTGGGATGAAAGGATTTGATTTGCGCTCGAGTGAGGGTCGGGACAGGCTGGAGGATGAGTCGGACTATTTATTCGTACAGGAGGGCTGTGCCCCCAGCGACGATCGAAAATCCATGGTAGAAATGGCTCCGCCGTGTGTGTACTCAACTTTGTTCATGCTGCTTGCAATGACTCTTTGCAATGACTCTTGCTCCTGCTCTTGTTTTGCTGAGCTTGCAGCACTGGACGAGTCGCCGCGAGCGCGGGAAGCTTCAAACCGCCAACGCCAATGCCAGCGAATCAAGCCCAATCGGGTGTGTTTGATTGCGTCCCGTCGGTGGGAGGAGTTGACGACGCTTCGAAGCAACCCACCAACTTTCCTCGTAGCAGAGTAGCCGTGGCCTCCCTCCTTCTGCAGCAACCCAGCGACAGCAACACAAGCTCCAGCTCGAGCGGCGCAGGACAGTCGACACAACCGAACGCAGTCATGGCTGCAAAACAGACATTTGGCTCGCCGCTTACTTCGGGACCCGAGCCTGACCTCAGGAAATGGGCCGAGCACAGTTTGGTTCTCCAGCAGCGGGGAAACCACATCCTCAACGCGCTTCACAGCGCCAAGCAGATCATTACCGACTTTGCAGCAAGCGGCGACACCAGCGAGGCATCCAAGGCGGCGACGGCAGGCACGCCCAAAATGCTTCTGTTCAGCGACCCGGCGATCAGCTCCATGGGCAAGCTGGCCATCAAAAAATGGGGCGACCAAGTGATGACGGATATGGCCAAGGTACTCACTGCTCCAGGTTCCCACGCCAGAGCATGCACTCCCCTGCCCGTTTTTCTTACGGCGCTTTGGTGCGGCATAGAACCCAGCGATGAAACTAATCTGCGCTCTCGAATCGAATCGAATTGAACAGGCCCCGGCATCGAGCCAGCTCCAGGCCTTGCATCGCGAGGTGATCCAGGAGCTATCGCCTTTCTACGAACTCGTCGCCAGCACCGCTGAGTTTGGCGAGACGGCCCTCACACTGATCAACCAGACCCTGAATCTCGTGGCGGTACTGTCGATTCTTTTGATTTCTTGGTTTCGCACGCTGACAGTGCGCTTCCTGGGTTTGCGCTGCCTCCCTCTGCCCTGAGTTGCTCCCGCACACATTCTTATCGCTGCCTCGACGCGCAATCTGCACTTTCAGATCGAAGGAAGTGCAGAAATATCGAACCAGCTACTGGAGCTCGTGCTGGTCTATTCATCCGTCATATATATGGTGTGCGGCTTTGGCCCTGAGCGCAAGTCTATTGCAGCGTGCTACGCTCGAGCGTACTCGTGTGCGAACGGAGGCACAGAGCCAAACTGGCCGAGGTAACCCCACCAATGCATAGCGTATCGGCATGGGGATGCGGTGTTGTGGCTCGTCCAAGTACTCTTCTGCGTCAAGTGCGTATCTCACAAGCTATATCTCACGCCGCATCACTAATCGCTGTGACCACAGAGTATACAAGTTTCTGGCCAGTTGCGAAAAGGGCCCGCTGTATCAGATCCAGGAGTCGCTGTCGCTGGTCTCGTCCAACCTGGCAGCCATGATCAGTCAGATGAAGGGCGAGGTAGAGTCGCGCATTTGCCGAACAGCCGAGGAGTTTCGAAAGTTTGGCGACCTCAGCATGACGCCGGAGAGCGATGGAATCAAAGCCGCTCCGCCGTCCGAGCAGGTATGTGTCGGTCCGTGGCCATGAGCGAGGGCCGGCCTCAGATGATCTCGCAACGAAAGGCGCCAAGCGCGGTTGAATGGCTTTGACGCTGTCGGTCGAGGGGAGTATGCCTCTCACTCACCAATTACTTGCCATTCATCTCTTACGCACTCAACGCCAACAGCACATCCACGGCCTGACGTTCATGGGCCGCAAATATGCCATCATAGTTGTGGGATGTCTGGCTTGCATGCCCGAGATCATCCCGCGGCAGCCGGCCTGTGCCGAGTTGCTCAAATCAGCGCTGAGTTTCGGCGCCTTTGTTCGACTGGTCCGCAACGAGGTAGCGTCGCGGCGTCGCTGCTTGCAAATGGGAGACATGAATGCGGCATTTGGTGCAGGCGGCCGTGGTGTTGACAGTCAAAGCGATTGTCGGAGTCGTTGTTTCGGCACATCCATGGCTCTGGACGAAGCGCCTCTGACATTCTGTTTTGTGGCGATATATCCCTGCGATAATTGACGTAGACACTCAACATCGCGGCCGAGTTTGAGCAGTCCGCCAAGCTCAACTCCAAAGTCGGCAAGCTCAAAGTCAATGTCACCGAGGTCCTCGCGGCCGGGGGTTCTTCGGCATCTGCAGGATACCACGCCTTCCATCGTGAGAGGCGGGAATATCTCCGAAATCAAATACAGCAGATGATCTATCTGAGCGATGACAAGCAGCTGTTCTGCTCCAAGTTTGAGGTTGGTGGGCGTTGGACGCTTCGATGCCGCACGCTGGGCCAGACACGGATTCGCAACACGGAGCTGCTGTCCGCCAGATTATGGAGAGTGCGGCGGTATGTCACAGGATGACTATAAGACTACCTCGAATGATGGCATGGGATTACTGTAGCACTAATCATCGCTGCGGCCGTTTGTCACGCATCATCGATTCACAATCTGCAGCTCATTTCAGGCGCCATTGGGTTTGCACGAGATGAGATTTTGTGGTACTTTGACCACTTTGACCGCGAAATAAACGAAAAAAAGAGATCAAAGAAGGAGGGCCGGACGCTCGACCTCAATGTCGTCACGTTGATTTCTCTGGTCAAGGAGCTATCCATCAAAGTAGCCAGCTATCGGACAGGTAAACACCGGCGGGCGTGAAGTGGACTGGACACCCGCCATGACTAAAGCAGCAAGGCTGATGGATTCAACCACGTTGGGCATCGGCAATCGGATATGTGATGCGCATTCATCTCGCTCCATGGATCGTGCTTTGCACTGACGACTCCTTTCCTGCCTTCGATTGATGTGTGTGTCTTGCCCGTCCCTATGCCCTTTCATCGGTGGGCCTCTCGACAGCTATCCAGCGGTATTTTTCCAACCAAATAGTGCAGTACCACATGCCTCGATCTCTCGCGCTCATCGAAGCGGCGCTCGGCAGCCACGAAATGCCCGAGACGGAGCTTTCGGTGAAGCTGCTAAGCGCCATACGGAATGCGATCCAACAGTTTGGGCCCGACAGCTTGGTGGAAATGGCCAAAACCGGTCGTTTGAAGGTATGCGATTGGATTCAGCCGATTCAAGTTGCGTTTCTTCAAACGGCGACTAATGCCTCGTCTTGCAAATCTGGATCATGGTCCTGCAGTCCCTCCGGATAGATTGGCTCCGGTTCCAGTTGGCGTTGATGCTCCCACAGTCTCTGGCCATTGTGCCAAACTGGACGGACCTGAGCAACGTCCTGTCAAACCTATGCGAGAAAACCAACTGGCTGGACGAATTTGACGCACAAATCGAAAAGCTCGCCAATCTGCGCGAGCTCTACTACTATCGAGCTGCCCTCGGCGAGCACATGCGCGACATTCTCGAGAACTCCGTCGAGCACATTCGGTTCCTGGGGCACGTTGGCGGACTCACCTCCGATTTCATGAGCAACATTTCTCAGTTCTGGACTGCCGAGGTAGGTGCATCCCGCACACATCTGCATACCGCCGGCATAGGACTGACGCATCTCTCGTACACGCGGCATAAATGATTGAAGAACAAGCAAATCGTGAGCGAGCTTGAGGGATACGCAAACGATATATGCTCTCAAATCGGGCAGAATGGCGCAGCCGCGGTCCATGATATCGGACAGCACTTTGCCGTGCTGTCTGGACAGGTGCGGATGCCAATTGTCGGTCATACAATCGAATACAAAGGCGCTGGCTGCGGGGCCCAGAGTCAGTCGCACTTCGCATCTGCTCACAGTTTGTATCTGATACTATTGGACTGCCACACGCAGGCAAGCCCAAATGGATCTCTTCGTTCGTCCATCTCCAAGTCGAAGAAGAGCCCGACCAAGAAGGGTGCTCTCGAAGAAAAGTATCTAAAGCCCGGTATGGAGAGCCACATGAAGCTGGACATGGATCCACTTATCCAACGGTAAGGTGATCCTTGATCGGAGACGACCGTATGAATGTTTGAGGCGTGGCGTGGTGCAAGTGTACACAGACAAACCGATGGCCATTCTTTGAGCGTGCGTTTGGGTCACCAACGCTCCATCCGGTTCAAGAATCCACACAGCCAAGCAAGCTGTTCAAAACGCAACCCTCGCTCTATCAAAGCTTCCAAAAGTGCAGATTCTGAGTGTCGAGTACCTTCCCGTGGAATATTTGATAGAGTACTTTGCCAACTACTTCAAAACGTAAGTAGGGCGCGAGCCAGTGCAGCATGATGATTCGAATGGAGCGGGGGCGGGAGCTGGTCCGCGTGCAGCATGGGCTGATATAGTGCATACGCTCTGTTCAAGGTATGTGAACACGGACCTCGTCAGGCCACAAGAGTCGGCAGCATCCAGTGTCCCGGCAAGCAACATTGAGGATCTGATCGCAAAGGAGGTGAAGCGACCCAGTGTGGCACTGGCAGAGCTCAAGGGATATGTGTCAGGAATCGCGACGCTGAATGGGCTCGGTGAGTTGCGCAAGTGTTACCGGCGGCCTGATTGAAATGAAGGGTATTGTACTGGAAGTGGCAGCTAGATTGGAAGTGGCGATCCGACTGATACTGGCAGTCGCTCAACGGAACTGGTTGTGCCCTGTCGAGTGCAAGCAATCCAAATGCTCATCGAGCCCTGCCCGACAGTTTCAGCGAACCTGACATCGATCCTCAAGGACGTGCTGGTGGCCCAAACAGACAAGCAGCTGTGAGTTCAATACTGCGGCTTTGGCAAGGGCTCCGTAACTCATTGCGTTGGGGGGGGGCCGTTTTCCATGCTCACGAATCTTCCTTCTCAGGTGCAATTCGTTTATGGATACCCTGGGTGACTCGACTGGCAAGGACAAGGCCGTGAGGCAGCGACGAGCGACCACTGATCCTCCTCCGCTGGCGGTATCATATGTGAGCTGGCACGTATCGCAATACCTTGCCGAGCTAATCTTCGGAAAGGAGAAACGCCGATTCACAGTCGCGGCTCATGAAGGCGATGGTGTAGACAAACTGTCGCCTCAATGATGTTCATGCATGCAGATCAAGATGCGACTCGTCCCTAGAAACCCAACTCATCTGTCGCACCTATAATACTGACACGTCCATCTTCAGGTATACGGAGTTGCTTACATTTCAAGTTCTGAACAACACGGCCATCTATTCAAACTCGAGACGGGCATTCATTAGCCGAACAACGGCCCCGTGGCAGCTGGAGGAATTCACCGACACCAACGGTACCGATCGTCCTTGTCCATCGCAAGCATGAGTGGGCACTGGAGCGATGCGCCGCTGGCAAAGTGGACAGCAACGAGCCTGCACAGGCCACACGAGCATGTGCATCCGTCCTCATACTTGTTGCGATTCGTGGACACCTTTGCAGAACTCGAGGCGTTGTGTAGACTCATCGGTGCACAAGGCATCCAGTTCATGATGGAGCGTCTAAACGGTGCCCTGAATCATCTGTCGTCGTACGTCAAGGTGAGCACCGACTGGATTCCATGCTGGGTCAAACATTTGCATCGAGGCGTCGTCACTATCGCCGGATCCAGCGCATAGTCGCACTGACCACATGGCCCGTGATGCAGGATGCGATTGCCCAAAACTCGGATATGCTCGAGAAGCTTCGCGATTGCTGGAACGACGACCCAAAGATATTCGAAGCGCTGAAGAAAACAAAGGGTGAGATTCCAGAGAAGCCAAGCTGGACTCTGAAGGCGACTGAGCCTCGATTGCCCATGCAACAAACAGCACTGCTAACGATCATATGTCGTGCTTGCCCCAGGCGCCAAAGAACATCTCTCCAAATCGATTCTTCTTGGCATGTTGATGGAGTTTCGAGCCTTGTTGGCGCAAGCATGTTTGTCTGTGAGTCATCGATAGTTCATAGGTCAGGGGGAAGTTGAGAAGTCCCTGAGCAATGCCGCCGGAGAGAGTACAGTTGGGCGAAGTCGCATAACGACGGCGTTTGAGATGCGATTGCGTTTGTCGGCAGGGCACAGACGATATGGATACTTGTGCTGATTTGCATCATCCCAGGTGTTTGACGAAAGTCATCCGGACATCGCGCAGCTCGTCACGGCCATCCACAGCTCGTATCCGCCCAACTACAACCGAGACTCGCTCTACACGGTGAGCGCCCCCCTTCGCCATCGGCAGTTGCAAGTGGCGGAATGATCAATCGGCCATGCCCAGCATCGAGTCGGTGGGCTTGGTGGCGTGCTTTTGACTGAAACCTACCATCGCATGCGACTGTCCACACACCGCCGGACAGAACATGGACGCTGCGGCCAACCAGATCGGCTTGCTGGACTCCATCGACCAGGGCATGATTCAGTGCCTGAAGCCGCTTTGTGGTGAGCGTCTTGGCGCTCCTCCGACCGAGCCGCTTGATGCAACTGTCTGGTCGGCTTGCATGCTCACCTGCTGTCCACGGCTCCTTCTGATTGACCCCTTGTCATTCCAAACGCAGACAAGGCAACAACCGACGGCCCCATCTGGAACCTGCTTCCGTCCTTCTTCATGTATTTGTTCTGGAACCTGACACTTGACGAAAACTCGAGCTACAATTCGGTGCTTGACGGTATGGCCCATCGATCTCGCTCGCGCTTGGAAAGCGAGTCAGGGATGACCCTGTCTTTGCTCAAGCAGACAAAGCATACACCGGCCTTAGAGCTATCGACCCCACGTTAATGCAACCGCGGTTGCTGACTATTGCCGCTCCTGCGATCCCACATGCGCATCCGCCGCCACCACAACACACGTGTGTGCTTGCAGCCCTGGAAAATAACGGCCACTGCCTGAAAACGGTCTTTCTCAACCTATCGACCTGCACCCAAATGCTTCTGATGAAGGGTCCATCCGAGAGAATCCGCAGTCTCCACCGCGAGTTTCTGGAGGTAATGCCGCTGCTCCATTTGCGGTCGTCGATGGTGATGTCGATGTCGATGACGAGGGTGATGTTGATGGCGAGGGTGGTATTTCCCACGGCTCAGATGACCTCGACGCTGTTGATGCGCATCAAGCCCAAGCCGAACGACAAGGAATACAAAAACATCGATCCTGTCCTGATGCTCCTCAAACAGGTGCGATGACGGAATGCCTCTGCGCGCTCCCCTTGCGATCTGGTTGCATCTTCCCGGCCGATCAACATTCCGTTGCTCCTACTGATCCCATGCCTTTGTTTCTTGACCGCTGTTCTAGACGGCGCGGGATTCCAAGTTCGTGTCCAGAGCGCAGCTTGAAAGCATCATTCCCCATCCGCTGCTGCAGCTGGTCACGAATGAGCTGTATCGCCGCAAGAACGGCAATGGCGGTACTATCGGCAGGGTTGGCGGACTTGGAAGCGGCAATGCCCTCGATGACGATTAGAGAATCAGAAACGGCTCGAGAGCGACATGTGAATGAGCCGCTATTCTAAACTACATGCAATGTAGCAACGAAACGATAGACCCGGATCCGCGGGGTCAACGAACGGCACCGTTACTCAGGTGCAAGCGAACTAGTCAGACTTTGCATACTGGGTGTGCTCTCCAGCTCCCTTTTTGCTTCGGGTTGATATGTAAACGGGCATTTGTTTCATCGTGCGAATCGTGCCCCGAATGGTATCATTGGGAAGCCAAAACCCCAGAATCCAGCACCGCGAACGCAGACGAATCGAGCAAATCGAAACCACACGACGGACAAGCACCTCCAACCAAGAAAATGAGGACCAGATGAGCCAATGATGACGGAAGAGCGGGAGAGCGAAAGGAAGGGACGGGAGGCACCAAATGAGGGAGATGAGGCCGTGAATGGTTCGAGATTGACTGAACGAAAGGCAGGGAATGTGTCGACCAGACCAGGGTCTTGTTCCTTCAGCTGAGCAGGGCCTATGATTTTGACGAAGACGTTGCCTTGGATATCATGAGGCCGATGGCGAACAGGAACACGATTGTGAGCAGGAACACGGCGAGGAAAAACGAGCGGTTGTTGGGGGCCGTTACGACGGCCTTCATGCGGTTGAAAGACTGCTTGACTTGGGTGAGATTGGATTCGATGCCCGAGCCCTACAGTACAGGAGCGTGAGCAAACGGGTGGTGCATTGAACGACGAGCAGACAAGAGGGCGAAGGCAGCGGGCAAAGCTGAGAGGCCGTTGGTGCAATCGGCGACGGATCGACAACAGCAATCCCCGTGTTCAAGCTTGCGGTCTCAGTGCGATACGATGGAAGCAGCCTGAGCACGGCTTACAATGCTGGAAAGTAAGCTGGGATGGTCGGGAACCGCATTTGGGTGAGCGGCGCTCGTTTATACAGGATAGAGCAGCAGACGGCCCGACGAAGCCAGCGGCACTCGAGACACATTAACGGCACAGCGACCGGGCCGAATCGAAGCGCACCTGTCCTGTCGATTCATTTCGTCGTGAATGTCAATGGTAACCTGCAGCAGCGATATTCAGAGAGTCAGGAGCACGAATGGCACCGGGTCCGGGGCTGCTGTCGAGGATGTGCTTCCAGGGCATGCAGTCCAAAGCTCATATCGAGGGCGTGGAGTGCGCCGGTTGCAACTTGGAGGGAAAGGCGCTATCTCAGGCTGTGTCGAAAGTGCAGAGGAGGGGGGAGAGGATCGAAAAAAGGAGCCGTACCCCTCTCAAGGCCGAGATTTGTCCAAAGAGCCGATTTACGCTGGCATCGTTATCCGATTCGAGCAGCGAGAGCTGCTGTTCTTCCTCGAGGGCACGCTGACGGTCGGCCGCGGAGCCGCTTCCAGATCTCCAGGCGCAAGCGATTTGCCGAGCGAGCAAGTGGAAAACAAGGGTGTTGATGAACGAGGGTTAGCTCACAGCCGGCGATGGAGCGAGGACAGATGGGATGTACTGGAGGCATCGAAGGACGGGGACTGCAAGTCGGGATTGAGCAAATCGACAAGGCCGTGAGCAGAGAAGGCGGTATCGCACAGATGATCCTCACCTGAACGCCATGAATGAAGAGGAAGGAGATCAGCCTGTGGTGTGGAGCTATCGGCAACTGAACAGCAGATGTGATGCAGTAGCGATGCGATGGCGATGGCGATGCGATGGCGATGGCGATGGGGGCGAGAGTGAAGCGATGTGCTGGAAGCAGCCAGACGGCAAGACAACCAACGAACGCGGTGGCAGTGCCCTTCCAGGGATTTGTGCAAGGGCCAATCGGCCATTGGGCTGGAGAAAAGGAGATGCGCTCACACCCAAGAAGATCCAGGACTGCCAACCATGGTGCGTCGGCCGGCCGTCCATCGTGTGAAGCGATTCATATATTCAAAGCCGAGCCACATGTGCTCGGACACAGTGCCAAGCGACGATTCTCAAGGCGAACCAACGGCAGCCCTGCTCATCCTGCGGTGTTCTGGGACTATCGTGTGCCTGAATCGATATCTGTGACGAAGGCCATTTGCTCATGGCCAGTCCCCGCCTCCTTGACATCCCACATCCGCACCCATTCATTCATTCATTCATTCATTCATTCATTCATTCATTTCGACAATCCTGTTATATTCATTTTCTCAATTCTTTTCTGATTTTTTTTTTTTGTTGTTGTTGTTTTTGTTGTTTTGTTGTTTTTTGTTTCTATACATGCGATGATGGCAAGAGGAGCGAACGGCGAGCGGACAAGGAGAGAGGGGCGGTAGCGCACCGTTAAAGATTTGCCGCAGCAATCTGCCAAAAGGAAGCAGCAGCGACGAGCGCGCCGGAAAGAAACATGAAAAATACCCAGAGCCACGAGGGGATGGGGGCGAGAGGAATGGCAGCCCGTTTGTTTGACTGAAGCTGCATACAAAAACATTGCCAAAGGTCCGACAAGGTTGCGGAGCCGGGGTTGCAGAGAGACGATGGGCCATAGGTTGAGTGGATATGCACAGAGTAACTCCAAAAAAACTGATAATAGGGAGCGAAAAGTACAAGAGAGGAAGAGGATGGCATTACCACCACCACTGCCCACCGGGGGGAGGAGAAGTTGGGCCAGACAAAGATTGGCCCGAGGTGCAAGAGGCAATGATGAGGAGCGGTGAAAACCACACTTGCGACATGGGAAGGCAGGGTGGCAGATATCAAGGTCCTCATGGAGAAGAAGGGAGTCGACCGCGGACAGAGGAGCGCAGGGATGATGCTCTTGAGAGCAGGACTGGAGGGCACTGGCAAAGCGTCCACGATGGGAGGGGACACCGACAGTACAACAGAAACGGGCAGCGAAGCAACATCGAAACGATCGCGAGGGCGACGACTGCGAAAAAACAGAAAGCGAGAGAGACGAGCAGACAGCGAGCGGTGACGCGGAGTTGGAGAGCCGAGGGGCTGGGAAAGCCGGAGGACTCAAATCGCATGTCGCACGCGACGAAAGCATAAAAAATGTGTGGAGTGGGGGGGGGGTACAGCTTGGAGGACGAGAGGGAGAGAGAGAGAGAAAGCAAGCAGCTAACGGAGTACAGAGCGAAAGCGGGAGCAGCGCGGACCAGAAGCGCCGGGGCCGCAACCCATACGATCGAGGGAATAAATAACGACGAGAGGAAGCAGGGCTGATTGTGGATCATGCGAGAGACAGCAGCATCCACCAGCCGGGATCCTGGTACAAATACAGAGGGGGGGGTCACATTCAGGGCACCGGGAGGGGGCCTGAGCAAGCTCAGAGTCAAAAACAGAGATGCACCAAATTCAACGGCACGCTCAGAAACACCCATAATCAAGGCATCGACAGTGGTTCGAAGCGCGTTCTAAATAAGCAGACAAAAAGGAAAAGGAAAGAATGAAAGAAACCAACTGGCAGAGCAGATGCATTGTCGATCGAACAACGAGGGAGCGCGGAGTCGATTGTACCTGCATCTGTCTGCACCGCAACTCGCGCTTGGCTTGCGGGTCAAACCACCGGGGCCGAAGCGAACAAGCCAGAGAGGAAACGACGGGCGAGTCGACGCGGGGGACTTGGGGAAGACAGAGACTCTTCGCCAGAGGAGCGGGAGCGGGAGTGTTGCGGCATTAGCGCGCCTCGTACTTTTCCAGCACAGCCTCCAGCTCGTCGAGATCGACGTCGTCGGCGTCAAGACGCATGACTTCCGAGTAGAAAGCCTTGAGGGAGTCGCCGACCAGGATGGAGCTGCGTTGCGAGACGGTATTCGAGAGCTCTGGAGCACGAGGACCCGCAAAGTCAGCGGCGCTCTTGAGGGCGTGCTGGAAGGAGGTCTGTCCAGCATTCGCGCTCGAGGCCTGGGGCCTGGGCAGCTTGGAGTCGGTGCGCTTGATGACCATGGAGCTGGCACGCTTGGTCACAGGTCTTGGCGGACGCAGCCGCGGGATAGGCAGCTGCGGGCCCTTGGAAGTGCTTGGGCTGCCTGAGCTCTTGAAGAAGGACTGGAAGGGCACGAGGATGCGCGGCGACGATGCCGAGTTTGGGGATGTGGGTGAGGCAAGCGGCGAGGGCGAGGACGTGGGCGAGGTGTTCTTGTTGCGAATGTGGATGCTCAGGGACGGATAGCGGCGGGAGGACGGTGGGGACGGCTGCTCAGGCGAAACCGATGGGGAGGGCGGGGGCTTGAGCCATGTGTTCTTGGCGAAGGATTTTGATGACTTTGGCGAGGCCGGCGGGGACGGCGAGGGCGGAGGAACCAGCGACTCGACGCTGGCGAGGTTGCTGGGCTGGCGTAGATTGCGAAGGGGAGACTTTGACTGCGAATGAAGCGAGTTGGAGCTTGGACGTTTGAGGGCCCATAGCAGGTTGTGGGCGCGTTTGAGGAAGTTGTGGGAGGAGGAGGAGGCCGAGGAGGTCGAGTGCAGCGACGGAGAAGGGGACGCCTTCCAGAGGCTGGAGCGGCGACGCAGGGACGAGGAAGGGTCCTGGGAAGCGTCTGTCATTGCGATGCAGACGAGGAAGGAGGAATTGGCAAGGAGAAGGACTTGGGGAAGCGGGTTTGGGAAAAGGACTCGGGAAGAGTGTGGATTTGGTGATTGCGGGAGCCGGGTTGCTGGGAATGCAACAGGTAACCAAGGAGCTGTGACGACAGAGGGACCGATGCGGCGATGGCAGACCAGGGACGACGCAGGACAGACCGGGGGCAGGCAGGGTCGTTGGGGGGGGGATCAGTGCGTCTGGAGGAGCAATGTTCGCGACGAGCAGATATGAGAACCAAAGGCCGAAACGGGGCCGGCGGAAACGGAAGGACGGATTTTGGGTAGCGAGGGCGAGACCAGGCTCGGTCTGGGGCGAGAGCGGGCGAGGGCGGCCGCCAGCCAATAAATAGGCGCTTGGCGAGGCGCCCGCGCAGCGAGAGCGACAAGGGTGGTGGGGGAGCAATGTGCGTTGTTGCTGTGTGAGCTGTGTGGTGGGTGACGTTGATTGGGTGTGGGACTGGGCGTGGGACAGCATGTGCACAGTCGATCCAGCTGTCGGCCGCACTGTTCTGTGGGCCATTGGCTCTGCGGGGCCGCTCCCGACCAAGCTGTCCCACGGGCTTGTGCGCCAGAACCATTTTCTGTGCGGCTGTTGTGCGACTCTGCCGTCCAATCAGCGCGCATGCCGCAGCCGCGCCTTGTATTGCTCAGCCAGCCAATCCCGACGCGAGACACAGAGCCGCAGCACGCCGGTTCGAGCCCCCGTCGATCCGGCTGCAGACGAGAAGGCGGCGGCCCGTGCGCAGCAGCGGCGCGGGCGCGGCGAGGGCAGAGAAAAAAGGAAAGGGCGTGGGCGGCATGGGCCGCAGCGAGGGGGCGTCTGGCCGCTGTGATGTGATGTAGTGTGATGTGATGTGATGTGATGTGATGTGATGTGATGTGATGATGTGATGCGATGTTCTGTCCTGGTCGACAGCCAAGAGCAGCACGTTCGCGAGTGCGTGGTGCTGCGCATGGGAGCCAGCTCAAGCGCACCCGATCCAGCCGGCCAGCTGCTGGCTAGCCTGGCCCCGTGCACCCAACCCCGCGGCGGCGGAGCACAGCGTGCGCCACACCCACTGGGCGGAATAACGCTGCCGCAGCACGCGCCGATTGGCTGCACCAGACAAGGAAAACGGAAAAGACGGCGCGCCAAGGGTGCGATTCCGGTGGCGCAAGGGATGACGTAAGTGGCGGTGAGCGGATGCGCAGCGGAGTGGCGGACGGCTGTGCGCGTGTGACAGAGTTGCAGTGTGCTGCATTGTATTGCAGTGGCACGGTCCCACCGCCGCACAGACGCGCGCGTGCCACACGTACACAGACAGTACACCCGCGGCACGAGACTCCCTGCGCCGCCGCGCCGCCGTGTGACCCTGTGCGGCCCTGTGCCGCGCGGCTGGCCCTTGCCTGCGACCCGACCTTGTGTGGCGGTCGCTGTGTGCCGTGGGCCGGCGCGTTGTCCCCGGCGCACTCGCTGCCGGACGCTGCCACACCCCGGCCACACCCGTCGCGGCTGCCCCACTGTTCCACCTGCCCATTGCAGATCGCAGGCGATTGATATCAGGCAAAGCGCTCCTGGGGGTGTGGGTGGAGGACGAGTGTATCGATATGGCATCGATATGGCATCGATGTGTGCGTCGAATAGACATCAGACCGACATCAGAGCGACATCAGACCGACATTAGCATCGCCAGACATCCCAGCCATCCCCAAGCCCACACGAAACACCCGCACGATTGCGCAATCTGCAGGATCGCACAGTCTCGGGTCCGCAGCGCACAAGCCCGTGGCGCCCCAGTGGCGGCTCTTGCGGGCACCCAGCCGCCACGCCGTCCTCACACGGCCCCGGCGCCAGGACCCCACGGTTCCTCCCTGGGTGGCTGGCGGTGGGTTTCTGCTGCGGGTGAAGGCTGTCTGCGCCGGTGGAGGGGCCTGGCGCTGATGCAGTGGGCGACTCGGCGACCGATGGATATCTGCTTTCGACAAGTGCACTATCTGCCTGAACAAGCACTGGTGTATGTGCACTTGACGAAACAGCACCCCCCGTCTCCAATGCACCAGCGAAACGTGAGCCTCCCCACCGGCCGGGCCGTCTCGCATGCCCAAGCGCATGCACATGTGCCTGTTTTGGTTGGGTTGTGTTTGGTTTGCTCTGGCTGCGGTGGCCGTCTCGAGTTGCATACCCGTCCATCTCGAATCGCATGCCTCGGCCATACCAGTTGGCCATCACCAGCCCGCCAGACCAGTCGGCCAGACCAGTACCGGCCCTCTCCGAGCACCGCATCTCTTTCCTTCCTTCGAAACCGCCGCTCTTCGCCCTCAAATACCATACCACCACCACCACCGCGCGGCTCGCCGCTCTGTCCGTCTGTGGCGGCCTCTCGGCGCTCCGTTGCTCTCGGCGCCCGCCGTGGCTCGTCCTGGCTCTTTCCCGTTTGCCTGCCAGCATTGCCCTGCCGCCTCTTGTCGGCTGCTCCCCCCTCCTCCTGTGGCGGCGGCCTTTGCCGGAGCCAGTTGCCACCGAGCAAGCGCCCTTGCTGGTGCTTGTGGCGGCCCGTGGCAGCCGGATGGACTGCGACCGCCGGCTGCCCTTGCTGGGCCTTGCTGGACCTTGCTCGGCCTTGCTCGCCCGTGCCTGTCCTTGCCGGCCGGCCTCTGCCACTGCATTCCCCTCCACCAGAGCACGCCGCTCTTAATCTTTGTCAGCTCTGTGACCTCTGTAGCCTCGTCGCCCTTGTCGCCGCCCTCCCCCTTCCTGCTCGTCTGCCCTTTGGCCGCTCTTGTCGGCAAGTCCCATCCGCCTTGATGTTTCCCACACCCGCGTCCGTCCGCGTCTCGGCTCAGCTGCAGAGTGGCCTTGGCGCTCCCACACCCGAATTAGACCGCGCTCGCTATACACCAACGCCGCCAACACAACTTTTTGTCCCCTTCTTCGATTCCAGCCGCGGCCATTCTTCTGTCCCGGCTGCTGCCATTGCTGCTCGTTGTGTGGCTGCTGCTGTTGGCGCTCGTGCAGGTCGTTAGCCAATATAGCCGCCGCCCTTTCGGATCTTTTGACTGCATCGTGAGCTTATCCGAGCTCGGATTTGCTGTCGCTGCACTCGCACTTGCACTCGCACTTGCATTCACTTGCACTCGCTTGCATTCACTTGCATTCACTTGCATTCGCCCGCATCGCTTGCTGTTGCGTGTTCCCCCTCCGGCCAGGGCGCTGTTTCAGCTTGCCATCCCCCACCCCGTATTCCTGACCCGCCTCGCTGCACTTGGCCCTGCAGGTCAAATTCCTTGGTCTCGTCCTTTTTTCCCATTCGTACTCTCTTACTCGTCTTCTCCCCCCCCCAAGCACAGCAACGTGGTCCTGGGCCTCCTCCCTTCCTCATCTTGCGGCTCGTCTCCCCACCAGTCCGCCATTCCACGACCTCGTCTGTCCTGTTCACATCGTCTTCTCCTGGGCCTTTCCCATCTCACGGCCCTCGACGAGCCCCTCTCCCATCCCACAACTCCCGGACATCTGATCCTCCCGCTCCTCATCGTAGCCCTCTCTCTCAATGGTCTCGATCCATCAACTTCTCTCACCCGAGGAGGCCCCGCCCACCGTCACGGCCAAGCCTGCGAGCTCGGTTGCCTCTGGCTCTGCTCCCGGTACTGCCGGTGCCAGCACCGATGCTGTCCATCACCACTACTCTCTGCCGCCGCCTCCCTCACCAATCTTCACAGCCTTGCCCTCGGCGACACACACTCCTGAGCCTCATACCTCGACGGCGCTCTCGCCGCTGTCCTTCAACGACACCAGCAGCCACACCGGCAGCTTCCATCTGTCCACCACCACCGCCTCATCGCCTGCCATGGGCACCCGTTCCGGCCCCGCCGATCGCCTGAGCAGGGCTGAGACCTTCCCGAGATGCAACCTCGAGCGCGGCCCGATGGAGTACGAGTTCCAACCCTCGGCACACTCGCCTGTTCGAGTCCAGCCCAAGGCCGAGACCTTTCCGCGCATGAACAATGCCTACCGCCCGGCTTCGTCCATCTACGAGCTTCGTCCCCCCTCGCCGCTGTCGATTCCGTCGCCTCCGAGTTACCAGTCGCCCGTCCCCCATCTCCGGGACGTCACCGACCGGTTTTCCGAATCGCTCCATCTCGGCCGATCCCTCCCGCCGCCGTCGCTGCCGCCCATCCGTCCGCACGGCAACAGCGACCTGTCGCGGTCTTCTTCTCCGGCCGATCCCCGCCTGCATGCCGAGTCGTACCCGTCGGTCCCGTCGCAGTTCGTTCCCGACGATGCCCACCATTACTCGCGCTTTGTCTTGCCTCATCCGTCGTCACTGCCGACTCACCATCCAACCTCCCGCTCCGTCCCCGATGTCTCGGCTGCCAGCCCTTCGGCCATGTTCCCGCCATCTTCGCATCCGTCGTCGCATCCGTCGTCGCATCCGTCGTCGCCGCTGGCCAGGGACCCCGAGTATCCTTCTTCCCAGTTCCCGGCCGAAGTCTCCTATCCGGCCTTGCCCAGGAAGCGGGCCAGCCAGATCTACGCCACACCGCCACAGCCACCGCCGCCACAGCCACATCCCGACCCGTCCCATGTTCATCACCACCAGCATCCCCGGTCGCACTTTTCGCCGTATCCGCCTCCCTCGGCGCTTCCTGCTCACGGCAGCTACACCCAGAGTTCCGCGCACCATGCTCCAAGCCCAAGCAGCACGCACGGACTCCCGCCGCTGATCATTGCTCGACACCACGACTCGGCCTCCGCTGGTACCTCTGGCGCTTCTCCGTACGATCAATCCCCCCATCACCCCCATCAACACCCGTCAGCGCACCCGCACCACCACCACGGCAGCCATCACCACCATCACCACCACCCCGAGTTGTCCCATCCTGGCTTGGCCAGCTTCCATCTGAGCCAATCCCGAACCCGCCACCACCCGTACCTGGGGGCGCTTTCACCCGGAGGCCATGCCCACCCGAGCTCGCCTTCGTACGAGACCCTGGCCAGGGCGTCGGCATCAACCGTTACTTCTCCCATCGGCGCGACCCTGCCGCGCGACGCAGGCTCGCTCCGATCGCCGGGCTACCAATCTCCAAGCGATTCGTACTTCCCGACCCTGGGCCGCTACACCAGCAGCACCACCGCCACCACCCCGACCGGCACTCCAAACAACAGCAACCCGCCCTCGCGCACCACCTCGGAAGCTGGCGAGCATGAACATGAGCACGAGCACGAGCACGAGCACGAGCATGAACATGGCTACGACCATTCCGAGTCCGAGGACAGTCCAAACGGCCACGAAGCTGGTGCGCATGGGCCAAAGGGCAGTGCCCCAGAAGGCGGATACCCATGCCACCTGTGCAATCGCACTTTCCAGCGCGCCTGTGAGTATCCGCAGCCGCGCCTCTAATATGTCGAATTGCCGCACTTTTTCTCCGGGCTGCCGTGTGTGCTGGTGCTGTCTGGTCTGCTTTGGGAGAGTGTTTTAGCCCCGAGGCACGATGGCAGCTGGGAATCGACAATTCGATCGAGGCAGTACGGCATCAACGCTCTCCGTCATGGCGACCGCATGGCTGCGACGGAGCCTTTCCTATTGGGATACGACTGGGGCGATCAACCCTTTGGCCACCGGCATCTCGACTGCGGCAACGACAGTGCGTCCATAGCGACGATGCACGCCACCCATACAAGAACGATCTATCCATATATGCCTGTTTCGAAGCGTCCTCTGCGACTCCACAGCTACGACAGCTTGCGATGGCCTCACGAGACATGCGGCGGCATCCATCGATGGCGGCCCGAATGGCGACACGGGCAGCCTCGTTTCCTTCCGGAACACTTGTCTCGATTCTGACGCTTTGATCCAACATGACCACCCCTCCCTCAGACAACCTCAAGTCACATCTGAGATCTCATGAAGTCAACAAGGTCTACGAATGCACGGCGCCCAACTGTACCGCCAAGTACGTTTGATGCAGCGCTGGGCTTGATGGATTGATCGGTCAATTGACAGCTGTGGTTTTGGTGGGACCGTGTGGCATACCCCCTCGCTCCATCGAATGAGTGGATACAAATCTGACCAAGCCTACATCTCCATACCTTTGCTGTCCTTGGACGCACGCTGCTATCGCTATCAATCGAACATCGAAACCAACAAATGCAACGACACACCTTCAACGACACACCTTCAACGACACACCCTCCTTCAGATTCGCCCGGAGCCACGACCTTACCCGCCACATCCAAACTCATACCAGAGAGCGACCTCATGTCTGTCCCCGCTGCCATCGCCAGTTTGCTCGCCGTGATGCGCTGCGCCGCCACGAGCGAGTCGATGCCCAGGGCGGAAAACACTGCGCCGCCGAAGGACGTCCTCCCAAGCGAGGACGTGGCCCGCAACTCTTCCCCGTTGTTGGGAGTCGCAAGCGCGAGTTTGCTGCTGCCAAAGCAGCTGCCATGGCCGCTGCTGCTACTGCTGCCGCGAGCGCCCCCACATCTGCCACTGCCTCAGACCACACCCCGACCTCCAGCTCGCCCTCCACCACCATCACGACCGGATTCACCAAGTACCCCGAGTCCGGAACGGGTCCCGCCAAAATGATTGCCATCGCCACCAAGCCACAGTTCCCGGAATCGGCCTCTGCCACGACAGCCCCGGTCTCGAGCTATGGTGCTCCTCCGTCTGGAATGGAAACCAAGGCCGTAGCTGAGCCGGTGTCGTCGATGGACTCGGATGGAGGCAACTATGGCCACAATTGAGTTGGACACTCGGCCTCTTCGTGGAGTCGTCCACCTCGTCTCCCTCCCCCTGTCTCCCTCGATCTTTCCTTTCCTTCCTCTTTCTTTCCCCCATCCCCCATCCCCATCCCCCATTCTCCTCTCCTCTACGCTTCTCCTCTTTCTCCATAACTAGAGCTTGGCAGATATGCCTCCTTTTTGAATCAATCGCGGTAAGTACGGCGTTATGTCAGCAACCACCCAGCATCTTCATTGCCTTATCACTGCTGCTTGGAGCGTATCACAGTCCTGGAGGCTGCGTCGGAGTACGTCGATATGCTCGCGGGTTGGCTTTTCGTATTCTGTACCTCGTTCCGCCGCTCATCAATATGTCTCCCCTCTCCCCCCCCCTCGATCGTCATCAACGCAATCAACTCAACCCATCATCGCTCGACTGTCACTGACCCATTGCATTCGGGACACAAGTTGCTTAGACACCATCCACAAGCTCGCAGCCCACGATCGCATGCCGCTTGCGGATTTAGACTCTGCCACCCTTCATCGTGGCAGACCCTGCACTTCCCTCCGCTCGGGCTCTCAAGGCCTCAGACTGCCGTCCCTGCCCCCCCCCTCTCATCTCGATCAAGCATCGCAGCCTCTCTCCTGTTCGTTTGATCATCTACTCCCCCCCTCCCTTCCAATTCGTCTCTCTTTGAATCTCCCCTCCTCGCCCTTTCTGTGGTTCCTTTTCCATCACCTCCTTGTCTCAACGGACTTTGCTCTCGCTTCTCCTTTCCCCTCTTCCTCCGTCTCTTTCCATCAGTGTCAGCTTTTTCAATCCCCCGTTGTATGGGGGAGGGACAAAGTAGTGACGAACTCTCATGCACCCGCTTGAGCCTCTCCACATCCGAGCATACCGGGCCCTTTCCTCCTTCACCCAAATCCCCCACTCCCTCGCCACCACCACCACCACCACCACCGCTCGTCATCACTATCGTACCACGATTCTCATTCTCCGTACACCTCTCCCTCCCTCTCGCCCTTGTTTGACTCTGCTCCTGACTCCTATCCGGCGCTGTTGTTGGCCGCCAAGGCTTGAAGCTCTCTGCGGACACTGTGTCTCCTCTCTGCCATCTTTCTCCACCTGGACTGTGTTGAGAAAGAGGCAGACTGCTGCTGCTACTGCTATCCTTCCTCCTCTCTGTCGGTCTTATGATAGAATTTCCATCCCCTCCTCCTCCTCCTTCTCTAGAATGGTTGAACCATCCTGGACTCTAATCTGGCGTTTGTTCCTTCGCTTTTCTTCTTCGTCCCTTGCCCTCTCTCTCTCTCCCCTCTCTCTTCCTTCGTCACCCATCCTTGAGTGTGTGTGTCTTTGTAGTCGGCAATCCTCCCCTCCTTTTACTGACGTTTGTCCTCATACAAATTAATGAAAAAATGTTGTTCCTCTCTCTCTCCCTCAATACTTTGGCCCTCTCCTCAGCGATCGCGGAGTGATCTGTGGGAAATGTGACTCGAGCCAGGAAGATGCGATGGAGTTGGGGTGACTGACAACCTAGTCTGCTGCCCTGCCTCTACAGAGTCAAGAGTCATTGCGGGTAGTGTGTGCATTCCCATCGAAATCAAAATCGAAATCAAATCAAAATCAAAATCAAAATCAGATCAGAGTATCCCTTTCGTCTTGCGGGTATTGCAAAAGCCCAGCAAAGACCGAGGGAGGTAATCAAAGATCGAGTCCGAATGCTGCCGGACCCAGCTCGATCATCTCGCTTCGTCTCTGCGCGAGCCGGCGGTGGAGCTGGAACCCTCGCAGAGCCTCAGTCATGACCAGCGGGAATCCCGCCATGATGGTGTCGTTGACCTGCCGCTCCAGGAGCTTCCAGTGCTGCAGCGCACTTATGCCCCCGCTGCTGGATCGGACTCGGCTGAACCCAGACGACGAGTCCACCGCCCGGCCCAGGTCGTCTTCGTCGAGCAGATCGTCGTCGATTCTGGAGCTGCCGATGCGGCCCTGAGAAGCGCCGCCGGCAGAGCCGTGGTTGCCGTCTTGATCGTCTTGGCTGTCGCTGAGCCGCCGGTCCGGGAGCGCAAAGATGTACCTGGACCACAGCCGATTGACGGCCATGGTGGCGAGGCGGTACCCAAAGGCCGCCAGGACAATGGTCATGACGTTGCCGAGATGGGCCCGGACGTTTTGTAGCCGGGGGTTGCGCTGGCCCAGCTTGCCCCAGACGGCGTAGTAGACCGACTGCCCGACGGCCGTCCGCAACAGCAGCAAGGCGATCCAGCCGAGGCCAGTGTTGCTGGTCAGGCTGACCGATCGCCGCTCGCTCATTTCCCAGCGCTTCTCGAGGGCAAAGGGCGCTCGCAGCAACAGAGCCGTAATCGCCTGGGCGAGGCCGGCCAGAAACCCGGCCAGGCCAGATCCATAGAGCGGCGTGAGTCTCGTGTGGAGATTCGAGACGACGAGCTTGGGTATCAGCGACTTGAAGACATGCACCACCGGTCGCGATGGAGTTGCCGCGGCATCGGATGAGGGTGATGACGATGCTGCTGGTCTTGGGCCAGGACGAGACGATGCTCCCGAGGTGGACATGGCCGGTTCGACAGGAGAGGAGGCGGATGTGGCAGAGGGGCTGTGGATCCAGAGTTTTTCGATACCGATGGGCGATGGTCGATGCGGTGGTGCCGCGTAGCAGGAGTGAGATCGAGAAGGACAAGCGACAAGTAAAACCAGGCGGGCCAGCAAGGAGGAGGGGACTGACGAACCTGGGTAGGAGGGGTTTCAATGGATCCTTGACTGCAGTGATAGGAGCAAACACTTGGCGGCGGAGAGGCTCTTGGAGGGGCTACGAGGTGCGTTGGATGTGCTGGACGGGAAAGGGAGCAGCCTCCGAGAATAGGCAAGAAAAGTAGAGGCAGCCGCAGGTCGAGCTGCTGAACACCCGAGCGATCGTGGGCGAGAACGAGCGAGGACGAGAGCCGGGCAAGCCAGACGGACGAGACGGCAGCACGGACAGCTCAACCAAGGACTGGAGAGACAGACGAAGAAGAGACGAGCGGGCAGCCACCCGGGGTTCAAAAGGCAGCTGGGCAGAGGCCGACGGACAGATGCTGGAGACCGAGGGCCATGTGAAATCGGGCTGAAAGGAAGATTGTCGGGGCGCGGGAGCATGACCGACACAAACCAGCGGGAGCAATGGCGACGGGGGCGATCGACGGCCAGAGCACGACAGCGAGCGGATGCCGGGGGTGAAAGTGCGTAGAGCACAAGTCGTTCGATTCAGGCATACTGACGGTGCAGATGTGGGTCGGGGAGAAGACAAACATGAACAGCACGGCGGTTGTCAATCCTGCGAATACATATGTCCCGGTGTTGCCCGGTGGGCTCCGTCGGGCGGCAGAGACGCCGCCGCCTGGCAGATTGGCCGTGGCTTCAATCATCGGCCATTGTTAACGCCGTCTCTGCATCCCGGCGGGCGAGCAAGTGCAAAAGTGCGGCAGAGTGGATGATAATGAGCGGGTAGTTCTGGAGGAATGTCTTCCAATTCGTCTGGGAAGTCGATATCCCTCAACCCACGCCTGCAGCACCGGCAAAGCCCAACACATCGAGGTCCTTCCGCACGCTCCATATTGCAATTGCGAGGTAGTGCTCAGTTGGTCCTCCGCGCCCATCATTCATAGCTGGCTGCTGGATATCGATCCTTGTTGTCGCCTCCCATGTTTATCATCCACCATCGCTCATCCACCATCACTTATCGCTCATCCATCATCCATCACTCGGCGCTTCACTGTGGCCCGATCTGCTCAGCTACAACTCGCCATCTCATCGCTGCCTGGTCCAGTATCGACGACGCTGTCTCAGCCGCACATCTACAAGCTATAACACTTCCTCACCCAGCCTCAGATACCACGACGCAGCCATGCCTGGTGAAAGCAAGAAGGGTGAACGGCGGGTCCACAACATGGTGCACGACGATGCCATTTGGTAACTTGCGATCCAGCATTCTCACTTGAATCGGCTTGTACTTCCAACTGCTGCTGTTACTGCTGCATGGGCTAGACGCAGCAACCGTCGACTGATATTGGCGAGTTGGATGTCTTCCCGCGATGCTGTCCGAGGAGGTGTATTAGTCTTTGCCTCTCTGCAGTCCGGAGGCAGCACTCAACAGACTCGACAGCAATGCAGCTCTTTGCAACCTTGCCCCTGCCCCGAAACCCACATATCTCTGACAGAGCTGGATCTCTGTTTTCTCAAGGCGGCAGACCATCCACTACGAGCTGACAACCGCCAGTAACTGGGAGGGCAGCTGGGGGTTCATGAAGGATGCATATCGCCAGGTGAGCCATGTCTTGGAAACCCTCCACGATTCTGCAGTCCCACGGCCCCGCCCCAATCTGTCGGCCTGGGCAATCGTGCGAATTGGAAAATCGCTGCTCAGAAGTGCTCTGATGCTGTCGCTTTCCAGTCGCCGCAAAAGGACGGCATCAACCATGTGCCCAAGCTGCCCGCGATCCCACGGTCCAGTGAGCCATCTCCAGACACCAAATCCGACTCGAGACCGGACCCACCGAGAGCCGCCGACACCAACCCACCGGTGCCGAGTACTTCGTCGTCGGCGTCGTTTGCATCGGGCCTGCCCTCGAAAGTGCCGCAGGGCCTGACGGACAACCCAGACTCGATCGTGTCCAACTGGCTCTGCAACCACAATGTCCCGCGCATCATTCGATACCGGATGCCCATCGAAAAGTACCGCTTCCCAGCGACGACGGCAACGGAGATTGGCTGGCTCTGGGGCAAGGGCGATGTTGTGCCGGTGGCCCCCAGCCCGTACTGGATTACCCAGAGCCGCGAGGCACCCAAGAACCACACGCTGGAGCGGTTCGGGAAGCATGCCAAGGGCCGAGTCGATACCCTCAAGTGGTGGGGAGGCGGACGAGAGTCGCTGCCCTGATCAAACTCTATGTCGAATGATGTGCCCGGCTGTTCTGTCTTGTGATCCGGCGACACACCACCGCCATGGCAAGATGGGGGCGTATCAGACTTGAATATAGCACTCTCCAGGGCGCTGATGTGCCCGACAGAGCACCGAGTCCTGCACCGCCCAACATCGGATAGAACAACTGCACCCTTGGACGCAGTCGTTACCGCCGCTGTTGGAACAAGCAAACAACACGTTCCACCGCCGGGCACTCTTGCGTCGGCAACAGCCGCATCGGCGCCTGCGCCTTGGCCCTTCGCAGACGCCCTTTGGCGCGACATGGCGCACCCCGCCCGCGACGCGCGGCGCCATGTCCTGCAGCCGCGCAGCCGCCTGCCCCCCCGTTATAACTCGGCCGCATCCGCCAGGGCCCGTCAGAGCTGCCTGCTGGTCTGCCATCCGTTCCATCGACTGAATCTCTTTCCTCCATCGACTGAATCTCTCCTCCATCGGCCAACTTTCTCCCCTTTGGCTGTCTGCAATCGAGTCGATCTCGTCTCCCAGTCGCCACAACCAACTACCAGTCGCCACAACCAGCCATCATGCTCGTCGCCAAGGCCCTGCCTTTGCTTGTCTTTGCTCTCTCGGCCCTCGCCTCGCCGTTGCCACAGGGCAACCGTGACAACTCCGACCCTGCTCAGCTCCCAGCCGCCCCACAATACCGCAAGCGCTTCGTTTACGGTGCCCAGGCACTGGAGGGTAGCACCTCCTCCTCCTCCTCTTCCTCCTCGGCTCCGTCCTCCGACTTCAGCAACGACGTTCCCTTTGGCGACGACCTCGAGCAGCAGTTCTCCCAAACCAACCAGGACGGCAACTACGTCTACGATTCTGCCGACAATGCCAACTTTGGCGATTCCTTCTCCCAGAACTTTGTTGTCGATGACGACAGCAATTATGCCTCGGCCCCGATGGGCGATGCCCCTTCACAGCCCGGTTGGATCGAGGACCCCAACGACCAGCCCCAGCAGTCCTCCTCGTCCTCCAGCCAGGTCCACGAATCGCAGTTCCTGGCCAGCCCTCCTATGGGCGACGACTCGTCCAAGCCCAACTGGGTCGAGGACCCCAATGATCTGCCCGCGCCCAGCTCAAAGTCCTTTGTCGACGCCAGTTTGGATGTCCCCATGGGCGACAACCTGTCCTCCTCGACCAACTCCACCAGCGACAACACCCAAGGAGAAAAGCCCTCGTCCTCGACCTCCTACACCACAATCGGACTGTACTCCTTGGGCGGTGCCTCGTTGGTCGGTGCTGCCGCGGTCGTGGGCTTCCGCTACCGCCGGCATCTCAAGTACCAGAGCCTGGACTCGGTGCCGAGCGTGAATGGCTCCCTGCGGCCGCGCAAGGACTCGAAGCGACGCAAGCACGTCAAGACCAAGCTCCGCGAGTCGTGGTCCGCCAAGATGCTTGCAAAGATCAACGGCTCCGATGGAAGTGGTGGATTCTCTTACAACGGCGGTGTGCTTGGCGTCAAGCCGCGCAGCTCTTCCAAGCCCATTGATCCCGACGAGATCTACGTCTCGGGCAAGAAGCTCAAGTCCAGCAAGAAGCAGGCTCCGCCCGCCAAGACTCTCTGGGCTGCCGACGACATTGAAGAAGACGAAGCCGACGACATCATTGCCCCTCCGGCCAATGCTGCCAGTCTCTCGGGTGGCTCCTACCAGAACTCTCGACGCGGCAGCCTCGCTGCTCTGACGGCCCTGGCCAAACTCGATGAAGCCACGCAGAAGAAGGCCCAAGACGGACGGAAAGGCTGAAGGGACAGTGTCAACCTTTGAAGAGTCTGCCAAAGTAGTCGACAACTTCCTCACACCATAATCATCATCCATCAACATGCCCACCCTCCAGTGCGAGGCGCCCGAGCGCGCGGTTGCTTAGTGTATATTTTATTCAATTCTACGTCATCTTCGCCCTTCCGCTCCAACTCCGGTCTTCTTATGGGCCTATCGCCGTCATAACAGTTGTCCAAAAATGAAGTAGGGGGGGAGATCACCCTGGATTTCTTGTGATGGACGCCAGGCCCTGTTTCAGCAGCCCAAGTCGGCCAAGGGGATGCACTGTTCCGAGCATGGCCGCCTTGATACTTTTGTTTGTCCGCGGTTGGTTGGTGAATACAACCGCCCACATTGAACGACATCGATCGGCGCTCGCTCGATGACGATGGATTCGGCCGGTGAGATATCGGGGTTTGCACAGACAGATTCCACGGGGCCAATGGAAACGATGTCGCCCACTTGGTCGCTCTCGGCCAGGCGTGTTTGTGTCTGAGATACCATGTCTCCTTCAACACGCTGTACATCCATGTCCATCTCCATGTCCATCATGTCCATCATGTCCATCATGTCCATCCCGCCCTTCCAGCCACAATTCGGCTCATTGTCCAGATCAGTATCTGCTCGACCGGAGATCCAGCGGACGCACTTCGTTGTAGAAGAAGACCCTGCATCGCGGCGAAAGTGTTTGGACAGATCGCGGCACCGTCTGCATTCCGTTTTCGTTGATGTAGAGGTCGTTCAGAGCCTGCAAGGAGCCCAGGTCGTCGGGCAGGGTCTCCAGACGGTTGCTCTGCAGGCACAGCTTCGAAAGCGCCCGCAGATGCACAAACGATGCTGGAAGGGCCGTGAGATGGTTGTGCTGCAGGTTCAGGATGCGCAACCTGCACAGGTTGCCGATCTCGTCCGGAAGAGCACTCAGTCGGTTGTTCTGGAGATTGAGCTTCGTGAGCGACCCGAGCCGGCAGAACGACACCGGCAGCTGTTCAAGCACGTTGTTCTGGAGGTAGAGCTCGGGGAGCATCGTCAGCTCGCCGAGCGACGGCGGCAGGGCCCGGAGCTTGTTGCTCTTGAGGTACAAGTACCGCAGCGACCCGAGCCTGCCGATCGACTCTGGGAGCCGCTCGAGCTCATTATCCTGCAGGTACAGCCGCACCAACGAAGCGAGATTGCCGAACGTCTCGGGCAAGTGCCGCAGCCGATTGCCCTCGAGATGGAGCTCGGAGAGCGACGCCAGTTGGCCAAAGGTCTCCGGGAGTGCTTCCAGGCGGTTGTTGTCGAGATGCAGCTCGGGGAGGTGCACAAGCCGGCCAAAGGACTCGGGCAGAGCCGCCAGCAGATTGTTCTCGAGCCGCAGGTACCGCAGCGAACGCAGATCCCCAAACGACTCGGGCAGGCCGGCCAGCCGGTTGTTTTCAAGATGGAGGAACTGCAGCGACGTCAGACGGCCAAAGCTGGCCGGCAGGGTGGCCAGACGATTGTCTTCGAGCCTGAGATTGACGAGCGACGTCAGTTCGCACACCGAGTCGGGCAGCCGGGCAAGGCCAGCCTGTCGCTGGAGAAACAGCTCCGAGAGCGACCGGAGCTGCCCGAACGACTCTGGGAGGGTTGTCAGCCTGTTGTTCAGCAGGTTGAGATGCTCGAGGGAACGCAGGAATCCAAAGGACGGCGGCAGAGCCTCGAGGCGATTGTTCTGCAGATACAGGCCCGTCAGCGCCGTCAGATTGCCGATGGTGTGGGGCAGGCTGGATAGACGGTTGTTCTCGACCCGGACGTTCGACAGGGCCGAAAACGAGGCCATCGAGTCCGGCAGCGACGAAATGCTCCTGTTCCAGATGTTGACGGAATCTCGACCCAGGCTGCCAAACTCGCTTGCCCATGCAGCATGCAGATACGGCCAGCGGGTCATCAGCAGATGGTGTCGCTCTAAGCAGGCTCGCATCGCTGCCCGGAAGAGCGTCTCGTCCGAGCTCACAAGGTTCCAAAAGGCATCTTCGCAGGGAGCACTCTTGGCAGAGGTGCGGGCGAAGAAGCGAAAGCAGCCGAGGGCAATGTGTTTGAAGGACATGCTGGCCTCCTTCAGCCTGGATGGCAGCAGCGCATTGGTCTCGGAGGAGGGGGAGTCTCGTCGGCCGATGCCATGATGGCCATAGACTTCATCCAGGCCGATGGAGTCGCTGTCTCTGCTGTCGGCCTTGAGCGATCGTCGGAGTTGGGCATCGCAGAGGTCAGCTATCGGGACCTGGATGAGTCTGGAGATGTGGCATTTCCAGAGATAGTGGCCGTCATCGTATCGATATCGATACAGCCTTGCGAGGCTGGTACACTTGAGCAGCAGCGGGAGCGGGGCATATTCGGAGTGGAGGACGATGTCGATGACGAAACCAAAGAGCAAGTGGCTCGATATCGCAGGTGGGAGCAGAGCGGGCGAAGCACAGGCTGGGGATGCAGTGGGCTGTGCAGGCGGTGGAAGCGAGAGATGCGACATGGGTGGACCGGGCAAGGGCAATGTGTGAAATGCGACGGATGCAGACAGAGCCGGTGACGGTGGCCGAGGCAATCAAGACGATTCGGACACTGGTGGCAGCATCGGTGTGCTTGTATGCGTCTTGAATGCCGGCCAACGAGACGGAGTGCCCTGGAAAGTCGCGAATATTGCCAGGGTTCGTCCGAAGGAGCAAGGCCAGCAGGCACATGTCATTGGGACGGTGCATGAGGCCAACGATCAGGAGCAGATAGCAAGTTCCCTGAATGGGCTCATGATGACCACAGCGAACATGCACTCCAAGTCTGCCGACTCGAGTAGCTTGGGTGGAAATCTGGGACTTGGCGATAACTGCTCAGCCGAGTCAAAGAAAGCGTCGCTGTATTGAGTGGCATGAAGGCGATGATGGTGCAATACTCCCAGTCATACTCTGCCAAACAGACAACCGAGACAAGACAGCCGACAAACGAGAAGAACAGCGAGTGGATATCAAGTGGGAAACAGCCCAGGGGAAGGTTGGGGCGGAGATGGAAAGAACAAGCACAATACAAAGCAACGACAGAAGGAAGAGTGTCCTCGCTGTGAGACTCAGTCGAGGACTCAGTCGAGGACACTGGATCGATGGTGTGGTCGAACCAGGATCTGACTGGTGAGACTCTGGGTGAAGCACCGAGGGCCGTCCAAGTGCAGTGCATCAACTGCCACTACCGGTCACTGCTGGCCATGCCTCAGGACAACCCATCGGTGCAGCCTGGTCCAGCACATCTGTGCCGTTCAGTTGCGGCCAGTGCGGCCAAAGACGCTGACCTCGGGATAGTCGTCCGTCTGGAGCGGCGAGACAGGCTCGGCCGGAGCAGGGAGGTATTTCACACGGTCCAAGAATCGGAGACATCGCTCGACGACCTTCTCGGCTGGGAGACTCGGTGTCGGATAGATCGAGCGGGTGTTGGGGTTGTCGACCTGGACGGACATGTCCATCAGCATGTGCATCAGCGGGAACAGGGCGTTGGTCTCGACGGAGGGAGCCGATTGGAGCAGGATCTTGAACTGCTCGCGTGTCTCGAACATGACTCGCCAGCCCATGGCATTGACGATCTCAAAGATCTTCTTCTCGGCGATGAGGCTGAGCATGGGGTGTCGGTGTGAGATGGGTTGGTGTGTGATGGGTTGGTGTGGTGAGCCGGTGCTGTCCCATCCATTCTCTATCCATGCCCTTCCTTCCCACTCGCTGCTCCCCCAGCATGCCATGAGCTACATCCTCACCTGTTCTCCGAGTCGCTGACATGGAACACAAAGTTGGAGAGGGCCTGCTCCGAGGCCACAATCGCCGTGACGACCTTGGCCACATGGTCGACCGGGTCCATGGTCAGGGTGACGGGGGTTGCATGGGAGGGAGCGATTCCGATCTGGATGCATCCCTTGACATATCGCCAGATGTAGTCATCAACGTTGCATGCTGGTGGCGAGAGAGAGATGGAGAAAGCGAGTGAGTGTCGGCCGAGGACTCACCAAGCACATCACCACATCACCACATCACCACATCACCACATCACCACATCACCACATCACCACATCACCACATCACCACATCACCACATCACCACATCACCACATCACCACATCACCACATCACCACATCACCACATCACCACATCACCACATCACCACATCACCACTCGCTCACCTCCGTATCGGCTCTCGCCGACGATCGCGGCCGGTCGGATGATCGTCACCGGCACGCCCCTCGATCGTGCCTTGTGGATCAGCTGCTCCGAGACCCACTTGGTCTGTGCGTAGCCGCCAGAGAGGTTCCAGTTCAGCGACATTCGCTCCTCGAGCGGCTGGGCCGAGCCCTTCATCGGCAGCGTACCGATCGTCGAGATGTAGTGGAGCGGCTTCAAGTGGTGGGTCGTGGCCAGTCTCAATGCCGTCGCCGTGCCGAGGACGTTCGGGCCCTTGAGTGCCTCGTAGTTGTAGAGCCAGTGGACCTCGGCACCGTTGTGCACAATCACATCACTCTGCTCGCTGATCTCCTGCCACCGCTCGTCCGACAGCCCCCACTTGTCCTGTGCCAGGTCGCCGGGAAGACCCACGATCCTGGGACGGATGTTGTGCTCGAGGTCGTGCATCTGCTGCTGGTTGAGGATCAGCTTGCTGGCCGTGTCAAAGATGCGGTCGATGGCGGCCGGCTCGTCCTTGGCTCGGACCAGGCAGTAGATCTTGGCGCTGGGGAACCTGCTGGCCAGCTCGTACAGCAGGAATGCGCCGAGGAACCCAGTGGCCCCCGTCAGGACGATGCCGCGAGGATTGTCGGGATAGACAAACCGAGGGAGGCCGTCGGCCGTCACACCCGCATCGTCGAACCTGACGGCTTCCTGGTACAGATCCACGGTCGGCGGGACCATCAGTCTGTCGTCGAGCATGTCGATGGCAAGCTGGGCGACATCGGTGGGTGTCATTCCGTTCGACAGCAGGATCAGCGGCGAGAGCTCGACATCCAGCTCGTCCTTGATGGCCAGGGCCAGGCGGCCGGCGCTGAGCGAGTCAAAGCCGACACCGCCAATGTAGTAGTTGCGGCCATCAAGGGCGGCCCTGCCCAGGACCCGGCTGCCGATCTGAGAGATCTTGGCAGCGACGCGGGACAGGAGAGTGTTGTCGATCCTGAGAGCCGGATAGACGACCGACGCAGTGTACTGCTCGACATTCTCGGCAAACAGCCTGAGCTTCTTGAGGTCGCGCTTGTTGGAGTCGTTGAAGGGGAATCGCTCGAGCGCAAAGCAGTTGTGGATCGGGACCTTGGCGACGTTCGAGAGCGCAAAGAGCTCCTCGGTCATCAGGATGATGTTGGCGGGACTCAGGAGGATGGCAGGGCCGCTTTGGGGGACATAGAGCATCACGATGCGCTTCTCGGAGGTCATGACAAAGGCACAGTCGGCGATCGAGTGGCTCAGGTTCTGGTTGACAAGCTCCTCGAGGGCATTGAGGTCGACATAGACGCCGTTGACCTTGACCTTCTGGTCGAATCTGGAGCGGTGCATGTGGAGGGATGATGTGGTGTGATGGGATAGCAATGTGTGATGGGAATGTGGGTGAGAGGTGTGTGATGAGGTCGATACATGGCAATTGGATGAGTGGTGGATGGGTGGGTGGTGAGGCAGGAGATGAATGCCACATCGCAGCCAACATACCGACACAGTGCCTCTGCATCGCACTCACCTTCCGACCACAGTGAACTCGTTCTCGCTGACCATCTCGACCCAGTCCATGGTGCAGACACGAGGCGAGCCGTCGCTGAGGAAGCCAAAGTATCCAATCTTGTTGTCCGGGTCGGCGTTGACAAAGCTGGGATGATCCTTGACTGGATGGTCGGGATCGACAGCAAAGACAAGGACGCCGCTGTTGGAGAACCTTCTGTCGATGAAGTTGCCGTGCTCGTCGATGATATGGCAGCGGACTCCTGGCTTGGAGAGCTTGTACACAAGTTTGGGTGGGACTTCGGTGACATCGGCCGGGAGACTGAAATAAGCTCCGGCACCTATCAATGCGGACTGATAAAGCATATCGTTGCTGGAGTCAGTCGAATGGTTAAAGATCACAATAATTTTACGATTTGATTATGTCTTACCTCACTTGAACCATAAACGGACTGAATCTCGGCATTTGGGAAGCGGCGTCTGGCTTCACAAACGACGCTTCGAGGCACAATTTCGGACCCAAGAAGGATCTTTCTTGTTCTTCGCCAAACGATGTGCCTGTTTTCCGACACTCCGACTCCGATTATCAATTTGAGGAACGAGGGAGGCTGATAATATAACAAAGCATATTGGTTAGTCACAGCTCGATACAAATGGAATACTGCGTATCCCTACATACCAATCCCATGAACTCGAGACCATCGTTGAGCATCTTGGAAATACTTCGGACTTTCTCGACACGATTTGAAGTTGTGTCTGGAATCCATGCTGATCCTCGGAGGTTGAGAGTTGCCAAGAGCAGACCAAGTGTCAGTGAAAACGAAGGTGCCTGTGGAAATGGAGAAGTAAGTTGATGATCAATTATGTTTTCGGGTGTTTGCGAAGGGTTCGTACCTGGGAGAGTCCGATGCTAATATTGATGATCCCAATCGATTTATGAAGGGTGATTGAACCAAAGTACGAATATTTGTATCTGATACACATTTATGAACAGAGAGTGGTCAGTGATCTCCGTTGAATCGCTTCGGACTGTGCTCAATACACTGTCTCGATCCACTTACGTCTTGGGGATGCCTGTCGAGGAGCAACAAGAACCACCATGAGCATCATGCATATCCTGTGATGACCCACAGACACTTGCTCGATCGTACCATGCCATCAGATGCGCCACTCATCCGATGTATCAAGCACTCCGCCCAGACACATAGCTGGCGGATGCTCTGACAGCCATCCATACCTGTCGTTCCAGAAGTCGAGAGATAGGTGACGAACTCATCGAGTGGCTCGCACGCCTCAAGCGAGGGCAGTGGGATGTCGTCCAGCATCGGGAATGTCGATGCATCCACAAGAGTCACTCCCTGTGTGCGTCCGGGCTTGACGCAGTGGTGCAGGATATACTTGATCGAGTATCTGGATGGATGCAGCCCTGTCAGCTGCTGTTTATGAATCGACACCTCTCTGCCGCCATCATCACTTCTGAGGTCGAACTATCTCACAGACAATAGACATGCCCACAAACGATCCAGACATGCCCACAGACAACACACCTGTCGCACACAGCCTTTCGGGCAGCCGGAGGCAGGTTGAGACCAAAGTTGATTGTCTTCCTGGATGGTGGTCAAGGGACGAGCGAGGAGAGTCAGGAGGATCACAGAGCCAGGAGGGAGGATCGCAGAGTCAGGAGGGATCACAAGCCAGGACAGAGCATGAACGATGGCACTGGATCGACAGTGCTGGTGGCGGATGTGTGGAGCAAGCAAGCAGCAGACGACTGATGCAGCGGGACTCGCCCTCGATCGCATCCAAGCAGCACTCACTTGCCAAGCATCCACACTGCAAGGGAATAGAACACCCAGTTGACCTCGGACTCGCAGAAGGTGCCGATGACCTCGTGGTCGGCGTCGTCCCAGCCGGCGAGGGCCCTGAGCCCCTGGGCGATCGAGTATGCTCTCCTCCACACCTGGCGATAGGAGTGTCGCTCGGAGGCACCGCTCTCGTATGTGTTGATCAGGAGGGCATCGGGCTCGTCGCAGGCGCCGTTGATGAGACACTCGATGGGATGGAGCCAGGGACCAAGGGAGTCGGCTGGTTTGGAGGATGCCGTGCCTGACGGCTCGGGCTGGGTTTGCTGGACAGGGGCTTTCGAGGTTGTGTCATCCACATCCATATCGACATCCACATCCATCGACGACTTGGCCGGGAGACTGGAGCTCGAGGCCATTTGGTGGCGGATGCGACGGAGCAGGGGAGATCGGGGGAGGAAGAGGACGAGGAGAGGGAAAGGGGCAGGCAAGACAAGATGCGGCGGGATGGAGTGGGATGGGATGTGGGATGTGGGATGTGGGATGTGGGATGTGGGATGTGGGATGTGGGGTGTGGGATGGCATGCAGATTCACCCCCTCGCCGATCGGAATGGCCATGACTGGTTCGGGGTTCGCGTCTGTGGAACCTGGGGCGAGTGGTCCACCTGCCACTCTGGCATGGGCTGTCGCTGCTCGGCTGTCGCTGGTGGCATCTGTGGGTGTCTGTCTCTGCTCCGATAATGCAGTAACACAGGCTAATGCAGTAGCACCAAGGACTAATGCAGTTCCACAACCGATGGGTGGCGTGGGCTGACCTGCCTTCCATCCACCCAACCAACAGCCCTCCTCCGGCATCCGCGAAAGACCGGAAGGGAAGAGCAGTCCTTCAATCCCTCTCATCCAGGGTCTCGGCGTATCAGCACAAGCCAAGCTCTGTCCTCTTCTCTGCAACTCTCCGAATCATGGAATCAAGAGGTGCAAGAGTCGATTACCATCGATGACACACGTCCAACTGTATTCGGAGCCGCATCCTCCAACGATCGAAACCAAACCCCGAATGGGGACAGCGTGAGCAGGCCCCAAGTTCAGTTCGTGACAGATAGGATGAGAAGACATGCAGCACTCGTCGGGGATCAGCTGCACTAGGCCAGAATAAGCAAAACCATCCCAAATGTAAGGACGGCATAGAGAATGCCGGTGCGTACGGCGAATGGCTTCTGGAAGCTCTTGAGCGACAGCATCAACGGATCAAGATTCGGCATCAGCAACAGTATACTGTACACAGGAAGGACGATGCTGGGGTTGGAGTGAACGGTACTGCAGTTATAAGCGAATACTTCGCTCGTAGTCATGAATATCGGGAAGGCAACCAGCAGCGGCAGCAGCAGGATAACGTGTCGGAAAGTAAAGTAAATGAGTGTTGCAACACATCGTCGACGCTCGCTGCCAAACGGCCCAGTGCCTTGATGCGTGCGTGCATTGTTTCGCGGGCTGTCTTCAGGCTCAATCAATCGCTGTTCGAGGTGGACGTAGGCCAGGTCGAGCAACAGGACCACTGTGACCACGATGAGGCTGGCCACTGGGATGAGGGCAATGTCCGGGAAGATGAACACTGAGACGATGCACATGAGTGTGCGGAAGATGGCGAGGACCGCAAGATTGACAAAGTTGGCGTATCTACGTGTGTATATCTGGCGGTCACAAACCCATGCGCCATGTGCATGTTATCGCCCTGGTTGCCATCAACAAACCCCCTGCACCGGCGTCGCATCTCCCACCAGCGAGTCCGTTTGCATCGGTGCTCTTCCTCCGTCAGCGAACTGGGAGACTCTGCCCATTTCCACACCACTATTCGTCCCTTCGCCCCGTCCCAACCGACTCCACGACCGCCCGCATTCGCATCTGCTTCAAAATCAAGTGCTCGCTTCGTGTTATGAAGAACTCAATCGCTGGACGGCGATTTGGGAAGGACTCTCAGAGACTTTTGTGAGATGTAGAGAAGCTGCTCGGTCAGATGCTGTCTCCTCTCCACAGGAACCTTTGAAAAGAGCTTGACGGGGATCAGAATCGCCGCGGGCACCACAACGGCAACCATCTGCTCAATCCACACATCGCCTTCTGTGATTCCATATTGGTCTGTGATGTACTTTTGTCGCAGCTGAAACGAAAACTCGACAATAAGGGCTGAATAGCCCAGAATCCTGACGGCATGATCGATGGACGATCTGTACGGCGCCATGAGGGCACTGTTGGGGCGAAGCTCGATGAGCGACTGTTGCATTCGACCGTTTGCCTCGCTGCACATAGCACATAGCACATAGCACAGCACTCCTACCGCAGCATCAGAAACATCCACAGGGTTGATAGCGTCACATAGATGGGGACGTACGCTGTATGATGGCAGAGCGAGTCTCTCAGCTCGCGGTCCGCCCAATGGTCACTGGCGTGGACGGCTTATCCATCGCACCTACCTCCGACTGGCCGAAGAAGCATCGGCAGCCCAATGATCATCGATCGCTCCATCAAATCCACAGCCATCCACCAGCGGAACTGGTCTGTGTAGCAGCTGTGCAGGACGTAGAACGGATCCGTCTTCTCCAGCTCGACATGGGTTCTGCTTTGCCGCTCCCGTTCAGGACGATCTTCCTGGACGGTCTTGCCCTGGTCCGTGGCATCATTCTGTCGATGGAGCCCGTATCGGAGGAGGGCGCCTGGGAGCACAATCGCCTGAACCACCACGATGGCACCGGATACAACGGCTACGGCTGTGTGGGAACCTGTCCAGCACTATTGCCGATGCTGAGTCAGTTCCTGGCTGCTGCGAGAAAGTACTGACTCGCTCTGGTGCGCTCGTCCCGCATCCAGCTCACCTGGATCGACGGATAGTCCCACACAACTGAGGGAAGACCCTCAATGGTCCTGCAGGACAGAATGCCGACGGCTGCTCGAGCGATGTTAGCACACGTCCGCATCAGTGTGAACACTCTCGAGCGTGCACAACGAATCCATCTTGCGAAGGATGCGCCTCACCTGTGCTGTAGACCGGGCTGAAGTAGAAAAAGATCAGGATGATGCTTGTCCGTTTCAGAGAGTGTCTGAGGCCTGTGTCCAGATACGGAAACCAATGGATCGTCTTTGCCCAGATCTTCTTGAACAGCGGGCCTCGATCAGGACCCCGGACGAACTGGATCATCGCGTGCCACAGACCCTGGCAAACGATCATGCCAAGAGCAACCACATATGGAGCGATCATCTTGTCGAACGGACTCAATGGAAGCACGCATCCGCCTTGACTGTTCTCTATGTTGAGGCTCAGGCTGAGAAACGATAGTGCCTTCGAAACAACAGTCGTGTGATCAAAGTCCAGCAGGTAGGCGAGCTGATATATCAGGACCTGCCAACAGAAGGATGGATCAGCCAGTGGGGCGAGCTACGGCTGGGTCCAGATTGGTGATGCTCCTGCGTGCAATCCAGGGCAAATCTCTGATGCAGCCAGGCGAGGCTTGCATGTGCCCGATCCGTCAGCATGGCAAAGATGCGCTGCATACCATATCAAACACAAAGCTCTCCTTTGACGCAGGAATCACACACAGGATGCAGACCACGAGAAACAACGCAATGAATGCCGCGATGCCAACTGCGATATTCCTTGCAGCGTCGTCGCAGCGGACGCACTGGCGGCCCCATTCGTATTGCCCCTCTGGACACTGTCCGCAGAGCCTGCAGAGACATTGATCGGACATGGTCACCGTCAGCCAGAGCCACAACCGTCACAGCCACGGACATGATCTCTCCAGACCTGCTGCCATCACACATCTGCCATCGCACATCTGCCATCGATACTTACACTCCAACGTGGCCATTGATGCACTGGTTGCCGTCGTCGATGCGACATGCGCTTGCACAGCCTAAGAGCCCACGAAGAATTCGTATCATTGTTGACAGCAACGGAATCAGCGAGCGTCCACGGCACATGGCATCAAGCAATGCGAGGATGTGGGAGCAGAGCAGGCCCTGGTCGCAGTACGATTTGTTGTCTACATACAGCCTGTTGTGGAATCGCACAGATAGAAGGCCGAGTCGATGGTTGAGGCGTTTGCATCGAACCAGTAGTTTCGCGACACCAATATGTTGCCGTTCTCGCATGTGGCGCCAACCGGACATGGTGTGCATGCCGAGTTGTAGTTGAGGTTGTAGGTTCCTGTCCCCGAGGGTCAGCAGTGGGGAGATGTCAAGAATGGCATTCTGCAAACTCGTTGGACATGCATGAATGCCATGGACGATCGTCTCCCGAGATAGGAGACACGGTCAGACCTACCAGCGGGGCACGGAAAGCATATCTGCGATGCCGTTCCGCTTGAATAGGGCTGCCAGCCTGGCGGGCATGCTGGAATTGATGCACTGTGGGGTCAGTTGAGAACGACTTCATTGAGTGGCGAGTGCTCGTCACTCACCAGCGGTAAGTGAGTCCGACGGAACCTGGACCAGTGATGCGAGTGGCGATGAGAAAACGCAGGCGGTGGAGTTTGTGAGTGAGTGTGCGGATTTCAGGAGCTCACAGCCACGTGGTGCCAGATGGAGCAGAGAGATCAGGGTAGATCATGGAGGCCGACGGAAAGTCAAGCGTGCGATACTACAGAATGGAGTGCGGCGCACCCAAGCAACCAAGGGAGCGGATGCTCACCTTCGACGATCCGTCATTGTTGACGAAAACACATCCCGGACATCCCAAGTCGATTTGATTTTTGAAGTAAGTTGCAACAGCTTGGGTCGTTAGGGAATCGTTTGAGATGGCATTTGTTACTTCGATCAGCATCTCACGCTATAGGGCATGTTGTGTTAATCAAGTCGGACACAGACAGCAGCACAATGAATCCACATGCCCATGAGGTTGCCAAGAGTCGAGCTTGGATAATACAATGTATTTGCGGCTGTGGCACCTAGCACTGGGCTCAGACTTACTCTCAAACATCCGTTGGCATCGAATATCAAGTATCCAGCTGCCCCATCGAAGGTTTTGTTTTTGAGATAATCCAGAGGATAAGAATAGTTCGTGGACAGTAGCTCCAGAAGTGGGGTATTTGGGTATATCTGCATGAGATCGGTCTGCAAGAAGGGAACCAGTGAGATGCAGGGCACCCAACGGTGACTGGCTCTGCTGTGCCCAAGATTTGCGGCTTTCATCAGCACGGCCTTACCCATGCCAAGGCTAGCAGATACACCGCATCATAGACCAATCTTGCGCAATAGTATAAACGAGCGATTACAGATGCGGTGAGTGGCTGAGGGTGTTGGACCGACTTTTGATGCAGTATCTGGGGCAGTCCCTAACCTGTATGGCCAGTCGCTTCCATCGTCATAGAGAGTCGGATACATGGTATCGTTTAGCAGCGAGAGAGCGTTCCACTTTTTCTCGAACTGCGAGTATCCTTTCCCGAGAGTGCTATTTTGGCCCGCTGATGTTGCGATTTGTTGTCAGCTCTCGATTGAATCAGTCGGTTTTGATGCTTCTCTCAACCGATAGAACAAGGGCACGACCAACCTACATACCAATTATATATCCACGCACGACTATCCCAGGGTCATAATCAAACCAGGAGAGGTTTTGATATGTTACGTATGGCGAATTGAGGCCCTAAATAGCACAGATGACTCAATCAAAACAGCCGCGAGATCTCAGCCGTATATCGTCGGCCACGGTCGGCGCACCTACCATCCATACGTAGGACGAGCCAACGAGGCCATTCTCATATGCTGAAAAATACAAATCCGAGGCGTAGTCAACCGTGGCGGCGACAAAGATGATCTTTGCTCCTGACCTTTTGAGATTCTCCAACGGAATGGCCAGATCGGAGCGGCTTCCCCGCGTGGGGCCATAGAATCCCTGCAGTGGAACCAACCATCTCTCTCAGCAACGACAGAGCCGATCGAATGCCAATTCATGTCGCGCAGAGCAGCCATATCGATACTCCGCGCCAAAGAAGCATCGCGATCCGTGGTGAACACACCTGCTCGAGCACAATGTTGAATCCCATTAAGTTGGCGACGGATTTGAAATCGACACTCCCTGTGTCATGGAGTGCCAAGTCAGACTCGAGTACTTCTCTGGAGCTACACACAGTCCAAACTCGCAGCCATTGCATCTTGCACCTCCACTCGTGTTGCAACGATTCAAGGCATGAATCAGCCCCCACAACGGCCTGTTGTCCTACCAGTAATCCCAAACTGGTCTCGTCCGTATAAAATAGCAATCTGAGAGCAAGCGATTCATTGCAAATCAGTGAAATCGATCATGTTATCGTGGATTGGATGCTGGTTGCACTTCAGGTAGATGCATTGCTCGGTGGCATGAATCATACCGATCTCCAACCCATTGCCCAAGCATAGCTGAGCAGAGCTTCGCTGCTGACCAGACTTGGTTCGATCAAAGCCACAAAAGTCTGTGACCAAAGGCGGCGTCAGCGAAGCGTCCGACTCTCAATGTTTTGCGTTTGAGTCATATATACCGGATAGGCTGTTCGATCTGTGAGTATCGTGGCTGATGTTTCGAGTCCGATATGCGGAATCTGCGAGAAGACAGCGACACATCCGTGAGTGCGCAGAGCCGAAGGCGCATTCGTTGGTGTGAATCGGAGGGAGTTGGCGTGAATCCTGGAGAGTATGGATTGAAGTACCATTATACCTTGTAAAAGCCTGATATCGTTGCTTCGTATTGATTTTGCTGCAAACAGGAGCTGCGGTCAGATGGATCGAGCGAGCACGGCACGATACTGCATACACGGAGTGCCGACAGCGCACCTGGCTAAACGAGTCGCCGATGACGGCTTTGATGTTTTCATTCTGGAGCATATCTAGGAGTCCAACGCTGCGTGATAGAAGCGCACGATGCGTGTGTCAACAGACGGTTTCGTTTAGCATGGGACCGAGACATTCTGCAGATGCGACTGGAAGCCGTGAGAGTAGTGTCGATGAGTGCAGCAAGAGAGTAGTCAGAGAGCCTCACATTCCGTCCCATATGTTTCCATGACTGTCCCTGACCACAGCTGAGAGCGTGACATCTGCGATCCAGCACGATATGGGTGAGAATGCTGCTCGGAAGGGGCCGAGTCAGCGCAGGCGGTGATGGCGGAGGACAGCAGCTCATGGCGACGACAATGCGAGCTGGATAGACGAGGAACGCATTGGAAACCAGCAGCCGCGTGACATACTTGGCATGATTGTCGAGCTATTGTTGATCTCGTCGATGGCCAGCTGCATCGCCTGGAAAATGTATTGGCCTTGCAAAAACTCTATAGATTCGATCTGGTAGTTGAGACCGATCTTGATGGCGATGGTATTGTTTCGCGCGGCAGATCTGCTTCTGGGCAGGAACGTAACAATGAGGATCGCCAGCACAAGGCCGGCAATGCGAGGCATCTCGCAGCTGGATGGAGATCGATCGAAAGACTGTGACCTTCTAGAGCCAGGAGGAGAATCGATTCTGGATCACAGTGAGGCCCCTCTGGGCTCAACCGATTGCTATTTTGAAACGGGACATCACACACGGACGACTTGCATGGCGTGCATGGCTTGTGTGAATCAGACGACCCCCGGTTCACATCCCCAGCCCATGTCCTCTTGGTTCACCCAGATCTCTCCTTCTCTCGATCCAGTCCGATCCGAATCCGCTCTTCCACTCCCCAATATGGAGACTCTGCGCAACGTCGTCTCCGGCCTCTCTCAGCGATTCTATGCCAACGCAGAGATCCTCCACAGGATTGTCTCTGGCCAGGGGCCTCCCGAATACGCCTTCAATCCCGACGATTCGAACTCCATCCATGCAGCTATCCGCGAGTTTCTCAAGGATTCACAGAGTTTCTACAAGGCGGTAGGACTATAAAGCCACTCCTTGAAACTTCGCATCGATCATGGATATGGCGAGCAGCCCCACTCCTTGATCATCCATCCATCGTATGGCCTTGGACAAACGATCTGCGCAACAGCGATCCGCATTGATCTGAAAGCACTGCGTTGGGATCTGACAATACCACATGCTCTGAAACTCTGCTCGTTTGTAGGTGGACTGGACCGAGCCCTTCCTGCTTGCTTTCGGGCTCCTGCACATCGCCATATTTATTGCAGCCCTGTTGGCTAGAAAGTCGCTGAACGGGACGATCGTCGTCTTCTTTGCCATCGGTATGGCACTGTCACCAGCTGCTGGCCCGATCAGCATTGTTCAAGACTTGGCTTTGGGGTCTGCAGTCTCTCGCAAGGCTCCCATATGCAAGACTTGGGCTCACCATGATCATTTCTCCTTCGATGGCCGATGCGCACTTCAGGGCTACTCATTATCCTGGGCGAGCCGCTCAATCGCCTGGCATCCAAACACCATGCCGCATTTGCCAACACCAACTATTTCGACGCCAATGGGGTCTTTATGACGACGGTGTTTTCACTCCCGCTCCTGATCAATATGCTGGTTGTCTTGGTGAGCGCTGGACCAACTGCTCTGTCTCGGCATCCGAGGAGCAACCGATCCTTCTGTCAGCGGTGGATTTGCCTGGTTGGAGGCTCCACCGTTCACCTTCGGTGCATGTCGTCCTTCGATCCCTGGATACGACGACTGAATTTCCATGTCTCGACCGACAGATCGTGATGCTCGGCCATCTGTTTTCAGTCATGGCCAAGGCTAAGGCCGCCCAACTCAAGTCCCAGAATCACAGCAACAAGCGCAAGAGTGACTGAAACATGCACCAAGCGAGCTCGGCTACCCATGGATCGTTGCAGTTCTCTGACAACATCCATGCGAGAGAAGCAGTCTCGGGCTATAATTGCATGACACTGGCAGCATCGGCGGAATGAAGCGATGTACTCTTCTTCCACCGATGGTGAGGGCCCCTTCAACGACTCTGCACCCATGCTGATCTGGCATATACTTGTATGATTCGGTCACCGCCTGCGACATCAATATCCACCATCACGCTCACTTTATGAATGAGCCCAACCACGACGGACAAGCAATAGTAATGTTGCTGCAGATAATCACAGATGGCTCTCAAAGCGTGCACTGTCCCGGGTGATCTGCACCGACTTTATTCTATGATGGCGATTTGCTATATCTGCGATTATGGCATTCCAATCGAGCGGCGTCCCGCTATTCGGCGAGATTCACGGGATTGGGAGCACGAGATGATCTTCGAAAGAATCTCTTGAACTTGAACCCACGCCGATACGATTGGTATGTTGAGGGCCGCCAAATTGACCCCGAGTCACCCGGGAGTAGTAAAGATGGCCATCACACAATGGTTAGTAGGCGATATGCTGCCATCCATGCATAGTGGACTTGAGGCCAGAAACTGCACCGATTACCCCGGAGTGCACGAAGCGAGTGCTTACAGATTCGAGGACAGCGAGCCTCTTCTTCTTGTCCTTCTTGGATTCGGTGCCCATGTTCTCGAGAGCAGCTCCGATAGCCTCGATCTGTGAACGGTCGGATTGGCGACTTGTTATCACTGGTTGTGCACGGTCGCTGACAGAAAAATTGACTCCATACCTCTGTATCGGTGGCGTTCAATGGGGCCTTCAGCTTGTGGATGCCTTCGGCACCTCTGACTGCTGCGGCCATCTCGCGATTGCCTGCCCTCTCTGCGACCTTGGAGATGATCTGGGCGACATCAGGCAGGAGGTTGATGGCCGTTTCGTCGCTCTGCAGCGCGAGAAGTGACTTGTCCGCGTTCTGGTAGCCATGGCGTTAAGCGTGAGATTATAGAGTTCGTTGGCTGTCGATAAGCCAAACATTGACCAGAGACACCACTCAGAGAGCCAGAACGCCTGCGGGACATATTTTCGAACCAGAATACCCGAATCGATTGTCGGAGGCTCACCTGAGGCGACGCTCCAGCTCCAGCTCCAGCTGGAGGGGCGGACGCACTGGGAGCTTTGCCATTGGCATTGTGATCACCAATGGAGGCAAGCACCTGTCAGAAACGACATCGGAGTGGGTCGTAGAAATGAGTCAAGGGCATAATGAGGCGACCGGGCCGTCCATATAATTTGATTTGAGTGCGGTTGGTTATCGGGTCTACAGGCGCGGACTCCCTACGCTCCATGGTGCCGCAGTAGCAGCCCATCCATGGCGATACTCCCTCTCGATAAAAACGCACCTCCTGGGGCGATAGGTCCGTGTAGCTCTTCTTTTTGGCCTCCGGGAAGATGAAGCAGTTGTTCTCAAAGCCCTGGAGTAGATATCACCGTAAGTTCTGGGACTCTATCGATAGTGGGCGATGCGGCCAGGTCAAGCTGTCGCACATGTTCATTGAAGTGTAGCAATTAGGAGAGGGCTTACTCGCTCGTCTTTGCACTTTGGTTCCTTTGGATCGGCGAGCCACACCCCGTCGACGATGTATTTATAGGCTACTCTGTGTCCAGCCTCAAAGCTATCGTCTTCAAACTGGATTTCGGTTTCGAAAATATCGCCGGTGTTCTTGAGGTAGTGGGTTCCATTCCAGTCGTCCCACTCGCCAGTGATGATCACCTGAGGGCAAGATTGGGCCGTATGTATAACGACATCAGCCAGTGCAAACGATTGATAGCGCACGAAGGAAGGATGTGGCAGCAAACGGCAGCCAAACAAGATCAGTTCAGGTCTGTGCTTCCCGATTCGCCAAGTCTTTGGTGAGCAAGCTCAAGTGGCAAGACCACTGTGGGAGTGCCCGCACGGGAAGGTGGTCTAAGGGCATACCTGGGAGGCTGTGTCTGCCGGCCATGAGAATCTGTGGGAATACATGCCGCTGGACGGCTACGGAAGCACATCTGCAGCATCAGTCGGCAGTGAATCAAGAATGCACCGGCGGATCAACAGATTTCAAATATATGGCGAACTTACACGAGGGTTGGGGGCTCAAATGGCAACGGTTTCAATTGGAGACGGACGACGGAGGTCGAAGACCTACGATGCACGGTGATGAGCTGATCGAGTCTGCACAGAGTTAGAACGCGCGTGAGTGCAGTCAGCGGTCGTTCCAGACGACAAAGCGAAATCGGTTGGCCATGGTCGGCAGCTCACTTGAGAGGAATGAAGCTCAGTCCCCCCCCCTTCTTTCCCCTCACTCTCGTGAGCCCAAAGAAACGCGGCTTACTTGATAGGACGCCGTGGGAGCGGGTCTGAGGCAGAAGAAACAGGCAAGACAGAGGAGGCACAGATAGGGTTGAACAGTGAGCACCGACGGCAAACTTTAGTGGGCGTATGGATAGACGAACAGACGAAGGGACGAACAGACGAATAGACGAACGGATGGAGAGCAGTCGAAGGGAGAGCGCAGAAGGCGGCGTGGGGCAGGCAAAATGGGTGCGGGGTGGGAGGGGTCTTCGGACTCCCACAAGTATCCGTTTGGCAAGCGGGGCGGCTTCTCACGAGGACGCTGTGTGGGCCACTGCCCGGGCCAGAGCCAGCACTGCTGGCCAAGCGCACTAGATAGAGCGAGCACTCTGAAACGAAACACTGCATTGGCGGTCCTCCACTGAGAAAGAACCCGAGGCGCCTGAGACCGAGCTCAAAGTGGTCTTGGAGTATCAACTGAAGCCACGGTCCCTCCGCGGCAAACAGGACAGCCAGATATCATCATCAGGGAGGAGCAGTGATGGGTGGGTAGGCTCAATAGCGGCGGTGTGGAGCCGCATGAGGCTCGATTGATGAGACTCGATTGAAAAGATCGCTTTGATCTCACGCTTCTGTTCCGCCAGCGCGCGGCACCAAATCGGCAGCCAAGAGCTCCATCCCAATCTGGCACCCATCTGCTTCATCGCTCTCGGGCTGGACAGGACACTCCCAAGCACCTCTGGCGCATCGGCTGACGCTGCCGCAGGCATTCGGCAGCACTGCTTTCCTTGCGCTCTCGACTGGGTACCGGCCCAATGGCGAGCCGAGACCATTCGATCAAAAACAACCTGGGGCAGCAGCTCCAGCAGCTCAAGAAGAGCGACCATGACCGCTCTGTGCAGGGCCACCCTATCGTTGCTGGTCGGGGCAATGCCGGCGCAGGTGCAGCAGCAGTATCGGAAGACACTGCTTCCACTCAACCCAAGTTCAGCTTTGCCCAGCTGGGAAATCGTGTGGGTCCGATGATGCCCAGCTCGCAGCCGTCGAGGTATCGCTTAGATCGTGGAGAGGATGCACCGGACGAAGCTCCGTTTGCCTCGAGCGGAGCAGATCGTTCGATAGTGCACATGGCTGTTGCCTCTGGGATTGGTTTTTTTCCAACAGAGTTCCTCAGCGGCCTGGGCCCCACGCTAATGTGCTGGAGCAAACCATCGTCATTTGCCAGATCTTTCAGTTTCAGCCATCCATCCACCACGGCAGCCCCCAAATCTGCGGTGGGTATCGTCTCCGCACCACTGCGAATCCAGGACGGCTCCCTGCAAGCCATCTGGCTCTATCGATCCATCATCCAATTGCATCGCATATGCCCAGATGTTCTTGTAGCAGCCTTGGTTGGTCGCTGCATCGGCTCTGGCCTCGAAGGGGGTGTGTGTGCAGTTTGCAGAGTCAATCGACATCGACGGCACCTGATGCGATTCGCTGTTGTGGCCTGAAAGTGCTGATGATTTCTGACGAACTATCGTGGGGCATCGGCATTCCGCTTCAAAGACCCGCCCTGCTGCTCCGCCGCCCGTATCGACAAATCGAAGCAGCGCAGACAAACCAACCCCGCCATGGCAGGTCCAAGCCAATTCCAATGCCACCGTCGATCTCGATGCGAATGCACCAACGCTGGCAGCAGCAAGTGAGTTGAGCCGTGCTGGCTGTCTCCAATGCCCAAGTCATCCGATGCCCAGATTGGAATCGCAGTTGCGATTGCGGCCCTGCGATTGCGGCCCTGCGATTGCGGCCCTGCGATCCTTGTCTGGCATCTACGACTCACGATATCGTTTGTCCGATCTCCCTTTCGACGCTGGATAGCACACCGGGGCAGCACAACAGGGCCCTCCAGTGCTCCAGCAACCCGTCCGCAGCCCAAGCACCACGGGGATGCCTCTCGTTTGGTTCGGCACGACAGCTGGGACGATCTCGACGACGACATGTGGCAGCAGGTAAGCCCACGGCTGCCAGCAGACCCAGGGTGCTTCGCATGGTGCCGAGACAAGGTGCCGGCACTTCCTGACGCTGCTTGGACTTTAGATGGACCAAGACGTCGCAGCATCCATCATGCTTTCGCCCGAGCCTTCTCGGAGCACTGGCCAGTCTTCAGCAAAGCAGGCAAGCCATGAGATGTTGTGTCGATGAGCCTTGACTCCAGAGGCGAGGGTGCTGTCGACAGAGCCAGCGCTGACTCGGCGGTCAACACCGTCGCCACTCTTTCGTTGTGGCTGTTCAGACGAATGTCCAAGATTTGCAGGATCGATTGGCTGCGCTAAACGGCCGATGGGTCCAGATTCTAGAAGGCCTGGTTCGGTTCGTCGAGGACGACGACCCGACCGAAAGCGATCTGCTTGAGAAAGCGGCCCTGATTTCGGAAAAGTAAGGACGTTGTCTCCCGACAGTGCTCGTTTGCGACCGCCGAAATCGCCACTCTTGGCTGCATGACTCACAACGAACGCTCGATTTGCGCTGGTCGGATTCCTCGGTTTAGGAAAGCACTTGCCCCCAGAATCGACGAGCTCAAGGCTCAGATCCGCTCGCTGGAGAAAGCCTCGACCGCAGACGCCACTGCAACAAACAGCTTGGGATCGCTATCGAATCGGCAATCTGCCACAAGGTTGTCTGTCGCATCGAATTCAGCATCGGTATCGGCATCGGCATCGACATCTCGGTTTCCTCCGCCGGTGGTGGCTTCGTCGCGCGCATCCGGAAGCAGGATCTCGCCACCCAACGCCGAGCAGATGTCGCCGCTGGCATCCGACAGCGGATCTAAATCGATCACAATGCTAGCAACTGCATCGGCCAGAAGTATCGAGAATGCTGCTCACTCAAAGCCCGGACCTTCAAGAGCCTTGCAGCGCGCCCCGTCGCCAGCACCGCCGCTGAACGGCATGCCCATTCCGGCAGACATAGACGAATATTATTGCCAGGACGACTTTATCCCCGATGAGGCATTCTGTGACGACTGGCCCGATGTCGATGATCCCATTATCCACGACTATCAAGACATGGATATTGGCGTCGGCTCGTCAAAGGGAACTGGTCCCCTGCCCGACGCCTCGAATCGACCCTTGGCCATCGCCAGTGCAGCATCGGCCACTTCAAATGTGCCGTCGACCACCCCTTGGTCTACCACAGCGCTTGTCGGGGCAGCGACATGTACCAGGAAAGCCGCCGCCGCTGCTGGAGGTCCTGCAAATCCCACAAAATCCTTCGGTCTCTCGACAGGCGATGGCTTTCAAGCTGCACATGGCGGCACGAACTCCGCGAGTCGCAGCTTCCTCAAGCCCAGTTCCGCCATTAACCTGGACCGGCGGCCGCTCAATAACTCTGGCGCGATAGCCGAAGTGATCGAAGAGGCTGAGCCAGACCAATCTGAAGATAGTACGCATCAAATCCAAACCCGCGCACCAATCGGGCATCTCTAGAGCCTCTGGGTGGACCTGTATATGGGCGCGATGAGGATTTGAAAGCTACAGTGTATTCAAACTTGCGACACACCAGGTGATTTGCTGCCCAACACAGCCGCTCTGTAGCTCATTCCTGGTCTGTCATTCCCCTCCTGTGCCAGGTCGGATATATCCGTGGTCTGCTGAAGTCAACTGGGCATTGCTGAAGCAGTTTGGACTCAAGCAGTTTCGCCACAACCAACTCGAGGCAATCAACACCACACTTTCGGGCAAGGACTGCTTCATTCTGATGGTTTGTTGAGTGCCGCTCTTGGTCACGATGTCGGCATGAGGCGATTGATGCGAGGTAGCTCGCTCTCTACGTGATATGGCCTATAAAACTCAGCTTCCGTTGCAATCCTTCGCTCCACCATCGACAATCGTCCACTCTGGTGCGCATCCGTTCTCGGCTTCGTTTTTCGTCTGAAACAGCCGACGGGAGGTGGAAAGAGTCTGTGTTATCAGGTAGGCATGGAACGAATATGTGACCCTTGGACTCTGTTCGAGTAGCAGCCTCAACCCACGGCTCGAGCAGCGAGTGGGGCACTCTTATCGCAAAGTCTGTTTGATATTGCCTCCGCCCATGCTGCCTCTTCTCATACCGATTCCTCTGATGCGGTGCGGCTGCTTAGCTCCCAGCCATTGTCTCCAAAGGCGCAACGAGAGGACTGACAGTAAGATCTGAGCCACCACCGAGGATCGCGCCGTTGATATTCGGCATAGCATCGGCCCGCACCATGTCATCAAACTAGACATATACGCCAGCACTCACCGCCATTTCAATGCCATCTCAGGTTGTCGTGTCGCCTCTCCTGTCGCTGATGCAAGATCAGGTAACACACCTGCTCACACTTGGTATCCCAACAGCCATGCTCAACAGCACGCTAACAGAAGCAAAGAAAAGCTGGCTATTTGATGGTGAGAGCCGCAACCCCGGTCCAGTACTGCGACTGTCGCTGCCTGTTATGAGCGACATGGCCATAGCCGCAGCTCTTGTGACTCGTTTAGCAGATCCCCTCCTCGCCCGGCTGTTTCTGCCCTCGATCGACCAAGGGGTGTTCGTGTGAATAGGCGCGAGCTTACTGACGAATCGTTTACCTCTTGACAGAGCTCTATGCCCCTGAACTCCGCCCCAAGCTCCTCTATGTCACTCCCGAGATGCTCACCCGCAGTAACAAGTTTCGGAGCGCGCTGACGCATTTGTACCAAAGAAAACTTGTGGCACGGTAAGGCATTGCTGCGTCTGCATCGATATCCGAGATAGGGATCAGGTCGCGAGTAGGGCCAGGGAGTCAGAGTATGGTTACAAAACAGCGTGTCTAACCGGCCGTGTGCCTACATTTGGATTGGAAGCTTTGTGATCGACGAAGCGCACTGCGTTAGTCAGTGGGGCCATGATTTCCGCCCAGACTACAAGGTGAGTCCGCAGCTACTTGCTGGTTTGTTCAGACGTACCGCTTGCTCGCTCGGTCTGGGGAGGGGAGTTGAACTGCCCCCCCCCCGCAGTGGCACATCATCGCGGCAACATTCAATGGCCTATTCGCGCAAGGTTTGTTTCGCGAAAATGGTGCTAATATCGCTTACTCTTTTCCCGCCTTTCCTCGAAGGATCTCGGCTTCTTAAGGCGCGAGTACCCCAATATCCCAATCATGGCGCTCACAGCCACGGCCAACGAAAAGGTCAAGAGTAAGTATCTGTTGATGGCGCCTTCCAGCAAGCCTCGTGTTGTGCCCATAGCACTCTTCAGGCGAGTTTGCAGCCTGCTGCGTGCCGTGGACCAAATCCTAACAGCAGCTCTTTGGACAATTCCAGTCGACGTTCAGGCTTGTCTCCAGCTACAAAACTGTGTGACATTCGTGCAAAGTTTCAATAGAGCCAATCTGAGGTACGTCGAGGAATGCAGGCAATACACCCGGCAAGATCAGTCCGCAGCATCAAGCCCCACGGTGAGGATGGCACTAATATTCTCGGTGCAGGTACGAAGTACGGCCCAAGAACCGAAGCATCGACGATGACATCGTCGCCTTCATCAACACATTTTATCCAGGCAAATCGGGGATCATTTACTGCACCTCGAAGCGGTCGTGTGAAGAAACGACGGACCGACTCAATGTAAGTCTTGTATCGAGTGTGAGTGGATGCGAGGAGTAGACCAAACGGCTGTTGCTGTTGCTGTTGCTGTTGCTGTTGCTGTTGCTGTTGCTGTTGCTGTTGCTGTTGCTGTTGCTGTTGCTGTTGCTGTTGCTGTTGCTGTTGCTGTTGCTGTTGCTGTTGCTGTTGCTGTTGCTGTTGCTGTTGCTGTTGCTGTTGCTGTTGCTGTTGCTGTTGCTGTTGTCGTACTTTGCGTGCTTATCATATGTCACGGTCTGCCCATGCCCGCGCCAATTGTCAGAATCGTTACGGTCTCAAGGCTGCCTTCTACCATGCTGGCCTCGACAAACAAGACCGACAACGCATCCAAGAGGAGTGGATTATGAACAAAGTTCTCATCATCGTGGCCACAGTTGCCTTTGGCATGGGTAAGCTGTGTCTTGGGCATCAAATGATCTAGCAGAGATGCATAGCAAGGGAGCCACGGTGGACAAGAGTAAAGTTGTGGTTGTGACGATTTGGTTGCTTTCTTCGCCTATGTCGTGTTGGTTGTCGCGGGTGGTGCTGACTCTGACTCTTCACAATCTCAGGCATCGACAAGTCAGATGTTCGATTCGTGATCCACTACTCACTTCCACAGAGCATCGAGGGGTACTACCAGGTACAGATGCAGCCGCAGTCGACACGGGTGCGCCTGGGGTTCCAACAGCGCTATCTAAGCACAAACTGACCGTGTCTCGGTTCATCGTGCCCAGGAAACAGGACGGGCTGGTCGAGATGGCAAGGAATCGACCTGTGTGCTGTTCTACTCCTACCGAGACAAACACGTGGTGAGTGTCTCCAAATGCAATCAGAGGGCTGGTGCCCAAACATTGCGTGCGCTTAGTCGAGTTCTAACGATGGCACTGATGATGACTCGGACCCATCCGCAACCGTCACCCAGATCGAGACGCTCATCGACCGAGGCGAGGGGAGTGCCGACCAGAAAGAGGTAAGTTGAGGGAGGATGTCGTCCGAGACCGGAAGTGAGTCTGCTATTTACGGGGCTGCCACCAACCCAAAGCCAATACAGCCGTGGATTGCATGTACATGAGATCGGGCCAAGCAAAGACTGATCCGACGTTGCCCCGCGGTCTTTGTCAATCACGGCTTTTGTTAGCGTCAACGCAACAACCTGCGCCAGATGATTGCCTACTGCGACAACCAAGTGAACTGCCGGAGAGAGATTGTACTGCAGGTATGTTCTCCTCTATCGGCATCGACCCAGGAGCGGCCGATCGTGCATGTAGCGGAAGCTTACAGGCCACGCAATGTTGGTCTTTACTCCCCCACCGCTATCTGCAACAGTACTTTGGAGAGCGCTTCGACAAAGTACTCTGCAATCGCACCTGTGACAACTGCCGGAATGGCACCACCTATATCATGCGTGACGTCACGAATGCGGCCATCGATCTGGTCAAGTTCGGTAGGTGCTGCTTACCCATTTTACACCCGAGTCGAATCGACGGACGACATTGCTGCCGATGCTATGCAAAGTATAAATCCACAAGCAGCAGCCCATTCCACGGTCTGCTCACGCAACCGTTGCGCTTTTCTCCGGGGCTTGCACTTGCAATCCTCTGCGCTGCCAGTCCAGTCCGTGCGATCGCAGAGAGTCACATTGAACCATGTCATTGATGTGTACCGCGGGATGAAGCGCGCCAAGATTGTGCAAATGGGCCACACGAATCACGAAATTCACGGCAAAGGTACCACTCTGTGCCATCATGGTGTCGCCGTATGGGCATATGGACATGTGTCTGGCCGCCGCGACCCTTGCTTGCATGTGGCCATGGGTGTATCTGCGCTCAGGATCGCTGACGCTTGAGCTGTTTCGTCTTCTACTTGGCACGGTTGAACGTAGGAAAGCACTATAGCAAGTCGGATCTCGAGCGTATATTGCACGAGCTGACCGCGCGTGATGTGCTGGTGGAGAACTGCCAGCGAAATCAGCAGGGATTTGTGACAGCGTATGCGCAGGTATGAGCACCCATCGAGGAACGAAGGACGAAGGCGAGCTCGACCCATCTGTGCCTCGGCCACGTCTGCGCCAATGAGTTCCTCCGCATGCTCACTCAGCCACCCAGCCGGCTCTTCACCCTGAGTACTCACTTGCGTTTGCTCTGCACTTGCATTCGGCCGACTTCTGCAATCATTATATTGGGGGGGGGGAACCAACACAGGTGGGTAGGAACGGGGAAGCACTGCTGCGGCACCAGCTCAACATCGCTGTGCCGTTCATGAATGAAGATGCCGCTCCTCAGACAACGAGCACGACGGGGCCTGCACCCGCGACAAACGCTGCGCCTGGCTCTTGGATCCACAAACTACCGACCCGATCCAAACGGAAGACTGCTGTGGCGTCGGATGTCGATGACGACGATGACGACGAGACCTACGTGGAGAGCGAGATGGCCGAAGTCAGGGCCGCCAGAACCAGAGGGACCACCAGAGGGGCTACGACCCGATCCACCTCGAAGCGAACAAGATCGGCCGCTGGCGGCCACGTAGAGGTGTCTGAGACACCGCCACCAGAGCCACCCCAGATCCAGGGCATCAAGAGCAAGTGCTTTGACGAGCTCAAGCGTCTGAGGAATACGGTAAGGATGGACCGAGTCTCCGGCTTTGACATGGTTTCGAAGAGAAGGTGGATTCGTGGACATGGCCTGGTGTCAGAGATTGCTGTCGGTGGATGCGCGTACGTCTTCAAACAACGCAGCTGATCTGTACCCGATACTGACTGGCTGTGGATGCCAAGCAGTATGTCCAGAGGCTCAAGTGCAAGCCGGAGAGCATATTTACCGATTTTACACTCGGCGAACTGGTGAGTGGCCATATTGGTATTCAAGAAGCAGAGTCGTTGCGAGAGCAGCGATCGTACTGACAGCGGCTGGGCTCCTGGGCACTGATGCGCTCACGACTCTTACCACTTTGTGCGCTTCACGATCTGACCCTTTGGCCTTGACGTTGCACAGTCGTCCAAGCTGCCAACCGGCATTATGGAATTCCTGAGCATACCCTCCATCGACGACGACAAATTTGAACGATATGGCCGGGAGTTTTTGGAGGCCACCAAGCGATATGCACGAATGGCAAGCGAAGCAGCAAAGTCGGCATCTGACGGGCGTGGAGCCCACTCGGCTCAGCTACCAGAGTAAGTCTGCGTGAGAAGAGTACCGTGGCCAAGGCAATGCATCGACAGCACGATGATCGGGCTCGGGTTACGGTTGGGCGGGGGCGAGGCGAGGCGAGGGCGGTGAATGCAAACGCCAGCGGTGCGGGATCTGGGAGCTGTGATGATCGCGGTAGCAGAAGTTGTGGAATTGGGACGGCGGCAGTGGTGGTCGTAGCGCAGCTTCCTGGTGCTGCGACGGGCTGAGGGCGAGCGCTAGGCCGCATGAGTAACCGACAGATTCCTTGTTGCGACTTGCCGCGGACACTACAGAACATCACCGCACTTTGCAAGCGGCGCCGGTGAGTCTGTCAGGCCGTTTTGGGTGCATGTGTGTGGCAGGCTCTATGGAATGGTGCGCAGAATATGCCATGTCTCAGGGAAGCGCAAGTGGATCGCTCTGACCAACACCGAAACGTGGCCTGACTCGATCCTTGGTGGATTTGACATTTGTGACCCCAGCAGCAGAGCCTGCTCGCTCGCACAGGCGGCTGCTCCTCGGCGGCCCGAGAATCCAAACCATGCGGCTGCCATAAGCCCTCTCATCAGCTGGAGCAAGTCAGGTTTCATCCATCACGAGCAGCGCGACTTCGACTTCACCCTCGATCCCACATACACATTGCCAACCCATCTCCACAATGAGTGTGACACTCGGAAATGGTGAAGGACACGCGGAGCCGACCGATGGCGACAATGCGCAGGATGTATTGGCGGAAACAGCTGGGTCGGGGAAATGATGTGCGCCAGATGCGAATGGCCGAAGGGAACATGGAAGGTGCTCCTGTATTTCGAGTGGTGGCGTGAGAGAAGAGTTGGGGCACTCTATCCCAGAACCTCAGCCTTGTGAATACATGAGCCACTCCAGGATCGAGGTGAGGCTGGGACCGTGCAAACATGAGTTTCGAGATAGCCCATCCTCCTCCGTTGGTTGACCAAAGTGGTGAGATGCAGGACCGTCATGCGAAACCTCGTATCTATGGGCGAAAGGCCGCGACAGTGTGCGGACAACGTTCTAAGGCGAGGGGATTTGTCGAGATTTTGGCGAATGGGCCTCCGAACAGGATCAAATCAGATTAGGCGGTGGACAAGCCGTCGCAGGATGGGCGGCAAAGTAACAAAAGTGCATCGTCGAGCACAAGCAGCCAAAGAAAAGAGTGGGTGGCCCAGCCTACGGCGGCGGCGAGAGTATGGGGAGCGCTGCCGAGCCCGTCGCTCGACTTGGCAATCTCGCGAAAGCAGATTACGGCTATCGTAGCAGCCCGGGAGCGAGGATCGGGACACGCGATGAATGGCATTGGTAAAGTCGGCGTAGAAGAAGCAGGAGAGGGTGAGGGAGGGAAAGAGGAGGGGGGAGGCGAAGCGATGCTCTAGTTGTGCTCCTTGGCACAGGATTCGAGGTTCGACGAAATCATGGCGCTGAGGACCTGCTCAACAACCGGGAGCGGCGCAGTGGTGAACAGAGTGGCCGGATAGTTCTTGGTGCCCCACTTGGGATGCCGCAGGACTTTGCAGCAGCCGGCGAGGATGGTCTGGTACTTGAGAAGCCGGATTGCGCCGTCCACATCAGGATACAGCGCAGCACCACGGTCCGAATAGATGGGGTATCCCGAGGCCGGGTCGGTCATGTCAGCCCAGTAGCCGAGGGCGGCGATGTTGTCCCGAAACTTTTGGCCAAAAATGTAAATCTGAAGTGGACGGGAAACGCGAATGGAGTCAGAGAGATGCGCACAACAGCATGATGGGCTCAAGACATGATGGGCTCGTGGTCCAGCAAAAGGGCAAATCCACTGCGCTGCGCTGATTCATCGGCCCCAACTCGGGATGGATGGGGCATCCGATGCACTCGCACGGGGAGATGGGAAGTCGCCTACATAGTCGAGCAAGATGTTGCGTTCCAGGTTGGTCTCCGGCGTTACGGCGACCAGGTCGTGGCGCGAAAGCTGGAAGGTGGGAATGACAAGCAATTGGTCGAGGTGCTTGGAGTTCTTGAGTTCCGGAAAGACCAGCGCCAGCTCCTTCTTCAGATGGCGGCCGGGGGTGTGGACGGAGACCTGCATGGTGGTGGAGGTGAGGGAATGGGTGCTGTCTGTAGAAGGCGAGTCGGATGTGGGGTCCGAGTTTGAGTTTGAGCTCGACTTTTTGCAGCTGCCGACGATCTGGGAGTAGTAATCGGACTGTTTCAGGTCCTGGGCGGTGAAGGGGTACCGGAAGACGATGGGCTCGATGAGCTCGACGGGAGGGGCCTTGCGCTCCATGGGGCTGCCGCTTGGGACTGCGGCCAGCGACGGCGAGGGCGAAGGAAGGGTGCAGAACATGGTGTTGGCGAAATGGATCGGAGAAGACGGTAGCGGATGCAGCGGCAGCGTGGAAGAAGGGGAGGGGGGAATGGAATGATCCAGGAAAGACTGATGGTGATCCGGATGGGAGCAGAATGCACACGCCGCGAGGAGACTATTCGACGCAGGAAGCGACGCAGGAAGGCGGGAATAGGATCTCTGCAGCGGATGAGCCGACGAGCCGATAGAACCACCCGCAGAGCCGACGAAGGACTGGCGAGGGACGTGCAAAGGACCTGCAAAGGACCCGCAAAGGACGTGCAAAGGACGATGGTCGGAGATGGGCAGAGACGACGGATTTCAGTCCACAGGGGAGTTTTTATAGCGAGACTGGCGCGAGACGGCGCCGACGGAGCGAGAGCGTGTGTGTGTGGTCGCGCCGCTGTTTGTGTGGGCAGGCGGTGCTGTGTGTGTGTGGGATGCTGGGGCGAGGGGGCGGCGAGGGGAGGGCGAGAGGCTGACGAGAAGCGTCCTTGTCTTGGCTTATCGGTCAGGGCTTGTCACTGTGTGCAGCACCGCGGTGCGACCGACCGAGGCGCGGCAGCTGAACGCTGCGCACTCGTCTGGGGAAAAAAAGGTGTCGCCATCGACGGCGCAGCTGGTTGGCTGGGGACGGGCATGGGCATGAAGCAGGCCGCCTGCAAGCCATGGCCGACGACAAGGGCGCCGTCGATGTGCAGAGCAGGCCCCAGGAATCTGCTCTTTTTTTTTCCTCACCCACACCCAGCCCTGTCGATGAGCTCTCGCCGCGATGGAATGCTGCGTTTCTCGAGCAGGTTTCTGGCACAAGGTCGCTGGACAAGGCTGCTGGCACAAGGTCTCTGGCATGTGAACCCTCCGCGGTTTTTGGGGTGGCGGAAAATCGACACCACGCAACCCTATCGCGCGTTACACAGCTCAACCCCATCGCACGCTGCAGCCCTTGCCCTCGCTCGCACGAGACCGAGACCGCACCGAGGCCGCAGCGAGACTGCACCGAGGCCGGCGCGCCCCCAGCTCCTTCCATATCCGGCGCGCCCTTGCCCTGTGTCACGCACCCAGCTGTATCGCCCATACACACAACAGTGGCGCTATCGCACACACACACACCCATCTCATCGCACACACACACACAGGCAAGGCCCAGCGCGCGGTCGCCCGCCCTCGTTTTTTGTCGTGCGGCCCGCAGATCCCCGCTCTCGCCCTTCCCGCCTCCGCATCGCTGGTCCGCCTCGCTCGCCCTCGGCTTCGTCACCCATGCCTCCCGGATCGAAAAAGTCAAAGCGGGGCAAGAACAAGTCCTTGCTCGCCTCGACCAAAAACTGGGTTCTCCTCGGCCAGCAACAGCAGCAACACCTCCAGCAGCAGCAACAGCAGCAACAGCAACAGCAACACCTCCAGCCGCCCGTGCACACTCCTTCCCCTTCTGCCTCGCCGTCCTCTGACACAATGGATCCAGATCAGATCTATCTCGCCAGCCTCTTCCTGCCCGACAACATGACCGTCGAGGAGGCGGCCCAGTACCCCGTCGGAAAGGTCCCCGGCAGAGGCAAGATGGTCGAGCGCTACCTCGCCGAGACCATGGAGCGACGCATCATGTTCATCGACGGCGCCATGGGCACCATGATCCAGCGCTTCCGCTTTACCGAAGAAGACTTCCGCATGGAGCGCTTCAAGAACCACAAGAAGGACTTTATCCGTGGCAACAACGACATCCTCTCCCTGACCCAGCCCGCCGCTATCATGGACATCCATCGCCAGTATCTGATGGCCGGCTCCGACATGGTCGAAACCAACACCTTCTCCTCCACCACAATCGCCCAGGCCGATTACTTTATGGAGGATCTCGCCTACGAGCTCAACAAGGTCTCGGCCGAGATCGCCAAAAAGGTCTGTCAGGAGGTTACTCTGCTCGACAAGAGCCGTCCCCGTCTCGTCTGCGGTGCTATCGGCCCCACCAACCGCACTTGCTCCATCTCGCCCTCCGTCGAGAACCCCTCCTACCGCAACGTCACCTTTGACGAGCTCGTCACTGCCTATGCCGAGCAAGTCCGTGGTCTGCTTGACGGTGGCTCCGACGTCCTCCTTGTCGAGACCATCTTCGACACCCTGAACGCCAAGGCTGCTCTCTATGCGATCGAATCCGTCTTTGATGACGAAGCATACGAGTACGTATCGTCCGTACCGCTGCATTCTGGAGGGGACGGGGTGCGCTGAGCCGAGCCGATGTAGCCCTCTCTAATGAGATCACATCACATCACGCCGCATCGCGCCTCATCGCATCGCACTGCGGAAGCGTCCGATCTCGATCGACTGAACTTGATTACCGCCGCGACGTGTCGCCGTGAATGTGGATCCTAACCCACCTCCTCATCTGTAAAACTCACTCCACCTTCATCACCCGCCGTCCGCTGCGCTCCTGTCGCTCCAGTCGCTGCCCCGTCATGGTCTCGGGTACCATTGTCGATCAGTCTGGCCGCACCCTCTCTGGCCAGACGGGCGAGGCCTTCATTTCCTCCGTCGAACACAGCAACCCTCTGGCCATTGGTCTCAACTGTGCCCTCGGTGCCGACCAGATGCTGCCCTTCCTCGACAACATCTCAAAGAACAACCCCGCCTACACCATCTGCTATCCCAACGCTGGCCTGCCCAACACTTTCGGTGAATACGACCAGAACGGCCCCGACATGGCCAAGCAGGTCGAGCCCTTTGCTCGTCTCGGTCTGATCAACATCCTCGGTGGCTGCTGTGGTACCACGCCTGAGCACATCAAGGCCATGAGCGAGGTCGTCAGCAAGTACCCCCCGCGCAAGCGCCCCACCTTCGATCCCGACACCCTCATCGTCTCTGGTCTCGAAACCCTCCGCATCAACAAGGAGACCGGCTTCATCAACGTTGGTGAGCGATGCAACGTCAGTGGCTCCCGTTTGTTCTGCAAAAAGATCCTCAACGGCATGTACGAGGACGCCCTCAACACGGCCCGTGTCCAAGTCGAGAACGGTGCCCAGGTCATCGACATCAACATGGACGACGGTCTGCTCGACGGCAAGGCTGCCATGACAAAGTTCCTCAACTACATCGCCTCCGAGCCCGACATTGCCAAGGTCCCGCTCATGATCGACTCGTCCAACTTTGAGGTCGTGCTTGCCGGTCTCAAGTGCGCCCAGGGCAAGTGTATCGTCAACTCGATCTCGCTCAAGGGTGGCGAGGAGGACTTTATCGAGAAGGCCAAGATCGTCAAGCGCTTCGGTGCCGCCGTCGTCGTTATGGCCTTTGACGAAACTGGCCAGGCTGCCATCGCCTCCGACAAGTTCCGCATGTGCGAGCGCTCCTACCGCATCCTGACCGAGAAGGTCGGCTTCCGCGGCTGCGAAATCATCTTTGACCCCAACATCCTGACCATCGCCACCGGCCTCGAGGAGCACAACAACTATGCCGTCGAGTTCTACGAGAGTGTCAAGCTCATCAAGGCCAACCTCCCCGGCGCAAAGATCAGCGGCGGTGTCTCGAACGTCTCGTTTGCCTTCCGTGGCAAGGACAAGATCCGTGAGGCCATGCACTCCGTCTTTTTGTACCACAACATCAAGGCCGGTATGGACATGGGTATCGTCAATGCCGGTTTCCTGACCATCTACGACGACATTCCCAAGGATCTTCTCGATATCTGCGAGGACGCCTTCTGGAACCGCGACCCGAACGTGACGGAGCGCCTGCTGGCCTATGCCGAGCAAAACCAGGCCGGCGGTCCTGGCAAGGCCGAGGAGGCCGAAGCCTGGCGCCTTGAGCCTGTCGAGTCGCGATTGGCCTACGCCATCATGAAGGGCATCACAAAGCACATTGTCGAGGACACCGAGGAGGCTCGTCAGCAGACCGACAAGTATCCTCGCCCCCTCAACGTCATTGAGCAGCCCCTCATGAACGGCATGAAGGTCGTTGGCGAGCTCTTTGGTGCTGGAAAGATGTTCCTGCCCCAGGTCATCAAGTCTGCCCGTGTCATGAAGAGTGCCGTCGCCCACCTGATTCCCTTCATGGAGAAGGAGCGTCTGGAGGCCCTGCAGAGCACGGGCCATGCTGGAAACCCCGACGATGCCTACAACGGCGTTGTGATCATGGCCACCGTCAAGGGCGACGTGCACGACATTGGCAAGAACATTGTCGGCGTCGTGCTGGGCTGCAACAACTACAAGGTTATTGATCTCGGCGTCATGGTCCCGTGCGAGAAGATCCTCGAGGCTGCCATCCAGAACCGGGCCGACATCATCGGCCTCAGCGGTCTCATCACCCCATCGCTCGACGAGATGGTCTATGTTGCCAAGGAGATGGAGCGCCAGGGCCTGAAGATCCCTGTGCTCGTCGGTGGCGCCACCACCTCCAAGATGCACACGGCTGTCAAGATCGCTCCGGCCTACAGCTTCCCCGCCATCCACGTTCTCGATGCCTCGCGCTCGGCCGTCGTTGTCTCGGCCCTTCTGGACCCCACTCAGTACGACGACTTTGTCGAGGATATTGCGGATGAGTACGAGGATCTGCGTGCAGAGCACTACGAGAGCCTGAAGGACCGCAAGTACCAGAAACTTGACCGCGCCATCGAGAACAAGTGCCAGATCGACTGGACCAGCCAGGCCGCCCCCACCAAGCCCAAGTTCCTGGGCACTCGTGCCTACAGCGACTTTGACTTTGAGCAGCTCATCTCGCACATCGACTGGAACCCGTTCTTCCAGACGTGGCAGCTCCGCGGCAAGTACCCCAACCGTGGCTTCCCCAAGATCTTCAACGACGAGACCGTGGGAGCCGAGGCCAAGAGGCTCTATGACGACGCCGTCGCGATGCTCAAGCAGATCGTCGATGGCGAGTGGCTCAAGGCCCAGGCCATCGTCGGCTTCTGGCCCGCCAACGCCGACGGCGAAGACATTCGTGTCTATGAGTCCGAGGCCCGCGAGACCGTGGCCGCGACCTTTTACGGACTCCGCCAGCAGGCCGAAAAGGACCACGACTCGAACGAGCCCTACTATTCGCTTGCCGACTTTGTCGCTCCCAAGAGCACGGGCATCGCCGACTATATCGGTGCCTTTGCCGTCTCGGTTGGCTTTGGTGTCGACGAAAAGTGCGCCGAGTTTGAGGCCAACAACGACGATTACAGCTCGATCATGCTCAAGGCCCTGGCCGATCGTCTGACCGAAGCCCTGGCCGAAATCGTCCACGAGCAGGTGCGCAAGGAAAGCTGGGGATACGCCCCTGACGAAAGCCTGTCTCCCGAGGAGCTGCTCCAGGTCAAGTACCGCGGTATCCGCCCTGCCCCAGGCTACCCGTCGCAGCCGGACCACACCGAGAAGCTGACCATGTGGAAGCTCATGGATATCGAGAGACAGACCGGCATCAGCCTGACCGAGTCTCTGGTGAGTGAATCGATCAAGACTGCTGTTGGTGGCGGAGGCAATGCCGAGGAGTGCATGGTTGGATGGGACTTGGTGGTGCCGACGATTTGTAGTCGCTCCGCCGCAAGTCGCACCCTCAAATGCCCTCTCCTCTCTCTCTCTCTCTCTCTCTCTCCCCGCGTGTACTCGACTGACGTTGTGGTTCCGCTTGATTCCATAGGCCATGACCCCCGCCGCCGCCGTCTCGGGCATCTTCTTCGCCAACCCCGACGCCAAGTACTTTGCCGTCGGCAAGATCGAGCGCGACCAAGTCGAGTCGTATGCTGCCCGCAAGAACATGGACATCAAGGTCGTGGAGAGATGGCTGGCCACCAACCTGGCCTATGACGCCGAGTAATCGATTTGGGACGCTCCTGCTTCTTCAAATCGACATTTCTCCACGTCATGCTCAAACTTCTCCAAAGGCAGTCCTCGCTTGATCGTGCCTTGCTTTTCTCCTTTGTTTCCTCCCTCTCTCCCTCTCCCTCTCTCTCCCTCTCTTTCTTTCCCTCCTTGCTTTGATCAACCACTCACCCCATTCGTTCCATTGTTGCATCACATCGAGCTGGCAAAATGAAACGATTGCGGACATGACGGGATCAGTGGTCCCCTTTACTGTGATTCTTGAATACATGTGCCCATCGTCACTCCTCGCAGCGGCGTAAGGTTCAGTCCCCCGCGTAAAAGTCTCATTCATGGGTTTGGATGTCATTATGAGATTCAGGAGCATGGATCAGGGTCGGGTGTGGTTGAGGTAGGTGGAAACGGCTGCTTGGATGTCTGGCGTGCCAAGGTATGTTGCCTGGGAGGTGAAGGTGTGAGTTATGGGATGGAGTCGACTTGTGCCGGCAGATGGGAGAGACTTACCAGGATGACGACAGGACGGATTGGGAGATTGAGACTCATCACAAAGTAAACATGGGATGAGGGAGAGGAGCGCCAGCGACGGCCAAAGAGGGTGTAAGGAATTTTGATATAGTGAGGGCCGTGGCGGATCCATCGAGGCATTTTGTTGACTTGAATCCATCGAGACGAGAAAAACGACTTTGATGCAGCGATGAAGTTGTCTGGATCGTCGGAGCGAACAATCTCGTTGTCGCGACAGAACCAGGTGATTTGGTTGCCTGATCGATCCTGTGACCGAATCCATTGACCATCGGCCGAGAATTCCACAAAGGACACACAGTTTGTGTGTCCCTTGAGGGTGTGCTTCATTTCACCTGTGGTGACATCCCAAACTTTGATTGTGGTGTCATTTGAGCCGGAGACAATCCACTTGCCATTGGGCGAGATTGCCACGGAGGACACAAAACGGTTGTGTCCCTCGAGTGTGTGCTTCAATTCGCCTGTGGCAACATCCCACACCTTGACGGAGTTACTACTAGAACCAGCGACAATCCACTCACCATCGAGTGAAATCGCCACAGAGGACACACATGTTCTGGGACCTTGGGAGACCCGTTTCTCCTGGCCAGTGGTAGTATCCCACACTTTGATGGTTCTGTCCCAGGAACCGGAGACAATCCATTTGCCATCGAGTGAGATCGTCACGGAGTTCACCCAGCCTGTGTGTCCCTCGAGGACATGCCTCAATTTGCCTGTCGTAGTATCCCACACCTTGATAGTCTTGTCATTGGATCCTGAGGCAGCCCACCTACTATATGGTGAGATCGCCACGGAGGTCACCCAGTCGTTCCTTCCCTTGAAGATGTCCTTCACCGTCCCTGTGGCGGTATCCCATACCTTGACAGTGCAATCCAAAGACCCGGAGACAATCCACTTGCCATCGGGTGAGATCGCTACGGAGGACACCTAATTCGTGTGTCCAGTGAGTGTCATCTCACACGGATCCCAGGTGGGCGTTGGTCCGCAAGTGACCAGGAACGGGATCTTGTCCTCGAGTCGGTCGGCATATGTCTTGTAGATCGCCGTCTTCTTCGGTGTGAATGCATACCCTGAGTTGTACACCTGTGGTGCACTCTTGATGATCGGATCGGCAAACTCGCGGATGAATCGGTATGTGTCCTTGACCAGTTCCTTTGTGGTGTTGCCGACGATGGTGCTGGGTGCCTTGGCGATCACTTCTCGCAACACAGCCAGCTGCTCAATGATCGACTTGACCACATGTGTGAGCGACACACTCGAGCCAGAAGAACACATGCGTCTTGACGAACCGAGTGAGCACCGCTGCCACATCGACCATCTCGACCGACTGCCACACCGGACTCGACTCGGCCACTCCGTCCACACACCACACAAAGTGTGTGATCCAGTGGGCGACGCTGTATCGCAGCGACGGTGTGATCTTGGCTGCGACCCTGTCCTCGAGATCGTCGATCTTGTCGTGAAAGTCGAAGATCTCGCAGATGTTGATCACTGGCTCCTGGGCCAGGATGCGGGCCAAGCAACGAGATGCCAGGACCAGATTGAAGCAACCGGCCACATGGAAGGCCTCGCCCACCGATTCCTCACCCAGGAGGAATGCGATGATCGTTTCGTGACTGGCGTGGGGGGCCCGCTGCTTCTCGCCACCATCGATCGGTGCCAGGACCGGCACCAACAGCTCGACCACATCCATGATCGTGTCAAGAGCAATTCGAAAGCGCTCGGCGATCATCGCTGGGTTGATTTCTGCTCTTGCGAGCGTGACTGCGGCCACGACGATCTTTGTCTCGGCCGGATGAGCCGGGTCTGCAAAGATGGCTCTGAAGGCAGCCGTGAGAACGGATGCTCTGGCCTCGTCACCGAGCGACGCCTCCATCGGAACCATGAACGAGAGACGCTCGCCACTTCCTCGGGTGCGCTCGGCAACTTTCGTTTCCTTCCTGATTCGGTCATCGAGAAAATCGAGCTCGCTGCGACGGTCCAAAATGCCGATAGTGGGTCTTGGGACAGCGGCATCGGTGCGTGGCTGGGAGGACATGCGAATGTGCTGGGTTGAGGAGCACCGAGGAATAGAGGTGCCGTTGTTGTTGCTGCTGTCGTTGATGCTCGAGTTGTGTTGGAACACCGAATCACCAAGGGAGGCGATGGGACGTGCAGGCTCTTGGTCTCCATCTTGAGGAGGATATTGCTCGCTCAACTGGCGGATGATGGCGAGGATCTCGGGAAACTTGGGTCTCTGGCCGGGCTCCTGGTGCCAGCAGCGTTCGATCAGGGCCCAGATGTCGTCGGGGATGCCTTCCACCGGCTTGGGTCGGTTTCCTTTGACGACTTGGGCCTCGATGATCCTTTCCCTCATTGGCTGGCCATCGACAGTGACCCATACCGGTCGGCAATTGTTCATCACTTCATAAATGATGATGCTAAACGCATAGACATCCGTGGATTTTGAAGATCCGGCGGGTTGCTCATCGTCCAGCATCTCGGGTGCCATATAGCTGAGTGTGCCGCCGACTGGCTGGCTGCGACGAGTGCGGTTCATCGTGGCCGAGTTGTGCTTGGTTCTGGACATGCCAAAGTCGGCCACAACTGCATTGAAGGCACTATCGAGCAGCACATTGAGAGACTTGAGATCGCCATGGACAATGTTGTTGGCATGCAGGTATGCCATGCCAGAGGCGACTTGGTACAGGAGCCGGATCTTCTCGGCGATGGAGCGTGGAGCTGGGGCGGTTGAGAAGTGGCTGTGGAGGGTGCCGTTGGGCACGAACGGCGAGACCATGAAAGGCTTGACTGCAGTGTCGCAAGCACCAAGGAGTTGGAGAATGTGTGGGTGACTGAGTCCGTGCCAGATGTCAATCTCACGGTTGAACTCGACAAGCTCGTTCGGGTTGTTGTTGCGATAGAGCTGCTTGACGGCGACAGTTGCGCCATAATATGATGCCGTATAGACCTCGCCATACCCGCCGGCTGCAAGTGGACCAGCGGACCAGTTGGTGATAGCATCCTCGGGAATGTACCACGGTTTCGCAGCCATGGTCCAAACGAGTGCAGAGGCAAGTGGTCAGTGACAAGCAAGGGCGACGCCGATGGAGGAATCAAGGCCGATGGAGGAATCGAGACGAGTGATGGCGAGCATCCCATTGCATATATACTCCTGGAATGGACCACAGAATCGTCATTGTCGCTCGCTCCCCATCACAACAGAGAATGCAATCGCGATTCGGGGGCCCTGGTTGATGGAAAGCGAGACGACGACACAATGACAGCAACTCAAATCCTGCTGGCAGTGCGATTGGCTGGTGATCGAGGCTGATCAGTCGTGTGGCGCATCGGTCGACCAGGGGCAGCAGAGAGATGCACTGGACGGCACGGGCAGATGGACTGGGGTGATGTGAGTGGAGGTGTGAGTGTCAAATGAAGCAGGTTGTGTGGTCGACTCACTGGGATGTTCATGGACGCGCTGCCATGTTTCATTCCTGGATTTCATATATCCCCATTTGGGTCGTCTGTCCGGCTCGCTCAAAAAAAGTTCAGGGGAAATAGCTGGTGCACAGACACGGGCGAGAGCGAGATGCCGGCGAGATGCCGGCGAGAGATCGAGGAGAGAATCCCAGCGAATCGCATCTGCCCTCGCGCGTCTCTCGCTGCTCTCGGCCTGCTCTCGGCTCTCGTCCCGGCTCTCGGTGTCCCAGCACGAAATCGGCTGCGTCGACTTCGTGCTGTATCAAACACCACCGGTAATATCCATCCTCCTCCAACATCTGCCGATAGTCGTCGCTGCGAGTCTGAGCTGCTGCTCCTTCGCATCGAGCCAATCGCACCAACAAGCCCTGCGCCGACTGTGGACTTGTACGATAACCTCCGTGTCCAAATCTGCCTGCCTGCCATCTGCCCGCCATGCCCCCAAAGAACGCCGCCAAGAAGGTCGTTGATGACAAGACCTTTGGCATGAAAAACAAGAACAAGTCGGCCAAGGCACAAAAGTTTATCCAGCAGCTGCATCAGCAGGCATCTCAGGCTGGAAACAAGAAGGAAAAGGTGCGGTCTCTTACAGCCGAGGTCCTCGGCATGGCTAGACAGGTGTCTCTGGATTCTCATCGCCCATCGAATCCGAGTCTCCAGCTGGGTTCCTCAGCTCGCCAACTCGATTTTTGACCCATTCTCTCGATCCTGATTGTATTCATAATCCGGCAAATCTTGATCTTCCCATGTGATGACGCACTGGGTCACCGTGGAACGACTACCCTTCATCTCAATCTGGTGCTCGCCTATTCCCGGTTGGCTCTGCTGCGTGGATGTGAACGTTTGTTATGGATGATCGCAGACCCTTGCTGACCAGCGGAAGGCCGAGCAGGATGCCCGGAAGAAGGCCGAGGCAGACCGAAAGAACGAGCTCTCCGAGCTGTTCAAGCCCGTTGCCCAGCAACAGAAAGTGCCCTTCGGTAACGATCATTCTTCCAAAGCCGCCCAACACCAACACCATGCCATGATGCACAGCTCGTCGCCAGCACCAACGACACTTCATTCGCGATCGAACCAAATCTTTGCATCCCCTCCGCCATGCTGCCCGCTGCACTGTCACGAAATCCGCTTGTTTCAATGCTGACACTTGTTCCCGCACTTGCTGCGATCAGGCGTCGATCCCAAAACAGTCATCTGTGCCTTTTTCAAGCAGGGAACCTGCCAGAAGGGTGCCAAATGCAAATTCTCCCACGATCTCACCAAGGAGCGCAAAGATGCCAAGATCGATATCTACACCGATAACCGCAACGAGAAAGACGATAAAGAGAGTATGTTCTCGGATAGTGCGGCAGTATCATTCGGGCTGATGGCGATCATGCCTTTGGGAAGCATCGCTTGGGGCATTGTTGCTGCGACTTGGATGATCCTTCCGCTCGAGACCCTGACCGAGACGCCTATGTTACCACCCACAATCACAATCGTTCATGCGCGCACGCACTCATCGATCTGCACACCAATCGGTCTGTAGATGACAGCATGGACACATGGGATCAGAGCAAGCTGGAGGACGTGGTCAACAAGAAGCACTCCCTGAGCGATAACCAAAACAAGCCCACCGACATTGTCTGCAAGCATTTCATCGAGGCGATCGAATCCCAAAAGTACGGCTGGTTCTGGGAGTGTCCGGCGGGCGGCGACAAGTGCAAATACCGCCACGCCCTGCCCCCCGGCTTTGTCCTCAAGAAGAAGGAGACCGACGAGGAGCGACGTGCCCGAGAAGAGCGGGAAAAGGCCAACGAGCTCACCATCGAGGAGTTCTTGGAAACGGAGGTTCGTGCACGGCACACGCTCGAGCGCCTCGCTCTGACCGCCGAAGAGACCTTTGCACAGCGATTCTGTCTCAGTACTTGCTTGACACCTTGTCGCGGTGGAAGCCGTGCCAAGCTTGCAACCCACTGACCGATATCCATTGCCACGCCTCTTGCCCCCGGGGCAATCGTTACAACCACAGCGCCACAAACTTGGCCCCAACCTGACACCTGTGACCTACGAGTCCTTCCAGAAGTGGAAGGAGGAGCGAAAGGCCCGCCTCAAGGCCGAGGAAGACGATGCTCTGCGGAAGCGTATGGATGCCTTCAAGCAGCTCAAGTCTGGCGGCAAGCCCTCCATGCAGTTCTCCGGAAGAGAGCTGTTCGAGTTCAACCCCGAGATGGCCAACACTGGCGATGACGAGGACGCCATGGACGAATATGTGCGCGACGAGAGCGACCACGAGAACGACGAAGACTACCAAGCCGGCCCTAGCGGCGTCCTGGATGATGACGAGCTGAGCGGAGTTAACAGGAAGGGAAAGGGTCGGGCTGACGTGGACGACTTGCGAGTGCAGGACATTCAGATTGAGGAGGAGCTGTTTGACGATGAGGAGCTGGCAGGGCTAGATGACGACGACGAGGACGATGAATAAAGCGGCTCCTACTCAAAAGCAAGGCCCGGTCGTGGACGTGCGAGATTGTGTGCTGTGGATTGTTTGTATTGAACGGAGAGATTTGGGCCAGCGCCCGAGTGCTTTGGGCTCTCAAATCATCGCTGCAAGCATCAATGTTGGTCGGTCCTTTGGATTGCTGCGTCATGCTGTGCGGTACTTCAGGCAGCGGGAGTGAACACGCACAGGGCATCGTACATCGAGGCACCGAGATGCTCGGCGATGAAAGGGTTCTTGAACACTGCAGACCAACGACGAGGCAACCACGGCACCAGGACGACCTCAGTCAGCGCCGCGGCTTTGTCACAATGTACGATCGATCGCCCCGGTACACCCCGCGACTTGCGACCCAAGCAGCTCTCACCTCCAATCTTCAAGCTGTCGACCTTGAACTTTGCGTGGTAGTTGGTGTGGATTGCCCTGCATCGAGGATGGTGTGAGTGCGCATCCACTGAGTCCTCGTCAGATCACTCATGCTCGGTCCACGCCGCCAGCACGAAGCGAAGCCCCAGTCAAGTGCCGCTGAGACATCCTTACCTTCCCATTCCCTGGACATTTCGAACGAGCACACAGTGATCATCAGTCGCACCAGAATCAGTCGCAGTCAGAATTAGTCGCAGCCAGAATCAGTCACTCCTATCTCTCCCCACCATTCCTGCGGCATAGCAATTGTCTCCACAAAGGGATCAAGGCACTTTACCTCGAGCACAACCAGGTCGCAACCAGCAGCTTCAACCGCGAGCTTTTCGTTGATATGGCCCAGATCTGTGGCAAGATTGGCTCGATCTTCAGCGACGTGTCGTCCATCGTGCTCAACGAACGGTGGCATAAACACACGCGGAGAGAGACAATCGGTTTGCAAATACATTGCTGACCACCAGCATAGCCACAGTTCAAACGACATGGCCACACCACAGAGCGACTCACGTACCAAGACAGGGCGAGCCGTTGCCGTTGCCAACGACGAGCAGAGCTTCGTTGTTCCAAGCCTCGCTGATGATGCGGTCAAAGGATGCCACAGCCTCGATGATATCGCGCAGCTCGTTGGACTGGATTCGAGACCACCGAGTGCGTGCCATGATCCGACCGCACCCAAGCCCGTTGCGCGAAATCAGGTCAGGCGTCAGAGCAAATCTCTAGCGGTCGACATTCCAAGACAATCGCGGGCGAGGGTGCTTTGACTGTACAGCAGCGCAAGCCGAACACGCCAAGCATGAGCTTCAATACATACGGTGATATCGTTAACCGCCGGGAGGGTGTTTGCTGCCAAAATGACAGAGGTGCCCTTCGAGAGCAGGAAGCGCGCAAACGGAATCATGCCAAGAATGATGTCGGCGCCGCTGTTGTCCACAAATACGATGGCTTTCTTGTAAGGCTGCTGCAGGAGCTGGTCCTTGAGAGCATTGAACTGGAAGAACTTGTCGTTGTACTTGACCTTGGACTGTCGAATGTGCGCGTGCATGAGCCCCCAAGTTCGTACCCGGACACTCACTGGGCAAGTGCACGCAAGCGGATGCGCACCCTCAACGCTTACCTTGGCGGTCTGGAAATCAAGCTCTCCCTGTTGGTAGATCCGAGCCAAGTGAGCTGGTTTGCGCATTGTGCCAGACCACGCTTTCCAGCAGAGCCATTGCCAGTCCAATTCCATCAAAGCGACAGTGGCTCAGCGACAACGACAAGAATTCTGTCAGACTCACCCGCTTGAGCATCCCATGGACCGATTTAGCCCTGTCGATGCGCGCCAGTTCCACGTCAGCGAGCTTTACTCCAATTCGTAATCGACGCTTGCCATCTCGGCACAGGCTCACATGCACAGATCGATGATGCTTACCCCCAGTCATACATGTTGCCTGAAAACCAGAGCAGATCCAGAACCGTGGTGAGTGCAGGGTTTATGCACCCCCATCGTCAATCGCTGCTCGGCTCCAGATCATACATCCTTGCACAGATACTGCCATATCGGGGGTCCATCTCACTATTGCTCCACTGCTACGGTGTGCGCTTGCTGCTGCAACTGCTCCACTGCCACTGGTCTTGCTTTGTTCTGCTCTGCCTTGCGTATCGCACACGATCCTATGCCCGCAACAGAGCCCTTACCGGCAATAACGTTGTGCACCAGCGACAGCAACAAAGTCTCGTCTCCAAGACTGTCGAGCTCCTTCAGCAGGTCGGGCAGAGCGCGGAGCGCTGTAGCGTTTTCAACTCGCTTGACGCCGGCAAAGACGTCGTAGAAGCCCATCTCCCGGAGGCACTGCTCACGAAGCTGCAGGAGACTGAATCATCTGTATGTCAGATCGATACGCCTGGACGTAACTGCCCGATCAGGGGCACGATCGGAGCCCTCCACTGATCAGCAGAGCTGCATTTGCGCATACCTGCGGATCGTAAGGACGCCATACGAGTTGGGCTCTTTGGTCAGCCGCTCCAGATGCTCGCGGTACATCTTCTCGAACTTGCTGGCCCTCTCTTTGGCATCCTCCTTGCCAACATTGTCCCATTCGATGACGAGCTCAACCAAATCGGCCAGGTTGCGATCCAGGAGGGTGATCCAATACTGCTGTGACTCCAGATCGTTGAGCGTCACCGTGTCTGGCTGGTACGTGTTGATGTCCTCGAGGGCAGGAAAGGCAGTGAGCCCTGTGGGGTAGCTATCCAGCGTTCCGACGGCGGCAAGTGCCGCTTGGGTGGGCTGCTCAACATGGCTAAAGTTCTCGGTGAAGGATCCCAGGCGAGCCTGGCGTCCGGGCATGTGGCGCAAGAACGCACCCACTGCCCCGAGGTAGCCCTCGTGGCGCAAAAAGAGGGCCTTGATCTTGCCCTTGGACCAGAAGTTGATGGCATAGCTATTGGCACGGTTGGGCGGCATCGTGTCAGCAAAAGAGTGGAGCCACAAGACGAGCCTCAGAATCCTACGAGAGCAGCCGGCCTCGTCATGGCAACCCAGAGTCTGTTGTAAGCCAAGGGTCGCTCTCCGAGCCAGTCTCCAATCTTACCTCAGTGTGTTCATGGTGATGGGATGTCCTGGACAACGATAGGTCCAAATTGCTGTCAGCACCAGCGAAATCGTGTCTTGAATGACATTGGTTGCGTGTCCTCCAAAGAGACTTACCGCGAATGAAGAAGCCGCTGAAGTAGATTCTGTTGGGGAATATGTGTGAGCCGTGGCGAACAGGACGAGTGCCACACCAGTTTCCGCAGTGCACCCAAGCGCAAACGGTCCACAGACTCGACAGGACTACCTCTGGATCCCATGGGCCTGAGCGTTGAGGTATGCGATCTGGCCAATGTTGTTGCTGTGGACAGAGCCAGGAAACAGACCGTCCGTCAGTTCGTGCGGAATTAATCCAGCGATAGAGCCATGCAAGCACGGTTGTCAAGCACGAAGACAACAAACCTGACAAGATACTGGGGAGGCATTCGGTAGCCAATGTGGACATCAAGACACGGCGTATTTGGAAAGATTATACCGTCAGATCGTGCAGCACGATCACTCCATAACCAACCAGCGTTGGCTTTGCTATGGGACATACGGATATGCCAAGACCATCCAGTATGTATAGCACGCCCACAGAGACGAGCACTGCATACGTACCAGCAACGAACGCGAAATATCCTCGTGGCGGAACTTGGACTTTCGCTCCTCAGGGGGCGCTTTGAAGACCTTGCCAAAGGAAGATGCGATGGTAGTCGACTTGAGCCCGATGTTGTTGTAGGCACTGCAGTAAACCAGAGGAATTAGCTCACGGCACCCTCTCAGCCGCGGATTTCACCGTGTTGAGCCGGCGGCCAGTCTCCACATGTCTGCGAGGTGACGCTAACCCGCCGTAGATGTCGCCAACCTGGAGGAGAGGATCGGATAGCCATACTGTCAGATCACAACGGCGCAACAACAGAATCGACAGCACAAGCAGTTCCACGACAGGCTCAGATGAAGCATGCAGTCTAACGCAATCCAGTGGCATGCCAGGCCCAGACAATCAGCAAAGCCAAGCAACATACTAGCATATCAACATTGCGATTGTCGCCGCTCTTGGACAGCTCTGGCGAATGGATCACAAGAAGAGAGTCAATACGGCCATTCAGGTTGCTTTGGTCCTCATGTGCTTGAATCCACGAGAGAACTCCGGGGGACATGCGGCCACAGGCACGTACCGAGCATTTCGTCATAGGTCTGAGCATTGGTCATGAGAGAAAGCAGACCCCATAGGGTTCCTCCGCCGATGCAAGTACCTGCAGACAGCCCAGCAGAGGTGGTGCCCACAGCCAAGCTGGGAAGTCAGCACACAAATGGCGAAGCCGACTGCCACCGCGAGATGAAACACAAATGCAGAGCCATCACTTGGTCCGGTTCCTCACCGCTGACGCGCTCAAAAGTCTCGTCGCTGGTAACCTTGATGATGCTGACTCCTGAGCCGATGTTGACAAGCTAGGACATGACCGAGTCGGTTTGCGTCTGGTCAACATATCGCTCGACAACCCCGTCGACGCCAGAATCGCAGCCCGTCGATGCACACGCATACTGCCACGACCATCGCCATCACTCAGACAATATACAAACCAGGTACGGAAAGAGACTGCCCATGTTCGTCTCGAAGACCATGGGCTGTGGACGGCGCTCGTCATACGTGAATACTTCGTATGGAACCTGGCGGACGAGGAAGTTCAATCCTGCAGCCAGCCGGATTGTTAAGGACTGCGCTGTTAGTTTGTCGCCGAGTTGAGAAGCCGAATCGGCAAGCTACATGGGCTTGGTACTCGGCCTCATGATGTGAATCGCTCTGGTGTTTGCTCGTTACAGTGTCCGGCATGGCCCCACCTGTGATCAAGCTATCCATCCACGACGTCCAGTAACGATATCAGAGAAGCGAAGAGTCATATTCCAGTGAGCAGTTGTGGGACTGTGCCGTAACGGAGGCGTATCCGGCCAGTAGTATTGTGGGCCGCATCCAAACGAGCCATGAGTAGAGCTTGCTGCCTGGCATGCAAACGCCCCTCCTCCTCCACCATCGCCGTGGTCCTCACCATTCCATCTCGTCTTCGCGCTGGATAGTAACGCCGAGTCGCTTCTGGAATAGATCTGTTGGGGCAGTGCGGTTGGACGGTCAGATTCTGGCGGAGCAGCGCCCCCATCCAGGCAGCGGTGTCGGTGTCGCAGCAGAAACATCATCGAGTCCAGGGCATTGCGATACGAACCATAGTACTTGTGTGCACCACCGCCAGTGGCTTACGAATGGTGAAGATGTGTGGGAGGACGGAGCCCGGGGGACGGGTGGTGAGTGCAGATATCAGCATATTGCCGCGCGCAATCATATGGCGAGAAGAAGAAGAATGCCCAGCAACTGCCCAGCAACTGCCCTCCTGGTAACGAGCTGCGATGGGATCCAGATCGCCATTGCCCATCAGCTCACGAGACGCCTGTGTCTCAGCCGCCTCTCCATTTTCCACACCTTTGATAACTCGCTGCGAGACAGGGACTTGGCCGGCGTAGGTGTTGTAGAGAACATCGTGGATAAAGTCCACACACTGGTCGATGTGCTGAGTCTCAAACTTTACAAAGTTGAGGCGGCCTCCGGGCGAGTCTGACTTTTTCGAAAACCAGACGACCTTGGCCAAGCTTCCTCCCTGGTTTTGTGGTGCGGCATCGAAGACGGAGCGGTATTGTAAGCGACAGCGATTGAGCGGCGGGGGCAGGCTTTTCGGATGCGGAATCGATTCGAGTCGTGGGATGACGATGTTGATGCAGAATCGAAGCTGTGCGGACGGGGAGGGCTGCTGCGGCCGTGCGATCCTTGGGTAAAATCACCCACTCAACCCCATGTCCCGAACTTACGATGTCGACTGCGATTTGCGAGACATCCTCGGACTGGTGGGGGAAAACAATGTCCCTGGATTGTTCGAAAGGCGAACCAGCGAGCGACCGAGACGATCAGACAGAGCTCCAGGCTTTCGATCGTCCGTCCACCGAGCTAGCTCCTCGGCGCGACGGAACCAGGGCGGCATTCGGCATCGACGGAATTGGCCGTCGCTGCCTTTATCCGACTCGGCATGATGCCTGCAGAAGGGCCAAAGCTCATTGCCCATCGAGGAACAGCTGTCCTCCTCACCTGGTCTCGGAGACCTCGGTCTCCTCATCGCAGATAATGACTCCCTGGACGTTCAGATTGTGTCCTCTCATTGCGGGGCTTGTGCAGTGCCTCGTTTGTCTGAAGGAGGGGGTGGATGCAGATGCGGATGCCTGCTTGTCGTCCGGGTCTGGGCTGCGGGGCGGGAGAGAAGCGGGGACCAGGATCTGCAGGGCAAGCGAAAACGGAAGCCCATGCGCGGCCGGGACGGTGCAACACGCGCAGCGACGGGTGATTGGGCCTTGGCGATGGCGTGGCCCCAGCGCAGCGACGAGCCGACATGGGTTTGAAATCATGGCATGGCGACAGATGCGTGGCCGTGGACAGCGGCGTGGCATCGGCGGGCACCCTCTGGATCGCATTCATGATGGCGAACGATGTGTATTGTCGTCTATCAGATTTGGAGGATGGCCAGCCAGCCGATTCGGGCTGGCGGCGCATTCGGTCCAGAACTTTGCGAATGCAAATGGAAGAGGGAGATGTGCTTGTGTTGTCTGAGCATAGGCGGAACCAGCAGAGCGTCGGTCTGCATCACAAATGAGGCGGGGGCTGCTCTCCAAGCCAGAGCGTCGGTTCCAAGGGGTCGACCATGTGGATGGATCCGTCCATCAGGTAGTGTTTGTTGTTCTCCTCGACTTGGTCCAGCAGGTACTGATAGTTGACCATCATGCCGTACGACTGCCGGATGCCTTTATCTGTTGCAACACACCATGCCAATGTCAGTGGCGATGGAGGATGGGCTGCTACTGTAAAATCCGCAGCAAAGGACGACAACACGAATGTATCGCCCGGAATGTCACCGAGCCCGAACGAGATGCGCTGCTTCGCGCCTGCGGCGACCAAAGTTACCTGAGCGATCAGCCTGCCAGTTGATCCGAGCGACGCTGGCTCCATTGCGGATGTGGAAGTTTGCTGAGACAGACAGCGCAGCGAAGAAAATCGGCGAGCGTTATCAACACCACTGCAAAAGTTGGAGTATGCCCGGAATCGGAATCCGCTTGGCCCCATCGTCTCTTGTCTCGCTCGAATCGGCAACGGCTCACTCACCAACGGGATCGAAACAAAACATGCGCTTCTTCTCCGTCAGGATATATTTGGCGCAGAGACGCAGCAGGATCGGCTCCAAAAGGTTTCGGCTCGCAGGCACGTGCATCCATGCATCGTCACTTGTCAGCTCCTGTCACAGATCGGCAGCAACAGCAGAGTCGTCAGCTACAGAGTCTGAGCAGCGCCGGCGAGAGCGACAATCGGCATTACCCTGAGGACTTGTGCCGCATTGGCATCGCTCTTGTCCCTGATTGTGCACAACGAGTGCACCTCCTGTGCCAAGAACAGGGGCTTGCTCCGAGCACGATCTTCGACCAGGTTCATCTGGGTTTCGAGCCAAGGGCGGAAGCCGGGGACCGGCGAGAGGGTGCAGAAGGTGGTAATCTGCGGATAGTCCCGCTGCAGCTCCTTGACGACCCGCTTGATCAGAAAGTTGCCGAGTTCGACTCCGGTCAGGCCTAGGATTCAGATTCGCGCAAAGATATCGAGAGGGGTTGGTTCGTGAGAAAGCCTGTGGTAACAGAGCTCGTGCCAGTATTGTCGATAGTCGCGGACGGCCGCTGCGCTGTATCCTGCTGTCGCGACACTCGGGGTCGTGGACGATACTGGTAGCAGGAATGGTATTGCGACCAAAGACCGGTGTGGGAGAAGATACCTTTCTGAGACGACGTGATCGAGTAAAAGATGGCCGTGTTGGCTTGCTTCTCGTCGTTGATCGTGGGCGTCGACTCGATGATGTCATGGATGTTGTTGGACACTTTGTCGACCAGGGCAATCTGCGACGAAAGGGCCCATCAGCGGGTGGTGATCTCATCGCATCAAACACCAGCGCGGAGACAGGCGCATACCTCGATAAAAGTCAACGGGGTCAGCGGGAGGCCGCTGTGGAAGAAGCCATAGCACAGACGGCCAGGGCCAAGTCGCTGTTTGAGAGCCTTCCAGTCGGGGATCGGATGGACCGCCTCGTACTCAACCACCTGAAGAGGGGAGGAAAGTTAGAGCTGGATCCTCCAACAGGACACAAACAAGTCACAGCCCTGGTACTCCAGCATCGTTCTACATGCCGCAGAACGGCTCTGGCAAGTCACGGCCATGCCCCGGCCAATGCAGATTCCACGAGGCCTCTGACCATGACTGTTGTGCCCACGAGTACCAGAGAAACCCACACCCACCAGCGCACCCTGTCGTTGACGGCGACAGTCCCACCTTTTCGAGAACGCTAGCCTCGGAGTTCCATGTGATGCGCTTGAGGTCCATGGTCTCCGTATCAAACCAGGCTTGGAATTTTTCACGCAGATACTCGCTCATGGCCCTGAGCTCGTGGTTGAGGCTGTGGGTCGAGTCCTCGCTGATCAGATTCACCAAATCCTTGCGGAGATTCACCAGGAATCGCATGCCGCCCGGGAGCCTATGAACCTTGGTAAAGAAGCTGTCGTAGAGCGGGGCTAGCGACGAGCGCAGAGCCGACTCGACCCGACGGTGTAGAACGCTGGAGGACTTGCTCTACCAACACGACGAACAAAAGAAGGCTCAGAGCAGAGTTTGGATGCAGCAGTGCGATCGGGTGGGTCGAGAGCAGGCAGGATGTGGGAGCGAAAGTGGCTTCCTTGAGCTCACGTCGCATTCGGCGAGAGAGCAAGATGCAGATTCAAGCTGGGGAATGCTGGGCACCGATATGACGAGAGTGCATGCGCAGGACCTACCCCTTGTTCTGCCTCGAGGTACTTGCGTGCAGCTGAGATTGTCTCGGCCCGATCGACGCCTGGACAGAAGCAAGCGATCGTGTGCATTAGCCCCACAGATTTGTGTAGAGGAATAGAGCGTCTGGCTTCGATTCGACAGGGCTGCGAACCTACCGAAATCTTTGGCCAGGACTTTGAGGAACTCACTTTTGCCGTGCTGCTCAGTCGGACAAGGTAGTGAGCCGAGAGAGTCGTTGTCGGGACAGATCGTCAGGCTGCGGTCGAGCAATCATCCAGCACTGCCATCGTCAAAGGAGCATGCGAGTAGCACGATCAACATGGGAGGGGGAGGTACGTACAGGGTTGCAGCTTTCGTAAAACTCGCAGCACTGGCGAGTAACCAGAGCCGGCATGATGTCGCCGCTCTCACGACGGGTGCGGATGGAGCCGCTTAGCAGACGACGGACGAACTGAGCGTTCTTTTCAGAGTATTCGTGGGTGCCATCCGACATGGTGTAGGTATCTAGAATCCGGTTGTTGGTTGGAGCGTTGGGAGCCGGGGATGGTGGACGACGATCGCAGACGACACAGGCGATGCAAACGGCGATGCAAACGGTGATGGAGGGGAGAGCACGAGCAAGTCAGTGTGTGAGGAGCAAGCAAGCACGAGCTATTTAAATCTGCTCGGAAAGTCCCCAAGATGGGCTCAGGGATCCTGCTGGTGTCAAGGATCGGAAGAACGGCAGAAAGGCAGCAGCAACAGCACCAACGGCGAGAAACCGGGCCATGACACGGCTCATGGACCCAGAGGCACAATCCGGCATCGCCCGATCCCCAAACCCCCAACATTTTGGGAGCGCCTCCGTGGAGCGGCTCGCAGAGACCGCCCCGCCGGTGCGTTCTTGGGGAAGAAGCACCAGCCCGAGGCTGCCCGGCGGCCATGTCCCAGCAGCGAGCCGCCAGAAACAGAGGGGCAGGAACAGCCGATGCCAGCGACGAATCGTCAAATGGCCAGACCCGCACGGAGAAAGGACCCAACGCAAACATAACCGTAGCCGGAGGAGCCACCCAGCCAAGCCGAAGCAACCCCGCCCTCCCCCCAAGCAGCGCGACCAAGACGGCTTACTGGGGTCTTTTGAGTAGCGAATAACGTCGTCCCAGTAGTTTGCCACGATAGTGCTCGGCAAGGGAGTCGAGGGAGGTCGCTGAGAGTGTGCTGAGCGCCGAGCCAGCCACAGGAGAGGGTGCGGTGCTTGTCCAAGACGGCTCGAGAGTAATGTGCCGGCGGGGCGGCTGCGAAAGCAACGCATGGTCCGACTGCGACGAGGTCGGGGATTTGGATGGCCGAGGACTCGGGCGATCGATCTGCTGCCGACCAAAGAGCACGGAGATGACCAGGGCAGACCGGGGTGGGCACTCGGAGAACCGCCGTGAGGGCCAAACCGCAAGCCGCGATCGAAACCCGGCGCCGTCGGGACTCATGCTGCGTCACGCGGGCAATCAGGATGGACTTGGTTGTCAAGCAGTGGCTGGCAATGTCGACCCACAACAGCGCTTCTCTCTCGCCAGCGCTGCCGACGATCGTTCGCCAATGCCATCCCCGTTTGGGCACGATCCGCTGGTGGTTGTCGTCTGCATCCCATAATATTGATTTTACGTTTCTTGCGTACAGCCCCCGCACAGACCCCATCCATTCTATTCGCTCTCGTCCAAGCACCGCTCAGGCCGGCGGGCCCACGGTGACGACAGTGCTGGCCTCGTACGAATCTCGATCGAACCCGATGCGCTGCAGGATCGTCGGGAGCTCCTCCTGGTAGTCCAGATGGCGATGCACAATGTCGCTGACCTCGTAGTTCTCGATGCGACCCAGCTTGATGCGGGTGCCTTCGGCAATCGCCGGACCGGCTCCGCGGGCGCTCACCGGTCGCAGGCCAAAGAGTGCGGCGCTGGGACTCAGGTTTCGGGACAGGAACTGCAGGAACCAGTCCTTGTGGCTGAACACGTTGACGAAGCGGTCGCTCACCAGAGTCGTGATGTCGATCATGTCCTTGCCAGCCACTTCGACAGGGCACCCGAGCATGTAGACGCTGTCGATGATGCCCCACGGGTTCGGTCCGTCCGCGCGAGCATGGCCAACCATCTCGAGAAGGCAGTGGTAGATCACTCGGGCGCCGAGGCCCCAGCCGACCAGCGTCACCGGCCGGGTTCCACGAACAGGGCCCATCAGCAGGTTCTTGGCCAGCACGATACCCGCCGCCTCGGTGCGAGCCAGAGCAGCCTTCCAGGGCTTGTCGACGAGGTAGCTCATATCGAGCAGCGACCGCGGCCACATGGTTTTGGTTGTCAGCGATGTCATCTTGGACTGCTTGGTCAGCTCGTCTTCGGGGACATATGTGCCACCCGTGGCCATAAAGTCCCTGATGGCGTTGGATATTTGGATCAGCTGGTTGCGGTCGAACATGATCATATCGACCTCGGAAAAGGGGCAGATGCCCAGCAGCGACGACCAGGCCTCCTTGAGCTTCTCGCCGGCATGCAGCCAGCCACTGACGGCCAGGATGCAGTGGATGCTTCTCCGCTGGGGCGTCAGGGGCACGACCTCAAAGTTGGCCTCAGTGAAGCAGTAGGCTAGAGAGGGACCAGAGAGGGACCAGAGATGGACCAGAGAGGGGCAGCGGGGTGTCAGTGGTGCGCGAGGGCAATCGAGGTGGGAAGTGGCCCAGAAATCAATGGAGCGGGCTGAGGCAAGCGACTTACAGACTGGGCGCACGACCGACATCCACGGGAATGCCTTGCGTGTCTCCTCGGCCACCAGACGCTCGACATCCTGCTGGAACAGGCTTCGAATCTTCCATTTTTTCTCTTGGCTATCGACTGAAAGACGGTCGATGTCCGTACTCACATCTTGCTCGTCCTGGGGATCCGCGGCGGCGTTCTTGCCGTCGTCGACACTCTCGATGCCGCTGTCTGCGTCGCCGTCGCCATCGCCGTTGTGCTCCTCGCTTGCTTCAATGGTAGCAGCCCCAGTAGTCTCGGTTGCCTCAGTCGCGACCTCGTCGGACACGCCTTTCAGCTCGCTGGCTGCCTCAGCCTCGATGCCTTTCTTCGCCTCCAGGGCCTCTGCCTCAGTGTAGAGTCTCTCGGTGATGTTGAAGATGCGGGCGGTGATGTTCTTTGCCAGACTGCGAAGGCGCGCATCATAGCGCAGCTCGCCAACCTGGTTGGCCTCGACCTTGATGACGGAGAAGATCAGGTTGAAGACAATGCTGTATGCGATCGATAGCCGGTCGCCAATGTACTCGAGCGACTTGACGGTGGAGATGCTGTCGGTTTCCTGGCCGGTCTCGCCTTCAAGGTGCTTTTTCAGAGCCTTCTGGAGGGTCGAGGTGAGATCCGAGACTGTGATGCCGTGCTCGGCCAGATCAACGATCATGCGTCTCTCTGCGGCGGAGAGTTGTCCGGGCGATGGTCGCAGGGAAACAAGTGCAAGACAGATGGCGGACAGAGAAGTATGAGATAGATTGCTCGATGCGATAGAAACTGGCTGCAGGAATCGGGACAGCCCACGAGATTGGAGTGGGCGGCTGAATCGAAACAAGCTGCACGCCCATAACAACCAACCCCTACATCGACTCGCATCGGGCTAGTGCCCAAGCCGAGATCGCCACTCACCGGGCTCGCTAAAGACGTTTTCAGTGAACAGATCCGAGAGCAGCCGCTTGACCCATTGGTTGTAAGCATTGATGATTTCTGTCAATACAAACGCAGTCAATGTCTCTGGACATGCAAAGTGCCGCATCGGCAGTGACAGAGCCAGCTGCCCAATCCACCAAACACCAGTGCGATCGGTTTGATGCAACAAACAAGCGTATCTTGGCTGATGCGCCACCACCAGCAGCCACACCAGCAACCACACCAGCAACCACACCAGCAACCACACCGCACCACAGAAGCCGCGGCAGGACGCTACCTGTCTTGGTTTGCTCCGGCTTGCTCTTGGAGCCGAACCATGAGCCCGTGGTCTTGACGGGGGTTGCGCACGAAGCGATCAATGCCTCGAGGTCGCTGCTCTCACGACTGGCGACCAGATTTACCAGTCCGATGTAGGCAAAGAGCTCTTGGTGGGCCAACGGCCGGAACACCTTGGCCGGGGGCTGGGGCTCCTCTTCCTTTGGCTCCTCGGCGTCGGCACTGCTCTCGGTGTCGTTGAACTTGGACTCGGCCGTGTTGGCGACCGAGGCCGTCTCCGAAGCCACCTGCGAGGCGACCTCAGAGGCAACCTGCGAGGCGACTTCGGAGCCAGGGCCTGCGATGGCAGCAGCGGCCGAGGGCTTCGAGCCCTCCGAGGTTGCAGGATGTCTTGACCGAGCTGACGGGAGACGGCGGGGGCCGAGTCTGTGCGCTGTTTTGGGCCTGCTCGATCACAGACTTGAGGGCGCTCTTCTTGATCCTTCTACGGACGACGACGGTCTTGGTTTCGACGACGACATCGGCATCGCCATCTTCGTCTTGATCGGCAGAGCCGGGCAGCGGTTGGGCTGGAACAGGGTCTTGGGCAGTCATGGGGTGCACGAGCGGGGACGGCTGGAGGCAGCAGGCGACAGAGGAGGACAGGGGCGATCGACGGCCTTGGGACCAGACGGGGACAGGACACCTGAAACGTGGGTGAACGACGGCGATGGCCGGTGTCGGGACAAGCGGTGGCGAGAGCGGTGCGGCCAGAGAGGAGTGCTGAGGGCCAGAGCCGAGCGAGCGGCGAACAGCAACAGGGAACCAAGCGAGACCAGGCGCAAGTGCTTGGGCAGACCAAGTGCGGACGGTGTGCGGCTCATCTGCGGCCAAAGGAGATTGGGTCCAATTCGCAAGCCGATCCATGCATGGCCGGTCTGCGCGCACGTTTCGGGACGGCGTGCATTTCGACGACGCGTGGCTGCCACGGGGCGGGTCTGGCCGGGCCGGCCGCTGCTTGTTGCGGGCGCACCCGCTGCCGATTCGGGAACGGCCGCCAGTGGCCCAAGGGATGGGCTTTGTTGTGCGGGCGGTGTGCGAATCGCGCTTTCCTGATTACCATCACCACCATCACCACCACCACCACCACCACCACCATCATCACCATCACCATCACCATGAACTCTTCCGCTCGTGCATCCACCTCCAGCCGGTCGCCGAGGCAGAGTGTATTGCTCCATACAGGACTTGCGCACGTCGGCTGTCGCTCAAAGCGTGGCGGCCAGAGCCTCGTCCAGGCACCGGAAGAACTGGTACACATCCGCAAACGAATTGTACAGCGGCGCGGGGGCGACTCGGATGACATCGGGCTTGCGCTCGTCGCAGACCACTCCGTGCTCAAGCAGGCGCTCAAACACAGGCATCATCCGCCCTTCCTCCAGGAACAGTAGCGAGAGCTGGCAGCCGCGCTGCGACTCGTCCAGAGGCGTGATGATCCGGAGGCGGCCCGGGTACTTGTCCTGCAGATGCTCGACCAGGAGCTCCAGGTATGCCGTCAGTCGGACCGACTTGTGGCGCAACGAGGCCATGTCGGTCTCGGCAAACACCTGCAGGCTGCCGAGCAGGGCGATGGTGGCGAGCACCGACGGGTTGGACAGGCGGTATCCGGCAGCACCGGCAATCGGCTCGAACTCGTGGCTCATCTGGAACTTGGTCGCCGGGTTGGTGCCCCACCACCCAGCAAACCTGCATGCGAGAAAGACGCATCGTGCCATCAGCCAACCAACACGCAGCGACATCGATCCAGCTCGGCTGTCGCACTGCAAGACCCACCTGGACAGCGAGCTATCGCCGGCATGCTTCGAATGGACAAATGCGCCGCCTGGTCGATTCGAGCAAGTCAGTGCACCGAGCTTGCAGTTCCCAACCACAATACCCACTCGAATGTGCCGCTACGCCGCCGTGCATTTGGCACTTACCGATGCCGCCAGGACCAGAGTTGAGGTACTTGTACGAGCACTGAGCGAGCCAATAGCACATGTAAGCCACCCTGCCATTCACAGCCGAGCAGTGCATCGACACTTGCTGCCAGTTTCCGACTGTGGCTGTCCGACAGACAGCGATTGCTCACCCAGCAGGCAAAATCGACTTGCCAACGATGCAACTCCAGCGGGACGTTGCCGACAGCATGCGCCAGATCGACGCCGATGAGACAGCCCTGTCAAACACAGCAAAACACAGATACAACCACGGAAGCCGTTAGTGTGCATCCATGCTCCAAAGACGATATTGCACAAGTGCAGAGCGCTTGCTGCTCGACAATCGGCGACGCAACAGAGTCTGTCGGCTGGCTCTGTGACAGCCCATTGCACATACCTGTTCGCGCGCCGCCTGAGCGATGGCCTCGATATCAAAGAATTGGCCCGTGTAGTATTGGATGCCGCTGATGAGTACCAGGGCCGTGCTTGATCCTTCGCGTCGGATGGTTGCGAGAATGTCCTCGGTTCTCAGTGCATATTCGCCGTCGCGAGGATCGATCTCAACGATGGTGGTCTTGGGATCGAGGCCATGGAACTTGACCTGCGACTCGATGGCATACTGGCAGGGAAGAGCATCCACGATCGTCAGCGACAGACCTTATGGACTGAGTGACCGGGAGCGACACCGCAACCCTCCCCCAAGGACAGCCCATCGGTCGCTCCGAGACGCACATAGTCGGATGGGAACGCCTTGCCCTCCATGATGATCTTGAATCGCTCCGTGGTGGGTCGGTAGAATGGCACCATCAGAAGATGCACATTAACCGTGAGGCTGTTCATGATGGCAACCTCGTCAGGCTCGGCACCTAGGTCGATGTGACGCAGAGAAACAAATGTCTGAGAGGCTGGACCGCTGCGTGCAGTTGCACGACGAGAGCAATGTCTGCCGACCAATACGGCCGTTGTGCTGCCCGCAAGTATGCGGGGCCGACTCCCTTCGGTGGCAATGGCTGTCGAAGATGCTCATCGAGTCGGCGACGACGACAGAGGATGCCGACAACGACAGGATGCCGACGACGACAGAGGATGCCGACGACGACAGAGGATGCCGACGACGACAGAGGATGCCGCCAACTCACCCACGATCCTTGCGCTTTCTTCGATGACATTATCGTCGATAGAGACCCAAGGACGGTCGAACTGATGATTGAAGTGTCCATGGACGCCGCTGGCGAGCCAGAAACGAGGAGGAGAGAGTGCAGAGATGGTTGAGCCTATAGCCGAGGACCGGGGGCCAGTCTTGGGCGGGCGAGTCGGCGGGCGAGATCAGGATGCTTTCTGCACAATGAACGACATCGATTGCATCGCTCGGGTGCTCGCCAGACATGCCGCTGATCTGCTTGGGACACAAACCACTGAGCCCAGATCTGGAGCTCCTGGTCAAGCAGAGCCTTGGTGCGGATGGGCTGCAGACCAAGCGAGTTGCCGCACAGATAAATAGCCTCGTCGTCGCTGCTGCTGCTGCTGCCATCAGGATGGCCCGTCTTCGAGGGCAACCCGACACTGGCAGAGTGGCGATTGATCGCCGCCACCGAGGGGATATGGAACTCTTTGCGGAAACGCTGGAGAGGATCGAGGCGGTCGAGGTGGCGGGGCAGATCGGGATGGTCGATGCCCTGGAGCGAGAGCTCCGCAAGCGTATCCAGGATCGAAGTGCGTCCAACACCCATTGTTCAAGATTCAAATATGAAGGAGGAGGAGGGACGTCTGCAGGGCTTGGTTGGTCTAGATGGAGAGCAAGTCCAAGCCGGTCGCTGTGACAGCGCGTCCTGGATCTTTGCTGGCGCAATTGCATGGGATTTCCATTACCGATGGACATGCCGCAGCCACGGCGAGCAACGGAGCGAGGGAATTATACCATCGAGCCTTGGCAGAGCGGCCCGGGGCCTCTCTGGGGCGAAGACGAGATCGCTGAGGCATTTGCTGGCGTGGCCGACGAGCGCATGAGCGGCGAGAGTGAACGAAACAGCCAGACTTCCATCATCCTCGTCCTCGTCCTGGCTCTGATTGCGGCGCCAGAGGGGCATCCGGATCCCTGGGCCATTGGATCTCCGTGACCCGCTGCCAAATTGCGATCCAAACCTCCCCGCATGATCACCACGCCGCCAGAATCCAAGATACCAATCAGACAGAGTCCTGCGCCAAACGACATGCATGGAGAGGTGAGAGTGATTGATTTTGATCTGCCGAGTCAAAAACATATTGTACATTATCAAGCAGGAAGTGAAGGAAGGGGAGAGGGTTGGGAAGCGTTGTGGAGCAAGAAAGAGTGCCTCGTATTCTCATCCAGCAGCCACCAGCACATCGACGACGCCTACAAATCAGAGACCTCACTCAGACACGACTGCTTTACGGACCCAGGGCTCGAGAACATATGGACCAAACAAGAGCAACAAGTGCAACAACGATGGAAATGGGGGAGAGGGTTAGGATCGGCATCCGGCAAGGTGCTTATGAATCAATCTCTTGACTCAGGTCAAACTCGATGACAAAGAAGGGCGTGTTGTCCTTCTGGGACTTGGCCATCAAGCGGATGGGCTGGTCGTTGAGGTAGCGCAGCAGGTTGATGTTGATGCCCAGGCTGAGATCGAATGTGTTCAGGTCGATGAATGGCGCAAAGATCTGAGCAGAGCGCCGAAAGGGATTGTCAGTACAGCAGCCATAGCCTCTACAGACAAGCAGCCGCACTGGGTTGGCCGTGGAGCCACATCCGCGGCGAAGACATCCGCGGCGATCGGCCTGTCGTTTGGCTTGTCGTTTGGCTTGTCGTTTGGCTTGTCGTTTGGCTTGTCGTTTGGCTTGTCCTTTGGCCATATCGCAGTCGAACCCAGTCGATCGATTCCGGCACGAGTCCCAGCCGGTCGATTCCAGCGCGGGTCCCGGCTGCCAAGCAACAGCCGGCGCCGTGTCCGGGGCCCTCCCATGCATCACCCCTCCTCTGTCCGTGGAACAAAATTTACCTCGCAGTGGTACACTTGGCTGGGCTTGAAGATGGTGTCCTGGCGGGTCTGCTGGTCCCGGAAGTACGCACGTCGCTCGTTGACGTCATCGCTTGCCACAGCCACATCGTCGATGCCCTCGAACATCAAGGTGTTCTCCTCCTTCAGCTCGACCTCGCCGCCCCATGTCCATGCGCCAAGGAGCTCTGCGGGCGAGGGAGTTGTTTGCACTTTCGAGGCCAGCTCCGAGACAGAGTGCCCGGCCGATACCGAGGGAAGAGCGGTGCTGGAGGGCTGGACGTTGAGGGTGTTCATCGAGCAGAGCATGGGGCTGTAAAGCCAGGGCTTCTCGGCATAAACATCGGCCAGGAGAGCGGGATCGATGAGGTTGGCAAACTTGAGAGCGACCCAGGTGCCGGTGGGAGGGTTGACCTTGTTCTCAAACTCGGCGCCGAAGACGACGTCGTCGACACTGTACTCCTGTGGGTTGAGAAGCGGGAGCAGAGCCCGGACGGTTATCATCGAGCAGGCCACCAGTGCGGCAGGCTCCTGCATCGCCATCTCCTGAGCTGGGCTCGGCCTCGGGGGCAGTCCGGGTGACAGTGGGCTGGTGGTGCCACGACAGACTGGGCCAAGCCCTGGCTGTCCAGCTCTGGTTCTGTCTGACTTCCGGCAGCTGACTTGCCCTCGGACAAGCCCAGTTCACGGAGCCGACCCAGAAGAGGACATCGAGCCCAGGGCTGTCCAGAGCAGGCCGCCGATGCCCTGGACACAGATTGAGCCAGTCTCCTCCTCAGGAAGAGCCCTGAGAGCGAAGGGGCGCTGCTCCCGAGATGTGCACAGACCAACAGCAGCGGTAGATCACCACCGAACCGCACCCCGCCCACACACGGCCAGGACCGGAGGAGGGACACAGGACTCTGCTGACTAGGGTACCTTTCGGAAGCGTCCGGAGAACTGAATCGAGAAGAGTCTTCTTCGGGTACCAAAGTAAGGAGTGATGGCGATGGGAGGGGTGTCGTCGGGAGTGAAGCCCCTGAAGTTCTTGACTCGCACGGCAATGTGGCCGGTGAAATACTCAGAGTCCACGAATTGGGGCTGTGAGTCGTCGTTGACGTTGTAGACCTTGAGGTTCTGGGTGTTGGGGCCGATTCGGACGCAGAGCTTGCGCTTGCTAGGATCGGGGCCGGTGGAGCCGGAGCCAAAGAAGTAGTCCATGGGTGCGACGAGGGAAGGGTGGGGAGCAGAGAAGGGTCGGCCGGGAGGGAGCGACGATGTAGGAGAGTCGAGCAGAGGCGGCAGCAGACGGGAGCAAGACCAAGACCAAGAAAAGTGGGAGACTTTGGATGCAGGGGTTGTGGGCCGCTGGATGCGTGGCTGAAACGAAGGCGTGGACAGACATATTAAATTCATATCTGGGCAGCGAGACCTGGCGAGAAGGCGGCGAGGGGCGGGGCGGGGCTGGTGCTGGGGCGGGCGGCCGTTCCCACAAACCAAGTACCCGTCGAGAGCGAATGTGACCGACTGACTGCTGTGCCGGGATTCCGAGGACATGCACATCCCTCCGGTGTGTCCCAGGGCATTGCTGTTGGACTGGTGGAAGCAGGCATATGTCCGAACCCCGCGGCGGTGATGCTGGGACGGCAGCGCAACGCCCCATCCACCACAGCATCGGCACGGCGCTTGGCTGGATCAGATATGTATTCGAATCGTTCGTCGCTCGCTGCCACAGCGCAGGCTGTCGATCAAACGCTGAGCACAAGCCCCACTGTGTGCGAGATGCTGACAAGCAGCGAAACCCCTCCAAATAAGTGCCAGAACGAATGCAGGCACGCAAAGCGCATGCGATCCGCCGCAAAGCACAGCAGTCCAAGACAGCCAAAGGCCAGACCGCTGTAGCATCCAACCGAAGCGAACCCACAGGCAGCCATGGGAAGCCCAAGGGCAAAGAGCCAGACAGCGATCGAGCCAGTGGTTTCCCACTGCCAGATGAACAGCAGCAGAATCACGGCTGCTGGCAAGATCCACACGGCCTCGAGCATCCAGATGCTGTGGGAGTTGGGCGAGTGTCGGTTCAGGGCGACCGAGTTCTAAATGATCCGAACCGAAACGATGCGAAACGAAACGAAGCGAGGTAACACGTCCGCGAGAGAAGTGGGTCAGTTCCTCGCTGTGCTGTGGGCATCCCTCACAGGGCAGTACAAGTGTATCAGTGCAGCACTTTTTGCAGATACGCCTTCGAATGAGCGACGGTGCGTGGGGTAGTGGACACTGCACCCATACCAGATAGAATGTCATGACAGCAAAAGCCTCGTCGGCTGCCGAGAATACCCGGTAGTTGGTCATATGGTAGACGGTCGAGGCCACTGCACACACGCAGGTGGCCAGGATGCAAACGTTCAGCAGGAGCGGAATGCGGTCGATCGGCACATAGAGGTATATGATCAAGGGCAGGCCAAACAGCGGCGACGTCATGGTGCACCAGAACTCGGCTGGAGAGGTCGCATTGTGGAGATGCAAAGCGACAGGGTCAGTAGCGAGTCAGTGGTTGTTGTGGGATGGGGCATGAGTTCTCAGACTCAAACTCGGGCAAGCCACTACTTCGGAGCCGATGCTGGACATTCCTTCTCCTATCGATAGTGCAATCGCTCGCTCTCCGCAGTTGGAAGAATACGTTGGATCCGGGATCTGTGCAGCGCTCCACCTGGGTCCCGGGTACATACCGACCCAGGCCACGATGCTGTACTTTTGCTCCATGGTCGTGATCTCGGCTTCGGCAACCATGCGCTGCATCAGCGAGCATCTTGTTCTGCCCAAGGCGCCCTCCGTGGTATTCTATCGCGGTTGCAGGAGCAGTTGGATGAGCAGAGGCGCCGTTCGAGCAGAGCACGTCAGCAGAGTGTTTGATTTGGAAGACTGATGACAGGCCACAGCAAGCATGCTTACTCGAGTACAGCAGCGGAAGACTCGATCATCCTTCTCGATGGAACTGGATACACAGGGCATCGGCATATTAGCCCGGGACTACAGCAGGACGCAGTGCCGCAACTGGTCTTGCCCTTATGGCAACCTTCCATTCTGCAGCCAGGGGATGCATCAGGCCGCCGCCCGAGATTCCATTTCATCCAGCCTGTACCTGTAGGACTTGCTGCAAACCATCGGCATGCTTTCGGATTGATTCCCGGCAGGCTCTCGCACGCTTTCGCAGCAATCCGCAACGAAATTTTGTGTGTCGGATGTTGACAATGCGGGTCACTTCGACACGGGGATGCCTTGTGTGGATCAAATGTTGTTGATCGGCCGACCGACTGAATGACATCGATCGGCGCTCGCACTGTTGCGGTGAGATGTTGGAGTCTGAGGACAACTCCATTCAATGGACGACTCGGGAGATGCTCTGACAACGACTTATCTATTCAACACGCTGCGTTGACGATGCAGAATCATCCATCTCGCAGACGATCCCGCAGACAATCTCCGTTATATATTCAGGAGGAGCTTCACCCAGCAGCGACGGCCAATCGAATCCGTCTCGATCGCTCCGGCCTAGAGCACAAACGGAAAGCCAGACGATGCACCATCGGAGGGCGTCACCATCGGCGGACGTCGTCAAGGAATGTGGGATGTGTGTTGCGAGGCTAAGTGATCTGGACAGATGCATTGAGTCAAGATCAACAACCGGCCTGCAACCTGCAATAGGTTCTTGCCCCTTTCATAACTAAAACGCACACTGACGAAAGACAGAATCGACTTTGCCGGCGGAACCTGTCCGCCAGTGTCGCCAGACTCGGGGCGCGAATCAAGTCGTGATGTAAAAGCTGCAGAAGGCGGGTGCTGCGACGAGGACACGAGGAGAGAGCAAATCGCTTGTGGCGACGCCGGAATCATAGTGGCATTTGCCTCGTGTCGCCAGAAGGCCGCTCTCGCCGGTTCCAAGCGCAGGCCGGATCGATGGAGATCCGACCAAGGCAAACCGCGGCAACAACCCGATGACGATGAAGGTGTGATCGATTGCAGCGGCGGTCGGTGTGGAATGTGCATGTGGAATGTGCATGTGAAATGGGGAATGGGGTGTGGTAGGTTTGTTTGAGGAGTTCAGGTTCTTTCTTTCATGGGTTGATCCAGAAGAACAGACACCCCTCGGGTTCGCTGCCCGAAGGCGCGATGGTTCGCTATTCGCATCACATAGTCACAGCGGCTCTCATCACGAAAGCTCAAGACTGCCGGCTTAATTGCTTGCGGTGATAACTCGACGAGCAAGGCTGGAAGCGGCGGCGGGCAAGAATTTATCGTTCGGTCGATGTGGCTTGGACAGCTTCGCCACATCAATTTTTTCCGGCCCCTCGCGGCTGCTCATCTCGGTCACCTGAAAGTCACGTTGTATGTGGCGCAGCAAAAGTTGGAATCCGGCCATGGTCGGTTGACGGCATTCGGTATCACCTTGAGCCGATTGACGGTGGTGGTGGGCAATTGGTGTGGAGGAATGACCAATTGTATCATTGTTGGAAGCTCCACTCCGATTGCGGACAAGAACCACCACCATCTGAATCTCTCTGGTTGGAAACCTAGTCAAGCGTGGCTGTGTGTCAGCGAGATGACATGATCGTTTGGCTATCGGGCAAGACTCACCTTGACAAGATGTCTTCCCACGACTGATTGAGCGAGCGATGCGTTTCTGGATCTGGATCAAGGACGCCACTGTGAGCATCTCTGCCAGCCCAAAATGCGCTGGTTTTGAGGAGAATTTTTCTTCCCCAAGGGCAGAACCAGCCATCGCTGCTATTTTCTCGCCAGATGGCTCCCCGCAAGCGAATGACGCCACCCAGGCGACCAAGTGGATCCAGAGTACCCACAAGATCCTTGGTCTGCAGCAATGGATGAGCACCACACCAAGTCCCAAGATCCCTGGGTTGGATCCCTTCCTGCAATACATTCGCCATGTGTTCGATGGAGACATGCTGGACAAACAGCTGTACTTCAGCCTGACCCGGCGACGGCGATTCAAGCGACTCGATCTCCACAGCAAGCGACAGCGCACCGTCCACGAGATGTGCAAGCAAGTCATTGACCAGGCACCAAAGGAGACCGAAGTGGTGATTGCCTTTGGGAATGTTTCGTGGAAACAGGGGAAGGGATACGCATCCAGTCCCAGGAGACTCAGGTTTGCCAAGTACTTTGAGCAGTTCCACCACCACCAGAGACGACCACCAGACCGACCCGTCTCCAAGATCCATGTGTGCTCGGTGAACGAGTTCAACACATCCCAGGTGTGCTCACACTGCCGAGAAGCCAAGCGACTCGAGAAGGTCGAGCATCTTGATATCGAGAAACCACACTTTGTCCGGAGCTGTACAAGCTGCCATACGCTGTGGGATCGAGACATCAATGCAGCCAGGAACATGATCTCGGTATGCCAGTCGATCATCGCCACAGGAGATCGACCGGGTGTATTCAAGACTGTGCTTCCCAAACCAACCAAAACCACTCGATTGCCAACGAAGACAGGAGTGCAATGCCATGGCCTGCCCACTGGGGCCTACAGTCAGTCAGCGGGCTTCAAACATCTGAAGCCAGAAAGGGAAAGTGTCCCGTTTATTTCTGGATAGACTGTAAGTATCTCGAACTGTTCCTTGTGCATTTCGACAGTGGATGCCGGGTCGCCCATATTCTGGGCAGTCCACTTCGGGGTTGCCATCCCTCTTGGGATGGTGATGGGAGGTGTTTGACTCTCTTGTGCAAAGTGTGTGTGTGTGTGTGTGTGCAAAGTGTGTGTGTGCAAAGTGTGTGTGTGCAAAGTGTGTGTGTGTGTGACGGCGAGAGGCTTCTCGCCTTCCCTCGGGGGTCTCTCGCCAGAGACTGCTCTTCTCGCCGACCGAGGTGGCTCCGAGAGCGCGTTTTTTCGTTCTCGCTCATTTTTTTAACAAGAAATTTTTTCATAGTGTTCGCCACATCGGAGATCACGCACCCCGGTTCCCACGGACGATTCCATCTGCTGATTGTGGTGGTTTCGGTGTATTGGCAAGCAGACAGCGGCCGCGGCTCTATCCAAAAACTTTCAGGCCATCGTTTGTGATGGGAATGTCGCCCGAGTTGGCTGGCCCCGTGCCGGACACGCCCGCCGAGCTGCCCGAGTGTTTGCCCAGCAGGCTCTGGAAGAGCTCCGAGATCATCTCCTCGTGCCACGAGCCCCGAGGCTCCGGCGCCATAAAGTTCTGCAGCTTCTCGATGACATGGTATCGGATCTTGCGGCCCTTGCTGGCCTTGGTGTCGACGTTGGCCTTTTTCTTCTTGCCCTGCAGCTGCTTCAGCTGCGCCCATCGCATCGACAGCGCCACCGGATCGTCGGTCTCGGTCATGCGCGACTCGATCAGCTCCTTGAGCAGCTGCTGATAGTAGTCCGAGTCATCAAAGATCTCGGCGTCGTGGTTGGCAAGGTGGGCGTCCGCCTCAGCCACATCGGGTTGGGTGCCCTCGGCTTCGTCGCTTGACTTGGAGGCGGCCTGGCCAAGGGTACGATACTCCGATCGCTTGAGACGTGTGCGCTTGACAAGTCGCTCGCGGTCGTTCATGATCGTCTTGATCTGGCTGAGGACACTCTGCGACCCACGCGTATGCAGCAAGTGTTAGCGCACGGCTTTCCATTCGACTTGAGCACCGAGTCACTGGGCTAGCCATCGATCCACGCCGGCCGGTGGTCGCACGACTACTGGGCTCAGTCGTCCTCACCTGGTTGATCGACTTGAACTTCTTGTGGAGCGGAATGCCGCTGGCTGCCTGCACCTTGTTGCTCCACTTCTCGATCGTGGTGTTTCTGTACGCCTGGAAGGAGGTGTCGAGCTCCTTGATGTCTGTCCACATGGAGCCCAGCAGGCTGTCGGGGTCATCGTAGTCGTACTTTCGTTTTTTTGACGATATCTCGGGCGTCATGGTGACTGTGTCGTTCTTCGAGACCAGTTCCTGTTTGCGAATGATGAGCGTCAGGAGAGGCTCGTGGGGAAGATCTTGGCGGGGCAGAATAATCCAGGCGGCAATCCGGACATCTGGCTTCTGACACAGGCAGCCGAATTACCTTTCGGAATTCCAGAAGCGATTCGACGAGCGATCCCAGGCCGCGGGTGGCGGCGTTCAGATCCTGAGCAGTCTCTTCCTTGGCTGGAGCGTGCTCCATGAAGAGTGGATACACGTCGTTGTGCGGGAGTCGGTTGGCGATCGTCGCGACTTGCTGCATTCGGATTCGACAATCGAGCAGGGTCTCCCAAATATTCTGCATTTGGGCATGGTGTTAGAAGCCAGATGGGAAGTATCGTGTGCAGACAGCGAAGGAGCCCAGGAGACGCCCGCCGATGTGAGCAAGCAAGATGCCGGACTCCAGCCGTTCAAGACCAAGGGTTCTGAAAATGCAACTGCCGATCAAGAAAACAAACGAACCATCTGATTTCGGACGTGCCGGCCCTTTTCGGCATCGCCCTTGGCCGTCTGGGAGAGTGTCTTTATCAGCTTGCTTTCCTCTGCCTGGAGCTCGGCGAGTTCATCAGCCAGCTTTCGGCCCTCACGGTCGTCGTAGTCCCCATCGCCATATTCATCCTCGTCTTCTTCTCCATCTTCGTCCTCATCATCGTCCTCATCATCGTCCTCGTCCTCATCATCGTCATCGTCCTCATCCTCGTCATCGTCATCCTGATCCTCATTATCGTCATCTTCTCCATAGTCATCCTCATCATCGGCGCTCGAGGGCTCGTCTGCATCGAACAGACTCTTGCGATTGGCACGCTTGCCCGCATATTTTGGGTCCTCCACTATCGAGCCGATTTTGGTGCGGATCGAGCTTCGGCTGCATCGGGGAGGTCGCGGCGATTTGGATAGCATCGTCAATACGCTGCTCAATGATGCGACGCCGCGCGATGCTATCGATAACAATACGACACTCACCCAACATCTACATAGTGTTCTCGCCCGGCATCCATATCCTGGTCATCCAGGAAGGATTCGTCGGCGGGCCGGTCAAAGGTCGAGAAGCCATCGGCCTTTTCGGGATCGAACGTGGATGGGGCCGGGTTGGCCAGATCGGTGAGCAGCTCGCCGAGGGTGCGCCGTTTCCGCGAGGTCATGATGGTCGTCGAGATTCAGAACGAGCCGCTAGGCGATGTATGCACCAACGGCAGCCACAGTGATGCTGGTGGTGATGCTGGTGTGGTGGAGCCAAGGCTCGCTCGGTGCTGATGGGATGGCCAGAGAGCGGCGGACGCGGCCGCTGCGCTTCTGCCCAAAAAAAAAGTTGACCAAGCCACGCGACCCATCCCGGCTTCGCATGATCCGAACAGACACGAACCCTCCATCGAAGCATGCCCTCGACCAGCTCACCCTGGACATGTGCACGCCGCGGTGGATGCAGACGCCTCTGTATTTGATTAAGGGAGTCCTCCAAAAGAGACAGCAGCCCAACATTGGTGACCGATGCGCCGGCCAAATATCCAGCCATACAAGCAGCCGGGGACAGCCGAGAATGGGCTTGGGATGGGCCGAGGTCCAACGATCCCTCGAAGACATTGCCAGCAGCATCAGTCGGTCTTCTTGTTGCCAGCAAACACGGCCGACTCGGTGTTGAGCACAAGCACCTCGCCCTCCAGCAGCAGCCTCTGGATGCGCTTCTGGAACTCGTCAAAGACCCGTGAAAAGTCCATGACCGTGATGGGCGTGGGATGACCCGTCCAGTGACGCTCAAAGTGATCCATCAGATAGCCTGGGAAGCGGATACAGCAGGCCGTGTAAGTGAGCTGCTGGGCATGGCAGTGTCGCTGGGCATGGCGGAGCCCCGGAGCTTCAGTCCAGGTTGATACTGGGTCTTGCATTTGCATGTACATGTGCTCCATCCAATCGCTCGCGGTGTACAGAGCGAGCACTCACAGTAGAATTCGTGGTAAGCCTCCTTGGTGGTGCCATATTCATAGAGGAAGCACTGGAGCTGCCGGGTGCGCAACATCTTGAGGGCAAAGCCGGTCATATTGATTCCGACAATCGCCATGGAAAACCTGGAGGAAACGTGATCGAGTGGAGGACGGTGTCTGTTCAGCTAAAGCGCACCGGATTGTGAGCAGGCACTTGGGTTGATCTGCCAATGCCTGACATCTTGCCGGCGACAGCATTGCTGAGCCGCCCTTGACCTTACCAAGCGACATCGTGGTGTGAGCTTTGGAGGACCCGGGCAATCGAAGCGGGATGGTATTTTGCGTAGTAGTGCAGGTCGTCCAGAGCCAGCATTCCTATCGCCACAGTTACCGGTACGCACAGTGGCTCGATCAGAGAATAGCCCTCGGCTTGAATATCGCCTCGTCGAAAGGACCAGCAAGCAATCGGGGCTTACCCATTCCCCGGAAATCGGTGGCCGGATCAGTGCCTTGGAACCCAATCTTCTGCCACTGCTTCGAGACCCGGTCCTCAAGAGGCTCCTCTGGCATCAGGAGATCCCACAGCTGCGAGGACGGATGGCAACAGCAATGCATTTAAGACCGGACGGCCTTACCGCTCAGTCTCGGGCTTTTGACGCTCCCCCGGTCCACTCAAGTTGCGCATCTCCGCTTGGTCGCAGTTGCTCCATACCTCCAGGAGCTTCCGTTCATGAGCCTTGTTTTCCGGATCGTAACGGGTGGCAGCACGGGCATTCAATTCGTGGGTGAGGCGGTGAGCCGAGGAGATGATCGTCATACACTTCTGGAGGGAAATGGCCTCTGGACTGGAGTTTGGAGTGATGATCCGACGGTCAGATACGGCCCTACAGGTCGGGGAAAACGGCACAGCTGCATCTGACGACCGCGAGATACTTGCGTCGAAGGATCGCCGTTTTGAGGGAATCGTTTCTTGACAAGGATGCGCTCCAAAGCCCGCTCGAGATTGCCCGAGTGGGACTCGATCTCTCGGCGCTCGATCTGCCAGAGGGGATTGACCGGGCGATGGGTTGAGAACCTCGATGCTTGTATATATGCACGGGGACTGGTGATCAATGTCCGTTGGGTCTGCCGGTGACTGATACATACCACAAGCTCCTTTGAATACAGCAGCGACATATCTGGGTGCCGAACCACAGTCAGTCAGTGCTGTGAGCCGTGTCGGTTGCGCCTGCGCTGATCCGCAGCGAGCCATGGATCTGCGACTGGAGATCGCCAGTGCTCACCCGACGCCGTTATCATGGTCAACCTTACCGACTCGGTGGATCGAGTGGAGCGATGGCTTGATTGTGAAGGTGCTCTCCGACGGGCTCGGCAGGAGCGGCACCTGCTCCGAGCCCTCTGGCGCCGGCGTAGACTCGAGCGAAATCCTGTACTCGGTGTGACTCTCGTAGACGGCGATGTGGTGGCAAATGCGGTAGAGCTCCGTGGTGTTGGTGAAGAGCCGGACGAGGTACTTGTAGAGCTTGAAGAAGAAGAGCAAGCCGGGGTTGTTGTAGATCTTGGCGAAGACCACGGTGGAGAGCCACATGGACGGAGTGCCCCGGCCAAGGAACAGGTTGGGCATGACAGATGTGGATGCGGATGTGGATATGGATGTGGATATGGATGTGGATATGGATATGGATGTGGATGTCGACCAGATGGCTCAAGGCCGAGACGGAAGCAGATCGAGGACACCCCACAAGGACATGCCGCTCCGCATGTCAGCGGCACCTGATCTCGTCCCCTTGCCTGTTTTGGAGCGCCGGTGTCGCTGGAACGTGCTGCGCATCTTGTTCTTATCGATCGACTGTTCGCTTTTCCTTCGTTGTGCCCTGCCGGCTTGGTGGACTGTCGCTCTGCAATTCATCTCGCCCATCGGCCCATCCGTCCGTCCTGCGATTCATCCAGCCCGGCGGTCCATACGGTCCTGCGATTTATCCGGTCTTGCCTCTCGGCGATTCATCCAGCCTCCCGCGATCGGCGTCCGCTGTCTGCCAGCCACCCGGCCTCATCCCCCGATCCGACATCGTCTGTCGCCCATCGGCCGTGTCCCTGCATCCCCGGCTCGTCTGCCTCCCACGCAACGCTCCCGATGGCCACCGAGTCCTCGACCGTCTACAGCCTGTCCGACGACCCCGTCGAGGCCTATCTGCACAAGTACCGTATCACAATCGCTGCCACCACCGCTGCCGTATCATGTGTCGTGGTTGGCTTTCCTGTAGGTCTTGCTGTAGATGGCAGCCCGCATCCTTCATCGCCCCGCCCGTGAGGACTGGTTCTGGCCGGATCAGCCTGCATCTGGCCATCGCTACGATGCAGTCAGTTCCAATTGCTTGGCCCGGTCCATGCTGTCGCTGCTCTCCATTCGCACTGGCACCGCCTGGCTCTCTCGACCCCCCCCCACTCCATCCGATTCCAATTTGCATTGCTAATGTGCTATGGTGCGACCCACCTCCAGTTCGACAGCGTCAAGACCCGGATGCAGGCCTTCCGCTACAAGAGCATGAATGACTGTGTCGCCCACACTTACCGAACGGAGGGCGTTCTTGGATTCTTCCGAGGCATGGCACCGGTCCTCGTCACAGTCTCGGCGCTCCGGTCGCTATCCTTCACCGTCTACACCTCATCAAAAATCTATCTCAACGACAAGCTGGCGCCCTACGCCCTGCCTCCTTGGGCTAACCTGACCGCCTCCACCTTCCTCTCGGGTGCCTTTGTCGGCTCCGTTGTCGCCACCCTCAACTCGCCCATCGAGTATGTCAAACTGCATGTACAGCTCGAGCGGCTGCTGGCCAACGAGACCAAAGGCGAAATCTCGCGGTTCCCGGGGACGACCACGACCAACATCGACACCCCGCTGGCCCGTTCAGATCCGCCACCGCCCAAGCGTTCGTCGTGGGGAATGGCCAAGCACATTGTCAACAAGAAGGGTTTCTTTGGCCTCTATGCCGGCTATCGCCTTCACCTCACCCGTGACATCCTCGGCACCTCGATGTACTTTTGCGGCTACGAAAACATCAAGCGTCTGTTCGAGCTCACCCTGGAGAGCGGCAAGTGCGGCCCCGTCCACCACATGCTGGCTGGCGGCATCGCCGGCACAAGTTCGTGGCTGATCCTGTTCCCCATCGATCTGGTCAAGTCCAACGTCCAGAAGGAGGCCCTGAAAGACAAGCCGCGGTTCAGCACAACCGCCGAGTTTGTCCGGCTGAAATGGGCCAAGGGCGACATGTGGGGCTTCTACCGGGGCATCGGTCCACAGCTCGTCCGGAGCTTCCCGATCCATGCGCTGAACTTTTTGGTCTACGAGCAGGTGCTGGACTGGTGTACCAAGCGGGACATTCTATGAGTCGCATCGGCCGTCATAGCTCTATTTATCGTCGTCCTTTCTTTTGCATCACTGTCTGCATCTCGGCCGGGAGTGCCCTCGGCTCTCGCGCCGGCACTGCCTTCTGTATCGTGGTTGACACCACCTGTTTGGCTGTATATCGCATGTCTCAATAACGCTCTCTTGGGGCCACTACGCCGTCTGCCTCCAAGGGTTCTTCGTGATGGCTGACTCCAAAGGCAACGAGGAACCAATCCAATTCAAGCGGGAACGGGATGGCCCTGATGTGGAGCGGCCCGGTCATCCCATCGGCGGAGGGACAAGGTCGTTGTGGATCTCGTAGTAGACAACCGTCGAGTCGGGAGCATGAATCCCGAGGATCATGCTGCGAGCGAGCGGATGTGGTCGTCAGAATCTAGCAGTATTCCTGACCCGTTCCACGGCCTCCTGCAATTCCATGCGCGGGATTCGCCGACAGACAGTCCGCAGATCCGTGGGTATACCTGTTCTTGGCGACCGGGCCGAGCTGGCAGGTCTCCAGATGCTGGAGCAGCTTGGTTGTGCTGCAGGAGCGATCCAGCGTTGGGTCGCAGCCGAAGGATGCTGGCAGTCAGCGAGTTGCTCAGCGCTGATATCAATAGCGAGCTGCCTCCCGCTCGCTCACCTGTCGATCGACCATTGTGTCGATGCAAACACAGGGACCACCAAATGGTCCCCCTGATCGGCCTGCGCTCGCTGGCACACATCGGATGAGGGAACATGCGGTGGGATGCCGCTTGTGAGACACAAGTTCGGAGAGTGCACAAGCCATGACGACTCAGCCAGATACTGGCAAGATATTCCAGCACCCGTGCGGCCAGTTTATGCAGCCTACTTACGCTATTCCGACCCTTGCCCGTGAGTACAATTGGATGGTCGCTGTACCCGGTTCGGTGGACGCTCACCTGGCGCCATTGCTTTGCTATGCTCGTCCAGACGGATGTTTCGTGAGTGCTATTGGATGTGGTTCGTCGCTGAAACCCAGTCTCCCTCGATGGGGAGGAGAGCAGTGGCATGCTGCACGCTCTGGCACCCACCAAGCAGCAGGTCGATGTAGACCTGGAAGACAAGCTCCTGGAGTGCCTCGCTGGCGCCCTCGAGCTGTGGGCGGATCTGGGCAAACTGGAGCGCATTTTGTGTCAGGAATGGGTTGAGACAATGCCGGACAGGGCTGGACACATACACACGGATGCGCCTCCATCAGCGCTGGGACAAAACGGAGCGATGCGATGGGCTGCGTCAGTCTGGCTCGTGGGTCAGTCCGACTGGTGGGGGGCAGCTGTCCAAGGCGATGGCGATGATGTTTGAGTTCGGGATGATGAGGTTCAGGTTGGCGATGTGCCTGGGTTTGCCCTGGTTTTGCCCTGGGTTTGCCCTGGTTTTGCCCAAGCGCAGTCGCGCGACACAGCACGCCGCGACACAGAACATCCATGGCTGTGTGTGTGTGTGCATCCGTTTTTTCTTTTGCATTTTTCGTCCGCGATTCCCGATCAGATCGTTCAGCCGGTTTGCCTGCTGGACTACGAGCCGAGCGCCTCTCGATCGGTATCCTCCGCCATCGCCCGATCTTGTCTCCAAGCCCAGACCGTGCTCCATCACCATCGTCATCACCATCTAGCTCATGTTTGCCGCTCTCAACTCAACCCGCCTGCTGCGGACGGCCTCGCATTCCGTCGCGGCGTCGTCCCGGATCCTGGCGAGCCACCAGAGCATGCCCGCGATCGTCTGCCATCAAACTCGTTCGTACAACCGGAAGCGCTATCTGGAACAAAAGAAGGCCGATCGGGCGCTCCTGAATCAGGACGACATCACTTTCTCCGATGCACTTGAGGTTTTCAGAGTAATCGATCGTTTCCATCTGCGTCGAGACCTGGACTTGGGATTTGGATCAGGATACTGGACTGCAGTGATTGGGCCACAGGCGTCCTTTGGAGCTGTGCACTCTGCCATGACGACGCAGCGTCCTCAGGCTCCGCACGAACAGCCCAGGGATCAGATGCAATTGATGCAAGCGATTGTCACGGTCCCAGATGGCGAGCCGCCGTGCCCCGTCCATTGTGGCATATGATTCTGCCTTTGTTCGACTGGCATGCTAACGATGGAATCGCCGCTCCCGCAATTCGATGTTGTCATCGCGCCGCTCCCAACCTCACAGGTATACACCATGAACCAAATCCTGCCGCTCACTGCCCACATCAAGACTAACAAGCCCGACGACTATCTCAAGCCCATTCGCGGCGAGCTGCGGCTGCCACACCAAGTGCGAGCGCTGGAAACTGATGCGGATGAAGTGATCTTGGTTTTCGCCAAGGTAAGACGACCCGTGTCCGCTCCCGGGATCGCGGATTTGCTTCGGGAAAGCTCTCTCAACCTCGGCCTTGGATGCCAAGCACCGTCGCGCTGGCAGTGTCCAACTCGAGCCAGCTGCAGCAACATTGCCGGCTGCAATGCCCTGCCACTGCATTCCATGACGGTCCAGAGATCCTCCGCCAGTGCATGCGACCCATGCTTGAACATTGCTGATTCCGTTGCTTCTTTGTCCAGGGTGCACACGCCGAGCAAGCCAAGGCTTTGGGCGCGCATATCGTCGGCGCTGAAGATCTGATCTTGGAGGTCAGTATCCCATCAAACCATTTGTCGGGGGCACACCCGGAAGCCTCCTCCCGGACATGCGACCACGCAGATAGCACGAAACTGGCCCCCGTACTCGGCATCCCATCACCAAGCGCAGCGATGCAAAAGATCCTCGGGTGCCTGTCCCTAACCTTGCCGCTGTTCTTGTTGCGTGTAGCTCACCTCTGGCAAGTTCCCTCCTCGAGTCGACAAGGTGTTTGCGACAAAGGCCATGTTCCCGCAGGTCGTCAAGATTGCCAAGATCCTCGGTCCCAAGGGCCTCATGCCCAGTCCCGCCAAAGGTTGGGGGTCGCTCTGATTGCCGACACCGATGTCTCGCTGACTGAGTAGCCGACTGGCTGACTCGCTGGCTGAGCAACTGATAGACTGATTGTTGCGACTTGCGTTGACGGCGGGATCCAGGTACTGTTTCGGACGACATCGAGGGCATGATGAAGCTCATGAACGCCACTTCCAAGTTTGAAGTTGACAGCGATGGATACGTCCACTTTGGTGAGTGCTCTGGCGAGAATCTCTGAAAGCCCGGTGGAAACATTGAAATCACTGGGGTGCACCGTGCCAGAATTGGCGTACAGGATATCAGACAGCATTGGCTCGTTTTACTGACAGTTTTTTTTATCTCTTTCCAATCCAGATATCGCCAAGGTGGGTGCCAAAAACAGTGTCTTTGACCAGAGTTGACCGGGCCCACGTGGTTACGAGCTAGGGCCCCTCTGTGTCCGTGCCTGCGACAGGATCTGGCCATTGTTTGTGGTAAAATACTAACCGTCAATCGTGTGCACTGCAGACGAACTGGAAGGATGAACAGGTTATGGGTGAGTCACCGTTGGGGCACCGTGAGCACGCTGTCTGAGCATCCTGGTTCCTGAGGACTCGCGGGGCTTTTGTGATGTACGCAATCAGTATCGTTGATGCCTGCATACTTGCTCCTCGACAGAGAATTTTGAGGCTCTCTTGAAGTCCCTGATCGATCTGAAGCCACCAAAGTTTGCACGTAAGCGACCTATCACTGCCGCTACTGCTACTGCTACTGCTACTGCTACTGCTACTGCTACTGCTACTGCTACTGCTACTGCTACTGCTACTGCTACTGCTACTGCTACTGCTACTGCTACTGTTGTCACATCCCCACGACTCATCCTATCAACCGCTTGTACTCATGCCTCCCTGTGTCTCCCTGTGTCTCCCTGTGTCTCCCTGTGTCTCATACTTCTCAGTGGCCAAATTCATCGAGTCTGTCAACATCTCCAGTCCTCATGTCATCGGTGTCCAGCTACCGCTGAAGCCGTTCACTCTCCTCTCTGGAACCAAGACCTCCAAGTAGATGACTCCGGCTCCTCTCTTGGCTGGCTGCGGCCTTTGCTGCTGTTGTTACTTGCTCCTAGCGACCACTTCATCCTTCATTCGTCCCACACACAGCGACCCGCCCCCCCTCCCTCTACCACGCCAGCTTCGTAATCACGCACATATTGCATCTGCAATAGCCCCTACGTGCACCGAGTCTTGACCCTGGGTTTTGTTTTGTTTTGCTGTATGATGATAGGTGGTCGTGGAAGACGACTCTGAGCTTGATCGACCGGAACCGTCCCCGCTGCTTTGTGGGGCTTGGTGAAATTGCGAGCAGCTGTAGTCGTTTAGAACTAAATACACACAATGGCTGATCAGTGACCAGGCCGCAGCTTCCACAAGCGCTGCGCTGACTTTGAGGGTGTCTCAAGTTCAGCTGTTGCGCTCCCTGGGATGCATCTACTCGACGGATCAGTCCCCGTGGACTGGTAGGTGGGCGTCTATGATATGGGCAACGCGGCTCATCCCGCTGCGACGCTTTATTTGGAACCGCTGCATTAGCGAGCGTTCGGAATCGGCTCCTTCAGTGAATCAGATTGTGTTTGTCACGACGTGGCTCCCCTCCCCTTGACCGAGGAGACAGAAGAGAGAACATGCGGATCTTGGAGGCGAGGAAACGCCAAGACTGGATATGAGGGTGGTATGCAGATGGCGGCATGATGGAGGTGGGAGGAGGAAGGCAGCGAGCGTGCTGGGTCTCGGTGCCCGAATGCGCTGGGTCCAGACACCCGAAGGGGGAGGCGGTGTGTCAGAGAAGATCACAAGAACATCGACAGTCACAACCTCGTGGCTGCACCAGTGCCCAGACTGGAATGAATGGTAGGCTGGTTGGGTTTGATTCGCTCGGGACGGACCACCGGTGTCAGCCCGATATCGCCTCGTCTGCCCGAGTCGGCGTCCCGCTGCCGCCGGAATCCGGCGTCTGGTGTTTGCTCCGCAAAACAAGTTCCAGGAACCGCTCAGCCCGCTTGATGACCCGGCCCTTGACCACCAGAGCCGAGTCGGGGTCCTGACACGATTGTCGATAGAGCGCATAAAGCTGGTACGTCAGATCCGCCCGGGCCTTGTCCATGGCGAGCTGGAGCATGGTGCGAACGACGTAGCCTGTGACTTGGAGCCCTCGGCGGATGCCCCGCTGGTACGCTGCGATGGCGCCGTCAAGATCGCCGGCCATGCGGAAGCGATAAAGCTCATCTTCCCATGCTAGAACGCACACCCGTGACTCTTGCGACTTGAGGGTCTTGAGGGCCCGCCTGTGGAGCTTTGGATGGAGTGATATCCGGCGCTGTTTGGCAATGCCCATGTACTCGCGCATCACATCGAGGCGCCGTTCGGTGATGGCGCTCCGCAGCACGGAGCTGATCACGGCGCTGCTTGGCTTCAGCTTTTGCGACATGCCCCGTCGATAGATTTCCAGGATCTCGTTTAGAGATACAGGTGGGATCCGCAATTGCAGGCTCCATTCCACCTGGCGGGTCGCCCACGAGAGGCTCGATAGCGCGGAGAGTTGGGCCATGTAGTCCTTTGCGGTCGCATAGTCTCGCGCTGAGCAGTAGAACTCGGCGGCACAGACCAGCACAAAATCGTGCTGCATGAACGGACGGATGGCGCGTGGTTTCGGGATTCCACGGGTGCTTCCGCCGGGATCGCTGCTGTCGTTATTCGGGCTAATTCCGTCAGATTGGCCTCGGCTTTGATGCTGGTCTCGGCTTTGGTCTTGGTCTTGGCCATGGTGGTCGGGGGAATGTGCCCGCCGTCGTATCGGCCCGAGATCCGGGAACGAGCCTGGGTCTTGGTCTTGGCTTCGGTCCGGATCGGATGTGCATTCGCCAAAGTGCGTGCTTTGATTGACACAGAACTCAGACATGATTTCGTACTTTTGGTCATAGAGCCGCAGCATCCGCTGCACGAGCCGGATCAGACCTGGGGTGCGGGATTTTGAGCTTGTCATGGCCGCATTCGCAGCCGATCGCAGCAAAAGGCCGATCGTCTCCGGGGTCGGCGTGATGTCGTGCTTGACGATTTCTTCAAAGATGTATCGGGCGGTCGAGATATTGTACAGAGTCAGGGCAGCCAGGCGTTGGTATAGGGCCGGGGACGGAACAGCACCTTTGGCGCGGAGACCTTGGTAGATCTGCATGGCGTAGGCTCGCTCGGAAGGCGTCTGCCGCAGCGACCCCAGGAAGGACTCGATGTACTCGCTGTGATCGTACTTGACCCGAAGAGGGTTGGGTGGGTAGTATCCCCGCGATGCGGACTGCTCGGGCATGCCCGATGGCGCCTGGATCGGGCGGACATGCGATCGTGATGGTGGTATTGACGGAGGTGAAGTGTGGGCGACGATGCTGGTGACGCTGATCGTCCGGGGAAGTGAGCGGCCGGCGGAAACCCTTGGCAGCAGCGCCAGGATATGTAACCGCCGCAGCGGGCCCGCTCTCGCTCGCAGTATCATTCGACAGGATGCTCGGTGCCCACGGACAGGACTCTGGGCAATCATCCAAGGACGATCGTCTGCCGGAGAAGCGCTCCGAAGAAAAGGCAGAGAAAAATGAGTCACTTTGTCGCGAAAAATGCGAGGAGCGAGACGCGCTCTCGGCTCTCGCTCGGCGGCCTCGTCTTCCGGGAGGGACGTGCACGTGACACGCAGGCATCGACATGGAGCAAGACCGCACATGCCGGTCTGGCTGATGCCCAGGGCCAGAGCGGCCCTATGATCGTCGATCGTACACGGCCGTATACGGCATTTCCACGGCAAGCGGTGGTTGATGGGAAGGGACGCCCAAGAACGCTGCTGGACCCATTTGGCTTTGAACATGCTCTATATTCACAAACACGGCCGACGTTCATCCACTGGATCCGATTGCCTGTCGTCCACTCATCGCACACCACCATCATCCAAGCGCCGTCATAGTGTCCCGCCGCTGCTCTTGGCCACAAACACCTGGCCCATCAGCGGATCCCGCGTGCTGCCATCGAGACCACAGACAAGGCTCTCAAGCATCAGAGCTTCAGCCCCCTCTGGGTCGACCGTTGTGGAAGTGCTTTTCCGCATCAGAGGGTTTTCAGGAACAGAGTTCCGTGGGCTTGTCAGGCGGTCACGCGCAGACACTGGCGAGCTGGTGGGGGCGGGGTTGACTTTCAGAACCGTCGGCTGGGACTCGGGCTTCGACGACGACGAGAGGTCGGTGGCCGATCTTGGATTGCTGTGTGCGCGGGTCTGGTTGAGCCTCAGGCTCTCGTAGAACTCGGCAGCGCTCTCCGTGTCCCGTCGCCGTCTTGTCGTGCGCTTGAGATGCACAGACGCAGCCTTGCGATCGATGACGACGCCGCGCCTCTTGGCAAGGTCCTCCAGTGCCTGGACCACATCCGAGGTGCGTGCCCGCTTGTATGCGCAGATGAGCAGCTCGTACACCATGGCGTCCGCCACAATGCCCCGACGGTCGAGGTCGACGAACAGGTCCTTGGCCAGCGACAGCTTGCCGATATAGAGGCATCGTTGTATCATCAGGGTATAAAAGAAGAGATCCAGCTTGACCTGCGGGCACGACAGAATCATGTCGGCAAGTCGGCACACGTTGTCGTCCGAGTCGAGGTGGGTTTTCAGCAAGACCGACGCCATGACCGAGTCCAGCTCCCACTCCTGCGCGTACTCCCGAATGAAGAACTCGGCTTGCGATGTGAAGTTGGCGCGCAGGCATCCGTGCGTGAGCGAGGTGAGTGTCTTCTTGGTCGGCTTGATCTCGCGCTGCCTCATTTCGCGGTGCAGCTCGAGAGCCTGAGGAAGGTTCCTGCATCGCACGAACGCCACGATGGCACCCTCGTAGATCGACGCATCAAGATCCTGCTTCTCACACCTGAGAGTTTCCAGCAGGACCATGAGCCCCCCGCCGTCGGCAGCAACTCGGTGGATCGATAGGCACTTTGTATAGTCCCGGCTTGTCTTGAGAAGCTCTCGGCGACGGAGCTCTTGATAGATCGGGCGCACGAGCGCCGGGTTGGATTGCTGCACTTGCCGCCGAAGGACAATCAGATACGCATCGAGCCCAATCGGCAAGCCCAGGCGGCGGAGAAGCTCGAATTCAGACAAGACAGCCTCTGTGTCAAGGAGCTGGTATGTCAGAACTTGGACCAGGGTGTAGATCTCCGTGGGCGTGACGGCGTGGCCGAGCAAGATCATGTGTCGGATCAGGGTTCGCATAGAATCATGGGCAAGCTTCTTGGGTTTGATATCGGGTGCAAGACTGAAAGCGCGACGGAGATCGTCGATCGACAAGATCCGGAGGGGCCCTTGCTGAATCTCGCCAGATGCAACGACATGGCTCATTGCGGCGTTGTACAGCCGCCAATCCTCATCGAATGGACAGATACGTTTCTGTATCGAGCTTCTCATGCGAGCGATGTCAAGCTGTCCAGCGAGTCGTCTGCTGCTTGGTACCGGTGCCTCGGTAGCCATGCCTTGTAGACGCGAACGGGATGTGCTTGTGAACGGCCGAGCCGGGCAAACGACAAGTCGTTTCCGGCTGAGACTCGACAGACGGGTCCGAGAGTTGCCCCGATCTAGCAGTACATTCGAAGAATATTGGCATAGCGATTGGCCAGGCTTCTGGAAGGTTGGCTGCACGCCGTGTTTGTGTCCCATATACCAATGAGCGCTTGTATCCTTGACACGAGATGCGGTCAAGCTGATGCTTGACGGTCTCGATCTTGGGCTCGTCTTTGATGGCTTGCAGGAAATGCTTGTGCAGGATGGCGCCTGTAACGATGACTGTGTCTGCAACAATGGCAGTGACGATGATGGTGACGGTGTCGATGGCGATGGCGAAGGTGTCCGTGGTGATTGTGCTTTGAACACAGGTGTCGGTGACGTTGACGGAGAAGCCGGCGGTATCGGCAGCAGCGATGGTGACAGTGACATGGGTGAACTTGGATGCGAGAGAACATCGGGGGCTTGAGCTAACAATGACAGCATCCCTCGCGATGACCGCATGGACTGCGGTGATGGCTGTCCCCGTATCCGCGGCGGCACTCCAGATGAGCAGCCCTGCTGCAACTGGTTGGCGGTGCCTGATAAGGACCATCGCAAGCGATCGGAGACTGGTCCGCGACGTCCGATTGTGAGTGTCCTCCGCGGTAATGGAACGACGATATCCAGCGGACGCGGGTTGCGAGTGGGTGCGGGAGTCCTTTCATAGCTCTTAACTTGTGACGTTTTGAGTCTGCAACAATGCCACCAGCGTTGACGCAAGCTGCGAATGGTCATGGAGCGGTGTCGGAAGGCCATCGAGGAGGCAGGTGGTAGATGGGTAGCCGGACGACGATGCGAGGGATGGATTGGGACGTGACTCTTGGAGACAGCGAGGGGAATGCTTGTCAGAGTGGAGAATGCATTCAGGCCGGGACAGAAGCTCGGACAATGCAGGCACTTGGGCAAACGAAGCAAGGCGGAGAGGATTCTGCGCCTGCGATCTTGGATCGGTCGATGTCGCCGAGCGTGATCTTGGGAAGAGGTTTGCGCCAATTGCAGACGGCAAGGATCACCGAGACTTTAGCGGAACAGAGCGAGTCGCTGGGTGCACTACGATTGGCTTGGAGAAAGGTGCTGCAGACTCTGGGAAGCGGATCGATGCAGCCGATGCTTTGGAGGGTGCTTGGGCAGCCAACTGCAAAGGCAGCGCGGGTGATGGATCGAACAAATCCGCTTGGATAGGAGCAGCGGGCCGATCGAGCGGTATGAAAGTGCGGGACAGCCGAGGCACCGCCCACGAGACACACGATCTGGGTGTGAGAGAAGAGGCGGGGAGCAAGATGACGAGCACGATGGCGAGCAGTCAGGACAGGAGCATCCAGCAACAGCAGGCGATGACGATGGCGATGGCGATGGTGCGCGATGCGGATTCAGTTTTGTTTTTTCGGCCGGTTCCAGCCGGCTCGGTGCCGAGCAAAGCCACACTGTCGCTGTGGGCGTGACTCACCTCGATGCAACGAGGCCAACAGACGACCAGGGAGGACGCCGGTCGAACAGATGGCGAAGAGGGCAGCCGCTCTGGGAGGAGATTGAGCATCTCGGGATTGCAATGGATGGATGGGATGAACGAGATTGCAATGGATGAATGGGATTGCAATGGATGAATGCGGGCGCAACGGACTTGCCAATCGGCTTCCCGCAGATTCGCCACCAACTTCCCACAGACTTGCAGCACAACCCCACACCCCACACCCCAGTCATCCGGTCGTGCCTTGCGCTTGCGCGTGATGTTGCAGACGAGCACAACGACCCGCCCAGCACCACACGATCGCCGAGGGACTGTGGCGTCTCGGGCTCAAATTTGTCTGCCTCCGGATACTGGTCAGCCAGCCCGATACGGTGCAGCGCTCATGGGCAATACCAGAGTCGCGGGGTGCTGGCCGAGCAGATGGACGCAAGGCAAAGGGGCCAGCTCGGGGAATGCTCTGGAGCGGGCCCGTTTCCATCCAATCAGCCCTGGGAGACATGCCTGCATCGCACGAGATCAGACACTGTCGCTTGGACCACCAATACCATCCGTTATGCGACCTCTCAGCCAGTCCATTTTGCCGTGTCGCCGTGTCTGCCCCCGGTCTGTACATGCCTCGGGACAAACCACAAAATCACCGCTCCCTTGAGCGGGCAACCCCAATCGGTCGTGTGCGCAAAACGATAACGGGACCAGGGGGTCGCGTGGGCCTGGGAAAATGCCTAAACCAGTGGCTGCTTCCCAGCTGCAATAGTGCGCTACTATGCCGGTGGTCGACCCGTGCATGGCTGCAGAAGCCTGCCGTATCCAACGGCGAGAGTATGGGCCTCCTTATCTTTGGTGCGGGATGGTCAGCAGGCACAGTCGATCTCCGCCTGACCGACGATCGCTGGCCAGCAGATCCCCCCCCCATAAATACCCCGAACGATCCCGCCAACCATCCACAGCCACCTCCAGCTCTGTCCACCAGCCCTCGCAAACCGACGCCCGTGCCTGTCCTGGAAAATGAAGTTCTCTGCCACCGTTGTTGTCGCCGGTCTGACCATGGCCGCTAGCGCTGTGAGTATCCATGTCGCTGGGCGGGGGGGGAAGACCGTTGCGACCGAGCGCGGCCTTCGTCGCAGGCTTCATGAACCAACAGGAGGCATGACGTCGCCTGCCATTCACACTGCGTCTTCGGCATATCGACCACATGCTCACCGGCTCCGTTGCGACCGCGCTGTTTCCGATCCCAGATGGCTTGCGGCTACCCTACCAAGGCTGCCTGCCAGCAGAACTGCTACAACCAGCTCATCTGCAACAGCCCCAATGTCAACCCCAACTTCTGCCAGACCTGCCTCAACGCCTGCAACGACTGCCCCAACAGCGCCCCTCCCCCGAGCAACGCCCAGCTCCGCGCCGCCTGCATTGCCAACTGCCAGTCCCAGGGCATCTGCAACAGCTCCAACGTTAACCCCAGCTTCTGCCAGACCTGCATCAACGCCTGCAATGCCTCCTACCCTTAAGCGTGTCCAGGCCGAAGGCGGTCGCTCTCTATGAATACACAATCGGCTCTACACTAGACTTTTGGCTCTTTGGACCCCATGGACTGCCACGGACGCGGCAAGCCACCAGAGTCGCTGGGCTGTGATATATATTGAAAATAACGCCCATATGGCTGGATAGTGAAAATAAACTTGGCCCAGATGCATAGCATCAGGGCTTGACTTTGGCCATTGTGCCTCCAAAGCAGTATTAAGCAAGAAGCCGGTGTAGCCAGCACGAAGAGGCGGCGGAGACGGAGCGACAAAGTCGAAGTGTCCGTCTTTAAAGGATTGCGCCTGATTGTTCATCGCAAAGCATCAGTTTCTTTGCTCGCTGTTGCCGTTGGTTGAGCTGTGAGGAACAGAGCGTCCAGTCGGGATGGGTGAGAACAGCACCACAAGTCTGTGTCTGGGGCATCAATGCTAACAGCACGTCTGCACTGGACACGATGGTATCGTCATATCGACTGATGTGACTGAGCAAGAACGCATGTAAAAGAGACGTAGGTACCTTCTACTTTGAGTGGTGTCGAAATAGGACGGCGGGGAATCAGGAAGTGGCTGGAAGCTTACAGAGCCCAGATTGTCCTTAAGTATATCACTCGATGACGTTGGAGTATCTATTTGGTCGAACGAGGCTGCCGAAGCTGGCGGAATCGCTGGTTGAACCGCTGGCTGAACTGGGACAGGAGTCACTTCGGTCGGCGCGGCGGCGGCTGTCTCAAGATCCGCTGAAGGAAGAGCGGGCTCCTTCTTGAAACGCTTGATGATTCTCTTGCGGAAGATAAAGCCAACCAAGACAACAATCATGCCTGTTGCGGAGTGGAGTGGCGGGTTGTGCACGAACGAGGATGTTAATTAATATGAAGCACCTCCCACAGTGAGCAAGTGAATAGAAGATAAGGTGGTATTTTCAGCGAAGCCGATAAGACCGACATCGACAAAGACGCTTACTGACGAGTACAGCCGAGGTGATGAAGGCAATGCCAAGTCCGGAGATCCCAGTTGGACCAGGAGGCGGCTGGACAATGTCTGTGAGCACTGTCCTGTTCAATGGTTCCCAGGTTCCCGAAGCCGGGTTCATCTGGAGTTCCCATAGTTGACCTTGTGTGTTTGTAAAATATAGGTTCGAGGCCTCTTGAGGACTGTTGAGAGTGACGACAGATATTGCTGTAATATTCATGGTACGAATGCGACTGTTGAAGTCCTGCTGATTGTTGAAAGTCAAAGGTGCCCATGATGCACTGCCATTGTGGAACGTCATCTCGATCTGGCCGTTCTTGATAGTAAAAACGTGCAGTGAGACGAGAGAAGTGGTATTGATCGCTGAGGCCGCCAGGAGAGGTTTCTCTGGGCCGACTTGATATTTGAATGAACCTATACTCCACAAGGGACATGAGTATCGGAGTAATTACACTAGGATTCATTTCCATGAAACGAGATGACAAACGATGGACCGGGTCATAACAAGAAAGCACAAGGTCAGTAGTATATTATATGAAACTAACCTGTGGACCAAGCTAAATTGTCGCTGGTCATGTATTCGGTCGCCTCGACTTTCAAATTTTGACCGTAGACGCGAACCTGGTGGGTTGTATCATAGTCCAAGGCAGCCAAGCTCGAGCCCAGGAGAAAGTTTCGGTACCCGACTTCGGTGATATTCCAGCGAGAGCTACTGTCCGCCTGATATCTGGCGACCATGAGACTGGAATCGGTGTCCTGGTAGAACAGATCAAAGTTGGTACAGTTGTAGGCCGGGACGGCGAGGCTAGTGTTTTGGAACGGAACAACGTTCTTCTGGGAGAGGGTGCCGTTCTGCCAGGAACATGGCTGTCCGATACACTCCACATCAGCGAGCGTCTGCTGGTTGTTGATGTACATCAAACGGATCTATAATATGGAGGGATTTTGTATGGCAACGTGTTAGCGTGACTGCAATAGATGCGGCACGGACACACCTGGAAAGCGAGTTTGGGTGTGCGGCCAGCTCCCGTCGGATGCAATAGTGGAGAAAGGCGATCAACGACTCACGGGAGAGAGCGTATCCGAGGATATCGTTGCCAGGGGCGTGAACAACTTGGCGTCCCTTGTGACAAGCGTGCTTGGGGACCACAGCGACGAGTTCCAGTCCCGGGAGGTAAGCTGGATGTTGCCTGCGGGGTCTTGGTAGAACAGCAGAATGGTGCCGTTGCTGATCACGGTTGAAGCGACAGATGAGGCCAGTGTCATGTTGAGAGGCACGAGCGAGTGGTTCAGGAGCGGGTGAGGTGCTTGGTGAGGAGGGAGTCAAGGACGAGGGTGATGAGCCAAGAGGTGTGGGATGAGGCCTTGCTAATATGAACCTGGGAAGCGAGGGAGAGCGAAGAAAAAAACGATGGCGAGCCAGGAGGCAGAGGGGGGAATGACAACGCGGCTCGGCTGAGTTGGATGCTGTGTTTCACACCAGATGCCTGACCGGCCTCTTGTTTTCTGTCAGCTTCGGCCATATTCACGGCGAGAGAAACACAATCGCCGAGGCAGGGGGGGGGACGCCCAGGTGCGACTCAGCAGCCAGGGCAGGCGAACACACCCCCGCCGCGCGAGCCCAAGACGCGAAAACCTGCCGAAAGGAGACGCGCGCCGCAGCACCGCGAGAGAAAGGCTCTTTGTGGCGGTGGGGAATGGGGCGGTGTCGCTGCGCATCCCCGTCACACCAAGCGCAGTGCAGGTGGCGATGTCGAACTTGCTGCGCACGCAATCTCCTTGTTTTGCACATTGCACATTGCACATTGCGCCATGCTCAACCACCATCGCCGTGGACATCCGCCACTCGCCAACCCAGACAAACTCCGCCTCGTTTCTCAAAGCTCGAATGTATTGAACACGCTGTCCCTGACTTGAAAGCACCACCGCCAGCCCCTTGGAGATGTGCTCGCCCATCGTCGAATGATCTTCCAATCGTATCCAACAGCAGTCCACTCTGGATTGCATCCTCACGCAGTAACCATCCTTTGTCCGCGACTGGTCACCGCGGATGAATCGAGACGATGCCGAATCGGTTTGCCGGACTGTCGCGCCGTAGCTCCGGCGCTTCTCGAAGGCGGAGCAGCACCAGTCCCGCTTATGAGAACCGAATGGTATGTGCCTCGCACTTGGGTCTTGCACGCTGTCACGAAACAACACAGTCCTCTCGGGGACTGGTTGGCGTTGCCGGGCCGACCTTGCGGCCCACGGACCGAAGCGACGACATGCTGACGGACGATCTGGGCCGGGCTGTTCGGCGGTGCGTCAGCGCCGCTCGTCCGCTCAGCTCAAAGGCTTCCTTGACGCCGACCGTGGTCTTGGCCGAGGTCTCGACGTAGCCGTAGGCATTAATCGAGTTGGCAACGGCCAGCCCCTGAAGGAAGGAGAGGGATGCATCCATCGGTGGTGGTTGTGAGCGACTGAAAAGCATAAGCAGGCGGGCCCTCATGAACCGAAACTCATGCGCTTTCATCGAAATTTGTCCACGAACCTCCCGGAAGCTGAGCGGACGGAGACCCAATCGTTCGAGAACATCCAGGCTTTCGACGCTGTGGCGGAGATCAGCCTTGCACCCGGCGAGGATGATTGGCACCGACGCACAGCACTTGCGGATCTCAGGAACCCACTGTCAAACGATCGTGGCCGCAAGGGAGCAAGAGCAGAGGCAATACCCCATGGTCAGGATACCGCCATCTCGGTGGCTGTCGCTTCTGCAGATCGAGGGAGTAGCTACGTTACCAGAGCCTCGACATTGTCAAGCGAGTCGGGCGAATCGATCGAGAAGCAGATCATGACCACGTCGGTGTCGGTGTACGAAAGCGTCCGGAGTCGCTCATATCCTTCCTGGCCGGCCGTGTCCCAGAGCGCCAGCTCGAGGCAGGTTTCATCGATGGTCACACTATGGACGCTGTTCTCAAAGATGGTTGGGACATAGTCCTGCATTCGTGGCGGGAGGGGGGGGATCAGAGAACAAGAGAGCGGCCGTTCAGTATGGCTGGTGAGGGGTCATTCAATAACAAACCGGTCGTCCGTGATGTTGGCCACAAAGCGCAGAGCGAGACCAGTGTATTGGCCCGCCTCGGAGGCAAGCGGACACTGAGACAGAGAGATTAAGACGGCCGAATGACCAGGTGCAAGGGACAGCGACAAGGCTGGGAGGTGAGATGGTCGACTTGCTGTTGCGCACCGTACCGCCCCGCTCCCTATCATCGGAGGGCGTTGGCTACCTACACCAAGAAACCGCCCGGTCGAGAAAGCCGCCAGCAACGAGGTCTTGCCGCTGGAGCCGTCGCCGACAATGACGAGCTTACGACGGGTGCTGAGAGTCATCTTGAAGCGCGGACAGAGAGCAGATGGCACAGCCGAGGGCCGAGATGGAGTCGAGAATGTGACAGCATCGAACTCTGGGCCCTGTCCGGGGTTCGACATTTATTGCCGCGGTGGTGGATGGTGGCGGCGAGTCGACCAGGGTGAGCGGTGCTGGCTGTATGTGCTGAGATCTGCAGTATGGACAACAGGGTCTCAGGGCAGCCGCATGGCGTTCATCAGAACCGGGATACAGGCCATACCAGGGCAATCTGCTAGGGCAATCTGCTGGCTGCTGGAAACAATAGGTCGCCGAGGTCGATGGGCAGCGGGACCAAGACATTGTCGAAACCAGCGCACCTTCCTTCGAGCTGCCCCACCACCACCACCCCAGCCACCGCCGAAGCTGCTGGCGCATTCCGAACAGCACATGCTGGCAGTGCGAGCCATCTGGTGTCGGCCGCGTCTGGGCACGAAGAGCCTCGAACGGCGGCAGTGCATCAGCCCTGCATGAAGTCATTTACACATTCGCCGCCGCCCACATTCATGACAGCGCCACCCTGGCTTGGATACATGTATCCTGGACGAAATGAACATGCGTCGGCCTCGCCGCCCAGACATGCTCCGCCGTCCGTCCCATTGCCCATTCGTCCCATTGCCCATCCATCCGTCCGATCGCACCGCCACCTCCAACCATGCCTTGGCCATATCCTTGGCCATATCCTTGGACCATGCCCTTCGGCGTTGTGGGAAAGCCATGAGTTGTGCGGCGCAGTCACAGCCGCTGCGCACGTCAACTGCTGCGCGCCGAACCTTCCTGGTTTTGTTGCCCCTGGCCAGCCCCCGTTCCCAGGCGAGCCCAAGCCTTCGCCCCAGCGGGGTGTGATGAGGGGCCATGTTGGCTGTCCATAAATTGCTGGTCTTCCAGATGTCTCCTCGGACCACTCCAAACAAACAGTCCCGCTGGACTCATCTCCCCGTCCTGCTCGCCGGATAGCCTTCTCCTCCTGTCGGCAAACAATCAGCCCGTCGCACTTTCCCACGGCCATATCCATTGCCGCTGTTGCACTCTTGCGCTTCTCTGCCACTCAACTCCGGACAAACCACCACCGGACACCCCAAGCCCTCTCCCTCTGCCTCAGTTCCATCGTCGTCGCTGCTGGTGGCCTCTCAAACCTTGCCGAGTCCATCCTCAAAGCCTCTCTCCCCATCCCCTAGTTTCATCCACGTCGCTCATGCATCGATTCCGAACCACCAACGGCATCCGAACGAACAATCACCACACTATACGGCGACATTGATGGCTCTGATATTGAACACCACATCCAATTCTCAAGGGGCTATGCCTGCCCAGCGCACTGGCGACTCTGCTCCCGCTAGCCAGTCCGAAATTGTATCGTGCGGCTTGACCCTTGACGCACCTGACGGGTTCGAGCCCGCTCGAGCCCACGCTCGCAACCACACCCTCGCCCAGGAGACATGCCCCCGAGTCTCTCGCTGGGCCAGCGGTGCGGACGACGAGGTTTTGCCGTGGTCGCTCCTGCCCTTGGCCGGCGAAGACGACTTTTCGCGGACAGCGGACGCCTCGGCTGAAGCGTTCGGATACCGACCCCACGACAGCGATGCCACCTCCGACGGTCCCTTTCTGGCAGCCAGCTGGCTTTGCTCCACGCCGACACTGGCTCCCCGCAGACGCTTCGACAATCCCTCGCACACTCCTGTCTTGCCCGTGATGGAATCACAGCTCCACATCAACGGTCAGCTCCAAGTCCAATCACATTCCCGGAACCAGGCCCAGTCATTGTGCTCGCCTCAAGCTTCTGGAGGTCTGTTTGGCCCCGCCGGCGAGGTTCATGACGACGACGGTGTCATGCTGCGATTCGAGTCCGAAGACATGCAAATCCGCATCAGCCGTGGTGCGTACATCCGCATCATATGCACCACCACCTTGACCTCGGACCAGTGTGGTCTCGTCACCACCACAGCCAACACCTTTGGCCGCTCCATGACACTGCTCAATCTGTCTCCGGATGCCTATCGGGTCCTGACGGTGCCCAATGCCGGCGGCGACTCGGTTCTGTCCGAGGCATTCTCGTGCGAACTCATGGTTCGGATGCTTGGGGCGCGCCTGACCTGGACCGAGATGGAGGTGCGATATTTTCCCATGGGCGGCGCCATGACCGACTATATCGTCCGGATGGGCAGCGTCGACGTTGCCGTCTCGGTCACCCGAGCCATGGCCTGGAACAAGTCCATCCGGTTCACCCACCAGGATGCCTACCGGCTCCTTGTCAAGAAGCTTACGGGCATCATCTTTGCCGGCCACAACCTGATGCTGCCCGACCGCGTTGACAAGCACATCCTGCATATCTTGACCCCGCACGGATACATTGCCAAGACAATCAAGCGGGTCTGGGCCAAGCTTCCACCCCACATCCGCGCCAGCACCATGGTCGTGGTTACGGTGTCGAACTGCAAGTGCATATTTAAGAAACGCCGCGAGCTGTGGACGCTCATCGACGACCTCAAGTAACCCAGCATGCTACCTGCCGCGCGGTCGCTGAGACCGAAATGACCATACATAGTTCCACTGGGGAAGATTGACGAACAATATTGCCCCGAGCTCGCACAAGCATCGTTGCTCACCCAAAGTCATACGGCGGTGTGTCCTGTTCACAACTTTCCCAAAGTGAACCGGGATTTCCTGCTTTGAGTCACTGTTGTTACCTTTTTTTGGTCTTGAATACACACATACCGCCCATGGCCTCCATGGTCAAACAGCGTGCCCAAGGTGACTGGAGACGGAGCGTTGCGAGTGACCCGAGTACTTTGATATCGAGAAACCGCACTCTATACGGGGCTGTCCGAAGAGTCGAGCCTATCCACCATACTCCTGCTTCGAGTCGTCAGCGCCACTCGATCGCGACCACAGGGCATCGACCGAGTGTATTCAAGACGATTCCCCCAAACTAATAAAGAGAAAGAGATTGTCAATCAAAACTGGAACAGGCGCACGGCCAGCCCACTGGGCCTGCGGATAACCTTGAAGGTACGGAACTGAGAGGGGATATTGGCCGCAGGAACAGCAGTCTTCTGTTCAGGTATTGAACATTCTATGCATTTGGACTAGACACTGAATGGTCCGAAGGATGAACACAACTCATCCTGGTGCTGCGAAGGAATCAGCTGGTCACATGATGACGAGACACCAGCTGAAACGGCTCTCGTGAGCATGGAGGCCACAAATCCTTGAACTTTTTCGATCCTGTCTCAGTCCCGTCGCGTAAAAGTCTCATTCATGGGTTTGGATGTCATTATGAGATTCAGGAGAGCACAGCCGAGCAGGGAGCATGGATCAGGGTCGGGTGTGGTTGAGGTAGGTTGTAACGGCTGCTTGGATGTCTGGCGTGCCAAGGTATGTTGCCTGGGAGGTGAAGGTGTGAGTTATGGGATGGAGTCGACTTGTGCCGGCAGATGGGAGAGACTTACCAGGATGACGACAGGACGGATTGGGAGATTGAGACTCATCACAAAGTAAACATGGGATGAGGGAGAGGAGCGCCAGCGACGGCCAAAGAGGGTGTAAGGAATTTTGATATAGTGAGGGCCGTGGCGGATCCATCGAGGCATTTTGTTGACTTGAATCCATCGAGACGAGAAAAACGACTTTGATGCAGCGATGAAGTTGTCTGGATCGTCGGAGCGAACAATCTCGTTGTCGCGACAGAACCAGGTGATTTGGTTGCCTGATCGATCCTGTGACCGAATCCATTGACCATCGGCCGAGAATTCCACGGAGGACACATAGTTTGTGTGTCCCTTGAGGGTGTGCTTCAATTTGCCTGTCGTAGTATCCCACACCTTGATGGTACTGTCACTAGAACCAGAGACAATCCACTTGCAATCAGGCGAGATCGCCACGGAGGTCGCTGAGGCTGTGTGTCCTTGGAGGGTGTGCTTCAATTCGCCGGTGGTGACATCCCACACCTTGATAGTGCTGTCCCAGGAAGCAGAGGTGATCCACTTGCCATCGGGTGAGATCGCTACGGGGGTCACCCAATTCGTGTGTCCAGTGAGTGTCATCTCACACGGATCCCAGGTGGGCGTTGGTCCGCAAGTGACCAGGAACGGGATCTTGTCCTCGAGTCGGTCGGCATATGTCTTGTAGATCGCCGTCTTCTTCGGTGTGAATGCATACCCTGAGTTGTACACCTGTGGTGCACTCTTGATGATCGGATCGGCAAACTCGCGGATGAATCGATACGTGTCCTTGACCAGTTCCTTTGTGGTGTCGTCGACGATGTTGTTGGGTGCCTTGGCGATCACTTCTCGCAACACAGCCAGCTGCTCAATGATCGACTTGACCACATGTGTGAGCGACACACACTCGAGCCAGAAGAACACATGCGTCTTGACGAACCGAGTGAGCACCGCTGCCACATCGACCATCTCGGTCGACTGCCACACCGGACTCGACTCGGCCACTCCTTCCACACACCACACAAAGTGTGTGATCCAGTGGGCGACGCTGTATCGCAGCGACGGTGTGATCTTGGCTGCGACCCTCTCCTCGAGATCGTCGATCTTGTCGTGAAAGTCGAAGATCTCGCAGATGTTGATCACTGGCTCCTGGGCCAGGATGCGGGCCAAGCAACGAGATGCCAGGACCAGATTGAAGCAACCGGCCACATGGAAGGCCTCGCCCACCGATTCCTCACCCAGGAGGAATGCGATGATCGTTTCGTGACTGGCGTGGGGGGCCCGCTGCTTCTCGCCACCATCGATCGGTGCCAGGACCGGCACCAACAGCTCGACCACATCCATGATCGTGTCAAGAGCAATTCGAAAGCGCTCGGCGATCATCGCTGGGTTGATTTCTGCTCTTGCGAGCGTGACTGCGGCCACGACGATCTTTGTCTCGGCCGGATGAGCCGGGTCTGCAAAGATGGCTCTGAAGGCAGCCGTGAGAACGGATGCTCTGGCCTCGTCACCGAGCGACGCCTCCATCGGAACCATGAACGAGAGACACTCGCCACTTCCTCGGGTGCGCTCGGCAACTTTCGTTTCCTTCCTGATTCGGTCATCGAGAAAATCGAGCTCGCTGCGACGGTCCAAAATGCCGATAGTGGGTCTTGGGACAGCGGCATCGGTGCGTGGCTGGGAGGACATGCGAATGTGCTGGGTTGAGGAGCACCGAGGAATAGAGGTGCCGTTGTTGTTGCTGCTGTCGTTGATGCTCGAGTTGTGTTGGAACACCGAATCACCAAGGGAGGCGATGGGACGTGCAGGCTCTTGGTCTCCATCTTGAGGAGGATATTGCTCGCTCAACTGGCGGATGATGGCGAGGATCTCGGGAAACTTGGGTCTCTGGCCGGGCTCCTGGTGCCAGCAGCGTTCGATCAGGGCCCAGATGTCGTCGGGGATGCCTTCCACCGGCTTGGGTCGGTTTCCTTTGACGACTTGGGCCTCGATGATCCTTTCCCTCATTGGCTGGCCATCGACAGTGACCCATACCGGTCGGCAATTGTTCATCACCTCATAACCGATGATGCTAAACGCATAGACATCCGTGGATTTTGAAGATCCGGCGGGTTGCTCATCGTCCAGCATCTCGGGTGCCATATAGCTGAGTGTGCCGCCGACTGGCTGGCTGCGACGAGTGCGGTTCATCGTGGCCGAGTTGTGCTTGGTTCTGGACATGCCAAAGTCGGCCACAACTGCATTGAAGGCACTATCGAGCAGCACATTGAGAGACTTGAGATCGCCATGGACAATGTTGTTGGCATGCAGATATGCCATGCCAGAGGCGACTCGGTACAGGAGCCGGATCTTCTCGGCGATGGAGCGTGGAGCTGGGGCGGCTGTCAAAAATATGTCACGGCACCGTGGCAGGACAATTCGTCTCAGATTCGCATCCTTGCTGAAATGCATGCCCTGAATCTCAGCCACTCATTTCTCCCCTCTTCCCACACTACTGTTCATTGCATCCGCTAGCACAGACGTCCAATCGATCGATCAGTGTCGCTCGTGTGCATGGCCGGGACTAGTCGATATCGAGTAACACGTTATATTGCACAGTCGGCGAGAAAAGACAGACATGAGGAGGGGGGAAACAAGTCGCCAAGGCAATCCGCTGAGAACAGCAGTCCCTGGCAACCAAACAACAGGGGGCAAGGGGCGAGAGGATAAGGAGAAGTAAAGATAGAGCAACCTGATAATAAACGAAGTGAAGGGGGAGAGGAGGGTGTTATCCTCGAGTTAGGAACAGTATTGAGAAGGTCATTTGGGGAGTATCGAGTCACAAGCCTCAACCAAAAGCTTGCCGATAACCGTTCAGAGCTCGGAGGGATGCTCTGCCGAAAGTGGGGGGGGGAGGTGTGCGGGTCCGTTTGTCCAATGGAGGGCCCAAGCCCAAGGCTGTCTTGGGGCATTCAAAGGATTTATACCCAAGCTTCTTCAGGGGGAAACATGTCCACACCGACAGCGGAAGTATCGGTTCAGAAGCTGGGGGGACATTGGACTACAGGCTGGCCGGCGCTGAAGTGGGCTGCTTAGAGCAGCACACATCCACTCTTGTTCCTGTTGGACTTGACTGGCCGAGGAGCATCTCGCAAAGAAGCGCGAACGGCGCTCTCAAAGACTTCGCGGACACCCTCGCGGTTCTTGGCAGAGGTTTCGACGTAGCGATAGGCGCCGATTCTGTTGGCCATGGCTTGACCCTATGGTTCACAAAGCAACGGGAGGCGTAAGCCAGAGGAAACCAGAGGAAACCAGGGCAATGGCATCAGTGATCGGGTTTGGCTCAGAAACTGGTTGTCCCTTTGTGGAGGAAAGCACTGGTATTGAGATATGGGCATACCTCATCGGGAAGAACAGGGCGCTCGTTGCGGGCGGCCAGGGCACGAAGGGTGGAGGGGTCGTTGCGGAGATCCTTCTTGCAGCCAACAAGGATGACTGGCAGTCCGGGGCAGAAGTGTCGGACTTCGCTGATCCACTGGAAGGGGAGGAGTCACGGATGCAATGCGATGCAGCGACGAGAAGGGCGGCGGATTGGCGATGCGAATCAGTACTGGACAAGCTGGAGGAGGCCAGAGGACATGTTGCGGATGGTGCTGGACGCACGCACGCTTGCACGCTTGCGCGCTTGCAGGCCAAGCCGAGCCCGCCACGCCAGCCGATGTATCCGGCTGCAAAGGCATGGCCAGCGGCTCCTGCTTCGGAAACGCTCCTCTGTCTGCTGGGCGGCTCATGGGAGGCTGAGTCGTCGACCAGGAAGGCCCAGCGCAATCCAGCCCAGCCGAGCCCAGCCAAGCCGAGCTGCAGCGACGAGGAGCGGCTTACCTTGGAGGCGACGTTCTCGAGCGAGTCGGGAGAGTCGATGGCAAAGCAGACCAGGATGACGTGTGAGTCCGGGTACGAGAGCGGACGGAGACGGTCGTAGTCTTCCTGGCCGGCAGTATCCCAAAGGGCAAGCTCGACGGCCCGGCCATCGACGGTGAGGTGGGTGACATGGTTCTCGAACACGGTGGGGACGTAGACCTGCAGCAGAAGGGGGGGAGGCAAGCGAGATCAGCATCGATAGCCTGTCGGGGAACCAAGTCGGCTCACAGCCAGTCGAACTCCCAGCCAGTGGACCAAAACAACCGTTGCCGATGGGCGATCGCGGGTGGCCAGGAGATGCACAGCGCACGAGACCCCAGCTTCAATCGCCACCGCTGGCAAGGTGCTTGATGATAGCACATGTGGATGGAAACAGATGGAAGTCGATGCAAGCAGAAGTGGTGCAGGCAGAAGTGGTGCAAACAGGCCAGAACAGCAACCGCACAAACCTCAGGGAAGCGGCCCTCGTGGAAGACAATCAGCAGCGAGGTCTTTCCGCTGGCGCCGTCGCCGACGATAACGAGCTTTCTTCGGATTTCGGCCATGGTAGAAGGGGCAGGGCGGAGCTAAGAGGTCGGGTGCGGAGCGAGCAGGTGGATGCCTGGGATGAGCGGAGCAGGACGAACGAACCCGGACAACGAAGCGGGTGCAGAGCAAGCGAGGGGTGCGAGCAAGGCTGGCGATCCAGAAACGGCAGAGATATTGGCGACGGACAGGGCCAAGACGGACGGGCGGACAAGCGAGCCGAGCGCGCATGAGCGCAGAGAGCGTCGCCAGGCCGGCAGGTTGCGATTGCTGCTGCTGTTGCTGTTGCTATCGACACTTTAATCGACACCGCCATAGACACTTCAATCGACACTTCTATCGACACTGCCATCGGATGTTGTTATCGGATGTTGTTATCGGCGTTGTTATCGGCGTTGTTGTCAGATGTTGTTCGGCAAATCGCCGGTATCATTTGCTTTGCTTTTACATTTTGCGGCAATGCCACACAGCAACAGCACCAACAGCACCAACAGCAAGCACAAGAGAGCGCATGCTTGCTTGGGCCTCCGGCCTCCTGTCTTGCGTCGCTGCTGGTGTCCCACCGCGACCCCGGCCCCCTGTCCCACCACGCCCCGGCACAGTCTGTGTTGGCGGGGCTGCTGCGGCGCGGCGGTTGGTGTCGCCCGTGTGTCTCCCGTGTCGCACTGTGTTGCTGTGCGCAGCTGTGCGACACACAGTGACACACGATGACGCGCTGTGACCCACAGAGCGAGACAGCTGATTCGTCCTGTGTCACGGCGTCCTCTTTGCCTGGGTCGCTCGTTGCGCGCACAAGGCATCGCCACACGCCCTCTCGTGCCGGACCCCAACCGGAAGCCATCGACCGCGGCATGACCGAGATGGTGAGGGCATGGATCGTCCTTGGACTGTATTCTTGCGCAACGCAGGCAAAGGTCGAAATGAAAGCAAGAAGAAAAAAAAGGGGGGGCAGAACCTATACAGCAAAGACGCTGGACTCGGCCCTCCCGCGCTCCGGTGGGATCGGGTTGTTTGCTGCTGGATTGACCGGCGCAGCGCCGTGTTCGCGGCTGCGTGGCGATGCTGTGCTGTTTGCTGGCAAAGTCAAAGAGATTCTTTAGAGGAGGATGGTAAGAGGATCTTCGATGTAGCTCTTGAACTTGGCGAGCCACTTGGCGCCAACAGCCCCATCGACGACGCGGTGGTCGCAGCTCAGAGTGACCGTCATGGTGTTCTGGACGCTGAAGCCCTTCTCGGCGCTCTCATCCAGGACAAGCTTCTGCTGGGTGGTGCCAACAGCCAGGATGGCCGCATGAGGGGGGTTGATGATCGCAGTGAAGTTGCTGATGCCAAACATGCCCAGGTTCGAGATCGTGAAGGTGCCGCCCTGGTACTCCTGGGGCTGCAGCTTGTTCTCCTTGGCGCGGGCAGCCAGCTCCTTGACTTTGTTGGAAATGGCAGCCAGACCCTTGCCCTCGGCACCGGCAACGATGGGGGTGATCAGACCGTTCTCTGACAAGCATCACGCAGGCGAAGCGTCAGTCGATGTCCATAGAAGTCGCCGACAACACGATCACGCCACGAACATTGCGATACCCGCCGTCCAACACTCGATCCACGCCTGTGCCTCGAGGGCAATCACGACGCATATGTATGCCCACCAACTCACCGGTGGCGACAGCGACGGCAATGTCCGAGGTGCTGAACTGGCGGATGAAGGTGTCTTGCCACGAGCTGTTGACCTCGGGGACATCACGGAGAGCAAGAGAGGACGCCTTGATGACAAAGTCGTTGACAGAGAGCTTGTAGGCGCCGTTGCCCTGGGAGTTGAGGACCTCGCGCAGCCTGGCGGCATCACAGCACCGAGTGCATTAGCTCCACACACCAGACCCGCCGGCATCCCTTAAAAGCACGACGGTCCAACACAACGCATGCCTGACAACCAGCCAGGCGCCATCTGCGGCTCGTCCGCACGGCCCCACGACTTACTTGAGGATCTTGTCGACGCTGACCTCAACAGAGAGGTAGTAGTGGGGCAGGGTCTGCTTGGACTGGGTGAGGCGGGTGGCAATGACCTGTCACGGCGGCATGGATGAGTACGGCGTCCTCCAGCGTCGCCAAACACTCGATCCTGTGCAGCAACAGTTACCTTTCGGACGTTGGTCAGAGGAATATCGACAAAGGCAGCACCAGCGGCAGTGGTGGGCGCAAAGGCAGGAACGGCAGGGGCAGCAACGGCGACAGGGGCTGGCGAGAAAGTACAAGGTGATGGTTAGCACAGCACCCAAAAGTCCGAGGACGATAGCTATTAGGCAATACCACCACGGACCTACTAACGCGATTATGTCTCTCGCACTGCGTGATAATCCACTAGCATTCATCCACCCCACGGACCCTTACCTTTATAGGAGTCGATGTCGGCCTTGACGATGCGTCCGTTGGGTCCGCTACCTGAGACCGTTTGGAGAGGGATACCGCGCTCAGCAGCCAAGTTTCTGGCGAGAGGGCTGGCAAAGATGCGGCCTGATGGATGCACCAGAGTCGCAGACGCATGAGCGACTTTGTCTCGGAGCACAACCCGGTGGCTGCAGCATCGAGCCGACTGTGCAGTTCGCATGAGTGAGCCTGTAACTTACCTTCGCTGGCACCAGCAGGAGCCGAGGCGGGAGCAGCAGCAGCGGCGGCGGCAGGAGCGGCAGCCTGGGGAGCGCTGGCAGCAGGGGCAGCGGCGGCAGGAGCAGGAGCAGCACCCTGGACATCGGCCAGAGTGAACTTTTCAAAGGCAGCGACGTCGTTCTTATCCTCGACAAGGACAGCAATGGGCTATGGTACGAGTAAGATATCAACAGCAGGCACCAATGTAAGCACATGGCTCTCGATCGAGCCCAGGACACAAGCTCGCGAGCAGCAGTCCCGCCGGCCAAGACACGGCCCAGTTCAGCTTTGACTGCTATCACATTGGCCAGACAAGAATGCCGCATCGCTGCGCCGCTTGGCCATCGAGTGATCGTCCAAGGACCGCCGACCAACCTTGTTGACAGCCAGGTCCTTCTCGCCGGCAGGGACCAGGATCTGGGCGAGGTAGCCCTCCTCCTGGCACTCAAAGTCCATCTGGGCCTTGTCGGTCTCGATCTCAACCAGGATGTCGCCTTGGTTGATTTGGTCGCCGACCTTCTTGTGCCACTTGCCGAGGTTGCCTGCGTGCGATGCAGCGGAGACAGCAGCAGTGTGAGATACTCAGAGCGACACATGGCCGCAAGACTCGCAGAGCGATTGCGCCTGCGCATCAAACACATCGCTGTGCGGCCGCGGGATCGGGCGAGGTAGCAGTCGTACCCTGGGTCATGGTGGGAGACAGAGCAGGCATGTTGATGATGCTGTGGCTGGGGAAGGCTGTGGATGGGAGGGTATGGTGAATGAATGTAAGCGATCCATAACCCATGTCGCGGACTCTGCAGCGAATCTACTCGATATGGGTGCCGGAACCCGCTGACGAGACCCGAGGACTGCTGGATATCCAAGCACAGTGAAGCTCATCGGCCTGGTCTCCAATGCCATTGGGGGTCGACCGATCCAGAAAGCAATGAGGCAGCAGGGCGACAGAACAGCGGCTTACATCCAGAGGCATACGATCGGAGCTGCATGGCCTCATAGCGGGCGTTCAGGCGCTGGGTCAGCGAGGGAACAACTCTGAGGGTGATGGTGGACGCACACGCGAAAGAGATGGGGAGAGATAGGAGGGATGAGTACACGCAGTAACAGACGACGAAGGCACAGGGATCATACGCTGCGAGGCGGGGGGGGGCGAAGATTGAATCTCGATTGGGCAACGGTGGTGGCCAGGATCTGTCGGCGCAGGACACCACGCAAGCCTGGAGCCGACGACGGCGTCAACGGCGGTTGTGCCGCCAGCGATAGAATGCAGCCAGCACCAGGGCAGACCCCAGGATGCCATCGGCTCGGTGCTGTATCGGGTAGGTCGGATCCATATTCCGATGCCCGGGAAAAGCCGACGCCGATTCGGTGGGTTCCCTGACTGGAGCCGCGGGATAGATCGAGCGAGGGACCGCTCCAGCCGATCGAACAAAACCGAGACCTCCTCCGATGGTCGATAAGCGCTCGGGTGCGGCCCTTGCTTGACGTGCATGCCTCTCTCTGTCCCGGTTGACACCCAGCGCCTTCGTGGTGAAGCGCAGCAGCCGGCGTCGACTCGAATGGTTTACCTGCTGGAGAAGTGGAACCGGGCCGTCTGCGATACGGTGACGGTGGCCGGGGCGACGCAGCGAGCGGCAGCGGTAGCGGCGGCCTGGGCAGACGAGGCAGCGCGGGAGAGGGCCCGGGGCTTGGCCAGGGAGGATCGAGCGGCAGCAGTGGTTCTCAGCATGGCGATGGCGGCGACGGAGGCAGCGGCAACAACAGGCAGGTCGTCCAGAGACAATCTCGGAGGAAGAGCGCAAGAAAGACAAACCCGGTCGCGCCGAGCCGGGTTTTGTCGCCAGAGCTTTTTCGTCGCGAGCGCGCTGTGCCTGTGTGTCTGTGTGTGTGTGTGTGTGCGGCGTGTGTGTGTGGCTGGGTGTGTGTGTGTGCTCTCGCTCTGCCGAGAGCGCCGCGAGGGCGCCTGTCCCGCGCTCTCGCTGCTCTTATCGTGCCTCGCTGGCCTTCTCGCTGGCCCGCTGCGCTTTTTTCTCTCGGCCGGCCTTTGTCCTGTGTGCGCAGCGCGACAGAGTTTTGGGGATGGGGTTAGGGCTGGCCCTGGAGGCTGCGCATCGCGTCCTCCGGATATGGCAGGCGGCTGCCTGCGCGTCATTTTGGGGCGGCTGGTGCTGTGCGGTGACATGGTCCGACATGGTCCAATGTGGTCCTGCATGGTCCTGCATGGTCCTGCATGGTCCGTCGCGCCGGGGTGTCATCTCAGCTAGTACTGGGCGCGCTGCATCGGCGACTAGTGTGTATATTCAGCTCCAGAAGCAGGTTCGCCGATTGGTGCCCGATTACATCTTGATATTCAGTGCTCCTCTGCATCTCGCTACTTGGTGCGGCTGTCGTCTGTTACAGGCCGTGGTCCCGGATGAATCGCTGGATGGACAAATGTGACATCAGCGGATGGACAAATGTGACATCAGTGGGTGCTGTCCTCCATGTGCACTCTGCAGACCAGGACACATCATAGCCGCTGCAATGCGCCAGCAACAGTCGACTCACCTCGAGCTGAGTCTCTGCGGTCGCTTGTTCCGGCAGCGGAGGAGCAGGTGGATGCATCCGATAATACTGGGCGACCAGCTGCTCTGCTTCTTTGGTTCTGGTTCAGGCATGGCATCGCACGATGATGTCAGCGAGGTTATGGATCATCGACTCACCAACGCAGGATGGCCCTGCCCCGACCAACAGCGGCCCAGCACAGGACTCTGCTTGCTGCATTGCTTACCGGCCGTTGCCCAGGATGTACTGCAGGAGCGCGGTGATATTCTGCTGGCGGCAATAGTACTCGGCCGACCGCACCAGTAGCCTCGCCGGTAGATGCGAAAAGGCCTTCTTCTCGTTGACCGAGTCATAGAGTAGATGCAGGATCCATTTCTACGTGGCACATCCGGCAGTTCCGCAATCGTGTGTTAGTGCTGATGCTTGTCGCAGAACCGGCAATCTTTTGTGGATACGCCAACTGAGGATCGACTACTTCCAGTAGCCTCCACCATGCTTACCTTTGACGAGATGCCTTTCCACACCTTGCGCAGCTGTGCAGGCCCAGACGGAACCTCAGCATTGGTCGGATCACTGACCATTGCCACGAGCGTCGCTACCGTCTTTGGCGATGCGATGCAGAGATATTCCTGTTGCATCCGAGAGAGGAGGCGTTATGACAACCGCACACACGACGTCCACGGCCCGTCGGCCATGTCGCCGGGAGGGGTTCCGGGCTTGATCCACTGCTGCAATGAACGACATCAGACGGCGCCATACCTCCATGGTGGTCTTGAGGTTCCTGGATGGGAAGACTGAAAGCACACAGAGCAAGAGGAAGAGCGGCGCATCGGCTTCAGAGCCAAACGATTTGAGCACCGATAGTATTTGTCTCAAGATGCACTCGGAATCGAGCTCGGGCAGGAATAGGCAGTCCTGGATGAGGCTGAACACTCGGTAGAGAAGCCAGTTTGCCTCTAGAGACGCGGCCGCACCGATTAACGAGTTCATGCGCGGAAGGCAAATCGATTCCACAGCGTCGAAGTGCGTTAGATCGATGAAAGTGCACAAATCTACAGAGCGATACTCTCCATGGCGAGGTAATCGAGCACTATGTCCAGTGCTGTCGTGGTACACATGCACACACAATCTGCTCCACAACACCGTGGTATAACTGATGCTGCAGCAACTGGGGCGCTTACTTGTATCTTCGGCGGTGTAGCCCTTTGTCGCAAACTCCAGTGATCGGCGAAGCACCTGATTCCAGCTGTCCGGCAGAGATGCCAGCTGGATGAGCTGCGGTCGTGCGCTGATGGGCTCGAGGACGCTGAGGAGGTAGTGCCACTGCAGAGGCATGATCACCGGGTCAGCAACAGTCGTGTACGAGCCAACTCGGCAATGGCTGCCAGTAAGAGCTGCGGATCGGCTGTATCCAAGCCCCTCCCGTATTCGAGCACACATGCACAATGGCGTTCATCGCTTGTCGTCCATACCGATTCAAAGTGGATCAACTGTTTCAACAGATTCTCCCAGAGCAAGAGGTCGTAGATGTCAAAGTCGATACATATGTTGCAGATCAGCTGCGAGGCCAGTGTCTGCGTCTGAAAGGGGAAGATGAACATTGGATTGCTATCAAATTAGTGCCAGTAGTTGCAACTACGCGCTCATTCCTATCGAGCGGTGGCATGCGATCGATACCGACCCGCTTGTCGGCCTGCGAGTTCGGGCCGTGGTTGAGCCACAGAGACCGCACGAAAGCCTCTTTGTCGGCCTTTGAAAAGGTGCTGATGGTCACGGGAATGTGGAGAGCTTCAAAATCCAGCAGGTAGAGGAGCATCTGCATATAGTGCCTGAAGCGAGCGCATGTCATGGATCGCATAATGTCAGCAACCTGGCGGATGCTCTCTGTGGCCAAAATGCATGTGATGCCCTCTCCAACTTGCTGGCAGCGGCTGAGCCTCGCAATACTTGCCTCGCTTGCTCGTAATCCACGTGCTTGGATTCGAGGTCGCTTCGCGATGCAAACAAGAACAGAACGCTGAGCGCCCGAATTCTTGTCAGGGTACGGGCGCTCATCTGTATCGACACCACGGATGCGCGGGGATCGCGTCGAGAATCCAGAAAGCCGTCAGTTGGTCGTCTGTTCGGGCCCAGCTTCATCATCCTGCGTTCACAGGCCCAGCGAGTTCTGGCACAAGGACGCAGCGATACGGCCGGTCCTTACATTTTTGTATGCATAGGTTGTCAGGCGAGCGATTCCGTTGGCCAGAGTGTCGGCCCTCAGGATATACAGAATCGTGCGCTGCAGCGAAGACTCTGCCTGGGACTTTGTCAGGCCATGGATCTGTATTGGAATGTGTGGGTCAGCACTGCGTGGCGAATCGAATGCATATGCAGTAGAGGGTGTACCTTGGCATAGGCTGAGGGAAGCTGCAGCTCCTCAACCCCTGACGATTGTCCAATGTCCTGTTCAATCAGGCTCTGTGTTGATTCAAGATAACACAGTTAGCAGCGTTGCTCGAGCGATTCAGATTTATCACGTTCCGGAAATAACCGCCGGCATCGATTGATAGGCAATGATAAAGGCTTTGAGCATACCTTGAGCAGCGACGACCTCAGCGCCTCAACATCAACCGAGTACCGCTTGCAGATGTCGTTCGCAACCGAGTGCAGTGGGAGTCGGTCTTGATGGACACGGTTTCAGCAATCGATTGCGCAGAGAGAGATGGTCGATGCATTGGAAGAGTGTCAGAGACGATCTCAGGGGCAGTTGGTAACGAAATGAAATGATTGCACAAAGTCAGGGGGATCTGCGGCTCACCTTCGTTGAAGAGCGCCTCCTCGCTCTTGTCGGCGTAGAGGCGCCGGACAAGGTCTTCGGGCTCGTCAATGTAGACCGCGTACTGTTCAAGGGAGTGCACATCCAGTTGGTTGATGGTTTCCGCACGCAGCAGGTTCTGTGAGACCGGAAGTTTTGAGTCGTCGCCACCGGTCGTCTTGTTCTGTCGGGCGCTTCGCTGTCGAAGAGTGAAAGCCATGCGGTAGGCGTTGGTCTTTTCGAGCTTGTTTGTCAGCTGCTCGGCAATCTCATTGCATTTCTCGATCGCAACATTGACATCCTTGATCTTGGTAACGAGAGGCTTGAAAAACGAGAACTGGGTTGGCAGAGCTGAGCGCTCGTCGTCCATGTCGCACTCTGCCATGTTTGTCTCAGGGGCGTCCGTGTTTTTCCTCTGTGAGGCAATGGCAAATATTAGACTGCATGTCTCGCTTCTCAGGTGCAATAGAGAGGTCGGTGGCCGCAAATGGCAAGTACGGTCATGCAGTAGGTGGCAGTGGATTTTTTTTTGGCGGGACTGCAACGTCGCTTGAGACCATTCGCAGGACTGACCATGCTTTCAAGTGTTTTATCGATCAGATGCACGAAAAAGTAGTCCGTCCCCAGTTTGAGGGGGATTGACAGCGCCACGAGACTCGACAGCGTGGTTTCGGTGAGTTCGGCTTTCAGGGTCATGTCGGGGCTTTCAAGCAGCAGATGGTACGGCAGCCGCGACTTGCACAGAGGGTATGTCTGTCCAGATCGATCCAAAATCCAGGAAGCGGCCAGCGAATCAATCATACAGATGCAAGTGCCCGCTGAGTTGGTGCTGCAGAAGCGCAGCTCGGTTTCTGCGATTCCACAAATCTCTACCGCTGAGTGGCATGCCAACCTACTTGGATGAGCGTCTCAACCAATTGCGCCGCATTTTCTCCATTCTGCTGCAAGCGCAGCACTCGCGCTGCTTCCCATACTTCGGGTGTCGAATGCCGTGCTATCGTCTGGAGGATTTCGACCAAAAGAAGCTTCTCGCTCTTCTCATGCGACTTGGGCTTGGGCCCCTCTGACGAAGCTGCTGTCTTGCTTGTTGGGAGACTGCCAGCAAGATGAAGCACAAACTGGATCGCTGAACAGCGGGATTGATATGGGATGATCAGGCTCGAAATCACTACTTCGTGGCATTGCCAGCAGCAACCACAGGCCCTAAACTCGCAAAGCACCAACATCACACCTTGCTGCGATTTCGATGTGCAAAGCTGGCTGCATTACCTTCGTAGTCATACGGCGACACGGCATCAAGGCACTCATGCTCCATGAACTCCCTGAGTCCTGCTTGATCCTCAATGTTTTCTAGGACACCGTGAATGAAATCCTGGTATCCGGTCGACTGAACCTTGAGCGAGTGTAGAATAAACTCGAATATCACCGTATCCTCTGGCAGTGGAAACCAGGAATCGCAGACAGGGTGAGCCAAAGTCCGGGTGCGTCACGATGGTGATCTGGAGAAAGGACAGAGCGTGTCCCTCACGTCACCCAGCCGGCCGACAAGGCTTGCTGATAGATCGCTCAACTCACCATCGAGAGCATGGGATCTGGCAAACTCGATCGCCAGCTCCAGGTCGAGATTGGACTTGATCAGCAGCTCGGAGATGACGCGCTTCTTGGTCTCGGGCTTTGACAGCTCTGAGACATCTTTCTGGCTGAAGGGGATGCCTGGTGCGGATGATAGAATGGCATCAGAGCCGAATACGATGCTCGCTCCGACAACGTGCCGACTCGGAAGCTTGAAAGGCTGAGTCGACAGAGACAGATACGCAGTGGCAAATACAAATGGATGAAAGTAGCAGGTGTCATCCAAGAAACGTGTGATGCCCACCGTATTCCCGAAGCGTCTGGAACCAAAAGTTACGCTTGGAGAGCTCGGCCATGCGCTTCTCGTTGGTTGTGTTTCCCAGAACCATGGCCGTCGCCACTCCAAGAACACACATATTACGCGTGAATGCCTGGCTGCTGGAGGTGGTGATGATCTCCTGCAACGGACAAAACACATGAGCGTATTTCGTCAGCAAAGTGAGCGCTCACCTGGGGCCAGTGTCGCAGCGAACACTAGGCAAGCCATCGGAGTGTCCAGAACGTCACGCATTCAGCATTGCTGAAGGAGAGCAGACGACAGATAGACTTACCCTGAACGTCTTCCACCCTGGCTCCTTCAGGAACACCAAACAAGCCAAGGCCAGACTCTGATCCATGTTCTTGTGCACAGGGGCAATGACCTGTGTCCGAAAGGGCAATTAGTCCATCACCAGCATCACGCGCATGCTGCCGTTCCTTCTGCTACTGCACCAGCCGTTGCAATCAAAGTAGCCACGCCACCTACCTCGCCAAGCAGGGAGTGCACCAAGCCAAAGGCTGATTCATTTTCAGAGACTAGCTGGCTGCCCTCGACAGCGTCCAGTCGATGACTGATCTCGGCAACAGAGTAGAGCAGGCAAAGTGCTGTGAGGTAGGATCGATTCTGAATCAAGTGCTTGAGCAAAGGGTCTGCCTGTTCCAGGGGCATCAACGCGTTGCCTTTGCGCTTGCGGTCTTGTCCCGAGCCCTTGTGGAAGGCGTTCCACTCGTTACAGTACTGGGCACAGTGGCCCACACTGGTGTCGGCCGAGAGCACCAGTCCGATTCCGCCAAAGTGTCCGCCGAACAGCGAGCTACCAAAGTCATCCTTGATGTTGGCGATGACGGGGTCGTGGAAACCATGCAGCTCGGCTTGCGAGAGCTCTGCAATCTTTCGCTTCGTACCACTGGGAGCTACAAGTCCGCAAATGCGTCAGCAGAGGCGCTTTGCCGACCGGCGCCGAGATGCAACGCTCACCCCCGGAGATACGTGCCTTTGTTGGCCTCGGACAGCAAAACTGCATAGTCGCCTTGGTCGCTCTGGCTGAATATGCTGTCAAGCAGATCGAGCCGGCGATACTGATCGATCGCATCTGTGGAGAAGGAATGGCACCAAGAGACTTGTCAGGAACGTGAGTGTTTGACAGTATCCGAGTCCAGTCGAAATGTACCTGGAAGATCACTCGCGGAACACAGGGACTGAGACCGCTGCACGACTAGCTTGATATAGCTTGTGATTCGGAACTTGTGATCGTCAGGAGCGTGTGGGCGAAGCCAAACCACAGACAGTCAAGGTTTTGCAAACGACGGCACATGGTATTTGCAGCGGAACTCTTGGTTGGGCAGACTTGGATATGCTGGACATCCCGCCAGGACACTTACGTTGGGCGACGACGCCAGCTCCGAGATCTTGTTCTGGCTGAGATGCTTGACCAGCTCGTTGGTGATATCTCGCAGCAGCTCCGCCACCGCCGGCTCGGTGGACGATTCGTACAGCTCCTAGTTTGGAGGGCACATGACACAGTCAGAGATATCCACAAGGGTAATGCCGTTCGGATGCCGAGGTCAATGCTGCGCTCGATCATTCATTGTGTTTAGTACTGCAGCATGCATCAGTTGGCATTGGAAGGGCCACCCACCTTGGAGATAGCAACTGCTGTCACGAGGTCGCCATCCCGGATCGCCTGGATAGCGATGAGGCTGTGTAGATTGCTTCGAGGGAACCTCAGTAGCTCTGCCAGTCTGATGCCGATCCAAATTTGCGGAGCAGCCACAGTGCGATGGTCAGCAGCCGTTCAGGCAGCTCAAAGCCAGCAGAGCTCAACATGAGCGAATGCACAACAGGAATCACGAAGCCATAGCGCATGGGCTTCCAGCAGACAAGATGCATCTGTCGACAAAACAAACCTGTACACCTGTTGCTTTGTGTAGATGCGATCGCCCTTCGAGGACGACGCCAAGGCCATCGAGCGCTTGGAGGGCGACTCGCGGCTGTGCGGCGGGTGTTCGTCGGTGAAGGCTTGCGGCGCAATCTTCGACAGGATCTCAACGTGCAGCTCCCGGTTCTCATACATATCCATGTTCAACATCAATCGGTATTCGGCAAAGATGACCGCGATGCTCCGGAGCTTGACCAGCAAGTCTGGCTGGCTCAGATGCAGAGACCAGTGCAGGGTATCGAACTCTGCCTTGCTGGATTTCTGATTGATCTCTGCGATATCCCTCAGGGGCTTTTGCGCATACTCGGCCACAACGACATATGAGTTGATGACCCAGTCGAAGGTGGACTGCGCTTGGTCGGTCGCTGGAGACGCGCCGTTGGAGCAATCTGCGTCAGGGAAGCAGCATGTGTCAGTGCGACTCTGCGCATGGGCAGTGTCAAGGAAAGTCACAATGCTGTCTGCCATACCTGTCGGAACCCCGTTTGGATTCACATTGCGCACGGTCTGCGAAAGCTTCTGATCGAGCCACAGGGCGATTTCGTTCAGCACAGTAATGGCTTCGCTGGTGCTCAGGCTGCAGGGTATCAACGTCGCCCGGGCCTCGGCTGGAAGACTTGTGCTGTCGTTCTCCAGCCCCGTGTCCAGCAGTTTCAGAGCCTGGTCCTTGTGTCGGTGTTGTAGCAGATAACGCAGCCTGGCTCGGTAAACATCGAGCTTGTTGAGATGCGCATATGTGTTGACGACCTGTAGGGGCGTTGTATGCGCGAGTCAGAGCCACGGCATTGAATCGGCCCAGCGGCAGTGTGCACAGCGATGTATCTTCATACCATCATTCCGTCCTGCACGGGCTCAATGTCCAGCGCCGGAGGTATTGTCGACAAGACAGCGATGACTCCTACATCAGTGTGTTGATGGCGGATAGCACCACAAGCCATGGCTGGTGAGTATATCGGGTCGACTGTGACTCAAACTGCCAGAGATGGCTTGACTCGGCTACGAAACCGACACGGGTGCAAAAAAAAACACATACTCCGGCCCATCGACAAGTCGCTGACGTTGAGATTCGGGATACCGTGTTGAAGCAGCATCCTCTTCAGTCGGAGCAGCATGTGGGTTTCCTTAAAGTCCTCGTATCGCCGAAGAAAAGTCCATTGCAGACACTGTGTGTTGCAGATCGGGGTCGTCAGGACAGCTCTATCGCGCGATGGCCGCCGGGAGCCTTTTGGCGTGTGCCCACTCACCGTTTCAATGTGCGCTTCCAGCTCGGCCGACCATGGAACGCGGGTGCGTTTGAGCACTTCCACCAGCACGTTCAACTTGGCGCCTTTCGTTTCCATGCACGAAAGAATCTCGAGGACACGGGCTTCCCAGGAACCTGGAAAACGAATACATACTACTGTCAGATTGCGGTGGACACATATCCAACGGCACACATCGGCACGTGTCCTAGTCCAAAAGTGCAAGGCCCCAACTGTGGCCGAATCGCTCTTGGGCAGCTGCTCACCATCGCATGCTTTGGCTACGTCCAGCGAGCCGTTCATGATCTCGAGACAGTACTCGGTCAGGAGCTCGTCGGAATCGAGAGCATGGCGCTCGATGTATGGCTTGAAGTGATCGCGGATCGCTCCAGAGAGCAGTTCGTGGGCTGACACCCTCTCGAGCAGGCCCAAGGCTGTTGGGGAGTAGCGGAATCAGGCAAACAGTAACACTGGCATACTTCAACAACACTGCGTCCTGCTCCTAGCAAGGGTACTGACCTATCTCCGCAGGCGAGGTCTGCTGATATTCTTGGAGCGGAATGTAAAAGCCGTGTTTGTCCTGATGACGGATATGGCGAGATTGATATCAGTACCGCCGCAGCAACGACGAGCCAACAGCCCGCAAAACACGGATCAACAGCTTCCTGATGGTCATCGGCGCAGTCCTACCGATAGAACGACGAGATCTTCAAGGGCCGTCTTGAGCTCGGTCGGAGGCGCCTCTGGGGCCTCGTCAGCGACTCTCCAGATCGAGCTCTCGACGTAGTTGCGCGGGGTTACAAGCACGTCTACGCCATCGACGCTCGGAAAGTTCAGCATCCGGCTTTGGGAAGTCGAGTTCAGGTCGTCGAGCAGCTGGATGAGGCGGAAGGCCTCATGGGGTCGCTGATCCTTTTCTTCGACGGCAATTGCCCGCCTTTCGATCCACGCAATGATCCTGGATCTGGCATGGTGTTGTGTATAATCGATAACAGGTAAGCCTCGCGAGTTTGATGTCCCTTCATACCACCCGCGGCGCGACTGCCAGCTGTAATGACATACTTTTCAACGACCCGGTGAACGTTCGGGATGATGTCGTGCTTGATCCAAGCTATGTACTCCTCAGGTGGCGCGTCCATCGAGACGTACTCCAGGATATCGGCAATCTCCTCGAGCAGGTCATCATCTGAACAAGGCGATGCGAGCAAGGGAAGATTGGTGAGACGTGCTCTGGCCACCATTCAGCGATCAGCCTGTCCACTTACCAGCAATGTGGCGTCGCCACACCACAATCGCTTGACAGAGTTGGTTGTTTGCGAGCAGATCCGAGACCTCCGTCGCAAGGAAAGTCATTCGGAAGCGCTGCCATGCCTCAGCATCAAACTGGTCGGCGCTGTTGTCGGCCTCGAGCATGAGCTGGTAAGTTCCAAGCCGGTGAATAGCATGGTGGACACTCGAGACAGCCACGTCCGTCAGGGTTGTGAACTCGGACTTTTTGATCCTCTGCGACCGACCGCGCGCATACGATAGCAGCCTGTACGTCGAATCGATCGTCGGCACCTTGGCTTGGACACAAAAGTTGATGCAGTATATGTGGTCCTGAGAGTCGACACACTGGCTCAGTCTATGTCCAGCCCAGCCAAAGGCACGTCCGCGACCACCAAATTGGTCGACTTGGCAATATGAACATGCGGGCCGCTGGTGGCATATATAGAAGGAAACAACGCTGTGCCATACCTCCACTTCATCAAGCTGATCGAGCAGGCTCTGCACGACACAAGCCAGCTCTCCTTGCGAGTGGCTCTTGATGGAGGTCATCAGGCTGCTGAGTTGGACCTTGGTGACGACCTGCGGGAGTCGATTTGTCAGCACAGACCAAATGTGTGGGAATCACTTTGCCGGCAATCGAGTGATCAACGACGACCTCAACTGCAGCTCACCTCGATCGGCAACCCACGGGCTTGAGCAAATGCCTTGGCGTCGCCGAATCGCTTCTCGTTGATCAAAGTTTGAAGATGACCCATTGGCTTAGACTCTGATATCGCCCGAACAAAGTACATTTGTCGGCTGTGCACACGGATTAGTTCAGCCACTTTGCAGGCCGGGCGGGAAGAGCCATGAGATGTGTCGCATTTGCGTCTGTGTCTGCAGTGGAGCCTTACTTGCTTGCCGGATCCCACAGCCCTTCGACAAAGAATACGTCGTTCTCAAGCGAGAAGAGTGGCGCCTCGGTTGCAGAGACTTCATGTGCATGTGTCCCAGTCGAAGGACAGCGCTTGATTTCAGAGAGTATCCACGAGTTTGCATGCACCTCGATCTGATTGACGATGCGGAAGGTCGGCAGCTCGATGAACTGAATGTACTTCCGGCTGGACTTTTGGTCGCGGATGATCCCCGAAATCAGGACAGCGCCCGATCCGGGTGCGACGGCCTTGATTTTAGCATCCACGAGGTCTGTTGCTCGGCTGAAAACTGGAATACAGCTGGATGCCAGAAATCGCAAGCGTACCACACTATGGTCAGAAAACTCAACGGACACAACGACTCAGCCCAACCTGGAGGTGCTGGCAGTGTCTGCTCTTGACGAGCACAATCTTCCATAGATGAGCGATGCGGTGCCTCTGGCAAGGCTCGATCGACCACTGCTCGTGAGACTTACTAGGGAAGGACTCGCAGCTCCAAGTTGCCGTCGCCCGAGAGTGTCAGTAGATATCCACCGGATGCGTCGACGTCGGCGCTGACGATGCTGGGCTGTGGGTCCGATGCCGAAACAGGGAATTCGATGGGCTGCGAAGCCAGCGACCGCCCCCACGTCAGTAGCGGCGCCGGGCCTGAAAGGCAATGTGGGTGGGAGGTGTAGTGAGCTCGCCGTCGCTCAACACAGCATTGATAAAGGGGCCCGCAGGGTGCCGCTGCTCACCGTCGACGATCAAGCTTGTCCCCGGTACTCACCTTGGCCACACACTATCAGGTCATCTTCGATGCCGTTGTACTGAATGCAGCGCACCAGCTCGAGGTGATCTGGGCTGATCGACACACTCTCGCGAGTGATCTGGCCCTTGAGCTGCTCATGTGGCAAGATCGGAACCAAGACGGTGCGTCAGCAGCTAGCCAGCCTCGGTGGGCTCAAGATGCAAGTCGTGGCAAGCCTTGGGTCGTCTGAGTGCCCCACCTGCATGGCAGCCTCCATGTTGTGCTGGGCAGCCGCAGCCATGATCGCTTGGAGATCGATGTTGGCAAAACGAAGTATGGTCATACTCCGAAGGACGATGAGGAGCTCCTCGGTTGCGGAGCTGCACAGGATCCGCCATCATAGTTAGCCACATCGAAGTACAGGATCGATGGTCTTGAAAGTAGCGCATGGATTTGCCGGCGCTGTACTGGACTCGGTCGAATTACTCACCCTGCAGCCTTCAAGAATCCGATCCATAGGACTGGACACAGATCGCCGTCCTCGTCGTCGTGAAAGTCCTGTGTCCATACGACCTTGCGCGATGACAGCTCGATGATGCTGACGCATCCCTGAGCCGTGACAGCAGCCAGGTAGTCTCCAGATGTGTTGAGGGTGAGCTGACCAACGTTCGAGTCTGTGGGTGTTCCGGGCAGATCCAGGCGTCAGCTCGGTGAGGGGAGGAAGATGGACGAACGGCCCAATGCAATCGATTGCCCTCCTCTCCAAGACACTCAGCATGCCAGCCTACCAAAGGATACGGTATCGAGGAGCGTCGAGCAATCGCTGCCGACAATGTAAATGTGGCTCTCGATGGCGATGCAGAAGAACTGGGTTGACATGGCGGCTCGGCAAGGCGGCAAGTCCTATGCAGGGACCAGAGAGCCGGAAGCAGCGTTGGCAGGTTGTTCCCTTGCGGGTCGATCGGTATGTCGGCGTCGCCGCTCGTTGATTCCATGGCGATGGTCGGGGTGCGTTTGGTTCTCCATCTTACCAGATCCGGCTCAGCTTCGTGACCGAAGGCAATCAGCGTCTGCGCTTTGTATATCGAGTCGCTGCCGCAATCGCCACCTTGGCCACTTGAAAAAGACTCGACCAGTGCACTGAGGGCAGCGACAGGCTCCTTTGAGAGCATCTCCTGGCCCACGATCGTCCATAATCGGTCCTCGTCATCGCTGGAATCGTCCCCGTCGTCGCTGATGTCCTCTTCGTCGGCACTGGGGTTGTCGTCGAGTCCCATGTCGTCGTCGCTGCTGTAGTCGCGCTCCCACTCGTCGTCGCTCGCCATGCTCTGTCGCTGGCTGTTGAGATGCAATCGCTCCAACCGAGCAATCGTCCTGGTGGGCACTTGTGCTGGCGGAATGCTGGGCTGTTGCCTCGGCTGGCAGCAGCGCAGGACATCAACGAGAAGCGCACCCACTTGCCCAGCGAGCGTCACACAGGCGCCCGATCGGGCAATATTGAATCCTCTGCCGTGTTCTGGGAATACATGGTGCAGATGGAATGCATGGAATGCATGGTGCGGGTGGTGCCAGCCTTCGACCACCTCGCAATGGCGATGGGGACGGTGCAGTTACTAGGCCGCTCGTCCAAGAGCAAACGCAGAATCACCATGCCATTGCATCGCAGAACAACACCGCGACAATCCCGCTTGGTTCCGAATCGGTATCCACCCACAGAAATCGACCAGGCGTGTTCGCAGCGAGGCGGCCCTGATTGGGCTGCCGATAACAGCAGCGATGGCGGCTATCGCTCAGCAGGTGCAGCTATAGCTCCGTGGATTTCGGGATGGTCTGTCTTTTCTTGGAAGATCCGTAGTTGTGTATGTTCAGATCGGCGTCCATGGCCTCGGCCAAATACGTTGCGCGGGAACTGCCTTCATCGTCGTCGTCATCGTCACCTTCTTCACCGTCATCGCCTTCACCGTCATCGTTGTCGTCGTCGTCGTCGTCGTCGTCATGCATATGTCCGTCCTCATCTTGGTCGCCGCCACCTTCATCCTCTCCATCATCTGAGTAGCCGTCCCTGTCTCGCCCCTCGCTCTCGTCCACATCGCCCTCTCCATCGTCCTCGTCGTGGTTGATGATCATGCCGCCGCGTGGGACGTGCACCCCCTGCTCCTCGAAGCTGCGGATGATGGACGAGTCCATGTGTGCTGGGGAAACAGAGTAGCTCTGGCGTGCGCCGCCGGTTCGACTCGGAGCCTGGATGGCAATACCTCCTCCAGAATCAGGCGAGCCTGCACAAGAACATGCCAGAATACCACCAGCAGAGTGAGTACCCACGTTACGGTGCACGGTGAGCACCGGTGACTTCTTACCGAAGGCTATCGGCTGGGACCTGCGCATCTTCTGGACCTCCAATGCCGAGTTCATCGCGTTTGAGATGTCGCTGCTGATATCGGCGAGCTCGCCCTCGTGGACGCTTGGGAAGAGCTCGCTGTGGGGCGTGCCGTCGTCGCTATCGAATAAGAGGCAGTACTCAGCATGCGCCCATAGCGTATAGCGTGTGAACATAAACACCGTTCTATGCGCTTACCGGTATGGCTTGAGCACCTCGCGGTTGATGAGAAGCGACCGCGCAGCAGGCAGATCCGTTTGGTCTGACTTGCGTGAGACCACGCTCTTGCCCTCGTCCTTAGCCTGCAGCGTCTGACTGCCGACAAACTCAAAGAACTGGAAGCTCGGGCCCATCCAGATGGGCCTCTCCGGAACAACCTGGTTGTACGACGAGATCTCGATCTCGGATTTCCATCTAACGAGAGCGGATGTGTGAGGAGACTCTGATGGAGATGAAAGCCACATCCCCAGGTTCGCTCATCAAACATGCGCCGAACATGCATCGGCCGATGCGCGATTAGGGCGATACTTTCACTGTGGCATTGTCCGATCTCGGCTGCAGTTGCTGCTGTTGCTGGGACAGTCGAGCGACTCACCGCTGAGAGTGCTTCTCTGAGGATTCGTGCTCCCGTTTTGCCTTTGGCGCTTCTAGGGCAAGCGTCCGAACTTCGTCCCATTCGCACTCCCGTTGCAGACACCACTCGACGATTTCGGTTGCGGATATCTGGACTGCGTTGGAGGAAGGCGCGCCATGGTCAAAGGCAGACGATCCCAAGCTACCGGGTGACCGGCTGGAGGTCGACATTCCGTGCAGGGCCGTCGACAGCAGACTGGATGGTGAAAATCGATCCCCAGACGCCGGCTTCGGCGGTGTCACGATCGCCGACGCCCTGTGCTCGATGCTGGCGTCAATAAAGTGCAGCGTCAGATGTCCGTTGGGGTTGAAAACGAGTAGTCGGCGTCGCCACAGATTGGACTTGCCCTGCTCGAATGGGTGTGACGCCGCTCCGTTCGGCTTTGACGCTGCATGTCGCCCGGACTCGGCGCGGACTTTGCTTTCGCGCGCAGAGTTGGCGAACACACTTTCTTCGTCCAGTCCGAAGCAGGCAATCAGAAGACTGCGTCCCGTCGTTGATCCGCGGGGTGTCTCGGCCACAAACGACCGAGATGCGGGCTGCTGTTGCTGGTAGAAACCCTTTTGGGATGCCAAACTGGTCTGGGAAGCCGAGCTGGCGGACCGGCCAAAGCCGTCGATCGCTGGGTTGGGTGGCAGTGGGGGTAGTGTCTCGAGGGAGGCTTTCTTGTCGAGAGGCGCAGCTTGTCGGATGCGGGCAGCGGGATAGAGCGGTGTGGTTGTGCGAGCCTGCGTGGCGGGCGGGGAGTATACAGGCAGAGCACCGTCGCTGGGTGATGAGGAGCTACCCTCGGCTTTGCGCTCGGAAGATTCGAGGCCGTAGAGATGGGTGGTGCCCTTTGCAGTGCTGACACCGACCCACTTGCCGTCGAGACTGCAGGTGATGTCTTCGACTACAGCATGGGTATATCCGCGCTCGAGCTTGTAGATGCAGTGCGGCACATGCGGGGACCGATCGGCCTTTGGGCGCCCGGGGAGCTCCCAGATGTAGCAGTTGTTGCCGTGGGTCGACACGGTGATGAGCCGGGTTTGGGATGGAGTGAACATGACTATGGCGACGGGGTTCTCGTGCGCCTTCCAGCAGGCCACCGCCGGCGGCAGCAACGTCGAGTCATCCGTGGCTGACTTGCCGAGCAGTCCCAAATCTCGCACTGCAATCTGCACAACAGGAAATAGGAGCGCCAGTCAGCGTATAAAGCAATGAGCGCGTGTCTCGGCAGCGACGATTTGATTCTAGCGAGCCAAATGCAGTGGTTGAGCCACGCCCTTTGATCGAAAACAACACCAACGGTTCTACATGCAGAGCTCGGTGAGGAGGCCGGAGACTGAGAGCCTGTCGTGCGCTTTGAACTACCAGCGATTGAACAACACAACAACTCACATAGCCCTGTCGATGGTCCGATTTCTTCTCGCTGTCCCGCGGAGCACCGCTGCTGCTGGCTTCGGTCTCGGATGCATCTAAGCCGCTGTGGGTCGGTCGGGGCTGTGTGCCCGAGAAGTAGCTCGAGAGTGCCTGATAGCCATATCCACCGATAACCTTGACACCACCGATCAGCTCCTTGGCAACCTTGCCAGCGGCCTTACCAATCTTCTCAGCGTTGATGGCAACGCTGGACTCGACGGCATCATCGTCCGACCCACCTTCCGAGCGGTCGTCGACGATCGCGGTTGTTCTTGGAATTGTCGAGATTGGCCCCTGACACGCGTAGGCGAGGAAACGAGCGCCGATATCAAAGCTGGGTGTCTCGGTCGCGGGGTTGATAAAAACGTCGTTGATGACGACGAGTGTCGACAAGGAATGGGCGCTCAGAACATGGATGCTGGTGCTTGTGCCCTGAAGAATGGAGCCACGCTGTCAGCGCGGTGCTGAAACCAATGCCGGACGCCAGCATCTCTCCATCCAGACAAACGGCACCGATATCGGCAGCACAGTCGAGGGTGAGACTCACAATCAGAACATGTCGAGTCGTGGCCTTGACTTCCTTGATTTTCTCACGCTCTCGCTGGCGAAACGTAAAGATGACTTGGTTTGTTGCAAGCGACATGAAATGCGCCGCGCGTCCTTCGAACCGCGACGAGCCTTTTGCTTCGGCGCTGAGGTGAGATAAAGCACAGGCCCGCGCGTGTTATCAGAAGTTGCGAGCGGGCATTCAACGGATCCGTGAACTAGCGCAAGACAAAAGTCATGAGCTGCACTTGCAACTTACACAACCGCAATCAACGGCCGAGCTGAAGCAAAGCTATCCGAGAGGGTGGTCGACCGCTCGGGCATTGGAAGAGCCTGAGAACCGATGAAGATGGAGTGATCAGGAAGGGGAGTGATCAGGAAGGGGACTGACCGGACAATCGAGTCGAACGTGCATGTCGGGCACCCTCATTGCGGACATAGAGCGCCCCGGTATCCTCGCGACATCAAAGGCGTCGGTTGCTGCCCGAACCACTTACAACAATGTTTTGGATGCTTTCGTAGTAGCCACGGACAGAAAACACCTCGCGAATGTTTTCAAGGTCCCCCAGGCTCCAAACCTGGATACCGCTGGCGTATCCGAGCAGCAGGCAAAGTCTGTACCGAATGCGGGTGGGTGGCGGTTGATCATCAGCTGATGCGGTATATGATGCGCGGCGATTTCGATGCATGGCAATCTTGATCGTCGGGATCATCGAATCACCCGATTGATCAATGCTTTCATCCCGATCCCGCAATCTCCAATATCAAACGTATGGAATGACACATACCTGCGGCTGTACCATGCAGGAGAGATCAGTCGCTCAGGGTCAGGCAGCGACAGCTGCGGGAGCGGCAGATTCCAGTCAACCCATTCGAACTTGGAAAAGAGGATCGTCTCACCGACGTCGTCGTGACCGGCAGAGTCTCGCGGAGCAGTGCCAGCAACGAATTTGTCGGGCAAGTTCTGAGCGACGTATGAGCCGATATTGGATATGTAGGATGTGAAGCTTGCGAGGGAAGTGGTCGGGGACCTGTAACGCCAGTACTTGGTCAGGCGCCGAGCATATCAGCACGCAGCACCCCCGAATAGCTGCCAGGTGAATCCCTGCGTAAGAGAGCCGATTCAGCGACGAATGGGCCCTGCGCCGTACCTAAGCTTCTTGGGCTCGGCTCGCATACCGGCACCGGCGCGAGGAAGGGTTGCAAAGATGCCGACCCCGAACTCGTTATCGTCGACTGCCGAGCTCTTGGCCCCGAGACTCTCCTCGTCTCCGTCTCTTGACTCTGCGTCGGTTGTTTCGCCACGAACACTGGTCCCGCAGGATGCAAGGCCAGTCGGGGCATACTTGCTGCCATAGAGCCTGGGGGCATCAAAGCGGACAACAGCCCCACGCTGTCAATAACAGCGGCAAGCGATAGCCAAGGCCGATACGAGAGCTCCATTCAGCGACACACACCAAAGATGGTCGCCATAGACATGGACGATCCGTGCAAACTTTTTCTTCTTCCCGGAACTGATTTCGCTCTTCGAGGCCAGGGTGATGCCAACACCATACGCGACCCTGGCGGTGGTATGCAATCAAGCCAGGTTATTATGATAACGAGGAATTCAGAGTCGCGGCTTGCCCAACGACGAACCGAGAGGACAACGATGGATGCGATGAATGTGATGGATATGGTGGATATGGTGGATGTGATGGATGTGGTGGTTGTGGTGGCAGCCATGCGGCATTTACCTCTTGCCATCTCGGGAGACCGTCAGGACAACGGGCTCGCCCGGCTGGTAGTTGAGATCCCTTTCCGGCAGGCCGTGAACTTCATCGATACCGAGTTGCTCTTCAGAAGTGGTGGGGCCAGAGTTGTTGGTGAAACAGCATGTCAGTCTTGACTCGTGCGAATCATGTCTGGACGGATCACAGGCCATTCGTGCTGACGGCCCGCGATGCCGAGTTCAGCACTCACCTTGCGATTTGCTGTCGCGAATGTCGGTGGTTTCGATCTGCAGCTGGCAGAGATGAGGAACCTTCCACAAGGCATACACTGGTGTTGCGGAGGAGATACGGCACGGGCATCAGTGTCGGATATGGTTCGACGGCGGCATGTTCTTGGAAGGGTCGAGTTCTCCGCCCTCGGCCCTCTCGCTTTCAGTCCCATCGGATCGGGTGGCCCAGTCGGTTCGACATCGTTCCGCCGCTCCGGCACATCCGTTGGCACATGCGCCGTCGTGGCTGGCACGCTCTGGTCAAGCGATTTGGCCCTGGGCTGGACGGTCGAGCCAAATGAGCATTGCTCATTCAAGCAAACCCTTCTCGTCCTTGTTCGATCGCCAGTATGATGCGAGTGCCTGAAGTACTTTGGAGAAAGCCGTGATGGCTCGCCGGATGCGAATTGCTGCAGAATGCACATTGCACAGGCAATCATTTGCGGCACCTCCTGATCTGTTGCGTGGCTTACCGGTCGGGATAATGCCCTCGTGGCCGTCCCTGTAAAACATAGGCTCTCCATCCACGAGAACGACGGTGCCCGTCTGTCCAGTGGCGGTGATGATGTCGACCGAGGTCTCGTTGAGCGGTTGGCCCGACTTTTGCGAGCTCGGCAGGAGGGCATTGAGTGAGCGGCCGTCATCAAAGGCGAGCGAGGGAAACCGGCTGGTCAGCTCGGTCTTGAGCTTCTTCCGACTGCCGCTGCGGAGGCGGGCTTCGGCCTTGATGGTGAATGCCGAGCTGAACATGGCGGACGGCCTCGGCGGAGGAAGGCGTGTGGGAAATGATCTGGCGAGAGTGTCGACAGAGACGCCGAGGATGTGAAGTGAAGTGAGGTGTGTGCGGGCAGATAGGATACGGCAGGACTGGACCGGATACGACAGGGAATGGACGAAAAGGCGGGTCGGCAGGACGCCAGGCGCGGGGATGAACAGATCACGGATAACTATTGGCTCGACAGCGAATCAAAGGGCGTAGGGATCTGGCGAGCGAGATCAGGACGGACGCAGCAACGGGATGCGACAATGGGATGCAGAGGTGGGCTGGGTCGAGGGCAAGCGGGTTGATGGACGGCCAGACCGAGTCCGACAAACGCGGATTTGGACGGCCGGACACATGGAGCAGCCCCGCGCTGGCCTTGCCGAGCCGCAACCTGCTGCGATCGCATGATGCAAGCCGAGCCGAGCCGAGCCGAGTCGAGCAGGCACAGGGCACTGCGGGGCATGCATCCCGCTGCTATCGGTCCAAGCCAAGCCAAGCCAAGCAGCCAGGTCGGGCAAATGGCACGCCGGGGGGGACAGATGACTTTCAATGAGAACGCATGGTCGAGCATGCGGCAAATAGCAAACACATCCAGGTCTATTCATATATGCTGCTTTGGCTGGTGCCGCCGTCGAAACATTAGCGAAGAGCGGGTCCGAGAAGCCCGCCGCCGCCGCTCCCGCAGAGTGCCTCATGATGGCATCGTGCTCAGTCCCACAGCGAGTCCTTGGCCGACGCCCACTCGTTGGCCGGGGTCTTGCTGGACGACGCCGGGGTGCTGCTTCCGTAATTGCGCTGGAACTGCCGCTCCCGCTGCTGCTTCTTGTCGCTATCGCGGAGCTTCTGCAGGGCAAGTCGCTCCTGCTCGCGACGATGCTCAGCGAGCCGGTCGTCCTGGACCTGGCCGAGGGCATCCTTCTGCAGCTTGACCCGCTCGGCCTTGCGCTTATTCTCGCGCTGCTTCTTGGTAAGGGCTTCGTCCTGGACAGGGGCTGCTCGTGCGGCGGGCCTTTGGGGAGCCGATGAGGTCGAAGGGTTGATTCTCAGGGTGTTGGGTTTCCCTTCACACCACAGCGACGTCAGAACAAAGATGACCCCGTCAGTACTCTGCCAGCGCATCCAGGTCATGGACAGGCTGCCCTCTCGGCTGGTTGCTCAAAGCGATGCAGGCCATTTGCCAGAGAACAAAAGCATACTTACTCGGCTGCACGTCGACGATCTGCCATCCATCCTCGGCCTCGAGCGGCATCACGGGTGTTTCGGGCTGCACACGCAGGACCCGGGCGACCTTGACATCGTCCTGGTCGGGATTGCGATCCTCATCGCCATAGTCGATCCGGCTCTGCTGGAGGGCAATCTCGGCAGCGGTGAGCGAGCTGGGCTTGGATTGAGGCTGGCTCGCAGAAGCGAGTGGGGCGGCATCCAGATGGGTCGCAGGAGCAGCCGCAGAGGCTGCAAGCGGAGGAAAGTCCTGGCTCGTGAAGCTGCCGATCTGGGCCGTATGCTTTTGACGGTTAGCTTGGCGGGACTTGGCCTGCTTCTTGACAGGGGCGCTGGTTTGCTGCGTCGAGCTCACGGCAGCAACAGTATCTGTGTCAGTCGATTGATCGGCAGCGATTGCCGGCTCATTGTTGGGCTTGGACTTGGCCTTGGATTCTGCGGAGGCTTTAGAGTGCTTTGGGGCTGATTTGGAAGAGGTTTTGGACTGCTTTTCGGCGGTCGGGACTGGGGCCGGGGTCGCTAGATCGGTTGGCCTTTGCTCCTCATCGTCCAGGGACTGCGAGGGGTCGTCACTCTTGGAGGCCTCGGCGTGCTTCTTCTTCTTCAGCCGTTTCTTGGCCGACTTGGAGAGGCCCGCAGGCTCGCCGCCGGGAATCGAGTCCGCTCTGGCCAAAGTGGCCGCGGCCGATGCAGGCGAGCCAGTGTACATCCAAAAGAGGGCCCCGACCGACACCACAAAGAGAGCAACGTAGATGTTCATGACTGGGCCAGGATATGCAGGCGGGAGATGGGGGAGAGGTGGACAAGGCGACTCTGAAGAGACCAAGCCAGGCAGCGGAGCCGATCGGGCTGTCAATGGCCGTGCGGATGCAGCAGGAGATGGGGCGATGAGCCGGAGAAACCGAATTTGCAGGCGACGTGGAAAGCGCAGGGTGATTGGCCGAACGAGCTTGCCGCGGCCTGGCGCGTGTTCAGCCTGGACCAGCGCAGATCGATGCGCTCGACCAGGAGAGCAGCCAGCACCGCATGTTTCCGGTTCGCAGCGGCGCAGACAAATCGCACTGTGCCGACCCATTTGGATGCACGCGAGTGTATATTCAAGATCCAGAAAAAAAAGGTGGCCACTGGCCCCCAAAGAACGGTGGGGTGTTCCGTTCCGATTTTGTGAATGCTGCAATACAGGTTGGAGCCGTCCTTGATGAACACGCCCATGGCAACGAAAGGCAATAGCAGTACGAAAGAAAGGTGAAGGACAAAAACAACCAAGAGAAACGACAGAGTGGATCGAGGGGGGGGGAGGGAGAGTACCCTACTCGACGGGCGAGCTTCCATGCCGACGAGCCATTATGAGACGAGCAAATCATCCACTCCTGGCACGTTTAGTCGTGGAAGTCCATGCCATTGCGTGTGGCCTTGACAATGCCAGCGCGGATGACAAAGTCGCCAAAGTGCTCGCCAGTGCGACGCTCGAGCGCATAGCGCTTGACGATCGGCCGCAGCTCGCAAAGGATCTCTTCTTCGTTGAGCGACTCCTTGTAGATCTTGCTGAGGCGCTCGCCGGCAAAACCGCCACCGAGGTACATGTTGTACACGCCGGGAGCTGCGAAGAAGGGAGACAGAGTGGGAGGGGTAAAAGGCGCAAAAACATTTAGAATCGATCATACCGTTGTGAGCATCCCCACCACCAGCATCGTCAGCATCCCCACCACCAGCATCGTCAGCATCCCCACCATCACGATCGCGAGTATTGTCGCCTGCGCTCCCCCAGACACATACCTTTGCCAATAAAGCCGAGCTCGGCAATGGCGGGGCGAGCACAGCCGTTCGGGCATCCAGTCATGCGCACGGTGATGGCATCGTCGCGCAGGCCGTTCTCCTCCAGGATCTTCTCGATCTTGGTGACGAGCTCGGGCAGGTAGCGCTCCGACTCGGCCATGGCCAGACCGCAGGTGGGCAGGGCCACACACGCCATCGAGTTCATCATCATGCCGCTGAGGTTGCCGTTCTCGATCTTGTAGTCCTTCAGCAGAGCCGCAATCAGGGCCTTGTCGGACTCGGGGATGTTGGCGATGACCAAGTGCTGGTTGGGGGTCAGGCGGAAGTCGCCGCGGTGGATCTTGGCAATCTCGCGCAGCGCCGTGCGCATGCGGAGGTCGGGCGTATCCTTGACACGGCCGTTCTCGACGTACAGGGTGTAGTTCCAGCGGCCGTTGGCGTTGCGTGTCCAGCCGTAGACATCGCCGTTGGAGGTGAAGTTGTAGGGCTTGGGTGCCTGCAGCTTGTAGCCGACACGCTCCTCGATCTGCGAGCGGAACCAGTCCAGGCCGCGATCGTCGATGGTGTACTTGAGACGAGCGTGCTTACGGTTGGTGCGGTCGCCGTGGTCGCGCTGCACCGTCAGGACCTTCTCGCCAATATCGAGGGCCTCGCTCAGCGGGGCAAAGCACAGGGGGCGAGCCAGGTTGGGGTAGGTCTTCTTGTTGCCGTGGGTCATGCCCATGCCGCCACCGACGGTGATGTTGAAGCCAATGAGCTTGTCGTTCTCGATGATGGCGATGAAGCCCAGGTCGTGGGCCAGCACATCGACGTCGTTCGAGGGGGGCACGGCAATGGCAATCTTGAACTTGCGGGGCAGGTAGGTCTTGCCGTAGATGGGCTCGGCGTCCTCGCTGGTGGCGACGAGCTTTTTGTCGAGCCAGATCTCGTGGTAGGCGCTGGTGTTGGGGGTGAAGTAGGCGCTCAGGGTCTTGGAGAACTCGTAGACGTCGTGGTGGACCTGCGACTGCAGCGGGTTGGGGTTGCACATGACGTTGCGGTTGACGTCACCGCAGGCGGCGATGGTGTCCATGAGGGCGTGGTTGATGTCCTGGATGGTCTGCTTGAGGTTCTTCTTGATCACGCCGTGGAACTGGAAGGCCTGGCGGGTGGTGATCTTGATGGTGTCGTTGGCGTGGGTGCCGGCGATGGTGTCCATGGCAAGCCATTGCGCCGGGGTGGCCACGCCACCGGGCACACGCACACGGATCATGAATGAGAAGGCCTTCTCGAGACCCTGGCGGGCACGCTCATCGCGCAGATCGCGGTCGTCCTGCTGGTAGATGCCGTGGAACTTTGTCAGCAGGGTGTCGGGCTCGGAGAGGGCGCCGGTCGAGGTGTCGACGAGGCCCTCGGCAATGGTGCCGCGGAGGTAGTTGCTGGCCTCCTTGAAGTCATCGGCCGAGGGGGCGGCGCTGGCCGAGACCTCGATGTTGTCGACGCCAAGCGACTTCCACAGCTCGGCAACCCACTGGTTGTAGCCAGTAAAGTAGCCGTCGGGGTCCTGGTCGTCGCCAAGGCCGACAGGGGTCAGGGGCTGGCCGCCGAGACCAAGCAGCTTGGCGTACAGGTCCTTGCCGGCCTTGGCAAAGTAGTGAGCGTCCTCGGGCAGAGGCCAGTAGTGGCGATCGCCCATCGAGAAGACAGAGAAGTTGACGGCACCGATGTTGGCCTCGTCGGGGGTGGCGGCGGCGATGCTCTTCCAGAGCTCCTTGGCGTTGCTGGGGAACTCGCCCTGGCCGGCGGTGGAGACGACAAAGACAATGTTCTCCTCCTTCTGCAGATCGTCGACGGCAAGGGCATCCATGACCGCGACGCGGGAGCGCAGGCCGCGCTGCTTGGCCTCGGACGAGAGCTTCTTGGCCAGTTTCTCGGCGTTTCCGCCGTCCGAGCCGTACAGGACCAGAACGGGCTTGGAGTTGAGCGAGCCCAGCATCAGCTTGTACGACTCCTGGATCTTGGCCTCCATGACGCCGCGGAGCTCGCGCTCGACGGTGGCGGCAAACTCGGGGGCGATCTGGGGCTCGCTGTCGAGGACGAGGGCGAGATGGTTCTCGCGCTCCAGGAAGCTGTGCAGCTCGGCCTTGACCTTGGCCGAGTCGAGGGCAAAGGGCTCCTTGAGGGCTGGGTTCCAGCGGTAGAGGGGCCAGTAGCCGCTGTCGATGGCAAGCTTGCTCTCCTTCAGGATGGCGAGCGGCTTGCTGATGGTCGAGCGCTGGTAGTTGGGCACGGTGATGCGCGGAGCATACGCCAGGACGACCGAGGGGCCGGGGTAAGCCTCAGCCTCGGCGAGGGCGCGCAGAACCTGGGCATACGAGGCGTAGACCGAGACCGAGGCAACGTAGACGCCGCCGTAGGTCATGGCATAGAGACCAATATCCTTCTTGCGGCGATCCTGGTTCTCCTGGGCCTTTTCCGAGTAGGGCTGGGTGTCCAGCAGGATCATGTTGACGTTCTCTTTGGAGCTAATGACGTGGTGGACACCGCTGCTGCCAATGTCGTACCACAGCAGATCGCCGCCGACGATCCAGCGAGCGGGCTTGGCAAACTGGTCCTTCTGGGCGAGGACCTCCTTGGCGACGGGGTTGGTCTCGGCAGCGAGCAGGGCGATGGCGGCGTCGGCGTGCTCCTTGGCCTGGTCGGCATTGTCGCGACTCTGGAGCCAGTTCTTGAGGGCATCGGCGAGCTTGGAGCTGATGGCGCCAGCCTTGCCATTGGCCAGGGACGAGACCTGGTCGACAAAGCGGGAGCGTTGCTGGATTTGGGCAATGTGCAGACCAAGGCCGTACTCGGCGCTGGCGGTGGGCGACTGGGTAGGCGCCGCCGAGTTCTGCTCGGAGACATTGGCGATGCTGAGACGGTCGCCAAAGAGCTGGTGCAGCATCTTGAGATAGGGCTGCTCGACATCGAGATCGAGCTCGGCAGAGAGCGCCACCGAATCCAGAGGAGGAACACCGCGGACGACGGCACCTTCGACAGCAATGACGCCGTGCTCGTCCTTCTGGAGTTCGCGGAGGATATAGTCGATGTTGGAGCCCTGGAGCTGCTTGGACTCACCCAGGTGGACGCGGGCCTCGCGGATCGCAGGGGGCTCGGCGGTCCAGGAGTCGCTCTGGAAGGCTGAGGCGACATCGAGGAAGAGAGGGCCCCAGTTGGTGGCGAGGTGCTGGGCAAGCTCGACGACGGCGATGCGCTTGGTGGTCTTGGGCAGCGCCGCGATAAAGTGGGCGTCAGACCAGGGGCGATAGACACGGACGCGAACAACACCGACCTTGTGGCCGGACTGGGCCAGATGGTGGATGTGGTCCTCGACGGACGAAGGTGCGGAGCCGATCAGGACGATGACCGAGGTGGCGTCGGAGGCGCCCGAGTACTCAAAGAGGCTGTATTTGCGGCCGGGCAGGGCAGTTCGGAGCTCGGTAAAGACGCTGTCGATGGAGGCGATGGCGTCGGCGTAATCGATGTTGGCCAGGGGGGCAGCATAGAGCTTGGGCTCGGCAGCGGGCTCAGAGTGCTGCTTGTAGGCATTGACGTGCTGCAGCTGGGTGGTAGAGAGGTGCTTGAGATCGGAGAACTGCACCGAGTGGATATCGGTGGTGGTGTTGAGGCCATTGAAGACGTGGATGGCGGGAATCTGGGTGCGGAGGGCGGCAATGTGGGAGGCCAGGGCAATATCCTGGGCCTCCTGCACCGAGTTCGAGGCCAGGATGGAGACGCCGGTCTGGCGAACGGCCATGACATCGGAGGAGTCGCCGTACCGGTTCAGCAGGGCCGTGTGGACGACGGCGGGTGATCGGTCGGCCAAGAGCTTTGACAGTGTCGGGATGGCGCTGATGAGTTCGGAGGAAGGAGTGTACGCCGAGATGAGCTGGCGCTGGGCAGTGGCTGCGGCCACGGTCGAGTAGAGATCGGCCTTGGGGTTGTAGACGGTCTTGGAGGTGCCGGGGTGGCCAAAGGCGTTCTTGGCCTTGGACTCGGCCCACTGTGGGATCAGATCGCCGGCGACGGCCTGGTTGCCGACAAAGATGTTGACATCGGCGAGATCGTAGCCGATGTACGAGATGGCGGTTTTGGCGTCGAACGACTGCTTGGAGGAGGCCATGGCTATGAGTGTGGGCGGGCGATTTAAATAGGTCTGATGGACGAGTGCGTTTGGGCGAGAACGGAGCGCGAGTCAACCGAGTCAGTCGAGAGGATCAGTCGGGAAGATCGGTCGAGAAGATCGGTCGGTCAGGATGGCGCGGGATACGCGGAGTTGGGCGGCGGCGATAAGAGCAGCGACAAGAGCAGCGCGATGAGGAGACCGTGCGCAGGAAAGAGAGGGAGAAGCGAATGCGACAGACGACGACGAGGCGATTACGGAGCACGCACGGCGACGGGTGAGGGAAAAAAAGAATCGACCGAGGCCGGAGAGGAAAGGCAGACCGATTTAAGCCGCGAGCAGGGCGAGGACGGCGAGAAGCGAGAAAAAAAAGCGGTCAGAGAAGCCAGCACAAGGGGGGCCAAGGCGGCAACGAGATCAAAGACGGCCGGTCGCACAGAGATAATCAGCAGCCCGGCCACGGGATGTGCATGCGAGGCAGCGAGACGAGGGCCGGGTGCAGATGGAGATGGGGAGACGAGACGGATGTGGATCCGGGAGGCGATATCGGGGGAGCATGCGATGCCAATGCTGGCTGGGTCTGGCATGTGTGTGGACAGGAGGCACTTCGCGCAGCCAGACGCAATGGCTCGCCATATCACTTCCCGGCATCCTATGAGTGCCAAACATCCATGCCATCCCCGGCGTCCTCTGAAGGCCAGCCACTCGGGCACATGCGTTGCGACCCCGCAACATGTCCGCGTCTCGAGATTGTGGGTCAAAGGGGGCGGAGCATGGCCAAGTACCTGTTGCGACGGATCTGGGGGATCGACTGGAGGCGTGTGTGTGGGAAAGCAGCAACAACGGGCGGCAATTGGCGGGGGGGGGCGACAAGAGCGACTTGGCCCAGCAGAGACAGGAGGGCAGGAGACAGACGGGCCGATGCACTGCGATGGGCACCAGTGTCGTGTGGAAAATCTATAAATACCAGACCAGCAGAGTCTGCGCTTTGGCTGCGTCGGGTTTGGGGCAGCAATTTTTTTTTTCTGCACCAGCCACGGATGGCATCATCGCCGTCTGCGCGTTGTCAGCACCGGCTGCGGAGATGCGCCAGCCAACAGAACACAGCCTTGGCTGGCTGCGTGGGATTCGCTGCACGGGGCATGTGAGCTGTGCATGGGGGGTGCAGGGGCAATCCAAGGTTTTGATCGCCCGATGCGATGTCCACCCATCCCGCCAACGCATTGGATCGAGTTACTCGCATTCCGCGCCGGCGCAGACACCGATGGCTCGCTCGCCCTCGTCTGATAAATCCAGGTCGTCGCTGACATTCGCCCCGCCCGACCTGCCATTCCCAGCCCTTGCCAGCTCGGTGCGTGGGTCGGCCGGAAACCACTCGCCGCCAAGCCATCGCGGATGCTCTCGCACCTTCTGCTGTCGCAGCGATGCCGCTCTGGAGTCAGCAGCAGGACGGACGCAGCGGCATCGATCGGCCCGCTTCGTTGAGCTTCGCCTCGACGGACATACCCGCTGCACATCTGACCAACCTGGCGATTAGTCAAGTTGTCCCATGCAGATTTCAAACCCGTGGGAGCGCTGCATCGCCCGTCGAAGCCGCCCCCGGCCATCTCGCCCTGCTCTCGCCGGCTCTCGCTGGAGTCGTAACGCGCGGCAGGAATTGCGCCATCGGTGGCGATCTGGCGATGGTGCAATTGCCCCGCGCGCTGATTGGCGGCGGCTGGCTGGCTCGACGCGGCTGCACAGCAAGCCAGCAGCCACTGTCGCTGTGGCGACACGTGTGCGGCCGCCCCTGATTCGCCGCCGCGCTTGTGCTCTCGGCCTTCACGCAGCCGCCTTTATCGCAAGCATATCTTGCCAGCGAAGAAAAAACCCCCCCGTCCACGCCCCGCCATTGGTCAGCGTTGACCCCAGGCTTCTTCATTTCAAAGCGCCGGCGGCTCCCCGGGACCGCATAAAACCCAATGCCCGGCCGCTCTGCCTTGCGGCGGCTTCTTCCCACACCAGTCCCGACCAGCATACCCGCTCTGCGTACGAGTCTGCCTCCCGCCGCGATCCGCCCAGCGCTCCAGCATCCGTCTCTGCCATCGCTCTCCCGCCACACCCGTCTCTTCTCCGCACCCACAGCCATCATGAGCCCCACCCGCGAGTCTGATATTGCTTCGTCGGCCGTCGCCACCTCGGCATCGTCGTCGTCGAAGAAGCGTTCCCGCTCCGAGTTCGTCGAGACGCCCTTCAGCCCGAGCTATGTCGAGTTCCTCAACAAGAAGCTCGCCACCCTGACCCCGCAGCAGGTCCTCGAGTGGGCCATCGTCAGCATCCCCAACCTGTACCAAACCACCGCCTTTGGCCTCACCGGCTCGGTTGTTGTCGACATGATCTCCAAAATCAGCTCGGCGCACTCCTCGGCCGTCCCGCTGCAGGACGCCCAGAAGCCCAACCACCTTGTGCCGCTTGTCTTCATCGACACCCTCTACCGTGAGTATCTGTTTCGCTACAGCGTGCGCTGCCAGATCGGCGATGGCACTGCCGTGTATGTACCGGCGCCGCATGTGTGGGAACCGAATATCGGTGGTTTTTTTTTGGCGCAGCACGAGACTGCCTCGTCGGCCACGAGACCAGCCACCGCTGTCTTGTCTGCGGGCTTGTGGGCGAGCACCGTGTGTAAGGCTGTGTCGTCCCCGCTGGCTGGCTCTCGCTCTCGTGCCTTGCCCTCCGCTGCCCAGATACAGCCGCTGACGTGCCCTTGATTCACACAACAGACTTCAAGGAGACTGTCGACCTCGCCAACCGCGTTGCTGAGCACTACGGCGCCGACATCCACGTCTACCGGCCCGAGGGCACCGACACCGTCGAGGAGTTCGAGAAGGTCCACGGCGAGAAGCTGTGGGAGACCCAGGCGTCTGCTTATGGTAGGCATTGTTGTGTTTTGCTGCTCTGCTCGCTTTGGGGCATGGGCCGGTCTTTGTGGCATTGTGATATGCCCCCCCCCCATGCATGCGCTAACGGCCCTCCCGCCTCCGATAGACTATCTCGTCAAGGTCGAGCCTGCCCGACGCGCCTATGCCGAGCTGAATGTCCAGGCCGTCATCACCGGCCGCCGCAGGAGCCAGGGCGGCGACCGTGCCCAGATCCCCATCCTTGAGATTGACGACACAGCATCGCCTCCGCTCCTCAAGCTCAACCCCCTCGCCAGCTGGGACTTCAAGGCCGTCTGGGACTACATCACCGAGAACAAGGTCCCCTACAACCCTCTCGTCGACCAGGGCTACAAGTCCATCGGCGACTGGCACTCGACCCAGATCCCCAAGGAGGGCGAGAGCGAGCGCGAGGGCCGGTGGCGCAACCAGAACAAGACCGAGTGCGGACTTCACAAGAACTACTTCCAGATGCGAGCGGCCTACCTCGCGGCCAAGAAGAGAAAGCTGGAGGACGAGTCGGGCCAGACTGCCCAGGCCTAATTCGCCCAGCCGCGAGACGGTCCGATGCACATCACCCTTGATCCCTTCGCCCCTGCTTTTCTATACGCTCCCCTCTGGAGGCCCATCCCTCTTCCTCCACGTTTTCTGTTATTTTATCTGTATATCGCTTTGTCATAGATGACACTCCTATCCTTCCCCCCCCCACTGCGCACATTCCCTGGGCTTGCCCTTGCCCTGCTGTTTTTGGTACACACTTTGTCCTCGCTCATCCCTGCGACGCTCGTCGCCTTGGGACGCAGCCATCGACGCTGCTCCTGACCCCCCTCCCCCAATCTTTCAGGCCGGGGTGTTCTTCACCCGCACAATACAGTCTATCCAGAAAGAAACGGGACAGTTCCTTCCTGGCATCAGATGTTTGAAACCCGATGACTGACTGTAGGCCCAGCGGGCAGGCCATGGCATTGCACTCCTGTCTTCGTTGGCAATCGAGTGGCCAGCGCGCGATTGTATTGGGTAACAGAATATTTGATCAATCGTCAAAATCACGGGTGTCCCGTTTTTTATTGGGCTGACTGTAAATCTCAATAATCCCATCGCACCTACGTCTTTTGTCTGGAATCTCCTCGATTGCAAATCGACGACGGCCAACCACGAATGTGTGCTGTCGGGTGTCCAATTCGCATGGCCTGGCCGTGCTTGACCCACCAACCCAGCTCGTATCGGATGGTTCTCGTCCTGGATCAACCGGCGCTCGTTGATTGTGAAGGGTTCTCTCTCTCGCCCCGTCTCGCCCCGTCTCGCCCCGTCTCGCCCCGTCTCGCCAACAGCGCGTTCATTAGCGCCGCCAATATGCGTCTATGAATTAATTCATTCCCGCACCCCAGCTCGCCGCCTGCCTGTCGCCCTCGTCGCCTCGTCCGCCAAAAGCAGCCTCGGCCCGTGCTTTTTTTCGGCGCTGTGGAGCCCGCATCGCCTTTGCCTGCACTCTTCGCTTTTCTCCCGCCTCCTCTATCGGCATGTTTCGCTGGGCTGCTGCTGCTCAATCCTTGGCCGGGAAGGGTACTGCCATCGCTCACTTCCGCTGCTGCTCCGTGTGTCACTCGGGTGCTGGGGTGTTGGCTATCTTGCCTGGGTTCGCGACCAGATCGACGGCCCCCTCGCTCCCATGTCGATTTCCCGATCCACTGATCGTCAATGCACTCTGGACCGCCATGGGTCCGCTCGCTGCCCACATGCAGCATTCCCCAACTCGCGTCCTGTATCGCTGCGTATCTCCACCCAGGAGCCGCCACACGAATATCCGTCGATGGAGCTGCCGATTCATCATCACTGACGCATCTCCTGTGGATTCTGCATCTACTGCCCCCTCCTCACTCCGCCATTCTGTCGACCGTCGTGGCGCTGCAATCCAGGTCGATCGTTCTCGACTTCTCTACGAGTCCGCCAGGCTGCGTCCGTCCCGAATGTCACCCTGTTTATCAACGGAAAGTCGGTGACCGTCCCCGCGGGCGTGGCTGTCATCCAGGCCTGCGAGGCTGCCGGTGTCGATATCCCGAGGTACTGCAAGGCATCTGCGCATTGGGAGGCGCCTCGGGTGTGGGTTCTTCATGCCACGCCGCTATCGACCACTGTGGCCACAGCGCGGCTTCCTGGCTCTATCTGGCGATGGGATGCTTCGATCGAGATCCAACCACCGGCGAGGCAGCATTGAAGCCCAGCAAGCCCCATGACATGACGCAACAGACCCTATTCCCCAACGCGAAAGTAACACTGTCCATCTCTCCACTGTGGCGCCCTCCTCCCTTCTACCTAGATTCTGCTACCACGAGCGCCTCTCCGTCGCTGGTAACTGCCGCATGTGTCTCGTTGAGATGGAAAAGTCGCCCAAGCCCATTGCTTCGTGCGCCATGCCCGTCGGCCAGGGCATGAAGATCAAGACCGACACCCCTCTGGTCAAGAAGGCTCGCGAGGGCGTGATGGAATTCCTCCTTGCCAACCACCCCCTGGACTGCCCTATCTGTGATCAGGGTGGTGAGTGTGATCTGCAGGACCAGTCTGTCCGCTACGGCAACGACCGCAGCCGCTTCAGCGAGGCTGCCGGAAAGCGCGCCGTCGAGGACAAGCCCCTCGGCCCCCTGATCAAGACCGTCATGACCCGCTGCATCCAGTGCACTCGCTGTGTCCGCTTTGCCAACGAGGTTGCTGGTGCCGAGGAGCTTGGCACCTCCGGACGTGGAAACGACATGCAGATTGGTACCTATGTCGAGAAAACCCTCAACTCGGAAATGTCCGGCAACATCATCGACCTCTGCCCCGTCGGTGCTCTCACCAGCCGGCCCTACGCTTTCACCTCGCGCCCCTGGGAGTTGAAGAAGACCGAGTCTGTCGATGTCCTGGACGCCGTCGGCAGCAGCATCCGCATCGACTCGCGCGGCGTCGAGGTGCTCCGTATTCTGCCCCGCATGAACGACGACGTCAACGAGGAGTGGATCTCGGACAAGACTCGCTTTGCCTACGATGGCCTCAAGCGACAGCGCCTGACCACGCCTCTGGTCAAGAAGGGTGACCAGCTCGTTCCAGCCACCTGGCCCGAGGCCCTCACCCGCATCGCCAACGCTGCCGCCAAGGTACCTGCCAGCCAAAAGGTCGCCATCGCCGGCCAGCTGGCCGATGCCGAGAGTCTGGTCGCCCTCAAGGACCTCTTCAACCGATGGGGCTCGGAGCAGCTGCAGCTCGATACCATCAGCGGCGCTTCCAACGACATCCGATCCAACTATTTATTTAATAGCACCATCAACGGCATCGAGTCGGCCGACAACCTGCTCCTGATCGGTACCAACCCGCGCCATGAGGCCGCCATCATCAACAGCCGCATCCGAAAGGCCTACCTGCACAAGGGCCTCAACGTTGCTCTCATTGGCGAGCGCCCCAAGCTCAACTACGAGGTCGAGCACCTTGGAGCCACGGCCAAGACCATCGAGGATGTTGCCAACGGCCACCCCTACCTCCAGACGCTGCAGGCCTCCAAGCGTCCCATGATTGTCGTTGGTAGCTCGCTGTTGAATGGCAAGGACTCGGCCGCCGTCCTGGCTGCCATTGCCAAGCTCGCCGAGAAGGTTCCCAACCTGATCACGGCCGAATGGAACGGCTTCAACGTCCTGCAGCGTGTGAGTGGCCTTTTCTATTCTTCGTGTCAGCGACGCTCGCTGCGGAGCCACTGTTGGAGTCGAACGAGCCCGTCGTCGCATTCTAATAGCACAATGCTCACCGGGGATCAGCGATGCACTTGAGACGGCGCTGCTGCTTGCAGATAATTTGCATGGGACGCTTATCCGAGCCATCGCAGCGTTTTGGGAGACCCGATGCTCACTTGCATATCCGCTTGCACATGCACTCACACACGCACATGCTTCTTGCGCCAGTCTGCCAGCTCGGCTGCCGCCCTGGAAGTCGGCTTCGCCAGCTCCCGCGATGCCTCCAAGGACGCAAAGTTTGTCTACCTCCTCAACGCCGACGAAGTCAACCCCGCCACCATCCCCAAGGACGCCTTTGTCGTCTACCAGGGACACCATGGTGATGTCGGCGCGCACATTGCCGATGTTGTTCTCCCCGGCGCTGCCTATACCGAGAAGGCCGCCACCTACATCAACACCGAGGGACGCACCCAAGTCACCCGCGCTGCTGTCCCGCCTCCCCTTGCTGCCCGCGAGGACTGGAAGATCATCCGCGCGCTCTCCGAGGTCTCTGGATCAACCCTGCCCTACGACGACATCTCGGAGCTCCGATACCGCATGAGCGAGGTCTCGCCCAACCTCGTCCGCTACGACGAGATCGAGCATAGCAGCTTTGGCAAGCTGGGTCTCGGCCAGCTGAGCCAGCAGTCGACCGCTGCCGTTCCCTCAGAGCCGCTCCAGGTCCCCATCACCGACTTTTACATGACCGACGCCATCTCCAGGGCCTCAACAACCATGGCCAAGTGCTCCCAGGTAACGACTTCGAGTGTGGCGAATTGCCGCTCCCAAGCGACCGCGACCGCCGTTTCATTGGCCTGTGCCGCAGTGATCGAGGAAGATGTGCGATCTGCGACTGTCGAATCTGCGGTGCTGACTGCGTTTCTGCCCTCTGTTCGTCACAGGCTTTCACCCATGACCAGAATGACAACTCTGAAGCTGGAGGCTACGTCGCCGTGTAAATGGGAGGAGCGTCCAATAGAACAACCGGGCCAAACACTCAGACTCGATCGCCTATGGCGTCGTCTTCACTTCTCCCGCCCGCTTATCCCCCTCTCTCTCCCTCCCTCCCTCCCTCCCCTCCGCTCCTTCTCCAGCCGCTGCGGTCCATCCTATTTCAATTCGGTTCATCTCTTCATCTCGGCAGCTTGGCTTGGGTGGCAGAGGGGTTCCTCCTTGTCCCCGCTTCCATCTGCACTCATCCTGCGAGCATGGACATGTGTTCATCGCCCCCCCCCCTGGGCTCGAACGGCGAGAATATATTTTGCGTAATCTCATACTGCATGTATTCGCGGCCAGGGCACCGGGGCTGGAGTTGTATGCATCTCGGCGGATCTCGCACGATTGCCGTTGGCGCCACAGAAACCGACCCACCGAATGTCCCAGGGATCAGCGCCCTGGTTTCGTTCTGCATCCATCACATTCGCCGCACCCTCCATCGCAGAATCGATCGATCTGGATATATCTGCTGATCGCCCGGTGCCGATCCGCCCCCTGCCCAGTCTCGCCGAATCACTTGCCAGCACATCGCTTCCCCATGACGTCGTCGACCAAAACATCTACACCCTCGACAGGTGCGCCGTCTGCACATCCATCCGGCCGTTCATCCGGCCGTTCATCCAGCCGTTCATCCAGCCGTTCATCCGGCTGGTCATCCAGCTGGTCATCTCCATATTCGCTTCCGTTTTATAGCTCTGCATTCCGGCTCCAGCATCCGTATCAACACGCCACTCACCGATCGCCCTTGCCCCAGGTCGATCTTCCAACCTCACCCAGGACGTGTCGGATTATGTCCGCTTCCTCCTCGACGGATCTGGCGCCGAGTCTGACGTCAACTACGCCGCCCTCCGGAGCCACCTCTATCAAGTCAATCCGTCCCTCTCCAACATCCTGGACTCGCCGAGCGTCAACACCACGCACTCGCGCATCCTCTCGAGCCAATACGACCGCACCCGCAGCTCTACCGTCGAGAAGGTGCTGCTGGACCCGACGCTGCTGGACCAGAGCCCCTTTGACTATTACCGTCGCGAGCCGCTTACCCGAGACCGGCCTGGCCAAGAGCCGTATCGCCTGTTCGACCTGGACTTGGATCGCGACCGGAGTCGAGACCGGAGTCGAGACCGGGAACAAGACCAGGACCAGGTTCGAGATCGAGACCGAGATCTGATCCAGATGCAGCGACAAGCCCAGGCGCTCAACCCCGAGCAAGGCCGGGAGCAGAGTCCAGAGCAAGAGCCGAGCGCGGACCAAGGTCGCCATCCACATTCCGAGCCAGATCCAGAGGATGAGCACGAGCACAAGCAGGATCAAGAGCGAGATCGATATCAGCGTCGGGCGCAAGAATCGCTGCGGTATCAGTCGCCGTCGCCGTCGCCGTCTCAGCTTGGCCAAGATCAGGCCCGAGAGCACGAGCAGGATCAGGGCCATCTTGGCCTCGGACACCCCGCAATCAGTCGTGCTGGATCGAGGTAGGCTCGCGAGTATCATGTTTGAGCCCTGGAGCTGCTCGGTCGGCATTGTGAAATCAGAAAATCGGACTCGATGCAAGTCCTCCGCAAGAGCTGTTGCGGCAGCATTCGGAGTGCCGCCCTTCGACCCTGGCAGAGATGTCATAGTGCTGACGATTTTCACTACTATCGTTGCCCTGGCTCCAACCACCACAACCACCACAACCATCACAACCGCCGTATCTGTTCTATTGTCCGGGCTCTTGCATTTCTTTGTCTGTAACCCCCATGCATCGCGTCCTCAGACTCGAAGCCAGCGAAATCCCCCGCATCTCCGTGAACAATGACCTCATGCCGACGTCGGCCGTTCCCGCCGGCTCGAATTATTCTGCCGCCCTGCAGATCGATCCCGGCCACGAGCGTCCCAGAGCACAGTACAGATCCGATTCTCAACTCCACCAACCACTGCAGCACGACGCACTTCCGCCGTCTGTCCGGTCGACATTCTTCGAGTCCTTCCCAAGCCCGCGAACACAAGAAACAGGTTCGCTGCCGCCGGCATTCGCAGGCGGCTTTCCACTCCGAGATCACCAAAACCCACTCGCCACTAGCGGTGCATTGCGCACCATCGGCACCGATCCAGGACCCAATCCGCAGCCCCGACTCATTTCTCGAGCATCGTCGCCCGGCAGCCTGAATCCCTCCTGGGCCGGGTCGCAGCTCTATTCGTCGGCGCGAGCTCCTTCCCAGCGACCTGCGCGGGAAAGTGAGCCTGGCCAACGGGCGCCGCAGTCCTTCGGCGAGAGGGGATCAAGCTCTGCAACCCTTGGGGTGCCAATGTCTCCACAGCAGCTGCCACAGCAAGTGCAACCACAACAGCCGCAACTCAGAGGCAAAAGCGAGAGCGTCTTTGATTCATCCACCAAGACTGTAGCATCAGAGCTGAAGTTGCCAGGAAGTCAGTTTGCTGTCTCATCGAACGAGCCCGGTGAGCTGGCTTATCGCAGACCTGATGTCGGCACCGGATCACAGCTGAGACGCTCCAGAACCGATTCTGCCGCTGGATTGCAGTTCAGACGCTCGCTCCAGAGTAACCAGGGAGCCGACCGCAGACCGACTGGCCCGGATGCTTCACCGCAGCGCCCTACAAGCCAAGACAAGTACTACATGGCTGACGAAAGCCTGGTCCGGAGTCGCGACGATCTCGGTCGATCCAGTGGCGGCTCTTCGGTCCAGCGGTACGGAAGGGCTGGACCGGACGGAGATGCTGCGACGGAGCCACCTTTGGATCAGCCTGCTCGCGGCTTTTTGGAGAAGAAGCTGTCGAAGCCTGGAAGCTTTGTCGCCCCATCGAGGCTGGCAGAGCAGCCACGAATGTCACAGGCGTCTGAAGAATCGCCTCGGCTGCAGATTCCATCGGATACTGAGCGATTTGCTGCTCCGCTCTCCAACTCGCGGCTCCAACCAGCGCCCAAGGATACCTTGTTCCGCTACTCGGCTGGACCAGATCCGCTGCGACAAGCGAGCCATAGCGCTACGACTGCGTCCGATACGGATCGCATGCCTGTGGATACACCACAGACCAAGTTTGTACCGGGCTGGCAACACGAGATCAACGTTTCGCCCATCATGTCGGAGAAAGCAAAGACCGATATTGATGTAAGTTCTTTGGTATTATCGAAGGAGTGGTGGCGACAGCAGTGGTGCCGGTGTCGTGGAATGTACGTCCGTCGTCTGAGAAACTCTGCTCTGGTGCAGATCCGTTAAGATTGACTTGCCCACATGCTCTTCGCGTCTCTAGGCAAATCTACTCACCTTCATCTCCAAGCGGCTCACTCAAGCCGGGTTTTCGCCCCTCCATCACTCGCTACTTCTCGCACCCATCAGCGACTACTCCTCTGGCTCGCTGACAGAGCGCCAGGCTATTGCTCTGCAAAACGCCTTCATCCCTCTGATCGAGGGCTACGAGCACCGGGGCGGCAAGCTGCAACGTCTCTACGACCAACTCGCGCAGCTCCAGGACCAGAATGATCAACTCCAGGTCCAACTTCAACAGCAAGACAAGAAATCCAAGTCCCTGGGCGAGAAGGATTTGGATCTGATCGAAACGCTGCGGGTGAGTCGGCCGCTCTGCTGTGAGCTAGCTGCTCGCCGATGCTGCTTGATTGTGGCGTGGGAGATGCAGATCCCAGTTCGGCAGCACCGCGCCAGCACATCAGGGATGCGCAATTGAAGCAAGCCGGTTGTGAGGAAGACTGTGTGGTCTGACATTGTCGTCGCTGCTTCCGATGCTCGCCTTGCAGGTCTCGCTCGAAAAGAGCAACACTCGCGCGAGCCTACTGGAAGCGGAGCCGGACGAGCTCAGGCGACAAAACAGCAAACTCCGGGCCGCCAATGCCAAGCTTGAAGCGGAACTTGAAAGCCGAGAGCGAGAGCTGGACCAGGCTCGTCTCAATCTGCACGAGTTTGTGGAAAAGGTGAGGGTCTGCGCGGCGGTCATTGGTCTGCGTCCCGTGTTGTGCTGCTTCCTAACTGCGTCTATCCTGCCCTCTCGCCCACAACTCGTCTCTGTATCAACATCCAACAGACTGAGCGAACGCAACGGCGTAACGAGCAGACGTTCCAGACCATTGTCAAGCAGTTTACCCGCAGTCCGCATCACAGCGGTCTCGACCGAGTGACACTGGAGGTCATCGATGTGTACGAGCGTAAGGTTGCTGATCTGTCGAAGGAAATCGATCGCCTCAAGTGAGTTGCCCCATCCCCTTTGATGGTGTATATCATTTATGCTGCTACACGTTCAGTCGGCCCAGTGGAGCTGAGGTACTAAGCCTATCTGCTGCCGCTCCTTCTCCCCTCCCCCGACACTAGATATAAGCGACCAAGCCATCTGTCTCCCGAAGAATCGGATGACTCGGAGGACAGAGTGCCAATCGCTTCAAAGTCAAAGCCAGGGCCCTCCAAGGTGTCCAAGCTGGTCGATCTGGAGGACGAACTTGGACAACACAAGCGACATAAACAGTCCCAGCTGCGCGGGCAGACAAGCAAGTCTGCCCACGATCTCTTGGCTGCCCAAGTCGATGTGGGTATCGAGCGTATCTGGCAGTAAAACCAGACGGACAGTGTTGCATCCAATCGGCCTCGAAGCAAACCCGAAACCAACTCAGCATGTCCATCCATTTGTCTGCAGAGTCTCCAAACTCAACTGGCGACCATGACCCTGGCATACAACCAGTCGCAGGAAGAGCTGGAGTTGCTCAAGCTCAAGCAACTCGAAAGCAAGATGCCGAGTTGGCAGCGCCAGGCCGTGTCCAGCCAGGGCAAGTCCAGCGGTGCAGGTATTGTACTTGATTTGGTACTCTGGCGCCGTATAACCCCGATGGGACCTGGCAACTTGGGTCTCTTTGCTCTCGCTGCTTGGCTTGTACACAAGTAATCATACCAAGGGCCCCAATCGGAGCCTCTGGATGCAAATGCCAACAATGCTCTTGCCATCGCATTTACGATCCCACCCGACTTGCACAGATCTCCGAAAGATGACTCGCGAGCTCATCATGAAGGATAAGCAGTCATACAGACTCAAGCTCTTCAAGATCGACTCAATGACTCTCCAGGAGTGCCGAGAGCTCCTCAAGGTAGATCCTGTCCCTTGATAGTCAGAACTCAGTCCTATGCGCCTCTCGGCCCCCGTTCAGTTTAATCCTTGCTTACTGAACCATTCTTGCGGCCTCCCTGGGATGGCATCGACTCGCCCTCATCGCGCTACTAGCAAATCTGTGTGAAGCTCGAAGTGAGCGACGCTGACGAGCTCATGCCCGGCATCGACAAGATCGAAGCGACCATCCGGTTACTGCCCCAAATGCAGCAGGTGGGCCACTGACTGCATTGCCCGCACGGGAGCAACATCATGTCGGGAGACTTGATTGATTTGCCATTCAAGCAAAGCCACTCAGTATGCTGCAATCTGTGCCGCGATATCCAGTTTGTTCGAGAGATCGACTCGATCGTATGGTCTCCCGAGAAGCGACTCGGTTTACTCTACCCCCAACAAGGCCGACCCCGCGCACCCGATGCTGCTGACGACGGAACCGAGTACTCGGCTCATAGAAGCAGATTGCATAAGCTCTCTGAGACCTTGGTGATGATCCAGGCCTGGGCTGCAGGCACGATTGAGCTCGAAGACAAGCGGCGATTCTACAAACAGGTCCACGACCGCCTCAAGGTTCCTCTGGAAGACGGCAGCAGCCAGGAATGTCTGCGGGTCATTGATCAGTTCTTTGAATCAACTCTACGGACAGCCATGGTACGCCCTTTGTGAGCGATGCTCTTCTGGTCGACTGGCTCGATGCTCCGTGACAGCAATTGCGCCTTGGGATCCGGGTCCTGTGCTGACCGATTGATGGACTCGTTCGATAGAACGCTGAGGTCTCGGAGCATGCAGCACGCATGGTCAATCACTTCCGCGACCTGTTCGAAGTCGCCTCGGGCGAGCTGGTGTTCTCCAAGATGAACGAGGTCTACATCTTCTACAACGAAGCCAAAACAGGTGAGTGCGGGCCACTCGAACACCAACTAGCAGAAGGGCGGATCCTCACGGCTTCTGTGCTGCTCTGGACCAGGCATTACAAGGCTCCGAACTGCCCTGGCGATGGGCGCAGATGCACCGACGGTGCGAGTGTTCAACGAGGCTTGCGATGCCATCGAGACCTTCCATGAGCTTTCTTCGGGTACGTTTGCTCTTGGATGCACATCTGTGCTGTCGTCTGCTCAGCGCAAGTGGAACCACCCCCGAGCCGCTCATGTTCTAATTGTGCATGTTGCCCCCACTGACAACGGGACCGCAGCCCTCAGAAGAGAGAAATAGCCAAGCACGTCCCCCCCCCGTTGAGTCGAATCTCTTTGAAAATACAAGCGATTTGATCAACTTGGCTGCATTCATATTCGTCAGAGGTCGGACAGCAGTTCCGAAGCCGCTGCGATTGGCTCGGGTCTTGTCTGTGTGCGGTCTGGAGGGCGTGCCCAGTCCGAACCACCGATGGAGGTTGGACATCAAGGTGGACCCGGAAGACCGTGCTGCAGTCCCCTGTTGACGACCCGAGTCCGATGCGCCGCTGTCGCTGTTGATGCATGTCCGTCCAGTGTGAACAGTGAGATGCATGGAGCAAGCAGACACGACGAGGACCAGCGAGTTGCTGCATATGCGGTCACTGCACACCAGGGCAAGAGCACATTCCCGGAATCAATTCACAAGCAAAGAGCAGAATCGCGACCGCTCAACAGAGTCCATAACAACAGTGCGTGCCGATCAATGCCATTCAGCCAGGCGGCCGATCAACAGTCCATAGAGTGCGCCGGCCATTATGGCATTGATCGCCGGGTGCCATTGCTGGTCTTGCGGTTGCTGCTGGGCACCGGTCTATGCGGTGCCGAGACAACATCAGCCGAGACACCATCAGCCGAGACACCATATGCCGAGACTCCATATGCCGAGACTCCATCGGCCGGTGCCCCATCCGCTCATCCCGCGCCCGCCTTTTGGCCATTGCCCGCCATTGACCCGCTCTGGTCCATCCATTCCACACCCATCCCATCACCGCCCCACCGCCTCGCTCCATCGGTCTATTCCACCCCATCTCATCTCATCTCGTCCAGCCCGCTGAACCTGGGGGCCAGCGCCAATCTCAGCATCGCATCGCACTGCTCCCCTCCCCGAACCGCCTCTCGGCCTCGAGGATTGCTCTTCCCCGAGTCTGTTCACCCCCGGCCCACTCCACATCCGCACGGCGATCCCAAACCGCCATCTTTTCGCCTGTCCACCCCGTGGGTCTCGCCTTTTTTTGCTGTGCCTTTCGTCACAGTATCTGCTTTTGACAAACACGCCGCTCAACCTGGTCGCCACCAACGGCCCGGCGGCCTCCCGCTTCGATACACCCTGCTCGGCTTGCCTTCCCGACATCCGCAAGCCAAAGCACCCTGCTTCCAGGCCGTCTACTCACGTCCCTCTCTCTCGTTCACTTGTTGCCCCGTGTTCCCAGCCCCGTCTCTGTCGTTGCCCCGCTCTCAGCCATGATGGACTCTGTCGAGATTGACTCACTGCCCCTTTCGACCCTCATCGAGAGCTCGGTCAGCTCGCTGGCCGCCTTCAGCTTGGTCGAGGAGACCCAGGACGAGCGCATATGGAGCAGCATGATGGACAAGCAGCTTCGCAAGGCGCCGTCGTCGCTGTCGTTTCGCTCGGCAAGCCTCCAGTCCCGTCAGGACGAGTTGCATACACAAGTCGCCATATCCGTTGGCCCACGATCCAATTCTTCGCTCTCCGAGTATGAGACCCTCTGCTCGGCGACCCCGCATCGAGACTTTGTCTCGCTCGAGTCCCACCTGGACTATCTCGAGTCGATAGAGGTCCAGAAAGTGCTGTCCGAAATCAGCCAGTTCCCAAAGGCATTCATCTACGAGCGCGAGACGATAACGGACAGGCCTTCGTCGGCAGTGTCGCAGCAGCTCGTCGACGAGCTCCTGGCGACCGAGGAGACCTACGTCAGCGAGCTCAACAGCCTCATCCAGCTGTACGTGCATCCATTCAAGGGAGACCCTGCCGTCGACGCCGATGTCTTCTCGTCGTTCTTTGCAAACATCGAAGTCATCTACGAGTTGCACCGAGACAAGATCCTGCCGGCTCTGCAGCGAGCATGCGCCCCATCAAGCAGCCCCTCTGCCGACCCTGCAGCAGCCGAGGCCGCTCCTGGGTCTGAGCTACTCCCACCCGCAGCCAACATCGATCTGGAGGACAATATCGGTCGGGCCTTTTTCGATATGTCGCTCTCCTTGGTGGTGTATGAGCCCTATCTGTCGTCGCTCGACCGCATCCTGCACAACGTCAAGCGCTGTGCCGCACCGCCGTCGTCCGAGCCGCTGAAGCTCTGGTTCAAGAATCCCAAGGTCTGGACCCACCGTCGCTTGATGCGGCGAATCATGCGCAAGGCAGCTGCCCATTCCTCGCACTCGCAAATCAACCTGGGCGCCTATCTGCTGCTGCCGCTGCAGCGCTTGACCCGATACAACATGTTCCTCGAGCGACTCGTCCGCAGCACCGATTCCAAGATCCTCCTGCAGCAGAAGGGCGGGCTGGGTCTGGTTCGAGGCTATGCACGTATTCGGGGGCTGGTCCAGGCGCTCAACGAAATCAAGCGCTCCAGCGAGTCGGTCCTGAAAGCCCAGCAGGTGTGCACGTCGCTCTCGCTTCCCAAGAAGCAGGACGAGCGTAGCCTCATCAAGGAGCTCAAGAACAAGACCAGCGTCCCTGATCTGAAAGCCGCCGACATTTCTGCGAGCAGCCATGCAAGCAGACCGCGAGAGAGCTTTGTTATTCTCAAGGAAGGCACTCTGTGGCTCGACCGCATTGTGCGCTTCAAATCTCGTCCAAAGTACAACACGGAGCTGTCCATGTCATCCACAAGCGTTTCTTCTGGCGTCGTAGAAAAGATCAAGATCATCGGCACTCGGGTGCGAGTGATGCTCTTTACCGATGGCACTCTGGTCTGCTGCCACAACTCGCAGTCCAAAGGCCGACTCAAGGTTGTGTGGACGACCAAGTTGACTTCTCAGTATCGTCCCTTTGACAACGGCAACTGCTCGGTCTCGATCGTCAGCTGCACCGAAATGCTGTCCATCGAAGTTCCCCGGCCGAGCACGCCCGATTCCGGCCTACCCCGCCAGCATCCAAAGCCCAAAGACCGACGGCTATCCGGGCACTTTCGAGCTCTGGAGCCGATTCCGGAGGACGTATCTGTTGCTCCAGATATACGACTCAAAATCGCGCTGGCAGCCAAAGCAGCGTATCTGTCGGGATCCAAGGAGGAACTGGAGGAGTGGCAGGTCGATCTCATCAAGCTGCTCCGCATCATGTCAACCAATCCTCGCTAGCCCGATCGCTCTCTTGGATGGTCCCGGCTGGCGCTCCAGACTGGACCAGTGTTCTATTTTCCGCTTCCTCTACGATAGACCCTTCACTCATGCAATCCCTGCGACCGCTCTGCGCTCAGCGACCGCTTTCTCTCGCATCTTTCTGCCCCTCTCCTTAATGATTGCCTTCTCGGCTTCCACTCAGCTGCTTCCGTTTTCGAACACTTACCCGACCGCCTCTCGTCCGTCTCGCGCAGCGCTACCTTCTGCATAGCTCCGGTTTGTTACTGTCAACCCCCGAACCTCGACGAGAGTCTGCCCCCTCATTGATACCATGACTTTTGCGTCCGCTCGATCGATTCGAAGCGGGGCCAGCAACCGTCATACTATCTGTTGTTTGTTTTTTGTTTCCCCGTATCCCGTAGTGAACGCTGCGAGCCTTACTTTCCCACCCCTGGCTCTTATCTTTTGTTGTTGTTGTTGTCCAAGCTACTATTTCAAATTTTTGCAATATACAATGTGTCCCAACCCAACTCCTCCTGATGGATCAGCCTGGTGCCCCAAGCGCTTCGTACGCAAAAGCTATATGCGGTAGCATATCGCCATGGGCCGTTGAGCTTCCGACGCGGTCGAGACTACTTGGACCAGGGTGCTGTCTGGGCCTTCTCGCGCTCGGTGATCATTTTCTGCTGCAAAGTGACGGCTCTGATATATATGGTCGTAAACTTCATTGATCGAATTGGGGGAAACATTGAAATCTGGATTGGAATGTCAAGATCAAAGTGCTTAAGTACGTTTCTGAGCTGTATGAGGAAGTTGTTCCTATCGACCGAGTTGAGGGTCACCACAAGCAATCGGTGGAATCCAGTTCGCGTGAGCGCATAGCCAAGGTTGTGGTACGGATAGCTGGTAGGGATTCGGGTGCACTCAGCACCGAGGGTTGAAAAGTATGCGAACTGGACATCCGGATCTGTGCTTGTCTTGAGCTTCTCCGCGATGGATTCATAACCACGCGCCAAAATCGTTCGAAATGCCAGTGTCTTGGTGGACTCCAGATACCCAGTGTTTTGGGGATAGATCGTCGCATCCAAGGCGTTGAAGACGGAGTCGAAGACACGACGGCCCAGGGGCGTGAGATGCTCATACGTGGCATCCAGGAACTCCATGGGCTCTCCCGGGAAAAACTGGAAGGGCGCTACCACACACCGAGGAGCTGCAGCTGGCATCGCGTTTGGCACAGTATCAAACTTGGCGATGGTGGTGGGAGGCGGCGTGGGGGGCTGGGTTTGCAGCGGTTGCTGAGGTTGCTGGGATTGCTGAGGCTGTTGAGGTTGCTGGAGTTGCTGGAGTTGTTTTTGGCGACCAAGGACATCGGTAAAGATCTTGGCAAGTTGATCGAGGGTGCTGTCGATGTCGCTTGAGATGTGGTGGATGCTCTGGATGGAAAAGATAGTCTCCATGACCTGCCGAATGGTTTTGGTGTGGGGACTGCGTGGATGATTGTGCAGCTCGTCCGGGAACTGGTCGAGGCGGGGGTGGGTGAACATCTTGATGTAACCCTCGCCGCTCTCGGCCACGTAGAGCGGGATGATCTCGATCTTGCCCTGGAGCCACAGGTTCACAGCAAACTCCCACTACAAAACCAAGTCGCGGCATCGGACAAGTGGGACGATAAGTAACGGTCGATATGATGGCCGACATAACGGCCTGTGATGGCTCGAGTTGATCCGCAGCTATTGCGGCGGATTGCAAATCGAGGCAAAAATCGCTGCCGGACATTGCCTGCCGCCACCGGAGCTCCGGGTTCCTGGGACGGCAAAGTCCGGCAAAATGAGCGGCAGTTCCTCGATTCGAAATCAGAAAAAAGGAAGCCCACAAACCTCAAGCAGCAGATTGTCGTCCCCAGAGTTGGCCAGGATACTCTCGAGCGCCTTGTTGCTGATGAGCAAAACGGCGATTCTCGAGTTGGCCAGCCCCTTCAAAAAGCCATCTTCCCACGCTTTCCCATAGGCTAGGCAGTTGGCATCGAGATAGGCGTGAGGCAGTTGGACCGATGCTCCAGAAGCGTACATCGTTAGGCAGTTGACGAAGCGGCTCGACTGGAGACTCAAGGCCAGCTTGTTGGCGACGTTGCTCTCGGACGAAACCCGGTAGGAGATGAAAAAGTCGTGGACGGTGATGCCGTTGCGACATTTCCAGGCATTATGGACTGCGGGTGCAGGGCTGAAGGCATTCGAATACTGGCCAGGGGCCGGTGTGGTTGTCGCCGAGAGCGGAGGAGCATCGTCGTTGTCCTGGACGAGCAAAAGACAGAGCCGGATCAGACGAGACAAGGAAGACGGCTTGCGGAAACAGCCCCGTTCGACCCAGCCGCTGCTTTGGCCACCGAATCAGTCGCTGGCATTGACAAGCCGGCAGGCGAGTCCAAGTCAAGGTTACCGAAAGGAGAAGGTCCACGGCCGCATCCATGTTGTTGTTGGTCTTGCCGAGGGCCTGCACGGCCCTGGCTTTGGGAAATCCCATTTGCACTAGCTGCTCGGCGAGGGCATCGATGGTTGCTGTGGCGAGAAACAGAGTCAGTCAACAAAGCCGGGTCGACGAAGGGGCGCACCGAAACAGGAACGACGAGCGGTACCGAGCGACATGGTGAGCAGGTTCGGTCGAGGAGCAGGAGACGCAGAAGGACGGGGAGATCGAGGGGCGAAGCTGCTCCGAAGCCGGACCGAACTCGCCGCAGTCGAGAACATCTGGGAGGCCTTGTTCCATGCGTGTGGCTGGCCAAGTGCGGCTGCTTGGGTCGCACGAGCGGGCATGCCAGTGCGCGTGTTTGCACAGCGAGCGTCGCACAGCAGAACGCCATGGACACGCGGCCCGTGATTTGGCTCGGCTCGGTTCGGTTCGGCTATTTGTGGGTCTGTCCCACCCGTGTTGTGATCGTGGTTCCGGAGATCCGCACGATTGTACCTCCAGCGCAGCACCCGCTCAGGACGCACTTGATTCGATGTGCTCGGCAGGATGCATGACGGAGACAGCGTTGGTCCTGCTGGATGGTCTGTGTCGTCGCTGGTGGAGTCCGCTGCTTCGACGGAGCCGCGAGCAATCCCGAGGCCGCGCAAGGCACCCCAGCGACCAGAACGACCAAACACCGCCGCCGTTTGCTGAGCAGCACTTGGCCCCAGAGTTGCAGGAAGCAGAGTGTATCGCCGTCGGATCCCCGAGCCACCAGGAGGGCCGCCACCCAACAGGGCGAGGATCACCTGCCCCACAAGGGTCACCAACGCGAGCAAATTTGCGCCCCCGCAGAGTTCAAGCATGCCTCCTTGGGCCGAGCCGAACCGCAACAAGGGACGACAGCGCCATGGTGGTCTTCATGCATCGCACCAGCGGCTCCTGTCCCTTTTCGCTTTTTTTCCACTCACCCAGGTATAAACGGGGGTGCCCAGAGAGCGACCTGGACCGGCGACGGCGACCCCTCACACCTCCAAGCCAACGAGCCCCAGGCCGGACCTCTGCTCCAGGCCTCTCAAGTTCTGCTCCTCAGCGCCTCATATACTCCGTTTCAACTCCGTCCCAGTCGTCGCCCCGTTGCTGTCAGATTCACAACCATGTTCAAGATGACAACCTTCCTCGTCGCCCTCCTGGTTCTCCTGCCCACCTGCCTTGCTTGGCAACTCGATGTCGTGTTCTACAAGGACGCCAACTATGGTGGATCCGCCATTGACTTTCAGATCCACGATAGCCTCGAGTGCTACAACATCCAAGAGTGCTTCAACGACGAAATGTCGAGTCTCAAGGTCACCTCCAGCTGTGACATCCCCGCTGGCTTGATGCTCAACCTTTATGCCGACATCCAGTGTCCCTGGAACGACTGGAGCGGCACTTGCCTTCTTGATGGCACGACCACCTGGTCAGGGCTGATTTACCTTGTGCCCTGCCAGACCGTTTCTGTTCCCTGGATTGGTTCGTGTCTGAACGACCAAGTTAGCGCTTTCATGGCCATGGAGAACTGGCAGAGCAACTTTTGGTGGAACTCTGGCCAGTATACTTTCTCGTGCTAAATATAATGTACTGTTATTCTATGAACGGGATATCCGAGTGAGTGGGCCGGTCGGAGTGCGAAACCGCCGAAGGAAGCGGCGCCAGTCCGGGGGATACAGTATGTGTGCTAGAATCGCTCTGTTCGGCGAAGCAAGCTCTGCACACATCACAATCGCATGCGATGGGGCGGATGGATATCGTACACTTACATCGCTCGCCGCTGTTGCGATGGATGGTGGTGCTCCCGGGCACCCTGGACGAAGAAAATGTGCTGCTCGTCACAAGATGCAGAGCGCTCTGCCTCATTTTCGATAGCCACTGGATCGAGCGCGCAAGGACAACCATGAACCTGGCGGACCGAGAAATGCCCGTTTTGATCCGATCCATTCAATCAGGCTTGATCGCTCATGCCAGATTGAATCTGGTCGTATTTCCTGTCTCAGCCCCCATCGGGCCTGGACAGTGTCAATGCAGGAACGCTGACCCTGATCCCTATTTCTTGCTCTTGTCCCTCAAATAGCCATCCTCGACTCGCCTCGACGGCTGTTGGCGACACTTTGCCAGCCGAGCACCCGCTCCTCCGTCGGTCACCCATCCAGCGTACACTGCGCTTACTATCGTCGCGTCATTCGGCGGTCGCTTAGTACGATCGGCCTCCGTCGCTTGGTGCGATCAGTTTTCTTTACTTACTACCATCTACCTCTGTCGTCTGAAGGTATCGGCCTTCATCACACCATGAGTTCTATCGACATGGCCTCGAGCTCGTCCTCGATCCAGAAGGAAACGGGTCGTGGGAACGACAGGATAGCCACGTCGCCTCCAACGCCGTCTGGTTCCAACACCCCCCTCGATCGATCGGATGAGTCAATCCTCGACAGCTCCCGCAGGCCGGTTTCACCCGACAAAGATAATGTGCATCCTCCAGATGCATACGTGCCCTTCTATGGCGTGCCGGCTGGTCGAGACGAAGACCCATCGGTGCTGGTGGCCGCCTCGCGTGTCCCGCATCCCCCAAAGCCGTTTCTCACCCTGGAGGCGTTCTCTCGCAAAAGCTCGCAGCAGCTATCGCTCCCGCCGCTCTACCACAACGCGAGTGTCAAGCGCAAAGCCAAGCTCGGGAAGGCGATGCACGACCCCAAGACCTGGGCGGGCTCCGACCTCGACGACGGCACCCAGAGCATCAAGTCGCGAACGTTCTCGATCTCGGGCAGCCAGATCTCCGGGCTGACCTCATTCTCGCCCGGGTGGCTTCCAAAGCCCAAGCTCCCGAGTGGCCTGCAGCAGCAATCTCATCGAAACTCGTGGGACTACGAGAGCAACTCGAGCATGCCGCGCTACCGCCAGCGAGCCGACGGCACGCCTCCATCGGGTGGGAGATATTCGCTGACCCGGGAGTCTTCCCGCCGCGGGCCTTTGCTACTTGGTACCGGCGAGCTCGACCCCGAGCGACAGCGCCCGCCCTTGATAGACATCATACTGCCTCTCGAAAACGATGGGGATGAATTTCCCCTTGGCACTCCCTTGATCCCCCTGGTTGGAGGCACCAAAGCGCTCTTCAACCGGGCAGCCCAGAGCGGCAGCGCCAGACCCCCGAGCAATCACGAGGTCATTCTGATTCCGCCCAACGCTCTCGCACCTCCAAACTCGACTGAGCCATCGTGCAGCCGCGGGGAAGACAGGCCTACGGACCAACGCAACGACGAGCGCATTGCACAGTTTCTGCGCGAGCGGCAGAACTGGCTCGGCAACAGCGACCAAGACTCGCCCTCATCCTCACGCCTCAACACCAGCTGTCGCCAAAACAAGATCTGGGGCTACGGCATCGCCTATACTGTCTCTGAAAAGGGCACGTCCGAGATACCGCTCTCAGCATACGTCCCCGTCGAGTACATTGTCAGCTCGTGGCAATTTCCCGGAAGTGGGACCGAGACGCACTCGCGTGTACCAACAGACAAAAGCTCCAGCGTCCTCAAGCTAGCCAAAACCCACAGCGGTCTTCCTGCCGACTCCACCCGTCTCCGCAACTCAAAAGACTCGGTTATGTCGTTCATGGGCACCGGATTGGCCTCTGAGTTTCTGTCGGTGCCGGTGCCCCAGTCTCGGCTGGGCCCGCATCAGCAGAGTACACAAGAGCCCTCACGCAGCGAAGAGTCCGAGCCATCGATGGTCGACGCATCGCAAATCTGGAACATCCAACGCCGGGTGATCCAGCGACAGAAGCTCTACAACGAAGGCACGTCCTTCAATAGCACCAAGCGCCGCGCGTCCTCCGTCATGGACTTTATCCTTCCGTTATCTCCAACAAGCTTCTGGGACTCGATTCTTCATCCGATCAAGGCAAGTGGATGCTGCTGATGGTGTTGCTGCTGCAGGCGTCTCGACCGGGCGGGCAGCTGTGCTACTGCATGCGCCCGCGAATGCACCGGCGCAGTTCGTGTGCTTATCGGTTCCGTTGGCTCCGTTGGCTCCGTTGGCTCCGTTGGCTCCGTTGGCTCCGTTGGCTCCGTTGGCTCCGTTGGCTCAATTGGATCTGTTGGCTCAATTGGATCTGTTGGCTCCGTTGGCTGTGCCTGCACTTGCCATACCGAGACCTGGCATCCCTGCCATGACATCCCTGGCGCTTATGATGCTATTGAACTCCAATATCACTGACGCTACTGACACGATCCGGGTGTTGCGACTTGCCCAGGAGCTGCCAGAGACTGGCCCGAGCCTGCAGTTTGATCGACCGACCGAGCGCATGTACAGCATGTACCTCTACCAGGTCCAGGGCACCAACACCCTGCAGATCAAGCTCTGGATTCTGTCCTTCTATGTGTTTACAATTATTCTGCTTGATCTGCTATCAGCCAAGAGCATCGACGCCTCGACTATTTACAAGCACACGTTTGGATATCTGTACTTGCTGACGTCGATCGCGATGGGGATACTCTGCCACCGTTCGTCCTGGGAGTCTCTCGATTTTCCAGTGAGGATCTTTTGGATTGTTCTCTTTGGACTCGAAAACCTGACCACCACGGTGTTTGCGCTGGGGCTCTTTCCCTCCAGTACCCCAGTAAGTGGAACGTTCGGGCAGCTTTGTTCGCGGCTGCGCTTATGCTTTGCCATCTTGGTCGGATCGCTCTCCAAGAATCCCGTACTGCGTCGCAACTCCAACGACCATTAAATCGGACCACAATCCCTGCTGCTTCAACGCTGCGCGTATCGACAGGTGTCCAAGGGATCGATCATCGCTCTGTCGGGAGTCGGCACAATCGCAATGATCTATCTCTCCGCATCGTCCTACTACGGAACTGTCACCGCGACGGGTCTGGCTTTGACCGCTGCTCATATTGCCCTCACAATCGTATCGCTGATGCAAGCCACCCCTGGAAACCAGTCTGGCTCAATGATGAACTCGCTTTACATCGAGATCCTGCTCTATCTGTCCGTCAACTTTGTGGGTTTTGTTCGGATCTATATGGTCGAGGTGCACATCCGAAGGGCCTTCATCAAGCACCGGATCATCTACAAGCATCAGGAAAACATTATGGAGGCCCGCAACCAGAGCCACTTGATGCTTGGGATGATTCTGCCGGCCAAGATTGCCCAGCTCATGAGGGAGAACGACTTTTACATGTCCCCAGACTCGCTCAACATGATCCAGGACACATTTCTGGAGCTCCACGGCGTCACGATCCTGTTTGCCGATATTGTGGGGTGAGTGCCGCGCTGCCCGGATGTGCTCTCAGCTGGTCGTGTCTTGTATCGAGCTTGGTTGCTCACTCTCGCCGTTGGCTAGATTCACCGAGTTCTCGTCACAGATACCGGCATATGATCTCGTCGGGGTTCTCAGCGACATATTTTCAGAGTTTGACAACATTGTCACGGATTTTGGGCTGGAGAAGGTACATGCCGGATGAGCGTGGTGCGCGATGGGCAGAAGCTTCGTCTTCCGCTGAGCTTGATGGTGGTGGTGTTGGTGTCGCTGGTAGCAGTACTAGTGGTGGTGCGCATTGGATCGATACGGACTCTTGCTTACGGAACGATCTCGCATATCTCCAGATCAAGACAATTGGCGACTGTATCGAAGTTGCCGGCGGTGTCCCTGAGCAGCTCCAGTCGGAAACGCAGATCGCCAACGAAGCCGAGAAGGTCTGCATCGTTGCTCTGCTCATGATTTATTCGATCCGAAAGATTTCGCAAAACATCCGCCGCAACCTCCGCCTTCGCGTCGGAATCCATACCGGCTCCATCTTGGCGGGCGTAGTGGGACTGTGGAAGTTCAAATACGGTAGGTGTGCTTGCGCGGATGTGCATCTAAACACCATACGGAGCAGCAGATTGCATGGATGCGTAATGAAGGCTGCAGTCGCGATCGAGCCAGAATCGAGATGTTCGAGTTCCTGCAAGCGCAGTGGCTTGCGGACATTACTGTGCAGGTCCAAGAGGGCTTGGATGATGCACTGGCTTGTGTCTTGAATTGCTGTGCTGTTGCATTTGTGAGTTGCAGCGGCTAATAGGCGGTTTGTCTAGATATTTGGTCTCAGGACGTCGAGATCGCCTCGCTGATGGAGCAGAAGGGGACCCCTGATATACCCCACGTCTCTCAGAGCACCGAGAAGTTGCTGCGAAACAAGGGAATGGTCTCCTTTGAGCCGGATATACGACTCGATGCCTTTGGCAGGGAGATCAATACCTTCAATATCCCCACCGACTCCATTTCCTTCAAGGACTTGTGCAGCATCCGCTCGACACACATTCGGCTCTATACGTGTGAGACGGCCGAAGCACCCGAGCTCGAGGCGCGATGGGCCGAGCCGGACCAGCTGCCAAGCGACTCGACCGACGATATCAATGACGACATGCACGCTGAATCCAGGCGGATCTTGAAGGGCGAAGACAGCGACACTGAGATTCTCAGCTTCAGCTGCGAGCCTTCACATCCACCGCTCGCGAACAGACAGCTCTTCACCGAGCCCAAGGACCTTGCTCGCAACCGCCAGCGACCATCACAACGATCGTCGCAGAGATCGTCGCAGCGGATTCCTGGTGTCCATATCTTCAAAGAGAGCCTCAACGACTCACTGCGATCTTTCCAGTGCAGCATCGGGCGGTGGACCGGTAAGTGTCGCCTCCTCGGTCATCAGTTGGTTGCTCTGTGGCAAAGTCTGGTTGGGGCTGACTCTAAGTGTGGGGACTCGATATTTGGGCAGGGTTCTTCCTTGATCAATCACAGGAGCGAGACTACTGCAGGCACTACATGAAGAACCACATGGCAGCGCTGTTCATCACTGCAGGCGTCACCTTTGTCGTCTATATCATCTTGTTTACGTCCCATGTCCTTCTGGTTCCCTCGGAGTACCTCTTGCTGATCCTTGAGGGGCTCGGTGGGCTCGTCTTGCTTGCTGTGATTATCGGGGTCTACCACTCGAAGATATGGCGCAGACTCGGCGATGCGATAGAGACCAAGTACGACGAGTGGATTGAGTTCTTCCAGCACATGCACCGGACGGTGCTCCCCTTGAGCCAAAAGCCTCGCCAGCCCAAACGGAAGAGCAAGGAATCGTCGCGGTCATGTTTGCCTAATTTATTCGCCCTGACGACGATCTGGTTTTCGTTTGTGGGCAACCTGGTGATTGCGATCACACACCCGAGCGCCCGCATCCAGTGCATCACATGCGTGGTCGTTGTTCTGATGATGCACACCATCTACGTGGGCATGAAGATGTTTCTCTTTAGCGTTTCGATCCTTGTGTGCGCTGTGATCTTTTCGATCCCACTGCTGGTCGACAAGTCGCCACTGCTGGATATCTACACGGCTCAAACGATAGTGCCTATCCTGGCGGTCGCGGTTACCCTCCTGTTTTTCACCAACCGCAAGGTGGACATGCTTGCGCGGACCAACTTTTACCTCAAGACACAGGTGCGTGCTTGCGATACTTTTAGATCCTGTGGATGCGCCCTCGAGTGAGAGGAAGAACTGCAGAGTATGCATCTGCCAGCGCAGCGCTCGTGGAGCTCTGACATCCTTTACCCATGCACAGAACGAGGACCTGTATACATACATGAAGCAGGCCCAACAGAGCGCTGAGAAACTGCTGCTCAACATTCTTCCGCTCTCGGTGATCCTGAGACTGAAGGAGAATCCCTTTACACACATTGCCGACGACCGAGAGGACGTGTCGATCCTGTTCACGGGCATCACGAACTTCCTGCCGTTCGAGCAAGCTTCGCAAAAGCACACGATCTGGCTCCTGAATGCCATCATCTGCGACATTGACGAGTGCTGTGCCTCCTTTGGAATCGAAAAGATCAAGACGATTGGTAATTGCATGAGGGGCGGCAATAGCAATAGCAATAGCAATAGCAATAGCAATAGCAATAGCAATAGCAATAGCAATAGCAATAGCAATAGCAATAGCAATAGCAATAGCAATAGCAATAGCAATAGCAATAGCAATAGCAATAGCAATAGCAATAGCAATAGCAATAGCAATAGCAATAGCAATAGCAATAGCAATAGCAATAGCAATAGCAATAGCAATAGCAATAGCAGTGGCCGTCGGAGAGCATGGGAGCATCCGAGCGATCCCTTGGGTCATGGACAAAGACACCGCCTTGACGCATCCATTCGACGGTGTGGACGCACACAGGATCCAAGTACATGGCCATGGCCGAGAACCAGGGAGACCACCCGCACTACCACGTCAAACAGATGATCGACTTTGCTCTGACCCTGAAGAAAGTGATTCGCGACTTCAACAAGCGGACGAATCAAAAGTTTCTCCTGCGGACGGGAATCCACGGTGGGTATCGAGGGCGGACGCTGTTGGAAGGCGAGCTGTTGGCAGCCAGTGGATGCTGGCTGAACAAGTACCGTCCATGGTGCCGTGCGTGCTTGCTCTGTGGTGGTCGCCCAGTGGCCCGGTTGCCCACTGCCAGAACTCCATGGCAAAGAGCCACCTCTGCCTTGCTGACTCATTTCCGCTCGGATAATCGGCCGTCGGATAAACATCAATCGTCCACGGTGCCGCTGCTGTGGTTGATTTGTGGCTCAGCGGGCCCTGCTGTGTCTGGTGTCATTGGAACCCGAACTGTAAGTGCCCATGGTGCCATCGGCGCTGGGCTCGTGGGGCGGGCTGTGGACGGAGAGAAGGCCGGTGCCATTTTCACGCTGCCTTTGCAATCTCTTTCATTTGATAGGCTCGTATTGACGCCTCCCCCCCTCTTGGTAGTCGTATTTGCTATGCGATCATGGCCGGCTGTGCAAGCGCAGGCAAATTTTGGGCCGGAGGATGCTGGTCTGACCCTTTCTGGTTTTCTCTCTCTCGCTGGTCGACTTGGCCGGGTGTCTTCCGACGAACTGGGTGCTCGCTCCTGCGTGCTCGCCAACGCAACGAACCACGGGCAGTTCACCTTCGATGTGTGGGGCGACACCGTCAACGTTGCGTCGCGGATGGAGTCGACGGGCAAGGAAAACGAAATCCAGGTGACCGAGGAGGTGTACCAGCGGCTGCGGGGCGACTATGAATTCCAGCCGAGGGGCTCTGTCGAGATCAAAGGCAAGGGCTGGATGCGAACGTACTTTGTCCGGGGCTCGGTTGTCAAGTACTAGGCCGATCAGCCGCCATGCCGAATACACCGACATGGTGCTGGGACTTGCATTGGCGAGAACCCAGGCCCGGAAATCAGCAACAGCCCTGGCTCAAACCAGGGTGTCATTCTCCCCAAGCCAAGGACAACGCGCGGCGCGCACCTGGGGCCTGTGTGACGCTTGGTGCGCGGCCGCGGGGCGCATTGGCTGCCTGGCGCCTGTGATTGGCCCAGAGTGCTTCCATATCCGGCGTGTCTGTCACACAGTTGTCTGCGAGGGACAGGGACGGCAGCACAACACAGCACAGCGCAGCGCAGCACAGCCGCTCTGCACACAGTGCGCGGCAGCAGTTCCCGCACCGCAGCGGCCGCACACAACAACGCGCGCCCACACTACAGCGACAGTGCGCAACAAGCTGCAGCACCCACACACCCACACACCCACACCGCTGCACCACTCATGCCGCGCACACATGCCCTCGTTTCTCCTGCCCACTCGAACAGTTGGGGTGCGTCTCGTCTGTTCCTCGTCTCGCCAAGCACGATTCTCATCTCCCCCCCTTTTTCGGGTGTCTTCGAGCTGCGGGCTCTTGCCAGCGATTATATACACAGCATTACATTTTTTTCCTTTGATCCTGGGCCCTCGCTCGGTTCTCTTCTCCTGCGCTCCTCCCGTAAGGGTCTGTTCTGGTCGTCGCGGGCGCCTCTGTCTTCGTCCGTATCTCGCCCCTTCCCTCCGCGGTATCGTCCCTGGCCTCTCGGCGCCGCCCCTGACCTCCGTCCTTCTTCAGATCATCGCTTCCGTCTCGCCCAGACAGCACACACCCGCCATGCCTGCTCCCTCGCAATCGTCCGTCTACTACATCGTCGTCCTGGGCGACGGTGGTGTCGGCAAGACCGGTAAGCGTTGTATCCGGCTCCTCGCTGCTTCTGGTGTCTTGCTCTGTCCTCGGGACGAGATGAAGACCTGTGTGCCGAAACGAGTGGCCAAGAGAAACAAGATGCTCTTCGAGCCGCAATTCTGCCTCCAACTGCACTGCACCGGGGTTTCCTGTGCCATCGATGTCTTGCCTGCCTGCCTGGGAATGTCGGCATGCCAAGAGGATACCTGGGCTAACACCCTGCTCTCGTCCTCGGCTCACCGGCAATGCTCACCGGCAATGCTCACACCCTCTTCATCGACAACGCAACTCCCATCCGGCCAACATTTCCTCACACCACCAACGCCGCACGACCACCGTATCAACATCGCCATTACGCAACGTGTGCTGGCTCTGTCGGCGACGGCTGAATCTCCGCAGCCCTGACGACTCAAGTAAGTCTCCTCCTCGGTTGGCTCCTGGGGCCGCTCTGGGCCCAGTCACAGAGGCCCTGGACTCTGCATCCTTTGGTCCTGACTACGGTCGCAAGGCGTGCTCGGCTATCCACCTGGTATCCTCCTGGCTATCCACCTGGTATCCTCCTGGCTATCCGCCTGGTATCCTCCTGGCTATCCGCTTGCTCACATGCGCTTCGCCTCTTGCTCTGTCTGCCTGTCGTCTCCTCCCCTCGGGCTCGTCTCGCCAGTTCTGCCGCCAGCAATTCCCCGGTGAGCATTGTGTCCCGCTCTGTGGATATGCTCTCGCTGTCTGCTCTGGCATCGATGCTCTGGTTTCGATGATTGTTGTGCTCACCCCTGTTCTTTGTAATCGCTCTCTGTTCGACTGTGCGTGTGGGGGGGGCTATCGGTCTATCTTTCTATCTTGATTCGCACACTCTTTCCCTGGTTGCCCTGACTGCCTCTCGTCCATGGACCTGTGTTGGCATCTGCATGGCGATTTCGCCCCACAAAGACATTTACGACCCCACCATCGAGGACTCGTACCGCAAGCAGGCCATGATCGACAACAAGGCATGCACCCTGGAAATCCTGGACACCGCTGGACAAGAAGAATATATCACGTAGGTGCTCTGTTCATCGCCAGCGCTAGACTGCGCTTACTGGCCTGAGCCGGACTTCCTAATTGCCCTGTCCTTTCCCTCCGTGGCCACCGGCTCCTGCGGAACACATCCCGCAATCCCCTCCATCATATCGTGCACTGAACTTCGGTCATTCCCGTCAATGCGATGGCGATTGCTCGATAACTCGACCTTCCAACGGCACCAAATGGCACCAAATGGCAAATGGCACACAACGGCACACAACGGCACACAACGGCAACTGCTCCGGCTCGCTTCTCTCTCAACCCAGCCTGAGAGATCAGTGGATTCGCGACGGCGAGGGCTTCCTCCTAGTATACTCCATTGCTTCCCGCCGCACCTTTGACCACGTCGAGCAGGCCCGAGTGCAGATCGAGCGCGCCAAGGAGGATCAAAAGTTCTCGATTGTCCTGGTCGGCAACAAGGCCGATCTGGTCGCCGAGCGGGAGGTGTCGAAAGAGGAAGGCAAATTCATGGCAAGCCGCATCGGCGCAACCTTCTGCGAGACCTCGGCAAAGACAGCCATCAACGTTGAGTTGTATGTATCGTGACCGCGGCTGTCTCATCGAAGGGGGAGGGTAGAATGGACATGTACTGACCCTTAGTCGTCCCTTGCCTCCCGTTTGCGATGGTTCACGAACCGCTGATGTGATCCCGTTTGGTCGACAGTGCATTCCACGAGGTAAAACCCGGTGTGCTTCTCTGCATGGGTCTATGCAGCCACTAGCAAATGCCAGTTGCATGTTGCATGTTGTGGGATAGTCGGCGCCACCCGATGATGATGCAGTCCAGGGAAAAGTTGTGTGCACGCCTCCCCCCCGTAACCGACATATCTGTGCATCGTTGCTGACGGCACGTATCCATCGTATTCCGTAGGTGGTTCGACAGATCCGAGCCAACAACGGCCACCATTCTGGCGACGGCCGCAAGAACCCGAAAGAGTGCATGCTGATGTAAACCGGGCTCGGAGCAAACCATAACCAAAATGTGATCCCCCCCACCCTCGCACCTCGATCTCCCTATATCGCTATCCCTTTGCTTTCGGTCATCTCCTCCAGTCCCCAGTCTCTCTTGCTCGCGTATCTCTCTCTCTCTCCTTCATTTCTTCTGAACAACACAATATCAATGCGTTTCGACCGCAATCCACTGGGGCTCTCCTGAACCCCTGGATATGGCCATGACGACGCCATGTACTCTTGCGATGACCTGACTGAATGATGTCGATCGGCGCTCACGTTGCTGCAATGGAATTGGGCATGAGGAATCGTGGAAATGATCTCACCAACTCACTTGGTCGTTCCTGGCCGAAGCGTATAATTTGATCCGGCTCTGACGTGCTTTTGTCGAAGAGCGACACCAGAGACATTGTCTTTTTCAACACGCTGTATGCAACATGATGGGCGGCATGGCTTTCCACGATGATCATCACGCCAATCGGCCTGTTGGGTGGGTTGCTGGCCCCGCACTCGCTCATTGCGCCGAGATGGTTATGGCTCAGACACTAGCTTGCCAGCCAGCTTGCCGGCCAGCACGCCATATCGCTGCCCCTCTTGCGCCTCCCAATCTCAATCTCAATCTCAATCCCAAGCCCGGTCTCGCCGCCGGGTGCTCGGCGACACCGCCAGAGAGTGCGCCACCGACGACTGCAGCCTTACAGCGAGCTTTTTTTTGAAGCGGGACACTTTCACAGACGGATGACCTGCGTGGGCTGTGTGAGTTGCATGGGTTGTGTGGGTTGTGTGGGTTGCGTGGGTTGCGTGGATCAGACGGCTATGATTGGCACACTATATGCTCCCATCGCCGAGGTCTTGCAGCGATATTGCCCTTTGCCCTGCAGGTGCAATGCCGTGAAGAGCACGCATGCTCGAGTCGGTGCGCTCGCCCTGTGGTCGCCGTCTCGGGCGGTGGGATGCGGATTTGCAGGGCCTGCGGCCTCCGGTTTGGACCTGGCTTGGCCAGTCGGCGGGGAATGCAGCCCGATTGGTTCGCGAGCGCGTCGTGGCAAGCAACATGTCGCAGGACATGCACCAGGAAGGGCCGCCCAAGCCAAAAGCTCCTTGCCCATCCGCGCAGGCTGGGGCGGTTGGCGCTCGCAGGCGCAGATGCATCGGCCCAACGTGGCGACGCCGCTGGTTGGGGTGCGTTCGCTGTCGGCTCCGGACAGGGCACGAGCGCTGGTCCGTGCCTGAATGGGGGCGGATGGTGCAGATAGGCGCCTGGACCGTCGTCCGATAGCATGATGTCCTGGCGGACATGGCCTCGGGGGCAATGGTCAGGCCGTGTCTGCCAGGCCTCGTTGGCGACAGTTGGCGAGACGGCCGGGGCTGTCTGTCCATTGCTGTCCGACCCACTCTTCAGCGACCGAGGAGAGGCTGAAGCAGCAACCCACAAATGACAAACAAAACCGGAAAGAGCGACCGGACAGCCATCCTGCGGAGGACCAAGATGAGATGAGCCAGAATGAGCGAGCGCCAGCCAAGCCGCGGGAACAAGCAGCCGGAGAAACGGGCATTGCCAGAGAGAAGGCCGGGCTGGGCCGGGCTGGGCTGAGCGGGGCCCAATACAGACGAATCGCCCGGCTGCAATGGGCCGATGGAAGGGATGGGCGGATTCCATCCGGCAGGCTTCCATGCCGGCCCGCCCTGGCCAAGACGAGGCTGCTGCTGCTGCTGCTGTTGCTGCCGGCGAGCACTGGGCAACAGATCGCCGCGCCAGATCGCCACACCAGAGGCGGCATACGCCCAGCCCCAGGACACCCCCAGATCCGAAAGCCAGAAGCAGCCCGCCTGTCGTGGGCGCGCAGGACACAGCGCTGCGGGGCCTCTCACGAATTCCAGGCGTGGCACCACGGCCGAGACACAAGGGCCGGACGAGCCGACACGTGACGGCCATGTCCGGCTGTGCTCGGTGCGGGTGGGGCTGGCTGCGTGTGCGGGTGCAGCACTGGGCCTGGAGGCCGATGTGGCTGCTTGTACAGACCGCGTCGCAGCGAGGGGGAATCCAGTTGACCACCACCACCATCACTATCGCCATCACTATCGCCATCGCTATCATCACCGTCGGCCAGCGCAGGAGGGCATTACAGCAACAATGCGACGACACCACGCCCACACAGCAACACCACAGCAACTACCTCGCAACCACACAGCAGCACCACACAGATAGCGGGCCGCGGCTCAGAACAGCATGTCCAAGAATAGCGCGGCGCTAATGCAGTGGCCGTGTCGCGCTGCCCGCGCGCCTGTGCGCCCTTGTCGCGCCCACCCACCCCGCGCCGCCATTGGCTGCAGCACCCCCGTGCGACCCTGTTGGTGTGACCCTGTTGTGCAACCGCCCCTTCCCAAGTGCTTTTTTTTGACTTTCCTTGCCCGCCTGCCCGTGGGCGTCATCCTCGCTCCCGCGGCGTCCTGTCTCCTCGCCGCCACACCGGCCCCCCCTCCTGGCCACGTCCTTATTTCGTGTGTCTGCTCTGCCCAAAACCACCACCGGGTCGTCGCTATCTTTTCCTTTCCTTCGTCTGCTCTTGCCCGGCCTTCGCTGCTGTCGTCTGCCGTCCCGTCTGCCGCTCCGCCTCCCTCCCCGCTCCATCTTGCCCCTTGCCTCGTCTTTCCCTTGGCCGCCAACATGGTTATGAAGATTGTCATGCTCGGTGACGGTGGTGTCGGCAAAACAGGTGTGTCTCGTGCTGGCCAATGCATTCTTCTGCTGCTGGCCAATCCACGCTTCTGCTGCTGGCCAATGCATCCCATAGGCTGTCGATGTCTCCCCACTTCGGTCGGCGGGCCACCTTGGATCTGGGCACTTGCTCCCGTTGGTTGTCTGGACCGACGGCCGTTGTCTTGTCCAATGGCCCAGCACAGCTGCAAATCATGTCTCTAACTCTGTGTGTTCTGTTTCTTAGCCCTCACTATCCAGGTATCGTCTTGGGCACACCGGCATTCCTTCGGCTGGCGGATTGCTGCCTCTCTCTGCTTCCGATACTAACATGCACATGCATCCTTCCATATCAACCCATCCACACACCCCCCCCCTGGCCTGTCGCTGCCGCCAAATATCGACCTGCTGCTCATCCATTCGCCGCCGCCAATCGTCATTTCTCCGTCTCGCTGCGGATACGAAACTCTTCGACTCGCTTCTGCCTTCTCTTTTTGCGCCACCGCATACTCCACGGATGCCTCCGACTCTCCCCAAACCACGCTCCATGAACACATCGCTGGTCATTCCCAACCGAACTGGCCCGAACCGAACCGAACCGGACCCGGCAATATCCGCATCGATCCCGACTCCCTATAGTTCTGTCGCAATGAGTTTGTTGGTATGTGTGTCTCTCAACCAAGGGCAAGGGCAGCGGCATGTCTGGTTGGGTGTCGATCCTGGCCGCTGCGGCCGTCGGTGGTCGGTGGTCGGTGGTCGGTGGTCGGTGGTCGGTCGATTGGTCCCCGCGACTGCTTCAGCGGCCCATCGTACGCAAGTCGAGTCTCCAAAAGCCTGCGCTGAGCCGCAGTGTCCTCACCAATTCATCTCTTATTCTCGGCCCCCATTGACACTCGGGTGGTTGCATTCGTCACCGTGAACCCATTCTCGTGCTACAGAGGTAGGTCGCCGTCCGTTCAGCGCACATGCGGCAGCGTTCTCTCGTGCAAGCCCCCTCTCCTGGTCTGCATGTGCGCCCCTCGCTCTCACCCTCGTCCCTCGCACCCCAGTCCGTGATGCTCCCGCTAAGGCCTTTGTGCATATCTCTGCAGGTCTACGATCCTACCATTGAAGACTCGTATCGAAAGCAGATTCTGGTCGACGGAAAGCCGTGCCAGCTGGAAATCCTGGACACGGCCGGACAGGAAGAGTATATTTCGTATGTGTCACACAGGCCGCATGCCCTCAATCCGCCAGCAGCGACCCGCCACCACCCGCCACCACCCGCACGGCAAAGCCGCCACCCGCAGATTGGTTCCGCTTGTGCCGATGCCGCCGAGTCTCTGCGATAGTGCTCAATCGTCCTGGGCTGCCGAGGTGCTGCAGCGACGCCTTCGATGCGCAGAGTCAACACACTGCTGACACGCTCCCGGTCCTTCCGCTGATGCACAGTCTCCGCGACCAGTGGATTCGTGATGGCGACGGATACGCCATCGTCTATTCGATCAACGACCGGAACACATTCGAGCGTATCGAAAAGTTTGCCCTCCAGATCGCCAGGGTGAAGGAGAGCGAGTACTCGAGCCTGCTGCTCATCGGAAACAAAATCGATCTGGACTCCGAGCGCCAAGTCTCGAAAGAAGAAGGTGCCGCCAAGGCCCGGCAGCTTGGTGCCGAGTTCATCGAGACCAGTGCAAAGACCTCGATCAACGTCGAAAAGTAGGTGCTGCCCAATGCGGCCGAGGGTCTTCGAAGCATTCCTTGTGCGGCCGGCTGGCCGTTGGATATATCCGTGCATCGCTGACCAGGCGCGATTCTCTTCCGCGTGCCGACGCTGCTTCTGGTATTGCGTCTGGCATTGCTGTCGTTGTCAAACACAGGGCGTTCCATCAGGTATAGCCAGCATCCATCTGTCGCCGATCTGATACCCATCTCCCAGATCCTCGACCTCGCCGTCTCCTCGCACGTGCCCACTGTCCGCTCGCCTGCCTCGCCTGCCTCGCCTGCCTCGCCGTCTCGCTGGTCAGTCTCGCGCCCGCATGACTCATCGATATGCCTCGGCCTCTGTATAGATCATTCGCAGCTTCCGTCGATATGCAACCGGCGGAGCTACCAGCGGGGCGTCCTCAAAGAAGTCCCAGGGATGCCACTGCATCATTGTTTAGGCAACGTCCTCTGGCTCTACCCTTCGTCCCGCCTTCTCGACTGTCCTCCTGTCCAGAACCCACCAGCCTTCTCCAAACGCATGCGATTTCGCTGCTCGAGTGTCTATTTAATTGCTCGCTTCCCTTGCCATGCTCCCAGATGCTCTTGTCCTGCCTTGCCATTCTTCTGACCCAGCAGGTCCTCCAACCGGCCTTCCCGTGTCAGATACGGCGCTCTTCCTGTAGTTCCTCCACGCACCACCTTGTCAGGCCTGTGGCCTGCCATTCCCTCATGGGCTTGCACTTTGTCACCGACACGGAACCTTTTGCTTCCACACGCTCACCAAGCAACGCCGATCCCGATAGATGCCTCCATAATATCACCCGCCCATTGTATTATCCCGATGTCGCTGCCTCGGTCCCTTGACCGATCCCTTTCAAATGTTGGCGTCTTGCTCCCTCTTGCCGTCGGCGTCGCTGTCAGTGTCCTTGCCATCGTCGCCGGCGGCGTCGCTGCCGTCGTTGCTACTGTCCTACCCATGCCGATTTTCCTGCTATAGCTGTGCTTCCTGCGGTCTCTCTCCACATTTGTCCCCTTGTTTCCCTGTCGGTTCCTCGTTTTACTCTTTTGTCTTTGTTCTTTCTCTGACGATTGCCATCTTGCTCATCTCGCAGCCTCTCCCGCCCCCTGTTCTGTTTCCTTCCACAGTGAAGACCAACAAATCCCAACGGCCCGGAAACATTGGCGATGCAGAATTGGAGAGGAGGCAACTCAAACTGCTGCACTTGGCTCTTTGCTGCATGGGCTTTGCCTGGCCTCATACAGTACAGCCGCTCCCTCCTTTGCGGAAGGGGCAGAACAAAAATCCAAACCTGACAGAATAGAGCCAAGCCCGTTGTTGTATTGTTTGAGCACGCCCCCACTTGTCTGTTTCGCTTGCCCTTTCTCAGTCATCTCAGGGTTGAGCCCTTCTTTTTTTGCCAGTCGGTCAGTGTCCTTGGTCGGCCCTGGACCCTGTTGCATTGGTGATTTTCCTTTTGTCCTTGCATCTCCTTCCTGTGATCTGGATAACAATATCACAGTCGCATACATGTCCAATACAACCCTCCTATCCGCCCATCCGTGAGTGAGGCCACGAATACCAATTCCGCTTGGCTTTGCGCTTCGCCAATGCCCTCCATCAGCCGTTGGCTGGTACATCCTGGTATCCAGGAACCTGGCCCGACCCCCGCCCGTCCTCCAGGTGGACTCGAAGCGAGGATACGGTGAATCAGACCACAAACCGATCTGGACCAAGATCAACATTGAACCCGAGCGATATACCAAAACGGACTGTTGGAGATGGCGGATCGGCATGATTCGATACCCCAAAGTCAAGGGAAAGTACATACGCGCATTCAACGCCGCCAAACTCGGATGCACCGAGCTGATGGAACAGGCTCTCACGCCCATTCAACAGGGCAGCCAGATTGCCATCAGCGAAGCCGCAGCCCAGAAGTCCATGGACGACGCGTGGAGCATCTTCAAGACCACGATCGACCTGATCGCCAGCGAGACCATCGGAAGCGCCAGCATCAGCCCTGGTCGGATCGAGGGCACACAGGGGCCCGAAATTCGACGCCTGGAACGAGAACGGCGATGCCTGAGCAGAATGCTCGCCCAGACCCCCGAGTACGACACGGAAGAGCTGGACGACCTGCGTCGTCAGCTTCGGTCCACGAGAAAGGCCATCACCCAGCTCAAGCGCAAGAACGGCATACGGTCATGGAAGGAATCCATGGCCACCATGGACACCCAGAAGTGCTCCGAGATGACCAAGACCATCGGAGCGATGCGCACGAGGAAGGAGAGGGAAGGATCACATCTCTTTGACAACTCGGATCCGACTCTCGAGAAACTCGTGGTGCACTTTGGCAAGGTATCCTCTGCCTCGCAGGACAGCGGGACAGAGTACGACAGAAGTATAACCCCACCACCCCTGAGCACGGAGGCGACCCTCCTGCCGCCCGACAAGCGGCTCCCAGAAGTATCGCTGGAGCACATCCAAGAGACCATCGAGAAGGCACCACGCCGCAAGGCAACGGGATCCGACAAGATCAAGAGCGAAATGCTCATACCAGTCGCACCAGTGATAGCCGAGTGGCTCCGCCTGATCATCATGGCGGCGCTCAAGGCCAGTGTGGTGCCAAGCGAATGGAACAGCGTGCTGATCCACCCAGTGTACAAGCAGAAGGGATCGACCCTGGACCCGGCCATGTATCGCCCTATCGGCCTCACCCAGACCTGCAGGAAGATCGTGGAAAGGATCATGCTCCCCTTCCTGGCAGAACAGGCAGGAGACATGGACGTCGCCCAAGGCGGATTCCGAGCCAGACGAGGAACCCTTGACCAGATCGTCGCCCTGGACACCCTGATCAAGCACCACAAGATGAACGGTGAGGAGTACTCTCTGATCTTCCTCGACATCAAAGCCGCCTACGACACAGTATGGCGCGAGCGACTTTGGACCAAGCTCAAGCAGCGAAGAATGAACGGCATCGCCCTCGGCTTCCTCAAAGCCATGTTTGACCGGGTATCCATCCAAATGGTCAGCAAGGGCAGAAGATCCAAGCCAGTATGGCTCCAGAAAGGACTGATCCAAGGATCGGTGCTGAGCCCACTCATGTTCAGCGCCTTCATCGACGATCTACCAAGACGTCTTCGAGATATGGGAGGCACTCCCCTCCAGGGACGCAACGGGGCCACCATCAAAGTGAACTCACTGTGGTTCGCCGATGACGGTGTCCTGATCTGCAAACCTGGACAAGCACAACCACTCCTCAATCTGTGCGAGGCCCACAGCCGGAGAAACCGATACAGGTTCTCACCCCCAAAGTGCGAGGTCATCTTCTCAGACCACTGCACCGACAAACAAACGGGTTTGCGCCTCTATGGCCAAAACCTCCCTGAGACCAAGATCTTCAAGTACCTCGGCGCCATGATCGACGTCAATGGATTCCGCATCGACAAACAAGTCGACCGAATGGTGACCAGGACAAGAGAAGCAGCATCCAACATGGCCAAGATGGGCCTGACCCTTGGGAACCTCACGGCTAAGACCCTAACGATTGCATACCGCACGTTCCTGCGGCTAATGATGGAATACGGCCTCGCCCTCGACGCCATCCCAAAGAACGAACAGAAGCGGCTCCACCGGACACAAACCTTCTGCCTGAACTTACTGTTCCGCACCGCTCGCACGACTTCACACGGAGCACTGCACCTCAATTGCGGATTACCCACGATGGCGACAAGAGCCAAGGTCCTCGGCATCCAATGCCGAGCACGATGGGAAGACGTCGCCACACACGACGACAAAATGATCGCCCTCATCACCCGCTTTATCCGATCCACGGCGATGAAGGACCAGCCATACCTTGGCAAGTCCTTCTACGAAAGCATCCAATGGAACCTGACCTGCACCCGCAAGGAGAAGAACGCCACGTTCTCGATGTCCATGGCCTTTGCCAAGGACGACGACTCGACCACGGATCGCACACAGATTCTGTCGGTCAAAACACTCATGCTGACCCACGATGCCCACACATCGTTCAAGCGAGGACAGCAGCTGACGGCTGCGTGCACACCAAGAACAAAGATGTCGGGAGTCTGGACCCAACTTGGACCAAGCATCCCACGAAGACTACACGTAGTAATGGTGTGGTGGAGACTGGGGGCATTCCCCGGGCACCCACACGGCAAGTACCGCCTCTGCAAAAAGTGCAAACGCAACGGCGAAGGCCGAATCGAACTGAGCAGATCCCACGCACAGACGTGTGTGGATGAGGAAGACGCCTTGGACGCCCTGGTACAGGGCTATAAGGATATTTTCACTGGATGGACCGAGCCCGAGACCGAAGGTGTCGGGCCTATTGATAAATTGTTGGATATGCTGGGAGAGGTTGGCAAGCTGGAATACGAAGAACCCATCGTGGGACAGGCCTTCAACGGTCTGTGGACTGATCTGGAACAGATCTTCCATACCCTGATGTGGAGACTCGCTGGATGGCAAGCCAGGCCCGGCGACATTCCTGAGTGGGACATTTAAACACTCGATGTACTCCATGAAGAGCGAGATGCCGGGGACCACGGGGTCCTGATGGCTAGTGCGCCGCCACGGCGGCGCACAATAAAGAAAGAAAAAAAAAAAAAAGCCGTTGGCTGGTCCCTTCCAAGGCATCGCGCCCTCAACTATCGTCGCTGCCCGTTCCCACGACTTTTCTCGCATCCTGGGTGGTGCCAACCGCTCGGCCGCCGTCTCCCGCTCTTCCAGACCGAAGGAGCAAGGATCGGACCCTGATCGTCCCCGTCTCGGCTCGAGCTCCGCAGCCCGCACCACTCGGCCTTGGTTGCAGGATGCTGATATGTCGTCATGCTGTCGCCCGCGTCGTATGCTCTCCATCCCACCCACTTGCACCCGCACCCATGCCCTCGCGCTCCTGCGGTAGCCATGCTTATCCAACGGCCATGGGAGACGAGGTTTTGGGGCGGAGGGTGGCTGGGAGAGGTCTCTTGGAACGGGACAGACATTGCGGTGGCCGCTTATGGATATCGACGGCGCTCGCTCGAGAACCGCTGCCATCCGCTGCATCAACCGCCCAGATAAAAGCTCTGCGCGAACTGCATGTCTCAGACGCACATGCATTTGCAGAAGCAGAAGCGGACACAAACGCAGACCCAGATGCAAATGCAGACGCACAACTGATCATATCTGGACCTGTATCGCAATTCCCTCCACTTGCATCCTCGCCAATAGCCGTTCCAAAAACAATGAACCTCACGTGGGATCTGCTTCTACTTCTTACCGGCGGCATTTTCTGGATTGCTGCATATGCGCTGATCGTCTGGGTCTCGGTGCGGGACAAGTCCTATGGGATGCCGTTGTTTGCGCTGGGTATGATCGGTGACACACCATCCTTCTCCGCAGCCTGTGGTTCTGGTTTATATCCTTCGCTCGGTCCCTTGGTGCAGAACAAGTCGAGTCTCTTCCGACTTTGACCCGCTCGCCCACACCACGCTCTTTTGCTTCGATGCCTTGCCACACAGGCCTCAATTTTACCTGGGAGTTTTGCTACTCGGTACTCGGTCCCTACCATCTCGCCGACGGCAACATCAACCCAAACGTAGCCCTCAATGGCGTGTGGCTGGCCATCGACATAGTGATCGGCGGCGTCACACTCTGGTGTCTCCAGCAACGCCGGATCTTGAACCCCGGCTGCACCGAGTTTGCATGTCGCCATCCAATCGCCACACTCGCGGGTATCGTCGCCCTGGCCCTCTCGCTGAACCTGTGCTTCAAATACCAGCTCCAGAACGGCGGCTACCCAGCCACCAACTCCAACTACTCGGCCTTTGCCATCAATGCCTATGACTCGCTCGCCTTCATCTTGATGCTGCTGAACCGCGGATCGCTCCGAGGCCAGCACTGGGGGATCGCTGTCTGCAAGTTCATGGGGACGCTTCTCTCCTCCATCGGCACTGCCAGGTTCGTGGATGCGGCAACGGAGCAAACTCGGGCAGCCGGTTCATTGATTGCTGCTGCTCTACTGGACCACCAAGGTGTGCGTATCTATCGATGCACCGTCATGGGTCTCCACAACAGTGTTGCCACCACTTCGAGCATGGCCGTTTGTTTGACATATCAAATATGCGGTTGGCTTCCGCCCCCGTCTATCGCCACCGTTGCCGTAGATACTTTCGGTCCTACGTCATGACATGGCTCTATGTGTCGACGGCCGTGCTCGACCTGGTCTACCTCGTCATGGTGGTGAATTTCGAACCTCGTGCGGCCGAATCGCCGCCAATGTCCGCAGAGACCAAATGCGACCACCGCAATCAATCCGATTGCCGTTCCGATGATGGTCTCGGCCGTGTTGCTTGATGCTGCAATCCACAGTATCGTTGGAAATACACAGCTCGCATCGAATGCTGCAGGGCGTTGCGTCTCAGTCACTGGTAGCACTGCTGTCCCATGCATCGACTTTGGATGGTCGTACCATGCTTTCGCTGGCCGTTTCCCAGGGTCCCACATCATTTGCCAACACCATTTGCCCACATTGCTCGACACACATTCCGGGGCGGATCTCGCTTCTGTCTCGCTTGCCCCTCGCTGGCTCCTCGCTTTCGAGTCTTTCTCCATCCTGTCCATCACCATTCTCCGCCCCTCCATCTCCCTCCATCACACCTCTCCAGCACCCATCCAGATCGGCCCGATACCGACGTCCTCTGCCAGCATTCCCGCCTCTCCCTGCTCCGTCCTCAGAGACCGCTCGCCCCATTCGGACGCACGCTGTGGCGCATTACCTCGTCGCTGCGGCTCCTTTGGCTTCGTCCTCAGCATCCTGCTCGATCCCAACCCCAGCCGTTCCTGATCGACCATGGAGCCCAATCCCAGGAGAGCAGCTTCATCCGATAGCTCGACAGCGAGACCAACGATTCAGCCGATTCGCCTCAGCGATCCGCAGTATCCCGCCCCCGAAATCCGAATCGCTCAGCCGCCGTCTCGTCCAGCGGTCAACCTGAGCAGAGCCAGACGAGCCCCCATTCCCGGCGCATCTACTGCTGTGCCAGCCGCCGCTGCCCCGCTTCAATTCATTCCCCCAAGTTCCGTCAATGGCTCCCACACCCATAGCCATGCTCCCGGCTCTCTGCCAGAGGCAGGCATTCATCCCCCTCACACCTATCATCAATATTCATCATCACACCATCCGCACTTTGCCCATCACCTCCATCGATCCCAAGGCAATCCCGCCGGCGATGTCCGTGGAGATGCATCCCACCATCACTCGGCTCCAGTCTTTCCATTGTCGTCGGCTTCATCCGCCCAGCGACGCCTTCCATCCGGCAGGCATCCCAAGGTGCGTAAGGTTGCCCATCTGACACTGCCGGATGCACCCACTCCCTACCGAGAGAACATCTACCAACCGACCGAGTCTCTCCCGACTCTGCGGTCTGCTCAGGGCTCCGAGAGGACTCGCATGCCGCACGACCAGGAAGCCGCCCTCTCTGCTCGCCATTCGCGATCTCTGCATCCGGCCGCTGCAGCCCGCTCGCCTCTGGAACCCGAGCAACCTCCCTCGGCATTGGGTCGACCCCAGTCTGCCGCCAGTGCATCCGCTAGTGCATCAGCCAGCATCCATTCACACTCGCTCGCCCAAGCACGTATGGGCTCAGTTGATCCTATGGCTTCCAACACCCCACCGGCCAACCTGCGATTTACCCGACCCACACGGCCGTCAATCCAAACCGATCGGACCAGAGCCGCGGCCCTTCAGCACCAGTCCGTTGTCTCTCCCCAGGAGGCCCAAGAGAATCTGCGGCAGCTGAGGGAGCTGCTTCAGAACGAACTCACCTCCACACTGCATCCGACTTCCACCAACCGACATGCTGGTACACAGCCGCCGCAACGCTCTGTTCCAACGGCGCCCGAGCCCTCGACCAGCGCCTCGGCCGGATCCGCCAAACACAAGCCTTACGATCCAGAGGCGGTTCGTGCGTACATGCAGCGGAAGCTTGCGGAACGGGAGCGACTGAAACGCCAGATGGAAGAAGAGCGACTGGAGCGCGAAAGGCAGAAACGAGCCAAGCTCGAGCAGCTGCAGAACTACCGGCGAATGCAGCGGAAGGCCCCGAGTGTGCCGCAAAAACCTGACCCGGCCTCGGCTATGTCGCTGTCTCCACGGATCAGCGGGCTGGGCTCGGCATCGGCAGAGCGGCTGGCATCTCATGGCGACTTTGACTTTGACGACACCAACGAGAACCATGGCGATCTGTACCCGGAGCTTGGTCCAGAGACTGAGTTTAGGGACGGCATCTTCGATACTATGGCTTTGGACGACAGCGATTTCGATTCCGAGGTTCTCTCTCACAGCCCATTCCCCCAGCAAGTCCCTCAGCAGGTTCCCCAGAACATGGCCTCGCAGTCGCTTCGCTCGCACGTCGAGTCCGTCGATATTGCCAACGGACCACACCGGAGTATATCGCGGCGGCAGCAAATGGTATCTGCGGAAAGCGAGTCTGTCGGCGCCAAGTACACGTATCGAGAGACAGCAGTGCGCCCTGATGCTGGAACTTCTGGATATCGAGCGCCATCAGCACACAGCAGCGCTGAGGGCACTGGGACTCATCCCTTCCGAGTTCCCACCCAAACGGCACCCGCAACTGAGCGAAAACCTGTGCCGCCGACCGTCGCAGACAACAAGGCGCTCCTGAAGAACTCCTATGACCGCCTGGATGCCCTCTTGCGGACGGCCGAGACAGTACAGAGCCAGCTCTCGGCGCTGAGCGGCCGAGCAAGCTACCAGCGACGCTCTCCTCCGGCCGAAGTTGCGGGGATTCGGGAACAGCCTTCTGTTGCTCGAGTCGAGCCGTCGCCGCCCCCACGTCCACCATCGCCATACAACCAGTATCCTGCCCGCACCGAGTCGCCCAGGTCATATTCCCCGCCGCCCAAGCGGCCCCTCTCTGCTGCAAGCTCGTACTCGAACATGTCCCAGGGCGATGAGGCCTTCGCGGACATTGGCGTCGGCTCCTTCCGCGCCTTCACCAAGCACTATGCCGAGCGCCGCAAGTCCATGAGTAGCATCGGCACAGCTCCCGACGCCGATGCAGCTGCCGAAGCTTTCGAGATCCAAAAGTCTGCGCGGCATGTCCCTGATCAAAGCATGGCGTCCCTGGACGATCATGATGGCGATTCGGAGCTCGAGTCGTCGCTCTATGACGTGAGCTATTCGAAGGAGCACGAGTATGCGCTCCTCGACCGTCCAGGATCCTCCCGCCCAAGCTTCCTTGATCTGGCGGAGCGCACACCCCCTCGCTCCAAGCCGTCCCTGCACGACTTGGTGCGTGCCCACGATATCTATGCGCCAAGACCGGCCTCGCCTCGGCACACCTCTGGAGATCCCTACAGCACCATCAACATATTCGAGCGCAAGTATCGGCAGCAATCGCATCGGCGGTCGTCTCAGTCAAAGGAGCCGCTGAAGGCCCTCCCGGATGGATACCCGGCACTGCCAAGCGGCACTGCGTCCCCGGCGCTGTCCAGCATATCCGACATCCATGATGCCTTTGAGGCCTCCACCGGCAGTGTATTGGTGAAGGCAGACGAGCTCCAAGTCGATCCTGATCACGGCCTGGGTGCGGACGCTGCCAGACTCCAGGGCCCGGTTCCCGGCCGCTTCAGCTTCCCCGCGAGCGCAGATGTCCCAACCGAGAGCTGGATTCGAGACTCTGTCAACGAAAGCGTCATTGAGGCGTCCATGCCTTCCATCGTATCCGAGATTGAGCATGTCGGCAGCAAGCCGGCTGTGGGTGTGCCCATCGGAACGAATGTGCAGCCGCCAGTGACCCGTCGCCCTGTGGCCACCGAGCAATCGATGCACACCACCGCGACATCGCGCAGTGACCAGGCTTCCGGCCGTGACCCCACCACCAGCACCTTTGACTCTGAGACCACTTCATCTCGGACACCGTCCGGCACAAGCTACTCGGAGCCTTCACAGTATGGTCGCGGTTTCCACCACCATCAGCAGCAGCACCACCATCACCACCATCAGCAGCCGCAACAACAGCATTCTTCGCATGCCCATCTCAATGCTGGTCTGCGACTTTCCCCTCGGTCGCTGTCACGAAAGTGAGTGAGGTGGCACAACTAACTCCACGATGCCCCGCTGACGCCCGTGGCAGACAGCACCAGCAGATTGCTGCTCAAGTCATGTACCAGTCCTCGTTCTGACTCCGTTCCTTCGACGTGACACAGGTTGATGGCCGAAATCCGTGTGCTCGAAGTCATCGAGGAGTCTCGCGTCCAGCTCGAACAGCTGGATCATTATCGCGGCGTCACAATCGCACAGCAGGAAACAGTCGCGTATGTTAACAAAACGTCCTCGCCAGCTCTCGCAGCTTGGCCTGGCATCGGTGCTGTTGCTTTCAGCTGGCATTTTGATATCGCTGACCAAGTCGCCTGTGCCTCTGCCCTCCTTTCAAACCCACATCGCAGGCTTTCTCAGCTCATGCTTGATCGCCAACGGCGCCATGAGATGGATCTAAAGTTGGCACAACTTGACCGCGAGCGGCAGGAGGAACAGCACCGCAGTCGTCGCGTGCCGTCACCACCCCAGGGGCATGACCACGAGTACAGCTCAGCATCGTTCGAAGACATATCCTCGCTTGGCTCGTCAGAGGGAAGTTCCGATACAGCCACACCTGATCTCGATCGGTACAAAGTTGCCCCGGGGCGGTCGCCAGATCCCCGGCTCGACGCTGTCGACGCAGATATTGCGGAGGAGATTGGTCAAGACACAGCACAGGTGTGTATCGTCGGATGCCTATATGCTGGAACGGGTTCTCATTGACCTTTGTCTCTCGCTTGCATGTGCCAGGACGAGTCTGTTGTGTACATCGAGCCAGTCTCGGAAGCTGTGGTAAGCTGGGAAAGCGGTGGTGTCCGAGTGCCTCGATCTCAGCTGGATTGGTATCGGCGCTGTCTGTCCGCTGCGACGACTCACCAAGCCAGCTATACACTTGATGTGTGGTTGTTTGATCCAGATCGAAGATGAGAGCAGCGCGCCGGAGATGATGGAAGTGGACGAGCACCAAGTAGGTTACGGGGAGCATCGATCGCTTTGTGATGTACAACGCATCATCCGAGCGGCACACTGTGAAAGAGAGGCCCGACCATACCGATAGCCACTGACCGAGCGTCTGGATCAGGCCGCAGACGACCAACGCACTCGATTGCACCACGATACCACGTCTCTCTCGGTAAGTCCACGGACAAATGGCCACAACAGACACTGCATCAGGCGATCACGCCGATCGACATTTGCTAATTTAAGCACGTGTGCTCGGTCTATGCAATCACCGTTGTGGACCCGGCAGGCCAGCGGCAATTTGGCGATGGAGCTGAAGCGGCGCGAGTTGGTGCTTGAGGAGCGGCTCAAGGCCGAGCTGCACGCCATTCAGCTCGATCGACAGCGTCATGCCACGGATCCAAGACACGACGACTTGGGCCACAGTCTGGTATGATATGGGTGCTTGTGGGATCGTCTGTGCATAGCACGATCCAATGCTGCCCGAACAGTCAATCGGCACATCCTCATCTGATCAAACATTTGACCGTCCCTCTCGCAGGAGCATGCGCTTTATATGCAGTATGCGGCGGAGAAGGCCGAGATCGCCCTGAAGTGGAATGCGGTGCGTTGCCTGAACGGTTGTTGCCTGCGGGATGCCGAGTGCTTGTTGATGTCGGCCGAGTATCGAGCATGTCAAGTCGACCGCTCCACCTGTGCCGCTGGTGCATGAGGCGCTTACCGCTGTTCGATCGCTCAACAGGCCCTTCGAGAAGAGCGTCAAGAGAAATCTGCGATTGCTACTGCCGAACAGCTCACTGCACAGCATGCATCTGCCCCGGAGTCGGTCTTGGAACCCATCACAAGCGGCGTGGACGTGGCCGAGCCCTCGGAACGCACCCAGCCAGCCGAGTGCGTCAAGGGCCCTGTGGCCGATTTCGGCATCACCCCCGTGGACGAAGCCATCAATCTGATCGCCACTCTGAACAAACAAGGGCACGACTTTCGTGTCCCGATACCGCCGCCACTCTCGATGCCTGGGACAGAGTTTAGCAAGCAGACGAGTCACGGTTCATCGGCCTTGCCAGCAGATGCGGCTCAGAGTCCCTTGCCTGGGTCGCCGATCCAAAGCGCCGATGCCGGCGCGCTCTCGTACCGTCCTGAAGAGTCATTTATGTCGATCGAGGAGGACGTCCCTCTGGATCTGGGCTCCGTCGAGATCGATGCGGAACGTGTCTCTGCACAAACGGCACAGTCGCTGATGAGTACGGAGGAGCCGGTTGTCTCTGTCACCGAGACCTCGTTCCAGGCGGGTCGCTCTGCTCCACCACCTGCAATAGCTGCGTTTGGCCGCGAGAGCGATTCGGACTCGTCGCTGCTTCGAGGAAAAATCGAACTCGCCCGGCAGACAGTGCAGTCGGATGCCATCGAGCGGAAGAAGGCAAAGTTGGCCGAGTCGCGGAAGCTTGCTGAAGGCCTGCTTGAGGAGCGACTCAATCAAGATAGGCAGCGACGAGAACTAAAACGCGAAACGAAAGAGATCAGTCGCCTCCTGGACAAGATCCTGAGCCCAGCTCCGCTGCATCAAGGCACGGAGAGTAGGTCTGTGTCGGCCGAGGTGCCTGGAGCCGCAGCACACAGCATCCAGGCTCCAGCCGAAGGATTCGCCATTGCGAGTCTTCAGGGCCAACTCACCGCCTCCAAGTACACACCTGTCGTCGCCCGCGCCGACACGGCAGTCAAACCGATTCCCACTTCTGGGAGCGTGTCTCAAGATCACCATCGCCATGCGAGCATTCCTGAAAGCATTGACTTTGTGAGCGATGCTGCAGAAAGTCTCGGGTCTATAGCTGAGAGCGTCGTTGTCGAGTCCGAGATCGCGACGCCGGTCGCCCTTCAGCCCTCCGAGCAACCGGTGCATATCCAGCACGATCCAACGGCAGTCACCCTTTCCGCGATACAACCACCCGACCAGTCAACTGCACCCGAGGTCGCTACCGACGAAATCATCGAAGAGCAGTCAGCCCAGCCGATTTCATCCGTCGCCAGCTCCGGTGTTCCGCTCTCAGCCAGAGACTCTGCAAGATTCGGTGCTTCGTTGCTGGAAGCGCCTGTTGGTGGCATGGCGTCAGACGGACGACCGGCAGAAATCGTCAGCCAAGTCCAGCATCCCGATCTACAGTACACAAGCATTGTCGCCGACACCGAACCCCAGTACCCAACTGATTTTGAAGATTTCGAGAAATCCGCTGCAGCGGAAGAACAGGAGGACAGTCTGTCACTGGAAGGCGAGTGCACACATCTCTCGCTCGCTCGTTGTGTCTATGAGACAGTTTCGGATCGCCATTGTTTGGCGAGGGCGATATCACTGATAACACTTCTCCCGGCTCTGCCTTTCCATATGCAGATTTAGAAATCAAGACCCGGATCCTGGCCCTCCAAAAGGAGGTGCTGCTCAAACGAAAGCAAGCCGATGAGCTGCTCCAAAAGAAGCAGCTGCAGCGAACACTTGCCAAGCAAAAGATGTATGAAGCGGAGCTGAAGCTCAAGAGCGAGCTCAGTTTGCTTGACCACTTTATCGAGAAAACCTCGACCGAGATTGACCATCTGGGCGGCCCATCGAAATCGATTGACCAGCTGCCTCCATTTGATATCAACGACGTCAAGCGCACGGGCAAGGCAAAGTCCAGCGTGAGCCCAGGCCCAAATGTCCCACAGGTCGGCTCTGCTTCTCAAACACCAGCCAGTCATTCTACTCATCCCATCGACGCCGAACCCAGAGCTATGTCGCCGCGTGTTCCCGACACCTTGCCGGCGAGTGAGTACGCGGCCAAGACATCTCCGCCCCCAGAAGAAAGCTTGATCGAAGAGCATATCTCCCAGGCAAACTCGGTGGACATGTCCGCGGCCGACTCGATCAGCAGCTTCCATGTTGATGTCCGCGAACCGATCATCCCAGACGATCGGGCTGACGCAGTTTCCCGAACAGCGGCCGACGCGCCCGGCGCTGACGTGGATATGAATGAAGTCGAAGAAAGCATTGTGTCGACACCTGCGACCGACAACAGTCAGGTGGATCGGATGTCCCTGGAACAACCCGTGCCAACGACCATTGAGCATGCTGCCAAAGCTCTTGCAATCGGATCAGCAGCACCTGTCGACGGATCGATGGACCTCTCGATGCCGGAAGAGCATGCCGAGGTCTCGGTGGCCTACTCTGACGATGCCTTCGAATCACTCGATCTTCGGCCTGACGACTCGGAGCAGGCTTACCAAGCATCACAGACACCAACTAATATCCCGAACCATCAGCCTGTCGAGCAACCTTCTGTGGATCGACTCAGGAAGTCAAAGACCCCACATGATCCCCAGCAGCCGGAAACCAGTACTGTCCTCGTCAGCGAGGTCTCAGAGGATATTCAGGAAGATATCGTGCCCGAAGAACCCAGGTGCGAGAGTCAAGACGATATCGCTCTCGAGGGATCCGGACACCTTGAGTTGCAGGCGGCGCAGAATGTCGCCGAGATTTCGTCGGAGATGGCGCAGGATGCTGTCCGTCGGCGCGACTCCGATGCTGTCTCCCAGCCGGCCTCTCAGAGCAGCCTGAAAGATGCAGCATTGAGCGACAACGATGCAGCCGCTGGGTCGCATCCACCCATCACAGCCAAAGTCGAAGCGTTGCCCTCAAGCCATGTGCCAATGGACGAGTACCCCGAGTTGTTTGAAACTGATCACATCTCTGAAGAAATTGAGGGCCGCTCGGAAGGGGCCATTGCTGAACAAGCCCTGACCATCGATCAGCCGCTTGAGCCCGCTACAGGCACCTCACAACTAGCTTCTGCCCCTGCTTCCAATGAGCCCGAACCACATCTCCGAGCGGGCGATCTTGACGCAGATACTGTCGATGAGGTCCAGAGCGCTCCAATTGACTCGCAGATGTTGTCATCCTGTGATCAACGGGCAGCCGAGCCAGCGCATGGCAAGGAAGCTGAAGATATGGACCACGCCATGGGACAAGAAGCTGAAGACCAACGGCTCGACACATTCTCACAGCCACTGATTCGAGATGTGGACCTTTCCGAGATGGCTCAACCCATTCGATTGAATGGGAGACAACAACCGCCGTACACCCTCAGACCAGACACCTGCTGATTCGCCGACAGAGAAGAGCCTCTTCAGCGATCAAGATCTCGCACCGGTGCCACTGGGGTCGGAACTTGAGAGTGTCATTCCAATGAGTCCTATTTGCCAGCACCACCTAAGGACCTTGTCGACGACCACATTGAAGAAATCATTTCGGAAAAGCCTTTCGACAGCAGCCTTGAGCTCGAGAACGAGTACGAATCGCAAGGTCGTGTCATCTGAGTTGACAAGCGAAGCTCGGTACATCTCTGGATTATCGACCGAATCGCTCATAAGTATCCGTGAGCACCTCGCGATCCCAACTGAGGAGTTGGACCAAGCGCCCGGCAAAGAACTGGCCCAAGTGCTGACCGAAGCGGCCTCAAATGTATGGCCTGACATGCCGAGTGAAGCAATAGCCGAGAAGCCAGCAGGTGGACTGCCAGCAGAATCGCAGGGCGTGGCACTCTCTAAACCTGAAACGAGGCCAGGCGTAAACAGCACGAATAGGCTTGGCTCAAAGTCCACCCAACGAACCCCTTGATGTTTGGGACACCCATGACGAGCCTCTCATGGTGAAGGGCGTTTTGATAACCGAAGACCGACCGCAGGCCTGGCTTGGATAGCAACACGAACGGGATGAGGGAAGGGATTCCTGCCGTACACATGCCAGCTACTGAGATCCAGAGCGCAATGGCACTGCAATCACGCCGACCATCGGAACGAGCAAATGGCCGAGCACATCTGCGATGTTATCTTTGAGCCGCTACTAGACGGATCCGTTGAAGGTATGTCTTTTCGAGGCTCTCTGTCATGCGTCTTGTCGGAACAGCCGCTAATCCAGTCTTCACACAGCTATGCTGAAACTACGGCATCATGTCGCTGCGACCGGCAATGTTGCCCGCGATAACTCGGCTGCAGAGCAGCAGTTGGCCCTCGACGCGCGACCAGAACAACCGCAGTCTCAAGCCCAATATAACGAGTCAGTTGTCGACATCATCACGGATATGATCCTCGCCGATATACTGAAGGATCCGGCGTTGGATGCTCTGTCCAAAAATCAAGACGCTCCGGCAGCTGAAACGGCAACTGTGCAAGGGCAATCCGCACCCCCGACCGAGTATATTCAAACAGAGACCCAACCTATCGAATCAGAAGGGGAGCAGCCCGTGGCGTTGCCAGAAGCAATCGTACTGAAACCAACAGTCGAAGCGCACACGACTATCGTCGAGCCACGGCCACCCAGCGAGCCAACCGAGGCAGCATCACTCACCCCGGAATATGCCCTGGGTGTCGTTGACTTGATTCTGAAAGAATACGAAGCCCACAAGGCCTCGGTATCGAAGCAGCAAGGCGTCACTCCGGCGTTGCATTCGACGTATATCTCGCGGCGATTCATGCGCACGCTGAGCCAGAGCACGCCTTTCCGCAACCCAATCTTCAACCAACTCGTTGTTGACGCCTTCAACCAGGCGACGAAGGAAATGGCACCGTTCACCAACCAAAGCATCAGTCAACTCCTTATCTGCCACAAAACGGCAGTTACCGCAAGCACGAGCACCGACATCCAAAACGTAAAGAGCATCATTGTGGACTGGATGCTATACTCGAAGGAGTATGGGGAGAATTTGGATGCGCTACTGATCAAAGAAGTCAAGGTGCAGGAGCGGCGGTGGCTCAATACCGATCTGATGGCACCGCTCGTCAAGGAGCAATGTGCAGAGAGCATTTGGCAGCGTCTGCTCGAGGACACTGTCGCCTGCGTCCGACGCACCACTCAAGCCAAGTGGTAGAAGGCAGCTTCACAATCCGCCCTGTTTGAAAGACGACAGTCCGGAACACGGATGGGTTGGATAATATTTTCGGCCGCTTGGTTGAATGGCGTTGATGGGCACTCACACGGTTATGATGTGCTGGGTTGGTGGGATATGGGCGGCAGATATTGGGCTTGACACTATGGAGCAGAGATAATAATACCGACTTGGTCGTATGTGTATCCCCAGCCTTGGACTGTACGAGATGCGCCGAATCTATGCTCGATCCAGCGGGTGTCTCGCATTGGATCGTCTTGGAGCCTGGTCCACTCATGTACAACACCAGCACAACACCAGCACAACACCAGCATAACATCTGTACTCAACGAAGCCACCACGACCTGTTCTTGCATCCCGCTCGACACCAGCACTCGTCCCTGCCAGTTAGTTGCACCCTGGATCGCACTGACTCCCTTTACTCCATCTGGACACCCCGACTGTCTCTCCATCCACACCCAGTCCACATTCTCGATCCAGCTCGAGACCAGCAACCCCTCTGACCAGCTGTTCCCCAGCACCACACCAGCCACATCATTGGTGCTGGTGACCGAGATGCATCCACCCCCTGACAGCGCCCACCTGACAGCCACAATCCTCGACAACACAATCCTCGACAACACAACCCCTGGCGGCCACAACCCCTGTCGTCCAACTCTGGCCACATCAACCCAAGCCCCCGCCAGCACGTTGCTGTCTCGCGGCCAGCACAAACATCAACACCCAGGACACACCAGCAGCCCAAGCAGCGCCCTGTGCCGAGCACCAACTACACCGGCATTGGCCCAACTCTATCGACCACTGCCGACCACTCCTCTCCACCCCTCCCCCTGAATCCAGCTGACACCACAAATGCACATCCACCCCCCACATCCTCGTGCATCGCACCGCCGGGGATTGTGGGCTGAGTCGGGTGCAGTTGCATCCATGCCTGGCACCTCCCAGCGATCCAACATCCACCCCTTTTGTTGACGATCGGGTGCCTGCTCTCCCCGACATACCCGTGCGATCTCGCCGTCGGGCGACAACAGCACCAACAACTGGACCCTTGCATGCCACTGTTGGCGCCTTCCGCCCGGCAGGTGCCTCGGCTGCCCGCTTTGAAGCAGGCAGTCGTCTGAGCCCAGGAATAGCCGGTGCTGGCGCATAACGCTTCGCTCGCATGCCTCTTGCTGGGCTGGGCTGAGCACTCGATGCCTTGGGCAATCAGCGATCATCTGCCGCATATAGCAGACCCGCTTGGCTGTTTGTGCTGGGCCGTCTGAGTGCGGCCGCCATATATCACGGTGCGCTCCCTGCGGGCCAGCGGGCCTGTGAGTCAGAGACTGGCTCCGGCCATGGGCATTCTTCGGTTGAACCGGAGTAACTGCACAGCGACAACTGGACCGAGTATCGCCATCCCCAGCCGATCCCGCGCCAACTGCCCTGCAAACGAGGCTGCGCTGTAAGCCCGCCGACTCTCTGTCGTCTGCGATGCTGTCGATGCTGTTGTGCGGTGTGCTGACTGTGAGTCTTGGGCTGCCAGGCTGATTGCTGGCTGGCTGGCTGACTGGCTGGGCGGGTGTACCGCAAAACTGGCTACGGTGCAGGCCGCTTCCGACACCTGCATTTCTGAGCAAATCCTCGCGTTTCGCAGCGCTGGCGAGACTCGCCCTCAGGCCTCGTCCCAGAGCCCTCCTCTTCCATCTTGCTGCCCTCCAGACCGGATCCAGCATGGACCCACCGGGTCCTCCCAAGCCCGCCCCCACCCCGAAAACCAAGCGGGCGTGCGATGGTATGTGCCGATCCCATCTGCCCCCAGATCGCTCCCGGCCCCGTTGCCGATATGTCCGTCGACTGCCAAACGCCCAGATTAGCCGCGAGTCGCCGCTCACAACCACACGCCTGCATCTGCATCTGCATCTGCATCTGCACAGTCTGCCGCATCAAGCGGGTCAAGTGCATCGGCGAATACCCATGCGAAGCCTGTCGGGCAAGCGGAATCCTCTGCAGTGAGTATCGAGCGGGCGAGCAGCCTCACTCCATCCCATCGATCGCGATGCGACGACGTCAACCCAGGTGTCTGGCTCTGGGCCCTCGCAATCACTGCTCACGACGTGCAGCTGCATCGAGTTGCAGGCACCAGCCAGACATCTTCCTCATACTGTGCACATCTCCATGCTGGCCTGCGTCCCCGCTGATCCGCATGCCTGCTTGCTCTCCAGCCTACTACACTCCTCCGAGGAAACGCGGACCGCAGAAGACTCGCCATCACCCAGCTGCAGGAGACTCGTCCAACTCGTGGATCAGCGCGACGGCCTCCAATTTGCCGGATATCAAAGCCCTTCGATCCGAGTCTTTGATGCAGCCTTGGCAGATTGGCTCGCACAGGACGCCGTGGCTGCTCCCGATCGATCGACGCCGTTTGGCCATGGTGCGCCTCCATGCCGATCGCACTCGCTTGGCTCGACCAAGGACAAAGCAGAGGATGTAAAACTAACCACCCGCCGTCTTCGCAACGGAATCATCAACCGATGCAGGGCAAAACACCCTCGGCATTTACTGGGGTATGTGACCGACTGCTGATGCTGCAGATGGTGCTGCGGCGGATGGCCAAGCCTGCGCTGCACGGACGACGTCGGCCTCTGGGGCAGATCAGCATCAGCATCAGCATCAGCATCGCATCGGCATCGACATCGGCTTGCTGTGGCAGAATGAATACTGGTGGGAGTGGGTGTGGCGCCGGCTGCCTGATGTGCACCGCGAGTTGCCATGACGACCAGGAAGCCGTGATCGCTGGAGCCGACCACTCACCCGACTTGCTTTTGTCCTGGCCCGCTCCGACCACCAATGCCGTCTCGCCGTCGATCCATCACGCTCGGCATCATTGGGCGGCACTCCAACGTGCTGATCGGATACCGCCCCTGGCTGCCACCCGGAATCGTGCTCGTCGATCTGGCATCGGACCTGCCTGACCCGATCCACACCGACAACTATCCAATCGATGCCGGTGGACTCACCGCTCGCTCGCACAGTCAAGAGCACGACCAGCAACTCGGCAGTGCTCATGGGGGCAACTGCCATGGGCGGAGCCACCCTCGTCGAGCGTTCCTCGGTCTGCACGAGGAGCCATCGACATTGACTCTGACATCGCATGCCGTCCGACGGGCAAGCCCGAGGCACCGACATCCGAGGTCCTTCCATTCCCACTAAATGCCACCGGGCAGATCACTGGGATGTTCTTTGAGCACCTCGGACTGACAATGGACTTTGTCGACCCGGCTGCGTTCCGCGCCGAGCTGGCCAGGGAACGCTACTCCGAGGTACAGACGATTCTGGACAGGGCGACAGCGGGTGGTTTGGACGACGATTCGCAGGAGGAGACGGAGACGGAGGTCGTGGGATAGGTGTGTGATTGGCGAGCCAGACAGTAGCAAGTCGCTCTGATCGATGCCCGCCGGATGCTGTGCATGGTCGCGATGCAGAAGTCGTCGATGACACCGAGCACACATCTGGCCATATGGAGGCAACGGCGGCCGCTCTGAACAGCAAGGCGATCCAGAGGACGACCAGAGCACGGCATCGATGCTGTGGAACGAATCAGGATGGCATTGTGGATCTGGATGGCGTCGCTGTCTCGGTGATCGGTCGGGAGCCAATCGACAGCCGCAACGTCCTCGACTGCCTCTCCCACAAGCCCACCCATGTCTCCATCTGCCTCGCCATGCGCCTCGATTCCCGAGCAGACACTGACGACTCGCCACTCTCTTGCATCTCCAATCCACACGCACACTCAAGCCCTTCCTGTTCCTCGTCTGGTCCATGTGTCTGGCGGTCGCTCACGACGACCGTCTCAGCGCATCCCTCGGCCTCTCGGCCCCCGCCCACACCGGAAAGCCTTGGCCGACCAGTGCCGCATCTACACCCAGCGACTCCACGACCACCCGTGTCTGCAAGTCTTGCAAGCCGTGGTCATCATCTGTGGAACGAGTCTGTCGACTGGATCCGGCGCCAGCACCGGCCACACCTACTACACAGGTAACACACTGCTGATCATTGGATCCTGGCTCGCGATGCCTCGCTGTTCGTGGGAGTGACTCGATCCCCATCATGCAGGGCTCGCCTGGAACATGGCCCAGGATCTCGGGCTACATCTCAGTCTCGACAGCCACGGCAGTTGGACTGCTCCGGGTCCGCACCACACAGGATCGGCCCTGAGTCACCCATCCGAGACCCCACTGCCACAAGCACCCACGGCATCCGCCTCTTCGCAGTCTGCACGCCCCAACCCAGAATGCCAGTCACTATCCATTCCCATGGCACGATCTGGAACGACAAGCCGTGTGTCCTCGGAGCTGCGATATCGCCGGATGACGCTTCTCGCCCTGATTCTGTTTGATCGTCTCGGAGCTCTGATGGCTGGGCGATGCCCGGTCATTCCCGACGATGGTAAGGACGCAGCCGCCCGACACCGAGCGCCATCTGGTCTGCGAGCAACCACAGAGCCCCCATCCTGCCTCGTCGCCGTCGCTTGGGTCTCTGTGGCAGCATTCCCCTGCACCGTTCCCCCTGAAACGCAGCGCCTCAAGGGATCGTCGCGTTGTGACACCACCCCGTGAGGCGCATGCGCCACGCCACACGGCCCTGGCTGTCGCTGCGAACATGAGCCAGGATGCCGGCCAGGGCGGGCTGGCGGTGCTGCTGCCCAGGGCCCTGGCTCCCCGTGCTGCATCGCTCCCGCACAGATGCAGGCACGGATGGGGTGTGGCGCACGCTGGTCCGAGATGCATTCTGCTGGTGCAGGCGGGCAGGCGTCTCGGTCGTGCCGATGCCTTTGCTCCCCTTGATCCATCCCGCTGATCCTGTCTCCTCCATCGCCTCGCTCAACGGTGCAACTCGGCGACAACACTCTGGATGACTCGATGGCTCCGCTCGCCAACCACCGTCGCTGCAACACCGTGCCGGTGCATCGGCCATCCAACCCTGTCCTGATCCCGGACCCGCACAATCTGACCATCGGCACCCGCACCAGGCTGGGACTCGTCGTTCCTGCTCGATGGATTCGACTCGCTCTACGAGGACATGTGCATATACGTCCACCTCGCCCACATCAGTGGCAGGCTCTCGTCCTTGATGGTGTCCCCGGTGCTGACGAGCCACCAGCGGGCAGATGGGTGCCGCCGAGGTCATTGTCGGTCTGCGGCCAGTGGTGGAGCAGTCTCTCGCCCGAGCACCAGCAATCGCCCAAAGGTGCCCTCGGCCTCCATCACCACCTGCACTCGTATTTTCACTCCCTCAACATCATTGCCCAGCGCCTCGCCTCGACGGCCCTCGCGGGTCGCTCCCACGGCCAGCCATTGCACAGGACCAACAGCGACACAACACCGCTCAACTCACACCCAAAGCAGACCAACGCCGATCCAGGGCTCCTGGTTCATCCACATCCACATCCACATCCACGACATCATAGCGGCCGTGGAGAAGCAGCAAAGGGTGGCATGTTCGAGAGCAGAAGCAGCCCTCTGCCCCAGACGGTGTCGGGATCGAGCCCGGTCGCTGGCGAGCCCGACACATGCAAAGCACCGGCATCACTCCACAACAGACCCACTGCGACCGCCATCATCCATTCGTCGGTAGCAGATCGTCGCTCTCTTGAACTCGATGCTGGCGATCTCTTGGAGAACCGTCTTGCGACCCCAACAAGCGCCTCGTCGGAAGAGCGTGCCGAGTCCGTGGAAACGCATGCGAACTCGGCAAGCCGATCCTCGGTCGATGCCATCGGCGACCAGACCACGGGAAGCAGCACTCTCTCGTCGAATGAGACGCATCCAAGCACTCGGGCAAGTGTCTCCGTCAACCACACAAGCGCCCTCGAGAGCGCAAAGTACATTCTCTCCTGCGTCGGCATCGGATCGGCATCCGCCTCGTCCGGGTTGGGTCTGTTTGACTCTGATCGCACACTCCAGGAGAACATGCCTTCCGGCCCATCCTCCCTGCTCCTCCCGGGCATGTCCTACTTTGTCATGACCGCCGCTACGGTGTACTTGGACACACTGGGCCACTCGTCCGACAGGAATCTGGCCCTCTCGGTTCTGGACTGCATCCTCGATTATCTCGATCAGGCACACCACCGTGGCGAGACATATGCTCGCCTGATCAGAGCGACCATTGAGAATGCACATCGGTCTCCATGCCCGCCGACAAATGGCGGAGATGCAGGTGCAAGTGTCAGTCCTGGCACAAGAACGCCGCTATGGCCTGGCGGGCTCGCGATGACGTCGGCCGACGAGCCTGGCATCGGCGCTGCCTCTTCCGCTCATGCTCGCCCCACTCTGTCGCCAACAGCATCTCGACCACGGCCCGCTGCACATATCCTGGACATTGCTGCTTCTGTTGCCGCTGAATTGCCTCCATCTGGATGCCACGATGCCGCCGGTCTGCAAATGCCGCTTACAGGATCGGCCGTCGGCGTGTCTGATGCACATCCTCGCGGCCATCTGGATGAGTTCGTCTGGCTTCTCCCTGGTCATTCCACTCTACCCACGATCGGTGCTGTTCTTTCGGCACCAGACAGCAACCAGCATGTGTCGCCGCTGGGAGAGACACTGGTGCTTGGTCGGCCGTCGAGGCTCCCTGCTCATGGAGTCTCATCACCAGGGACGACACCACTATTCTCGACGACAATGGCTGCTCGCCACGGAGACATCTCGATGAACCCATTATCGATCCCGGCGCCGACTCTTGGACAATATCCCACTGCTGCTGGACCATTTCCGACAGCTTCTCATTCGCACTCTGCCCATGACTCGCTTGCCTGGCCGGCATCGTCGCTGATGGCTCCGACTGTAGCGCCCGACCCTGTGGCTGTCGAGTCGATCACTCGCCACTCCCGACTCCATCCCCATCCCTATCGCCGCCGCTCGCATCCCATTCACTCCATCGAGGGCCAAACACCATTGCAGCATACTCAGCATACCCAGCATCACTCGCAGCATATTCAGCACCACTCGCATCCCGCCCAGCATCAGCTGCATCCGTATCAGCCGCAGCCTCGTCAGTCCATCCACGACCCTGGTATCAACAGCAACAGCCTTCTCAACGCCGGATCTGTCTGTGCTGGCGATCAAACCAACGGATTCTTCTTCAAGGCAGCCCATTCGTTTGATCAAATGCACCACTGGCTTTCTGGCTCGTTTCCAAGCGATCCGCCGGGGTTTGGTCATGATCTCTCCGAGGCATATCCACCAAATCACCTGGCCCTGTTCCAGCATCTCAGCAACACCACCAGAGCCACAGGTTCCAGTCGGCTCTCGGCAGCTATCGATACTACTGCAGCCAGGCTCGCTGGCCATGGAGGCTTTCTGGTGCCGCCTCTTGCCTCCGATCATGTGTCCAAGCCTGGTATCTCCAGCATATCGTCATCGACTCCAGCGCGAGTGTTGACACCATTGATCCCAATGGGTGTATCAACGCCGTCGAATGCCAACCCACTCGCTGCACAAGCACCACATCATCTCAAATCGTCACCAATTCTGTCCAATGCGACCACAGGCACCAACCAAGTCGGTCCGAGCAGGAACTGGAACAAGATGCCAGGTGCTGTCCGCCTGAGCAACTACAGCAGCTCCCACATCGGCGCTGAATCGGTTCCCGGAAGCACTTTTGCTGGAGATGCATCCAGCATGGAGGTCGACGAAGTACTCGGCGGTGGCGACGACCGGATCCATATCGACCCAAGAAGCACCCCTGATTCATCGAGACACTCTCTGTCGACGATCCCTGGTGCTCCAGCAGCCAAGACGGCCGTGGCAGCTGGTATGGGAAGTACCATGGATGCGACGGACGATATCGGCTCTCGTCAGGACAGCACTCAACAACCAAGTCTCAAAGACGCTGCCAACGTCGACACCAACCTGGTCGGCCAGATGCCAGCCATCAATCTGCCGCAAGGACTGCAGACTCCAGTTTCCTCTGGGCTCGTTGATCGTATCCCGGACAAAGTGAACGGACATGGAGCCGACAGCGCCGTCGTCCCAGCCAGCCATGACAGCACCATTCTGATGCAGACTAACAGAGAGACTGGTCCGAGTAATAAACCCACCGGTCTCTGCTACTCTGAGCACCCGAGCGTCTTTGACGTGGCCGCTGCCGGGTCAGCAGTCGACCTGGGCTCGCTGATGAGCATGGCCATGGCGGACTGGGATCCGAGTGTCGTCGATGACACCGACATGCCGTCCGGCTGGAGCACCATCAAGACCACCCTTCCCGACGACCGGCTTTGACTCGCGCCAGACAGGCCGGCACAGACTCGCTCGATGTGCATCTTCAAGTAGGTATGTTCCTGATCCTGGTCCTGATCTTGATTCCGAATCTTCCAGAGGTACCAGCAGCACGGACCATCCGAGCAGACACTGTGAACGCGAGACATCCAAGCAGAACCCTGGTCGATGCTGCCAGATATCGGCGCATTGGCCCGATGCAGGGTGGAGGATAGAGCCAAGCCGTCCCTCGACTGCCATATCTCGATCCTGGCTTGTGGAAGCCGGGGTGCTGGTGCTTGACGATGGCATCTGGGCATGTTGACAATCGTCGCCATCCATCTCACCCGCATCGCCGGTGATCCTGCCATTCGCTTTCCCAGTCTCATCCACATCCAGCCCCAACAACAACCACAAGACGGAGCTATTCGTTTCCGATCAAGCGTCAGTATGCATCCTTGCAATCTGCAATCCAAACAGATCGACCATGCCTCTCAATCCTCGACTGAACTGAACCATCCTGGCCAGCAAGTCCACATCTGTCTCTCACCCGCATTCCCACTCCTTCACCTTCACAAACCCTGTGGCTCACCGAGGGCTGCTCTTCCGTGGCCATCACATCTGCCTCTTTGAACCATCGTGGCTTGGATCCCATCCGGTAGTACTCCCAGGCGAGGCCGAATGCTGGGACGCAGTGACGCACTCGCTGTCAGTTGCCCATCGACACTCTCATGCCGGCCACCGCCACTACTGCCGCCTCAATCTGCACCAGCATCCCATCTGCATCACTTACATTCACCTTTGCTTGTGGAAGCAGCCCGTGTGTGCGACAGTCTAGATCTAGAGAGACATACCTCGTTCGATGTCTGGAGGAAGCTGCGGTTGAACCCACGATGGCCGACCGGGAACCCCTCCTCCCTTTCCCGCCTTCCAACACGAGCAAGCATATGAATTACATTACCCGTATGTCTCCGAAGCCTTCCGAGCCATCTGGACTGTTCGTAGCCCTGTCTGGCTTGCAGTGTGGTGCTGAGGGTGGGCTCGAAGGGGCGGTGCTTCTCTCGGGCCATGAAGGACAGGATACCACCGGCGACGGCAGACTCGCCAGAAGCCAATCAAGATGATTCAGGATTACAGCGAGGACCACAGCGAGCATCTTTCGAGCACAGAGGATACGCATAGCAAGTTGATCGTTGGTGAGAAGCAGACGATGCCTCGGACCAGCCAGAGTCGCTGGATCGAACGAGACAGCCAACATCACAGCAACAATGCACAGCAAGGACCGAGCAGGGACTGTGGCAAGAGCACGAGCAGGATACGGACATTCTGCTGGTCCTGGCTACAGGTAGCCTGCCTCAGAGAAGGGGGCTGGGGACAGCCAGGGCATCGATCAGCAGCCAATCTGAGGGAGGGACGAGTCCGGGGAACGGTTGGGCAGATGAGGGGAAAGGACAATGGCGCGGCCATCCAAGGCGCGGATCGGGAGTTGAGATGCCTGCGAGCGAGCGAGCAAGCAGCTTGTGTCGACGGCAGCCGGGAATGTCAGGAACTGCCGGGCAGTACTGCAGGCAGCACGCCCGCTCGTCTGCGGCTCAGGTATGTGTATCTACAGCTGGCGAATGCAGCAGCGTCGGCGCTGGGGAGTCAAAGTATGTCGAATCCAAGGCAGTCCCAGCAAACATGGTGTCGGGAATGAGTTCCCCGGCTCGCTCTGGCGGTGTCAATCTCACGGAATCAACCTCAACAGCAACGAATCACCATCATGCAGGGGCAGAGGCGGCCGGTGTCTGTATCGGGCAACTCACTCACTCACCCCCAGCACAAGTACCGACCAGCACAGGAAGTGCCGTGCATTCATGACCAAGAGCATTCCAGCCAGCTGCCCCAGGAAATGGACCATCATGAACCCTGTATCTGCTCGGGACGGAGTCACTTGGATGTCTTGCTCAACAGGTGGCAGCCACAGTGCATTATGACATAGCTGACAGCTGACTGGCACAACGGACTGGCACAACTTCATATCGCAGCAGTGCAGAACGACCGGGATACCAATGGCAATGCTCTCACAGACGATGCATTTCTCCAAGGAACTCTTCTTTCACCATCACCGCAGCCTGCATTCGGTTCGTCATACACAATACTTTTCGCTGGCAATCAGCTTGCCCCTTCTAATTATTGATATTGCAGCCCAATCGACAGGAAGCTACCCCGGTTACCGGCTCTCACGTTCTTCGGTTGTCGAAACGATTGTGCAGTATTGCGCCAACCGACTTTGCTATGGGCTTCAATCGAATGGTCTTATCTGCGAGATGGATACGGTACAGCGCAGTCCACAGCAAGCAGCCCATTTGTCTCTGAAAGTAGATCGGTGATATCAGTGATCCGTGCAGTGGCATTAATTCCGTCCAGATCGCCCGTTCTAGTCAATCAATACCACAATCGTGTCCATCACGCGTTGTTAGCGATGCTACCTTCAAGCAGAGGAATGATATGCTCGTTCAGGACAGCAACTTGTTGATGGTTTGTGTTAGCCTTTGTGATAGTAGAATCACAGAGCGCCAGTCCCCTTGATATCAAGATCTTTGCCTGCTGAGATCTCACCATGGTCGGGATGGACATCGTACGCTTGCAAGTGCTGATCGTCCAAACCAATCGGAATCAGTGCTCTGTATTGCAGTCAACCGGATCGAAGCCATGCACCGACAGACGTACCTCTCGAGTCTCAAACTCGACCAGAAGGACTGTCGACCGCAGAGACGAAACCGTATGAGCTCGACCGGACCAGACTCAATCCCGCTTCTCGTGACGATGGCAAACATGCAAGAATCGAGCACACCGGCACAGAAGCAGAAGCAGAAGCAGAAGCAGAAGCAGAAGCAGAAGCAGAAGCAGAAGCATCCCAAGATCTCAAGACCACGTCACTAACCGTGAGTGTATCCTTGTCCGTATTCGTGCTCAAAGTTCTCTCCGGCTTCGATCTGGGGATCGGATGACTGTCTGGTGAGTAGCGGCGACAAGACGACCCAAGGCACATGCTGCATCATCCTCAACCGACGACCGTGGCTGCCTGCGAGATGTTGCTGATGAAGAGACCCACCCTGGTTATTCCGGAAAGCTTCTTTAATCCATAGAGCTCCTGGATCATCCGATCGATAGCAGGCTTGGGAGCATCAGCTCGGATTCTGAACAAAACTGCATTCGTCGATGAGCCAGGGCCTGCCGCTTGGACAAGACACACTATCGATGGCGGAGTCTCTGTGTCCAAGGTCAGCAGTGTATCGATCCGGCGAAACCAGCTGTGGACTCTGGGCAAAGGGCATACCAATATGCAAGATAGCCATGTCTGGTTGGGGCGGATGCTTGATGGCGGTCCAAGCCGGGCGAATGCCGGTCTTTTTGGCTGCCGTCCACCAAACCAAACCAGGCGTGAGCTTCTGGACCCTTTCATCCATCACTCGTGCTGGCAATCCACCGTTCCCTCGATATCTGCGCAACGTTGAGATGCAGTGCGTTGACAATCGAGACCCATATTCCCTGGCTATGGAGCGGTGCGTCCAAGAGCGCTTCCGTCTCGTCCATTTTCAGCCCACCCAGGTGGCGTATCCCACCCCATCGACTGAAGAATCAGTACACCGCAACCGACGGACATCTCGACCCTTCTTGGAATAGCAACGCCGTCGCCGGACGCCAGAGTCGACGGATAGAAGTTCCCATTGACACTCGAGATGAATGTGTATTCGGGATCCAGAGTAGCATCTCGCGGAGCTTGGACTGGGCGACCTGTCTCGCGGTTTCAACAGATCGAGGTTCGCCCATCGGCGGCTCTTCGAAGCACTTGGCGAAATATTACCTATGAGGTGGGCTGTCAGCGCAGCAATACTGTGGATGCATCTATCGACAATCCGATCGGTGGACTTCTGTGAATATCAGACTGAGTAGTTCACGGTCTGGATGATTGCCTTCTTGTGATCCTCTGGTTCGGGAGTGAGATGCTCTTCTCCTGAAAACTGGGGGAGGATCTGTTTGACCATCATCGGAATGATGCGATACAGCATGAACCACGCAATGATTGCATACGAGGTCAGGAAGAGGTTGCCAGTGCGAAGGAAAATCATGGACAGATTCGGCAAGAACTTGGTAGTTGCAGCCGCTCCGATCATGACCAGGGTAAAGCCGCTTTCACGAATCAAGCAAATGGACGGAGAGACGGGCGAGCGGGTGTGTTAGCGAGCGCCATATGTAGAACCGGATGAGGGCCGTGTTCCCATCGAGCAGCTGCAGTCCATTCATGCCACAACAACGGCTCTGTTTCTCTTGGAGAACTCATGCCATCGCGACTTCCCTCCGCAACTCACCAAATGGCCGTGAGCGAATAGAAGGCAATTCTTGTCTGCCGGAGCTGAAGGGCAGTATTGGCCCGCGCTAGTGTTTTGACTGCCAGTTCTTTCGAAATGCTTGACTTTTTCGGAGGATTGCTGGGTACCGGGTGTTCACTCGCGAGCTGGTGTATGGTTCTCAGCACAATCCAGCAGCTGACGAGCCAGGACACAAGAATAGTTGCAGCGCCGATGGTTTGAGCCACTGTTCGCCAGACAGCGAGGTCATCATCAAGCACGAATGCCATGAACGTCACATAGAGTCCAATGTTCAAGCAATACGCAACATAGTCCTGGAATCAAGTGGCGTAAGCATTGATGCATTGGCGACAGCGCGGCTTGCTCGATGGATTGCATGGTATAAGCTCGCCGCTCACCAAAGCTGCGGGGTATGTGATCATTGGCTTCATCAGAAGGATAGATCGATGTGAAAAGTGTACCGACAGCAGTCCATACAGGCCAATGAGAGAGTTGGAGAGCTTCGTCATTATCCGGTAGGCCTCAGTCTGGTTATTTTGTGCGATGAGCGAAAGTGAGGATGCTGAGAAGTCCACGAGACAGAGTCGATACTGCACGCAGACACTACAGCCTAGCTCTCCGACAAGCCATACCGTGGCCGAGTCGGCTTCACCGTCTATGATGGTTATCTGAGACGACACCCAAACGATGGTGATGATGTGCACGGCCGGTGTTATCTGCACGCATTCAACAAGCGCGCTATTCGTTAGCAAATACGATGTTCGACTGATTATTGTACCGTTATTCCTGCTCATGGCCATGAGAACATATGCTGGAAGAGTGAATGAGCCACGAGATCCACTTGCCACAACAACGAGGATACAGAAGAAGAAGTTGGTGAAATCACAACGCGGTGGCCATCCGAGCGACTGCAGAAAGACTTGGAGGAAGAAGAGGTGGAGCACACAAGTGAGGCCCAGGAGGGCGTACTGCCCTCCAGCAGAGGCCGCTGCAGATATGTCCATCGAATTTCAGACCGAACAGGCTGGACAAGACTGAGAATTGTCGTCAAATCGTCTCTCGAGGAAACGATGCAGAGCTTGGTGATTTAGGACAATATCGGTGTGCTCTGATTCCGGGGGCGGCGGCTGGGGGCGAGTCGGATATTTGGCCATCCCGCATTTTCGACTGAGCTATATCAATTGCGGTCAGCTTGCTATTCCCGATTGTCGATTACCAATTACCAATTGCCGATTGCCGATTGCCGATTGCCAATCAGACATGCAGCTTGGATCGGGTGGTCCTGGCGAATGAGCGATTGCGCGTCAAGTTCTCCATGAGAACACCCTACCAGCCACCTTTTGGATGCGGGCCCTCATGCACCACCCGCAGTATCCATCCATTTTATCAAGATTCAGAAGAGCGCTTGCGGCCGAGTTGTGTGGAATAGCAGCGTCAATGCAGTGCGTCATGTGAAGGCGATTACAACGAGATTGTGGAGACCGGAGAGCGATCCGATACACGCCAAGCAGCGCCCGCCCATCCCAGTTTCGCAGCCATCTCGCTCCTTGGGATTGATCTCCTCTCGGCCCAACCCGCCAGCCTTACTGTCGTCTCGTCTTGCCGAGCCGCCTGCTCGGACGGATCCAATTCAAGACCCACTGCAGCCCATGCACACGGCAGTCACCGTCGATTCCGATCCGGGCGACATTGGCCTCCAGCCTCTGGCAAGCCATGTCGAAACCTCGTTGTCTGGATCGGCAGCATATCCGAGCCATCTGTCGAACGCCTCGGCCTGCATGTAAGTAATTGCACCTCGACCACAGATTTGTGCAAATCGTTGGCTAGGATCACTGCCGCCAATCGCCGATCCCGTGCTGGTGAACTCGGGAGCATGATGGCGGATCTGTTGCGCCTTTCGATCGCTTTGCGGCTTGCGAACGACCGCTCGCTTATCCCCTCGGGCTGTTGCCGAACAGGGCCCTGCACAAAATCGCAAACGAGGAACTAAGCAACCACCGTCGCAATCTCGACGGAAAGACCGGTAGGATGCGGCGCTCTTTGCCTTCCGGCGGCTTTGGCAGCCATCCTCGAGTCACTGCAATTCCGATTATGCTCTGTGTCGACTCGATGATGGAGCTCGGCGACATTTTAACGAATCCACATTTTGCTGGCAACCTGAACCCATCCTGGCACGCCATAGACATGAAAGCCTTCCTGCTGTCGCCGGACAAGGCTATCGCTGTCCTGTGCGCACTGATCCTTGTGGCATTCTACATTTCGGCTTTGCTTCTGAGCAACCCGTACCAAGGACGGGCCAGCTGGGCTCTCTTTGAGGCCGGCATTCTGCTCCTGTTTCTACTCTGGAACATATGGCTTTTCCGACGAGAGCAGCGCCTGACATCGCATGAGATGACGACCCGGCTCCAGGCCATCGCCGACCAGCTGCAGACTCTGACCATCAACGATCGATCGGTGAGCGCATTGGATCCTGCATCGCAATCAGCCGTAGAAACGGCGAGCAGAGTCTTGGTGGCATTTTCTGCAAAGGCAGTCCATCATGGCTGCTCGACAGAGCCATTCACGAAGCTGACCGCCTGTTCGGGGAACCCAACTCGTCCACTCACAAACTCATGGCCGTCGCGATGCAAACAACTGCCCCCGACGACGGATCGCAGAACTACAAGATCCCAACAACCATCCCGACGGTCTCTGTGGCTCGGGTGGTGCGCGACAACCAAATCTTCATTCTGCCCCACAACATGCTCTGCGAAGGGGATATTGTCCTCATGGCCTTTGGCGATATCTCTCCCGGCACATTGAAGTACTCTTCGTCCTCAGGAACATACACTCTTCTGCCTGGCGATATATTCAAGCCAGAGATCTTTGGGGTGCCGTCAGGGCAAATCGACCATAGCGTTTTTGTGGCCATGGCACAGCAAAAAGGCTACCTCGGCTTCCGGCTCTCGGATACGCCGCTCCGCACGACGATCCGACAGGCGCTGGGACACAGTCGCCCGGCAACCGTGCTCACTGGACAGCTGGTATCGCTCAAGAAGATACTTGAGCAGAAGGTGCTCTGGATCATTCTCGTGATCTCTTTCATCATCAACATCACGCGGTTCTCGCTCCTGGGACGCGGACCTGGCGGCTACTACTACAGTGCAATTGTGGAGTACGTATTTGTATTTCAGGTGTATGCCATCCTTCCGTTTCTGCCCATGTCGATCATGGGACTGGTCTTGATTGCACGGAGCTTTGGAAACGCCCAGCTCCTGAGCGTTCTCGAAGCCCTGCAGACATCCAAGGTGCAGTTCGAGGACGAGGATGACGTCGATGAGTTTGACGCCGCTCCTCCTCCCATGAAAGAACTGGATTACGACTGGGGTAAGCCGACGTCTGGAGCACGTCCATCGAAAACATTGGTGGTAACGAGCAATCACTTGCTTGTTGGGTTGCTTGACACTTACCGGCGCTGACACTTACCGGTGCTGACACCTAGGTCAAATATGGAGGAGATTTGTGGACCAGCTGGTCCGTGTGGATATCTCGTTTCTTGCCCGTACCACGGGGCTGGTTGAAACACTTGCAAACATAACTGTTATATGCACCATCGACCGAGAGGGCACGATCAGCCAAGTAAGTGTTCGCCCACGAGTATTGGATAGTTGCTACTGTTGCCGCTGCTAGTGAGCATTTTGGCAGTCAAGCAGCGGCAGTGAGAGGCACGATATTTCGCATGTCTCTCTGCTTCGCCGAGTTCGCACTGCCTTCTTGGCTCCACATCATCTGCTTTGTTGATGACTCTCCTCATTCGTACCGTTTGGGCAGCTGAGCCAGACGACCAATGTGCTTATTCGCCATCTTGTGCCTCGCTGTTTTCACCTTCGCTGTGGCTGCTCCCTGGCGCTCTTGGACAGACCTTCCCATCGATCGAGAAGCTGTTTTTCATGGCCGATGGAGGAGAAGCCGTCACTCTCAAGATCGCGGAGGATCCGGCGGCCGAGTTCGGCATCAAGTTTGAGGATCGCGATTGGCGAAAGTATTCGAGGTGCGGTTGTGCTCGCACAGCCCCGATGTTTCGTGTGCACTGGACAGGATACTGACGGCGATGCGCCCATAGCAATCTCAAGGCCATGGGACTCGAATTTCTGCTCAACACAGAGTGTACGAACCTCTACGGCAAAACCCGCCTCGATAACCATCGCAAGTCCTCCAATCGTGATGGCAAAGTGCCTCCCGCGAGCCAAAGTACGTGTGCGATCCAGCTTTCTCGACCGCTGCTGCTGTTCCTGAGGCTGCCGTGAGAACAAAGCGGCAATCGTATTCGTATAGTTTCGCGCCTTCCACCGAATCACAAAGAGCGATTGGATAGCTCGCCATGCGCCGTACGGCACGGCTCCTATCTCTGGGTCCTCCGAACGGCCCAGTCTCCAATGTTTGAATGCTAGCTGATTGAAACATTACTGTGGCGACCAGCCTGCCTGTGTCGACTCGCAAAGGAGATTGGCTTCAAATCAAACGTGAGCGCGCAGTACAGGCTGAAGAAGACAATCATGCAGCAGTGCCCCTTCCAGGCCCATCTCAAACTCGACAACCTCTACCACTACGACATCCCTGTAACGACCACCCGTTTTTATGAGGTCGAGTCCAACAGTGCGTACCTTTTCCCGTGCTTTGTTCGGCCGGCACAACTCCTCACAGCTTGCGAGATGGGCTTGCTGCTCGAACCATTGCTCGAAGGTCTCACGCAGCCATCGATGCCGAAAACGCATATGTTCATCCAGACGCCATTCAGGATTTTAGTGAAGGCGACCTTTTCCTGATTTTGAATTCATGCTCCGACTACTGGAATGGCGACAAGATTCTGGCGATGGACGAAACGGTAGGATGCGACAGTCAGACTGCGAGCGAACGTGCCTTGGAATGCCCTCTTCGAGTCGCAGGATCGGTGTGATCACGTCATATACCCGGCCATGTTGTTCTTTGCTCGAACGAATTTGGAGCTGATGCTTTTCGAGCTGCAACTGAAATCCTGGCATCGTGCAGGTGGAGAAGCGCATCTTGGACTTTTACCAAAAGTCCATCATTGGTGACATGAAGGTAGTTGCGTACTCGTACTCGCCGCTCCTCAGCGACCATCAGTACGTACAGGACACGATGTGGCCCGGGCTGCTGATCATGACCGAGGACTTTTATCCGTTTGAGGAACGCTCGTCCATGGCCAGCGCTATTGAATCGCCTATGATGGGTCCGAGTGATCTGAATCAATCAGGCACCGACATGCCGAGCCTGCCTGTTGATCCACTTGTGAAGACGATCCACGACTACCGGAAAGACAGGGGTCGATTTCGAGGGTACAAGTCCGTTCACAGCCAGGCCCCTCCCAGACGTCCCTCCGAAATCAATCGCTCCGCCAAGAATCTAGCGGACGAATATGAGGGCTTCATCAACGAAAGTGTCTTCAAGGACCGCACATTCTTGTGCATGGCTGGATTCTCTTGTCGTCCCAAGCCAGTGAGTAGATTACAGGGTTGTTTTGAGCGTCGTGGGCACGCTACGTCTGCGCAGAACGCAACTGACCCTGTTTGGATCTGCAGGACGTCGTGAGCATCATTGAGGACCTGGGTCTGGCTGGTATTCGCTTTGTATACTTTTCCAGTGCCCCAGAGCGCGAGAGCAAAGGCAAGTTATTGCGATCAGCTGAGGAAGTGTCGCGATTCCACTGAGCCTCCCTGGGATATGATCTTGCAGTGTATACGTGGTTGTTGGCATCCAGTTGCGTGCACAGCGATCTTTGACTGCGACACTTGATTGTGTGCCATGAACGCCTGCGCCAACTGGGTGTCGCTGGTAAAACCAAGCCGACTCTACGCCCTCTCTCGGTATTGACACTGCTGCACGTTCTTCTACAGCATATGCGGAAAGACTGGGGCTCGAGATCGATTGGAATAGCTGCATCCTGCTCAGCCCCGCGACCGAGGGCGTCGGCTATCTGGAGCTCCACGACATCAAGGCGCGATTGCCGCGTGGTGTCGAGAACATCCGACCGCACATTCGCACCGTGGACGATATCCCTTTGCATGTGTCGCTCTTTGCCGAATGCACCCCGCCGTCCATTACAGAGATGGTCCGGATCTTCCAAGAGAACGGCGACGTGGTTTGCTGCATTGGCAGCTCCCTGAACGAGATGAACGTCGAATGCTTTGCTATGGTATGAAGAGCCTGCAAGAGCCTTGCCCCGTTGTTTTGGAGAGCTCAGCCGTATCTGACATGCCTTCTTCATCATCGGGCCGCCAGGCCGACATCAGTGTCTCTATCGACCCGCTGAGTCTGAACAAGATGCGTGGCGGAGGGAACTCACAGACGGCGCTGCATCTCGGTGCGGCCTTTACAAGCGCACCATGTGCTCTGACGCTGAACCATGACGTGAGCTTGTACACGCTCACCCAGCTCATACACGAAGCTCGCACCTTGGCCGAGAATGCAAGACAGGTGTGTAGATGCTGGCGCGAGCTTGATAATGCCGAACGAAGGCGGATCGCTCCTGGTTCGCCCGTTGCTGACAAGAGTGCCAATCCATCTGATCGACTCGTTCTCCGGTGGCGGGCGGGGACACTGGCCCTGTCGATTTTCCAATGCTAACGAATGAATCTGGCTCGACTGCGCCCCCTGGATCTTGTGTCCAGGGATTCTCGTTCCATATCGGATGCCAAGTGGCTCTGTCCCTGATGATCCAGCTGTCCTATATCGTGCTGCTCCCGCCCATATTCACGGGATATCAAATCATGTGGATGGTGTGGGTGATACTGCCGATCCTGTGTTTTTCGTTTCTGTTCACACCTCCAGACCCAGAAATCATGACGCATATGCCCGGTAAGTGAGATGCTGGTGGGATGGGCTTGGTGGGCTGTCGGTTTGGATAATTGCTGGCTGATGAGCCAGCCCGGGTCAGCTCGGGCGATAGCACTGAGGATGAGGGCGGTTTGTCAGGTTGACATCGATACGGGTCTGGTAGGGGCTCTGACGTGGCAGCATTGTGCTTCTCTAGTAAAAAACACAGCCCTCCTCAAAGACAAGATGCGGTTTACATACTACTACATTGTGCGGTTCGCGGTGCCAGTCCTCACATGCATCGCCCTCTATGCCCTGTAAGTGTCTTGTTTTAGCCTGTGCGCGTGGAAATAGAACTCTGCTCCTGGGACCGCAACCAGGCTGCAGTGTTTGCGTATCCATCGCATTGAGGCTATGGCCCTAACCGTCACTGTCATATCAGAACACTTCAAAGCCTGCAAGGCGGGCCCTCCCTCGTCCTTGGGACTTTCGGACTGGATCTGATGCAGATGAGCGTGGCCGAGCAGTGGGCGCTGCTTTACGCGCAGAACGTTGCGCTGTTTTTTGCGGTCTTCTATTTCGGTAGGTCAAGACGAGAGCCGGCCGCTTGGTTGCTGTATCTGGTCTGTGATTGCGTCACCCGAGCCCTGGGCTGGATAGCACGCCGCCAACTGACCTATTCGTCTTCCAACGAATGCATTCAGTGATAATCTCGTTCACTTATCTTCAGCGAACACTCCCGAGCCTCTCAAAAACAAAGCAGTTCAAGCCGATCGACAAATGGATGATTGCTGCCGCAGTCTGGTGAGTCGTGCAGCCGGAGAGACCGGGGACTTGGCCCGTGTGTTCGTCTCGCGATGGCTCGACTGCAGTATGTTTGGACAGAGTGGCTTACCCAAGTTGCTGCTGTGGATAGTCTCGTGCTGCAGATTGCCTTCACAGCGATCTCGCTTTTCTCGGGCCCACGGTCCCTCTCGGAGCTGCCCTGGTATATCTGGGTGCTTGGATTTGCGTCCCCGGTGGTGTTTGTACCGATCCAGGAGGCGATGAAGGTGCACGACAAGAAGGAATGGGACAAGTTCCAGAAGAGAAGCAAGCTCGAGTTCAATACCAAGCTGTAAGTCAGCTGCGGTGTCTCTGCGAGCACGGGCCGGCAGTGGAGTGGGTCTTGGGCGACATGGCTCTGCGGCACTGCTAACCGATGGCCACGATGTTCTTGACAGCGGCATGCATTCCCCTTTATGAACGAATGAATACTCCGGCTCTGGTGTCCGAGTTGATGGGCGCATGTGGCGGAGTGACGCTGCGGACGGATATGTGAACCGCCGGCACATACAGCCAATTAAATAGAAGCGGGACACCCTGGTTTGAGTTGTCGTTATTTCGTGCATCATGAGTGCGCCCGAGTATTCGATATCGAGCGGCCACAGAGATGTCGAGGTGGTCGAATGCATTCACTGCACTCTCGTTTCGTTCTGAACAAGCCGAAAGCCGTGCCTTGTTCGGTGAGCGACGAGCCTCTGGTCTGATGAGTGGGGGCGCATCGGCCTTGTTGGTATCCCATGGCGCAACCGGGCGCTTGCTCGGGACGGCCGCCATTGGGCCGCATAACAGTCGCGCCGTGCAACACCCCACATCCAGTAAGGCTGTCGGTCGCACCAGGCCATATCGGGCCGTGTCTGTGCCCCACCCACGGTATTGTTTGGAATACATCGCACATCCGCCACAGCGCGCACCCGTATCCTCCTTGCTGCCCCTTGTGTGCCGTGTCCCTCGCCTTGTCTGCTGGAGGCGGCCCAAAAACGACCCGTCTTGACGCCCGGCTCAGAGCCCCAACGCCGCTTCCTGCTCGCTCGCCGCTGTCGTCCCCTGCTGCTCCCCATCATCTTTCCCTGCTGCTCTCCATCATCTTTCTCTGCTGCTCCCCATCGCCCACAATGAGCTCCACCCCTGCGGTCTCTGCTGGCTACAGCCTCATCCAGGACTTTGGTGTTGCTGGCGCCTTCTATGATAACTTCAACTTCCAGAACACCGGCCGCACCAGCGGGTTCGCCAACTACGTCGACCGTGCCACCGCCGAAGCCAGCCATTTAATCAACTCGTCCGCCTCCAACGGCACCCTGCTCACTGTCGACTCCACAAATGTCTTCAGCCCAAACTCTACCGGCCGCCCTTCTATCCGTCTCGAGTCCAAGAACCTCTACGGCTGGGGTTTGTACATCTTTGATGTCGCCCACGTTCCTTCTGGCTGCGGCGTCTGGCCGGCCATGTGGTTCAAGAAGGCCGACTCGAACGACACCATCATTGCCGAAATCGATGTCATGGAGACCATCAACCTCCGCCAGAAGAGCGAGCACAACCTCTTCAGCGGCAAGGGCTGCTACGCTTCCCCCGACCGGCAGCAGCTCGGCACGGCGATGGGCACGGATTGTGATGCGACCAAGCCCCGTGTGCAGGGTACCGTCTACGGCTGCGAGAACGAGGGCGACCCCAATGCGGGCGGTATCGGACCTGCCTTCAATGCCAACGGCGGTGGAGTCTACGCCATGAACCTGGATGCTCGCGCCCTCAACCTCTACTTTTTCCCACGCAGCTCCGTGCCCGCTGACATTGCTGCCGGAACTCCCAACCCGGGCTCGTGGACGGTTGAGCCCACCATCAACTTCCCATTCGACTGCTGCTCGCCGGACTACTTTGACAAGATGACCATGGTCATCAACACCAACTTTTGTGGCAGCTGGATTGCCCTCGGAACGGACCAAGCCACCTGCCCCATGATGACTGCCGATCCCGCTGCCTGCAGCGCCTATGTCGGGGCCAACCCCTCGAGCCTTGGCGAAGCCTACTGGCAATTCAACTCGATCAAATACTACAAACCCACTGTGCCGCCTGCGTTTGCCCCCAACACCACGGCAACCTGTCCGAGCGATGCCATCGTTACCTCGAGCCTTAACGAGAGCCTGCCCGTGAGCGCCTCGGCTCCATTGGGCTCGGCTCCCACCGGTGCCTCTGTGGCGGCCAAGAGCCAGGCCATGGGTGGTGCCAGACTTGCTTCCAAGGCGCTGCTGACTGCGAGCCTCGTCGGCATCTGCGGCTGGGCGTTGTCCGTGCTCTAGCTCGACAGCCATGGTTGCTACTTCGACTCACGCCGTTCTCCCGTCGCCTCGACGTGTCTCGACAACATATCGATTCGAATCATTCTAAACTGATTATTATCACTCTACTTACACCTGGACACATTATATATCTACGATCTGATAGAAAGCAGTCCGGCAGCTACACTATGCAACACCTTGCCATGTTCACTTTTCTTTGGCCTGGCACGGACCTGGCTTTGTCCGTTGGCTCCCCCTTTCGGCCACTGCAGTATCTATGAAACAATACCTTTGATCCAATACAAAGCGCATGGGCCTACCGTCTTACCCAGTGCTTTCCCCAGAAGCGGGCCGACTGCACCGCTGGTGGCATGGGTACTTGCTTGCGTCTCCGACACTGAGCTCGGGCGGCTGCTCCTTTGGGCCTGCCCCCCGCTGGTTCGAATCCACGCGCACGCAATTGCCAGCGTGCCAGGGACGACGAGGGCGCTTTGGCCGGAAATCCGCCTTTTTCGTTTTTGTCTCGCTTGGCATCCGTCGCAGAAGCAGCACCAGCACCAGCGGCAGCAGCAACGCCCTCCGGTCCGCCCAGCCAAGGCTCGCCAACAGACGCAGCATCGGCCCTGGCGACTCCACCTCTCGCATTTAGCATCGCACGGTCGTCGATAGCGATCGCAACGGGGCACAGATGAGAACCGAAGTCCGCATTCTCTTGGTCGGAGACGGTGCGTTGCCCCTCTCCACTACCCTGTCTCCTCGGCCTTGTATCCGCTGGCACCGTCGCTGCTGCTTGACCGGTGCCTGCGCTCTACTTGGCCAGGCACCGCCTGGATGCAATCCAGCCTTGCTCAGACGGACATCGCCCGGCGGAACGGGGGCATGCCATGTGCGATTGGAGCCACCAGTTGGAATCATGTCATTCGCCGAGTTTTGTTGGTCCTGGGCCGTCTAGCTCTGGCCTCGCACTCCATGTGCTGCATCTATTAACGACAAGCAACCTCTGGCCATTCCCGCCTGTGTCGCAGACCAAGTCGGCAAAAGCACGCTGATTACGTCGCTCATCAAAGAGACATTCGTGCCCAATGTAACTCAATCCCAGCTGCTATCAGCCCGCCGGCCGCCTCATCCACCTCCCGCTCGCTCGCTCTCGATGTCGCCAGGAACCCTCGACGGATAATCTGCATCGGCAGCTCTCTCGGCTTGGATCTAACCTGCCTCGATTCACGATCTGCCCTCCAGATCCAGCATGTTGTGCCCGAGGTTACGATCCCCCCTGAGTGGTCGAGAGATAAGGTCACCACCCGGATTGTCGATTCCTCCTGTGAGTAGCAACGCAAACGAGGGATCTGTCTACTTCCTGTCCTCCTCTCAAGAGATCCCGTCGTCAGGGGTTGATGCTGTCGCCAAACTCCCCGGTCACCATCGTATCTAACATGCACTTCCACATCCTGACTTCTGGGATATCGGCCCTATGCCTTCTTCTTCATGTTCGATAGCACGAGCCGACAATCGCGAGCAGCTTGAGGCTGAAATCCGAAAGGCGGACGTGATCTGCATCGTCTATGCCATCAATCGATCCGAGACGTTCACTCGCACGCACGAGTTCTGGCTGCCGTACATCCGCCGGCTGGGACGAAACGTAGGTCATGCATTTCGGAAGCAGCGCGCGAGCATCGGATGAATCGTGTGCCTGCACTATGCTCCTTCTCCTATCGGATGAACCGACCATCTCGATAGCGGGAGGAAACAAGGACCGCCTCTTCGCCATCCGGTCGGCTGCTGACTTACTGGGCCCACAGGTGCCGATCGTGCTTGTTGGCAACAAGATGGATCTTCGTGGCAAAGACGTGACGAACGACTCGCTGGAGGAGCATGTGATGCCCATCATGAACGAGTTCAAGGTGCGACCTTTCGTCAGTGCAGCATCGATGCTATCGTGGTCTACGCTGGAAGAGTCGACTGCCAACTCCGGATGTTGCAGTGGATGCTGCATGCACATGGCACGCCGCACATAGTTCCTCGCCTCCAGTGTCTCAGCATAGCAGGGCCAACAACGATGTTATTCATAGAGCTTTCGTTGTGTCCCGTAACAGGAGGTCGAGACTTGCGTCGAGTGCTCGGCCAAGCAGCCGCTGAATGTTTCCGAGGTCTTCTACTTTGCCCAAAAGGCAGTCTTGCATCCCACTGCGCCGCTATATGATTCCCGCGAGCACGTAAGTACTCCCGGCTCGACATGTCCTCGGATTGCAGTGGTGATGAAGACGATGTGGGAAGAGGGTGCTGCGATGGTCAACCTCGACTTGCTTTTGATTCTGTGCTCACGCCGATTCATCCCGACACAGACCCTTAAACCGGCGTGCATAGATGCGCTCCGGCGGATCTTCCGACTCTGCGATAAGGACAAAGACGGAGTTCTCAACGACGACGAGATCAACGACTTCCAGGTGCGGTCGTTTGGATGATGTGCCCTAACTTGTTCCCGAACACCCTCTATGCATCGCAGTCGCTGTAATGTCCGTGGTGCTGACTCCTTCGCCCGACGCACACAGGGAAAGTGTTTTGGAGCCCCGCTCCAGCGCCAGGAGATCGAGAGCGTCAAGGACGTTGTGCGAGAGAGCGAGCCCGACGGAGTCAATGAAACCGGTCTCACGGAGATAGGTAGAATATCACACGATGCCAATGTCTATGCCGATGCAAACGAATGGAACTGTCGATACATCCATGTTGGCAGCTGTAGTTCCACGGGCGAATCGATATTCTGCGTGTCCTCAAGCTCGATAACTGACTGTCGACGCTTTGTTGTGCTGTCTTTGGGTGTTGCTGCATGGTTTGGCTGCACAGGCTTCCTGTATCTGCACACACTCTTCATCCAAAAGGGACGACTCGAAACTACATGGACTGTTCTCCGGAAGTTTGGTTATGGCGATGATCTCTATCTGCGCGAAGACTTTTTGTGGCCTGCGTAAGTAGAGCATCGGTCTGTTGGTGTTGGACACTCGGATCTGTGTCTGCTTGACATTTGTCCAATCTACTCACCATCGATCTGGCTGTGTCCTGTGATTTGGGGTTTCGACTGGCGCTCTTGTCCGCTACTGACCGGCAGAATCGAAGTTCCACCTGAATGCTCTGTCGAGCTGAGTAGTGACGGCTACCAGTTCTTTACCGAGCTGTTCCAGGCATTTGACATGGTATGGAGCCCATCTGACGAGCCAAGGAGCGATCGACTCTGATTTGCAAGCGCTGTCTTCGGCGAGACACCCTAACGACCAGTCAATCGTCTCAGGACAAAGACGGAGCCCTGAAGGATTCGGAACTTGAAGATCTGTTCAGCACCGCCCCAGACAACCCTTGGACCGGCACCGGCTTTCCGGAGACAACGATCACAGCCGAAACGTCTGGCGCAGTGACGCTGCAGGGATTTCTGGCGCAGTGGAGGTATGGCGAGGCCATCTGTGCACCATCCACAGCTGCGTTCCTGAGCAGCCCTGTTGTCAACAACGCCTTGCTGAAACGGCTCTCTCTGTGCAAAGCATGACGACCCTGCTGGACTACAAAACCACTCTGGCTTATCTGGCCTATCTGGGCTACGACGGAGACACGACACAGGCCTTGAAGGTCACAAAGCCGCGCAAAAGCGACCGCAAGCGGCAGGGGCGGGTTCAGCGAAATGTGTTTCTGGGCTACGTCTTTGGGGCCACGGGCTCGGGCAAGGTACGGAGGTGTGGGCTGCCCACGGGCTCGCCGGTAACATCGCATCGTGGCCTCTACCGACCATCCAACCACCACACTGCATCCTGATGGTCCCGACTTGCATGCCGCATCACTATGGTCTAGACTTGCTTCCTCCGCGGCCTGGTCAACAAGCCCTTTGAAGAGACATACACACCAACGACCAAGCCCTACAGCGTCGTCAACTCGGTCGAGATTGGCGGAGATGAGAAATACTTGGTGGTACGTTAGGCAATCCGCGGATGGACCAGGCGTGGTTTTTGATGCACGTAGAAGATACGATCCAGTGCGATCCAGTGCGATTCAGTGCGAGGGACAGGGAGGTTGTTCCCCAACAGCACCCTCCCTCCATTGAAGAACTTGCCTCTCACCGTTTCGTATTTGCTTGCGTGGGTAGATGCAAGAGTTCGGTTCGAAATACGACTCGGAGGTTCTCCAGAACCGCAAGAAACTGGACGCGTGCGACTTTCTCTGCTTCATCTACGACTCAAGCGACGTCAATTCGTTCGCATATGTGGCTGGGATCCGGGTATGCTTTACTTGGCTGCACAGAAGCAGTACCCGTCAGTCGCCACGCTGGCCCTGTGGCAACATAGCCAGGCGGCACCGCCTTCGTGTGCCCGTCTGGCGATGATCGGCACAAATCATGCCCAAACTGACGGATTATCCGCATCACGTTCCAGAGCAAATTCCAGGTCGACCATCTGCCGTGTATCTTTGTTGCCACAAAGAGCGACTGCGACCTCGTCCCCCAGGTAGGCCCCGACTGCTGATCTCATCTGCAGTTTGCCATGCGAACGAGCAAAGGACTGTCCCGCAATCATGCCTGCATCGCACAGCTGTTCGCAGCCCTCGCGCTTTCGCCTGCGGGCTTTCACTAATATCGTCGGGTCGGCTCTGTCCCTGCAGCGCTACGAGATTCAGCCGGATGTATACTGCCGGAACCTGAAGCTCCCTGTCCCCATCAGCGTTTCGCTCAAGCATGGCATGACCGCCGATATCTACTCCACCCTCGTGGGTGTCGCCATGGATCCGTAAGTTGGCCACTGTATCCTGGTGTGGCGTGATGTAGTGTGGGTGTTGGAGATCGCTCGGTCGGGCTCGGGCTCGGGCTGTCCCTGGCACCAGGCTCACGTTCGATTTGCCTCTCTCCGCCCCGCCCGCGACATTCGACGCCGTCTCAGGGCCATCGCCATGCCCGGCAGCAAGACATCGTCGCCATCGTCATCCCGCATGGGGCTTTACATCACCGTGACCGCCGTCTCTGCCGCGGTTCTGGCGGTGCTGCTCGTCTATCGCAACGTCCACCGTCCCAGCGCCGCTGTGTCTACCTCGCCATAGCCATGTCGGGTGTTGGCTTGGCTTGGCCTGGCTTGGCCTGGCTTGGCTTGGCTTGGCCTGGCTGGCAGCCCTTGCTCTCACTTGTATCTGGTTCCTGGACCACGCAATCGATTCATCTCATAGTCCTTTACTCCGAGCGCGGATCTGCATCGCCGCGCCGTCTCTGCCTCTGCCGCTCCGAGTGCGAGTGCGAGTGCGAGTGCGAATGCGAATGCTGGACGGGCCGGCACAACGGAGCTGTCCCCGCCCTCCGCCGGCCATCCGCCGTTGCTCGTGTGAGGGGCTGGCACCAGAAACGTGGTCACCGCTCTTGTCATGAATCTCCGGTGCCTGGATTGCTCTCCGCGCAAGTTTTTTTTTTTCTGCGGCCTGCGCTGGCCGTCTGTCCCGCCTTGCTTGTCGATCCTGCAATGTTGCTGCTGCCGCTGCCGATGCGCATATCCCTGTGATCTCTCCAGTCGGCCAGCGTATTCGCACGCTAGTCCCACAGCCCCTCCCCGTCTGCATCGATTCCCTGCCAGCTCTTTCCCAGCCAATCTTGCTTCTGGGCTGTGGAACGAGCGTTCACTCCCGTGTCCAGAATCGCCGTATCGATCAAAGGCCGTTCCAGCGTTCTGCTTCCTTTTCGGCCTGTTGCTCTCCAGCCCCCCCCCCATCCGAGCTTTCAACGGCCTAGTGTTGGACTATGGCCAGCGTGCTTCGACCAACGCACGAGCGCTCTTATCAGATGGATCACAACCGCCAAGACAGCGACTCTATCTTCCAGGATGGCCGGTCTATGCTGTCGTCTTCGCCTCAGCAGCTAGACCGGACCCTGTTCCTCGACCAGCCATCCTCGGCCGGCCCTGCAACCCCCATCGTCGATCCCGCTCGCAAGGCCTCCAAAAACTCGATATTCGAGGTCTCCCATGCCATCCCCAAGCCGCTCTCGAAAATGTCGGCTGAGGAAGCATACCAACTGCTTTCCCCCTCGGCAACCCCTGTCACCCCGGCCCCGTCCGGCGATAAGCGTCCCTCACGCAACTCCATCTTCGAGGTTTCGCATGCCATCCTCAAGCCCGCCCTCAAAATGACGCCCCTGGAGGTCGAGTCCCTCCGAAGGGGCACTTATTCGGAGGCCAACACCGGCAGCCCCCAAGCCACTTCAGGTGCCTTCGATAGTATCACCATCCCCGTTGCCTCGCCATCCTTCCAGAACCACAGCAGCTATGTTTCCTTGGGCATTGTCCCAAGCGACAGCCCACGGGAAATCACCAGCCCCGGCCGCCCGCCTCCCTTCCTGGCCATGCCCTTCACTGCCGCTTCCCCAAGCGAAACGGACCATTCGTTCGCCGGCAGCGGCCTGGACTGGGCCTTTATCGACAATCCCGCCGCCCGTGGCATGCGAAAGTCGCACACCCAGCCCTTTTCGATTCTGGGCGAGGGCAGTACTAGCAGCAGTACCGGCAGCGGCGGCGATAGTTACAATCCGTGGGTCGTCTCCTCGCCAGTCTCGTCCCCAACCACGACAGATGCACCGCCATTGCCGATAAAACCCAACCACAGCCGCTTTGCCTCAAATCCAGTGCGCCAGCTCACGGTGCCTGCAGATCTTTCCAGCATCACCATCCCCAGGGACAACGACAACATCAGCCTGGCCTTCATCCCGTCTCGACAGAACTTTCTCGGCGAGGGCCGCTATGCTTCGGTTTACGTCGGACACTACATTCTGCACGACGACGCCGATGGCTCGAACTCGTCCAGAGCCCCGGCCACGACCGCCACGACCGCCATCCAGGGAACAGAATGCGACTTCAAGCCATGTGCCGTCAAGGCCCTGCACGCGACCGAGGAGAGCCAAGCCATCGGTCTGTGCGAATACGAGATGCTTCGGCGGCTCAAGCACCCGTTTGTCATCAAGCTCATCGGCTTCAAGCGAAGTGGAGACTTGGCGCAGCCCGACCTCGCCAGCGAGGCTGCCCATCTGTCCTCGCAGTCAAAGTCGCTCCGACGCAAGAGTTTCTTTGAAAATACAGCAGCAGCAGCAGGGATCCCGGATTCCAACATGCTTCTGATCCTGGAGTATCTGCCCAACGGCAGTCTGTGGGACTGGTCGCAGAAGAACCCGACCGCTGTCGGCCGCAAGCTCTTTGTCAAGTGGGCTGCAGAGCTGCTCTCGGCCATAGAGCACACCCACAGCCTCGGCATCATCCACCATGACATCAAGCCGCACAACATCCTTGTAAGAGCTGACTCCCTGCTTGGCTTTCCCCTGGGTTGTGCTTTGTCTGCATGCCGTTGACTTGATGGGCAACTTGGCGAAGAATCGGCGAATGCAACGCTGCCGCTGAGAGCGAGGATGGAATCCTGGGGATCTGGTGATCTGGGCCGCCTTGCTGATCAATCGTCTGCTCTATCGATGGCTGCTGCAGCTCACCGAGTTCCTGGACATCCGGCTGGCCGACTTTGGAAACGCGTGCCGGATTCCTGAACCGCAAACCCCACGATCGCCCGAGGTTCAGGACTACGCCGGATCGCCCGTCGTCGCATCGATTCCGTTCCAGCTCCGCGACGGCCTGGGACGAGGCACACAGGCCTACACTGCGCCCGAGCTGTTCACCACCGATCCCTACGGCACCGCCGTCGATGTCTATTCCGCCGGTGTGACCCTCTACACCCTCATCTCGCTTGTCGAGCCCTTCAGCCGCTCCAAGACCAGCGTGCAGATGCTCCTCGGAATCCGGCGTGGATTCTTTGAGTCTGGTCTGCAGGCGCACGAGGAGCTGGACGAGCGTCTGGTCCGGTTCGGCAGTGGCGAGAAGGTCGAGAGGCTGATCTGCGATGCAGTCACCCAAATGGTCAAGTTTGCCCCGGCCGAGCGCGGCTCAGCCAAGTATTTCGCTCGCCTGTTTCACGATCTCTGAGGCTGTCCTTGCGTGGTTGTATTGCTTATCGAACCTCTGGACACCAAAGGACACTGGCGCACCAAAGGACGTTAGATGCCGTCTCATCATTTCGGGGGGGGGGGTTTTTTACTTTGACTTGCTGCTGCTTTTGGGATGGGTCATGGTGCGCGGCTGCGTGCTCTCGTTCGCTGACACTGCGGCTCGTGCTTTGATTCTTGTCCGGGCGACTCTGTTTCTTTTCTGTTTCTGTCGAACCGAGCCAATGTACGCTTTACACATGGGCAAAATGGACACCTTTCATATTCCCGCATGTCAGCGCAGTATGGGGATGGCTTGCATCCTACTCAGCCATGTGCAATTCGACAGATCGCCAGCGAGGTGTCGAAACTGATTGGTCGAGGCTAATTTGGCTCCCATGTTGTCGATGTGAGTGGCGACGGTGATGTTTGAACTGCTCAAGGTACCGAGCAAACCGCTGCCTCCTTTCCACCCTGAATGCTGCTGTCAGAGCTGCGAGCAGACCACCGAGCACTTGCTCGAAACACTGATTTGGTTTGAGGATTGTATTTGCTTGGGCAATTACGGCTGAGATGTCAGCGTGTGATTGTGGGCCGTTCCATACATAACCAACGGACAGCGCATCTCCATCCTGATTGATCCCTGCAGCAAGAGTCCGTTCCTCCGCCCACCCCGAGCCCCAATACTGGAGAATACGACCAGTCGAGTCAGGACGCGAAGGAAGCGAAAGGAAGGCAAACCATCTAGTCGTCCTCGTCCTCGTCGTCATCATTGTCGCTCGAATAGTCGACCGGGCTCTGCTCCGGGATGATGGCATCATCCGAGGTAGGCGAGACTGAGGGCGCGTCGGAGGTGGGAGGGACCACAGCCGCGTGGGTCTCGGTGTGCAGAGGGATTCGGTTGCAGTCCCAGTCCCAGGTGGATCGCCACTTGATGGACTCGCAGTGATCTCGGGTCATGCTCGTGCCGTATGTGATCGGGCTGAAGAGACGGAACACATGCAGGGCAAAGATGACGATGATGATGGTCATGCCCCACTTGACTTGGCGCGGGAATCGCACAGTGACCATGTCAAAGAGCGAGCCGACGAGCAGGATGCTAAAGTACAGGGCAGGGAGATAGTGGTGCAGGAAGAGCTGGGAACACGCGGGTTGATTAGTGGCGAGGCCGCCGACACGCTCTGCTTGACCTCGACCTGTTGCTGCCCACTTGCATCAGACTCAACAACAGCATGGCCAATCCATTCCAGCAGCGGGTACCAAGCGCAGCTGTCTGTAACCTTACCTGACGGGCCATCAAGAAAAACGGGAAGTAGTGGAAGGCCCAGCCAGAGAGCAGGAGCACTGCGCCGCCAAACTCTTGGTTGAAGTAGTCGGCAATCACTGAACAAGACAGGCAACAGATTAATCAGCATCATCGGTGGACCAACAGAAGCCACTGAACAACGGATGTGCGAAACCTTCAAGCACAGGCCCGTTAGGGAGTGCCTCGCTCTTTGCGCACAGTGTCAACGAGTTCTGCAATGCATGGACTACTTACCGCCGCGCGTGGGGATGTAGCCGCGCTTGTCGAGCACAGCACGGATGACCAGGAAAGCAATAAAGACGACATAGGAGGCGGCAGCGATCCACCACACGAATGGGTTGCCGAGCAGGTAGATTTGGCTCGAGTTGCCACCCTTGCCAGTCCAGAAACTGATGCCTCGACGGAGTCCGGGCCACGCATCTGCCGAGGAGCGGGTTTGGAGGAGAACGGGGATCAGCATCAGAAGAGTGCTCCTGTACGAAGCGTTCATATGCAGCGCCGCTTGTCACACATATCGACAAATGGCGAGAGAACTCACTCGGTCGCGACTCGTAGGCATGGGGCGAGGTCAGGCCAGCGTTGGTGACCCACATGACCTTGTGCAGCTCGAGGAATTTGCCAAGGAATCCTGGCTTTTTGTAGTTGACCTTGGGGGCGTTGGCAGGAACTGGGGTTGGGGACGATGGGACTTAGCGACACGGCCAAGGACGGTCGACAAGATCAAGGCGGCTGCTGCTCTCCTCGCACCCGCTGGGCATTACACCAAGGCCACTTACGCAAGTCATGCTGGCTCGCCTCGATTCTCCAGCTGCGATGACGGGATGGTGGGTGAGATGGTGTCGTGATGGTGTCGTGGTGGCAAAGCAGATCATGGCAGGGGGGACACGATGCCTACCTGGTGAGCGAAGCCTTGCCCTTCTTTGAGCAAGTAACCTCCTGCTGCTCGAAGCCTGGTGCGACAACAATGGGATAGGGACATTGGTCAGTCAGACAGTCTTTAATCACTAGTAACAAGTCCGATGTACGACTGGCTTTCATCGAGCAGACCGCGGGTCGATCGATACATACCCCACTTGGGGAGCTTGACCTTGTGCGAAAACAGCTTGCAACCCTGCATGGCAGAAATCAGCCGGATGTTCTTGCCGAGGGTATAGACGTAGGGGTCCTTCTCGTTGTTGTCGATGATTTCGACTCGCCAGTGGTCATTCGCGTCTCCCAGGAAGGTCGTATCGCCGTATCCGGAGACTTCGTTGTGCTCCTTGTTGTCGGTGACGGGAGGTCTGGAGGACCCGAAATACAACGGGTAAGACGATCCGAGTGGCAAATCGGCCGTATCGAGGCGCCAAATGCGGTATCACAAACCTGATGTCGTGCGTATGGAGGCGCTTGTGGGTGGCAATGTGCTCGAGGCGGATGATGTCGTTGTGCTTGATTCGGGTAAACTCAGTGATGTTGGGCTCGACTTGGGCACCGTGTTCGTCGGTGGTCAGAACAGGTCGGATGATCCATTCGCTGTTCTCGTCGCGGAAGGGATAGCAAGTGATGTGTTGCTGCTTGGATCCGGTGGGATAATCGCCCTTGTGGGAGTGGAGATAGCCGCCACCGGTGCCATGGTGGCGGATGAAGACACGAGAGCCATATCCAACGTCTGCCACGGCACGGGATCGTGGTGTTAGGGGCGATCGATGCGCATTCGGAATACTGGGCATATCGCGGGGATGCGTATGCAGCAAAGGTACCTCGGAAAGTGTCGGGAACTTCGTTTCCCTGGAGGGTGGCCTGGAACTCGGGGCTCATGAAGCCGTTTCCGTTGCCAGACTTATACAAGACCATAAAGTGCACTTGGAACAGCAAGGCGTAGACAACAACGGGCAGGACGATCAGGCAGAGGGCGCGGGCAGCAAAATGTCGGCCAAACTTGGACTGTGCAAGAGATATGTGTGTTTGGGGGGCAATGAGATATCGGGCAAACGAGCAAGGAAACGGCGACATGCGTGTACCGATAGTTTCACGGGCTGAGCAGCGGCACTTACAAAGCTGACGGACTCGTCGCCGATCACGTTCCACAGATTGACGATCGTGGCGACACCGATGGTGGCGATCAGGAAAAGGCCTGCAAACCAGTTCGTGTGGATCAGCACAAGTGCAAAACAACGTTCGGCATCGAGGGCATACATGCCGATACTTACCAACCCATTTGACGCTTGAGGCCAGGCCGAGGGAAACGCCGGTCAGGGCAAGGCTGTACCACCAACTGGCAGAGAAGGGTCTGGGGATCCAGAACAGATTGGAAATTGCAGGCGGCAGGTGAGGACGAGTCGAAGCTCTGGGCAGAGGTCGGGGCGGCGACGACCACGTACCTGTCCTGGTGGATCAAAAACTCGGTCCACATCATCACGGTCAAGGCGGTGAAGAAGATGAGCATCGGATCCTGCAAGGAAACGGCGTGATTAGAGCTTGCTCAGCGCGTATGGACACTCAATCCAGAAACGGCATGTGCAACTTACAAGCAGGATCAAGCGAGATTGGCTATGACGAGCAGCGCGAGAAAGGAAAAGGTGGGTCAGTGTGTGAATGAGCTGAATCAGCATGGGCTGTGTGGGCACAGAAGCAAACTAGGACCGCCCTTACGCTGCGAAGCCGTTTTCTGGTGATAACAGAGTGGCGCCATAGGGTTAGTCGGGTTAGTCGAGTGTGCTATTGGCTCGATCATCGTCAGCGACGATCTTGTGCAAGATCGGCGTTGACCTGGCCGACCGACAGCTGGAGCAGCTTCCGGCAATACAGCGACAGACCCACGACAACGCACGAATACCGAGTGATCGAGCGCTCGATCAGTACAGCTACATACCAAAGAGCACAAGGAAGGCAGAAAGAATCGAAGCAGACATGGAGTAGCCGAGATTGCGCATAGTCACAAATGCAATCTGGGCGATCCCAAGAGTCAGTCGCGAGACTCCGGTGGCGGATTTGCAATCGACAGTCGACAGCCGCTTTCCTCACCCCTCACGAGCACCCCGAAAGAATTAATGTGCTTACAGGAACGAGCAGGACACCCAGGATGCCCTGGAAGAGGCGCATGGTGATATAAGGCACTCGGGGCTCGACGTAGTCCATTCCAATGTCCTGTGGGGCAGCGGGAGAGTGAGTGTCGCGAGCGCAATCCCGCATAGAGCTCTGCGAGCGAGCTACTCACCTTGAAGGAGAACGAGCCATTGTAACCAGCAACAGCTCCGCTGGCGGCAACCAGCAATTTTCCAAGCTGTGGACAGAAAGCAGTATCAGCACCATGTCGATGCGTTGCTCTGGCGAAGTGCAAAGGGCCAGAGCTGCAGCTCGGAGACGCCCAAGGGGGCTTACCGGCGGATGCACATCCATGAAGAACTCGCCCTTGATGTAGTGGCTACCGAATCCACCTGTGTGTCGAACGAGCCGTTGAATGATTATGCGTGGGAGCAGTCGGGGGAGGATGGAAACAAGGCACTCGGCAATATGCACGGATGATCCTGGGCCGAGACCAGAGACAAAAGATCTAGCCGGTGCATACCGAAATGAACTTCGTCAAAGACAACCTCGCTCGGGTTTGAGATGCGGTACAGACGAATCAGAGCCGCGACGATGGTCAGGGCGATGACGACGTTGATGTGGTTCTGGCGGACGCCGACATCCTTCTGGGCATTGAACTGACGAGTCACGGTCCACAGCGGTTAGATGGTGCGCTCTGCGAGATCCTTTGGATCGTGCAGATATGCCCTGCTCGGTATATCTGATCCCGAGAGGGCAGGTGGCTGCGTCTGGAGCCGGGGTGGCCAGAATACGGGCCGCAACCCCGAGGGCGGCCTTACTTTGTCGTACTTGGAGTCCGGGTCGAACGCCGGCTGCGCCTTGGTGGGCAGCACAGACGACTTGGGCTTCCGATGCGTGACGGAGCTCATGAGCAGCAGGGGCGTGGCAGGGAGAGGGCCAAGGCTTGGAGCGGGGCAGGCGGTTGGCTTTGGGCAAGAGCAGGCGCGGAAGGACAGCGCCGGGCGGTCTCGGAAAAGGCAAGATGGCGAAAGTTGCGCTGGCGGAATCTCGGCCGGCCACAGGAAGCACAGCCGCACTGTGGCCGGCCAGTGCGCAGCATGTGCTTCCCGTTATCTGCCTCTCATTGCTGGTCTGCGACCGACATCGACTTGGACCGCCCCGGGACTGCAGCAGAAGCGACAGAAGCAACAGCGGAAGCAGCAGCAGAAGCAGAAGCAGCAGAAGCAGCAGAAGCAGCAAAAGCAGCAACACCGCAATGGCCTCCCGCTCGATTTTCAAGCCGTGCATCGACCTGCACAACGGCGCCGTCAAGCAGATCGTCGGCGCCTCTCTCTCCGATGATACGCCCTCGATGCTCAAAACAAATTTTGTCTCTGAGTAAGGCGATCGGTCGATCGGTCGCGCCGAGCTGCAGAGGGTCTGCTGTAGATGCTATAAAGAACAGCCAACGCACCACTGAGAGCGCAGGGACAAACTTCTCTGCTCGATTCAAGCGATCGTGCTTGCATAGGCACCGAACTCATCATCGCTTCTCGCAATGCACCTTCCTTTCGGATCTCAGGGAGCCTCCCGCTTTCTACGCCAATCTGTATCGCACACACGATCTCCGGGGTGCGCACGTCATTATGCTGGGCCCAAACAACGAGCAGGCAGCCAAGGAGGCTCTTGCCGCATGGCCAAAGGGACTGCAGGTCGGCGGCGGCATCAGTATCGACAATGCCCAGCACTGGCTTGACTGCGGCGCTGACAAGGTCGGTTGAGATTGCAGCATGTCTCGACGTTGCCTCCCAGGCGCTCGGTCGACCAACTGGCCGCTGGTACTGGCACGTTCTCATCGGCAACATCGACCCCTTCCAGGTCATTGTCACGAGCTGGCTCTTCCCTGAAGGCAAGCTCTCGATGCAGCGACTCAAGGATCTGTCGGCTCTCATCGGCAAGGACAACCTCGTCATCGATGTCAGGTACGCATGGGTTCTCCCAAGGCCACCTAACCGATTCTGGCTCGTCTCCACCCAATCAACATGACGGCCACACGCACGAGACACCCACACCCACACCTATGATTAGAGCTGATTTGCGTCTTCAACAGCTGCCGAAAGAGGGGAAGCCAGTGGTTCGTTGCCATGAACAAGTGGCAGACGATTACCGACGTCGAGGTCTGCCGAGGTACGCATCAAATCATCGGCCCGAGTGATTGCGATTCTGTGCGGCTTCGATCGCTGCTTTGCCAGGGTTTCCGCTGTGCTTAACATGGCAACTATACATCTCAGAAACACTTGTGGACCTCGCGCAGTACTGCAGGTAGGAGCAACAGGTTGTGCTGAGCAAAGAATCGTCGTGCGCATGGTACATTGACTGGACAGCGCCTGAGAAGTGCAATCAATATTTCTCGCAAACCCTGGTTGACATGATCCGGCCCATTCGGATACGCAGCGAATTCCTTGTTCATGCGGCGGACGTGGAAGGTCTTTGCCAAGGCATCGACGAGGAGCTAGTTCAAAGTATGTACCTCTCTTGTGTGCTGCGCTACATTGCATTTGCTGGACTGCACCTTGCGGCAGTATCATCCGTGCCGTACATGTTGTGAACGAGCGCATGTCGACTGCCTTTACACAGAGCTCGGAGAATGGTCAACGATTCCCTGCACATACGCCGGTGGTGGTAAAGGTACGTGCTACATGACGGCGTAGAACGGAGGGCGCCGCAGCAACGGGTATCTCAGTCCAAAGCTCTTGACGATTTCGCCCATCCGTGCCTGGTCTCGCAAGCGACGAATAATCCTCATCCCGTGTATCAGAAATCGAGGACCTGAAGCTGGTCCACGAGCTTTCGAATGGCCGAGTCGATCTAACCTTTGGAAGGTAACCGCGGGTGACGCTTCGTTGGCGGCTCCGGATAGTGCTCCGAGGCCGCATGCGATGATGCTCTCGCACATTCTGCGCTGCCTGGATCAGAATCCGGCAACGATCTTGCCATCCAACGCCCTATTCGACTAACGAGCGCTTCACCTTTGGATCGGACCGTGGCCATGCGTGGCTGCCACAGTGCCCTTGATATCTTTGGAGGATCCGGCGTCAAGTTCATGGACGCAGTGGCCTGGAACAAAGGCGCGCTTGTTCTCTAAACATCTGCAATCGACGCAGTGGCCAAGTGTATCGCGTTCATTCCCCGCCTGTGTGGCTCGAATATAATCTCGAACATGGCCCTCTCACGAAGGGTCCTTTGTATTATACCGATACATACTTTTGGCTCTTTGAGCAAGCCTGTACCGACCAGAGTTCAAGTACTCGTGGTGGCGAGCGCTTCTGCTACGTTCGGAGCTGAATCGGCAACGCGATGGACGGCCCAACTTCCCACTCAATGCCGTCATCGTCGATCATGCGGATGTCGATGTGGATCTCTGCCAGATCGCCCTCCAGCATGGTGACGGGTGGAAACTGCACAATAGTCGAGAGTGCAAAGTAACTATCGACCACTGAGACGCGGTGATCTTGCATGCTGTACTTCTACAGCGATGGCCGGATGGTTCGTTTGACCGTTGGCCGAAAGTGTCCGCAGACCCATGGACGAGAACACAGTCGAGACGCATCAGAGACTGCTCGATTGCTATGCCGTCATCGCGCACACATCAGCATCACCGCGAGGACATGAAACCTACCGTCTTCTCAGCGCCAGCGAGGCTCGTTTGTGACTCTAATGCAGTCACCCATATGAGACACCGGCATTGCACTGCCTTGCGACAAATGCCCCCTGATCGATCCGAAGAGATTGCAGAGTCGAGTCAGAACGAGTCAGAACTAAGCGCATCATGCTTTCGGCCGTGAGACACTGAGCAGCGTATTTCTGCTGTCATCATGACCTCCGACCTGCATCCAACAACTGCTGCTGGCGAGTGACGATGCCCTCGAGATTGAGTACGAATCGCTTGAAGCTTGCCACAACCAAGGGCTCGTTCCGCTTCCATCGAGGAGTCACGATGAGCTGAACATGGCGTGTACATGGCGCCAAAGGAAAGCAAGTTAGTGTGCTTCAAGGGCACATACCATTCGCTGGCAGCAACCCAAGCGAGTATTGCGCAGACACCTACCTCGATGGTGTAGTTGGGCTGAGTCACGAAAAAGTGTGACGGGATGCGCAAGTGCTGCTGCATCATTAAGCCGAGCCAGGAGACCAGGTCCTGCAGAATGGGGTCGTATCCACCATCACCCGGTTCGTTAGTTTCAAATACAGCCACAGCCGCAAGACGCGTCGGACCAATCGAGCCGCAAGCACAATCTCCATTCGAATATCTTCAGGAGCGGTGAAGCATCATGGCCGCAGTTGGTTCTAACGCACCCCAGTGGCGACAGTTTGGCTCGATGCGGCATCACGAATCGACAGAAGCGACTGCATGTCGTGTCCGGGACCATGATCTTGACTCTCGGATGCCTGTTGCTCAAGGATCGCACCGAGTTTCCAGTCACTTATGGCACTGCAGGATGCAAAACGATTAATCGCTGGTTGTCTGCGTCGCCGATGCACCAGCCAGAGTCATTTAGCTTGCCTACCTGGGGGGATGCCCAACACGCACAAGAATCTCGGACAACAGCCGAGTCGCGGCCTGCCATGTGAAAACAAATACAACCAAGCCGGACGACAACGGGGAGAGGCCCAAGGCGCTCGAGTCAAGGATACATCAAAACCAGTCAACAGCTCACAGGCGATCCAGTCTGGCACACACACACACACACACAGCCTGGGCCCATCAACATCGTCGCATTGAAAAGGATATCGTTCAAGGACCGAGAGACTCGTTAGGCTGATGTCAAAATTCATCCGGCTGAGACGCCCAAACTGCCCCGAGAGCTGGAGTGCGCGTATGTTGAGGTCCCGAAGGGCGACAAGCGAGCTTGGGGAGGCATCGGCAGATGCCGTGTGGCTCAGTATATCATTGGCAACCGCAGTGAATTCGGAGAAGAGCATGAGAAACTGCCTCTGGAATATCCGCGGTCCATCGATTGCTTCTAATTTCTATCGATAGAGTCATACATGTACGCGTTATCGAGGATAAGCATGCCGTCTCCATCTGGAGCTACGAAGCTGAGTCAACACGACCCAGCCAAAAATGACCACGGCAGTAACCTGCAGGTGGAGCACCATTCGTTTCGGCAAAGTAGATCATCAAAGCAACATCGGGTTTCAAGATCTTGGCCAGTGGTGCCGCTGCGTACCTCGTGCGCTTCTCGCGCCTGTTTCGCGAACTGGACAGCCGAAGCAGCATCGCCCTGTTTCAGCCCGCTGTGGGCCAGCGACAAGTTGGCCAGAACATTCAACCAAACGACATGCTGATTTGCTGACGCGCCGTTCTGCCGATTTCGAGTGCCGACGCGGTGCGTGTGGGTGGGAAACAGATCGATCGAGTCAGCCAGAGCACCATCATGGACAGTGAGAACCCTCCGAGCTCAGAGTAGTGCGCATCATGGCGAAGCTGGCGTACGATGCGATTCGAGATTACCTCCGCAAGCCGTTTCTGCAGGTCGCCAAATACAACAGCAGCAAGTGTCGAGTTCTCGGCACATAGCGAATCTTGGCCAAACAAATACAGCTGCTCGCCGTTTAGCCTTTGGAGCTGGGCTGAAATCAAGGCGGCTCGGGCTGGATCGTCGGTCAGGTTGTGGACCAGCTTTGTGATCAGAGTCGCCAAATAATACTGGAAGGTGACAACAAATGACTGTTCAGTCTTCCACAGCCCATGTGATGCCAGTTGATCGAGGATCAGGGGTCTGCTCTACAGCCGTAGCTCATGGGGCACAGTGCCGTTTGGTGGCGACAGGATGTATGCACGTACAACGCGAACGGGGTCGGAAGCATGATGCAGAGTGTCGAGCAGCTCCTGTTGTGGGAGAGAGGCAATGTGCGGAAGCCGCGCATGCAGATTCAAGATTGTCTCCAATAGCGCTGGATGACCTATGCGGCAGGAAGGGCGTGTCGAGGGGGTGGTTATTGATGGCAACGCAGCGAGCAAACGGGCGATGCCGACAATTCCATCTATCCACCCACCCAGAGGTGCATGTGGGTGGGCTTAACCTACGGTGCTCGATCCGAAGCAATCGGAGACACATTTCGGGGACATCCGCCGCCGAGTCCGAGTGCAGCGACATGCACAAAAACGACTTGGCCAGGTTTGTAATCTGGATTGGTGCGAGCATGCAGAACGGGTTCAGTCTCACCACAGCCAGACTCACAAGCGATGATGGACAGATCCAAGTATATGAAGCCAGCATTCGGTCCGCAGAATCATGGATTTCCAAGCACTGCCCCGATTGGGAACAGCAATACTTGCCTTGGAATTGTCACAAGCGCCAGCGTGGTGCTCGATGGCAGATACAATGGACTCGAGTAGGTCACGATAGACCATGCGTTCTGGGCATCGCATCGATAAGAATCAGTCAAATCACAACGCAGGGCCGCGTATTCAAAATCTTTGGTCGCTTCTCTTCGGCACTTACTTTTCTGAAGCACCATGGTATCAGCCTCGTCGAGGCTCTGCAGGACCTCCACAACCACGACTGAAGCGTCGTAGGAGCTTTCGCCTCCGCTCTGAATCTCCTTCTTCATGACGGTGAGCCACTCGGACGACTCGGGCGTTGCGAGCCCTGAGGTCCTCAGCAGCATCTGCGAGAACGCCTCGGTGATGGAAAAGTTCTTGCACAGCCGACGGAGAATCGGAAGACACTTTGGGAAGACGCTGACGGCGGTTCCGGCGATCCGCAACACAAACTGTGCCCGATCAACCAAGCAGAGCGATATCGGTGATCATGATGCGACGAAAGAGACAAGCAGTCGTCACTCCTGCACCGCTGAACGCATACACCAGACAAAGGCGTGCCTCTAAAATCATACCTCAAAATCGTTGAGCGTAAAGTGGTCATACCGCTGAGCGAGTATCCAGAGGTTTTCAAACGCCGAATCGCGAACTATTCCGTCTGGATCGGCACTTGCAATCGACAGCAGTAACTCGATCTGGTGGGCGACAGGCAAGGCGGAATGTAAACCAACAGATCCAACAAGAACTCAAGACCGGACTCGGTTGCAGCTGTCGGCATCCGTCCGAGCAAGTAGCGCGCCGGTCGTACCTGGGCCGAGGTGTGAACTTGGGACCGGAGAGACAGAATCGTCATGGTCTTCAGGACGTTGGCGACAAAGACCGGCCGCTGGCGGGTCAGGATCAGCTTACGACACTCGTCCATCGCCTGGGTCCAAAGGGTATGAGTGTCAAACGCACATTTAGCGGTGTGCTCGGATCTCGCTACGAAAGCCGAGCTGTTGCTGTAAGGCTTACTCGTTCGGCGGTTTCGTAATCGTAGTGCATGTGACGGTACATTCGTATGAGCTTGGATGCCACCGACGGATGCTCTGTTCGTTCGAGTACGAGAAGGCATTCAGCGCATTGTCTGTTTGGTTGGTGCCCATGGGGCTGCTGTTCATCATGTGCGAGGCAACTGACGAGGACCAGCTGCTATCCGACCCCACTGAAACTCACTGTGGACGAGGCGAGAGATCCGGATGCAGATAGTCCGGGCGAACGCAGGCGAAAACGGGCAGAGCCGATCGGCTGCAAAGGCTGCGGCTTCGAATTCCTCTGGGACCTCGGAATTCAGTGCCTCCTGGATGCTGTGTGGTCAGATAGGTCAGCATCCACCGCAACCCCCATCGAGATCGAGACGGAGAAGTCTGAGTCCGGGCTTGAATATCGATCTGCCGTATCTCTGGACGCCGAAGAACACTCGACCGCACCTGTGACAGACTTCGATTTGGGTGTGAACTGCCGCGCACATGTGCCCGAGGAACCTGTGGATGGCTGCGTGAGTCGGATATCTGTTGCGGCGTGCGAGTTCTCAACTGTCCACGGCTCCCGTCTCTGTCCGAACCTGAGGGTCAGGGCCTTGGCTATCGGATCGTTGCTCGTGAGAACCACACAGATCCGCCGCGAGAATCGATCGATGCTCTTGATCTTGGAGTGCGACAAGGTGCATTTCTTGATGGTCTTGAGAATTTCCTGGCGGATAAAGTTGTTCCTGGAGTTCGACAGGGCCGGTCCAAAGACGTCAGATCACAAAGCCGGCAATGTTGTAGATCGATCAGAGCCTCGCTGCCATGGCTGTCCTTGCAGCCGACAGCGACTTTGACGAGGTGCTCGACACCAGCGAGGGCTCTGACGTGAAATGGGGTCGTTCTCCCAGCGACGACGTTGATTTGGCTCCGTGCGGATGAGTGGCGACAGTTACCCGATCTTCCACAGCTCGGCAAGCTTGAGATATCCTGAGTGATGCAGCGCAATCGAACAATCAAATCGACAGCGAAAGGGTGCAAATCGGAGGGTTGTGATTCAATCAAAACGGAGGCAGGTGATAACGATGGAAGAGGATATCGGTGTCAGTTGTCTTGCGGATATTACGAATGTGCGGGCTTCCGAGAGCAAGCAGGGACGTGGTCAGTAGATCGATGGGTGGTTGTGTGGGCGGATCGAGGGATGGGTGAATGGGCGGATCGATGGATGGGGTAGGCCAGTTTGCAGCCACTCTGTCATCTGTTTGGCAGCCATGAAGCAACCTCAATGCCTCGCCCGATTGTGCATATTCAATGCATCTGGACCACCACAGTACCGAGATCGATGAGCACTGGAATCGGGAACTGCGTGAAAAAGTCTGGAAAGTGGAGGATGGCTTCATGCTGCTCGTGGAGCTTGCCGGAACGACAGGCTTTATCAAGCGCCCCGAAGAACAGGTTGCCTCGCTCAAGGAGATCGTCGAGGTTGCCTGCGTTGTCGTCGCTGTTGATCATGGCTGGTGGGTAGACGAGCGGCGGGTGTGTAGGCAGATGAGGCCGGTGCTGCGAGATCGAGGGCTGTGGATGGATGGGCAGGATCCAGGCACGACGAGGACGGAAGGCGACCCCGAAATCCAGGACGCCGCGCTGTCACTTGCTCGCGTTGGCTGTTTGATCGTCTGCGACTCGGCGCAACTGTCTGAGCGACCAGGTTGCCGCATGGATATCACTACCGAGTCGACGATGGGCAGAGTGAGGGGCAACTGATGTATCGGACAATGCTGTTGGTTAGAGCTATTGTGTGGAAGTAGGTGGTGTATTCTGCGACCTGAGATGCACACTGGGAAGCAGCTTCTTGGGAACAGGATACTAGAGGGAAATCATAGCGTGCGAGCACAGAATGGAAGGGCAGGGGTGGGGCAAAGGTGGCCGGAGACACTGCTCATTAGAGGGTGTACTTGAGCCACAAATCGCACGAGGCGATCGGTAGCAGCGACAATGGGGTATTGGAATAGTGGGTTAGTTCGCAGTTGGCGGGATCAGCCAGACGGCGTTGCAATGCGGCGGACCGGCAAGACAGACACTCACCCTGGTGCCATCGGGCTGTTCGATCGTCTTGATTCCCTTGGTGTCGATTTTCTGGATGGTGCCGTCTGGAGCAATGATCTCTTGCTGCAGACCCCATGGCGGCCACACCGTCGGCGTGAAAGCACGGGTCAGGTCAAGTGACAAGCATATCCTGGCCCTATCCCGCTCTGCGATTGATAGACGGATACAGCCACAGGCTTGCGCAGCTGCAGTAGTTGGCAGAGGCAGGATGCGCATCGCGGGCAGAGCCGAGAGCCATACCTCTCCGTTCGAGTAGACGAACCGCACGGTGCCGTCGGGATAGTTGATTTCGCTGGCACCGTCTGGATGGTATCGCTCGGACTGGCCGTTGGGGAACTCAAAGAACTGGATGCCGTTCGGGAACGTTGTCTTTGTGACTTGGTTGGATGCAAAGTAGTAGACCTCGACTCCATCGGGGGTTTGCTGGAGCCACGGCAGCGTCAGTCCAGTCCAGTTCGGTCCAGCCCAGTTCGGTGCACTCAACTTCGGTGGCCACAGCAAAGTCCCAGATACGCGATCGACACTTACTGTTTTGTGGTCGCCCTTCTCGAAACGGACAATCGATGTGCCGTCGGGCCGGACTTCCTTCGTATATCCCTTGGTCCGGTACCACGTCAGCGAAATGCCGTTTGCGAAGATGCGGTCCTTCCGGTCCGTCGAGTCGATGGTCTAACAGGTGCGGCGCCGCGAGTCAGTCGGGCCATGGGCTGGGCTTTGATGCCTCCCTCGATGCTGGCTCGGCATCTCCGCACGCAAAACCCACAGCCTCGGCTCCTTACTGATACAGAGGACTCTGCCGTTGGCACCTGTCAACGCCGCTCTCAGCCGCACAGCTCCTGCAGTCCCACCTTGAATCCGACGTCGTTCAGGCCCACTTGGCTCTGGAGCTTGTCCAGGGCAGCATTCCCCTTATCGGTGACGCGGACCGGCGGCTCCGTCTTCGACAGCCTCGATCCTATCGGTGTCTTCTTGGCATCCGACGAAAGCGGCCGCGACCTTGCTGGCGGGGTCTTGGCCGGTGGGGTTTTGACGGGTGGGTTCTTTGGCGGAAGCTTAGTGTTGATTCGTGCTGGCGACGGTACCGTCGTGCTCGACGGACCGGTTCCCGTTCCCTTGGCTCTTGATGCTGCCGTGGACATGCCAGAATGTCTAACGACCACCGGACGCGACTTGGAACCCGGAGCCACTGGCGATATCTAGTTCGGATCCAGAGCACTCATCAGTTTCTTGAATCAACATCTGCTTACAGCGCAGATCTGCGTCGGGCAAGGGCTACGAGTCCAGGATTTCCTCAGTCCATACCGGGTTGGCCTCGGGTCGCTGGGCAAACACGGCGCGCTCCTGTTCCAACAACTTGACCTCCTCCTGAAGCTCCTCGTTTCTTATTCGAAGCTCGTCGATTCGGCGCTTCATGCGATCCTCGTTCTGAATTGCTCGCTGGTCACGTTGCTTGAGCATCTCATTCAGCTCGGCGATCTGTTTCTTGAGGGCCTCAACTTCTTGCCGCTCCCTAGTTAAGTCGACGTTGATGCATGGTTAGGAGTACCGCGGCCATGGGGCAATCGATGAGATGATGGGCAGACTGGCGCAACTCGGCATCAGGGCGCTGGACTGCGGCGAGCTGGCTGCGGAACTGAGGAAGCACCAATCCGCGGCAGAATCGATAGTGAAAGTGCGGTCGAGAGATCCGAATGCGGCAACCAACGGACCCATTCGGAGTCAACGACTCTAACTACCTCTTTGTTGGTAAGATCTCGACGCTCTTTCGGTGCTTCTCCCACAGCGTCCGCTCACTCTTGATCTGGCGCAAACTTTCATCCTGCTGCTCCTTGATGCTTTGAAGTTCCCTAAGCCTGTAGTCCTCAAACTCACGCTTGAGGAGACACAAATGTGGTCAGGGCTCCTATCTCGGCCATCTCGTTGGAGAAGCAAATGCGAGACCAGCCTGTACATATACCCTTTCTCGACTGAGACGCTCCAGACCTTCGCAGAGCTCGATTTGGAGGGGGCTGATGGGGGATTCGGCGGCTGGTGACAATGCCTCTGGCTGTCACGGTCGAGAGCATGGAGCGGATGTGTGAGATTGAGTGCGGTGCAGGCGAGCCATCGGATTTTGGTCATGATCACTCACCTGGTTGTGTGGTTGCGCGAGAAGCTCAGCAATCGGCGGCTCTTTGGGCAGGGAGTCCTCTGGCGAATCCGCACTGGGGGATGCCAGACCATTGCTGGGTTGGATTGTGGACACGACCGGCTCGGTCTGTAATGCCGGGAACAGCGATCGGATGAGCTTGGAGGGCGCCGGGGCTGTGAGTCGAATGGGCCCAAGCACTGTCGGAGGAATGATGGGATTTCGAAGCTGGTGCTCGGACTCGGCGGGAGGCTCGTCCCGGAAAGAAAAGTCTGGTACCGAGGGTCCATGTCCGATCGGGGGGGGGATGAATCAGTCCGTCTGATGCACACTCCGGCCCGAGACCAGCATGGTGGCGTTGTCGAGTGCGGCTGGACCCACCTTCAATGTCGACTTCGGAAAGCAGGACCGAGTTTTGGATGGGCTGCACGACAGAGACATCCGCGTCCTTCCAGTTCTCGTATTCACCGTCCTGGATAGGAGAGAGAAGGAATGGAACGAGGGAGTGGCGTGGAGTGGGGTGGGGTGAATGGGAGAGTGAAGCGCCAGACTGCTGTTTCGCACCGCTACGATCAGCCTCTAACTACACTCGATCGACTTGCATTGCAGACGGTAGGGTCACAACTACAACGTGGCTGGCAATGCCAATGTGCCAAATAGACACCAAAGAGACCGCAACATACCATCCGGGCTGGGAGCGCTGGCGGCTCAAGTATATCGGGATCACTGCAACCACAACCACAGAATGCAGGAGTCAGAGGACTCGCTTCTCATCAGTACATCGCGGATACCATCATCACCGATGCACCCACGATCCCAGAGACTGTCGTCGAATCTTTCGAGACTCACTGCCCAGGTGCATCGCCATGGATGTCGGTCTGGTCCATAGCTCCGAGGATGGACCGGTTTGCGCCCGAGGCTGCGTCGTCGGAGGTATCGGTCGATATCGAGTCCATTTCTGGGTGAGCGAGCGACACATTCGAGCGCGAATGCTCCCGGGACAGGGCGGCCTGCTCGGGCGCTGCCGTTGCCTGGATCAGGTTTTCGAGCTTGAGGAACTCTTCGAGCTCGGCGGCCTGCCTCTGTCGGTTCTTGATCCACTTTTGGCGGCTGCGCTGGCGAGCGGGCAGGAAGATGCGATCGTCTGGGTCGGCAATCGATCCGGCGCTGCTGTTGCTCACAAACGAGACGTCGTATCGATCGATGGTATCCCACAGGGACGCTGAAGGGTTGATGTTGTCGACCATGGCGAGGGCTGAGAGGGAGGGATGCACCAAAGTTGGCGCAGAGGGAGCATTGTCAGCGCAAGCTGGGGCGAGCGGGGGGCCGGGAACAGGCGCTGCGGAGATGCGTCCGCCGTTGCACTCGACAGGAGGCCGATGCACCCACAGACCTGGAGATGGAGTTGTGCTGGCTGATGGCGCTGGAGGGGGGTAACGAGGAGACCGAGGATGATGTTGCCGACGCAGCCGAACGCACGTTTGCAAAAGTGAAAAGCAGGTTCCGCAAAAGGAAGGGGCACAAGGAGAGCCAAGCTGGGCCCTGTGTCACCCACTATGGAAGCGGGTATGGACGCTGGGAGGAAGCTGGTGGATGGACGCTGGGAGAAGCCGGTGGATGGGCGTCTTCTTGGTTGTGCGCAAGTCTCCTCCGGCTGTGCGCATGGGCCTCTGCATCCAGGAGGGGATCTCGGGCACAGTCTGAGCCCTGCATGCAAATGCCTCGCCTCGTCACATCGCATTCCGCTTGGTTCGTTTCATGGGGAGCGACACAGCCACCGCGCCGGATCGAGCCGCTGGGCCGGATCGAGCCACACGCGATCTCTGCGAGAGCAGCCGAGAGCAGCCGAGAGCAGCCGAGACGCAGTTCGCCACAGTTCGCCACATCAATCACATCCTGTCACCATCAAATCGGATCTACTTCCCATCCCACACCGATCCCATCCCACACCGATCCCATCCCACGCCGATCACATCACCCACATCGATCGTCTGCCATGTCGCTCCTGCTTCGCCAGCTCCAGTCACCGAGACCCCTGCCGTTGCCGCTCAGCCGCCTCCATCCGCGATGGGCAATCCAAACCCGCAACTACGAGCTCCCCGTCAGTTCGCTCAAGAAGCGGGCCGTCATCAAGCACAAGGGCAAGCTGTGGGTCGTCTCCAGTTTTGCACATCGGCACCAGGGCCGCCAGGGCTCGCATTTCAACCTGGATCTCGTCGACATCAAGTCCGGGGCCAAGCTCTCGGAACGCTTCAACTCGGGCACGGTCCTCGAGGGCGTTGATCTGGAGAAGCGCCAGCTGCAGTATCTCTACACCCTTGACGACCAGATCCATCTGATGCACCCTGAGACCTTTGAGGAGACGGCGATTGCGGTCGATCTGCTTGACGGTAGGAATTTGGGTTTGTCTCTGGCGCTCTGGCCGCCATGATGCCAGCGTGTACACACTGCTGTTCGGTTGTCCAGCGTCTTGACAATCCCCATCGCTCCTTCGACCGACCCAATCGCCATCCGCAATCTCACCAACACCAACACTAACTCCGATCCCAATCCAATGGTCGAAATCGGGCTCGCGTCTGTCTTGCTCGACCCATGTTCCTGCCTGCAATTCGGGCCAATGTGCGCTCGTCCATGTGCTCCCCAAATCTGGCCAACGAAATACTCGCCCGCCCTCATCGCTTGAATCTCGTCCGCCTCGGCACCATGTCTCTCTCTCTCTTTCGTCTGACCCGGATCCAACCCCAACTCCAACTGCAACTGCAACTGCACCACTGTTCCCCAGGCGGTGCCAAGGCCGTGCCCTTCCTGCAAGATGGCATGATGATCCGCGTCGACCTCCACGAAGGCGTCCCTGTTCAGGTCGAGGCTCCCGATCGCGGCAACTACCTGATCCAGTTCACGGCCCCGCCCCCGAGTTCGTCCACCAACGAGAGCAGCAAGGGCACCGCCAGCAAGTATGCCACCCTCGACAACGGCGTCGAGATCCTGGTGCCGGACTTTATCGAGCCTGGAGATTCCGTCACCGTCCATATTGCCGAGCAACGCTATCTCGGCCGTGCGGCAAAGAAGTAGAGAAGCCATCTCATCTCGCCCCTCCTCTCTTCATGGCTGATCTCGGGACGATGCCCCTCTCCCCTCTCTCTTTGTCATCACTATCATCTTCTTGCCTCCACCCTCGCCTTGATATGCTCAAAATAGCGATCGGCCCTCGTATTTTTCCTCAAATGGACGGCCTGGTTGATGACTCGCTTGCACATCTTGCTTACACATCTTGCTTGCACATCTCGTGGACAGTGCGCTGTTGCTTGCTGTGGAGATCGAGTCGCTTGAATCGCCGTCGCCTGGGTGATGTCTTTCGCTTGTGGGGAGCCATCTGAGCGAGAAAGCGTCCATGATTCAGACCCAGAAACGTATCGCTGAATGGTCATGGCCAGCGTGCGGTGTGTTGAGGCAACAACATACTTGTTCAACGACCAAAATCCGGGGGGTGTATCCCGTTTTTTTTATTGGATTGGCTGTAAAAGTACATGGCGGGGAACCCAGAACTGCGCCATCGTATCCAGGGTCAAGGCGCCGTTCAGCAGGGATAAGAAACCGTATGTAATGGGCGAAAGAAGGCATAGGGGGCGGGAAAGAGAAGAAGGAAAGGGAAGAGCGAAGAGAAGGGAATAAGGTGTACGTTGTTTTATGGGCGATCAAGATGCAAAGGAAAGAAAGCGGATAACAAAAGGAACGATCGATAGAGCAAGGCAAATGAAGAGAGCCTGAAGAGCATCGCGGATGACGGCGAAGCGAGGTCAAAGAGTGTCGTCGCGCCACAAAAATATCGGGTTCATGGCCGATGATGGCATCGAGAATTGTCAACATGCAAGGTCGGGTCACGATATGTCGCCGTCAGAGATCCGATCCACGCGCGTGCGCTGTGTGTGTGTCGATAATGTGGTGTGGTGTGGTGTGGTGTAGTGTGGTGTGGGAAGAGAGCAGACATGGCTGTGTCGAAGAAGATCCATCATTGAATAAGCTGGCGCAACAGTGGTCGCGGACGTTTGCAAAACAAAGTCGCGACCGCAACCAACATGCGTTCGTGGGCTGACTGAGGCCGAGGTGTCGGGGTCGAGAGGGCAATGTGAGACTTTGGCAAGGTGATTGGAAGACGCAGAACTGAGCTGAATAGAGAGGGCTGGAGAGGCAACCGATAAAATGTCAATATGCGAGTGTGCAACCGTGGTCTGGGTTCTCGCCTTGAGCACCAGACTGCTGTGTTCGAAAAACAATGTCATGCGCGAAGCTCCAGACAGGGACACACATAGTTGGCGCCAAGCTGACACATGCCGTCGGCAGTCAGGAGGACCGCAGAACTCGCATCGCAACTCCATCGCCCCTGTTGGTGCATGGCCCCCGTTGCTCCGAAAGCACTGACACAGTCACGATGCTCTGCGCAGACACGCTGCGTCTCAGCGCCTGTCTGTCCGCGACCGAAACCTGCCTTTCTATATTCGTGAGAATTAAGGCGTGACAGAGGGGAGCATTGGCGGCGATAGTCGTCGCTTATTGCGGCCAAACTGGGGCTGTATGATCTTTGGCTGCAGAATCTCGAAGGAGCACATCAGCTCCTCGTTCACTAAAAAGGCAATCGGAAAGCACAGTCAGAAAGACGCAGGGTTCCGACTGAAAGCCGATCGCACAGATGCAAATGCAAATGCACATGCACATATACACAGTCCACCAGCCAGTGCTTGGGCCTGTCGGGTACTTACCGGCCATGACCGCTCTGGCGTTGCATTGGTTAGATAGCGCAATTGGTTAGATAGCATCCACATAAACACAGCAAGGACGGACTACCCTCGCGGCTTGAGCGGTTGGTTCACTTACCCCTTGTTATCTATTGCAGCAGATAGCCAAACGAAGCGGATCAGTATGCTGCGGCTCCGAAGGGCCTCTCAAACGTACAGCCACATCAAGGGCGAGAGCAAACAGCCCGCTGCGGCGACAAGCCCAAGGGCCACATACCAAATTCACCACAGTAGTTGGGGGCCGAGAAGATGGTGACAAGAGTCCGGTCGTTGAAGAACTCGTATCCTTCCTCCACAACCATGTGTGCTCGGCAGACCTGTTGGCACATCGGAATACCGGGTCAACTACACCGCCTCACATGGCAACTCGGGACAAGCACGGTTGAGCCAAGCACAGCCGAGGAACCGATGTCGCCAGGGAAGGGATTTGAGATGGTGGTCCTACCAGATCAAAGTCGTGCTTGGCCAAAAACTCAGTCACGATTGTTTTCCCAAAGCCTATGTGCGAGAAAGCGCATCAGTATCACGACAAGGTTCGATGATGTCCACGCGGGCGGCACTCGAATCGTTGGTGCTTACAGTAGCTAACGCCGCGCTCGTTGTCCTGCAGGAGAAGGCGACAACGTTAGCGGTAGATCCGCAAGGATAGCATGCAGACAGTGGGGTTTGTCGGTGGTCAGAGAAGCCACAGGTGTCAAGGAGCCTGAGATGCGTCTCCATCATGCTCGAAGGCTGACACGCGGTTATGACGGCAGTAGAAGCCCACGACGGTCGAACATACCTCCCAATCAATGGCAGTTTCGCTCGGATCGGACCACAGAAGATCTGACGACAGAGTACAATCACTGGTTAAGGGCAGCGCCGGATCCGCTGCGATCGATTGAACTGCAGCTATAGAACGACCACGGGAGCAGATCGTATTGCGGCACGCCGAAGTACCGTTGAGCAGACCAAAGTCCGGGACGTCGCAAGGTCGCTCGATCATGCGAACCTCATCCATGCTAGAACGATTGGCAGAAGTAGCAGCGGGTCAGCAATGCCCGTAAGTCAGCAGCACCTGCGAGTCGGTAACACCTGCGAAGCAGCGACACGACTGGCATCGCTCAGATGCGCCATGAATCGGAACAGTCCTTACTTGTTTAGGCTCGGTGACAGCCCGCCATGAACGCAGAAGATCTGCAGGATGAAAATGGATGAATCAACAAGCACACAAGGGTGGTGAATTTGAGAGAAGAGCTGAACCGCGCAAAGGTGGTAAAGGTGACAAGGAGCACACATCCGAGTCCATCGACCAGCAGATCCGGCCAACTTTGATCATGCCGCATGAACAAAGATGCCACGGGGCCAGCAACTCAAAGCCCGCGAATGAGGTTTGAGAGGCGAGCCGCTCAGGGCCAACATGCACGTGAGTTTAGTCGCTTGGATGCTGAGGATCATACCTTGCCTGTAAGCGGAAACAACACACATGTGGTTAGTTCCCCTCCCGACAAGAGAAAGACAGGCGAGCGTCGTGAGGCTCGTACAGCGAGAAAAATCAACTCTGGAGTCACAGGGATGCATGGTCAGCCTCCGCAGATCCAATGCTTACCAGCAACGATGGCTGCGATGGGCAGGCAGTTGAAAGCATCGGTGAAGACCTTCCAGATCTTCAAGTTACACCGTCTTTTGCACTCATCGTAAAATCCATAGACTGGCGATAGACGATGAAGTGGGCTCAGTCCTGTAGTTCGACCCACCAGAAGAGCAGTCCACCGCCGGCGAAGCTTGGGGGATAACAGTCTCTCATAGAGGATGCCACCGATCGTTCCTCTGAGCAGATTCAGAGTGCGCTGAGCTGCAACTTGTTTGCTCTCGAGGTACTCAAATCCATGCGACCGCCGAGCTCGCTCCAGACATACCTCGGTTCACGGATGCGGATTCGTGATTGCCTCGCAGGATGAAAAAGTTCTCTGGGTACTTGATTTTGTACGAAAAGAGCAGCAGGATGGTCTCGAGACTCTGCTTTCCTCGATCGACATAGTCGCCTGATTGATCAATGGCATGCGGGATAAGGTTAGTGTTGGCCTTGACGTTGGAGGTGCCGCGACCGCGGTAGCCAACATTGCGCGCAGCTGGTCGAGCGGACAGACCAGCCGGACGAGACGGATGAAGCGGATAATACGGCTGTTGCACAGCAAATAAGGGTACTTGCCCAAAAACAGGTAGTTGGCTGACGGCGGGTAGCCACACATGTCAAAGACTCGGCACAGGTCATTGTACTGCCCATGGATGTCGCCTATGCACGATGAGCCGGCGGAATGGATCGGTTGAAGCGAGATTGATGTTGATCCGGACAGATATACACCACAGGAAGATCCAGAGTAGCCACGCAGAAAAAAGGATGCAGGGCAACGATTGCCACGATATAGGGAGTGAGAATGTTTGCCGGCCATTGCACAGACATCTCAGGCTGCCTCTGACTCAGCCGCGGCTGCAGCGGCAGCTGCAATGACAGCATCGGCGCCGAGTCCGTGTCCAGACAACAGCGCCTTCTGATGGGGGGCGAATCGATATCGCCGACAGTCAGCTGGCTCGAGCATTTGGACGCTACCGCATCAAGCCGGCATTCAAGTGAAAGAAAAACAGAGATTCTCCAAAAGCAGACCACGGGCGGATCGCTCGGACACATGCAATGGCTGCTGGTGATGGCGAAGAGCGCAGACGACGCATATGCCACTCTCAGCCCTGGCAAAAGAACGAGAGAGAAAAACAAAGACAAAACAAAATAGGAACCACGCCGAAAGCGAAAGCGAAAGCAAAAGCCAAAGCAGAGATGGGAGGAGAGACGGACTCACCGACGATGTGGACGGGCGGGTTCAGCTCCAATAACACAGGCTGGTCCAACAAGACCTCGCGGATCTTTTGGCATATCCAGGTGATTTCAGAGTTTTTGATGCATGGGGTTTTGCTGAATTTTTGGGATCTGGCCTGGATGAGCCGCTGGATGATGTCGTCAATGTCGAACTTGAGGTCGGTCTTGCCGGCAGCCTGGGCAAAGAGGGTGGCCCTCGTCAAGGGTGACACCTCGACGGCAGAGGAATTGTCGTAAGGAGTCGAGGACGAGAGCGAGCCGGGTTGGACATTTGGCGAGCCGATGAGGATAGGCGGGGATCGCGGGGCGAGAGTGCTCCCAGGGGCGGCTCCGGGCTGGGCCTTTGCCCCGTCGATCGGAATAGCGGCAGCATCTCCGGCCGGGGCTGGCTGGCCAGGCTCGGGCAGAGGAAGACTCTTTTCGGATTCGCTCGGACGAGTCGACTGCGACTGTGAGAGTGGCTGCGGATAGCCCTGCAACAGCTGCTGTGGCGACTTTGAGTTTCCGTTGCCCATTGCAAAGGACGGCGAGCGATGTGACGATCGATACGGAGGAGAGAGGAGAGAGGAGGCAAAGGAGAAGGGAGGGTTCGCTTCTGGCGGGCTGGGCTGGAGCGAGGCGAATCGCAGACGGCCAGGCGGGGTGGAGGTGATGCAGGGAAGAGCAGGGACGATAGGGGTGTGCGGATGGGTAGATGAGAGGAAAAGAGTCCAAGAGAGAGACGGGAGGTGATGCCGTCGGGGCAGAGAGGCGACGCTGGGAGTTGCAGACAGAGCGGGTCTGTCGGGGGCAGATCGGTCTCGCAGATGTATGGAAAACGCCGAGCGAGGGGCGGCAGCAGAAGCCCAAGTCGACAGGGGGGAGAGGACTGAGAGGGACTGAGAGGAACTGAGAGGAACTGAGAGCGACTGTGGGGACAACAGAGAGAGCGACTCCACGGCAGCGGCACAGCGACTGTACGGCGACAAGCTGCGGCTGCGACCGCCACTGTCGCTGTTGGAGCGCCGCTGTCCAGAGAAAAATCCACCGACACAAGCGTGGGCGAGGCCGCACCGAGACGCTGCACGCCCGGCGAGAGCGCACCGAGAAGGCCGGCGAGAGCACACACACACACACGCTGGGTCTGCACCCGTTGCCAAGTCATCGAGCGAGCACCGCTCCGACCACGGGCATGGCCATCGCCGTTCTGCTCTCTGGGCATCGCCGTTTTGCTTTTGCACATCGACGTCGTCTTGCGCATTGCCGCCGTCTTGCACACGGTTGCCCTCTTGCACACGATCTGTCCGGTTTTGTCCAGCCGTCGTCCGTGCGCTGACACAGCCCCGTCTGTCCCCCGCCGGCCCTTGTCGGTGCTGCGTGGTTGTCGGCGCCGGTGCTGGTCGGGTCTGGTGCGGGGCGATTGCTCGCCAAACACGTTCGTGGGCGGAATCGGCCTGCTGAAACCTGTCTCGTGCTCCATCCTGTCCTCCGTCCAACATGTCGCATCAGGCCCGGCGATGCTGCTCCGGCGAGCGCTGCCAACCAGGCCGGCCTCGCCGACCGGGCCATCCGCGGGCAACCACCAGCGATCAGACCCGCCGCGTTTGGGCTGGCTGCTTCAGCCGCAGACACGCTGTCGGCAGTCCGCCCAGGCCAAAAGCGGCCTTGGTATCGCGGTGCCGCACCCACCCCTGCTGCACTTGTCCAGACCCACAGCACCCCGCCGCCTGGCCGCGGGCTGGACTGGATGTGGCGCGGGTCCGACTGTGCCGCCATGTGACACGCACATGACTTCGATGGCTGCTTCCTTTCGATTCGGCTGCCCACCACACCCATCACACCCATCACACCCATCACATCCATCGCATCCATCACACCCATCACACCCATCACACCCATCGCATTCATCGCATCCACCACATTCCTGCATTCCTCCCGGCGGCCGTCTCTGCATCCGCCTCCATGATGGCGTCGCTCGCTGCACATCCAGGTCATCCGCAACCGCCGGTCCAGGCCCACTGCTCGTTTTGTCGTGAGCACGCCCGCGACTCGCCCAGCGATCTCCTCGAGCTCTGCTGCAAGCTCTATTTCGCCAACCAGGGCATTATGAAGCAGATATCGGCCGGGGAGCTCGAGATCCAGCGGCTTAAAGAGAAGATTTCTTCGCTCCAAGCCTCTGCGCCGATCGCCCCTGCCTCTGCGCCGATGAAACGGCCCTCCCAGCCCCCTGATCGGGTCGTCCACAAGCGATCTCGCCACGCCTATACGCTGTCGCCGTCATCCGAATGCTCGGCAGGTCCTTGGATCGACCCAATATCGAGCGTCTCTCCCTCACTGGATCGAGATCAGCCTCACCTCTTCCTCGAGTCTCTTCCTTCCGAGCACTTTGTCGACGCTGTCATCGGCTCATTCGACCCCGAGTCGCCGCCCTCTCGAGGTGCTCAAGCTGCGATCTCGGATACCCCCGATCCGCTAAGGGCCCCCGAAATGGCCCCCGAAATGGCCCCCGAAATGGCCCTGCATGATCGCCCCAACCCCGCCTCTCCCACGCACGTCCGATCCCGTCCAACCTCCATCAAGCTCATTCTTGGCCCCCGAACACTCAGAGCTCAGTGCACCGATCAGCCATATGCACCATGCCAATCTCTCATCAGCCAGTCAATACCCTCAGGCAGCACGACACTATCAGCGTCCCACCGCGCCAGCCCGAACAACTCAAGCACCGACGAGGTATTTAAGTGTGACGACCCACAGCCTCTCGCTCCGTCGGCCGCCTGTGGCAATGTCGGCGTTTGTGCTTCTTCTCCGAGTGAGGCTGGACGGCCGGGTGCCTCAAGATGGTCTATCGACAGTGACCGTCGGCATGCGATACGAGCGAATGCATCCTCCCCGGGACCGTGGCCGCTGGATGGCCCCATCGACTCCCTGCCGAGCCCGCCTCCTCGCTGGGACCCTTGCCGCCCCCCTGCCGTAAGTAGTCTCCCTCAAGAACGCCGTGTTGCTGAGTATTCCGGCCTCGATCACCCCCACGGCTCCTCATCACTCCCGACTTGTCCAACAGTCGATCGCAAGTCAAGCACATCGTCGCCAATTGTACGTCCAAGCCATCGAGATCCAGCGGCTGCAGCAGGCGATCGGCCACACTCCCATGATTCCACAAGTCGTTCGTATGCGCCGTCGTCGTGGATGCCCTCCGATCTGCTGGGTGCCATCGATACGATTCTGAGCTGTCCGACCTTTGATGTCTCCAAGAGTATGCCATCAGGACAATCTCCTGCGGCAGCTTTGGTTGTCGACTGGAGCCAAGCGCGCGAAAAGCATCTCCTGATAGCAGAGGCACCGGCGGCATGGAAGCGCAGAGTCGGTGAAATTGACAATGCCGTCGATAGCTACATATGCGGTAAGTGCAAGCCCCTCTAGATCGCGTCTGGAAGCGCAAGCTGCTCCTGTTTATTCGATGTGGGCACCCCAACAGCCTCAGCAGCGACCCTGATTTACACTGACATTGTCACCTTTAAATCTCGGTTTGTGCCCCTTCCCATGCAGTGCTTCGTCAAGCCCACCAATCGTTCGGCAGCGTCCACAAAGCTGCCAAAGTAATCCTGGGATCCTCACAACCCTCCAGCGGGCCTGTGCGGCCACATATTGTCGCGCAGGCCCTTCGTGGAATCGTCAAGGAGCTAGATACGCCCATATTCCTGCGCACACACACTCCGGTTGAAGCCACGAGGATTGCGTCGAATATCTATGGCGGGGCGCATCTCGGCGCGTTTGTGATCGATATCCCGACGGCGGTCCCTCTCTCGGAGCAGCTTGTCGCATTGCAAGTCTGGAGCACGCTGCTTCAGGATCCTTGGGTGAGTCGAGAGTCGCGCAGCGCCATACACCGAGCAAGTCAAGCACAGGGATTAGTGAATGCTGCATGGTCCTTGTGCTCGATGGATAATGGATGCATATTCTATCGGGAGACGGACACAGAGGCGTCCCGGCGGCTGATACGCCAAAGTCGGCCCTCGGACCGTGAAACGTACATACCTTTAACAAACGTCTGTGCGCCACAGAGTCTGCCGGCTGTTTGCTTGACGCTATTGGACTTGCTCTCGACCATCCAATGGACCGACCAGGAAATCGGAGCCATGTGGTAAGCTGTCGCGTCCGCGCTTGTTCCGACATGCCCGCTTTAGCACCGCTCTAACGCCCCTTCCTTTCTGCGCTTGTGCTGCAACACAGCCGTCTGGCCCGGATATTCACGATGCTGTGTCGGTTCCAGAAGTGGCCCGAGAGTGCACTCGAGCTCATCTACAACCATCTCACCACCACAAAGGGGCGAGTGTCGCTGCTGCTTGTCGACAGCGTCACCAAGACATGGAAGTCGATCATTTCAGTCATTGGTAAGTCATCGGTCTCGGTGGATGCACCTGGGCACTGCGGCGTTGTTATTGATAATATTTATCCGTTTCCTCCCCGCTACCAGTCAAGGATCCCGTTGCAGCATCGACTCTAAAGCACATGGTCCTCAAGGGACAATTTGACCGATCGGTAAGCATCAATAACTCCCACAGTCGACATCTGTGCACTGACATGGGATATTCGCCCACTTACGAAGCATATCGTCCCCATTCTGCGCAGATCTGTCCGTGGATTCATGCACTCAGCCCAGCTCCACTCGAGGCCTTGATTAGCAGCTATGTGCAGCGTCTTTGTCGGGGCAGTGTTCGAGGTAGGTTGTGGAAGGCGATAGCTCCGTCGTATGCACTTTTACTCTACGGCTGTACTTCTTTCGATCAGGAGGTGCGCAAGGTGTGTGCTTGCTGATTCCTCTGTAGCTCGGCTGACCCATGAATTCTTTTGGCTTGTGGTTTATAGAATGGCAAACGATCGGCCCGCCAAGATACGTCATCCGCGCATTGGCGTTGGCTGTTGCCCATCTCCCCTGGAATGTTTTGTAAGTGGGCCTGCGCACACAGCTCTATCGTACATCGACGTTGGCCGAATGAAGCCATGCAGACCGCTGGACAGCACTCACTCACTCACTCACTCACTCACTCACTCACTCACCCAGGCATCTCCATGTCGCTGCATTATACCACCGGCTTCAATCACTGGACGAAGACGAAGCCATCATATTCTTTGCACATCTCGTAGCCCAGTTCTTTGCCACGCCCAAGAAGGTCACGCCAGCATCGCTGCAGCGTGTTTCACAGAAGGAGCTGGGCCAGTTTCTGTGGGACCAGTTCGGGAAACTCTTCCACGAATCACGCGAGATTGAGTGTAAGTATATCTGTGGACTGCCGTGAGCCCGTCGTGCTTGCTGCCAAACATCGCAGATGGCGCTGGAGAGGCTTTTCTGATGGAATGGTATGGCTGCCGGCGGAGTCAGCAATGTGATTTGCGGTTGACTGGCCTGGAAATGCGGGGCGTTGTCGTTCCAACCCACTCGGCGGGTGAATCATTCTGGGCCGACTCGCTCATCCCTATCTCACCTGCTCCGCCTCTATTTCGTCGTCATTTCCTTGCAGATGGATACCGACTCGCCCTTCTTGATGCGATTTCGCAGATGAGCGGGTACTCTCTCGATTGCTCGATCGTCCGGTGGTTCGGATCCTTGACGACCGAACAAGCGATGGCTGCCTCGCGACGGACAGTCGATATGATGACGCGGCACCAAACCCGCATGCCCTCAGTCCAACGGATGGACAAGGCTAACAACACCACGATCCGCACAGCATCAACCTTGTAATCATGTATTTATTACCCGCAATAGAACATATTCTGGCACAACAGAGCGGCTCCTGCTCATCGAGAGGAAGCGGTTCGGCTTCGATGTCGTGGGCAATTGACACATCAATGAATGGTGGTTCGCTAAATCCATCTGCGGAACGGGGAATCCAACTCGAGGCGAGGGGCTCCAGCTCCGCTCGGCAGTGCAGGATGTCTCCCACCCCCTTCTTCCTCCATGCGCATTGGTTTCAATAGTCCGGATGTAGAGATTCATAGAGAAATCGCTGATGTATTCATATTTGTCGAGCGGCAGGAGCCATAGAATTGGACAAAAGCATAGCATTATCGAACGCGTTTTAGCGGCGATGGGAGGGGCAAGTTTCTACATAGATATAGACGGACTGTAGGGCGACAGGGGGAACCTTAAGGCCTCGAAGGGCCTGTGAGTGAGTCGGAGGGCGGAGTGCAGAGGAGGAATCGAGTCTCACCCTCCCATGCAGCCCCTGCTCAACCTTTGGGCTCTAGGAATATAGATGGAGAGCGCATTTAAGGAGCAGCGGCGGTGATGGCGATCTTGGAGACAGTGACACCGGTGTACTCAGTTCCGGGGTCCGAAACAAACTCGAGGATGATCTCGGCAACCGAGTCGTCAATGGCCCAGGTCTGGCTGACGGGGCGGGGCTGGTGGTCGGAGATGGCATCGGCCTTGAGCAGCTGGGCGACCTGGCCGCTCTTGTTCTTGGCATAGACGTAGAAAAAGTCATAGGTGGCCTCGGTATCGACGGTGGCATTGATCGAGAGCTGGTACTTGCCGGCGGGGAGCTGGGTGAAGATGGTGAAGGAGGTGTCGACGTTGTCGGCATAGAGACCGGTCTTGGGATCGACGGCGATCTTGAGGGCGCCGTCCTTGAGGATCCAGCCCTGGCTAGCAGGGGAGGTGGGGTTGTAGATGCCGGCAAAGCTGGGGATCTGCTGGAAGTCGTAGTTGAAGGGAACAGAGGAGAGCTTGGCCGAGGGGACGATGCGGAAGAGGCGGTTGGTCTTGAGGACAGCGTCGCCGCGAGAGTTGGTGCCGGAAATGGTGCCAGTGAAGGTGCTGAGGGCGGTGGGAATCTGGTAGGTGGAGTTGAGGGTGAAGTTGGACTTGCTGGTGGAGGCGCCGGCGTTGAGAGAGCCGACGACAGTGCCGTTGACGGTCAGCTGGAGGTTCTGGAGACCCTGCTGGACACCCGAGATGGACAGGGTGGAGCCGACAGTGACATCACGGGTGAAGGGCTCGGCAATGAAGTAGAGGCTGCTCTGGCCAGTCTGATGGCCAAGGTCCTTCAGGGTGGAGGCGATAAAGTCAAACTGGCTGAGGGCCTTCTTGCCCGAGAACAGATCGTCCCAGGTGGGGCGGAGGGTGTACTCGGAGAAGACACCGTCGTCCTCGATGAGGGCGCCGTTGTTGACACCGTTGCGGACGGTCTGTCTCCATCCGACACGCATATCGGCCTTGCCGAGACCGCCGTTCTGAGCATTGAAGGTGGTGTAAGGCAGAGGGCTGAAGATGCGGGTGCCGTTGAAGGCATCGTGGTTCACGGTGCCAAAGTACTGAACCAGGTACGAGGCATGCTCGACGACGTTGGCACCGCCGCCACCAGTCTGGCCGTCCTGGCCAAAGATGTAGGCAGTTTGGCTGTCCTGCATGTTGGCGGAGAACATATCACACGACGAGAAGCACACGGCGTCGTTGAAGATGGCAACGGGCTTCAGGTAAACGTTGCCGAGCTGGTTGACGCTGTTGAAGTCGCCAAAGTGGCCCAGGTCGCCGTACTCGGCCTTGCTGTTGAGACCAGCATCGTAGGCAGTGATCCACTGGGGGCCAGCGACGAGGGGAGCAACGGGGCTGTGGAAAATGGCGGTGTTGGTGTCAGAGATCAGAGCACGGGCGCCGTTCTGGACAAAGTCGGGCTTGAAGAGCTGGGGAATGGAGTTGGCCATGGTGATGTCACCACCACCGTTGGAGCGGATGTCAAAGACGACGGCATCGGTATCAGCGAGCTCGTTGACGAGGAGACCGCGGATCAGAGCGACGATGTTGGTAACCGAGGTGCTGGGCTCAAAGTCAGCCAGGAAGATGACACCGAGGTTGGCACCGTTCTCCTTGTAGATGGTCCAGGAGAGTTTGGTATCGGGAGTGCTCTGGTAAACGGGAGCGACGTTGCCGGCGGGGAAGACCTCCTTGAACTCGGCCAGGATGGGGTTGGAAAAGTCGGTGTTGGGCTGCATATGGGGAATCTTGGGAGTGACGACCTCAGCCTCGCCCAAGAAGTCGTTGACGGTGGCCTGGGGGTTCAGGATGGGGGCCAGGCAAGCCAGGGACAGGCGCGAAAAGTACGGGACCTTGATGGTGATGAGCTGGCCCGAGGGCTTCTTGAAGACAAAGGTGCGGTTGTCCTCCTCCTCGGTGGGCAGCGGGTAGAAGACCGAGGCACGGTAGACCAGGATGTTGGCAAAGTTGCGCATGCCGCCCATGTCGTTGGCGCCCTGGGTCTTGTCCTGGTACTGCTCGAAGAAGGTGGGGCCGAACTCGACGCTGTCGATGGAGACGAGCTCGTCGCCGGGGGTGATCTGCTTGATCTGGTTCATCAGGTCGGCACCAAAGAACGAAGTGGGGTCAACGGCCGGGCCGTACGAAGCCAGGCCAGAGACCACCACGACGGGGTTCCAGTAGTCGTCGTTCTGGAGAAAGTCGAAGGACCAGGGCAGGATGGAGCGGACACAGCCGTAGGGGGCAGGGATGTAGTAGTTGGTGTGCTGGTCGCGGGCGGCCAGGAAGAGGGCAGCAAGATCCTCGTGGAACTTGACATCGCTGGTGTAGGACTTGTAGTTCTTGGTGATCTGGTCCTTGACGGGGATGGCGTCAAAGCCGTACTGCCAGAGCAGGGGGTGTCGTCAGTATTAGTCCAGCCATCGATCCTGGCACGCAGAGCTGTGGGAGCCAAAGGAGGCAGCGTGGGAAGGGGAAGACGAGGAACCTACGTGTTGGATCTTGGAGTCGCGGTTGGCCCAGATGTCAAAGAGCTTGTCGACCTCAGCAGCAACCTGGCCACGACCAGTCTCTCCGAGAGGCAGGACCGAGGTCAGGACGGTGTTGCGGATGTTCTTGAGGGGACCGACAATGTAGTTGCCCTGGATGGCGACCTTCTTGGCGCTGATCAGGCTGTTGAGGCCCTGGGTGAAGTTGAGGGAGTCCTGGGCCAGGACAGCAGGCGCGCCGAGCAGGGCAGCGGCAGCCAGAACCGACTTGAAGAGCATCTTGGCCGTGGAGGAAGAGGGGTGGTGGTGATGAGGATGGTGCGGTGCGGCAGGACGGCGGGGAGCGGGGCGAGATTTATAGCGGTTGCAAGCCGTTGCGAGTGCAGAACCGTCCACGGCCTTGCTGCCGTACCCATGGCATCCATGTCCCACAGAAGGCCATTTCAGCTTGTGTCAGCGAGCCAAGGACAAAGCCGACAAGTGCGCGTGACTGTGTGCCTTGCTCGGGCGAACAAGAGGTGCGACGGGCTGGGAGGCACCCGCTGGACGACAGAGAGGTCGGCTCCCCAAGAGGAATCCCCTTGTGGAGATGGCAAAGAGTGGGCCTGTGCCGGATGGGCTGGCGCGCAAGCCCACGGCAGCACAATGCAGTTCATGCTCGCCGGGTGTGTGGTTCAAGAGCAGCCATGTGCTGTTTGTCGTTGCAGTCGTTGCTGTCGTTGCTGTCGTTGCTGTCGTTGCTGTCGTTGCTGTCGTTGCTGTCGTTGCTGTCGTTGCTGTCGTTGCTGTCGTTGCTGTCGTTGCTGTCGTTGCTCGCTGGGAGCAGTGTGGCCGGGGGAAAAGTGCATCGGCTGCAGCCGCCCATGAACACGGAGTGCGATGCAGATCAGCGACCATTGTCGGCTTCAACCCACGGCCGACCGGGAAGACGCAAGTGTTTGTTGGCGCGGTTGCGTCTGTCTTGCCACGGCGGACACCCTGTGCTTGCCGACCGTGCATGCGTGTATATACAGAGCCACTGTGTACTGCTGTATGGCTTGCTGACCATTGCTGTACAGTCGCTGCTGTGCTGCAAGCTGTATTTCCGCGCAATTTTGCCTCAGCGAGTCGCGGCAGCGCCATCACATGGACCGCCCCACGCCCACCCAGCGCCGCCTGGTGCCACCGCCGTCCCACCATCGCCCTTCGCAGCCGCGATTCCCGCGTCGGTGGGCTGGTTGGCCGGTCTGGCAGGTGACCTGCGCTGCCCCAGCCCCCTCCACCCTCAAAGCGCCTCTGCCAAGGCTCCGAGCCATGGTCCGGCGTGGGACTCTCGTGGGCCCACATTCGCTTGCATTCGCTCTCTGCGCAAGCGTTCTCGAGACGTGTCTGGCGAGATGGGCCTTGTCTCGATCTGCCGCAGCCCACCAGCCCAGTGGTGTGTCAGGGCTGTCGCTATCCAACACACAAGGACTCTTCTGGTCTGTCGCCTCCGCGCCCTCTGGCCATGGTGGTTCCATGCCGATGTCTCCCCACCACAGAGAAGGAGAGACTGTGCTCGATTTCGCCTAATTCGCTCAAGCAAATCGTGGTGGATCAACAGCGATCCTTCGGGCGGCCCATTCGCAGCAGTCTCGAACCGGCTGCCTGGTTGGCAACGTCAGATGACCGCTCCCCATGACCCACCGGCTTTCGGAGACTCGCCAATCCATGTTGGTGCAACTTGCGCAATCGAGAAGCGGAATCTGGCCTATCGACAATGTGCTTCCGATTTCAAATCCTGGCCGTCGCTGCGCCGGGCCCGAAATATCTGACCTCCGGGCGAGTCGAGACGGGTTGGGTCTGGATCCGTGGTGCCGAGAACAGGGCCTCCCAGAAAGCTGCTATGATCTCGGCATGATCTCGGCATGATTTCTCCTGCCTCAGGCTTCCATCGCACTGTCCACGTGATCGTGCGCAGCCGCCATGCATTGCCACACCACTGCACCGCCACGACACCCCTGGTCGCACGTGCGATCATGTGTCTTGCGCCAGGGACCGCCCTGTCGCCGCGCACATCACCGCCCTGGCCATCGCCCGTCCTGTGGTCTGCTCTCTGCTTCGACATCCAGACACCATGGCCCGACGATACGACTCCAGAACCACCATCTTCTCGCCAGAGGGCCGACTCTACCAGGTCGAATATGCCATGGAGGCCATCTCTCATGCCGGCACCGCCCTCGGCGTGCTGGCCACCAACGGCATCGTCCTTGCCGCCGAGAAGCGAGTCACCAGCAAGCTGCTCGAGCAAACCCACTACAGCGAGAAAATCTACCAACTCGACGAGTAGCCGTCGCTCCATATGCATTGATCGGACAGCGTGGCCCTGGGATCCTGTATCGCCGAGGCTAACATTTCGATGCACCATCATTTGTTGCTTGATCGCCAACAACCTCAGCCGGATGGCCTGTGCCGTTGCTGGTCTGACCGCCGACGCCAACACCCTCGTGAACCAAGCCCGTCTGGTTGCCCAGCGGCACCTGTTAACATACAACGAGTCCATCCCGGTCGAACAGCTTGTCGAGAGGCTATGCGATATGAAGCAGGGCTACACTCAGTACGGAGGTAGGATATGACTCTCGGCCCTTGGCGATGGTGGAATGACCTCTTGGAAACCGCGGATGTTCAGAATACCAACCACCGCGACCGCTCTGCCCGGCCCGGCCCGATCCGAGACAACTTCACCCTGGCAGAACAGCTTTGGATATCTCGTGCCGATCTGTGGCCAGACTTGAATTACTCGATGGCGCCACAGAGCTGCAGTGCAGCTTCAGCCTGATGATTGGCCCAGAGCGGCAGCGTCGCCAGGAATCAGCCGGACGGAAGCCACATCGTGGCGTTATCGATGGAGCATATCACTCGGAGCCTCCACAGCTTCTCCGCCACTCCGGCCTGTGACTGACCCCTGTGGCTGTTGAATCGCGGCTCTCCAGGTCTCCGTCCCTTTGGTGTCTCCTTCCTGTACGCCGGATATGACGAGCGTTACGGATTCCAGCTCTATCGATCGGATCCCAGTGGAAACTACTCTGGCTGGAAAGCCACCTCCATCGGCGCAAACTCCACAAATGCCCAGTCGATCCTGAAGCAAGACTACAAGGAGGAGGGCATGACGCTCCGAGAGGCGATTTCTTTGGCGATCAAGGTCCTGGCCAAGACGATGGACTCGACCAAGCTCACGTCCGAAAAGTGTAAGTCGTCGCCGAGTGCAGCGTTGGATGTGTGGCCCTTGGTGCAACTCCGCCTGTCTGATATTGAGGCAATGCTGTGCAAACGAGCTGCAACATCAAGCGCAACTCGATTTCCCAGCGATCCCTGGCTGCACATGCTAATGGTCCCGAACGATCCTGCAGTGGAGTTTGCTACCCTCAGCACCGACGCGCGCGGACAGGTCGCCTATCACCTGTACAAGCCCGACGAAATGGAGGCCTTGCTGAAGGAGGAGAATGTGGAGCTGCTGCAGCAGACCCAGCAGAACGACCAGTAGAGCCCGCTCGTCCCGCTTGACAATCCCGGCCGCTGCGCACATCCAGCATCCGTGCGCGATCTCTACTGAATATACAGTTATTTCGATCTGACCTCTGCCTGCCGCGGTTGATCGGCCGTCGCTATTGTGAGAGGCGCGAGCATGCCAGTTCCGGGGAGGTCGCACCGCCCCGCCCAGCCACGTGCACGTCCGTCCTGGCTATGAGAGCCACGTGTCCGACCAATATTGCCGTTTTGGGTCCCCGGCTCTCCGCCCTGCCAGCGACGATCCTGTTCTCCATCCCAGCCCGCCATCGACACCGGCCCGCATCACATCCACCAACCGAAGCGGCCCCAAGGCGTATTGCCGCGCCCACTGCACTCGCCCATCAATCTACAATGTTCCCAAATCCTTCGCCGAGGTCTGGATCGTCGTCGGGGCCCACGTCAAACCACCGCCGCTCCCGATCCGCTCGGCCCGTTGCAGGACCGGGAAGACTCATCGCTTTTGCATCCAACCCAATTCCTCGCCACAGGAAACCAAGTCGCCGCGTCAGCTTCGCGCCGACAGTCCACATCAAGCCGTTCAGGTCTGTCTTTGGATCCACTCTCCCTCCCCCCAACTTGAACACGTTCCACATCCGATTGCTGCTGCTGTTGCCTGGATCATGTTTGCTTTGGCCATTCGGACCGTGCTCATCCTACCCTGGTCTTGCAGACGGGAAACCCCAATCAAGAACCCCGCGAGCTTCAACGACTTTGATGGATCAAGCCTTGAGATCCCGAATCTGTCCTCGATCCCTCCGAGCTCGTATGTCTCGTTCATTGTCGTGCTGTCACTTTGCCAAAGCAGGCGGCTGCGTGGTCAGCAAAGGCGGCTGCATGACCAGCAGAGTTATGGCGGGCAAGCCGGCTCACGGTTCGTTTTGCCTGCGATAACTGCAGAGAAACATACATGAACGATCTCAGCTATTCGCTACATCGCGATGACTACACCGAAGAGTACGTTGCACCTGCCGGATGAGATGCAGTCTCGAGCCAGCCGGAGAGTCCGTCGCATCGGTCTCTTCGACCCGCAGCAGCGCTTGTCCTGCACTGCGCTGCATCAGAGGATCAGCCGCACAGGCAACGAGCGATACCGAGATACGAGTGCCAAAGCTGTCCGTTGCTAACCCCGCTATCATCCCACGGGGCTCTCCTCCTCCTGCCCATTCATCCCGAATGCAACAGCGAGTCGAGCTTCGACATGAACACAAAGGGCTCGCCCGTCAGCTCCCCCTCCGACCGCCACACCCCACAGGCACAAAGATCTGATCTTGGAGCTTCTGACGAGAGTCTGGACGACGAGGAAGATCGGGAGCTGAGACAGTCGTCATATGCCGAGAATCAGCCCGACGGCTCTGCAATCCTCCCTCTGGGAATCGCAACTGAGCCACCGGTCCAAGCAGAGAGCTCATATGACGTCTCGATGGAAATTGAGGACGAATCCAGCTTCAGTCGTGCCCCGGTCCGTACCCTCGCTCGCGACTCGCCGCTGCCGAAGCGCCAGGCACTGCAGCAGATTGCCTCGCCCCGCATCTCCAACAAGCACAGACTCGAAAACGAGGACAATTCGTTCCCATCCCCTGCCCTCAAAAAGCCACGGACGGCTTCGAAGGGCACCCCGCACCGCTTGACCGCGTCCATTGTCTCGCGGCACTCGACACCGGAGAGCACCAAAAGCGATAGCGATGACACGGTGCAGATATTCACATCAAGGATCAGCTCGACCCCCAAAAGCCAAGCCCGTCCAGAGCCTCCCCGCTCAAACAGTGGTGTCACGGCACAATCGTCTCCGTCCGTCAAGCGCCTCCAAGACCTTGTACCCATTCAATTTGATGCCCAAAGCCCCTTGGTTCTGCCTGTCAAGATCTCCAAGGGTGCATTTGACTGGCGTAAGGACACGCCTCTCAAAATCGGCGCCAACTCCCCCATGGGCACGCCGAATCCCAAGGGGGGCTCGTCTCGCATGCTTTCCAGCCCCAGTCCGTTTGTGTCTCGGAAGCCTCGAGCCTCGCTGTCGCTTCTTGGCGGCGCCGACTCGCCCGTGCCTCGCAAGAAGCTTGGTCCGAGGGACAGCATTGCACCGCTCTTCGGACTTCAAGCTGCCAATGGAGCCAAGGGCTCCCACCAATCTCGCCAGAGCATCGACCCCATGTTCAGGATCCAAGGCCGTGAGTCTCTGGAGCCCAGCGTCGTTCAGAACAGCCGCAAGCTGAGAGCGCGCGACAGCATCGCGCCACTGTTCGCCTCGGCACATCAGTTTGAAGGTGAAGATAGTGATGAGGATCCGGACGATGACGTCGATGAGGTCGACGCCCTTCGAGCAGGGTCGTCACAGTCGCTGTCCGCCGATAATCGCCATACACAGGCCCGAGAGTTGCAGGCTGTAGCGGAATCATCGCCAACTGTCCCCGCCCAGCGCAAATCCGCCCTTCGCAAACGCGACAGCATCTGGCCGCTCTTCAATGCCGAAGCGCAGAGTCCGGCCTCCCGAGGTCTCCAATCCAGGGCCAGCGAAGCTGATGGCCGCAAAAATAGCCGCGTCAGCTTGGCGCCCATGTTCAAGCACGCCTCTGCCCATGGCTCTGACCCACTGTCACTCGAGAGCTCGGACGAAGAGGCCGCAGCCACTGCATCTTTGTCTTCGACTCGCAAGCCAGCCTCGGGACGCCCCAGCTTGCCAGCGATCTTCTTCGAAAGCAAGGTGTCTGATGAGGCCTTTGCAGATGATAGCTTCGATGACGATCGTGATCTCGCCGACCATGAGCAGCAGAGCAACACCTGGGACAACGGAGATAGCATCGGCATTCTGTTCCCTAAACAAGCGGCCCAGCCTCGTCTGAGCCTTGCTGCAGCCGCGACAGCATCGCCTGTGGCTCCAGCGCCGACTCTCTCCAAGGGCCGAGCAAATGGCGATGACGAGGCGTATGAGTTTGATGAAGATCCCTCGATGGATTTGGTGGACGAGGACGAGGCTGCCTCTCGAAGCGGCTCACCTCGACCCCTCCAATCTGCACAGGCGGCTCAGTCCCGCTCCAAACTCTCAAACGAGCTCACTGTTGGCGATGCCGCTGACAACGACTCCGTTGCAGAGCCAACCGAGACAGATGAGCAAGATATCGCGCAAGTCCAAGATACGCACACGACAGCGGGAGACCAAGGTACCACCATATTTACCAAAGCACACATGCTTCCTCAGAGCGCCTGTCGTCTATACGCTGACATGGTTTGGCTGTCTCTTCTCTCGTCAGTAGCCCGGACTCGTGACACGGCGTTCGAGACTCTTTTCTCCCTCGATTCGGCTGCAAAGACACCCAACAAAACACCATCAAAGGCTCCCATGACCCACCCAACAGCCTTGCTCTCCAGCCGAAAGTTCCGCAAGAGCCTTGGCATCCCAAGCCCCACGCAGTCGCCCGCCATTGCACAAAAGATTGGTCAGTACCAGCTACCCTGGCTTCACCAGTTCGTGGTATCACGACTGCAGTCTTCCCGCAAATGCAAGCACACGATCAATGCACTTGGCTGCATCTGCGCCAACTGACAGCGCCCTTGTTCTTGACTGGCTTGGCCCTCACAGCCCTTCTGCAACAGCAAGCCCAAGCATCGGCGTCCAAGCTGGCCTCTTGGACCCAAATCTCGTCGTTCACGCCGACGGGTCTGAAAGAGTTCAATCCCCAGTCACACTCGGACGAGCCCGCTTCGTCGCCCACTCCAAAGAAACCCTCTCTGGCTGCTTCCTCACCCGTGGTTCAAAGCGATCTTCCCGAAGCCAAGTCCCATTCCAGCTCGTCTGTCGCCACACCCAAATCAACGCTGATACAGCAGCGGTTGGTCAGCACCGAAAAAGATAATCCTTTCGTCGATACATCATTTGCGTCGCCCATATCCAGCAGCACCGGTCCAAATGCCCTGATCGACTTTTGCGAAAGACTCCAAAGCGCAAATGATGGTACGGATGCCACCGAGAGTCGCAACAGCTCAGCGACCAGATGTGTCGCAGCAGAATTTTCCTCGCTGTTTTCGAGTACTGACCCTGAGCAATCATCCAGACGACTACGACTTGATGAACGAGCAGATCCCAGAGTCGGCCGACCTCGACGACGACCCCCATTTTGCGTCGGGCATGGATGACGAGGGTGTAAGTCCTAGTCCAGCGGCGTGTTTGCTTTCTGCCCGGACATCCGCTCCCACGGCCTCGACTAACTCGATTCGATGTTTGTGGATCAGAACATTGGCTTTGACCAGCTCCTGAAAGCCGCACAGGTTACGTTTTCGGACGAGACTGGGGCGAACTTGAGGTTCCAACGTGGGTCGTCACGATACCAGATCGCTCGGAGTGAGTACCAAATGCTTTACACGATGTACTCAAGCACAGCCCATGCATCAGTACGTTGTGCAGCCGCCGATGTGGAAGCCCTTGCTAACCTACACCACAACACCTATCTCAGCCAAGCAACCAACATCGCACGATTACGCGCGTGGCTACTGCGTCACGCTGCCACTTATGGAGGCATTTTCGCGCAAGTGCAATGAGGTGGTCGATGAGATCCAAATGCGGGGCCAGGATATTGAAGAGCTGAAACAAATCATTGAAGAGACACGACCCATCGTCGTTGATGAGTACAGTCTTGGAGATCCAAGCGAGCAAGAAACGATCGCGGTGAGAAAACGCTTGTTGTTGCTGTTGTTGTTGCCCTATTCTCGTGCTCACGACTTTTGACTGACTCTGGTTCCCTTCGCCATCGGCTGCCTCGACAACATAGTCGGGTCTGAGATCACTCAGGGCCTGGTGCAGCTTGGAGGCCGAGCGAGATTGGATTCGTTCGCAATGCCAGCTCTTTTCGGATCTTCTCTCGGCTGACCATCTCGAGGCCCTGGAGATGGTATGTCTGGGCGTTGTCAACGGCAGTACGAATCGTGGTTGTATCATGGCTGTATCGTGGCAGTGTCTCCGCAAGTCACCGATCTGTTGAATGGTCCAACGGACTGATCTGTTTGCTATTTGGGCTTGGTGCGACGGTGTTTCCATCTGCATGGTGTCTCCTGCTGCAGGACAACCAAACTCTTGGCGATGTTTCCATCAGGGCCTCGAGCAACCTGCTTGACTTGCAGGAGTCTGTGGATGAGCTCCGGCGCAAGGTTGAAACCGAGAAACAACGAAAGAAGCTGACGCAGGAGACCAACTTGGCTCAACAGCTTCAGCTGGAGGAGCGAGTAGCCAACAACAGGTGCCGTATGTGTGCCCGCGCCGGGAGAGAGAGGCACGAGTCTCCGTCCGTGATGCCAAGCAACCGCATCCAACCGCATCCAACCGCATCCAACCGCATCCAATGGCACTCGGTCACAGCGGCTAATGCAAAGCCGCGGCCCGTATTGTGCTTCTCCATCCTGCAGAGCCGAAATCGAGCGGCTCAAGGCCGAGCAGGCTGAGCTCCTTGCCGCAATTGAACATGGTCGTCAGCAGAGACAGTTCCTGCAGGAAGCCAAGGAGGACAACGAAAAGGCACGTTCGCTGTCTTTGATGATCTTCTGAGCATCCAAGCACGCAACACCTGAATCTCAGCTTCGGTCGCGATGAATCAGCCAGTAGCCGGCACCCCAAATGGCGATTTCTATTTACTGCTTCGGGTGTCCCACTTATGCCCCCATTCTCTTTGCTCCTCGGACTCCAGAGCATCACCGAGGCTTCGGCTGCCATCGAGGTCATGCAGTCTGCCACACTGGCCGATGACGAGTACATCGCCGCCAGAGGTACATGCCGCCGCCTTCGCTACTCCATACATGCACTGACCCGCTTTGATGTAGCTGCGGATTCCTGGCACTAATGCACATCGGCCTATGCCTTCTTGGTGAACAGAGGACTTTAGATTCTACCTCCAAAGCCATATGTGGGCCCCGATTCAGATCGATGGATGCGTAAAGCTGCTCTACGACGGCGGTGTCGCCGTTCGGATCGACACAAACGCGGACAGCATCAAGCCACGCCTTGAGCTCTGCTTTGATCACGAACAGGCAAGCTCCGTTGGATGTGTACATTGTCGTGGCCACTTTTGTTTTGGAGTATGTGCGTAGCTAACATTCCTGCCCCACGCTGTGCCCGTGGATATTAGGTTGTCCAGCAGGAGTATTTCAAGATCCCGCAGGGGAACATCGTCGAGGTCTTCAGTAAAATTGGCACCAAGCGGGTATGTATCGCCAGTAGCCCGGAACCTAGCAGCGAGCCAACATCCCAATCTGCGCTCTCGCATAGATGTAGCCGCTCATACGGCTACAGTGGCATCAACTCCCTCATTCGCAGCCGATGTGAGCTTGCTGTGCCTTACACAAACCCACCTCCAACCCGTTGTTTTCAGATCAGCCGCCTCTTCGCCGACTACAAGTTCCCCGAGTGGCTGACCAAGGGGCAGATACCGAAGGTGCGCTCGAGCTTGATTTGCTGTGCACTCGTTATCTGCTTTTCTTTGCCGGTAGACTGCATAGCGCATATGACTGATCCTGGATCAACACAGGTGCTCAATGAGATCGCGTACAACTGCACCAAGCTGCAGACACTCCAGCGCGATGTCCAGCAGTGCGGCCAGTACTGCCAGATCGAGTTCTTGGACGAGTTTGCCCGGAATGCGTCGTCGAGGCTCAGGTGCAAAATCAGCGTTGGCGCCACGTTCATCAACCTCCACTCCAAGACAAAGTTCAGCATTCAGGTCGGATGCGACGATGGCAACGGAACCATTTTGTATCCGCACTTGCCTCAAGAGCTCGTCATGGTCACACCGGATCGTGCCAGGTGAGCCTCAGCCGGTCCTCAGCAGCCTGGCATGCCCGCCTGCCCGCTTGCCCAAGCAGTGCTCGGCCATGACCACGCTCTCTCGGCCTGCAACCGATCATCGCAAAAGTTTGTCTTGACTGGGCACAGTACTCACCATCGCTCGTCCATCTTTGCGACACCGGTCCGATCGCTGCCAGCAGTCCGGATCTTTTGGCTGAGATCAGCCAGATCATTGCAACGGAGCCCCGAGGCTTTGGTTGGCTTCCGCGCGTATGCTCGCGGCTTGAGATGATGTGTCGACCCAACCTCATGATCGACTGCAGCTGATACATATAATACAGCTGGAGCACGGATTGGATTCTGGTCTGGACAGCGCCAGAGAAGATCCTGCTCTCAAAGTACTCTGAAACCCCAGGCCTCGCCCCTCCCCATGGTGTGGATGAGTATGAGCGGTGTATTCAAGATCCATAACAAAAACGATCATTGACCTCAAGCAGATGGAGATGGGCCTCTTTTCTTGGAAGAGCCGTGGGACAACGAGACGGATACAGAGACGGGCCAAAAAGCAAGCAGCTGCGCAGCAAAGGACGCGAGGGAGGAGAGAATGAAAAATAGGGCTTGGGAGAAACATATCCGCGATGGCCAGACAGTTGGCAGAGGAAAACAGAAATCAACAAAGAGACGGAAGGCATTCTGGCAATCAATCCGGTAAATCGAAAGAGCGAGCCGTTTGGGTGTTCAGCGCGACAAGCAGCCCAGATACTCGATCGTCTGGAGCACCGCCACAATGGCTCATGCAAAGATCTGGTCGGCAGGCAGGGTGCGTCGTCTGCGTGACTTGGACGACAGCACGAATCCAATGATGCGGATCGACGCTGGGTCCGAGAGATTGAAGGTTGGGAAATACGACAGGTTGCTTGTCTCGGTGGTGCTGCATGAAAGCGCCGAGCGCGAACAGCCCCTCAGGCTTCGGGCCGCTCCCTTCTCCAGCTGAATGTGTCCGATGCTAACGGCCAGTGCAAACTGCACTACGTACGAGAAGATTGTTTGAAGCTTTTCGACGATCTGCGGGATGCCGGCGACGTTCTTGGCTTGGTCGGGAAGGGCAGTTGGCTGATGTGTAGCCAGCGATGAGGCTGCGATGGGGGTGTCGCTTTCAAAGTCGGCGTTCTCAGCGTCGCTGCTGTTACTGACGCTGGAACAGACATTGGGAAGGGACTCGGTGGTCGATATCGTACGGACAGACAAATCAAGGACGGACGGTAGAGGGACCACTGTCTCTCCATCGCAGCCAATGCGCCGGTCAATGTTGCTGTCTTGGGGAGACTGAGGCAGCGACTGGTCACCAGCCTCGAGCTTTGGGAACGACGAAAGCGTCCCGGTGGCCTTGAGACTTTCGTCGTGAGTAAACGGGGGCGAGATGGGGCGCAGGTATGCTTGGACGATATCGCCTGTGCAGGTGGTGCGGATTGTCTCGGCGGCGTCGCTGCCAGATGGAGGCCTGCCGTTGAGCGTCGAAAGGCCGTCGGTCGTGAGAGACTCGGTCTCGAAACTCTCGTCCGCATACTCGGGTGCGCTGGACGGGTTGTCGGGAGTGCTCTCGGGCTGGAAAACCTCGTCCTCCCGCTTCCACTCGGTGTTGTAGCCAACGCCAGAGATTTGGATGGGCGCCTCGAGACGAAGATGGATGACTTTGCGGTTGCACCTCTCGATCTGGGCTGTCACTTGGACGAGATGCCAGACCTCGATCGATCCGCCCCAGCGGCCGGACGGGGCAGTCGTGGGCATCAAGGGGATCTGCAAGTCCGTCACGTATTCGAGACACTCGTTCGGATTGCATATTTCGGCAGTGTCCTCGTCAATCAGGATCTGAGAGTGCAGCACATCGGTGCCGTGGAGCTTCATCAGCGTTGGCCGGTTGGTGTCGAGGTGATGGACGGCCCCTTGGGTGATCTGGCTGTTGAGACTGCTGGCGACGTCGAGAATTGCAAAGGACTTGCGACGGCGAATGCCCGCCTTGACCTTGCAGGCATGCTTCTGCAGGATCTCGAGCTGGAGATGCTTGATCTCGAGCGGGAAACCATCCTGGGAAATCAGTCGGATGTGACCCTTGAAGACTGAGCCTGTGAACGTGACCTGCCTGTCGATATCGAGCATGGCCATGATGCGGCCGTTCCTACGGGCCATGGTTTCGGTGTGCAGAGGCTTTGGCTGCAGGAGAGCCAACAGCTCCTCTCGGTGCGAGTATGCCACCGGCCCAAGAGCCACCCGGGTGCGCAGGTACTCGGCCTTGGCCTTGCGGAGCTGTTGCGATCGGTTGTGCTGCAGCTTGAGGCCGGCAATGAGGCTCCGACGACGGGCGAGCGGAGCAGGGGCACCGTCCTTGTCGGCTGGGTCTTCAGGGGTAGTCCGGAGCGGAACGACCTTGGCAAAAGCCTCCAGGTCATATGTGCACTGCAGCCGATGCGCTGGCGACGAGCCGTTGGTGCAAGTCATATCCAGCGACGGCAAAAGCACATTTGAGTCGAGCGGGCCAATCGCAAACGGATAATCTCGGAACTCGCCTGGGAGGATGTGTTCGGCCTTGTCCAGGCACGAATCGCCCCCGCCTATGAGCGACAAAACAAGCGATGCACTGCTGTTCTGCGTCTGGCTGCCAAAGCTCCCATGGCGGGCGGTGTCTTCAGGATCCGCTGCAGCATGGGCCTGGGCTTGGACCTGCGCTTGTGCCTTGCTGTCGACACTACGGCGGTGGCTGTCCCGGTCAGCCGAGATCAGGTTGACGGTGGTGTTGACGATGGTCTTTTCACTCTTGTAGCCAATCGTGGCCGCAGAGATCTCGAGTCGACCGAGCAGAGTGACCTTGACACTTGTCGGAACGATGCAGGGGGAAAGATGGGCCGTTTCGGGCCAAGGCATTGCCGAAAGAGAGCGCTGGGGCTCGTTGCTGATTCGCAGAATGCCTCGGACGTAGGTCTCGATGACGCCCAGGTGTCCGTCCAGGAACCCTGGCGAAGATGGGACGGGCAGGATCTTGATTGTGGCCATGGGAGCTGGCATTGAGGAGCAGAACAGAACGTCAGCCATGTGGTCCAGCGAGCCTGTCGACGACAGTTCACATATGGTCTGCTCGACATGCAGCACAATGCAAGCCGGTCCTCGCAGCAGAACGGATGGCCGTGAGAGCCGATATTCCGACGCGCGGCCTGCAAGTTCCTGGGTGCGGGATTAGCATCCGCCAACGAGCGGCATGAGCATCGACCTCTGCCGCCCAGCGCCATCAGACCAGGGCCGTTTGGATCTCTGGCACAAACGCTTACTCTGTTGTATGCTCAGGCTAGCGGGGTGCGCAAAGGGTCAGCCTGTAGACGTATGCAGAAGCGGGACGGCAGTCTCCGGAGCGATGTGCTTGCCGGAGGCGGCATGCTCTTTCGCTGGGCTTTATATCCTGGGTCGGACAGAGGGGACGAGGGCAAGCTGTCGAGACAGGCCGCTGAGGGGGGGGGAGCGGTTTCGATGTGCAAAAGTGTCGAGGGAACAGCGAGCTGCATCCCGGCAAAGTGCGGATCGGGCATCCGACATGTCCGAACAGTCCCCACACAGGCATTCCGCCTCATCGTCTCCGCGACCACCGCCCGAGTCGCACCCTTCCTTGATGCCATGGGTGGATGTGCGTTTGCTGGACGGAGGGCGGCCATCTGTGGGCCGTGGGATCCAGGTCAATGCATCATGTCCGGTAAAGACGTCCATGTCAGGCAAAAAAATGAGGCTCTAATGAGAGCGCAGTGTATTTCCAGCTGCAAATTCGCATCCGAACAAGCCCTGTTGTTCGCACATAAAAAAAAAAAAGAGGCAGGGGTGCTTGCTGACATTGGCATTTCGACTTGATTTCTTTGATGACTTGGTTGGCTGCATGAATCCAGGTCCTCCGGACAGAAGTGGGGGGGGGGCGAATACACATAGAATGAGAGACAGTGGTCGTCCGACAACGATGGAGCAGGGCTCCAGAGGGAATAGTTGGGTGTGTGCGAAGGAATGAGTGCAAGCAAACTATACAAGTTCTGTTTTGCCTATAAGAGCTTCCGACGGGGCAGAAAAGGTTCTCAAAATACCAAGGAAGATGAGGGCAGCCTGGCGCAAAGAGAAAATCCCACGTGGATCTCTGAGCCGGCTTGCCTGGGTCGGCGTGCAGGAGCATCGAGATCATGGAAAATACTGTGTCTCTATTTTGGCCTGGGTGGGTCGACAAGACGAATGAGTAGCAAACAAATGACTTCAGTGAAAGAGTGAGAGGGAAAGTGGGAGTGGGAGTGGGAGTGGGAGGAAGGGACGAAAAAAGACAGAGGTATGTGTTGTCAAACTACATGTATCCTCTGCTCTTGGGCTTGAAGGCATACTTTTCGTTGAAAATCCATCGATGGTCCTTGACGGGATGACCCTGGTAAGCGACAGCAGCGTGGTTAAGTAGCCAACCGCAATCAAGCGACACTGTTTTGGTCAAGAAGGGATGGGTGCTCTCAGGCGGGTCGTATCGCATCAACGCTGGTTGGCAACAGTGCATGAGGGGGATGCTTGCATACCTGCTCGCCGGCCAGTCGCAGGTAGGCCGCGGCCTCGTGTTTGTCTTTTCGGACGCCGTCGCCGTTGAGATAGCTCATGCCGAGGGCATAAAGGGACTCTGTTTCCCGCAGAGCGAGACGATGGCATTGGTCACTAGACGTTTGAGGCACCGGGACTGCACGGCGGGCGCTAGTTTTGATCTCCCACATCCCTATGCACCTGACAGGGTCACTTACTTGCATCGCACAGATCGGCACCGCGCCGGAACCATTTGACCATAATCTCCTTTCGACGGTCGTCCTTGCGCATGCCAGCAGGTGCAATGTACTCATCGATTCCCACGCCCTTCTGGAAGATGAGGCCGAGCTGGTAGCAGGCCAGGGGCTCCTGGTGAGCTGCTGCCTTGGTGAGCCAGTTGATGGCCATGGGATAGTTGATGTCGACGCCGTAGCCGTTGAGTAGACATATACCAAACGCATAACATGCAAGAGGATCACATCCTTTGTGGTTCTGGCCATTGGCGGAGCATCCAGTGGCTCGGAAAAACGTCTGGGAAGACATGACGTAATCGCCCGTTTCAAAGTAAATCAGGGCCTGTCGAATCAAGGCCACGACCTCGGTCCGACACGGGGGATAGACGGGTATGAATGGGACCGAGGGCGGTCGATAGTATGCCATGGCGCGGGAGTCTGTCGCGAGCGAGGAACCAGCCAGTCTGGAGGGCGGTGTGAGCCCGGATGTGTATGGCGATGAGGGAATGCTGAAGGACGCGCTGTGGGTAGACATTTGACTGATTCGCCGGCTCGAGCCTGGCAGACCGATGGGGATGGGCGAGACAATGTGCGGATCGAGGCTGGACATGGTGGAGCTCGAAGAGGTGCGAGAGTGCGATGACCGGAACTGGGTGTCCGTTTGGTGGTGGGAACAGCGTTGGTGTTTCGGTTTGAGAGTGCATGGATTGCAGTTGAGCGCGGAGAAGGAAACGGCGGCAGAGCGAGTGTCGTCAGTACAGCTGGTATAGCCGGCGCAGTGGCCCTAGTTGGCATGTGTGCTTGCCGATATGGAAGCGAGCACACCATGCAGCGTCGGTGCAAGTCTTCTGAGAGACAGGCCGTCTTTCAGCGAGGAAGCGTCCTGCACGGCCCAGCTCAGCCCCGCCTGCTTCAGAAACCCTCGCGAGCCTTACGCTGTCATATCCGTTCACCGGTGATGATTCTCTGGAAATTTGAGGAGAGCTCTCGGCACTGCTTCCCATCGGCTCCAGAGTACTGCCCTGGTTCGAGGACGAGCCAAAGCCCAGGCTGGAGAGAAAATTGAACGTGCCCGATGAAACCGACGACGCCGAGATCGGAGCGAGCTCTGGCGACCGGGAAGGCGACTGCACGACCGATGGCGGCGGGCTAGACAGGGTTGAGGAAGCTTGGGAAGCCGAGCTCGACAGTGACGGGAAAAACGACGTTCGTCGCCGGTTCGAGCGCTCGAGCGACGACGCAGGGCTGATGGAAGGCGAGCGGGTGAGGCTGGCCAGGACGGTGAGCCGATGCTGGATCAGTTCGACGAACTCATCGTCGTCGTCCCACAGCGGGGCATTCCGCCGGTAGAAAGATTGTCTGGAGGACGACCTTGAAGGCGAAAACGCGGACGTTCGCTGCATGATAAGGGGAATCGCTAATAGGGTGGTGGTGTTGGGATATGTGCTTTAAGAGAGACCAGTTGAGCAAGTGCCAGAGCAAGTGCCAGAGTCAGAGTCAGAGTCAAAATGTGGATGCAGTCGAGTCGGATAGGACCGAGGCAGGTGCCCAGACACGAGAAGGGGCTCTCTATGGCTGTGGTTGGGAGGAAGGAGCAGGCCAGCAGGCTCGGCGCTGCGGGATGGGCGGAATAGCCCGGGTCTTGAAGCAGAACGGGTGGATGGACAGAGCGGCACGCCGGAGTGGAAGGCAAGCCCAGGGCAGCCAGCCAAAGCGTATGCGGGGACGGTGGCTGAAGAGGCACCCAGTCCAACGAGCGATGCTCTGGCCGCAGGGAGGCACTGAGCCACAAGACGGGACTGAGGCGAAGAGGGATGGAGGACGAGGAGCCAGCGGCCGAAAGGCCCAAGCCGAGGCAGAAGAAAAACCCGGGCAGAAGCGAGGGGGGAGGGAGGCCGCATGTGGTCTGGGACTGCGCCAGCAAACCCACCGCCTCAGGGTGTCTGTGGGCTGATCGGCTGCAACACCGACTGCAACACCGACTGCAACACCGACTGCAACACCGACTGCAATACCGACCGCCGTCGCCGCCCCACGCCGTCGACAGAGCCCGACAGGAAATTTACTAATGTCCGATCAATGCAGAGACGGCGATTGGCATCGGGAGGAGTGTTGCAGGAACGGCGGAATGGTGCAGCACGGCTCATGTCCAGAGTGCGCGACTGAATGGACTGCGGGTGCATTGGAAATAGGCATTCGCTCTCGGGCGAGGCCGTTTCTCTGCCCCAAAGCCCTGCACACCCGCCGTCGCATGGCTGCTGGTTGGCAGCGTCGTGGGCAGAGCCAGCCAGGTCTGCTTGCTATGGTCGCCTGGCCTGGGAAAGCGAAATCAGACCCCCTGGCCATGAAAAAAAAAATTGTGAAGGGCCGAAAGCGGGGGCTCTTGGTCCTTGTTCACAGTGCTGATGGGGAGCAAGAGGCAGCTGGACCAGATAGCTCGTCCTCCAGCACAGCTGCCTCTGCTGGCCATGCCCGGCGCATCCAGCGCTGCACCCAGCGGCAGCCACCATCGCACCCACCCGCAATCGACGCAACAGCTCCACAGCGCGGTATGATATTGAGCCAGCGTCACCACAAACCCGGCGACCGAAACATGGTCTCGCTGGACCCGCCGTGGCGCAGGACATGCTGACCTTCACATGACCGCGAAGGTGTTGCTGAATCGCCTTTCCAATCCCGGAAACCCAGCGCCCCGCCAGCTCATCCAAGTCGTCTGCATCCTGTCGCTGGCCCGGCCCGCACCCAAGCTCACACGGACGCCCTCTCCTCCGCCAGGATGCCCAAGAGGTGGGTCTGGCCGCCGATCGCTGCCCGATCGCTGCCCGATCCCAGTTTTTGCCGGCCCATTAATCTTCCTCGCCCTCCCATGCGCCGACAGCCCCATGAAGCCAATCACCCACTACTTTGTTCGGAAGCCAAAGTAGGTTCTCCGCCGGCTCGCCCGCTTCCCAGCTGCATCTCCGGTCACGCACAATAGGATGTGTATATAGAAGGCATGTGCTAACGCATTGGAATCCCTCGCACACAACAGGCCAGGTACTTGGATCCAGCGACGACAGATGCTGCCTCCTCCGCTCTCCCTCCAGGTCCGGTCCAGCCCATCGATCTCGACCCGATCCATGCTGATTGTCTCTGCGGCCGTCTTTCTTGTATCTACCTTTGATTCATTCAGCCGATGACCAAGGCGCGGATGCTACGACAACCGAAGTCTCCTCTGGTCCTTTGAAAGCCGCCGACGGATCCAAGGCCATGAAGCAGACGACCCTATTCTCCGCTCTCGGCAGCTCAACCGTTCCCGCCTCAGGTGTGTTTCTGTCTGGCGATCTGCACTCGCTCTGCTTGAGCGCTCGTCCAGTGATAATCTCGTTTGGCTTCAAGGCTGCGTCGTGGATCATTGGCGATGCCGTCTTTGGAGGCACTGATCGATGTATTTGCTGCTCATTACCCTTGATGCAATTTCCGCATATCCCCATGGGCACATCCATCCATCCATCGTGCCCACCAATGCTCTGTCGTCCATAACTCCTCCGATCACCAAATCACCCAACAACTCATGGTCGTCAGTCCCGTCGTTACCGTCGGCAACGAGATCCCGCAACCATGTCGACGAAGTCACATCGATTGCGGTCGAGACCCCATCGGGTGAGTTCAAGCCCAGATCTGTCTACATTCGTGGCACTTGGGCGATTTGCCCAGATGACGGAGGGCCGTGCCTCTATGCCTTTCGCAAATCTGCTGACTCGTATCGTGTTGGGTGGACAAAAAATCAGCCGAACGCTCAGAGTCTTCGCCAAGCATACATGAGTTCATCAACTTCCCTTCGCGAAAGAAGCGGGCGGCTCCCAGGCACAAAGAATCGGATATCGTTTCCATATCAAGTAGCTCCGAGCTATCGGATCTCTCGGACCTGTCGGATCTGTCGAGCGTATCTGAGCTGGAAACCTGGCCAGAGGGTACCAAGCACAACAGGCCCAAGCGGCAGCGACGAACTGATTCATCACCAACAACCCGGTCAGCGCGGCTGAGGCGATCAGACGAGCCCAGTCGCCCAAGCCAGGGCGTTGGCAAACCCGTTGACTCAGCTGCGAATGTGCCTGAATTGCAGACACATGATCATCGGCATGGTGATCACACTGATCCCCAGAGCGGCCCCGATACATCGTCCATGGATCCGACCGCACCAACAGAGACAAGGCTCGATGCAGCGCAGATCGACTCGCCATTCAGCCCAACACTTGCGCCCGACTCGGAGGATGAGCTCCTATCCTCAGCCATAAGCAAAACTGGAGGCAGCCGATCGACAGCAAACCGTGCGTCCTCGTCAGCGTAAGTCACCACCGGAACAATTCCGCGTGCATTCTTGAATCGATGCCCGTCTTTGATTCGTGCGCTGTCGAGGATACAGTCGGCCTTCCTCCATGGGATGCGACAAGCGAATGCGCCCTGGGGTCTGGGTATATGGCTGACCTTCTCGTAGCCCCTCAAAACAGCGCTCCTCGCGAAGGGACCCAGACACCAGCTTTGGATCGATCATAAGCTCAGAATCAGACGGCTCTTCCGACAGCGATTTCGAGGACTTTCCCTCTGTTCCAAAGACGCCGGGACCTGAATCCGAGACAGTGGAGGAGTATTCACATCGGTGCGTCATCTTGATCACTGTCGCTCCCACCCAATTCGCAACAAGAGCGTGGTCACCTCGGACTATCGCCGAGTGGGGATCAAAGTGCTTACGGTATCGAGCGTGTCTCATTATTGATGCGACGAATTTGATCGGTTGATACCGAATCGCGTGCCTATCTCCACAGGTCCTCAAAGAGCCGCCGCGCAAAGAGGAACGTCAATTATGTGTTTTCTCCGCGAGAGTTTCTCAAGAGCGGTCGAGGCTATCGACTCCCGGTCAGCACAATGCCTGTCGAGACACCTCGGGTTCGGAAACGAGCAGAATTCCAGCTGGACGCTTTGCTCAGAGACGGCATCAAGCGCCTCAAATCAAAGGAGCTCCATGACACCGTCGCTAAGCTGGTAACACACAACTGTATTGAATGTGTACGGGTGAGGGTATTCTGATGCGCCATCGAAGTTACTGAGTTGCACATCACACTCTGTGGCTGCACTGACACGGATAGATGGAGGATGACCGCTCCGACGAAGATACCAAGCCCGCCTCGGAAGAAGCGAGCTACAACCTGTTCCTGAGCGACGATCAAGCAAATATGTACAAGGTACCGATGGCTGCGATGAAATGCCGCCGTGGTTGTGGATGCCGTGATGCAAAACGGATCTCTTGGTCTGTGGATCCAGTAGTCTGACACCACTCAACGACATTATTCCTTGAATTATCAGGAGTTTGCCCAGAAGAATGCCTCGCTGCAAACTCCGGTAGCACATCAACTCCATGTATTTCATCGCGTTGCCAAGTCAGCCGACGAGAAGCACTACTATCAAAGCCTTGTCAATGAGATTGAGCTGCCGTCGGAAGTCCTGTTGAAGCGCATCAAAGGTATGACCCAACAGCAGAATCTCGGCGGGCCTGGGGCCGCTACGTTGCCACCATGATGCTTCCCGCTATTGCGGTGACCTCAACTCGATATCACATGTTGTTTGCAGTGTCGCAAGAGCACCGAGAGGTTCTTCTCTCAAGCCGGCTGCTCCATATGCATCCGTCAAGACACCTGCTGGTAGAGTGGCTGTATAAAGAAGGTAGGCGCGCATGAGTGAGCCAGCGAAGCAGCCTATCAAACCAGCACAGCGAGACTGGCGATTTTCTTGTGGCTCAAGTCGAAATCGAAGCACTTTGACCTTTCGCTTCCGGGTTGTCGGTCCTGATCTGTGTATTTCTCTTTGCCAGCGTGCTTCTCTGTCGATCGCCATTCGGAAGCGCAAGAGAGTTTGCTCCAGATCGTGCGATCGCATGTGAGTGCCCGTGAATCCACCAATCTGGGTTTCGGTGAACATATTATTGCACCTGCAGATTGCCATTGCTCGCTAGGCTCACAGTGGCGCGGAGTGGCTCGGTGCACTCTCTGTTATCAAAGCTTTGGATGCCGCTGCTCTCTAACTCCTCATGTTTCTTGCCAGGCGGTTTCGAAGATGAAACATGAAATCGGAGTCGAGGACTTCAAAGATGTGGTGCAAAAGCTTGGGTTCCCTGATTTGATTGTCGACGCCATCGAGACGAGCGAGTACGACGATGGAGACTCTGTATGGAACAGCCGCAAGTTTGAACCCGCAGCCCGAGCCGGGACTGGAGACGAGGCTGGCCAGAGCGAGCCAGGTTGGTTGACAAAGCCCGATAGATAGTGCAGCAAATCCCTTTCCGCTGTTCGAGCCGATATGATGAATTGCATCTGACAGGCCGCCACCGGTTGCTCCACAGACGATAAAAAGGCGGACGTCATCAGCGACTTCACAGCAAGAGCAATGTATCGATCGGTGTTTTTGTTTGCCGAGATTCACCGATACTCGGAGTACGTTGCCCCTGGCCTGGCTTGCTTGTTTGGAATCGAAACTCACAGCAGCGACATGCCAAGGACCGAAGCAGGTTCCCATCGCTGTTTTTGTTGGCACACGCCCACCTAGCCGCATTAACCAACGCCAAACTGCGGCCTATCTTCTCTCCAGCACCGCATTCAAACTCGAAGAGATCCTCGAAATCACCCTGATATTGGCAGTAATGTCATTGGACAGCCGGACAAGCAGGCTCTACGGGGTGTGCCGGACAGCTCTGGAGGTCTTTGTCCAAAAGCTGAGCCACGACGACTGGATCGGCTGGGTAAGCGGCATTTCAGGGTGTTGTTCGGTGACCAGCACATTCCACGGCGCTATTGCAACTTGCCACTCACCATACCGCCACTCACAATGCTGCTACTCACTGTGCTGCCACTCACGGACCCTTTGCCCACCACCGAATCGAATGACGCTAGGCACAATCATTTGGAAATGCAGTCGCAAGGCTGCTTGGCTCCAACTGCTTCCACCAGTTGGCGATGTTGGAGAGACTCTTTAGTGGATCCAGCCACAAACGGGTCAAGTTTATGGGCCAGCGACTGGCTGCCTGGTTTGTCTGCACTCGTAGCGAGCTTGGACCTCAAGAAGCCGCGCAGGTATGGGGGAGCTATGATGTCGTCTTAGCTGTGCAGCTTGGTGATATAGCCTTGGCGATGTGGACTTGATGACGCAGACGCCAATGGAAAGGCACCTCCCGAGTCAGCTTTTCAACTGGATTATCTGTCGCCCCCCCCCTCTCACTCCCACACTCTCCGCAAAGCCCCAGTCACAGTTTGAGCTGTGGGAATCGCTGAGTCTGCAGCGGATCCTTGAGGCGCTCCAGAACGACTCGCTCTACCGGTGGAATCCGGGCGCCGACTTTGACCAGATCCGCGCCATGGTGCGGGTGCTGCAGGTGGCTGTCGGCGGGATTGCCTGCGTCAAGGCAGAGAAGGTGAGTTCATGGATTTGGAACGTGCACAGTCCCTGAGTGGCCTTCTCGGCCAGCATTATTGCATGGTGCTAAACATCCTGCGACTCTTCATCTGCCACCAGGAAACCTCTCGGCAAATATCGGTGTTTCTGCGAGCCTTCCACGACAAGATCATCGACGCCAGGGCAGAGTTCCTGGACAGAACCAAGGTAAGCCTCCTCGCGACGAGTCTTTGTCAAGTGCGAGGAGTCTTGTCGAGCCAGCTCGATACCACCCTGCCTGCACCCTGCACCCCGCAACCGATCCGACATTCGATTTGGCATCGGACTGAAGAAGCGCTGACTTGGATGCATTCGATGCTGCGCTATCGCAGGCCAAACACGTCCTGCTTTCGCTGTCGCTCTGGATGCAGTATGCCTGCGGCGTCGAGAAAATCGAAGGCTATCGCCAAACCGTGCTGGATCCTGGGTCATGGACGAAGGCCGACACCGAAATGACCGTGGCCGTGGAAATTGAAAGCTAGACCGCGATCCAGACCGTGCAGGGCCTGAAAAATGGAAGCCAATGTGCCCGGATGATGTGCAAATGCACAAGCCCGTCTCGCAATGGCAAACCGAGACAGCCATCGTTCATCCGGCTGGGCCACGGATGCGCCACCAAGCACTCGCCGAGCAGTGTCCAGTTTTCGTTTCGTGAGCGCTGTAGTATTATCGCTGTTCGCACATGATGATCCATGCTGTGGTGTAGACACAAGTTGAGCACGGCGGCATGGCGACGTACCAAAAAAGAAGAAGAAGCGTAGAGTATGGTTGAGCGCAATCCAAAGCTGGATACTGCGAGCAGTCAGAGAGTGTGGGAGAAATGGTGCTGGGCGGATCGGTGAAGGGGAGCAGAGATAAAAGCAGCAACGGCGTTGACAGCAAGCGACCGAAGAAAGCGATCAGAAGCCACGGGCATCCTCCTCGGACAGCAGGAAAACGCCGTGGTGGGCGAGCTTGGAGGTGCAGGTACAGACTCGGCGAGCGAAAAAGTCCTCCTCGGCGAGCGAGACAAACTCGGTCTGGCCGACAAAGCGCACTTCGCCGGGGAGCACGGGCGTGTGCCTCGCAGACAGTGGAGCAATCGAGGCCACCGATTCCCGGGGCGATGAGGATGGCGAGGGAGTCTGGACCTTGGTCGAGAGATCGTCGTCGTCGTAATCGCTATCGGACCTGGAGGCCGGCGAGGGCGTGCGGCGGGCTGGCGGGATGTGGTTCGACTCGGAGTACGATGTGAACAGGTTGGCGATGGTCTGGGAGATCATGTTGGGCGAGCGCAGACGGGAGTGGACGATGGAGAAGCCGGTGCTTGCAGGCATGTTGAGCAGAGACTTGGCCGGAGGGGAGCTATTTCTGGGCGGCAAGAAAAAATGCAGCGAGGGCGAGGGGCGGCGAGAAGATAGGGCGAGATAACGGCGAGGAGCCAACTGTGAGTGCGGCCTCGACGAACAAAGGTGCAGCCGGCGAGATGAGATGCTCGAAGGCCGGCACGATGGACAACAGGGAATAGCACCGAGGGCGAGCCGGGAGGAAGACGGAACCGCCAAGGGCCAAAGGCAAACGGACCATGCCGGCCAGAGCGCAGGTTTCCCAATCGTCACAAAGCCAACGACCGAGCAGCAGCAGCGATGACGATAACAATTATAGCAATAATAGCAACGAAACAGCTACACCAGCACCAGCGCACAGAGCGAGCCAGCGGGGATACGCTGCGGCGCACTCCTACCTGGACGAGATGGGCAGAGACGATCGGGAGCAGGAACAGAGCAGAGCAGGAGCAGAGCAGGAGCAGAACAGGAGCAGCATTTGGCTCTGGGCAGGCCTGGGTCCAACGGCTGCGATCCCCGAAGGCGTCATTTCATGTCTGCGCACGTCCATTGGTCCGGCGCTTCTGGCTTTGCTCGATACTGCCTTCTGGATGCCTTTGGCCGTCCGTCCTGCTGCCAGGGTGCTCGATAGTGCCATCGCTCCGACAGGGCTGGGATTCTGCGATGCATACGGCAACCAGAGCCAGGCGGATGTGGGCGGTGGAATGCAATGCGGGAGCACCGAGCGAGCGACCCAGACAGAGTCGCCACTGTCTGGCGTCTGTCTGGCGGGCGCTTGATCTGGCATCGCACCACAGACGACCAGCCCGACAGCAAATCCAGACCCAGTCGCTCGCATCTCCAACGAACCAACGCTCGAAACGGTCAGCGCAGTTCGTTCTGGCGATAGCGATCGGCAAGTCATCCCTGAACGTCCAACGACCCCCCAGCAGCACCTCAGAAGCCGCATTCTCTGCCTTCAGATCGCCTTCGCTCTCACCTAGCCTTCGTCTGCCTTCCGCCATGGCTGCAGCACCTGCGGCATCTACCGGCTCATTTGCTCGCCGGCTCGGCTTCTTTGCCGTCACGTTCGTCCCTCCGGCCATTCTCTTCAACGACTATGTCGCCTCGGTCGCGACCGTCAAGGGCCGCTCGATGCAGCCGACATTCAACCCCGACTCGAATGGCGTCTTCCAGGACATTGTTCTGCTCGACCGGTGGTCCATCACCAACCACCGATACCGCCGTGGCGACGTTGTGTTCTTCACCGCTCCACACAACCCCGACATGATCTTGATCAAGCGCATCATCGCACTCGAGGGCGACACTGTGCGGCCGCGGCCCAAGTATGTGTCCGCCAACTTGCCGCCGATGCCCATCAACCCTGTCAAGATTCCCAAGGGCCACTGCTGGCTCGAGGGCGACGAGTCGTTCCACGGCATCGACAGCAACAACTTTGGCCCGGTGCCGCTGGGACTGGTGACCTCGCGGGTGTCGTTTGTGCTGTGGCCGCTCGATAGGTTTGGTCTGGTGCGATCGCGCATGCCGTCTGGGCGGCTGCTGGAGGAGCGATAGGCTGCACCTGCAAACGCCGCACGAGGCTCGGATTCGGTCTGCCGGATGCAATACAATGCCGCAGCGTCCCCAGATCAACCCCGTCTGCCAACCGGGTCCCTGTGTCTGTTTCGGTCTCGGTCTTGGTGCCCGTCTGGTGCATCGCGGGCTGATACGCGCTGTGGCCCAAGATCCGTGGCCAGCCACCGATCGGCTGCACGTGACGTGTGTGGCTGTGTCGCCGCTCGCCTCGCTCTTGTGCTTGTTGGCCGCTGGGCCGGCCCTCCTCGGCATTCCCCGTCATCTCCCGCCCAGCTGCCCCTGCTCCTCCTGCCTCGACCCGCACACCATGTCTGTCCAGCCCGACTTCTCGCCAGTGGATGCCTTCAAGGCACTCGAGACCCTCCAGGGGGCCCTCTCTGTGCACGACGAGCTCGATTTCAGCGACATTCTAGACCTCATGGCCCGTGTCCTCAAGAAGCAGCAGCCGCTGGCCGACGTCATCCAGACCTTTGGCGAGCTGCCTCCCGAAACCATCCAGCAGATCAACCCCGTCATCGAATTCGTCGACCTGCACCTCGAGTTCCACCACGCCTTTGTCAGCCTGTGCGAGTCCTTCTTTGCCCAGCAGAAGGTCAAGGCCGTCCTTGCCGAATACACCTCGGATCCGTCGTTGTTCGAGGGCTATCTGCGTGCCCTGCAGCTCGAGTCCGTCGACTCCAAGCACGAGGACATCATGACTGGTGTCTGGGCTTACTTTGACAGCCGCGTGAGCACCGAGGCCATCCTCAAGATCAAGCTGGTGATTCTCGAGCAAAACGTCGAGTACTCTCTGGGTAAGCAGCGTTTCGTTTGGATGGTGTCCGCCTGGACCGCTGGTGGATGCCGATGGATGCCGATGGGTGTCGCGGCACTTGACCAGCGGCTCAACGCCGCTTTGAGGGCAGGATGCCTTTCAACCCGCATTTTTGGTGTGGAGGTGTCGAGAAGCGACGGTCCTCTGCCTTTGTGGACAGTCCGATCTTCCGTTGATGCCTCTTCAACGCCTGCGCCGCTACATTCTTCGACGCCTCTGCGTCCCTGCTTTCGGCTCACCGCTGCTCCACTGCCTCACTGCTCCTCTGAACCGCAGGGATCGAGGAAGACACCTTTGCCGATATGCGAAAGGCTGTTGCCGACGACGGCCTCTATCTCAACATTCTTGAGTATCTCGGGGAATTCCGCGGCGGGCTTTCCTGGGAACAGGTAATGTTACGCCGCGCCGACGATGATGTTCCCAAAACGAGCTACCCAGTCGTTGTTCGGGCCATTGTGCATGCCACGCACCCGCAATGATGTTGCTGACAGTGCTCCTAACGCGATTATTGTCGATTTGAACCGCGCCAATCTGCTCAGACACTTGATATGATGCGTAGTATGGTCCTTCGAATCAAACCCGACATTTGGGAAAGCCTCGAAACGATTTTGACCGAGTGGAAATCGGCAGCTGGTCAGTGTCTATCCCGGGCAACGCAGCTGAATGCATCTTTGGTTACTCGGCTGTGATACACAATCGATTGATTGCTGTCGGAGCGCTCCCGAGTGCCTGAGCTTCGGATCCACCGATCGCTGACACCGCTTCCCAACCCATCGATGTTCAGACCAAGAGTTCCTCGACGAGGCCAGAGACCTCCTTCAAGATGAGGCCCTCTACGAGGAGTTCTACCAAAAGTTTTCCCAGGAGGCCGACGAGGAAACCGTCCTGGAGCACATCGAGTCTCTGTCCGTCGACCCTGCCCTGGCTGAGGGCCTCAAACAGCTCTACGTCTCCAAGAGCCCCTCGGCTGTCCAAGCCCGACTCGGCATCCGATAAACGGATGGATAAGAGGACATGTGCCTCTGTCTTGGGGCGGCCTCATGTCGTCCGCCCGCCCACCACCCACTAGACTATGGCTCGCTCTGGGCTGTCTTGATTGCTCTGCTATGACTTGGTTCGATTGCTGTCCCATTGACTATCTGGGTCGCACCCGCTTGACCTCTCACTCATTTTCGTTGTGCTTTGCCTTGCTCATTTCGTTGTGCTTGCCTCTCTCTGCCTTCCCGTCCACGGAAGCCATCTGCTCTGCTCGGCTTCATCTCTGCCGACCTATCGTTTTTGACACAAAACAATCCAAAAATAATATGCATGCCCCCCCGTTACACCCCCTCCAATTGCTTGACCTCATGTAACTTTGACTCGGACGAAAGTGAACCGCCCCCCCCCCAATTCATGCAATCTCTGTATTCTGTGAAGCTTGTGCGCAATACAGCTCTTTCGTGAGACGAGTTCATCTCGACAGAGAGTGCCCTAACCCCTGGCGCCAATCGCTGATCCGGGATCGATGCTCGAGCACGTGTCTGACAATCACGTGCTCTCAATCAGCCGGCCAGTCCGTGGCTGGCTGGTGCGCGGCTATTGTCTCCACAGACCCCTGCAATCGACCTGCCTGGAATGCATTTCTGCTTGTCATCACCGCTCCATTGCATCTGGCGTGCTTCTGCGGCCGATTCGATTGCACTCACCGCCGGTCTGTAAAATAAGAATAATAAGCATGTCCGAAAGCTTCTCCCCCTACACCCGCATGTCGCTCGCCGAGCGGCCGCGGGATGGCCCCTCGAACTTTGGCTTGCCCACCAGCCGCTCGTTCTCGGGCACCCCATCCGGAATCGTCTCGCCGACACAGGAGGGATCCTTCGAGACTCTGTCACAGGAAAGCGCCCCAGCAGCATCGACCGCCAGGCCACGACGAGCACGCAACCTCCTCCAGAGCTACTACGGCACCATTGCCAGCTCAGACGGCGCCAATGATGCCCACAACATGGGTTGGTGCCAGCCTGCTTCAAGCCTGATTCATCTTGCCCGCATCATCGCCTCCGCTTGTAGAATATCAGCGACTCCCTCCCTGCAGTCACTTGGGGGCGCGGGCCATTTCGCAGAGTCTGTGTTGCAAGCACTGATGCCTGCATGATTCCACGGCCCCGATGGGATAGATGCCGGCTCCTTCGATAAAGACAAGTACATCCAGAATCTCCTCGCCAATTCCTCCCTTTCCGAGCTGATTCAGAAGGACAACGAGCTTGTCGCAGGTACGATCGCATGGCGAACGAAGGAGCGTATCTGGCACACGATGCAACGACTGAACCATCGGCAGGCATGTGGCTGCGGATGAACGAGTCCTAACAACCGACCCAATCTCAATCTGCTCCCCCCCCCAATTCAATTGGGCTTGATTGACATGCATATCTATCGTCTATGGCTGTCAAAACTGGAACTGAATCGCCTCTTCGCCGTCACAATCCGTTGCCCCTGGCCAAACCCGACGTCAGCAATCAAGTCCTTGGACGGCGACATGAAGACCCTCGTTTATGAAAACTATAGCAAGTTCATCAGCGCCACAGACACCATTTCGCGCATGAAGCGGAATGTCGACAACATGGACGCTCAGATGGGCCAACTTCACGAAAAGATGGAGCGCATTTCGCTGCACTCGACTGGCCTTCATTCGGAGCTGGAGGAGCGACGCACCAAGATGCATCAACTTACTGGAGTCCACGACCTGCTCAAGAAGGCGCGTGTTTGGTTCAGTTCCTCTCCGCTCTTGAGACCAAGCCGCACGGACAGACATGCTGCGGGACACTGTGGCTACTGGGTCCCGTCGTTTGGTGACATCTCACCCGATACGACGGCGCTCCGAGGCGACTGGAAGTAGTGCTTGGGGCCTGAATGCACAACATGATATGCTGACAACTCGATTTGGTGCTATTTGTCATCTGCAACAGCTCAACTTTGTGTTCGACCTCCCGACCAAGCTCAAGCAGTGTCTCAAGAAGAAAATGTACCAGCAGGCAGTGGACTATTACTGCCGTACGGCCGGGCTGCTGGCACACTACCAACATCTGGCGGTCTTCAAAAACATCACGGAGGAGTGCAAGGACATCATGACATCTGTTTCAGTCAAAGTTCGGGCAAACCTGTCCAAGCCGGAGGTGCGTGCGCTGGATAGCCGCCGTGGCAACAATCCAGCATGTCAGTGCGATTGATGTAATCGACGCCATCGACATCCTCACTCAACTGTCATGTCCGACACTGCCACCTGCACAGATAACTGCGCAAGAGCTCTCCGACAACATGGGCATCCTTATCGGAATCAGCATGCAGACTCCAGCAGTTTTGACGCGCGAGTACCTAACCCTGTATGTGCACGGTCATCGCTCCGGGTGGCACAGTCTGACTCGAAGGAGCCCGCCATAGAGCAGTGTAATCCGTGCTGACAAGTGTTGCGAATCAATTCAGTTCTCAGAACTTGCTCGATCAGACGAAACAAGTCATCGACCGAGACATGAAGCAACGGGCAGCCAATGCACGCTCGCCTGGCGCAAGCGACAAAGTCCAGCTGCTCAGGGACATCAACACTAAGCTTTTGCTGCCCTTTCTCGAACTTGTACGTGGCTACGAGCTGTATTTTCTCGGAATCGGGCCCGATGCCTCCCCATCGATCATGTCTCCTGAAAGCGCCAACAGCACCGTGTCATGGAAGTCGGCAATATCGATCAAGATGAGCGCAGAGGTGGGTGGATGGATCGCATCAACTGCATTGCCGTATTGATGCCGCAGATGCGATCATGCCTTCTCTAAGCTCACGATTGGCATGCCCGTGTCCGCGCAGGAGAAGGAAGCGGCTCGAAAGGATCTGCTCGAACTAGCCAATGCTTTCATGGAACAATATTACAGCCGCCTCGAGAATCTGATGGGCTCGGTTCGTGTCCCTCTGCTGCCTGACTGGTCCCGATGATATCTACCTCTGTTGCTGCTCACACGGGAGTCTGTCGTTGATGTATGGATTGCTCTCTTTCTCCGCTGCAGCTTGCACTCACTCCAGAGAGCGTCGTTGATTTCTTGGGTCTTTTGAATGCGCTGTCGCAAGAGCTCTCCATCATCGACGATCGCAACAGTGTGGTCCAAGTATGCCGGAAGATCCAAGCCAAAATGGAGTCATGGCTCCGACTGGCCGTCGAAACAACACTGGGGCGCGTTCAGGACCAGTTTTTTGGTATGGAGCTGAGTCGGACAGCTGGAACTGCGTCGGGTGCTGGAGATGCGCCGATATGTCAGGGAACTTCAACGTCAACACTGTTCTGGACTCCCACGCCTTTGAGCTTGCAGAACCTGTGAGCTAGCACCAGCGACAACCCATCAGAAGTACGCCTTGAGTTGACCAGTGCATGGTCCACCGCTCTCTACACAGCACAATTCAATATCCCAGCTGTTCCAGGCGATCTCCGGGCGTTTATCACTCAGATATCTTCCTCAGTCAACGACGGTATCATCAACCTACTGCCGATTCTGGAGGTTGGTCTGGTTGCCCGGCTATCATAAGAACCCCCGATGAATCAGTGTCTCCAACGCCGCTCGCTCTCGTTGGGGGTTGCACCGGCGTTGTCGCTAATCCGGAGCCTCGAATGCACGAATGCACGAATGCACGAATGCACGAATGCACGAATGCACGAATGCACGAATGCACGAATGCACGAATGCACAGATCGACTTTAACAACTCGCTCCCCTGCCAATTTACCAGACACTTGCCCAAAAGGACGTGTTGCTTGTGCAGCATATGACCCAAGGGCTCGACGGCCTGCTGGACTTGATCGAGTCTGGCTTCTCCAAGTTCTGGAGCAACCTGACCAACGCGATGATGGTAAGGTGTTTGAGACACTGTAGCCAGATGCCTTCTAGAACGGCGCAGCCCAGGCCTATCTGTGCTCGTAAGATGCTGTATGAGCTGTGACGAAACAGTTCGGAGACGTGTCCCGGTAAATGGGCCTGCGTTTCCGCAAACTTCAGAAGATGGTGCCCACTGAATCTCCGCATATTGCCGCTTCACCATTGCCACTCCATTGATTGTCCGGATTTGGTTCGCGTCCGGCTCGCAGAACGCCCGTTCAGGGACACAATCAACTCTCGGCGCACAGCGATTCCTAATGTACTCAAGGGTTGCCAACGAGCTCTCGGCCGTGACGATCGAGTCCATATACGGAATACTTCTGGAGCGCCTGTTCTCCAAGAGCCGAAAGTACAGCTCAGACACCCGTGCGACTCAATCGTTTGGCGGCTCACCCAAAAAGAAGCACGCGATGGCGATCAGTGCCACGGGCGGGGCCCTGAACAACGCCCCGGTCTCGACGTTTGTGCAGCAGAGCAAGCTTGGAACGGGTCACTACTCGGCTAGAGTCAAGGACATTATCAACATGTGTCGAACCTGCGCCGAGGTAAAGCCAGTGATGTGCTGATCCGAGTGATGGAGTTGGGAAGGATCGCTAGCTGTTCCATCGATGGCGAATAGTTCATCCGTATTCCGGTCGTGCGCGGGGTCGTTGTAATCTGCAAGCCAGCTCTGCGGCTCACATTGACGTCTCACCTCCACACCGATCTACCAACGACAAACGACAAACGACAATGAATCGTCTTCCACATCTTATAGGATCTCTTGCGAGTCTATGTCAAGATGGTCACGTCGCAGTTCACTCTGCAGATTCGGCCCCACTTCCGGAGAGTGGATTGGACCCAAGCCGCAGAACCTATCACGGTGTCGAAGATTTGGGAAGCCGTCGTTGCCCAGGTCACCGCCGTGACCAACGAAATCAACCAGATCTATGAAGAGCCAACCTCGGATTCAGGGTTTGGACAAAGTAAGGCTGCTTCTGATTGCGGTATTAGCGAGGCAGCACCTTGGACGCCGGCTTCTTTCACAGTTCGAGTTTCTTGCATCAACCGCCAGTCTCACTCTCTTTGGCATCAGACCCAGTCGACCGGAGAGCCAACAAGCTCAGCAACCGTCGCGCCAGCAGCAATCCTTACACAACCAACTCGGGCTCATCCAGTATCTCCAGTGCCATCAACAAGCCGCAAAAGATCTCCACCAGTGACATTGGCTCGGTGTCCGGCCTTGGGACTGGCTCGGGCTCGTCAAAGTACGATGCATTGCTCAGCAACATCGACCGACTGTTCGCCGAGCGGGTTGTCTACTTTGGCAAGGTCGAAATGAACAAACTCGACATCCTTAGCAGCGTTGCTCGGATCGTGCTCAAAGTACGTTGACTCGCTTGATCGGGAGTGGTGGAGTCACTCTTCAAGGCTTGATTTGCCAACCGAAGAATCCGACATCACCGCGAAAGTAGTTTTTGCTTCTCTGATCGATTTTATGCGTGAGGGACACCGCTATGACCGTGCGTCCAACTCACATTCCTGTCGCGGCAAACAACTGCCTTTGCTCAGATGATCGTCGAGGAGGTGCGACAAGTCACGTTCGGACCAGGGGGATTCCACCAACTGCAAGTCGATGTTGAGATGATGAGGGGCCACTGTTGGACATACACCTCGGACGATCGGTAATGAGCCTTGGGAGCGATGCGGGTCGGGTCGGGTTGGTGTATGCGAATAGGCTTCGGAATCGTGGATGCATGGCTTGGCACTGCGGGTGCGACTAGATAGGCATGTAACAATCTCTGGGAAGCGGCTTGCAGCGGAATTGATGTCCTGTTGGATGGCACTCGACAGGTTGATCAGCTCTCTCTACGATGAAATCATAGCAAGTGGGTTCCGGCACTGCACAGATGCGGGCATCTTCACACGGGAGGTAAGATCCGGAATAGGGGGGGGGTCGAGCATCCTGGGGTCATCGGAGGCTGGTCTTGACAGACACAGTGAATGCTTGTGGTATTTCGCACACACAGCCTCCTCACAACCAAGACTGACGGCGCATTCTATCGTATTCCTCCATCGCGATCAACGTATCAACTAGAGTCTCGAGTCGATCTTGCGGGACTGGGAGCAAAGTGCGCAGCCCCAGGTTGAAACCGAGTGAAGGATCATGTGCGGAAGGTTGTGCCGACATGCATCTTTCCTCTGATATATAACGACACTGCAACTCTTTTCGCCGTCTCAACATGTCATCACTCATTCCATCACACTGCATAGTATTCACAAAGGAGGGAGGTGCGTTGCGTGTGAGTTCAGCAGGCATCGGGCCTCCGATGCCAGAGAAAACGGACGCTGTCCTGGTTTTCTGGATTGGTTGAAAGTGGATCATTGGGCTTACGGTCAGAGAACATTGTTGCCCCCCTCCCTGTCGCTTGAGATGCCTGTATTCCAATCGCAATCCGTTCAACCTACTACCGCCGATCCGCTCCGCCTCCGCTGCTGCTGCTGCTGCTTCGCGAGAGTCTCTCCACCACCTGTGGACTGGTGTTCGCGCGCAGCCAAGTGACATCCTCGGCCTCGAATCCAAGCCACTGATATCCACGTAGCAAATGCACACAGTCCGTAAACTGGAACCTCGACCACTTGAGCCGAGCCACGGCGGCAGTTTGGCGGCAAAACTCCCTGTCAAGGTAGAGACTCGAGTATGGGAACGCTTGATGTTGCCGCCCCAGGGCAAAGATAACCTCGGAGATCTGGTAAGGGAGGAGAGTGTACAGCCGCTTGGTGTACGATGCCTGGATGGCTCGGAAGAGCTCAGGATCGTCGATACTCATCTGCGAATAGGACCAAGCAAGGAGGGCGAGTTGCTGGATGGACATTTCATCGGCATTGCGGCATACGATCCGCGAGGCCGCCTCGAATAAGGGCGGGTTGTGTTGCTTGAGTTTTGCATGCGACCAGACAAAGATGGACAGGGTCTGCGGGCAGACGCTGTCGATCCGAGGCAGTATCAGCTCGGACAAACGCCCGAACAGCGCAGGATTGTATGTTTCCATCGTGGCATAGCACCAGGAGACATTGGCAAGGTTGCGGAGCGGATAGTTCTCAATATTGGTCAGGATTGCGTCGGCAGCCTCTGCGAACAGCCTGGGGCTGGGGATTCGCAGCTTGGCAAAGGCCCATAGTAGCGATGAACTCAGCTGGCCCGGAGATAGGTCGTCGAGGTATGGAAGAACAGCATCGGCGACCTTGAAGAACAGAATGGGAGAATCGACTTTGAGGGTGGCATAGCACCAGACGATGAGTGGGAGGAGTGCAGGCGGCATCGATGCCATGTTTTTGACCAGGTGATCGGATCCAGCCAAAAACAGCGGCTCAGACCGGATCTTGAGCTTGGCGAAGGACCACAGCAGCATCAGGATGAGTTCTTCATTTCTGAATCGGTGCACGACAGGTATCGATGCGGATGCGAGCTTGGCAAAGAGGGTTGGTGCTGGGATTCCCACGGTCGCAAACGACCATGCGACCACGGCGAGCGATCGTGTGGAATACGAATTGATCCGAGAGGCGATGACTCGGGCAGCCTGATCAAAGAGCGGGCGGTCGCGGATATCCAGCTTGGCAAAGGACCAGATCAGATTCAAGGCCAGCTCCTTCTCGCTCAGCCGTGCCAACTTTGGAAGGGCCATCCGCGAGATTTCTTTGAACAGCTGTGGCGACGCAATCGAGTGAGACGCATACGCAAGTGCGATCATGGTGAGGTCGCCGACCGGGTACTCGGAGACGTGACTCAGGATGTGCTTGCTTGCGGCATCAAACAGGTCGGGATAGGCCGGCCGTTGGTAGCCATAGTTGACGATGATACTCTTGAGAGTCTTTGCATCAAAATGCGGCAGCCGATCGTGGATATAGGGAAGCGCCTGCTCAAAGAGCTCGGGTGCCTTGATTCCATGTGAAGAGTAAGCCCACAGCAGGTTCGACAGTCCGCAGTCATCGAGCGAAGGCAACTTGCGGATGGCCCACGGGAGTGCCGAGTCGAAGAGTGTGTCGGCACGGATGCGCATCGTGGCGAAGGAATACAGCAGCACCGAGAGCTGGTCGCCGCTGAACTCGGGAAGCCGGACCATGCTAGCGGTCGCGATCTGGCTGAAAATCCCATTCGGGTTCATTCGCATGTGGGCGAGGGACCATGCCACCTTGGAGAGTGCATCGGCCTCTATGTTGCCGAGCCGAGATCGCAGCTTGGCCAGCAGGATTGTCCACAGCGCGGGGGACTGGATCTGCAGAGTTGACATGGACCAGATCACATCGGCGAGGTCTTGATCGCTGTATTGATGCTGGTCGGTTTCGATGACTTGCACGGCCATGGCCCGCAGCTGAGGAGCACCAGGGTCGAACTTTGCCAGCGACACTGCCAGGCGAGCGAACTCGGACGGGGCGAATGACGAGAGCCGGCGCGAAAGCAGCTCTTCGGCCATTTCCACCGACATGGGTGCTGCCCTTTCTGCGCAGACAAATGCCCAGATCAAGTCCGCAAGGGCCTGGTTGGAGAGCCCCGAGAGGTGGCCTACGAAGCGAGAAGTAGCCATGTCGAAGAAGCCAGTGTCGAGGATGCCGGACCTGACACAGAAGCAGATGATGGCAAGCAGGTCGCCGTCCGAGACGGCTGCGTTGCTGCCGATGTTGCCCTCAATAGACCGAGCCAGCACTTGACAAAAGTCTCGGGACAGGATCTTGAGACGATTGCACATCTCGAGCACCCGCATATTCTCGACAAGGGTATATCGAGGCAGAAGCTCAACGAGCTCGGCTCTCACGGCGGCTTCGAGTTTCAGCCGCCTCTTGATCGACAAAAGCCGCCAGACTCGATCGATCAGATGCATCAGGGAGGGGTCTTGATGGGCCACATTGCTCATAAGGGCCTTGAGCGCAGACTCGATAACGGGCTCCTTGGTCCAGAATTGTGGCTCCGAAAGATCGTGCAGTTCCTGCAATGTCGCCGCTGTCAGGACGAGATCGTGGCGGAAGTGGGATGGATCGCGGAGGACGGCGTCGTGCATCGATTGAACCAGCTGCTTGGTCTTGATGATGTTGGCATCGCAGTGAGACTTGATATCACCGACGTGGGCGTGAAAGAACCGAGAGCGAAAGAGCAAGATGTGAAGCGAGGCAAGAAGCGAAGGACCACGGGCGGGTGTGCCGGACAGCCGGGACGGTGGTCGGATGGCTGATGGAATTAGTGGTTGGGAGAACGGCTGGATAGATAAGTGGCATCGAGGCCGCATGGACCCTTCGCATCGACGCTGCAATTGTGGCTCTTGGAGACGAGAAAGGTGACGAGCGTCCAACAGGCGATGGGTTGATGTCGATAGGAAACGAAGAGGAGTGTCGCCTCGTGAATCGGCTGCTAGCCGGGACGGCGAGACGACAAAGCGAGCGGGCATTCGAAGCCGGAAGGCAGCAGCACACCGGGAGCGATCGTGAGCGCAAACGGAGCAGATGCAGATCGGATGCAGATCGGATGCAGGTCGGATGCAGATCGGATGTCTGATTCAGCAGGCGACTTGTGTGCGCGATCTGAAGCAGGAGCTGTGCGTTTGAGGACGCCGTTGCTGGGTCCTGAGATTATGGGCCCAGTCCAGATCTGTAGCTGTGTCGACAGAGGTCGCTGTTGGGAGGGGGGAGGTTTCTTGGCCTTGCTTGGCCTTGCTTGGCTCAGGAAGCGAAAGTGGACACAGCACCAACCAGACCGATCGGTTGCTGCGTTTGATTGGCTCTGGGGGTTGATTCACACGGTCAGGTCTCGATCGCACCCACAGATCAAAGGATAAAGGCGTATCCGCTACCGACGACCGGCATCAAAGTGTCCCTCCCCCACAGCCGCACAAAAAATGAGCACCAAGCCAGCCAACGTCAACGCCCCATCGGCGGCCGCAAACGCAGCAGCAGCGACGGTCGCAGCAACCGAGCTTGCAGGCCCAGACGCAAATCAAGCAACCGGGAGCAAAGACGGACTGGCTGCGGGAACCAATGCGACTCGAGTCTCGTATTTGGATGTGATCCATGACACGCTCCAGAAGCAGGGCAAGGTAGAGTGGCCACAGGGAGGAGCAAAGCTTGGGAGAGGAGGAGAGAGAGAGCGTCGTTTCCGCAAGATGGCCTGTCCACGCATGCTCATGTCTTGCCGGTGCGGCTCCACGAAAATTGATATCGCAAGACGACCATCATTTCGCGCGTGGTTGTCTGCGGAGAACTGCCCAGGACCGACGAGCGACCAGACTATGCAGGTAAGGCGGCCGCGAATTACCCCCGAGAGTCTCCGTACCGACGGAGCGGCTGATGTCGGGCTGTTGCTGCTCCTCGCCTCAGGAAACTACACCAAGCTCTTCAAGCAGTTCCAGACCGACACCGACCTCATCACCGGAATCATGCTGATTCTGCCCGGATCTTTCATCCACATTATCGAGGTGCGTCGTATGGACGAGCTCAGTCTTGGACACTCGATTTGGTTCCCTCCCATGAGGTGCTTGGGTTCATTCGTTATCAGGCAGCAGACGGTCAAATCACTCACGCTACCACGGATGATGATCACTCGGCTCAATACACAACAGAGCACTCAGAAGATTGCTCTGGCTTTTCTGCGGGATCTGGCCAATACGGCAAACGGATTCCTCTCTGTCCGGATCCTGTTCTACGCCGATGACATCCCAAGTCGGAGCTATCCGGTCTGGGCGACCCGAGTGATTGTCGACAGCCCGATCGGCGGCTTTGACTTGCACGAAGATGCTCTCTCTGAGGAACAGCTTCCGAGCGGGGTAAGTGACTGACTGGCCGACTGGCCGACCGGCTGACTGACTGTGGCAACTGCGTCCCTGTCGTGATGACCGAGTGTGGGCTGTGCTCTGGAAGCCGTCGGTCGAATTGCATCCGGGGTCACTGACACAAACGACACATTGTCCTGTGAATCCGGTCCTTGGCAGATCAGCGAGCTGTGTCTCACCATGGTCAAACTCGGCACAGCACTCGGGAGCTTGTCTCGGGTAAGCCGGGCATCGTCCGCGCAGCCGTTTGCTGAATAACCCACTAAGCGAAAGTTGGATTTGACAAGTGGTTCATGCTTCTACTCGGATTTCGGGATGGGGGGGGGCGCATCGCTTGCAGAACGACCTCAAGAGCGCCCTGGACGAGCTGCCGAATCGGTTTGCGGCACACATTCCCTCGGACCACACCCTCGTGGCTGTATCCAAGTGTGACTCGATCATGTCCATCGCCGACTATTTGGATATCTACACCGGTCACGTTAAGATCGTCTTGGACAGCGGTAAGTGGGCAGTGCGGGCAAGTTGTTGAAGGAGTGGGAGCTGTCTGACTAACAAGCCGTCGATGGGGAAACCACGTTTTTCATTTCCTTTGCCGCGAATGCCATCTGCGTCTTAAACCACAGAGCTTGTCTGGCCAATGCCCAAGACCCTTGTATACTAGCCACACCGAACCTCGGCTGCAGCGCTCGAACGAAACATGCATCGATGACTCCTCGTGAGGACATCCGATGCGACTGGAGGCCATGACGCTGGGCGAAAGAGCAAGTCCTTTCATGACCCTCGCAGTTTTTGCAAGAAGCCAGGTGCCCCAAACATCAGTGCTGCACGATCAGCCGGTGGTTTATTCAATCCACAGTCCGCTTCCATCTTCTGGCGAAACAACAAGAGGCGATACAAGTTATGGTGCGGTCATTTGGCAGAGACACATTGACGATTAAATCTTCTTCACAATCTAGATCGCGCAAAATGCAGAGGTGCACGATCAGTACGGTGCTGCGTCGCCATTCATTGATGAGGGCAGGAGAGAGGAGCAACGGCGGCGCCCTCGCAATATCCGCTGCCAGAGGGACAAGGCTGCATGCATGGATAAAGCGACGGATCAGCTTCGGCTGCTGCATACCTGAACGACATCCTCGTCAGCCAGGACGTGATCTTTGCCGACTTTCTGGGGATTGAACTTGACTGAGGAGCCCCAGACCAGAGCGTGCTTGAAGTCGCGGATGAGCTGCTTGTGAATTGCGTTACAGAAATCCTCAACCGTCAGACCCTGCTGTCGTAGAATGACTGGGGAGCTGTAATCCGGCAGCTGGCCCTTGGGTTTGGTGTAGCTGAGGGAGGGATGAGCACAGACAACACCGTGAGCAGGGAGAGCGTGCGTCCGTTGATCCATGGCGGTGCGACCCACGGCGAGCCAGTCCATAGCGATGCAATCCGTTGGCCCGTTTCCAGACTGGCGCTTGCACGACGCGCTGAATCGCCGCGCTGTGACATAGGTCGGCTCGGTACGTACATCCGGCAGAGATTCAGCTTCTCCCACATCAAGGCCAAGAGATCGTCAAAGTTCCACTCGTGGTGGGCACTGATGGGGATCGAGTTGGGGATCTTGTAGATGATGTCGAGTTCCTCGACTGAGATCTGATCGATCTTGTTGAGGACATAGATGGCAGGGATGTAGAGACGGTTGCTGGAGGTGTCCAGAGACACGGAGACGCAAAATGAGTACGGGAATATAGACAGTGCCACTGGCTTTGGCAAGTGCATGCACGTGGGGGGGGGGAGAGGCTCGAAGAATGTGGAATCCGTGCATACCCTTCGATGACATCAATCAGATCGTCCACTGAGAGATGAGCCGTTGGACAAGTTAGAGCCGTGACCAAATTGCCTCGACGACTCTGGTCGAGATCCGTGGGACTCTTGCAAAGCAAAAAATCAACCAACAATGGATGCCTATTCCTGTAGCAGTCACGATGGGGGCCTCAGAGCACCGGGGACGCTACCTGTGGCGTCGCATTTGAAGCTGATGTCCGCGTTGTGGATCTTGTACTCGGAGAGAATCGCCTTGACGGCATCGTTGTCGAGGTTGGTCAAGGGGACGATCGAGGTGATGTTGATGCCACCCTTGTCCTTCTTTCGGAAGGTGATGGCGGGAGGTTCCCGGTTCAGTCTGATGCCGAATCCCTCCAGCTCCTTCTCGATGACCCGCTTGTGTCCCAGAGGCTTCAACACATCCAAAACGAGGAAGATGAGCGAGCAGGTGCGGGCGACTGCGATGACCTGGACAGCAGCAGGTGTTGATAAGGACCGTCCGAGAGGCAGGATATGAGTACATCGACGAGGACCCAAGCGAGTGCGGCTCGGAGACAAGCGCGCTGTGATTCCGTAATGAACAGCATTGCGTGTCGAGAGCGTTGAAACGCTCGCTGGGCGGCAATGACAACACCATGCTTGGAAAGCAACCGTACCTGTCGACCTCGACCTTTGCCGTCCTTGGCGCCTTCGATGATACCAGGCAGATCCAGAATCTGGATCTTGGCGCCCTTGTAGTGGATCACACCGGGCACGGTGGTCAGGGTGGTGAACTCCCACGCAGCTGGATTTGATCGAGGCGAGGTGGTAGATGGCGAGTGCACAGCGGCGGAGACGAGGAGCATGTCAACACAGGTAGAGGCCATGGCACACACTGCACTCGAGTCTCGGCTGGGCCGAAGTTAGCCTGGATACCAACATTGCCGGGGAGAGTGCCAGCACGTCCAACGCAGAAGGCATACTGACCGACTTCAGAGTGCGTCCCTGTGAGCTTGCTCATGAGCGTCGATTTGCCAACAGACGGGAATCCGACAAAACCCACGCGGGCAACACCGGTCTTTTGGACGTCGAAGCCAACACCGGGGCCGCCGCCGCCGCCGCCAGAAGGCATCAGCAGCTCACGCCTCAGCTTGGCCAGCTTGGCCTTGAGCAAGCCCAAATGATAGGATGTGGCCTTGTTCTTTTGGGTGCGGGCCATCTCATCCTCGATGGCTTTGCTGGCGATCGAATCGGCATGGTCGTGTGGAGAGTTGAGATGGGTTGATGCAGATGGTCGGCAGCAATGTTGCAGATGATGTAGCCGCATGAGGGCACAGCCAGATCCACAATCGGACGACCAATGTTGGAGACAAGCGCAAGTTTGCCGCAGAAGAGCAAATGCGTCGTGGACCCATCGATGGCGAGAGGAACAAAGAGTGTTCGATTGTGTGAGAATCGGGGTGGGAGCGTCGAGCGTCGTTTCAGCCAAAGTCCCCGCCCCTCTGCTGATCCGACGGGACTGATGGGGACAACTGGCGCCCACCAGAAACATAGACAAGACTTGCAGAATGACCATTACATTTTCTTTGTTACGGATAGGTCGAGGGCGGGTATGTTGAGGTCGCCGCAAATGTTGGCGATGCATTCGTCGAACAGAGAGTGTCAGTGGTCTGATCAACAGACGAGGACAGCCGGCTGCTTGCATCGACGGCGATGGGGACAGCTGGACAAGCCGGCGGTCGACAGGGCCAAGGTTACCTCGTAGACAGACATGACTGCAGTCTAATCTAATGGCAGCGAGGGAATCGAATAACGGCTGTGGATGCGGAAACAGACGCAAACCGAGTGGATGGCGGATGGCCGGAGGAGCTGCGATCCAAGACAAGATGCACGAGCCTGACGGTGGAATCGGCTGCGGCGACAGGCCGACTTTTTTTGCACCCCACTCGATCCGGCTGGAGGGCGGATCCAGGGAGGCGCACTCGATCCAGGGGAATGCACTCGAGCCAGACAACCCACAATCAATTCGCCCTGGTCGCGCTTGGGAATGGGAACTGCGATGGGAACAACTCGGCCCACGCCCAGCACAGGGACGGGAGGCTGGCGAAGAGGTCCCCATTCCAGACGAATGCTAGAGCCAAAGGCGAGCAAGGATACCGCGGCCCCTGGGCAGTACCGCAAGCCGGCGGAAAGAGAAGCCGCTGTATGGGAAGGCACAGCCGCGGAATGCCAAGAATATGCAAGTGGGGACCATGTCGACCGAGCGACAACAGAGGATCGTGGTGGGCCAAACAGGAGCAGACGCATGCGGGCGAGAGAGCATGAGAGTGGGAGCCAATGTGCAGGCTCGACAGAATGCCGTAAGGGCAGGCGCACGGAGCAGGACAGGTGGATGCTGATGAGTAGTGAGTACTGGTGCATGACGAATGCCTTTCTTCCAAGCGACTTGGGCGGGGATGGGGCTCGTCTTCGTAACTACCCCCGTTGGATGTACGAGGCATATGAAACGGCTGGGGCGAAGGCGAGCGGGGCCAAATTGCCCGCTGTGCATTTGGCGAGGCCAAGGGCACACTTGCTGAAGGATACGGAGGAATGGGCAGCACGGGAAAGGGCGTCGATGCACAAAGTACATCCCGCTCGGGCAGACTACCTCTGGCAGCAGACGGAGATGCACGGCGACGAGGGGGTGCCGTCCTCGAAATCCGAGGGGGAGCACATTTCCGAGCAACACGCAGCTGAGCCGCCATGGGGGAGAAGACGCTGCCCCAACCACAGGTTGTGTTGGGGCGGGGACCTCCCGCTGATGAGATTCGGAATGGTTCTCGCCCCAGCGACGATGTGGCCCGCAACGAATCGTCATGGGGAAGCCGCCAAAGGAATGGACCGGCCCGCCACCGTCACCATGAGCCCCAGCCGGGGGACCTGCAACACAGGCAAAGGCCGAGCGAACCAGCGCCGTGCGGCTGCGGAGGTCCAGGCTGTGTCGCGCAGGTGGCTGCAGGCACATCGGACAATCGGGGCCCTGGGGCGGCCGCCCATGAAACCAAGAAGGCGGCCGATGCGGCGCCAAGATGCACAGAGGCGGCCACGGAGGGCTCCCGACCAATCGCAGGGCATGTGACCGGCGGATGATGACTGTGTGTGACGGAAGACCCGCGCGTGTGTTTGTGGACAGTGGCGGCAATGAGGTGGGGGCGTGGAGCGCGCCGGCGCTGATTGGCCCGCGGCTCATTTATCCGCGCTCAAGGGCCTCAACCTTCGGCAAATAGTGAACCACGGGCTGATACAAGAGAGCCAGGGGTGGCACCCACGATATCCCCGGCGACAAGGCCGCTCCAAATTTATCCTCGGGGTGGGTCTTGGCGCTTGTTGTGGCCACCCGCCGTCGGGCCGCTGAAAGCCGTCGTCTTGGCGTGTGCTGGCTACGGGCAGCAGACGACAAGGGCACCACGCAAATCTGGGGATGGCAGCGACGACCGCAGCGACGACAGCAACATGATCAGCAACATGATCAGCGTCAGCAGCAGCATCGGCAGCAACAACAAAGCAACGGCGGGAGCGACGCCGCCGCTGCCGCCACAGCGAGGAAAGCGGCAAGAGCAGGGCAAGAGCAGGGCAAGAGAAAAGAAACACCCCCCCCAGCACAAGGCAGGCTCCTCCCGGGCTGCACCGCATGAGTCGCTCGACAACCCCAGTCCCGTGGCGACTCGCGCGCGGCTGCATTATCGCCCGAGGCGAGCGAGGCGACCGGGGCGACCGAGGCCGTGAGGCTGGAGCCGGCGGCAAAGAAAAAGGGAAAGGCCCAAGCAGCAGCCACACCGGCAGGCACAGCAGCGGGCGAGCCGCCGGCCTCTAAAGGAATTCGGCGCGGACACAACGATCAGCAGCCCGTCGCACAAGATGGAGGCGGAACAGAGTTGCGTGGGCGCCTGTGCAAGAGTGGCTCCCTTATTGTCGCGCAGACGGGCCGGCGGGTGGGGGCGGACGTGCTGCGCAACGCCACCGAGCCGCAGCCCCCCAGCCCGCGGGAGCGCCTGTGGCGAGCGCGGCTCTGTGGGCGCCCACGCCCCGCACGTGTGCCGCGTGTATGACGATGGGGACTGGATCTTGTCTCACGGCGCCTGCCGCGACTGGACGGCACCGCGCCCGCCCCTTGTGCCGCCCGACAAGCAGCCCCCAACCGCGCCGACGCGCTGTCTGTGTGCGACGGCTGCGCGGTTGCGGAGGGGGCGGCGGCCTGCCACTGGTGCGCCTGGCGCGCTGCTGCGGGCGCGTTACGCGTGGCGGCCTGCTGCTGTTGTGGATGCTGCTGTTGTTGGTCAAGTGGATGCTGCTGTTTGGCCAGTGCTATTTGTGCCGTTTTAGCGCATTGCCCGCGTCGCCCGTTGTCATTATCACTCACCAACCCACACTCGCCACACCGAACCCGCACTCGACACATCTAACATCGTCTAACATCGTCTAACATCGTCTAACATCGTCTAACATCGTCCACCACCATCAACGCCATCAACACCGCCATCACCGCCATCACCCACACCACGGGCAGCACTCGACATCATCACCCACACCATCGCCCAACATCTCCAGCAGCGCCCAGCCACCCGGTCCTTGCCTCGCCCATAGTGCCCTTGCGCGCTATCGCCCTCGCCTTGCTGGCCATCACAGCTCCCTTACCGTCGCCTTGCTGCCTATCTCGCCCAGGCCGTGCTCCTCCCTTGCCTGCTGTTGCTCCTTTCGTGCTGGCCTTAGTGCTGCTCCGACCAAGCCAAGAATCGCCGAGCCCGCTGCCCATGCCTGGCCCGTCGCCTGTATCTGTGTTGCCTCCACGCCGTTCTGCCCGCGCTTGTCGTCTGTTCCTGGCCCTGTTCTTTTCGGGTTTGTCATCGCTGCTGCGTTTTGGGGGCCGCGCCCGGGAGAATTAGAACGAGGACCGCTCCTCGACGAGCCCCCCGATATATCAACGGCCGCACCGCATCCATTTCCACCCCTCCCCCGCTGGCAGAAACGGCCCCTTCCCCATCTGCCGTCCGCCGTCCGCTTCTCTGGCACACCCGCACCGTTTTACCCACCCATAGGCCCCCGATCCCTGTTCTCTTCCCACCGACCCTGCTCTGTCCGCTCTCCGCCTCCCCCCTCCCTTGCCTTCCCCTCCCCAAAATGCTTCCATACAGCCAGAAACCATCGTCGCAGGCAAGAGACCCTGCATGGCCGTCGACACACTACCAGACCCTTCCCAACTCGTCCTCGCAGGTGCCGCGTCAGCTCGACCCGGCGTTCCTGTCGTCCGGCTACAGCTCCCAGTATCATACCAATCCGCATAGCCACACCCAACAGCAGCAGCAGCAGCAACAGCAGCACCAGCAGTCGCAACAGCCGCTGCCACAACAGCATCAGCAGCACTATCCGCCTGCCTACCAGAATCTGTCGTCCAACTACCATGCCACCACGGCCTTCCAGCCCGCCCATGCCTCCGCCGTCTCCTCCTCCTCGAGATCGCATGTCGCTGCCCATGTCGCCGCGCCATCCGCAGGCGTCTCGGTCCACCATTCGGCCTCGTCCCTGGATATACCCCTCTCGACGACGCAATTCGTCAATTCGCTGTCGCTGTCACAATCGTCCTTCGAGCTGCCAACATTTCCGCCGGCCCCCCAGCTCCCGAGTCCCTTCCGTGCCTCGAATCCGTCCTATTTCGCCGGCTCAAAGCCGCTCTCGATCCAGACCACCCCGGAGCCCACCACCCTCCCGTCTCGCCTGTGGTCCCATGGCGCCGTCGTCGGCGCTCATCTGCCTACGACACTGTCGGCCTCTGGAGCGCACCAGCATGCCAGCGCCTCGCATTCCTTTGCCAGCCCCGTCGGCGGCCTCACCAGCATAGCCAGCCTCAGCCATGTAAGTCTCTGACCCTGTTCACGACGCGGCTGCCACATCGGCACAACTCTGTACACATGACCATGTCTCTGGATGTGCTTGCCCTGGCACCCATGGCCCGGATGCTGGATCTGCATCGTCGTTGAAGCGAGCTGTGCATGACAGTCTGGTCCCCGTTGCACATCATGATGATATCCCATGCGCATCGCTCACACGATGTACTCCTCTCGCATCCCACGCGTGTCTTCCGTCCTTCGCCGCAGCGTGCTCCAAGCCATGATCAGATCACTTATTCGGCCTCGCCCCATGATGATGTCGATCAAGCCCTCGGCTTCCTGCCCAATACCGCTGCCAACCTGAACTCTGTCTATTTCAATTCCTCCGTCGAGCATGTCAAAAAGTATACATCCCTCCAGGAGCCTGTCCGCGCCCTGGACAGCCGGCTGCGGACTCTGGTCAATACCACCCTTCCCCAGAACGTCTGCACCGGCTACCTGCCCTCGCCCGCCCCCATCGGCACCGGCTCGACCCTGCACGACCACTTTGACTCCTCGTACAGCTCGCTCTCCTACGATGCTCTGCGCTCGCCAAACTCGAATATCCAAAGCCCGTGCGAACCCCACGGCAAAGCGCTCCCGCTCAGCCACCTGCCAGGTAGCACCTCCTCTTTCTTCCCCGACACCGTCGGCGCCATGGACGACCCCGCTGCCATGCGCGTCAGCGACAGCGTCAAGAGCCGCCGCAAGAACGGTACCCTCGAAAAGTCCGCGAGTTGCAAAAAATGCAACAAGAACCTTGCCGTCCTGGTCCTCCATGGCTCGTGGCCGTCGCTGGAAGTGCCCCACAAGATCGATATTCTGTGTCTCCAATGCGACGACTTTGTGCCCAGCCCGAGTTTCTCGCCGTCCGAGTCGTCGCTCGTCAGTCCCACGGGGGAAACTACTCGGAAGCGCAAGCAAATCGACGAGGCACACCAGCCTGTGGACTGCGACGTCTGCAAGCGAAACGTCGGCCGTGGAGGCGTCCGATGCATCGATTCTGGATATGAGCACCGTGATGAGTGGGTCAAGCCTTCGTTTGGTACTGAGGTACGTCGGGTATGAGGGCAGCCTCTGGTCCGCAAAGATTTGTCTGCGGTCTGGATGAACATGTTGGCTCACAAGCCCCCCCCCGCACAGTTTGCGCATCGCACATGTTCATTGGCATGTTTATGCGGTCCTGCCGGGCTGTCACCTCGCATATTGCGTCCTGCCAGGCTCTCCCCTCGCGCATCGCTGACTCGACTCGTTGCTCCCTCGCTGCAGGTTGTTTGTGCTGCGTGCTCAGACAAATACCGCTTTTGCACGGACTGCGGCGGCGGTGGCCACTGGCGCACCGGCAAATGGCGCCCCGCTGAAATGTTCTCCAAGGGCCGCCGCACATGCTGCCTGAACCATTTGCGGATAGGCGACTCGACGGTCGAGAACCGGTTCTGGGTCACGCCGGTTGCAAGCTCAGATGCACCTGAAATCCTCGGCATGGTCAAGGAGCTCTTTGGTCAGATCGGTCTCTCCTGCCTTGGCCAGCCCCGCACCATGGAGCGCTTTGAGCCCTTCGACACCTTTGCCAAGATCCAGCACCGGATTACCTACATGTTTGAGCACGAGATAACCCCGGTTCTCACCGTGCCCATCCCCAACGTTGTGACGTTTTCCGGCGTGGCCTTCATTCCCTCACCCAAACCGCGCAAGCACAAGCGCAATCTGAGCCGCAAGAGCTGGAATCCCGATGCAGCTGTTGCCGCCGTTAGCCAAATCGCTGGCGCCTTTTGCATCGTGCGATGGCGCCAAATGGAAGGCACCCTCCATCTGAGCCACCGATTCGACCGCAAGCACGAAGACCCCCACGGCATGATGCTTTCGCTGCTCCATGAGATCACCATGATGACTGTCAAGGCCCAGACCGATTCCGAGGCCCGAGGCGACCACTACCCGCCGTGCAAATACGTTTGGTTCACTCGTCGCCGCCAGACCAAACTGCCCAACGACGGCAAGCCCTCGCACTCGCTGCCCCGCGAAAAGACCTTCAACGAGCACCGGCGCGACGGCGGCGGGCGAGTCGGCTACGACGATGAGGCTCTGAACGATCCCTACATCGCCTCCTACTGCCGGCTGGGATTCAAAGAGATTTCCGAGTTTGAAAACGACCACCCCGATGTGCGCCAGTTTGTGTTTAACGATGAGTTCCGCTCGCCGGACATTGGCTCACAGCTGGATCTCTATGTCATGGAAATGGCCCTGTTCCCTGCTGCCGTCAAGAATGCCTACAAGAAGGACCTGGAGAAGAAGGAAAAGGCCCGTCGACGCGAGCAAAAGGAGCGGGCCAGCCATGCAACCGCCGCCCACCCGTAGCCATGTCCCGCTGCTCGCTGTCCTTCCGTCCCCGCCGTCTATACTGTTCTCTCCCGATCCAAGTCCTGAGACTGAGACAGCATCAGCTCTCTCCAGGGCGGCCGCGCCTATATTCTCGTTTGTCTGATGTCGCCCCCACCCCTCGGCCTCATTTCGACCCTTCGCCCTCTTGTCGTTCTCCGTAGCGGGCCCGCCGCCGCCGTCAATGGTGTGAAGTCGCCAGTTTTGCAATTTTTGTCTATACAGTTTGCTGGGAATACATGCAGCGCATTTTGACATGTAGCCTCGCTTCTGCTTGTGCGTGAGGAAACGGAGCCCCCGCGGTCATGCATCGCTCGGCATCGCTCGGCATCGCTCGGCATCGCTCGGCATCGCTCGGCATCGCTTGGTATCGCTTGGCCACTAACAGAGTCGGCAGCAACTGCATCGTGCAACGACTGTGTGTTATGACGAGATGGTGCTTCAGCCGCTCTCATGATGCTCCCGATATCGGCCCAGAATGAATTTCATTCCCCGCACACACACACACACGAGTCGCCGGTCGCGCCTGCTCCAGCCCCCGCTCCCGAGATTCACGATCTTGCCTTGACGACGAACAGGATTCGCTCCAGCCCGCACCCCGAGCCCAGCTCTGCTTCACGCTCCACCATCCGACACCGATCGATCGATCGATTGACCGGCAGCCCGGAGCCCCGATTGCGCGCAGCATCATCGTCCTCAACAGCCCCGCAGCACCCCGAACGCCCAGCATGGCCGCATCCACCGGCGTGACAACCATGAGTGACGCCCAGATCCGGCAAAAGCTTCTGGCTCTGGGACACTCTGCCGAAGGCAACCGACTCATTCTGATCGAGCGCCTCGAACAGGTCCTGGCTCTGGCGCTAGAGTCCAGCTTGGCCGAGCAAAATGCCAGCACAAAGAATGACAAGAAGAAGCGGCGGCGAAAGAAGAAGAAGGGCGCAAAGGATTCGTCCGAGACTGCCGATGCCGACTCGGCCGATGCGAATGTAAGCTGGAAACCGATCGATAGGGCTGGCGTCCACTCTGACGTATGCCTCCTTACTCTCTGTCAAATCCACAGAGTGGCATTTGCATTTGCCAGTGCATGGGGCACCATGAGGCCGCTGTTCTAATGGGTCCATGTCACTCCTCGTTGCGATCTGCTTCGCTTCCCTCGCTTCTCAGATGACCGACGATGTTGAGATCGAGTATGTGCCCGAAGCTATGCCCGAACTCAGCGACCCCTCCCTGGAGGCATTTGCATCCGTTTTTCAAAAGTTTGCCGCTCGTGAGGGCGGCGAGCTCGATGCGCCAAAGTCATCCGCAGCACCCGCAGACGAGGACACCGAAATGAACCTGGCCGAGGCCAAGAAGGAGAGCAAAGACGCCGACAGCGACGACGAAGATCTTGGCTCGGACTCGGAAACCAAAAAATCCAGCAAGAGACGGCTGAAGAAGGCCAGCCGTCTGAGCGTTGCGGAGCTGAAGCAGCTGGTCAAGAAGCCCGAAGTCGTCGAGGTTTGTTGATCTGGGGCCCCTGCAAACGCGGGACGGCTGTTGCATAGCGGCACGACCGGAACTAACATCGTCTTTCTCATCGTCACTGGCACGGTGCAGTGGGTCGATGTAACTGCCGCCGATCCTGTGCTGCTGGCCCATCTCAAGGCCTACCGCAATAGCGTGCCCGTTCCACAGCACTGGCAGCAGAAGCGGAAATATCTGCAGGGGAAGCGTGGTATTGAAAAGGCAGCGTTTGAGCTCCCGGGTGAGTTACGGATGTGCCTGCTCATCTGGATCCGACTGCTGGCGCATCCAACACTATGCCGAGATCCCCTGTGTCCGCTGTCGTGTTATTGCCCGTCTCCAACCTTGGCGCTCTCCTGATGGTTTCCGTGCGTCGGACTCGCTTCCTACTCAGATTTCATCAAGCAAACTGGCATCATGGAGATTCGATCGGCAGTCAAGGAAAAGGAGGACGCAGCCAAGCTCAAGAGCAAGACCCGCGAGCGCGTCCAGCCAAAGATGGGCAAGCTCGACATTGATTACCAAAAGCTGCACGACGCCTTCTTCCGGTGGCAAACCAAGCCAAAGCTGTCACACCATGGCGACCTGTATGTGGACTTGTTGCACGGACAGAGGCAGAGGCAGAGGCAAAGTCTGAGGCAGCTTGAATTGGCTGATCCCGCTGATGTGGTATGCTGCTCCCACCCACAGGTATTATGAAGGCAAGGAGTTCGAGACCAAGCTGAAGCTGAAAAAGCCCGGTAACCTGAGCGAAGAACTGCGGACCGCTCTGAATATACCGCCACTGGCTCCCCCGCCGTGGTTGATCAACATGCAGCGCTACGGGCCGCCGCCAAGCTACCCCAACATCAAGATTCCAGGTCTCAATGCCCCGATCCCGGAGGGTGCACAGTGGGGCTACCACCCAGGCGGCTGGGGCAAACCTCCAGTCGACGAGTTCGGTCGCCCGCTCTATGGAGACGTCTTTGGCATCATGGTCCAGGAGGCCCCTGTTGAGGTACATTTCAGTCGGTGTCTCCGACTTGCATCCGCCAGCTTTGTTGTTTGGGGCATTGCGGCTCCGATATGAACGGTCGTAGTCGAGCTCCGCAAAACATAGTTTGGCTTGCCGATGCATTAACCCGACCGCAACGCGATACTACACTGCTGCTTCTCATTCTATAGCACACAGCGCCAGTTGTACGCAAGCTCTGGGGCGAGCTTGATTCAGAGGAGGAATATGAAGAAGAAGAGGAGCAGGAGGAAGAAGAGGAGGAAGAGAACGCGTCTGACGAAGATAACGAGCAGCTCGAGAGCGGACTCGAAACTCCGAGTGGCCTGTCGAGCGTGCCCAGTGGCATGGAGACACCCGATGTCATCGAGCTTCGCAAGAGGTATGGTTTGGGTTGCGGATCCAGTCTCGGCATGGCCATATGGAGCCTGATTTTACAGTGTTCCCGCTTTCTGGATCAACCCTGCTGACTATACCGCGCTATCTGGTTGTCGGCTCCGCAGCCGGGTGGACGAGGAGCCCAAGGAGCTCTACAAAGTCATTCCCGAAAAACAAACGTCCATCCGCGGCTTCATGGGCAGCCAGCACATCTACGACCTCACCAGCGCGAGCGCCGTCGCCTCGAGTGCGGTTGTCGAAACTGTGCCCACGACGGCCAAGGGCGCTGGCTTGAAGCGCAAGCACGCCAATCCGGCTGGCGTTGAAGTCGCGCTGAATCCCGAGGACTTTGAGGAGGGGCTCGATGAAGAAGTCTTGCGCAAGAGATACGAGGAGGGCGCCGAGAGAGACCGCAACGAGCGCGGCCAGGAAGACTTTTCCGACATGGTGGCCGAGCACGCCCAGAAGCAGTCTCAGAAGCGCAAGAAGATGGAGGGCTCCAAGAAGGAGACCAAAAAGTCGTACAAGGAGTTCAAGTTCTAGTGCGGCGCGGGAGTTTGCCGACCAATACAGCGGTGTTTTCTGGATGTGCAGCTGTCGCCGATCGTGCGTCCTGGCCGCAGCGTGGTCTCTATTGTCATGGCGATGTGCCTCTGAGGTGTGCCTCTGCGATGTGCCTCTGCGATATAGCTCTGCGATGTGGCCAAGCACCCAATACACGCAGGGCGGGTTGTGGTTCCAATGCCGGTCACGTGTTGGACTCAAGAAAGCTGCTGTTCTCCAATCGAGATCTCGGGTTTCTGCTCCGTCTCCTCTGGCCGCGACCTCTGTTTCAGCCGCACCCGCATCGCTGCCGCCACTGGTTCTCCGACGCTGCCACCGGCCGACATGTTTTGCTCAAGTATGGATGTGGCTTCCTCGTCTCGGCGTTGAGAGGACGGCCGTTGGATGCAGACTGGTCGTCGCTGCCGTGCTGCTGGGTCTTGTCGGCGATCTGCGCCAGCACCAAACGGCCACCCTGGGTCCGGATGCAAAAGGCCGGCAGCATCCCCTCACCTCCGAGCCAGCAGTGCCTTGGACGATGTTGCGGGAAGCAGTCAATATTATCCAATTGACACTGCGCTCTTCGCATTGGTGCGTCACCCGGACCTGGTTTCTGATCTTGCCGCTGACTCGCCTCCCTTCTCCCAAACGCTTATCCTCGCCATCTCACGGCAATCAAACCGATCGGCGCCATTTTCTTCCATGGCGCGACCACTCTCGCCTGCCCACCAGTCTCTGGAGAAGTGCCCTCCGAGCCCGTGGTCTCGAAGAAGACGGGAAATGTGTTTGAGAGGCGACTGATCATCAAGTACATCGCCGATAACGGCAAGGATCCGATTACAGGCGACGCCTTGACCGAAGATGATCTGATCAGTCTGAAGCAGGGTGAGCCACGATCACGACATATCTACTTGAGATCAGACTTTGAATAGACATCTCTTTATCTCAATAGAGAAGCTGGCTCATTCGTACGCCTTCTCCGCAACCAACAGATTCCAAGTACGTCAAGCCGCGCCCGCCCACGCTGAACTCTGTCCCGGCGCTGCTATCGCTATTCCAGAGCGAGTGGGACTCGGTGATGCTCGAGACACATCAGCTCAAACAGCAGTATCACCAAGTCCGCCAGGAGCTCTCGAACGCTCTCTATGAAAACGATGCCGCCAAGCGAGTGATCGCCCGTCTGGCGAAGGAGCGTGACGAGGCCCGGGCTGCCTTGGCCACCATCAAGGCCACCCTGGGCGACTCAGCGGCCGTCCAGACCTCCGAGCCCGCTCAACCGCAAGCAATGGAGATCGATCAGGATGACGGTATCAGCAAAGCGATCCAGGACAAGATGACCGAAAAATCCCAATCGTATGTCGAATGCTTGACCTTCATGACCTGCCGAGAGCGTGGCAGAAGCATGCAGCGTTGCTGTGCTCCTCTGACTGTTTGTGCGTTGTCCTTGGTTCCCGCCCAGGCTGCAGAACACACGACGCAAGCGCAAGGCTCCTGCCGATCTGGCCACGGCCGAGCAGCTCAGCAAGTACGGCCCTGTCCTGGAAGTCCCCTCCCTTGGATTGTCGACCAACCCTGGAATTCTGGCGCTGGATCTGCTCGAAGACGAGGTCGCCGGTGTACCGCGTGAATGGATTCTTACCGGTGGCCGCGATGGACACTCGATCGTTATCGAGAAAAACAGTGGAAAGGTTGTTGCCGACATGAAGGCTCACACCAAGAAGATCAACGACGTGGCATGGCACAACCTTGGCGGCCACTCGGGTATGTTCTTCACAGCTGGTGCCGACAAGCAGGTCAAGATCTGCCAAGTTGATCTCGCGTCGACCTCAAAGACAAAGACCGCTACCCTGCACACCCTCAAAGCCCACGGCGATGAGGTGACGGGTCTCAGCCTGCAAGCCACAGGCGACTACCTCGTCTCGGTGGGCCTGGACTCGGCTTGGGCTTTCAGCGAGATTGAAACAGGACGTGTTGTTGCCAAGGTCGAATCCGAGGAGGTGACCAAGGGTGAGTGCTGCAGTTCACCGACATTGTCGCCTTGGCGTCCGGTCAAGGGAGCGATTGCGTTTGGAACGAGAGCCGCCCGCTCTGGGCTTTGACGCCGCGATGCATGCCGAGGGCGATCGCCCTTCAGGCTTCTTCTGCCAACGCGGTTGTGGCAGAACCGACGGCTCCTCGATCTATATACACTGACTGTACTCTGTTGAAAACAGGATACAGCTCTGTCAAGCTCCACCCCGATGGCTTGATTCTTGGCACAGGCACGTGCGACTCAGTTGTTCGTCTCTGGGACGTCAAATCTCGAACGAATGTTGGTGCCCTTACGGGACACGTGGGCCAGATCACCAGCTTGTCGTTCTCGGAAAACGGATACTACCTCGCGACCGCTGCAGATGGCCACAATGTCGTTAAGCTCTGGGATCTCCGCAAGCTTGCTAGTCTGCACGATATCGAGGTTCCTGTCAGCGACGGCCACACGGGCGGAGTCCACCGCGTTCAGTTCGACTACAACCGTCAGTTCCTGGGCGTTGCCGCGGGCCACGACGCTAGGTGCGTGTCGGGCTACCACCGCTCGTTGATGCTGCCAGCGCTGTCGACAATGCTGCCGTTTGGTTTGGGCACGTCGCAGAAGGCTCGCTTGCCTGTACCCGTCGCACGCATAGCCCCGAGCCTGACACTCTCTTTTACCTTCGTCAGGGTCTATGTCGTCAAGCAATGGGACCAGGTTGCGCACTACTCGAACCACAGCGCTAACGTGACCGGAATCAAGTTTGGATCCAAGGCCCAGTACATCGTGACAAGCGGCCTGGATCGCAAGGTCACTGTCCTTGGCCCGGAGGCGTAATCGAGCTCTCAAGCTGCACAGGGCTGCACAGGACTGCACGCTGATGAGCTGTCGACGTGCTGTCGATGTGCTGTCGATGTGCTGTTGATGTGCTGTTGATGTGCTGTTGATGTGAAGCCACTGCTGCTCATGTAGCAACAGATTTTTTTTCAGGTGGAGGCGCCAAGGATGGCGCAACCACAAAGTGCCTTCTCATACAAGCGGTTGCGGCTGTGCGATTGATGATGCAGTCGGTCGCGCGACTGGAGATGAATTTGCACAGTCACAGATCCGTTCGTTGAGATGCTCGCTGGCATTTTTTCGGACAGATAGGCACATCGCCGCCAAACAACGATTTCGTTCATGTCAACCGATCGAGTCCATAGGTCAACGACCTCGGCTCAGCCAGTCAGAGCGTCACAGGCCAGGTCCTGATTTGGGATGGGAGGGGGTGATTCTGTCTAGTCGTTTATTGTACCTTCGGCCCAAGGGGCAAGGGGAATGCGTGCCGGCGATCGCTCCCTGGGAGATGGACTCTGAAATCGGAAGGGCTGGCGACTCTCTTCGACGGCATCGACCTCTCCGCAGCGAACCTTACGCCGCTTGAGACCGACCGAGCTGCCAGTCGCGTAGAGTCTCGGACGCTTTGTGGAGCGGATCATTGTCGAAGATAGGGCCCTGCACAACGACAGTGGGCTGACCCTGGCCAGTGCGGGTCCAGTGGCGAGTGTTGTCGTCGCCGAAATCGAGGGGCGACCGAATGTCCTCGCCCAGGACAACCCGGCGGGCGACTCGCTTGATGTCCGCGGCCTGGATACTGTCGATGCGGCGGCACATTTCGCTTGCATCCACGCGCTTGCCTTGCAGCACTACCTGCTTGCCGATATCCTCGAGCTCGACCATACGCATCTCCAAGTTCATCAGCAGGTTGCTCTTGAGCTGGTTCTTGGCGCGCGACAGCTCCTCGCGACCAATGTCCATGGTCATGCGGACCATTTGATCACAGATGATGGGCAGGATCGCACGGTGGGCTTCGACAAAAGGGGGCACGGCCGCAGCGATGCCAAAGAGCCCCGTATCGGCATAGGAGTAGTTGACGGTGTTGCAGTTCTCGACCCAGTGGTACCGGTTCAGAACTTGGGTGTAGAGCCGGGTGTACATACCCTTGCCTGGACCACCGGCGCTGAAGGAGCCGCCACCGCCCATGAGGCTGGCCAAGATGGCCAGCGGATAGACGTCGGGATCGTAGAGCGACGGCGCCTCAAAGGCGACGTACACGTTGGTGAGCACGGGGATGTCCGGATTGGGCGGCGGAGGGTTGCTGGAGGTGTCCAAGATCTCGATGCCGCCCGAATAGACTGCGGGGCGGATAAGCGAGTTTTGCAGGGCCAAGGTTTCTGGCGATGCCGGCGACATGTCGCCAAAGTGCTGCTCTATGAGCTCGACAAGAGCCTGGTGCTCCATGCCCACACCAGCAAAGGTGATGCGCTCGGGGGTATACCAAGTCGACTTGTAGTTGCGGATGGCCTCCGGAGTAAGACTGTTGAGCTGCTCGGGCGAGCAGAAGAGAGAGTTGCCCAGGGTGTGGGTGTTGTCCTGTGCGGGGTGCTGGAAGGCCACACGATGCAGATGCTCCGGCAGGATCATCTCGGGCCGCATCTGGAGGTCCTCGAGCTCGTACATGGTGGTGATCCGCGTGTCCTCGAGCTCCTCGGGGAGGATCTTGGCATGCCGGAGGATTTGGGAGACAATGTTGACAACCTTTGGCAGGTCCGGGCGGAAAACCGAGGATTGGTACATGATGGTGTCTCTGGAGCTGTGGGCCGAGATATTGCCGCCGAGCGCCTCGAGCTGCTGGACGAGTTGCTCAGTTGTGAAGTCGCGGGTGCTCTAGCCATGTCGTTGCGGAGGTATAACCGGCAGGCGTCAGTCCCAAAGTGACAAATGGCGCATGCGGAGAGCCCGCACCCATGGTTGCGTTGGGAAAGGCCTGTTGGCTTACCTTGAAGGTCATGCGATCTAAGATGTGGCTGCATCCAGAATTGGCGATGGTTTCGTTCCGGGTGCCAGTGTTGATGTATGCGCCGAAGGAAACAAAGTGGCCAGGGGTTTCGACCGAGGCGACCTTGATGCCGTTCTTGAGGGTGGTGATGACTGTCGGGACGCCGGGTGGCAAGATGGGTGCGGGAGGCGAGGGTTTCTTTCTGGAGAAGAGCGACATGTGGCGCACGACCGTCGATGATCGGCCCAGGATCGCCGGAGCGGCTGCGCGGCCGTTGCGCATGATCGAAAGCAGTGCCTGGCTCTGCGACATGGTTGGGGAGATCGTGCGGATCGTACGATTCAGCGGTGTGCAGAAGCAGCTGGGGACGACGGTTTTGGGCGATCGGAAACAGAAGCGCCGCCACGCAGCGCAACTGCGAGCAGCGACAAAGCCGCAGGCCATGGCGTTCTGTGCGGCGTTCTGTGCGGCGTTCTGTGCGGCGTTCTGTGCGGCGTTCTGTGCGGCGTTCTGTGCCTGCACCCAGAGACTGCGCGCGACACCCGTGGCTGGCCGTCGAGTGGCCACGCAGGCGCCTGCGCAGTGCGCAGCCCACTTCATATCCGCAATGAGCCCAATATGTGCGTTTCGGGACGCACTTTTTTTTGTTGCGCCGCCGTGCACGATATCTGCCGCCGCGGCCGTCTGTCCTCGTTCGCCCGGCCCGCCCCAGATCGCCCAAGCACCACACGCTTCTGCGGCCTGTCGTCTCCGTAGACTCGGCCTGCTCCATCAGCCCCACGCAACTGCGTCTGCTCGCCGTATCGCCAGCCATGTCCGCTGCGGCTCTGGGTATGTACGTATCAATAACAACCCGTGTCCCCCCTGTATCGCACTCGGCTGCCCCCCCCCATTTCGCCCGCGATGGCCGCTGGCTGCACTTCGTGCCTCTCTAGCACCGTCGCTTGTCGATGAGCTGCGACTTTTCGAGCGCCTACGAGCGCCAAACAGCCACCCATAGTCACTATCTTGCCGCACGTTTCCTGAGGAAGGCACCCTTGAAAACGGTCGCTCGGGAGGCCTCTGCGGCAGGCCTAGTTTTTACCCACATGACACTCTACGTGTGGATAAATGGTTAGATATGGAAGATCAAACAGCAGCAAGGGTGCTATTTGCCTGGTTTGCAGGGACCTTGTCCCGATTGCGCTCCAGGCATCGACCGTCTGCAACACATCCTCCCCATGCAAAACCCAGTCCCCAGTCCCCAGCCCTCTGTGCCCAAGCAACCATCGTGTCTACTGCAGTGACTCACCATTGGCGTCCAAACGAACTGCGTTGGTTGTGTAGATATGTCCTCTGCCGAGGTGCTTGAACTTGTACAAGCAGATGCTGCAGAATTCCCCAAGCTCGTTCGAGAGCTGACAGCCAAGGCTGCCGAGATTCGATCGCGGCTGGTTCTGCATATGAAACAGTGAGTTGCATTCTGTTTCGCTGATGAGCTTGGCTCTGTGTATGCGCTGGATGCAGCGATGAGCAATCTCGCTGACATGGCTCTCGCATCTGCTGCGGTCACGTTGCGATCTAGAATCAAAAATGGCTCCCTACCGACAAGCAAAGGCGTCTCGCTATACGAAGTCAAGCTCCACAGCCTGCTCAGCTACATCACAAACCTGTCCTACTACTTTCTCCTCAAGATCCATGGCCATCGCATCGAAGACCATCCGGTGGTGGACCAACTTGTCGAGCTTCGGATTGTGATGGAGCGGATCAAGCCTCTCGAGCAGAAGCTCAAGTACCAAATCGACAAGCTGCTGAAGGCGTCGTCATCGACGGAAGAGCCCGCTGCAGTAACCGACATTCAAAATCCACTGCAGTTCAAGCCAAATCCTCAAGATCTTGTCCAGGGCGATGGTGATGGTAAGGCCGAGTCGTGTGACAGGCTCTACAGTGCGATCATTCTCTGTTCCGTTGGACTGACTCATTTGCCCCAATTGCTCGATTTCCAGCCGCGGACGATGACTCGGCGGACATTGCCAAGATGATTGCCGATGCCGACAAGGTTTACAAACCCCCTCGCATTGCGCCCATGCCGTATGAAGACGGCCCGCGCAACAAGTTCGCGGTGACCGAGAAAATGAAGGAGCGAGCCTCAAAGTCGCGGCTGATGCGGGAGATCACTGCCCAGTACGATAGCCGCCCAGAAGAAATCACCTCCGAGGGAACGGGGTACGGCGCGCGTGACATGTCAAGCGAACTGGATCAACGGTGGAAAGACATTGAGGAATTTGAAGAGGCCAACTTTGTCCGCAAGAACCTGACCCGTGATGAAAAGAAACTCGAGCGGGCCCTCCGGAAGAGAGGCGCCACGTTGCGGTTCCAGGACGAGCTTGGGGTATGTTCGCCACTCGGCCCTGCGCTGCTGTTGCTCGGCTGGATATGGATCATGCTCAGCCCACTCATTCGTCTCTTACCGCTTCTCCAGAACTTTGATGACTTCCGTGACCTTCAGGGCTTGAACCAAACGGTCTCGCGCCAAGACCGCCAGGTGTTCGGGTCCGGTGCCGCCGGCAAGCGAAACAAGCATTCCGAGCAGTACGAATCCGGCAAGCGCAAGTTTGCCGATGCTGGCGAGATGATCTCTTCGCTGAGTCAGGGCCAGACACGTCGTGCGCCCGTGTCTGAGTTTGACCGTCAGCTCAAGAAAGCTAAGAAGCGGCGAGCATAGCGGCACACCCGCTTCACAATATAGATTTTTGTATCCACGCTCCTCTCTGGGTCTCACGCTCCTCCGAATGCGGTGTATCTCTGGGTGCTTTCGTGATCGCGTGCGGTTGGTGGCCGCCTGACATTCACCAAGGCTGGACCGCACAGGCCGTCGTTGGATAACGAAGCTGTCCACGAGCACAGCGCTCCTGCCGCATCACCCTTAGTGGACTCGAGTCGATCAGCCGTGTTCATATTCAAATTGCCACGGAACATTCAGCTCAATGCCGGTGGGCACAGCGGCAGCGACGGGATTTCAAAGCATCGGTGGAGCTGCCCAGGGTCGCCGAAACGTGGTGCAGCGCTGCATGAGCTGCTGCCACTCACAAGAGCGTGCGGATGACGCCCAAGAGTCGCTTGGACTCGTTCGCATAGTCGAGGGGGACAGCGCTTTGGATTGCATAGCGGATCTTTGTCTCGCCCTGCATAAGCAGCGGGTCCGATACATTCATTAGTGCTGCAAACGGCATTACTTGATACGCACCCACCCAGTCGAAGCCCAGCCATGCATTTATATCAGACACACGCGGGTGGCTTGGAAGCCGAACCTACCTGATACACGTCGGACTTGGCCCGGATCTTCATGTTGAACGTTTTGAACATCGACGAGCGAATGAGGTTGGGGCGCTCTTCGACCTGAAGCCGGCAAATGGAGCATTGGAGGAAGCAGGGTCAAATATGCGCGAGAGCGACACACGAAAGTCATGGCGGGGGAAAACAAACGACCCGGATGCCCCAGGTTCAAAGCATCAAGCTGGACGAACTAATACATCCGTCCGCTTCAACAGGCTCCGCTGCAGTCAGTTTCACCAATCAGAATCGCTTACGGTGGCCTGTTGGAGTTCGTTTGCCGATCGATCCACGATGCGCACGGCCACCTCGTTGAACGCCTGCACCCACATGTTGCCGGTGTAGTCCGCCACGGTGAGGGGCAAGATATATCTGGAGCACGATAGATTCAGAGATCACGTTGTCAGTCAGCCGCATCTTCGGACGACCGGATCTGAAGGCTGCGTCTGGTCAAACGACAAACCCACCTGTAGGTTGGCTCCGAATAGATCTCGTTGCAGGCAGAGCATCTCCAGTCTCCTCCTTCAGTAGTAAGTTTCTTGTTGCATCTTGGCTTCGTACAGGCAGGATAGCCGACATTGCCGTCGGTTTTGATGAAGGTAATTGTCGCTTGGATCGCGAAGATCACGCCCTGTGTATCCTGTGTGTATGTGTTAGCCATGGACCGCGAGATCATACGATCATTGTCTCGGGCTGTCCGCACGCCAGAAGGCCTGCTGTGCAGGGGCGCGAATGTGTCGTGAGAGAGTACTTACGCCTTGCGAGATGGATGCCTCCGCTGCTTTGATCTCTTCGCAGGTCTGCAAGCGGCCGGAGATGATATCACTTCCCGAGCTTGAGGCTCCGGCCGTGTGATCGTAGGATTTGAAAGAAAAGCCTTGGCCCTCCAAAGCATACCAGCTTTGCAGAGCGCTTGTCTCGGATATGTTAGGATCGACCATGATCGTCGAATTGAAGGAAGCCGACAGAGTCCGGCCTGAAGCACAACGGAGCAAGGTTAATGTTCACTCTCCGTGTCACCGGCGGCATCAAGCAAAAACTTGGCTGTTTGCCGACTACACATACCGCCCCAATCGCTGACTTTGGCTGCCTTGATGAGAACAACCGAGCCATGGTTGGCAGAAAAGGCCTCGGCCTGCTGGCCCCACAATGTGCAGCGCACGGAATATCCACTGTCGTCCACAAGTGTGATATCGCGCTTGGTGATCTGTTCAATGAAAAGGCCGAGCTCTGGTTCATGAGCTGCACAGTCCCGCCTTCTCCGGACGTCGCGATCAATAAAGAAACAACAGGGTGCGCTACACTCACATCCTTGTTGCTATTCTTCGAGGTGATGGTTGCCACTGAGCCGAGGTCTGTGACAACTCCCAAGATATCTGCATATGGCCTGTATCAGCAAGGGCCCAAAAACACATTGCTATTTTCAATCCCTCTGAGAGTCGGTGTCATGCCGTACCCGCTATGCCGTCCTTTTGGATACTGTTGAGCGCGCCGAGCTTGACCAAATTTAGGCGGATGATCGGAACAGCGACGCTGTCGGTGCACTGCAAGAGAATAATGACGGTTATTGGCTGTGCCTTGCCCATGACGAGCTACTCCGTGGTCCCAACTAGAGCGATGCCGTCGCCGACAAATTCCAGCCCATCTTTACCAGATCAACTATGGCGTTTGAATCCATGTAAAGCTCGTATTCGTTCTGCACGGTTGAGAACTGCTTCTTGGCAGGTCGGACCGTGCATTTGGAGACATTATAAACCTGTGGACATGGTCGATCGTATTCAGATATCATCGTTCGCCACAGAGCACCCCATTGATCACAGCATATAACACAAGTTATCCGGCATATCCTCACTATCGCGTACACCCGGCATATCTTCGCTATCGCATGCACTGCTACAGACAGATAGACTGTGTACCTTTCCTTCCTCAATCTTGGCATGGAACGCGACAGCTTGCTCCGAGAACGCGGTGGCTCTGATTTCGCCCTGACATCATGCCAACCCAGCATATTTTGGTCAATTGAAAGCCAAGCTCCGCCCTGCCCTGCTCTCGCCCGGCATCGATTGACTCAGAGAAACGGCGAATGTCGTCGGCCCGTATGGCGTGTTTCCTTACCGAGTCATCAACAAAAGTCACGCTGAAGAGCGTTCCTTGCTTTCCGTTCTTGCTCCAGGAACGAATATCGCCTTTGTCAATAGCGCGAGCACGGATGGTCCATCTGCGATGACCAAGCGTGGGTCCAGAACATGCAACCATATTAGCGTCAAGCGGGCATGAAACGGCTTTGCGACCGAGGTGAACGGATGCACGTGCATGTATCTGGCCCGCTGCGGCTTGGCTCAACGTGCGGATCCGCAGATCTTGGCATTCAGCGTCGTCTGGGCGTACCTGTTTTGGTAGGGGCTCAGGCTCGAGATCGGGAAGGCAGGGTCATTGGTACGACCATGCGACACTGCATTGCTCTGGAATTTTTGGGCAGGTGGTTGTCTGGGCCGCTGAGCAAAGGTGCTGCCCGTATTGTCATAGCCCATAGGACCAGCTGCAGGAGGTGCCCGCTGCACCGGAGCCGGAGCCGGAGCCGAAGCCGAAGCCGAAGCTGCCACTGGAGCCGAGACAGGGACTGGCCTTGCGCCTTGGTTGGCCGGAGAGTCGTTCATCATAGCATCCATGGCACCGGGGTAGTATTGCAGCGGGATCGTTTCTCCAGGCGCCGTAAGGGCCTGGCACTCAATGATGATGATGATTCTGCAAATCAAGCATTCGGTGAGTCACTCTCATCCCCTGGCCGTGGCTGCGTCAGACGGATCCGCACGTTCTGTCACCCGACAGCATCTCATTTAGAAGTGCATACGAGTAAGATGAACAAAGGCATGCTTAATCTACTTTTTATCGCCGATCTTGTTGCAAACCATCTTGTCGAGGCGCAAGATAGAACCCTTGGAGATCAGCTCTCTCTCGATCATGTAATTCAACTGGGTGCTCAGCATGCCTACAAAAATGTGTATCAGTAACCGCTGCCTCGCTGGCGCCCAGTTGCAGTGCCGGATCGATTGAAAAGAGATAACACTTACCAACGCCCGCCGAAGCACCATCGGTGATCGAAAGTCTGGTCATCATGATCAGTCAGATTGGGAAGGCGTAAGGCTCAGCATGTCGATACGATCACAGCACCGTTGCGCTGCGTGAGGATGCACACGCCCTTTGCTGCAATTTCATACCTGTAGCGATCGATCGACTGCGTCTGAGAGGCGGCGGCCTTCCGGATCGACAGGAGCTGGACCACAACGCCAGCAGGCATTGGGGTTCCTGGTGCTGCGGATAGAATACTCTGGATTCCGCCTCTGGTCAACGGGGTGGTCATGGCGAAGGCAAGGTGCGTCGTCTGCACTGGCTGTGTTGGTTGTGCTGGGGTGTTTGATCGCCCTCAAGAGCCGGCGGTGTGTTGCGCTTTGCAGATCCAGGCAAAGCCGATGCAGACCAGGCCCAAAAGCCGCCCCAGCAAGATATCCTGGCATGCGGAGTCTCAAGCGAAGCACCCGTCACGTGTCCCTCAATCATGCCTTTCCAGGCAAATTGCTTGTGGCCGTGTCTCCATCACCAGCAACACGCAGCAACTGATGTCAGAGGCACTCTGGGACCCGTTTCATCCCAAGCAAGCTGTAAGAAGGACCAGCCGTGTTCACATTCAGCCGTAAGGGGCATTGGCAGCGAATCCCAGAGCTTGGCCGCGCCTCATTTCTTTGGAAACGGCGTTCGGCCACAAGCTGTACATGCAACGGGGCCATGCTTCCCGTTCAATCAAATATCTGTTCGTAGTTTGAGAGAACCACCTCAACGACACGGCTCTGGAGTCGCAGCTCAGAGGGATCCGGCACTGAGTCGCTGGGAGGATCGATTAGTGTGGGTCCCCACACAATCGAGAGGTTCTGGGCATTCATCTTGTTGTCAGGCTCCATGGCCTGAACGCTGTGTGAAGGATCATAAATGAGACGAGTCCGGTTGCAACACCACATCCGGCAAGCGCCCTGGACATGCAGTCCTTACCGATGAAGGTGTCCCATCAGGACGTGCAGGGTCGCATAGTTGGCGTCCGGCAGATCGTTTATCAGCTCATGGACGGCAATCAACCTCATGCGATCGTCGTCAATCTCTGCGTGGAGCCGGAGTGAAAGCAGGGTTAAGGCTGCATTGGCTGTTCGGCGAACGTGCTAGTGCAATCACCACAGACACTGTATGCACTTACTTGCAGCCTCGATGAGAGGGCGATACATAAGTTTTGGAAATAGGGAATCCGGGAGCTCACGGAAATAGAGCTTGAGCACGCCTGTGATGTCATGGACATCACGAGCCCATTCTTCGAGATTCACTGTCTCGGCGTCTGAGTTGGACAAAGTGAGTGAGAGAGTGAGTGAGTGTGTGTGAGCGTGTGTGAGCGTGTGTGAGCGTGTGAGAGTGAGTGCACCTCAATTCAAGCTGTGGTCTCATCCCAAACGCAATGCCTGGCGACTTTGGTCGAAAAATTGACGGCATATTTGGACTTGTGCAGTTCCCTCTGTCGTGGCTCTCGTCATTCTCGCAGTACACGCCCACTTGTGGACCAACTCTGAATGCAGGACCTCCTACCTCGATCAAACAGTGTTCGCAGCTTTTGAATCGAACTCGAAAGGCCCGAGACACGGTAGATGCCTTGCATCCTCATACCAAATTTCTCAACGGCATCGATACACTTGGTCACAATGGTGGGCACCTGGGTGCCGTCTCTCTCGAGCTGAACACTAAGCTCCACTCCAAATACAGGTTTGGCATGAATGATTGACATCATGGTTGGAGACTATCGTGCCCCAAGTAAGCGGTACATTAGCGGGGCTGACTCATATCGCAGAACCCACACGGTCCTGCTTCCGCAGGCCCAAGACACTGATGATCCTACCATGGGATATGGGGTGTATGCGTGATCCTTGCGTGGAATCGGTTGCTGTCTGCCTTGCTGGAGATACTGGTTCATGTATTCCTCAAAGTCGCGTGTGTTGTCGACCCGCTCGACAATTTTGACGAGGCCAAGCGACTCTGTCGATAGAAAACAGCCATCGTCATCGAGCTGATCGCAGTACTCAAGAGCCTCTGTGGCTCCATGGGCTTCAGCGCACCCCATTGCATCCCCTGGCATCCAATTGCATCCCCTTGCATCCTCGAGCTCTCAATCGTTTCGGAGCAATGCGAATGCACTCACGCTTGTCCAGCGGACTGACACTGGTGGCTTCTGTCATGAGGCAGTTCTCCAGGCAGTTCGCGTACTTGATCAACTGTCGTCGGAGGCTCGAGTCACATTCATCATTGGTTTCTTTGAGGAGCTAGTGCAGTGTACGGGCGTGTGAGTCGAATACGTTATGGCCATGTGTTTGCTTCATCGCGATTCAATCCGATCTCACCCTGATGAAGCGGGGGAGGTGTTTCTGGAAGTAAGCGGATCGGATCGCATTTGCGTGCTGCAGTTGTATCTTGTAGTTTTCATTGGCGAGGGCAGCCTTGGTTCGCGCGTCGTCCTCGATCCTCTGGAGCTGGTTCGGTCGGAGCTCGGGTTATGCGGGGCTTTACGGGGTGCCTCCGCTCCTAGGCGGTACATACGAACATTAAAAGACAGCGCGCGCCTCGACGCATGTGGGTCCAAACCTTTTGTGGGGTCGGGGCTTGCTTCCAAAGCCCCATGGGCGTCGAAAGACTCTTGGTCAGGCCCAAGCGCTTCTGGGACGGATAGGCAAAAGCCCCCGCGCCTGCACTTGACGCAGACTCATTCTGCTCGCGGTGGATAACTGCTCGCTCCCAGTCCTCCGACATGGTCTCGTACTTGACCTTGGATTTCTCGAGGTTGACTTCGACCTCCTGAACGGCTTTCCATTGCTTGTATCCAGACTCCTTGAGCTAGATTGGCAAAGCATCGGTTCTCAGTGAATCATATTCGGTTTGCAGCAATCCAGTGCACCGGAACTATCCGCAGCCATAATGCAGCGCTGGGATTCGGACTCGTGGGCCATGGGATATGATGCTACAGATCGTCGGTTTCGTTTCATATGCATCCAGCGCACCTGTTTTCGGCTTCGCTCTGTATCTTTGCAGAGTGTCGAGAGGTCCTCGGCAATCTCTGCGATCTTTTGGGAAAAATCCAGGCGAATGGAAGCCATGTTTTCGTGGATACGGCAAAGATCGCCCCACGAGTCCGAATACGTTCTATCGGGGATCGATGTGGGGCCGAAGTGGCGAGATGTTAACCATCCCGTAGACAGCCGACCGAGCTGGCTCGCAGCGTCAGTCCATATCCACACAAAATGCGGGTCTCACCCTCCTTTTCCCTCGAGCTTGTGGCTCAGCGCGCCCTGGGAGAGCTTCATCAGCGCTTTGCCATACTCCTCTTCGATGGCGGCGCGCTTCTTGAGAAAGCCGATTGCTTCCTGCAGGCGAACGAGCGGAGCGTGAGAATGCCGGATCACGGCGAATCAGCATACTATTGGCTGCCCCCAGTGGACGCAGGACATTTACCTTGGTGCTGTTCGTTCCAGCCTTGATGCGATCCATCAGCAATCCGAATCCGTCCTGCTGAGCCGACACGATGGCATCAAACAGTCAATGCTCCGGTGACTCGCAAGCCGCAATACCAACCGCCCTCAGCAAGACGCGCTCGGCCAACTTGTTACCGACACCTCATCGCCACCATCGAAGGCATTCACTCTCGATGGTGCGACCTGAACTCGACGGTGCAACACCAGAGTGTTGATTCACGGGTCACTTCCTCTCCCTGCAACAGCTCGGGCATATGGCCAGTGACTGCACACACAATCAAAGCGAATAGAACAGAACCTCATTGTCGCAGAGCAGCTGCAGCGTGGGATCTCTCACAGTGTCCGATTCGCTGTAGGTACCGAGCCCAGAATCGTAGTGATCGATCGCAGTTTCGTAGTATTCTTGCAAGTTATAGCCAGCAGGGCCTCCCGACGCGGCGCTCGCAGAGTGCCTGTGGTTCACACCTTCGGATCCGCCGAGCGGCTGGGAATCCAGAGAGCATCCACCCGAGCCGTCGATTGTCTTGGTCATGGATCGAGAGAGCCTTTTGGAGTTTTGGCGAACTAGCGTATCTGCTGGACTGGAGAGCATCTTGGCATGCGTCGAGAGAAGACCTCTGGGCACGGTGAAGTCGGTGCAGCCGGGGGGTTAATCGTTGCAAGTCGCCTGGAGCAGCTTGGTGGGCGCCGGCCAGCAAGAGGGAAAAAGAGCGGCAATCTTCCCGCCATACGGCCTGGCGGCACACCACTCGACCTGACAGCGTCGATCTGTGCTGTAGTAGTGCATTTTCTGCCAGCACTGGCAGGATGTCGTGTACTGATTGAGAATCCGCAACATACAGTCGGTCCAGAAAGAAACGGGACAGTCACTTTCTGGCTTCAGCGGCCTGCAGCCTGCCGAACTTCCGTAGGCCCCAGTGAGCAAGCCGTGAGATTGTTTCCCGTCCTGGTTGGCAATCGAGTGGCCAGCGCGCGATTGTATTGGTAACAAAATATTTGATCAATCGTCAAAATCACGGGTGTCCGTTTTTTATTGGATTGACTGTAAATCCCTCTTGTGAGCGGGGGGGAGGACGAAAGCAGCCGGGTCTACGACGGGTTTGTCAACGATCAAGCCTTTGCAGCCTTTGCATATTTGCATATTTGCATCTTTGCATACAGTATGTCACAGCAGAGTCCCGGCCGGTGGTTCGATGATGCATCCTTGGCTTGTCAGGGTCGTCAGGGACGGCAAAGGCGAGTCAAGGATCGCCAAGATGTTGGGGCAGCTTGCCAACTCATCGTCGTGGTGGTGCTCGGCTCATACCGAGGCCGAGACCAAGGAATCCCTGCGGCCGCAGCGAGCTTTTCTTCTTGCCCTTGCGTGGCTTCTTGAAGGGGACGCCTTTCGTCTCTCGGCCCTTGGGCCGCTTGAATGGCGACTTTGGGGGACGGCCTCTGATCCTGCGCTGCTGGGTGAGCTGGTATGCACCATAGGTCAGGGCGATGACGGCCGTAGCCGTGAGCACGATCAAATCAATAGGCCGGAGCCGTGCGAGCATGGATCTCAGCATTTTCGAACAGAGAATATCGCCAGCCGCCTGCTGTTGTGTTTTGGTGCTCGTGGCTGATGACCTTCGGAGTGGGCGATGTCGGTCTGAATCTGTTGCTGTTTGGCCTGGTTCAAGGATCCCTCCTCCTGTCTCGTCGTCTGTTCCCAGCAATGAGCGTCCTTTTTGGGTCCGTGCGTCTGAGGTTGACCGATTCGGCTCTTTGGAAGGCTCTGCCGGGGATCAGTGCATGCAAAATATCGAGGGCGACAGAGTTGTCCTGCGCAGCCGGTGATCACCAGATCGGTCAAAGCGAGCAAGTCTGTGCGGCCATGAAACCTGGGCTGAGAGAGTCCATGGACAGTCCCCGGAGGTTGATCGCCGGAAAGAAGCAGAGTCGCCCGTCATCTGCTCTGAATGGACCTCGCTGTCGGCGCCCCCGGTGTAGCAATACGAGCGAAGCAGAATGCTCGCTGGCCGAGACCGTCTGGCCGATTGGCGATCACGATGCCAATGAGGACAGAGTTTCCGGCGAACATTCCAGCGGCGGGTGACCATTGTTCCGACCAAGTCGGCTGCGGCAGGGCGGGTGCAAGCAAGCCAGCTTCCGTTTTATCACAGCATGTTAAAGTCGCGACTAACCAGTCCTCTATCGCCACTGTTGCCGACGGAACCCGAGTTTCATACTGGTAATCTCGCTGGCAATCTCGCTGGCAATCTCGCTGGCAATCTTGTTGTTAGCACGGGCTTCTCCCAGCTCGTTGCTCGGAATACAACTGTCGCTAACTCTCTGCCAGTGTGTCCTCTAGTATCACCACTCTTTGTGTCCTCCATAACTTGCTCGCCCATCACCAAGCTTGCACATTGGCATCCTCCTCAGCTGCTTCCGATTGAGAATGGACACAGTCAATAACGAACATGAACCGCTGTCTCCACTCGAAGAGTTCACCTCTGTCTCATCGCTGGATACGAATCGAGCCAGCCGCGGACATCGCATCCCAAGAAACACAGAGACGATCTTGGTGGACGATGCGGCGAGACCCTCGACCCAGACAGCTCCCAAAGCGCTGTCTGTCTCATCCGACAATGCTCTGCCGCGGCCAGAGAGCGCCCATGCACAATCGGAAAGTGCACTGCTTTCCACAATTCTGCAGCTCGAGTCCTCCAACAAGCAACTCAAAAGCCAGACAGAGCAGCTCCAGGTGGGCGTATCCTGCTTGAGGTAGTTGCGCATAGCTCGAGACACTAACTCGATCGTCGATCTCAATCCCTTGGGCGCAACATGCCCATGTCGGGATGAAACTGCAACGATGACGTCAACAGAATACAATTCGTGACCAGGTAGTCGCTGCTTATCCGCGTACGGTTGTCACTTGCAGTCGATTAAGCCCTGATGGCTTCGTTCTGTCCTTCTCCCACGCATGCATTTCAACGCAGACATCGACAATCGACTCGTTGAGGAAGAAGCTGCGAGTGATGGTGGAGAACAATGAACTAAAACAGCGGATCATACAGGTAACTCTGCGAGTGCACATAGACTTTGTGTTCATCTCTGACCGCGAACACACCGTTCCGGCTCACACTCGATTACTCCGGGATATGTTTGAAAACAGGAGTTTGAGAAGCGGCTGTCTGGCCAACGCCTGCTCGCAGGTGATAGCAAGAGCCTCGGCAATCTGCGCGACTATCAGGCGCTGAAGCTTCAAGAGCTATATAACAAGTCGCGGAAGCATCTGGACGTTGAGCGCAAACAGAATCTGATACTGCGGAAGAATCTGGACGAGATCCAGACGGCTGGCCTTGTCGAGTCTCTAACGACAGATATATCTGCCTTGAGGAGCGAAAACAAGGAGCTCAAGAAAGAGAATGCCACGCTTCGGGTGAGACTTGGGACATGACGTATACGATATCTCCTCGCAAGTGCACATTGCCGCAGCGTCCGCTGGCATCTCAATGTTCTCGCATTAACGGAGCATATTGAGCTGCAGACGAACTCGATCAACGACTGAAATCACTTCCGTTATCTTGCCTTGCTTCTCCCAGAGCATCCAGCACCACCACGAGAGGGCACTCAAGATGCTCGACGAGTCGCAGCGCAAGTCGCTGCTGAGAGACTACAGCGACGAAGTTGCCAAGCTCAAGGTGGGTGTGCATCGATCCAGCGTGGCTGTATCAAGTCGCCCTGGGTAGTGAAACGTCTCGGCTGTCTCGTGTTCGATAATATCTCGCCGAGAGTAGTGTATTCGAATGACCGCCAGTACCAACGCCATGCATTCCATCGCCCCAGGGTCATATCTCCCGCCTGGAAGAAGAGCAGCGCCTATTTTCCGGTTCACAGGCAAAGCTAGGTCTCGCCCAAAGCACGCCAAGTCGGAGCAATATCACCCCCTTGCACTAACAGCCTCGGTCCCGGGAATCAACGACGGCCCTCACCCAACCAGGGCGTCTCGTTCAAAGTGGATGGACTGTAATAGCATCCTGCGCGGCTGCGATGTCGCTCAATGCCGTGTGCTGAAGTAACATCGAGACACATCGCCTCATTTGGGCAAGCATGGCATAGTCGGATCATATCACACACCCGCATGGAGTGAGTGGACACAACAGGACCAGCGAGCCGCTGCAGATGCAGTCATTGCAGAGCAAGAAGACATACCTGGGATGAGGGAGGAAGATGCAGGGCACAGAGAACGTCGACGGAGGACCCCGGCTGCAAAGATCCCCAGGGCCGGCTCGGCGGTGATGGTGCTGGCGGGCCGAGGCGGCGAGACATGGCCTGGCCGCGCACAGCTGCTATTTTTGGTCCGCGGTGCGCGGCGGTGGGGGACAAGGCCCTGCGAACCACCTCGGCCTGCTCCTGTTCCTGCTCTGGCCTATTCCTGTTCCTGCTTCTCCCATCTGCTCGCTTGATCCAGCAACAACATTCTCCCCGGCCAGAGCGCTTGTTCGTTGCCAGCCTCTGCCGTCCCTCCAGTCATGCCCTCCACTGACCAGCTCTATGATGCTTCCGACCCCGCCCGCCGCGAGGGCCTCATCGACTCGGCTGCCGCTTCGGCCGTGACCCTCTCGACCTCATCAGTGTCCGGCGACCCCGCCCGGGACTCGTCCTCCCTCGTCTCCGTACAATCGCTGCAGAAGAGCACTGACGCCTCCTCTGTCGATAGCAACAGGCTCGGAAGCACCTCCGAGAGCTCGACCAGGCGCTTCCTCAGCCGCTCGCCCTCGACCAAGCGCGAGGCAGTCAGGGAAGCTCCGCGAGAGCCCCTTCCTGCGTCCGCCAGCTTGGTCGGGGTCAGCTACCCAGTCGCCCTGAGCGACTCGACGGTTGTGGTGGAGGAGATTGTCAAGCTTGACGAGGCCACCGGTCTGCCTCTTGCCCCTCTCAAGGAGAATATCGAATTCCATACTGCGTTCCCTGCTATCGATCTGACCTTCTCGCTTCTCAACCGTAAGTCCGTCCGGGCGCAGGGCTCTCGGTTAGCGCATATGCCAACCCGTGGGTTGGTCTGCTGGCAGTCTCTCTTGTGAGCTGTCCATCTAGATGGCCTGTCGATTCAGCCTCTGGATAGATCACCAAGACCATTCTCCAGCAGCGCTTCCCGAGCTCGTCGCTCGTCGCTGGTTGTTGGTTGGCTGTGCCATCGGTCAGCCCATCAGCTCCGGCCACTTTGGATGAAAAGCACTTCGATGATGATCTCATCCAGAACTCATACTCTGCTCTCTCTTCCGCTCTTGTACGTGGTTGGGCATCGTGTGTCCACGGCATCGATGTCGCCCAGACTATTCGTGCGCCATTCACAAGGACGTGCTGATCCAGGGCCGTCTTTGGATATCGCAGCACTGCATCAGCTTCAAGGGCTGGACCAATGTAAGCTACCCGTCCCAACCCGAGAGAGCACCACCGTGCCCATCTCTGACAGAGACTCGCTGTGAGTGCATTTCAACGCTTCCTGACACAACATCTCGCGAATATCCAGCTCAGCGTCACCATCAATTTTGACGAAATCGTCCACATGGAGAAGAAAACAATCGCCTATGCCTTTCCAAACTCGATTCTGATCGAAACCGAATCAACCCAAGTATGATCGTGCTGAGTTAAATTGGAGGGTGGCAACTGAGGACATCAGACACGAATGAAGCTGCCTGGCCGCTGACGCCGCTTGTGATTGAAGTACTTTTTTGCTAGTTTCCTCGCCCGCGATGAGGTTTTTGACATTCTGTCGAGACTGTGGGACGTGCATGTTCCGGTAAGCACTGTCCTTGATCCATTCTGCTCTGTTGCTCTGCTTGGCACTGAGGGTTTGTGCTTCCCATGGCCTTGGTGTCTCTGTAACGCACCCCCCCCGGGACTTACGTTGCCGCTGTCGTGGCTGCACAGACGACGAGCGCCCTCCGCAAGTACCCCGACATGTCTGCTCTGGTCTGCGTCTGCAATGGCGTTGGCGTCTGTGAGGCCTGCTTTATCAGGAAGCGGGTCGAGCGGGAGGAGCAGGCGCAGCAGGTACAGCTGGCCAAGAAAGCCAAATCCAAGGCTGTCAAGCCAAACAGTGGCTATCTCTCGTCTCAGTGGGAAACCGGAAGTGAAGACGAAAGTGGAGCCCGAACCGGAAAGCAGTGGAAGTCCTCGCTAGGGATCAAGCGACGAAAGCCCCGGAACGGTACCACCAGCGATCTAGATCGCAGCCAATCCGAGCTCGACCGGGTCTACCTGGCGCCGCCAGCCTCCAGCAGCAGCGTGCGCATCGCAAACATCAGCAGCGAAGCAGTCTCGGCTCTCTCTGTCGAGGAGCCCGCATCGGTGCCGGTTGAGGAACCCAGCACACCACCGGCAAATCTTCCTGCCGCCCCCGTTCAATGCCCTTGCGATGCGCAAAGAGGCATCGTCGATGTCCTCGACAAGGTCTACGATATTCCTTTCGATCGCATCTTTGCCCTCCTGCTGACCTTCCCTCCCAAGGCCCAAGGAAACAGCTTCGTTTTGAATTTGCTCGAAAAGCGCAACTTTACCGGTGGGTAGGCCTGTACAGCGGGGCGCACTTGAGGCCGCCCAGCAAATCTAATCTCTGAGCGGGATTTTGTCCAGATGTCCAAGTTTCACCCTGGGGTCCCAACGGGGCACAAGCACCGACTGAGGCCGGTCCCAACATTGGCGGCGGTAACTTTGAGCCCTCGCCTGACAGCCTGCAAGTGGGCGATAGCCACAGACTCAACTATGTGATTCCACTGGGTCTGCCCATTGGTAAGCGTTTGTGCTAGGGCCGCGACTCTACATTCAGTGTCAAGATGGGCATAGCGAGCGATGGATTTGGCCAAATACAACGGCCAGTGCGCATTATCGCCTGTGGTCGGCAGCTTGAAGCTTCTGCAATTGGTATCATGCGACGCTTGATTGGCACTCTGACGGGTCCTTGGACATGCTCAGGTCCCAAAACCACACAGTGCACCAACAGCTTCAAGATCCTGGCCATCCGTCCGCACCACTATGTCTGTGTCCACCAGATTACCGAGACGCCCAACGTGCCGGCAGGCAACTGCTTCCGAAACCATCTTCGGATCTGCCTAACGTTCCAGACACCCAAACGCACCCGTCTGGTAGTGACCGGCCGCTGCGAGTTTTACAAGTCCTCGATGCTCAAAGGCACGATCGAGAAGAGTACCGCCGACGGTTGGCGCGGACATTACGCCGACCTCGATCTGATGCTTCTGGAACAAGCCACCCAGTTCCAGTCCAGCCATCACAACCAGTTGGTGCACTCGGACGGAGAGCTGGCCAGACCACATCAGTACCAGCACCAACATCAGCACCAGCACAAGCACTCGCACTCACGCCACGGAGCAGCCATTCAGGACGAAACAGGCTCGCTGCCCCAGCTCAAGCAAGCTGCATCGTCCTCGACCCTGGGTACGCTGCGCCGACAGCGATCGAAGGTCTTGGACGAAGAGCCCAGCTGGCTCGATCAGCTGCTTCCGGATACCCTCGATGCCCTCGGGCCTCAAGCGGTCATTTTGCTCCTGGCCTTCCTGCTGCTCTTCCTCGTGCTTCTGATCACCATCAACACGGCCGTGCTCTGGAAGGTGGCCGAGATGGTGCGCCGGTTTGACCGGCGGGTGGGTGTGCTTGAGTCGCGGCTGCAGACCGTGCTGGAGCTCCTCAACCAAGCCCAGCCCTGAGCCGTGGTCGCAGGACTGAGCCGGACAAATCTGCTCGAGGCGGTGTCGCCCATGCAGTCCTCGAGCGGCCCAGCCGACCTCGGGATTCGCATATACGAACGAGTCGGCTCTGCCACCCATCTCGCATCCACTTCCTCATTCACGCATCGAACATGGTCCTCGCTCTGCCGGTCTGGCGCGGAGGAGCGATTCATGCTGCATACGAGTTGTCTGAGTTTTGGTTGTTTTTCCTCTTGCTTGCTCTCTTGCTTGCTCTCTTGCTTGCTCTCTTGCTTGCTCTCGTTTGTCAAAATACAGCTTGAATAGAATGAACCAACCTCCCGCTGGATCAGTATCGACTGCCACCTCACTCAGTCCCTGCTTTCAACATGAATCCTTCACAACCATCACTCGACAGCCGCACACCATCACCGTTGCCATCACCGTTGCCATCACTGGGACTGGACGGCACTCGCTTTTGGTCAAGATGCTGTATTTGTCTATGGGAACAAGAGGTTTGGATCCGTCGCATTTGGCGAGCCATTTCAAAGAGCTGGCGACGGTCAGCAAAGCGAAGCGGTCTATAGAATAGGCGTGATTACTCCATTTGCGCGTGAAGGTAAAACTGGGTGATGAAAGTGGTGGTGGGTGATGGATGGATAGATAGATAGATGGATAGATGGTTGCTGGATGAACGTGCAGTGCGTGCCAAAGAAGGGAGTGCCAAGCAACGAAGAGAGAACCAAGGAAGAGTAGGGAATCGATGGAATTGGTTGGTACGAAGCCGAGCAGGTTCCACGCATCCGGTCTTTGGGATCGCAGAGTCGGAGGACAGGCTGGGTGCGCAGGAAGACGAGAGGGAGAAAAAAAGGCCAAAAGAGCCAGGGACGGACATGCTGTGAGCCGATCAAGGATACATACGGATCAAAGCCATGTCAAGGACCAAGAGGTGGATAGAGAGAGATAGAGGGACAAGAGAAACAACGAAAAGACCAAGTCGGTGCGAAAGAACGGAGAGAGAAAAAGGAAAGAGTCGATACTTGGGGGAGATGGGAGCAACGACTGACCGATCCTGCTCATTACAGCGGGATGTTGGGATCGACGCGCTTGACAGGAGGCTGGTAGTACTGGACCGGCACAGGCATGGGCTGCGAGATGTCGATCGCCAGTCGAGGATCGGTCTTCTTCTTGGTGGTGGTGCGAGGCACGAGCGGTGAGGTTGCTCGTCCCTTCTTCTCTCCCTCGGCCGTCTTGCGGCGTCTGAGGGTGTTGGCAGAGGACAGACGGCCGAGGGTGCGGTGCACAACGCTGAATTCGCCCCAAGCAAAGTTGGTCTTGCGGACATTGTCGCGCTGGACGGGACGAGGGCGGCGCCAAAGCGTCTGGGTGCGGCTGGCTGCGGAGCCAGAGTTGTTTTCCGAGACGAGGGTGATGTCGCTCTGGGCAGAGCCAGTCTGGGAGGCATTGCTTGGCGGGTAGGCGCTGATCGATTCGAGCTCGACGACGGTGCCGGGCCAGCCCTGCCAGGTGCTGCCGCCTTCCACGAGCTCGCCACTGACAACGAGAGTGTGCTCAAGCAGAGTCGAGTCAGGCTCCATCTCGGCGCCCGAGAGCAGGCGCGATTCGGCGCGGAGGACGGATCCATTGCCAATAACCAAGGGATTCAGCGAAAACTGGCCGCGGCTGTTGATGTGGCAGACCACACTAGCGACGTCAATAGCAACGTCGTCGCCGATCTTGACCAGGTCGGGCTCGGTCATCATCGGGTCGCCGCCGGTGGGGTAGAGACAGACGCGCTTGCCGATGCGACAGCCCAGGGACCGGAAGTAGTGCACAATGTACCAGGAGCCGCGGATGTACTCGAGCAGGTCGCCACGAAGCGAGTGCGCAGCAATCAGGATCTGCCAGCGCTGGCAGTACGACGACTTGTCCCAGTCGTATCGTCCGGGCTTGCGGCGGCCAAAGAGAGTCCACTTGACACTGACCTCAAAGGCCATGGCCAGGAAGGCAAAGATCGAGAAGGCACCGGCGCAAACAAACACGATGATGACGTGAGCGATGACTTGTGTGGTTGTATCGGCCAGGTTCCGCATGAGAAAGAAGCGGTCGGCAGAGATCATCGCGATGATGAGCGGCGTGGTCCAGTAGACAGTCCGGATTGCTTCAAACGCAATGTTGTACAGAATGCAGGCCCACATGGGGATGACGCGGAACTCGGCATCCCTGTTGTAGAAAGCCTTTCCGAAGGGCGTGGTCGTATCGGTGATGTGCTTGCGCTTGGGATCGCCGGCGTCCCAGAGAATGGGCTTGCCGCCGCGCGAGCCGATCCAGACGGATGCTGGAGGATACTCGGTATCCCGCTGCGACAGCGCGCCAGAGCCCATGACGCACCCGCGGCCGACCATGGTGCCAGGGAGGAGCACGCAGCGATCGGCGATCATCGAGCCAGCCTCGATCTTGATCTCGGTCGAGCGCACCGAGTCTGAGCAAAGCACGTGGGTGCGCGATCCAAAGACCACATCGTCCTGGACCTCGAGGAGATCAAACTCGTAGAAAAACAGCGGCGTTCCGGGCCAGTAGATGCGCTTGCCGATCTTGGCGCCGAGGGCGCGGTAGATCGTGCTGGTGGCCTCGTAGTGGCGGCCGATGAGCGCATAGACGCCACAGAGCGAGCCATCCTGGAAGAGCTTCTTCATGAGCCAGTGGCGGAAGAGGTTGAACTGGGAGTTGCTGACGCCGCCATTCTTGAAGCGGCCGACGAGGATCCACTTGACCGCGATACAGATGCCGAGGTGGAGGAAAGGGCACAGGGTATCGCGGATCACCAAAGCCCAGTAGTGGAAGCCGATACGAGCCGGGTGCGAGAAGTAGTCGATCATCTGGCCAAACAGGTCCAGGTTGACTTCGGCTGTGAAGAAGTTCTCGTAGGCAAGCAGGTAGATGATGCACATCCACGGGAACATCGAGAGCAGATTGATAATGAAGAGCAGGGGCCATCCAAAGATGATCTTGTAGATGACATTGAGATCGCGGTGGCGAGTACGGCAGAGGGTCTGGAAGTGCGGGCTGGCGTCCTGCATCTCGTACGAAGAGCTCAGGGGAGGGAACACAGTGAAGGGCGGGACGGTGTGGCCGGCCGCCACAACAGACTTGATGTTCAGAACACTGTGTTCACCTGTGGTCGACGGGAGCAGGGACATGTAAGTGACTCCGACAGGGGCAGTCGCCGACCAGCCCACGCCACGCGCCAACCCACACCAGCCGTACGTACGGACGTAACGTGGCAACCGAGCGTGCGTAGACACTCACACTCGACAGATGCAACCAAGACCCACAGGCAACCAAACAAAAAGCTGCTTACCAATGGTGATTTTCTTGAGGACCATTCTGCCCGTCTCCATGAAGAACGGGCGGATACGCGCCGTGTCAAAGCTGGCGCCATCGCCGATATCGATGAGATCAAACTCGCCAATGTTGGTCGAGGTGTCCAAAGCAACATCCTTGCCGACCTTGGCTCCCATCAGGCGCGCATAGAGAACCAGGGTCATCGAGCTGGTGCCGAAGCAGCCGCGGCCACAGATGCGCAGCACCTGATCGACAATCCACCAGCGCAGATAGTACGAGCCCCACAGGGGGTAGCTGCGCGAATGCAAAAACAATGTCGGTAAGCACGATTGCCACTGAGCTATGAACTATGAGCTATGAACTATGGGCTATGAGCATCAGATAGAGTCCAACAGCTAAATAGGCGATGGCGCCAGCAGAGACACTCTCAAAGTCAAGGACGTCAACCAGTGAGTGCGCTTTACCTTCCAGCCTTGTATCGGCCAATGACAATCCACTTGAAGAGGATGCCGAGGGTGGGCATGACAATCCAGAGGACCGTGTGGGAAATGGTGATGGCAATCAACAACTGGATCACACGGACCAGCGGCGCGGTCTCGATATGGAGAGCGTCGCGACGGACCGTGTCGGTAAGGATCAGGATGTGCAGGAACGTCAGCCACAGCGCCGCCGTGTACAGCGGGCGGAAGAAGGCGATGGGCAAGATCTGCACGAAGAGGGCCACAAAGCACGTGGACGACTCGGATTTGACGCGGAGCTCGTCTGCCTCATTGGCTGTTTGCTTCTTGGTGGTTTTGGTACGAATGAGCGGGTCAGTCGAGTCGACGCTCATTGCAGTGGTGGCACGCTCGCTGATCAGAGCAGCAAGTGCGCGGATGGTGCGATGCTCGAACAGGGTCATCGCAGGGAGACTGATATCGTATTCTTTGCTGTGTAGAAGGAAGGAAAAGGCGGCTCGTTGTCAGTGCGACTGTCGATGGGTGCGTCGTACACGACCATGTGCTGATGGGATAGATTGCAAGGGAGCGAGATGATTTCCAATACCAATACGGTGCCAGGGCATACAAAACAAAAGGGCGGCCTATCTGCTGCTCAGGTGCATGTCAAGCCTACCGAATGAGACCGACAACGCGCCCGGCCTTGAGGGAGCCGCCGCCGAGCTCGAAAAAGTCGGCGTCCAAGGTGTTGATCTTTTCGAGCTCCAGAACGGTCAGGAAGATGTTGTACACTGAGCGCTCCTCCGGGGTAGCCATCTCCATATCCACGCCTTGCTTGTCGAGCTCGGCGTGGAGGGCGTCGACATCAACGGTCTTGCCGTCGGCCATCTTCTTAAGCTTGGGCAAGTGGATGATCTGCTTGGGGACGTCATAGTCATGGATACATCCAAAGAGGTGCTCCTTGATCTCCTCGGAGGAAAGAGGGGACTTGGAGGTGTCCTGGCACACAAACATGACCAAGTCGTCACGCGAGTTGGCAATGCAAGCAACTTCGATAACGCCGTCGACCTTGAGCAGGGTCTCGACAGCGCGATCGGACGAGCAGACGACGGGATGGGCCTCGATCGGGGTCTTGATGCCAGCGGTGCGAGGGGGACAGACAGGGGCATCGTAGAGGCGCTGCTTGGGTCCCATCTTGTCGTTGATCTCGGCGATTCCGAAACGGTTTGCCAGGTTGATGCGGAGGGGCTTGTTGTTCTGGTTCTTTGGGAGCTCGTTCATGTAAACAATCAGCTGAGGCCACTTGGAGGGATGCAGGGTCTTGGACACAAAGCTGGCGCAGATGTGCAGGGTCAGGGTCAGTACAGCCCCGTTCAGTACAGCTCCGTTCCGGCGGGAGCGATGCGCGAGCAGTCGAGAATTCAGTGCTGTGCCAGAGCGAGGACACTAAGCGGCGACTTACTTTTGGAGCTGGGGGAGATCCACGCGGCACTCGGGATCGGTCGAGACAATAACCACGCCAATGGTTTCCTGGAGAACATCGTGCGGGACCGAGAAGGCGATGGTCTCGAGCACCTTTTCGTGCTTGATCACAGCGTCCTCGACCTCGACGGGCGAGATGATTTCACCGCCACGGTTGATGACTTCCTTGGAGCGGCCGGTGACGTAGAGATAGCCGTCTTCGTCGAGGTAGCCCATATCGCCGGTATTGAAGAAACCGTCGGCAGTGAAGGAGCTGGCATTGGCATTGGCATCGTTCTCATATCCCTGGAAGACGGGCGGGCCGCGGACCATGATGTGACCGATGGCTTTGGGAGGCAGCTTGTTGTGGCTGTCGTCCATGATGGCGATCTCGGGGCCAACAGAGACGCCGGAAGTGCCGGGGCGCTCAAGGGCATAGCCCTGTGGCGGGGTAGCAATGGGCATGCACTCGGTCATGCCATACGACGGCAGAACGGTAGCGCCAACAAAGAACTCGCGAAGCTCAACCGCCAGGGACGGGAGCAGTCCGCCACCGGCATTGGCGATCATACGGATGCCGACGGGATAGTCGATACCCCGCGAGCGGCCTTCCTGAAGAATTGCGTGGTGCATGGTTGGGACGGCGTAGTACCAGGTCGGCTTGCAGTCGTTCTCGGGATGCTGGATGATGTCCCAGAAGACAGAGGGATCAAAGCCCTTGGTCAGGATGACTGAACCACCGCTGAAGACAGGAGCCAGAAGGTTGCGCAGGATACCGCCAACGTGGTACAGCGGCATCATGTTCAGGTTGACGTCGGATTCCTGATAAGGCAAGAATCGAGATGGGATGGGATGAGATGAGATGAGCTGCGAGGGCCAGGGCAGGTGGACACGGTGGGCTTCCACAAGCAAGAGGAGCCTGACAGAGACTTAGTCAGCCGCACGACGCTTACCACCAGTGCCCACGACTGAGCGACACACAGAGCGCCGATGATGAGGGTCTCGAGCGTATATGGGACGGTCTTTTTGTTGCCGCTGGTTCCGGAGGTGGCGAGGACCATGCCGTAGTCGCCCATTTGGTTGAGGGCCTGGCGGCGGTGCCAGGACATGGACACACGGCTCGAGGCACGGAGAGCAGACTTGCGCTTGTTTGCATTTGAGGTTGCGAGAGAGCCGCCCTGCACAGACCAGGATCAGCCAGAGGCGATGAGAATAGCAGCCGCGAGGGATACACGCAAGGGAGGGGGCACAGAAGGCCGTTGTGGATGACAGAACGCCAAAGCCGCCTGGACAAGGTGAGCAGGAATACGCTGCCGAAATACAACGAGCCGGGGGTGCGATGCATACCTGCGATGCGCCATCGGATCCATAGGCTTGGAGATCAAAGAGGCCACACGTTTTGCTGTTGGGCGTCAGGACGACGACGTTGATGCCATGCCACTCGAGCGAGTTGACAAAGCCAGTCTGTAAAGCGGTGGCAAGAGTACAACGGTCAACGGAGGTGGAAACGCGCGCAGCCGAGAGCAGGAAGGTGGCGAGGACAGGTCCCGCGCCTTGTGCGGCCAACAGCAAACTTCCCCCCCCACCACTCCCAGGCATTAAAATCACCCGCCCGTCCTTCGCAGCTCTGTCGAGGCACACCTCGACAGGAGCGGGTCCCCGCAAAGCAGATAACCCGCACACCAGACGGAGAGGAGTCCCGAGGAAAAGGAGAGGGTGAAAGGCCAGCCAATAAAATCGCCACAAGCCAGGAGCTGATTGGAACAACGATAGCAGCGTGGGAGGCGGTGGCGATAGCAGGATTCATGGAACAGAGCGAACGGAGAGCGGCGGGAGGGCCCAGACACCCAACGCGGTGCAGCAGCAACTACAGCTTACGTTAACTCGGGTCTCGGGCATGATGACTGATTTGGCACCGAGGCGGGAGAGCTCGGTGCAGATTTCGTCATCCGTCATGTGGTAGTTGATCGGGACCGAGGTGCAGTAGGCCATGACCGTGACCAGGCAAACACCGAGCTCGGGCCCATCAGGCAGAACAATGCCAACCCGGGTATTGGGCGACCAGCCAAAGGACGAGAAGTCCACAAACTCGACAAAGCTTCGCAGGACCGAGTGGCTCAGCGACTCGCGTTCCGAGTCGGTCGAGACAATCACAGGCTTCGGCAGGTCCAGCAGTAGGTCCAGCATGCTGCGGACGTCGTGCAAAGTGCTCTGGACCTTGATGCCGAGACAGGCATTTTCGTCCAGGAAGGGCGGCAGTTCGCGCGGATTGAAGGTGGAGATGCGCCTGCTCCTGCGCGAGCCCGGCTGGAAGACGGACTGCCGCTTGTTGCCAAAGTCTTGAGCAAAGATGGACTGCCGCTTGCTGCCGTAGTCCTGGCCGAAGATGGACTGTCGCCTGTTGCCGTAGTCCTGGCCAAACATGGATTGGCGCCGGCCGCCATTGTCGGGACCGAAGATGGACCGCCGTTTGTTGCCCGAGGGCTGGGGCTTGAGGGGAGGCGGGATATGGCGGGTGGAGATTTGGTCCATCTCGTTTTCGAGGGACGCAGACCAGCGATCGGTGTCGGCGGGATTTTCGATGACGACATCGTTCAGGGTGATGCGGGGTTGAGATGGCCGGCTTCCGGCACGCGGCGTTGGGTTCGAGGACGCCATTCTTGGGTCTGAACGACCTCGAGACATCCGGGGGATGAGAGAGGTGCTTTGCGGGGCACGATCAGAGCGGGATCGGCAAGAGAGATATCCGGTACCGGCAGAGTCCGAGCGGCACTGGACGACACTCGAGAGGGAGAGGCGTGGAGGGAAAGACGAGCAGCGTTGGTGGGAAGGCGAGCCGATCGGCGATGGCAGGATTTCGACCGAGGCGGGAGACAGGCCGCGAATTTATAAAGCGGCAGTGGTTGTGTCTGGGCAGCGGCCCTTGTGGGTGGACACGGCTTGTTTGCGGGCACTGGAGTAACAATGATGGGCTGGCTGTACGCTGCGGTGAAGGGCGTGTGGCTGGGTCTGCTTGAGCCAACTGTGCAGAGTGCACGGGTTTGTGCTTGCCAGCAGGCGCCATCGCAGCCGGATACAGCTCGCCAACAGCCCGACAGCTCCACTGGTACTCTCGAGAAGTGGCACTCCAATGCCGCAAATCACAGCCAAATGAGGCCGCCAGAAGCGAGGCTGCCAGAATAGTCGATTCCTCCACCGCTGTTGTCCCTCGGACAGGGACCTGCCTCGGGCTGTTGCTGCACCGATGTGTGCGCAGCAACAGCAACAGCGCTATTCTTGAGGCATCGTCTGCTTAACAGTGGCCTCCCTTGTCTATGGAGCCGGTGGCGAGGCCGCCAGCGAGCCAGCCGTGGCAGTGGGAGACATCCGCGGCCTTGGGGACCACAGCCGCCCAATCAGCGCTGGCCCGGGAACCTTGCACAGGGCCGCACCCACATCGCCGACAGAAACAGAGAGAAAAAAAGGTTTTTGCGCAAATGTAATGGCGAGTGCGAGCAGCGAGCGCGTCTGTGGAAGGGCGCCGGCGTCGAGAATCGCCAGTGAGCGGCTGCCACAGAGAGGGGGGGCCAGCGCCGCGGGTCCGAATCGACGGGCCGATTTGGGAGTCCGGCGAGGCCCAGACTGGCGACTGGTTCTTCTGGGTCATGCGGGCGTCAGAGTGCGTCGCAACGGCCGCAGCAGGCCGCTCTCGCAGCGGCAAACTCGCATGGCCCAGCCGGGCGGCGAGAGGGCCGTCGGCACAGGGGCTGTCTCGGCCAGCAGGGCCGGCCCTGCCTCCAAACAGAGCCACAAAGGAAAAAAACGCTGGCGAGGCCAAGGGCAGTGGTATCGCCCACAAACAAGAGGCGCACTGGCAGCAGCCGATCGAGCAGGCGAGAGCGCCAGCACGCTCTGTGGATGGACGGCGGCGCGCTGGTCCCGAGTCGGACGGTCCGGACTCTTTGGCGTCGAGGGGACGCGATCCACAGGGCAGGGGCCAAGCGTTTTTTTCCTCCACCGGCGCTGTGCCCCGCCTTGACACACAGCGGGTGATCTGCGACGGGTGTATTCCAGGCCAAGGCACCCTGGATGCCGTCCGTTGGCGACCGAGTGGTTCCTGGGTCTGGACATTTGGCCGGGCGTGGAGCCGGTCTGTCCGTCTGTCCAGTGTGGTTGCGGGGTGGATTCGTCCAACCACCACGGGAAGCGCCATGAGGGATGGTGATCGAGGACTGCAACTCGACGACGAGTCACGGCAGTGGCGGCCGCAAAGCCACCCAGCCGAGCATGGGGAATCGACCTCCACGAGAGAGCATGCTGCAAGCACATTGTAGGCATGGTGTATTCAGGGCTTCGAAATCAGATGGGAGCTGCGACCTCAACATCATTAGGTAGTATGTACAAGTAGAAGCAATCCTGTCCTGGGGGGGGGTGCAAACAGCCTCGGCGCGAGCTGGCGAGGGCGCATTGGAGACACGGATCAGAGCCATAGGAGGTTGCCCCTCCTCTTTTCCCCTCTCTAGCCTTTCGGCGATGGCCAGTCAGGCGGAGGTCGAGTGGTCGCTGCCGTGAGAACATGGCAGCAAGAGTTGGAGAATGAAAGAAAGAAATAAAGAGAGAGAGAGAGAGGGAGAGGGAGAGAGCGAGGGAGAGAAAGAGAAAGAAAATACTGGATAGAGGGTGGGTGTGATGTTCATGACATGGCCGTGCTCATGCGATGGATGTGGATGGATGTGGTGCGATGGCACCAATTCGTGTGAGTGGTGATGGTTGAGAGACAGCAACAGCTGAGGGCCGCATGTCATCGCTGCGGCTGTAGTGCAGAGAGTGGCTGGGAAACGGACGTTGCTGCTAACGTCCCGAATCGCCTGCCGTGTCGTTGGGTGCAGCAATGCAAGTCAGGGCCGGAGGAGACTGGATCCCAATCGATCCAGATATGACAGACACACGACGCCATTAATCGATCAAAGGGCGAGTCTGTGCATGCCCTGGGGGGTTGGGAAGCCCCCAAGGAATCAGCAAATGCCCATGAGGGCATGCCATTCACGGATCCGGCAGTCGGGTCTTCTTGTTGGCTACGGCGCAGGCGGTTGCCGGGTCGACGAGGTGTCGCCTCTTGACGCCAGAGTGCATCTCCACGGGGCTTGCCGATGTGGTCTCCGAGGGGCAATGGAACAGCTGCAGTGCCGACGGCGATGATAACAGCGATGGCGGCGATGGCAGCGATGGCACGGGTCCGGTGTGAGCGATGGCACAGGCGGTAGATACAGACGCATCCGCCGTCGGTGGAGAGCCGTTAGGACTTGACGAGACCTCCGACTGCGTGATCTCGGGCGAAATCGGCGTTGGAGGGCGGTAGCCCGTCTTGTCCGCGTGCTTGCCATCGCCCTTCTCGTTGATTCGGTCGTCGCCGCTGTCGTCAACCTTGGATGCTGCTAGGATCTCGTCGTCAGGAACAGTGCTTTCGCTTGGAACCGGGGGCTGGGCGACCGGCTCGTGCTGCATGGGCTCCGGGATGAGCGCTCCATACGCTTGAGGCGGATACGGTTCCGGGATCGGCTGGGCAAGCGTGGGGACGCCATACGAAAGACCCAGGTCGGCTTGGGCCGGAGCAGGGACGCCTGTGGGGTGGAAATAGCCAACGGGCCCGCTGAGCACGTACGTGCCGGCCGGATACTGTGGCGAGATCGACATGGCCGGCATAAACGAGGCATCGTAGCCTGTCGACACGACTGGCTGGAAGCCGTACGACAGATAGTACATGGCCGGCGACTGCAAAAGGGGATCGGAGGGCATGATGGCGACATCACCCATATGCCTGGGACTGTTGAAAGCGGGGTAGGCGGGGTAGCCGAGATACGGGGAAGACGGTGGGGTGCCAGCGAAAGCCACAGCGGGGTCCGAGGCGTAGTAGACACAGGATCCAGAGGCATCCATGACGGGAGGCAGCGACGGTGGAATCGGAGCGACGGTGACGGGAGGGCAGGGCTCGAGATATGCGGAATGAAGCGGGTATCCCGCCGGCGAAAGGGCATCGGGAGAGAACAGCAACGGGCTCAAGGGAGCCATGAACTGGGGCGGCGACGGCGACGGGGCTGAATAGGCTACGGACTGGGGATGGAGGCCAGAAGGGACTGCTGGGCCTTCGAAGCGATTGCTGGGCAAGGCTCCAAGCTGGGGCGAAACAGGCAGGGCAGCAGAGAGCGGGTTGATGGGGTGGACGGGAGGGCTGGCGATCGGCTGGGCAAACGGCGAGGCAACGGCATCAACAGGCAGCGGGGCAGGCGAAGGCGGAGCAGCAGCAAGCGACGACACATTGGGCTGGTAGCTGGATACGGCTGGGGAGTAGGACATGGACGTCTGTGGGAGCACGGGAGCATTGAGCAACGCCGACGTCTGTTCCCAGTGGAGCCTGAGGCAGGTATCTCGAGCCACGGCGGCGACCTTGAGGTGCTGGTACTTGCGATCGACGGGAAAGGACTTTCGACTCCGGCAGACCTGGTGGTATTCCAGTTCGGCGATCTTGTTGATGGCCATCTGCTGGATCTTCTGGCACAGAGACCACTGGTAGCCGGACGAAATCTGTTTTGTGTTGCTCAACATGGGCGGCGTGGATTACGGGGGGGGGAAGAGAAGACAGCAAGAAGATGTGTAGAGACAGAGGGTGGGGCGATGCAAGTGAACGAGACAGGTATAGGACTACGGGGCTCTACGGTAGGGCAGGAGCGATAAATAGCAATGGCACAGGATCTGACCAGGGGTGGCGGTCAATGCAGGGGAAGGAGGGGGGAGGGCGGAGAGAGTGGGAGAGCGTGCAGACGAATTCAACCGTGCAAGGCAGCGTGCAGACAGGCAGCGTGCGGGGAGGGAGTGCCAGCGGAAGGGGAGGAATGCCGCTGCAAGACAGTGCCGATGTCGCTGCAAGAGGGGAGGGGAAAAGGCAGCCTGCGGGGGGGGGAGACGCAAGCACAGTCCAAGGAGTTGCAGAAGGCGCTGCGACGGAGAGACCAAGGCAGGCAGTGCAGAGGAGCCCCGTTGGATGGATCGGCCCACAACAGGCCGGGAAGAGGGGGCTTTGGGCTTTGGGCTTTGGGCTTTGGGCTTTGGGCAGAGGGCTTTGGGCAGAGGGGTGGGCGGCAGCGCCTTTTGCGCGGGGTGTATGCGCCCGGCTCGAATGCGGCGCGGCCGGTTCGAACGCATCACATGGCCTGCCGCATGTGACCGCACCGGCATGGCGCATGCGGTCATGTGACCGCGTCCTGGCCATGGCCATGGCGATCGACCAACCCATTGATCGACCCATTGATCGACCCATTGATCGACCCATTGATCGACCCATCGATCCGCCTCCACGCAACCATCGTCCATCGGCCATTGGCCAGTGGCAGCATCGCTGTGCCTGCGCGGGCTCCAGTCGTCCCGTGATTTGGCGCCGGGATTTCCGTCTGGTCGCCATGCTTCTCCCAGAGCGCGCGCCTTCACTCGCTGCCCTGACTTGTCCTCTCTCGCGCACACCCCGCCTCAAATCACATTCCTCCAGTTGCACTCCATCGCACGCCGTCCATCCACTGATCCGCCGGCGTCGAGATGGAATCGCTCAAGCCCCACCAAATCGCGTTTACGCTCTCCGGCACCGAACGCCCCTTGGTTGGCGAGTGGATCAAGGTCGTCAAGGACTTTTTTGCGACTACCGCCGCGCAGGTTGCTGATCCGCTCGTCTTCTTCTCCCAAAACTCCTTCACCAACGCGTCGGCAAGCAACCCATGGGCTGTGCAAGTGTCCGCTCCAACAACTCCAGACAATCGCTCCGGGGGCACAACCAACTTTCTCTCGGAGCTGGAGCCTGCATCGGGACTATCTCTGGTCGAGATCCTCGAGTCGACTACTGTCCACTGCACCGTCCAGCTCATCGCCGTCCTCGGTCACCACATCGAGGCGGTCCGCCTTGGGGCGCTGCAGCTCCTCCTCCAGCTCGCCACCATCTTTGACAAGAAGGTTGTTGACTCAAAGAAAAAGATGGATCGGATTACGCTCTCCCTTCAAACAGACGACAAAGGTGCGTACAGCCACCCTCTCTGCCGCGGTACTTGGCTCGACAAGCTCATCGTATCCGCGGCATTCATGTTCCCGACTACCTCCTCCACACTTGAATCTGTCCAGGGTATCATGTGCCCGTCCACGAGTTCTTCCACTACATCGGACCGGCGCTCTCCAACATGACCATTGCTCTCGTTGCGTGTCTCGAAATGTTCTACACCTGTCCGGACTGGACCGTGCGCGGCATCTGCATAACCGCCCTTGGCCGCATCGTCTACGAGAACGAAAAGATCTTTGTCGAGGAAGATCACCATATCCTTTGATAGACACTGTTTGGGTGACTGTCGAGTCGCTTATGCTTTTGCGTGCCGCATGCACATGACACTGCTGTCGCTATCCTTGACTCGGGCCCTGTCCTGCAACGGCACTGGCTCTTGCTCTCCACTAGCGGCCGTGTGGAACCTCGTGTTTGCTCTCAATCTGATCCCGCAGATTTCAAAAATCTTTCCTGACCGCATCGTCATCATCAAGGCAAGAACTCGTGGAGGCGCTTTATCAGCGCGACAGGGTTGCATGCGGATGCCGTCGTCTGGAGCGAGCGAGCTGGGGATATGTTGCTCATGTCCACTACTGCTACGCCGCTCGATACACAGGCTCTCGGATTACTGTCGCCTCTGTACGTCAATGCCGATACAGCTTTGGCGTATCGCATCGTCGAGGCCCTGATGAAGATCAAAACAAAGGTAGTCGTGTCGATCAAGTCCATGTCGACTCTCGCTACAGCCAAGCTTGTTGCTCTGCCCCCGTTCGCACTCTTCCGTGCCCATTCTTGGTCAGCGTCAGCACAACAATTGACTTTGCTGCGCTGTTTGCAGACGCTGATGGAGGTCGACGCCATCAAGGTATCGCTCAAACGTGTCTTTGAAAAGCTTGGCGAACACACCCAGACCAAGGTTGAAGATGCACCAAAGTTTGGGAAATATGGTGCGTTGTCGAAGCACATCTCCGTAAATTCTGTGTACATCGTGATGCTCGCGCAACGGCCATCGCCGTGGCTTGAGACTCGCGATGGCTGACTATACACCGGCTGAGTCGCCCACAGGCTATGGCTACGGCTTCTTTGTCAACCTCTTGACCCCGCACGACGAAAACGCCTACGACATCCTCGCTTGGGCTCTGGAGACCTTCACACTGGCGTCGCTTCCCCCTCCAGGAGGCGTCACCACCGCCAAGACAAAGAAGCCACTGCTCCCCATAACAGAGTTCAAGCCTCTGACCGAGTTCATCAACAGCCTCTCACATCACTCTCGTGCGACACCGCCACTCATCCGCTATGGCGCCTGCATCTGTTTGCACAGCGCTCTCACCATGTGCCCCACTCTGCTGAACGACAACAAGCACCTCTACATGTGGATCATCTCGGGTGCGATGGACACGGACTATCTTTCGGCCTTTCTGTATCTCTCGATGCTCGAAAAACTCATGACGGTGATGGAGGTCGCCAATCCCGGCACCCCTCGGCCCTTGACAGCAGCCACCCAGAGCAGCGGCTCTCGACCATTGACGGCCCGCTCACCTGTGCCTGGCGGCAGCGCCGTCCAGTCCAACGTAAACATCAACATCAACGACAGCCATGTCTCTCTGCCCGTCTCGTCAATTGCAACCGCAAAGGAAACTGTCCGGCAGATGATCATCTCGATGCGCAACTGGGACGAGCGGTTCGAAAACTACGACGAGCTCTTCCAGATCGAGTCTGTTCCAACTTCGCGCATCGGCGTTATGATCTCGGATATCCTCGATCTCGTGGTCAAGATGTCGCCCACACCGCTGGCCCCGAAGCTTCTCCACAAGATGGTGAACTCGCTCGAGTATCTGTCCAAGCCCCTGAAGCTCAAACAGCTTGAGCTTATTCGCCTTTGGGGCAGTCGCTCGGAAGAGGTAGGGTACAGCATCCGTGCCCGTTATTCAATCCAATGCACAGACTCCTCGTTCTCGTATCTCACCGCGCACTTATGAGCTCGTCAGTAGATAGAACTGTCCGCTCTGCCTCGTATCGCTCTCTATATCACCTGCGGGATGAGTACTCCACCGGCGCCGGAACGTGCCCTGTGTCCTGTTCTCACCAAGCATCGCACATCCTTCCCCACGCAAACAGTTCGATCCATATTTGATACAAACCGTGATTCCGCTCCTGAGCGAGCCTGATGAAGATATCCAAATATCGATCCTCAAAGTGCTACAAGCCTTGATCCCCGGCTTTGACAGCGCCGCTCCATCGGAACTGGCGTTCACGTGGTCGTATCTGGTGGTTCTCATGGATCCAACCGTTCAGCCGGTAAGCCCATTGCATGATCTCTGTTGTCGTGCCAGAATGTCGGGACCTCACGGCCCAAGTTTCTGGAGAGCTCTGCACTGTACTTGCAACAGGATACCCGGTTAATGCAGTCGGACACTCTCCCACTCCCAAACACCGAGCAGTCCCTGCTTCGAGCCACGCTTGCCTTGATCAAAGGGTTCCCGCTCCTGAAGCTGAACCAGGACTCCAGGGAGGAGGTACGTTATAATTTGCCAGCAACAAGTCGCCTCAATCGCAGCACCTCACAGGAATGCATTGGCATCCACGCTTTCGCGGGTCGTGTTCGATCGATCTGCGCAAAGTTCTATTCACCAACCCAACAATCCCTTGTCCGAATCGCAGCTGCTGGACTCCATATCCAAACTCATTTTCGCCCGAGACGAATCTATTCGCGAGATTGTGTACGACCTCATCATGGACTCCAAAGAATTTTGGATCGAAACCGGGCAAGACAATGAGATCGTGGCACTGCTCATCCTGGCTTTGGGAGACGACAGTGCCAAGTGGTAAGCGGCAGTCATCCATTTCTGGGTTGCGGACCAGCTCTGTGTACCTGCGATCTTGATGCACCAGAGACATGCGATGCTTCAGAGTACCAGTACATGCGATGCTTCGAAGCACCAGCAGAATCACGAGTGCCGAGATGCGATCTGAATGTGCACTGATTCCAGCACCGGACTTTCGGCCACGTCAACCGCAGCGCCAAGAAGGTCATTAGCTACATTCTGGCCTTTCTGTCTCCCGAATACGGGATCGTGGCCAATCTCACCAAGCTAAGTGCCGTCATCGGCGGCCCGCTTCTCGAAGTCATCAAATGCATGGACGAGCTCGCAAATCAGATCGCCAAAGACCGCGTCGAGCTCCGGGAGATTATCGACAGCATCATCAGCGACGACAACGCCGACATGATGTGGAACTTCTTCCTCTCAGAGGTCCTCGACAACGGGCTCGTCAAGCCGGACGAGTACGATTACTCGCGTAACTTTATCCAGTCGCCCTTCTGGGTGGCTCTCCTGATGACCAAGCTGGGGGTTTCACCACCCCCGCAGTCGGTGAGTCAATCCCGGCGACTGGAGCACGCCCCCCCCCACCATTCCATTCCATCGACAATATCTTTACCGCACTGTAACTCTCTCCGCCAACATCGATGCTCAAAATGCTAACTACTCGCTGGTGTGTGCTATTTCAGGGCGGCGATCTGACTTCGCGGAACGTTGTTCCCAGCACACCTGCCGGAAAGCGACGATTCCTGAACGGCTTCCTTTCGTGTCTGCTGCCCACCTGCGGCATCTCCGATCCGCTTCTGAGATACGCCGCGTGCTTCACAGTCATCCGATGCTGCTTCCGATCCAATGTCCTGGTTCCTGCGATGATGCGTGCCCTCCTCGAAACAGTGAGCCAGCACATGCTTCCTCACAAGCAATGGACTTTCCAAATGTAATGCAAGGATGGGTCCTCGAGACGCAGCTGGCGGTGTGTGTAGGTGTTTGCCTTCTGGCCTCACAAGACCAACCTGCCTGACGTTGGTGCTTCATGCAGATCCGGTCTCGATATCTTGCGACTCATCATCAGGCTGAAGCTCCAAAGCCTGAGCCCAGCTGTATACCAGCAGTACATCGACCACATCTTGGACGTTGTTTACAATACCCCGAACACCATCCTCAAAATCGGTGCGCTCGAGGTCATTGAAACGATTTTGCTGGTCTTTCCAGCCCTGGTCAACACCAAGATTGCGGATATTCGAGATATCTGTCGGTAGGTGCGACCGATCCAATCCCACAGATCCAATGCGACCGATCCAATGCAACCGATCCTATCCCACAGTTCCGATGTGACAGGCCGGGCACAGTGGAGCTGGGGCACAAGTACTTTCGTGACTCATTCAAGCGGTCGCTGGCAAAGCTCACTCTTCTCTACCCTATCTATCTGCGAATGGATGTCTCTTGGCGGGTTTGCTGACTTTGCTTGATGGAAACAGAGTGCAGATTGTGGACAAGTCCTCTGAAGTGGCTGCATGTGCGAGCCGAATCTACCCGCTCATCTTCAAGTGTGTTTCCGCAACGATCGCAGAGGAGTCATACTTATATCTCAAGGATGAAGTTGCAGTCTTGACCAAGAGTGGGCTCGAAAAGACTGGCGACCCGCTGGTCGCAGGCCTGACCAAGGATGAAATCGACCGTAAGCCCCGATGCCACCTCGCCCCATGCGGCGCGGAATCTGCTTGCCCTGGCGCCGATTTGCCATCGGAACCACCTTCCACCCAACACATGCACACACATGCACCTGCACTTACCTTCTATAACGAGCCTGAATCCATGTGTCTTCTTGATTCTGCACAGGTATCACTTATCTCAGCCTGGAGGCGTGCGGCGGAATCCCCCACAACAGCCTGGCGCCTCTGATTGTTCGGGACCTAATGCCGTTCTTGAGCCACAAGAACCCTTTATGGAGACTAGCGGCCTTCAGGAGCATCCTCCAGCTGCTCCCCTTCCTGGACCACCTCGAAGCCCAAACGGCCCTGTGGATTCTCTTGCCGCTCTATGCAGACACCAACCGTCGCATCCGGGTGGCGTTCAGCCGTTATCTGAGCAAGCTGCCTTTCTATCTGGAGGGCATGTCCATAGCCCTGGCACCGCATCCGGACGACAGTTTCTTTGTTGCTGTTTCGTAAGTTGCATATATCTCTGCCGCTCGACTGTGTGTCTGATTCGATAGCGGCTCCGCATGACAAGCTCGTGAGTCGATCACCACAGCACATAGTACATCGCGGAGATGCAACGCAGAACCATACACCACTCTCTCTACAAGGCCAACTCACACAGAACCCCTGATTGCTGCCGCGTGATATTGCAGAAACTGGGAAGACATTCTGCTCGATGGAACATTCATCTCGGTCAACTCCAAGAATATGTCGGATCTCGTCTACAGCCTGGACTCGATGAACCCAGCGGCCGAGCAAGACGAGCTGGTGAGCGATGCAGCGACAGATGCAACAGCATCATCGTCGGGCAATATCGATCAGGTGCACATCATCTGTGAAGCAGTGCTAAAGGCCTCGCCCCAATTCCTTATTGTCGCCTCCGGTCTGTCAGGCAAAGGCAGACAACGGCTTCCATATCCCAACGATATCCGCCAAGCTCATGAGCCGGATCAAAGCGCTTGCCACCGCGATTACGGGACAAGTCTCAACCGACAACCAAGTCATCTACTATCTCCAAGAGCTCCAGCGCAAGTCCCAGAATGTCAAGGGCGTGCCTCTCCTGGTGCTTTCCGAGTTCTGCTGCCAGCACGACTCCAAAACCAACGAAATCTCGGATATCCTGGTCGGGCATTTGTGTCAAGAGATCACCATCGACAATCGGATGATCGTCGAAGCCAGCATGCTGGGACTCAGGAATATTTCAGGCAAGATTACCGCCATCGCTTTGATGGTGCACTCACATTGTTTACGTTGCGCACGACGTATCATACAGAATAGCACAAGGGCCAGCACATCGGTGCGGCGCGATAGCTGACTCTGTTCCGATACTACTGTCGATCCTCGCTCCTGATCAAACAACAGAGTTCTCGCCCGCGGCCTTCAAGCTGGTCTTGGCCAAACTGGCAGCACCGCCTTTGCCCAACGAGGGAGATATCATCGCGCTGCTGTATCTTGTTGATCTCATCGCCGAGATTTCCGCCAACAAAGCACCGGATCTCCTGAAACGATATATCCCCATCATCACGAGCCAGAGACACACGACCAAGAAGCGTCTCTTTGCCATTTATCTCTGCGGTTCGTGCGCGAGTCGAATGCACGGATGGCCGCGGGCGGTTCCATCGTCCAGTCAGCGCGAGTGCCGGTGCAGGTTATGCAACGAAGCACAATTTGCAACTGACAATCCGCGCATTGCATCAATCCCACAGTTGAGCTTGCAATCATTGCAGGCGTCGATGAAATGGGGAAGCTTATCGATGCGATCCAGGTGTTCTTCGATTCGACCGCAAACTTTGCCATAAAGTCCAAGATTCTGGCCTCCCTCGGACGATTGATGGCGTATGTGGGCTCCAAGCATCCGTTCTTCAAAGATCTACTGGCGACAGTCAAAGAGGTGGGTAGCCTGACCTCCGTCACGACATGCCTCATTGGATCCCTGGCAACATTGGAACCAGCTCGAGACAGCACCAGGACGAGGGGGAACTGGACGACCTTGCGGCCCAAACTCAGTACATAACGAGCTCTTCTCACCATTACGACTGCAGAACATTTGTGACAAGGATCCCGCCATCCGTATGAGATCAATCGAGATCCTCAAAATCTTCATTCCGTATCTGCAGCCAGCCGAAGCCATGTGGTTCTGCTTCCTGTATCTCGCAGATCCGAATGCAGAGGTAAGCGGGTCAGACAAGCCCTCCATCCTTGGCTGCGATCCAATGCTGCGCCGTTGTGTTGCGTACTGAATCGAACGCGACCATCGCCGCCTCGTTTGACTCGGACCTGCTATTCGACTCCCAGGTCCGATCGAAGGGAAGAGAGATGATGATCAACGAGAACATGCTCGAATTTGCATACGGAAGCTTGAAGGGACGAAAGCGGTCCGGATCGAAGCGGGTAAGGCGCTGCATGACGTGCTCACATTATGTCTGGATCAGTGCGTGTCCAGAAGGCATTCCCTCTCGCCAATCTCTCCGCTCACCAAGCAAATGGTGTGCTACGGTCTGCAGAACGAGATCCTCCAGCTATGCAAGTTGCCTTCGATCCAGCGACTTGGCGTCACAATCAACACAAACGTGACTGAAGCTGTGAGTATCGGAAAGGAGCGGCATCATACACATTGTGATATATGCCAAAGTGCTGCATTGCACAACTTGGCTTCAATGGGTACTTTCCACCCCCACCCAGTCTAACCCTGTTGCTGTTGCGGCTTGGTGAATCCTGGCACCCGGACGATAGCAACCATCGACCGAGATTGTTCTGGTGGACGACCCTTTCAACATCAAATACTACAGCTCGGATCGACGCAAAAAGTTCACCGAGCAGTATAGACTCTCCGAAAAGAACTACGAGTTCGCAACCGAGCCACTTACAAAGTCGGTTATGGATGCGCTTCTGGAGCGCGCAGAAGCACTCAAGGCTCCGTCGCCCGAAGTTCTGGCAAAGTCGCAGTGGGTAAGTGTCCACCGATTAGCTGATGATAATATCTGACTCTAGTTCGTTGGCGGTTGAGTGAGCGAGTTCACAGCCTCGCCCAGAGTCATGCGCAGACACAAAGACTTCGACTCATTGAGCGCTGGGTGTCTGACGATGATGCATTTATGCGTGACCACTTACCGTCTCTCCTTTCCTTCACGGCTGGATCAACACCAAAGCTCCTTGACATCGACACCATTACGATCCTGCACGAATGCATGAAGGCTTTTCCGCAAGTCGCCAACGACCACCTCGACTCGTACATGATCACAGTCGAAAGGCGTGAGTACATGAGCGACAGGCTCGATCGATGGATGAGCCGACCCCACTCTCGCTCTCCGGCCACCATCGAACGCCCTATGTGGTTGATGATGTGTCGTGCAGTCGTAGAGACACACTAGCAGCACTAACTTTGATGGCGACAGTGATTTCCCCCCGCGCACGAGGAACCCCTGCCGATGCCGCGTCAAACATCCAAATCGATTCGCTGGTGCCGGCGACGCCTGCGACGGGCACCTCGACGCTGAGCAGCACTCCGATGACCGCCATGAACTCGGTCAATATCTCCGACTCGGATATTGAAGCCGAGATCCACCGGATCGATTTGATGTCCAACCTGCTGTTTGCCTACGATGGTGTCGATTCCATGCGCATGCAGCAGTACCTCGAGCGACTGGTCAAGCTGATCGAGGCCTGCAATGAAAAGTCAAACAGCCTGCGCGAGGCGCTATATAGCGACATGGAAAGCACATTCTACTTCTTCAGCGAATATGTAGACGTGCCGATTGTATCTCAGGACCAGTAAGTAATCCGAACAGGCACTGGCATGGCCACCTGAACATGATCCTGGATGGGGAGCATGCAGGCACGAAAGGTGGCAAGCAGGTGACCCAAGCCATGCGCGCCGCTTCTTTGCTGGCCCGCAGATACGAAACACTCGAGAACCTTCGATCCCAGAGTTTGGAAGCCACTCTCGAGATTGTCAAGTCGGGAAACACCGAGAAGCTGATGCAGCTGGAAGACAAGAAGAAGGACCTGAACACCATGGTCGAGAAGAAGGTCAGTGATCGGCCGGCGCATCTTGGGAAGCACCCTTCGCCATAGTTGCGTTGGATGAATACGATGCAGATCCTAACCGACTCTGGATGCAGAGCGAGAGACTCCGGCGTCTGACGATCGTCGGACTACACTGCACATCTGGACTGGGTCTCTTTTATGCGATCACACAAAGTAAGAGTCTCGCCGGATCGCTTCCAGAGCGAATGGCCGCTCGATAGACTGGCGATCGGCGGCTCCAGCCCGAACGGTCTATCGAAGCTCACTCGCCGATCGGGGCCGTTGTTCTGGGTCGGATGGCTGTTTCTAAATGCATTAATTGCATGCGCGCGGAACCTTGCCCCCGACATTGTGCCTGCCAGCGTCGAGCGAAGACGCCCTCGTCAAGGTCATCACCTTCCTTGCAGGCATGCTCGACAACGAGCACAGGTATGCTCCAAGGATCGGGAGCCAGGACGTTCGTATAGCACATGCATTCAAACCGCTCAGAGCACCGCCACCGGTCTAACTTGCGCCATTCTGGCACAACCCAGGGGCATCCGAATCACCACCGTGGAGGCCATACTCATGATCATCAACCTGCAACTCGAGGCCGACTCCGAAAAAACGGGGCTGATCACCATGATTCACGCCCTCGTTAAATCGTTGGTTAAGCGACTCAAGGAGGAGCAATACAGCCTCTACAGACGGGTAAGGAGTCATCGGAGGGGCGTATGTGTGTCGAGTCGCCCAGGCTCAAATGGCGAGAAGGCTGTCCGTGGGCACCGATGGGCGTGCGGGCCGATTGCAAAAGGGTCTGACGCACTTTCCTCCGCAACAGAAAGCGGATATCATCAATCTGGTGTCGCAGCTGCTTGTTTTTGTTTCAGATCGGTTGCTGCGAATCGAGATATTGCAGCTGTTCGTCAACTTCTGGAAGGACCCGGACTCAGAAGTCAGGATTGCGTCAATCAACATGGTCAAGGTGAGCAGCCCCGATGGCATTTGCGAGCCATCCCCTGGCCAGAATGGTTTGTGAGATGGAGCGACGCCACTGGCACAAGCATGCCAATCGGTATGCCAACATAACTCATGCGACGATCTGTTGCACTTGTCCAGTTCCTCGGCGAGTCTGGCATGGCCGAAATCGGCGAAGCCTTTGTATCAGCCGAAATTCAAGGTATACCGAGATGTTCCCTGCTTTCCTACGATAATATGGGTTGTATCCGGCACCGACGAGCATCGTCCCTCTGTGCTCGAGTTTGATTGATTGCCTGACACCCGGCCACCTCCCCGCAGATACAACCCCGCAGACACCACCCGACATCATGAAAGAGATTGCAGGGCTGCTGGCCAATCCCGAGTACGACGAAAAGAACGCCTTGCAGGACCTGCTCAAGTGGCGGTTCCAGAATGCCACCATCCGGCGCCGTCCAACGACAACCGTCGGTACTGCCTCGACGCGAAATCTCAAATCTGGCCCGCGCTGAGAGCTGGGCACACAACTTGCCACCATGATACGCCGCGGTGCTCATTGTGCCGGTGGTGCTGCTGTGTTCTTCCTTGAACGGATTCATCACGGCCACAATGAAACCAGGAGCGTCGCCATGCCCTTTCCAGAATTCGCGGCCCTCGGGCCGAGGAGCAGCAATGCAATGTGTCGCTTTTGCATGATGAGCTATATTAGTGGAATCGAGAGCCGAGCGACGGCAGAGGTGTGTGCAGCGGAGAGGGGCAAAGTAAGGAGAGACGGGATCGACCTGGATCGCAGAGCAGCACCCAGACAATCAGGCTGCCTGGGCGAGTGCATCTGTGCTTGATGGGCGACTCACAGAGTCACAGAGACATGGAGCCGGGCGGTGAGAGATCGTGGGAAGAGACCGTCTCGGTGTCGAGAAAGCAGCGCGCGGACCAAGGCTGGGCCGAATCGCTCACAGCACAACCTTGATGCCCATGCCCTTGGCCTGTCCGATCACACATGCGCAGACCTGGCGCAGGTCCGAGTCCTGGAAGCCCGGGTCGCTCTTCTTGATGAGCGCAATCTCATAGATGTGCTTCAGTGATACCGAGCCGACTTCCTCCTCGCCCGGCCGGGAGGCAGCCTTCTCGACACCGGCGGCCTTCTTGAGCAGCCACGACGTGGGCGGGGCCTTGGAGACAAAGGTGAAGGTGCGATCGGGCTTGATCGTGATGAGCGTCGGGATCGGGATACCCTGGACGAGATTCTTTGTTCGGTCGTTGAACTGCTTGCAAAAGTCGACGGATTTGACACCGCGCTGACCAAGGGCCGGGCCGACTGGAGGTGCCGGTGCGGCCTTGCCGGCCGGGATCATGATTTTGAGGAACGATGTGACGGCCTTGGCTCCGGCTTTGGACATGGCGGCGATGGTGGACTCGGGGGTACGATGTGCGGCGAGGCGACGGGGCGGTGAGCGCAGACGGCGGATGGACGGGTCACCAGAAACAGAGCTTGCGCAGACACGTTCGCAGCACAGGACCGATCTGCAAGAGGAACCAGGAGCAGATTGCTTGGTCAAGCGCACAGGCGGATCTGGAAAAAAAGACGCAAACGGATCTCGCGCCAGATCGAGCCATCGAGGGTGGATCGAGCCAATCAAGGGCGGCACGTGGATGGCTGCCCTGGCCAGCCACGTCGCGGCTGTCGAGGTCGGCGTCACTTGATTGCCCCCGCCGCTCGATCGTCATCCTGCTCTTGGCCATCGGAAAGCACACAGGCAAGTAGTGGAGCGATGCGGCGACGCCAAGCGCACGGCGGATGGCAGACCGAGCACGGGGGCGGCCACATATGCAGGTGCCGGGCCGGGACGGCCAACGCTGGGCTGTGGCAATCACACTGGAGGGGACGGGCAACAGACCCGCATCCGCCGCCGCTGACGAAAGCACCAGGCCCTATCAGCCATCTAACATCATCCCTGTTGCTGCACGGTCGAGCAGGCATCGCATCCCTCTCCCCGCACTCATCTTTTCATACCCGCTCGCCCACAAAGCCTCAGCATGAAAGGAGACTGGGTCCCGATTTTCGTGTCGTTTCTCGTCGTCCTTGGTGTCGGTGTCGGCGGATTCTTTGCCATCCGAAAGTCCAACGACCAAATGTAACTATTGCCAGAGTGGCTGGATGTGGGCTCGGCAACGCATCGGCAGTGCGGCGGTGTCTGTTTCGTGCTATCTCGATATCGGTGATGTGTGCCGATGGCCAAGGCAGCTACTGGGACGGGCCGCAACTATTTGGAAGGACTGAGGCAACAGGAACGGGCTATCGGATTGTGCATGGACAATCGCTTCATCCACGCGTCGGTGGTGACGATGGACGAAAGCGAGAGACATGCGATGGTCTGGATGCTATCGATGCAGATCGGCACCCTTGTGTCCGTCTTTCAGCCGCGAAGCCTAACGATCGCCCGATGTGCGGTCTCTATCGCCCTCTTCCCACCGATGCGACCAGTCTCTACCGAACAAGTCTGATCCTGACGCTGGTGTGCTGCTGGACCATGTAAGTGGCCCTCCCGCTCATATTGCATAGCACCTTGCCCGTCCCTATTGCATAGCACCTTGCCCGTCCGTATTGCATCACGTCCTCCGGCGATACGCTGCTTCTGCGCCTCTTTCTCCCGAGCGCGAGAGAAGCTGGTTCCACTTCCACTGACTTGGATGCGGCTTGCGGCGTATGGACTCTGCCAGGTGGGCCTTGACGTTCCTGGCCCAGTCGAACCCGCTCATCCAGCCCGAGCGCAACGGATGGATCCGCGCCGGATCGGGAGAATCCAGCTCGTGATGGAGAAGAGCTGTCTCAAAACCCATGCCAGAAGCATCGGCACTATCAAGGCAGCACTGAACCAGAGCCACAAACCCCACTTGCTCATGCGCTGGAAAGAGAGCCAAATGGTGTCTGCTGGACTGGCGCCGTGCTGCCCCGCCAAGGTTGCGGCCACATCAATCGCTGTTCGGGGTGAACGGGCAGGGGCGCCTATGGTGCTTGCTTGCTTGATTAGCAACCCTGGATGCGACCAATAAAGTAAATTGTCTATTGAACCGGGTGGTTGTCACTGGGTAAATGTTGCTGGGTAGTTGTTGCTGGGTAGTTGTCACTGGGTTGCGGAAACGGCAGCCGTGGTGAGTGAGGCAAGCATCGAAAGGTCTCTAGCCAATTTGCGAGCGCTTGCGACCACGCCTTCGGACTGGACAGGGCCAGCCAGCACATTCAGCAGTAGCAAGGGATTGGTTGTGGATTAGCAGTGTATCAAAAAACCGGCATTCCGATGACGAACGGGACGAACGGGATGAATGGGACGAACGGGATGAACAGGATGAACAGGACGAGACGAATGGGACGAGACGAATGGGATGAACAGGACGAGACGAATGGGACGAACGGGACGAACGGGACGCACCCTCTTCCAGCTTCTTGAGAGTGGCCTTGCTGTCCTTGGAATTCTTGCCGTAGGCATCGAGCACGCCTTGGAACTGCATTCCGGCGCCAATGACAAGTTCGTATGGAGAATTTGGATGGAGAGCCCGGTAGTGCGTGAGGATCATGAGCCGAAATGCCATTTCCGATGTAATTAGGGACTCGGGGCAGCATTGCGGAGTGCCCATTCTCAACAGATCAGCGTCCAGCATACCAGCTTCTCCGTATTGGGATGGGTGCTCAAAAAGGCACGCTCAAGGACGTAAAGATCGACGGCCTTATCTTCAGTCATGCCGGATACATATCCGAGACCAAAGTCGATGAGCACCTGCGACAGAGGGACAAGAGACAGAGGTCAGGCCCATGTCGAATGGATCTGCGGGATTCGCATAGCATGGTTTCGGGAGGGAAGCTGGTTGACGCCGTCGACCCGACGAGAACCGCACCAAAGACTGGCTTGATCTGCGAACAAGGATGTTGGAGGTTGTGAGGTCGCCGTGGATGATGTCGAGATCGTGCATCGATGCCAGGATCGAGCCCAGTCCTGTGGCAATGTCATTGTCTGGGCACAGGCGGCAAAGTCGGTTGGATTCGTTGCAGTCCGCGCGGGTTCAGCCGCAGTACGTTGGGTCGCCGGGCGAGCAATAGCGACGGAGGTGGGAGATGTGGATGAGACCCCGGGATGGCGTGGCGGAAAGCGATTGTCGGCCGAAATGCGAGACGGCGGTTCTTGGATGAACTAACGTCAGCAGGCATCACTCCTGCAATATGCAGACGGCAAGGCGACTCACAGTCTCCATGGCTCCTCAGCAGCTCATTCAGATGGTCGCGCAACGACGGCCCGTCAATGTACTCCATGTAGATCAGGGCATTCTCGACATCCAGCATCAGCAGCGTCGGAGTATCGATGCCGGCTTTCTTGCAGCGCAGAAGACAGCGGGCCTCTTGGGTGACTCTTCTGCTGGTCAGCCGCTCGTCCAGTAGCGGATGGCGGTAAGACTTTTTGAAGCGCTCTTTGACGATGGCATCACCTCCGATGAAGGGCATTCGGTAGACCCGCTGGGCAGCAGACAGATTATGTGGGTGTGAGCGGATCTGCTGGATCAACCAAGCGAGCCAGCCTCGAGCAGCCAGCCCCAAAGACACTCGGTCTCACCGCCTCGGCGCCTTGCTTGATCAGAGTGGCCGTCTGTGCTGTCGGCCTGGTCGACGGCTGCAATGTGTCGGTCTGCATCTTTGCACGGCGGGGGAGAGCGAGGGAGCGATGTCGTCGAGACCGGAACATCCGGACCGGCGTCGGCGAGCAGCCAGGACCATGGAGCTCGATCCAGGTGGGCCCACGTGGATGCTGCGCCACACCATCGTTGTCACGGATGTCTGGGTCTCGATCGGCGCTGGCAGCACCAACGGGATACGACACTGCTCAAGTTTGCGAAAGCGATGATGGCTGGACGACTTGCCAGACACTGGCGCGAGCGCAACATCGAGGGACATCGGGCAGATGGATGCTGGACGCGGCTCTGAGCAGGCAAGGTCGGCATCGGCAGATGGCGATGTTCCTGCTTTGGTTCGCGGGCGACAGCCCTGGGTCGATGCGACCCAACAGCACCCGGTCCAACAGCCCACTCGTTCAACCACCCAACAGACGGGACCCGGTTGACCAGGCCCGAGTCGGCCGCTGCTGGCGAGCGGTTGGCCGAGCGGCCATCCTCATGAAAGTGACGGCCGCTGGCACCCCACCGACACGTTGTGTCGTCCGAGATGCTTGGGCGGGGACTGGGGAGGGTGGCGGCTCGGCAGAGACGGGCGGCATTCGGCGGACGACCAAGGCCAGGCAAACGGAGCTGATGGGAGCGACAGAGAGCGGGAGGGGGAGATGGCGGCCGCAGATATAGGGGGATCAGCCCGCGGCCATGGGCAAAGACACCCACAAGACGGAGAGACAGGGCCAACAAGATGGCGGCTGCTTGGAGCGCATTTGGCGAGCGCGCCATGACGTTGGACGGGCGGGTCTTGGGACCGCAGCCTCGCCAAGCGACCAAGGACGGACATCCGCACAGCGCTCGCGACGGCGGAGAGCGTGGGGCCGTGGGCAGCCAGATGGGCGGCGCTGGACAGCAGCGACCAGGCCTTTGTCGGGGAGAGGAAGCAAAGCGCGAGCCATGGAGGAGAAAGGACCGATGCTCCGAGAGAGGAGGGGGAGCAGACCAACGGACATGGACACGATGGAGAGAACGGCGGGGCGGCCGAAGAGAGGGTGCGAGGACAGCGATCCCCAGGGCCAGCGGATCCCACGGGCACCGGGCGGAGAGCAGGGTGTGATTGGGGGGCAGCGGGATGGATGGGATGTGAATGTAAATGATATGGATGTAAATGATATGGATGTATATGATATGGATGGTATGGATGTATATGATATGGATGGTATGGATGTATATGATATGGATGAACGACATGGATCAACGACATGGATGATACGAGTGAGATGATACGAGTGAGATGATGCGAGTGAGATGGACGACAAAGCCGCTTTGGAAACGGCAATCCATCGATGTTGCGTGGACCAGCAGGCCGCCCACTCTGCATATAGTCGCTCCGAGACTGTGCAATGACAGTAACGACTCGGCCGACGAGATAAATCTGGATCGACCCAGAGAGCGGATTCTATATGTTAAACTGACTCTATATGTTAAACTGACTTTATATGTTAAACTGACACCACGAGTTAAACTGACACCACGAGTTAAACTGACACCACGAGTTAAACTGAGGCGATAACTCTCGCCGTGCATGATGTGATCCATCTGCGCCGTGCTCTTGTCCTCGACAAGCAGTGTCTTATTGTCCTCGGCACGCTGTAACGACTGCCGCTGCGGTGCGCAAACATGGCCCGCTTGCTTGTTGTCGTCCTTTGGCCCGCGACGCTCGCACTGGCGCTCGGTCGCGCTTGTCGTGCACTTGCATCCCTCTCTGTCCTCGCCGGCACGGGCTCGCCTGCATTTTGCTGCTCTCGCTCGCGCGGCGGTGTTATCGTCGCTGCAGTCGCTGCTGCTGGTAACACTGCTGCTAATACTGCCGTTAATGTTAATGCCACTACTATTAACACTGCTGCTAACACCTGTGCTCATCTAATACCCACGGCGCTCCACAACCACCACGCCGCTGCTCTCGCCCCCCCCCTCGCACCCCTTCCGCGCACGCCCGCTCGCTTGCCCCCAGACACCCGCCGCCCGCCCGCCCCGCTCGGTCCGACGGGCCCAGTGGCCTTTGTGCGGCCGCGAGTCTTGTGGCCTTTCGCCTCGGCTTTCCCCCCCCCCGTTGCCTCTTTGCCCACTTGGCGGACACAGCTTTTCCCTTTGGTCCACAAACAGGAACATCCGTCGCAATAAAATGCATTGCAATCAGCTCCCTCGCCGCCGCATATGGACACCCCCCCATAAGATGTCCCTCGCTCCTCCTCGCCCCCTCCCTCGGCTGCCCTTCCTCCCCTCTTCTTCCTTCCTCTCCCTCCCATCGCATCAGGCCTTTGCTGCCTATTATCCAGGGTCCCCGCTCCCGACCATCTCTCGGAGCCTCTCAACCAGCGCCGTGCTCTGCTCTGCCCTGCTCGGCCGTCCCCTCGACTCGCCAGCCGTGCCGCCGCATCGACCCTCCCCTCGCATCGGTCGTCTGCAACCGCCGGTCTTCGCCATTACTGCCTCCAAATCGCCGTCGCGCTGTTTCCATCGAGTCTCCAGCCCGCTTCCTCCAGCGTCCAGTTCTTGCAGTGTCCTTTGGCTCTTCGGTTTTGCGCTGACCGCCACTGCATCGCATCACCACCACTACCACCACTACCACTACCACTACCACCACTACCAGACCACCGCTCCCGACTCCTAACGCCGCGGCCCAGCCTCTGATCCTCCCCTCCCCTATCCACCATGCACAAACGCCCGATCACCTTTGCCCAGGATCCTCGCCCGCTGAAGAGGAGAGCCCATGATCGCGACGATATCGGCCCTCTCCATCCGCATCCCGTCGTGCAGAACAACGGAACGGCCTGGCTTCCCTTTGGGTTCTCGTTGTCAGCGTCGGTGTCTGCTGCCTCCAGGTGTCCTGTGCCGCTCTATCCGTCCAGCACCGTCGCCCAGGTCTTTCCTGCCTCGGGCTCGGGCCGACACCCCTTCCAAGGCTCGGCAGTCTTCCCCAGCCATCCCCGGGTCTATTGCCACGATCTGCCCCGCTCTCCCATGTCGGCCCTGAGCCCCGAATATGCTCTCTATCCGCCGCCTTCGGCAGTGCCGTCGCAGCGTCGTCCGTTCTTCTGCCCGTCGTGTCCGTCGTGTCCATCGTGTCCGTCGACTGGATCCTGGGCTGACCCGCACCCCGTCGCTGCTTGCACCCCAACCTACGCTCCCGCCGTCTACGAATTCTCAACCCCCATCTCCCCGCTGTACTCCCAGCCCCGGCCCTGGCAGTCGACGGCTGTGCCCCCATCCTCGTCCTCGTCTTCTCGGCTTCTGGCATATCCGTCTCTGCAGCCCGCCTGCAGCCCACGCCGTCTTCGCTCCCGCCCGCACTCGCCAGCGCCATGTCTTCGGCCAACCTTCAGTCCCCCGCAGAGCCAGCACCTCGACTCCTATCGAAAAGTCGAGCCTTTCCCGGCCGCTCGGCCGCCCCGGCCCTCCTGGCCGGCTCCCCAAAGCTACTACTGGACGACAACCCACGCCAGCCCGTGCGAGCCTGCCACCAAGCCCTCGCACTCCACCGCCTTCGCGACCTCCTATCGAGACACCGCCGATCTGCTTGCCAGCGACGTCTCTCCAAGCAAGAATCCTCTCCCGAGCCCAAGGACGCCCTCGTACGAGCCGCTTGTCGTGGCTTTGCCGGCCAGCAACGCCCTCGCATGGACCCCGATACCCACAAAGCGCCTGACCAAGTTATGCGAGTCCGAGCGCGATTACCTGCCCGATCCCTGCTATTTAGCCAACTGCCAGAAAGGCAAGATGCAGGCCTCGATGCGATCAGGTAATGACAAGCCACTGCCCGGGAGGCACTGCATCGTTGACCGAGACCGAGACACGACTGTTGCTGTTGCTATTGCTATATCTGTCACCTCGGCATCCACTGCTTCATCCACTCATCGCATTCATCGCACTCATCGCCCCAACCTCGGTACTGCTCCCATGACCACAACACACACGTCAACTCGCCTCGTCTCTCGCCGTCGATCGCGATGGATTGCTGCGTCCAGCCATGGTCTCCTACATGGACGTGCTCAGCGGCCACCTGAGCTACTCGCGCGATAGCTTCTCCAAGAGCGTCAACATCTTTGACCGCTATCTCTCTGTCGTCAAGGTCTGTCGCCAACCGCAGTTCTATCTCCTCGCCACCACTGCTGTCTATCTCGCCGGCAAGTTCAACGAAGAGACCAACGAGCCCTCCATCGCGGACATGATCGCCTGCAGCCACTTTCCCGAGTGGCAGCCCTCGGATCTCAAGGTACTTCTTGGTTGTTGTTGTTTTTGACGCCGTGTGCTGGGTTTGGGATGGATCCGCACGTGTGGCGACCGTTTTTCGATTCAGTCCAGGGCAGATACGCAATTCAATCAATGACCGATATGCGACTCGGCTGAGGCTGCATCGCCATGTCCGTGCTCGATTGGATCTGCAGCCACCGGCTCGTCTGAGACAGCGACCTAACTCATCCGGCGTCGTCTTGCCTCCGCTCCCCCACTTTCCTCGCCCTCTAGAGAATGGAACGCAAGATCTTGAGCGCCCTCGACTGGAAAATTGCCGGTCCCACACCCCTGGTGAGCCTTGAAGACCTGGCCACAGCCATGGATCTACCCATACTGACCGCGCGCCTTGGCGAACCATTGTTACTGATCGATCCTCTGCCCAACCCCCCCCCACCAGGCCGTCCTCGATGAGGTCCACAGCAGCTGCCAGGAGCACATCTCCGTGTTTACTCGCGTCGGGTCGAGCATTCAAGCGTGCATCGAAAAGTCCATCGAAGGTGAGTCTGGATCCACCTCCGTGGAGCTTGATGCTGCTGCATCCGGACACTTGCTGGTGGGCCTATTTCGGGCTGCCTGTCCAGTACCCTTCCTTGGGAGTTCGTCCTGGTGCCCCCCCCCCGCTCGCGCCACCGTTGCATCGCCCAGGATCGACCCAGCACTGATGTGCCTCTGCTCTTCTCCCTTGCTGTACTCCAACAGATTACGCTTTCCTCAAGTTTCCGCCGTCCGTGGTTGTCGCCGCGGCTCTGACCAAATCCTTGACAGAGCAACCGACAGCGTGGGTTGAGAGCGTAGTGAATGCCCTCTTTGGCTTTGCTGAGGTAAGCGCCAGACCAATGCCGTCGATCTAGCGGCCGATGCATACACTTCCTGGCGGGCAAGACATGCGTGGCTGGGTGTATCGATCCTAAACCACCGATGTAATCCTTTGCTGACTCTCTCTGAATCGCCTTGCTCGTTGCAGGAATCGCGATGCATGCTCTCAGAATGCATGTCCTTGATGGACTGAAGCCTCTGTGTCGACCACAGCAACGATCTGGCTCGGATGCATCATTCTATTTATTCCCTTTGGTCACTTTATTTCTCTCCTCGCCACATCTGCTTTCAACTCTAGACATCGGGCCTCGCTATCCACCTCTCACCCCCCTCCCCCTGCTGTTTACTTTTCTTTTATGCATCGCAGCTTGGCTTCCGTTTCTACCATTCATCCTCATTACTATTTTGTCTCATCTGCCGAGACGACTCAGTCTGCCTTTATCGGTCGCCTGGCATCTCCCCCATCCCTCCCCGCCGCCGCTACCACCAGCCTTCATCAATTGTGCGTCGTGGCTTTGCTATTGCGTTCGGAGGTCGTGCTATACTGTATCGCCAGTCCACCTCGTCCACCGACTCGGCTATATTCTGCTTTCACTCCTTTTTTGATCCCACAACTTCATGTGACATATTTATGACATTCATCAACCCCCCCCATTCCCCAATCTCTAACTCGCATTCCTGTACCATTTCCTTGGCTGCTCGATCCCCTTATCCTCCTCTGTCCCCGTACTTTTCTCTCAGTCCTCTGGAGGCTGTGCAGAGAATTTGCTGGAGAGAGGTGGAAGGCTCTGGCTCACCACATTTACCTTACGCTTGATTTTGATTATCCTCCTCCATTGTCATTTCGCCATCTTCATTCACATTCGCTCCAATTTCAAAGCAATATCACCCGGCAGCTTGTTTGTTTACTCGCTTGTTTTGCTCGCTTGCCTGCAACGGTTTAGACCGACCCGGCCGCACGAAGAAAAAAAAATAGGCTCAATCCTCCCAAATCGCTACCGGAGTAACGATGTGCATCAATACGGCTTGGCGCCCCCCACCCCTGTCCATACTTTTTGCCCATGTTGTAGAGCGGAAGAGGGAGGTGGCGTTTCGAGCGTGCAACATTTCTCATACGCACTGACTGGGGTGCCTCTTGTCAGTGTGCATGACTGAGACCATCTCTTGAACAGAACTGTATTGAGCAGCCTCAGGGGGGAGGAAAGAAGAACACACGAGTCCGGGGCGACAATCCTGACCATGCATCGGCATGAGCAACCCTGGTGCGGGGATGCGTCGACAGAGGCGACGACACATGCCGGGATCTGCTGCCGCCGAGGGTCGATTCACTTGGCTTTCGCGTCCGAGTCCTTCATCTCCCGCAGTTTCTGCAGAACCCGGTCAAAGAGAAGAGCAAGCCCAGAGTTTCCCCCGACTCCCGTGCGTCAGCAGTTTGCAACCTGTGTGAAAATGCAAGGCAGCTAGGCGGGAAACGAGACTCCAAGGACACCCTTCCAGACCACGATTCGGATAGCCCCAGTCAAAGGCATGAGAATGTCATGCAGAGCACCTTCGAGCGGCGATCTCAACCAAACCGGGCCCCCACCACCACCACCACCATTACCACCAAAACTAAAGGCAACATACCTTGCGAATCCGCTCCTCGGCCTTTTTCCGTGGATCCTCAAAGAAGTAAGATCGGTTGGGCTGGCTGCCAGCGTGTGAGAACTCCTCATCCGGATCGGACTTGCGAATCAGCCTGGAGTCACAGTCAGGGAACGCAAAAGCCACACGGACTGGGTCAGAGTCTCTTGAGGAGTTGGTGTGCCAGCACGCCGCTTCCTCTCGGACCTTGGAACACCCTTTGGCACACCCTTTGGCACACCCCATCTAAACCCTCTCTTCGACGTCATATGGCCGGGACGATACACTACGTGGATTGGGACTTTGAAAGCTCGCCCTTCTGGTGCTTGGGCGGGAGAACCATCTCCTGGATGTTGCCTTGTTGATCCTTGACCCGATATCTAAACGGAGCATTTACCACGGTGCGCAGGAGCGATGGGCATATGACGGAGATTCGCAACCACAAAAGCAGAGATGCACGCAAGCCCAACGATACCGAGAGTCAGTGTGTGCGATGCTCCAACTGGGCCGGCCGTGCGATCTCAAACACAGTAGAAGTCACCCGCCCAGCCCTGGATCGATTCGCTCGCGCCCTGGCTCGGCCACATTGGGTAGACCTACTTGGTCGTCGAGGTAAGCGTTCGTGGATCTGACCAAGTGGTTGTCCGCGTGTTGTGATCGATGAAATACGGCCGGCCGTCTTTGGTACAAGCCTCCTGCCATCCGTCCGGCAGAGGAACCACGCTGGCGTTGCCGATGGCGGTGGAGGAGGACGAGGAAGCGCCTGCACCGGTGCCGGCACCACTCCCAGTCCCGGCGGTGCAGCTGTTACCAGTGCCGGTGGCTGCTATGCCGGAGCTTCTGGACTTGTCCAGGGCCGGGACACAGACAGAATACGGCGGAGTCGACAGGCTCAAGCGATGGCTGAGGTCGTCGTCTGCAGCCGACACCATGGAGGAGTGGCCGATGGGCACCAAAGAGAAAATAAAGTACAATGGCAAGCCAACAGAGTTAGCCAACCTCCCCAAGTATCGTATGGAGAGTTTATATGAACAAATCCCCAGCGATGACCCTCCCCCCTCCCTTCCTCAGTCAATGCGTGATCATCAGTGCAACAGTTACCGATCCTGATCTTGGACAGCGACCCACGTTTGTGATATCGCTCGTCGCTCTCCGCAAAGAGCGGGGCCACACTCGTCGACTTGATTCCAAGGGCCGAGCCCATGGCTGAACTCTCCTTGGGATTGCCACTGACTCCCGAGGACGACGACGACAGCGTGCTCACTGCCAGGCTGCTGGAGCCCGAGCCCGGGGACTGCGGATAGAATCCACCGTGCCCCAGCACCGAGGACGGGCCCGATAAAGCACCGACCGAGGACAGCGACATGAGTTGCGAGTGGGAGGGGAGAAGAGGGTTGGATGAGCCGGCGCCCAGCGAACCCGCAGACGAAGTCGTTGACCGGGACGGGAAATCGCCTTCGCCCGGGTGGTTGATGGGCGGAAGCATGAACCGGGACTTTGAGTCCTTGTTGATGCGCTCGAGGGTCTGCTTCTCGAACTTGAGGGCATCGTTGAGGACAGGGTGCTCGATCGCTGTGAGACATTCGATTGCCGAGAAAAATCACCGCCCCACACCCAGAAACACAAAGCACATAAAACACACACACCGCAGACCCGGTGAGGTTTTTGGTCAGACAATCTCGGCAGGACGGATATGGTTTGTAATAGCGAGAAAGATCCGCAAAAAAAATCAACAAACCAAATGCCAACGTACGGGCACTAGGAGTATCGTGGCGCTTCTCGCCTCCAGGCTCATCGCCATCGGGATTGACCAGAACGCCGGGCATGGTTGCGGAGACTGAGGGATTGAGACAGCACGATGCGTGGTTGTATGGGAAGATAGACAATGGACAGTTTGAGAATACAGGCGCCGCCATTCGTCCAGAGAACGTGAGAGATGAACAAGTGACCAGTGTGAAGAAGTCGCAGCATACTGCACTCCCGGTCCCAGAGACAATGGTGTCCATGTTGGGGGGGGGGCTGGATGGCATTGGGGTGAAATGGCGTACCTCGGCTCTATAGTGCTGTTGAGGGCGAGGCTGATACCAATGCCGACGCTGACGCTGACGCTGAGGCCGAGGCCGATGCTGATACTGCCGGAGCGACCGTGGGAACGACTGGCCAGGAGGGAGTGCGGCTGCCGAGACAGGAGCTCTGTCGCGCTCGGTGTGGAAAATCTCCGGCGGGCTGGTTCGACCCGACGGCGGCCAGCCGGCAGATGGCTGCCGGGCAGATTGCGCAACCGCAACGATCATGATCGATCCGAGCGCCAACAGCGAGCCCATTCCGAGACGGACGGCTTGAATGATGTTGGTCGGGGGCCTGTGCTGTGCGGTGCTCGGCCGATGAGATGCTATCGGACACCCAGGAGATGAACTGACCCGCTCGGTCGTTCTTGGCCGAATGCGATGCGATTCGAGACTGGCATGTCGTTTGAGCGAGAGGGTGTGTCCGATTGATCTTTTCAACGTGCAGCACAGACCGAATGATACATTGAGCCTGATGTTCTGCGCTATCGTATCCAACGGCACGGGTCCCTCGCCCTGCATGGCATTGCATGGCATTGCATGGCATTGCATCGCCCTGCATCGCCCCGCACGATCCCCCGCTGTCGCCGAGCAGGCCGCTGTGCATCTGCAATGTGCGCAGAAGCTCCGGATCCGCAATTTGGCCAAAACGAGCGCTGCTCACGCACAGAGCGCGGCCGATGGCAGTCCGTCTGGCCAACGGCTTTTGCGCGTCGGTGTCGAAAAAAAAAGAGCGCCTGTCGAGGATGTGCCCGGGGGCTCTTTCTTGTTGTTGCGATCCATCTAGCCTTTTATAGTCACATCACTCCTACGGAGAGGGGACGAGGCGCTCGTTCGTCTCGTCGTCGTCGCCGATCCATGTCCCTCGCTCGACGCTCCGGTTCTTCCCACCGCCCTTTTTTTCGCTTTTTGTCCCTCGCCTCTCGCTCTGACCCGTCCCTCGCTGGCCGACGCCGTCGCTGTCGACCATCGCCGCCGATACTGTGGGTGAGTCTCGGGCGATCGCCTCTGGTGCTTGTCTGCCACGGCCATTGCCCTGGCCATTACCCTGGCTATTGCTCCAGCTATTGCTCTGGCTATTGCTCCAGCGATTGTTCTGGCTATCTCGCCATTGCTTGGTCTGTTGTGCATTCGGCCGTATGCACATCCTCGTTGTTCGACAGCGACTCGCAAAATAGCTCAGTCTCTCGGCATGCCCTGCAGCAAACTGTCTTTGAGATGGTTTTCGCTGCCCCGATACACACACTCTCTCGCTCTCTCCATCCCCTCATTTCGTTTGTGTTTGTGCATTCGCCATTCATTCCCGAGACGGTTGCGGTGCCTCGGCTCTGGCACACCCTGCCACTGCCTCGGCAGACCACAGATCTTTGCCGAATCCCTCGATATTGCTGGGATCGCTGTCTGTGGACCTGTGTCTGGCACTCGCCCCTCGCTCCCTGAAAGTGTGTTGCAGCGGGCCCGGTCGGCCGGCGGTTTGGCCGCCTTCGTATCAGCAGTCTACGGCGCTTGTTGTTCGCTTGTTGTTCGCTTGTTCGGGGCCGGGTGTGGGCAAGTGGTTTGCTGGCGACTGCGAATGCACAAATGCGAGGCCCAGTCGGGTGCATCCCCCGTGCCCTTTTTTCGAGTCCCCAGCGGCCATGCCCTTCCCCACCCAGCTTTCTCCCTCTGTCGCTCGGCCTTGCTTCGCTGTCCATCCAACTTGCGCTTTTGCCATCCTCCCAAAACTCCAGCGATCTCTCCTCTGCAACCCGCCTTTCCCTCTCCTGTCTCTCCTGGCTGTGTGCTGGCTCTGTGCTAGCGGCTCCACTCCTGGACATCCTCTGGTCCGCTCGAGATCTCTCTCCTTGGCTTTATTTCGATCTGCATGCTGATCGGCATCCTCGCCTGTCCTGTCTCCCGCCAACCCACAGATGCCCTGTTGATCCTTTGATTGCTGTATCATCTGACTGCATCCGAGCACATCCGCACCTCTGCACCGTCCTGTCTGTCCTGCTCCAATCCCATCTCCCCCCCATTCGCACTGCCGCTATAATGCACGAGCCCCTGAGGTAAGCCGATGCCACTGCTGCAGTGTCGGCCATGTGAGCCGAAATACAGTCCGGGTCGGGCCAGTCCGTGGAGCATGACGCTCGAAACGAATGCCGCCATCATCTTGGATACATCACGGGTGCATATTGGCGGCAGATCCCTCCCTCCCTCTGCCCATGAGCAAACCTGTGGGGCAGTGCCTGACCCGCCTTTCCTGTGCTGGTCGATGGCCGCTCGTTTCCCTCTCTGCTGCGTCTTATGCGGTGCTGTTCCTTTCCCCTCCAGCACCAACCCTCCCCTCCCCTCCTTCGAGTTCTGTGTCCCTGCCACGCCCATTCTGAAGTCGTCGGGCAAGCGGTCGTTTATAAGATCCCCCGATACATTTGAAGCCGCAGAGATGCACGACCTGTCTGTCCTTTCGGGCCTCCACTCGCCCTTGGGTGCGCTCGCCCAAGATTTGTCGGCCAACTTGAGTGTTGACAGCAGGTCGGTTGATTGCTGTCCTCCCACCGCTTCTCTCTTTCCATCGTTTGTCTCCATCGCTCAGTGCTGTGCAGTGGGGATTTCTTCGCTTTCTCGGTCCCCACCTTCCTCCTGTGTGTGTCTGAAGCCCATGTCCGCCATCGACGGCTTGCTGTGACATGCGGCTCACCCAGGACACGCGATTCAATGTCGGGCTGGTCCTTGTGTTGGTGGTGTCGCTTCTGTCGTCTGCTTTGCCCCTCATTCTTGGATTCGTAGTCCTCGTTCCTCGCTGAAGTCGTTACCTGGCTCTGTTTTTGTCTTCTCTGCTTCGCTGTTACTTTGTCCACGGCGCCCTCCTTCCAACCCGCGCTCGCTTGGCATTCTTCCCGTTCAGACCAACTCACACACACCTCTCACTCTTCTTCCAGAGCCGAAGCCGTCAATGGCGGCGAGCTCCTAAAGGCTTTCTATAATGCCCAAGATAGCCCAAGCGACACCACCTTCACCGTAAAATCGTTTTCGCGAACCACATCTGCCACCTTCTCGACGCTCGACAACTCGCCGCTCGTTCCGCGCGGGAAGCGCCTGGCTCATGCAGCGTTCTCGTTGATGGGCCGGGACACAGACGACGAAGAGGAAAGGTCTGATATGGTTGATTGCAGCCCCACGATGGGACAAAGGATTATCCACAGGTGGGCATCGCGTATCCGGCGCGCTGGCGTCGATGTTCTGTCGCCAGACCAACGACGTGTCCGCTGGCTCCTTCGCCATGCTGCAGCCCTGGTCTTTGCGGCCGCCAACGGCCGGTCCCCTCTGTCAGCAGGGCACGGGTATTATCTGCCCTCGACGCGCCTCACGATACACTCGGCACTCATCATGGCGACTGTACCTCCTCCTCCTTCTCCCCTGCGCCACCAGCTTTCAGAGTCGAACGACCATGCAATGGTCTGGGCGGAGCAAAAAGGCCTTGACTGGATCAAGCACAGCCCCGCCCCACACCAAGAGGAGCCACATCCCGAGACCGGCGCTGCACCGACCCGTGATGGACTTTCTCTCCGGCAACCCCATGCACATGAGCTCGGCCTTCCAGCGCGATCCGGCCAATCCCCCCCAGAAGATCCGGCGCACCCAGAGCGATGCGGTCCTGGGCAGCAACTCGTACCTGGGTGGCCGTCGACTGGAAGACGTCAGCAAGATCCAGAGCACGTACCAAGCCAAGCTGCTTCCATCGGAGCCTGGCAAGGACGCCATCCGACGCATTTCCCCCGAAACTGTGAGTATACCCCCGTCTCGTCCCGTCCCCGTCTCCTCGGTGGCGTCGGTGGCGCTGTGGTGGGTGATGCGCAGAGGGCAACGACGCTGTGACTACATCCTCTAACACGCAGGACCGCGATCCGCCATGGTTCTTCAGGTACATAGACTGCTCAACGGCGAGTTCTCTGATCAAGTCGACTCGTATCACATCATCGACTGCCGCTTCCCGTACGAGTACAGCGGAGGCCACATCGAGACTGCCCAGAACGTAAACTCGATCGTAGAGCTTGGCAAGATGTTCTATGATTGGCCCGAGAATGCCGAGAACCCACCCACTGAATCACACAAGAGCAAGCCCGTCAAGAGCGAGCGCACGGTCATCATCTTCCACTGTGAGTTCTCCTCGCAGCGCGCGCCAAAGATGTAAGCATCGGGCAACGGCCCTCCCTCGCAAGCCGCCATCGCCCAGGCTCGCTCAGCCGGCTTTTGTGTGCACCTGTCTGACCTGCTGCCTGATGATGCTTGTGAACTGTGGCCACACGATGTCCTTGCTAACTTGCAACCATGGATGGGGCTCCATCTCGGCAAACTTATCCAGGGCGCTCTATCTGCGAAGCTTTGATCGCGAAAACAACCTGCACAACTATCCGCACATTCACTACCCCGAGATCTATATTCTGACAGGAGGATACAAGGCCTTTTACAAGGCATACAAGGTTGGTGCTCCCTGCAGCTGTCGGCATGTTCTGGCTGTGGTGCAGTTGGCGACGCTTGACGTGGTCAGCAGGCATGCTCATCATCGGCTGTTCCGATCGTATCGTCCAGGAGCGGTGCGAGCCACAAAACTACGTACCGATGGCAGCGTCCAGCTTCAACAAAGATTGCACCGCAGAGCTCTCCAACCGTCGAAAACAATTCAAGAAGAGCTACTCCGACAGTTACATTCTCTGAACGTCATCGACCTCGACGATGATCTTCCTGGAGCCAACTCCGTGGGACTAGACCTCTGTTGATTGTTTTTTGTCGATGACTTGAAAGAGTCCCTCTCGATTCTGCCTTCGCTGCAACGCTCTGCCTGCGAGCGGGTTGCTGGGCGCTCCATCGTTCGGGTGAATGCCGTCGTCGCCTTTATTCTGTCCACTACTTTTCTTGTTTGCGTACCATATTACCAGTTTGCAATGATCTACCCCATAGCATTCCCCAGCCCTCCCCCCCTCTGCCCTCCCACAACTGTGTTGTGTTGCCAGGCTGTGTCCCGCGCCCTATTTAACCCTCTGCCTAACCACCACCTCCCTCCTCACTGACTGACCCTCCCTCCGCTGCCTGCGCCAGCATATACCGGTATCATGTTTCATGCTGTGGATGAATCAGCCCCCCCTCACCCATCTTGCCTCTGCGCCCTGCCGTGGCTCTCTCTCTCTCCCATCACTATTCCCAGATCCGCCCCCAGCTCGGTTCGCGCCACAACTCACGACTTGAACGAGTCGCACCCGCCTTCCCGCCCGCGCATTTTTGCCCCAGACGCGCAAGCATCGTCGCTTATTTTATTTTTTGGATAGTTTGCGGTTGTCGTCGCAATGCAATATGACTTTTCCAATTACGAGGACACATGGCCTGCGCGCACGACGAGGGAGTGTGGATGGTGGGTTTGCTGGAAAGAGAGAGGCGGTGCCTGGCTGACCTTGAGCAAGCCGCTGGGTCTGCCACAACATCATTCGGCTTTGCGTCGGCCCGGATGCCGCTCCTGCGGATGGATGGTGTCGATTGGACCAGCAGGGCAAGCCCTCGCTTTGGAGTGGACTGAAGGTTGCGGCCCCGACGCCACTGTGGAACAGCACTTTGCGCTGCACCACCATTGTGGCTCCGGCGATGCTGGGAGAGAGGAGGAGGTGATGGGCAAAGCCCGACACCAGCAGCAGCGCGCGAGAGCGAGCGACACCCTTCCTTCCTTCCGCCCGGACAGCAACCATGAAGCTGCCAAGCCCGGTCGGCTGTGTCTTTGCGGCGTCTTTGCTGTGCCTGTGCGCGCCTGCTGTTCCTGGAGCACAACTAGCAAAAAAACGCAAGCACCATGCACTGGATGCACACCGTCCCCCACCCTGGCTGGCGGGCAAATCTGGATCATCCGTTTTGCCAGTGGCGTCAGCAAGGGGAGGGAAACCCCCGTCCCGGCTCTTGCCCAGCAACCGTGGCTGCTCTGTGCCATTGTCGAGCCGAGGCGGAAACGTGCAGAAGGTTGGTGGGCGTGGGGAGGGAGCAGGATGGAGAGAGAGAGAGAGAGTCGGCGGATGTGGTCTGGTGGCCCTCACTTTCGGCAAGCCCAGGAGAGAGACAGGACGGGTGCGTGTCTGCCAGGACATCACCGGCAAGGATGTGGCAACAAACGGCGGGCAGGAGGAGCCTGGCTGGGATGCAGCTTGGCAAGGAGCGGTGCGAGCTTGCCGATGGGACCGAGCCTGTGCCCGAGTGATACTGCAAGTCCGAGGTGCGGCACGGGGGGGGTGGAGTTGAGATGGAGGTCAGTGGGATGGAGAGCAGTGGGTGAAGGGCAGTGGGATAGGGTGGATACACATGGCTGTTTGGGCATTGCATCGCACGCACAACTGCGGTCGTTCGGCTGCAGTGACAAATGCCAGAACGCAGACCGGTATCGTTCCCATTTGAAATCGTCCCACGGCGACCGCATCGACCCCGACCTGACAATGTGCTTGGCGATGTGCTTGGCAATACGCTTGGGCGATACGCTTGGATGGTGTGCTTGGCCGATGTGCTTGCGCGCCCGGCGAGGACTGATCCCATGAGCCGGGCTGTGTCCAGAGCCGGGTGGCAACGGCCTCGCCTCCTTCGCCGTCTGCATTTGCTCGCTCTGCCAAGCCAGCACCGCCCAAGTCAGCACCGCCCGGGCGGATCGCCCAGAACGATTGCCCAGAACGATCGCCGAGACCAGGGCCTGGCGCAGGACTCGGTACCGGGCGACGGCCCGCTGCGGTCCCATCAAGCGTCCTCTGGACCAGCGATCCCAAGCCCGGCTAGCGGCCCCACCCGATCACCGCCGACGTGGGACCGCGACGGCATTGGATCGGGCGATCCGTCCCATGGAGTCACAGAAAGAGCCGGAAAAAGGGTGCGAAATATCCGGCATGGCGTTGCGCTTGCAAGAGCAGTGGCATGGTGGCGCCTGGGTCGCGCTGGCTGCGCGGGCTCAAGCGGGCGTGCGAACGGGCAGCAAGGTGCGAAAGAGACGGATGTGCAAGCAGATATGCGACTGCCGTGTGCATGGGGTTATCCACTGCGGTGTGCATTGGATGACCAACGGCGCAGATTGTGCTATCGGCAACGGCGCAGATTGTGCTATCGGCAGCAACAGATGCCGCTGTCAACCACGGGCCGGTGTTGTTAACGAATACTTAACATCCGCAGACATGTCCCATGCAAAGCCCAACATCTCTCACCACTTTGCTTAACGACTCCTCGTCTTAACACTTTGCTTAACGACTCCCCGTCTTGACACTTCACTCCGGCCTCGTCCCGTCCCAGACCACAAACGAACCAATGCACCCTGCCCTCACGCCCGCATCCTTGCCCCGCCCATGCGCCCGCCAGCCTGCCCCTTCACGGGCCTGGCTGGCCGTTCTTGTGTGCAAGTCATGCCCAGCCCTTTGCCCCTCCTGACACGAGCGTCCGCGCTCGCAAGGGCACAAGCTGTTCGTATTTTTAGGCCGGGCTGTATTGCCGTGGAAGCTTCGGCTCCCCCCCCCGGCAGTGCTGTCCCGCATCGCTGTCTCGCTCTGGCCTTGGCGAGCATCTGGTATATCTTGCGCCGGCACCGCTTCGTCCTTCTGCCGGCCGAAAACCAACTGCCAAAGTGCCGGCCCGGTCTCGTTCTGCGTGTCCGCCTGCCTGTCGCCGAGACCTCGTTCTCTTATTCTGCTGCCCCATTGCTGGCTGAAAGGGCCTGCAGCCTGTTCGCCGACCCGCCTGCCTCCCTCCGCCGCCACCATGACCAACGATACCACGGAACCGCTCGATGCAAAGCCCGCTAAGAAAACCCGAAGCAAGAGAGCTTGCGACGGTAACGACGGTCGCCCAGCATCCACCCCACTCCCTCAACCTTGCGCCCTCTCCCTCCCCCAGCGACTGTCCTCAGCGAGGGCCACATTGCCAGCACCCGCACAACGGCCCCTCGCCTGTGCTCTGGATAGGCCTGGGTCCTTCGGCTTTGTATCCAGCTGGCCCCAGGGGCTGGATCCACAGCGAATAGCTGTCCAAATCCTCGGGCGTCGAATAGGACCCGCCTCCATCACTCCCCTCCCTCCCGCGCTGGACTCGGTGCCGCCCTGTCCTGCCTGCGCTCATGCTCATGTTTCTGCTCTGTCCTGCCGACAGGATGCCGTGCCAAACGAAACCGATGCAGCGGGGGCCACCCGTGCGACACATGCCGGAATCTCGGCATGCCCTGCAGTATGTGAATGCGGATTTTGGCCGCCGACCCCTGCCCGTGTCGGTCGCCCACACATTTCCGTCGCCAGCCGCCACCACTTTCGACCACATCCCACCACCATGGCGAGTCGTGTGCAATTCACTCACCAAGAATATATGCTCCCAGCCATAGCCCTGTTCTCTGCATACTAATGACACCCCTAATGACACTCCTAATGACACTCCTGCTTCTCTCCAGCGTACTTTACCCCCCAGCGCAAACGAGGCCCGCAGCGCCGTGGCGAACCCGGCAGCTATCTCGCCCAGTCCGGACTCCCGTTCCCATCCACACACATGAGCCAGCCCTCGTACGCCCCAATAGGCGACTTGGCCAACCTGACCAACTCGTACGCCTCCGTCTCGTCGCCAGAGTCCGACGGTGGGGCCGACGGACAACGGAACTCCTCGTCGTCCAGCGACAGCCCGTTGACTGTACGTATTCCCTTCTGCAAGCTCCTACGAGCTCCTGAGCATCACGTCGGCACGGAGCGGATATAGCTGCAAGTGACCGTCCGGCCTGGCTCCGATTTCGGCTCCGGTTTCGGCTCCGGCTCCGGGCTGGCTGTCCTCGACAACGGGCGTACACGTCGTCCATCGCAAGGCACGACTCCACCGAGAAAGCCGCCAATATGCGCTAATCAACCCCATCCCTTGCCTACCTGCCGGCCATCTCCGACATCTCCGACATCTGCACATCAAATGATATGGCGGCTGCTTTGGTGCGGCATTCGCGCCGGCACAATCGCCACGGGCAACTTGGTGCATCCATCCTGTGCTCGAATCTCCGCGCCATGGACACACACTCATCACGGATCATCCCCACAACGACAACGGGAACGACCCGGCCGGTCCCGCAATCGGTGCCCATTCCGCAGTCCGAGACCGTCCAACAAAACGTTTGCTCGAGTGAGTGTCGCCAGAGCGATCGGAGGCACGATCAGGGCACTTCAACATCAGGCTCCTCTCTGCCGTCTACAGGCAACCACCCGCCATTAACACTCACCGCTCGCTCTCTGCTAGTCCACAACCTGAACGACAACTCCACCATCTACTATGGCCCGACGGCCATCGGCGGGGCTGTTGCTTCGACCTGGCTGCCTCGGGGTCCGCTGGGCATCGTCGATATCTCGGTCCGATGCCGCACCCGACTCTTCTCGCATCTGCCCCATGCCGAGTCACTCCCCTTTGATCGAGCTACAACCCAGCAGGCCCTGGATGTATATTTTCAGTACATTGCCCCGTCCCTGGACATGATTGACCAGGCACGATTCTATGAAGAGTTTGAAAAGGATACGCACTCCGAGGTGAGTCGATGGGCTCATCCGATGCGCTCGTCCGATGGGCTCATTCGATGGACTCGCCCCCACATCCAGCAAGGTGTTGCCGACAAACCGATGCACAGGTCTTTCGGAACTGACGCTCACGCCTCGATCTTGACCGTGGTCCAACCCAATCCAGCCCTTCTCGCTCTTGGTCTGGACCATGTGCCTCTATGTGATTCTCGAGCCAAATCTGTATCATGAGGCCGGCGTGGTCGACATCGCCGGTGCCCGACTCAGACTGATGGACCACTGCTTCACCGAGATCAGCAAGCTGTACCATCACCCCAACTTCCGTGTTCTGCAGTGCCTGGTGCTGATGACTGCCATTAGCTTCCATAGCGGCAACCTCATGTCTCTCAAATCCAGGTTCTACACGGGTATATATTGCACTGGGCCCCTGCTTGTTTTGTCCGCACACCGACACGCAGTCGTCTACTACCACTACTACCAACTGACCGGACAATGTGGGTTTGTCGGCACCCTGCAGATCTCGCCTGGACCATCATTGTTGAGCTTGGGCTCCACCTCAACATTGACCAGGTGCGCAACCCGCCGCCGAGCACCGCCGAGAAGCGAGAGCACCGTGCCACATTCTTTGTGCTCTACATCCTGGACCGCTTCAAGCAGCTGGTATGCGGCCGGCCCTCTGTGATCCATGACGAAGGTAGGCGCGACTACCGCCCATTCGAATTTCAGGCTGTCGGTTACCCGTCATGAGCAAGTCTGGCTTCCACCGAGCTCACGGCCGACACGACAATCAGCTCCCATCTGACTGTCCGCTTTGATTCCTCTCCAACGCCGCTGCAGCATGGGATGTATCCTTCCTGGACGAGGTGTACGACGAGACATACACCGACTTGACCATCTACGTGCGCCTCTCACGCATCGGCGGCCGCCTGACCAACATGCTGGTGAGCCCAAACTACAGCCCCAGCCAGCGCAAGAAGCTCTCCTTTGAGATCGCTCAGGATTTGCAAAAGTGGCTGTCAAGCCTGCCGGCGCAGTATCGCCACCCAAACTCGTACAAAGTCTTCAACCTGTCGCATCATCTGCACGCCTACTACCACACCCTCAACATCCTGGCCCAGAAGGTCATGTCGCCCCGACCCAACTTCAGCGCCATCGACAGCGCTCAAAAGATCGTCACTTGTCTCAAGTACCTTCCGCGGCTCAAAAACACGGACTGCACCGAAGCACCCGGCGGACAGCGGACGGCCGAAGACATGTACCGACAGTCCTACTTCCAGATACCGGGGTTCGCCCACTTTTCGATGACTGCCGGCACTGTACTGCTGGAGCTCATCATGGACTCGCCTAACCAGCTGTCTGTCCTCACCGCACTGAACGAAATCGTGCTGACCATGGAGAGCTTGGGGACGGCGCTGTCGTACTGCCTCCGAGGCGCCATCTACCAGTTCATCCAGTGGAACTCGATCTATCTCAAGAGCCTGGAGGCGACAGCGGCTGAACGCAGCCCCGGTGTGCATGCTGATTCATCCGAAATCTCGCCGACAGCTCTGCCGATAACGACAGCGACAGCGTCGATCGGCTTGACCATCCCAACGGCATCAACCTCCACACTCACCCTCGCGGATCTGCAGCCGCCAGCGTCCGCTCAGCAGACCGCGCATGTCCAGGCGATACCGCTGATGGCCGCTGCCACGATGCTGGGACATACCCCAATGACGACCGCGGGCACGATGCCGGCTGCTCCGTCAATGCTGGCAGTCCCACCGGACCAGCCCATCGGCACCACGATCGACCCGGAGCTGTTCAACATCGTAAACTCATACAACCTGTACGAAGCGCACAGCCGCATATCTATTGCCGGAGCGATCTCAGCGTCGTTTCAATCCCCCACGGTGCCAACTCCGTCAGCGCAATCCTACTACAATGGATGGCCGCTCTTTCCGCCGGCCGAACCGCAGTCGATCTTGGAGGCAACGCACATCGGCAGCGTTCCAGCCGCCCCTGTGGTTGGCCACACTCCTTTCAACAGACGGACCGAGGCATTTGTGCCCCAGCTCGGCATCGGGGTCAACATTCCGATGGCCGGCACCCTCATCGGCGATGGCTCGCAAGGCGCCATCGCTCTGCCAAAGACCTTTTCGTCAATCGACGTGGATATGCACCAAGCACAGCTGACCGGAGGGCATCTGACAGCGGCGTCTCAGCTCCGGGGCATCGCCGAGACAAACATCCAAGCGTACGGCTTTCGCTCTGGGGCCCAAGGCCACCCTGCCCCCACCACTGCTGCACATCTGCATCCTGGTGCCTATATGGCCCTCACGAACGAAGACTGGGCATCTGCCGGTGTGCACTATTCCCATCTTGCTCCCTGATAGCTGGATCGATGCTCCTCCCTCCTCTCCTCCTGCTCTCCCCTCTCCCCTAATACTGAGCAGCCTCGATCTGGAAGCAAAGGGCTGCCGTCGTTGTAAATAACACTACTGATATTAGAACAAGTCCAGAAGAGAGCCCGTTCTGAAGCGGGAGTGTGAGCGTCTCTGCAGTGGCCGCGGGGAGAGTGAACACCTGAATCCATGAGCCGGCTCGCTGTCATCGCGCTCCTTCCCTGATCTCACACACCCCGCTTCATCCTGCCGCTCGCTGCCGCTCGCTGCTGCTCCGATCTTCGATGCACTGGCTGCACCGCCTTGCCTCCAGCCCACTTCGAGCGACGGCTGCATCAACTTGGCTGCCCGTGCGTGTGGTGCCCTGTCGTCCCACTTGTCCCAATCGCACCCCAACCCGGAACGAGTCTGGAGCCTCCATCCAGACCTCCAGGGGCCTCGTCCAGCAACTCGAGGATTATCTCTATCTGCAGAACGTCACGGCGGCATGGAACACTTACCAAGCTCTGCATGAGACCCAGCAGGTCGACCGCATCTCGCAGCATCAGTATTCCCACCTCCTGTCGATCGCCGCATCCAAGACCGCCTCCGATCTGGATCTGTTCCTGACCGACATGCGCCGCTCGCTGGGCAAACCGCCGACCGACACCGACTATGAGATCCTGCTACGCTCAATGGCTCGCCAGGGTAGCCTCGACCGATTCGAATTCTATCATGCCGAGCGCACGAGCCTGCACGGAAGCAACCGGGCCTATGAGCTGTCTTATTGGAACAATCGGATCCTGGCTCTGCAGCGGGCGGGCGAGGCTGTCGAGGCCCTGCAGCTGTATGAGCTGGATCCGCAGTTCACGACAGCCTTTCTTGATCCTGAGGCCGCAATCGCTCTCCTTGACGCCTGCATGTCGCTTGGCCAGTTTGAGCGGGTCCTGGCGCTCGTCGAACGCATGCAGACAAGTGGTCTCCAGCCCGGCACTCAAGTCCACCGAATAGCCATGGAGGCAGCGTTCGAGCTCAAAAACTCAAAGACGGTCTATAACATTCTCGAAAGGTGTCGGATCCGAGATCGCAAGAGCGCTAGCTATCTGTACTATGTTCCGCTGCGGGCAGCCTATCTGCTGGACAGGGATCTCGGCCAGGTCGAGGCGCTGCTTGCCAAAATGCAGCACTCTGGCTATGATCCCATCAAGTGTGTCCCTTCGTTTGTGCTCAAGTACTGGGCCCAGCGGAGGAACTACTCGATGCTATTTTCGCTGTGGAAGCGGCTGATTCCAAAGCGAGAGGAGCTCTACAAGACGCACCATCTGCGGCCGGACTTGCCGACGGAGCTCTGCGGCAGCCCGATCGTCCCCGAGCTGTTTGCCCGGTTTCTGGAGATGGCTCGGGGCCACGACATCAAGGTTAACCACATCCTCCTCCTCTCGCTGATGGACGGCTACATCAAGGACGGCCAGCTCGACTCGGTTCGTCGGATTCTGGAGCTGGCGCTGCCGCTCCGGATCGAAAGAATCGTGTGGGTATTTGACTCGGCCGTGCGGGCCTTTCTGGACCAAGACCCCGGGAGAGCCATGTCGGTCTTTCTGATGATGAAGGAGAACAAGATTGCGGGCAACTTTCCTCTCTATCAGGCCCTGATAGAGCACTTTTGCAAGACCAAAGACGCTGCCGCGCTCGCGATTGTCCAGGGCCATCTCCACACGGACGTGCTGGCCTTATCGGCGTCGGTGCATCAAAAGCATTACCTCATCGAACGTCTGCGGATAGCATTTGAGGGACGGCAGCTCGAGTTGGAGCAAGTTATCGGATCGCTCGCCTCCCCGTCGGACCGCATCTTGTGGGCCTCACAACCGTCAGTCTGAGGCCGGCAATCGGCCCCCTCCCCGGAAGTACTCACGATGGATCGCCCTGTTTGAAATACAGCATGTCATGGACATCCCGGTCGTCTTGGGGGAAATCGGGCTTGGGTCGGCCGGCTTCGTATGTAGCCGGCCCTGCATCGCTGATGACGCCGAGTGTTGAAACATCGCCAGTCCCGGATCACCCAGGGATCCGCCCTTTCCCGCTCGCTCGCTCACTTGGGTCATCGAGCTGGGCCGTGAGGCGGGCAAACGAGGGAGAGGAGAGCCAGCGCCGCACGATGGCCTCCCGGTCCTGATCTGATCTCGTCCCGCCTGGCCCTCGTCTCAGGCAGCCTGACGACACCGATCCCACTCGCCAGATCTCTCTCTTTGCGAATCGCACACGCGACCAAGCATGATCACCGACCAGCCCGAGACGATAGCCCAGGCTTCCGAGCTCACACAGGGCGAATGCAGCAAGGCTAAAAGTGAGCTCGAGGAAAAGATGTTTGGATTTACTTTTCTGGAAAATTCCAAGTTTCCAGGCTTTGACCACAAAGATATCCAAGAGCTTCTGTATAAATGGTAGTATTCCAAGGAATCTTGTACCGAGAATGAAACCCCCGGTCCGGCATACACATCAGGCATCTGCTCCAGGAGAGAGGGGGGGGGGGAGCAAAACGGGAATGCTAACGACACCGCTGGCGCCAGGGGCATGCGAGACCACTGCTACCTCAAGCGATTCAGCTACGACCGATTCCTCCAGCCGTATGAGATGGACCAGTTCCTGCTCGAATTCTTCAACGACGGCAATGTGCAGCCACATATCCGGGTCCTGTCGACCATGGATCGCTGGGGCACCCTCGGCAAGGTCACCAAGGTCCACAAGCAGACCTGTAACCACACCGTGGTGACGCTGAGCTTCTTCGACAGGCTCTACGAGCACGGTCAGTATGGGCTGGGCAACGCCCTGTGTGGTTTCGCTGAGAATCGCATATCTCATGGGACGTCCTTTACCCTTAAAAAGCTCACACGGCGGCTCGCCCTGCCCGCCCACCGGGACAACAGGCATCGTACGCAAGACGGGCGAAATCAAGAAGTGCTTTGACGAGTACCACGATGGCTTTGTGGTCTCGGATGAGCTCCGAAAGTGCTTGCTGATGCCCGAGTTCGAGACCTTTGCGCTGTTTTCACCCGAGGACCGGTCCGAGTTCATCTTTGCGCTCTTCAAGGGTCTCTGCTTGGGCGGCCGCGTCAATCAGTACGAGGATTTTCTGGATCCCTATCTTGATGCTACCAAGCGCATCTACAAGGATCTGATCAGGTAGCGTGTATGGAGTAATGCGTCGACAGCGAACCGGGCACGCCACCATGCCAGTCATCGACTCTGCTCAGAGACGTTTTGCTGAGTACGCTTATTCGTTTGCCCATGCGGGGGCCCACTTTGCATGACAGTGTGTCCAAAGACTCTGCAACGGGGCAGCTCGCAGTGGCCTCGCATGTCCATCGAATCGATGCGCTCGACAGCGCACTGTCGCCCCTGTTCCCCATGGAGCACCCGCAGAACTTTTGCTATGTCGCGATCGATCCGCTCAGGAGACATGTCAATGTGTTCTACCACGCCTCGGACAGCTACTACTCTTGATATCCCGCGTGGTGCATATCTTTTCGCTGGGAGCTTTGTCGATCTGGACTGAGTCTTACAGCAGCAGCACCGGCCATCTCCATGCGGCGGCACTTGCTGGCCGTGTCCGAAATAACACGGCGACTCGACGAAGTGGCAGCACATCTTGAGCTTTGTCCCTGGCCATGCTTGCTGGAGGTGCAGGCGGCGCTTGCTGCGTTCATTCATGCCGGCCATGAGCGGTGGTGGTGATCGTTCCAGAGCCTTCCATGTCACGTGTACAGGACCAAAACGCAAATGCTGTCCACGAAACAGGCGCCCCACCGCCCACCGCCCTCCTCGCCTCTGTACATCTCTCCATCCGCCGTCGAGACCAAGCCCGACCAGACAAGCCGAAGCAACACACGACAGCATCAGCGCTCATCGCCATGTCCACGATCAGTACGTCCCGTGTCGGACACCTCCTTTCTATTGCACTTATCGGCGATGTCGCCAATACCCCTGTAACCTCATGCAATGGGTGCCTCCTCATCGGCTCAAGGGCGTTCGTGTTGGCTTCGACAAAGCCGTGCAGAGGGCCGTTTAATGGAGACGGCCTCAGAGTGTTTGATGGGTTGGCCCCCCCCCAAATCTTCTCGCTGGCTTGATCCTTGGTGCATATGCGGCGCCCAATTGTCGGCAACAAATGGCTAGTGCTCTTTGGAGAACCCAACAGACAGCCTGGCTGACCTCCCCCCTGCCTGTAATGCCCCGATTTCGGATAGACTACAGCAAATGGGACAAGATCGAGCTCAGCGACGACGACGACTTTGAATGCCAGTGAGTCTCGACTGCATCGGCGGACCAGTCGGCCGGTAGAGAGCGGATCGTGATGGCTGTCCTGCCTCGGCTTCCTTTCCTTTCCGGGACGGAGTGCTGTGTGGGTTCAATGCAACTGACGCCGATCCGATGGCCCTGTCCAGCCCAAATGTCGACAAAGGCTCGATGATCCGCTGGAAGCAGGCCGACATCCACAAACAACGCCGGGAGCGAAAGGACAAGTCCGTCCTGCTTCAGATGGAGATGGACCTCGCCCAGAAGGCGTTCGCCATGATCAAGGATCTCATCCCGCTGCAGGCCTCCGCTGCCGAAACGCAGTTCAACCCGGCAGATTTCTTTGAGCGTCTGCAGAAGCTCAGCGCGGAGTTTGAGCGTCTCGAGGAAAATTTCCGACAGGAGACCTTTGCCATCGTTGCTAAGGACCGGGATGCCCGCTGGGGTCCCGTCGAGCCCATCCCCTTCTGCCAGAAGCGCATGCCTCTGAACGCCATGCTCAGGATCGTCATGGATGTTATGAAGGCATCCAAGGAGAACAACGAGGCGACCGGTATTGAGCTGTTTGTGCGTGGATGCGACAGCCTCGAGCAGACCATCTCCCAGCGCGCCGCCGATATCAAGACTGAGCTTCTCAAGGACGAAATCGAAGCAGGCAAGAAGCTTACCTCCGAGAACATGTACAAGGAGGGCTTTAGCCGCACGGTGAGCGTCGTTTGCTTCGTGTGGGACTGTCCCTCAAGATGTGGTCGTGGGAGCGACAGGGACAGCAAGTAGTGCGTCCAGGCTTGAGTCGGTCGCTGAAAATACGTCCGTTGCGGCTGGCATGCCTTGCCAGGCTTGTGCGTTGATCTGTCGATTAACTGCGCGAATTGGCTGCTGATTCTGATGAGCGACCATCGTTTCCTGCATATACTCAGGTGCTGGCCCAGCATCCCGAGGCCCACAAGGAGCCCGCCAAGGAGCCCGCCAAGCCTGCGGCCAAAGAAAAGGTCATCGAGACCATCCACACCCCTTCCAAGGTACGGGATGAATGGGTGTGTCTGCAATCAGGCTCGGCACCAGTGCGCCTGCGCCGGCAAACCGTCGACTCTGTTTTGACTCCATTATCACAGCCCGCCGAGGTCGAGCCCACCGAAGCCCAGGACGCGGGCGAGGAAGATGACGGGAACTACATCACCAACGCCGATGTTCGCCAATTTGCCGAGCTCAACGACTTTGACGCCTCCTTCAAATTCCTGGCCAAGCACAAATACATCTGTACCCAGGAGTTCTCGGACGAAATCCTGGCCGAGGCGTTTAAGCGTCAGATGAACAGAGACCCCAAAGGCTCGCAGCAATGTGTCCAGCAGAGTCTGATCCTGCAATACGTTGCGCTTCTTGGACAGGAGGGGGCGGGCGTCCCTGTTTTCTTCCAGAGGTAAGCCCGAGATGCACCAGCACCCACCGGGATTCACAAAGCCTCGACGACACGCCCTGATTTGATCGAATGCGATCTGGCCTGACCTCGCCCTTGATTTGCGATGTAGATTGCAATCGCCCAGTCACAGCGCCCGTCAGATGTTCTTCCAGGACGTAACTCGAACATATGATCGCATTGTCGAGCGCGTCGAGGTTCTCAGAAAACGAAATCTTGAGGAGCAGGAGCAGGAGCGCCAAGCGGCCTTGGCCCGGCTTGCTTCAGCCACCCAGCCTGATGGAACCATAAAACTGCCTCTGTCGGAGGATCCGGATGAGCAGGAGCTGCGAAGGGCCGAGGTCTTTGACGGCCTCGATCCACGCTTTCAAAGTGAGTATCATGCACTCCATACACATCTGCACAACTGAACTAGCTCCCCCCGAGTACCGTTGTGTACTGGAAAAGCAGAGCGAAGGGGGCTCCCATGGAGATTCCGTGCCATGGCTGTTGGCGGGACCTGCCGTTTCTCACACTACACGGGGATTACATTTGCATGCATACACCAGAGGCGCTGCTGCTACAAGACGTCGACCTCATCAACGAATATCTGGGCACACTGAACAAGGAAGAGTCGAAAGAGATCCTCGACCTCTGTCAGGAGGCCGGCTTGATGGCTTTGCAGATGGAGGATGATCCCGAGAGCAGCGAGGCCCAGGCTTAGGCTCATGTCCCGGCCCAATACAGCTTGTTCAAATCGAAACGAGACAGCGTCCCTGAGCGCCCTTCTCCTCAGCCGCTGCATATTGTTGGCCTTGGGAGCACAGTCCCGAATACATCCGGTCGATCTCAGGTCGATTGAGTCGCTTGGTCCTGAGGCGTCTCTGGTGGTGGAGATGCTCACACAATTGCTCGGCGAATCGGAGTCTCCGTGGAGGCCTGGTTTGTCAATAGCTCCGGAGATGAGCACAGTTCAATGCGCTTTATTGGATATTACTTTTGTTCCTTGCGACAAAAACAGCTTTAGTGGGCGGCAGGCTTGCCGGACTGCTGGTGGTTCCACCACTCGACGGCTTCATCCTTGAGGGCCTTCTCCTTGGCAGCGAGGCGACCGGCCTCACTGCAGTTATCATGGCACACGGAGGAGATGGTGAAGCGGATTCATTGTCAGCGTCGCAGCACAGATCGAACATAGACATAGCACATCCAGTCCATGCAGAAAAGCCAGGAGACCACCCGCAGACCGCTGCAGCGGCGCATATGCCACACGTTTGAGATGTGATCTAGTCGCTCGCCAGGTCGACAGGAGTGAGTTTCCAGATGGGCTGAACGCGTAATTCCGATCCCGAGTGGGGCATACATCGCCGAACGACTTTGATCCCATGTCCGACGCTGGCTGATTCCACCGCAGATCGGCGTCCTTCTGGGCGAGCCGCGAATTGCTCTCAGGACGCCGTTTCCGCGACCTGGTCCAGACAAGACCACTGCCACATAACGCTGTCCACATGTGCTAATGATCCATCCGTCCGTCCAAACGGGCCGTTCCGTTTCCAAATCATATGATCGAGCCGTGGATTTTGTCGACGTATCCGATGGGCAGTCACAGCTACTTACGGAAGAGGAGCTGGATATGATGGATAGGGGTGATAAACAAGTCAGATCTCGGGTGGCATTCGTTCCGCGAGAGCAATTCCAGCACAGCAAACAGTCGGTCACAGATTGCACCGCAGGAGGGCCCTCCTGGACAGCGCTTGTTTGCACAGCAGCCACCTACAGGCGTTGGTCAGGGCAGAGTGGGCGGCAGAGAACAGGAAGAAGGCGGTGGAGCCGGAGATGAAGAAAGGGAAGTAGAGCTTGAGGACGGGCGAGGGCCAGACACGTTGGCCCAGGAAAGTGCGGAAGGCGGGTTGAGCGGTCATGGTTGTCGCCGTGCTGTGACTCTCTGGTGGTCGGGAGCTCTTGCTTGACTGGGTGAGGACGAAGTCAACGACGCTGGAGCCTGGCTGAGGACAAGTGCAGAGAGCGAAAAAAGCAAAAACCAGCGAGGGCGAGACGCAGGCGAGGGCCTCTCCGCCGTGCCTTTGCCCGGCGAGAGCATGCTCGCGAGAAGGTGGCCGGATTAATTTCATTTCGGCATCGGCCAGAGCGTGGCCGGCTTGCTGCGCAGCACTGGATCGAGCCGGAGGCGGCCAGCGCTCCCGGTTTCGTCCGCCCACTTTTTTTTTGTGCCAGCCGCTCCGCACCGAGCCATCCTGGCAGTTCCCCAGCGACCCATCCCCCTGCTGCAAGGCCATCCGTGCGAGTCGATAGAGACGACATCTGCCCTCCACTGCCAGCGACTCCAAGCCGGCCCCGCTGTCAATAGTCACTCGACTTCATCGGCTGTGCAAGCAACTCCACAGCCATCATTGGCCATCATCGCGTCCACAATCGACACAAGCAGCGCTATGGCTTCTGCAGGATCCGTGCGCCCGCGGCAGGAGCTCGAGCACGATGAGTCTCCCGATCAACGAGACTATCAGCCTCGGCTTCCAACCAAACGTCCCCGCATCAACCATCAACCCGCTCTCGCGGCGGCATCCGACCCCGAGGACGATGACCAGGCCGCGGAGGAGGAAGACGATGAAAACGAGGACCAGGAAGATGGCGAAAATGGCGAGGATGATGAGGATCAAGACGGAGGCGATCAAGAGGACGAGCACGCCGAGGAGGACGACCAAGGGGAAGACGACGAGAACAATGAGGATGCCCATGAACAGCCGCCGGCCAGCGATCCCACATCCGCACAACCAAAGAATCATGCCCTGCGCCCCGCACAACCACACAAAGCGGCTGCCTCTGCACTTGCAGCATCAACTCCCAAAGTACATCCGGCCGAATCGACAGCTACAGCTGCAGCATCCAAGGCCGAGGCGGCCTCCAAATCTCAGCCATCTCCGCCAAGCGATCGGCCAAACTATCGACTCAAGTTTACACTTCAGGGCCACAAGATGTCGGTCTCGTCAGTCAAGTTTTCTCCAGACGGCAAATGGCTTGCCACTTCCTGTACGTTAGCGGAGCTTAGCGCAACAATCCTGATTTATTGTGACTCGCTTGCGGATGCTTGCTTGCCCCTTGTCACACTGGACAAACCGTCTTGCCGTACTAGTCCCAGCTGTCCGCATCAGAATCTGCTACGATCAGAGATATGCCGAGCCGCGTCCGTACTATTGATTGCAATGGCGGTCGTTGCACATCTGCCATACTTGTGCGCTTCAATCTGTGCTTCCTCGCTCGTCGTTAGGACCCCGTCATATCGTCGATAGTGTTGCCGAGATCATGACCACCGGACTGACCACTCAACAATCTTTCCTTTGCAACCCCGTGGGATGTTCAATCGACTGCGCCGATGTCGATTGCCTTGCAACTACCTTTTCGGGCTCATAGCTGCGGACAAAACCGTGCGGCTATGGCACGCGATGGACGGTCGGCACGAAATGACAATGACGGGACACACCAAAGGCATATCGGACGTTGCATGGTCGTCAGACTCGCAGTATATTTGCTCGGCATCCGACGACAAAACCATTCGCATCTGGAATATCACACGGGTAGGATGCCACAATTCCAGAGCGCTCATGTTCCGGCCTTGCAGCAAGCCACGACTGTGCTCATAGGTGCTCATTGGTGCTCACCGTTTTATTCTGCCCACCTATCTCGTGCCTGTCATCGATACATGTCTCTCAGTCAACGCCGATACGTGTGCTGAAAGGACACACTCATTTCGTCTTTTGCGTCAACTACAACCCCCAATCCAACTTGATTGCATCCGGATCCTTCGACGAAACCGTTCGAATATGGGATGTAGCAAAAGGTGAGTCAGCACGGCGTTATCGAATCGCTTTAGAATCGACGCTGCCCAGAAATGGCCTATGGCCCGTGACTTGTGGACCATGGATCGTCGACTGTGGGCTGCTGCAGGCGATGGCGCCATATCACGTCGATCGGGACGCTGGATTGCCCCCCCCCTCCCGCTTTGCAGATGATCAAAGTCGGTCTTGCAATTGCGAAAGTGTGGCGCCTGAACTCACTCGGAACCCCCTGTTGGATCGTGGTCTCTGCCGATGCTCGCTGACCCAGGCCAGTGCCTCAAGGTTCTGCCGGCACACTCGGATCCAGTGTCGGCTGTGTGTTTCAACCGCGATGGGACCCTGATCGTCTCTTGCAGCTTTGATGGTCTGATGTAAGTGCTGCCGCAGCGCTCTCGGTTCTTTAGGGCTGCAGCTGGATAGGCCATCTGACTGAGAGGCTAACTTTCTATTGGTCGACAGACGCATCTGGGATACCGCAACAGGCCAGTGTCTCAAGACGCTCATCGACGACGACAACCCGCCCGTGTGAGTGGAGCATCGTGTGCGACAGCACCGAAGGCTCTTTGGACATCCTGGCCTTTGTCGTACACCTTCAGCTTTGGACTGTTGGCAGCTAATGTGGCTCGACTCGCCCGTACAGGTCGTTCGTCAAGTTTTCGCCAAATGGCAAGTACATTCTGGCCTCAACGATGGACAATACCCTTCGGCTCTGGAGCTACTCAACTGGAAAGTGTCTCAAGACCTATGCCGGCCACCAGAACACAAAATACTGCTGTTTCGGATCGTTTTCTGTCACGGGCGGCAAATGGATCGTCTCGGGCTCGGAGGACAAATTGATCTACATCTGGAACCTGCAGACCAAAGAAATTGTGCAAAAGCTGGCGGGGCACAAAGGTGGGCTTGCATCTGGAACCGCCCGATGAGCGGTCCTCAAACTGCTCGGCAGCATGTCCCGTTATCCTTCGGAGGGCTGCTACGCATGTTGGAGTGCAGGCAAATCCATCCAGAGTCCTCGGAGGCTAATCGTCCCTTCTGTCTCTCGGTCAATATTGCCGTTGAACCTTTAGATGTTGTTTTGACTGTGGCATGTCACCCGACGATGAACATGATTGCCTCGGGATCAATCGATCAAGATAAAACGGTAATCTCCATCACGGTGACTCTTGATGTAGCACGCCGTGTTGTGCTGATCATCCCGCCACCCGAGAGCTTCATGGCATGCGTGCCGGTCCCATCTTCCCATCATGCTGACTGACGGTGGCTCCGTCGCCGATGCATTTTGCAGGTTAAAATCTGGGTTGACGACACGTCGCCAGCTTGAGCTGAACCCCTCGTACGGCATCGTGGCCGATGGATACATCAAGGCGCAGCGCAAGCGAAGCTGATCATGCAACTGCATCGGCATCTTGACCTCTGTCCAGTCCCATTCGTGTATTGCGGGTACGTGCGCACACGGATATATCCACATACGGAGGCATGGACGCACGAATATGCGGGCAACAGCTATACGGAAAGCGGAGGTGCGAATGGATGTATATATGATCGGCCATGTCGATTTCTCGGCTCACGATCGTTCAATAAACCTGAAGATACATGGCAGGATCATGGCGCAGCGCGGACTATACAAAGTCGTATAAATATTTGGAAATGTCAAATCGCACGGCTTGCGCGACCTGCTGGATGACTTCAAAGGTCACGTTGCATTTGCACTTCATATCGTCGAGTTGATCCAGGCTGGATACACGCCTCAGGAGCTTGAGGGTGATGAGCGTCGAGATCTGCGATATTGTGCCGTGGACCCGTCAGCGTTCAGGCTCCTCACAACCGACAGCACATATCTGCGAGTCTGTCTCGTCGCAATGCAATTCTGCCATTGATCCTTGGCTCCATACCTGCGTCTGGATGTCGATTTTACTATCGATGGGGTCTTCGATGATGCTGTAGAAGATGGCGAGCATGCGCTCAATCGGGAACGCCTTGGGGCCAAGTAGCTGCTGCCGCATCTGTCCAGCAAGCACATTGTAACGCCACAGAGGGTATGCGGATGAGCATGACAATCCCATGCTACGACCGACTCAAACACAGTCCCCAGGATGCCCCCGAGCCGCCCGACCCTTACATCACGGCCCGTTTCGAGTCACTTACCAGGCCTCCAGTTTTTGATTTGCCGCGCTTTGTGACTTTGCGCCTCTCCTCTACACCTTTGTAAAAGAATCGCACATCCATCTTTGCGGGATTGTACGAAGCCAGATACGATGCGATAAGCAGGAACCGGGTGTAGTAAGGCAACTCCAAATCTGTGGCATCGACGGCGACGGACGGGGCCAGGCACGCAGGTTAGCGACTCTCGTCTCGGGCTGCAAGGGAATGCACACACGCAAGGAAGCCAGACGACCAACCACCTCAGTCGGGCTTGCTGAATAACCACGGGATACCAAATCCTCGTGGTGCAACGGACATCTGGCAGCGTCTCGGCATCACGATTGGTTGCTTACTTGTACGGGTGCTGATGGTCATGGTTTCCTTCTGCTCGCGCACATGCTGCATCCACTCAGCACTCGACATTTCTCGCAGATACAGCTTCTCCAGCGCCTCCTTGAGCGTCGGCTGGATCCGCACATACAACTTGCTTGTCTCGTTTTTCTTGACTGAGTGGCACGCGTGGAGAGATAGCCCAAGTTAGATCATCCGTCATACGACATCGGATCGTGCAAATGATATAGATGATCCAATGCAACCGCGGAGCCACAGCCAGGTTCGCTCACCTTTGCCAGATTGAACGGGCTCCAGATACTTGGGAAACAGGAGGGCAATCAGGTGCCGCAGCTCATTCAGGTCCTTGCAGCCTTCGTGGAAGACGTCGAATATCAAGCTGCAAAAGTTGCCAAAGAACCAGCTCTCCTCGCCGGGTGGGCAGTCCTGCTTGACGATCGAAAACAGTTCGCCTTTGGTATAGTTCGGGAATTGAATCAGAATAGGCTGTTGTGGCGTGCGATCGGTCAAAAACTGGTCCCAGAGCAGTGTTGTGATCATGATGACCGAGATTCTGCACCGAGTCTAGGTGAGGGGAGTGTCGCCAAGAGAATCGGGTGAGATTATGATCCATAGTCCTGCTGCAAGGGCGGTCTTTGCGGGACATTCGCCGCGGCTGTGACGAAGGCGAGGCCGACCACATCACACACCGCCCCACACAACTCACCACTTCGGAGAGCTTCAGGAGGGCAGGAACCAGCGTCGGCGACATGGCGCGCAGACGCTCGGCGCTATCAAAGATCTGAGCAAACGGGCATTAGTCGTGGAATCTGGAGAAGACACGCCACAGATATCCGGAGGATCGTCCAGGAGATTGCAGTTGCTGTTGTCGTTGGACTAGCAGAGATCGAGCAGCCGGCGATGGGATCGGCCATCAGGCCATCCTGCCGACAGCCTGCAATCTTGACTCCGAGCCATGGCCTGCCAGTGAATCGGAAAGTATCACACACGCACATACCAAGAAAAACGGCTTTTCACTCTTTGCCGCAATCTCCTTGAGTTGGGCAACAAACTCGACAATCGAGTCGCACTTTGCATAGTTGGCAAACCCGTTATGGGCGGACGGCACCGTGGCCGTGATCTGGTTGAGGGCCGACTCGAAGAGCAGGCGCTGAGTGTAGCGCTCGACACAGCTCAGAAAGGCAAACGTGTGGCCGACGCTATCGCTGTCCCGCCGGAAGAAGTGGTCGATGACGTGCGATTTACCGGCCCCAGAAGGGCCCTGCAGGATCATGGGCGGTGGGGTCGGGGTCGAATACGCCAGGGCGATCGCCGCCTCCAGCTGGCGGCACTGGGTGCTTCTCTCTGGAACGCGGCCGAAGGGGGCCGCAGAGACTTCTGCGACGGGGAGCGGGGACATGGCTGCGGTGGACACTGGGATGTGGCTATATGCACGCAGAGCAATGTTGGGGAGGCTGCGAGGCCCAAGCAAGACAGAGTTGGGCAAGCGATCCTGCACATGGGACGCAATGCTGCCTTTTGCGGAAGTTGGCTCGAGCCAGCACCGGGTCGAGCCGGCTGGATCACTGCACGTTGCGCCACTGGACATCTGTGGTCGATTCAAAGTCCATGAGCGAGCGAGCGAGTGAGTGGTGGGGCGGCATGGCATGGAGGGCACGAAAGCATGGAGGGCAAGCAAGCACGGCGGGTCGAAACGGTGCCGAGGTTGGAAAGGGAGGCCCCGGCATTCCTTGGACGAGAGCAGGGGCTCGCATCGGCGTGGCTCTGCAGATGGCCATCCCATGCGACCCCAGCCGATCCGGATGCCACCGAAACTGCACCTACATGCACCAATGAGGGACGTGATGGTTCCGGCGGCAGCAACATAGCCCTGATCCAGCGACGTGTACTGGAGGGCGCTGCAGGGGATCAAGATGTCAAAGGCATCTTGCGCGATGGCGAGGGTGATTGAGGCTCGATCGCTGGACCATCGGGAATGCGTCGGCACGACCACCCAGCATACAGAAGCCAGTGAGAAAACGTCGATGATCGCCTCCAGAGAACGGCGCCGTCTTTGCACATCAAGCGTCGGTCAAGTCAGCCATCTAGCCAACCGAGTTGTCACCTCTCGGCCAAGCGATCATGCTTACCGATACAGGGCCTTGACGTTGGCGCCATCCGACGCCGACTTTTCGCTGCTGGTCTCCAGAGCCAGCTTGTTCGAGTTGATCCGGAAACGATAGAGGCTTCCAGCAAGAGAAACAACCAGCGAGGCGAGCCACCACTTCATGGCGCGGTCGCTGACTAGTTTGATGTCCGGGTGCTGCAACACGCCTGCCCCATGAATCCACTGGATCGTATCGAACGAGAGCCAGCCCATCAAAGCAACGCTCTTGAGAATGGTAGCGTAGCGCAGAAACGGATCATTGATCGCGCGGCTCTTGGATATGGCAGAAAGGAACTCGAGTTGACGACCCACTGCCATCACTGCAACACGACGGCCAAAACACAGGAATTAGTATTGCGAACACGGTCGGCGATACACTGCTCGGAATGAGCGGTATATGCGGCAGCAGCCGTTGGGCTGATTTAGGTCTGCAGGCACTTGCATCGATGACGTTACGTTTACGGCTCTGCGACAGCGTCGCCGACAGAGCGCTGAGGCGCTTGATGGTGTCTGGGTTGCCGCCGACTTTGGACAAATACCAGGCGATAAACTTGGAAAAGAACTGGACAAATCGATTGGCCTTGTCCCTGCCTGGGTTCATTAACAAGAGCTAAGCTGCGGGCACGCCAAAAAGAAACGGCAGCTGTCCACTCGGGCGATGCTTGCTGACTGCTCGACGAGAATGGCATCGGCGATGCAAGGGGCACGAAAAGTGATGGATGAGGCTATCGCCCCTTGGCTCGCAAGAGCCGTCATACCAAGGGATGTCGACAGGAACCGGCTCGTGTGGTCCACCAGCGCCAACGAGGTTGTACCAATGCTCATGGCGGCGAACAGCGTCTTGGGGATCAGATGCGAAGAACGATTCTGAAGAGCCCCTCTCGGCGGCGATCCCGGACGGATGGATCCGCGGGCTGTGGCTTGGATGGAGACATCGCCTGGACCAACTCCCAGGGACAGACGACGAGCTGGCTTCTTCGAACCGCATGGGGATTGTGGCTCCGAGAAAGCTGCTGCCTGTGATGGGTCCTGAACTGCCGAGGATCCGAGATGGGACACCGGCAAGCGGATATTCCGGCCAATGCAATAGCCGGGCACCCAGCTGTTGGATTGACTGTAAAACATCACGCTTTGTCCATGACTCTGAGAAAGGCCATTGTACCCCGTTTCTTATTACAGTTTATTGATGTGCGTGGGTGCTGATCGACGGCATTCATCTCACGCAACCCACACGCTTTAATATTGCGGCCGAGGGCAATACGTGGGGCGGCTCCGTCGACGCTCGTGGGTGTCGGCCGGTGGATAAGCGTGCTCAAATACTGACCCATTGGAGGTCTGCGAGCCGCAAAGTGCGCCGGTGGGCAGATCCCAGTTGCGCGAGTGCATGCAATCCAGAAGCGTTGCCGGGCATGTTCAAGGAGCGATAAGCAAAGATGCATGGTTAGAGCAAGCATCGATGATCAGCCCAGGTGCACAGCGTGCTCGTCAAGATACTCACAGCCTCCAATGAGCGAGGTGGTGATGCCGGCGGCGGAAACGACGCCTCGGTTCAGCGTGGTGTATTGCAGCGCACTTCCTGGGAGGAGCATATCGAGGCCGTCTTGGAGCAGCGCCAACAGGATGCGGTTGCGTTCGCTGCCGATGAGCCCAGCATCGATCCGCCAGTGTCATCGGGAGTATTGATGGTAGTCAAAGTCAGGATTGGGCGATAAACAGCCGGCAAAAGATCCGGCCTTTGTGCTGCTGGCAGAAACCGTGGGAGCCGACAGCGACCCCAGCCAGATGCCTCTGGCGACGACTGTACCTCTGGAGAAGCTTGACGTTCTTCTCGCCACCTTCCTTGCCCATCTTCTCGGCCTTGTGCTCCTGGGTGAGTCGGATGGAGTTGATCTGGAGCCGATAAAGGCCCCCGATAAACGAGACGCACAGGGCCGTGAGCCAGCACTTCATGCCCCGCTCGGTGATTTGCTTGATGTTGGAGAGCTTGACGATGCCGACCGAGTGGGCCCACTGGAACATATCGTGCGACAGCCAGCCGAATAGCGACAGGTTCTTCAGAATCGCAACGTAGCGCAGCAGGTCGTCCTTGATTCCTTTGCTCTTGGCGATGGTCATCACAAACTCGAGCTGTCGTCCAACACGCATCACTGGCGCATCATTGGGATAAGGCACACGGGTAAGTACGGTGAGCCTGATGAGCATCGGCCCCATCGGGACAGTCGCCTGGCCTGCCGGTATCCGCCGCCCATGTCCGCTCGGATGCTCGGCCGTACGTACGTTTGCGGGTCTGGCCAACGGCAAGGGAGAGCTTGGCGAGGCGGCTGACCAAGTCGTTCTCGCCTTTGCCGTTGGCCAAATACCACGCCAGGAAGTTTGCGAGGTACTGGATAAACCGGTTCAGTCGATCTCGGCCTGCGATTCATCTCAAGTGGATCAGTCTGTAGCCAATGTCGGGTCCAAGAAGCCTCTGCAGCGACCGAGTGGGCCATAGGGCTGGCAAATGCCGAGCAATCGCTCTGGCCAACGGCGAATGCTGCCCGGCTTACCAACAGAGGTCGACAGGAACTTGATGGTGTGGTTGGCCGCAGCCGTTGCGTTTGCGGGCACCAGGGACATTTTTGCGCAGATCGGGTGGAGCGGAGCGGGCGACGCCTGCCTGGGTGTCTATATATCGTCAATCATCATCGTCATAGGACCTGCAGGCAGCCTTGTGCATGTGAAAAGTGAGATTTGCCCACGAGATGCCGTGACATGGCATGGGCAACGAGGACGGCCACCACAGCAACAGCAGCAGCAACAGCCAGACGTTCAGATCACCAGAGGCAGCGATATCTTCCGGATCGAGGAGTGCGGGTGCGAGATCAGAAGCAGCAGAAGCAGAAGCAGAAGCAGCAGAAGCAGAAGCAGCAGAAGCAGAAGCACCAGCGCCATGGTTTCCTTGATGCTCCCCCATCCTCCGCGTCGCATGCCCCCGTCCTCTTTCCCTTGCATCAGACTCGCCGGCACCGCTCCGTCAAAACGCAGGAAATGCACCCGCAACGCACCAGGGAGCCTCAGGCAGATACTCACACATCGAAATCCCATGCCGAGTCGTCTTCGGATCCTGGTCCGCCCGCCAACGGCATCGGCACGTTTCCGCTGCTCCAGATTTTCCTGCTCGATGGCATGGAGGGCTTGGTTTCGCTCCCGATACTGGCCAAGCTGGCCGTCCTCAACTCGGTCTTTCATCAGCACATCAGCGGTAGCCCAATCTACCAGCACCTGTGGAGAAATGCCATCCTCAAGCATCTGCAGGGCCGCAGCACCATTGTGTTCTACAACAGCCACATCCGATTCTGGTTTGCTCTTGGACGACAGCCCGACACCCACTCTTGGCCAGTTATCTGTGCTCCGTCGGCCCTCGACCGGCTTGCCAGCGCTGGGCTTTCACACGCCCTATGCATCCAACTTGAAGACGTTCATCTCTCCAGTCTCTCGGGAATCCCGTTCCGTCGGTCGCTCCGCATCTCGGATCTGCGGCTCTCGGGGAACTTTTTGGACTCGGTTCCGTCGGAAACCCTCGAGGAGCTGCCGCAGCTCCAGAAGCTAAACCTGTCCAAAAACACTCTGACATCGCTGCCGTCCACGCTAGGCCTGCTCATCCATCTCAAGGAGCTCAATCTATCCCAGAATCAGCTCACGTATCTGCCTGAGGAGATTGGCTGTCTCACCAAGCTCGAGGTTCTGAACGTTTCCAACAACTGCCTCTCCAGCCTCCCGCAGTCGCTCGGCTGTCTGGAAAGCCTCCAGTCGCTCGATCTAGCAGCCAGTCGGTCGGTTCCGTTGCAAGGAAGGCGGGGTTCATCCAATGCACATGTTTCCTCGTGGATACCAGACTCTCTCGGAGCGCTCAGGTCGCTGAGGCACTTGGACCTTTCATCGAACCGTCTGGGCCACCTGCCCACGGCCCTCTGCGCGCTCTCATCGCTGCTGGTGCTCTCTATTCGCAGCAATCTGATCGAAAGCCTTCCGGACTCGATAGGACGGCTCCGCGATTTATGTACGCTGGATGCATCCATGAACCGCCTTTCGACGCTGCCGAATGAGATCGGACGTTTGGGCAACCTTGAGGAGCTGGACCTGGCTCACAACCAGCTGCATGCACTGCCATCATCATTGGGCCAACTCGCTGCGCTCACGTACCTGGATGTGTCCTCGAATCGTATCAAGAGCCTGCCCTCTGAGCTCCGGAATCTCCATGGCTTGGAGATTGTCTATGCCCATAACAACCAACTCTCGCCGGGAACCGCCACGAGCCAGCCCTTTTCCGTCATCCTCTAGCCGGCGCTCCGGCCCGAGTAAACAGAATACCCGGACACTACGTCAATATAGTGGGCTCGATACCTGGTGACCCGCAGCAGCAGGCTTCCGGGCATGTCCATTGGCACTGTCGGAGGGGATTGGGCCGAGGCGCCCACATCGACCCTCGGGTTGGGCAGGTTGGACTGGATGTGGCGCCGATCTGTGACTTTCGCGTGACCCCGGCTTCCCATGCCAAACGGCTGCACCTGCCCTGTTTCGCCAACCGACGTCCATCCGACGACGCTCCTGTCCCCAGCCCGGCATCTACCATGGCCGACGATCCGCGGCCCACCCGAACCATCGGGTTCAACTCGCTCATCCCACTGCCGTCCTCCCACCCGACACTGACGATCCCCGTCCAGTCTGGCGACGCTGGCAGCAGCAGCAGCAGCAGCAGCAGTAGCGGCATCACCAGCCCCACCCCCTCGAGCATGACCCCGCTCTCGCCGCTCTACCAGTCGCTGTTGCCGTCTTCGGTCAAGACACCGCTGCACAAGCCTGGAGCAGTTCCAGGCCCGGTCCCGGTGCCCAAGGATACGATTCCAATCAATCCCAAATTGATGGACCAGCTCGAGGTGCTCGCAGCCCGGACAGCAGCGGATGTGCAGCGGCTCATCTCGACGCTGACCGATAATCTCACCAGGGTAGGCACGAATGCGGCGTGGGCCGATTAAAAAATGGCTGAGAAGGCAGTGGCTTGGCTGCATCTGTTGGTCCGGCAATGAGCCGATCCATGCTCGCCCGGAGGCTTCGACTTCTAACATGCCCGCATCGACCTGCCGCTGGACAGATCTCGCAGCTCACGTCCGAGTCGCTCAAAGTCCAGCAGCTCAGTCTCGAAAATCTTCATCAGGCCGCTCTGGCCTCAACCGAGGAGACCCTGAACCTGATCACCAAAGTCGACGAGCTGAGCCACAACATGGAGACCATTGGCTCTCTGGCCGCACAGATGTGGGTGCAAACGTCCCTGCGGGCAGCGCGTGGAGTTCGAATGCCGGAGCTGGAGCCGGATGATGCAGGGAGCTGGTTCTGCCTGGTGTGCACAGCTGACTCGCTCCGCCATTGCCTCGATGTGGACCCTGGATTTGCACCTGTCGGAATGCTCGCTTGCGACACCAGCAAGGCCATCAAAGATCAACTCGACTGGTTCGAGGCGGCCGTCACCAAAACATAGAGCTTCTCCAAGACGAAACGGGACACCCTGTTTGGAACGAGGACCGTCGCTTTCGTCCCAGGTCCTGAATACACACGCCCATCGCCCGCCATGACCAAACAGCGAGTCTGTAATCTCAAGCGGATATGTATTGGTGAAGGACGGATGGACAGACAAATGTACAGGCGACCGGAGTTGATGGCATCCGCATCGATCTCGCATGTCGGTCACAAAAAAGGGCTACAGCGGCGAATCGCCAAAAGGGAGGGGGCGACAGCGATGCCAGTCCAATATCGAAGGTCGCATCGGAAGCATAATCATGAACAAAAACAAGGGCAAATGCAACGGACAGGTGCCGCAGGGAAGAGTGCCCAGAGACGGAACAGACTCAGCAGCAGGCAAAAAAACAGGACTTATACGGACAATGTTCCACGGCAAGAAGAGGGCTCTGCAAGCACGGAAGCGGAGCTGGAGAAACTCAAATCAAAGTAGATTCAGCCAAAAAGATACCGGATGCGAGTGCGGTTCTACCGTGGTAGCGAGGGTTCGTAGCGAGGGCTGCACAGCTACTGCTTGGACTTCTTGTATACGACCTTGCCCTCGACCTGGACCCGGATGACTTCCTTGCCCTTTCGGATGAGAATCTGGTCGCTAAAGCTGCCTTCTGCCGTGGGCTCAAAGCACACAAAGACAATCGAGCTGCCGTTGGGCTCGATGGCGATGCGCTTGGACTGGACACGCAGCGGTGGAGCAACCACAATCTCCAGTGGAACGCGCACCGACGAGAGGTTGTTGATCTGGAGGCACTGGGTCGCGGTCTTGTTGGCCTGTAGCTGGCCAAAGTTGATTCGGAGGGACTGTCCATCTTCAAGCATCCGCTTGCCCTGCGGGTGGAGTACCTCGAAGGTAGGACCGCCTTTGGGCTTGCGTTCGGCGGAGGGCGCGCCTCCAGCAGTGGACGACCGAAGAGAGGTCGAGGAGCTTGTGCGTGGCGTCCGTGGGATCGAGGTCATCGATGCGTTTCGCGAGGACGGGCCCGAGGGACTGGTGGGGCTCTCGAAGGTGCCTGAGCTGGCACTGGTTGGTGTTGGCGAGATCCGCAAGGCGGGCGTTGGTCGGGTACCGGTCATCTTCTTCTTGGCTTCTTGCGTAACAGCGGCTTCTAGGTCTATCGTGATGGCCTTGGTGGCGCATTTGATCTGTAGCTTGGCTTTGTAGCTGCCAGCGTGAACCGGGTTGAACGAGATGGATAGCGCGCACGAGGAGTCGCTTGCGACAGAGTGGGCGACGTCGGGGTCCATAGAAAGCGCAAAGATTGCCTGAGGCAGCGTGTGGCGCTTGGATGAGCCCGCGGGCTCAAAGTAGGTTGGCCCAACCCAATGCAAGCTAAAGGTCGCATTCTTGTTCTCGACATTGCGGATTTCGAGGCTTTGCTCCGAAACCGGCCGGCCCGAGAAATGCGAGATGTGCGAGTGGGCGAAAGGCAGCTTGATTTTGGTGGGCGGCGAGGACACCGACTTGGTCGGCAGAACAACCACAGTCTCGGAACCTCCGCAGACGGTGTCTGAGCCAGGGGTCCGGACAGGGGTCACGACGGATGCTGGGGCTACTGGGGCGGGAGATGGAGCGAAAGCTGGAGCTAGGGGAGATTCGGGCGGCATCTGAGCTGCTGGAGCAGGGTCCTTCGGCACGGAGGCCAGCAAAGCTGAATCAAGATGAGTTGCGCGAATGCCTGGTGAATTCACGGCCCGGGGACTGGCTGAAACGGGATTGGGCAAAGGAATGTTTGGCGGCCGAGGGCTAGCGACGGGTGGGCTTGCTTGGAAGGGGACGACTGGGAGAGGGTTCGCCGGGGCCGAGCGGGCTTGAGAGGGGTTGACGAGAGCTGCCGGAAGGGGATACACCTTGACCGACTCGATCGTGAGAGCCTCTGCCGGCTCAGAGGGGGCTCGCTGATAGTGGGTTGTGCCCGTGGGAGAGAGCATCACGAGGGTCTTGGCGATGCGCGAGCCCTTGGGGGTAATCTATGTTCACGGACAGAGGTGCCGATGCAGATGGTTAGGTCTGTGTGAGTTCGTCGCGACCAGAGCTCAGGCCGAGCGTGGTCTCGCCCATAAAGGTCTCGGCCGTGAGGATCGCTGCCTTCAATCGCTGGCTCTATATCGCCTATCCACGCAGTCTTGGCAGCCGCGATACTCGCGATACCAACCATCACGTCAACGGCCTTGGGCGTGTCCGGGTCCGAGTCAAAAACGAGCTCGCCTGCCGGATTGCGTTTCGGGGTCCAGAAGTACGGCTGTGGGCGAAAAACAGCAGCAGGCATACAGGTTAGCTCAAGTGTCAACCTGCCACAAAGCGACCAAGCAGAATACTTGCAGAATACAGAAGACAGCGCCGCGGCCACTTGCGTGACGACATTGGTCGAGTCGTATACATACCCCTTGCTTACGATCTGTTCCTTCCAGGGTGCCAACATCAGCGCTTCTCGAACGGAACAGAGAGCAAGGGCTCAGCATGTGGGCCGGCACCGAGGCGATACCATGAAGCGACGGAGGCATCATTGGCCCTGAGAGCACATCACTCTGCTTCTGCGGCGTCGACGGTGGCAGAACAGCCCTGGGTTTGGTCAGGAAACTGGGCTCGTCGTCAGGCCCATCCAAAAAGATCGAGTCGTCGAGAATGGCACGTTTAGCCGAGTCACTCGCTTGAATGTCATCCTTTGCGGGTGAGTCGTTGAGGTCGCCGAGCATGTCCACATCAAGCCCATCGACAGGCGGCGCATCGCCATCGACGGCATTGGCAGTCCTGAACAGGTGCAACGGGCCGGGGTCATCGAATGATACATCCTCAGAGGCCGATATGCGGGAAATGTCGTCAAAGACAGCCGATGAAAACACCCGATGAGAATCTGCTTCGTTGAGGGTGGCTTGATGGTGGCAAGAGTGGACATGTATGAATATGTGGATGCAGCTCATAGCGCCCGTCTTACTGCTCCAGCACAGTGCAGCTGCTCGACGCATCGACGGTCTTACCTTCTGATCGTTGTCGCTCCTTCATTGGCGCCGAGTGAATGACGAAGCTGGTGGCCTTGGCCAAGTCGAGAGGGGCACCCACTGATGAATTTGATTGGATGGAACGAGACGGATCAGATATGCCTGACTATGCGCAGTGAGTCTGAGCCGCAGTTGTAGGCATCGCAGCGTGCAAGGCCATGTATTCGCTTGCCGTTACCTAGGAAGGGGTCGTCGACCTCGTCTCCATCACCATCTTCATAAATGCCATCTGCACGAGAGTCAGTAACCTGTGTTACGGAGGCGGAGATGGATATGCATGACCTACGCATCAGAGTGGCGCTACAGTACCTGCAGTGTACTCCTCGGCATCGTCGTCCGTGGAGCTCGAGGTCTGGGATGCACCGAGAATGCCAATTAACTTGTGTACGCTTTGCGGCATCGACCCGATCGAGATCGCCGGCGCATCGTCATCGCGGCTTGAAGTGGATCGTGACAGCCTGGCGGTCGAGGGCGCGCGCGAAGACGAGCTGGCTCTCATAAGATCCACCGAGGCGAGCGAAGGTACTTCACGACGATCAGACGACGAGCCAAGGGTAGGAACCCGCTCGGCTGTCCAGCAACATAGCAAATGGCGTTAGTAGATGCGGCAGAGTCTGCTACAGTGCCTTGCTGTGTCTTGGAAGCAACAGCCCAGATACTCACAGGAGAACGATGACGCGGTGGCTCCCGGTACACGGCTGTGGTCAAGATGGTGATGCGCCTCGCGACTCGGGTTGCGCTTTGGCTCATCGATGTGTTCTTGGAACGGCGATGCCCATGGGATTTCGTCTCGGATCTCGAAGGGCGAGGAGGACAGGCGCGTGCTCGAGTGATCAAACTCTGGGTCGGGAGCTGGCGCATCGACATGCCTTTCGGCCACCGAGCGACGACTGCTACGGCTGGAGTAGCAGCTGTTCCGGCTGGAACGGAAACTGACTCGGCTTGAGCGGCTGGTGCGATGGTCGACATCGGCAATGTGATGCATATACACATCGGCTTTGTCGTTGAGCGGGAGCATCCCGGACTGTAGATAGCGTGGCGGACTGAGCTGCTGATTGACCGGAACATGGCGAGCCCCGAAATTGGCGGCATGTGGCGAGGCAGTGCCGTTGACAGTTGCGGAAGGCAGCCGATCGTCTAGGAAGAGCTCGTCGTCCGCAAGAAAAGGGGACTTTTCGCTGATGTGCGTAGGGCTGCCGTTGGGATGAAGTGGGTCCGACACCGGAATACGACTTTGGGATGCAGCGGTGCCAGCACGATCCATCTCGCGCGAGCTGGTGGATGAGCGGAGCGGGTCTTGGGCTTGGCGAGAGACAGGTCGATGCAGCTGCTGAGCCCTGGAGTCGGAGGCAGTGGTGCTGCTTGCATGTCCAAGCGGGCCGGCTGTTGGCCACACAATCATGTCTTGGCTGCGACGAACCAGGTTGAGCATGCTTTCGACCTTCTCGATCAGTTCGCTGTGCGATTTGCACGGCGACGAGCTAACAGGCTCGCCAAGCCCCAGACCCAGAGGCGACCCAAAGCCGCCGTGTAGATACGGAGTGCTGCCGCTGCTGCTTTGCACTGGCGGAGGGCCGGCATATGAGAGTGGAGTATCGGCACGGGATGGGACGCTGTTGATGCTTGGTGACGGGTGAATGTCTTCTGGTCGGTAGATGCGCTTCCGAACAGGCGAGAAGACGCCCTGCGGGCCAAACCCATACATCTCGGTCGGCGGAAGCGGGCTTGTGCGCCGCGAATGGAGACTGGAGGGAACAGAGCGCCGTCCATTGAATCGATGGGATTCGTCGGAATCTTGGTCGTGGGTTCTCTCGAGCGAGAGAGAGTGAAGTTTTGGGAGAAGGTCGTCGTCGGCATCAGACAAGCTCCCGTTGCATGAGCCGTGCTGGGCACTGCCATGCTGTGAATACAGAGGATCGACATGTTCTGGCGTACAAAGGGATCACGAATACAGAGTCAACCGATGATCTTGGAGATCCGTCGTCAGGAGACACACCAAGCCCAGCAAAGCAGAGCACAGAAATCGTAACATATATATAGAAAATACAGATGCACAGGGCAGTCTCCATTCGCAAGGCTGTCGGGGTGCGCAAGGCGCTCAGCGATACGGACTGCTCCTGCTCCCCTGGTGGTTGAGCCACGACAGCAGACACGGCTTCGTCTGTCCCTCACAGGCGACACAGCCCACCATTCCAGAGAGTCTCGCTTGAAGATTCAGCTTCTCCAATGTCACTCACCGGAGAGTGCGCCGAGAGTGCGCTCGCTTTCGGTTCGCTGGCGGCCGGGCTGCGGGAAACGTGGGAAGGCTGTGTGGCTCGAGTTGACGATGAACGTCGGCTCGGGCGTCGGTTCAGGCTCGAGATCAAGGTGCGAGTCGGACTCGGGTGTGAGCTCCTGTTCGGGGCCGCACACGATTTCACTGATGTCGAGAGGTGGATAAGGATAGCGGGTGGGTTTGTACATAGGCGGCGACGACGAAAGCTTGGCTTCAAAGTCAAAATCATAGGGGTCCTTCATGGCTTGCAGCGACTGCTTCAGAAAGTCGAGATAAGACTGTTCGTTCTGGAGATCGACGACAGACAAGTGCGGGGCATCTGAGCTGCTTCTCCAGGCGCTGCGGTCTACTATGGCAAACGGGGAGAGAGTGCTGGCGAGGCTGCGAGCGGGCATGTGTTTCGAGGGCGTATGGATCTCGGCAAAGCGCAAGGCCGGACTGCGACCCCACCGGGTGGGTTGGTCGTCCAGCTCATGGTTGCGTGCCTCGAGCCACTCGCCGAATGGGATATCGTCGTCGGTTTCGTCGGGGCACTCTTTGCCTGGGGTGACGGAGTGGTGGGAGCGAGAGCATGAGCGTGAGCGCGGTGGCGAGTCGGCACAAGCCGAGCAAAGCAAGGCATTGCATGGCACGGCGGCGGCTGGCGATGGAGCACTGCCGTACCGAAGAAGGACGCAAACGGAGACGGCAGGGACTGGAGATGGTCGAGCGACGGACGGGGCCTTCGGGCCGTCTCGGATCGTGGGGTGCTGCAGCGCTGGGGAGTCATGGACAGGCGGCAGGAGAGGAATGTGGTCGAGACGAGGAGGAGGGGCGGGAGGGCAGAAGGGCTGGGGGAGAAGGGTTGTCGAGGGCAAAGGCGGCCGAGGCGGCGGCGAGAGCGGGGACGGGCGGCGAGACGAGGCCGCTGTCGCTGTGGCGCCGACAAGCTGCGCGAGGGCAGCGAGAGCCGGCGAGAAGCCGCGGCAGGAGGCGAGAGGACCCGGGCTGGCTGTCCGCCTGTGTTCCCGCGCGTCGCACAGACAGAAAACGGGACCCGTGCCGAGTCGCTGGGTCGGGGCGCGCCAGGGGACATGCCATTGCCGCGCGGGGCTCTGTATTGCGGCTGTGCGGCATGCCGGTGCGGAGGAGGAGGGCAACTTGGATGCGTTTGCTGGAGAGTCCTCGATCCCGCTTCAGCGGCGCACGATGAAAAAGGTGGCAATGATCGCTGCCAACGTCAGCCCGATAAAATAGACATACACACTCGCCGGATGCACATCGACAAACTGGTGGAATATTCGGATCGAGATCTGAGCCGACAAGTCGCATTCCAGCGCGGGGCCGTTGGGGCGTCAGATCGACGGCAAGCGAATGCAAGTTAGTTCATTGAGGAGACGGAGACAACTGCAGGGTGGAGATGACGGCTTCCGTGATGTGCTGCCCGGGTTGACAACGTCCCCCGACCCTTCGCCGGCTGGCAGACCCTCGTTCGCGCTGACAGACCTGTGCACTGAGTGTGTCGCAGACGCTGGTGAGTGTCGCAATCACCGAGTTGACGACGCCGACGCGATCCGACGGAATGTACTCGTTGATGAGTGCCTTTGTGATCGAAAGCACCCCGATTCCGAGGCACGTCAGCGGCAGCACTGAAGCCAAACAGATTGTCCCAAGAGCAAAGTCAATACACTGGTTGCACTGTGCAGGACCGGGGTACAACAGTAATATCCAAACACCCAGGATGTCGTCCAGAGAGGGCCAGCAACTCCACACTTGCTGGGCGGCCGACTGATAACTGGGCTCCCAAACAGCCACTCACCTGCATAGAGAACCCACGATTTGGTAGCAAACAGCGTGCACACCAAAGCCACAAGAGTGGCTGTGCAGAGGAGTCGGATTTGATATACGCTTGCGCTGATGCCGATATCGGAGCCTCGTGCGCTGCCGGCATGTGTCTCCAGTCCGTCGTCAAAGCTTTCGGCCGTCTCCACAAGATGAGAGCGCTCGCCCTCAGGCTCGGTTCGAGAGGGGCGAGTCGACTCAGATGCGATTTTGGAACGCAGGAAGCGATCGAGAGACGGGACAACCTGTGGCGAATCGGCGTAAGCACGGATACTAGCTGCTCGGAAAAACGCATCTTCTTGGAGCTCTGGATTGGCGACCGACCACATACCGAGACCAGCAAGAGGGCCGAAAGAGAAAGCTCCGAGGCGAGGTAGAGTGAATCGGCCCATGTGTCTGGAAGCAGCGCACGGAGTGAGCACATCGCTGCTCAAGTCTGCGGAGTAGTAGCCCCGCCAGGCATAATGAGGCATCCCCGAATCATTGAACTCACCCCAGGCAAACATCTTGAAGGCATAAATCACAAAAACTACGCGATGGCCGCTGGATGAATCGATGGCACGCATCAGTCGACATGGACACGCCAGCTACATTCAACGCGACAGCAAAATCACTCGGCTTCAGACCAGGACCTACCCGAACATCATTGCCATCAAGAGCTTGTTGGCAATCACTGCCGCAGGAATCCCACCAAAGAACTCGGTGCCATGCTTCAGCCACTCCCATGGATTGCGATCTTCGCGTGGTAATGCCAGTGATGACCGCGACTCGGATGAGGGCCGGCCGTCCGAAGACAACGGCGCTGTGGACCCACGGCCTGTCGACGGCGGGTGGGTCTCCGGGACGACGAGCACCATGGCCAGCAACGCCGCCAATGCCCAAATCGTCGCCACAAAGAAGCACAGCTGAAAGCCTCCCCACTGTCGGCGATGGAGCCGTCACGAGTCGCCATGCATCGCAACGAAGCCGTCAGCAAAGGCGACATGTACAAGATCGATAGCCAATGTCCGGTATCCGATATCTGGTATCGGGCACCGTTCGACGGTCGCGGGGTGTGTTGCAGGCGTGGGCTCACCTTGACAAGCGCTCCACCTGCGAAGCTACCAATGACCATGCCGATAAGAATACCGCCGTCGAACCAGCTCATGACGGCGATGCGGCTCCCTGTGTTGGTGCCTTCAGAAAGCTGTCCCTTGCGAGCAGTCAAATCGACCAGGGTCGAGACCGATGTGGAGATCATCGTGGGCAGTCCACCCGTGATGCCGACGCAAAACTTTGCCGCATACAGCAAGTCGATGCCACCGAGTTTTGATGCAGTGAAGACCAGTAGAGCCTCGGCACAGAGTCCCGAGATCGCCAGGTAGAACATCGGCTTCCGACCAAACTTGTCCGAGAGATGACCCGAAAGCAGCGTAACGAAGAATCCTGGATAAAAGCACTCAAGCGAGTGAGTGGGCGCAGGAAAATCACAGGTATATCACAGGAATATCACAGGAAAACCCCAGGAAAGTCGCACGATCCTCGAGGCCTCCTTCATATCGCAGACGAGCCGCACCGAAAGGATGAGGATAGGAGCCATACCGGGGACGGCAGAAAGTAGCTGCAAGGCGGCCAGGACCGTGGCGGCCTGCTTCTGAACAGCCGAGACGGAGCAATCCCGTGTCCCATCCACAAGGGTGCCGGCCGAATGCGATGGGTCGGCATAGTAGTCGCTGCACACTTGCTGGATTGTGAACTGTTGAAGGGGTGGCCCTGCAAGTGAGTCAAGCAGGATGGGTCAGTCTCGAGCGAAACAGATGAATCTAGCGCATTCTTCGCTGCGACCGGAAGCAACCTAGCAGCAAGACCGAGAGCGCCGCCATGGGCGCTACCAAGACGATCCGCAAAGCGTCCGAAGTGATATCAGGGTGCATGGTGAAGGGGGATCGCTGGCAGATGGGGGGAGTGAAAGGGCAGGAGAGGGGAAGCGGACGACCCTCGGGGGCATTCTGCCAGAGCGGACGCCACGCCGCGACGCCAAAAATCCGATGGCGACGTAGCCAGCGCGGCGGAACAATTGCAGCCGGAGGCTTGGCAACGACACCGACGACAGGCGGGAGATCTGTGGACGGCCAAACTCGATGGACAGGGTCGATGGACAGAGTCGATGAACAGGGTCGATGGACAGAGTCGATGGTCCCAGCGAGTCCACCCTGGCATTGCCGAGACAAGCCGCACCGACGACGGCAATATGCCGCTGCCCACTGCCATTGGCCGTGTGCCTCTGCCCCGAACCACTTGCGAACCGTCCCATCGATTCGCCCGAACTGCGAGTCATATGCAAGCGCGATATGCGAGTGTCATCTGCAAGCGTCATCTGCGAGTGTCATCCTCCGCGACGGCGATTTACTCGACTGCGGTCCCCTCGACTCCGGTCCCCTCCACCGGTCACCCGACGCAGCCGGACGGCACACCGAGGCAAGCCCCCGGCCCAGAACAGACCCGAACAGACCCGAACAGGACCAGCCCGGCCAGAACGGGTCTGCCCAGACGGCATCCACCTGGGTTTCCTCGCTGCGGCTGCCTCGCCAAGGGTGGCGACGATCCACGTGCAGCCAATTCCAGCCAATGGCAGCCGGCGAGCGGTTTGTGCCGGAAGTGGTCCCGAACTGCTTCCAAAGTGGTCTGTCACAGGTCCGTCCGCAGGCTTGTTCCCCCTTGTCTGGTGCGCCACGCGCCGCCGCCACTGGCCCTCGTGACATGACCAACCACAGCGCCGCCGACCAGCAGTCGCCATGTCTGCAAAAAAAAAATATGGAGGGGGGTGGATGCATCGCGAGCGGCTCTGACCCGGCCTGGCATGGCCGGCTGGAGACAGGGATATAAATACACTCCCTCCCTGGCTCGTCTCTCGGCCTCCATCGACACCGCCTCGACACCACCTCAACTCGAAAGCATCACCGCCCACAGCGTGCAATCCAGTCTGCAATCTGCAATCTATCACCACCAACATCAGCTCAACACCAGCACCACAGCCTGTCCTCAAAATGGCCGCCAGCAACCTCGTTCTCATCTCCATCGACTCGATCTCTGAGCTCTCGCGAACCGTCATCCTCCACGCACTCAAGCACAGCGTGGTGGCCACCGACAATGTCGAGATTCTCCATATCATCAAGCCGTCGCTGTGTAAGCTGCGGGTCCCGGCGGTGCATGGAGTGTTGGTGCTGTGTGTGGTGCTGTGTGGTGCTGTGTGTTGGTGCATGGAGTGTTGGTGCTGTGTGTGGCTTGTTGTTCTGTCGATCAGCGAGTCAGTCGGCCAGCCAGTCAGTCAGTCATCTAGTCAGTCATCTAGTCAGTCATCTAGTCAGTCATCTAGTCAGTCGGCCAGTCAGTCGGCCACCCGGCCAGTCCTTCAGTCGCACTCACATCCTTCGCATGTCCCGACGCTGCCCCGTTCCTCTGTGCTTCCGCCCGTTTCTGCTTGCCTCCAGTCTCTGCCATGCAATCTGCATACGAGCACCGCGAGATCGTCGAGGTCACCCAGCGCCTCACCAAGTTTGTCCAGGAGATTGTCCAAGCAAGCGGCGTCGCAAACAAGGTCTCGCTCAACGTGATCCATGGAGAGGCCAAGGGCCACATCATGATGGAGATCAGCGACCGCGCTCCGCGACTGGTTGTCATGGGTGCCCACCCACATGGCCCCCTCGCTGGCACTGGTGAGTTGGTGTGTGGTGTCTGTCTGTCTTTGCGGTGTGCCATGCTGCTGCGGTGCAGTGTGGCCTGTTGATGCGGTGCAGTGTGGTTTCTCTCGATCGGCGACTCCAGGATCGCATCAGAGCAATGCCGAGACTGGCCAATGTCGGCCACCCACTCCCACATCCACCCACAACCACTCCCACAACCACCCACTCACTGTGTCTGCTTCCATTGCCCGCACATCCCAACCGCCACCCCAACCACCCGTCTCGTCTCCCACAATCTGCAGGCAGCATCACCGGATATGTCTCACAGCGATCCCCGTGTCCCGTGCTGGTTCTGCCTCACTCCATCACCAAGACTGCCGTCCCGATGGAAGGCAGCAGCAGCAGCATCCCGATTGCTGCCTGAGCGAGCACCGTCCCCGCACCGTCTCCACCACCGTCTGCAACTGCGTGACCCAGTCTCTCTTGCCTCGCTGGTGCACTCTGTCCCGTCTGGCCTCGTTGCTGCACCTCGTTCTCTCCCAGCCGCAACCCGTCGCCCACCTGCTCCCTCCGCTTCCTGCGTGCGCCTCTATATCCCCGCTATGTTCCCGCTATATCCCCGCTATGCTCCACCATGCTCCACCATGTTCTCGATGTTTCATGCGGGTTTGTTCTCCTTATTTATTGGCCGGCGTTGGTCCTGGATCTGTCGCCTCTGGCGGCGATGCGATCCCGACCCCGCCGTTCCCGGCCTCCTGTGCGATACCATTGTCATTGATTGCCATGGGCTGTCTCGGCCGTCCTTGACTCTCTGCCATTGGCTCGATCTGCTTGAATACACACATTCGCAACCAACCTCGTCTTCCGGCGATATCGGATGGTGGTCCGAGTCGATGTGGCTCGGAATTCAAAGTCGCTGGCTGTTCCACCCACTTCATTCCGACACAGCGCGTTTCGTTTTTTGCTTGGGCGCTTCGCGATCGACTCGCGTCCAGCTTCGGATCCGCCAAGCTGCCTCCCTCTGACATCGTCTCTGCTGGTACCTCGCGGCTACGCACAGCAGCCCAGCCATGTCTCGACGAGCCCCGGTACAGTACGACGACGAGGACAATGTGCCAACAGGGAGCACCTATTTCGATCCCCAGCAAGCGGCACCTGTGGTCGAGTCCGAGCCAATCGCTTCGGATGTGTCGCTTCGTCAAGATCCCGACGCAGATCACAATCAGCCACGCAAGCGGCAACGATCGCGCAAGAGATCGCGGGGCAAGCGCCAACCCGAATTGTCCCAAGAAGAGGGTATCGCTGATAGTGGAGAAGGCGAAGAGACCGCTCCTATCAGCGCCGCAGTATCTACTCCAACCAAAGCTGCCATCTCCAACGAACCTTTGCCGCAAGAACAGGTATGTAGATGGGCTCGATATGACGACAGATCAGCCAAGTGACAACAAGTGTTTGATACGGCTTGATTCTATTCATCGCTGTTTGCTACTCACTGAACCGATCTGGCGTGATCATTGCCGTCTCTCCCGACGCTAGATCGCCGACGAGACCATCACCACCCCAGCCCAGGACGACGACGAGAGTTCGAGCGAGCCGGAAGAGCCCGCCCGGAAGAAGCGACGGCGGAAGAGAGGCAAGCGGCAAAAGGGACTCTCCGATTCCAACGCCCCGGCAAAGGTACCCAAAATCGATCGCACAGCATAGTCGATGGAATCGGAACATACTTGCTGGTCGAGTCTTGCCGATATGCTGCCTGTGCCAGCACCACGGCGTGGGTAGAAAATCTACTGACTGATCAAGCATGATCAATGCAGCAACAGGAACCCGAGAATTGCCTGGGCCAGCCTCCAGCACAAGAGCAAGCCATTGCTCCTATTTCCAGCACAAAGCAGGGCCTGCTCCCTGGGCTACCGCCTAGGGTCGCTTCAGGATTCAATAGAGCCCAGCTCCAGCCTGTCGACCGGCTCCCCTTGATGCCGGCTCTATTGTCGGGAGCTTTGCCGGGGTCGAGAATTGGATCACTCTTGCCAGGTGGAAACGACAGCGATCAAGGTGATTCGATCATGAGCGACGATCCGTGGAGCCGGAGTCGTCTCCATGCTGTCAAAAACACAGAGTCGGCAGAGAGCAGCCAGGCCGAGGCAGGCGAAATCCTGGACGATGAGCCTGGGGCTCAAGAGATTCCAAACGATGACGATGGCGATGACGATGGCGATGAGGATGACGATGAGGATGAGGATGAGGATGAGGATGAGGATGAGGATGAGGATGAGGATGAGGACGAAGGCGAGCAGCTTCTTTGGGATGAAGAGTCGATACCGCCAAACCTGCGAAAGTACTGGATCCAGCGGCACTCGCTGTTCTCCAAGTTCGACGAGGGCATTCTTCTTGACCAAGGTAAGCGCCTGCGGTAGCTGCGAGTGCTACGATAGGTTATACTCTCAGAACCTTGATGGTCGTGCCCAAGGGTTGAGCTGATCAACGACCTTGCGATTGCCCAGAGAGCTGGTATTCAGTAACTCCCGAGCGAATTGCTCGGCACATCGCCGACCGAGTTCGCGTCGGCACCATTGTCGATGGCTTTTGCGGGGCTGGCGGGAATGCAATTCAGTTTGCCTTCACATGCGACAAAGGTAAGTAGACTCCTACCGAATTGGCTGAGTCGATTGGCTTTGTGGAGAGAGTCTGTGGGCATCGCCCTCTGGATGTGCAAAGCCGGTCCGCTGCTCATCAGATAAACGGTCTCTATCAGTGTTTGCGATTGATATCGATCCAATCAAGCTCGAGTGCGCCAGGAACAACGCGCGGATATATGGCGTCGAGGACAAGATTGAGTTCATCCAAGGGAACTTTATGGAAGTTGGCCCGACTCTCAAAGTAAGCCATCGTCCCATGCGTTTGCTGACTTGCAATGGCCCAACGAATCTGACGAATGGTGCGATTGACCATCTATCCAGGCCGATGCGGTGTTCCTGTCGCCGCCATGGGGAGGTAGGTTTCTTGCCAAGTGCAGCTGAGCCACATGGTCTGCTTGGTTTATGGCCAAAAGCACACAGCCTGTCGTGCGATCACAGCCCACATGAGCGGCACAGACCCTCATACGCACATGCAATTGACAAATCTTGTCTTTTACAGGGCCAAAGTACCTTAGATCCAAGGTGTTTCATCTTGCCAATCTCCCGATATCTAGGCAAGTGCTGCATCGTGCTGGATGCCTTGGCCGACTCCATATCGCTCTTTGTCTTGATCTATCGGACACTCCCATCGCATGGCTTGTAGCTCACTGGTGCACTTTTGGACCCTCGTTGCTCCAGCGGAGAAATGATACAGGCGGCACGCGAAATCTCTCACAACCTTGTGCTGTTCATGCCCCGCAATGTCGATCCTGACGAGGCAAGTGATACGCTACGAGTTCGGGAGTTGCCTTTACTCTGCCCTGGGGCGGTCTTTCTTCCGACTGGATTGTACTGATCCGTTGTTATCAACTCGCGCCTGTTTTGTACGGTGGGTACTGTAGCTGACTGAACTTGCAGGACCGGGATACATTTGCGAGCTGGAAGAGAACGTCCTGAACGGGCGCACGAAGAGCATCACCGGATACTACGGCAGCCTCGTCGATGTTGACGCCGTGAACGAAGCTGACGACGAGGACGGGTATTTCCCCGACGACTGGGCCGAAGGACACTAAATAGACCAAAGCACCATGGCGTACAAAGCCCTGTCGAAGTCAATAGCACCCAACGACGGAATCTCCCCTGCCGGGCTGTGAGAATGGCGGTGTGTAAGGGATTTGTATGGCAGCCTCGGGATCTGGTATTGGTCGCGCCTGGTCTGCCCACAGCGCATGTCTCCAATATTGTAGTAGCCCTCGCTACGACCTCCTGTTCGCAGCACCGTGCGATCCGGGCAGTCGCTGCTTCCGTGCGGGCAGAGCCGCAGCCTCCATGCGGGAAGGACGCCGATTGCGGACCAGTCGGAGGGACAGCAACCGCGAAATGGGACAGCAGCCTCGAAAAGGGGCAGTCGCCAGCGAGCGCCTCTTGAGTCTGCCTGGATCGTCTGCCTGGATCGTCTGCGCCCTCCCCCAGCCGAGACTGCATCTGCATTCTTAAAAGGCACTTGCTCGGCAATATCTCCTCCCACGCCCTGGCACGCACCGCCCCGATGACGCTCAGATTGCTGCCATTCATCCCTCCTTCGGAGACCCGCATTCCCGACGATGCCAAGATCGAGTCGGCCCGATACATCCTGGACGATCTCGATGCCGTCCTGGCCCTCCCCTTCGAGGAGATGTGGGCTGCGCTGGTTTTGCCTGCCCTGACAGAAGCACAAGAAGAGTCGCTGATGATCTCTGTGCCCGAGTTTCTCCAGCATTTTTTGCGGTACCAGGCTCGCAACCACCAGCGGCGCTCTCTCAAAGCAGCGCACCATGCCGCCTCGGACCAGCAGCAGTGGCTGCGGGACCTGCACGATCTCGAGCTTCAGATCACCGAGAAGGTGTTCTGGCTGATCACCAAGATCGTGAACCCCCCAGCAGGCTCGGCACAGGTTGAAGGTTGGGCAGCCGAGCTGTTCGATCGGCACATCCTGACCACATCGCTGCTTCTCGATATCGCCACGGTCTACTCTCACGACAATCAAGATGCCATCCGGGCCGTCTTTACCAGCGTTCTGGCCAACGAGCCTCGTTTCATCGCAGAGCTCCGCGAGCTTCAGGAATTCGTTCTCGATGAGATCGACGATCTGGCAAGAAGAAACTCAAAGTCGTCCGGCAAAGGCAAGGGCAAAGGCAAGGGATCGGGAGAGACTGGCTCGGCTTCTCGTCCGGCACCGGAAGTGGCTATCGATATCCTCCACTTGAGGGATGCATCGCTTGCCCTCGACAACCTCGTTCGAGCCTGTGGGCATGCCGTCTCCTCGGACCTGACCTCGGACGACTCGACGTTTCTCCGGACCCTACTGATGGCACATGAAACTGCGAGCCTGGCTCTCAAGCAGGCTGGCGATCCGGAAAACGACCAGTCGACCTCGGCTCCGGACTGGTACGAGCTTTTCATCGAGAAGCAGCTCGATGCCTCAATAGTTTCCGATAACCTCGCCGCGGCAGATCCAAACTATATCGCCGTGGCCCAGAGCCTGAAGCTGGCTCTCTGTCAGCTTGCCGACACCACGCTGAGGGCCAGTTTTATCGACCCCTTGCTCGAAAGTCCTCCAAATGGCGTTAGCAATGCCAGACACCATGAGGAAGGTCTGTGTGACTTTTTGTTGGAGTTGATCAATCAGTCTCACTTTGACGGCCCCGTGCGCTTTCTGTGGGATGCACCGTTCGGAATCGATCTCGAGGTCGAGCACGACATTGTCGACAGGCTCAAGCGCATCAAGGCACACTCTGGTGACCAAGATCACGCTCGACTGGAGTACGCTATCGCATCGCTTGAGCATCTGCTGACCTTTAGTGGAAACTCTGAAGTCAAGTACCAGCGCATGAACCAGCGAAGCGAAAGACTGACTATGCGGCTGTTATCGGAAGAAGCTGCCGCCCGCTCCTCAGGCGACGCTAGCACTAAGCTCTCCCCTGCTCTGGAGCGTCTATCGGTGAATGACATGGTAAGCACATGCAGCATGTCATTTTTGCCAGAAGCAGCTCGATCGCGGGGATGTGTATACTGACCATGTGCGGCCGCATTATCTCGCTGAACTCCAGACCAACGGTGCCACAGATGATCTGGAGTACGTCCAGCGAAGCTCGCTCATTTCGCAGATACACGATCTGTTCCCGGATCTGGGAGATGGCTTCATCGAGGTACGACAGCGGTGTGCGGCTGTTTGCAGTTCAAAGGAATCGCCTTCAGCACTGCCCGACAGAGCGATTGCGCGGTGTGGATTCTGTGCTGATATCTCTATTGCTGCACAGGCATGTTTGATGGCCTACAACAATGACGTGGAAGTTGTGACGATGAAGCTGCTGGAAGACGATCTGCTGCCTCATGTTGCGGCACTCGACCGCAGTTTGAAGAGGTAGGTTCCGCCTCGCCGACGGTTGGGGCTGAACGAATGGACCACGATCCGCCTCCAGAATACGAAATCTGACAGCCCAAACCGACTCCTGCAGAGCGCCGCCAAAGATCCAGTCCAATGTTGCGTCCAATCCGGAGGCCGACGAACCTCTGTCAAAGACATTGTCGACTCGCAGAAACATCACCGATGGCGATGAGTTTGACATCTTCAGCCACAAGAAGATTGATATGAGCAGCGTCATTGTTGGAAAGAAGCAGTAAGCTGGATGCCGCAGCCAGTGCCGGATGCAAACGTCGCCGCTTTGCTCTGTAGGAATCGTTAACCATGACCTTGGTCACAGGGACACTGGGGTAGTGCTGAACGACCCCAAGTTTGTGCACGATCAGAAACAAGCCATACTCGATATGCAGTACGATGAGTACGATGATGAGTACGTATCCGGCTGCTGGTCGTGCTGGCTATCCGAGCGCCTGCATGAGCTCATCTGCCCCAACCGGTCTTCACGCTCCAGATACGACGACACGTATGATACCGTCGACATCAAGCTTGCTGGAACTGTTGAGCTTCATCTTCTCGATGAGGTTGAGGGTGTGCCTGAGGAGAACCAACGGGCCCCTCCTCCTGCACCCAAGGTAGGCAGTCGCCGTATGCACGACGCGCAGCTGTATCGACAGTTTTGTACCTTGCCTCGATCGACTCACTGTTGCCGTCCTGCAACCTGCAAGCCTGCAATCAACCCTGCTGTCGAGGCCCTGGCCATCCATGAGGCAGAGTTTGTCGCCCTCGCCACTTCGAATCCATCCATATTTGACATCAAGCAGCGAAAGTCACCACTGCGCGCCAAGCTCCGACAGACAACGTCCATGTCGGACGAGCAGATCGAAGGATGGTACAAAATGTTTCTCCGGAATGTAGGTTTCGTGGCTTGTACACCCCAAGCACGACATCGGAGGTCGATAGGTTGAAGCATCCTCGATCGAGCAATGCGCCAGACTGATCCAGTGTTTCCCATCTTGTTCCAGCCTCGCAAAGATGCGATTCTATCCAAGTATGAGTGGAGAGGCAACCGCGCAAACCAGCAGCCAAGCATCAACAAGACCCAGTCCAGCAGCGAATCAGAAGAGGACGAAACCGTCGAGTCTCGACCTGCTCTGTCCGGAGATACTTCCCGCAGCGGAGCATCCAATCAAAGAGGAGGACCGCAAATCGGCGGTGCTGGGCACAGAGGCGGCCGAGGCGGTGGTCAAGGCGGTGGTCGAGGCGGCGGTAACTCTCCGATGGACCGTGCCCGAAAGGACCGGAACAAGGCCAAGGTCGGCAACCACAATCGCAAGGATGGGCACGCCAGGAAACTGGCGCGGGGCTCCATGGGGATGCCGGAGTAGATCAAGCGAGCGCCGGCGAGACTGATATAGAATACAAGGTGTCCAACACATTGAGAGCTTCCGCGACGCTATCACTACAGCGATATCCAGTAGGAAGGAAGAATATATCTTGGCGTGCGCGGCTCTCACGCTACCGCTCTTGAGTTGGCTCGCGAGGTGTAAACGTCCTATGCAGAGGTTGAAGGACGAAGGCCATGTTGGCAATCTCCGCAGGGGCCATTGCATCAATCTGCCAATCGCCGTGTCCCATTGTCGCTGAGGGCCCCGTCCAAGCACCCCGAGGTGGATCAACAATGCCGGGACCATATTGCAAGCTTGCGGCCGCCTCGCAGACAGCAAGAACAATAACCCCCGACCAGCGAGCTCTGCACAATCCAACGCCATCCAAAATCTCCCTTCTTAAACCAAGGCGCTTCCCACAGTCGAAAGACACCAGGCCCTGCTCGACCTCAGACGCCTCTCCACCCCCCCCCAACTCCCTCGTATACATCCAGCCCTCTCTCTCCACGATGGCATCCAGACGCGGCCGTCAAAGAAGCGCCACTGTCGGCCAGGAGACCTTCAAGAACAAAACCGAAGACAGCGACTCTGGATTCCACGCTCTGTCCAAAGGTAATTCTACTGCTTTGGCGGCACCGCATGCAAGGGTTGGCTGGAGCAAGCCTGGAGGAGAGGACCGTATAAGCACCAAAGAGTACTGACAAGCGTGCTACGATCGTATGCAATTCGCAATCAACAGGTGGAGGATGCACTTTGGTCGAGAAGGATGAGAGTGCCTTCATGGCCGCGCCGACTTCGCCCAGCATGGCTCCAAAGAAGCTTGGCCGATTTGTGGGGCTGGAGAATCTGAATTCTGCTCTGGCGAACCGCCCCGACAAGCAGACGCTGATTGACCGGAACGTATTGAAGCGTAAGGCACACGCTTTCGACTGAAGCCACAATGCAAGGGGTATGGGGCAGGCTTGCTCGTGTCTGCACCGTCTCTGACTATCTCATGTCCACGGTGGTGGGTGGGTCATTGCGGTCGAAACTCAGCCGACAACGTCTCGGCCAAGCTTCAAGGTGCACAAGAGATGTTGAAGAAGCAAATCATTGAGGTAAATGGCCGACTGGGAGTGTGCCCGGGGCAGGATACGGCCATACATGCCGGGAAGAGTTGGATACTCATCTCGAGCTCGATCGCAATGTGCCAGGACAACTTGAGGGGCAAGATTGCTGCACGACCAGACAAGAACACCCTGCTCGAGCACCACATTTTGAAGGACGGCGAGGCTGCCAATGCCACCCAGGTAACAAGCAACATGGCTTGGCGCTTAAGTAGCTCGAGGAAGCCGCATCGATTATGCTTCTAATGCCCAGCACAACGTGATAATGCTCAGGCAGCATCCCAGCAACCTGAAGCTGCTCAGAAGCAACTGCCAGGTCAAGCCAAACAGAGTCAGTATCAAAGTGGGCGAACGCAGGCTCGGCGGCTGCATGAACGCAGGGTGGATCTGTCTTGGGCATCGGATGGAGAGCAAAGGCAAACTGCAGAACCCTGATGCCGATTTGTCGCCTGGACGGCCGGATGCGCATCGGCTGGACTGGACCTGTGCTGCGGACTGACGCTCTGTCGCTCTATCGTGGTTAACGGTTGACGGCACGGACTCTCAATCTACAGCTCCTGTTGGCGTTTGAGTCCATTGTATGCAGGCGGCTTGGATGTGCCTGCCGCTTTTCCAGCAGAGACTGCCTACTTGCAGGACAGCTCCTGCAACGAGCTCCGCTGATGCCACGGCGAAACAGTTCTTTGGGGCTGTGTCTGCAATATATATATCGACCATTGGCCATACTCGAGACTGCCGGGCCGTGAACGCTCGTCTCAGGGGTTGACGAGGGAGGTGTCTATGGACAGCAACATCACCGCGAGGGATGGGGCGGGCTCGCCCGACTGGGTTCAGCATTGATCTCCATCGGCGCCGAAGACAACCTCCTCCCTCACACCAGCGACTGCCCAGACTCGACTTGCAAGCATGGATCCAGCGAGCCAGCCCGATCGCCCGACAGACGAGGTACGCATAGCCGTCTGATGTCTGATGTGCTTGGATCGTCTGCAGACAGCCAACTTCATCCGCCCAATTGCTCCGCTGCGACTTGACTGCGACGCAGGAAATCCTTCGCTTTGAGCGATCCATCAAGGAGCAAGAAACCGGGAACCAGCCTCTTGTCTCGGAATTGCTAGGATTTGAGGGCCTGCGAGCGGTAGGTTCATGGATCATCGATACGCTCAGGTCCGCCTCGTTTGCCACTGCATCGTTCACACTTGGCGACTCACCGATGGACAACTATTCTCCATGTCTAGGAATATCAAAGTGGGCTCGAGGCGTTCCGAAGCAAGGTCGAGGTGAGTGGATCGGGAGCCGGGGCCCAAAAGCAAATCGCTGCAGCATAGGCTTGTCGACGAGGATCGAGCATCCAGGAGAGCGGTATAGTCAGTCTTGCTGCACAATGCGGCCACTAGCCCTCACTGAGACGCTTTCGCTCCCTTCAGCAACTGGCTGAGAGCCACATGGGTCTGCGGACGATCAAGAAGGACGGCAACTGCTTCTACCGAGCCTTTGCCTTTCGTTTTTGCGAGCTTGTCTGGAAGAATGCTGGCACCGATTGGGCAAGCGTGATGCTGAACAGGGCGATTGCATCGCAGGCGCTGATGGCAGAGATGGGCTACGACATGAACCTGCTGGAGGAGTTTTGGGATTGTTTTGCCGAGGCACTGAAGCCTCATGGAAAGACGCCGGAGGACCTCCTGACGATCTTCCAGACGGACTATCTCAGCGACACGATCGTTTGCTATCTGCGACTTGTGACGGCAGCAGTCTTGAAGAAGGTAAGCTCAGTAGAATGTGCCGTCTGATCCAAGACCTCCGTGGTCGCTTGGAGAGCCACAAGCGAGAGCTGCAAGGCTAACGCAAGAACGGGGGCATCTCTTGCTTGCAGCATGCCGAGATGTACGAGGGATTCGTCCTGGACAGCTATCCAAGCCTGACGGCCTTTATCTCTGCTCAAGTGGAGCCGAGTAAGTAACGAGGTCGATTTGCAGCCACTGCGGTGGCGCTCTGGTTGTGGGCTTCGTCTGCCAACTGAATGCGACTGCCCATGCCCAGTGAACGTCGAATCGGACCAGATCCACATCGTGTGCATGGCCAACGTATTCGGAGTCGATGTGAAAATCGCCAACCTCGACCCGACCGAAGGGTCGGACGGAGCCGTGCTGAACTTTCACGAGATTACGCCCATGGATGCCGTCGGGATCGACGAAAAGGACCGCCCGAAGGTGGTGCTGCTCTACAGGCCCGGTCATTACGATGTCCTGTATCCTCGGGCCTGATATGGGCCATACAGATACACACCTCCAAGATAGAGCTGAGCGCCAACGACACTCGCCATCAGAGCGGAATGCACCGTGGTTGAGGGTCGGTAGTGGCATATTCTGGATTATGAATACACATGTCCAGTGTGCTCATCCAAGTGCACCACCGCCCGTGGGAGGTGGTGTGGGGTACTATTGGATACGGGCTCTACCTAGGGCTCTAGGCTGGGTTTGAGCGGAGGAATGGGGATGAACCCAAGATCTTTGCGCACCTGGTCAATGTCCTGATCCAGCAGATCCTCGTACATGACGCTCATGAGGAACTTGCAGCTTTCGGCGCACTGCAACGCCCACGGGACATAGTGGGTAAAGAGTCGCTCGCGCTCCAGGGGCGTCAGACGCAATGGACCCACGAGGGCCGAGAGGATGGCGACTGGGAGACCTGTTTGGTGGGCCTCGAACCACTTGAGCGCCAGCTCCGCCTCGACGGTGATTTGGTCGAGCCCAGAGAGCGTATGCCAAAAGTCGTGGACCTGGCGATATCGGAGGATCACATAGGCAAGCTCGGGGTCATCGACGTACTTGACCTTGTAGCGCACATGCGGTTGCATACGGCAATGGCGCATGGTTTGTTTGGTTGGTTCAACAGCAAACGGGAGGGGATGGCAGCGGAAATATCGATTGAGCAAAGCAGTCAGAAGGGAGAGCCGGCGCATCGAGCCGGAAGGAGCCGAGATCGTGCCATTTGCAAATGATGATACGCACAGGGCTTCGTTCGTCTGGGTCAAAGTGATACTGGTCCATAAAACGGGTGTATGCAAGCCCGAAGGAGTTTGGGGGATATTGCCGGAGCTTTTCGAGATCGAGTGTGGTGGAGTTGATGACCGGCCGCTCTCGCAATATCTTCCTGCCGGTCGGGTCGAGGAGCATCTTGTCGCGGATCTTGCGCAGAAATATCGGGCCCGTGGCCTCGCCGAGGGCAGCAATCTGGTCCGCCTGGGTCGGATCGATGAGGCCACGGACGGCAGAAGATATCGCCAGGATCGGGCGCCACGACGGGCCAGAATGTGACAGGCGGGCCGGCGACAGGACGACCGGGGTGGCCAGGCGCCGGCTCTGCAGCGAGGCGATGGATGAGCGAGGGAAGCGAGGGAAGCGCATGGGTTGGGCGTCGAGCGGATGGCGGTCTGGATGCAGCCCAGGACAGGGATATCGATCGAAGATGGATTTCGGTCCAAATCGATCGACCGACACGGCCGCGCGCTGATTGGCCGCCGCGGCCGTCACTGTGAATCACCTGGATGTCCACGTGACCAGCGCCTGCGATTTTTCTTTCCATGAATGGGTGCGCGGTCAGCCGAGAGCCCGCGGCCTCGGCGAGGACACAGCGCGCGCAGTTTCCGGCAGCAGGCGAGAGGGCGAGGACGCACGCCGAGGACGTTCGCCGAGGACAGCGAGACCGCGCGGCCCCAGATCGCATTTTTCTTCACCGTCTGTTTCGCAGCCAGCCATCCTCGCTCGGATCCGGATACTTGCTCGCAGCGCAAGTCGCAGCAGCCCCTCTCCCGCTCGGCACTCGGCAGCACTTGGCAGCACATCGGCAGGTCGGCGCACCATGACTGTCTTGAGAACGCTCCTTTCGCGAGCCATCCCGCGGGCCATCGTGCCTGCTGCCGTCGCCAAGCCCCGATTCTTCTCGGGCTCGTTGGCGGCTCGATCGGCCGAGATTTCCACGACCGAATACGATCCCTCGGACCTGGTGAGTCTCATCGGGCGGGTCTGGACATCAGGTGTCCCACTGGATCGAGCGAATCGAAGGGATGCTGACAGCGCTATATCTGGTTGAATCGATGGCCAGGATCGCTTGCAACAACTGCGAAACATTGGTATCTCGGCACACATCGATTCGGGCAAGACCACCTTGACCGAGCGAATCCTCTACTATACCGGTAGAATCGACCAGATCCACGAGGTCCGTGGCAAGGACAATGTCGGCGCCAAGATGGACTCGATGGAACTTGAGCGAGAAAAGGGCATTACCATCCAGTCCGCCGCCACATACACCAAGTGGAAGGACACCAACATCAACATCATCGATACGCCCGGTAGGTGCTCTGCTGGCCGGGAGAGGCAAGACATATCTGTGAATCGCAGCCGGGTGGGACCGGGTTGTTGGGACCTGGTTGGTGGGACCTGGTTGGCTGCGAGGCAGTCCAATCCCGTTCTTACCACGACAATCCGCTTCGCCAGGGCACGTCGATTTCACCATCGAAGTCGAGCGAGCTCTCCGTGTTTTGGACAGTGCCGTCCTGGTGCTTTGCGCCGTCGGTGGTGTGCAGGTGGGGAATCCAGCGCACAACACCCATCTTTTGAGCGATCCGTTGCATCGATCCATCGCACTCGCGTCCAGCTCGCTGGTGCATCATTGTCAACCAGCAAAGGTTGCATTTCTTTGGGATTGGCTTGTTGTCCCGGCGATATGACCAACATGTTCCTTGGTCCTTGTGTCCATCAGAGCCAAACTATCACTGTCGATCGTCAAATGAAGCGTTACAACATTCCCAGAATCTGCTTCATCAACAAAATGGATAGGTTGGTTGCGATGGCGACCCAGCCATGTATTCTAGCATGATGCCTTACATAATGTACTCTCTACTGACTGCCATGTGTCGTGGATCCTAGAGCCGGCGCCAATCCCTTCCGCATCATCAGCCAGATCAAGGAAAAGCTCCGTCTCAACGCTGCCGCCGTTCAACTTCCGATCGGAGCCGAAAGCAACTTCAATGGCGTCGTTGATCTCGTCAAAATGAAAGCTTACTACAACGAAGGCAACAAAGGGTCAGTCTCGGGACAGCCTCGAGCATCCTGGTACTCTGTGGAGGTTGTGGCAGTCGGTGCCTGTTGCTGATCCTCCTGTCGTTCCGTTGTGCAGCGAGACCATCCGCGTCGAGGAAATCCCCAAGGACATGGCCGACCAGGTGCAAGAGTACCGATCCAAGCTGATCGAGGCCCTCGCTGATGTCGACGACACGATCGGTGATCTTTTCTTGAACGAAGAGGAGCCCTCGAACGACCAGATTTTTGATGCCATCCGCCGAAACACCATCTCGCTCAAGTTCACGCCGATTTTCATGGGATCTGCTTACCACAACACTGGTGTGCAGCCCTTGCTTGACGGCGTCGTCAACTACCTGCCCTGCCCTCACGAAGTCGTCAACCAGGCTCTCGATACCGACAAAGGCGAAGCAATTGTAAACCTCAGTTCCAAATCCAGCGATCCCCTCGTCACCCTGGCTTTCAAGCTCGAGGAGGGCCGTTTCGGACAGCTGACGTATCTGCGCGTCTACCAAGGTACCCTGACCCGCGGCGCCGTCATCACTAACGTCCGCACCGGCAAGCGTGTCAAGGTCTCTCGTCTCGTGCGCATGCATTCGAATGAAATGGAGGTACGTATCTAAAAACGCAGTGCGGCTGATGTATCTCAATGCGGCCCCACATGCTGAAATCGACTGTGGCGCGTGGTAGCGTCGACTCTACGCGCGGAGAGGGCTCAAAGATTGAAGCGATAACACGCCTGTAGCTGACACTTGTCTATGGACGCATTTAGGATGTCGAAGCTGTCGGCTCTGGTGAAATCTGCGCCTTGTTTGGCATCGAGTGTGCCAGCGGCGACTCGTTTACGGACGGCGCCAGCTCGTACACCATGGTAGGCTTGCATAGCATCGACAGCTTCCCAGACGCAGGCCCCAGCAGCGCCTTGAATTGCTAAACTTTGTGACTTGGTGTTGCCCAGACCTCGATGTACGTCCCAGACCCCGTCATCTCTCTCTCGCTCGAGCCCAAGAGCAAAGACACCATCAACTTCAACAAGGCTCTCCAGCGGTTCCAGCGCGAGGATCCTACATTCCGCTGCCATGTCGACTCGGAAAGCAAGCAGATCATCATCAGCGGCATGGGCGAGCTCCATCTGGAGATTTACGTCGAGCGCATGAAGCGCGAATATGGCGTCGAGTGTGTCACCGGCAAGCCCCTCGTTGCCTTCCGCGAGACCATCACCAAGTCGGCCCCGTTCAACTACACCCATAAGAAGCAGAGCGGCGGTTCTGGCCAGTTCGGTCGAGTCTCTGGATACATTGAGCCGCTCGACGAGGTCTCTGAAGACGGAAAGACGACCGTGTTTGAGGACAAGACCGTTGGTATGAACATTCCTCACCAGTTCATCCCCGCCATTGAGAAGGTAAGGACGGGATACCCGGAGCCCAGCATGTCTACAGCACCAACAGCCATGATACCGCTCGAGCAGTCGCTCTCGGACAGCGAGCAGTTGCGTCCGACACAGCTGTTGGCCACTGCCCGGACTACACCGCCAACCAGAGACGAAGCTTTTGATCGCGCGACTTGCTCGTTGTGGGCTCATTCTATCGCGTCGCTCTTAGGGCTTCTACGAGGCTTGCGAGAAGGGCAACTTGATCGGTCACCCCATCACCAAGTGTCGCTTCGTTCTGGAGGACGGTCTTGCCCACGTTGTCGACTCGAGTGAAATCGCCTTCAGACTTGCTGCCATCGGGGCCTTCCGTGATAGTAAGCAGTGCCGTGATCTCTAGCGGCGATGCTAGCCAGCTTGCCGGCTCTGTTGTAGCTCCTTCTGTCGAAAGTATCCATGACTGTGTGCTGCGGGGGGACCAAAGGACGGTGGGATCGGGCTGCCCAACTGCGCCCCTCCCCCCAATTGACGCTGACACACCCGACGACATCCTTTGTGCACAACACCAGCGTACTCCAAGTGCAACCCGATCATTCTTGAGCCCATCATGGAAGTCTCTGTCACCGGCCCGGCTGAGTACCAGGGCGCCATCATCGGCCTGTTGAACAAGCGCAAGGGCACCATCGAGGACTCTGAGGTCCGCGATGAGTACATTGAGATCCAAGCGCGCGTTCCCCTGAACGACATGTTTGGCTTCTCGACGGACCTGCGGTCCATCACCCAGGGCAAGGGCGAGTACAGCATGGAGTACAAGGAGCACGCTCCTGTCACCATGGACGTCCAGAAGAAGCTCGTCGATGAGTACCAGCGCGCCCGTGCCCAGGCCCTCAAGCGATAGACTGCATCTGCATGTTGAGGCCATTGTCCCATCATGTTTCTTGTTTCTGTTATAATCGACCACTGCTCCCTCCTGAGCAAACACCGGGTTGTCAAGTTCATTCCAATTGGCGCAACGATTTAATCGCCATCTTCTTTGCCTTGGACTGCTTTGCTCCGTCCACTTTATGATTCTTTCCAGCTTATCATCAGAGTCTGCATTCACCCTGGGGACATGTGCTGGCCTGGCTCAGCGTGGCCGTTCAAGAAAATATAGTCCTTGCAGCGTGTTCGGAACGAAACGGGACAGTGCCCGTTCGTGCGCATTCACATCAAACACTGCTTCTTCATAGAGAACGAGATGCTGGGGGTGTGTGACATGTTCCGACCACGGCAGGTTGTTGTCTGAGCGGGACGATGGGACCTGTTGTTTACAGTCGGTCAGAAAGAAACGGGACAGTTCCTTCCTGGCTTCAGTTCTCTGAACCCCGCTGACTGACTTGTAGGCCCAGCGGGCAGGCCGTGAGATTGTTTCCCGTCTTGGTTGGCAATCGAGTGGTTTTGGTTGGTTTGGGAAGCATGGTCTTGAATACACCCGGCCGATCTCCTGTGGCGATGATCGACTGGCATACCGAGATCATGTTCCTTGAGGCATTGATGTCTCGATGTGGGAGTGTGGTGGATGCATTCGACCCTCTGCACAGCTTCATGGTTTCTCGATATCAAGATGCTCAGCCTTCTCGAGTCGCTTGGCTTCCCGACAATGTGAGCACACCTGTGATGTGTTGAACTCGTTCACCGAGCACACATGGATCTTGGAGACGGATCGGTCTGGTGGGCGTCTCTGGTGGTGGGTGAACTGCTCAAAGTACTTGGCAAACCTGAGCCTCCTGGGACTGGATGCGTATCCCTTCCCTTGCTTCCACAAGGCATTCCCAAAGACAGCCACCACTTCGGTCTCCTTGGACATACTTGCTTGGCCATGAATGCGATGAATGGGTGGGTGTATTCAGGTTCCAGAAAACACACTGTCCTGGTTAAAAACGGGGTGTCCCATTTCATTGTGGAAACGCTGTACCAGGAGGCACTCGACATCAAGATCAAGATCTATGGCACACGAGAACACCCCTCAGTTGCCGCCACTTTACACGAAATATGCAATGTAAAATCACTCCGGTTTGCCGACGAGGCAACAATCAAGCACTAACAGGAAGCGCTTGACAACTTCACCATAGGCTATCACGCTTGTGAGCATTCTCACATTGGGTTGGCTCTTGATGGACTTTGTGAAGCAGCTCCTGACCAAAATCGCAACGACGATGCTGTCAAATACTCTAGCGAATCGATCGATATTTACCATAGACCATGGCACTCATGAACGTGTAGGTGTTGCTACAGCAGTTCACAATCTTGCAATCATCTCCCTTGACAACGGCCGTATCGATGATGCAGCCAAGTATTACCAAGAGGCGCTCGAGATTCGCACCAAGCTGCTCAAATCAAGAGAACATGTTGAAATCGCCAAAACCATCCGTGTTCTGGGGGAAGTCGCCACAAAGCAGGGAAGATGCGACGAGGCTCTGTCCCTGCTCCAGGAGCCAGCGTGTGACCGGCGCTGGCGTCATCATGAATGCGACGCCGCAGCTTTTCTTTTGGATCCGCTTGCTTGCCAACGCTGGAGCTCCCTTCTCTTGAGCCCGTATCTTCCCGAGCCTGCATCTCGCCGCTCATTCCGCCGACAACCTCTCGTCCCCGCCCATGACTCCCGCCGGCACACCAGCGCCATTCAGCGTACAGCCGATCGACGGGCTGGTGCTCTTCCAAGACTTTATCTCTCCCGAGCAGGAGGCGGATCTCATCCACAACCTCGACTCGCGGCCCTGGGCTGGAAAGGGTGTGCCTCCCAACGCTGAGCTTCGCCGGCGGACACAGCAGTACGGCTTCCTGTTCTCGTATCGATACCGTCGCATCGAGGAACACACCGGCGGGCTGCCCGAGTTTCTGCATCCCGTCGTCAGCCAGATCCAAGTCCTGCCCCCGGCCCCACACCACGAATACGAGTCCAAATCAGCGCCTAATTTTCTCGTCGTGAATGAATACGAAGTCGGCCAGGGCATCATGGCGCATACGGATGCAAGTCTCTTTGGCGAGACGATCTGGGTTGTTTCGCTGCTGTCAAGCTGTGTGATCTCGTTCTTCCGGGATGACCGCAAGGTCGACGTCCTCCTTCGTAAGCGATCTGCGTCTGTGGGCTGGCCATGTGCGCATGAATGTGCCGAGTGGGTGCTTGGCAGGTCTCTCGGGGTCTGGGATCGCTGTTGCTCGCCCTCTCTGCCTGCATCGCTCTGACGACTCGGCTTCGTTGCTGCCCCGCCGGCTGCCTATTGCTGTGCACAGCGCCTCGCTCGTTGCTGATCATGAGCAGGGAGTCCCGATTCGCTTGGAAGCACGAGATCTCGAAGCAGCCGATCGACTACTATGACGACGTTCCGATCGAGCGATCTCGGCGGGTGTCGCTTACGTTTCGCTCTGTGGATGTGAACGGCGTCGGAGCAACGACCGATTGCCGGCTGGGTGCTGATCCGGGCTCGCCGGGTCCTGTTGCTGGAGATCGGCAATAGACTTCCGTCATATCGAGTCCCGAAGCGATGCACTGAAGGGTTCCCAGAATGAGCTGTATTCAACTGTCCAAAAAGCAACGGCGGCTGCGTCCATCAGACAAGCCCCGCCCCATCATTCATCCCCACACAGTTCGCTCTGTAACTCCGAATCGCAATAAATTAGAGGGGCTCGTTAGCATCACACAGGCGCTCGGATGCGTCCACCCGTGGGTGCCAAGCACAATAACAACGAGTGCGGGAAAGGCAGATTGTTTGCAATATGGCGCATGAAGAAATAACGAAAGAGAGAGAGAGAGGGAGAGAGAGAAAATCAAAGCAAGAAAAGCGGATGTAAATTGTAGCAGCTATCGCTGTGGTCAACTAGTGGTAGTGTAGTAGTAGTAAGTGCACATGGAGAAGGCAGACGTACAAAAATGAGTCTATGGGGGGGGGCACAGGAGGTCGGAGGACGGGTCCCTGGGCTTTATGCTTCTGCTTCGGGCTCTTCGTCGTCAGTGTCTAGTACCTGGATCGGGCTTGCTGCGGTGTTGTGGCTCGTTGCGATATATGAACTGTCGTTTTGCTGGGTCGGTGTGCTGGATGCGCTGCCTCGTGCTGCAGACGATGGCCGCGAGGGGTACAGTCGGCTGGCGGTGCCGCCGTGGCCACCGCTTGTCCTTGGCGGCTGGGTGGGGTCCTCGGACATGGCTCGCGGCGAGTCCAGAGCACTTGTATCCGCTTCTTCGCTGCCTATGTGATCAAAGGGCGAACTCTCTGCTCCGACCATGGGATCGTCGGCAACATTGGAGGGCGTCGACACGGGCTCGCTTTGGTGTGCGTGACGAGAGCGCCGGGACCGACTACCGGATGTTTGGTGCAGGAACTGACTCGCCAGGAAGCTGGCTGAGGACATGGCAGCCGTGGCATCGCTGGTCTGTCCAGGGAATGGGGACACCCCGGCGCTTCCCTGAGTCGAGGCAGCCTTGGCGTGGGAAGCGGATCCATTGAATCGCTTGTGTATCGACGCGTGGCCCTCGGCGATAGGGATGCCACTTCTCGCAGAAGGCGTGCCCCTACGGGAGGCGGTCATGAACTGGGCCATCTCCTGCGCATGTTGTCCCATGGCGGCATGCCAGAGAGAGCTGCTATCTGTTGGGTTGGCGGCAGTTGCATCGCTCAGTCCGGAAGGGCCAGCTGCGGACTGGTGTGCGGCGGCACTTGATCCTCCGGCGGCAGTTTGGCGGCTTGAGGCGCCATCGGGTACACTGAGGGCGCGAAGTGTCCATTCTTGCATCGAAGCATCGTGGGCGGCATTCGGGGGGCGCATGGGCATCAACAGAGGCTGTCCGAACATGGCATTGAGCTTGGCACTGCCGTGAGGGCCGTACGAGGTTCGTGGTCGACGGATGTTCGCTGCAGCCGCATGTGCAGGATGTGCAATGAACGTTCCATATGCGCTGTTCGCTGATGGAGCCGACTGAGGGGCGGCCGACGGCTGGACAGGGCTCGAGCCGCTTGCAGAGGGCTCGGCATTTGGGTCTCCGTGCAGCGGCATTCCCCGGGTGATTCTGCGCATGGGACGATCCAGCTGGTTCAGCAACGCCGCGTTCCTGGCAGCGAGCCCAGACCCATGAACATGGGTATGGGTATGGGCATGGGCATGGGCATGGGCGGAAGGCGGGCCAGCGGCGAGGCCACCACCGCCCCCGTGGCCTCCATGATCGCCGTCGTTTTCGCCAACAGAGCCGCCATCGGCGTCACCGTCGTGGTCGTCGTCATCGTCGCCTGTCTCGTCGTCGGGTGCCGACTCGGAATGGCGGTCGCCCATGCCTTCGACTTTCTCGCCAGGGGTGATGCCTTCGTCAAAGTCCAGGACCTCAAACCAGGTGCGCTGCTGGTCCTTCTGGACGGCACACACCAACCTGCGCTCGTCCATGCGGACCCTCCATACGCCGGCAACGTCGCTGATCAGATCTCGAATGAATCGGCCGTGGACGACTCGGTCTTCAGAGAAGGGCCCATTGGAGGGGTTGGAGGCCGCGCCGTCCTTCTTGGGTGAGCTGCTCTCGCCTCTAGCACTGGGGCCCGCCGACGACAGCTCCCACACCTTGACGCCGCCATCCGAGCCCGAGACGATGCGGTTGAGCTTGGGATCGTGGTGGAAACACGTTATAGCGGCGCTGTGGCCCGTCAAGGTCGCTAGGCATTCGCCTGTGAGCGGGGACCAGATCCGGAGGGTCGAGTCTGCCGCGGCCGAGACCACGTAGGATGGAGAGAGCTCGAGCAGACCGACGAGCGAGGCGTGTCCTGAGCAGCAAAATGCGACCAGTGGCACGACAGCAGCAGGTCGGATCGATCGATCGATTTGGGAACACAGACAGACCGAGGCGGTGGTGTGAATGAAAATAGAGGGCCAGGCGTTAGTACCGAGAATAGGACCGCAGCGGCGAGCAGCACACAGCCTCGAGCGACACAGCAGCGGATGCACACATCGGTATTGCTTCAGGTTTCGGGGCAGTGCAGCGCCAGTCCGTGCTTCGTCCAGCGCCACTACTTACGCTCAAGGGAAAACAGAGCCGCGCCCGTTTTGGTGCACCAAACTCGCACGGAGGCGTCCATGCTGCCACTCACGGCTCGTTGTAGCTCGTGGGAATAGCCGACACTATACACCTTTTCGCGGTGGCCGGTAAAGTGCCAGATCTGCCGACCCTGGACGACGTCCCAGACGCGAACAGACGAGTCGTAGCTCCCGCTGACGAGAATGTTTCCGTAGCCGGCGATGGCGCGGACCGAGCCACTGTGGCCGGTGAGCACATGCATAAAGTATGGGTTCGTGGTGGCAGCGGCGGCTCCGTTGGCATGTGCCTCGGGCAGATGCGGCGGGTCGACCTTGGGGTCTGGCAATCGCCACACCCGCAGAGTCGCGTCTCTGGAGCCCGTCACAATCAGGGGTACGGCGGGCTGGATGTTGCTCTCATCGCCGTTGACAGGAGAGGGTGTGAGGATCGTGAGACAGCGCACGGTGCTTGTATGGCCCTCGAATATGTGGGTGCATTGCCCCGAGTCCATGTCCCAGACCCGGACGCTGCGATCGGTTGAGCCGGAAACCAGAACGTGCTTCCAATACTGCAGCGCCCAGACACCGCCGTCATGGCCAGAGAGTCGGCGAACCATATTTCCGGTCTTGGTATCGTATATGTGCATCGTCTGGTCGTCAGAGCCCGACACAATCTTGTCGGTATCGAACTGCAGGCAAGTCACCACGCTTGTTTCGTGTGCCGGGAAGGAGATTTGCTTGTAGCGGCCGTGTAGCCAGTTTTGACGAATGGTGTGGTGGCGCCGGTTCAGTCGCTTGTACAGTCCCGGCGGTAGGTCAGCGGGCCCGTCGGCCTCAAGCTCATCGCTATCCACGACGGGCGATACGGGGGTATCCGAGAATCGGGTCGGGTGTTGGGATGTCGTTGGGGCGACGCCCTTGTGTTCGACGACGTCGACCATCAGGTCGTCGTTGACGTCGGGTGAGAGCGCCGTCGATCCAAGCGGCAGCTCGACTTCCATCCCGTCGGCTGAATCCGAGTTGATTGCGACAGACTTGCCCTTGCGCGCTTTCCGCTCCTTGATTTCCATCAGCCGTTCGAGGCGATGCTTGCGGACCTCAGACTGGATTTCCTCCTCGTTGTACCACAGCTCGTCCATCAGGCGGCGCTTCCACACCGCGCGCTCGGCACCGGGGCCATCGAGGACGGCCTTCCATCGCTTCGAGACGCGGCAGCATCGGCCCATGGTCCTCAGGTCTAGATAGCCCATGATCTGATAGCTGATTTCGGCAGGAAGGAGGCCAAAAAAGTCACGCTTGAAGGTGGGCTGGATCACTGTCGAGACAAAACGGAGGACCGGCATCTGCGAGCGCTTCAGCAACTGGAAAAGGAGATATGACTGGAGTTCGTGCGGAAGCGTGTCATAGAGAGAAACGACATAGGGAATGTCCAAGAGCGAGGCGCTTGCCGGCTGGGGAAGCTTGCCACTCAGGGGCTGGCTGGAGGCGGCGAGCGAGTGGCTTGAGACAGGAGGCTGGAAGTCCTCGGGCAGAGTTCGGATGGTCGTGGGGGAGAGCGTGGGGCTCGGTAGTGTTGGCGAGTGGGGCCAGTTCGAGTCGCTCGAGGGCGATTTGACATCTTCGGACGGGCTGCCGCCGCTCACTTTCACGGCCGGTGTATACCGCTGGCCCAGCGCAGCATGCTGGCCGAGAGGCGCGGGGCTGTGGGTCCATGTGGGGATTGCATGGGAGTCGGGCTGGCCCATCGAGCCGGTGGAGACATGGCGCTTGTGTGAACGGGGAGCTGTACTGACATCGACGCCTCGGTAGGATGTGGAGGAGGCACCCAACCGGTCGTGGTGACCCAGCGTCGACGAGCGCAAGGATGCGGCCTCGTGCGGGGCCTGGGGGATGGCCCCGCTTGAAGACGAGGTGGAAAAGCTCGAGAGCATGCTGGTTTCGCCGTCCGAGTCGGAGGACCGTTTTCGCTTGGACACCTTTCTTGTTGACGCCGACAGCGAGTCGACGTAGCTCTGGTGCTGAGTGTGGTGCTGGGGATGGTGGTGCTGAAGTTGTGGCGCAGGGTGGCTGCTGGTGTTCTTGAGGCTTGTGGTCTTGACTGTTTTCGAGCCAAGGGGGGTATTGTATTCTCGCTCAACCTGCCCGCGCCAGGAGCAGAGGCAGAAGGGGGAATGGCAGCAGGAGTGGCAAGCACGGGGTGAGTCAGTGACAAGCTCGACTGCGGGGCCGCACGGGCTGTGCTGGCAGAGCGCCTGGGGAGGGCGAGGGGACCAGAGGGATCCAGTTGGGAAGGCGTCGGACCAGCTCACAGACGGACGACGATGCCGATGAGCCTTGGACGGGCGGTTCCCAGCCAAAGCAGAGCGAGGCTCGCGAGAACCAAGGACAGAAAGGGAAGATGACAGCGACGCTGACCCAAGGCGCACTCACCTCTTGCTTGCTCTTGAGCTCCTTGAATTCGAACGGTACGCCGCCCAGCTCAAAGGCAAAGTTTTCCAAAATATCGGGAGTCTCGGCCGTCGCCAGCGGAAAGGAAGACAGGTCCACGCCCGAGGAATTCGAGTGTAGTGGCGGAATGACGATGGGAGGAAATTTTGTGGTTTGGGTGGTGGTCGTTGTCACCACGGTCGTAGTAATGGAGTGGGAGCCGAGCGTGAATTGCGCGAGCGACGATCCAGCCGGCAGCGGCGAGGGCTGCTGGGAGATGGTGCTCTGAGAAGTGGGTTGGGAGTCCATGGTGTAATGCAACGGAATGTGAGCCAACAGACAGACGGGTGGCGGAAGCGGGTCCAAGAGGGCAGCCGAGGCCGCAAGCCCAGCGGCGATAGTTTGGGTTGGGCGGACAGGGGAAGGTGAAAGCGAGTCAGCCGAGAAGAGTCGACGTCCGAGAGGCGACGGAATGTCAGAATAGCCGGCGCCAGAGTCGAGAAGGAGGATTGTCAAGGACGGCAGCAGCCAGGATCAGGAGGCAGAAACAGGCACGACCAACGGGAGGGGAAGACACTGAAGGCGGATGCGTATGTACAATAGAGAGAGTGAGAGCGTGGAAATGCGAGGATATCTACAGGCCAAAAACGGTGGGCGGGGATATGATACACATGCGCGATGTGTATGGGAGGGGGGGTTGGGTCGGCAGAGTATCGAGAGGGGAGGGAGAAAAGGCGAGATCAGAGAGCCAAGCGAGCGAAATTCAAGAGATTCCGGGAGGATGCCGGCCGCTTCTTTGGTGGACCAAGCCCGACAGCGAGAGCAGCCGAGGCGGGGGGCGAGCGAGAGCACACAGACAGCGCACCGACAACAGAGCGAGAGCGCGGGCAGGGGGCTCGGCGACACAGCGCCAACGCGAGCGGCCGTCCTTCCGCCGAGATTGTGGGTCTCCTTGCTCGACGACCAGGACGGAGAGCGGCAGCAGAGGAGGGTGGCGGACAGAAGCGAGAGAGGCGGCATCACAAAGGAGCAGATGACAGCAGACGAGAGGCCGGCGACCGAAAAACGGCTGCAATTGCCGCCCCGCTCCCAGCTGCAACCAAGGCAAGGGATCGCGGCCTGGGCTGGGAAAGGCAGACGGACAATAGTACACCCGGCTGCAATCCCACGGCCTGGCGAGCAGCATGGCATGCCGATGCAACCAGCCAGCAGCCAGCCAGCAGGCGAGGCCGCATGGCCAGAGCAACCGTGTGTCTGTCCCGCTCCGTCTCTGAAAGCCAACCAGACCCAGCCAGGCCCGAGCGCCAGGGCACGACGCAAACGGAAAGCACAAATAGTAAGGGAGGGGGAGGCAGCGCCGCAACAAGACCATGCCGCCCTGTAATGCCTGCCGCCTGCCTGTGGGTGATGGGAGAGGCCGGCCATCATACGAGACAGACAAGGCAACAGCAGACAGAGACCAGGGCGGCTGGGATGAACGCAGGTCGCCGCGTGTCTGGGAGTGGGTGGGCTGCCGCCTCCGTGCATGATCGCCGGTGTGCTTGCTCGCCGGCTCACGGCTCGATCACGTCTGGGGTGCGAGCAGAGCGAGAACAGAGGGCATTCCCCGTCCGCGGGATTCGCGATCGGCGGAAGGGAGAGAGGCCACAAGAGGAAGAAGGGGCTGGGTGTGGCCAGGTGCTGAAAGAAGCAGATGGAAATGGTCGGAGGCCAATCTGATTGATTCAAAAAGACGACCTACCTCGACAGTGTCTTCACCAAGACAACGTTGCGCTGCAGATCGCACCGCAACTCCAATTCAGTCCAGAGTCGAGCTCGGGAGTACTTGCCGACAGATCAGACGAGATCAGATCAGACGAAATCAGACGAGATCAGAGGGCCCGAGACGACTGCGACTTGAATACAGGCAGGCAGTCGAGAGAGAGGAGGGAGAGGCGCCAAAGCCCGGGAAGAGTGAGGCAAGTAACGATGGAAGCCTGGGCCGACGGGTGTCGAGACGACGGTGCTGGGAAACGACAGGGCGAGGGTCGAGGCGGGGGGCAGGCCGTGGACTCCCACGACCAGCCAGCACCTGAGCCGGAGCTCGGCCAGCGGGCGGGCGGGCAACCAGGCGGAGGGCAGCCGACCAAGTCTCGCCTCCCGCCGCACTAGTCGCTCTCGGCTGAGGGGGGGTGGAAGGCCAGCGACGACGCCGGCTCAGGTGCGGCTTGTTTCTTCTGCTTGGCATCGGAGGGGAGTTGCTGCCAGGGTCCGTGATTGTCTCTTCTCATGTTTCCTCCGCCGACACGATCCCGAGGGAGCACCTGGGGACCAGCCATCGCCCGGCCGCCGCGAGTGCAGCCGTGCAGGCTCGAGGGCTCTTTCCTGGAGTTTCTTGCGGGCGGAGGACCAGTCAACCGGCTGTGGTCGCTGCGAATTTGCAGCACTTACTGCGCCGAGCATGTAATGTATTCAGGAGCCAGAAAACCAATACCGGCCGCCTATGAGCATGGAGTGTGCCGCCTTGCATTGAAAGCGTTGCAGAAAGCAATGAGGCCACGAGCGTTCTGCATACGACACACTCCGATGCCGCTGCACAGGCGCGGCGTCACCGTTCGAACGACGTTGAAGCCACACGAAGGCCCCTGCCTGAAACAAAAAAAAAGAAAAGCAAACAACAGTCGAGATATACGAGATAATAGAGGATGCGGGGCGCACGACACCAGAAACGAGGGGCTTTTTCAAACGGCAGATTGGGCTGATGTGGACTGCGCCATGCACTAGAGCTTGAACTTGTCGAACTGGACATGGAGACTCAGTCGGTTGTCCTCACCAAGCTTTCCTGGCTCGGTCGTGGTGTCGGCGGGAACTCGGATAAATGCATTTGCCGGCAGGATAACACCGCGATGGTTCAGGAAATGCGTGTACAGGAACGAGTACGAGTCGATGGTGCGAATCCAGTCCTCAAAGCTGGTAGGCGAATGTCAGCAACGGGTCAATCAGCAAAGGCAACGGGGTCGAGCGTGGGATCTGCACGGCGTGCGGGCGGTCAGGCTACTCACATCATGACGGCCTCTTCGGCAGTGAAGATGGCCTGGTGAATGAACTGATGTTTCATCTGGCTTGCCTCGGTGTGATAGTCCTCGAACGAAACCAGGTGCTTGGATGCCTGGATGGTTTGGTCGGCATTGTATTCGGCATAGAGCACATTGTCGAGGATGAGGCCTGTAGCGGGGGCTTCGGGGATGTTGATCGTGGCCAGACCGAAGGAGTTGGCGATGAGAGAGCGGGGGGTATTGGTGCGGATGACCAAGATGGCCAGGGCTGGGGCAGCAGGGATATGCGGGATATTTAAAGGAGACAGAGTCTGCATCAGCCTGCGAGCAATCGAGCAATGGTGGAATGATGGAATGGAGCCATCGGATATGATACGCTGATGGAGTGGAGCCATCGGATATGATATGCTGATGGAATGGAACCATGCAGACGGGCGTGGTCGTGTCGCCACTCCGACAGACCGCTCTGGGCGGAGGTGGGGCTGTGGCTGCAATGACATGCGCCTGCAGAACTTGCATATACTTTGATCATCTCTGTGGTACGACGTTCAGTATGGCCTGCTACATACCCATCATCTTACGGATCTGGAAGCTCGCAAAGGCTTTGGCCTGGAACTTGACACGGATCCACTCGATGCCGTGGTGGATCTCGGGTGAACTGGCCTCGATCTGGAGAATGCGCATGTAACACCGCGAGTCGTCTGCAGAGGCGCCAGGGATGTAGTTATGCCAGTTGTGTGTGCCGCGGTAAATGGAGAAGATGTCCTCGAGGGTGCGGATCTGGTGGCCGGTGATGCGGTAGGCCTTGAGGGCGGCAAGCTCGTCGGCGCTGGGCTTGGGGATGGCAATGGGGTCGTAGTAGACCGGGGCGGCGCTTACAGGCTCGGGATTGTCCTGAGGAGGCAGCTCGTTGGTGCCCTTGCGTGAGAGCGTGCGCTTGATGGTTTCAAAAAGCTTGGCATCCGAGTGGGAGGATTCGTCGGTGGGGGTCTGAGGGATGGCCGTCGAGGTTGGGGCCTCCTTGGCTCGGCCCAGACTCTTGAAGAAGCGCGAAAAGGTACCGCCGCCTTCGTGCTTTGAGGGAGAGGCAGCACTAACGGCCGCCGGAAGGGCAGACAATGGTGGCTGCTGCTGCTGCTGTTGCTGCTGCTTCGAGAGAGACTTGGAGCGGCCGATGGTTCGGCCGCGGTGGAGAGTCTGGAAGAGCGTTTCGCCCTCCTCCCGGGTCTGGACGGCCGAGATATCCTCGTGGTTCTCGGGGTAGGGCTCAAGCAGGTCAAAGTGGGAAGCCGGTGGGGGCTTGGAGAGGATGTAGGTCGGGAAGACGTACTCGTATGTGCGAGCGTCGCAGCTGCGGCGGGCCGAGAAGACCGAGGCAATCTCAGTAATGCCATAGACCCGGATCGGATCGGGCAGGGCAGCGTTCACGGCCGAGACCGTCGGCAGAGCAAGCGAGCCGGATTGGCTGGTGACCTCGAGCGAGAGACACTGGCGAGCGGCGTGCTCGCCCTGCTCAGTCTTGGAGGCCCGAGATAAGTTGATAAAGGCGATTTGATGGGCTTGGGCGCCGCCGCTGCTGGAGACTACGGTGGCCAGGGCGTTCAGCAGCTCGCCTTCGATCGATCTCTGGGCGGACAAAGCCTCGAGGCTGGCGAACTCGGTGCCAAGGTAGCCGTACAGGATGGCCAGGGAGATGTGGGCAACGCCAGAGGCATCGACGACAGCGGGCATGTTGCGAATCGAGAAAGAGGCAGGCTTTGGCGTGACGGGAGCTGGCGAGGGAAGCCGGACGAGCTGGAGAGATAGACAGCGACTGAACGATAGGCTACAAACGGCAGTTGGTGCGGCCGGGTTGATGGAGCAAGTTGCAGGCAGCGCGATCGAGGGATAAGAGCAGAACAGAGCAGACAGGAGGCAGGCAAGGACGAACTGTGGCGGGGCGGGAGGCGACACGCCGATTGGCTGGCCAGTGGCACAAGAGAGAACGGCGACCGCGTGGGAGGACAAGTCTTGCCGGCGGTGGGACGAGGACGGCTGCGCACAGGCAGCCCACAGACGCGTGGGTGTATGGCCACCCTCTGGCCTGCTCAGCAAGGTGCCAGCCCAGCCGAAGCCAGAAAGTTTGCGGGAAGCTCAGAGTTGGTCGGGATGACAAGCGGGTCCACCGGTGCAAGCCCGTCGGCGCAAGCCCGTCGATGCAGGATCGGGCACCGGCGACATGTGACAGGCGAGCAGATCATTCGATAGCGGATATATGAGCGAAAAAAATCCAGCGGATCGAACTCATACGGGCCGCGACAGTCGGCCGGGCGGGTGGTCGGGCAGATCGATTGCTCTTGAGTAGCAAACGCCCTTCGCGGTGGATGAGCGCCGCCATCGGATGAGCAGCAAGCCGGAGAATGCCAAGAGAGACGAGGGCGTATGTGGCGGGTGACGAGGTCGAGCGTGCAGCTGGCAGGTGGCAAGATCGAGTGGCCAACTGCATATGGTCGAAGCGAATGCGGAGAAGGCTCCGGGCCACACCGGAAACGTCACAGCCGTTGGAAAAACGGCAGCTTTCGAGTTGTTCGGCGCGCCGGATCCATGTGAATTGCGTAGATGCCAAGGGCCCGTCGGCGATGACTCATCGTGGCGCCAGGACAGGCAACGCTCACGGCTGAAAACGATCTTTGGAACGGCTTGCCGACAGCGATCACCGTCAGCGATCGCCGACAGCGCTCATGGCCAAGTGACGCACGTCCGGCATTCATGCGTCATGCTCGGGCGATGCATTCCGTGCATTCCATGAAATCGCTCTGGAGCAGCCAATCGGCCGCCGCGGACACACCGCCACACGGCCAGCCACAGAGCGGCTGCACATGCACAACAGCATGTCAGTACAAGCACAACGGCGTGTCAGCGCACACACACACACAGCATCGCCACACCACAGTCTACACTGTGCTGCGCTGCTCTGCATTTCACTGTGGCACACTCGCACACTCTCCGACGCGTGCCCATGCCCAAAAGCGTGCAGGAAGACGCAAGGCGTCAGCCTGTGTCAGCTCGGTGCACCAATCAGCCGGCCTGCATGCGCGCACAGTCGCACTGCACGCGCGTTAACACGCTCCCACTCCCAGCCACCCGGCTCGCCACAGTCGCTGTCCATTCGCTTGCACTGTCTTTGCAGCTTGTCGCGCCTCCCTCCCACCACGCCGCCCAATAGCCCAGAGGCTTGCATTTCGTCGCCTGGCTGGTTCTTGGTCGCTTCGGCGGGTCTTCCTTCCTTCTGCGTCTGGCCGTCCTGCCGTCTGCATCTGCCACCCCTTCCATGCCGGCATCCCGTCTACGAAACCGACAAGACTCTCCGCCCTCGACTCTGTCTGCCTCGCCTGCGCCTGCGGCCTCCACCGGCCAAACGGCAGATACCGCTGCTGCCTCGTCTCTCTCGCCCACTCAGAGCGACAGCTCATCTCCGTCCGCTGCCCAAACGGCATTGTCCGGAACAGCAGCCGGCGCTGTTCCCTCTGCTTCCGCTCCCGCATCGGCGACGGCGGCGGTAACGGCAACAGCAACGGCAGCGGCGCCAGCCGATTCGCTCGATGATTTTGGCATCAGGATCCTTCTCTATGGATTCCTGCCGCTTCTGGGCCTGGGGCTGCTTGTCTTCTTGCTGTTGCTCGCATTCCGCTACTGGCGACAGCAGAACCGGGTGTCTTCCGGGTCCGGACGGCGCATGCCCGCACCAGGATCAAAAAAGCTTGTCGATATCGAAGGCAGTGCCGGCGAGCCCCCGGTCGGCTCTGGAGTTCGGATTCAAACGTCTGCTGCTTCCAGTGGCCGCGACGATGCCCAGTCGAGATTCGGACCCGCCGATCATCCGCCGATCACCCGCCTCAGCATCGCACCCTCGTCGGTGATGGACGGCTCCGTCCCCGAATATTCGCAATGGCTGGAGCCGGCACAGAGCAGCATATCGTCGTCGACTCCGCTGCATGGCCGGGTATTTGTGCCTCCCAGGCCCTCAATCGACATTGGCCAGGCTGCACCACCAAGCATACCGATGACGACCCTCCTTCCTTTGAACGGCGCGGCCGCTGCTGCCCCTTCGCAACAAACCGGCGGCAGTCTGCGCTTCATTCGAGATCCGATCAGCAAGGTGATTCGGCAGGTATCGGACGACCCCACTCCTGTTGCTCTGACAACAGTGGTGCCGCCAGATACAAGCTCGACCGAGGCAGGCTCCCGAGGCAAGAATGCCAGCAAGAAGCAGCCGCCTCCTCCACCGATCGTCACTACCGTCTCGCAGAAGCCGCAGAATCTCCAGCGCGGGGCGCTTGCTTCCCGGCCCCCTGTCGGCCCCCGGGCTGCAGAGGCCGGCACAGACCCGAAGCCCGTCGGCAATGTTGCCGGAGCCAAGGGCCAGCTGCTGTCGCCCAAGCACTACCGATCCGAGTCCGCCAATACTCTTCTGTCGACTCGATCCGAGCTCAAGCAAGACTGGAAGCTTGGCAACATGAAGTTCCAGACACAGGAGCAGAAGCTGGCCGAGAGGGAAGCTCAGGAGCGCGAAGAGCAGCAGAAGCGTATCTTTCAGCGGCAGCAGACGATTGTGCAGCCGCCAAGTCCCTTTGGCGAGCCAGCAGCTGTTCGAGAGAGCGTCATTTCGATTGTGCATCCCCAGCCTCTCAGTCCTGCCAATGTCGATCTGGGTACCGACGGCGCTGCGCATTGGAGTCCAAACGAAGTGCCCAAGACTGGGGATCAGGCCTTCTCGCTGGGCAACAAGGGACTCTGGTAGATTCCCAGCTGTGCCCCGCACGCCGGATGGATGTGCAAGCTTCTTTGCCGGCCACTGTCAAGCCGGGCGATAGCACCTCTACTCTTCATTCCCAAGCTCACCTGCTCACCTGCTCACCTGCTTACCTGCTCACATCCCCCTCTGCTCCCGTCCGTCCATCGTGTACTCTGTGGTTATCCTTTTTGTATTTCTATAGTGGCCCTCCCCCGCGGCACATTGTGCTTTCCCGGGAAGGACTTTGCCTTTTGCCGTACCATACTTATCCTTACTCGTTCGTTTGTTTGCCTGCATTGTCTATACATGGGCATCACCGTCCACCCTCTCCCATCCAAACTTCTCTCGAACCCCGCACGCCACATCTTCAAATTGACTCTACGACATTGCGTCATCGAGCCTTGTTTTGCTCTTCCAGTCTCCTGCCGTCTTTGCTTTAGTTTCTGTTCACCTGCTCCAATCCCATCCCATCCACCGTTCTCGTTATCCAGCTGGGCACATTGCTGTGCATCTCCGTTTCGCTTTGTGTCATTGTCCGAAGCCTGGGTCCTTTGCTGTGCTGCTTGCCTCTCCTCCCATCACATATCACCATGCGCCTGTGTTTCTCTCTCTCTCTCTCTCTCTCTCCCTTTCCTTTCTTTCGTCGGCATTCTTACAGTCAATCCAATAAAAACGGGACACCCGTGATTTTGACGATTGATCAAATATTTTGTTACCCAAGGCCAATGCACGATGGCCATGACCATTCTGTGATTTGAATCAAGGACGCCATTGTGGGAATCGCTTCCAGCTTCAAGACGCGCTGGATGAGCACCACACCAAGTCCCAAGATCCCTGGGTTGACTTCCTTCCTGCAATACATTCGCCATGTGTTCGATGGAGACATGTTGGAGAAACAGCTGTACTTCAGCCTGACCCAGCGACGGCGGTTCAAGCGACTCGATCTCCAGGTGTGCTCACATTGTCGAGAAGCCAAGCGACTCGATAAGGTCGAGCATCTTGATATCGAGAAACCACACTTGTCCGGAGCTGTGCAAGCTGCCATACGCTGTGGGATCGAGACATCAATGCAGCCAGGAACATGATCTCGGTATGCCAGTCGATCATCGCCACAGGAGATCGGCCGGGTGTATTCAAGACTGTGCTCCCGAAACCAACCAAAAACAAAGAGATTGCCAACCAAGACGGGAAACAATCTCCCGGCTTGCTCACTGGGCCTACAGTCAGTCAGCGGGTTTCAGATATCTGAAGCCAGAAAGTGACTGTCCCGTTTCTTTCTGACCGAATGTATCGTTCGCCTATCTAGAGCCTCCCATCCACCACATGCTTGGGCCTTGGTCGTTACCGCTGCTGCTGCTGTTGTGCGCGGCTTGCGTGTTATGTTATCATCCAGCCCAATCTTGTAGTCAAGCAATACATACAGCCGGACTCTTGAGATCGAGGCAGTGCGGGTGTGTCCAGTGTTGGTTGTTTTTGCTGCTGCTACTAATGATGATGATTCAGTGGGATCTCATCGGCTCGTCATGCGTCGACATTCGGCATTCGGCATTCGACATTCGGCATTCGACATTCGACATTCGGCTGGGTGCTGCGCATGTTCTGTGTCATGGATCGGAGTTGCGCTGCACAGACAGAAGGCCGTGGAATGCGATGGATTTCCTTCCTTGGCCGCTGGTGCCATGACATCGACGATATCGGCTGTCGGATGTCGACTGCCCTGGCTGTCTCTGCATGCCATCGTCGTATGCTGCGACTCCCGCCCGTCCATCGCATCTGCTCTTCAACCCGCCATCAGCCCAGTCCTTCCACTCCTCCGTCGATCGCCGCACCACCGCATCGGCCCGCACCGGCTTTGAGCTATTTCTGGCGGGGGCTTGTGTCACCGGTCTTCTCCATCCGTTTCCGCGGTCCTCCTGCGCTCCCCGCCCCCCCCCGAAAAAAAAGGCACAAAAGGCGATCGGGCTGCTGGACGATCGCTTTCGCCCCCCAGCACCTCTGCGCTCGCTCATTCGCCTCGTCCGTCTGTCTGGCTGTCGATTGCCGGTCGTCTGCCCGACACCCCTGCCGTGCACCGCATCCCCTTCCCGCTTCTCCCACCTTTTCTCCCAGCTTGCAACGCCGTCTGGTTGCGACCGGCCTCAATTCGCACACTCCCATCTGGATCCCGCTGGCTGCATCTCCTGCCCCCCCTCCTCCTTTGCTCGCCCACGCCAGCTCTCCCAACGCACTTCTCCCCTGTCTCGCGCAATCCTCTGCGATACACCCCACCCTGAATCAAGATGGACATCGATCATGTGTGCGTATTTGCCTCTGTTGCGGCAAGGATAGCCTCGACCACGCCCAAGACGATGGGCGGCTCCAGATACCGTGGTTCAACACGGGCTGCCAGTGTCATCGGCTGCTGGCTTCGGCTGCGTCCTGCGTCCGGATGGCAAGAGCAGGACAGGAACAGAGCTGCCAGTGCCGCTCTGGCTCACGTCGTGGCCCGGCAGCGATTCGGTTGCCGTCGCCATCGTATCGACCTTCCGGTGCTGGCGGGAGCAACTTGTCCATCCATCTCTTGCCCTAAAACCACACATCCTTTCCACTACTTCCCTCTACAGTGAACCCGAGCCGGTTCTCTCCGCTGAGGACTACAAGGCTCAAGCCAACACGGCCTACAAGAGTGCCGATTACACCACCGCCATCAAACTGTACTCGGAAGCCATCAGTAGGTGTCCGAGAATGCGCTGGAGGCGAGGACACTGCTCTGCTGGGGCGTGGGAGCGCATCGGACGTGCTGGTGGGCACCGCCGTGGCTCGTCGGCGAGTTGCTGATTGTTGCTGGCGATCGAGAGGCCGCAGTGAGCGTGTTGTGGTTGATGCCGAATTGGTCGGATTGGGCCGAATTGGCCCCCACAGTGCCCACACATGCCCCCGATCTGCTGAAGGCTATGGGCGCTGAGGACGATGCAGTCCGGCAGAGGCTCGGGCGTATCACCAATGTTTTTCTGTGGGGATGGCAATCCTGTGTATACGGGCGCTTCTGGCCGAAACGTGTCGATCCTGGGCTGAATCACCAACGATCCAGACCGAGTCGCTGACGGGGTTGCGTCTCTTTCCGCCTCTGCTGTCCAGAACTCGCCCCGGTCAACACAAGCTATTATGGCAACCGCGCCGCCGCCTTGGTGATGCTCAAGCGATACGACGAAGCCATCAGGGACTGCAAATCGGCAACCGAGCTCGATCCCCACTATATCAAAGCCTATCTTCGCGGCGCCAAGTGCAACGTGAATCTGGGCAACTTCACCCAGGCGAGCCTGCTGCTGAGCCAAGCCAAGGAGGTGTGCCTGAGCAACAACGATCTCCAAGTCAATCTCTCCGCCATCGAGAAGGAGGTCAGTCCAGCGGCTGGATCTCGATCCCTGGAGGCTGCAATGTCTCGCGCATCGCTGGCCGCGAGCTCAACGTGCGCAAACGGGCTTGGCCACCGCGACCTGCGTCTTCCCCTTCCACTGAAACCAATGCCCCGATATGACGTTTTGCAGATTGCCGCTCTGACCAAGCTCCAGGCGGCCTACGAGGGTGCTCGGTCACTCCTGGACCGGGGCGATTCCAACAAGGCTCTCGAGTCTCTGGAGGACGCCATGATCGTGCTTGAGCCCACGCTCAAGTCGTCTGTATCGTACACCAAAAGTAAGTACCGCTCGTCGCCCAGATCAGGCGGCATCCTACCCCAATTCCCAAACGCTAATTCCCAAACGCCAAGCGCAATCTCGATCCTGGCCACGCCGCCTCGTCCTAACAGTCTGTGGGTGCGCGTTCTGTTGCAGGCGCATCTCGATTCATCGGTGCCGATCTCAGCCCCATCCCCCCGAAATGGCGACTGCTGCGTGCCGAGTGCATGGTGGGCTGCAAGGAACTCGAGGAAGCCAACCGTGTTGTCTCGTACGTAGACTCTGCTGCAGCTCCATGGAAGCACCTGCGCTGCTTTGCGGCTGGGCTGTGTCCCCCAGGTCGCCCCTGGAGAGCCCAGTCAAGTGTCGATGTTTCCAGCCGATTTTACTTTGCATCGTATCTGATTGCCTCTGCTCTCCTCCGTGGCCACACAGATGGATTCTGATGGAGGACCGGTCCAACTCGGAGGCTCTCACCCTCCGCGCCTACCTGCTCTTCATGAACGACACTCAGACCGTCGCCCAGATCCAGCAGGTTCTGTCCAATGCGCTGGCATATGACCCCGACAACGCCAAGGCCCGTACCCTTCTGAAAAAGATCAAGCTGGTTGACTCGATCAAGAAGGAAGGCAACGATGCCTTTTCCAACGGGCTGTGGACCGATGCCGTTGATGCCTACACGCGCTGCCTGGACGCCAACACCGACGGAGGCATCGTGCGCGTGAAGGTTCTCAGCAACCGCGCTAACGCCAAGAGCAAGGTAAGCACCAATCGATCCCCGCGAGCACCTGGACAGCGGGGTGTTTGCTCGTCAAGCGGCCTCGCCATCGATTGCTTGCAAAAAAAACACTGTAACTGAGTCTGTGAATGGGTTGTCATGGTGGACTCGATAGCTCGGAAACCACGGATCGGCTGTTGCCGACTGCTCCGAGGCCCTCAAGCTGCTCGAGATTCTGTCGTTCCCTGGTTACTCGGAGGACTCGCCCGCCTCTGGCGAAGACATGGGCAACTCCATCCAGTCGGGCTTGTTCCTCAAGCTGCTTCTGCGACGAGCGGATTGCTACATGAAGCTCGAGAGCTACGAGGAGGCTGTGCGCGACTATGGAACCGCCGGCAACGTCAATCCACAGGACCACCGTACGTATCCGAGCCGTGCTCTCCACACTGCACGCCATCGAGCGCCCGTGTGGACCTCGGTTAAGGGCTCACCTGACGAAAAGTGCGCATACTCGCAACTCACCCATCTCCCTGGCTGCCTTCATACCCCAGAGATCAAGAGTGCCCTGCGAAGTGCCCAGCAAACCCTCAAGCAGTCCAAGAAGAAGGACTACTACAAGATTCTGGGTGTGCAGCGATCGGCCGACGAGAGCGACATCAAGAAAGCCTATCGCAAGATGGCCCTGCAACACCACCCTGATAAGAATTCGGGTCTGTCGGAGGAGGAAAAGTCGCTGGCCGAGACCAAGTTCAAGGAGATCAGCGAGGCCTACAGTGTGCTGTCGGATCCCCGGAAGAAGAACATGTTCGACTCTGGCATGGACATTGACGGCTCGTCTGCCTCGGACGGCATGAACGGCTTCAGCCCGTTTGGCGGCGGCGGCGGCATGCACGGCATGCACGGCATGCATGGCATGCAGGGTATGGATCCTGAGATCCTCAACATGTTCTTTGGCGGCGGCCGGATGGGCGGCCAGGGCGGTTTCCGATCCAACTCGGGATATTCGTCGCAGGGCTTCTCGTCCCAGGGCTTCCCCTTCTAGGCCAAGTGGCTCCCTCCCCCTCCCTTCCCCACTCCAAGGCGTTGTCAGCAGCGGCCATCCACGCCGTCCTGTCCATATCTCGGTATCGTTCACATCCAAGGCGCAAATGCACATCGCAAGCTCGATACTCTCTGCTCTTTTCTACCTCCTTTTCCATGCTCCACCGCTCCCCTCGATAACTGGCATGTGCATGTTTCTCTTTCTGCGCGATCTTGCCTCTGCCCTTTGCCCCTCCTGTATTGATGCGCATGATTGCTCGCTCGCTCGCTCGGGTGGACGGCCCCCGGCTGCTGGATTCTTGCGATCCACTCTCAACACATTGAGCAGAGACTTGGTTTGCTGGATACCGGCTTGGCCAACCTGTATATTTTGGCACGATGTAGAATGAAATGCAGACGCAATTCCTCTGGGCCTCGATTGCATGCGCGGCTTGTTGGCTGGATGGATGGATGCGGCCACCGGCGATCGCCAAGACTGTGTTGCTGGGGCTGGACCCGCAGCCACATCAAAGAACCATGCCAGAGCACCATGCACGGGAGTCTCAAGCACAGCCTATATACTGGACCAAGTATAGATGGTGTTGTATTTTGGGTACCTCGACTGCAGCAATCAACCCATCCAAAGAACCATCCGCCTCCATCTCCGCTCTGCCTCACAGCCCTCGCCGTGGTGTATCAGGACAAGCGACCTTCCTGGGATCGCAGAAAAGGGAGCCAGGACGGCACTTGCAGGCATTTGAGGGGTAATCGCGGAGCACGAAGTTGTCGACGATGGCTGCAGACGGCGGCTCTGACGACACTGCCGTGTCGAGGCTTTCACTTTGCAAACGAGGACTCGGCCGGGATTGCAGCCGAAGGATGCTTTGACTCCATGTGCTGTACTAAAATTTTGTAACCTGGCATGGCGATCTGAGGGGCGTGGGGGAGAGAGATGTGGGGGAAGGGGTCGATGGACGTGAGTCGAAGGACCGGACAGTGTTCGAGGCTTGTGTCGCGCTGTGTCGATTCTATCATGGAATGTTCAAGCGAGTACCGCCAATTTCGTTGGCCAGTCTCGCACGGTGTGGGGTTCAGAACGATAACGGCCATCCACTCAAGACAAGATCGTACCTTGCATGAGGGGCAGATGATCTTGAGGCCCTCGGCGCGGGCCTTGAGCTGGCTTTCGCCACCCTTCATAGCCTCGGCCTTCTTCTGGGCCTTTTGTCTAAACCACATCCGTCGGGATCGGCGGGTGCGTTCGGGTTTGAGCCCGAGCAACGGGGATGATGATCATTGTGGTGACGGGCCAGTGTTCAGTTCAGTTCCCCGCGATTCAAATGCCCGAGATTCCATAAGGATACAAGGGGTCCGTTTGATATGTGGGTGGGATTGGGGCGGGGAGGGTGTCGCGGGAACAGCGGCGCATCGTTTGCGCCAGGTCGGCAAACGGCAGCCAGCAGAGAGAAGAGAGTCGGACGGGTTAGCGACCAGAGTGGAAGTGCAAGACCTTGGTAGCGCTTTGCGATGCAGCACGAGACGGCTAGCCAACTGCCGCCAATGCAACGAGACATCGGTGTGGCGTGCACGGGACAAAGCACTCTCTAGAACATGGTCAAGCAGCTGCAGAGTCATGGAGGGCTGCTCAGCTCAGGCCAGCCCAGAGGTTTGCTGTTGGATTGTCGACCGCACCTGGCTTGTTCCTTGGCAGCACCGCGGACCATGATGCGACTGGACCGGCCACGACAGGCGGCGAGAGTTGGAGCGGGACGGCGTCAGTTCGGCGTGGGGAGCAGCGGATACGCTCCGTCCAACGAAAGCGGCGCCCTACCTTTGCTATCGAGGCAGCAATCACTCCCAAACGGACGGCTGGGTGCTCTGAAGCGGATGCAGGCGAAAGCGGCCAACGGGCAAGCCAGAGCCAACCACTGCCGACCACTGGCGAGCACAGGCAGCCAATCAGCCGGCTGCGGCTGGGAAAAAAAGCCGCAGAGCCCTTGCCCTGGGGGTGCGTCCAGCCCCAGCCCCAGCCCCAGCCCTAGTACTCCCGGCTGCCCAAGCGCGCGGCTCGAAAAACAGCAAAACGCAACCCCGGCCTGGCCATCTCACTCTGCATCTCCTCTGGCCTTGGGACCTTCCTGCCGTCAGCGCCGCCTCAGTCTGCCCCTCCCCCGCCGGAACTGCCCGCCGACCCCTTCTCCATCCACTCCCATATACCGACATGTCCTCTCTGCCCAGTGAAGAAATCCTGGCCCGAAAGGTTCCGCATCGACATCCACCCATCCACCCATCCACCCATCCACCCATCCAACCATCTATCGTGCATGCTGGCGACGAGAGTCATATTCGATCCTGCCCAGAGAGCTCTTTCGTGCAACATGCCTCGGGCTGGCTGCGACCAATGTTTCTCGCCATGGCCGCTGTGCTAACCAGCTTAAATCTCTCTTTGATCTCTTTGGGCGGCGGCGTCGATCGTTATGAATCCGCGCTCGTCGATTGTTCCGGACCAACGGGAAACGCCATCGGATTGCATGCGACATGCGGCTGGATCTGATCTTGGACGGGGCACGGATCGAACACTACTCGGATGAAACTGGCTGCTGAAAATCTCGATTAAATACCAAACTGTGGATTTGCTGGCACACCACCCTGGCTCAACGCTCTGGCCCACCACTCTGCACCTCAACATGGCAACACAATCATCGGCTGATGTGAACTCTTGGTCTGGGCACTCGCCTTTCTCGACGGGCGATATCGACGGCCATTCGATGATGACTCGCACTGTAAACCGACGATCTGTCGGCTGGTTCGGCAATCCAGTGGGATCGATGCCTGGCCAACTATGGCCAGAAGGCCGCCATTGGACTCGCCGTCGGCATTGGCCTGTCCTTCCTGTTCTTCAAAAGTACGGACAGTCTTCGAACTACCGCTGCTGTATCTCAGTGTTCATCGTTGCTGTATCCCAGTGTTCATCGTTGCTGGATACGAGGTGCTCGTCTCTTAGGTAGGCACTGATCCCAGTATCTGTCCCCATGATTCCTCCCATACAGGACGAGCCTGGCCCTTGGGCTTGGGTGTCGGTGCAGGACTGGGTAAGTGACTGGCTGACAGGATGGCCGCTGTCCTGATCGACTGCAGGCTCTTGTCACTGGCTGGTTTAGTTTGGTTTGATATGATGTGATGACGAATAGACTAACGAGTTGGCTGGACCCGCGATCTGATCTACAGGCATTGCTCACTCCGAGTGTTCAAGGTGGGTGAATGCTTCAGCGGATCGGATGCGATGTTAACCGATGCCTATCCCAGCACCGCTTGTGTGATCTCCACCAGCTCTGACGCTATCCAATCTTGCCTCTCTGTGGCTCCCTTGGTGACCTCTGTCGGCTGCTGATTTCGGCGGGGTGTGATGTGCAACTTTCTATGGCCTCTGGGCCTTCACTGCATCATCAACTACGTGCGATCGCAGAGCCTTCAACCCGGATCTCCAGATCGGACAGACCTGGAAGAAAGCCTAGATCGGCCCAGCAAGCCTGTCCTTGTTGCGTCCCGCACACCGATATCGACACAATACACTGCCGTACCAACTTTGCAGCACACGGTCCGATATGCGAGCGAGGCCATGTGCACATGTCGATTGTGCAGGTCGATGTATCCATGTCTACCAGCCCGCCTATCGATTGTGGCATTGACGGATCGCGGTGCAGAAAGTGCCCCGATGCCGTCGCTATACCTGCAACCTGGTCGATGGTCTTTGCTTTGGCTTGGCAGGAGCTGTGACTGAACATGGGGCTCGGCTGGATCTGGCTCCATTCGGGTCGCGAGAGCCCACAGGCAGCGGCGATAAGCCTGTTGGCCCCAGGATGCGAGCGGGGAAGGGCGGGACATGCCGCCACGGCAGATTGGATGACTCCAGGCGACCAGCGGAGAGCGGGCTTGGGTGTTGGCGGGAGACTGTGGCAATGCTGTCGGAATATCCGGGAGAGAAGACCAGGGAGGGACCTCTGGCTGACAGTCCTGCCGCTGCAGACAGCAAGGATTCCGTGCGGCCCTTCGGCGTGGGAATCGGGGGTGGGTCGTTGGCTGGCCGAGATGGCAGTCTGGGATGGCTGGTGGTTGGCTGAGACGGTTGGCTCGTGGGCTGACGATTTGGCGAACGACATGCAACGCCGGTATTGGCGCTATCGACACTGTCGACGCTATTGGCATCGACACCGTCGATACCGTCCCATCGCAACCACCGTCGACGCACACCCCGGCACATCGTCGACCGACTCCCCTCGTCGACACCCGTCCTCGGCTTCGGGCGGATCGCTGCGGTCCAGGCGGGTTGTGGCTTTGGGCCTTGTCCCGCGGGGCGCCGTCGCTGGCTCACGATGGCTCATCGGGCCCAACGCCCGCTTCCGCCTGGCCCATCGCCAACTCGATTTCCTCGATTTCCACCGGGCTTCGGCTCGCCCTCCCGCCTGGCCAGCCTGTTGCCGATCTCGAATCTGCGTCTGCTGGGGCACCGGCTTGGTTGTTGCTCAGCGTTGCTCAGCGTTGCGTCGGCATCCCGGCACTGTCCGATATCGATCCAAGTTATCTCGGCCCACAGCCCAGCCATCCACAGCACCAAGACCGCTTTGCCGCATCCTGCACATTCCACCGACGGCTCTACCCGCACTCTGGCTCGCCTCGACCGCACCCTGCTCAATCACGGAACGTGCCGCAGAGAAACCCTGCAGGAAACAAACCCTTCGGTGCCTCCTGCCTCCCCTGATCGCTCGCTCGCTCTGGTTCAGTTACTGTGGTCGGTAGTATCCATCGTACGCCCTGTTTCTGCTCCAGCCCTGCTTGCCTTTCACTTCGCCGCGGTAATCCGGATTCCACCGGCCATCTCGGGATCGCAGCACTTCCGGCCGACCGTACATATTTGCTCCACCGCCATCGACGGCCACCGGCAACAACCACCAGCTCGAACCCGCTCTACCGCCGTATCTGCAACAGGCAGCGACATCGCTCATCTCTCGGATCATCCCCGACATTGCTTTCGTTGTAGGCATCCGCCATTTCCGTACACCCATTTTCCTTGCCGCTCTTGCTCCCGCTCCTCGCTGTGCGGTCGCAGCGATCCGTTGCCCCGCCGCCTCTGGCACTCTTCTGTCGTGCTTTTGCCTGCAACGCGGCCAATGCCCACTCGTTCGCCTGCCTCAACTCCTCTCTCCTTGCCCTCATTCCTCTCCAGACTCTGGCACGATTCCCGTTCTAGCGACAGAGCCATGCCCGATGGAAAGCCCCCGCAATGGAAGGCCAAGATCCAGCTCCAGCGACTGGACGACTACAACCATCTGCTGACGAGCTTGAGCAGGTAATGCCTCCAAGATCGCAATGCCCGTGGGTTGGTTGGTGTCGAGAGGCATGGGATTGATGCAGTCCCTGCAAGTCAGCCGATCGAAGGCTGGCAGGCAGTGTCCCGCCGTCCCTGCTGGGTCCTCTTCCATCCTCGTGCCGCATCCATCGGTGCAAGGCGGGTCCATATTGTGGGCCGTTTTGCAGCGGCTGTCCGGCCAGAGCAACAGCCTCCCCGAACACAGCGCATCCCAAGGGCCACGATCTGGATATTGCCGTCGATTCGGCTTATCGCGGCTTGCTCGTTGCCGATACCTTTGCTGCCACTACTTTTGCGGGCTTGCCTTGCATTTCGCTGTGCCGCTTGGCTGCATTGGCTAAGCGCCGCATTTGGCCCAAGCCAGCCCCGGAGGGCGGCCTCGTCACTGGAAGAGTTCCAGAGGCAAGGCCCTGCCGCTCGATGCGTTTGGAGCATGGCGGTTCCTCGGCTTGGGCCTCCAAATACGCTGTCGAGTGAACCGCCAGCCGGCCCTTCGATCGCACCTGACGCTCTCGATATTCGACCAACTCTGTCGACTCTCCAGCCTCAGTGATAGGCCGATAGGGAGGGAGGAAGAACGAGCGACAGAGAGAGCGATAGAGCGGTTCACTCGTCTGGTCGCTTGATTGCACTGTACTAACTCTCTCCCTTGCCGGTGATCGCCGCTGTCCCTCAGGAACTACAAGCTGCTCAAGTTCACTTCGCTGATAGACTGCGTTTTGGACAGCTCCCAGCATGAGCTCTGGGCCCAAGGACTCACGCTGCTGATTCGGTACAGCTCACAGTCTGGCGGGTCCACGAGCTCGAGTCTTGGCCAGGTATGATGCAGGCCTGCTCTGCTGCCAACGATATACGCTCTCGAGGCCTCTTCTGGGCCAGGAGGTGGCCCTCGGCATCGATCGCTGCCCATCCTCGACCGCTCATCGGTTTCGGGTTTCCGCGTCCACAGACTTGTACCATCGCATTCAAGGAAACCATCTTCCATGACGTTGATCCCGAACGACCCTATTTCGAAGTGAGCGAGAAGGAAGAGCGGACCGAGATCGATGAGGAGATCTGGATGATTCTGAAGGGGAAACCGATATCGCCCAACACAAAAAGGTGAGAAGAAGCGTCCGTCGACCGATGATCGTGCGGTCGCCCAGCTGCCCGCATTCAACGGACCGAGCGTGCAAGCTCTCGACAGCACTATCCACCGCTCCCGTCTGACTGCCTCGCTGTTCTTGCTGCCCGCAGCCACATTCTACAACACGTAGCCAGCAAATATCCAAACCAGTGCATTCAGTGCATCGGTAAGTTCGAGTCTGGCCCGTCCTGGAGACTCGGCAGTGCTTCCACGCAACATGGCCTCTCGGTCCCCGACATGCGGTGCAGACCCCGATTGCGTTTCGTCAGCTAAGAGTCCGAGTCGGGCCACCTCTCGCTCTCTGTGCTTCTCCCCCCGGATGACAATCTGACTGAGCTCGGCGCTGGCTCCGATTCGTATTTGGCGGGAAATCCGCCCCTCGACTCAACCTCGGCATCTGACTCTACCGCTCTTGCCGTCCAGGGAGCTATCGGAATATCTGCCACTACTTTGAGATGGCCAGCAACATTGTTCTGGAGGTCGATCGAACCACGTTTAGCTTTGGAGAGGCGTTCTTTTGCCGCTTCTCGCTCGAAGAGGAGATCATCCAGACTATGTAGCGTATCGCCCACGCAAGGGCTGTGTCTGTCCAGGCGGACTTTTGACGAGTACCGAATTCCGCCGCCAGCCCACTTACCACCTCGTCTTTCGACTCCGTGTTCCTGCCGCCTCTTCCTCCCATCATTCTGCGTCGGCGCCATTCTCCTTCGTCTGTGGTCCACCCCCGCTGGACTCGCGAGAGCTAACCCGTAGTGACCAACCCGACGACTCTCGACTCCTTCCCATGTTTACAGCCTGCAGTATCTTCAGAACGAGCACATCATGTACGAGATCAATATGTCGTCCAAGACAGCCCTCTTCTTTGACAGGCTGTACGAGGCAGATAGGTAAGCCACCAATCGACGGCATTCGTTCGGTCTGTTCGTGCTCGCGTTGTCCCGGGAGCCTGGAACCAGAAGGCGCCCTCGAGCTCATCAGACCAGGACTTGCCGAACTTCTCGTGCCGTCGCTAGCGTGGCCGACGTGGATAAAGTGTGTACAGCGGCAATGGTGCTCGAGGCTGACCCGATGGCTTTCAATGCGGCTGACTCGTGCGCTGCTCCGTCTCAGGGCCTCGTCGTCCCGCGCCAACAACACAGCATTACTACCGCCCGAGGCCAACGCGGGCTACGACAACTCCATGACGCGGGCAAACCATTCGGCTTCTGCATTCAGCGCCGCATCTGTAGGCTCGCACGGGCGGTCCTATTCGCATGCCGATCTGACAAGTCGGCTCCTGGAATCCTCCGGCACATCGTCCTATCCTGCTGTCCTGGCACCCAATTCCCACCACAACCTCGATCACACCAACGGTCACCGCGAAAGCGGCAAGCTCAACACGAGTGCTCACAGCGCCCAGCCAGCCACAAGCGCATTCCTGGAAAGCAGCAGCAGCGCCTGGGCGCGCCACTCCGAAACACGTCCCGAGTTTGAGAGCCGATCGACTTTTCAGTCGCCCGAGTTTTTGGCAAAGTCAGGGACAAATTTCAACACCTCGATTGTATCGAGTCGCACAGAATTTATCGCCATAGACCATCCCGTCCGATCCACACTTGCGCAGGGCTCCGAGTCCGGAAGCATCGTTACCCCGCGCTCCTACTATGTCCGCAGCGACTCGGCTCGCTCTCGGTCACCGCCCGTGTCATCCTATCCGCATTCCCAGTCCCACGATGCCCCGCTACCGCCCACACGGCCAAGCCATCATTCGTACCTGCCGCCGTCCTCCAGATCGGCAGTTGCACCCGAGCCAAACGGACATCTGCCCACGTACCATCCGCCGGTATCCTCAGACAATCCCCCCGTGGCTCTCACAGGACAGGGATGGGTCGATCGAAGCGTCCCACCCTCATCCAAGTCATCGTATCACCTAGATTCGGCAACGCATCACTCGCATTTCGTCGGACCGAGCCGAGAGCCATTTACCGGGCGAGGGCCACTCTATCCGCCATCATCATCCGCAGCCCCGATGCGGATATCGAGTATCGCCTCGCATGACTCTACGACACCGCCGCTCCATCCGTCGATGGCCATCAAGGATAGAGCTGAGGGGTGGGAGCGGCTACCCCCGACCTGGGACTCGAGCCACGTCAGCCGCCCTCCAATTCCATCCTATTCCACCAATCACACCCACGCCGTCAGCGGCGACGACCCTCGCATGGATGCCTCGGGCGATCGGGCGTCCAGCGTCTTGGCGACCGACCACTCGGTGGAGCGCAACGACCACCCAGATCTACACGGCGTTGCATCTCCGCTCTCGATCAAGTCCAACGGATCGGCACACGACAGCCATGCGGATGAGCACCAGTCGAGCCACGCTGCGGCAGCGTCGTTCGAGGAGGAGCAGAAACGCAAGAGCCGCGATGCAAGCGCGCGTTACCGCAAGCGAAAGAATCAGGTACAGGATCCGGTGCCTGCATACAGTCGGTCGTCCACATGCACTTGACCGTTCACATACACTCGGCCATCCTGTGTACTTGCGCACGCACGCACGCCCACCGAAACGATCGGCCCATTCGTCTCTCCCGACTTGTCTGGCTTTGCATAACCAATAACCTCCTCCTTCCATGTCCAAATACACTGTCCACCCGAAAGGAATTTGAGGACCAGAAGAAGACCATTTCCAAATTGAAAGCTATGGTCCAGTCGCTCGAGACCGAAAACACGGTCCTCAAACGACACATCAAGGCGCTCATGAGTAACAAAGACCAGAGCAAGGCACCCGCCGAGCCGACCGGCTCGAAGGACTCAGCCCGTCCGCCCAGTGATCCTGCCTAGAATGTTCGATCTGGTGCACTGCGACCGATCTGCAATCTTGTCAACTCGCGAATGCCCGTATCAGCTCCAACAGGCCGCACGAGGGCTTTGGCTGGTTGCGGCGGCGACGGCAGCCAGGGTTCCAGCCCTGTCACCCGCTCTGCTTCGTTGAGATCCCACTTGGCGGTGTGCTGCCTCCGCCTCTGATACTGTCCCGTCCTTCCTAGTCGCTCTAATCCCTCGATTGGAGTGAATGTCCCTGCAAATCGGAGGGTGCCTCTGCTTCCCTTCCCTTCCCTTCCCTTCCCTTCCCTTCCCTTCCCTTCCCTTCCCTTCCCTTCCCTTCCTCCCTTCCCTTCCCTTCCCTTCCTTCCCTTCCCTTCCTTCCCTTCCCTTCCCTTCCCTTCCCCTTCCCTTCCCTTCCCTTCCCTTCCCTTCCCTTCCTTCCCTTCCCTTCCCTTCCCTTCCCTTCCCTTCCCTTCCCTTCCCTTCCCTTCCCTTCCCTTCCCTTCCCTTCCCTTCCCTTCCCTTCCCTTCCCTTCCTTCCCTTCCCTTCCCTTCCCTTCCCTTCCCTTCCCTTCCCTTCCCTTCCCTTCCCTTCCCTTCCCTTCCCTTCCCTTCCCTTCCCTTCCCTTCCCATTCCTCACTCTCCACGTTCTATCTGCCCACACCAACCTTCTACGCCATTTTTGTATCATCATTGCCGATAACGCCCCACCCCCAAGTACACATTGGCCGAATCAATAGCCAACCGCATCGAGGCCTGGAATCGTCATACCGGCCAGCCGATCACCCCAAACCCACCAGCCAGCCAGTCGACACTTGTCACCTCACAGTAGCAGTGGGAAGGGAGGGATCAATCCAGAGCTTCCAGTACATGCCAGTGCTTGCACCGCGAACCAGGATACCCTTGTCTCGAGAGCATTCCTGGTTGCTTTTGTATCATGGGACACTGTAATGCCAACGACCCATCATCATCTATCTGATCGTCGCTGCTTTCGCACTTTCGCTCGTTCGTGTCGCAAGCCTTGTATTGGAAACAGCGCATTCCATCATCAGTCAACGAAGGCAAGTCGACAGGGTGTACAAAGGGTATCCATTTGGAAACAGAGATCAATCTAAAGGGCGAGTGGAGGGCCGTGCATACGCTGAGCCACTGCACACCGGGATATTCCAGCGCTGATGCTGGCTGGGCTGGTTGAAGACAAAAGGGCACAGACAAACACGACGGCACAACGGAATGCCAATTGATAGAAACAGTGCCGTCATAAATAGGGAGACCAGCGGGGGGGGGCCGTTCTTCATGGCCAATCTGCTCAGAACGACGACGACAGAAACTGCAACGACTTCGGGATTGGATATGGACCCAAGGCGGTGGTGCCACGACAGGCAAAGCACAGATTCGGCCTGGCAGGAGATATCCTTAGTCCACTGTCGTCATCGCCGATGGCATCCTCGCCCATGAGGTCGCTGAGCCCCCTGCCGCTGTCGGAGAGCGAGTCGAGGTCGCTGTCGTCGCTGTGGTCCGGCTCACGCGCAAGGGGGCTTTCGTCCACGGGCTGCTGTCCCATCGAGTCAAGTCGTTCGTCCAGCTCGCGGTCGGCCTTTTGGACCTTCAGGGCTTCGACCGCATCAGGCCCGCTGCCAAAGACAAAGCTGGGATGCTTGTGGGCGTACGGGGACGGCCGCGGGGACGCAAAGGACGACTGCCGATTGACCAGGATGCTCCTCCGCATATTCAGATGCGGGTTGAGCCGGGCAAGCGTGGATACGGGGGGATTCAGTGAGTTCAAGGATTGGGGCCGGCTCAGGTACGCCGTGCGCGGAACCAGGGTGCCGGCAGCGAGTTCGGACGACGACAACGATGACGACGACGGCGATGACGGCGATGACGGCGATGATGACGATGACGATTCCAAGGTATCGTCGCTGCGGACGGCCTGAGCTCGAGGCTTGATAAACAGCAGCCAGTAGCGCTCCAGAAACCGCTCCTGCAGTCGATTGCGAATAAACTCCTCCGAGGGAAGTGACGAGAATGGATCGATGAGCCAGTCCCGAGTTGACGCCGATCGGAACTGCAGCGACTGGGGACGGATCTGGCGCAGGCGGGCCAGGGCCTCGGATGCGGTGCACTGGTACTTTTCCATAAGATAGACGGCCAGGAAGAGGCCGGTGCGGCCAACACCGGCCTGGCAGTGGACGGCGACCTTTTGGCCGCGGCTGATGGCCAGCCGGGTATGCTTGACGAACTGCTGCAGTTGCTCCCACTTGGGAATGGCGCCGTCCTCGACAGGGACAAAGAGCACTCGTATGCTTGTGTCGTGATGGAGGTTCTCGAACAGATCGAGGTCGACGGGGCCGTCCTTGAAATAGCCTGTGTTGCGCGGCGATGGAGCGATGGAACGATGGAACGATGGGACGATAGTGAGATGACGAGGCGGCGGTATGGCGGGATCGATGGCACCGGGGCAGGGTGGCTAACGTCTTTGGGCCGTCGAAAGCGCCCAGCCGCAAGGATATCGGATTCCCGCGGGCCAAGGAATGGACCAAGCCAAACCACGAGCAATCACCATGGCGATCGAGCAGTGCAAGAGACAGCACCTGGCGAGACCTACACTGTGTGCACTCAATCATTTGGTGGCTTTTCTTTGGGAGAACGGGCGACTCGGTCAGGTTGACAACCAAGCCGACTCCGTGGTCGGCGAGGGCGGCCCAGTGAAAGGCTCGGTTCGGGATGCTCATGCCGGCAACCCAGCCGTCGTCGATCCACGAGAAATGAGCGGGCAGCCGGGGATCGGCGGGATAGTAGTCGAGGCTCGAAAGCGAACCCGGGGCCATGGTCGAAGGCATGGACGAGGGCTGAGGGGCCGATGTGGACAGGAAGAGAGGAGCGGCCAGCGCCAACGAATCTTGCTGCAGCTTTGCCTGGCGAGGCAGAGCCGGGAAGCGCTGCTGGCGGTCGCCGGCATGTGCAGAGATGGGAGTCGGCACCGGTGGCTGCTCGGAGAAAGCGACTTGATGCACAGGCGAGGCGGCGGCCATCGTGTTTGTTTGGCGAGGAGGAGTTGGGCGACGGAGTTGCGGGATTGGGAGCAGGGAGTAGCAGGGGCAGCAGCAGCAGCAAGAGCAGAAGCGGATTGCCGAGAGACGACAACGACGACAACGACGACAACGACGACAACGACCACGGGGAGGAGAGCCGCGAACGAGTGCCAGGAAAAGGCAAAGACCGAGGGGGTCCTACGATGGGCCGGGTTTTTATAGCCCGCATGCGCTGACGCACATCGGCGACGACTCACATCGCCGGACGATCGCTGAGCAACCAGCAAGGCGATGGGCACCTCGGCAGCAAGGGACCGGGCGGGTCAGGCGAGCCTGTGCTGCACTGCCGATGGTCTCGTGCACGGCGACGGCCTTTGCTGGCCGACTCGGCCGTGCTGCGTGGCGCCCAGAGCCGAGTCGCTGTGCGCTGCTGGCCAGGGCCCACCGAGGACAGACGCGCCCTGTGTCGCTCACACGGGCGGTCATGCTGGCGGTCAGCTGGGACTGGGTTGCGACCAGGGAGGAGGCTCGGCCAGGGTGATGATGCTCACGGGGTGGGCGCGCATGATCGGTGGAGAGAACAGCCGGGCAGGCGGATAGATGGGTGGATGGAATGGCCCGATGATGGATGATGGACGCGGGGTGCAATGCGAGCCAGGCACGGGCCTGGACGAACGCAGGATGCTATTCCAAAACACAACTGCAGGCCCGCTGAGTGTCTGGGCTCGGTCTGCGCAAGTCTTGCCCATCGCATCACGATGTCTTGCGCACGCAGTGGGCTGGAAAGAAGCCAGCCGTCTTGGAGTTCACTGTTGGGATGGAAGCATCGTCAGCAAGTCTCTATGCCCATTCCTGCATCCATCCAAAGTCTCTCAATCAAGCACCAGTGGCGACCTACAGTTGAGTCCATAGAAGAGTGCCCTGCCTCCCGTCGCGGATCCAGAGTCCTGCTGGATGCGCACGGCCTCGCCCTTGTGGAGATGGATATGGAAGCGCTCGTCGACGTCGTCGCCGGAGGGGTGGTACTCTTGGATGACCCGGTACAGCGCCGATGATGTCTGCGACAGCCCCGAGAGACCTGCACACAGCTGCACGTTTTGGTTCTCAAAGGTGACCTGGCGCGGCAGCGATCCGTACTGGGGTTGTTCCTGCTGCTGCAAGCCTTGTTGGTAGCCAGGCTGGAAGTGGTGATCGAACGAGTGCTGGTCGCATTCTGTCTGGTCGTCGCATTCCGCTTGATCGTCGCATTCCACTTGGTCATCGCATTCCACTTGGTCATCGCATTCCGCTTGATCGTCGCATTCCTCTGCCTCATATTCATGGTACGGGCCCATGTCCAGTGCAGGCCCACGATCAGGCACCGGGTCCGGATCGGGCTCGCGGCAGTCTCCTCTTCTCTCGATTGTGTCGTGCAGGAAGGCCGGGAGGGCCGGAAGCGGGCGGCTCGGTGGAGGCGTGCGATAGGCATACGACTTGTTTGAATTCAGGGTGACTGCCGGCGACCGCAGGGCCTCGAGCGCATACTTTCGGCTGGCCGAGCGGGGCTCGATCGTTGGCCCCAATGGCTGCCCAGTAGCCGGGGAGAAAGTGTCATGGAATGGGTTCGACGCAAAGCTGCGGGCTGGCGGGCGGATCGGGGTGGAAAGCCCATGGAAGGGCAGCTGAGTGGTGGAATATGCGCTCTGGGACGGACAGGCTTCCCAGGTCCCGATCGGCTTGATGATGATGGAGTGGTGACTGGCGACCGGAGACAGCGGAATCGAGTATGGAATCGAGTGTGGAATAGAGTGCGAGATCGAGTGTGGAATCGAGTGCGAGATCGAAAGCCTCCCCGGAACAGCCCAGGCTTGTGCCAGAGGAGGCTCCTTTGCTGCAGCCGGGAGCCCGCCCAGCTCGGACGAGCTGCTCTTGATGGAAGCCGCCCGGGCCCAATAGCGATCCCACAGTAGTTTGAATATCCAGACCACCAGAGCCAGCAGGAGCAAGCCAAGGACCGGAATGACGATGAGCGGCCAGATCCTGAGCATCGAGGCAGTGAATAATGACGATCTCTGGATCGCCAGGGAGATGCTTGCGGGAGCGGTGCGAGCTGGGCCGATCAGATGCTATGTATCGACCAACGACAGAAAGGTTGAGTGCAGTATGCCCCGTCGAGGACCAGCGGATATTGGCGATCTTGGGAATTGCGTTGCTGGAGAGCGGTGGATTTGAGAGAGCAGAGGCGCACCAATCGATCGTATGCCAACGCAAGGATGCGTAGGATGCAATCGCCGCAAGAGAAGGTGGCGACGGCAATGGATATCCGCTCCACGCAAATGCCCAAGAGACAGCCATGCCCCGACTGGCGGTGGAGGGAGAAGTAACCGGATCCCTTGCTTGCCGCTCCGCAACTCAGACCGTGGGAGAAAGCCGCAGCCCAGTCCCGCAGAACCAGCATCGGCACATCTGTGCATCAGTGCATCGGTGCATCAGTGTATCGGTGCGGCATGGCTCGTCCTCCCCATCAGTGATGCAACCGAGGATCTCTTGCTGATGCGCTCCCTCTAAGACCTTCGAGCCGAGATCAGCCCGCCGAAGGTCGCCGAGCAGCGCCGCTCTTTGGAGACACGCGCGGCCGCGAAAGAGAAAAATGCTCCGCTCCAATCCAACTCCAGGACATGACCTGCCCATCGGATTCGGGCCGCTGAATACAGAGGCTGCGGGCACCGCAGCTGACCTCGAGATATGACCACGGGCTGGTGCGCGCTCGGTTCGTATGAGCTGCATCCGTGCGCTCATTCGATCGCCGTTCACGAGCGACGATCGCCCGACATGCCAAGATCATGTTCCCGGCGGCACTGGAATGAAGAGAGTGGATGTATTCATGATCCCAAAACAGAGTGGCTATCGACACCAAAAACGGCACTTGTTGCATCCAGGCGAACAGCACATCAATGCTGCCGCTGCAATGCGCCGCCTCAATAGTCTCGAGGAGGACATCCGAGCCCGATTCCGCGGCACACAATCTCGACCCGACCGTCGTCCAGGGCGGAAGTCTCAAAGCGGGCCTGTCGGTGTGGATGTGTGTGTGTGTGGGGAGTGGACGAAGTGGACCATCGGATCGAGGCATATCGGCGTTACATAGGCGTCGCAGCTTGAAATTCACCAATGGAGCTGCAAATGAGGCTGCCGAATGTGCCGTTGCGGTCGCATGCGGGGGGTGTCTCCCTGGTGAGGCAACTTTACCTCGGAGAGGTCACTCATCACTTTGATGGCGGTCTCGGTATGGCTTGTCAGCGGGCCTGTGACGACATGCGATGTGCCGGCAGCCAGCGCCATGAAGATGATGATTTGGTCCTGGACGTGCCTGTGTCGTGGGGAGAGGCGGCATCTGAGCCGCGATACTTGCGACGATCGTCTTGGCTGATGCGAGCCTGGCTCACACGGATTTGACTGCTCTGTCCAACTTACTCATCAACGCATCCGCCAAACTCGAGCTGCTTGATCAGGCTCTCGGCCACCATCACGCCACTGCGCTTGGGCTTGGTCCCTTCAATAATCGGCGAGAGAGATGTGAGACGTGTTCCTCCGAGAGACTGCATACCTTGCACATGTCGATCAGTCACCTCCCGACGCCCTCATCAATGTGCCCATCAATTCAAAAGTGTCACCGATGCTACGTACGTTTTTCACCCAGGGTCGACGAGCCCAGGATGCATCCTGTGTCAGTTACGGCCCAAAGACTAGAGCGAGAGGGCGTGTGCGAGGATGAAGATGGGTATTGCAATGAGCGCCAAGCCCTGTGCAATTACCATTCGGCCTCCAGCAAGCAGCACCTCTTTGCAGCCACACACACATCCAATGCACTGAGCCGATACTTGCATGGCGCCACTGGCATTTCCGCCCCTGCGAGCGGTCGTGTCTTGGGTCAGCTCGATGTTCAGCACCACCTTGTCGGATAGATACGGCTGCAGTACGCTCAGGATGCCACTTCGGATGTCCTTGGCGATCTGCATGGGCAGCACGCCAGCGACAAAGACCCGTCTGAGTCGGGAGGTGGATAGTCAGCAAGTGTAGGCGTTGGGGATGAGTGCTGGTCGACGATCGATCCCAGATCGATGAGCTCCGTGGCACACCAACCCTGTCAGCTGCCAAGTCTCACCCATCAAGCAATATGGGTTGCGGTGACCTTACCCATGCACACGCACGACTTTGCCTCGGTCGGTGAGAACCATCGGAGTCAGTCCCTTGTTGCCGACGGGATGCACTTTCAGGTTGACTTGTCCACCGCCAACGGGCATGTATCCTCGAGACAGCACGGAGATGCTTGCTGTGAAGCCAAAATGCTTGGTGACCACGGGCAGGAATACCTTTGCATGTCAGATGTCCGCGTCGGCAGGAAAGAGAGGGTTGGATCAAGAGTGAGGACGGGATGGCAGAAATCAGCTGGCTACATGGTGTGAGGGATCAGAGTGAAGAGACACTGATGGCAACATGCAACACGATTGGCCATGCCCACAGGATTCCTGCACAGTACCGCCCTGTTGCTCGGCTGTGCATACCGTCTCGAACTCGTCAATCTGCGGCGCCAGAGCTGTCAATGCCAAATATTAGGGTGAGCCAGGGCCTATACTCTATGTTGGCTACCCCGTCCTTTGGTCAAGATCGCTTGTCCATTCACTGCTCAATGCAACTCGGTTGTGTCGGGGCTGCTGGTACTCACGAGCATTCGTTCCACCAGTCATTGAGATGGTGCTTTCCCCACCACCAAAGAGGAGACACGGCAAGGCAATCTGGATCAGGAGACTGATGGAACCGGCTGTTCCGATATCGACGCTGTAGACCTGGACCCCCAATGAATCGAGCGGGTCGATGAGCCGAGCATGAAGGCGTATGAAGCAGTCAGCAGAGTTGAGCGGGGGGTATTCCGGCGGACATAACTCGTTGCTGGGGATATTGACCCCAGCGCATGCTTGGTGACAAGCAGCCTTACCCCAGACTTCAGGCGGGACGGCCGGAAGCTGATTTCCTGGGAATCCACCTGCATAGCCGAGTGTCAGCTCATCAGAGATGTGCGGCCTGCGGGGGGGGGAGCGAGACAGAAACGGCTGCATCCACCCTTCCATTCGCAGACCAGCCTCGTGGATTCAGAACAGACCTTCCCGCCTGTCAGATCGGCCTCGGACAGGTCCCTGAGCATGAGGATTCCTGCCAGGTGTTGGGGCCTTAGTCCTGCCGATCAGATGTGGTCATGGTAGATGGTCCCCAAGCCCAGCACCAAAAAGAAAGATCGCTGTCAACTGATGGAACCCCGGGTCCACAGCACCAGACTCTGATCGCTGCACCCGCCAAGCGAAAGTCGATCGACCGTGCTGATCGTTCTTTGACGCCGCGTACCTGGCTTGCTGCGGTTTGCTCGAATATTTGTGACATGGATGGGCTTTCGAAGCAAGCAGCTAGTTTCCAGCGAGACTCATCAGGACACCGCTCCATCGACACATGCGCTTGCCACGAGGCCCAAATCTGGGCGGCGTCCTTGGATCTCACCTGAGAGCGGTTGTGTATCTCAAAACTGCGAGTCATGTCCAGGAAGGCGTGAGCAATATGGTTCCAAGATCAGTAGAGAGCGTTGGAGCCGGGGCAATGCCATGCGGATGCGGTGAAGGCAAGCCGGGCACGGGTGTCTGCAGTTCGAGGCTTACTTTGACCACCGCCCTCCATCATGCTGCCATCGATTGGAATGGGTTGGGTGTCGCTGTCCTGGAACGCATTCTCGGTCGGGGTGGGGTCGGGATCGGCAACCATTGCTCAGAACACAGGGGGACGGCACGGCTTGGGCTAGCGGACTCGTTGACGAGCGGATGGTGTGGATCCGGTCGATGATCTCGATGGTGCGGGCGCTGTGGAGTCGGTGCCGTGGATGCTGTCGTCCAGATGGATCGATCGATCCAGCCGCGATCATGGAGAGGCTGTGGTCAAGCAACCTGTGGCGCGGCAAAGGCGGCGCGGCTGTTCCGTGCCACCAGCAGGGCCAATGTCTCAGCGAGGTCTCGATGAGCCAAGCAAGCCTCACGGATGGGTGGATGGACAGGGCGAACAGGTCGGGCTGACGAGCTGAGTGCGTCTCTATTGAGCATAATGATGAGTTCAGGGCATTCCAGGGGTGGTGAGGTAGAGCGCCGTCCGGCTTTGGGGACGGACCAGGCAGAGCGCCTTCTAGGAGCATAATTCACAGAGCGAAATACAGGCGATGAAGTCTAAGTTTGGGTAGCATATAGCATATAAATTACCAGATATAGAGAAGGATGGCATCCAAAACTCGGCGTGCGGGCCGAGGTCCGGCAGGGTGGGTGTGCGGTGGTGGTGGAGAATTGGATTGCGTGCGCGGTGTGGGTCGGATACACGGTGGGGGGGGGGGGAAGGGGAGAACGAAGCGGCAGGCCAGGCCTCCGGCTTGGAACCGGTTGTGCGGGGAGGGGGTGGAACGATGGCAGATTGTGCAGGAGACAAAGGAGCAAAGGGGGGAGAAGTGAAGCATGCACGCTGAGGAGAGAGGAGAGAGGCAGAGCGCTGAAAGAAAGGTTTATTCAGCGGATGCTCTTGGAATAGGAACGCCTCGGTGGAGCTACCGGGGCGGACGAGAGGCTTGAGGCGTCCATGTCAAAGAAGCCGACGGTCGAGTTGGAGCGCTGGGTTCTGCGGAATGCCAGGTCGACGGGAGGCTCCTCGGGCTCGTTGCTCTCTTGGGCGGTGATGACGATCCAGCGGATGAACAGCTGGTAGAGCTGCGCCATCACAATATCCGAGGCAGGGTCAAAGACGTTTGAGGGGATGTGGGCTTCGTGCACCAGCGACGTGATGAGCTGGGCCTTCTCTGGCGGAATGCTGATGATGTGGGTGGCATCTCGGGAGATGAAGTTGGTGTGGAAGAGCCGGTAGCCCCGCACCAGCTCGGATGGGACCATGACGACATCCAGCGAGGGTTTTCGCCGGGCGGCGGCGACTGTGGCGGCGTCGCTGGCTTCGATGAACTTGTCGAGGGTACGGGTGGGGCTCTGGTTGATGTGAGCCAACAAATCGTTTTCGGCGGAGGCCAGCCGCTGCTCGAGGGTAGCGAGGGATTCATAGTATGTGGCAAGCTCGATACAGCCTTCATCCTGCGAGAGGGGGGATCGATAGCGGCGGTTAGTGCCAAGTAGCAAGCGACCAGATGAGCATGGCGAGAGTATCGACGGCGATGGCGAGGGGTGTCGATGGCTATGACAAGGAAAGCCAAATGGCGATATGGAATAGGAGGGGCATTGGCGTGAAAGTACAGAAATTGATGCAGCACGCGATAGGCCAAGCTCGACAAGCTCGACAAGCTCGACAAGCCAGAGCGCAATGGGGACGGCTGTGACTCGACGATAGACAGCCAGCTGGAATCGAGAACGCCCTCTCAACAAAGCAGGACCGGCTGCTCGATAAGGCAAAAGTCGGGGCTCAATCCGGGAGGCGGCTGGAGGGGGCAATGGGACTCACTCTGGCAAAGGCCTTGAATCTTGCAAGCAGGAACTTGTCCTTCAGAACGAGAGCGAACGACTGCGGGCTTGTGTCGATCTGGACGGCGTACTCGGAGGGGTTCTCGAGCGAGCCCGACGTCGGCCCGGAATACGGCGAGTCGATGGGCGCGACGGGAGACCGAGGGTTGCTGGGTCGTGGGGTTTTCGAGGCCGAGGAGCTCGGGGAATCAAAAGGGTGGATGAATGTCGACTCGACCAGCAGCCGAACCTGGCCCGAAATATCCTGCTGCTGGTTGGGTTTCCGGCTGGCCTTGGAGGAGCTCGTGGGCCCAGAGGAGCTGGTCGAGGTGGACGAATTGATGGAGGAGCCGGAGGGCGTGGGCTGCAAGTTCGGCGGGGTGGCCGCCTTCAGGCTGGCGGAGGACGACGACGGCGAGAGCATCCGGAAGGGCAGCTTCCATTTGGAGTGGTCATTTCGTGTGCTCATCTTTCTCTCTCACTCTCGGTGCTTTTTTCGATGGGGGTTTTTTGGTTGTTGGATCTTGGCAGAGTCAGTGGACAGCGGCGGCTGCTCAAAAAGTACGACAGCAAGGTCCAGACGGTTGCAGGAGGAAGGCGACGCACGGACAAGCGATGCCGGATGGGACGGGTGACAGAGGCGGTACGGGATGGAGCCGGGACAGCGAGGAGGCAAATAAGGATGGCTATTTTGGCAGGAGCGATGCTGCCGACAGCGAGGGCGAGACGATGAACGAACAAATGAACGAACAAACGAACGAACGAGCGGGACAGCGGGGGGGATTGCTGGGCAGTGCGGCTTTATTAGGCTGGGAGACATCCGCGCGGTACCCGCGATGTGGGACAGAGCGCACGCCTTTTTTTTCGTTGGGGCGACAGCGGGCGTGATCGGCGGACGGATGCGCTTGCCTTCTTGCCGCGGATGTGCTTGGAGACACAGCCGCAAGCAAGGGCGCGGGTGTGGCGAACAAGATGGATACAGAGACCGATGTGGTGGTGTTGATGGCAATGCAGCCGGGTCTTGTTCATCCAGCGACGATGCTCCATGGCGATACGCAACACTCCAAGGCGATACACAGCTCTCCATGGCGATACACGGCTCTCCGTGGTCAGGAAACAGCACTTCCGATGATCGTTTTCGACGCTCCAGAGCCGCCTGCTCGCCTGCTCGCCCCAATTGGCCGAAATCGACGGCAAGGGCATGGGGCACGCCTCGCTTGGCCTGCGCCAGCAGCTCGTTCTTCGCCGCCAACTCTGTATCCCGCTTCCTCGAACATGCCCGCTGGCGATCTTGTCCGGGCTCTCTGGGCTGCCCGGCTTGACGATGGCGCAACCCACCGCCAGTGACACGGGCGCAAAACGTGCTGGCGACAAGGGCCGGCGCCCAGCGCACGTCGCTGCTGTGGCCGCTATGGCCGCTGTGGCTGCTGTGGTTGCTGTGGTTGCTGTGGTTGCTGTGTGCCGGGCCGATCGAGCCGCCAGGGTCTGTGCTGACGCTGCTGTGCTGCCAGCCAAGTGCGTGCATACGGCCCGGGGCTGCTCTGCTGCTGCTCTGCTGCTGCTCTGCTGCTGCTCTGCTGCGAATCATTGTTCGGCCTGGCCGACCCACGCCCCGGACTTGCAGCATCTGCTCGGGGTCTGGCCCAGCCCAGCCTCGAATTGACTCGCCTTGCCTCGACTCGACTGTTGTCCTCCCAAGGTTTCGTGCCAGCGCGTTGGCAGCGGTTCCAAGCAGCGACATTGCCGATGCTTGCCCAGCAAGACTGACCCCGCCAAGGCCCCGGGGCAGGGCCAGATCCGCGTTGCGCCGCGCGGGTGCTGGCCGGTCGATCTGGACGAGGTCGATCTGGACGAGGTCGGTCTGGACGAGGTCGATCAGGCGGGCAAGACCAGGCTCGTTCCTCGCTCCCGCCGTGGTCCGTGCTTCGCTGTGCATTCATGAATGCTATCGCTCAACATAGGAGCCCCAGTGCCCGCACCACAATCCATCGCCCAGATCGATCGCGCTGAGGCCGTGCGTTCGGCATCGAGAACAAGACCGGCAAGCACCACAAACAGAAGGCGCAATGCCCTCGCCTGGAGGATGTGGAATATGCAGCCTCATGCTCCGTGCTGCCCTCGCTTGGTGAAGCTGGGAATAGCCGGCCCGCCAGCGAACCCTCCAAAGAGCAGCCCGGTATTCACATGGATTCACATGGATGTGGCGGTGAGGGTCACTGTTGCACAGCGAGTGCAGCGTGGCACAGACCGCGCGCACTACCGGCCACAGTTGCTGTGCACCGATGCACCGCCACACAGACATGTCACAGACACAGACACAGGCACAGTGCCACAGCGACAACAACGGCATGAGGCACGCGACAACAAAGGGCGCGTGTCGCGCTGACACGTACCGCCAGCCCACCGCCGCCCGCGGATTGGTCGGCGCGTCGGTGGGTTGGCGCGGACTGTCACGCCCGCCGCGGTTTCCTTTTCGGGTGTTTCTCTCGTCCGCGTTGTCGCCGGCGAGCGAGAGCCGAGCGAGAGCCGAGCGAGAGCCATGACGACAGCCATGTCGACAGCCATGTTGACAACCATGTCGGTCCCAAGGGCCGTCTTCAGCCAATATCCATCCAGGGATATCCGCACTCCATTGCTATCGATGCCGACAGGAGCATTCGATTCTGCACTCGCCTCTGCATCGGCCATCGACACCCGCACACGAGCCCCGTCGCATGCTTGTGTGTGCGCCGCTGTGCTCTCTTGTCGTCGCTGTCCTCGCCCCGCCTCGCCTCGTCGTCCCCGCCTTCTTCGGGTCGTCCTGGCTGTCTTTTGCAGACCCGTTGCTCTCTCGCCTCGTCTGGCTGCACTCTGTCCGATCCGCCACCGCCCGTCCTCCCAGCCCGTCCTCCTGCACCCCTGCTCTGCCTCAAAATGGGAAGCGCCCTCGCCAAACTCTTTCCCAAGCTCTTCATCGGCAAGGAGCTCCGGATTCTGATGCTCGGACTGGATGCCTCCGGCAAAACCACGATCCTGTACAAACTCAAGCTCGGCCAGTCCGTCACCACCATCCCCACCGTCGGATTCAATGTCGAGTCGGTCACCTACAAGAATGTCAAGTTCAACGTCTGGGTACGTCCGCTCGATTTTTCGTTCGCGGAGGTCTGCCCAACAGCAGCCAATGCCGGTCCGCCCACCGTGCTGGCCATTGGCGACAGGCTTGCGCATCAGCCATTTGTGCCTCATGTCGCTCGGCTGCTGCCCACAGTCTTGGGATAACATCGGTCTGATGCCACAGCAGCTGCTCAGTTCGATGTACCCACCCGCTTGGCGCCATGTGTCTCGGTTCTCCTGCATGGCTCTGAGCAACCCCGACCCAGCCCACCGCTCTAATTGCTTTCGTCATCCCCACACATCCAACCGCACCGCTGCCTGGCTCAGGACGTTGGAGGCCAAGACAAGATTCGACCCCTCTGGCGCCACTACTACAACGGCACCCAGGGTCTGATCTTTGTCGTCGATTCTGCCGATCGCGACCGGTAAGCATCTCCTTGGGCCACCCATTTTACTTTGGGCATGCACCTCCTGGCATCCATTCGGACACGTTGCTGCTGCAGGTCGGGCCGGATCGGCACCGGTCGGCCTACCTCTGGACTCTGTATCGATTGCTCGAACAGCTGTATCGGAGCTTGCTGTTGCAAGGCAGAGTCCCTGTCACAATGGCCGTAGCTCTTACTCTCGACTGACTCCATCTCGCTTCCCCTCCCCTCCGCAGCATCGACGAGGCCCGTGTCGAGCTCTTCCGGATCATCACCGACCCTGAGATGGAAGGTGTCACCCTGCTGGTGCTTGCCAACAAGCAAGATCTCCCAGGAGGTAACAGCTTGCTCCAAGCGACATGGAACTCGGGTCCCGCCACCTGTTTGAGTTGTCCTGCATCCGTTGCGATGCCTCTGCTGTGATTCTGAGTCCTGTGCCTTTCTCGTCTCGTTCTCTCGCTCGCTCATCCAGCCATGAACCCAGAGGAGCTCACCGAGAAGCTCAAGCTGCGAACCCTCGACTCGAATGTCGTGTGGTACGTCCACCCCACCTGTGCGGTCACTGGCAACGTAAGTATCTCTGATCCAAGGCCAGGTCATGAGGCTTGGCCCATCCGTCCCTTTCCCTGTCCCTGTCCCTCTCTCCGATCCCCATTCCCTGTGGTCCATGCCATTCTTGTCTCCTGATTCCACCTCCACCACCACCACCACCACGCCACGCTCGGCGCACGTCGTTGTCCGTACTCACCCCTCATCGACCCACACTGCTGCCTCTAGGGTCTGTACGATGGGCTGCTCTGGCTGAGCGAAAACACTCACGTCGAGACGGAGTGAGCTGCCGCCCTCGTCCTCGAAAGAAAGAAAAAAATAGAGCTGCAATCTAGATCAACTTTCTTGGCCTTTTCTCCCCGCTTCCTCCCTTGTCGTTCCGCCTTTGCGCCGCAAGATGCTCTGAAGCTCGGGTCCGTGCTGCGGTCGATCCACTCTCCTCTTCACTCATTCTCTCACTCCCACTCTCTCACTCCCACTCTCTCACTCTCACTCTCACTCTCACTCTCTCGCTCTCTCACCCATGGCTGGCCCTCTGCCTTGCCCAGCTTTACCCAATGCAGTCCGCGACACCACTTCTCCCGCTCCCACCCCGCCTGTCCTTCCCCATGTGAGCGATTCACTTCGCGGCGTCATACATGTAATCCTATGCGCTTTGTCTTTCCTCATTTACTCTATATACTTTGTCAGGGTTGCTGGTGCTGTGGCCTTCCCACACCCACCTTCCGCATCGCAGCCGGGTTTTGAAACGTACGAGCGACTGCTATATCCAACCCTGTACTCCTCCTCATCTCTTTGTCCCTCCCCCCCTCCTCCGTCTTCCCTTCGTGCGAGGCCAGAGCTTCGGCTTGTTCGCGCAGCAAATCCGCATTGATTACAGCTATCAAACCAAAATACATTCTTTTTTCTTCTTCTTCAGCTGTAGTCGGGGTCTGCTTTGGTCCACTTGCCGGTGTGGTCCTCGTGGATCTCCATGCCGTTTCGAGATATCAGGTCTGGGGCTGGCCAGGAGTGTTCAGAAGCATCTTCGATCGCTATCGCTATCGCCATCAGCACCCTGGCCTGCCAGGATTTCTCGGTGATTTCATGCCGTTGCAGCTGAGCGCATTTGGCTTGTTCCGTCAAACGTGAGCAATCTCCTTGGATCTCCTTGGGTCTTCTCATTCAGTCCTCGGGACCGGGGTCGCTTGCAACTTTGGGTTTTTTGGGTTCCGGCAGAGCAGAGTCCATCGCTCCGGTCGACACCAGACGTCGGCTGCGTCGCAAAGATCGCCCTCGTTTGGGCGGTCCGACAGGCTCCGCGGGGGTATCTGGACAACCACGCAGTCGGAACGGATAAGTCCACTGGGACAAGCGCCCGTCAGCGAGACTTGACGACATTCGGACGCATCGACCTTGCGGAGCACATTTCGGCCAAGGGCAAGTCGGAGACTGCTGTTTGTCGCCGTCATGCATACTGTCCGCTCGCTGCCTCCTCGGATCACTGCCTCCTTGGATCGCCTGTCGTCGGCTCGATCTCGGAACTTACCTTCAGTCTGACCTTGGCCAGGTAGCAGCATGGGCTGTAGCCAGAGACGAGTCGTACCAAATGGAGGTCAGTCTGACGCAGTGCATCGACTGTCGCTGCCATGCCCTCCCCTCAAGAGTCGATGATCCTTGTCTGCATGGGGGAGGGGAGGGAACCGCCGAGTTCCTCCGACCGAAAGAGAGCTCCAAACCTGATTCTCGGGCTTCTGGTAGAGCGCACGTATAAAGGGCGAGAGCTTGCAGTCGTTGATCTCCACGGATTGATGGATCGGACTGGGGCGATGGATGTACGTCTTCATGCTGGGCTGGCTTTTCTGTCTCGACCCAGAGTCGGTGCGTCAGATGGGGGGAGGGCGTAGTTTTCGATGTTCAGGGGGCTGCGATGACCGGCGAGAGGGGCGAGCAGCAGCTCTTGACATCGTCGAGACAAACGAGCACGGATATGTCTGACCCGTGGGGTTGACAATGCTACTTTCGCGGGGGGAGGGAGGGAGAGGAGCAGGGCGATGCCAGCGGCCTTACCGGATCGCCGGGGTCGGGCATCCGGCTGAAGAGCGATGTGTTGCTGCTGGGCCATTGGAAGAGGTCTATCGGAGGCGATGCCTCTCTCTCGACGCTTCCAGAATCCGGCTCCATCAGGCTGAAGAGGAGATGTGTCGATGGTGGATCCTGAGGGTGTCTGTCGAGGAACAGGGTCGAGAAGAGATCGGGGGCAGACGGATGCCGGATGCCGAATGCCAAAAGCTGGGTCTTTCTTCGGCCTTTCCCACACAGCCCCGTTCCACTCTCACATGCAGCCCGCGATCATCTGGGAGCCCGAGTGTTGATATTACAGGCGATCCAATATAAAACGGGACACCCGGGATTTTGACCATTCATCGAATATTTTGTTACCCAATGTTATCGCGCGCTGGCCATGACCATTCGCCACACATCCGACTTTCGCACCTGCCGCATTGCGATGCTACGCCCTCATCCATAGCCTGCGTAAGGTCGCCTCCATATTCAGTGTATCCAAGAGCACCATCCATCGATGGCACCGAGGATGCAAGCTGGATGACCCATCCCGGGTCCCAGCTCGCAGATCCACTTTCTTCGAGCAGGCATGTCCAGTCATTCGCACCCTGATTGAACAGGACCCGTTCCAGACTGGTCCTGTGTTGCGATGCAAGCTCGAGTCCATCCTCCAGAGGAAAGTTATCACTCTCACTCTGCCACACTGCCATCCAGCGAGCAGGTCCTCTCACACAAGAGAGCAACACACCTCTACAAGTCCAAGCGACTGGATGAGCGAGTGGCACAGTTCAGGGACCAGGTCCGCTCCATCGACCCACGACGATTCGTTTTTGTCGATGAGACAGGGATCAGACGAACCACCTTTTCCGCTCTACGGGTACTCGCCCAAGGGTGCTCCGCTTCGCCAGTGCAATCACATGAAACACAAGTCTGTCTCGGCTGCATTTGCCATCAACCACTCTGGTGTGCTGCATCGCATGTACATCCCCACATCATTCAAGACACACTCGATGGTCGAGTTCTTTGAGCGAGCGAGCTTCCCAGACGACTCTGTGATTGTGATGGACAATGTCAGCATGCACAAGACAAGGCCTGTCCTGGACTGCATCGATCGCCGAGGGTGGTCAGTGATCTTCACCCCACCTGCTTCACCCGACTTCAATCCCATCGAGAACTTCTTTGGGATTGTGAAGCACCAGTACAGGAAGACAACAGTGCTGAATGCGTCCGAGGGGTTCAGAGTCGGGATGGTGACCCTGTTTGAGTCTGCCGTTCGGAGAGTGCTTCCAGATGTCTTCCCACGGCTGATTGAGCGAGCGATGCGCTTCTGGGGTTGAGTTCCCTCCAATCACGCCGCCATTTTCGCGTTCACATCCCTGGCTTGAACCTCTCGGCGATTTTTGAACAGGGTCACTTCCCCAACCAGCCCGCGCAGACGGGTTCCTGCTCTCGGGTATAAATGTCCCACCTTCGTCCTGCTGCTTTCTTCCCTCATCTCGCCTTGATCTGATCATCGCGCCATTGTACGATAAAAAAAGTCTCTGCTCTGACCAGTACCACTGGCAGACATCCAGCATCCTCTGCCCCCATGCCTCCGAAGCGCAAGGGTACCGGTGATGGCCAGCCTCGGCCACCCAGGCCCAAGAAAGCCAAGTCACAGTCGGAGCCTGTCTCTGGTTCGTATTCTGATCCCACGCATGCTTGTTCGTCTGTTGCTCCGTCGCTCACCACCACTGCTTCTGCAGATCCAATGGATGTCGATCCCACCGAGCCTGGTCCATCTACTTCCTCGAGTACCGGCAAGCGATGTCCCAAGTGCGACGGTACCGATCATCAGCGAAGCAACACCAACAGGTGTCCCAAATACCGGCCCCTCAAGAGTTCTGTCGTCCCACTCGTGGATGGAAGGTCATCCGCCCCTCAGTTCAGCTGCTTCAAGCAGACCATGGACGGCATCTTCTGGAAGAATGCAAAGAAACAATGGCTCAATCCCGCTCTCCGCGACAAGATCCAGGCCACCGTCGCAGCCATGACCCAGATCCAGTTCGAGGCATCCAGGCTGCTCAACCTGCACATCCTCCGGTGCATCGAGCAGGATCTTCCCGTCCCCGTCATCTCCAAGTCCACACCTGCATTCATCCGCCAATGCTTCACGATTGTCGAGGCCGGTGCCCTCTCGCCGACCGGGGACAACGAGAAATACAACGAGCATCTGGTCGCTTCCTTTCGCGACTACCAGACCACTCGGCACGCAGACCTGCCTCCGGCCCCTCGTCTGCCTGATGGTGCTCACAGTCAGCTTCTCACCCTGGCTGTCAATGCCTATGCCACCAACTGCACCACCCACCTCGACCTGGCCTACTGGCGACTCCTTCGCCGCTTCTGCGCTGCCGTCTTCCCAGCCAACAAGCACAAGCACGAAGCCATCGAGGCCTGTCTCGAGCTCTTCGAGAAACCAGGGCCGACTCCACCCAAGGCCGATCTCGAGTTCCTCTATCCAGACTTTGGCCACGTCCTGGACGAGTTTCGGTACAGCAGCGACCAGGACCGCTTCCGGGCCCTCCATCGCCTCTCACACCATGTGGGAATCCTCGCCCGGGACAAGATGGTCGACGATGTCCACAAGTGGATCGACTGTGACATGCCCGCCCTCCGAGTCACCGAGCTGCAGCGCCAGGCCAAGCTGGACAGGCTCACTACCCAAGGCATTCCCTCCGACGACAAGAGGTTCACCACGGCCAAGTCTGAGCTCGGCACCACCAAGGCCAAGATCAACAGGCTGGCATCCAGACTCAAGTGGGCCCTCAAGCAGCTCGCCGTCGACACTCCTCCGGCCGTGTGCACGATGGTTCCTCTGTGCACTACAAGGGCCAAGTATGTCAAGATTGACACGGTCACTCTCTGGCAACTCCTGGGTCCAAAGAAGCGCCTTGGCCTCACCAGGGACATGCTCAAGGAAGAAGGTGAGGACGGTGTCAACAACCAGGATCGTCTCTGGCGCAGTTGCTTCAAGCTGCGTAGTTCCCTCTTCCAAGAGCGGGACGTGAACAAGAAGCTGTTCAACTACGAGATCAGCACCGATGGCATTGGATGCACCATCGGTCTCGTCAAGTTTGTGCCTCGAACCGATCGCACCGAGACCATCGAGCCTCCTCCGACTGCCGAGCAGCGTATCCAGGCCCACATCGGCGGCCCAGACCCCAACCGCACCACTTGGATTGGCATCGATCCTGGAGTCGGCTCCATCTTCACGGCGGTCATCCAAGCACTGGGCCACCAAGACGAGGTGGTCTCGTTCTCCAATGGCCACTACCAGCACATGTGTGGCCATACGTCCAACACCAAGTGGCACAACACCATGAAGTATCGACTCAGCATCGAGACCTGGATGTCGACCACCCCCTCGCCCAAGGTGTCGTCCTCGGAGGCCTTCAAGGTCCATCTCACCCATGTCCTGCGACCGGAGCTTCGGGTGCAGCTCGACTTCCACCTTGGCAAGAAGGCCCGTCACCATCGATTCACGGGCCACAGGAGACGCCAAGTGGCCGTCGACAGGATGTGCAAGGCCGTCCTGAAGCACGCCCCGATACGGACCGATGTGGTGATCGCCTTTGGCAATGCGTCATGGCGACAAGGCAAGGGCTATGCATCCAGCCCTCGGAGGCAGCGGTTTGCTCGGTACTTTGAGCAATTCGAGCACCACCGACGCCGTCCCACTCACCCTCATGGAAGCGTCAAGGTAGTCTCGACGAACGAGTTCAACACCTCGCAGGTGTGCTCCAACTGCCTGGAGCCAGTTCGGTTGGAAGGACTCGATGCGCCCAGTGTTGCGAATTCCCACTTTGTCAGGAGCTGCAAGAATCCCAGCTGCCGGACGGTGTGGAATCGCGACGTCAATGCGGCGCGCAACATGATCACAGTGTGCAGGTCGATTGTGGAGATCGGAGAGCGACCGGTGGTCTTCACTCGGAGGCTACCAAAGTGATCTGTTTTATTTATTGTGGCTTTGCTTGACGCAAGCACAGCACATACTACATGTTCATGGAAACGGCTGTGGTGTCCGTTTTTTTCTGAATATAGTGTATCGAATCCATCCGGGATACGATATGCCCAAGTACCGACGAATCGTCGCAGATGAAGCCGCTACAAGATCCCAGAGACCCATCCTCAACAAATGCCGCCCGGACCACCGGCGAGACCCGCGCTGCTCGGAATGGATCGCCGTCGACGACCTCCAATCAGAGATCCAGGCACAATCCGCTTGCATCAATGCATGTCGACGTCAGCCCAACCCCGAGTCAGGCCGAGACTGTTGAGGCCGAGAGCCATTTTGCGCATTGCCCCCATTGAGCACTGTCGGCGAGGATGCTGCCTCGTCTTCAATCGGTCTCGCATCCCCGACCTCCCCTTGCATCAGACCTGCTCGGCTGCGTCGGACTGCTCGGAGGTTTTTTACTCTCGCACCTGTTCCGCTGGTCCTTGGGAGCAAACAAGCACATCGCTGGTCCCACGTCGCCCTCCAAGACCTCGCCAGAGACCCATAGCCACATATTGATAGCATCGCCCGCCATGGCCGCAACCGTTCAGACTCTGGCTCCGCCCAAGGTTTGTGCCATTGCCCGACGGCAGCCGCAAGGGTCGCTGAGCTTGACTGAGTGTGCTCTGCCTGGGCCGACCGCATCGAGTTACGAGACCACTCTGCCCCCTGAGCACCCCAGACGCACTCACTGCCTTTCATTGTACATTGCAATCTCTCATATCCGGCTCCGGCTCTTGCTCATGTTCCTGCTCCTTCTCTTGTCCCGGTATCAAATGCCAACTTTCACATCAGCTGGGTGACCTCCCAGCACTCCCGACGACCCTCAGCGAGTTCCGGCAATTCTCTGAGCCCCCCACCATCACCTCGATCGAGAACAAGATCCGGGTGCACGTCTTTTCGATGCGCATCCGTCTGCACGACCTCTTTGAGGACTTTGACAAGCTGCGGTCGGGATACATCACCGCAGCACAGTTCCGCCGGTGCCTCGGCCAGGTCACCGACAAGGCCGTCGTTGCCCCGCAGTCGCCCCTCAACGAGGTCGAATATGCTGTGCTGATCAAGCACTACGACATCAAGCAGAACGGAACAGTCAACTGGAAAATGTTTGTCGACAGCATATCGACTGGTAAGCGGGGTCAGCGACCGGATTCTCTCGAGCCGAACATGGCTGAACCCTTTCCTCATCCCAACTACTGCTAATGCTTTCCACCGCCCAGTCTTTGGGCCCAACAATTTGGAGCGTCGCCCCACTCAGTACATTCCGGCACATCACGAAGGTGGGACTGTGCAGCAGGCGCATCGTTCATGACTGAGCCAGCGCCGTCGCATTCCTGTGGGGCTCCCGCATTCATGTTTCTCATGGAATTCCTCCGCATCAAACCCGGCGGATTGCGAATCAGTGGTCAAGCCGCTCCTCGAGCTTCAGCCACAAGAGCAGACTGTTCTAAAGGACGTCATTGAGCGCCTGCGATCCTATGTCAAGCACCATGGCAGCGACGTCAAGTCGTGGTTCAAGGACTTTGACAAGCACAACAATGGTACGGCACTGCGCCGTCTGCAGTTGCGAGATAGATCATCACGATCTCTTTGCTCATCGCCGCCCTCCACTGTATCTGGCTGCTCGCGCCGCTTTGCTGCCCCATCGTATCTTACGAGCCGGTAGTTGACTCCACCAATTCACCCAAACATGCGCAACTGTTTGCTTCCGACACCAACCCACACAGGCTACATCACCGTCAACCAGTTTCGACGCGGCATTCCGAGTAACCTCATCTCGCTTGAGGAAGAAGACATGCTTCTCAAGCAGTACAGCGACGAGAAAAAGACTGTCAACTACTTCAAGATGAATACCGATGTCAACCGGAAGGTCAAGAAGCCAAAGCCATTTTATGCCCAGCTGGTCGAAAAGCTTCACACCAAATCGGACCGCGACCACACCGTCCCGGTTGGCACTGAGGAGCTGCTTCATGCCGTCACGCATGAAAAGATCAAGCCCTCTGTAGCTCTCACGGAGGAAAGAATCATGAGACGTAAGCACCGGCTGCACAGTGGCCCCATTTGACTTCTTGAAGCATGACTGGATGGCGATATTCCAGGATCAATCTGCATCTGCATCCGAGGCGTTAGTGGCTGGCTGTTGCTTATCGTTACTTTCTCCTTCTGCTCATCGCTGTTCATCGCTGCTTGCCGCTTCTGCTCATCAATCCATGACACCATCGAAACGGTATCTTCAAGATGTCTACAAGAACCGTATCCGCCTCATTGAGTTCTTCCGCGACTACGACCGTCACAACTACGGCCTTGTCACAGAGACGCAGTTCAGGTCTGGACTCAGGCTCGCCAGCCTGACCTTCTTGGAAGAGGCTGATATCAAGTCTCTGATTTCTGCCTATCGTGAGCATCAAGGGCGCATTCAATATCGCAAGTTCTGCAGCCGGATCATCCAAGGTAGGCTGATCCACGCATCCTTCGATGCATCGGTTGCCGCTTAAACAGTATCGAGCTGGCTCTTCCAGCAGCGCGGGCCCGTCGCTTTCCTCAGCCCACAAGAAATCCCGTCGCTCGATCTCGGCATTTCTAAAGTCGCCTCACCTAATCTATTGCATCTGATCCACTCCCGATCCACACAGTATTTACCGTCGATCACCTTGAAAAGTATCCATTGTTTGATGTGCATCCACCACCGAGAGAGTATCTGGTCCAGGTATGGGGTACATTCCAGTGTTGGTGTCATCAGTGCAGCAGTCGTGGCATAAGCAATGTGTCCGTCAAAGCAAGGCGCAACGTTGGCTCAACATTCTTTGGCATCTGACTTGGAGCACAAAACTCGCATCCTGGCTCGCTGAATCACCAGGGAACCAATGAGCTCTCGCCAGAAGAAGAAGAAAGGTGCCAGCACGTCATCGAGCGGCTCAAGACGCTCATGCGGGAACGCCGATTTCTGCTCGCACCATTTTTCAAGGACTTTGACAAGGTAAGTCGGCGGTCTGGAGGCTTGCGAGTTATCCCGACGGTTTCTGATAGCTCCAGCACTGCCGCTCCCAGCGGATAAATCTTGAGTCGACAGCATAATGGATCCTGAGGCCACGAGTAACACGATTTTATCTGTCGACCGGATTCCAGTACCTCGGCAACATCGGCCGCGTCACTCTGTCCCATTTCAGTCGCCTCTTGTCTTCAATGAAGCTGGATCTCTCTGACAGCGATCTCCATATCATCTTCAAAAAGTTCGAGGACCGCGAGATCGGAAAGATCAACTACATGGAGTTTATTCGGACCATCGATCCCGAGAGTAAGGACTGGGGGCCTGTCTTCTGACCCCCGGCATCGCTGCGCTACTCGTTTCCGCAGCCAAGATCATCTCAGGGCTCTGTTTTGTATTTTTTGGAGGTGTTCCCTATTCTCTATCTTGTAGCTCTGAACATACCCATTTGCCGCGATGGTTTGTTTTGCGTGTTAACGAACGGTGCCTCCGATTCGCCTCTCATGCAGCGTACGACCAGTACCACAACCGGGCTTCCCGCAGACGAGGCTCTCCAGCCCCATCCGAAGAGTCGTATTCAAGCCATGAAGTCGTCACGAGCGAGAGCGTCATGAAGCAGCTGAAGCAACACGTGGCCAGCAAACGCATCCGTGTTGCCGAGTTCTTCAAGGACTTTGACAAACTGCGCTGCTACTCGATTCCCAAGCACGAGTTTATCCGCGGCATCAACCGCATTGGCCTTTCGCTGACTGACGAAGAATACGAAGCCCTGGCCGATCGATTCATTGATAGCAAGAAGCGCGGATGCTGTCGCTGGAAAGCCTTTGAAGAGGAGATAGAGAGGGGTACGCCACGCAGTCTCGCTGAGTACAGTCTCGCTGAGGATAGTCTCGCTGAGCATAGTCTCGTTGAGAATACCCATGTGGTCTACGCTCAGTGGGTGGGTTGCTGTACTCTGCGGAATAGCTCCTTGCCGCAGACTGACGCCGTAGAGCCGTCGGATTGGTATCCATATCTGGGTGCCAGTGGTCTAAACTACGATTCTAATATGCACCTCGACGGTGTTCTCCGCAACAGTGTTTGGTGAGACCCACCTCGAATCTCGTCCAGCCGCTGTGCCTCAGCCCGAGTTTATTGAGACAGATCCCTTCGATACGCACCACCAAATGGCGCAAGAGGAGCTCACAAAGCTCGCGACCATCCTGAGTCGCTTCCGAGAGCATTTGCGGATCCGCCAGAGCAGCATCAAGCCCTTTTTCAAGGACTTTGACCGCGTGAGTAGCTCGTGTGGTGTGCCCTTGCAAGACACCAGAGAGCCGTTAGCGCTGCTCTCTGGCACTAATACTTTTGCCCATTTCTGCTCTGGATATCCTTGATGTCAAATGCAGCTATGTACCGGCCATGTCACCAAGGTGCAGTTCCGTCAGTGCTTGACCTACATGAAAGTCGATGTCACCGACGAAGAGTTCCAAATTCTATGCAAGCGGTATGGTGTCTCCGGGAAGGGACCCAACCCCAAGGATCCGATCAAAGACGGGTCCGAGCGCATCTGCTACCTCATGTTCCTGAAGGAATCTCACCTGATGCACATCAAGGAGTGGGAGGAGGAAATGGAAAGGCTGGAGAAGCAGCAGCGCGAGAAAAAGCCGGCCCATGAAATCAACTCCCTCGACATACTGCTCAGGCAAAAGCGCCAACTAAGCAGCCTGGAAATCGAGAAGCTGCTCAACAGAATCAAAATCAAGGTATGGCCACTGGCCTGTGCAATGCATCTGCACGCACTTAGTCTTTTGACTGTGGCAACATGCGTGCGCCGGATCTATGGGGTGGACGGCAGACAGCCGTTAGAAACAAAAGCGGCCTAATTTGGACATCGGCCCTGCCCCATCCCAGGCAAAGTCGGAGCGCATCCGGGTCATCGATTTTATGGAGGACTTTGATCATCTGCGGCACGGGCAGATCACTCAAAACGAGTTCAGGCGAGCGCTTAAACTTCTCTACTCTAATTTGAACGAGGTAAGCGGGGCCCTCCACGCCGTGCATCTACTCGAGTCTCGTTCTGTACTCATGTGTCCGCACCAGCGATCCGACGAGGGGTGCATATCGAAGATAGCTTAGCGCCGGAGTTGTGTCTGGCCTTTCAGCTCACGCTCCCTGTCCTTCGATCGGCATCTAGATCGAGCTCCGCACGATCGAAGATCTATACAAATCAGAGAGTGATCCACGGATGGTCAACTACGTCGCCTTTTCAGATGCTATCGAGTCAGTGTTTACTTCCAAGGGCCTGGAGAGCGATCCGCTCCACTGTCCGGCAGACTTTGATCCTCTGCCAGACGTAGAGCCCATGCTCCTCCCAGATGACAAACCCGTGTTCGACAAAGTCATGGACAGGCTTTCGGAACGGGTGGCTCAACGAGGAATCGATGTACTCTCGTATCTGGAGGACTATGACTTTGTCCGCGAAGGTAGGCGTGGATGTCGCGACATCGGGCTGAAACATAAGCTCAATCTTGAGATCCGAATCGGCGGACGATCGACCAGCCGATGAACAGTGCATGCATCCGAGCTTGCCAACCGACCAACTGAGTTTGCCAACTGACCAACTGACCAACTGACCACCGATTATGATAGGGACCATCACGACGAACCAGTTCCGCGCGGTGCTCAACGGAATTGCCTTGCCTGTGGATGACCAGGAAATCCTGGCTCTTGCGCGACACTTTACCCACGACAAGAATCTCGATCGAATCAACTATAGAGCATTTGCCACGATGGTGACGGGCAGCACAAAGCTGAACGGCCGCTCCAGTCTCTGGTAAATCCCCGCGATCCAAGTCCAGCCCTCACGAGGATGTCTCCGGGTGGCAGCGGCTGTGGACGATCTATGCATGCCCTACTCTTTCGCTGCTGCACTCAACCGGGCGGTCGCCACAGACTTGCTGGGGTGTGAAGAAAATGTAGGGCAGCAAGAGGACCGGTCGGATCTCCCAGCGAGCTGTTTGCACATGCCACACAATACGACTCCATGATCAGGCAGGATTACAATGCATCCACTTGTTCAGCGCACTGCCTCGGTCTGCCTACATTGCACATGGTTAGGGATGATTCTGGCCATCCCAACAGATGTTCGGGGTCCCCCAAGCACAGGGTGCACTGGGGGTGCTGGCGTCGAACTCTGCCTCAATCTAGACTGGCATTCTATTGTCTGTTGATTGGCCAGACAGGGCTGCTATTACCGACAATCTTTTCGGTGGGCGTCTTTGGTGGGACCACAGCCTGTGCAGCGGAGACACCGCTCTCCAGCGACGGTTGGCGATCGAGCCCAAGTAGATCGCAACCGAGCCGCATTCACACCCGGAAGCGTGCGGCAGCCTACCATTCGTTGGTCTCGGAGAAAGAAGCACAAGACAAGCGACATCGACAGAAATAGTAACTGTTCGAGTAGAGAGTACCCTGCGAATTTGAAGTATCTCGGTACAGCACCATCGCCGGAAAGAATCGTCGACAGGGTCGAGACATCAATTCCCACGCCTGGCCCAGCATACCGCTCGGCTCGATACCGCCGATTCTGTATTTCGAGCATGACATCCACCGCCGAGAAGCCAGCAGCAGAGAAGCCCCCAGAGTCTCCACTGGAGCTCCTTCCGAGACTCTCTCTCTCGGAGATGGAGACGGGGCTCGGCCGAGCGGGGGTTCTCCGGTCAAGCATACCACGATCTGCCTCGGCCTCACTGGCCGGCGATTCATCGCCCTTTCCAAAATCCAGGACCGTCCGCGAAGTCATAGATAAAAGCGCCGACGAGGTCATGAGCGACCTGCTGCGTGTATCTTCAAGTGCCCATCAGTCGCGGTCCTCGTCCTATGCCGGCGTCATGCTGATGGACGAGCTAGTTGAAAAGGCCCTGAAACACTCGGGTCCGCCAGCGAAAGGCACAACTCCAACAAGCTCGGCCCGGGCGTCCAAGTCCTCGGCTTCCGATTCCCGGAGTCCAAGGGCCTCGACCGATCGGCCACCACAGGGCTCAAGATCCTCCACCGACCGGCCAACCCAAGGCCCAAGAAACTCAATCGACCGACAGCCTTCGTCTGCGCGTGCCAAAGCCGGTGCGCTGCCGACGAACTCGCCGCTGGCCCTACCTTCACCCTTGGCCCTATCTTCTCCGCGGGCCATTTCATCTGCATCGACATCACCCGGAGCCTCGCTCTCGCCACTGGCGTCGCTCTCACCGATGGCATCCGGCTCTGCGCAAAGCTCGGTCTCTCAGCTCTCAAAGCGCGGCCAGAGCTCAGCGGAGCCAGGTCATCCTCGGACCAGATACTTTACAAAGGCAAACTCGTATGCTGGGAACCAAGCCAACGCATCAGCAAAAACTGAGCGAAAGTGGTGGTATTTTAGCCGTAAGCCACAGACGGAGAGCCAAAGCACGGTATCGGTCGAGCCATCAGAATCTCCCGCCAGCTCTTCTCTCGACACGCCGGCGACATGTAGTATACGGAGCATGAACTTGAAAGCCGATACAGCACCCGCAAAATGAAACGAGACGCTCTTCTCGGTAGGAATATATCACTCTTGTTTGAGAAGCACTCGCCGCTAAGACGCATGGAGGGTCGCCGGCTTGGGCATGTTCCAAGTCTGGCTGCCAGCTCGCAGACCATAGGAATCGGTGGCCAGTGATGTCCAGGCTCGCGCTGATGTAGATTTGATCAGACTGTGAATCAAGGTGCGGTGTTGCAGTACAACGCCTCTGGAATCAGTAGTGCGGAGGATCGTCATTGGGGAGGATGCGGGGAGTAAAAGCTACATCGCAATGCGAATCAGCACACTGCTGCACAGAATAGCATCCATAGCATCCATAGGCCCTCAGCAGGGCAGTTGTGTGCACTAGGTGGCCGACAACGGCAGGCTCGACAATCGTTCACACGCCATTGTGCAAGAGGTGTCTCGGTTACCACCCACAAGACCTGTGGGATCACTGATTGAGGGCATTGTCTGCCGCCCGAGTGCCTTCCATTCAGCCTCCCGCGGCACTCAGAGCTCCGAGCGAGTGCTTGACGATCCGTAGCGATGAGGGTCCCATCAGAGACTCGCTTGCTTGGCGTAAGGTTGCCTCGAATCGGCCTCTCTTCCTCTTCGACTGCCATCGGACTCGCAACGAGAGCAGCACCAGTCAGGCTCTGAGTAAATCTGTCTCTGGCTTTTCATCCGGGGTGCAGCACTCCCGCCGGCATCCGAACCACTCTTTGCCTGTTCCCAAATACCACAATTCGCCCTTACAGTCACATCCCTGCAATACCACTTTATCTTTTCCAGCTCGTGCCGCTTTCCCACCTTCCACCTCGCGCATACGACCCCGGTGGCAATCTTGATCTCAAAGCCCATGTCGCAGCAACAGCACGCTGTCGAGGAGGAGGCAGAAGCCAACCGACCCATCACAGCCATCAACGCCTCCTCGGCCTACTCGACCCTCGACAAGAATCACTTTGAAAGATCAGCACATCTCCAGCGCCAGGCCAATGCACTTTCGGCCCATTCGGCCGTTGGAGGCTCGGCGCTCCTGGATACTTGCGTCTCGGCCGCTACCGGTGTGTCGCATCTGACTCTGCCAGAGAGAGGCCAGCCCAGGTCATCAAGCGCGAGTCAAGAACCTTTGACCATGGGCCGACCCAGTCATTCTACAAACGTAATGCTGCTGGACGAGTGCGTTGCTGCCGCTGTCGGCAGCCATGGTCAAATCTCGGACCGTGCTCAACAGCAGCCGCTGCAGCAACTATCCAAAAGCGCTATCGGCGCCGTTTCCCTTGAAAGCCAAGTCACCAGGTCGATGGAGATTCCCAAGAGCCTTGCCAAGGCCGTTCTCTTGGACGAGTGTGTGGCTGCAGCCGTTCGCAGCTCGACCGAGGTCGTCAACCAAGCTCGAGGCTCTATTGTGAGACAGAGGAGCTTTGGAAACGAACCGACCGACGGCCGCAGCTCGGTTGTTTCCGAGGCCAATCCAATGCCGCTGTCCCAACGGAGCTCGGCCGACCGGCCACACAAAAAGGCCAACAACCCCCTGTATCAGGGGATGCGGCAGGAGCCTGTCCATCGCCCGCGCTCAAAGTCTACTGTCCAGAAGCCCTCAGGCAAACCGACGACCGAAGACACCGCTGGCTCGAGTAGCATCCAGCCCTCCCCACACACCTCTCGCCCGAGCACTCCTGGACAGCAGCGGACCCATCGTCCTCGCAGCGCCAGCTCGGCCACGGCCACATCCGTGGTGGGCAAGCCGCTCCGATCTGCGTCACAACTTCCGCATCAGCCTGAATCCGAGAAATCCAACAGCTCTATCGCAAACTCCGAGAATGTCCAGTCGCCGCGCACGTCCATCTTTGGCCGCCTGCAAAAGCGGCTTTCGGCTCTCACCGGGGGCAGCAAAAGCAACAGCGCTGCGTCAACCCCACGGGGGTCGGTGACCCGCGAAAGCTCGGCCACTTCGATCCAGCAGAGCCGACGGACCCTGCCCGGAATCGGTCCCAGTTAGAGCTCTGGCCAGGTGCGATGGTGAGGATCGGGCTGCCGAGTGCCCACGTTTGTTTGGCCCGAGACGAGCAGAGTGCCTGGGCGATGCGGCGGCTCTTGGATGGCATATGATGATCGATCAATAGACAGTCTTCCCTATGTCCGAGCGAGCGGCTTCTGCCATGACCCGGGTGTGGCCCTGCACTGGATCATGAAACGCCGAGCATTGGCGAGTTGCATGCACAGCGTCGAGCTATGTCTATCCATCGGTATATGATCGCACTCATGGCCCGTGCCAACGACCGAGCCACTCGATAGCAAGACGCCAGCGCATATCTGGCCAGGGCCGCTAAGGGTGATCGATTGACCAAAGAGTTCAGGAGCGATGATGTCAGTGTACACGGGCAGTACACACAGAATGATATATCACAGTATCCACATTGCAAAGGGTTGCTGGAAAGAGAAAAGGATGGCCCGTACAGCGCGGGAGGATCAAACCGGGGGTCTCATCGTAGGCCCGAGTAGAAGGGAGGAAGTATTAGAGCGAGTGTTGGCAGATGCGAGGATAGGATGGGAGAGATGGGAGAGATTGGAGAGATGGGGAGGAATGGAAAATGATCGGCGACGATGCGCAAGGGCCAGTTCTATGGCACGGCGCTGCGTCGCTGGAAGCATGCAAAGGCAGCCTTGATGCAGCCCGCAGGCCGACGGCTGTAGCCACGAGGGATCTAGAGCCCCTCTTCCAGTCGCTTCTGCTGCTGCTCGCGGAGCTCGTCCTGCTTGCGTTGCTCGCGCGCTGTGTGATGGATTTTGAAGCCGAAAATCTTGGGCACATAGCGCTCGGTAGACTTTTCGGGTAGCAGCTCGGGGAACATTTGCAGAAGAAGATGGGGGAAGGTGGTTCCAAAGTAAGCGCCGTCGATGGTGAGATGGCGTCGCGATGTAGGGTTGTAGATGTCCTCGCAGCTCGGGCAGTACAGCTTGACGGACTTGATCCCAGGAATGTCGGTGATGCCAATCGGAAGAACAGGTTGGTTGTGGCAGAGCACTCGTGGGCACCGGCCAAAGCAGCCCTCGCGGAACTTCTCGGCCATTTTGGTGAGGCCTCGTGCCGTGATGACAAACCGAGCATGGATGAGCCCGTACAGGGTCTTTGCCGCCTTGACGACCTCGGTGTGCAGGGGCTCATCGAGAGTGTCTTCCAGCGAGTCGGTGATCATCTCAAACGCCTGGGCATAGTGCGGCACTTCGGTCGGGAGCCCCGTGAGGTTGAATCGGTCGAGAATATACTCCTGGTCGACCTCACAGAACAACTCGTTTCCCCTCAGCTGATGGAACCACTCGACCCAGTAGGTCACCGACGATTCAGACGAGTCCCAAGTTTCCTGGATATCCACCACCACAAACGTCGGAGGGCGCCAGCGAGGTCGGGATCGGCAAGTTAGCGAACCAGTGTTGGCGAGGCAGAACCGAGACCGAAGCGAGATTCGATATCAATGGCGAGAAAGAAAACGATAGCGAGAGAGATTAGAGCGACTCTGGAGCGGAAGCCATGGTCCATCAATGAGCCAAGGCGATAAATGGGAAAGAGCAGAAGCAGGAGAGTTGGAGAGCCCACGAGAGAATCAAGGCCAAAGGAATAGAGACGCTCGCCATAATCCTGCTGGCGGCCTGTGCGGAGCGAATCGGACGCAGTACGGCTGTCATAGACCAGTCGAATCGAGTGTGGACGAATGCGCTCGATAGCGTCATGCAAGGACGGCAACGGGTTTGGGGGTGCCGTTTGGCACGGCGTGGGGAAGGCCCAAAGAAAGTGACTCGAAGCATAGAGAGCAGAGCGATGGTCTCCGTCGAGGCACGAAGACGGCTCGGCCTCAATGCAGCGATCGAGCGTCTAGCGTCCAGCGTCCAGCGCCCAGGCCGGACAGGTGTTGGTATCGCCAGAAGGGGTCGCCAAGGAGCGATTGTGACTGTTGATCCGGAAGGGCGTGGGCGGACACGGAGGAGGATACAAGAGATGCACTTACAGCCATGGCTAGACGATCGATTTGCTGACGGTGGAGCGACGCAGATGCACAGGACAGACGCTGAAGCCGGCGGGTGTCCTGGAGATGGACGACAGGCAGATGGAGAGCCACAGACAGCCGGTGGAGACGAGCGCAAGGACAGCACCGCCGGCCAAGCGCAAGGACAGCACCGCCGGCCAAGCGCAGGGCTGCGGTGGCGGTCAGGTGGCGGCTGAGAAAAAAACGCGCCACGCGATTGGCGGGCCGGGAAATGAATTGCCGCGTGCCCGACTGAAACGAGACGGCCTGTTCTGAGCCAGGGTCGTCGTCGATTTCCCATCCTGAATACATCATCCATCGCCTGCCATGGCCAAGCAGTGTCCAAGGAGAATGGGGGCAGGGCGGCTCGTTCGGCCCGACTATATTCACACTGAGAAACTACAGACCTATCCAGCGGATCGAATGAATGCACCACGCTCCCGCAGCACCAGTGTTTCGCGGATCATGTTCAAGACATGCAATGTTGATGAATGAGCGGATTGTCAGCCGAATGCCGCTCACACCGTCCACGGCCACCATGCGCATCCTTTCACCACGCCGCTCACATCGTCCACGGCCACCATGCGCATCCTTTCACCACACCGCTCATCATACCAGAACATCGCACAGCATCCCAGGACATCGCACAGCATCCCAGAGTATCCCGGCGTCACACCAGATCGTGGGCATCGGCGACCGAATGCCGCTGGAGTCCCGACTCTGGCTGGTCAGGCACAGGAACGAGAATCGAGGCAAAGGCCCCGTGGTCAGCCTTCTCGAGCTTCTGCAAGTCTGCGAATCTCAGCGACCTGGACGATTTGAACACTTGATAGGAGCTTCCGCCCTTGGTCTCGTGAGACTGGGGGTGTGTGCGGCCAAAGACCGATCCAAAGAGTACTGCGGCTGATCGGCTACTGGACAGCTTTGTCGTTGACTGCTTTGGCGGGGCCTCTTGATTCAAGTGGGTGTCGATAAAGTGCTGGCTGATTGCCTGCTCGACCATTTCGTCCATCAGAGGAGTCTCTTCCCATCCATCCGAGATGCATCGCCCAGCCATATCGACGTGGTGGTTCTCCGTCTGGGACGACGACAACGATCGCCGTATCCCCTTGACCTTGATTGCATTTTGTCGAGCGCTGCTGCTATGGACCGTGCGGCTGCGGCTGATTTTGTATGCATCGTCCGATTTGAGTCGAGCATCCTTTGGCTCTGGGTTGACCGGTATATGGGACTGCACCGATTCGACTATTGGTGCGGCCTGCTCGACGACAAGAGTCCAGTCCTGGTGGATCCGGTCAACCATGTCCCGCGACCGCCTCGAGAGCCGGCTAAGGTTCTGGGCAATTACGGCCTCGTCCAGCAAGTTGACCGAGTTGCTGAGAAGCCGCAGCGAGCCCTGCATCTGGTCAATCAGCTTTTTGGACTTTTCCAGCTCATCGACAAGGACTTGAATTTGAACTCGGAGCGGGTGTGTCTCTGGAACAACGCTCTCTTGCAGTAAATCGGCAGGGCCAGTCTTCTTCAGCAAGACTGCAACGTTGCGGTCTGATTTGTGCTTTCGCATTCCCAGCTTGTGGCCGAGCGTCGAAGTGTTTCGTGGAGGCGAAGACATTGGGGGCCAATAGCTGCTTGATGAGTTATCGGCGGTGCGGACCTGGTGGACGGTCGTTGGGTTTCGCCATAACACCCAAGCGGTGAGCAACCGAGTCTGCGCCCGTTTTACATATGCGCTCAATCACCAGTTGATTACATTGCCTTGATCACATCGCCTTGATTGAATCGCCCCAGGGCGGGTTGGTGACGTACCAACGACAGACTCTCGTGGAATGGTGGACGATTTCAAGATCCCAATGCATGCCGACGTTACTGTGGCACTGCGGCACTGGCCTGTCATATCCGCCTGGTGTAAGGTCTCAGTGGCAGCACGGACAAGTCCAGCTGGGAGCTGCATGTCGTGTCTGGGAATGGGCGTCGACCGCGACCGAGGGGCCAGTGGCAGATAGAATACTGTATTTCCACATCTCGTTACGGCAACGGCCCTCGGGCATGTCTGGCGGGTTTATTTCATACAAGGTTGGGAGGGATGTCGAACCTGGCATGTCGTTCCCAGTGTGTCGCTGCCGGTGCTGCTGGAGACAGAGGCTGATGGCGGGAAGCGCACGGACCGGCAATATCCGGTGTGCTCAGGGTCCATCCAACAGCGCTGAGGTGCCTCCGATAACCATTCCGCTTCCATAGAGGTCGTCATCATCGTCGCTATTGGACGCATAGATCTCATCCCGCAGCCCTGTGCTGCTCTTGAACTTTCGCGATGCAGTCCGATTCGCGCGGATCGAGCTTGTGGTTCGAGTACAGTACAGCATCTTCCTCGTAGTGATGATCCTCGCTGTTGGTCTGACCGGTGGCCTGGGTGATGAGGTTGATCCATTCCGAGTTGTGCCAGTGGAACTTTTGGTGGCGAATGCGCACAACCCATTCATCGTCGATCTCCTGTCGTCCGTACAGTCGGTCGAAAACCATGAGCAAGACTGGTGAATGTCGGTCCGTGCTTCCATGTCCCGACATGATCTCGGCCATCTGGGCATCTCTACCAACAGGCGTTTTGTTCGGCTCTTTGCATGCCAGCAGTCCTAGCAATTCAGTTGGCAGGGCTTCACGGGTGCCGAGCCTGCGAATCAGCCCAGCGACCAGAGACCAGCGACCAGCGACCACATACCGATATAATGTCCAGACAGACGTCGCACATGCGTCGAATCTCAATGTTTCGGTCGTAGAGCAGATCGATCAAGTACGAAACCACCTCTGATCATCAATACACAACGCTCTTGTCAGCGTACAAGCAGGGTGGTCTCATAGAGCGCCCTTGCATACCCGCATGGAACGACCACAACAGCGACGCTCGCTTACGTGTCTTTGTCGTTAGGATAGTTCTGGTCGACTCGTGGAGCAGAAACTGATAGACGACATAGATGATCTGGGAAATGATTTCGTCGTCCTCTTCTTTGGCTGAGAGCAGTGGTGTTGATGACGTCGTGAGCCACTCTCGCTTTGAGCCCATGACTGCTGCTCCCGCTGAACAGGTTATGCCTCCCGACTCATGGTGTGGTGAAGGACATATCCAGCATTGCTGGATCGTTAGATCTTACCGATCATCAAGTCCATGAGCACCGGGATTATGGTTGTCTTGGCCACCATTGGTGCAATGTTTTCGTCATTGGCCATGGTCCCCAGCAGAACCAGCATCTCGAGGGTGATGTCGTCGTCCTCCCGGACACCGCTCTTTGGGTTCATTTGCTGCGATTCTGCCACTCCGCTTTCGAACGGAAGCCGAGAGTCCCGCTCGACCACCTCGCACGCCTGAGCCAGCTTCTTGCCAACAAAGTTCAAGAGATCAAATGCTTCACACAGCTTGGCAAAGTCAAAGTCGGGGATGGTAAGCGAGTTGAGTATGCCCAGGATCTCGACGGTGATCTCGGGCTGGCCGATGGTCTTGAAGAGTGTCTGCATCAGATCATCGATGTAGTCCTGTGAACCAGCGTCGATGGTAAGCGGCGGATATGGGGCATCGCTGTGTACAAGCCTGGAGCATTGGGTGCGAGGCAGATCCCCAATCCTCCCACACAACTCCATCAGCATATCGCGCACCAAAAACAGGAGCTTGGCAGGGCCTTCGTGAGCCGCAATATTCCGGAGCATCTTGAAAAGCAGGTTGTCCCTGGTTTTGAGGGCACGCTTCATGAGAAATTTGAGACCGTTGTCGGCACAGATCACCGCAACGTTCACCGAGTTTGAGGCCAGATTGATGGCCAAGGCAATCAGCTCGACGTTCTGCTTCTCGCCTTTGTTCTCCAAGATCATCTTGATGCTCTGTAGGTTCATGAAGCAGTCAGTATCCGTGCGCCTGGCGGTTTTATCGGGAGCATGTTGTGGCGAGGCTCATGACGGCTGGTCATATATCTACTCGCCCGCAAATGCATCCAACCAACTGTTGCGTTGACGGTGCCCACGATCGCTATTGCACTCACCAGGGGAATGATGTCGGTGTACGAGAAAGCAGCTCTGGTTTCGTCTTCAATGCTGATGTGATAGAGCAGCTGAAGCGCCACGGGCGTGTGGACTTTGTTGTTGATATACTCCGAGAGTCTCTTGAGCATGCCCGTTCGCATCAGGGTCGATCGAAACGCCGGGTCGTGCGAGAGATTGAATATGAGCCGCAGAGTCAGGTTTTGAAGCCCCTGGTTATGGAAACAGCGGGATACAGGTCAGCGTCTGGGTCAGAAACTAGCTGAGCCGGTGCCTCGCAGCCGGAGCGATGGTTGCTGTGGTGTGGTGGGCACCAGAAAATGCCAGTTCGTACAGAGTGTTCGTATGAAAGAAGCACATCCAACTTCTCGAGAAGCTGCTCGCAGTTCTGTTAATAGGGAGCGCAATCGGATGCCGGTTAGTGATTGACGAGAACTCACTACCACGCAGTCGATCGCTCCAAACCCACTGTCGTCGTTTCGCGGATCCATTTGGGCGAAACGTACACTCGCTCCTGATAGCACGATGCAACCACTCATCGCGGTGCCCACAATTGCTGTACCTGCATCATCTCGTCCTTGTTTTCCCGGAAGATGCTCATCTTTTTGAGAAACGTGACAACGAGGATGAGGAGCTCCGGCGTTGTTCGATCAAGCATGAGGATCAGGTACTTGATGATTCCACGCTTGACCATCTTGACTTCGATTTTAAGGTCCTCTGCCAAGTTCAACAACAGATGGAAGGCCACTGCCAGAAGAGAAACGTGAGGCGTTAGGCTCGTTTATATGCCAAGCGAAATTGCAAATCCAATCCAGCGCGATCGGCCATGGGTGAGTTCTGAGTGTGTTGGCACCGACGAGCCACCAGTCAACCCCTCTATGTCTCACCAAACAGGAGCTGGTCTTGTTTGCGTATCATCGTCTGGAACTTTTGGTGCTCCTGTTCCAGCTCTCGCACAAGCCCGCTGTTGTCGGGATGAGAGGACACTGGAAGCGGGAATGGCATTCCTCTGTCAGCATGAACGGCTGCATCGGTGGACCCGATGTATGCCCCAAAATCGCCGTGGAAGTCTGTGTGTGCGAACCAACAATGCAACAACAACGCAGACCAGCCCCGCGGACCTCGACACACCGAACTGCAAGACACACATGGTCGAGGGCCGTATCGTGGCGACGGCGAGATGTACGGGATGGACAGCCCGCAACTACGTACGTTTTGCTTCAAGCTTCCTGAGGTCTTGGACCCACAGATTGAACCGGGCCAGCTCCTGGTCGGTGATGCGCAGACACATGTCGCCGATCTTGTTGGTGGTGATGAATCCGTGGAATTGAGAAAAGTTGGAGAAGCAAAAGAATATGTAGATGATGTTGGTGACCAATTCCATGGACTTTTTCCCGTCCTCTCGCAGGACACGGGACAGGGCCGACATGAGTGCGTCTGCATCGATTCGGGTGACCGATAGGAAGGTGAGATGGCGCTCGAGAGTATCGCCTCCAGCATGCCTCACCTCACCATACTGCAATTGCGAGCACGATCATGCACGGAGTGGGGACGCCGGGCAGCAAAACTCGTGGGCGCATCGGCAAAATCACAGAGACGCTCTTGATTTGCCACGGCGTTCGACAGCTTACCGTTGCCGATGAGCAGCTCCATATTCTCAGGCACTCGTGCAAGCTGCAGAATGGACCGAGTTGAGCTGATCTTGTCCGGCATTTCTTCGTAGAGCCCTTCGATGTACTGCTCGATCGAGTCGATTGACGGAGGCGCATCCTGTGTCGATGGCATTGGCCGTAAGTCGGGTGCACATGCCCAGCCATGTCGGTATCGGACTGCGAGCCTTACCCCTGCCGGTGTATCGCCGAAGGCGCTGTCCTCGAGTCGTCTCCGCTGGACGCCTGCGTTCGCGTTGTTGGTGAGGTCGAATGAGCGGCCGGGGCGGGCAAAGACGAAATACGCGATTGTTCAAAAGCAACGGGATGGAGTAATTGGCAAGGTCAGCTTCGCCGGTGACAGAGCCCCTGCAAACTCGAGTAGTCCTGCAATTGCGAGCCCCTGCTATCCCACGATGGATAAGGAAGCAGAGGCACAGGAACGGCTGGCTCACCTCCTTCGTTCATCTGGCGCTGCTGCAAATAGTAAAGAAGCTGCTCGACGTCGTGCACCTTGGACGGGTGGATCAGCTTGCACTTCTCCACAACCTCCTCTGCAAGGACGGCCAGGTTCGTGTTGGGATGCAGGGCCTTGACTCGGATACTTGGTGGAACGCGCAAAATGGGACAGAAGAGATTAGCGCACCAACCAGGCTGTCGTGGCCTTCTCGATGCATTCATGGACGGCCTCGGACACGACAGCCTACATCTTCTGCATGGCCTTGCGGTCGCCGACGACAGGCTGGCCATTCTCGCCGAGGATGGTTGCTTGAATCGTGTAGTTGACGACGATCGCGTTGTCGGTGGGATGCACATCGATGTGCCCAGGCAATATCTTCCTGTGGACCAAAGATGGCAGGTTGGCCACAGCGGAGTGAGCGGCGGCGAAAAATAGGGTCCGTCAATGAGCCAGCACAGAGCACCAACGGCCACTTGCCGCTTCAAGTGATACGGTTCGAGGTCGTCGGTTGGGGTGCCCATACTGCTGGATGCGCGGCAGTATTCTCAGGCGAGGACGAGAGCCAGTTCCGGCGGCGATGGCAAAGCAAGAGTTTCAGTAGCCAAGGTGTTGATGAAGCAAATCCACAGAAGGGCATCGGATCGGCCTCTCGGCAGGGGCAGGCAATGGCTGACGGGGGCTCTCCCCGATCTGCCTCGATCGGGCTTCGTGCCTTGGTGGATCAGGCCCATGCTGCAGCACAGAGCCTCCAAGAAGAGCGGAACAGCGAGCCATGCGGATTGGTGGGGTCGCACACCTGCGTTGCTGACGTATGTTTGATTGAGTCTCATGGCAAGCTCGGGGTGGATTCGCACTTGTCTCGACATCCTCTTGGCATCTGGGCGATCCCAGGTGCTCATCGACAATGCGCATGGCCCCGACTTCGAAACAACACCACGGATATCCGGCCGGGGTTGTTGGCAAGTTGTCCCGTGGCCTCCTGTCGCCTCGCAAGTACTTTGCAAGGAACGATGCTGCTCGGACTGCTTGGGCTGCTTGTGCCGACGAGACAAGTACCCGGCTTGGAGCGAGCACATTGCCGCTGGCGGCCATCGCTCGTCCTGTGTTCTTCATCCGGCCGGGGATGATGCCGACCCTGTCGACACTCCCATCACCCACAGCACCGGCAGACGCCCTGGGCTGCATGTGAGCGCTGCCTCGGTTGGTGGTCGGTCGTCGTTTGTGCGGGACAACCAACCCGACTCGCATTTTGGGGCAAGGGCGCCGCTCATCCCCATCACCACGCCGCCGCCTCCCACTCCATCTCGCTCTGCCATCGACAGCTCCAGCCCGCCGTCGCTGCATCTCCAGGTCCGTCATTGCCTGGGCATTGCTGCCGCGCCTATAGCGGCCTCGTCTGGCTGCTGCATCACCGCATGCCGTTGTTGGAGTCTGGACCGCATCGCTGACCTCTGAGCCTGACGGGCCGTCGCCTCATTCAATTCACCTGCAGACCCTCCCCCATCCGCTCCGGCCCAGCGCTGCAATCGTCCATCGCCCGCCTTCCGCAAGCCTCTCATCGCCGATGCAGCAGCAGCTCCGCAATGTCCTTTCACAGTTTCTGCCGGCAGGGGTAGTCGACCTGCTCGTATCGCCAAGCCCGGCAGCGCCGAGCCCGTCCCGCTCTGCCCAACTGTCGTCGCCGCCGCCGTTGTCGGCTCTGCCAGCAGCCGACCAAGTCATGACCGATCTAGATACGGACTCGAACGCGAGCGACTCGCAAGTGCATCGATACTCGGTCCCGAGACCGAGGAGAGGGCCGATGGCCCAGCAGAAGAAGACCCTGGTCCTCGATCTGGACGAGACGCTGATCCACTCGACCTCGAGGGGCTCCCGCAACCACGACCATATGATCGAGGTCCTGGTTGATAGGCACGTCTGTCTCTACTATGTCTACAAGCGGCCGCATGCCGATTACTTTCTCCGTAAGGTGAGCATCCCGACGATACGACGAGGCGGGAGCGGGAGAGCTCGCTGGACTGCCGATCGTGCAAATCACGACGATATCGAGACGGCATCGAGCCGAAAGCGCCCCCGATGGAGGCAGACTCAGATTCGCCAGGCACCCGATGCTCGCCTGGCGATTCCGTTTGCCTTCTGTCACTGTTCCGTTTCGGGGCTTTCGATTCACTCTCCCCTGCCTCCTTCCTTCCAGGTCAGCGAATGGTACAAGGTCGTGATCTTTACCGCTTCAATGCCCGAGTATGCCGATCCCGTCATCGATTGGCTCGACAGTTCCCGGACGCTGATCAGCCGTCGATACTTTCGTCAGGTGAGCAGGGCTGCTCAAGAGCCGCCACTGGCGCCAAGGGCCGCGGATGCATCCGGCATTGGTCGGGCAAGAACAACGCGCATGAGTTGAGCAGGCGAGGCTGGCGGACCAGAATCGCCCCACCGGCCAAAGGCAGATTGCGGGAGAAGTGCAGCAAGCGGCATCCCCGAAGTCACTCTGGTCGAATCGGCTGATGAGCAGAATACTGCAGCGTCCATCGATATGATAAGTGCTCGCGCTCCAAGGCTTCCGAGGAAGCACGATCTGGATATAGATCCCGACAACCGTCCCCGACAACCGTCCTCGACAACCGTCCTCGACAACCGTCCCAACAAAAGCAGTTCAGCACAACAAATCGAGCCCGACAACCACCGCGATGCTTCGGAATCCGATGCGGCAGCAGCCTGACTGACGGACTGTCATTGCATTTGTGGCGTCTCCTGTTTCTCTCCTATCGCAGTCGTGCACGCCTCGGAACGGCACCTATGTCAAGAACCTGTCTCTCGTCGATCCGGATCTGTCGCAGGTCATCCTGGTCGACAATTCACTCGCAGCGTTTGCAATGAACGAAGGTACACAACGTCTCTCCCCCCCCCCACAGTAGAGGCCAAGAGGGACATTAGTGATCCACTGTGGACAGGCCGTGCCGACGCATTTCAGGGCCGGACAGTGCCTTGCTTGCTCGGTCGACGAATGAGTTCTGCTCTGCCTCCCACGGCATCGCCGTCCTCCCATCCCACAGAAGCAGAGGCATCCCGACTGACTCTCTGTACATCACGGGCTCTTCCAGACAACGGCATACCCATCGAGAGCTGGATGAATAACCCCAACGACGAAGCGCTGCTGGATCTGCTCCCCTTTTTGGACGCCCTGCGATTCACCCACGATGTCCGATCGGTGCTGTCGCTCAGGGCGTGACCTCGGCTTCCGAACACACGTACATTCACAGGCTCTGTATCTCGTCGTCGACCGGTCAGATCCGCTTGGGTCCCAGGTGTCAAGTGCAGCGCCGCGTCACATCCATTTCCCAATATACTGGCACACTCGGCCAAGAGCACTCTCGGTGGCTGAGAAGGGCAGTTGCTGCGTGTCAGGAGTGGAGCTGTGGGCCATATGAACGTGCTGTGTATTATTACGGAAGGAGAAGGAAGCGGAGGAGAAAGAGGCGGAGGAGGAAGAGAAAGGGGTCTAAAATAGCAGTGACAAAGTAATATCGATAACAATAGCATAGCAAACATCAATAGCCATAAGAATGCGAAGGTGGGAGGAGGGGGGTGAAGGAGGAAGAGAAGGGAGTGGATATGACAAACCGGCTGTGTGTGAGAGGGGAGGGGTGAAGACAGGCGAAGCGACATCAAATAGCTGGAATAACGCTAGCCCTTCGTTTCATACATACACATACGACCTGGCGTCTCTATAAGTATATATCGAAGAGGCAAGGGTTCCTTTGTAAATAAAGAGAGTAGGGAGCGAGGAGGTCATCGTAAAGGGAGGAGGAGGAGAGGAGATGATCAATCACACGGGACTGGCAATCCGCATGCGCAAAGCCAATCGTGGGACCACCATCAGAGCAAGATGTAGAAAAGGCGGACTGAGGGTAAGAAAGACTTGAAAGAGTAAAAACTGTCGAAAGTAGCGTCGAGAACAAGGGCGGGACAAGGGAAAGGGGGCGGAGGAGACGGGAAGGGAAGCGATGAGACGCTGGTCGACTTGGAGGGACGCACCGAGCGAATGGGCAGGACCAAAGAGGGAGGAAGGGTGAGCGAAAAAGATATCAGGGGGATCCCTTTTTCACGCGACAGCTTGCCGGCAGCAGAGTTAAGCAAAGAGTTGCTTGATTCCCTTGGGAGTGGCCTCGTCGTTCAGATGGACGGTGGTGTATCGGAGGGCGTTCATGAGTGAGTTGGCATGTGCGCCGCCAAACTGCTGGATCAGTCTCACGGTCGATCGGATCTGAGGGGCGGAGAGACACGGCACATCGATAGTCAGCAGATTGAAGGGCCGACGACAGCCGCATTTAGTGTCCCACCGACCATCGACTCCCATTGTCGAGGCCGTGCATCGGAGCTTACGTTGAGTTTTGATCCTTTTGAGAATGCACCGGCCTGCGTGACATTGTCATAGAGCACAACCGAGACAACGATGACTCTCAAGCAAAAGTCGGTGAGAGGCTGGTTGGCTCCAGCACTGAGAGTTGCGGCAAAGTAGTGGATGCAAAGCAGTCCCGAAACAGACAAGACAGAGCGCAAGTCAGTATAGCGCACGGAGATCAGCGGCACGCGGCGCAGTGCTCAAGGGCACAGAAGAGCCGTACTTTTTCGAGACAATGTTGTAGCAGATGGCGCAGAGAATGGACAGGCAGTCGGTGAGGGCCTCTTCGCTAAAGTTGCGCTGCGGAGGAGTCAGGGCGACGAGAGATGAGTCTGGGAGAGCGGAGAAGCATGGGTGGCTCACATCTGCCCCCAATGCAACCAAAGCGACTGGCCGATGGGACCAAGGGCGTAAGCTGGGTACATACACGGCTCAGGGCCACCTGTGTTGAGTCAATCAGAGATTTTGTCATGGGGGTGGCGTGTGCGTAGAATAGTGACATTCTGTTGGCCAGGTCCTCGTTGACGATAACGGCCCGCTGGGTCTGGATGGGGGCCAAGTGCAAATGAGAACGAGCGAGTGAGTGAGTGCGTGAGCGAGTGCGTGTGGGTGAGTGGACAAAGCGTCGTGTTCAGAAGGACATTTTTCCAGAACCCCGGCGATGCATGCGACGAGATGACGGCTTGCTTACGTTGGACATGCGCATGCGGCTGAGGGTGCGGCGATAGAAGGAAAAGTCGTTTTGGATGTTGGGGTTGTTCATCTGTACGGATCAGCGATATCCGGAGTTGAGATGTCGGAGGTCAGAATTGAAGGTCAGGACTGACGGTCGGGATTGAATCTGGCCGAGACCCCTGCCCTGGCTGTCGCGGTGGAAGGCCAGCGACGGTCTTACCTTGATCTCGTCAAACTTTGAAGCAAAGTGCAGCATGTCGGCCAGACGCTTGGCCGTAGCCTGGTGACTCTCGAGGTTCCTGCCAATGTCGCCCTGGCAGAAAAAGTGAAGGGCTCTGGGGAAGGCATCCTCTGTGGGAGAGTGGAACGCGGCGTGAGACGGTGGGCTGTGGGATATGTTGTGCACTGTTGCCGGTGAGAGAGGGGGGGGTCACGCACGGACCCTGCGCCTTGGAAGCATGGGCCCGGCACAGCCAGAGGAGGGGGGCTGCATTGTCGCACACTCTGGAGCAAGCGGATACAGAGAGCCGTGCGGGTCGGAGCCCCGATCGGGAAGCATCGCCGGGAGATACCCACCGAGCCGCTGGGAAAACTCATAGCAGTCTTTCAGGTTGGATACGGCAGGGCACACGGCTTTCCACGCCGCCTCCTCTGTCTCGCGATTGGGTGTCGAGATGGCCTGCAAGAGCGGAAGAGCCAGAGACCAGGGTGCGGATGTCAGCCTGGTGGGTCTGTTCGGGAGGCAGAGGAGTTCAAGCGACGCGAGGACAGGCCCCCAAATCCAAGTGCCGAATGGCATGGAGCGCGGCAGCCGGGGTAGATGTCGGCTCGTAGATGTCGTTCGATACAGCCGGCATGGTGGCCTCGGCTCGGCAGCTTGAGGCGCGAGCCCACCGACGCAGCGCCGATCCGAGCAACGATGCATCGGATGTCGATGGAGGCAAGCCTGGGGCTGTGCCAAAGGCCCAGAGTCCCGACAACGGACGGTCAGGCCAGCACAGAGACACGCCAGGACCTACCCTCCTGATATAGTCGCCGCATCCGTTGTAGTGAGACATGACATCCAAGTGGTACGAGGCCGGCGCAAGAATGTTGGAAAGGTAGTTGTAGATGTCGATTTCAGACTGCAAGGGCTGGGCGCCTGAGATCCGGCCGCCAAGCCGACGGCAGGACAGGGGAGAGGGGGAGGATGTGAGACGAGTATTGGGCGATGGACATGCAGAGAGACATGGCGCCGGTCCAGGCGAACTGCCACGATATGGACGGCGACAGGATGCAGCTGATTCCCCTGGCCCTTCTTCCCTTGCCAACGGAGCAGGGCGAGGGTACGGGGCGGTGCAGCGGACGCACCATCCAAGTCGATAAGGATGTTTGAGCCAGAGATGGCGGCGTGGTCGGCGGCGCCTTCCCCGCCACGAAGATAGGAAATGAGGGCACCCATAGCGCTTTGAGGGCAGGGGTCGAGTGCGTGCAAGGCAGATGAAGAAAAAGGCCTCGGCAGCCGACGCAAGAGCCGACGAAGACGGGAAAAGGCCGAAAAGGAAGGAGCGAGCCGGCCGGGGCCAGCGTGTGTGTGTGCGGCACAGAGAGTGTGGGCGGCGGGCTGCGAGGCGGGGCGCGCTGTCGGTGCGGTCTCGGCGCGGTCTCGGCGCGGTCTCGCCGGCCCTCTCGGCTGTCCTGTCCTCTCGCCCGTCTTCTCGGTCACGCCCTCGGTCACGCTCCCCCACCGAGAGCTGCCACACACACACACCGCAGCACGCACACACACACCGCAGCACACACGCACACAGCGACTGTGTCTGCCAGCCAGCACCTCTTTCCATATCCGGCAGGCCGGCCCGATTTGGCCAAGTGTGTCCGCGGCTGCCGATGCCGAGCCACAGACCTGTTCCGTGCACCGGATCGATCCGGCTGCGCTGGCTTCCTGTGCTCAAACTTTTTTTGTTTTTGTTTTCCGTCTTGGTCTTGGGGTGTTTGGGTGCTTGGGTGCTTGGACTCGGATATCCTCGCTGTCCTCGACTGCGACTGCATTCGGCATTGGCCATTCCTGCTGCTGCTGACAGGCAGTCTCCATCCGCGTTCTTTCGCCGCTCGCCATGGGTGCCGGAAACAAGAAATTCAAGGCCCGCTCTGGCAGCGCCGCCGCCGCCCCCGCCGCTGCCGCTGTCGCCGAAGCTGGTCCGTCGCGCACCGCCAAGACCGTCCTCGACAAGACAGCTGGGTCCAAGCGCATCATCGACAAAAAGTCCAAGCGGCTCCAGAAACAGAGCTCGTGGCTCAGCAAGCTGCAGAAGGCGACCGAGTCCTCAAAGGCCACTGCCCTCAAGAAGCACCTCGATCTCTCTTCGATCAAGTCGGCCCTCGGCTCGGTTGGTCTCGTCGGCGGTAGCGGCGCTGGCATCTCGGCTGCCCCGGCTGGGGCGGTGGCTCCCGGCACGGCCTCCTCTTTCCACAAGTCGCAGAAGAACAGGAAAAAGACCACCGTCAGCGAAGTCACTCGGTTGCAGAGTGTCCTTCAGCATCCGGCGTTCAAATCGAATCCCCTTGCAACCATCCAGCAGCACATCAAGAACACCATGACCCAGGCCGGCGCCCCCAGCTCATAGACCCTCCCGCATTGCGGGCTCATGAACACATCGCGTGTCGCTCCATTCCAACGCAATCGTGGCCGAGCTACCGGGTCCACAGCCAGATGCGATCGGGATCCATTCGATGAATTGCCACAATCCACCTTGCCGATCGGCGCACCGCCCATCCGCATCCCTTCATCACATTTCATATCAAAGCCCACTTTCCGCTTCCGTCGCTCCAGGACCAAGCCAAGTCTCGAGCGCCGTGGAACTAATGCACGATCACAGCTTGGTCATAATGAAGAATGAACAGTCCACACAGCCGCCAACGAGCCTTTCGTCAATGTAGTCGAGACGTCTCTGGCAAGGGCCCGCTGACCTGAAGTCCATGCTCTGGACCAAGTATCTGGGTGAAATCACGCCGCCTCAAGCCAAGCAAGAGGTTTATCATTTGGCTTGTACTGGCAGTGAACGATGAGAAATAGACCGCACAATGGCACGCGAACAAAGCAGGTTGTCTGGCCACGCGGACTAAGAAAGGCCAAGTCTCTGGTGTATGTGGAAGAGCTGAGAACTAAGAGCAGATGGAAAAAACAAGGCAGGGGACATTGATGAGGGTGCAGGGCAAGGAAACATGCGGCGAAGGGCGACGAGTGGCCGACGGATGGATTGTGAGAATAAAGTTCGGTTGAGCGAAGCTCATAAAGCTGAGAGCCGGATGTGGGGGGGGGGTGAATGGGAGCGGTCCCATGGCCGTTATCGCAGAGGAGGTCTGCTGCCGCCAGTCGATCTACGACAGCAGAGGATCCCGCTCGCCCGAAGACACACGCTGGCGCCGCATCTGGAGGTGGAATCCAACGACTCCCATCACAAACGACAGAGCCACGCCGGCCATGATCCAAAAGAGCGTCGTCTCGTCGATGATCAGGTCCACCTGATTCGAGTGGATAGTCATGCAGGCCTTGTACTGCCGGATCAGGGTCGAGCTCTTTGTGCTGGAGCTGCCCATTCGAGCGAGCAGACGGCCGACGGATTGCGGATCCATTCGCTGCATGCCAAAGTCCTCGAGCGAGTGGCAGTCGACTTGATACTGGAACGGCTCGGAGTCGTTCTGGAAACGGGCCTTGCCGGGCTTTTTCCGGGGCGGAGGATCGGCGTGCTCTCGATCCCACTGGCGGTTGGCGGCTTCAAGGTCCAGATGATACTGGGCATAGTGCTGGATAAAGGACTGGTTGGTGCCGTCGTTGGTGATGGCCAAGGACCCGGCGCGGAACCCGGGATTGAAGACCGGGACAATCGAGGGCGATGTGTGGTAGAAGCCAACAATGTTCCATTGCGGGAAGGCATAGCGCTCTTGGAAGAGAACCGATGAGGTGATGGGCATGAAGCGATACTGCGACTCTGCCTTTGGGCGCTGCCAGGCTGACTTGACAAGGACAGTGAGGATGTCCTGGTTGATGTGCCCAAAGAGCTGCCCGAGGATGACATCGGAAAACTCGCCGCTGATCTGAGAATACCACTCGTAGCAGTTTTTCCGGTACGACGGCTCGCCGCTGGCGTCGGTCGGGGCGATGTGGCCGACGATCATGACCTTCTTGCCGGCTTCGCGGATGTGGGTCAGCTTGGTGACGAGCCACTGCAGCTCGACGTCACCGGGCTCCTTTGATTTTTTGAGGGCGTAGTCGCTGAGGCTTCGCGAGAGCGGTACACAGTCCGGAATCTCGGGGTTGTCGCTGTACCAATACAGGCTGTTGGTTGCAATCACATCCAGGGCCCCGGGGACGAGCTCGCGATGGTGGTAGCCGCCTCGCTTGAAGCTGGCGGCAATGTCCTTCTTCTCGGCCTTGCTGGAGCCCTTGAGAAAGGGCTTCCAGATCTCATAGAGCCCGTCGAGGACGTCGTTGGGACCGGCCTTGAGACTGTTGTGCGGCCAGACATCCCAGTTGCCGATGGCAGGAACCACCTGCACCCGGCTTGTGTTGAATGCGCTTGTGAGGAACGACACCACGTTTTCGTTCTGCTCGGTCGGTTCGCCTTTCTTGACGGGTAGATTGTTGTCGCGATCATGTCTGGTTTGACAGAAGCCACATCAACAGACAGGCGCCGAGGCGGTCGCGGTGGGCAAAGCGATCGAGATGGTCCAGATAGCGATAGTGTACGACCGGGAAGCAATAGTCGATCGAGCGATCGCAACGGCATCGATGGATTGATTGTCCAAGCACAGATAACGGCAACAAGGCCAAAGGTGCAGCACACGGAGCTGGGATTAGCGGAGCGGAAAGGGCGCTGTAGCGTCCACGAGCCCAGCCTCGACCCGAAATCGCAATCCAGGAACAGGCAGCTGCCCCTTGACCCACCACCCAACCGACCTGGTATAGTCGCCGGTCATGAAGATCACATCCAGCGAGTCGGCCATGCCGCTATCGACCATGAACTGCAAGGTGCTGTTCATGAGCTGAACGGGCGAGTCGCACGGCGAATTGGGATAACCAAAGTAGGCCGAGTTCCTGGACGGGCCGGGTTTGGACTTGCGGCTGGAGAGCTCTTGGTGGCAGTAGCTGGGCGACGGCGCAGAGTTGGGCACATAATACGGATCCAGATGGATGTCCGTCAGCTGGACTGGGAGTTGGAGTTGCACATGCAGGCACGAAGTGGGGGTGTTCGATATGGATGCAGGCGAGACATCGAGATGGTCGAAACAGCGGGACGCAGGGTTAGCGACAGGCAGCGACGGGAGCGCAGTGATCCAAGGTGCTGCGTGCTGTGGCAGGCGAACGTATACGAGTATAGGGTATGAGGGTACGAAAGTATAGGGTGCGGCTGAAGCAGCTGGTGCAGACGTGCAAGCAACGCGAGGAGCGGCATCACAAAGGGAGAGGCGGATATGAATAGCGGGGCGAGCACGAATGCAAGCGGGAGAACGGGACGGACGGAGCGATCGGTACTGAAACGCAGGAGGGTGGGCTCGACGGCCATGGCGGCGGAGACGTGGGCTGGGACGGGCAGGGGGTGCTGAAAGAGAGTGCTGAAAGAGAGTGCTGAAAGAGAGTGCTGAAAGAGAGTGCTGAAAGAGAGTGCTGGCGGCCGAACCAGACTGCCGGGGCGCGAGACCGATTGCAGAGCGGGTTGGAGAGTGGATTGCCGCGCAGACAGAACGGGACAGAACGGGACAGAACGGGACTGGACCGGACCGGACTGGACAGGGCAAGATGGGGCAAGATGGGCGAGATGGTATATATACGAACCACATGTGTGTGTGTGCATGGCTGCGCACCAGACAGGGCGGACAAGGCGGACAGGTGTGTGCGACCGCGAAGTGGTGCAGACAAGGGCGGCGTGAAGCACTTTGGAGTGCTTCTGCTGCGCGCCGGTGTCTGTGTGGGCGCCGCGTCTGCCAGGCGAGTGCGCATGCGCGTGGCCAGAGCGCGTGCACCCCAGGGCCTTGCTGCGCCGGGCGGACACGCCGCAGGGGTTTTGTCTCTCTCCTTGCCTCTCTCTCCTTGCTTCTCGCTCCTTGCCTCTCTGGCCTTCCCTTGTCATTTTCCTTCCTCGCCTGGGTCGATGTTTCCTCTCATGCATGTTTCTTCTCGTGCATGTTTCCTTCCCATGCATGTTCCCTTCCCATCCTCCTCCGCGTCCATCTGCGTCCTTTTCTCGCTCTCGACGACCATCTCTCAGCACCCCAGCCACGTGTCTCTGGCCCCGTGCTTCGCCACCATTGACTTGGTTGTCGTGCTGTCCCACACAGCCATTTCTCTCTCTCCCGCCTTCGTCCTGTTCTATCGCCAAGCTCCTCCTGATGCTTCCCCCGCCGCCTGCCACCAAAGTCGACACCACCGCCAATACAAGCACCGGCATCACCGACGATTCGCTGTATCTTCTGCTGGCGCTGCTGGCCCCCTATGTCGATCCCGCAACCTGGACTCGGCTGTCCTCGGTCTCGCGTTCCTGGCGAGCCATGCTTGCCAATCCGGCCAACTGGCGCATCCAGTTCCAAGCCTTCTTTCGCCTTCCTCCACGGATCTTCCGGGCCGACCACCACCAAGTCGTCGTCGCTGCACACGCCTTCCTGACCCGCACTCGTCCTCAGCCCTATCCATGCGAGTCTTATCTCTGGGGCGTCATCCACCCCGGCGCGCTGCTGGATCGTCTGCGTGAGATGTGTCTCGCGAATGCCCTGGCTCTCTTCCATCGCTGGGAATTCGCCCGGCATGTTCCAAGGCCCAGCTCGAATCGCCTGGAGAACTGGATCTTTGCGGGTTCGCTGCCGGACATGGTCGGCCTCGTCGGGATGTTCGCCTATGAGATCGACCACAGCGGCGGCAGCGTGCTCAAGCTGCCCGAGACTGTGTGTTTCTGGAAGCCCAAGTGCATCCGCATTGACTCGGAGCAGCTGCACGATCTGCCGCGATCCTTTGGCTGTCTTTTGGCCTCGCTCGAGAAGCTTGAGATCCGGAACGCCCATGTCACCGAGCTCCCGCCCTCGTTTGCTGGTCCAGACGATATCGACGCCTCCGCTGCCATCGTTTCCGGTGGCTCGCCCGCCCACCATCGACCGCTCCAAGTCCTGGATCTGTCGAGGTGCAGCTCTCTGCGTTCGGTCGAGCATCTCGGCCATCTGCCGAGCCTCACCGATCTCAACCTCACCAACTGCTCCTCGCTCGAATCCCTCGAGGTCATTAGCCTCTGGCCCAGCCTCTCGTACGTCGATCTGGATGGATGCACTCAACTCACCACCTTGGGGCCGCTGGAGGGCCTGTCGAGCCTGAGCTGGCTCGACCTCAACGAGTGCTCCTCCCTCGCGTCGGTTGGGTCGCTGGCCTGCTCATCCAGCCTCACCTTTCTGAATTTCAACGGCTGCTCGGCCCTGCGCTCCGTGGGACGGCTGGGCGAGATGCCGTCGCTGGCTTCTGTCAACCTTAGCGGGTGCACTGCTCTCGAGTCGCTTTCATTCCTGGAGGATCTGGTGGCACTGGAATCGCTGTATCTCAGCAACTGCTCTGCGCTCGCCTCGATCGAGCCACTGGCCCGATTGAATCGTCTCATCCACCTCAACCTCGACGGCTGCTCGGCGCTGGCGTCCCTGGAGCCTCTCAGAGGCTGTTCTTTGCTGGCCGAGCTCTCGCTCACAGGATGCTCGGGTCTGTCGGCGCTGAGCCCTATAGCCCGGCTCCCGGGCATGCGCACGCTCTTTGTGTGTGCAAGATCGCCGATTCCATCGGAGGAGTGTCTCATTCAGGAAGCTCAAGACGGACGCAGCCAATGCGGTCTGCTGCCCCTGGTGATCAAATACTGCACAAACCACTTGCACAAGCGCAACCCGCCAGCTTAGTTCAGCTGGACACTGACGTGATGAACGCATCCGCATCCCTCAAGTCCCAGCAGCTCCAGGTGTCGTGCGGGCCGCTCGATCTTGGAGGCCATCTTGCGCTCATGCCACTCCCTCCTTCCTTCGTCCGCCCTGGATGCAAAAGGCAAAACGTTAAACTCTGCAGTGCAGCCTTGATCGCAAGCACAACGGCAAGCATAGCAGCAAGCACAGCACCCAGTTGCTGCCGACTTTGGCTCCAGCTCCGACCCCGGCCATTGCATCCTCATCAGGCAGATCGGATCGGAACGACATCCCCGCGTTTGACATACCACGACGCATTCCAGCCGTCTGCGGCTCCACTGGAATCGTTGAATTGGATCAGCACTGCCCTGGACGACTCGGCCTTGAGTCGTTGGTGCAACGCGATAACCGAGACCTCCTGTCGTTGAATGCACGGTTGGTTGGCGACTCCAGCTGCAGGTTAACCAACGATAGCAATGCATGCGTCACATGCGGGAAAGCTGGCGACGCACCTCGACTCCTCCTTCGACGCCCGGGATCAGCTGAGAATCGATCGATGTTAGTGCGCGAAGCAATCGGTTTGGCTCGCCTGCGAACGGCATCAGCTTACCCCCTCGGCCACCATGAGGAACCCGGTGAGGGCGAGTTTCTGGACATTCCACAATGCAGCCTAGAGCATGTGGACCACGAGCGCAGTGCGTGTTAGTGAGTCGGTTGATCGTTGTTGGCAACAACGACGGTCACAGCCCCACTCGATGCTCTGCACTTGATCTGGACCGTGCTCTTGGCATCCAGAGAGGCCATTCGGCGGACGAACGACATGAAGCCAGCAGACGCTGCCGTCGAGCCTCACCGTGTTCCATGGGGCCGTGCGTCCGTCGAGCGATTGTTTGCCGGCGACAAAGTTGTGGCCATTCAAAGCCTTGCCGACGACCAAGGCGTCTTGACGGTAGAAGCACCGGGTAGACGAGGGGAGAAACGAGGGTCCGTGATGAGCTATCCGAACCGAGACGAGCGAGGGCGATGGGTGGTTGTGAGTGGATGCATGCGAAATACATCGAGCCTGGCTTGCTCCAGGGTGGATCCGTCTCCATGAATCCGCATCGATGCCAGGCGACGTCGATGGCCAACGTCACCGGGCCAGAGTCATGCTCCCCAACCTTGCTGCACGAGCGCTGCCCGCATTGCCTCGATCTCGGCATCAGCCAGACGGACTTCCACAGACTGGAACAGGGCAATGTCGAAGCCCTGCTGGGCCGCATAGTGCACCAGACTGTTCAGGGCTGGAATGAACTTGCCCCAGTCGCGGACGGGCACCAGATCGATCGATGCAGAGCCGGATTCTGGGGCGGCGCTGAGACGACGGGGCAGAATGCCTTGCAGCTCGATGCCAAGGTCGACATCATCCTCTGGATACTACAAGCACAGCGAACACAGGAAGACAGCCCAGCGTGAGCAGCGGCGTCGAGGAGTGGTTGCAGCAGTTTGGTTGGTCTTGCGGTCATGAGGATGTGCTCCTTCTGGGGTTGCTCACCGCAATGGCGATCCTGCTTGCGTATGCCGAGGTGCTGCGGCATGCCTCGCGCAAGACCGAGAGGTCGATGGGCGCCGAGCGATCCTTGACGTTGTTGCGGTGGATCCGGAGGCAGATGACGATGCCGCTGTCCATGCTGCGATGCGACGGGCAGAGAGGGACGGGTGCTGGCCGAGCCCACGTTGCGCGTTGCTGGGTGCAAGATGAGCCGAGCGAGAAGGGCGGCCAGGGAAGAACGTGCTTGCCTATTTGCCTGCTTGCTGGGGCGAGACGGAGTGGAGCGGCAGATGTGGCCCGCAGACACTCCCGCCTGGCCATGGCAAGCGCAACGGCATGTCCAAAGTAGGCCCAGACCGACGCCAGGATCAGCAGCGGCAACAGCAGCAGCAGCAGCAGCAGCAAGTGATCAGCAAAAGTCGAGCCAGAGCGATGCAACTCACAAGCAGGCGGCGCCACCAGCCCACGGCCATGAACCGGTGCGGCGTGTTGGAAGCAGCGATGAGCCATGCCGTTTCATTCGTTCACACGTATCATCCGCTTGTCGAATCGTCTCCCGCCCATGAGATCCCCTTGACCGAGCCCATCACAACAATGCGAACGCCAGATCGACGCCATTCAGCCAGGCGGCGGATCTTTGCCATTCAGCGCACACAAGCCATTGATATCCCGTTTCGCCATGAGTCGACTGCTTACACTGCGATCGACACTGCGATCGACACTGTCGGAGACATGTCGTTCGCAACATGCCCTGGCAACATGCCCTGGCAACATGCCCCTGCAGCGCTCTCGCCACCACAGCGGCGCACCCCAAGCGCCAGGATGCCCTCGCCGAGAACGCCCTGCTCAGTCCCACATGTGCGACCGGCGCCTCCAAGGCTGTTGGTCTGCTGCCCTGTCCTGGCTCGTCTCCAGCGACAAACAAACACGGCCGGCAAAGCCCACTCTGGCCAGCGCTTTCTCCTGTTGTCCGGCCCAAGCAGTGCCGGCGCTTCTCCATTTGTTTTTCAGGCTGCAGCCCGGCTGGTTCTCTGACTCTTCCCTTCCCTTCGCTCTCGATCTTGCTGTCCTGCGGCCCCGCAAGCTTCTGCTGCTCCTCTGTCGCCATCTGCTCTCGGCACACCCTTCCCAAACCTTCCCTGCCGGCGCCCCGCCATGTCCTCCAATAGCCCAGAGCCCGTGCTCCAGTAAGTCCGTCGCGGATTGATAGCCATGCCGTTGCGCAAGCGCTGTCTCGTGTGCTTCATCGTCCAATGTCGGGCTGTCCCTCTCGGGCATGCCCAGACATGCTCGGGTACCGACGCATGCTCTTGCTGCTGCCGTCACTGCTCTTGCTGCTGCCGTCACTGCTCTTGCTGCGATTGCCCGCGGGTCCCCGAAACTGGGCCATAGAGGGCCCATGTCGGGCTGCCCTTTGGTGGATTCGCCGTTTCCTGAATCAAGGACGGGCAGTCGGGGCGTGGCAGATCCCGCATCGAGGCATCCGCATCGAGGCATCCGCATCCACATTTGCTATGGTGGGCCATCTCGCCATCTCCGCTCACAGCCGTCTGAATTTCTTCTGGCCATCCCCGACAACGCATCTCCTCTTATCCTCTGTCCGGATGACCATGTCGGCATCGACAACCATCCTCAGTGACCGATACGGGTTCAAACGAACCTTTGACGCCGTCTCGCAGGAGGATCAGGATCGGTTCGACCGCGAGTACCGCGAGATCGAGCGCCGACGGTCTCAGAAGTGGGCCCAGCTCCTCTTGAGAAATAAGGGCGAGCTGCCACCCAAGTCGGATAAGGGTGGGTCTACCGAGAGCGCCGAGGCTGTGCAGGCCGAGCAGATCGTCGCTGTCGGCGAGACTGTCGTCGCTGCGTCCTCGAGCTGTATCGATCTGGAACTGGTGGTCGCCACCATGGCTGCTTCGGCAGCAGCCGCTCTGGCTCCCCGTTGCTGCGTCCGACCCGATCGATCGAGCAGGGAGCATCGCAAGCCACCATGCCCATTCGTCGATTGCCCACCCGGCTAACCACCAACCAACCTCCACCCCTCGCTTCCTGACCTGCAACGACGCTCCCGACCAGTCAAGCGATATATCCGCAAGGGCATTCCCAAGGAGCTTCGAGCCCGAGTGAGTACCGCAAGCCTGCCTTTGTGGCCGCAGACACTGTTTTCCGAGGATCACCCCGCCCCTTCTGCCTCTGACCAACAACTATCCTTTCCATCCAGTCCTGGTACCACTACTGTGGTGCCGACAAGCTCCGAGAGGAGAATCCCGCCATCTACGTTGCGTTAACCTACCGAGAATTCCAGGATCGGCAGCAGGGCTATACCAAGGAAACCAACAAGGTTCTGGAGTGGATCGAGATTCTTGAGCGGGGTAAGATGTGCATGAGAAGCCGATGTCGGAGACTGAAGAGTGTCGCCGATTTATGGAGCCAATTCTGCCGCCTCAGTCTCGGCAAGCTGTCAAAGGCGCATTCTCCTCATTCGTCCATTTGCACATTCGTCCATTTGCACATTCGTCCATTTGCACCATTTGCACCATTTGCACCATTTGCACATTTGTCCATTTGCACCATTTGCACCATTTGCACCATTTGCACCATTTGCACATTTGTCCATTTGCACCATTTGCACCATTTGCACCATTTGCACCATTTGCACCATTTGCACCATTTGCACCATTTGCACATTTGTCCATTTGCACCATTTGCACCATTTGCACCATTTGCACCATTTGCACATTTGTCCATTTGCACCTCCCTCTCTCGATGACGCTGACGGTATTCAATGCGCTCATATCCGACGGGTGCCGTATGCTGTGCTCTAGACGTCCATCGGACCTTTCCCGAAAACACCAAGTTCCAAGTTAACCGGGCCGAGTCCCAGAGCATTCCGCGCATCCCAACACCAACGCCCAAGGCCTCATCTGATTTGTCGCTGGTTTCGTCTGTGGACGACGACTCGGACTCCTCTATTGTCGACTCAGACTCGGATTTCGACAATGTTCCGTCCGAAGGCGAGACCAGCAGACCCTCGCGCTCCAAGCCTGCCCAGCCAGGCCAGGCCAACGACAACGACGAGCCCGAGTCGCCCTGGTACCGCATTTCGCCCACAGAGCATCTGACGCCTGTGGAGCGGCTGCAGCGGTCACCGTCGCGGTCCAACTCGGCGCACTCAATCAAGTCCAACCGCTCGCGCCGATCGCGGTCCAACTCGCAGCGCCAGAGTGGCGACGACAAGCTGGCTGCCGAGGTGCCGCCGCCTCCCGTCCCTTCCATCCCGGTCTGGGAACTCAATCCGTATCTGTGCTCGCTGCGCCGCATTCTCGCCGCCTTTGCATACTACTCATGGCCTCATCCCGATCCCGCACGTGCGCTGCCTCATCCGTGCTCCTACAACATTGGCTACTGCCAGTCGCTCAACTTTATCGTGGGCATGCTGCTGCTCGTCTATGGCGAGGGTGAGCCAGGCTATGCCGCCACCACGCCGCTCTCCAAGAACGACACGCGCATCGATGTCGAGGAGAAGGTCTTTTGGACCCTCGTCGTGATTGTCGATCAGCTGCTGCCCAAGGAGATGTACGGAAACACTCTCGAGGGCACTCGCATCGAGCAGGAGATCCTGTGGAGATGGATCCTTGGCCAGAGGGGCTCCAAGTTTGGCGTCGGCCGAGTGGCCAAGTGGGTCGACCACATGGAGACCAGCGAGGTGCCACGGTCTCCCAAGATCCGAGCCAAGGACCGCGCAAACATGGGCCAAGGGGGCAGCGGCATGCCTCCGCTTTCCATGGTGACGACCCAATGGTTTATGACGCTGTTTATCAACGTTCTCCCTGTCGAGGTGAGCCCGCAGTGCACACCCGGACACGCCTCCGCCTCGTCGCCGACGATCCATGCGACTAATGGCAATCGCTCTCCTGTCTGATGCTTCTGGATCCTCGATCGATCGTGCACCAAGACTGCGCTGCGTGTCTGGGACTGCTTCTTCTAGTAAGTACGAGCACGATGAATGCGAAATCGCTGCATGCCGAACGTTTGATTGCACACAGATACGCCCGTTTTGCCACCGCGAACTCGGTCGTGTGAGAGGGATGGTCTCACTCGGTGCGACGCATGTGCGCACTGGCCCAGACATGACCTGGGGCTGATGCCAGCATCCACCTTTGTGATTCTCTCAGCCAAGGCGAGAAGGTTCTGATGCGAGTGGCGCTGACGCTGCTCAAGATCCATGAGGAGCAAATCCTTGCATTCGAGGATCCTCTTGAGGCATGGAAGTTTGTCAAGGTGCGTATGTGTGATTCCAACGCATTGTGCCGGGCCGAGCGGAGCCGAGGCGATGTAGCTTGGCCAGCCTGCCCAACCGATGGCCAAGTGACCAGACTTTGCTGGCCAGACAGGGTCCAGTGGCGATACGGATATGCGAGCACGGCAGGCTCTAGCGTTGCTTGGCGGACCTTGATCACTCACACAGCCATCTGGGACCCAACAGGATATGCCGCAGCGAATGTACGACTGCCACCGCCTGCTCGAGATCTGCTTCAAGCCCCGGCATCCCATCAACCCCTTTGAGGAAACCACGACGATGCAGCTCGAGAACGAGGACGGTGCCCGGCGGTCCACCAGCGTCAAGGTCCGCCGCGGCGTCGGCACGGTGTCGACCAAGCTCATTGAAAAGTACAGAGAGCTGGCGATTGAGGAGCGCAAGAGCACGACAGGGCCGGAGCAGCAGTAGCAGCAGCAGTAGCAGCAACGAGGCGACGGCGCCAGTCGATGCACACTCGTATATTTCAGTTGGCGACCCCGCTGCGGGTGCTTGTGGGTGTGTGCGGACTCTTATCAGTTGATACGGCTGGGCTGACTGGGAGACCGAGCCTGCACTGCTTTCGCATGTCCAAGGATCGCCGATTCATGTTGCCGCCCTGGACCAGCCCTTGTTCCCCCCCACACACACACACACAGCCCCAGCCCTAGACCTAGACTGCGCACGTGTTCAACCTGCCAGAGAAAAAAATGCACAAATATCGCACAACACGGCTCGTTCTGCCGGATCTGCATACCCGCACATACGAGATCATCGCTGACGGGGAAGAGCGGTCGGAAACATTGCCGATATCGACCAGAGGAGACCTGTCCTACACCTGCACCCACCAGCCACAGCTTCCGAATCCACCGCCTTTCTTTGCTTTTCGCCCATTAGCTCCACAGAGCAACACCACTCCCTCCATCGTATTGAATCACACAACAGCCATGCTCCGCTTCGTCGACAAGATCACGCTGTCGTTTGCGCCCCTGAATACCTCCTCTCGATCTGTCCGGTAGGCAGCTGCGCAGGTCGAGTGCGCATGTGGATGTGGGTGTGGCCCGAGAGTCGAAGGAGCGGCGTTGGGCAGCGCATCTTCAACTCGCAGCCAAATCGTGCCAGAAGGAGGATCAGGGAGACGAATGAAATGAAGGAATGCACTCAACGTCGCGGTGAACACTGCCCATGGCCTCGGCCATGTGTACAGCGCCAGCTCCAAGCCGACAAAGTAACAACCTTTGGCGGATACCCGATGGGACGAAGGGGCAGTGGCGACAAATACGATCGGCCGAGCATGGCGAGATATGACGGGCCATACTGGGCATATCTGGGCATTCCACACAAGACAGACCAGCCAGGCGATGCGCGCATATACTCGGAGAAGGGACAAGCGCCGTGAGCACAACTGGACGACTCTAACCTGGCGCACCAACGCTCCAATGCCGCTCGACAGCGGATTCCTGCAGTACCTCAACACCGCCAAGAACCGTGCCTCGAATCCCAAGGCCGTCATGACCCTCAACATCTCGGATAAGATTGCACGACCTCTCGTCGAGGTGCACTATCGTAAGTGTGGGGATGTCGATCCACCCGTTATGTGGCCTTGCCACCAGTTAGATATGGAGCAACTGGCACCGGAGTGACGATCTGGTTTGGTTGTTGGAGCTCTCGCTTGGCGCGATTTCTCCTTGCTGATGCTCACTACTGACCCGATTCGCCTCTGGGATGATGATGATGATGATGATGATGATGATGATGATGATGATGATGATGATGATGATGATGATGATGATGATGATGATGTGGACCGGCTCTCGATCTGCAACCCTATCACCATATGCAACCTATCACGCTCTCAAACGGGGCCTTCGCCGCAACTCGTGTTGGTATGCTCAACTCGGCTCGTGGATGTTGGATGCACTTGGGGGGGGGGCCATGTGTGTGCCCAAACAGGCGACAAGCACATTCTCAAGGTCAACACCGACACGCTGACAGCACAGGAGATAGTCGCCGATGTCCAGCGACACAGCAAGAAGCTGCAGCTGGCCGAGGACATTAGCCAGGCCAGCTAAGCGACAAGCGCAGCCAACCTTTGAATGCATTGATAGGACAAGAGGGGTCGAGCCCTTCGTTCTTTCAATTTCTCTCTCGCTCGCTCTCTCCCTCGTTGTGAATACATATGCTGGCGCACCTGCCGGTTTTCTCCGCGACATGCGGTAATGCCTATAGCCAGCGAGGGCTCTCGCGCTCGGCCGTTTCTTTCTGCCATCACTATTGGGATTGCCATTCTGTTGCTCTGCTATGCGTTCTACCAGTATATTCTATACTGCATGCGTTCTATCTATCTATTGATTTATCTGCTCTATCGTCTCTATCTGCTCTATCTGCTCTATCTGCTCTATCTGTTCCAGGGCCCAAGTATCGATTGATGCCACTGCACTCCGAGCCAGACTTTGTTCCCACGCCCGGCCAGTGCCCGAGGCCAAGACGGAGCGATCACATCAGAGCACCGCTGGTAGTGCGCGGCGAGCAATCGTCATCTGCGAGTCGAGGCTCGAGGGCACGGAGATTGACGAGCCGTTCATGAGCAAGGATGTCCGGAGTTCGGACCAGTCGCAGATCGTGGCCTGGTCCGGGTCGCTGTCGGATGTCGAGGCGATGGGCTGCTCGGATGCAGGCGGTGCGAGTTCCGAACCAGCCCGGGCAGCCACAGAGTCGTTCAAGGAATGGCTGTCATGCTCTGTCGGTCCAGGCGGAGTGATCATGATGAGCGGAGACAGGGCCGGCCAGGGAAGTCCGGTGGCTGCAGCGTCGTTTGGGGTTGCATCCGCGGCCGCAATCACAGGCGAGTCGAGAAGCCCCGAATCGATGCTGGAATCGATCGTCACAACTCGCAGCAGGGTGTCTGGATTGTCGGGCGCAGGCCGGGCTGGCGTGCGACTGGCAGCTTGGTGCTGAACGTCGAGGGTTTCGACGGGTTGAGCACATTTGGAGCTGCGGCTGCGTCGGCGAACGCGGATGCAGAGGATGGATGCGACGAGAACCAGGAGGACCAGGGCAGCACCGCCAAGGGACCAGAAGAGAACTCTGTGGGTCGACAGGATGCTGGTGGGCGGGGTGTCGTTGGGTGTGGTCATTGTGCCCCGTGTGATGGTGAGAATGCTGTGGGGTCGCTGGAGAGGAAGAGATCGACGCTGATGGTCCTGGACGTTCCAGAGCCGATCATGAAATAGGCCGAGGGTCCTTTCGTATGCCCGGCAAGGGTGGGCGCACCGCCCAGCCCTGGCTGAGAAGAGTCAGCTGCACCAGGCAAGCCCAAGATATGAACCTGGAGAGCCAGATGCGAACAAGCTGGCTCGTGCAGCTGGAGCCCAAGGCGACCCAGCCAGCAGCAACAAGCGGCCGAGTCAGGAGCGACGATGGCTCTTGTTGGATCTGCGGATCAAGGCCGGGCTATAAATAGAACCAAAAGACACAACGGCCGCCGTGGTAACGATCGAGATGGGGCGCATGGGCGACTGGGAGAGGTGTGGACCGTCGGCGCGATTGCTACCGGGGGTTGAATTGACGACAGGACATTGTCTCGTTTGGACAAACACGGCGTAGCCGGATCATATCATTTCCCTGGGTGTCCCTGTGTGAGGGAGGAAGCCGCAGGGCAAAGAGCAAAATCACTGCAAGACCTCGGTGAATGGATTATATATCAAAGTCGTCTGATCCACACAAGCCACACAACCCACGCAACCCACGCAAGTCATCCGTGCGTGAGGGTGTCCGGTTGCTGTAATCGGCAAGTGCCTGTGCTGGCTGGATTGCAAATGCGCAAGCAGATATGGGAGGCAATCCGCGGCGAGCAGACAGACGGCGTGGCGGACGAGGCCCGACAAGCTCATGGCAGCCGAGGCTCTCCGGCGTAACGAGCACCAGGAATTGCCCCGACGCTTGGTCGGCGAACAGCCCGGGCGGTCATGGCCGTTCTCGGCTGCTCGCCCGGCTGCCATGTACAGACAGCGATCATGGTTGCCGACACGTTGCGAGCACGCTGCCGCCACGCCCCCGCGCGGTGCCTGAGTTTTGGCTCTTGGGCAACGGCGGTATTCAGGGGTCGTTGCGGTGGATAACGATCGGGTGGTGGACGTTGTCGGGCGATGTGGTTCTCTGCCGGGGCAGAGCTGGCCAGGGCAGGCCACGTATGCCAAGGCAGAACCGCAGGACCTGCGCTTGGAGGGATGACCCGGTCAGACACAGCGATTCGCTTGGCAGTCCAACTGGCAGTCCAACTGGCAGTCCAACTGGCAGTCCAACTGGCAGTCCAACTGGCAGTCCAACTGGCAGTCCAACTGGCAGTCCAACTGGCAGTCCGATTTGCAATCCGATCAATGCTCAACCGCAAAACCCATCCCCCAAGCCGTCCAAGCGACCAGCCCGGCGATCCGCCCATCCGACCGCCGCTGCCATGTCTCTTGACCCGGCACGGCCCATGTCTTTCGGCGGCCCGCAGCCGCGCCTGGTTGGCCCGCTGGTTGCGTCATCGCCGCCCACTCAGCGGCGGCCGCGAAGACCTCATCGCGGCCGCTATGTAATCGTGCCGCGACAGGAGATTAGACATGTTCCACAGAGACCGAGATCTTCGCCGGCCCAAGGCCAACGAAAGAAAAAAAGTTTGGGGTCGGGACGGCCGAGAAGACTGCAGGCGCATGCCAAAGCCACTGCCGAGAGCGCCGTCTGCGTTGCTTCTGTTGCTCCTGCCAGCGGTGCTGTGCTCTCGCCGAGACCCGCGCTCTCGCTGTGGTCTGCGCCCGCTCGCGACATCGGTCACTGGGCCGCGGCATCGCTGCCAAACTCCCCCCCCCAATCTCACATAAATAGACCCATAACGCACCTCCCGTCGCCTCTTTCTCCCTCGCGACGCTTCCAGGCTGTTCCCTTGATCTTCCCCGAGCATCTCACTCTGCTCCTTCCACTCCCCCTCGTTCATCTGCAGCCATGTCCAACTCTCCTCACGGCGGAATCCTGAAGGACCTGGTCCTGCGCGATGCTTCCATCAGCCAAGCTCTGCTCCAGGAGGCCAATGGCCTCTACTCCATCGTCCTGAACGAGCGCCAGCTGTGCGATCTCGAGCTGATCATGAACGGCGGCTTCTCGCCCCTGGAGGGCTTCCTGAACCAGGCCGACTACGAGAACGTCGTCACCAACCTGCGTCTCGCCAACGGTGTCCTCTGGAGTATGCCCATCACCCTGGATATCTCCTCCGCCCAGATCGCCGCCGGCAAGCTCGCCAAGGGCGTGCGGGTCGCTCTCCGCGATCCCCGTGATGATGCCTCGCTCGCCATCCTGACGGTCGAAGACGTCTACCAGCCCAACAAGGTCCGCGAGGCCGAGCTCGTCTTTGGTGCGAACGATCTGGCCCATCCCGCCGTCGACTACCTGCACCGCGTGGCCAAGGAGTACTATGTCGGCGGCTCGATCCAGGCGATCGCGGCCCCGGCTCACTACGACTATGTCGAGAACCGATGTAAGTCCGGCATGCACCTGTCGTGTCGCCCATGGCCGGATCTTTGCCTGCTCTTCGTTGGCATAGCGATCGAGTCCACTGCCTACGAGCTCTTGTACTTGAGTGGACGATTCTGCTCGGATATATGGCCCTGCGATCGGCATCGCCATCGTCCTTTGCAAAAACCAAAGCCCCACGTTTCTACCTGTCGCTGTTTGTGCTGCTGATCGCCGCGGTGTCGGTTGTTCTCGCTGTTGCTGACTTGCCCTCCAACTTCCCCGCGCATTCCACCAGACACCCCCAATGAACTCCGTGCTCACTTCAAGAAGCTCAACTGGACTCGCGTCGTCGCCTTCCAGACCCGCAACCCTATGCATCGCGCTCACCGCGAGCTCACCGTCCGTGCCGCCCGTGCTCGCCAGTGCAACGTCCTGATCCACCCTGGTAGGCATCTCCTGTCCACCGTGGGAACGTTTGGCGCTGCCCTTCCACGCCTCATCCTGGCTCCCGAGTACTAACGCGAGCACCACATCCTGCCCATGTCTTTGGCAGTCGTCGGCCTGACCAAGCCTGGTGACATTGATCACTACACCCGTGTCCAGGTCTACAAGGCCATTCTCCCCAAATACCCCCAGGGCATGGCATCTCTCTCGCTGCTCCCGCTTGCCATGCGCATGGGTGGCCCTCGCGAGGCTCTGTGGCACGCCATCATCCGCAAGAACTATGGCTGCTCCCACTTCATCATTGGCCGGTAAGCAGCCGATCGAGCCCTATCTGTCGCATCCTGAATCCGCATCCCCATCCACACCCCTACCCACGTCCACATCCGCACCCTGAATTCGTATCCGCATTCGCATCTGCATCTGTATCTGCGGCCCAGTCGGGCCCCGTGTCCTTGGTGGATCTTCCTCGATCCACGCCGGGACCAACGTTTTGCTCACCCTTGCCTTCGCTCCGCCTTCCCAGTGACCACGCCGGACCCGGCAAGAACAGCCAGGGCAAGGACTTTTACGGCCCCTACGATGCCCAGCATCTCGTTGAAAAGTACAAGTCGGAGCTCCATATCGAGGTCGTCGAGTTCCAGATGGTCTCGTACGTTCCCGAAACCGACGAGTACTATCCTGACAACGAGCTGCCCGCCGGTGCCAAGACCCTCAACATCTCCGGCACCGAGCTCCGTCGCCGCCTGAAGACCGGCGCTCCTATCCCGGACTGGTTCACCTACCCTGAGGTCCAGCGGATCCTGCGCAGCGCTCACCCGCCCAGAAACAAGCAGGGCTTCACCGTCTTCCTGACTGGCTACTGGAACTCGGGTGCCACGGCCATCGCCAACGCCCTCCACGTCTCACTCAACCAGGACGGCCAGCGCCCCACCACGTTGCTGCTCGGTGAGACCATCCGCTCCGAGCTGTCGTCCGAGCTGGGCTTTACTCGCCGCGAGCGTGACATCAACATCCACCGCATCGCCTTTGTCGCTTCCGAGATTACAAAGTGCGGAGGCGCCGTCATTGCCGCTCCCATTGCGCCGTACGAGTCTGCCCGCGAGGAGGCCCGCAAGGCCATCTCCAAGAACGGCGGCTTCTTCCTCGTGCACGTCGCCACTCCTCTGGAGACCTGCATCGCCAGCGACCGCACTGGCACCTACGCCCGCGCCAAGAGTGGCCTGATCAAGGGCTTCACCGGCATCGATGACCCCTATGAGGCCCCCAGCAAGGCCGACCTTGTCGTCGATCCCAGCACCAGCTCCATCTCCCAGATCGTCCACGAGGTCATCCTCCTGCTCGAGAAGGAGAACTACATTGGCGAGCGCTAAAGCGGCCCGGACCGGAGGAGGGACCTGTTGATGCGGGAGACCTGGTGCTATTGCCGTTGGCCACTGATCCGCGATGCAGCCCAACCCACCGAATTTTTGATCGTTTCGCATCCGAGAACAGCACCGTTCTCATGTAAAATATAACTAGTATACTTTATTCAAGGGGAATCGGGACATCCTCGTGATTCCCGTATGTCAGCGTGGTTTATGATGAGAATGGGTCGAACAGAACTACACGCGATTCAACAGATCACCTCTGAGCGAAGACCTCCAGTCGCTCTCCGGCCTCGAGTCATTCTGTGCTTGGGCACATCGGAAGGGCATGTTCGGGACACCCCCTTGATGAATGGTCTCGTGGCCCAAACAGGGCCCATGGGTTGTGCCTGCCGACCGGGCATGGGACTGCGCCCAAAGCACCACCCCGCCATACAAATGGCCATCGTCCTCCATCATCCGAGCCCATCGCCTCCCGAACCCACCTGCCCTCTTCAAACCCACCTGCCCAACGCTCGCCTCCGCCATGAGCTGCCCGAATCCCCAAGAGTTCTGGATGCCCCTCGATCCTTCGCCCGAGACCAGTGTCAACTGGCGATACAAGGAACTCGACCCCATCACGGCCATCGAGCGCCAGTACCTCGGAGTGATGAATGCCATCCTCGACAAGCCGCAGTGGTGGGCAAAGCTCAAAGATCCAGAGATCCAGCAAAAGTGGCGGCAAGAGTCCGGCCTCGGCGAGGCGGCCTTCGCGTTGCTCCTCCAGGAGCTTGCCTGCTATGCGCGAGACTTTATCCAATCCAAGGAGTGGCCCAACGTCTCGCCCATCCCTGCCCACGGCGTCTACATTTCGGATCTCTCGATCAGTCCAGAGCTGCGCCAGCGGCTCCTCGAGCATGCCGCACCTCTGGAGCAGGAAGCCCTGGTCGAGGGCCGCTGGCATCCCGGCTCCAAGGGCATTGTGCTGGATCTGGTCCATCCGTCGCCCCACTGCCTTACCTTTGGCAAGTCCCGCTTCTCCAGAAACCCGCAGGCCCTGACCGGCACCGAGACCATTCACTGGCAAGGCACACCCGACACTCGCCGAGACATCTCGGCCAAGTATCAGTGGCTGCCCGCCGAGTTTGAGATCGATGCCGACGGCCACGTCTCCATCGCGTCCTACATCAACAACCTCCATCCCGAGCTCCACAAGGCTCTCTATGGCGATATCGAGCGCATCTTTGAGGCCATGCTGCCCATGTTCGAGCTCACGGTTGACTCTCTCAACTCGTCGCCTCGCAACCGCATCGACGTCGACTATGGTAAGCTGTTTGACCACGACCTCTACGACTGGCAGTCCCTTATGTGGAAGGAGCATCGCCAGCAGCTCCGCAAAGCGCAAGCCGTTGAGGCCGCTCGTGTCGGCGACGACGGCCAGCCCACCACCGGCGATCGTCATCACGACGACGATGAAGATAGCGATGACGATGACGATGATGACGATGAGAAGTGGAACTGGATGGATGCCCTCGAAGACACTCGCGAGCTCCACGTTCCCCAGCTGCCCGAGAAGTTTGAGCCCGACGTTCCCAGTCCCGCCAGATTCCGCGCCCGATCCGTGCAGGCCATCGTCAAGTTGGCCACGATCCACCTCACGCCCGAGAATCCGCGCTATGACGGCGGCAGCTGGCACATGGAGGGAATGGAGAACGAGGCCATCGCCGCCACAGGCATCTACTACTACGACATGGAGAACATCACCGACTCTGTCCTGCGCTTCCGCCACGCGTTCGATTCCATGGCCTTTGAGTACAGCCAGAACGACCACCGCGGCATTCTCGAGGTCTTTGACGTCGAAAACGACACCGAGGCCTTGATGGAGCAGGGCCAGCTCACGGCTTTGCCTGGTCGATGCGCCACGTTCCCAAACTTCCTGCACCACCAGGTGCAGCCATTTGAGCTTGCCGACAAGACTAAGCCAGGCTTCCGCAAGGTCCTGTGCTTCTTCCTCATCCACCCCCGGAACCACATCATCTCCACCCGGCAGGTTCCTCCCCAGCAGCGATCGTGGCTCCGCCATGCGCTCTACAGACTACTCCGCCCAAGACTGCCCGAGCTGTGTATCGATCGCATCCAGTACTACCTCGACTGCGATATGTCGATGCAGGATGCCTATGCCCACAGCGAGAAGGTCATGGACGAGCGCAAGGCAGCCAACAGGGACCGCGACTATGAATACGTTTCACTTTGCGAGCACTAGACCGACAGCGCGGTCGTGAGTGAACTGCAGTGATAATACAGCATTTAGAATCCGATAGGACACTGCTTGCACCATCGCTGCATCGCTGCACTCCGTTGTACTGCAACCGTGAGCCACGATCGCCTCCCCGAGATGGCCCTAGCGGAGCATATCGCCTCAGGTGTTGCGCCGTGCAAGTGTTGCGTCATGCCAGCATCGCTCGAGCAGAAGTTAGAGGCAATCCAATAAAAAACGGGACACCCGGGTTTTTGACCATTCATCGAATATTTTGTTACCCAATGTTATCGCGCGCTGGCCATGACCATTCGCCACACATCCGACTTTCGCACCGCCGCATTGCGATGCTACGCCCTCATCCATAGCCTGCGTAAGGTCGCCTCCATATTCAGTGTATCCAAGAGCACCATCCATCGATGGCACCGAGGATGCAAGCTGGATGACCCATCCCGGGTCCCAGCTCGCAGATCCACTTTCTTCGAGCAGGCATGTCCAGTCATTCGCACCCTGATTGAACAGGACCCGTTCCAGACTGGTCCTGTGTTGCGATGCAAGCTCGAGTCCATCCTCCAGAGGAAAGTTTCACTCTCACTCTGCCACACTGCCATCCACCGAGCAGGTCTCTCACACAAGAGGGCAACACACCTCTACAAGTCCAAGCGACTGGATGAGCGAGTGGCACAGTTCAGGGACCAGGTCCGCTCCATCGACCCACGACGATTCGTTTTTGTCGATGAGACAGGGATCAGACGAACCACCTTTCCGCTCTACGGGTACTCGCCCAAGGGTGCTCCGCTTCGCCAGTGCAATCACATGAAACACAAGTCTGTCTCGGCTGCATTTGCCATCAACCACTCTGGTGTGCTGCATCGCATGTACATCCCCACATCATTCAAGACACACTCGATGGTCGAGTTCTTTGAGCGAGCGAGCTTCCCAGACGACTCTGTGATTGTGATGGACAATGTCAGCATGCACAAGACAAGGGCTGTCCTGGACTGCATCGATCGCCGAGGGTGGTCAGTGATCTTCACCCCACCTGCTTCACCCGACTTCAATCCCATCGAGAACTTCTTTGGGATTGTGAAGCACCAGTACAGGAAGACAACAGTGCTGAATGCGTCCGAGGGGTTCAGAGTCGGGATGGTGACCCTGTTTGAGTCTGCCGTTCGGAGAGTGCTTCCAGATGTCTTCCCACGGCTGATTGAGCGAGCGATGCGCTTCTGGGGTTGAGTTCCCTCCAATCACGCCGCCATTTTCGCGTTCACATCCCTGGCTTGAACCTCTCGGCGATTTTTGAACAGGGTCACTTCCCCAACCAGCCCGCGCAGACGGGTTCCTGCTCTCGGGTATAAATGTCCCACCTTCGTCCTGCTGCTTTCTTCCCTCATCTCGCCTTGATCTGATCATCGCGCCATTGTACGATAAAAAAAGTCTCTGCTCTGACCAGTACCACTGGCAGGCATCCAGCATCCTCTGCCCCCATGCCTCCGAAGCGTAAGGGTACCGGTGATGGCCAGCCTCGGCCACCCAGGCCCAAGAAAGCCAAGTCACAGTCGGAGCCTGTCTCTGGTTCGTATTCTGATCCCACACATGCTTGTTTCTCTGTTGCTCCGTCGCTCACCATCACTGCTTCTGCAGATCCAATGGATGTCGATCCCACCGAGCCTGGTCCATCTACTTCCTCGAGTACCGGCAAGCGATGTCGCCAGTGCGATGGCACCGATCACGAACGTTGCAACACCAGCAAATGTCCCAAATACCGGCCCCTCAAGAGTTCTGTCGTCCCACTCGTGGATGGAAGGTCATCGGCCCCTCAGTTCAGCTGCTTCAAGCAGACCATGGATGGCTGTTGTCTCAATCCCGCTCTCCGCGACAAGATCCAGGCCACCGTCGAGGCCATGACCCAGATCCAGTTCGAGGCATCCAGGCTGCTCAACCTGCACATCCTCCGGTGCATCGAGCAGGATCTTCCCGTCCCCGTCATCTCCAAGTCCACCCCTGCTTTCATCCGCCAATGCTTCACGATTGTCGAGGCCGATGCCCTCTCGACGGCCAGGGATACCAAGAAATACAACGAGCATCTGGTCGCTTCCTTTCGCGACTACCAGACCACTCGGCACGCAGACCTGCCTCCGGCCCCTCGTCTGCCTGATGGTGCTCACAGTCAGCTTCTCACACTGGCTGTCAATGCCTATGCTACCAACTGCACCACCCACCTCGACCTGGCCTACTGGCGACTCCTTCGTCGCTTTTGTGCTGCCGTCTTCCCTGCCAACAAGCACAAGCACGAAGCCATCGAGGCCTGTCTCGAGCTCTTCGAGAAACCAGGGCCGACTCCACCCAAGGCCGATCTCGAGTTCCTCTATCCAGACTTTGGCCACGTCCTGGACGAGTTTCGGTACAGCAGCGACCAGGACCGCTTCCGGGCCCTCCATCGCCTCTCACACCATGTGGGAATCCTCGCCCGGGACAAGATGGTCGACGATGTCCACAAGTGGATCGACTGTGACATGCCCGCCCTCCGAGTCACCGAGCTGCAGCGCCAGGCCAAGCTGGACAGGCTCACTACCCAAGGCATTCCCTCCGACGACAAGAGGTTCACCACGGCCAAGTCTGAGCTCGGCACCACCAAGGCCAAGATCAACAGGCTGGCATCCAGGATCAAGTGGGCACTCAAGCAGCTCGCCGTCGACACTCCTCCGGCCGTGTGCACGATGGTCCCTCTGTGCACTACAAGGCCAAATACATCAAGATTGACACGGTCACTCTTTGGCAACTCCTGGGTCCAAAGAAGCGCCTTGGCCTCACCAGGGACATGCTCAAGGAAGAAGGTGAGGACGGTGTCAACAACCAGGATCGTCTCTGGCGCAGTTGCTTCAAGCTGCGTAGTTCCCTCTTCCAAGAGCGGGACGTGAACAAGAAGCTGTTCAACTACGAGATCAGCACCGATGGCATTGGATGCACCATCGGCCTCGTCAAGTTTGTGCGTCGAACCGATCGCACCGAGACCATCGAGCCTCCTCCGACTGCCGAGCAGCGTATCCAGGCCCACATCGGCGACCCAGACCCCAACCGCACCACTTGGATTGGCATCGATCCTGGAGTCGGCTCCATCTTCACGACGGTCATCCAAGCACCGGGCCACCAAGACGAGGTGGTCTCGTTCTCCAATGGCCACTATCAGCACATGTGTGGCCATACGTTCAACACCAAGTGGCACAACACCATGAAGTATCGACTCAGCATCGAGACCTGGATGTCGACCACCCCCTCGCCCAAGGTGTCGTCCTCGGAGGCCTTCAAGGTCCATCTCACCCATGTCCTGCGACCGGAGCTGCGAGTGCAGCTCGATTTCCACCTTGGCAAGAAGGCCCGCCACCATCGCTTCACGGGCCACAAGAGGCGCCAAGTGGCCGTCGACAGGATGTGCAAGGCCGTCCTGAAGCACGCCCCGAGGGAGAATGATGTGGTGATCGCCTTTGGCAATGCATCATGGCGACAGGGCAAGGGCTATGCATCCAGCCCTCGGAGGCAGCGGTTTGCTCAGTACTTTGAGCAGTTCGAGCACCACCGACGCCGTCCCAATCACCATCATGGAAGCGTCAAGGTAGTCTCGACGAACGAGTTCAACACCTCGCAGGTGTGCTCCAACTGCCTGGAGCCAGTTCGGTTGGAAGGACTCGATGCGCCCAGTGTTGCGAATTCCCACTTTGTCAGGAGCTGCAAGAATCCCAGCTGCCGGACAGTGTGGAATCGCGACGTCAATGCGGCGCGCAACATGATCACAGTGTGCAGGTCGATTGTGGAGACCGGAGGGCGACCGGCGGTCTTCACTCGGAGGCTGCCAAAGTGATCTGTTTTATTTCTTGTGGCTTTGCTAGACGCGAGCACAGCACATACTACTGTTCATGGAAACGGCTATATTGTCCCGTTTTTTTCTGAATAAAGTGTATGCTCGCCTCTGCCAAGCGACACCCAGAGAGGCATATGTCGAATCCTGATCGAAGCTTCGAATCTGCACGCATAGCCCGAACGCTGGCCTCACGTTTCGACAGGCCAGCACTTGAATCAGATGACGTCGACGGTCAGCCCACTGCCGTCGGGTCGACGTCACCAAAGCCATGTGTGCAGTTTGCCCCCGACGGTCGGCCAGCGGAAAACAAACGTCCTCGCGACTGAGCAGCACCTCTGCCTCATCCGACTTTGCTCTTGCTCTCCACTCTGCATTGAATCGCCCACCGCTTCGTATATTTGACACTCCCCGGCAATAGTTGCTCTTGCTCCTGGACCGCCCCGATGTTTACTGGCTTCTCTGCTGTGGCTCTTCTGGCAATCTTCTCGTCGGCCCTGCCTGTGCTCATATGTCACTCCAAGCTCGTTCAAGTTCCCATCTACCTTTCCTCGACCGCCATCCTCGTCGTCGAGTGGATCAAATTAGTGACTATGACAGCCATGCTGGCTCGGCAAATGAAGCTCTCGACTGGCAGTTGCTCGATACTGCGGCTCTGCGATGAGCTCTTTGGCCTTCGGTCGGACTGGAAAGCCGCCATTCTACCCTCGGTCCTGATGGTCACCTCTACCAACCTGCAGTACTTTGCCATCCTCTACATGGGAGTCCCGCACTTTGTTCTGGCTGCCCAGCTGAGCACCGTAGCCACCGCTGCGCTGCGCTGGTGGATCCTGAAGCGGACCTTGTCCTGGAAGAAGAGCATTGCCCTGGCGGCCATCGTCGTCGGAGTCATGGTCGTGAATCTCAACCACGCCTTCCTATCGCTCATCGTCCGACTGCTGTACTTCTCACCCGAGTGGATCGAGGACGCGGCTACGGGTGCTCTCATCTTGGCTTGTCTACTTGTCGGCTCCTTCAACACCTGGTACGTTCCTTGGCCGCTGGCATGGGCGCCAGGTGGGAGAGAGACCGTGGGAACAAGTATATGACTGCACGAGAACAGTCGCTTTGGAGGCTCGGACATACCCTGCTGCCCGCCGTCGCCGGGGTTCCAGTCGATACTCCGCATCTAACAGCATGATTGATGTGACGGGCTCGGGCTCGGACTAAATCTCCGTCTCTAGGTACGATGGGCCTGCACGGAGTTCGTCTCCAAGCACTTTGGTTCGGGGCATTCAAATGAGTGTCTTTGGAGTCCTTGGCGCGGCTCTTCTTGGTAACGTGAGCCGCTTATTGCGTATAGCAGGCAGGATTGAGCTTGAGTACAGCTCTCTATCGTGCCTCGGCTAACATGTGCTTGACCGCCACAGCATTGTGCATGGACAGCGACATCATCTTGGAGAACGGAATGTTTCACGGCTACACCATGTGGACGGCAGCCACGATTCTATGCCACAGCCTCGGCGGATTGCTGCACGATTCCGTCCAAAGGTTCGTTTGGCTGCGTCTCCATTTGCATGTGGCTCTGCTGCTATGGTCGACCAAGTCGATGTCGGCCCGGATGATCTCTTCCCATCCTTACACAATTGTCGTTCATGGCTTCGCTCTGTGTAGATGCGCTGGCAGCCAAGCCCGCAGTCTTGCCACCTCTCTGTCGATCCTCATCGCTGCGGCCATGTCCTTCTATCTGTGGGGCTTTGAGCCTTCGCCAGCCACAGTGTGTGGTGCAGTATTTGTCATTGGTGGGACTTGCGCATTCGGGCTTTACGAGGGCCAGAGTCCGCGGCTCCCACACACCATCGACGAGGTCGGCGACTTGAAGAACCGCGAGGCCCAAGTCTAGAGCCAACGCATGGCCACGAAGCCGCCGAGTCCTCGGCTTCAGCTTTGGCCTGCGGAATCATGGATGGCTGTGCAGGCTTGCCAGCCGCGAATCCAACTTCGAAATACCGATCCGGATCAGCAGACAGCGTGCACTCCATCTCCAGGAGCACGATTTGTCGACGTGAACCATTCTGTACACTGTATTCGGGGGGGGGGAAATGGGACACTTGCCCACGACCCATGTGTCAGCGTAGTCTGTGATGGCATGCGTCCAACTGTGCCATAAGAAATACAAACAGATCACTTTGGCAGCCTCCGAGTGAAGACCACCGGTCGCTCTCCGGTCTCTACAATCGACCTGCACACTGGTTTCGGAGTGCCAGCGGTGAATGGTGCTCTTGGACACACTGGCGAAAGGTCATGGCCAGCGCGCGATGGTATTGGATAACAAAACATTTGATCAATGGTCAAAATCAAGGGTGTCCCGTTTTATTGGATTGACTGTAATACACTTGGCGAATGGGACATCGATCAGCCACCCACTGCATGCCAGATGAGCAATTGCAGCGACATGTTCCAGCACCATCGCACTCCACATCGCAGCTGTTTGCTGCGGGAAGGTTTCCGTTAGTTATAACAGAGTCCGTCAGTATTTTAATGTAGCTGGCCTAAGCAGTACACCATAGCCGAGCCCATCGGCGTACATCGAGTCAGACCGTCGCGGTCGACTATCTACGCGAGCCGCGATAGCCAGAGCGGCCTCCTCCACGTCGTTGAGAGTATGATCTTGCCGAAGGCGCTTTCCGCCCCTCTTCCTCTCCCTCCTTTTCTTCCTCTTCTTCCTCCTCCTCTTCTTTCTCCTCCTCTTCTTCCTCTTCCTCTCCCTCCTCTTCATCGTCTTCATCGTCTTCCTCGTCATCATCGGCGATGGTGTTGCCGAAGCGGTCGACTTTGGGGCTGGCTCTGTCATCATCCGATTTCAGGATAATATTCCCCAGACGATCGACGAGCTGCTCTTCCTGGGTTTCGTCTTCACCGCTTTCGTATTCAGGCAGATCAGTGCTGCCGTAGTTGGAGCCTTGAAGCCCCGCCTCGCCTTCGTTCATGCGCTCTGCGTTCGTAGATTTGTCAGTCCCCAGATACGGCGTGTCGTACCAATCCATCCACTGCGATAGCCAAGCCAGCGGAAGGATGTGCCAGAGACCTTACCTTGTCGCTCAGCAGCAATGGTTGCAATAAAATCATTCTGCACCCGAACTACATCGGCCGAGTCGGTGCAGGTTTTGTACCGCTCGAGCAGTCCTCTGTTGCCACCCAGCCAAGATTCGGTCGACGTGAGTTGTCTCATCCTCCGTTGACCCAAGTCGAACTCGCAGCAGTTCGCAGCTTACTCGTTGAGTTCGTGAAAGGCGTGGCCCCACTTGAACTTGCTCATGACTTCATGACCATACTCGTCCAACCCTGGTGTTGCGGGTCATTGACGCTGGTTAGCTGTTTGCTCGCTCGAACTGCATCCTTGCCATCCAGCTGGAGCCATACCGCAGATGAAAAGTGCCGCAGCCAGGGCTTCTGCACAGTTCAGCTTGTAGGGCTTGCCATAGTTCACCGGATTGGCAGCGATGAGGTAGGGTACTGTTGATGCCAGAGATGAGATGGTGAGCCCATTATCGGGATAGCATACGGCCCAACATTGCGCGGCAGGATGCATAGGTAGAACGCTATCGCTTTCGAATTGCCTGCGACAGCCATCCTCCTCGAATTGGTTCCTACATAGTCGCTCGTGCGGGGATTTGATCCGGTCAAATGGGACCTCGTCGATGCGGGCCCACGAGCAGTCCACGACACAGAGACCGTTCTGCTCCAGGATATTCTTGTCGGCGGGAGAGACTGACTTTTGACCTGTCGGGCTAGCAACCGCATGCGCAATAACGAGTAAGCCAACTCAGTGGTTGTCGCAGATCAAGCCCGTGCTTGGAGCGAACAGATCGGCTGCGAGCCGTGGACTTGCACTCGGACGTACGTCATGACAATGCCCTTGAAGCGGTTTCCGACTCGCAGCTGCTTGACAACGCCCATGCGAACCAACTTCTTTCCGGAGCATCGTTTCGGATCGCAGTGATCAAAGTCCTGGTGATGGCCAAGGTGGCAAATACAGCATCGATATCAAAGCGCCGGCTGATGAGGGGATGCATGCATGGCAATCCCAGTGAATCCTTTTTCAGGTTTACGCCATTATATATGAACTATGGCTCCTTGGACAGACGAGTTGAACCCTCAACCCTCCACTCGTTCGTGGCAATAGAAACGCACCCACATCGCTAGTGGCATTGGGATGTCAACTGTTCCAGGACATTCAGGGATTAGCTCTTCGTTGCTTCGTGGGACGGCAATGCCACAGTCGAATTTGCTGAGGCTCCCGCCGTGCTTCCTGGCTGCAGCGCCAGAGCAGCTTATACAAACGCAATCCTGGATCTGGGCACATACCTGTCTGCTCGTCGTTTTCGGCATCATCCCGGCTGGGACTGCCTTCTCTCGGCTCAGGATGCACATCGTGGTGGTGGTGGTGCTGCTTGCTTCCGTAGTATCTGTTCTGGCGGCCCGACCGTCCCATTGTCAAGTGCAAGCCCGGTTGGATGTGGATATGGATGTGGATGTGGATGTGGATGTGGATGTGGATGTGGATGTGGATGTGGATGTGGGTGTGGATATGGCTTTGGGCGGAGGAAGCGACTGATGACGGAGAACAAGCAGCAGCAGAAAAAAAAAGTGGCAGCAGATCGCTCCCGTGATGCCCTCTGTCCAATGGGCGACGGGCGAGCTGGGCCGTGGTGTGGCCCTGGAAAGCTGGCAACTGGTGTTGGAATGCTGCTGCTCAAGAAGCCGTCGACGCTGGAGGCGGGCAGGGAGATCGAGGCAGAGTGGGCCATTGGCCGCATCTGTATTGCATTGCATTCGAAGGTGTGGATGGGCCGTGGCCGGCCGGTGCGGCTCATAGCCTGCTCCCAAGCACATCCAGTTTGTAGACTGTGATCCGGCCGTAAAAGTCGGTGCTGGACTTGAAGACAATCTTGAACCTCTGGCCGCTCTTCTGGCTCGGCTCCGGCACTGCAAAGCTTTGGGCGCTGTTGCTGTCTTCGGGATAAAAGTCCATCACATGGACCCATCCGCCGTCCTGGGAAACGAGGAGCTCGCACTCCTTTCCGACGAAACCGCCTTGGAACATCAGGACCACTTCCGAGGGGCAACACAGCCCTGAAAACTCCATGGCAATGAACTGCGGAGAGCCCTACGTGTCGGGAGCATGGTTGTCAGACGCTGTGTCAGCGGCATGGGGACTGAGTGGTCGGCTCCGTAGCCCTCGATGCAGCGATGATGCTGTCTCCATGCCAGGCAGCGTCCCACCTGGTCGGAATTCCAGCAGGTTTCGTCGCTTGAATCAGTCAGATATTGCTTTCCGTAGTTCTTGACATCCTTTTGCAGCACCGAGGAGACCCTGAGGACAGCATCGTGGATGGGGTTGTCAGCGCGAGCAGTCGGCCGTGTGTTCGCTGGCACGGCGACGACGGCTTTGGCACGGCAAACGAGCGGCGAGCAGGGTAGTTACTTGATCTTGGTGTCTGGAGCGAGCAGGCTGGCCATGGCTGGGATGGGCCGTTGGGTGGATTCAAGAGTACAGAGCTGGAATGACGCAGCGGCCAGCAGGCGGTGAGCGAGCAGATCGTGCCAGAGAGGGCTGGATATTCTCGCGCTCATCCAGAGAACGAAGGGTTGCGAACGTGTTCGCCGGGTTCATTCGCTGGGATCGTTCGCCGGGTTATCCTTGATCTGTGCCTGGACCGCCGCAAGACCACCGACTGGTCCATGCTGCCTCTGGCTGATACATGCCTCGGCCAGATCGACTGCGTCTATACGAGCAACAGCGCTGCGCTACAACACCCGAGCCGCAATGTCCCGCTCTGCAAAGGCATTGAACCCAACCTCAAACTCGGACTCGGTCTCGGTCTCGGACTCGGATTCGTCCTTTTCCCCGTCGTCGCGGGCGTCGACCGATGACGACGCTACGGATCGAGACAACTTGCCCTCCGCCTCAAAGCCAGCGCCGAGAAAGCGCAAAGCGATTGTCTTGGAGCCTGCCATATCCGATGCGTCTGCTGCACATCGCCCGCAGAAGCAACGGCAAAAGCCGATCCTTCCGCTGGGCGATCCCAGCCTGCAGAGCTTGATGACCATCCACACGTATCCCCGCCACAAGTTTTCCAAAACCCAGGGACTGGCGATTTGGTACTTTCCGCAGCGCAACACCCTTCCGTTCGATGTCCTGTCTCCTCTCGCTCATCGCTACATGAACGACACCGTGGCCCGCTCGGTGGACCTTTATCGATCAAGAAGCCTGCCCGAAAGCGACCAGATCTTTGATTTCAATCGCCCGATCGGACTGTGGCCGCTCAGAAACCCCCCTGTCTCTGATCTAACTCCGAGGTAGCTATCGGCGTCGATGGCCAGCGACTCGGCGTTCGTTCCTGATCCTGGACCAACCGACCTCTGCCAAATGCGCTCGATAGAGAGTTGACATCGCCTCTGTCCACTCTCTCGTCGATCCAGATCAAGTTTCGTTGTCGACGAAGTGAGCATCGCTGACGCTTCGGTGAGTCGCTTTGAGCTTTCGAATCGTGTTGTCCTCGCCAATGCTGGTGATTTTGGCCATGTTGCTCCCCGGACGTTGTGGACTTTGACTCATGAGCATGGCCCTCGCCCCACTGGATCCGAAGGAACAGACCCTCGATCCGCTTGATGAATCCGGCAATGGGCCATCGCCAATTCTGCCTCTCGAGGATCCGTCTGAAACGCGGTTGCGACTCGACTTGCTTCCGTTTGCACTTGAGGCCCAGAGGATGGCCAAAGTCCCAGATGGCAGCCGGCACCTGGATCCGAAGCTCGCCCGGGCGGTTGCCGAGTCAACGAGCCAGGCTTTTGATGTCATACTCGAAGGTCTCAGAGCTGTCCGGACATATGCCACGCAATCGCAGATGCAGCGGAGGTAATGCACACTCGGCCGGAGGAATGACCCGAATACTCTTTGAAGCTCCAGTCAAATACTTATTGTGGCTCAATGTTGAGTCGCTCCAAGCGCCAGGCTCGTCGGTATGCATCCCGCGAGTCGCAGCCTCACCAACATCTTCATTGCACCGCAGGATCATCGACTTCTCATTGATCAAGTACGGCGACTGGCGCTCTGTCATTGCTGCTGCCAGATTCGCAGGAGTCAGCGACAGGTAACTGGGTCGGAGCTTCCCCGGCGCCCATGCCTCAGCACGTCGTCGCTGTCTAGCCTGTGTCTCACACTGCTCCCGCCGATAGAGCCATCGAATGTGCATCACGCCGACTGGAGCAGCTGTTTCCTGCGACCAAGCGCAAGCACGTTTCATCTTCCAGACCAAACTACCAGCATGCCCCAGTTATCCCGGATACATTCGATTGTAATAGCCTTGGTGCCATTCGCCGGCATAACATCGAAGAGTACCAAGCTCCGCTCGAATTCCGTTACGATGACCATTTTGACGCCAGCGACGAACCCATTCTCGACCGAGCGGCTCTCCCCACAGAGACTTTGGACGATCTGTCAGCCTCCAAAGGAGCCCAGGCAACTCAAGCGCTTTTGAAGCGGCTGAGGCGGATCAATAAACTCAACATTTAATTGCATCGCATGGCACAAGTGGAGACTGCGCCACTCTTCAGAATGCTGAATACACAAACATGCTCTCACAATCTATTCTGACACGCGATCACAGTTCTGAAGCAAACAGAGCGTACTATATCACTCTCGGAGGGACTGCACCGTCGGGCTCTCACGGATGGACTGACGATAGCTTGATGACCCACACTTGCTGGTCCATAGCTGTGCCCTTGGGCTCCTGGAATCGGTAACCGCCCTTGGTTGTGATGATAAGACAGGTTTCGACCTCGGGCAGCTGTTCGGCCGAAGCAAACTTGTGCAGTGTCGCATCGGTGCTTGGCTCCTCATGCTTCTTGAGCTCTTTCCAAAATTCCTTGGTGGGTGCTCTCAGCAGCAGCTTCAAGCCCTTGCTTGCTCCAAAATCGACAGTTCCCTTGGTCGGCTCGAGAGTAAAGCTGAAGGTGGTATCGCTTCGCATCAGGTATCGCTGCGTCCGGATAATGTAGCTATCGGAATCCCTGTCGAACTCAAAAGTGCCGTTGAGCGGCTCAACGGTATACTCGACCACAGGCGGCTTCTTCAAGTCGCCCTTGAGGTTGTTCGGCTTGGCGTTGACAATGTGCAGAATCTCGCTGCCGGCCGGCAGTGTCCAGCTGCCATCGACAGGGTTTTGCTTCCATACGCAGCGAACCTGGCCGAAATGGACGTTGGACACGCGCGTGATCACCTCCAACGCTCGAGTGTGGATGCTCTTCAGATCCGAGGACGTTGACTTGTCGTCCGAGCCGCTGGTGGTGTCTTTGTCCCTATCCTTGTGCATGTCCTTCTCTCTGTCTTTCTCTCTGTCCTTGTCTTTGTCCTTATCCTTGTCTTTGGGACCTGATGCATCTTTCTTGCCCTTTCTGCTTCCTGGCCGTTCCATCTCGTCCTCGGTCAGCAGCGACAGGCCGTCGAGTTTGTAGAGTTTCATGAATTGATGCTTGTCTGTCTGCGACACATAGGAGCGACCGAGTGACGACAGCCGGTAGCTTGTATCGATTTCGTAGCCTTGGACATAGCAATTGTATGCCCATGCTCTGCCGTGCACCTCGATTTGGTGGGGCCGGTCGAAACCTTCGACATAGACCAACACCGTGTCAAAGTAGCATTCCGACGGATAATCTGGGGCAAAGTGCACCTGGAACTCGGTGCTGGCGCTGGGCTGAACCGTCGCTTTCCATGGGGACACAGTGAAGATCTGTCGGCCTTTCCACCCTCTCGCCCTGGCTTCGCGTGGGATGGAGACATCTAGGAATCGCTGGGTGGACTCGAGCTCGACGCGGCAAGAGACAGCGATGGTGCTGTGATTGATCAGCTTGAAGCTCTTGACGCCAGTCTCCCCAAAGGGAATGTCGCCAAAGCCAAGGTACTTGGTGCTCGGCTCGATCGTAACCGATGGGATGATGCCCTCGCCAATCAGATAGAGTGGAATACGACAGATCTGGTTGGTGATGTAGATGGTGCTGTAGAACTTGTGGCATGCGTCTGGGCAGAATGCGATCTTGAGCTCGGATATGGCCTCGGGGTCGGTCATTCGCAAGGTGCTCACTTGCGAGAATGGGCCGATGGGATTGATTCCTTCGCAAATGGGCTGGAAGGGCTCGACGCCAATGTTCTTTGCGTTGCGCGATAGCACGAAGCGCTTGCCCAGGGGGACGACACCAAAGTCCACCACCTGGCTCTCGTTGTTCAGAGCGAGATTGGGCAGCACCAAGTGCGCCAGCACACGCAGATACAGGATCGTCGCTCGACTCTCGCTCGGGGTGTCGCTGAATTTGCGGGGGGTCTTTGAGTTTGGCGGTATGCGGGGAGTCGGCATGTGCTCCTTGATGTGGCACGGCACATGGAACACGACCCAGACAGACGGGGGAATGGCCGACTTGAGCGAGCCGATATCGAGCATGCTTGTTGAGCCAGCCCGATCAATCTCTCGAGGCACTCCAATTGACTGGCCGAGGGTATCGCGTTCCTTTTGACGATCTTTATCTTTATCCCTGTCCTTGTCCCTGTCTTTGTCCCTCAGCGTATCCGAGCGATTCATAGCCGGTACGCCTGAGCCTTTGGCGATGAGTTTGGATGGCGTTGGAGCTCTCTCAGGCGGGCTGCTGCTGGGACTGGGTGGCAACTTGGTGACGAGCCTGATCTCGATACTCGCTGTCTTGCCCTGTCCGACGGTACCATGGCTGGGACAAACGACAAGGTTGACTTCGCCGTGCTGCGAGGCATGGATCGAGGCATCTTGGATGGCTGTGGTGACTCGGCTGCTCGTAGCCTTGGACTTCCATTCAGCCCCGTAGTCCAGAGATTCGCCCTCATAGACGTGGACAACGATTGGTTTTCCAAACTGAAACTCCACCTCTCTTTTGCCATCGGCCAGGCCGCTGACATCGTCCAGGGACATGGACTGTGACCCTTGCTGTGCTGTCGTCGAGCTTCTGGAGTTGTGTATCAGCCGGACCTTGGTTGTGCGGGTGCTTCCTCGACCGGTCGTTGCGAAAATGACTTCATTCTGCCCGAACCGCAGGAGCGGCTTTATACCAAAGCCTGTGCACTTGATCTCCCAGCGCTTGTTCCAAGTGGACATGCACATGATTTTCATCTCGTGATGGCCCTCTTCCGAGGGCAAAAACTGAAGGGTCTTGGACACAATCTGCGAGGGACCCACTTCAACAAAGTGCTCTGTCCCGGCCTCCTTGCTGTTCAGGGACTGCTCCAGGAACGTCAGGCACGCATGAGACGACCTGAATCGCAGCTTTTGCGGCAGCATCGAGTGATTTTTGATCCGGAGCGCCGCATGTTTAGCCTCGTACACAGAGCACGGTCCAAACGATATGTTGCTGGCGTTGCTTGGGTACTCGAACGACACGTCGACTGTGGTGATGTTGCCCATGATGGTGAGCGGGATGCTGCAGCTGACTCCAGAGTGGGTGTATCGCACCACGGCCTTGAGCTTGAAGGGCTTGGAGCCCACCATATCGGCCTCATGGCTTCCAAGCGAGGGCTTGAACGCAAACCACACCTGGAAGGGCTCGCTTGGCTGAACAAAGGCTGTGCCGGGTGAAATGTCGATCTCGCCCACCTGTGGGATCTGAATCGAGAGGATCTCGCCGTGATTGGCTTGCATCGGAGAGGCGCCTGGGCTTGCTGGATTGCGATCAGAGCTCTCTTCCACATCCGAGAGAGACACCTCTATCCAGATCTTGAGAGCGATTGATCCACAGTTTGAAAAGCTCAGGCAGTCCCGGTATGTGCTGCCGATGACGCACATGTTGAAGTTGACTTGGGTGTGGTCCACTTGGATCGGCGCCCGCGTACCGACGGCAACGCACCGGAGCCGGATCGGGCTGCATTTTTCGTTTCCGAACTCGACAAAGAAGGTCTGTATTTCCTTCTTGGACTCGGCAATGTCAAGCCCTGGGCGATACTCGATCCTCACCTTGCTATGGCGGTAGCCCTTCAAAGTGGCGCTGCTGCCATGGACGATCTGGAAGGATGATATGGCAGCGGGGGGCACGTCTTGAGATAGGTTCTCCTGCCGGTCGGGTCGGAGCGTGTAGTCGACATCAATGCTGCCGAGATTCTTGAGCTCGATCACTCGAAAGACCGAGTCGCCGACGATGCACGCCCCAAAGTCGACAACAACCTCGCGACCCTCGGTAATGTAGTGCAAACTCGAGACCTTTCTGCCGGGCTTGAGATGCTCCGCAGGATCGATCAGACTCTCGGCTGGAATCAGGGCAGTATAGTCCAGCTTGAAGGCCAGCATACCCTTGCCCGCGATGGTGTCCACCACGGGCACGCATTTGCGTGTTCGGCATCCCACCTCGATAGCGAAGCCATCGCCAAACTCGGAGGAGAACCGGATCAGGCCCTGGGAGACATCGTCGCTGAAATCTCCGGGAGGACGGAAGATGACAGTCAGTTCGCAGACCATGCCGGCACTGAGGCGGCCCGATGGCTTCTCTGTGACCTCAAAGAAGCTTGCAAGGTCCACCGAGATGGGCAGCAGCCGGAATGAGTTGGCCATGCAGCTTGTGTTCGTGACGGTGACTGTTTTGCTGTAAACCATGCCCGGGGTGTAGTCCTTGAACATGACCTTGGATGGGCTCGCCGTAAACGGCGCCGTGGAGCTCAGATAGAGCGGGACATCTTCTTTAGCCGACCTCACAACGTGATGCGGGACGGGAATGTGCTTCTTGGCCGGGGACTTGGAGAGGTCTGCCTGCGAGTCAAACTTGTCGAATCCAGATTTCGGTCGGTCGGCAATCGCAGCTGCACTCGGAGCCAGCTCTCGCTCTGTCCCATCCTCGTAGCTGTCGTCATCCTTCGCAGCCAATGGAGTGTGCATCAGACCTCTAGCAGTCTCTCGCTCTACAGCCACGGTATCCTTCTGGCTGTCTTGGAACTGGCGACACAGCTTGGCCCAAATGTGCTCGCGAGACCTGTTCTTCCGGCTCTTGACAAACTCCTCCCGTACGATGGTATCCAATATTTCCATGATTCGGTCTGGCTTGGGCCGGCTGTTGATTGCAGTGGTGCGTTTTGTGGACTGACCCGGGAGCGCCCCGTGTGCGCTCTCCAGTGCCTTGGATTTGCGACGAGTTGGGGACTGGTGAGTGGATGCAGCTTCTGGTTGCCGGCGATGTCTTTCTATTACCACCTGATGTCTCAAGAGACAAAAACGGAGGTAGCCGATATGATGGTTTGGCGTATCCAGAAGAAGCAGAGCGGTGCTTCACGTCAGTCGCTTCAGGCATCCCTTGGTGAACACACATACCAGCGTCACTCGTTCAATATGCATGCGTTGTAACGTATCCCATGCTGCATCCAGCAACCGGCTCTGATTCCGGCAGCACAACGGTCTCCGGGCCGCACATTGATCTGGGCGGTCATTGATGATGAGCCTATGGCTGCAGTCTCACCTTCTCAGGCAGCTTCGGAAGTACTTCGGTGGGGAACTGGAAAACCTCTCCTTTGTCACGAAACGACGTTTCCGAGGGCCGAGTGCTCCCTTTGGGTTTTCCTGATTCTCGAATCTTGTCTGGACGTCGCATGGCCTTTCCGAGCGGCACTTGGCGGTTGCATATGGCGGTACCTTGGTCGCCCTGGCTGACGGCGAACTTGTCCTGGGTCTCCTCTAATCGGGTCAGCAAGCGCTCGGTGGGGCCCACAGCCTCCTGGATCTTTGATATCAATTGCTGGCACTGCTCGACGACCGACACTTGGATTGCTCGCTCGGATGTGAGATTCTTGATCTTCTTGGCTCGGTAGCCATCGTCAGCCAGTCCTGCAACGCTTTTGTCGTCTGAAATAGCGACATGACGCTCGGTGGTTCGTTTGGTGGCCTTTGAGAGCGCCCTCATCTCCACTTCGAGCTTTTCGATTTCACGTAGACTCATTTGTTGGAGGCTCTGTGAGGCACAAGCCAGGCAGGGAGGGGCCCCGAAAAAGCCATAATAGTGAGCGAAAGCAAGACAACACCGCAACCGGGTTCGAAACTGGCATTCCTTTCGGGACTGGCGCGACTCTCAGAGACGAGCGACCATAAGCCGAGGGCCTTTGCGGGTCGCGAACCGAGTCGATAATAGCAAGACAACGCGATCGAAAGTCTGGCAGAGGACACTCGCAACTTTGGTTGTCGAGAATGCATAACCGCCGACATCTAGACTCCCCCGGCTGTACTTACCCGCGCCTGGTACAGTTCGTCACTCAGCTCAGCGAGATTGCTCTCGGTTTCTGCGAGCCCGCGTCGAACGCTCTTGGTGAGCTTGCGAGTGCTGGTGCGGCTGCGTGCTGCACGGATCGACTCGGCTCGGCCCAAGGCAAAAGTAGGCTCGCGATTCCGCAATTGAGAATCCCCGAAGCTGTGCTCGATGCGCTCCAGCTCGGCTTTCCGTTCGCTCTGGAGCATGTCGCGATAGAGGGGAAAGATTTCGTCGTCGGTGGGAACGACGGGTTCATCGAGGTCGTCCACCGAGTCGATCGGGCATGCCGTGAGCTCGGCTTCTTGAAAGTCATTATCGCTCAGCCGAGCGCTCAGCGAGACTTCAGGCTCCTCGTTGATTTCGGAGAGATAGTCCGGCATCGCGTGAGGCGCTGGCTGGAGCAAACCGGTTGCATCAGTTTGCTCGCTGGGGAACGCGTCGGGGTGGCCATCGGCTTGCAGAGGCGATGCGGCACGGCGGATGCCGGCCGAGGACTCTGGGTCGGGTCGGGTTGCCGCGGCACTCATAACGATTGATGTGATGATGAAGCCGCTGTCGAAGCCCGCTGCCGTGGCTGCTCCAGCTTGAGTCAGGACGGCCTTGGCGCCACAAACGATCTGGACTCAAGTCGGACCGACCTTGTTGGCGCCCTGGCGAATTACTGCAAGCAGCTCTGGCCAACACCTCTCCGGCATCGAATAACAATTCGTTGTTTGGGATCCCCGGACACAAGGCTGGCGCAATAGACATTCCTCGCCGAGCAGCTCGGCCCAGTCGGCTCTTGGTTGTCGTGGGAATGCTGGCCACGGCAGGCTGGACTGTCTGTGGCGCAGGGCACTGTGGCACTCACATGACCCAGAAAATGTTCCTCTTCCGCTGCGAGCGCGGACCCAGATCGCCTTTCTCGTCCTGGCCCAGGGCGCATCCCACCGACCGAAACGATGCTGAGCGAAGTGGCTGTGACTGCGTCCTCGGCGGACACCGGTATATTCCTTTGGGACATCCGGTCCGGCACCGTGCTGGCATCACTCAAGGGCAACAAATCCACGGGCCGCGTGCTTTCGGCTGTCGCCGGTGTCAACGGCTCGCTGACGACGTCGGGGTTGTTGGTAGCCCAGAGCGACAAGGCTGTTATCAACTACTGGTCATGGACAAAGGTTGGTTGCTGGAGACAGCTAGTTGTTGTTCCGAGCCGCGATCGCTTGGGGATGTGCTCGACGACAGCAGCGAGCAGCCGCGGGCCGCCTGATGCCTGTCGGATGCACGATCGAACGGCAAGAAACATGGCAGCGGCCAAGAGGCAGAACGGGATTGAGCTGCGTGACGCTGTGCGAAGCAATATGGAGCAGCCGAAGAGTCACGTCTGAGTCCCATCAGCATCCAACTGATCCAGTTGCTCTTCTCTCCCGCCCGCGGTGCTGTTCTCTGGCCAACAGGAGCAATTTCAGGCCAAGTTCGTGGTTCCCGAAAAGCTTGCTGCAATCGTCGCTTCACACAACGGGTCTATCTGTGTGGGAGGCAGCCAGTCGGGGCGAGTTTATGTATGGGAGGTAAGCAGACAATCTCTCCGATGCTGCTGTTCGAGAACGGGCTATCATGCCATGATCATTGGAGTGCACACGAGCATCGATGTGCAGGGCCATGACCACGGCATGCAGAGCAGAGCCATTGATGCCAGACGATCCGATTGCTGTTAGCCAGACACTAACACCCATCCGCTGCCTCAGCTTGCGACAGGCAGTCTCCTGAAGATGTTTGATGCCCACTACAAGGCCATCAAGGCAGTATGCTTTACTTCCGATGACGCCTTCTTCGTGACCGGCAGTGAAGACTCGATTGCAAACGTCTGGCTGATGGGCAGGTAATGGTCGCTTAAGATTCGCACTCTCCGTTGCGGATATCACTTGATCTGAAGGGACGCCTTGGTCGCCTGTTATCGCCGATTCCCGGAGAGATGCTGTTCCGATGCATCGGGTCGCCAAAACCACTGAGCCTCGCACTCTGTCGCAATCTGGTGTCTTCTAGCGTCCTCGACCCAAGCGGGCCCGAGTCTCCGGCCCCGTTCCACACGCTCTCTGGACATACCCTTCCTGTCACCGATGTTGCCTGCAGCGTCGGCATGGCCGGGCATGCCAGGGTGTTCACGTCCTCTTTCGACCGAACATGCAGAGTATGTTGGACTTGTGTTCGACCGGCATGACCTCCAGTCCGTCGATCGGGGCGACTTTACCAGCACGCCAACACCACTTCTATGGCAATCTTTTTTGCGAGGGACGTGGATGCTGACAAAGCTTTGTGCTGTTGCTTTAGATATGGGAGCTAGCGACAGGAACTCCTTTGGTCACCGTCAACTACCCAAAGCCAGTGACGTCCGTGGCCGTCAACGCCCTCGAGACGTGCCTGTATGCAGGCGGATCCGATGGCCTCATCTACGGCACCCGTCTCTACAAAAACGAGCAAGAGACAGGATACAGCGTGACAGCGCCAAAGCAAGGCTCTGTCGAGGATGGCTCGCATGAGAATCTCGTCTATCAGGGACACAGGTAGGCATGTGCACTGAAACGGCATCTATCCTAAAAATCGACAGCGGAATCAACCCGAGCTATACGCGCTTGATGCACCACGGCCCTGATAACACCCATTCCCGCTGTGATGGATGACAATTGCGCTGCGTGGTTGCATCCAACCAGCCAGACGATCACAGATCTGTGTCTTTCGTTTGACGGCTCGCTGATGCTCTCGAGCTCGGAAGACGGCACAGCGATTGTGTGGGATACATCAAGTCGACAGGCGATCCGCAACTTTGCCCAGCACAAAGGTGTGTGCTCTTGTGTGCATTGGCACATCCCTGTCCAGCCCATTTACCGTGCGCGTCCATGGGTCTGCCAGTCGATCCACCATGTCATATCGGCATCCCACCTAACGCCCGGTGAATACCTGCCTCGTCGTGCGAATGCCGGTCATATCTGCATTGCCCTCATTCAGCGGCCGTTACGAGCGCCACGATCATTTTCCGACCCCCCGAATTACTGGATGCAAATGCCAAGCCCATCCGGCCCGCGCCTCGCGCTCTCAAGCGCTACCAAAAGTCGGCCGAGACAGACGGGTTGTCAACCGGAGACGACGACAAGATCATCCTGCCAGAGCCTGGGTTCAACCTGGTGAGTGGTTCCCACAACATCGTAGTGCTACCCTTGTTCGCGGCTGGCTCGAACTCCCCTGTTGGTTGGATGACTTCTCTGACACTCTCTACAACGTCGACAGCAGCAGCCACCCGGCCCATCGGACGAGAGATCGGCGGCATCGGTCCAACAGACCCTGTCGCTGATTACGCAACAGGGCAGTGACGAGCATCTCAACGAGATCGAGCGACTCAAGCTGGAGATCTCCAAGCTGAAGCATAACAACTCGCTCCTGAAGAAAGCCAACGACGAGCTGTATCAGGCCATGGCAAAGAAAGCATAGACGCAATCCCGCATCGCGCCGCTGTTTGCTTCCTGCGGCCGAGTCTCCCGAGCGAGACACAAATACAGTGCGGTCAATAGTGCCCATCATTCCTATCGGCACGCGGAGCACACCCCGTCTTGACGAATGTGTAGGGATTCTGGAAGCTGCTGTCGCCATGGCTTCAGAATACACACCTACAGTGGCGCCCGCCAGCAGCATGGCCCAGAAGTGCGCCAGACGGGTCGATAGCACCGTGACTGCAGCATTGGGTCGGTGCCGTGAATGAGATGCTTTTGGCATATATACCAGCCGAACCTTTCACCGTCTTGTGCTTGAGCCACCTGTCTGTGTCACGCTCTCGTCAAATCCAGCCAATCGTTTCTCCAAAAAAGCGACCTCCCAAGTTGCGGCCGACCCCTCCCAGCCGGACAGCTTTTCTTCAGCCCACCATCGGCCAGACGCCCGGCGCTTGCTCTCGATCCAGCACCGCAGCCGCTGCTCCACAAGCTCCATGTCGCAGATCAAGGATAAGCCTGCTGCCACAGCGGGAAAGAAGCGAGGTAGGTCTGCGATCCCATCGCAACTCAACGCTGTTGGTTCCTGGCACCCCATTCTGCACCCATTCTGCATCCCTCCATGCCGCTGACATTGCTCCTTCGCTGACCGCATTCGTTCTCGAAACTCGATGGCGACAGGGCGTCCGAGAACCTGCGATCGGGCTGTGTTCTGCACCCACAAGCTGCCCGTGATTGCCAGCACCGGCAGGAACCGAAAGGTGCTGCTGCCTCGACCCACCCAGCCTGCTCCAGCCGCAGTTACGGCATCGACCTCGGCCTCCTCGTTGGCCACTGCCTCCAATGGAACTGCAAATGGGGCGTCGGTAGCCCCGCTGGACGTCGGACAGCTCGCCACATTGGGTCCTCGACTGGCTCCCAAGCCCCCAGAGACGAGCCAGCCGCCAGAGCAGCAGCCCGTCCACCAGCACGGCTCGCACGACTTTTATTTCTTCTACCCCAACTATGTTGATCCGTCTCTGTCCGTCTATCCGTACTATCCAGCGCTTGCAGCTCCATTACAGCCGGTAGCGGCCTCTCACTCTCCGGACACTCTCCAACAGGCGATCGTAAGCGTCCCACAACACCACCACCACCATCATCATCATCACGACCATGGCTATCAGCATCCACCTCTCCACAATCAGCTCGACCACAACCTTGTCTGCCTTGATCATCTCGACAGCTGCGCCTTGACCCAGACACCGGCAGCCATGGCTGCCACCCATGCGTACGAAGGCCAATCCAGCCTCGACTCGCTCTTTGCCCCAATAGCCCAGAGCATGGAGGGCTCGGTGGGCTCGTTATCGCCGGTGAACTGTGATGGCGATGCCCTCCACATAGACTTTCAGGACTTTTGTCTCCTGCAAGGCAACGGAGCCTGTCCCGACGGCAGCAGTCCGCTCCCAGAGCATCCACACATTCGGCGCATGCATGTCGACTGCTGCCACGACCAGTTCTCCAACCCGGACGACCCTGGACACTTGAGAGATGTGTTGGCCGAGATTTTCTACAGCGACATTTGGCCGTGCGAGCTTGAGGCCGACTCGTTTGCAGCCGTCGCTGCTGACCAGACTCATCCATCAGCCCCAGACTGCTCCGTATCGGTTTGTTCCTCTCCCGCGGCCCAACAACACCCCGGGCTCATTTTCGATCACCAGCAACCCAGGAGCTCACCCGACTGCTCAGACGCTATGGGCGGCGATGGACAGCCAGTCGGCTCCCTACTAGCCCATGTGGAACCGGCCGTGGATGCAGAGTGCTCACAGAGCAACCCGATGGCGCCGATGACCAAGCAGGAGCGCCGCCGCATGCAAAACTGCATCTCCTCGAGAAAGTTTCGGGTCAAGCAGCGAAATATTGAGGAGCAACGACAATGCGAGATTCATCAACACTCGGGTATAATCCAGGACCTGGAAAGGCGAATCACAGGTAAACCTGGCGAGCAGAGCCCGACTATCCGCGCATGTGCTGGTGGAGATGCCGTGAGATGCGCTAATGCCGCGGCCTTCTCTGGATGTATGCTGACACACCGCCTGTTGCCCTTTCCTGCCATGACTGCTCTTCGATGTGGAAACGCTGGCCTCTGGGGTGCTGGCGGTAATCTAGAATACAAGATGGAGGTGGAGTGGCTGAGGCGGCTGATCAGCGACGGAGTCACTTCGGCCAAGCTTCAGGACATCTATCGCGAGGTCAGTGCCGGCGTGCAAGCCCCGAATGCATGGTGTTGGCATTGAAACGGACATCGTACGTACTTACCGACCTTCCTTCGATATGCCAGAACGGCATTGAATTCTCCGGAACCGACACTGATTGAATCGGTTCCAGACACCCTCTGTCCTGGCGTCGTTTCTGCAGATCGTCGGCCACATCGTCTCCACATCTCCACCGCGGCTTCATGTTCCTATCTCTGGCACACTCGTCGACGACATATACGCCCTGTTCAATACGCCCTGTTCAATACATCCTGTTCAATACATCCTGCTCGATACACAAGCGCATGTCGTCTTTGATCACAACACGGCCTTTCTTAAACGATGCGCAGTGATAGCACAATGGTGGTGCGGTCGAGCCCAATGCAGGGGCATATCGCATGGCTGGGAGGGTGCAGGACAAGCAACTTGGCTGAGTATCCCAGGAGCCAGTGCACGGAGCAGACATGCATCGTCGTCGGCACGAGAGGCAGCAGCGCCGACCAGGACACTCGCCGCTCCTGTCGACCAGCGTGGAACCCACTTGCGCTGTGGTGGCCGCAGATGCACCCATGTCTTGCTCCTGCATGTCAGCGGCTTTGGCTGTGTGGCCGCTGCCTGGGCTGCCTCCCACGGGCCGCAAGTTGCTCTTCCTGGACTCGACTTGCGTCTTGCTCCTCGGCGGCTGGGCTGTCTCGTCCAGATCCTTGCTCCTTCCGCTTGCGTCTTTGCGTCGGCGACATGTCGGGGGCTCTTGGAGGACCCACGCCGCCGGCCAAGGTCCGCCTGGATAAAACGGCAGCAGAGCTCAAGCCGGCTTGGCCGAACGAGCCCACGTCTGCCTCGACCTCCTTCGCTTCTCCTGGTCATGACAAACCCGCCTGGGCGACTCGCTCCTAGTTCTCACACCCCCCTGGCCACTACCATCCCGCGTGTCGAACACTATCGTCCCTTCCCGTGTCCTCCGACATCGATGTCCGCCTCCGCGCAGGTTCTGCCGTGCCCCAGCACCCCCATGAAGCCACGACCCGGATGGCTCCTGCTGCTTCTGGCGCTTCTGGTGCTGTGCACACCGACATCGGGTGCCTATCTCGACATGCGACTACCACGGCGTGACCCTTGCACCAACGCTCTCCAGACCGCCGATCCGCAACTGCTTTCGGTAACTTCGCTGTCCCATCACCTAGTTCTCCAAATTCGATCTGTGGCCATCGATTGAATCAACGCTCATCCTCAAGCACCCTCGACACGGCCGAGCACCCGCCCGCTGACACCTCTGTTTGCATGTCTACAGAATTGCGGGTTTCGATCTCTGCTCCTACTCAATCTGAGCGACTCCCAGACACTCGGCCAAGTTATATCGAGCTCGTGCTCCAGCAACTCTTGTCCCCCGGTTTTGTTGGGGTCACTCCAGAGCATATCGTCAGCGGTATGTATGTCTCGGCGGCACACGGGCATTTCCTGCGATATATGCCCATCCCCCCATCCCGGCGAATCCACGAAAGGCATTTCGTCACTCACGACGAATATGGATGCATCGCGTGCGCTTGCTAATCTCAATTCTCTTCGTCGCAGTGCACCCTTCAAAACTCTTTTGACGTCGCATCTCTGCTTTCGATCCTGCCGACGTCGACCAACTCTAGCGTGTGTGCCCTCAACAACTCCACTGGTGCTCCATGCATCCAGGAGATCCTGAGTGATCTCCAGGGAATTCCAGGGTCGCCGCTAGCATTCTCGCAAGTCTGCACTCCGTAAGATCTAACGCCGATTCCGCGCCGCTCGGGGAGACTTATACTCAACCGGACAATGAGCCAGCCACACCCATGTCTCACTTCCAGAACTGCCCATCTGATCCTCTTTGTTTGTGAACCGCACTTGCAGATGCATCGCTGCCAATCAAGCATTCATTTCCTCACCGTTCTTTGGCTCAAACGTAATGCTGGATAGTCCTATTGCACGCACGATTTGTGGGCCGTCGCCAGCACGCCCCCCCCCGAGTTGATACTGACGACTGTTTGTCCGAACACCAGGGCACACGGCTCTCATCCGCATACGAAGTAAACTGTGTCGGGCAGACATCTATTGGCGGACCCAACTTTGGGGGGCAGATCGCCAACCTCAGTGCCGGCTGCCAATCGGCCTTTGAAACCGGTCTTCGGAGCTTGAGCCAGGTGAGTCGGATGGCGTGCTTCAGGACGTCATCAGAACGAATCAGTCCAGGCCACGCCCACGGACGATGCATGCGTTGATCTGCAGATCTGCTGGCTCAGCATCTTACTATCCATCTGGTGCATCAGAGCTGTTCGTTTTCAGGTGGCGCGCAGCCGTTCTTCGGATCGAACTTTACCTACTTTCTTGATGCCGTGTGCTCAAATCCGGCCTGCTCGGTATCCTATGCCAGCCTGATCGCGAATACTTCACAGTTTGTAAGTTGCTTTGCTCGCTGTTTTGCCCATTGCTTCGACGACCTCTCTCCCTCCAGCTTGGAGTCATCAAATCCGCCTCAGACAGCTTGCCCAATTCATTGGCTTTAAGTTCTCGCCAATGTCGCTGTCCGCCAGTCCCGGTCACTCACCAAGTTCGCATCGTCATTGTCCCAGTGCGAGGCCTCCTTCACCAATATTTTCACACTCGGGAGCATCGTCTATGCCCCGCTCTACTTATCACCAAGCACCAACCCGCTTTGTGCCCCATCACAACCATCCGAAAACGACTTTACCTACTGTGGCATCGAAGTCATCCAAGCCGAGCTTAACAGTCCGAATATTACAGTGTCATGTTCATCGTAGGTAGATCCGGGGCATATCTGAGCAGATGCTGGACGATGCCTCTCTGCTGACCATCGGCTATGCTTGTTCATACAGATGCATGGGCCAGATCTATCCCTATCTTTCCAACTCGTCCAATCCATCGGTAGGTACTTGCTGCTATCCAGGTGCCAGTGCATGGTAAAGCGAGACGGCGATATATTCTTTGATGGACAAGTAGCGTCGATGAAAACACTTTACTAAGCTCTGGATTGCTTGCGGGCAGGATGTCGATCTTTCGGCGGTATACTCGCGGTCTTGTCTTCCACAAGCCACCCCTCGGTCGTCGCCCACAAGCACGGGGATAGTAATCACAGGTCAGGCCTCTCAAGTCTCAGCCTCCTTATCAACGTCGCCATCATCGCTCTTCCCTCAGTCGACAGTGGCATCGACTGTTCCCACTACCTCTCTGTCATCTTCGGAGACAAGACCATCATCCTTCCTGTCAGCGGCCGTGACAACGGCGAGCCAGTCTTCATCGTCAGCGGCAGTGTCCAGCGCAACATCGACTGCTTCGGCGTCAACAATATCGGTCGGAGTGCTCGGACAGAATCAACAGTCGGCATCGGCATCGGCATCGGCATCGGCATCGGCATCGGCATCGGCATCGGCATCGGCATCGGCATCGGCATCACGATCTTCCTCGCTGCAGGCTGCTGCCTCGTCCATAACACCAAAGTCATCCTCGTCGAACTTGTCGTCTTCATCCAGCGCCGCTGCACCGCCAAAGCAAGGCACCAGCTCATATGCCCAGGTAACGGCAGCCGCCACCGAACCTCGCCGCTGCATCAAAAGGAACCCGCCCAAGTCGAGGACCCGGGGCCAAAGATTACTAAAGCGCCAATAAACACACCTCCTCCAGACGACGACTGTTAACCCGTCAACTCCTCGGTCCAAACCAACCCCGACGGTGACAAACACCTCTGGTCTTCCACGGAGTGCAGGAGCGACTTTGTCATCTGTTTCTACCACCAAGACATCGTCTTCATCATCGTCGTCGTCACCACCATCGGCAACGACACCGACACCCACTGCAGAGATTTCCAACACAAATGACTCGGGCCCAAGTCCAGAAACTCTGGCTCTGCAGCAACTTCAGACAGTTGCCCGAGCGTGCTTGTTCCTGTCCCTTCGACAGTGCCGTGCGTTGCTGCAGAGTGCCCTTTACGATTGATGAAGGCCCTGCGATATCACTTGCATTTCACTCACTCACTCACTCACTCACTCACTCACTCACTCACTCACTCACTCACTCACTCACTCACTCACTCACTCACTCGTTAGCCAAGATCATGGCGTTCAATTGCATACTTCATTTCCACATGCTCATATCGCATGGATGGCCTTGCCCTTTCATTCATCTCCGATTCGGACCCATACCCACCGAGCCGGATGAATACAAATCCCTTGCACGCCTACAGTCTATCCAGAAAGAAACGTGATAGTTCCTTCCTGGCTTCAGATGTCTGGAGCCCGCTGACTGACTGTAGGCCCAGCGGGCAGGCCGTGAGATTTTTTCCCGTCTTGGTTGGCAATCGAGTGGTTTTGGTTGGCGCCCGGGTTTAGTGAGTGGCCGTCAACAGCATGAGTCTCGTTGAATTGCAACATCTGGCGCAGCTGCGGCAATGTTGCGACCAAGTTTGTCTCACTTGTAGTAATGCTCATTAATCCTGCATATACATGGTTCCATGAACTAGGAAACACATCCCTTGCTCCGCTTCCATAAGTCGGATGGGTGTATACATTCCACGCAATGGCCAAAGCGACAAACACAGAGTGTCCCGGCTTCATCTTGCGAGCACTTCGATCAAGTGACTCGATGTATTTGTATGCATCCACAGCGAAACCACAAACCATCCAGGAGCAAAAGTGGATACGGACTCGTGGATCGATGAGCAAAAGAGAGGGGCCGGGAGACGATGGACAGCCAAGTATGATGGGCCTCAGCCAAAGCAAGGCAAAGCAAAGCAAAGCAAACCTAACCAAAAACAAAGGATAAAAAAGCAGCGCATATCGTCGCACCGCACCGATTGCCACGGTATCGATACATGACAGCAGCCAGCATTAAAAATCAAGAATCAAGATCGATCTGACGACCACAAACACCGACCCAGTCTATCGCAGAAACTCGTAAATCGATATCAATAAGATAGCCCGGTCGCCGGGTCGAGTGCTCCTTTGCGATTCGCGTCATCTGTGCGAATATCCGCAGCAGCCTGAGGGGGGGGGGCCGAGCTGCACTCACTCTACCACGATGAGCCTTGCGTGGGCTAATTGCCAAGATTCGGGGGCTTGACGCCATTCAGTAACGCTGTGGCGTAGTTCTTGTTTTCGGCGGCGCCAGGAGACTTGCTCAGTTTGGGGTGTGCCAGTCGCTCTTCCGAAGCCAAAACGGAGGCAGGGATCAGGACCTTTTGCTGCTGTTTCTTGACCTTTTTCTGCTTCGAGTTGACTGCCGATGTGCGCCCGCCGTCGGGGACATCGGCAAGAGTGGCGCTGCTTCCACTTTGCGTCGATGGCCCGCCTTGAGCGGCCTGCTCGTTTGCCTGGGCCAGCATCAGAACTTTTGCAGGAGAGAGGACGTTGTTGAGACCGGTATTGAGGGCCGATGGCGAGTGGACGATGCCCGGTGTGTTCGCCAGCGCTCCATAATGAGTCATTTTCGAAAGGATGCTACTGGTTTCCACAAAGATCGGATTTGTGCTTTCGACTTGGGCAGTGCCGCCAAGAAGCGGTGCCGACTCATCGACAGCAGGCGGAACGGGTTCCAAGGGTGGCTGTTCGAAGATCACGGAGCTGAGGCGTGTGGGCGATGGGCGGGTGCTGTTGATCGTCGAAACGGCGTGCGGCGTGTTCAGCTTCTTTTCCAGTTCGTGGAAGGCCCGCGCAACCTTGACCTTGGTGTGATTGTCAACGTAAACATCAGTCTCGTCAATGATCTCTTCACCAAGCAGCTCCTCAATGACATCCTCTAACGTGACGATGCCGATGGTTCGATAGTGGGCCTTGGGTGAAGGGGGCTGATGCGATGGGATCCAAAGCGGGGTCGAGCCCACATCTGATGAAATAGTGTCGTAGGTCTGATCAAACTCGTCGCGGTCCGATGCAGGTAGCTCCTTGGAGGCGCGCACTTCTTCAACGACGACGGCCATGTGTGATGCGCCCTCTTCAAAGACGTGGAGAATCTCAAACAGCGGCGTGCCCGCAACAACTCGAGGAAGGCGACGGATCTTGACTTGGGAGATGGGAGTAGAGTCATCAGGATCGTACATAACCAGCTGCTTGACGATGATGACGCCGATGATGCATTCGCGGGATTTATTGAAGATCGGGACTCTGGAGTGGCCGGCCTTGATGACCTGAGGAGAAGCAGCAGCAGCAGAGGTTGTATTAGTGACAACAACCCTCAGCCAGGGGGACGAAACAGAAAAAGTCGACGCGCACGGCGGGGCATTGCATTCAGGGCATCCGGCACCGCAGCCCTGTGCATAATCACACCTTTTCCAGCGTCGTGCGGTCCAGTTGGTCGCTCAGAGACAACATGAAAGTATCGGTGAGAGGTGTCATGATGTCTTGAACACCTTTGTCTCGGATCTCCAGGACAGCCCTCATGATCGAGACCTCATCCTTGGTAAGGGTTCCGGCGTGATCCTCGCCATGGAGGGCGACGAGCTCACGAAGTTCTGGAGAGAGAGTCAAGGATGAGTATCGGTAGCGATAGTCAATGGGTGTACTGAGAGAAAACCCGATCGGCTCACTTGGGTGGCGGGTGATGCACTGCAGCCAAGGTGGTCGGGGTATCACCCATCTCAGATCACAGCTAGAGCATGGACATACCCGCTCGTCTGTAGACAACACCGTGACTGTGACCGAGGATATAGTCCAGGAGCTTTGCGATCGGATAGGCAATGATCCACATCACAAAGATAAGGGCCCGCACAGCCGGAGCAAAGAATGCACCGATGCGAAGACCATGGCGGGCGCAGAGGGCTTGGGGAATGATTCTGGTGGGAGAGGGCCAAAGAACCCCGAAATGAGCGATACGATCCGAAATGAGCGCGGCTCTCCCGCTGGCTAACGGGTTGGATGTGCTGGGTTGGCCAAGAGGCTCATACGGTCCTTGACTTACTCGCCGAAAATGACCACCAGGGCTGTGGAAATGACGACGGCTTGGATGCCGTCGAGGTGGATCGAGTCGAGCAGAATGGGCAGGGTTTCGTTGACGATGGTGTTTGCCAGAAGCAGGGTAACCAGGAGCAGATGGCCGTTCTTGCGAATCGGCTCGATCTTGGCGGCCCAGATCCGCTGGGTGTCGCTGCCGGAGCTCTTGAGAATTGAAAGGTTGGTTTCGTCCAAGGACATCAGCCCGATCGTCAGTCCTGTGTGTGGTGCAGGGACGCAATTTCAGCTATGCGGATCAACAGCCGGGACTGTGAAGCGGCTGCACTGCAAGAAGCAAGGACGGCTCGAGACGTGGAGTCAGATCGTATTAATCACCCGGACTACTCACCTGCCACGACACCGCCGCCCAGGACCAGCAGGATAATGGCGGCCAGGGTGGACCAGAAAACCACAGGATCCGGAGGGTCGTGTTCAGGCTTCCCTTTCTTGGTCTTTACCAAGCCAGAGATGCGAGAAAGGTGATACCGGCTCTTGGAGTCGTCGGCATGATCGGGTGAGGAGCCGCAAGGACAGGAGCAGACGCAGGAGGTATCGGGAGCGAGCGAGTCGCCAGTGCTGGAGCGGAAGGAGCTAGAGCCGTCGTTGGCGGAAACGGCCTGCTTGGAGGTATCAAGCGGGAAGGCAGCCGCGAACGGAAGCACAAAGAGCAAGCAGAGCCAGAGCCATTGTCGAGCGAAGCGCTGGCGCATTCCAAGAGAATCGAGATAGGCGCGAGGGAGCGATCGGCGGGATCAGGGACGAGCGTGAGCGAAGGGGGGCGGCAAGAAAGGGGCCGACAGACTCAAAGGCAGATCGAAGGGACGAAGAAAGCCGAGAAGGCCGGGGTCGGATGGACGGACGGCGAGGAGGGCAGGGCCTGAATCAGGGAACGGGCCGATGCCGGATTTATGGAGAGGAGCGAGGAAGAAAAAAAAACGCAGGCACCACGACAACGACAGCGACCACTCCAACGACGGCAGCGATGCCAGGGCCCTCGGAAGAGGCGTGCAGGACCAAGAGCGGGCGATATGGGTGGGCGGCCGGAGCTGGTCGTGCAGCATGGGCTTCCATTTGTGCTGGAGGACGCGCACGGGCAACCAACAAGGAGTGGATGAAGTGGGTGGGATGAAGGAGCGGATGAGACGAAGGAGTGGACGGCGACGATACAACCACGGCACTGTTGGCCGACAGCAGAGCAGAAGGACACGCATGTCTCGCTGCGCTGTATCGATGCAAGACATTGCATCGATGCACAAGACATTGCATCGATGCATAGGACTTTCTCCCTCAACGCATAGGACAATCTCGCTCAACGCATAGGACATTCTCACTCAATGCAAACAGCGCTCCCAATAGAGTTTTGTGCTTGTGCAAGCCACAAGGCGCGGCCACCCAAACCACTCTCAAAGTACTGAACCACCGCCCTCCACCACAGAACAGCAAGGGCGCGCACGGAACACTCGTCACCCCCACAGAACGGCCACAGACACGCGGCTGGCCAAAGCACGTGCACACCTTCTCGCCCGCCGTCTCGCTGCCCGTCTCGGCCTGCTCTCGCAGCAGCGAGGGCCGTCTCGCGACATGTGGCCTGTGTCGCCGTGCTGAAAGAAAGGTCCTGGGAACGGCTGCCGCTGCCATGTCCTGCTGCAACCCATTGACTGACTGTCGGATGCTGCTGCAACCAGACATGTGGCCGAGGGCGTATCTCTCTGCGAGCACCGATTGTCCCCCGGCCACGAAAGGCGCACGCAAAACGAAACGAGCGAGCACCCGTCCGGGCGACCCGCTCGATCCGACAATCGTGCTGTCGACAAATCAACTCTGTTTGATGCAGTCCAGGGATCGAGTGCATATCGTATCTCGACACTGCGCTCCCCCCAACATGCAGTTCCTTCGTCAGTATCAGCGTCGGCTGTTGCTCTCCACGCCGGGCTGGATGGCCTGGACTGGCTTTTCCTTGCCCAGATTCGCCGATCCAGCTCCGCCTGGCCCTGGCTTTGCGCTTCCCTTGATGACGGCTCCGATTGACCCGCTTGCGCTTGAGTTGAGCTGCATGAACTGGTCGCGTGCCTGGGCCGGCAGCCCGCAGTTTGGAGCAACAGCACCGCAGCTCTTGTGGAAGTGCTGGTGGCAGTCTGGGACGGGCGGCATCCATTCGTCCATTCACACGGGAATGTGGGTGTTGGTCAGAATCAGAGCACAGCAGCACTGCCAGGGTTGCTGCAGATGGATTTGACTCCAACTCACCGTCGCAGCACAGGTGCCGGCTCATCAGCCCGATCCGCTTGCGACATCCTTCGCATCGAGCCAGCGTCGGGATCGTTTCGATCGAAAAGCGGTGTGGGATGCAGTGGCCAACACGCACCAGCGAGATTCCCTCCACCACGAATGGGTGGGTCTCGTCCACCGTCACGGCCAGATCCTGCATTGACCCTGCGTGCGGCAAGGAGCGGATTTGTTAGAGGTGTATCTGGCCATGTTGGCACAGCTGTGCATCGACTGGGGAATACTTGGCAGCACAGTGTACTTGGACGAATCGATATGGCGCATGTGCACGGAAGGAGAGCCTCTCAGGCGAGATTCACTTCCAGCATACTGCACGTCGACTCCACTCCTTTCCAGCGACAGAGTGACCCACACTATCGTACCCGGCAGTGAGTCAGCGCCCAGCGGTATCGCTGTCGGACCGGCATCGGCTTGCTTCCGGGTCGTCACCGAGCCCGTTCGCTGCGGGTCGTTAAGCCTGTCGTCGCTCGCATTCAGCCGATCAACGCTCTGGGCAGCACTTCCAGTGTCTTCTCCGCCGACATCTGGGTCGTGCAATATTGTAAATTGCAGACGCAAGTGCGAGAACAGGCCTGTAGTCAGACCCAAGGTCGATGCCCAAGCGATCCACTGATGCTGACTGCGACGCTGCCTGCTTACCCGGCATCACGCCCATGTTGACGGCATCGACCTGGACCAGCTCGACCTCCAGCGCCCTCAGCTGTTTGAGGACCTGCTTGAGGGACGGCCGATTCTTGCCCTCGTCGCTGGCGCACTCGATCGCCAGATTAAATAGCTCCGGTGGGCAGCTGCTTTCCATCTTGCTACGGATTTCCTCGGCATCGATCCCAAAGCCCGGCATAACCCTCTTGATGTGGACGTCGACCTCGGCCGGGCGCCGGGTGATCATTTCGCACAGGATGATTCCAAACGAGAACACATCGACCGACGCGTCAAATTCCATGCAGAACTGAATCTCTGGAGCCATGTACTGATCCGTTCCGCAGTAGCTGAGTCGTCGGCTCTCCTCCTTGGTCTTGGCTGCGAACCTGAGAGTTGAATCGGTGTTTGTGGTATCAGACCTGACCAAGCTACGGTGCTGGTGCCGCGCTTGGATGAGCACCACCATGTTTGATGCCCATCAAACACCCTCGCTTTGAAGGATATCCATCGCTTTGGCATTGCGAATCATAACCAACCTCGATAGCCCAAAGTCGCACAGCTTGACTCGGCGATTTTCGGTGATCAGCAGATTCTCGCACTTGAGATCTCTAGCATTCGCCGATCCATTTGTCCATCCAGTCAAGAATCGCCATCGCAGAATCAGTGATCAGTCGCCGTCCTTTCGGCCTGCCTTGCTGGCCAAAGCGACCCTCACCGATGAATTATCCGGTTGGCATGCAGATACGCCAGTGCCCGTGCCGTGTCGATTGCAAAGCCAACACAAAGTCGCCAAGTCAGGCCCTTGCTTGGGTCCACGATCCACTGCACAATCGAAGGGGCCGGATCATTAGCGTCGCGGTCGCCCCGGCTCAATCGCCAAGCCTCAGCGAGCACACCAGCAGATGATCGTGAAAGAAGGGCGGATGGAAGGCCCCGGCTTGCGTGAGTCCAAGCAGCGCGGTTTGCAAAAGCCACAGATTTGCCGACTGGTACTCACATCCTTCAGATTCCCGCCGTTGACAAACTCGGTGATCAAATAAATCTTGTTTTCATGTTTGCTGCAGCCCATGAACTGCGCGTGGCACCCGGATGAGTTCGCTCGTTCAAGCCAGGCTGCTTCGTTGTGCGGGATCGATGCCAGAGGGAGGAGGAGGACACGAGAGGCACCCCCCCCCAGTATATACCTGGACGACGTTGGGATGCCGGCTCTCTCTGTTTCACGACGAAGCGACGCGAACGAGTTGAGCCGAGCGGCGTGTAAAATCGGTGCTGCAATGGTGCTGTTGCTCAGATTGGCTCTCTGCCGCAGACAACATACTTGAGTATCCCGATCTCTCGCTCGACGTATTTGCCAAAATCAAAGCCGGGCTGCTCCGCACTGATGTCCAGGAGCTCCTTCACGGCAACCTCGGTGCCCTGTCGGGATCGTCTTGGGTCAGTCTCATGGGAGGAGAGAGATTCGCGATGCCATTCGTTTGCATCGCCCTCGCTCTCGTGTGCCCAAACAAACCACGGACGAGATAGTCGGCCTTTCGAACGATGCCAAAGTTGCCTCGGCCAACGTTCTGAAACTCTGTCAGCTCGCTCCATCTGCTCGCAAAATAGAGATTCCCGGGATTCGGGTGGACAGGAGATTATGATGGAGAGTCTGCCCGAGGATCCGCTGCTGTGCCAGCGAGCGGCGCGGCCCGCGACATGCATCTGTGCTACTGTGACAGAGTCGGAAGGCCAGCAGGGACTCTCACGGTATGAAGGTGAACGAGCCGGACTCGGGCTCCTCCTGCATGGTCGAAAGTACTTGTCGAGGCGACGTGCGTGGGAAGCGGCGGCAGGAATCGGGCGTGCGGGGGCACCAAGCAGCCGAGCGGACAAGGCAGCGCTGGATGGGCCGCCCACGTGAAGCCCCTGGTGACCACCGCCTGTGCGACGGTGCATTCGATCCACTGGTGTACAGTGCATTCGATCCACGCATATACAGCATCGCCCGCGCCCTTTCCCTGCATCATCGCCCCTGTCACATCTGCCACCACCAGCACCAGCAGCACCACCATCGCCAGCATCGCCAGCATCAGCCATGCCCAAGGTCACGGTGACATCCGGACTGGTGTCGTCGGTTGTGCGCACCGCAGCGATCCTGATTGGCGTCGCCGTCCTGCTCTCTCTATTCCTGATTCCGACGTCAAACCACTCGCCCGCCAACCCATCGCATCTGCTCTTCCACTCCCACCGGCTCTTCGAGAACCCGGGCCGTGCCGCCTGCGGGGAGGCTCTCGTCCGAAATCCTATCATTCCCAATGACCGAGGCAGCAACGACTTTGAGAAGATGTGGTTTGTCCGAAACGTGAGTGCTGGAGGTTTGGGATGGTCGTTGCAGCAGAGATATGCATGGCACAGAGGCGACAGAAGGCCAGTTCGCCCGCACGGCGCTCGCGCATCGTCGAGCCCACAGCCAAGTTAGAAGACATGACAGCTAACGCTCACGCTCTGGCCCTGCGCAGATGACGAAGCATGCCTGGGCCGGGTACCACCGCCTTGCATCTGGGTCCGACGAGCTCAAGCCGCTCTCGGGCAAGGCCTATAACTGGTACGACCAGCACTCGCTGTTGTCGACGGCCATTGACTCTCTCGACACGCTCTTGATCATGGGCCTCACGGAGGAGTACGCCCAAGCCAAATCCGAGGTGCTGTCCAAGTTCAACCCGACCTTCAATGACGAGGTCAGCGTCTTTGAGTCGACGATCCGCGTTGTCGCCGGCCTCCTGAGCGCCTACGAGCTTGACGGGGATGTCAAGCTGCTGAATGCAGCCAAGTGGATGGCCGACCGTCTGCTGCCGGCCTTTGAGACCCCCACAGGCATACCCCTGAACCGAGTCAACCTGAAGACGTAAGTCTATGTGTTTCTGCAAGTCGTGTCGTTGTTGCTTCTGTGACGTTTGGTCGGATCGGATCGGATCGGATCGGATCGGATCGGGTCGGGCTGCTTTCGACTCCTTGGCTCGATGACAGCAGCGGCTGCTTCCTTTTGCTGATGACTCCCGATTATTGCGTCCGCACTCTCGGCTTCATAACCCATACATCCTCGCCACCGTTGCATTGGACTCTAGCGGCGTCGCGTGGGACAACGAGTTCTTTGACCGATCCGCTGGACTCGCTGAGGCCGGAACCCTCAGCCTGGAGCTGCAGTATCTCTCGGACGTGACCGGAGACCCAAAGTATGCCGACCGGGTAAAGTGTCGCCCCGCCCGCTTCGTCCATTCGGCAGGCACGCCGTGTTGCTTTCAACTTTGGGGGCAGTCATTTGCGGGTCGTTTGCGGGTCTATCGCACATTGGAAAAATCATCGTCCTGCCAGCAGGCTGCTGGCATATCCCGGCCTGCGTATGCGTCCTTCGATATCCCAGATCTCCGCTGCAACATCGATGGCGCTTCAGGCAGCTCACGCGCCGCTCTCGTCGATCACAGGCGCTCTTTGCCATGGAACAGATATTCGCTGCCAAGCGAAGGTTGCCGCACCTTTATCCCAGCGTTGTCAGCGCAAAGTTCCTGAGTTTCGAGAACGGTAGGCGACCCCTGTCTGTTCCGAGCCATTCAAGCATGGCTTGACAGTATCCTATGCGATTCGCCGTATTGCCGGCCTTCACGGTGCATATCTCCTTTGATAACACAATGCTGCGCGCTCAACTAGAGAACTACGGGATCGGTGCCGGCCTGGATTCGTTTTATGAGTATCTTCTCAAGATGTGGATTGCCACGGGCGACCCAGGATACTGGGCGCGATACGAAGGCGCCATCACGACGATCAAGAAGATGATTGTTGCCGTCTCGGACGATGGCCAGAATGTCTATATTCCAGATTTTTTCCGCAATATCGACGTCGAGTCGCTGAGCGACACGGACCCCAGCGCCTACATAAAGTCGTTGGGATTCCACCATCTGGTAGGCTGCTGCTGTTACTGCTGCTCTAATGGTATCGGAGGCTGTTGGACGAGAGTGTCGCTGCGTTCGAGGCCTTGGCTGTGTCATTTGCATACGCAGCTTGGGTCTTCCAGTACACCAGCTGCGGTCTCGGCGGCAGCAACAGTGACATATGCTTGTGGATGAGGCTGGCTGGTCTTTTTGCCGGGATCCCGTTCCTGTGGCCAGCACCCCGGTCTTCTTGGTCGATCGATTGGTTGCATAGCAGAAGGGGGCATTTCTTTGGCACGGGCGACACACGGATTGGCGGCGTATGTGCGGCTGACGCAACTTCCTGGCGATCAGACATGCTTCTCTGGCGGCATGCTTGGTTTGGGCTCGATCCTCAACCGTCGCGGTCGATGGCCCGAGAATCTGAACATGGGCAAGCGTATCACAGAGACTTGCTATCGCTCGTATCAAAAGGCGTCGTCGGGCCTCGGTCCCGAGGTTGTCGACGGCAACGATCTGAGTGCTGTCTCACCATCGTACCTCCAGAGGTAAGAGATGGTGGTGCCATTTGGTGTCGAGTTGAGCAGATGCTGGAAAGACCATGGGATGTCTTGTTGTTCGCCACCGACTCTGGTGCAGCGAGCCTCTCGCTGACCTTTCCTCTCTCGGTTGCAGACCCGAGACAGTCGAATCCATCTTCTACATGTGGAGACTGACGCATGATCCCGTATATCGCGAGTGGGGCTGGGATATTGCGCAGGTACGTTCCTAAAGTACCCCCCCCCGCATCGTCGACATGCAGCCGATCCAGATCCCTGTTTGCGTGGCCAGCTTGTCTCACCAGCTGCTTATGGTCGCCATAGAATATCGAGAAGTACCTCAAAACAGAGAACGGATACGCATCTCTGGGCAACGTCAACAGCGTCGTCATCGGCAGCAACGGCATCGTCCACCCACCCACCCTTATCGACCGCCAAGAGTCGTTCCTGATAGCCGAGACGCTCAAGTATCTCTATCTTCTCTTCACCGACGACGACGTCGTACCTCTCGAAAAGTATGTCTTCAATACCGAGGGCCATCCGCTCTCCATCCGTGGACATGGAAAGCGCAAGGACCCTACTCTCTTTGTGCCGCTGCACGGACATGCCCTGTTTCCGGGCTGGCAGCGCGGCCGAGTCCCTGGCACGATCGCCAACACCGACCTGGCCCTGGCCAAGAAGCGGGAGCAGCTCCGCAAGGAGATTATGGAGAAGCTGATCGATCGACGCATGCGACAGATGGAGGAGAATCGCAAGAACATTGACTACGCGCCGCTCTATGGCTCGCTGGGTCAGAAGCATTTAGCGGGCAAGCCCGAAGCCATGGACAGCAGCAACGGCGCACAGCTGCAGATCAGCAGACCGCCCGGAGACTCGGGCGAGGTGATCATGGAGCTCCGAAATGTGTCGGTGCGGATTCCGCGCAAGCGGCCGCAGGGCTGGATCGGCCCGTTTTTCCCATCGATATACGATCCCGTGGGCTGGAAGCTGGAAGAGCAGCTCGTTGATGTGACCAACGAGCGCCGCCGTCAGCGCGCAAAGCTGAATCAGTCCGACATCCTTCTCAAAGGCGGCCCGATCAATCTGGATGCTCGGCCCAGGGCCACCGCCACGCCAACAAGCACCCCGGCCCCGCTGATACAGCTGGAAGACGGCGAGAGTCGACCAGAAAACGCCTATATCCTGGACAGCAGCCAACCGAGCGACTCTGCCGCACAAGCCAACAGCGGGTTTTACAAGCCAATGGCCTCAGGCGACAGCAACCTTGGCGGTCCTGTACAAGTCGGCGACAAGCCAAATGACTATGCTGTTCCGCTGGGCAGTCTTCCCGCAGCCTCAGGTGTCGAGAGCAGTCGCAGACCAAGCGACGATCTGAATGCTCAGCGAGACGGCCTGATTGCTCAGAATGACGGCCCGGTTGCTCAGAATGACGATCAAGGCGACGAGCCGGTGGGATATGCAGAGGACACGGCAGAGGACATGGCGGAGGACATGGCAGACGGCGGCGGTGCTCTCCTGGCGCACGACGATCCCGACGAGGTGCAGACCGTCCCCGAAGACGAAATCGACGACTCTTATCGCGAGATTGAGGCCTCTGATTTCAAGCAGTACCAAAACGACATGGGCGAGCGACAGAGCGAGAATCTGTAGCCCTCGGTGTCAGCGATTCTGCTGCTGCTGCTTTTGGTTTGGGTTATGCCAATGATGTTGCCGATGATGTTTCTGCTGCTTCTGCTGCTTCTGCTGCTTCTGCTGCTGCCCTTCTCCTTTGAACTGCGTCCACCCCGAGCCGCTCTGGCGCTGTGGCATTCCGCTGAGACAGCGCATTTGCAGCCCAGCCGGAGCATCGCCCCTTTGGAGGCAGAGATGGCCCTGTCCGTGGCGTATTGTGGCGCCGGGCAACCAATATACAGCCGGTGCTGGCACAAACAGGACAGTGTCCATCTGCGTCCTTTCGCGATTCATGGCTGTGTTGGGAGGAGCGCAGTGTTGAGATTCGATATGCGTTGGACACCTCTGGACAACTCCAAACAGAATTGGTTTCTCGACGGCAACATCGTCGGATCGAGCGGGTCGCCTTGTTTCATTATCGCATGCAGTGCATCGGCGCAGACAGCCGCCGTTGAACAGATGCTCAAAGCACAGCCCCGCGTGGTCGGCTGATCCAGGCCTGCCCTGCCCCATGCTGCCATGACCGACAGCCAGCGTCTCATTGCCCCCCTCCTGTCGCCGCCAGCAGGATCCGATTTGCGCCGCATGGCGCCCGGGGACAACATATACCTGGTCCAGACCCTGGCTTCTCCCGCCGCCCGTTCCCGCTGTCTTTTCCCGCCAAACCCTCTTTCCGTCTTGGTGTCGGCTCGTCCGAGCTTAACTCTGCTCGAACCCACGGCACACGCCCTTCCTCCAGCCCGGTGCCCTCGGACTTGCTTCGGGGCCTTTGCTTGCGCTGTCTCGGCGCTCTTGGTCTCCATCGACGTTGGGGCCATCTGTCCGCACCCGCATTGCCTTTGGTGGCATCCATCCATATCTTTGTTGCTCTCCCGCCCTCGTCTAGCACTGCCTTCTCGCCTTTCTGCTCCAGCGCTGCTCCAGCATTGCTCCCGATACACTCTGGTATCACTGTTTTGGCTGGCACCGATATTTCAGTCTTGGTTGGCTGCCTCATCCCAGCTCCTTGAATTCCAATGGCCGATCCCATTCTCATCCTCGACCTCGTCGTCGAGCATGCCCGGGTCGATACCCTCACGCTCTCCAGGCTCGCCCGACTCGCCCGCTTTTACCGGCTCTGGTTTGGGCCTCGGCACCCCGGCTGGAAAGCTGGCCTTGCCCTTTTCCTGGGAATCCCAGAGAGCGCTGTCTTGCCTCGCGGCCTCGACTACCGAGCCATTGCCCTCGGCGGATGCATCTTCTTCAGCCGCACCAGCGAGCAAATCGATCCACTCGAAGATGCATTCTGGTCGTTTGCCTCGTCCGAGCCGGCCCTCTACTACGCCGCCATGGACCTCTGCGCTCTCCACCACCACCGCCTGTTCGAGCGATGGTATCAGAGCCAGGCCGGGTGGGCCTCCCGGGTCGGCATCCAGCTCAAGGAAAAGCTCAACCACTCGGCCGTCTCGGGAGTGCGCCAGCTGCATCTCGGCGGCATTGTCGGCCGCAACGTCCCCGACTCGATCGGCAACTTTGTCTCCATCACCGAGCTGGGCCTGCATGGCGATATCGATGTAATCCCTCCGACCATCGGCGGCCTGCGGTGCCTGACCCGTCTGCGCATCATTGGCACCCGGATCACCACCCTGCCTGGCTCAATCGGATTCCTGGGCGCCTTGACCGATCTCCGCCTCTCCAACAATCTCATCACCCATCTCCCGGACTCGCTCGCCAGCCTCAGCCGTCTCGAAATTCTGTACCTCAACTCCAATCCGCTTGGCGACTTTCCTCGTGCAGTCTTGGCTCTCAGGCAGCGGCTCCGCATCCTCAATCTCTCGTCGACCCAGCTGGCTCGCATCCCCGTCGCCATCGGCTCCCTCGCTGCCCTCAAGGAGCTCTATCTCTCCGGCAATCCTTTGCTCGGGGCCCTGCCCGAGTCCCTCGCCGACCTGGATGCCCTCGATCTGCTGGAGCTGTCCGGCAACTCGCTGGTGCACATGACACCGCGCGTGTTTGCCATGAGCTGCAAGACGGTCAAGCTTGCGCGCAACCGGCTCATGGCCATCTCGTTCTGTCCCGACGATGCGGCCGCATCTGCGTCTTCCTCGGCATCAGCCTCCGCCTTGACATCCGCATCAGTGTCAGCATCAGCATCAGCATCAACCACTGCTGTTTCCCCGACCCCAGTCCCGCCGTCGGGTCGCTCCTCGCGCATCTCCTTCGTCTCGGTTGCCACCCGTCCCCTCTCCCTCTGGCTCGACCGCAGCCGGGTCAGCCTGGCCGAATCCCTGGACCACAGCAACGACCGGACCTGGCTATCGCCCCGGCGGTCCGAGAGCTTCATCTGGACCGAGTCTCCATCTGCGCCGCCTGCTCGCCTCAATTGGCGACTCAAGATCCTGGATCTGAGTCACAACAGCCTCGCCTCCATCCCAGCCTCCATCGCTGCTCTGGCGGCCCTTGAGCATCTCATCCTCTCTAACAATCGCCTCGGCCAGCTGCCGGGCGAGCTCAGCCAGCTCAGTCGACTGCACACCTTGGATGTCTCCCACAACCAAATAGAGCTCCTGCCTCCGTCCATCGGTCGGCTGGAACGACTCCATACCTTCGACGCCTCGCACAACAGCATGCGTGCTCTCCCAGAGTCTATCGCCGCTCTGCTCAGTTTGCATCGTCTACTTCTGCATGGCAATCCAGACCTCCAGGAATATGGACCCCTCACCAAGCTTGCTCGGTCCAACCCGTCGCTGGTCATCACCCTGGGCGAGCAGACCACTCCCGCTGGCATCAAGGATGTCCTCGGCTCTATTGGATGCGCTCGGTCAAGGCTGCGGAGGGCCCTGCACCGATTCATGTGCATCCCGATCTGAAGAAGCGTTACCGCCGCCTCTGCTTGCATGCTCGGCCAGCTGCCTCAGCCACATCTCCCCTTCTTTGTATCATAGCCAAAGCGCAGGGCCTGCGTATACGAAACAATCACCTAGACTATCAAGGAGGACAGACATTCTGATCGCCAGTCACACACAAAAGCCCGCCTCACTGCACACATCTCGCTCTGTTCCCGTCCGACAGCGCCCGTCCCATTCCCACATCTGTTGTCATCAATCGCGAAGCCGGGTAATCAGTGGTGCCAGAAGCACAATCCTCGCACATATTATCGGCAAATATTGGGGGTTTTTCTTTGCCTCGGGCATTCGTTTGTGATTGTCCATATTCACTGGACATAATGATACACTGTGCCGTCATAGAACCGGCGATAACCCGACGCTGCATCGGTTGTGTCGGTCGTATTCTGTTACAGCGCGGATGGGGGGGGGAGCTGAGGACGTCGAGAATTTGCCAGACAGGAGCAGCTTCACCCAGGATTGAAACACGCATGTATTGCGTCTCGTTGTGAGGGCTTGGTAGTAAGCAGACATTTCATCTTTGCGCTTGGACACACGGATGAAGCTCCTCCGCATGTTCACGGCTCAGCGAGAACGTGTTCCGCCAAATCCAGAGGCCATCCGTGAAGAAGACGCTACCGGGCGCGATGAGCCAGATGATCTCGGTCGGTACGAACTGCCCGAGGCTCGGGGCGACGGTTCAGGCGAGTACTCTTCTCTGGGCGGCCTGGTCGATCGAGCACTTGGACGGACCAGGTTGGAAAGAAGGGTACCAGCCAGGAGCCCCTCAGTGAAACCAAATCGTGGGAAGGACGAGGACGACGAGGAGGGAGGAGGCGGTGGGTTGCCTTGGGTAGTTCGATCGTAAATTGGGTCAGGGTAATGCTTGCATGTGGAAGCATGAGGGAGGTCGCTCGGACTCTGCTGCGGAGGCTCGCCGTGCAAATACTTACTGCCGGTTCCAGGGCCGCCGCCACCGAATCCAGGGCCGCCGCCGCCGAATCCAGGACCACCACCGCCGAATCCGCCGGGCCACCGGAAGCCTCGGCCGTTGCTGCAGCGAGTTGGTTGAATGGCAACCAGATGCGGTTAACAACAAAATGCAGCTGTATTCAGTCCCATCCAACATCCAAAGCTGCCCAGCAACAGAGTCATTCATGCTGCTACCAACCCGCGGTTGCCATTCCGCTGGGGCATGATCCAGCTCTGGCTCAAGACGTAGAGAACCGCCAGGATCCCCGCCAGCCAAAACAGCTTGGAGGTCCAGCTGTCAGAGGAGCGTTGATCTGCAGGCCAGCGAATTGTCATTGATGGGCCGTGGTGAGTATGGCGCTCTTGGGCGCTGCGTTGCCTTGCCATCCCAATCGGCTGTCGATTGTCGCTGCTCAGGCGCCAGCTCCCATTTCGCCGTATTTCCTCGCCACCCTGCATCCTGGAATCCAAAACGATGCACGAAACGCTGTTTGGGTGCCAAAGGAGGATTGCTCGAGAGGATGCGTATCCATGATAGCCCACTACAGAGTCGGCGCATCACCAACCGACGCACACACTTACAGTCGTCATGGTGGCTGTAGCGATGCCAGGAGGATTTGCGGCCCAGCCAGCCATCCCACCAACTGTTTCTGCCGTACCGCCGTTGAGGCTGTTGGTGCTGGTAGGGCTGCTGGTAGTGCCGGGCTTTCTGAGACTGCTCTCGATCGAACCACTTTTGAGTCCGTATGAGGGTGTCTGAGCAGAGAGGAGTGTGCGTTAGGGAGCAAGGAAAGGAGAGGGCCGGCCAAAGGGGCTCCAGCATTGGCTCGCAGCCGGCAACAGCAAGAGTACAGATGGAGGCGAGCCCATTCCTCGCAGAGTCCAGAGAGCAAATCCGGCTTACATTCAACTCCACAAGAGCCCACAAGGACATTGTCGTCGCCTTTGTAGCGGTATCCCTCGCAGGTAACCGTCGTTTCTCCAAACCGATAGAGATCCTCGAGCTCGGCACGGCACTCCCACTGGACTTGCCTGCCCCCAGTGACAGCAGCAGAAACAAAATCACCGTGAAGATAATAAATAAATATGAAAAACCATAAAGCTACTTTATGAACGACGAATGCGCGGTCAAGCCATGGCATACATTGCGGGACAGTGGAGGGAACTCGTACCGGCCGTCCCATCCGCGGTTGTAGCATTGGATCACAGGAATGACAACGTCTCTGCAGGCATCGCCGCCGATGCACTCCATCTGGGGCACGGGCTGGACCCGGCGGGCCGCCGTCTTGTGGCCGTGGTAGAGGGTCAGCGTTTCAATGTCTCGGATGTGAATCTTATCCGAGGCAGCCGCGCAGAGTGAAGCGGCCAGGAGACATATCCAGAGGGCCATCAGCGGCCGATACGACGGCTGGGTTGGACGCATGGCCGGGCGATTGTGTTGGCCGGTGCGGTTGGAGACGGAAAGCGCAAGGAGAGTGAGCAGAGGACAGCGCAGAGGACTGCCAGCAGGGGGGCAGATACCCAGCTTTTGAGGCCGCGAACCGAACCGAACGGCAGCGCCAAGACCGGGACGTGGAGGGAATCGTGACGCTCGCGCAGCCAATCGCGGCGCAGGCCGGATCAAAACGCAAACTGGTTGCAGATCCGCCAGCGAACAGCCCATGCTCCTCTCGCTTGCTCTGTCAGATCTCAAATCCGGCCGCACCAGCCTCGCATCGCCATGGCCTCGACAGCGCTTGCGCAAGCCCTCAGGCATCTCCGCCCCGCACTGGCACGGCCGCTCTCGACGGCCAAGACCGGCCCCACGCACAGCCCGCTGCCGCCCAAGATCGATCTCGATGGATCATCCAAGCCCATCGCACAGCCATCGCAACCAGTCCAGCCATCACAACCGATCCAGCCGACACTCCCTCCGTCTTTGAATGGAGAGGACAGTGCCGGGCCTGTGTCCGACCCATCGCTCGAGCAGAGCGGCAAGAAGCCCGCATCGCTGTTCCGGTCGCTGCAGAAGAAAATGGAGCAGGAGATCCAGAAGATGGAGCAGGACGTGCAGGACAAAATCCAGAACCCAAAGCAAGAGTAGGCACTCGTGGATCTGTGGGCTCATGGTGTCGCAGCACCGCATGCTATGCAGTGAAAATGTTGCACTGTCAGCGCACCAACGCCTTATTTCTTGCGCGAAACCAGCGACGGTTACCTGGCTCGGATGCAGGCAAAGATCAAGGCCGAGCGAGAAAGTTTGGAGAAATCTGCAGCCGAAAAGAAGTAAGGCCTCTCTGAATGGAGGAGCAGTCGCAGCCTTCGCAGCGCACAAAACCGAGCATGTGCCTCGTCCAAAGGCTTGGCTGAGGATGGGGAGCCTGTCCTCATTTTGCGCGAATGCACATTGGAAACATGTCCCGCATGCTTACTGCCTCTGTATCTGCCGGTTGCCAAACAGGGATCCTTCCAAGGTGCAGGACGGCAAGGTGCAAGCCTCGCCGAAGCGGGCCGTCGACACCAAGCTGAAGCGTCGCATCGACGAGTATCTGGATCTCGAAACCAACCTGAAAGAGCGAGAGATCCTGTAAGCCCATGAATCGCATTTCTGGTTCAACGGGGCATCCAAACGATCAGTCCGACGCCTTCACTGCCGTGTCCAGTGCCAGCAAATCGCCCATGGAGCGGGAGGAGGCAAGTACGGCTTCTTATCGTCCTGTCATCGATCGACAGCCTCAAGAAAGCCTTTCGCGAAGGCTACTGGGACGACGCAAAGGGTAAGCTCCGTAGCATTGCTGCAGAGGTTCAGAGCGAGCGGATGTTGGATTGCATGAAACATGTCTAACCGACTCTCCCGCTCGCGACCGACAGAAATTGCCAAGAAAGGCGTCAAGCTGTGGGAAGCCCCAAAGAAGATGACGCCCAGCCATGTATGAGCAGCCTCGTACTCGTTGGCCGCTGACGGGTGGTGTATACAGCGTCGCTGGGTGAGAAGTGGAGCTCAACACGGCCTGCCGGCTGACCATCTGTCCATGTTAGCTTGCCCCTCGGTTCTTTGATGTGACAGCCAAGACCCTGGCCGGAAACACGACCAGTATCTACGAGCTCGTTCCCAAGGCGTCGGCCACCCTGGTTACCTTTGTCAATTCCGGCATTGCCTCGGTAAGCCGCGGAGAGTCTGTCACAGGAGATCTCGATCAGCTATGCTGCCCTGATATTCCCTTCTATAGCCGTCGCATTCCAACGATGCTCGTGGAGCGAGTATTCGAGTCCACCGCCAATCGGGAAGGAGCCTGCCCCATCAGCCGGTGTCTGCCCAAGATAGCGACGCTGCCTACTACTCACAAACCACACACGGACTTGCTCTTCAGGAACATATCGATACATACATCGCCCCGTTCGTGAAAGAATTCGGGGGAAACGACAAAGTGCAGATTGTGCAGGTAGGGCGGGACATGGCGAGCGCACGGCGGCCCTCAACGAGGCCAAACCAATGGCGAATAGTGCTGGCGCTCGAGCACAGGACATAGGGTGGACGAAGTAAACGGCGGTGATTTTGGATATCGCTGTGCAACGAACGCGACACCAATAACATTAAAATCGAATCGGAATCGGGATCCTCGACTCAACCAGATTCACGCCGAGGACAACTGGGCAAAGTCGGTGGCCATGCAGCTGTTCCTGCCATCGCTTCGTCGCAGACTAGTCAAGGAGCAGTGGGTAAGGTCCTGCAATGGAGATTCGACGACCTGGACAGCACGATCGTTTGGGCTGTGCAGCGAAGGGTTGCTTGTGCTGGACGAGCGAGTGCTGGCGCTTGCCCAACTCACAGGCGCGGTATCGTTCCAGGGCAAATATCTCCTTTGCTACAAGGACATTTCAGACGATCGACGAAAGATCGGAATCAGCAATCGTCTGCTTGGCTGGGTGCATTTGGTGGATTCCCAGTGCAAGCTTCGGTGGCAAGCGCACGGCCCCGCCACCGCCGACGAGACCGAGACTCTCATCGAAAGCACCAAGAAGCTGCTCGAACGGGCCGAGCGGGAGTGAGGAAGCCGGGATGCTGTCGCGCCTGAGAAGGGTATGGCGGTACACTTTACACATAGCAAATGTGACACATTCCCTATCCCATTTGTCAGCGTAGTGCGTGATGGCATGCGTCTAACTATGCCATGAGAAATAGAACAGATCACTTTGGCAGTCTCCGAGTGCACACCACCGGTCGCAGTGCAGCGATGCGGAAATCGAGGGTGCTGTTCTTGGCCATGATTGCGATGAGTGGGTGGGTGTATTCAAGTCACAGAAAAAAATCCTGTCATGGCTCAAAACGGGGCGTCCCGTTTCATTTTGGAAACGCGGTAATAGAATCGCTCGGGATAGCAAAGAACCCCTTGTCCTGTTTGTATGGATTGGGTGGTGATGACTGTGTGTATTCAGGATCCAGAATGTGTGGCCATCGACCTCAAACACAGGTCGTTCCGGCTCATTCCCATCATCATACATGCAGGCAGTGCCCCACAGAAAGCGAGCCTGATCGCCCGCGCCGCCAGTGGCTGGTGTGTTTGGTCAACGGATTTTCCACATCGGCTTTGGCTGCGGTTGGGCCGGAGGTAAAAGGAGGGGGGTGATGGAAGGAGTACAATTCGCTACGAGTAACAAGAATCCAATGGAAAAACAGGAAGCGGAGATTGGGCAAAGGCATGCGGCTTGAGGCGCCAAGACCATCCCTTGAACACGAGGATCAGGGCACAGCCGGTGGTGCATGCCGCGCATATACTGCGCCCCGCCGGTGCATTTACTCGTCCATCTTGGGGGATGTCTGGGCGCCGTTATCCTCCACCGAGCGCTCGCGACGATCATCACGGTCGAGGCGGTCCTCACGGTCACGGCGATCGTCTTTTCGGTCGCGGTCCTCCGGCTTTCGGCGAGACGGGCTACGTGATCGCGAGCGAGAGCGGCTGCGATCACGTCGTGGAGAACGGCTACGGGAGCGGCTGCGAGAGCGGCTTCGGGAACGACCGTGGTTGCGGCGTCGAGGGCCGCGACCGTCGTCCTGTGCATCAGGAAACGTGAAGAAGGTATTCAGTCACCCGTGATCGAGGCTTAGTCTGGATGAGAAGCCGGATCGGGCGGCCCCATCGATCTCAAAGCTGGAGAGCCACATACCTCGCGGAGATAGATGCGCTTGCCTTTCAGCTCAGTATCATCAAGCTTGCGGATGGCGTTCTTCATGTCATCAAAGGAGGAGAATTCGACAACGCTAATGCACACAGGGAAGGTTGGATCAGGCTGGTGAGATGGTTGTTCTGTGTCGTGAGCTAACCCTGTGAGGCACGACAGAGCCATCGATCTGGGCCGTTGTGACTTGCTCAGGGCATGCCGGCGACCGTCTTGATCAAGGGGCGTCGAACAGTGCGTCATCATCGTCCTGCTTGTTACTGTATCGGCCCTTACCCTTCGCCTTGCCGCTCTTTGTGAGCATCCGCAAAGGTGACCTCGCCAGCCTTGCGCATGTAGTCTTTCAGATCCTTTTGGTTGATGTTGCAGCCATCCAGATGGAGGCAATAGCGTAACCGTAATCGATTGGGGACGTTTGACAGCCCGTGGTTGTAGTAGTAAAGGGAAAAACAGGGTATAGCGCGAGCCAAACAAAAATACGGCCACACAGGATCATCATGGATTGAAGTGTACGGGATTCGGATGGTCATTGGCGATTGTGGTTTGCGATTTGCGATTTGCGGTTTGCGATTGTGATTTGTTGCCCAGTCGTGTTGGAATAGAGAGAGGAAGAGTTCAGCATTCGATTACAGCCAGGATGGGGATCTTCGAAAAGTAAACGGTCACCCGCCAAAGGGCTGAAGCGTCTGGTCCGGTCTGGGCTGATCCGTGATAGGAGCTACGTGTCTCCGAGAGTGGCCCGAGAGAATTCCGACAAGCCACCACCGATACCGCAGATACTAGATCGAGCAGGTTGCATTTCAATCTCCAAGGCGACGCCTCGACCACGACCACGAGCCAGAAAGGGAGGGGCTTGTTCAACAGAATCCCAGCGATCCAGATCGACCGGCCAGCCAGCAGAGATGATATCGTTGCCGCGTTGTCAAGAGCGGATCCGACTGCAGGCCAAGAGGGCGAAACCGGGACGACGCCAAAGGAAACACCAGGGGCACCAAGAGACGAAACCGAGACCACCAGGGAGGACATCGGCGACCGCGAGGGAGGAGGTAGCGAGCAGGCCACGGTATCTTTGGTCCATCGCGCACAGGGCTCCAGTCCAGCGGCAGCGTCGGGTGGCCGGGTTGTTTTGGCTTGGTGGCAAAGCACCGCATGTGCATGGAGGCCAGGAGGAAGCCCGTCCAGGTTGTGGGATGATCCTCAGCCGTAGGAACCCGCGACGAGGAAGGAGGTCGCACGCAAGAGGCTCGGATAAAAGATAGGCGGAGGCGTTGCCTGTCGGCTCATTACCTGCCAGCTCACGCTTGAGGAGAGATTCTCGATCACAACGCGGTAGTTGGTGCGCTGCATGGGGCCGAACCTATGAACAAACAGTTGTATCAGCAAAGCGTCCTGCAGCGGCATCACAGACCCAGCTACCCCACCCTCTGCAGTGCATACCGATCGTGGGCGCGACGGCGCTCGCCTTTGGCGAGCTCGCAGATGATCCTGGAGGGCCAGCGTCCATGTGTTGCACGAGATCCAGGCGATACCGGACGGTTGGGAGTGGGGACAGTCGTAAACAGGGATATTAGGCCACCGATGGAGTCGGAAGCATTGTCAACATGATATAATCCTTGCGTCAGTCGCATAACAGGGGGGGGGCACTGACTTGTCGTCAAAAAAGGCGCTGTTGTGGAGCTCTCTCACGGCATCGCGGGCATCTCGGTGGTCACGGAATTCCTGTGGGATATGGCCGAGACGATGTCGTGGTAAGCGACTGGATGCTGCTGCACCGACCTGCGGCTTGGCTGTGTTGGAGACAAGCAGGCAGGCGTGGCCGATCTCGCAGCGATCGATCACATGGCGAGCGAGCAGCCATGCCTATGGGAAGAAGCCAGGACGACAGAAGCGAGCAACCTACAACAAAGCCAAAACCGTTCTTGAGGGTGATCTCGCGGATCTCGCCATACTGCCTAAAGAGCTTGTCGACGTCTTTCTCTCTGGCTTCTCTCGAGAGTCGGCCAACATAGACGCGGGTGGAGGAGTCGGACATGGCGGGGCGGGCGGATGCGGGGGTGATGAAGATCGAATGGAGCAAGAGGGTGCAGCAGGCCAGAGCACCAAACAAAAGCAGCTGACACCGAGGCGGGGGCCGAGAACGCACCGAGAGTGCACCGAGAGCGCACCGAGAGCGCACCGAGACGAGGGCAGTATGAAATTCATTCGCGTCACGTGCGGGGCTCGCCACAAGAACACAGCCGAGATCGGGGGCGAGATCGAGGACGAGATCGAGGACGAGCGAGCAGCCCACACCAACATTCGACACAGCGCCACGAGGCATGGGCCGGTATTATGGTTATCGGTCATGGTGAATGCCACGCAGCCCCAGATTTGGGAGGGAGGGGCTGTCTCTCAGCATTCTACGGCGAAACCCTGCCATGCACCCGTCGAGATATCGGCTCGCGAGACCGCGGACCGAGGAACATGGCCGTCACCTCGGTTCCTGACCAGCAGATCCTCCTGATCAGGCCGACACCCACAAGCAATCTGACAGGCATTCGCAGGACGCCAAGCCGGCCAAGTCCAGCAGCGCTCTGCCCAGCAACACCACTCTGCCTTCCCAGAAGTCTGCGAGCCCGAATGCACATCCGCCTGCCTCGTGCCGTGCAGTCGCCCGAGGAGTATCTCGATCGGACTCTGGCGCTGTTGCACCAGCATCGCTGGCTGACGCAGCTCCACTTCCTCGACTACTTCATCGCCAATTACTACGACACCACTTGGCCAGACGGCTGGAAGGACTCGATACTGGGGCCGTATCAGGCCAAGGATGCCCCTGTGCAAGATATGGCCCTGGCCGACACCGCGCTGCTCGCTGATCTGCTGCTCATGGCCAAGGACGGGACTGTCAAGGTGTGGTTCTGGCTGTCACCATCATGCGGTTGCATACTCGGTGATCCGCATGTCCCTTGCGGTGATTCACATGTCCATAGCGATGATCCACATGCCCCTTGTCGTCGACATATCGATATCATTTGCCGTCTCTGCATCAGCATTTCATGCCCCCCCCCCAACTCGTCGTTGCATATGCTCCGGCGGCTCCTCGAATTCGAGTGACTGGTTGACCAATTCGGCGTTTGTGTCTCAGGACGAGTGGCCAGAGTCCTTTAAGCACTTTGTGAAGCAGGCCCTGGAGCTCCGTCTGCCGAGGAACTTTGACGAACATGACTATGGTACCGCAGACCTGATGCGTCCGATATGCAGCAGCCACAAGACGCAGATTCCAATGAAGATGAAGAAGAAGCACGAGGTTTGTTCTCAAGCAGGATACACAGCGACCAGATTCTGGAAGAACGCTGTGGCTGACCGCACAGCGCTGATGGTGCGAGGAAGAGCTGATCCATCCCCGATCAAGTGCTTACAGCTCATTCGGAAGCCACTCTTGACTCTCTCCGTCACACTTGTTGCGGAGGCAACTCTCAGGTCGATCGTCTGACAAACCTGGTGCGAGATAAAGTTGATGCCCATCAGGCATCTCTGGCCATGGACATTGGCGCTGGGCAGGTAGGCGAGATCCGCTCCAAACCCGGGATGGTCCTTGGTTCTTGGGACATATTGGGCCCCATGGACGCCACTCTTTGGATGCCGAGCCCCAGAGAATCGCATCGAAGCTCACCCACCCTCGCGTCGACACAGGGATATCTTACATACATGCTTGCCATTTCGCAAGTTCCCATGGTCGCTGTCGACTCTGACAGCCACCAAACCTGCGGATCCAAGGCACGGCTCCTGAAGAACTCTCCCGAGATCGGGGACAAGGTGCTCCACCTGACTCAGAAGCTTGACACGGACTCTCTCGTTGGCTTGGTGGATCGGATCGACAGGGGTGCTGTGCCAGAGGTCGACAAGATGATCAGCAGCAACACATCCAGATCGTCCTATGTCGTGACGGGCTTACATGCCTGCGGCGACTTATCCAGCGCGATGGTTGAGTCCTTCATCCGAGACCAGCGAATCCGCGCTCTGGTCGGGGTCGGTTGCTGCTACAATCTCTTGACTGAAGGAGACCTGTCCCATCCAAATTGCATATTCGGTAGGCCATCTGTTGGATGTCGGCGGCCTCGTGTGGGCGGACTGCTGATGCTGGCCATACCGGGATGCACCCGGACTTGGCGATGCCCGTGCGATATGCTGACGCTTGCGAGCATTTGCGACTCGGGCAGGCTTTCCCCTCAGCTCCAAGGTCAAGTCGTGGTTCGAGGAACATGACTTTGGATTTGGGCCCCGCACTCGCGGTCTGGCCTGTCAAGTATCGATCGAGGCCGTATCGCTTACCCAGCTTCGCCACATGCTCGAAGGAACTTACTACCGCAGCCTGCTTAACTATGTCTTCTCGGATCTCAAATTGGACGGCCCGCGCACCGACGAAGGACATTTGCGGATCAAGCGGCTGCCACACGAGGCGTATGACTCCTTCGTACTCTATGCCCAGCATGCCCTGTCCAAGGTAGGCATGTCTGGAGCTGTTGACGAAGCCACCCTGCGACGCTACGACGAACAGAACCGCCATATGCTCCAAGCCATGCAGCTCATTTACATGACGCGGGCGCTTCTCGGGCCCATCATCGAAAACGTCATCTTGGTCGATCGAGCATTGCGGCTACAAGAGTCTGCTTCCGCCGCCGGCACCGACGTCGAAGTTGCTCTTCTCAACTTGTTTGATGCCGAATCAAGCCCTCGGAACATGGTCCTGGTTGCTGAGAAACCACGACTGTGTCGAGAAAGTACCGACGCCGAGCTCCAGTCAGCGTGATGGATTTGTCTGTCGGGTTGATGAGGGGCTTGACTCGACCACCAGCGGTGCGGACCTGGTGAATGCTACAACACGAGCGTCCGAACAGATCCCACCAGAGACTGCTGGTCTTTGCAATTGGCATGGCAGTGTCTGCCTGCCTGTCCGAACAATATCCCCGCCAAAGCAACGTGATGCATTCGGGCAGAGCGATATGGCTTGATGGGGGAGGAGCGAGCCGGTGGACCTCGTCCATGTGTTTCCCGGCCACACCCATGCGCCCTCATGGCCAGGAACCCATGTCCCGGCATCCTGGCCGTGTCCTCCGTCTGGACGCTCTCGCCACGCCTCGCCACGCTCTCGCCGCACCTCGCGCCCTCGCCCGCGTTGCCACGTGAACGGCGTCACCGGGCCAACGCATTTTTCATCCAGCTCCGGCTCCAGCCCGAACCAAGCTTCCTCTCTCTGGCATCCCTGGCCGCCCGACCTCCCCCTCCAACGACAAAACGTCCGAGCGAATCTTCACCGCAACCCGAGCTGCCGAGCGGGTCTTCGAAAACAGGCGTCCCCGCGACTTCATCTGTCTCCTCCCTCTCGGCCATCTGCTTGCTGGCACGGCCCTGGGGCTGTTTGTACTTGTGCTCTGTGATCGTTTCGAGATTTGGACTTTCCGGCTCCCGGCCGAAGCTTTGCAGCGACAACCGCTTGCCATCGGCTCGTTGCTCTTCAGCCCATCTGTTCTCTGGCTCCCCATATCCGTCGGCACGTTTTTTCTCATCCGCTCTCTCCTGTTTCGGCAGCCACGACCACTTGGTAAGCCACTGGCATCCACCGCTTCGATCCAGGCCGTCTGCGTCTCGATCGCCTTGCTCATCATATGCCCTCTCTTCTTCTGGGTCACGAATTAGTCCAAATCGAACCCCCCATCCTTCGCCCTCCACGTCTAGCTGTCACCATGACGGACCAGGACCTCGATGCCACTCGCCTCCCTCCCTTGGCTCTCAACGCCGAGGGAGCATCCGCCTTCGACCCATATATCTTTGCCCTGCTGCACCACGATGTGCCGCTCTTCCTCCAAAGCAATATTGAATCGGTATCCTGCCCGCTGCCCGTGCCATTCCAATACCGTATCATGAAGCTCATCACCGAGAGGATCGTCTCGCTTGATCCCTCTGTGGCGGAGCTTTCTCGGACGCTTTTCTTCTCGGGGCACGGCAACAACGCCGATCATTTCCTGGATGTCTCTTCGGAGTCGAACCTCGTCGATCCGGGCCATGCTGAGGTCGAGTACACAGGCAAACCTTGTGGGAAGATGTTCAAAGCTGGCGACATGATATATCGCTGCGCGTGAGTATACTGCGGTTTATGGAGAAAGGAACGCGACAGAGCAGCCAGATGATACCTCGCCGAGGGAGTATGCACCGCCCGGTATCTAATCCCTGCAAGCGGTCTTTTCGTCGGATCTCACCAACTTTATCACGTTCTATCCAGAACCTGTGCATATGACGGCACCTGCGTGATGTGCTCCGTCTGCTTCCACTCGACCGATCACACCGGCCACGACACTAGCTTTCACGTTTCGAGCTCGGGAGGGGGATGCTGTGACTGCGGGGACTCGGAAGCATGGCGAATCGATCTTGGCTGTCCTTACCACTACCCCAATCCCGAATATTCTGCCGGCCCCGCCGGAGCAGATCCGAACACGCATTCACAAAACGCGATAACCCCACTCCCCAAGGTAAGCGCACTTGGGTCTTCAGCTCAGCGCCGCATACCCGCAACTTGGCGCAGTATATTGGTATATCACACCAGCAGCACTGTGCTGCATGGGGCTTCGTGCTGACGATACAGACCGACCTTGCACCCCACGCTCGTCAATCAGGAACTTGTCGGGGCAATGCGCGCAGTGTTGGCATCCATCATCGACTACATCATCGACTCCTTCAAGGACTCGACGACGCATTCCGAGATGGACCTTGAAGCCATCAAGAACGCACACCGTGACGAGATCGAGATGGTGGAGCGCTCTCTGCAAACTGCGCATCCTATGGAGGCCCCTACATATGCGTGCATTCTCTGGAACGACGAATATCACTCATTTCAAGATGTGATCCAGGTTACCGAGGCTGCGCTTCACATTGACGAAGCCGCTGCCCAGGCGATTGCCGAGGCGGTCGATGCATACGTATGTCTAGCCCTGATTCTGTCGAATGTCTTGCTCCTTTACTCCCTTGAATCGTTGTCTGTGTGTCGGTAGCGGGAGGGTCTGCACTGCCCCAATAACGTTGGCACAGGCTGGCCATTAATGATTGCACATTACGTCAGTGGATGCATGCTAATCGAGTGTGAAGCTGGCGCTTTGGAGTGGATTATTATCTGTTCGCACTAACTGGTCTTTGCGGATACAGGGTCGTCATATCGTGCGCACATCACCCGATATCTCCTCGCTGATCACTGCCGGAACCCTAATGGCTCGGATCAAACTCGGCGTCACCATCAGGAGCGTCTGCAAGACCGTCCGCGAAGAAATCTCCGCCATCATCTTGATGTGGCTCAAACTGATGCTACAGCGGCTTCCAAGCGCTCCACAGAGGATTGGCCAGGTTCAGTACGAGTCCATCAAGGCTGTATTCATCCAGGTCTTTTGTGAAGAACTCTTGAAGAAGCCCATGCGCAATCTTTCGCCATTCAAAGGCAGGGTGCACGATCTTCCAGCCGACATCGGCAATGTCGTTCGCCAAGCCAGCCCAGCAGACGACTCGTCTGTGGAAGCCTCCGATGCACTCATCCTCATGCCGATCACGAGCCAGCGCATCGACCACTTTTTCCAGCTGGACAGCCTGCTGTGGAAAAAGGTGCGGCTTGTCCTTCGCGAGCTGTACATTTCCACGTTTGTCGTGTCGGGCGAGGACACCAAGCGCCAATTCGGTACGTCACCATCGATAACCGCAGCCGTTTGATTTCCAGTCGGCTGTCATCGCTGCTTGGCTGGATTGGATCAACAATGGGTTGCTGTTGGATTATTGCTGCGCCTGGAGTGGCAAGCAGCTCGCTGCAGCTCTCGCATGGCATGTCGTTCATTCGCATGGCATGTCGCTCATTCGCATGGCATGTCGTTCATTCGCGGGGCTGTAACCAATCCCTGTTTTTTCTTTGCCCTAGGTGTTTTGTTTGCGCGCAACTATCTTAGGCTAGCGTCTCTGTACCTTCTGAACGATCGCGAGTTCGACATATCCATCATGAACCTCTCGGTCCAGCTCTTCACCGTCCCAACGCTCTCACAGCACCTGCTGGCCAACACCAAGTTCTACAAAACCTTGATAAGCATCCTCAAAGCCTGCTGCCTGAACGAAATAGTAGGATCTCCGCAGGACGGTCAGTTCATTGACTTTGTCAATGCTTGCAGCCAAACCTATCTGCCGTACTATCCCCGCTTGCCGTGCGAGAAGGAGCTGTCGGACAATCGTCGTATGTGGCATATTTATCACGACATCAAATACTTGATTTCATCGGCTGGTGCGAAGGAAATCTTCCGACGCCAGAGCAGCGATCTTGAGTGCAGTCTCGATCTGTACACCGTTTGGCAGGGACTCAACCCGCAGAGCCGTCAGACGCTCCGCCATGTGCTCTATGAAAGCAGCGCCTGGATCACAGCGTTCAACATGAGTGCTCAGTCACACATCCAAACGAAGCTCGCCGCCCAGTGCTTCGAACCGATCCCCACGCAGAGCATGCGCGACAATTTCCGATGCTTGCTCGACGCCATCATACGGACGATTGGCCGCGTGGCGTCGTGGACGCTATTTGATCACCAAGTCTTTTTGGAGCAGCAAGCCTCTGCCCTCAGAGACGAGCGCATCACCCACGGCTTCCATCACGTTAGCTTGAAGGGCCTACCTATCAGCGCACATGTGCCTTACTTTCTAGTCGAGCAGTTTCCGGTCTCGCTGCACCATCCTCTCCACTGGTTCTTGTCGTTCTTGTTCAAGCATCTCGGCCCGTGTCTCCAGCAAATCTCTTCCGAAGAGGAGGCGTCATGGATGCCCTGCTCCAGGACCGAGATCTGGAAACGTGTCTTCCAGATCGCCGCGATCCAGCTCAATCCCGAGCATTTGGTCCCCCAGTCCGGCAACCACCCCCCATCTTCCCAGTCGCCCGGCCTCCAAGAAATCTATCCAAAGACAAATCCCCAATCGCTCCTGCACACCTTGGCGGATCAGAAGCGACTGCTGCTGTTGGTGGATTACTCGATTCGATCGACCGTCTTCATCACCCAGATTCGGGCCAACATGTGGGTCCGCAACGGTGCAAACTCCATGTTCCCGCAGGCCATCCACTACGGCAGCGATTTGCTGCGCGAGTGCTACGACATGGATCTGTTCCTGATCCAGATCGGGTCCCTGCTTTTGGAGCCGTCAGTGTTTGTGCTCAACATCCTGGACCGGTTCCGAATCCTGCGATGGCTCAACCAGTACGGCACCTATCCTGATCTGCGGGATCTGCAGACCGCAACTATACCCGAATCCGTCTTCAACGAGCCGCAGGAAAGCTTGATCCGATTGATTGCCGAGGAGCTCGTCTTCTTCTTCATTACGCTGGTATCGGAGCGGTCGCTTGCCAGCAACCTCGATCTCCGGTCGCAAGCCGAACGCGAGCTTATCCACCTGCTCGCCACCAATCCAAACGGACTCCCATATTCCAAGATCACCAAAAAGACCCCTGATCGTTTTTTGAGCATTCACGAAACGATCCCGAGCGTCCGATTCGACGATATTCTGTCCTCGCTGGCACGTTTCACCTACCCAATGTCCGTCGAGGACAAGGGCAAGTACACGCTCAAGGAGGAACACTACCAGCAAGTTGATCCCTATTATTGGCATTACACGCGCAACCAGCGCGATTCGATCGCCGAGGTTCTGAAGCATGTTCACAAAAGCCAAATGGACCGAGTCGGTGCCACGTCCGGCAGCGCACAGGTCTATGGAGGCTCGGGCCGCCTCACCTACTGCGTCGACGAACTGTCGTTGCCTGTGCTGCGCAAACTTGATCCCTCGTCAGGACTGGCCCGCTTGGGTGACTTTGTGCATGATCCCATATTCGTCGAGATGCTCCGGGTCATGCTGCTCAAGTACACGATCGAGTCTCGCCGAAATCAGAGCATCAAGCCCAGCGACACGATCGTCAACGAGCTGATCCATATGGCACTGATTGCTGTGATGATGGAGACTGAATCCGGCCCTCGTGGGTTCTCCAAACATGCCTCTGGTGAAAGCTCTCAAGACTCGGATCGCAGCACCGGCTTGCTCAACGGCGATTCACTACTCGGCCTCTTGCTGTTCTTGATCGAGGATGGCGCCCTCGAAGATCAGCTCTCCCGCATCAAGTTTATCGTATCCTCTGTGGCCGCAATGGAAGGCAATATCTCTGGTCGAGCGCTTGTCGACAAGTGGCTGGAGGAGCTGGCTCAGAAAGAACTCGAGGCATCAAGGCTACGATTGGCCGCCTCTGCCGGTGCTGACCCGGGCGTCGGCCTGGGAGGCCATCCTGGTGCCGCATCAGGACAGAGTGAGCAGAATCTCTCTTCCGCCAACGCCAGCACTGCAGGCGGGTCCGAGGTGCCGCTGAGCGAAGCTGAAAAGAAACGACTTGCCGCTAAGGCGCGACAAGCCGCCTTGTTGGAACAAATGGCGAAACAGCAGCAGAGCTTTGTCGAAATGAATCGTGCTGACTATGACGACGGCGACGACGATGGCAGCGACGATGGGAACGGAGACGACGCCATGTCTGCTGATGCCGAGCCCCGGATCGACCGGGTCGCGATGCTCGAGGGCGACCACTACCACACCCGTGAGTACAAGTTCCCCACGGGCAACTGCATCGTCTGTCAGGAGAAGACCAAACCCGGCGGCCCGCTCTATGGCCTGCTCGGATTCATCCAGCCAAGCCGGATCCTGCGCCATGTCGACTTCCATCAAACTAGCACAATAACGCAGGCTCTGGACATGCCAGCGTCGCTCGATACCCCGCAGCGCAGACACATCGAGCCCGATGGCGCCCCCCAGCGCCCCTCGTCCGCCGGTGTTGGTGCCGCCGATGTCAAGCGACAGGGAAAGCGGCCTATGCACGCCGACAGACGACCGGCGATCAAAAATGTTGCCCCTCCGCGATCGACGTTCGGCATGCACTCGACCACGTGCGGACATTTGATGCATTCCACATGCTTTATGGCCTACCAACACTCGATCTCCCAGCGATACGCCGACGAGATCCTGAGCGCCCGCAACCTACCCGAGAATCTTGCCCACAAAGAGTTCCTCTGTCCGCTCTGCCAGAGTCTCGGCAACTGCTTCCTGCCCGTGATCTGGGCCGACCGCAAGGAGCATATCCTCGAGCGCGAGGCAAGCACGCCTGGTCATACGGCACCTGGATCCCTCGATGCCGAAATGAGGCTGTGGTGGGATTCCCGTCTGAGCCCCTTTGTGGCCGCGGTAGACACCCTGGATGAAGTCGCACAGGTTACGCCACAGACAGCGGATCCTATGGAAGTCGATGAGACATCTGCGGAGCTCCTACAGCCGGAAGCTGAAAGCGGGCCCAGTACAGACGTTCCAGTCCGGCTGGGGATCGACACGATCATGGAACTCGTGGATCCGCGCGGCGAGTTCCAGCGCGGCAACGGTGCCGATGCCGATGCCGTCATCGAGCGATTTTTCGGTTCCTTGAATCGAATAGGAGGGCGTGCCGCGCGGGATACGGATGAAGATGGAACTGAGGATCTCGATCTGCTCGAAGATACGATCCCGGTCGGAGAAACCGGCATAACCATCAGCTACCGCCTGGATGAAGATGAAGACGACGAGGGCGACGACGACGACGACGACGACAGAGAAGACACCCACAGCATCGTCGTCCACCGCGCACCAACCACGGCCTCGGAAAGCTGCAGGATATTTGAGATGTGGCTGACCAATCCCGTCAAATCTGTGTATCTCGGGGTTGACCCCGGCTACAACGGCGATAGCATGGAGCTCAATGAGCTCGATCTGCTTTGGGAGCTTTTCTCTTACTCGATTGCGGCCCTCGAAATCGGAAGTCGGGGCGCCCCTCGAAAGGCTGCATCTTCGCCGGGCAGTGCAACTGCCTCCACGACGGTGCCCGAAGGGGAAGGCGTTGGGGTCTTGCAGACCCTGACAGCCAACCAGACGGCCTTACTGTCCGTGCTGTCGACGTCCATATTGGCATATACAGATGCTCTCACCAAGGTCCGAAACGTCAGTCGCCTGAAGCAAATGGGCCGCGATCTCGTCCGGTCCCTGTTCTATGGGATCGCTGTGTCCTCGGATGCCCCAAGCGATGCCAATGGCCACCAGCTGCTTCCCGTCCTCATGGAAGATTCCTTTTCGACTCTCGTCGAGATCTCAATGGCGGCTGTTCCACTTGCGGAGCTTGGAACTGAAGAGGATGTCTTCAACTGGGTACGAACCTTCTGGATCATGGAAGTAACCAAGTGTGCGATTGCGGTGATTGAGAGCGTGGGTCTGCGCGACGAGCCGTGGATTCGAGACGAGAAAATTGCGCGAGTCGTATCGGACCTGCAAGATCCCTCGGTCCAACCGGGGGCGAGTGCCGACGGCGATGGCGCTGCCCAATTTATCGACTGGATCATGACGACCATGGCCGTCTCCTCCGAAGCCGTTGCCAAGGTCCGCGCCACTCTGGACGGCGCGCTGCTGATCCGCTTCTGCAAGTCCTTTGGCTTGCCATTCCTGCGCAAATCCACCATTCTGCTCGCGGCGCGATTCGGCCTCAGTCCATCAAGCACCTACCACGACAACTCCCCAGGTCTGTGCGAGTATGAGCGCCTGCTCAAGTATCTGCGTCTGCCATCGGTGGAGCAGGTCCTTTCGCCCCACTTCACCGACGAAGATAGTTTCCTCTCCAAGCTGATCAAGGGTTGGTGTCTCCATCTGACTCACTATCGTGAGCAAAAGGCCAAGGGAGCCGCACTCGCCGGTGGACTCGAAACTCCCCCACAGCTCGGAACACCTCCGACCAGCCACCGCGCCGGTGCATATGCTAGACCCTCCACCAGCGCATCCTCGTCAGTCATGGAAGCCACCGAAACCAGCTCACGACGATCTCTCACAGCCTCGTCGGCCGAGAGCCTGATTGTGCTCAACAACCCATGTGTCTTCGAGCTGTATCCGCTGCCCAACTCGGTGTTCGAGCTTCTTTCTGAATCCTACACAGTCATATGCCCCAACTGCAAGACCATCCCAAGCGATCCGGCCCTCTGCCTCCTCTGTGGATCGGTTGTGTGCAGCCAGACATACTGCTGCCACAAAAACGGCAAGGGCGAATGCAACCGCCATATGGAAGTGTAAGTGCATTTGGGTTTCCGCATCGTCTTTGCATATCGGACTGTCGCCTCCCTCGAACCGACCTCTTATCGCTGTGGCACTGCCATAATGGTGCGACACACTAACCCCGTCCCATTCTTGAATGCGACTCTGCGACCTATCCCGTCCACCCTTCGATATGGGTCTTTCCAAAACAAACACCCACAGTTGCAGTGGCCAGATCGGGATCTATTTCAGTATCAAGAAGTGTGCCATCTTGCTCTTGCATAATGGCACAAAAGGCGCCCTGCTCCCCTCGCCGTATCTGAACAGCCATGGCGAAGCTGATATGAACATGACGTAGGTGTATTCCCGATGATATGTGCACTGGCTCCAGGGGCGCTCATCGACCGAAATCCTAAAATGCATCTGCGCTGCAAACGGCTTTCTTCAGGATTGGCCGTCCTCAGTATCTGAACCAGAGACGCTACGACGAGATCCGCAAGTTGTGGCTGACCCATCAAGTCCCAGCCATGATTGCGCGCAGAATCGAGGCCACTTACGACACCAACCGATGGGAAATGCTCTGAGGCATTCTCAGCCACGATCCTGGGGACCTGAGACAGCCCTGTTTCCGGCTATCTTGACCGCTACTGGTCTCGGTCACCTCACCAATCTCCGCCTGGCGCCCAGTGTCCATTGCCCAGCGCCGAACATCCTCGCTCCCGAGCGGCCATAGGCGCTTGATTTGACAGCACGTCGCCACCCATCCATCACCAACGAAGTTTTCTTGCCTGCCTTGCCATCCGCCTCTCGGACCCTAAGTTTGTGCAAATGGTGTAGTTTCAAAGTCACATTTCTTAACACGGTACTCCTAAACAAACAGTTCTGCCTGTCGCTTCAGCTCCTCGTTTGGGGCGATCGCGACGGTACTGGGATAAGGGACTGCCTCGCTCTCCTGCCCGGCTCCAGCAGGCCAGAGCGATCCACCGAGATGTCGCTCACGGACGTCTCCGACCAGCTGGACTCTGCCTCCTCGACAAATGACCGGAGGATCTCCTTGGCACTGGACTCTTGATGAATGCGCTCAATGGGCCGGCTCCGATCGGCCGCACCACGCGAGCTGGATGATGGCGAGCGATGCTCATCGGGCACAGAGTCGAGCGGGTTTGCCGAAAGCTCCAGCTCTCCGAGGCTTGCCATCTCGGTGCCCGAGGTTATCGCCTCACTTGTCGATGTACCCGTTTTGCTTTTAGAGCTGGCTTCGCCGCTGCTGTGGGTGCCAACGGGGGGACAGTTGATGTCGATGCTGTCGTCCGTGACCACGATGCTGCTCTGCAGCTCCACCATCTCCCCCGTTTCAATCGTTGGATGGCTTGTCGAATGGAAAACGGCCGCGGCACGTTCATCGGAGTCTTGAGCGGCAGTGGCGACACACAAGAGCGACCGCCCATGGTTGGTTTCGGCTGTAGCTCGATCGTGCGTGTCCTGTGAACGCAGAGGGTATGCCGCCACTTCTCCTTCGGAATACCAAGCCGAGAGGACCTCGCCCTCCGACAGTGGCATCGAGAATGTCGTCATCACCAGCGACGAGGTATCCGCGGACGCTGGTACTGGAGCTTCCGACGGCAGCATATTGCCCATGTCTTGGTCCTAAGCATCGAACATTCGCAGCCAGCCGATGTTAGCGTTACCTGAATGGAGCCAACCCCGGCCAAGCAAGGACATGGGCTCCTCTTTGCTTGGCTGTGTTCCAGAACTGCCGGAGTTGCCGCAAACCTCACCTGCTTGTCATCAGCAACAACGTTGTGCGGCACATGGGTGGATGCCAGCATTCTGACTCCGTCTCCGTCTCCGTCTCCGAACCCATTGGCCTCGAGCTGTCTCGAGTCGGATTCATGTTTCGGATCCACAGAGTCCACAATTTCCGTTGGTGTCAGACTTGACACCGTTGTCGCGGCTGCGGTTTTCTGCGTGGCTGCTGTTGTCGGTGCGGCTGCTGATCGGGTGGCCAGTTGCTGTATTCGCTCCAGCAAGATCGCCTGTTCGCGCTCCATCTCCACCTGGAGTCGCTGATGGGCTTGCTCCATTTCCGCACAAACCGATTCGAATTGTTCGCGCTGCGCCTGAAGCTGGTGCTCGTTTTCGATGGCTCGCTCTTCGATTGCTCTCTGGGCATGCTGGAGCTCTTCCAGCTTCCTTGCGCGCTCGCGTTCCATCGTAGCATCCTGGAGCAGATCACCGCGGCGCTGCTCGGGCGGGACCTCGCCTGCTCTGCTCTGCCACTCAGCCTTGTATGCCGCTTCCTTGAGCATGTGCATTTTGACAAGTCCCTCGAGCTGTGCCTTCTGGTCTTCGCGCTCCTTCATTTCACGGCGCATCGCCTCAAGTCGTCGGCGTTCATCTTCGAGAGCCTTTCTTTCTGCCTCCAGAGACTGGAGCTCGGTTTGAATCCTCTGTGGCTCCATAGGCGACTCTGCGACTCGATCGCTGCTTTCGCCGGCAAGCGAAGCTTGTCTGCGCTCATCGATCTTCTGGATCTCCGCTTGCAAGCTCAAAAGCAGCTCGTGCAACTGGAGCACCGCGGGGTCTGTTTCGGCCTTTGGCTGAGCAAGTTGGGATATCCTTTCGACGGCCGCCGCGGCTGCTTCGTGAACCAAACGGATATTTTCTTCTCGGCCGATTCGCTCGCCTTCCACCCGTGCGTCTACTACGGCATCGCGACAGACCTGCCTGCCTTCGTCCAAAACAACCTCCATCAATAAAGCATCGGCATATTCTTCAATATCGGAAAGGGCTAGGGATGAGGATCCGACGCCCGGCTGTGCCTTGCGAACCAATTCCTCCTGTCGCGAGACAAAGAGCTTCCGGAGCACCTCTGTCTGGACGTAGCTGATGATTCTTTCTTCGGCGAGGCCGCGCAGTCGATGGAGCGACTCTTCGGTCGTCGTGGGTCGTTGTCGGGTTCTAAACACTTCCAGATTTTCTCTGTGATCGATTAGCTGCGACGGGGCACCTAATCGCTTTGGCGGAGGACGGACAACTTCAACGACCGAGAGCTGCGAGATAGACTACATACAATAAGACGGATAGGTGGTATCCATGGATGCAATGAGCATGCGAGTCCATGGGGGTACTGTTGGCGATATCCTTACAGCCGTGACTGATATTGCTCAGTGACAAATCACCAAGCTGAGACTCAAGATCTAAGGTGAATCTCAAATCGACACCGCACTTGCCACCACCGCAGTCAGCTACCGATCCTCATCCCAGCCCGATTGGCCTGCACTGCCCCGCTGGACAACTTACCGTCTCGTCGACCGTGCTGTACTGGATCTCAGCATCCTTGAATGGCTCGATGTACTGTGTGGCTACTTGTCTCTGTTCGGTGGGCGCAGTGACGGCCACAGCTGGTCGCGCCGCAGCAGTTGCGCGTTGAATAGTAGTGTCATCGGCCTGAACAGCAGCCTCGACCCTGGCGATGGCCGGTGGTCGAGCCTCCTCCATAGTCGGTGCCGGTGGTGCCGGTGGTGGCGGTGGTTGCGGGGGCTGTGACATTGCAGCGACACTGGATTTTTGTTGCGCAATCTCGGCTACCAGACGGTTGATGGCTTGTTGATTCTTGTCCTTCACGTCATCCAACTCGGCTCTTTGCTGCTGGGCAAGCTCCTCCTGGCGCCGTAGAGTGTCGCTTTGCCGCTCCTTCATGCTCGCAATCTGGAATCGGAGATCTTCAATCTCCTGGGCCTACGAGAGAGCGAGTGCTGTGAGAAAGCTGGATCATAGAGCATAGTAATACAGGTAGAGGCCTCCATCATCGACACACGTGCCCGACAGGACTCTCGAACCAGCAGGCTAACGCGAACCTTCTCTAAAGTCAATCCCTGTGGTGGTTGTTGAAGCGACTCAGGGGACGAGACTACTTGTATGGCTGTTGTTGTTGTCAAGGGGCTCGTCTGAACGGCCTCGTCAAAGACAGGGCGAGGTTGGGCTAGCGGTGGTACCGGTGCCACTTCGTGCCTCTCCGGAGGCGGCGTTGTCTGCTGCTGGATATCAAACACAGTCCGTATGGGACTGACTTGAAGTGCGGCGTCGTGGCTGCTCTTTACAAGTGGCGTATTTTCAGGAGCGGAGATTCCGTGCAGATCCCTTGATAGCATCTCTGTCAAGAAACGCGGTCGAACCGCAGAGGTTCGCAAGAGGACGGCTCGGGCGGGACTTTGGGATTGCGGCATTCTGGAAGTCTTCTCTGTGTCGAGCCGTTTGACTTTGGGTTTGGGCTCACGGATCGGGGCTGCAATGTGCACCGGACTCGCAAACGAGGCATTCGTAGTGCGTCGTGATTGTGTCTTGTCTGTTCGCACAGGATTTCTTGTGTTCGCAATTCGCTTCTGGACAGCTGGCTCAGCCAAGCCCCCTTTGCCCCGCGCGCTCATGACCGACGGACGCTTTGGAGCCCTGGGAAGCATTGGCGGAGAGGGTCGACGAATGCTTTGTAGCGCTCCGTTGGGTTGGACACTGTGTTCGGCGCTTGGTTGCTTTTGCTTAGCCTTTTTGGATGTCTTGGATGGGCCTTTGGCTGCGGGGGCAGCTTCGGATGCGCGCCGAGACTGCGGGCTTGATGGGCGCTTCAGGCGACTAACGTGAGCAACTGCCTCTGAATCGGGTGGATGGAAGTTTAGAATGTCCCCAGCTTGTTCACGCACTTCACGGATCTGTCGAGGCAAAATGGATCGGCGTCAAGTTGGGAGCGGTCTTGCCACTGGAGGGTGCAACTTTTGAACAGCAGGTCGCAGCAGCACAAACCGTTTCAAAGCTCAGCCACTCGATTTGCCGGTCAACTTGGTCTCGGATGCGCTCAACATCAAGAATATCGAGTAGCACATCCTCACTTCCGCTGAACGAGACCGAGTCGTCCAGATGGAGCCTCAGATGATCAATCTGGAAGGGGGACTCTGTCGGAGGATCGCCCAGGGGTCGCCGGCCCGTTTCAGTGGTGAGTCACTCACACGCCCACATAGAGATGCCGTTCACACGCACCAGCCCTCTCGATTAGCCTTCTCAAGCATCACCATGAGCCAGCGCAGCCCAGCCGCCAACGATCCCATGAGCAGCCCAATCTTGCTTACCACGTCGCCTCTCTCGTTTGAACGTTTCATCCCGCTGCTTGGTGATCCTCCATATTGTCTTGCGTATCGCATGGTAGTCAATGATTTCAGCTTGATTGTCTGCTGCTTCGCCAGCACCCGAGTCTCGGCGCTTCAGGAGATCATCCAGCGGCGACCACTCCAGGGCGTGCTTCAGCTCGCTGAGCTCTGGGTCAGTTCGCGCCCGCCGCAACTCTTGTGTCCTCGTTTCCTGGAGCGGTTCGCGGGGCTGAGTGCCATTTCTGCCTGTGACTCGTGGATGGCGAGAGGGACCAACGGCATCGGCCTCTGATGGTCGGTCGGCAGAAGAATACCGTTCAGACAGCGGCTCCCCTGCCGCCGTGTGCTTCGTTGCTGACATCGGCGTCGAGCTCACAGAAGGAGGCTGAGGGTTTCCACGGATATCGATGCCTCTGTAGTGTGATGTCGGAGGCACTGTGGCTGCAGGCGGACTACTCGAACTTTCAGCAACCGCAGCCATCCTGCCATCGAACATGCTCTCGTCGGCCAGCCCCTGCTGCCCCATGGGAGTGTTGCGGGTATCGCTCGATCGTTGCTGCGCTGGCTCTATGTGGTCGTTGAGCTGGATTTTCCTCCTGCTGATCTCCTCTTGCTCGTTTTGAAGCATTTTTATCATTGAGATTTGCCAATCCGTCTGCTCCTGTGCAAGTTCGCGCATGTAATGCAGCTGTTGGTTGATTCGAACTCGGAGATGCTCCTCGTGACGGACGACATTCTCAGACTGGGCCTGTAGGATCCGGCTATGCAGAGTCTGCATGCGCTCCTGAAGACCCTCCCAGGCGATATAAGCCTGAGTGCATCATCGCAGCAGATCCAGCAAATTAGGCACATGTGGTCGGATTGGACAGACGTGATCAATAAGGCAAATGTGGTCGGTGCGGCGGATCAACCGGAGATGTGGCATATGGACAATCATGAAATGATTGCATTCGGCCAAGGCATCGTTAAATTCGATTTGGAGACCCTACCGGAGCGATATCGTACTGCTGTGGTTGCGATTGTGATTGTGACTGTGATTGCGTAGGTTGATGATGGTCGACGCTGCGAGGCAGGCCTGACGAATATAGCGGACCGCCGGGGCTCTCGTTTTGCGACTGCTGGCAAAAGAACCAAAAATTTAGTGCGTCGTGATTACCAAAGCCGGAATACCAGCGGTGAGAGCCCATCCTTGGATCAAGAGTGAATGCAATTGCTTACCGAGTCCCGATTGCGTCTGTTGGAGAAGCAACAGGAATTGGCCTCAGCATTCATCGTGATAGGCATCAGACTGCTGCAGGCAACCTATACCTTACCTTTGATCCCGAGCAAGTTCAGATGGACGAAGATCATACTCGGGCTTCACGACATGACTGTCGCTCGGGACGCTGGGCCGGGTTCCTGGGATGCGGATCGATGGGGCGACATGCTCCTGCTGGGATGGAATCAATGCTCTGTGAGTCTGCTGTCCAGCAGGCTCGAGCTGCCTTACTCTCGGCCATTGCGCCAGCAACCCAGGTCATTACCGATAGATTGGGCTTGGATTCATGGCTGGCAAGTTCGAAGCGGATGCGTCTTGAGCTCGACCCTGGCTCTGATGCAGCAACGGGTACGCTCCCTCGTGCTGATTGTTGTGTCGCTTCTGGATCTAGGGGTCTGACGGGATCGGTGGCCAGAGAGGCAAGCTTGGATCGGTGCCGGAGGAGTGGAAGAGGAGTCGGCGGTGGCATCGGCACAGGTGTTTGCAAGGGTACGGGGGACTGGAGATCGATCTCAACCCGGGCGGCATTCGGATCAACAGCGCCTGGACTGCGAGTCTTGGTGGCTTCCAAAGAAGTGCAATCGGTCGTTTGAGGAGAATAGCCTCGGACGGGAACCATATCACCTTCGCCTTCACCTTCGCCCAGCGACTGCAGCCAGTGCTCCGGAGCCACAGCGGCTCTGGTGCTGGAGTCTGCCGTGCTACGAGGCGGCCCAGGGCTGCCATTGTCGCTGCTGTTTGAAAACGAATAGTTGTAGCTGGAGAGCAGGCCAAGTTGCTGGCGAAGACCTTCCCTGAAACTCTTGATCGAGGCATCAAGCAGGGGGTTGGCTGGCTGGACGGTGGCCTGCGACCGAAGGGCAGGTGCGGATTGTTGAGCAAAGAGTCCCGGACGAAGCGACGCCCATGATGCCTCCTGGTTGGATTTGGCCCTAGCCAAGAGGGCCTCGGCCTCTTGCAGCGAGGTCATTCCAGCGCCAAGTGGTGCGAGTACAGCGGTCGAAAGAGAGGGCGGCTGAAAGAGCAAGGGTGCTTGATAGCCGGAGCAACGCAGGAATGGCGAGAGGGATGTCCGAGCGGGCCATTTGGCGCCAGCGGTGGACTTGCTGGCATTCTGGATTGCCACAGACGCTGGACATGATGACCGCCGAATGGGATATTCATAGACACACTGGACACGAAAGCGGCATCGCAGAGCAGCGCTGCAGTAATCATGGATGTCTTGGATAGCTTTTGTGAAGGTGGCGGATGAACATGTATGTATTCAAGATCCAGAGAGAATCGCTGGTAGCCATAGACAAAGACAGCCCCGGTTCATTATCCGAGCACTCTAATCGAGATCGGGGATGTCGGTGAGGCTCCCAGTGTTGCTCGATGACGGCTTGGGCTGCGTGGAATACTCGTCGCTCAGGAAAAAGTCGGCGTTGCTCAGGGGCCGAACATGGAGGCTCTTTCGGATGGAGTGCCGCGTAGATAGGGTAATAGAAACCAGCATTAGGCCATGATCCAGAGGCAGCAACCGCGCCAGCAAAAGCTGCAAGAAGAGTCAAGGCGGCACGGTATTCCGCTACCTTGGCATCGACACCCTGGATGGGACCAGGGAGATCCCGCAGGACCTCGCGGATCGGAACCATCGCGGCATTGCGGCAGAGCTCTTTCAGATCGCTGCAAGAAAAGCCGGCGGTCAGCGGCACGAGGGCTTGGACGTCAAAGTCGGCAGCAACATCGGCATTCTTGAGGAGCTGAAGGATCGGTGCGGCAAAAATCGGAACAGTGATTTGTGAGCAATGGTACAGCCCCGAATACCTGCATCAGCTATTGAACCAACGTCCACATTCATCCAGACAGCATTGTACCGCCGGACTGCCGCTGCTGAAGTTGATGTTGGGCATTTGGCGAGCCCCAAAGGCGGACCCAGATGCTACGGCACCGCGGATCATTCGGCATCCAGGCTGGCATTACTCACCAGAGTTAGCACGCGGAGTCGCTGAACGTCATCAGGTAGCCGGATCGAGAACCGTTTGGGCATGCGTCGCAAGATAGCCTTGTCGATGTCGTTCGGACGGTTGGTTGCTCCAAGGACGAGCACGCGCGAATTTTGTCCGCTGGCGAGGCCATCCCACAAACTGGAAGCGAGCGGCAGTAGCGATCAGGTCACGGTAGAGTAGAGCACCGAGGGCAGATCAGTTCTGTGCCGCTTCCGAGAGGCGTTGGAACGTACCTCATGAACTCGGCCTTCATCATCGAGGTGGCTTCGTGGTCGCTGCTCGTGCGCTCACGCAGGAACGAGTCGATCTCGTCGATAAAGATGATGGTTGGCTCGAGCTTCTTGGCCAGCGAGAACAGCGCATGGACAAGCTTTTGGGACTCGCCAAACTGAGTGTGGAGGAGAACAGGTCCGATAAATTCAGGACAGGCTTGGTATCAAAGAGCTTGCTGCGGCCTCCAGCATCGCAGCCAAGGTCCAGCTGGGAGCAGCACAGCCAAAGCCGAAGCACGCACCCATTTTTCGGTCAATGTTGATACATGCAGGTTGATGAAGGTTGCGCCTGATTCTTTGGCGAGGGCTTTGGCCAGCATGGTCTTGCCACAGCCAGGCGGGCCGTAGAGAAGCACGCCTTTCGGAGCACCAAGCAGGCTGCTGTTGGAGCTGAAGAGCTGTGGATAGCACAGCGGATAGATGACGGTTTCTCTGAGCGAGTCGATGATCAAGTCAAGCCCTCCGATATCTAGCATCCAAAGGGATTGGGAGATGAAGACAACAAGCTCACGAATATGAGTGTGCTTGCGTTGTGCATCAGATCAGACGCCTCAGTTGCTCGAGCCATCACAACGACAGCGCTGCTCTGGGCCGAGCCACGACTCTCCCGATGCGGATCCAGCGCGATATCGGAGCGTCTGCCTACCCTTGAACGTAACCGAGATGTCGTCGGGATGAACGACCTCGGATCCGATGATTTCCTCGTGTTCTGTAAGCTCCATGTTCTTGATCTGTCGATGGTGCACATGAGTTGCGGCCCCGCAGCAGTTGCCGGACAACCCGTCTGTTGTTGCAAATGCTGAGATCTGCAGTTCCTACCCCAAGTCGGCCAAACACTTTTTCGCGCTTGGCCTTGGCTGCATCTTTCTTCTGCTTGAAGGGGTCAAGGGCCCCGAGGGCCCACTTGACACCATAGTACAGGGCAACCTGCGAGAGCGCAAACAAGGCGACTGGACGGGCGATGCGAGTCAGCAAGCGAGCTCATGATGCCGTCGGGTGCGCTGTGAACGATCATCAGTCGACAAGGCGTAGACTCGAGCTGTGACGGCCACCGATATCGGCCGACAGAGGAGGGATTGGTCCCCCCCCGGCAGCTGAATTAGAGCGCCACAGATGCGATTCAAACGATTGCTTCCAGGGCGCCGCGCCGCTCCAACGCTGCTCGGGGGACCTCGATGAGAGGCGATGCGTCTGCAGAGACATCTTGTGGAGATCCGCGGCTTGGGCAGTGTTCCAGAATCTGCAGCATGGCAGGGCGAGGGCGTCGGACGACTCACTCTCCAGAACTGGGATCTTGATGGGCTGATTCTGCGGCATGTCGACAGGTGTGAGTGGCTCTGCGCAGATCGGCTCGGCAGGCAAGCAAGCAGGCAGGCAGGCAAATGGGCAGCCAAATCGAAAGCTGACAAGTCCACAGCAGCCAGGTCGACAGCAGCCCGCTTGCAAGGCCGTTTGGTTGCTGGGCGGGCTGGACACAGCGGCACACTCGAACCAGATTCGGAGTTTCTCACATGCTCTGTCACGTGCAAAAGAAAAATGTGTCTGCGCACGGCATGATCCGGCAGCGGATCGTTTGGGCTGCGATCGCACCCATCCACCACAGCCCAGAGCCGATCTCTGCATCATGTCGCTGCGACTCTGTCCGATCCTGCTCCTAGCTCGACGGCCTCTGGTCCGACTTCCTGTGGCTGCGGCTGCGCTGCGGGCGGTGCCGTACTGCGTTCATGGATCGCCGTCGCTGCCTGTCTTGCCGCGCGCTGCGCTATCCACATTCGCCGCAACCCATGCTTCCCGAGTCAGCGTACCAGCCCGCAGCGAGCCGGAATCTGCAAGCACCGAAGGCCAGGATGCATCGCTTTTCGACCAGGTCTTTCCTGTCTCGGACAAACTCATGTAGGTGGTACCGCTGCCTGACGCTTGCAAAGCGTTGGTTTGGAGTTGGACGGCCAGCCATCCTTTACTGCGGCCTCCCGCCGCCGACGCCCCTTGCAGCCACTCATCCCACCGCCTCTCTTGTCCCGACCACACCTCTACTCGATGGCTTTGGACAACTTGAAAGCCAGCGTGATCTCAAGCCACTGCGGAAAGAAGTCATCCGGTCAAGCGTGAAAGCCGAGAAACAGGTGGGCGAACGGACACTCGACCCAGGCTTCTTCGACCGCGAGTCTGTTCGACTGCAAGCGCCGCCGGGCATGGGAGCATTTGAGAGCCCAGGACGCTGTTTCCAACCAAAGTAGATTGTGATTGGGCGTAACATTGTACATCGGTGGGGACCGTGCCATGGCCAAGCTCCAGAGAAGTTCGTCCTTGAGGCACACTCGTTCTATTCTATGTATACTTGTTCCTCTGAATCGGGCTCCTTGGGACAAGTGCGGTATTCTGACTGTACACCGATCGCACCTGACAATGGTGACGTTTGCTTTTCCGCCTGCCCACTCTCCAGCTGGACGACCCCGTCACCGACGATGATCTCGAAAGCTTCTACTCGATCCTCGCCTTGCCCGTTACCAACAAGCAGCTCAACTACAACCCGGACTCTGTATCCTACAAGATATCCAATGACTTTGTCAGCCAGACGATGACCAACTTTATCGACGCAGAAGAAGCAGCCCGGCAGAAACTGAGCCACGCCCTCGATCGTGCCAAAGATGCTGCAGAAGGCGGAGAGGTTACGCTCGAGACAGTCCACGCCCTGATCCATGCCAATGCCATCACACAGCGTCCTGAGGCCGCCCAGGCCGCCTTTGATCTTCTTCACAAATCGGGCATCCAGCCGGATCTGAAAGCCCACAACATGCTGATGAATGCCTACAGCACCAACGGCCAGCTGCGCAAGGCGATCGAGGTGTTCAAGTCCGTATCGCAGCAGGGCCTCCAGCCCGACCGGGTGAGTTTCGAAACCCTGATCAAGGCATGCGTGCGAGCCAAAAACATCCCTGCGGCCTTCAAGGTCTACGAAGACATGAAGCGGCGGTCGATGATCCCCAGCATCCGTGCATATACCCTCCTGATCCAGGGATGTGTCGACGATAAAGATATCAAGCGAGCCTGGTCGACGTTTGCCTTCATGCGGCGTGAAGTGTGCGAAGCCGACTCCAAGCTGTTTTCTCTGATGATTTCGGCATGCGCCGCCAACGGAGAGGCTGAGCGAGCAATGAATCTGTTCAAGGAAATGAACGACAAGGGGATTCCAGTGACGGAGGCGTGCTTCACCTCCCTGATATTCTCGATGGGTTCTCGGGCAGACTACTACACCGAAATCTACGAGATTTTCGATCAAATGGTGCATTCGGGCATCGTTCCGACCCTTCGCACCTACTCCGCACTGCTCTCTAGCGCTGCGCTCCACGGAGACGTCAAGCGAGCACGGGCCATTTGGAACGGCCTGATTGAGCGATCCAAACAGGACCCCGTGTGGATTCCGAACGAGTTCGTATACAAGTATATGTTCTTGGCATATGCCAAAGCCATCAGCACGAGCGCTGCGTCCAGCCGGATGGATACTGTCGATGGCAGCCGAGAACCTATGGGTGGACCCTTGGCCACAGCGAGTGCGCCAACGAGGGATCCGGAACACTCCACGCAACCAGATTCGGTCGACAGCTCTGACTCGGCACCTGAGACCAAAGTCGCCACTGCATCCGAGCCCATGAACACCGACAACCACGCCGATCTGTACAAAGTAGATGCAGATGGGTATCTGCTCCTGACATCGACAAGAACCGATCGTGACTGTTTGCTTGCTGAAGCATCTGCCCTTTGGCAGCATCTCCTTGGCCTCGACTCCTCCGCTCAGCTGTCACATGCCGATACCGAGACGGTGGTTGCCCATCCACGTATTAGCATCACTACAAGTGTCGTCGATGCCTTTCTGACGACCCAGCAGAGCGCGGCAGTTGATGTCGACCGCATGCTGGCCTTTTTCAACACTCAGTATCGAGCATTTAATGTGCCCCATAGCGGAAAGTCGTACCACATCATGCTGAAACGCATCACAAAGTATCAGCAGAGCATGGCCCAGCATGGAAAGCAGTTCTGGACCCGTTGGATCGAATGGGATAAGACGATGGAGCAGAGGATGGCCGAAGCCGAAGGCAACGACATGAACAAGCAGCAGAAGGAGTCTATTCGCCGCATCGAGTCTCGTGACTGCACCATCGTGCGCAAGATGTTCATTCTCTATATCAATGGCCTCAACAGGTGCGATGTTTGACGCCATCTATTCTCTCCGGTGTTGCGCCTGGATACTCTGCCGCTCTGTCTCTGGATGCACCTGCTGTCTCTTCACTCTGTGCTAATCTATATCTGTTTTCCCCATCTCCATCGCATGCTTTATCGAATCATGTCGCCGAAACTATATCTCGATAACCCAGAATCAACCAGCACTACGAGGCCGTTGATCTTATCGAGGAGATGTATCGGTTCCGCGACCTGGGGTATATCCAGCAGCTGAACCGAAACGATGTACGTGCGCTTGTTGAAAAGGCCAGGGACATGTACGACGACGGGTACGACGACCTGCTCCGTCGGCTTGATGACCTTGTGCCAGCAGAACAGCGCTCGGTCCAGCAAACCGTCCAGGCTGCCCTGCGGTCCAAGTACGTTGGCCAGAAGTGGTGGGGCTGGGCAGCTATCGGCTCCCAGCCTCCCAAGCGCAGCCCGCGAAAGTACAAGCCCAAGCGCTCCGGCTAACCTGACGACAGACGGGAAACAATCGCATGGCTTGCTCACTGGAGCATATGGATCAGCAGACTTGTCCCGCTGATGCCAGAAAGTGACTGATTGTATCAAGGGAATCGGGACACTCTCCCTATCCCACATGTTATTGTAGCATGAGATGGCCTGCGTCCAGCAAAGCCAAATGCAATTAAATCGATTACTCTCGAGTGACGCACCAGAGACGCTCTCGTGCGCACACCCCGCTCATTTGCTGCCCAAGCCAGAGCCCTCCGGTCGGTCGTTTGGATCATGCCCTTTCCCACGCCGCCCCATTTTTGTCCAAAGTGTGCACGTGATGCGGGGTTGGTCTGTTTCCAGGCCGCTTTGCACCGCCAAAGCAGCAGTGTCCTTCTCCGCTGCATCGCCGTGACCGCCGAGCTTGCATCCGCCAGCGCTGTGCTGCGACCTTCTCCCGAGCTCCTTGGTGTCGACGACGATTGCGAGGACACCGCTCCCCGCCACCCGCATCCGCTTCGTTTTCTCGGACAGTTCGACTCGGCGCCAAGGACAGCGGCTGGCCATTGCCCTGCAGCATTCGCCTGATCGACTGCAACTCCTTGCCCTGCACCGACACGGCGAGCAAACACTGCCCCGTCCTCCCGCCTGGTCGCATATGCAGAGCGCCGATCGATGACCATCGTCAGCGAATCCGATCTGTACCATGTGTACGATCTGATCATCTCCAACTCGCTCCAGGCCGATGCACCGGTGGTGATATTTGTCAGCACAGACGTCGATGCGCTATGTGCATGCAAGATCCTCTCGGTACGGCATTGCTCATCTGGGCCCTAGATCAGCCTGAGATATCGCTACGGAGGTGGACGTGGAATGGGCAAGTTCCGGATCAGACGAGTAGAGCTGAAGCTTATCAGATATGGAGCCCACGATCAGCCCATGATCAGTCCGAGGCATTGCTTTGCCGGACAGGAAGCGTGGGGATGGATCATGGCAGCACCGCCGATCGATCCATCGATGCTTACGGGGCAGCCGTCGACCGCCCTGATGTCGAGTACAACGGACATGCCCTGCATCTCAGCATCGTACCGGTCCCTGCCCCCCCCCCACTTTCCTGAAATTCATGCTGACTGCTTTGCCTGTCGCCATCCAGACCTTGCTGAAAGCCGACTGCATACCCCACGAAGTCATTCCCGTAGCCAACTTCGCACATATTACGAAGACAAACGACACCAAGATCGAGAACAACGACCTGGTGGGTTGCTGCCTCACCGATCACTAGGCTGCGGCCGCACAGGCTACAGAGTCGATTCGTTCGCAGCTGTGGGTCATCCGATGCAAACGACTCGGCTGGGCTGACAACTGACCGAATCGCATATCTCTGCCGACCGGACTGCGGCACCCGGCTGTGTGCCTCAAGATTCGCACCATTATCCTACTCAACTGTGGCGGGCTTATCGAGATCTCAAACTACCTCCAACTGCCCGAAAACGCCGTGGCCATCATCCTGGACACCCACCGACCCCTTGGCCTGGACAACTTGTTTGCAAATCATCAGGTGGGTCCTGTGGCTGGAATCCAAGCTGTCTTGGCCACAATCCTTCTCTGGCATCGCCATATAGAGAACCAGCCGCCCAATATCTGTCCAGGCGTCGTCGCTGTGCTGACGGATTCTCACTATTTGACGGGGACTCTTCTGCGCTTACCTCAACCATGTAGACCATTGTCGTGTACGATCAAAGCGTCTCTGATTTCGATGAGGTTCAAAAGGCATTCCGATCCCTCGAGGTGGGTCATGCCTTTGGATATGCTGCAGGGCAGCCACCGGTTTTGGTCAAGCGCGGTCCGAGACTTGGTCCTGGATACCGTATTCACGCCCTGCCTGAATCTCGTCTCCAGGGACTGGACGACGAGGAGGAGACCGGAGACGATCGCAATGTTGAAGATTCCGATGCGCTGGAGGGTGAAAACGCAATCACAAGTGCACAGCGTCCGAAGGCAGAGACGGAAGACGGCGACAACAAAGTTGACGATGATGACGATGATGACGATGATGACGATGATGACGACGACGATGACGATGACGATGATAGTGAATCTAGTAAAGCTGGTGACAAGGACGGCAGCGACGAAGATAAGGACGAAGACGGCAGCGGTGATGACGATAATGACCAAGAACATGTACGAAGTGGACGGTGGCGAGAGATGTGTATTTTGTCCAACTAGCAAACGATAGAGACGGCAAGGGACCAGAGTGAACGGAAGCGCAGCTATATCCGATGGCCTACGCTTCGCATGCACTCTGAATGTTGACGATCGGTCTCGCCTTTGTTTGCATCGAAAAGGGTCGGAAACGGCCCAAGCTAGATATGGACGAGGACCCAGCTGTAGCTGAAGCCGTCAGGCGCTCAGTGCAGTCGCGACGACGAGCGATACGACGACAGCGTGAGGCCAACCAGGATCTGATCAACAAATACTACCGGAAAGCCTATCGAGGGATCTCTGTGGCGTGCTTGATGTACGCCATGGCTGATCAAATGAATCGAACCTCGAACGAGCTGCTGTGGTAAGACTGAGACAGTGCCAGGGTGCTAGTCAAGTCATGTGGGATCCATGTCTGTTCATGTGCAATGGATTGATTGATCTTGCGACGCGGCCCAGGTATGCCATCATTGGGCTGACGGATCAGCTCAACAGCGAGTACATCGAGACCAAACGGTACCTCGAAAAGGTCGAAGCCCTCCGGCTCGATGTTGCCCGCTTTAACCTCTCGACCAGCGAAGGCGCCGAGGCGGGCGCCCTCGACCTGGATCTGGACGACGGCACCAGCGGACGACGCTACAAAAACGTGCAGGGAGCGGACGACTACAGCATCGTGTGCGACGACGAGTTCCGAATCATGCTTCTGCGGCACTGGAGCCTGTACGAGAGTCTGTATCACTCGAGCTATGTGGCTGGCAAGCTTGGCATCTGGACCGAGATTGGTCGGAAGAAGTTATGGAACATGCTGACGACGATGGGGTAGGGATATGCAGCTGTGATACTGCGCTGTAGAGCAGAATTGCAACGAAGAGCCGCCTTCACGGCCATGAGGCCATCGGCGGCGTGCAGATCACTGCAATCTCAGGCTATTTGATTGCTCTGAATCGCTGCCACTAACAACGGATATTTCTCTTCTTCCGGCTGCCGGCCCCAAACTCATGGCACCCCATCTCCATCAACGTTCAAATGCCATCCGACCAACCAATCGGGGCCGCGACGGAGATCAGATTCCCTCGCAGCGAGTGCGAGCAGCTGTACAAAGAAATGCTGTTCACATTCAAGACGCAGATCCACCAAAAGCTGCTCGGCGTCGCCCCCAAGTACAACATGAACGAGCTCGTGTTTCCGTCTTTCTTCAAGCACTACGGCTACAAATCAACGCTGTCGGCCGCGGACGCCGCATACTCGCTCTCGGCACTCCTGGACGGCGGTGCACAGTGGGTCCGCGATCATGCGATTGCTGGATACGTGTCCTCAGGCCATCTGTCGTCGAGATCCGAGCGGCGGACAGGCGGCGGCGGCGGCGGTGGTGGTGGTGGTGACGAATCAACGAGTGCGGCTGTCCTGTCTGGTGTTGGTGTTGGCACACGGACAGGTGCAGCGGCGGTGGGAGTTAAGCTGCTGGAGATCTCCAAGGAAATCGAGCGGCGTGAGCACTGGAACGAAGATCACGACGGCGACGGCAGTGTCGATGACGGCGAGCAAGGTGACGACGACGACGAAGACCAAGACATGCCGCAAAGCCGACGCGAAAAAAGCAAGCAATGGATGGCCAACTTTTATGTTGCCTACGATGCCCTAGACAAGTATGTCACCAATGCCAAGGGGGCTGTCGGGCAGCTTCTGCTCCTGGAGTGTCTTTCTGGACCACCGGGTGGGCACAGGTGTATGCACTGCTCCTGCCATTCTCCGCCCGTTAACCCACTTCGACCTCTTGCCTTGCGGATGCTGGGGGCTCGGTCCATTTGTGTCGGGGTTTGGGTCTCGGCGCATCTGCCTCGTACTGACCTATCCGCCCTTGCTCCTTGCGGCATTTTGCTCGCTGATAGCGTCGACTTGCTCGTCCACGGCATTCAGTTGGCCATGTATTTCCAAAAGGCACTTGTCGCTGCAGGCCTGACCATCATTCGGAAGCGGATCACCAAGCACAACGAGCACTTTCGCTTTTGTGTGCTCGCCGGCCTCGATCTCGGATCTGTGCGAGCGAGTGCCCTGGCCGTCGGCGGAGGCAGCGCCATGGGAGAGAGCTCCTTTCAACTCTTCGCCAACAGCCCAAATTACCTGAACCGCCTGGCCATTTTCTTGAACGAGGCGTTGAAGGTGGGTGCACCGGTGACCGCTATCGCCGATGCTGCTACCGAGCTGGATGATCAACGACTGCCGAATCGAGCCTCCTCCCGATACCATGGCAACCGGCAATGCACAGCCAAACGCAGAGTGCTTACTGCAGCGGCTGCTTCTGCTTCCAGGACCAAGTCAAGCCCGACGGGACTATCTTGCGGCCACTGCCACTGGTCGTTGCCGTTTTGAATGAAGAGACGGATCGATTCCTCGTCATCGGACTGCCCAAGCCCAGCCAAAAGATGCGTATTGCGAAAAAGTAAGCGAGATATCCCTTCGCATCGGCCGACTTTGAGGATGCACCATGGCCTCGGATGGAGCTGTTTGGTTCCCTCTCCCGCTTGGTGCCTGGCTCTACTACTGACCGCTGCCCTTTCCCTCCCATCCCAGCCCGTTCGCGCTGGCCTTTCAGATGGCAGCCGACAACGCCAACGCCCGTGCTCGATTCGACAACTTTGAAGCCTCGATCATCGAAGTGGCCAAGGAGGATATGATTACCCTTCTGGAGGGTATCCAGCAGTTCCTTCGGCGATAGAGAGGCCCGCTGCTGGCCGAGCTGCTGTGGATAGGGATGAGTTTCTGCCACCTGTGACAGGCTCCTTGCGGGAGCATTCCTTTCTTGATGCATTCGTGAGATTGTTGCTTCCCCTCACACCACCACCGGCTCAATACCATTGGCTTTGCATCCCGCCTACATGCCATGTAACCCTGCGCAGAGGCAGCCCGGCCGTGCGGCTCATGGGCCGATGCGAGATTCGATTGGAATGTCGTCCTGTTCGCATGTCGTCCCGCTGGAATGTCGTCCTGTTCGCATGTCGTCCCGTTGAGCCATCACACGACGCTATTGCCGGCCGCAACTCTCAAGCTCGTCCTGGCTTGGGTGTGCCCATATATCTTCCTTGTCCTTGGTTTCACACATCAATCTGTGACGGCGCTATAGAGCATGTCTGGAGCGAAACGGGACAGTGGCCACTTGCATTCTTCCATGGCTCAATGCTGACTGTTGGTTTGAGCGCAGTCTCGAGACAGAATGCGCATTTGACCCATATGGACTAGCTGCGTCCGTTGCATCATGAGCACATCCTGATGGTGGAACTGCTCGAAATAGCGAATGAACCTCAGGCGACGGAAACTGGAATACATATCCCTGGTCTTGCCTTCACGGGAGTAGATGATGGATGTGTTATATTCCATTCGAAAAAATAGAAGCGACAAACGTAGGGTTATTCCGTTTCATTTTTGTGAGCGTTGCAAGAAGGGATGGAGGTAAATATGTGAGTGGGGAGAGAGGGAAACAAGGAGAAGCGGACAAGGAGTTGGTGGATGGAATAGAATGCACTGGAGTAATCGATCAAAGGTTTCAACAGAAGCAATCAAATGCAAAAGCGGCACGGACGTCGAGAACATGCAAGCGTTGGCGGTGTCTCCGCTTCGGCTGGGAAATGATGATGCTGTGGCGAGCGCATCGACCACGCCCTTTGTTCTAGATTCAGTTCTTGGGCTTGCGGCCCATGTGCGAGTCGTGGGAGATGTGGCCGGTGGTGCGGTACTGGACAAAGATGCCGAGAATCGCGAGGACAACCATGCCTGCAAGCATGCCGTACACCTTGCCGTTGGACCTGCGATAGGAGCGGAGAGGAGAGCAAAGCAGTGTAGGTCGAGGGAGTGAGCAGGGGTACACAGAGCAGACAGGGAATGAGTAAGGGCACCAAGTCGATGGTGATGGTGACGGCGATGGCCATTCCGATCGGCCGAACGGCCAAGGCAGGGTTGATTGCGAGGCGGTTCCGGAACAGCCCAGCATATCATCTCGTCCGAGGCGCTGCCGGCTCACAATATGCCCTCGAATACGTACTGGTAAGGGGGGATCGTGTGGTTGGCGCCAAGGAAGCTCTGGACAGACTCGACAAAGCCAGTTTGGATGAACATGTCGAGGCCAAAGAGGGCCGAGTAGGATCCAATGACAGAGGTGGAAACGATCAGGATGATCTTCTCGAAGATAAAGATGATGATGATGCCAGCCACGACCTGTCGATATGAGCAGAAGCACGCTGATTAGCAAGCATAGTCTACGACACCAAGTGGATCGCGGCAGGATCCCAGAGGTTAGGACCAAGTTCTGGACCACATACCATGAGAGCAAGGAAGAGAGAGCGACCCCAGCCGGAGCTGATGAGACCGCCATCCTTCCAGGCAAGGATGAAGTTGGCGAGGAGGAATCCGCCCATGGCACCAATGCAGGCCAGGCCCAGCTTGACCAGGAAGCCGGCCAGCAGGCCACCGACGATGCCAAAGGCAATACAGGCGACCAAGTAGATGGTGTCATGGTTCTGCCATCCCTGAGCAGGCTCGACGTACGACAGAATGATGAAGCCGATGGTGGCTGTCGGGAGCAAGGAGACATGATGTGAGGAGAGAGCCGCCAGGAGGACACCGCTGCTGATTCCGAGGATGGCCCGAGGATAGCCCGAGGATAGCCCGAGGATAGCCCGAGGATAGCCCGAGGATAGCCCGAGGATAGCCCGAGGAAGGTCCGGGATTTGCAGATGCCTCCCCACCCGCCATGCATTCCCAGCCGAGATCGAGGCAGTGGTCATACCGAGGACGTAGAAGCCGGCAACGAAGAGGATGATGCGGAAGAGACGGTAGCCGAAGAAGACAAAGAGCAGGCCGGCAATGATGCAGATGCCGCCGAGGATACCGGCTTGGACAGTCAGCGAGTAGACGCCTGAAGGGGGAAACGGTGAGGTAAGCAGTCCGGTAGTGGAGTTGCTCGCAGATGGGCCGGACAGAACCAAGGCAAGCAGGCGACAGATACGCGAGCTATGGAAACGCCGAGGTGCAAAACGGGCCGGCCAGAGACACGGGCGAGCATACATACTGTTGGCAGCATCGACAGGGTTGACGCCAGCGACGGTGGTGTCGGCAAAGGCGACGGCAACGAGCGAGAGCAGGGCAAAGAGCAGCGGCAGAGTCATGGTGCTGACGGCAGAGCGGGGTGGATGCGGGCGAGGGTCTGGCGAGGGAGCGATGGGCTTTTGTATTTTCACGCCACCCCACCACCCGAGCCGGGCTGGACAGGCAAGTCAGCGACGAGTGGGTGAAGCAGCATCCAGCCGGCCAGTCAGCGGCGGCGGCGGCTGGAGGAGCGCGACGGGTGGCTGGCTGGGTGCGCGTCCGTCAAGGACTCGGTGTCGGCGGGTAGTGCGCAGCCGCAGAGGACACTGCGCGTGTGCCTGCTCCACAGAGACAGCAGGGCGCTGATTGGCGGACGTTCTTGGCAGAACGCGATGAACGCGTCGCACGCCGGGTCATTGTGACATTGCCAAGACGCGGTCCCGCGCCGCGGCGGTATTGTGCCGCGCCGCCACCGTGGGTGCACCGACAGCACAAACAGACTCACCGTGGACAGGGACGAGTTGGTGGGGCGAGGGGAGTGGGACGACGAAACAGCACGCAGACGGTGTGCCGGTGGAGTGGAGCGGGGTGGTGCACGAGCAGCCCCAACTCTCAACTCTCGACGTCGCTGCCGACAGCAACGGCATGAGCAGGGCCGCCACCACCTGCGCTCTAAACAGAGGCCGGATGGACGCACCCCACCCTCGTCCATCCACGCCCTGGTGCCTTGCGCTGCTGCCCTTTCCCTATCCTTTTCTCTTTCGCCAAATCTTTTCTTTGCAACGGCACAATGGCCAACGCTGCCTGCTGTTGCGGAGCCCAGGGGTCTTGGCTCGAGTCGCGCTGCCCTGGTCGGTCATGGACATGCAGACTGGATCTCGGCAGGGGCGAGGCGACCAGGCCGAGTCCCGCGATTGGGGCCGGGGCGACAATCGCAATGAATCGCAGGGTGAGCGCCTGGTGGACCTGGTGGACCTGGGAACTTTCGGCGCACCCGGTCTCTCCTCGGCTGTCATTGTCAACACTCTCGCCAGTCTCTGATCCAACACAACCGACACGATCTGTTCCAGAACACATTGCTCGACCGTCAGATCGGGGGAGACTCGATCGGCAATCCCATGTCTCCCATCCGCTGGCCTGCATCGCCCTCTGAATGCGGTCAGGCGCGCGCTGCCCGCCTCGATCCTCCGCATCGCTCGTGCATATTCACTCCAGCACGCCAGAGCGTCGGCGCTATCAACCCCGGCAGGATCGGTCTTGGAGTGCGCGTTTCCCTTTCAAGCACGCTTGTTGCGGCATTGCGGCCCTCGCTATTTTGCCGGAGTCATCTCGTTTGGCACGCCAAGCGGCCTGTGCCCGGCGGATTCTGCTGCGATTGGGTCGACCGGCTGCCCGGAGCCCGCACGCCGCGTCCGCGCCAGCAACACAAACACAGCGATCGGCTCTTTCACTGCTGTCGCGGGCATCGTCTTGGCGCCATCGGTGAGGCGATGTGGCAAGCCGCAAAGTCAGCGGGCTTGCGCAGACGGAATATATTCCAAGCACTCGTCCTCCGGCTCCCCCCCTTCGTCGACATCCTCCCTGGCCTGATCTCGCTTCCCTGTCGCTGCTCCGGCCCAAGACTCCGTGTCCCGCATGCACTCCAAGCTGGCTTTCTTCCTGGCGCTCGCTCTGGCGCTGGCCCAAGGTACCGGCAGGCAGTGGATTGGTTGGTGGCAGCGGCGGTGGCTTCGTGCGTGCATTTTGCTGGACAGATCGAGGGAGCAACGCAGCCCAGAACGACGATGGCCAGCACGAGCCTGCCTGGGCTTCAGAGCCGTGCTGCTGGGTTTACTGTCTGGCCCTGGCCAACGCCCTGCTTATCCGTGATGCCCCGCAGTCGCTCTATCGCAGATCGTCTATCCCGTTGGCACATCCAAGGTGCTCGTCTATGCCGACAAGGGCTCCGATGGTCGCCCCAATCTGCGGCTGCAGGTGCCTTCCTCGCTCTCCTGGTTCGGCATCGGCACCGGGGCTCAAATGTCTGGGTCCGATATGCTCGTACGTAGCGCATCTCGAGTGTCCCCTGGACTGCTACTGCCAGCGACGTCGATCCCTGCTGCTTCTGCTTCTGCCGGGCCATTACTCACACACTGCGGCTCTCAGATCGTCTGGAGAAACTCGGACGGCTCTGTCACAGCCTCGCACCGCACCAGCACCGGGCACAATACGCCTGTGGAAACCAATCCATCGGCCATAACGGTGCTGACGAACCAAGCCTCGAGCTCACCGACCCCAACCGGCAGCTTTGTGGTGACAGTTGCGGTCCCAACGACGTGGGCCAGCTCGAGCTCGTTCATCATGGCCGCCCTCGTCGGTGCGCCGCCAGCGTCAAAGTCCACATCGGCCAGCTTTCAACAGCATTCCAGCCAGACGGCCGTGTTCCTGCAGCTCCTGTCCTCCAGCAACTCGTTTACCCTGAACGGCAACAACCCCAATAGCACCGGCACGGTTGTCACGGGTGCAGGCAGCTCCGGAACCTGGATCATAGTGCATGCACTCATCATGGGCGCAGCCTGGGTTGTGGTTGTTCCGATCGGAGTCTTCATTGCCCAGTTCCTCAAGTCGTCGCTTGGGTCCAGCTGGTTTACGCTGCATCAGGTTTTGATGGTATGTTATCCTGGAGAGAATGTGACTGCCCTGTTCAAACGACGCCGGATGGCTTGGCTCCTTGGAAGAACAGGATGTTGCCTCAGTCAAAGTCAATAACTCGTTTCGGCTGCATTCATAGGGCGGCGTCACGGGCCTGGGCTCGTTGGTGGGCTTTGGCATCATTTTTTACTCGGTTCAAGAAAACGGAGAGTCCCATTTTAGCATCGCTTCGCAGGGTGCCCACGGAGTAAGTTTGTCGTCTTGTCGTTGCTCCTGTTGGCTCAGCCTGCCTGTGTATTGTCGTTATGGATGGAGTGGCCAAGATCACCCCCGAGCGGCTTGGACTTGGTCGTCGTTGCAGCAGAAACCACCCTCTATGCTCGGCACAGTTCTGAATAGCGTCCCTGGTGATTTCGCTAACGCACAACTGGCAGATTTTTGGTCTGGTTATTCTCGGCCTGATGCTTGTCCAGATCGGCTTTGGCGTCTATATCGACAAGACCTTTGATGTGAACCGAACCAGGGTTCCGGTGCGCGACAAGCTGCACTGGCATCTCGGCCGGCTGCTGTTCGTCGCCGCTCTCGTCAATGTTGTCCTTGGGTGCCTGCTTATTCAAGTCAGCATCGTCATTTGGGCTCTGATAGCGGTGTGGGTAGTCGCGGTGATCCTGGTCTTTGGATACCACATGTTCAAGAACCGTGGCAAGGACTATCGCCACCACGACAAAGTTCACAGCCATGAGTATTCTCTGGAGCCTGTTGCTCCCTACCAGTATTGACGGACGTCTCGGCCATCGGTGCGGCCGCCGTTACGGACCGTCGATGCCTCACTCAAAGTGCACGTCTTCGCCCTTGATTGTATGCCTCGCTTGTTGACGACTATATCCGTTCAGACCATATCCTCTGGGTGCCTGTGCTGGAGCCTGCAGGGAGACAGGGCTCGTGACGGCCCTCGGGTGAACTCGGCTCGATGCTGGATGTGATGTGGATGTGGATCTGAATATGAATCTGGGTCTGAGAGGGCAGCAAGTCACGCCGATGTGCGCACGACGCGGCGTACCCCACAACGTGCTTGCCACGGCCATGATGTCATCAGAAGCGATGTTCCGCCGATAGCCCGATGCGGCCGGCGCGTGGTTTCCTCTCGCTGAGGCACCCATATCGGTCCCTGGGGTGGATCGTCCACATCCAGCTGTTTTGGAGCGAGAGGGCGTCCGCGGACAAGCCCGATTTCGACCAAACGCCATCGAGACGCCGCAGAGAAACGGCGGTGGCCAGGCGTGCAGGAAACGTGGGGGGGGGGCCCTTGCGGGTGCAATGTGCAGCAGGCAAGGATACCGTCCAGCCTCGTCGGCGTCGTCGCTGTCCTCCCGTCCCCGTCCTCGTCCTCGTCCCCGTCTCCACCGATACAACCTTGCCTGGCAGCGACGCTCGTCCTGCACCCTCGCGAGGGTGCAGCCGTCGAGTCGGTGCATCCGGGAACCGTCGCCGCTGGACATCGAGCCCCTTGCAGATCCAGGCGGTGGCGGTGCGGGGCCTGTTGCCGCCGCCCCGGAAGGCGCTGCCGCCGAACGGCTGCGCATGCGCAACGCGGCGGTGGCGATCCAGGGTTTCCTTTCTGGTCACGGCGGGGTTGCACGGGGCCGCGTCGTCTGTTTGTCCATACACGGCTGACGCGCTCGCTGGGCAGCACAAGGGCCGCCAAGCCCAGATGCCAAGGGAGCGCAAGCGCCGCAAAGGGAAGGCGATGCGACACACGGCGCGGCTGCTGCAGCGGCTGCTGTTGCTGTTGCTGTTGGTGTGCGTTGCCAGCATAACCTCCCCCCCCCCACACACAGACACACACAGGCACTGGCGCCTTGGCATCGATTGTCCCTGTTTGCCCTTGGCGCTATCAACAGGGACACCTCAACAGACGCTATTAACAGCCGCTGTCTTGTTGCTATCCGCGGCCGCAGCGCACTGTGCCCGAGAGCCGCGTTGTCCAGCCCTGCGACCCAGCGAGCCCCGTTCTCGCCGACGGGCCCCAGGGCCACTGTCTCTGTGGACACCACTGCCGCTCCTGTCCGCCGCCTCGCCGTCTTCTCGGTGCTGGTCTCGGTGTCGCCCCCTCTCGGCTGGCCTCGCCCCTCTCCTTCCGTCGCTCCTCCGTCCTGCCCCCCTCCCTCGACGCATTTCTTCTGGGGTTGCTTGACTGCCTGGCCAAACCCCATCTGCCTCCTCTCCTTCCTCGGTCATTCGCTCCGTTCTGTTCGGTTCCCCAGGGCAAGACAGTCGGTGTCTCCTCCTCCCGCCCCTGCCTCCCTCTGGCTCATTACCGGCCGGCCCCCCGGTCCTTGGCGCACTCCCGTGTCCATTCCGTCTTGGCCACTCCCTTCCCATCCATCTCCATCAACCCATCTGATCCGCCCCATCTACAAATCATCGTTGCCGCCGTCCCTCCGCTGCCTTTCGTCTCCGCCTAAAACTCATTGTCGCTTCTACATCCAACATCAAGATGTCTACAAACGGAACGGCTCCAGGAACCGTCGATTTGACCAAGGCCGATGGCTCCCTTGACACTCACAAGCTCATTGGCATCATCCTGGCCTGCTCGTCGGCGTTCTTTATCGGCTCATCCTTCGTGCTCAAGAAGAAGGGTCTGATCAACTCCGGGACTCTGTCGCTCAAGGATGGCAGCTCCGATCATGCGTATCTGAAGAACTGGCTCTGGTGGACCGGCATGGTGCTCCGTAAGTCCTGCTGTCCTTTCCTACATCCGTTTTTGCCTCCCGGTCCTGAAGAGCAGCATCGACCGGGCCTTTCGGTGGCAGTCCCGTTGGTGGCTGCGAACAGAGGGCCAGCCTCTCCAAGGGTGTTGCTCCGAATGATCCCGGGTGCCGCATCGGTTGCTTCCTACCGAGCAGCCTCCCAGATCAGCCCTGGGCTCCTCAGATCGGCTCGCCTGTGCGAGGCATCGGCCGGCCCAGTCGATTGGATCCAGAGGCCGTCCGCCAGCCTGCCAGCCTGCCAGCGGACATGCAACCATACACACAACGGGCTCACCCCTGCCGTCCGGCCCGCTCCTATTAGCGCTGCCGCGGCATCGGTGATGTATCTGTGCAGTGTCTGGCCGGCTCAGCCACTGCCACTGACTTGGCTGGCTGGCTGGCCTGGATGGTCTCGATGGTCGACGGACACGATGACACCGCCGGCCGATTCGCTGCTCCTCATTCTGCACCCTCTTCCGTATCAAAAATCGCGGCTAACCGGTGGCTCCTTTCAACCCTCCCCCCCCCTCCAATGTAGTTCTTCTTGGAGAAGTATGCAACTTTGCTGCCTATGCCTTCGCACCAGCCATTTTGGTCACGCCTCTCGGCGCCCTGAGTGTCGCCATTAGGTATGGACAGCCGCCCTTGGCACGATCTACATGCTGGCCAGCGGCGTCATCGTCTCCCATCCTACAGTCGAACCATCGCTCTGTCGCGTCAGCACCTGTCTAACGCCGTCAACGTCACCCATCTCCTTGCGCGGCCATCTCGCTCGGCTCCAGCGCGATCTTGGCGTCCTTTTTCTTGGGCGAAAAGCTCAACTTCTCCGGCAAGGTCGGATGCATGCAGTGCATCCTCGGCTCCATGGTTGTGGTCCTGAATACCCCGGAGGCCCAGCCCTTCACCGTCATCGAGTTCTACGAAAAGATTGTGGACCCAGGTGAGTTCTGCGTGCCACCTGGATGTACTTTGGCGCGCCCGCAACACAAGCCGGTCCATGGCGTCAGAATCACAGCCAGGAGCCTGCTTCCCGAAACCCCCTTTGCTGACCCACTTGCCACTTTCCTCGTCCAGTTTTCATTCCCTACTCCGTCATCAACGTGATTGTCATCTTTGTACTGATCTTCTGGGCGAGCCCCAAGTACGGCCACAAGTTCCCGATCGTCCACATCTCGATATGCTCGCTCATCGGTGGCTTTGTCGTCGTCGCCACCCAAGCCCTCGGCTCCGCCATCGTCGTGTCCGCCTCTGGAAACAACCAGTTCACCCAGTGGCAGGTCTACCCGCTGATTCCCTTTGTCGCTGGATGCGGCGTGACCCAGATCAACTACCTGAACAAAGCCCTCAACGACTTTTCGACAGCCGTCGTTACCCCGATCTACTATGTGTTCTTCACGACATCGACTTTGATCTGCTCCTCGATTTTGTTGAAACAGTTCTTTACTTTCCCTAATTTTGCCACGGGTGCGACGGCCCTGATCGGATTCCTTGTGATTGTAAGTGCTGCAAATCGTGCGTGAGCCGCACTCGGTGTCCTGCTGGCTGGACGCGATCTGGCTGTGTACTAATGCGCCCTCGCAACGTTCTGTTTCCTCTCTTCTTCCCCCCCCCTCGCCAGGTCGGAGGTGTTGCACTGCTGTTCCAATACTCCAACAAGCTGGCAAAGGAGGAGCTCGCTCGCTCGCCAACGACCAGCACCTATGAGCTGGAGGGCATCAACAACGGCGATCCCAGGGCGCTGTTGCAGAATGCCTCGCCCCTCACCGACCGCATCAGCCCCTCGAGTATCGACCCGGACAAAGTCAAGCGCGCGACATCTCCCACCGCGGGCAACCTGAGAAACCGCACGACTGACCCGTACATTTCACCAGACCGGAGCGTGCACGACCTCAGCCAATCGACCGAGAGCATATTGCCCCAGAGCGATCCCTATCATTCGTCGGCCGAAACCATCCCGGCCCTGACGATCGGGAATCCGCACGGCGAGCCCATCGCTCCCCCGAAGAGGTACTTGGCTTTTGATTCCGTCCGTTTGGAGTGACGTGGAGTTGGATGAGGCCGGGCCGAGCCGAGCCGAGCCGAGCTTTATTTATTTACCTTTCTTACGTCCGATTGCTTATGTCGTGCGCCGTTTCTTTACCATCGCCTTCCCGTATCTGTGGGGGGTGTCCGCGCACTCTGCCTCCCCCTTGTGCAACTGGGTTTACCCCTCCTTCCCCGTTTTCATTCACTCTCCACTCTCCACTCTCCACTCTCCACTCTCCACTCTCCACTCCCCACTCCCCACTCCCCACTCTCCACTCTCTGCTTTCCGCGCTGCCTTCATATCGACGCCAGTTGGAAGCACCAGTGAGTGATGTGCTCGTTCCAACGGATCGATGCCGTCCTCCGATGCCTTTCATCGCTGTCATATGTCTATCCGCTGGCTCGCAGCAAACGCCTGCTTGCCTGCATTGGCACATCTCTGTTCCCCACCTACCCACCCGCCACCACATTTGATGCACTGGACCAACATAGTCCTCGCATGCACATCCTTGGAGGACATTTGAGAGGAGCTCGCTGTTGCTGCGGCTCCGAGGACCACCACCATCATGTATCCTATATTCTTCATCTTCACATCTTGCTGCCCAAATCGCACCCATTCATCGCTTCATCATATCCCTTCATGCAACTGCGATTCCACCCGTCCCCCAGTGTCTGCCCAGATATATTTCTATCCTTCTTCTCTTCTCTCCTCCCTCCCTATCGACCCCGCCCCGTTTCTACCTGTGTAATAAATGCAGATACGGTAGCCCGTGCGAATAGATTCGATGGATGGTGTTCTAATGCCTTTCTCGCTCTTGCTCCTCTGACCCGCGGCAACAATCTCACCGGAACGGCACCGTCAACGCCGATCGACCGACCCGGCTGTGTCTCCTGCCCTCGACTCTGGTCGATATCCTGCGTTCTGCCCTCCTCCGTACAGCAAAATCATCGGCTTTGGGGCCGGAGTCCAGTCGTCCTGAGATGCCCCTGTGTAGCTTCTGATGCCTGCAAATCCACGAGGCCGTGCACAACTTGCTTGGCACAGCTCCTTTCCCTCCCTCTCTTTCCTTGCTTCCTTCCTTGCTTCCTTCTGCTGTCTGCACTCTTTCCCCCTCCTCGTCTCCTTTGCCATTGGCACTCCACAGCCATCCGCCCCCCTCCTCCCTTTCCCGCTCGGCCATCCATGCATGGTCCCCTTCTCAACCACCCATCTTGGTTCCCGGTCATCACTGGGATGCTCCCCCAATCAACAAAGATTGCATCGGCTTTGGCCAAAGACCCTGTGCACCGAGTGACTGCCGAGATACAGACCCCATCACGACCGTTGGAGGATACCTGCTTGTGGGAAGCGCCTGTCCCCCACCACCACGTTCTCTGCTCGCGCTCTCTTCTGGCCATTCACGCGGGTGACCAGCGACATGGATGTCGTCGCCAATCCAGTCGCAACAACGGCAGCAACTGCCCAACGTCGAGCCAGCCGCCACGAAATTGTTGTCCCCCACCACCGCAGCGAATCCCACGCGGTGGAGCCCCGCGCGCTCTTTGCGGTTTCGGGCTCCCCGGCCCACCCGCCCTGCGGCTTGCTTGTCCGTTCCTGGTCTTTCCCTCTCGGTTCTTTGGACCTTGGACCAGGAAAGGATCTCATCGCTCTCTCGCCCGCTCGCCCCTCCGCCCCCATCTCTGTCCCGCTTGCCCTCCCGTTCCTCTGCACTGGCGTCTTGGCCTCGCAAGCCGGCTTCACCGACCTGCCAGACCCTACAGCCCGCATCCACCAAATCGAGCTCGGCGCTTGACACCAGCGCCGCAAATCAGAGCCCAGGCCCCGCGCCGACTTCAAGCCCGTCCACAGCGTCTTTGACGGACTCGAAGGAGCCCTGCGTCGCTCTGCATCATCGGCTCCCTCTTGCAGCGCCCTGACTCTCCCCCCTTATCCCTCGTTGATTCACCATGGTCCTCGTTGTTCTCATCTTCCTGGCCATCCTCTGTCCTCTGCTCACGCTGTTGCTGGGACTGCACCTGGTTGCCTCCAAGGCCACCGAGTCGCCCACAAGCCCGCTCATTCCGCTGCCGGGTCTAATCATGGCCACACTGGGCCAGAACGTGGGCGCACTGATCATCATCACGGTGCAGCAGATCTACGGCGAGACCATCTTTTTTGATGTCATCAGCCAGGCTGCCGGCTCTTCCTCCTCGGCCAGCGCGCTGTCGCCAAACTCGGCATGGATCGTCAAGCTATGCAACTTTTCGGCTGGCTGGAACTCGTTCACGGGCCTGGCCTCGTACTGCAACGGTAAGCGAGAGAACCGACATCGAGCGGCCGTGCGCATTGGCGGAGGGCTGTGTATGGGGGTCTTTGAGCGAGTTGTGAGGTCCATGAGCGGTGGATGCGCGGGTGGCATGCATCCAGCCAGCAGATGTGCATTCGCCCCGGGGATGTACCTTCGATGAAGGGGTGCGTTTGATTGACAGGATGACGGCCTTGTCGAACGAGTCCGGTGACCACCGGCATATAACAGACTCGATGCGTTGCCATGATGGTCTCTTACGGATAGCGTCTCCGTCCCCTCGCCCTCAACAGCCTTCCTCCTGGGCGTGATGCTCTACTATGCAAGCGCCCCTCACTGCCTGTTCAATCGAGCCCTCATCCGATACCGCCTGATGTCGTGGGCGCTGTATCTGATCATGGTGGCTCTGCCTGTCCTGGGATCCATCTGGTTCTGGGTCAATCCCGGCCAGTGGCAGGGCCAGCCGACGTTCGGACACTGCTCTATCAGCCTGGACAGCTACGGGCCCCTCTACGCCATGCTCGTTCACGACACCATCATCCTCATTTGTGGATTCTTTGGATTCCTGGCCGCAAGTATGTATCGGCGCCGCGAGCTTGCCACCGTCTCCCCTGTCTCCCCTGTCTCCCCCAGTCCCCAGCCCCCCTGTCTCCCCTCCCTTCCTGCCATGGCACTGACCCACCTTCGTCAGCCCTCACTCTCGTAAAGATCATCCAGAACCGCCAGGACCTCGCCAAGCTATACCAACACGTCCCTCGAGCCCACAGCCATCTCCTGATCCGGCTGATGATAATCAGCTTGACCATGGGCTTCTTCGGCATGCCCTACGCCGTTTACAATATCTACGATACCCTCACCAGCCTCTCGGTGATCGGCCAGCGTCCCAAGCCGCTCACCTACGATAACTCCCTGTCGGCATCCCTCACCCTCTACGTGATCATGGTCCTCGGCTATCTGCTGCTTGTCGTCTTTGGCACAACAGAGCGACTTTGTGACCTCTACACACGCTGCTTTGCCAGGATGACGGCGTGCATGTTGCCCGAAAGGAAGAAGGTATGGCGCCGTTGCGAAGGAGAGAAAGATATATTTGATGCCCTGACTATGGAGTCCCGATGGAAGTGGGAGGTCCATTGGCAGCCAATTGCAAGCCGATAGCAGACCAGCACGAGTGGGATTAGGTACCATGTCCCCCCCCCCTCCTCGCTTCCACTGCCGCTAACGCATCCGAGATTACCTGTTTTTGCCTCCAGCGCCGAAACGACCACCTTCCGAGTCACCTTGAATCTTGCGAATCGACTGCAACTGACACGGGCCCCACCATCACCACCTGGACCTCTGCCAGTGTGTCCAAGGACGCCATCTGAACAGGATAACGCCGACTTGCACGCTCTTGCCGCCCAGGAGCCTTGCTGGACACCACGTCAAAACACATCCACGAAAACAAAAAGTATCAACAAAAGGACATTCAAAAGCCACGCCGACATACCTGCATTCTCTCGCTCTGCATCCGCTGACTGCTCCCACCTCCGCACGCCTGCTTTATCTAGCGATTCCCTCATTTGCCTCCCTTCACCGCACGTCACCTCCATCAGCCATACACTGGCCACACTGTTTTTCATTGCATTTGAATCTTGAAACAGGATACTGTCTTGTCTTGATGTTTGATGGACCCGTGTCATGTCACTGGCGGCTGATACCTTGAGCAACGCCAAGGGCAACTTGTAGGCTATCGTATCGAGGGAGTGGGAGGGGGACCCGCGACAGGGGGGGGGCAAGAGCAGCAGAGTGATGATCGGGGTCATGTGCTTTGTTTTGCGTTTGTTTCGTGGAGATGGATGACTACCCCTGAATCATTGTAAATAGTCGAAGCAAAAGGTAGTAAACCCAAAAATCAAAATGACAAATTGGATGAGGGAGGGGGACAAGCCCAAATGACCCAATGCAACCAAATAGATGCAAAGATGCAAGCAAAGCCAAGGCTCCAGGGATGCCTCCATCAACAACAGCGGTGTCGATCGGAAAGGGTATGGTTTCACGAAGAAGAAGATATGTATGTGCAAAACGAGGAAATATGGTAGTGTGATAGGCGAATGGAGTGGGTTGATAGAGGCGCATGAATGCGTGACAAGTATCGTGATGCCGGGATCAGATCGGACCGAATGGGGTTGCGCTGAATGGTGGGAAATTCATGCAGCCACTCCATTGTTCTGCTCTCTTCAAAGTCCTGGGGGGACTCGAGCATTCCCCAGGTCAAGGGCGGTTGCTGTGACTACAACGGGAACGACGATACTTGTGCCTCCAAAGGGCTGGCTGAGTAGGACGAGCCAGATTCCGCGATCTCCTCTAGTCTCTATCAAAGGACAAAGTGGCGCGATATTGAATGTGTAAACGAGGACAGGCAACACCCGCTGTCGAGGGTTGTAGCTGCACGAGGCGCAGAGATACTTACCTCTTTCTTTCTAGCCTCTGCAGCAGCAGCAGGATCAAAGACACACAGCATCCACTCTCGCATCCTCGTGGGAGTGGGAATCCAGCCAAACAAAAAGATCAAGAGCCAACTCACGACAAGAAAGAGTAAAACGGGCAGAGACCGAGAGAAATCGTCGGAGCGGTCGGGCGGGGTTGTGGCGCTGGAAGCAATCACAGCGGCAGCAGCAGCCGCGGTATGTGGACAGCGAATCACCATCCAGAGCGAATATGGAATGCCTGTTGTAGTCAATCCAATTAAAAACGGGACACCCGGGTTTTTGACCATTGATCGAATATTTTGTTACCCAATGTTATCGCGCGCTGGCCATGACCATTCGCCACACATCCGACTTTCGCACCGCCGCATTGCGATGCTACGCCCTCATCCATAGCCTGCGTAAGGTTGCCTCCATATTCAGTGTATCCAAGAGCACCATCCATCGATGGCACCGAGGATGCAAGCTGGATGACCCATCCCGGGTCCCAGCTCGCAGATCCTTTCTTTGAGCAGGCATGTCCAGTCATCCGCACCCTGATTGAACAGGACCCGTTCCAGACTGGTCCTGTGCTGCGGTGCAAGCTCGAGTCCATCCTCCAGAGGAAAGTGTCGCTCTCCCTCTGCCACACTGCCATCCAGCGAGCCGGCTTCTCACACAAGAGAGCAACACACCTCTACAAGTCCAAGCGACCATGAACATGTCTCGCCGAACCCAGGGCGGATGTGTCGCCAAGCCACACCGCGACGGATTGCTGGCGCTTTTTTCTTTGCGTCCAAGCGTCGCCGACAGCCTCCCCTCGCTCACTCAGTAATCGTGCAGCCATCAACGAGGGCAGTCATCGGCTGGAACACTGCCATAGCCCCGATAGCTCGCCGTCCACCGCAACTGTGATCAGCAAAACTCTTCCAGCCATCGCCCACCCCTTCTGCCGATTCATCTGCCATGTCGAGCACTCTCGGTCAGGGCCTGCGGGTCCTCAATGCCTATTTCAAGCGATCTTGGAACTATGTCAAGGACGAATCAGTTGCTGGTATGGCCTGCAATTGCTCCGTCGCTGCGGATGGCACAGCTTTCCCAAAGTACAGTGAGGCTTTGGCGCTGCACAACATCGATGAGATCTCGGCCTCGTCTCGCTGCTGAACCACTCCGTCCTGTCGCTGGATCATCCCGCACCAACCCCACCCCAGCGATAAAGTTTGACATGAGCTGGAAGAAGGAAATGCCTCTGTTTGGCTGCAACTCGGTCGAGGAACTGGAGCAGTTTACCGTTGGCTCGGACGCAGATATCGGAGGTAGGTCAAATACGCAGCGCTTGTCGACCTTGGGCATGGGTCGTTGATCCCGGGGCCGGAGTCCCCAGATCCCAGAGACTAGGTGCGCACTGGATGGCGACAGCGATGCAGTGGGACTAGCTACACTGTATCAAAATCGAAGCAGATCGAAGCAGATCGAAGCAGATCGAAGCAGATCGAAGCAGATCGAAGCAGATCGAAGTGGCTCGAAGTGGCTCGAAGGGAGTCAGTGGGAGAGAGTCGGCATTTCGCACCTTCATCGGACCAAGTCCCGTCGACGGCGACATGAATCGAGAACCGCCATCGGCTACGGGATAGATCGTGATCACTGGGAGAGACCACAATTTGACACTGGCTGAGGCACGATGTTCACTGATTCATTCCGTCCCGAATGTCGGTCTCAGGCCTGTCAGAAGCATATTGGGGCTTGACCCAGGACAACACAGGTGAGCGACAACTCAAGCAGGAGCAAAAGCTGCATATGATGAGCGATCAATCGACACGGAGGGCATTGCAGAGTGTCTGAATACTGTTCCGATGGTCTTTTTTTAGGACTCTTCTGGGGAAATCTCTCCACAGAGGTCCCTCCTGGGCTTCGAATCGAGCGCAGCGGCTACGCCGGAATCCGATCCAAGGTGGGTATTGGCCACAACTGGCGATCAAAGCCGAGACAGAAATATTGTTCGGTTCATACCATGGCTGCAGAGTTCTGGTCAAGGAGGGAATGCAATCAAGCACCACAGCTACCGACTGTACCCAATCTAGGCCTTTTGGTACAATGCCGCTGCCGAGGCTGGCCGAGCCCGTGTCTTCCGAATATCCTTGCTTACTAGGCTCACATCGCTTGCAGGAACGACCGCTGACGCTGTTCTCTCGGCCTCGGTTTGACACGACGCTGTTTCGATATCTTGCCATCCGGGCCAAAGGCGACACTCGCCAATGGTTCGTCAACATCCAGACCGACAGCCTATATCCGTCATATCTGTATCAGCACCGGCTGTACTTCCAACGGCCTGGAGAATGGGAGGTTCTGATGGTGAGTTGGCCGCGAACTCTGTGGCCCGTACCTGGCTTTGGCCCGTACCTGGCTGTGGTATACGGGCAGGCTATATTCGCCCTCAGATATGCGGTTGTGATGAAACAGTGAGGCTTTCAGACACTGACCAGGGCGTCCCCGATCGACTTCAGATCCCTTTTCGAGACTTTGTTCTCACAAGTCATGGCTTTGTTCAGAAGAGGCAGTTCCCGATGGAGCGGGACAAGATCAAAACTGTCGGCTTCTCGCTAGTGCGACAGCCCGGCGACTTTGCGCTCGAGGTCGACTGGATCAAGGCCATGAATACCGAAAAGACCTTTGGCGACCACGATCTGCTAGGACCGGGCGAGTACTTGGACGAAAACGGGATCGTGCGACTCCTGCCGCCGGGCGAAACTATGGAATCCCGGTTCGGCGACCGCATTCGGTTCTTTGATGATAAAAAGTAAAAAAAAGCGACCGCTCTCTTGGCACCAGACATGATCCGCCTCCGGTCGGTGGATGATCAGCCCCCTCTTCCCACACCAGTAGTCTTCTCTCACACACCAACCGCCCAGATTCAACGGCCGCGCCGTGGATGCAATGGGATGCAATGGGATGCAATGCAAGGGCGACGTTCGCCGATCCAATCTCGCGGGCCTCCGGTCAAACGACATTGCATCGCAAGTGCCTTCTCTGGGTCTGGTGGGCCATAGGGTACTTGTATTCACGGCTCGATGTCTGAGTTTGATGGACGGGTTCAGCAACAGTATCGATTCCTCAACGGCAACGCAATCTGTTCGCCAACAGCGCTCGCCGCTGCTGCGATGCCTTTCAGCCGCACCTCCTTCGCTTGGGCTCTTGGACGGTTGTTCTGCCAATCAATTCGAGCTTGGACGCAATCCTGCACTCCCGATCCAAGAGAGCAGGTCAGCCCCATTGGTTGATATTGTCTCTCCTATCAAGGCGGCTCGCCGATTGCAGTCATGGCAGCGATGGATCGCAGTGCCGTGCAGCCACTTGTTTGGCAGATGCAATTGTAGAGTGGATGCTCTCGCTGCGATGCAGGTGTTCTCGCTGTGGAGAGGATGGGCTCGCTGTGAAGTATATGGGCTCGCTGCAAGGCCAATGTTGCGACAGCTGCATCAGCGCTCGTTGTTGCATCGCCAGAGCAGTCGCCGCGAGAAGGGCTGGGGCTGGCTGGTGGTCTTGCAGCGTCCATTCGACTGCCCGCACTGCATACAGTGCGGATCGGCTTGCGCGCTGCCGTCGATTGCTGTTCTGAATCCCTCTTCTGCTGCGTGCGTGAATCTGCCCAGCTCCAGCCAGAACCCCGTTGATATTGCTGCGGCGTCTCGCTCGCCCTCTCTCTCGCCGTCTTGGTTTCGGTCTGGTCTCTGCAGAGTTTCGTTTGCTTTTGCTCTTTGTTTGTCGGCTGGGCACCAAGACGTCTCTCCGTTCATCCACCCCTCCTGCAATTGATCTTGTCTCGTCTGCAGCCCAGCGCCCCTCTGGCCTCTTCTGTTCCTATCATCGAAAAAAATTATCGTTCCTACCCTTTCGGCTGTCATTGTCCCAGCTCTTGCTCCTCGCCTGCCTGCTGCATCCTCCTGCGGCCCTCCTCCCTTTCCCTCATCCTCCCGACGAGCCCTGCTTGGCCTTCTCTTGGCGACCGACTGTTGGTTTGAAACCCCAACGGACTACTGCTCTCCTCCTGCACTCCCGAGCGATCTGCGCTTCACTTAACACCGGCGGATATCTTCCCCCCTCCATCATTCCTCCGATATTTGTCCGCACATATCTTCTTGATTACCCCCCCACACACACACTATTTGCTCTCTTGTTGCCTCCGAAATAGCCAAAAATGTCGGTCTGGGACTCTCGGCTGATGCAGACACCGCCGTTGTCGTCGCTTCCACTTCAATCTCCAATGCCATTTGCACCGGGGCCTAATTCACAGCGGCCCGCTGGGCAAGGACAGCCACAACCACCACAGCCATTCCAAGGCTCCCAGCCCTCGCCGATCTCGGCCCAGTCAACTGCCCAGTCCCCGTCGCAGACGCAGTTCCTTCTGCAGCAGCCTCCGTCGCAGTCGTCGCCCCAGCCCTCGCAGTCGGTGGGGCAACCGACGCTGCCTCCATCGTCCCAGCCCCGGTCCCAATCGCCGCACCTCGTCAACGGTAGCAACACACAGCCATCCGATACAAAAACCACTCTTTGGATGGGCGACTTGGACCCAGCCATGGATGAAAACTACATCAAGCAGCTCTGGTTGGTGGCCCTTCCCTCTTGCTATCGCTGAATGGGACCGCTGTCGATTTGCGCTGTGCGGATCTGGGTGATACCGAGCCGGGTCTGTTCTTTGAGGGCGATCCAAAGAGCTCTCAGCAGCTCTCCGGCCGAGCATGCACAGCACTGGCCAAGAAACGTCAGTTGCAAGCACTGTGGCCTCGTAGCCGCTCGATCTTGACCGAATGCATTGCGCTGCTATCACTAAAACGGCGTGCCCTCCCTTTGACTCTGGAATCCTCCGGTCGTATTCTCCGTGTGCACATGCTTCCGGCTTGGTCCATCGGCCCTGCGTTCACTCTGCTCGCTTGGGCGGATCAGGGGGATGCTGGGTGAAACCGTCCAAATCAAGATGATTCGAGACAAGTTTTCGTCGTAAGTACGATCGGGCGACTGGGTTCTGCCTTTGGATGGGTTCTGGTATCAGCCAGACAGCTAGATCCAACCGAGAGAGTGGCGGCTTTGCTGTGCCTTGTGCTGCCCTTCGCCCTCACTGCTAACCTGCTATTACCGTCGAACTCGCTGAAGGGTCAACGCTGGATATTGCTTTCTCGATTTCAGCTCCCACGCCAACGCCGCCAGATGTCTCAACACCTTTAATTCAACCCCGATCCCGGGCACCAACCGGGTCTTCAAGCTGAACTGGGCCTCTGGAGGCGGCATGGTTGATCGAAAGTACGTACCGTGCGCCTGCGGATGGGCTGACCGGACTTTGAGCATGTGTACTGGTAGATACACGGAGCGTTCGTTTGCCGCAGACTATCGTTTAACATGATCTTTTACTCAGGGACGACCGAGTGGTAGAATATTCTGTCTTTGTCGGCGATCTGTCTCAGGATGTTGGTGACTTGCTTTTGTTGGTAAGGCGACAGCGCACTTGTCCGAGAAAGCTATCAGTCCGTGACGATGTCTGCGAGCCAGAGGCCATGCTCATGCTCTATTTGCTTCGACTGCCATCTAAATCATGATCCACACTACGTTGCCGGATTGGCTCCGCGATCAACAGCAAACATTCCAGAATCGCTACACCTCGACAAGATCTGCAAAGGTGGTTACGGACCCGCTCACGGGCATGTCGCGAGGTGAGTTGCCTGGGTGAACAGAGCTCGATATTGATGTATGATGCGGGGGGGGGTGCTCATGACCGACACAAGACACGCCGGTTTGAAGACGTTGTACTGACATAGGGCTTGGCGACATGCTTGGCCAGGCTATGGCTTTGTGCGCTTCGGCGAGGAGGCGGATCAGCAGCGGTCCCTCCAAGAAATGCAGGGCCAAGTCATCGGCTCTCGCCCCATCCGCATTTCCCTGGCGACCCCCAAGACACGCGGAGGCTCCAGCCACACGCAGAATGCACTGATGTCGCAGTACATGCAACACCAGGGACACCTGATCGCCGGTATTCCTGCTGTCCCTCAGCAGATGCCATATGGAGGCTTTGCCGGCGGTGTTGCTCTCCACAGCAAGGGATCGGCCAAGATCTCGGGGGCCTCCGCTGCGGCCAACCACCAGAGCGATCCAAACAACACCACCGTATTCATCGGCGGACTTGCAAGCCATCTGGCCGAGGATGACCTCGCTGGGTTTTTCCAGCCCTTTGGCGAAATCATCAGCGTCAAGATCCCGCCTGGCAAAGGCTGCGGATTTGTGCAATTTACGACCCGTGCCAGCGCCGAGCTCGCAATTCAGCAGATGAATGGATTCGCGATCGGTAGGTGCTGAGTGATTGGTGACGGATGCATCCGACTGGAACGGATCAAAATCATCCGCCTGCGTGGCGACGGGCGGCACGATGCCACAGTTGTGGGTGCGTGAGTGCGTGCCAGGAAGCTGCCCCGGAGCAAGATGAGCGTATGTCCTCTCAAGACGCAGCCCCGTTGGTTGTTTATTCTAACGCCGAGTCTCCCCTTTGTGACTGCAGGTGGACATCGTGTCAGACTTTCGTGGGGACGATCCCAGGCAGCCGAACACAAGCAACATCACCACCACCACCAACAGCAGCAAGCGCAGCCCCAGCAGCCACAGCATCATCAGCACCAGCAACCTCAGCAGCACATGCATCCGCACCCCCAGCTCGCAATCACGGTCGGCAACAACGGCTTTGCCAGACAATTTCAGCAGCAGCCCATGATCGGCTATGACGGTCTGATGGGGGGAATGTCGTCAATGGGCCCTATGGCCAGTCCTGGGCTGGTTTCTCCAATGGGTCCCGCTAGCATCGATAAGGGTGGATACCGACAGTCGCTGATGATGGGGCCAACTTCCCCGTTCTCCCCCGTTGGTGCAAACGCCCTGTTTTCATCCGTCCCAAACCAATTCACCCAGTCGTCAGTTCAGGGCCACGACCGCAACCCCGGCCTGGCTCTCCAAGGACTTGCGCCACTGTCTCCTTTTGATTCCGGCTTCAAGAGCGATGGAAATGCCTTTCCGGTGTCCGGCTGGAGCGAGCCGCACGACGTTCAGATCGAAAAAGGCTCATGGAGACCACCAAATGGCAAGGTGTTTGTTCAGTAGACACACCGCCCTCGGCATTGCATATCGCAATGGCATGGATGAGCTGAAGCGGCTGCTGCGCGCTGTGGATCCTCGATCGAAGCCCCCCCCCCAAAGCAAAGACGGACAACGCCGAAGCGATAGGTGGGGCAACAAGCGTCGACCGCTGCCACCACTGTCGCCAGCTGTTGCCGTCGCCAAGCTGCGGAATCTCGGCTGCGTCGGCACCTCCATGCTTTGGCCAACCCGACCTTTGCGTCTGTGCACTCTCGTCCACTCAATCCCGTCCTCATCCCTACACTCCCAAACAGTATCTTTATTTGCTATGGACTTTCTCTCCTGACTTTGGCGGGCCATGCTTGTCGGTTGACTGCGCTCGCGTTGATATTTGCATGTTTTCTTTGACTTTGCTCGCTGTCTTTGGCTTTGCTCGCTCTGTCTTTGGCTTTGCTCGCCCCGCCCTTGCACCCCTCGTTCTGCTTCCAGCTCAGTGCCTCCTCTGCCTTTTCTACACAATATCGCTTCTGCTGTACATGATCGAGTCTACACTGGTAGTTTTCCTCCCCGTAATCGCTTTCGTTTGTTGAGCCGGTGGGTATTTTGTACAGAGCCTCTTCAGTAATTCCTTTCATCACCTTCTGTTTAACGATCTCTCTGGGTATCGCTGATTTAGCCATGAGAATGCAGGGTTTTGACTCTGCTTGTCTTTTGGACGAAGGCTTCCCTGGAGCAGGCTTGAAAAGAATCATTCGTCCTGTTCCATGAGCGACCCTGTTTTCCGGGCGGTGGCGGGTCAAATCAAGGCTGCGCTGGAGAGGCCAAAGCGGATGTATTGTGGGAGAGCCGAGCGAGATCTCGACTGACACTCGGTTCGACTGAGTGCCAACTTACAGTCAATCCAACAAAAAACGGGACACCCGTGATTTTGACGATTGATCAAATATTTTGTTACCCAATCGCGCGCTGCCCACGACCATTCGCCACACACTCGATTTCCGCATCGCTGCTCTGCGACCGGTGGTCTTCACTCGGAGGGTGGTCTTCACTCGGAGGCTGCCAAAGTGATCTGTTGTATTTCTTATGACATAGTTAGACGCATGCCATCACACACTACGCTGACAAATGGGTTGTGGGCAGGTGTCACATTTCCCCTGAGTACAGTGTAACTTCCTCCACCTCCTCGACCACCTCCTCGATGTACACACCTTCTCCATTGCTGTCTGCGTCGCTGCCCGGGTTCGTGATGCGGTATCCCCCACACTCCAAGCAGCAGCTGCACTCCCCGAAACCAGTAGCTTCGTGGAAGCGGTCGTCCGAGTCGGCATCATAGTCGTGATGTGCGTGGATGCCATTTGTGAGGGCAGCGGGAAACCGCCGGTGATCTGGAGTCGATTGATCCGACTCGCAGTCCGTAAAGTCTTCGAGATCAGGCAGGTCCGAGTCATCGCTCAGCTCGCGGGAGCCAAAGCTGTTTGCGTCGCAGTAGTCCAGATCCTGGCTGCTAATATCCTCCAGATCAGGTAGGTCCGAGTCGGAGCTGTCGTGAGCCGGGAGGCTGGCATTCCAGCAGCACTCGCCGTCGTCGGGATAAGCGTCGTCCGAGTCGTCAGCGTCTTGATACTCGCGCTCAAACGCCTCGCTGGTGTAGCTGTCGAAGCCGTGACCAAAGAGCGTTATATGGCGAGGATCAAGAACGCGGCGAAGCGTTTTGCGGATGCGACGGCGATTTCCAAACGCGCTGGCCACGTCCTTTTCCCACTTTTGGTTGCGGACGACAACCTCAGCAAGACTGGTGCGCAGCTCCAGTTCCCTTCGACGCTGGGTCTCGAGCTGCCGTTGGAGCGACTGGACTTGGTCGTGAACATCGTACATCTGATTGGATGAGGCGCGATCGCTCGTCGCGGATTCAGAAGAGTCATCCGCAATCGGGTCAGAGTCGCCTTGCTGCTTGAGTGAGGCCGGTTCCATCACGACGCTGGTGCTATCGGCATAAACGGCGGACTGTCCATCCGCAGGCTCGGTGTCCAACTCCAAGACAGCTGGGCTTGATACGGTTTGTTCTCCGAAACCATTGCTAGCCTCGCCGCCGATGCGAGCCGAGGTGCTCGCGTGGTCAGCCATGGTCGTCAGGATCGCGGAGCTGAGTTGGGGAGAGGGCTTCGCAAGGTGGCCGCGCTCACGCTTGCGAGGATGGCGCTTGTTTCGGAATGTATACAGCCCAACGCCGTTTGCCGCCTTTCGAGAAGCGACGTTGGCGAGTTGGACGGACGACAGGACCGGGGCAATGGCTGGCTCGCCTTTGTGGACATGCTCCAAGGCCTTTTCGAAGATTCCTGGGGGGATGTCAAAAGTCAAATTGACATCAAGGGCTCCATCACCGGCGTCATCTTCGTCGACGTAATTTTCGTCGCCATCGTAGTCGATTATCTCTTCGTCGGGATCGACCGGGCTAACAGGCTTCACTGGTTTGTCGCCCAGGGTGAAGATCGAGTCCAGCTGCTGCGAGGCGCGCTGCGGAAGCATGAGCGGGCTTGGCTCAAGCGCGAGACTGTGATTCTGGACCGACTTGAGAAGGCCTTGGTTGATGGCGTTGCTGGTGCTGATGATGGCTTCCGACATCAGTTGAGCCTTGTCCTTGGCAAGGCCACCGTTCGCAACGACTTCGTTCAGATGATCTAGGAGGCCGTTCCAGGCCACAGCATTGGCAGTAGGATCGGTGGTAGCGATGGCTGGCTGAGCACTTCGAATCGGAGCATTGGTTCCGGGAACAGGCCGGACAGGGTCGTCGGCCTTGGCTGGCGTCGCAGCGGCGGTGGGCTTTGTATCTCCTGTACGCCCTGCGGAGCGAGATCCATCGACCCAAGTTAAGCACGAATGGTCAGAAGGGGACAAGAGACAGCTCCAAGATGGGAGCGTCGAAATCAAAGAGCAAGCTCGAGGGTTCTTGACGGTCACTGGAGGAATGCCCATACCTTTCAGGAGCTCGGATGGCGCTGGCGGAGTCGAGTAGTGAGTGTCGTACTGGTCGATCACGACTTGCGTCAGCTCCTCGATCCTAGTAAAATAGGACGCGGCCTCCTCCGATCCAAGGTCGCGGTGACACATGGAGCCTTCAAAGAAAACACGAAGGGTTTCGGCCGCAGCCAAGAGATCGGTCGTAAGGCGGAACCCCATCGACGACGGACTCTCGGCAAGCTCGGTAAGAGCATAACAGAGGTGGTCGTTGATCTTCTTGAGGGTCGTCATTGCTTCGGTGTAGATAGGCACCTGCTTTTTGGTGTGTCGGGCGCTTCGGCTCGAGAATAAGGCTTTGTATTTGGTCCAGCTTCGGCAGTATGCCTTGAGGAGCTTCATGATCTCCAAATGGGCAGCATGGTCGTCCTGGACAAGGTCTTCAAACTGCAATATATCGGTCAAGTCCAGGATCTGGAAGGGCTTCTGAAATTCGAAGGGATGCTGCTGCTGCTGCTGGTGGTGGTGGTGGTGGTGATACGCGCCTACATGGGACTGCTGCTTGCGCTGGGCTTTGCGAGTATTGGTGCGAGATGACTTTGCAGGCTGGGCTGCAGCAGTGGACTTGGTGGGGAGGGGGGACTGCTGGGGTGTTGGCTGGCTGTGTGCCAGAGACTTGGGGCTGGGAGCAGGCACGACCGGAGGGATAGGGGTCGCTGGAACTGAGGACGGCAGAGAGCTGTCCGCAGCTGCTGCGATCGGGAGCGGGAGCAGGGTGTCGCTTGGCGGTGCCGCCGGCGCATTTTCTGCAGACTGCGCGGCCTCATCGCCGCTGCCTTTGGACAGAGGCGGGGGTATGGCAGCGGCCAAAGTATCGGGTTGCTTGCTTGATGGAGTGGTGATTGGGCTCGTCGGCGCGACAATCTCGGCCGGCTCTTGCGAGTTGGTGATCGGAGACGAGGGCGACGAGGGCGACAAGGGCGTCTGTTGACACGGTTGCTGCTGAGGCTGCTGCCGTTCTTTCGCGGCCTGAAGTTCCTTCGTCCTCTGCTCTTCGGCCTTCCGCAGCTCCTCCGCCTTTTGCTGCTCCTCAGCAGCCTTCTTTTGTGCTCGCTTCTGGAGCTCGAGCCGCTTGCGCTCCTCGTCCTTCTTCCGCTCTTCTTCGCGCCGTCGTTCCTTTTCAAGCCGTGCCTTCTCGCGCTCTTCGTCTCGCTTTTTCTCGAGCTCCTTGCGGCGGAGCTCGCGCTCTGCCTTGCGCTTCTGCTCCTCAGACTTTTTCTTGAGCTCTTCTTCCCTCATCAAGCGCAGTTCCTCCTCGCGTCGCTTGTGTTCTTCCCTCTTTCGAAGCTCTTCGGCCTCCTTCTTCTTCCTGGCATCCTCTTCGCGAAGGCGTTGCTCGAGTAGCCATTTGAGTTCAGGATTCTCGGCTCGGTGAGTTTCGTCGTTGCCGACAGACTTTGCAGCACTGGCTTCGGTCGAAGTAGTGCTCTGGAGGCTCTCCGTCGAGGGCTTGGCAGACACTGCCTTTCTGGATACAGAGGGCGACACCGGGCTGCTGTTGTTGACCGAGTCTTGGGGAGACCACAGATGGATAGGGGACTCCAGTTCGCTGGGGCCACTCACATAGATGACATTGCCCTTTTTGTCGGCTTCTTGATGCCCTTGGGTTGACACGGAGGAGCGGGGACTGGGCTTGATAAAGCCACTGATTGACCCACCCACGATGATCTTAGCTGCGCTTCCCTTGTGAGCCTTCCGGTCGACAGGCTCGGCAAGGCGCTTCTTGGACTGTCCCTGCTTGGATTTGACACGCTGGGGCTCTGCCGACTCTGCAAGCGGCTCTGCAAGGTCTTCAATAAGAGTGGTGGCTTCTTGGGCATCGGCTCCGACTTGGGCTTCAGCACCGTCTTCGGCCTTCATAGCGCTGGCACTTTCGCGAATAGATGGGTCGCGGGTAGACTTGTTGGGTATATCTTGGCTTTGGGAGCCGGGTAGAGGCATGGTGGTCATGGAAACTTGTGGGCTGGCCTCGGAAGGTTGCTCGAGGGCGTCTTCGGCAGAGATTTGGGGGCTTTGGGTTGATTGAGGATCTTTTTTTGGGGTTTCAAGGTTTTTTGTGTCTGTGGTGCGGCACTCTTCATCGGGCTCGCCCACATTATTCTCCGACAGAGATGTTCTGTCGGAGGAAGGGGGAGGCGGGGCTAGTTCATTGCAGCTCTCCGGCCGCCCTTCGCAAGGGTGGCTGGTGAGCCGCTCGTGCCGACCTGAGCCAGACCCATCATCGGGTTGCTCTGACTCAGAAGCCCGGGCGGGCCTTCCCGAGCAGCTATCATCATGGGATGCTGCTGCTGCTGCTGCTGCTGCTGCTGCTGCTGATGCTGAAGTCGAAAGGCTTGCATCGTCTGCAGCTTCACGGATGGATCCTGTTGGGACCACTCCTGGCTCGCTGTGCCAATGGCTGTCTGCATCAAAAGAGAGCCGCCGCTCTGGGGGTGAGCTAATGAATGGGCAGAGCTCAGCGAGGTCCGCATCAAGCTCGATGGCGCCAGCGGAGTCGTCGAGGTGCCCAAATTCGAGAGGGGGCTGGACATTAAACCTTGGTGGTCCCAGCTTCGGGGGCCAGTTTCCAAAGCTTGCTTATATCACACGGAGGAACAGGCAGCGAGTAGGATGATGCACGGACGAAGAGCGAGATGCATGCGTTAAGAAAGTGGCCGCTGCGCCAAGGACTCTGCATATGCCGTCGAGGATACGACGAGGTCAGAAAATAACATGTACTCTACCATTGTGATGCGCCATGGGTTGCAGTCCGGGCGCAGGGAGTCCTGGGGCGCCTGCACCACGCATGCTGTTAACGGAGCTCATGGGGGGACCCGAGAGCCACTCCGATCCCACAAATGAGGGTGACCCGTTCATGCCGTCGCTCGAGCCCATGTTGCCACCAAGAGGCCGGTTGCGGCCGGGATGGTCCGACATGGGTCCGTTGCTCATCTTGGCGGCCATGATGGCCGGATCTCGGAAAGGCATGCTGCTTGATGGCGTGGCTCGCTGGGGCATGGGCGGATGGTGGTGCTGAGCCTCGTTGCGCAGCTGTGCGTCGCGCAGGAACTGGTTGAAGAACTCATCAGCACCATGGCTAGATGGCTTGGTATAGGGTTCGTCTTGTGGCCGCAGAGACGGCTGCTGCATGAATCCCATCATCCTTGACGATACGCTTGCATGCTGCTGCAGCGGGAAGGGCGGTTCAGCATCTCGTTGCAGGAGATGGGGGGGCATACCCATGCCCTGCACTCCAATCTTGTGATCAGGGGCCATGAAATCGGTGGACCGAACGCCGGGAAAGCCGGGCCGTGGGCCGCCGTATGGAGGCGTGGCGACGCGGGGCTGGTATGTGCCCGGCCCGGTCCATTGGTCAGCTTTGCTGCTGGGTTGGTTGGGCCACTTGTCGCCGCCAGGATGTGCGTCAGGAGCAAAGGAAATGTTTACATTTGGGAAAAGCGCCCGGAGAGATTCCTTAGGAGGGAAATCACTACGATTAGCGTCGATTCGCGGCTAATGTGCGTCGACAGCAAACTGATTCGGATGCATGCGGTGACAAGAAATACGCCTCAAAGCAAGGGATGGGGAGCATACCTGAGAAGCAACACGGTCGCGGAGTGGCGCATTGTCAGCCGCAGAGGTTTCTTTGCTATCAAAGAATTTCTCAAAGCGACTGTGGTGCTTGTGCTCGAGGGACGCTGGAGGAACGGGGATGCCGGGCGGAGCAGAGGCGATCGGGAGATCATCGCGGAAAGGGTCAAATCGGAAGCCGTTGGGCTGTCCGAGTGACGGCGGGTGGGTTGGAGTCGAACTGAATAGGGGGTTACTGCTGGCGCCGGGTAGCTCTGGGGGAGAAAGCGAAGCAAGTGAGGCCATAATCTTGGCCATTAGATCTTCCCGGAAGGGATTGAACGAGCCCTTGTAGCGCGGCCGCATTTCGTGATCCACAGGGTCGATGGGTGCCCTTGTTCTGGCACCGTCATCTGCAGCTCGATCAACAGGCTCACTGCCTTCTTCGAGGGCGGAGGAGGTGAGGAACTCTGAGTCGTCATTCCCATCTTCATCTTCATCTTCATCTTCATCTTCATCTTCATCTTCATCTTCATCTTCATCTTCATCTTCGTCCTCAGTCTCTTCGTCGATTTCACCGGCTCCCTCCAGTGTGAGGTCCTGAGCGTCTTCAGATGCGGCGTCATCTTCGGGGACTTCATCCCGGGGCAAGTCCTGACCGAAGGACTCGCCGCTGCCAACATCTAGATCGGCCGTTTCCGATGGGACGCCTGTTGACACTTCCGCTTCGCCGGGGAACTCTTCCTGAGCCTCCTGCTCCTCTTGCTGGTCTCGCTCCTCGTGTTCGTCTTGTTCGTCTTGTTCATCGTGCTCAGAGAGATCGTGGATACTTTCCGGCTCAGGCGATGCATGCTGCATCGAGGCTGAGAGAACTGACTGCGGCTTAAGCATCCCATGGATCTTGGCATCATCGTCTCCATCCGAATCCCAGGCGCTGGACCGAACAGAGTCGCTCGGGAGATCAGAGACCGAGGCGGGCGTAGTGGAGACATGGGGAAGCACTGCGGTTCCTGTCGATATCGACGCTACGCCTGATGGCTTTGCATGAGACTTGACCGGGGCGCGTGGCGAGGTCGGGACCGAGGTCGTGCGCGCCGTAGAGGTTGACTTTGCCCAGTTCGCTGTTGCTGGCAGAGCATTTGCGTTCGCATCGGCTCTTTCTTTGGGGAGCTTGAGCGCCGGAAAGGGCGGGACGCGGGTGGGGTGGAAGCGTAAATTGAGTTTCCTACACCAACACGAGGATGGAGCAGTTAGTGCCTGTGGTTCAGATGACTGATTCGGCCGCATCAACATACTAGGCACGACGTGGCACAGCGTGGTGGCAGACGTGCTCATGGAAGCAGCAAATCCACTCACGCCATCTCCTCCTTCTCGATTGCGTCGGCGTCTTCTCCGATTTCATGGAGATAAGGACACATGCCGTTGGGACATGGCTGGTTTTTCAGAAAGTACGAGCAGTACTTTGTGGTGCCGAAAGTGGCCCTGCGAGTGCAAGTGCAAGTGCAAGTGCGGCCCAGGTGAGCATCAAGAACGAAAGAGCGACTAATATCACCGATCGCGCGCATCGATTGTCTTGTGACGATATCACAGGCGGAAAAGCAAACCCCAGAGGCCGGCAGCAATATTGCTCTGATACAGGTGGCACATACCGAATGACACGGCCCTCTAACACCGAGCCATCCACAGCCTCGATGGCCTTCATGGCATCCTCTTTCTTGTAGTAGGTCACATAGACGCCTGTCTGGGCCATGTCGGCCATCAGGGGAGCATTTGCGTGCGAATGGCCGCCGCGCCGGTTGACGACAACCCGCATGATTTTTCCAAACTGGCCGAAAAAATCATTCGACTTGAGGATCTGTCGGACATCCAGACCAGTGTGTAGCATAATGGTAGGCAGCGCAAGCCACGTTTGAGCAGGGCAGCGTATCAGTAGGCGCCTGGACACGCGTGGCCATAAGACGGACACCAAGCAGGACAGCTGACCACTGGGCCATGCCGATTCGCAGAGCAAATTCACCGACGATCAAACGAAACGGCAAGAGCCACCCACCTCATCAGTTGCAAGCCGCAATGGCAATCCGAGGACATAGACCAAGTTTTTCTGGACGACTCGGACATTCGCCAGCTGCCGTTTGGCGTTATTTTCCTGCTCACGACGTTCGCGCTCCTTCTGCTTCTTTGCATTTCGAATGCGCATGACTCTGGAGTGACAGTTCGGTGCGGGATGCGTGTCCAACGGACGCCAGGCACACCATCAGCACAGCGATCTGGAACATGCAACTGAAGCACAGACCAAGCGGCACGACCAAGCAGGGATGATCGAACCACCTGCGGCTCATCGGAGGAGGCGCGGAGCACAGAATCGGTACGTGATGAATCAAGCAAACTCACTCGTCAAGAGATATAGGGGTAAACTCAATGTCCTTATCACTGAACGGCCGCCGGCACGCTGGACAGAGCTTGTTCAGGTTTTCATTGATGTGATTCCAGCAGAACCGGCAGATCTGGTAGCCGCACGGACACGGTTTGAAATACTTGTCCGTCAGGTCGATCTCCTCGAGACAGAGCGGGCACTCCAGATCTTCGTCATCTGAGCTGTAGGACATGGCGGTGGCGAGAATAGCGGGGCTACGATAGGGCGGGAGAATATGAGTGCGCGACAAAAGCAGATGAGCGTGGGCGCAACCAGGCGGGACAGGGGCTGGTCCCGGACATTGGTCTATTTGTCCATGGCCGAACTTGGCTGGGGGCTACAGTGGCAGCCGGAAGGGGGATGGGCTGCAGTCGCGGCGAACAGGAGAGCCAGAGAAGAGGCATACAAGGCAGCAGCGCACAGGGTCTCGCAAAGGGCAGTAATAGGACTGATCTGGTGCAGCAGACACCTACTGTGTCGACGGGGGGTTTGGGGAGGTCGGTGACTGGCAGCGCTCGCTGGCACGGGGAAAGCAGGCAAAGACGAGATTTCGAAGTCGATGGCGCAGAGAAAGCAGAGAAAGCCGGCGAGGCGAGGGGGAAAAAAAAGTGGTCTCGGCTCGGGCGAGAGGCGCCTGCCGGGCGGATCCAGTGTGGCTGCAGCCAAGTTCTGTGCGACACGGGCTCGCGCCGCGTGCGAAACAGCGCCTCCAGAGCAACCCGTCTCGGCAGCGACCCATGGTCTTCGCTCCGAGGTTGCGAAAGTGAGACCCCATTCCAGGTGGCCTGCTGGACGCGGGATATCAGTGGATCAATACTGCCCAAGGCCCAGGTCGCCCGATGCTCCCAAATGCCGCCCAAAAAACCAGTGCCAGTGTCGTCCAGCGCATCACGCAATGTATTTGAATCCGCCGCTGGGCTTCGTTCGCGGTGTGGTCGGATGAACAGGCAACTGGGCGGTGTCCTCAGCAGCTTGGCTGGGGACTGCCTGGTTGGGCTGCACTGCCGAATCCGTCGCATGCACAATTGGTTCCTCTGGCACGGCGGAGACATCGGGTGCACTGCTTGGCTTTGAGACGCTTGAAAACAGCGCAGCCCGTCGGCCAGCGCTCTGGACCAGCTGGACGCCTCTGGAAGCCGATTTGAGCGAAACCTCGGTCGGATCCCATTGTTGGTTATTGCGCGGGAGGGTGTCCGACGACAGGATTTTGGCGAACCGGTCCGATCTTGGCGATTTCTGGAACCTCTCCTTCGCAAGGACTTCGTTCCACATCTCCACCATGCCAAAGACGTGGCTCTTGCCAACCACCACGACGATCTTTGGGTTACTCTGCTCGGTATTGTAGAGAGCCTGCATGACCCTACGGAGGTTCGCCAGCATAATTGCGTCACGCAACATGATCCAGTAGTAGTGCAGGGCTGGATGGAAAACCGCCCAGATCTTGAGATAGGCTCCAAACTCGGAGAGTCGGACGACGTCGCCGGCAACGAGCTTGGGTATGTTCTTGGTTCCAAAAGCGGCCCGGCAGGCGATCCAAAAGAGGGCTCGATTCAGGAGCGTGGTGCGGGTGGATATGCTGCGGGGCATGCCAATCCGGAACCTTTCTTTGGCCGAGCTGACGGCGTGGGTGTCCTCAGGTGATGTTGGATTCGCTGCAACTTCGGGCTCCATGTCTATGGCCTTGACGATCGCCCCCATGCACGACGCTGATTCGATCGCCGCGGCAATCTCCAGCCCATAGCCCAGGCTGTTTTCCTTGAGAAGCGATGGAGATATGCCTTCCTCGCCGAGACTTTGGATCTCATCAGGTCGGATGGCAGCATGGAGCTGTTGTGAGGTGCTGCCGGAGGGCGAGCCTTGCGAGCCCACAAGCGGCAGTAGATGCTGTCCTCTGGCCTGGAACTTAGTCAGTGTTGCCACAGTAGCCTCGACGGCAACCACTGCAGGACGAACTTGCTCAATCGTAGATTTGACTCGATCGATCGATGTCACCGAGTCGTGATGTGTGCCGCAAAGAAAGATCTGGATGCCGGTTTGCTTGTGGACGAGGGGCGACATGGCCAGCTCGTCCCATTCTCGCTTGGACTGCTCAAATTCTTTCGATGGGCCGGTGAAGCGTCTACCAAAGATTGTGCGGCATTGGACGATCGATCGGAGCGATGGCTCGCTGTTGGGTTGCAGGCAGCGAGTAGGCTTGCGTTGGGTGGCTGTGCGGATCGCTGGCACGGCTGCAGCACCAGCGGACCGATAGGCTCTCGGCAAGCACGCAACAGTTAGGAATGGCGATGGCATGATCGATGGAAGAGCTGTCGGCGAGGGCACCAGCGGAGGGGGTCGCAGCCGATCTGGCCAGAGCGAGAAAGTCACAAGAATCGGCTCGGCGTGCCAGATTTGGAATACCGATGGGGCAAGTTCGCTGTGGCTGAATCATCTCAGGCACTCGGTCGATCACGACCAAATTTGGGGATCAACCGCGGAATGAATGGACACCGACTATGGCGAGCATCACTGGCCAGTATCGCTGGCGAGCATCATTGGCGAGCATCACTGGCGGAGTGCTCGATCCCCAATCGCAGTGGTACCCGTCGTGCCCATTCACTCCATGCATCTCCCCCACACAGGGAAATGGCTTGACCCACTTGGCCGGGTGTGTGATATGATCCGTGCTTGCCCGAATGAGACGGTGTGTCCCACTTTTTCTTCAACACGCTGTCGGAGTGCAGCATCAATGGCTTATTCACATAGAAAGCTTTGGTTGGATATGTACACGATACATGCAGTGAAGATATGGCACGAAGATATGGTGTGAAATGAAACGAAATGAAACGAAGGGTTGACAAGAAATAAACAGGGCTGCTGTCCAATGATGCCTCACTTGCGGTTGATGCCCATGGACGAACAAGGGCGAGGAGTATGGAAGAGTGACCCAGAACCACATGAGACATATCCAAATCGAACATGAGGTGACAAGAGGATCGCTAGATGCTGCCTCATTGAAAGGCGAATACGACTTGGCGCGGAAAGAAAAGACGACTGCGAAGAACGAAGGAATGAAGCGTAGATTGTGGGATCGACGGCGGCCACACCGAGATAAGCCTCGTGATGGCTCATTGCTGCTGAGACCCGAGACAGGATCTCAAGAGGACTCAGGCGTGATGCGCCGAGTCGGGCAGCGCAGGAAGATAGCGCTCTTGTCCCAAAGGTCGAACACTGGAGAGTGAGATGACGCCGGATAAACCGGTAGTTTGGTTGAAGCCCTGTTGTTCGCGGCACGGACGGTTAGAGGCGGGCGTCCAGAATCAAGATCCCAGGTCTTCAGCGTCAGAAAATGGACAGCAACGGAACGTCAAGCTCTCCAAGTGGATGACTCCACCTGGATCAAAGCCACTGCTTGTTCAATGACAACAGCACTCTTTCGTCTCACCTGTGCGTGACCATTTTCAAAATCGTGCTCAATGACGATCACATCGCCGATATTGAGGGGAAGGTCTTTTGGATTGAACTTGGAGACATGCTCGACGGCAACATACTTTGGGGCATTCTGTGAGCTCTGCCTACCCACCGACGGGTTGTGGCTCGATGGGGAGGAGCTGGACTCAAATGGCTGCGACGGACCGCCAAATTGAGCCGGGTCCTGGATCCTTTGGAAGCTTCCGATTTGGAACTTGTCGTCAACATGAACCGCCTCGCTCCGACTCGATGAAACGGATTCACGGTAATTTGGCGGACTTCCAGTATTGTAGAGTGGCTGAACAGGAACCACATCTGGGACACTTGAGGCATACGAATACTGGGGCGATGTCGGATAGCTGGCTGGGTAGAGTTGGATGGTAGACTGGGGCAACACCTCTGGTGAAATGTACTGAGGAGAGTATTGCACCGGGGCGGCGGATGCAGCAATTGGAACGGCAGAAGGAGCGATAGGAGCGATAGGAGCGACAGAAGGAGCGGCATTGACGACAAAGGACGGAGGGTAGATGGATTCGACAGGCTCGGCTTGGTACTGCGACTTGCGGGCCCTCTTCGATCGGCGCGAAAGCCAGACGAGCAGGCCAGCAACAAGGGCTACAAATACTGAGAGGCAAACGGCATGGGTGCCGGATGCCGCAGGGACCAGGCGACATTAGCCGAATGCTCCATCAAGATCACTCTGAGTGGCGCCATGTGTCCTTACCGACGGCCCCGGCTGCTATTCCGCTTATGAGCACGACATTGACATTGCTTTGTGTGTTGGTTGGGGTTGGGGTCGCCGATGGAGCCGATGGAGCTGTCGAGCTTGCCCTGGTGCCATTGGGAAAGCCCGAAGGAAGCGCCACGGTCGGATCGCTAAGCACGCCAATGACTCGATAAACGACAAACCCAGTTCCTGAGTCGGCGCCGTCGATTGTGCAGGCATTGGATGGCGTATCCCGGCCAACAATCTGGCATGTGTTGCATCCTGCATCGGCGCAAGCATAGAACTCGATTTGTCCACTGGTCGGATTGTTGATGGTGATTGCAAAAGTGCCGTTGGCAACTTGAGTGCAAGAGGTGTACATGGGGACACGATTGACTTGAGTGATAGTACCGCAAGTGGAGTCACCCAAAGAAAAAGTTTCGTAAAAGAAGTATGGGGTCTTGAAGCCTGGATCCCACAAGCTTTGGACAGGAGAGGTTGGAATGCAGAGTCAAGGGCATACAAGTCAATCACATCATGTCCACTCGGAGGATAGCAGGTCGCCAGACCGATGTGACGAACCAACTGAAAGGTTAAATTCGATGCAAACAAGCAGTCGTCTCCCGTAGCATGGGTATATCTGGGTGAAAGCTGCTGGCCAGTGTCATGATGGTACCTCGTGCTAGTGTAGTCCAAGGAGCTGTACGCCCCAGTAAAAAATCTACTTGTGCACGAATTGGGATTCACTGTTGAGTATTGGTTGAGTAGCTTGCAATTTTGCTTGCAAGTTGTGTCCAGCCCACAGTCGTATAAGTATATCGAGTTGTTGGCCGGGACAACGGTGGAGTACTGGCATGACTGGGTCGAGGTTGAGGTTGCTGGGAAGCACATACACCTATTGCTAGCCACAGCAAAGTCGCCCAGATTGCTCACAATATCATAGTATGTGCTCCCCGAGGGCGCACATTGAGGGGCGATTCGGTTGGATGTGTGAGTGGTCATCCATTGGACGTTTGAAGGATTGATTGGAATGGGGGTCGCCATCAGGGTCGGGTTTGCATATCAAGGGAAGGAGAGAGTGTGTCAAGCGGTATCTGAAGTGCCAAACTTCTTCAAGAGGCAAGGGCAAAGCTGATAAACTGCGGTGAATCTGATGAGGCCAAGTGCAAAGCTGGCTGGCAGTATTATCAGACAACGAGGGTGCTAGCTATCATGGAGAGCAACGTCCACCGGCCGGGCCTGGGGCTATATAGCTCGGGGCGCTGTCACGATGGCACAACTTGCACACCGCGAGTTTGTGCCTGCCCTGGGTCTGGACCTGGGTCGAGGTGGGGGGGATTTTCACTGTGATCGATAAGTGCAAGCTGTCATCCGGCGTTGATACGAGGTACTTTTGCGGGCTGTGGTGAAGACCGGCCCCACAGAATTTCCAAAATAAGCGGGGGCTGGACCCGGGCCGCGACATGGTGAACCACGGCGTATGGCCACTATCGGCTGTGTGTCTCCTGCACGAAGAGCCGAGGAGAGTTTGTCGCGATGTGCCGGACCCACACCCAGAGCTGCGTCGGAAGAGGCGGCTCGTGGCAACGGATAGTGGACGAGCTCAAGCTGCGGCACCCCGAGTGGCAAGAAAGCGGCCACGAAAAGGTCGGTCCGATCGATAAGCTCCTGGACCTGACGAACGTAGTGGGTTACTACGAGCTGGATGGCATGAGAAGGTTCAACTGGCAAGACCCGGATGTCCATCTCCTGTGGCGAACACTCCGAAGAGTGTTCAAGACGCTGATCATCGCCAAGGCGGGGTGGAAACCCCCCAGGCGATAGGCGGCATGGTCGAAGCAGAGCGAGAGATGAGGGCATATGGCTCTCATTTCTCAAGACTGCTCACTAGGTCTATAAGAACTTTATTCTCTATCCTTTTTTTTTCTTTCCTTTCCCCTGATATACTGCTAGGGCCGACCAGGCCTTGATAGCTTTCAATTGAAATATAAAAAAAAAAAAAAAAAATGGTGAACCACGGATGGTCACGCTGATTCATGTTTCAGCAGAAAGAATCAGGGCTGGTCTCGATGACGATAGCACGCCGCTTGGAGGCATCCTGACTCGTTGTGAGAATGGCCGGTGGCTGAAGCAGGCTCATGCAAGAAGAAAGCCGGAATAGTCGCGATGCCAGAATCATCGCAGTCGCAGATGAGCGGGTCGTCAGCGGGAAGCTGCTCGCTCGTCACCGGCGTTGCTGCTCTCAGTCCTCAACAGCAAATTCGTCTTGAATAGCTTATGGATCTCACAGACGAATCTTCATGGGCGATAAGTTAATGCGATATATTGCGATATATTGCGATATATTGCGATATATTGCGATGTACCAACCGCATCCACTGCATCCACTGCATCCACTGCATCCACTGCATCCACTGCATCCACTGCATCCACTGCATCCACTGCATCGAGAGCACACATATAGGGTGTCGCACTCGTTGGCCGGACAGACCGGCGGATCCATGCTGGCCCTTGCTTCTCTGGGGGCAATGCAAACGGCAATTGAACCTTCGCCGAGTGATCAAATGCGCATTTACCAACCCAGACACAGGGATACAGGGCACGCCGCCACGATGGGGCTATATGGGCAGACATAACTTGCCCTGCCTCTATCCGAAGACGATGTGTATTTGATGCTGTCAAGCCGGCTGACATGGTTTCCGGGATATGCTGACACTGCTGCCGAGGCCCCGCGAGTCCGAGTCATATATATCATGCATCGAGCTCGTTGCCGCCAAAGTCTCGCCGCGGGCCCTTGACATCCAGGTTGCTGGGCTGTCTTGACACCCACACCCGGGCATCGACCACTTTGACATCGAAGCAGTCAAGGATGGTTCGAGAGTTCTCGCAGGTTCCTGTCGTGACATCATATGTCCATCCGTGCAGGTGGCAGGTAATTGCGGTTCCCCAGATGATCCCCATGTCTTCAATGTCTGTGACGACGCCTTTGTGGAGGGGAGCGCCCTGATGAGGGCAGATGTTCAGAACTGCGTGAAACTTGGTCTTGGGCCCATCTTTGGCGGTTGTGTCGATCTTGTGGATAAGATTGACTCGGCGCTTCGGATCGTCGGCGAGAGGAACAGGCGTGCACGAAGCGGTCTTGCCTTCGGGGATGGCAAAGTCTTCGACAGAGCCGACGCAAAAGTACCTGGCCTCGAGGCTGCCCTCGACGGCATCGTCTTGTTGGGGAGCCATGGCGATTGAGTGCAGACGGGGCCGACACGGCGCTTGGGACACGACCTGGCATCAAATCGGCGAGGTATCACGTGCGATCGATCACGTGCGATCACGTGGGGAAACGATGAAAGAGAGACCAGCCGAGACCAGCCGAGACCAGCCGAGACCAGCCGAGACCAGCCGAGACCAGCCGAGACCAGCCGAGACCAGCCGAGACCAGCCGAGACCAGCCGAGACCAGCCGAGACCAGCCGAGACCAGCCGAGACCAGCCGAGACCAGCCGAGACCAGCCGAGACCAGCCACGACCAGCCGAGACCAGCCACGGCCCTTCAAGTGCGAGCCACCCGGATCAAGGCGATCCTTGCGCTCCTTCGCATCGACTTGATCCTGAATCCCCGCCATGCCCAAGTAAGCATCTGGTTCTGTTTGGCGACGGCGGCCTCGGTGACCTCGCTCTTAGACTTACTTCCTTCGACCCCTCGCCAGCCCTCGCTGCTTCTTGGACATCTCTATCGGCAACGTCTCTGCCGGGAGAATCGTCGTCGAGCTCTATGCTGACGTCGTGCCCAAAACGGCAGAGAACTTCAGGGTCCTCTGTCGAGGCGACTCGGCAAAGCGGGCCAGCAACGGACAGCCCCTGCACTACAAGGGCAGTGGCTTCCATAGAGTCATCAAAAACTTTATGATCCAGGGCGGCGGTAAGCACGACAGCAAGAGCAGTGCTGCTTCGATGCAGGCTGGGGCAATCGCAACGCCTCAGATCGCAGCGCCCCAGATCGCAACGCCCCAGATCGCTTGAATGCGTCCCAGTGCGCCGCCATCGTGCACGGCCCACGCAGCGTCGGGGCTTAAGGCTATGCGATCAAGTCTGTGTGTGGCGGCCGGCAATCCAACTCAGGCCCCTGTTCGCACTCGCTCCTCAGACTTCACCAACCACAATGGAACCGGCGGCGAATCGATCTACGGCGAAAAGTTCCAGGACGAAAACTTCCAGCTCAAGCACACCAAGCCCGGTCTTCTCTCCATGGCCAATGCCGGTACCAACACCAATGGAAGGTAGCTTTCGTACAACGTCGTGGCCGCTGGTCTGAAGCATGCGTGGGCACCCGGCTGTCGTTGCAACTCCATCCAGCGGTTGACCCCCCATGTCACATATCCACCCTATAGCCAGTTCTTCATCACCACCGTTCCAACTCCTCATCTGAACGACAAGCATGTCGTCTTTGGTCAAGTCGTAAAGGTGAGCTGTAGCTTTATCCGGAACACATCGTGGCACCAGCGCCATCTCAATGTCCTCATCTTGGCGCCGGGGACAAACAGCGCCTGCCCTCATGTACAAGCACTCCTGATTTGCAGCGGTGAATCATCGAGCCTGTAGTCTCGCTCGAATAATGCCGCCCATCTCAGCTACAGCTGATGCCGCAACTGACCAAGTCCGTCGCTCTCTCCAGGGCATGAATATTGTTCGCCGAATCGAGCATCTGCCCACCTCCAACGACCGCCCCAACGATCCTGTCAGCATCGTGAACTGCGGTGAGCTGGCCGAGGGCGAGGACGACGGCATTCCGGCCCCAGTCGATGGGGATATCTATGAAGACTACCCAGAGGACCACCCGGGCGACCATCCCGTCGAGGAAATGGTCAACATCGCGGGCGAACTCAAGACCGTCGGTACGACGCACTTCAAGAAGGGCGATTTCAAGGAGGCTGCTGAGAAATATCTCAAATCTGTGCGATATCTCAACGATCTGCACCCGGCTCCCCAGGAAGCCAACGATCAGGACTTTCCTGCAGAACAAAAGAAGCTGTATTTCCAGCTTAAGGTTTCATGCCTGCTAAACGCCGCGATGGTAGGTCGATTTGTCCGCGAATCGGGAATGATTTGATATGTGTCGCTCAGTGCTCGTCTTTGGGTGGGATTATGCGTTGCAGAAAGCTGTGATCCGGCCATTTCTTCGTTCCTGTTCAGTCGCTGACGGCCCAATTGTCTCTTTGTCCCAATCTGTCGGCGTCCATTCCCCAGTGCTATCTGAAGGTCAGCAACTGGGCTGGCGCTATCGACGCCTCAAGCAAGGTCCTTAACCTGGCCAGTGCCCTCGCCAGCCACGCCGAACTTGCGTTGACTCCGTCAGATGTTTGTAAGGCCCGCTTCCGTCGCGGACAGGGCCGTGTCAAGAACGGCGAGCCGGATCTGGCCCTTGAGGACTTTGCCGAAGCCAACAAGCTGTCGCCCGACGACAAGCTGATTGAGCGTGAGCTGAAGATGGTCCAGAAGTTCCTGAAGGAGCGTGATGAGAAGCAGAAGCGAGCCTATGCCAAAATGTTTGCTTGAGCGAGACCAAGATCTCCTTTTAGGCTGGCGATCCCAACACCACCAAAATACATGATCTCTCGTTGCCGCAGCCGTTGACCCGATCCAACGCCACTGGCTTATTGCCCTCATAATCAACACCCAGCGACGATAAATGCAAAAGTCTTGGAAATATGCGCAGTGGGGTGCATCGGATGGAGATCAGCGGGCTGATGGAGAGAGGCGCCTCAGACTCGTCGAGTGGCACCATCGCCTTCGAGCCCTGCCCGCGACTGGAGTCGGTGCGATCCCAATGTGACAAGTTCCTGCATCAGAACACGCGGTTGAGGACGATGGATACAACCCGTGCAGAGCGCAACGGGGGAGTGCCATTTGCGTGATTCCGCAATTCCGCAATTCAGCCGCTGCCTTGAAGCGCATCCCTTCTTGCTTCCACGGGGCATTTCCAGAGCCAGCCGCAATTGTTTGGCCATGGTGGGCGATGAGTGGGTGTATTCACGACTCAGAAAAAGTGATACACACACGCGGTGCTATGTTTCGTTTCGAATGGGCTGTGGGCGTGTATTCAGGATCCGGATTAAAGCGGGGAGAGTCCTGCTCGTTTCTAGGGTTGACGCATCTTCCTCTTTTGATCTGCTTGCAGGTGGTCTACTCGGCCTTTTTGAGCTTCTTGGCTGCTTTGTTGGCACTGGCTGAGGATGGCGACCCGGCGGCTGGCTTCTTGGCCTCCAATTTCCTGGAACCTCCTGAAGACGGCTTGGCGTAGGCTTCAACGGCGATTCCAAGGAAAACGATGCCGACGGCCACCCACTGGCCCAACGACAGCTTATGGCTGTAAACAAACAGACTCAACAGGATCGAAAACATCTTTCGGGTAACAGTGACGGTGACGAGCGAGAGCGATCCGAAACGCTCGAGCGTGTGGTAGATGAAACACTGTCCAATCGCGCCGCAAAGTCCAAACAGGACCACGTCGAGCATAACCCTTGGAAAGAGCGAGCAAAAGACCAAAGCATTCCGCAGCTCGGCGGAGTACGGATTGAGGAGCAGATACAGAATCATGAGGATGGACGAGAAAAAGTTCATAAATGTCATCATCTGGGTTCCCGAGACCTTGTACTTGTGGAAGACCTGGTCCTGGGTGGAATTCGTGGCGCCGTCGACAAACAGGTTGATGGACAGGAGAAACAGTCCCCAGAGCGAGCTGGCAGCCGCACCGCGCTTGTGGGTGCCCTCCTGCTCATGCAGCATCATAAAGGCCGAGACGCCAACGGTCACCAGCAGCACAACGAGGTACTTGTACGGGGGAAAGGTCTTGCGGTAGATCACAAAGTTCATGATCATCACTGGGATAAGCTTGCATGACTTGCCGAGGATCATGGTTGGGTAGTCGATGTGGCTCAGGGCCATGTATCCGAAAGGCGAGCCGCTCGAGTTGAGGATCGAGAGCTGGACGTATTTTTGGATGAGCTCGGAGGAGGGGCGCCCCAGATCGGATCCTTTGATTCTCAGGAACACATATCCAACGACAGAGGCCAGAAGAGCCTGAACGACATTAAGGACGATGAAGTACTTGAAGAATTGTCGCTCGCCGTCCGGGGTAACATATGGCTGTTTGGTGACCCGCTCTTGAACAAGTCCCCACGTCAGGAAGCAGGCGTAGATGCCAATGACGCAAAAGGCCAATTCGGCGTAGGCTCTGGACATGGCGAGACAGTCAATGGGCTGGGATGGAGGGCGAGGCGGGGATTGGGCCGGATGGGAGCGGGTCCTCGATAGATCAGAATCGGACTGGGGACCCGATTACTGCAGAGGCGATGGGACGTGGGCGGCTTGGTTCGCAGGACGAGACCGGATGCAAGTGAGGCAACGCCGCGAAAAGCGGCCTGAAACCAGAGGTTCTATATGCGACGAACGGACCAATCAGCGGATGCCAAATCTGTGTGCAACCGAGATAGGCCGACACGGCGAGGCGCTCCTCGGTCTCGGTCTCGGTCTCGGTCTCGGTCTCGGTCTCGGTCTCCACAATCGACCTGAACCCTGGGAACGTGCTCTGCATCGGTTGCGGGCTCATCAAGAGTGACAGGGCCGTTCAGAGCATACCCCGCAATATACCCCGCAGCATACCCCGCAGCATACGACGCAGCATACCCCGCAGCATACTCTGTAGTGTATTTGTTGGTCGTCATGCATGCTTCCACAAAAGTGGCCAGGCATGGAGTCTATGTGTTGGGCCAGTACACAACCCGACATGCCACATACAAAATCAGTGCACTCGGGCTTGTTCAAAGCTGGGCTCTGCTCCACTTGAGACACCGGTGTATTCAAGCGGGCTTGGGTTGTGGCTTCTGTAGAGTGGCAGGGCGACGCAAATGGCTGGATTCAAGAGTGTCCCCGAACCACCCGCTGTCGATGGCGTCACCCAAGCTTGAGCTTGCCTGGTCACAATCTGCAAACTAGTGCTCCTACGACGTCACTTGAAGCACACTTGAGTGCAAATGAACATAACTTGATCGCCCTGGTCTTGGCTTGCAGCTCTCCCAGCACTCTGCACAAGTCAACCATCGTGGCTCGTGAGGCTCTGTCGAGATCGCAGAAAGTCTCGGTACCCCACTACCTGATATCCAGGCTGGTTTCCGAGTCAGCAACTTCATCCGTCTCCGGCGGAGTATCGACTGAAACTATCGACCCATATATCCATCCGTCCATCAGCCTCTCTGTGCCTCCATCGATCCACCCATCTGTCTGTATCCCTGCGCTGGCTCGCTTCTGGTGTCTGGACCTATTATAGAATGCCGCTCTCGCTCTACAACCCTGCAACCAAGCAGTTCAATTGGACTGGGATCGCCATCCACGTCGCATTTCTCCAGCTCCTGGTGATATCTTCACTAGAGGCCGTCGCTATCTACTATGTATATACGGTTGGTATCGCCGGTTTAGGGTTGGTGCGCATGATATTTGGCAGCGCCCAGCATCGCTATCGACAGCGCTAACCATCTATGGCGCCAGTTCATCAACGCACACATTCAAATCACGCCTCCGGAGATGGGGGGCAACTCGAGCGACATGACGTACAATGTCGGGCAGTATCCTATCCAGATTGTGTATTTTGGGCTGTTCATATTCTCGCAGTTCTTTCAGTTCATCTTGGTCTGGGATGCGGTAGGTGCCGTGGGAACCTGAGAACTCTGTGCTGCCGACCAGCCCAAGTTTCCAGACCGCTGGGGCGATCCGCCTTTTCGAATCGAGCGGGGCGGCATCACCAGACTTGATCTCACCCACCCCATCGGACGAGCGGGCGCACGAGCTTACCCATGGTGTGCGAATACTTGTCCCGCCATGATGGATTGATTTGCACTTTCACTAACCTTCATCCTCTGGAACAGGCTCGAGTGAAAAACACGATGCAGGTCATTGCCGGCGCAGTTTTCAACATCCTGACATTTGCTTACTCGGGAATTCAAATATGGCAAACCTACAAGCTGCTAGGGTGCTCAGTTAGCATCATCGATGGATTCAACAACGGCAACAGCCGAGCCTCCTACTACGCGGCGCTTGCCCTTCAAAGTGTCACAGACCAGATGTGCTCTGTTCCGGCAAATCCGCCCAACTCGACCAGCGTCAGCATTCCGTTTACCACGGTGCCGAATCTGATCCGTCCGGCATTGCCGTACGAATATGCTATCTTTGTCATCATGTTCGTTTTCAACGCTGGCGGCTCGTTTGTTGCATGGAAGGTCTACGACGTTTACGGATGGGTGATCTACCAGGTCCAGGGAGCCTCAACCGAACGGCGGAGTATGTTGGACCGATCCTGCATAGGCTGACATCCGATAGAGTATGCTCAGAGGCTTAGCGTCGGTGGCCCGATTACCACTGCGACGTGCATCGTCATACAGACCGATAGAGTCGTGTCAGCAGCCAATGCTGTCCATCTCTGTCGCTGCTGCTATCGCCGTCTCGTCGCTGTTTTGGTCAACGATTCGATCGCACAAACTACCGGCACCCTTGGCGGCATCGTCGCCTCCGCCGCCGCTGTCGCCAATAGCAGCTCTAACTTCCTTACGATTCAACTGCTTATCCTCCAGGAATCATGCGCTACTATCACAGTTTCATTCTCTTGCTCAAGGTCAACATCTTCTTCTATGTCGGCATCATCATCCAATACGTCACGGCCTATTTTTTCGTCACACGCCATCCCATCGTCTGTCCGTCGTACTGGTACCCTATTTGTGACGACCTACAGCTGGCGGGATCAATCGTATCGACAAGTCTCTCTGCAACCAAGTTTGTCATCATCACAGGAGTGGTGCTTTGCATGGCTGCAATTCTCTACTACTCCTTTGGCTACTACGGGACCCGTCTTGGCAACCGAAGTCTCATGCTCAGCTTTCTGGTGCTCATCACCATGACAACGGGGGCACTCATATATCCGCTTTATCAAGCCTTCCAGACCGGATTCGAGATGACCCGAGTGTGGCTGACCGTCTTCTGTAAGTGACTCGGAGCTGCGCTGCTGTTGTGTATGTGTGCTCCATCGACCGTGAGCGATGAAGCAGATCAACGCAACCGATCGCCGCTGAGCTGCTGCGTTTATGTTTGTTCGCCAGGCTGCATCCAGATCTGTCTCAACGTCATCACCTTCTTCCTCGGTGTGTTTCTTACCGGAAGCATCAACAAAGGCCTGCGTGATATGGGTATGTTGCTCGCCTGGACAGCCTTTTCAGGACACCACCGGTCCACAGCCTGAATTCCAACACCGGCTTGGTTGCGCTGGAGTCGCTGCGCTTATGCTGTCGAGTCAAACGGCGTTGATGTATCACGCGCAATGTCTACTCACGTCATTCCGTCTGCGCTTCTCAGTTCACCGAGAGGCGATGATTAATGCCCCTCCAAGCCAAGTGAAGCCCAGGACGCAAAACGTTCTTGATTAGCGCTTCGTTGAGAGCATGTATCATTAGGGTGTATTTACAACACTTTCGTAGGACCAAGTATGGCCCCTCCAAATACCCAGACCCTCTGCTGCACTTTGTTGATGGCCCGGTACCGAGAAGTGATCTGGATTATGTCGTTATCTGCCCGCTCAATCCAGTCAGTCTACACTCCCTCCACCTGGCGTGTCCAGTGCGCTCTACGAATCGAGTTCAACCTCTCGAGCATATGATTTGCGACAAAGAAAGCCGTGTCCTCGAGGGGTCGGCTGTGTGTGTGGCTGTATGGGCTTGGACGGCAATTGGTAGCGTCTCTACCACGCTCAACGTCTTGGTTGGGAAGGAGAGGCCACTGAGCCAAATACAAGCACAGCAATGGAATGGCAACAGACTCCCTTTCCATTGATAGAAACATCTTTCCCTCCGTCCGTGCAAGAAACGAGGTGCTCTGAGTTCCTTCCACCAACAACCGACTCTGAGTTCTGGATGCCCCTTGCAAGTGTCCACTGTGCTCCGAAGCACCCTCCAGCGATTTCTCGTTCCCCATCCCTTCGGGAACATTGTGACAGTCTTTCGATCATCACCCGCAGCGATCGACTTGATCTTGGTAGTCAAAAGGGCAAGAGGCTGCAGCCCCGATTCTGGCTGGGTCTGAACCCAGATATCTACACAGGGCTCTCAATGATCCGCTAGCAGCGAGCCAGTACAGTGGCCTGTTTCTTGATGCAGAGGGTCAAATATCCATTCAGGGGCCTAGTCCCGCTTTGGTGTCTTGGGAGTCGGAATGATGTTTTGTAAAAGCGCATCGATATCGGCCAGGTTTTGTGGGTGAAGCCGATTGTATATCCGAAACTGGTTCGAGCGGTCTTTGGCAACGTTGCAAGTTCGCTTCGGTGGAAGATTCTCATGGATCTGTCGAGCATAGGCCGTATTGGCATACCACGAATGGGACGCTCGCGAGAGGACTTCGGCGGTGGCAATCGATCTTCCGCGGCTTTGAGGCAGCCCCTCGAGCACTGGCCCAGGCGAAATCAGGTCAGTAGAGAGGGCTATGATCGTCAGGCATTCCAAGCGCTGGTGCTGTCAGATGCGCGCTGACATGAGGCTATTTGGCTCGATCGCTGCGAACGATTATCATCCTGGACAGTACTCTGACTGAACCACCAACACTGCTCACCTGACCCCTGCCTCGATGCAAGGAGGTTGGAAAGAGAGTCTTTGCTGCCATCCGGGCTTCGAGGATAGGTGCTTGGAACATCAAGAGACGGAATCGGTGGAAGCGATACCTGCAAAGCGCGGTAGGCCATTTCTTCCTCGACCGCCACCACATCCGCCGGCCGGGCCGGATGCTGAAAGGTCTGGAAGTCATTGATGTCCCAGGGCGAAAACTGTCCAAAGGTTCCAATCCATTCACCTTGGATCTGCGGGCGATTCAACCCCCCCCCCACGCATGCACACAAGAGCATTCACAATATCGTGCCAGAGACGTTAGGATTTATGGCCATAATGACTGCGTAGTATCGACAAGCACTTACCGTAAAGAGTCGGGCGGTGCAATCGGGACTCCCGGTCAACACCACCTGGAACTCCTCGACAAAATCCAGGCTCACGATCGAGCGGGCGTGTGCGCGGAACCGGTGTCGCAGCGGCATGCTGTGATCGAGACGGTGATCCACGCATGTGTCGGCAATGTCCCAGACGCTAACGCAACCAACTGTGTCGGCCGTAATCAAGATCGTATTCGACGAGTTTACCGACATGGTGAAGATGCCTTCACTCGGCTCAGAGGTGCCTGGACACGCCCAGATCATCTGTCCCTCCTCGATACTCCAGAAACGAATCATGCCGTCCGAGCCGCAGGTGACCAGCTCCGCGGCACCGTGACAATGTCTGCGCTCCAAGAGAAACAAAACTGAATCCGAAGTGGATTGGACACAGTCAACTTCCATGGGCATTGAGGTCGCTGTGATCTCATTCTCTCACCAGAGCTTTCGATAGAAGTGCAGTGCCATCAGCGTGTGGGCTTACCCTTGTCAATCGACCTGTTGGTGTTTGGTTTGGTTTCAGCGTCCCACGGATCGGGAACTCGTAGTCTGTGCAGCACATGCCCCGACTGGACGTTGAACAGAATGATTTCTCCGTCGTAGCTGGCCGTCGCCAGCAGATTTGGTGGCGAAAACTCCATGGAAACGATATCATCTTTGTGCCATGCTTGCTGTTGTCGATCTGGAAACGTTTCGCTTTCGTGAAGCGTGTAGCTCTCGAAATCGTCGACAAACAGTGACACACGTCTGTTCCATCCCGTGGCGGCAATCATCGGACGCTCGTTGAGGTGTATATACTGAAGTGCCGAGGGAGAGCAAGAGTGAGCATTGCCCAAGTCTCGAGAACACAGTAGTCACCAGAATGTAGCGTACAGCTCGCAGCTGGTGAGGTGGCAAATTGAAGCGCACTCTCTTGCAATCAGCGCGACAGAGAAAAATGTTCGAGGCAGCGCCAGGCTCGGTTTGGAAAAGACATAAGCTTACCGTTATTGCTGCAATTTCACCGCCATCTAATTTCATGAACTCATGCAGCCGCTGCCCATTGTTATAGTTCCACATTCGAATCGTTCCATCTGGTGGTTGTGGATCGAGAGACTCAGAGATGCAGAAATAGCCAATTTCAAAAGCCTTCGCATGCTCTCCCCAGTCTCACAGCGCTGTCACATCGGCTCGGACAAAGTTCAGGCAGGCGTGCTCTCTGTCATGACCACCCCCTCTGTTACCTCGCGCGCCTGTAATCAAGCGACGTCCATTGCTGTCGAACGACATGGCAGTGATCTCGGCCTTGCCACTTGTTGCCGAGAACCGAAATACGTTTGCGCCGGTTGTGATGTCCTGTTGGGAGAACACGGGCGCGATTAGCATATCAGACAGGTAGAGTGACTGCAAGGACAGCATCCAATCTTGATCAACCACCGCGCCTTGGAGGCATCTCCCCGAATCTCGGTTCTTGGGTTGCAATTGATCTTGTCTGAGCCGATCTGATAAGAAACCCCACAGACTCACCCAGACATTGACGATTCCCCCGTCACATCCGCTGACCACCTGCTTGTAGTTGGCACTGTATATGACACCTCGGATAGGATGGTCGTGGCTCTTGGGCGATGTGACCGCCGTCCGCCTCTCCTTGAGATTGTACACAGACATGATCGCGCTGGCGGCGATAAGACAGCCTCCGCCGCTGGAATTGAAGAATACGGTGGCGATGGTATCTTCTGGCCGGTGAAGCACGCTGTCAAAGAGCGTTTGGAGGCACTGCTGCTTTCGGATGTCCCATATCTTGACAACTTTGTCAAAGTCAAGCGATATGATCTGCCCGCTGAGCTCGTTGATGGTGATGGAGATGATGGGTGCGTTATGGCCTTTCAGTGCGGCCATGGGATTCTTGAGGCGATGAGGGTTCCATAGTCTCAGTTTCTTGTCTTGGTGACCAAAAGTTTGACGGTTGCATGCCGGCGAATGTATTGCGTCAGGACGTCATCGTACGATAGAAGATTGAATTAGCGTCATTGATCTCTTCATAGTGACAGTGGCGGAAGCAACAGCAGACCCACGATCTCGATGCACTTTTGTGGACCCATGTACAGATAACTGCCTCGGGTGTGCAGAGACGGAATCAACGTCTCCTATCCTCTTCATCTCCGGCGCTCGCTTCGATGAAAGATGCTTGCCTGTTCCGCCGGTAACGAGAGTCAGGGGGAATTTGGAATATGCAAAGGTATTGACGCCTTTGTGGACAGGTGCAGAATGGTAGATCCACTTCTTCTTGGAGACCTGCGTTGCCACCACGAGCGAGTGGGTTGGGTCCGGCGAGCAGCTCACAATCAGATGAATGTCGTGGTAGTAACGCACCATGACCGTCCAGTCGTTGTGGGCCTTTCGCTTGGTCAGAATACACGAAAATTTGTTGTTCTTGCCGAGAGAGTCCAGCAGGACGGTTTTCCCCTGATGCTTTTGGGTGGCATACTGGTCGATCAGGTTGATGTTGAAGGTGAAGACCAGTACATATCCACTGTCTGTGCCGATATACATGGTCCCATCGCTCGCATCTGGATTGTCACTGTCGGACCAGTAGTCGAGAGAAAGGGCCACGGTATCTTGCAGATCCAGGCGGAGCTGGGTCTCCATTGTCATGAAATCTGAAGGATACACATCCGTGCGGTTTCAGCGAACGGGCACATCATTTATCATATCATATCCGGCTCGAGATGCATTCTGCTGGAGGAGCAACGGCATTATGCTCTTTCACACACTTCTCCCGTCACAAGCATACCGTAGATTGTCACATGGTGGTCGTCGGATGCGAGCGCGATCTTGTTGAGATTGTCCATGTACGTGCAGTCGTGGGTCCAGCGGACCTCGGTGTTGCGAGGGATCTTGTTGCCCTTCTTCGCCTTTTGTGCCGATTTCATCGATGACTCTTCCAGTCCCTCAATGCTGCCGGTAGCGAAACCGGACCGAGTTAGATGGGACCGAAAGCGGCTGAGCACCGGTCTCCTGCTACCTCTGCGCCCGCTGCGAACAGAACCAGTCTGTCTGCTTTGTGAGCCACGGCACTCGTCCCAACACCAGAGACTATATCTCGTCCTCGTTGGCATCGCCAGCACCGCCACAGACGGTACAAACCCAACATTCGAAAAGCTGCGCTGTAGCTTGAGCCGGTCGCCCCAGTGGCAGATTGTCCCCTCCCGGCTGCAAGTAACATATCGACTCGACTTTTTGAGAAATAGGATTCTCACGATGGCATCCTTGTGGGGAGTCAGGAGCGCCGATCGCCTCACTTCGGTGTCAAAGAGCTGTGTTTCGGCCTCCTCCTTCATTTTGTTGTGTCCCTCGGCCTGAAGCAGCATGAATGTGCTGAACTCGTCCCAGTCGACAGAATCATCGATGTTGGCGTCGATTTTCATAAATAGATGCGACATCTGCTCTTCGTTCAGTCCCTGACCGAGGATCATCCCAAAGGCCTCTTTGAATTCATCGATCGAGAGACAGCCCTTGCCATCCTTTTCGGACGCCTCCTGGAAGACAGATTTTGTTGCGACTGGGCGTCAAGCCGTGGCCATTGAGCCGATCGCACGGCTCTCACAGCCAGCCATCCATCGCTCCCGCGGGCTTGGACCTGCGGGTCGCCTTACCCGGAAGATGTTCATGAGCTCGCGAAAATGCTGGAGATTCAGCTCCTTCTCGGCTCGATACGAGGCGTTGTCCTTCAGCAAATTGACCCGATTCGGCTTGGAATGAAGCTGCACCTCGAGTTCCTTGGTCCGAGCCTTGGTCCGGTCCAGGACCGACTCGCCTTTTGTCTCCCTTGAAATGCCCCAGGACTTGAGTCCCTTGAGGCCGCCGGGGACATTGCCATGACCCGACGCCTTGGTCCCCGAGATTGCCGGCAGGGTAAATGACATTCTAGCGTTTGGGACAATACAAAGCAAGCACGCATCCGCTCGCCAAGCCCCAAAAAATTATCGGCAAGCCTCGAGCTGGACGAAAGGGCTGCGATCCAACCCGAACAACATATGTTTCTGGAACCGCTGCACATCGTGAGCAATCTCGCCAATCATGTTGTGTTTGGCTGATGCTCCTGTGTAGTGTTGTGGGTTGGGAAGGCTCCCCGGGCGAATGATGTCGATCGGCGGCCGCACTGGCATGATGGACTGGGCCGATGAGATGTCGACTGCAGAGATATTGGACTGGCTTCACGGGGCGGACTGACTCCATGGGACGGACACCCAGGGAGACGATGTTACCCACTTGGTCGTTGCTTGTGTCTGAAGTTAGGATCTGTGCCATGACTATTTCAGCACGATGAACATCCCACTCAAGTCAACCGACCCTGTCCGCCCAGTCCGCCACGCTTGATCCCGATGCTGCAATATGGATCTTGCGGTCAACGAACGAACCCAGCATGTCTCAATCGAAAGAACCATTGCTGATCATGGCTGATCGTGTATTCTGGACTGTGATCCCGAGCTGGTGCAGCCAAGGCCAGAGGGGATGCCGCAACCTCCGGCCCTTGAGGTGACGGTTTGTTCGAATCATTGATTGCATGTCCGCGGGTTCCACCGAGGACAGAGCCGTATCCTGTTCGAAATTGCACAAGCTGGACGCCGATCGCTGGACAGCGGTGGAGGCGGTGCGGTAACTCCGCGGATCGATGGGAGGCTTCTGGGGATCAGTGCGGATGATGAATGGGAGGTTGATGGCGTAATCGAGACAGAGGTAGTGTTGCTTGCTCCGGGCCGAGCTGGTACCAGAGGGAACAACTTCAAAAGTAGATACAGAAGACGACGTGCGACGGGAGGCGGGTATAACACATTCATAGAACAGCTGATCGCAGCGTCTTGAGATCCCGGGCGCTCAAGTCGGTTTTTTTGATGGTGATTCTGCAGGGCGAGGCGAGAGCAGGTTGAGCTGTGGGTTCCACCGGCGTTGCGAGTCGAGCAGAGCGGACTACGGCTCCATACCAGCGAGATCGCATTGATGGGCCAGGCCGATGCCTCTCTAGATGCCTCTCTAGGGCGACGAGCCCGTAGATCAACGATATGCCTTACCTGTCTGTTTCGGTCTTGTAGTAGGAACGCCCAAACATGAACAGCCAGTAGAGCACAGGCAGACAATGCAGGAAGATGATGAAGTGGATGATCGACCAGCCCACGTCCTCGGGTGTTTCGTCAATGTCGTGGTCGGCCATGGAGTCCAGTAACTCAACTTGGGTATGGTTCCCAGCATGCCACGGCAGCTTGGAGGAGAGTGGGATGACAGGCATTGGGAGGGCTTTCGAGAGGCCGGATGGACGGAAGGATGGCAGAGGGGAGAGGAGTGAGCCAAGGAAAAGCTGCGAGCGGAAAGAAATGCGAGCACGACGAGGACGACCCGACGCACGCTGATTGGCCGGCAGGACGATGACGTCGCCCGAGCGCATCATGTCTGTGGTTTGGAGGCCGTGGTGGCCATCGACTGCAACGCAGCAGCACCGAAGCGTATGGTGCGGAAGGCATCGGGGGGGGGTGCACAGTGCGCAGGTGCATCGGAATGCACAGCTAGAGACATCAGAACTATCGGATAAGCCCCACGGTCCATCGCCCTGGTGGTGCATTTGCTGGCTTGAGCGATCGATTCGCGAACCGAAACATGCGTGTGAGAGCTCCCTGGACGGCGCTGGCTCTCCGCCGGCTGCTGCAGAACTACCGCCTGCCTGGCCAGGGACGGGCATGGCACAAGGTTTTCGTTCCGCCCCAGAGTCGCTTGCCCCTTCCACCGGCAGCTTGCGCCGCTGCTTCTCAGTAGTGACGCTGGAGCGCAGGGAAAGTAGACAGGGTAGCCGGAAGGGCGGGCAGCCCCACAAGCGGACCGCAGAGCTTCCTCGATCTCAAGCGGGAATTGGCGCCAGAGAAGCATTTCTCTGCACCGCCCGATCCATACAAATGACATCCACATTGCGCCGACAGCCATGAGCGTCCCGGCGTCGGTACCTGGAACAAGTTGATCGCCCTGGGGCTGCCTGGTTTGACTCCTGGGAGGCCGTCGCATCTGCTTCCACGCATTACGTTGCGAGTACGGCACTTGATCGGCAGATTAAGAGCGAGTGCACCGAAACCTCGCCCAAGCGCATCGCACGCACGCATACCAACGCAGAGTATCGACACCAAAGACCAAGTTGATTCGCAGAGCTGCAGTCGGACGTTGAAGACCAGCCCAACTCCACAGAGCGACGGCAATGATTCTCAAGAATATGACCACCGCGGCGGACTCGCTTTTATGGCTTCTCTTTTACTTCTCCGTCAACCTGACGCTCACGATCCACAACAAGGCCGTCCTGCAGCTCTATCGCTTCCCGTTTCCATGGACACTTACAGCCATCCACATCATGTGCAGCACGCTGGGCTGCTCGGCGTTGTCGGCCTTTGGGGTATTCCGGCCCGTGGCGTGCAGCCCCAGAGACATGATCAAGATCCTGGGCTTTTCGATCCTCTACACCGTCAATATCGCAGTCTCCAACATCAGCCTGAGCATGGTTACCGTCCCGGTGAGTAAGCAGCCGAGATACACTGGGATCAGAATGCCTCTGGCCGGTGATTGCGTGCCCCATGGCTATAATTCCGAATCCGGGCCTACGATGAGACTGTGGGATCATGGGGTGGGATTGTGGGAGCAGGGTACGAGAGCAGCATGCGGGATGGGATGGGATGGGATGGGAATGCGGGGCTCACAACACAACTTACGCCTTCCACTTGCCATCGCCAGTTTCACCAAGTGGTGCGGTCGATTGCCCCAATCGTCACCATGGTCCTATCATCTCTGTTTTGGAGACACTCGCACGGCACCAAGACATGGATATCCGTGCTGCCGGTAACTGATCCCACTGCCGCAGCATCCCACCGCATCTGCCCCCACTGCAATCTAGCGTCTCACGGCGTCTGGGGTCGCTGCTTCGGACGTCTAACTCGATCCTTGCTATCAAACACACCCACAATTGCATACAGACCATTGTCGGAGTGTCGCTCACGACTTTGGGCGACTACGACTACACTTCGGCCGGCTTGATCCTGACCATCTTGGGCACGGTCTTGGCCTCGCTCAAGACAATCTTGACCAACAAGCTCCAGGTTAGCGACCGGTCTTCCCAAAAGGCCAAGCTCGGTCCTCTAGATCTGCTCTACATCATGTCCCCTCCAGCGCTCGCCCAGACGCTGGTCTATGTCTATGCAAGTGGCGAATTCGCGACCTTGTCCGAGTACTGGGCAGATCCGGGACTCCGTCGATCGAGTCTGCTCGGCGCCCTTGTCTTCAACGGATCGATTGCCTTTGCCCTCAACTTTGTGAGCTTCACTGCCAACCGGAAGCTAGGGCCCCTCATGATGGGTGTTGCTGGTGAGTGAATTGTAGCGCGAGTCGGCATCCAGGAACCGCAAGGTCGGAGGAATCGGTTGTGTCTGTGGTCTCTCTTCCCCGACTCATCCGGCCGTCGCTACCGTATCCACGAACGACACCGACACCGACACCATCGCCACCAACGCCGACAGCAAACATGAAGCAAGTGCTCTCGGTCGGGCTGGCGGTTGCCGTGTTTGATTTGCGCATCGGCGCTATCAATGCGTTGGGCATCGTCCTGACGCTCGCTGGCGGAGCGGTGTGCACCTACGTCGAGCTGGAACGCAAGAATATCCTGAGCCGGGGCCAGAATGAGCCGATACTCGTCCTTTCGAAGCCGTGACGCTCGGCCTTGGGATCTTGCGCCAAATCGGCCGGCGTTACTCCATCGAACAGGCTACCATCTCTCTCGAGATGAGTCGCCAGGAGCTGGACTCTCTCCATGTGTTTGTCCCAAGAATGTCCTCGTGCAGAATGCTTTATTCTGTTGAGTTATAACAATCACGAACAAACGAAAGCGTCCAGCCGCTTTGGCCAAGGATCAAAGGTAAAGCGAGGCCACAGGGAAGCGGAAGGGCGGGGAGGGAATTTGGGGGCAATCTATGGACAGGGAGAACCCAGCAGACAGGCTGCGGAAGAAATGCTTTGACGAGGATTGTATCGGTGGATTTTGAGAAACTCGGGAGGAGAGGGTTTAGCTGGCTTTGAAAAAAAAAAAAGGTGCAAGCAAAGGCGAACGCAAACAAGACCGAAGAAGGGAGGGGCAAGGGAAGGGTCAAGGGCGGGGGGGGGAAAGTGGGAGGTGCCTGTCGGACTTGGCCATTAGGCGGTAAAGCCGTTGACAGAGTTGAATTGATCGACCCACTGGCGATGCTGCTGCTCCAGCTGGCGCACAAGGTCGTAATCGACCACGCCCATGCCCCAGGAGTCGGGGAGGGGGCTGCCATAGGCAAGCGGCATCGCAATATCGTCGACAAAGCTGCTGCTGCGGGGGAGCGGCTGCTGGTAGGAAGTGCAAAGAGCGGCTGCGGACATGGCGTTCGAGATGGTGAGGGGCTCGAAGGACGTGATCGAATCGGAGAGCTGGGCCTGGCCGGGGTTCTTGTTGCCAAAGTAGGTGCCAGCCTTGGACGGGTTGGCCTGTTGCCAGAGGTCCCAGACACGATCGATGTTGCTGGAAGCGTAGAGCAAGCGCATCAGGGCAAGAGTCGTCAATATTGATGCCACCACAACGGCCGACTGTGCACGACGGGGGCAGCCAGCCGTGCAAGCACTCGACTTACCCATGGAGCAGGAAGAAAATGGGATCGTTGGGCGAGTAGAGTGGTGTCAGGTCACCGTTGGGGCCACCGACGCAGACTGGCAAGTCGTATCGCGATATGAGTGTGGAGAGGCAACAGGGTTAGATGGCGATATGAGACATGCAAACTGGAATCCACTTCCCAACGGGGTTTCAGCGAACGAGGGGCCCGAACATACCGTGGGGATAGCCGTGAACAATCTCCCAGGTGGTACGGAAGCTGTTGTAGTCCAAGGTGGCGTTGTTGATCAATTGGGTCTGGATTTCGGCGTTGGTCCAGAAGGCGTCGGTAGTGATGGTGGTACCCTGGTCCCACTGTCGCTTGATGCACTGGCCAGCAAGGTTGCCGTAGAAAATATTGGAGACGGGGTATTTCTTAACCCACTCTGTAGGTAGTCAGGTTGCGTCACATCGTATTAGCACAGCTCTATCTTGGCCCTGTGTCGTTGTAGACACCTAGGCGCGGCTGTGGGCTGTGGACTAAGCAAGATTCGGATGCGCCGTCTGGTCACGAGCCGTGCGGCCACCGTCGATGGGAATCGGTGGGATTCACAAAAGCACTCACTGGAGGCAACGCCGTCCTGGAGACAGTAGTTGGTGGTCGAGTCGCCGTTGTGGGTGCCGAAGGTAGTGGGGTCAAAGATGACCGACTGCGAGGGCTGGTGCGAGTCGGCGCCAAAGTCCCAGTAAGGGAGGAAAACGTTGGGGTCGATGTTCTTCAGATGCTGCTCAAAGACGTAGATGAACCATCTGTGCCAGGGGAGGAACGCGGGCTATCGTTGCCGATGGATTGTTGGTGCCCAGGGCCAAGTGAGAAGACAGAGTGGGGAGATCAGTCAATGTGGACGTGCAGCAACACACTTGACTTGGTCAGAGCAGACGCCTTGAGATGCACTCAAGTGTTCTTGAGGATCAAAGAGTACAGCCACACATACCACATAATGCGCCGTGAAAGTATTGGTCAGATGGATGTTGACAAAGTCGTCGTAGTCGTAGGTGTTGCCAAAGACATCCTTATTCACGGTCTTGAGCTGGTTAAGGGCGTTGATGTAGCGCGTGCGTTCGTCCGTGCTCATGTCATACCAGCTCTTGCGAACGCTGACGGTGGGGCAGGACGTGGGCGGGCGGACAATAAACTGGGGCAAGGTCGGGGCGAATCCAGAGATGCCCACTTGCATCCTCCAGACACCGCCGCAAGTCTCGGCGCTGTTGCCGGAGCAGGCGATGTTGCACTGAGACATGGGAACTTGCGTGCCAGCAATGCCGGTATCGCCACCTGGGTTTCCGTAGGACACGCTGTTTCCGCAGCGGCACTCTGTACCAGCTTCAATGCCGTAGTAGCTGTGGCGAGTGCGGGGGTATAAAATTAGGGATCACACAATAGGCAGGAAACAATCCGCAACAGCGCATTATGCGACAAAGATCGTCCAACAGCTAACGGCCACAACAACAGCAACAACAGCAACAACAGCAACAATAGCAACAATAGCTGGGTGTACGTACATATAGTGGTAGTAGCTACAGAAGGCCTTGCACTTCTCGATCGTCTGGGTGGGGCTGTTTCCGACCTGGACATGACACAGAGGGGATGGGCTATCAGTACGAAGCGCTGGTGCATATCGCATGCAGCATACACAAGGCGTCGTGACTGCGCTGGATGATGATGGCTTACCGTGACAAGGTCGCTAATGATACGGGCGCTGTTGTCGATGTAGCAGCCCTCGCCGAACGAGAGATAGATGGAGATGGCCCAAGGACCGCCACAGAGACTTCCGTCGCGGCAAGGGGTGTTGCAAGTCGAATCGGCCACGATCGAGCCAGCGAGGATGCTACCACCGTTTCCGGCAGCACTGCCGTAGTTGATGGTGTTGCCGCAGTGGCATTCGCCAGCGATTTCAACACCGGCGTAGGTGAAGTTCTGCGAAGCACACCAGTTCTGGCAAGGAGCAGGGGAGCTGGTATCGATTTGGTACTAGCGATGGACATATGGCATGAGGGATCAGCTGGAGATTGCGACAGTGGACAGCAGGAGCAGTTTCAAAACATCAAGCTGCAATGGCGCTCTGTAAGGAGCAGACTTACGTTGGCAGCACCGCTAAGGACTCTGGAGGGGCTATCCAAGAAGCAGCCCTGATAGACAGTGTTGGTGACGATAGGCTTGGGCGGAGGGGTGGGCAGCAGAGTGCTGGTACTAGTGGTGGTGGTGGTCTTGGTGGTAGTAGTAGTAGTAGTGGTAGTGGTGGTGGTGGTGGTGACCGGGACGGTGGTGATCTTGAGACCCGTCAGTCCAACCTGCATCTTCCACGAGCCACCACACAACTGAGTGCTGTCCCCAACACAGGGGATGTTGCAGCTGCCGGCGGGAGCAAGGGTACCCGCAATGCCAGCCGAGTCACCCGAGGGAAGGTTCTCGTAGACAACACGGTTGCCACAGTAGCATTCCTGGCCAGCCTCGACACCAAAGTACCTGTAGTGTTGCATGAGACAATCAAACAGGCGAGACGACACATTATTGCCTGGCGATGATCGGCATCAGCAAACTCAGCAGCTAGTCATCGGACCCTTGAGTGTCTGTGTCCGTCAACTTACGCGGCGCCTTGAGACAGACAAGTGCTCTTGCATTGGCTGGCACTCAGTCCGAGAGGGTTCTGTCCAATCGATTCACAGACAGCGTGATGAGTCTCGGTTATTGCTGGCTGTCTCAGGTCCATGCAATATCTCGATTCTATGTCCTGTCATTGCTACTTACGTTGGTGACCTTGCGGAGATCGCGAGCCGAGTCGTCGTAGTAGCAACCTTCGACCGAGGCAAAGTAGACCGAGGCAAGCCAGCCACCACCACAGCTGGTGGTGCCATCGCCAGGGCAAGGAGTGCTGCAGCGAGAGTCAGCGACAAGAGTGCCGACGACACTGCCATCGTTCAAGCCGGAGGGAGTGCCGGAGCTGAGCTGCTGGCCACACCAGCACTCGGCACCGTTCTCAAGGCCAGCGAATCTGTCGTCAAAGGATCTGGGTCAGATGGCCGCGCGGAATGACATTGAATGGCGCCGGGTGTGATACAACGGCAACTTACTCGTAGCCAGACTTGAGGCACTGGAGCTGGCAGTTGGGGATGGTGAGGGGGGAGACGCTCTGGAGCAAACGTGGAGAGACCGTTGTCAGGATTGACGGTTGGGGCACGACATTGATGGTGAAGCATTACACTGAGCCGAACCCAGAGGTCCGAGGAACTGCTGGTGAGAGCGGCGACAATACTCACGACTTTGGTGGAAAGGAGACGGCTGGGACCATCGGCGTAGCAGCCAAGATAGGGTGAAACGGGGGGCAGGTTGGTGGGGGTGGGCTTGGAGGAAGTGGTGGTGGTGGTGGTGGTCTTGGTAGTAGTAGTAGTAGTAGTGGTAGTGGTGGTGGTGGTGGTGACCGGGACGGTGGTGATCTTGAGACCCGTCAGTCCAACCTGCATCTTCCACGAGCCACCACACAGCTGAGTGCTGTCCCCAACACAGGGGATGTTGCAGCTGCCGGCGGGAGCAAGGGTACCCGCAATGCCAGCCGAGTCACCCGAGGGAAGGTTCTCGTAGACAACACGGTTGCCACAGTAGCATTCCTGGCCAGCCTCGACACCAAAGTACCTGTAGTGTTGCATGAGACAATCAAACAGGCGAGACGACACATTATTGCCTGGCGATGATCGGCATCAGCAAACTCAGCAGCTAGTCATCGGACCCTTGAGTGTCTGTGTCCGTCAACTTACGCGGCGCCTTGAGACAGACAAGTGCTCTTGCATTGGCTGGCACTCAGTCCGAGAGGGTTCTGTCCAATCGAGTCAGAGGCAGCGTGATGAGTCTCGGTTGTCGCTGGCTGTCTCAGGTCCATGCAATATCTCGATTCTATGTCCTGTCATCCCTACTTACGTTGGTGACCTTGCGGAGATCGCGAGCCGAGTCGTCGTAGTAGCAACCTTCGACCGAGGCAAAGTAGACCGAGGCAAGCCAGCCACCACCACAGCTGGTGGTGCCATCGCCAGGGCAAGGAGTGCTGCAGCGAGAGTCGGCGACAAGAGTGCCGACGACACTGCCATCGTTCAAGCCGGAGGGAGTACCGGAGCTGAGCTGCTGGCCACACCAGCACTCGGCACCGTTCTCAAGGCCAGCGAAACTGAAGCGAGCAGAGTGTGAGTCGAACCGAGCGAGACCGCCGATATTGTTGTGCAGTTCAGACGGGAATCGAGGCGGATGGCTACGTACACATATCCAGCTTGCACACAGGCGACCTGGCAATTGGGGATGGTGAGGGTCGAAACGCTCTGGGACGATCGAAAGGCACCAGGGTCAGCATCGAGGGCATGAGCTCTTGGGCAGGAAGCGAGTGGACAATCGGACGCAAAAGGACAGTGCCGCTGAGTCGGTCGCTGCAAATGCTGGAGTACGAGCGGGCAATACGCACAACTTTGGTGGAGAGAATGCGGCTGGGGCCGTCGGCAAAACATCCGACGTAGGTGGAAGCAGCCGCTGAAGAGCGCAAGAGACAGAAACAGCATCGGCATCGGCGTCAGTATCGGCATCGGTATCGACAGTCGAGTGACATCGGATCGTGGGTGCCCAGCCGCATCAGCACCCACGGCCGACGGTATCGTTGGTGGTCGAGCAGCTTCGAGGTGATGTTTGATGGTCAAGACGCCTCAAGACGCTTGACAACCCGACCCAAGTCTTGCCTTCTCCCACCTGAGACAACAGCGGCATTGGCAGCAGCGGCCGCGGCAACCGACACCCAAAACTTGTTGCTGGACGGCATTGATGCGCGAGCCAGCGGGGTCTAGGAAACAGGAATCAGCAGCAAACGGAGGAGCGAGGGAGGGGAAGGGATCTTGTGGTCTATGTCCTCGGAACATTCGTATCAGGGCCACCATCGGGTTTATATCGGCGCTCAGTGCCAGGCAACCGCACGATGGCGAGCCCGAACCTGGAGCGCTTGCCGCTGTCCGTAAACTGTTACTGTGGACTGCGAGAGCGGCCAGACACCACTTGGGACGCGAAACACGCGGTGCGCCCGGCGAGCTGACCAATGGCCGCGGCGGTGTCGCGCACAGGCCTTCCAAATGCAACAAGCGCCCTGGCGATGCGCGCTGGCGCGGGCTTGCTGTCGCGTGCCCGACTCGCACAACACAGCCGGGGAACCAGCACACGGCAGCACATGGTCTGGCAGCGCTGTGGCGGGCGTGTGGGCTGGCTCTGGGCTGTGATGGGCTGTGATTCATCGGCAGTCGCGCTCGGCGCGCTGCTGGGCACCGGGTCGCACACGGCCCTGGCCCACGGCGAGCTGCGGGTGTGTGGAGCAGGGCCACACAAGCTGTCTCTGTGTTGACTGCCGGAAAGGGTTGGCTGCAGCAAAGGAGTCGGCTGCAAGCCACAAATCGTGGAGTCACAGCCCCAGCCGGCCTGCTGGCCCCGCGACTGCCCTGGCTGCTCTGATCGAGAGCGCAAGACAAGCCAGGAGCGAGCAGGGGCGGCCCAGACGAGGTCCTCGCAGAGGCCGAATCCGTGCTTCTGCGCGGCGGAAAAAGACCCGAGCTGTTGCGGCTGTGCAGCCAAAGTCAGCGCGGCCCGACAGCGACTGTGTCGGCAAGCCGGCCCAGCACGCAGCTCCTGGCGATCCAGACCCTTGGCCAATGGCGTAATCACCGCAGACGGCGCCTCAGCACGCCCTGAACCGGCCCAGAGTGGACGACATGACCACCAAGCAGCCGCGGCTGTGCTGGAGACAGCGAGGGCGGGGTGCTTCTCTTGGCGTGGGCCCATGAATCTCGCTCGGTGGGGAGCGACAGGCCACCCCGTACCTATCCGCGATCGAGCAGCGGCGTCTCTGACCCTGTCATTATAGAGAATGCGGATGGGGGGGGGAAAGACCACCAACGCAAATTGAGACTCTGAGCATCCGTGCTCGAAGATTGAGTGGGACTGTATTTTATTGGATTGCGTGTAGGATGCGTCGTATGAAACAGTCAAAGCCAAAAAGAATAATAATAGAGATCCGGTCAGATCCAGCACCTCAACCGTTTGGTGCTTTGTCCGTGTCGGTATGGTTTATGGAGAGGCGGCTATCGTGCCGGAGAGCCAAGGGGCTGCGGCATGGACAGCCTATCATCAATGGTTTGGTTTGCGGTGGCCAGTGGCGGCAGTGTCCCGACGGCAGCGCCGTGCCTACAGGCTAGCCATTTTGGCCTTGGATTATCAGAGCCCCGTTGGCTCAGGGCCAGGTCGGGAGCAGAGGGCATGTGTGCTGCAGTTCGTTCAGCCGTGGATGCGACGGAAGGTCTCTTCGTCGATGGTCTGGAGGATAATTGCCGCGTGAGAAAAGGACCGATGTGCTCGTGGATGCCGATGGACGTGCCAACGATTTGCATGCAAGCATGCAAGCAAGCAACCGCCGACGGGTGCGCACGAGGCTAGAAGACCAACCCAGGTCAACCCAGACCAACCCGGGCTGGCCAGACACGGGCCGTCCATGACCCCACGTTTCCATGACCCTTCCCCGCCGCGAGCAAGCACGCGTTGCGGCCCGTTGAGGAGGACTCGACTGACCTGGATCTTGGAGGAGCCGGCTGTGGGCGAGGTGGAGAGCGCAGACTCGGCTCCGTCAAAGGCATCCTCATAGTCGTCGGAGGAATAGTCTGCGTGGACGATGCCCCAGTTGCCCTTGCCAGCGCCGTTCTTCTTGGGCAGGCCGCGGAGATCCTGCAGGCCAGATCTGCAAACCAAACGTGTGCTGTTTGAGCGCCAGAGCAAGAGCGAGAACGAGGGTGTGGCATGGTGCTGGACTGGTTCATGAGCGGGTCGGTCTTTCACCGACCGGGCGGGACTCGGCTGTCTGACACCTACCGCTGATAGTGCTTGCTTTGCCGGACAGGGGTGCCACCGACAGTCACAACGGAGGGGCGAGTCATGGTGGAGTGAGAACGGGAAGAGGATGAATGGGTGAGCGGCCGAAGGATATGCTCTGTTGATGCTTGATCGCCGGGGAATGTGGCCGCCTTTTATGGGAGGGGGAGAGAACGATATCGGACGACGGACGGCCCTCTCGCTCCCCAATCCGACAGCACCATGACCGGTGCTATTGTCTGCGGCAGGCAAGGTTTGGGGAATGACGCAATGAGCGCTGCGGGCTCGCTGGCAGACGGCTGCTCCACCACTCGCTGGCGGTCAGATGCCCGGTCAGATGGCTGGCCAGGCAGCTCCGTTGATTTCTGGAAGGCTCGCGCAGACGCCCGGCTGCGACGCAGGCGGCGACAAGGGGGCGGCCTGTGGCCCAGCGACGCCCTGCGGCGGGGGCCTGCCGGGGGTCTGCTGGGGTCTGCTGGGCCTGTGGAGATGGAGGCGCTGGTCTGGCGGCGGGCCTGCGGCGAGGGCGGTGGCCCTGTGGAAGTCTTGTGGTGCTGCTGGTCCTGGAGGAGGAGGAAGGTGGCCCAGCGCCTGAGGACAACGGACATCAACGTTCCCAAGACAATAGCACCCTCACACGTTAACAACATTCCCCCAAGATAACAACATTCCCACAGAACAACCACACCCTCGCAAGGCAGATCGAGGATCTTTCCCTCCGTCCACCGATTGCCAAAGTGCGCTTCTCGCTCCGCTTCCTCTCCCCTCCCCCTCTCCGTACAATGCTTGCCGTGATCCATACGGGCAGATCCCTGGGATGGCGACATCGACTCTGCGCAAGCGCCGGCGGGAATCCGAACCAGTGCGCAATCGAAGTGTGTGTCAGCGCCGCTGGCTGTCCACTCAAACGGCTCGGCGCTTTCGTCAGCCCATCGGCCGACTCGCTCGCCGACTGACTTGCTCGGCTGACTTGTCGCCCCCCGCCCTGTCTGCCCGCCCTCGCTTGATTCATGTCCTTCATGTTCGCCTGACCCAGCAGCACTCCCACTGGTCCACCAGCCCGCGCTGCCGTCGCCATGGCGGCTCCCATCCGGCGTGATCGACTTCCGACCAGCAGAGCCGCTCTGCCCACAACACCACAACGACAATGTCATGATTGTGTCAGCCGCACGGGCAATGTCGACAACAGCTATATTGCTCCCTCGATACCTGTCTCCCCCTCCACATCTCGCTCGAGCCACAGATGCGATCGACCGCTCACGAGTGGCCGCCTGCGGATCCAGCCCCAGCGAGTGCGCCAGTGCTGCCAGTGTTGCCGGCGCTGCTAACCCCACCCCGGCTCGTGGCCTGCTGGGCAGCGAGAGGTGGAGGCACGCCAGAGAGGCTACTGAGGGACGAAGGCTGGCCGCCAACAGATGAAGCACGGCCCTCTTCGCCAACGGCTCCAGCAGCTCCAGCAGCTCCGGTTGCCCCAGTCTCCTCGGCAGTCGTCTTGGTGCCTCGTCGTCGTGGATGACGCTCCGTTCCTGTGCTGCGGTTGCCTGGAGATGGATGGACGGTGTCAGAAAGGTCGAGCGCCCACGGTGCCGACCCACTCGTCGTCGTCAGGGCCGGCCAGACGATCCGCTGTCCCTCGATCGATAGATACCACATACTGCCAAGCCCCACTTGCTCACTCTTGCACTCTCGACATGCAAATACCCAAAGCTCGGGGACAGCAACCAACAAAGGTCGTCCACGGGCACTCGCACTCTGTCGAGAGACATACCGCTCCGACGGGCTCGTTCCTGGCGAGCCTGGACAGCCCTAAAGTGGCTCAGAAGATCTTGCCAGCGGAGAGTTGGCACTTCAGAACTCGTAGCTTGACTCTTGATGTTGGGTCGGCTCTGAGGGCTGGCGGCAGGTTCCGTGTGGTGGAGTCAGTTCGTTTGGTGGAGTCAGTTCACATGGGACATGATTCCATAGAGGCCACAACACCCCGATCCAAGATGGACATTGCCGGTAGACGCATGTGTGTCAGGGCGGGCCGTTGTGTATCGTGGGCAGCAGTAGAGCATCCATATCAGGTCAGAGATGTACAGCGGTATCGCCTAGAGACCCCACGTAACGCTCTGGCTCGTGCTCACAGCTAATCTCGCCAGGCAACTCGCATGCTGCCAGCTCTTCTCTGCTCCAAACCCCTTCGTTCAAAGCCTGCTGGTGGGGGGGGGGAAAGCGCTTTACCTCTTCAGTCCGCTTGAGATCAATCCAGTCGGCGGCACCGACGACGGTGGCATCGGGACGTTCGAGTTGGTGTAGAGCATCACCAGGGAGCTGACCGAGTTGAGCCGGTTCTTGAGGGTGGCAAACGCAGAGCTCTGGGGCAACAGCATCAGGATCCCGTACAGACACTTGAAGAGATGTGGATAGCGGTCGGGCTCGAGCAGCTGCAGCCGCAGGTACGTGAACACGGGCGACTCGATCAGCTGCACCAGCTTGTCGATCTGGATCAAAAAGTTGACCGTGATCTCGAGCTCGGCAAACACCTGCAGGAGATTGGCGGCGTGCTCGTAGGCTTGCGCAAGCAGGCAGAGCGAGAATGTGGCCACGGGATTATGCGACCACGACCGGTACAGGGCCACAAACAGCAGGAGGCCGTCCTGTCGGCAAGTTGGATATGCGCAGATACAGAGGAGTGAGTTGGGCGCAGCCTCATGCAGCTCGGCAGGAGAGTGGATCTGGATGCGTGGATCTGGACTCCCATTAGCCCGTCCCGAAACACCCCCAGCAGATCCATGGACAGTTTGTCCCGGACTCGACATGCTGCGTCCAAGAAATGTCGGCTTACCCGTGTGTCCAAGTTCCGGATGCGCTTTCGCAAGTCCGAGAGCTCCGGAGTGGTAATGAGGATGATGTTGAGGTTCTGGACCATGGTCGAAGCAAAGTCCAGGTCCTCGGCATGCTGTGTCTTGGTCTCGAGGATCTCGGCAAGCGACCGGTAGATGCGCTCCGACTGCAGACTCAGGCACAGCTGGCGGATGATCAGCGTCCCGCGGCTCTCGAGGAGCTTGCGGTCCGTCTGGAACAGCAGCAGGAGGTTCGTCATGAACCGATTGAAGTATTCTTCGCCAGCATACTGCGAGATGTGGGCCAGGAGCTGAAGGTCCCGCTTGACGACCTAGAGCGGGTTAACCGATGCATCCACGCAGCCGTTAGAGTTGGGCTCTGACTCGATAAACCACATTCGACTGCATTGTCTTGATCCGCACGACTGGCCACAAGCGATACATGGCAAGTCGTCCCCCATTCTTGAAAGGGCACATACCTCCTCCGAGGGATCCGACACGGCCCTGAGGAGCGAGTTGAAAGTACTTTCGTCTGCAGCCAGGATCTAGAGAGAGAGCGTTGATTCCACAGGATATCGGAAACGGGCGCCCACATCAGTACAAAAGCGTCGGCCGTCCATGGAAGGAATAGCGTTTCCCCACTCGGAAGCTAGTTTTCCCACCCACACCGCCGAGTGGCAAAAGCCTCGATATGCACCTTCCGCGGAGCCTTCCGATGGAGCATGAGAAGCCAGTCCAAAGACGCGGTTCGGGTTTCTTCGTGCTGGTCAAGTAACTTCTGGGTCAAAACCTCGATGGTAAGCTGCAGCTCGAGGGTCTCGCCCTGCAAAAGCAGGAACTCCATGTTGGGGGGCACGGGCCCGGCATTGCTCGAATCGACTCCGTAAAGACTGCTTGTCGACGCCGACGGGCTCATGTTGACCGCAGGAACGCTCGCCTGGAGGCCCATGGACTCGTTTGAGGCCTGCAAAACCACACTCTTGTGGGCGGCTTTGTCGCCGAGGGGAGTGTCTTGAACGAGGGCGAAGAGATTGGCGTTGGTGCCAGAGGCAGCCGATCGGATGGCTGGGACGTTGTGCGAGATGCTCGGCAGGATCGCGGCGAGCAGCGTCGGGGTGTATGGCATCATGGTTTCCTTGGCCATCAGAATAAACTCGCTGACCCACTGGATGGCCGTGACCTGGGTCTCGACATCTATCCACAGGATCGGTCGGCAATGCCGGGACAGTGCGAGTAAGATGCACGCGCAAGCGGCGAAAGAACATGAGTAAACGAGAGATCCCGTGGACAAGAATAGGATGGGTCCACAGGTCGCAGAGGCGGGCAGCCAAAGATATAGCCCAAGCGCGCAGTGCAACCTGCCGTCAGCTGAGAATCGACGGCGCCCGACCGCCTGGATCGGACGGGTATTGGACGGTATTGGTTCTGCTCGAGAATCAGCCGCGCCGCAGTCTCGTATGAGCATCATCACACCCTTGCCCCGATATTCTTACCAGCGCTGACCAGGTGCGGACTGAGGATCTCGACCATCTTGCCAAAGTTCAAGGCAACCCCTTGTCCGGGAACGTAAGGGTGAGATCCTGCCAGGGATGGCTTGATGATCCTCCCCTGCACGCTGCTGCGTCCGAGTGAGTTGCTCCAGTTGCCGCTCGGATCGGCGATGGTCGTTCCATCGGCGCCAAAGGACTGCAGACTGGCGCGATCATCGGCATCATGGGCGGACTCGGGCCGGCTCTCGGCCAGCTTCTCGGGAGGATGGTAGACGCCGCGCGTGGCCTGGACATCCAGCACATCGCGAATCTCTTTCAGGAACTCGCCGAGGAGACTGAGGGTCTGCGCCCGGACATCGGGGTTGGGGTCGCTCAGGTACTTGAAGAGGCCGTCGAGGAAGTGCGGCAGGAAGGCGATCAGCTCCAGGTCCGGGAGATGATCGAGAGTGCGGATCCAGTCGACCAGAAAGATGCGGGTCAGCGGGTTGAGGGTGTTGATGCGTTCGGCGAGGAGCGGAATGAACTTTGGGATGTTGAAAGTGGTCTCCTCGACACCGGGCAGGGGATTCAGCGTACCGGGGACGGCGTGCTGGGGGTCGCCGATGCTTGAGTGTGCAGAGTGGGCCAGGGGCGAAGGCGAGACGGGTCGCAGCAGATGAGGATTGCCGCTGACTGGGGCCGACGAGGACAGCACCGCCAACGACGAGGCTGCGGCGATGGCGTCCGCGGCCAAGTCGGGGTTGAAGTAAGCCGACTGTTCCGAGACGATGTCCTTGATCAGGCGGTCGAGCAGGTCGGCACCGTTCTTGACCGAGGCTTCCTGGTCGGCCGAGAGCTGGCGGGGGGGGGAGAGGCGAATCGATGTCCAGCAAACAGATCAGCCGGGGCTTGAGCGCCGGGGATATAGCAGGAAGGCCAGATGCTGCAGCAGGGAGCCAGGCCAGCCGACGAGCAGTCGTGCATCATACAAGCGTATATTTTCGCAAGCAGCAGGGACCAGTTCGCCGCAACAACAGCCGAGGACTGACTGCAGCAACCGAAACCCACCCCCGGCCAGGAGGCGGAGCAACGGACATTACCTTGCATAGGGCATCAAAGATTTCGTTGAAGAACCTGAGTGTGTCGCCGCGAGCGACCTTGGCAACATTGTACATCGATTCACAGGCATAGTATCGCACCCGGGCGTCCTGGTCCGAAAAGCAGCTCAGGATGGGCGGGACGATGGCCTCCAGGTGTTGCTTGAGGTCCTGCAGACCCGCCAGCCAGGGCGGGCAAGATGGAGCAGATGCAGAGCAAGCGTTCGAGGCCAGTCATTAGCGACAGAGAGCGATCCCGCACTGGAAGGATCGCCCATAGCTGCGGCCTGGATGCGCTGGCGAGGCCCTGCGGCTCGGCGGCTCGGCGGCTTACCGGGCCGAGGGCGACTGCGGCAGCAGCGAGCGAAATCAGCCCGCCGTTGCGGGCATTGGGAACGCCCGAGTAGGCAAAGTCGTGTATCAGGCCGTTCAGCAGCTGGGTGATCTTGTGGGGCTCGTGGGCGGCAGCCAATTCTCTGACGACTCTGCGGGTGTTTGTTGGAACCGATGGCGGGCGATGAGACGGCAGGGCTCGCTGGCTCGCTGGCCGGAGGGAGGGTGCGGAGGCTCGGCAGCCAGCTGTCCGGGACGCAAATCGAGGGGCGGAGAGACGTTACCTCTCGACTTCAAGGGCAGCGCCCTTTCGCCTCTCGTAGAGTTTGTCGTTTAGGCCTTTGACCACCGCCTGGGGCAGGGCGTTGAGTCCCGAGGTGACGTCCATAGCGGGGGTATGTATGAGGACAGAGGCGAGATGCGGGAGGCCAGGGCGATGTCCTGGGTTTTGGGTGGCAGAGACAGCCGTCCCGGTTGGTGACACATGAGCGAGAGTAGGAGAGAGAGAGAGAGAGAGAGAGAGAGAGAGAGAGAGAGAGAGAGAGAGAGAGGGCAGACCAGTGGGAATATCAAAGCTGATGGACCAAAAAAAACACTCTCGCATCGGCAGAATGCATCGGCAAGAATGCATCGGCGACATTCTTCCTGGGGCCATGTCGGCCGGCCAGTCCATCAAGCGCCATGGCGACACCATCGCCGCGAGGCCGCCCTTCCTCAGCGGCGCCGTGGGAATCAAAACGCATGCCCAAACAGCGGCTGCTCATGTGCCGCGCCGGGTTCATGTCTGGGCCGTCTGTTCGGGGCCCCGGACGCAGCCGCCGACCAGACCCGCCGACCACGCCGATAAATCCGACTTGGACGTCTGGTCTTGCTCAGAGAAGTGCTGGTCTGCCTTTTGCATCTGCCTCCGGCGTCTGCCCTCCGTCCAGCATTCACTCGCACTCATGTCCTTCGGAGCCGAGTCCATCGACCTTCTGCTGTATCCAATGCACATGTAGGTCGCAGTGCCGGCGCCGTGCCTCGCCCGGCTCGCCCAAAGCCAGACCAGAGCCCGTCTGTCCTCGTTGCTGACCCTCGTCCCCGGCTTCCTTCGCCGATCCGTCCGCCACAGCCATTCAATCAGCTGGATGGGGATATGCGTTGCAACAGCAAGAGACCTGCTCATCATTGGCGTCCATGTCACCGTGACCTCAGTCAACACCAAGGAAGAAGATCGGTTCACCCCAGTGAGCCTGTGGCTGCTTCTCGAGGCCCTGGTGGCCTACGTCCGTCTGCCCAAGGCAATTCTGTACTACTTTCTGTACCGGAACCCTGCCCAACTCAACATGAACTCGCATCGACTCTTTCGAAACTACTCGCTACTGCTCTACCAGGCGGCGCTGTGCTCGTGGGTCTGGGGTAAGCCATTGGGTTTTGCTCTGGGGCCTTGGACTATCCTGTCCCACATGCACCTCTTTGCCCTGTTCCCTGGCTCTGGTCCGATTTGGTCCGATCTGGTCCGATCTGGTCCGATCTGACTCAACCCCGATGCCCTGATTCTCACCCCATCGGCGGATCTGCTCCCAGGTGCGCTGATCATCGTCAAAGAGCAAGTACTGTGGCCGCCCTATCTCGACATGCGGATCATGACGGTCGAGATTCTGTTCGGAGCAGCCGTTTGGGTGCTGATCTCGATCGGCGGAGCCTCCATCGTTCTGTCGTCGGCACTGTGTCCTGGGCTCCAGGTGCCGGCGGGTATCAGGGCCTACATCGAGCAAATGGCCACAATCTTCTCGGGCGCTGTCGTCATCGATCCGCACAATATCCGTCGCTGGTCGATCGTCCAGAGCGGGCTGACGACTCAAGAAGTGGCCACCCTGCCGGTGCTCCACTACTCCGCCAGCAGCGACACTGAGAGTGCCGTCGAGCGCATGTGTCCCATCTGCCTGATGGACCTGGAGGAGGGCGAGGCCGTGCGGGAGCTGACATGCGGACATCTGTTTCACCCCGAATGCATCGATCCGTGGCTGCTGGGCCCCAGTCCCTCGACGATTCCGCACACCCGGAGTGTCTACGGACATCGCACCTGCCCGATCTGCAAGCAGGATGCCTTGGCGGGGATTGTCTATGGCCGCCGCCATGTTCGGCTGCCGTTTGTTGGGCCGGCCTTTCTCTTCCCGGATCGATCGGGGACTCGGTCTCAGACCAGCAGCCTCCTTCCGAGCGCCTCGTCGTCGGCCCGGGTGTCTCGCAATCCCTCATACCAAACTCTGTACCCGTAGGCCCCCGCACAGCATCCGTCGAGGATGATGGGGCAGCGTTCGCTAAACGAACGAGACGCTCTGCTCTTGAAGCCATCTTGGCCGCTTGGCTGTTTCCTGGATCCCTGAATACATGCATACTTCATTCGCCAGCCTCAGTGGCTGTTCATGGCCATCTTTCCCACCGGCCCAGTTTCCTCCGACGAGTTTGCCACCATTCCGCGTCATCCAGTCGCCCATCCTGCCAGTCTCTCTCAGCTCCATCCTGCTCCCAGATCAGCAGCGGCTGCTCCCGGCCCACAGCAATACCGTCAGCACCATAACCCCGCGCCATGATCGTTGGACTGGTCGGACCCCCGAAATCGGGCAAGACAGCAGTGGCATCGTTCTTGCTCAAGCACCTGGGCTTCTGCCAGATCTCGCTGGCGACGCAGCAGGACGGCCTCCCCGCCATCGAGGATGATGCCCACATTGTCGTGGCCACCGCCGAGGCCCTGATGGATCACATCACTCAGAACTGGACCCACAACTTTGTCCTGGATGGCATCGAGAGTCTGTCGCTGATCGAGACCCTGTCGATCCGTCCGTTCTTCCTGCTGGTATCCGTCGACTCGCCCATCTCCATGCGCCTTGCTCGCCAGCTCCCCGACCCGATGCAGCACAGAGACCCGGGGCAGCTGCTCCAGTTCATGAGCCAGGACGACGACTGGAAGTTTGGCAAGACCAACGGCAAGGAGTGCATGGAGCGGTCGGCCCTCAAGATCGTCAATGCCGAGACCTTGGCGAGTCTCTATGCGCAACTGCAGCGCCTCGACATCACCAACCCCATCCGACTGCGACCCTCCTGGGACACTTACTTTATGAAGCTATGCAATCTCGCGGCGACCCGATCGAATTGTAAGCATGCGACGGCAGCCACATCCCTGCTTGCTGTGCCAGTGTGGCAGATCGACCTTCTTGGCGCTGTCTTGGATCGAGTGCTGTCGACTGGATGTCTGACATCCCAATGCTGTCCCGCATCGGGCTCCAGGCATGAAGCGGAGAGTCGGCTGCATCCTCGTCCGCAACAACCGCATCATTGCCACAGGATACAACGGCACCCCGAGAGGTGTGCGCAACTGCAACGAAGGCGGATGCGACCGCTGCAACCACGGCGCCTCCAACCACTCGCTCGATACCTGCCTGTGTCTGCATGCCGAGGAAGTACGTTGTCCGCCTTGGATGGTTTGGCTGGCTGCTCGTGGATCCACTGGGAACACTCGCCGCTTTCTGATCCCTCTTTACCGTTGATCTTTGTTCAGAACGCCTTGCTCGAAGCCGGCCGAGAGCGAGTTGATTCTGGCGTCGGCCATGCCATCCTCTACTGCAACACCTGCCCGGTAAGCACACACTCCTGTCAGGCTCCGTATTGAAGGAGCGTGAAGATCCTTGCTTATTCCCCAGCTCTGCCCTATTGTCGCTTTGTCCAGTGTCTGGGATGCGCCAAAAAGATCATCCAGGTCGGTATCCGCGAAGTCATCTATGCGCTGGGCTACAAGATGGACGACATGACGGCCAAGCTTTTCGACTCGGCCGGTGTCCAGCTGCGACAGCATGTTGTCGCTCCGTGAATGACCTTCGCGAGAGTGAATCGGATACTCGGCAATGCGTGGAGATCCAGCAATGTTTCTACCGGAGGGCTGGAGCACATACAGTCGAGATCCTTGAAATGGAATAGAACTCCAATGCAGCTCCCGTGTGATGAATATTGCAATCCGCAGAGTGGAGTAGAGGGGACTGGCGCTGGCGAGTTGGCGCCAAACGGAGCGGTCCAGTGCATGCCTGCGTCGGCTGCTTGCATGGTCGCCGCGGGCTGTCGGCGAGAACGAGCGTCTCCTCTGGTTTGCTGGTCAAGAAGATCCTGGGAGCTCAGAGGTCGATGCTACGCGACGATGGCATTGCCCACGATTTCATACAGGTGGGTTGGGCGTGAGCATTGCCAGCGACGAGCGAGGCAGAGCCAGGGCCACGCAATGCCGCCGCCGTCGGATGGCCCCTTTCCTGCATCGCAAACCCCCGCGTTGACTCGGATAATGTCTTCCGATGCTCCGCCAGATATGCCTTTGGCATCAAAACCGATGTCAAGGAGAACATTGGCTTCCTTGACGAGCAGACCGTCATCTATCCGGCCGGATCCAACCTCATCATCTACAATGCCGAAAACAAGAGCCAGCGGTTCATAACCATGACGGAGCACTGCGAGTCCATCACGAGCCTCTGCATCTCCAACACCCGACGGTACTGCGCCGTTGCCGAGCGGAGCACGGTCGAGAAGCCGCAAGTGGTGATCTATGATCTCCACACGCTGAGGCGAAAGAAAGTGCTCGTGCCAAGCAGCGAGATCGAGTCCAAGGTACTGCACTTTCACCTCCTGCTCCGGCACCAGCGTAAATGATGGTCGCCGCGCAGAGCCAAGGCCGGGACTGATAGGCGATGGGTCCATTGGATCGCCGCTAATGCCGCCCGCTGTCCAGGAATATGTGGCTCTGGCCTTCTCCAGCGATGCAAAGTTCATCATCACCCAGACAGGCGCGCCAGACTGGATGATGTACTTTTGGCTGTGGGAAAAGGGCAAGCTGATGGCTTCGTTCCGCACCACCCAAGACAAGCCGACATCCAATCTGCCGCCGCCAACCGGGTTCAAGGACCGAGATGCAGGCGGAACGATCAACCAGGTCTCGTTCAACCCCTTGGACAGCAACCAGATCTGCACGATCGGAAACGGCGTCTTTCGCCTCTACCGATATCAGGACGGCGGGTGCAAGCAGCTTTCGTTTTCAAAGTTCGAGCCGCGCGTAAGTACCGGGGCCAACGCCAGGTCCCCAGCGCCCAGGAACGATGGCGATGCAAGAAAGTGCGATACCGCAGAGCATTTGTGAAGACCATGGCCCGCCGTCTCTGACCCTGTTCCGTCACGGTCGTCCAAATGGGCTGCCCTATCGGGCCGGCACCTCGATTCGCATGTGCATTCCAGAACTTCACTTCACACGCCTGGATCTGCGATGACCGTTTGGTCGTGGGCTCCGAGGACGGGCGACTCCTCATCTTTGAATCCACCGGGGAGCTCAAGATCGAGATCGTGTACAGCAACGGCACAACCAACGCGCCAAAGCAGATCTACGGCATCGTCGCGTACCTCAAGGGCTTCATCGTGGCTGGAGAGGGGGGATTCATGTCTGTGTACGAGAAGGAGGATCCGGGACTCGCGGGGCAGGTCTCGGCCGCAGCCATCGCCAAGGAGCTGTTTCGGAAAACCAGAGAGTACTCGCTGCCCTTTGACAACGTTCGTGTCCTGACCCTGGCCATTTCTCCAAGCGAGGACAACATCATATGCACCCTGGAAAACAGCCAGATCTATACGCTGATGGTGACCAGTTCCGAGATGAAGGTATGTTGACGACGAATCCGTGTCCCGTGTCTGGGCTGTGAGCCCGTTTGTACTGAGGCGTCGTTGTGGTGTCAATCCTCGGCGCACGCAATCACATCCGCCGGTCGCATCAACGATTGCCTCGCCGACACCAATATGACAACGGGGCTTTGCATCCATCGGCGCATCCACATGCAGGGCGACGAGGCAAAGTTCAACCTGCTTGCACAGCCTTTCCACCATGGACCCATCATCGGCATGGACATTTGCATTCGGAAGCCCTTGATTGTCACATGCTCCTCGGACAAGTCCATCCGGGTCTGGAACTATCTCGAGAACACCTCGGAGCTAGTCAAGTACTTCCCCGAGGAGGCCTTTAGTGTGGCAATCCATCCAAACGGCCTCTACATCCTGGTCGGATTCGGAGACAAACTCAAGTTGATGAATCTCTTGATCGACGACATTCGTCCCTTCCGCGAGTTCACCATCCGAGGCTGTCGCGAGGTAATACCATCAGGAGCCCAAACGTCTGTACAGTGCTTGGCCAGAAGCCAGTCAGCACGGCGACTGGAGCATGCTGCTCGACTTCCCACCAGCCAAAACACTGACGGCTGCGGAAACTGCATTCTTGCCAGTGTCAATTCAGCACCGGTGGTCAGTACTTTGCCGCCGCCCACGGCAACGCCATCCAGCTCTACAACACCTGGAACTTTGAGAACATCGGGAACCTCAAAGGACACAGCGGCAAGGTCCGAACGATCGCCTTTACGTCGGACGACAGCCGCATTATCACTGCCAGTATCGACGGCACCATTTTCGAGTGGTCGCTGAGAGACGTGTACGGATTCAACGGAATCGGCATCAAGAAAGAGAGCGAGTCGACCGTAAAGAACTGCAGTTATACAAGCGTCGTGACCTCTCCGGATGGCCGCAGTGCCTATGCCGTCGGAAGTGATAAGATCATCAAGGTAGGAATGCACTTCGAGGAAGCAAATGGGTGGGGGGAGGATGCTATTTGGTGCTTGATATCTACGACCGTCGAGGCGAGTTGCAGGTGCTGCTGCGTCATCTGGACCGAAACAGGGACGCATCCACTCACTGGCGATGGCTTCTTTCCCCAGGAAATAATGGAGGGCCAGCTGCTCAAGCAAGTCGAAGTCGACATTCCCCTGACCCAGATAGCGATCTCCCACGGCGGCAAGGTTCTGTTTGCAGGTACTCTAGCCTTGGTCTGTCTCCTCCAAATGCCATTAGTCCTGTCATTCCAACGGCTGTTTTGTGGTCAAGAGACCGGTCCTATCAGATAACCACTTCTGATGCTCTGGCTCGACAGGAACATCCACTGGCAGAATTCGAGTCATGAGGCTTCCCCTGCAAAACAATGTCGAAAACGAGTACTTGGACTACCACGGACATCACATGCCGATCACACGACTACACATATCCTCCGACGACCAGTATCTCTTCTCCGTTTCGGAGGACTCGTGTCTTTACATCTACAAAATCATCGACAAGGAGGGCCGAACGATGAAGCGCGACAGAGAGGTGATCTACGCAGACGAGGTAACTACCTTACAGAATCAGCGTATGATGCCTGACGTGGCGGCTGCAAAGTAGACCCACGACCGAACAATGGATGTCCGAGTCGCACATGGCCTGACTACTTGTGAGAATACGGAGAAGGAGGGCATCAGCTGCGCTCGACCGGGTGCGGGCACCGTTGCTGAGCTCCTCAACGGTATCGGACAGATATTGGTGACAAAGTCGGATCTCGAAGAGAAGAACTCGGTGATGCTGGATCTCAAGACCCGCGTGGAGGAGCTCAAGATGGAGAACGAGTATCAGCTGCGCCTCAAGGACATGAACTTTAGCGAGAAGCTCAAGGACGTCAGCGAGAAGTTCATGCAGGAGATCGAGGCCCTCAAGATCACCTCGACGGTCCTCAAGACCGACAAAGAGAAGGAAGACATCCGACACAACGAAGAAATGGCCGAGGAAGCCGACCACCACGCGCGCGAGCTGCTCGAGTTGGAGGCGATCCACAAAGCCAAGCTGACTTCTGAGAGTGAAAAGTACAAGGAACTTCAGGCCCGCACGTTGGACATGCAGCGCCAGTGGGAGCGCCAAATGAAGGAAATGCAGCAAACGAAGGATGCCGCCCTGAAGGAAATGAACAACCATTTCCAGGAGCAAGAGCGGGAGAAGCAAGCTGAGATCGACCAGGCAAGTGCATCAGAACAATTCAGCCATCGAGCCACCGCGGCGCGGCATTGGTCAGAAAGCGAGCGGGTGGTGGTCTGTGCATCCAGAACTGACTCTCTTGCGTCATGCTTGTGTGGTGGTACAATCTCCGACGGCTAGATCCAAGAAGAAATCAAGAAAATGGTCTCTGATTTCCACAATTCTTCTGCCGAGACCGAGTTCGACGCAGATTGCGAGATTCGGGACCTCATGTACAAGTTTGAGAAACGAATGAAAGAAGAACACGAATTGGGTCTGCGCCTCAAGGCCGACAACAATGCAATGAAGAAGACATTCAACGAGCTCCAGCAGCGGATCAAAGAGGGTGAAGAGAACATCAAAAAATCTGTCCTGAACGAGAAAAAGCTGCAAGGAATCATCAAGAGTTTGGAGAAGGACATTGCGGGGCTCAAGAAGGAGGCACGTTGTTTGCTGCTTGGTTCGACAATGGGTAGTTGCACTGGTGGTTGCGCTGGTAGCTGTCATGGCAGTGTCGTGACGACTGACATGTATATGGCTCTCTGTGGTTTGCAGATCCAAGAGCGCGACGAGACGATCCAGGACAAGGAGAAGAGAATCTATGACCTCAAGAAGAAGAACCAGGAGCTGGAAAAGTTCAAGTTTGTGCTGGACTACAAGATCAAGGAGCTGAAGCGCCAGGTGGAGCCGAGAGAGCAAGACATCCAAGAGATGACGGCACAAATCAAGGTGGGCACTTTGCCCAGAGTCTGCTTGATGCGCATGCCTCTGGCTGGGTGGGATCAAGTGACTGACCTCTGCCTGGATTCAAGGAAATGGACGTGGAACTAGACTTGTATCACAAATCCAACGCCGATCTCGAGTTCTCCATCGCCGATTTGAAACTCAAGCTGAAGGCATCTGACCGAGAGGTGGAGAAGGAGAAGAACAAAGTCAACGCCCTCACGAATTTCTTGCGGCGATTCAAAATCGAGCTGAACGAGTGCGCCCAGCAAAGCTCGGATCCAAAGAAGCTCAAGGTATGTGACCAAGCGCCCGCTTTCAGTTATATATAGCTGGGGAAAGCAGTCACAGTATCCGGAGGAGTCAGAGAGTCCACAGTCGTCAGAGGTCGCAGTGGTCAGACCAAACAGGCCAGCCAGCAGTCGCTCCTTCACTGATCGGTGGCTGACACAAATCCGTCTGCCAGGGGCAGGTCAAGGCGCTTTATCAAAAGTACTGCAAAGAAAACATCAACGAAGACGAGGAAGAGGTCGATATCCAGCAAGAATATGCAAGACAGCGAGAGTATCTGGAGCGCACGGCTGCCTCCCTCAAGAAAAAGGTCGTCAAGGACCAGAGTCTCCACAGAATCGACAACGTGCGTATCATGGACGAGAATGTGGCGCTCCTCAAGGAGATCAATTTGCTTCGCAAGGATCTGCTCGGCGGTCGACATAAAAAGCTGGCCGACAAAGCCGTGATTGCAGCAGCCGCAGGTATGCATCTCAAGCGTTGCCAGCCAGCAGGACTGTCATAAGACAGCGACCAAAGGCTAACAACTGGAGTGGCGGGGCGAGTTGGACAACGGGCGACTTGCATATCCCAGCTCTGACTAACTACACGTTCGGTGGCACTCAATACTTCGATGTGTTGCAGAGTCGCATGGACGACCGAATATGTCTCAGCGAAACGGATCTGCCCCTGGACCAACCATCACGCTGCCGTCAGTCGAGCATCACTGAGTGCAGTATGCAGTTTGCGCATAAACAGCGGGCCGTGCCCGTCTGGGAACCAGTTACGACTCTGCTGCACCCACCAACGAGTCGCTTGGGCGCATTGCCCCCGCCCTGTCTTCACGGTGTGGATGGTGATGGTGAAAGATGGATGCGTGCATTCCTCACACACACACACACACACACACACAACAGAGTTGTAAATCTCCGATCATATGCATCCTGGTCAGCCGCCCAATCCAGCTCAAGCGGAGAGGGCGGGGTGGTGGGACACAAGCGGGGCCGAGCGATGACGATGAGAGCTACGGCCATCTTTTGTTCTGCGCGTCGGCTGCAAGAAGGCTCCCTTGCATGAACAGACCCGCTGCTCGGGTACCAACACGTCGACTCCGTTCCATTGTCGACACATCGCGAGGCCATGTCTATCGCCGCAGTTGCTCATCGGTAAGAGAAGTCTGGGCATTGAGGGCCAAACATCCCCTCCGCGCGCGAGAATGCCCCCTGGTCGAGTGGTGCCGCCATGGAGACTCGCCGGCTGTTATGCGGGCAGCACGCTGCACTCCCAGCCACGGCGCTTCTGATGCTCTTGTCTGTGATTTATGGCACAGCCGTGTGTTCGGTCTCAAGGAAGATGTCAGCAACACCATCACTTTCCTGGACGACCAGACGATATTCTATCCCGCCGGCTCCAACTGCATCATCTACAACCACGAAACGAGAAGCCAAAAGTTTATTCCCGTGACTGAAAAATGCGACGGAATCACTGTCCTGGCTGTCTCCGGCAGCAAGCGGTTCGGCGTCGTTGCCGAGCGGAGCACTACCGCAACAGCAGTCATCTACGACCTGCATTCGCTGAGGCGGAGAAAGACGCTGATTCCCACGGACGCGGCGTCGAAAGTGAGCACTCACAGGCACCCGTGTCCACCATCTGCGCATCGTCTGCGATCGGTTGTCCTCGTGCTGTATTTGCCAGCACTCGATTGCTGTCGCCGTCGAGGCCGGGGCTGATCGCCACTCTCATCCGTCGCCCAGGAATTCGTGTGTATGGCGTTCTCGTCCGACGCCAAATATCTGCTGACGCAGTCTGGGGCACCCGACTGGGCACTTTACTACTGGATGTGGGAGAAAAACAAGCTGATGGCCTCCGTCCGCACCGTCAACAGCGAGCGATCCGCTGTGCCATTGATTCCGTCGATCCGACTGAATAGCGGCAGCCACCGCGAGGCTGTTTCGACCTTTGGCGAGGTGGTCTACCAGGTGTCCTTCAGCCCAACTGACAACACCTATGTCTGCTGCATCGGCAACGGCATTCTGAAGTTCTATCGGTACCAAGAGGGAACCCTGAAGATCATCAACGCCACGCCCAAGTTTGAAGCAAAGGTACGCTCGTTGCAGCCACATTCCCAAAGCGCCCAGTGACTCGGCGCAAGCCTCAAGAACGGCCATGGCTGCATCAGCACGAGCAATGTCGATGCTTTACCGGGTCGGTTGACACTCTGTGTGTACGGTGATACACCTGGCATGCCACTGACGACCATGACTTGCGTTTGGTTGTCAGAACTTCCTGTGCCATGCTTGGGTCTTTGAAGAGCGCGTCGCTGTTGGCACAGAGGATGGCAAGATCTTGATCATAGAGCCCAGTGGGGAGCTCAAGGCAGAAATCGACTATACGGTGGGCCTGAGCCAACTCCCCAAACCAGTGTACTCGATGGTCCCGCTGAAGAAAGGGTTCGTATGCGGAGGAGGAGGCGGAACTGCAGCGGTCTACGAGCGCAACGAACTGGCAACTGGCGAGGCACCCACAACGCCAGAGCAGCCCCGAGCGTTCCTGCGAAAGGTCAAAGACATCACCACTGCAGACGAGTCGGTTAGGATCATAACGATGGCAGTGTCTCCAAACGAGGAACTGCTCGTATGTTCGCTCGACAACCGCCAACTCTTCAGTGCCTCGCTGAACAGCAAGGTGAGATACTGGCGCTTGGGATCAGCAGCAATCTGTGTGGCGATAACGCCTGTGGCTTGAAGAGTGTATTCGGAGCTCAAGACGCCGAATGAATCGGCCCGTTCTGATCCCGCACAAATCTGTTACTGAAGGTGGAAGAGCCCAAGTTTGAGCAGTACATGCAGTCGTTTCATCATGGCCAAATCACCGGCCTCGACACATGCATCCGCAAGCCCCTGATCGTCACCTGCGCCACCGATCGGTCGATTCGGGTCTGGAACTATCAAGAAAACACATGCGAGCTTGTAAAGTACTTTCAAGAGGAAACATACAGCGTCGCCATCCATCCGAGTGGCCTCTACATCCTAGTTGGTTTCAGTGACAAGCTGAAGCTCATGAACCTCCTGATCGACGACATACGACCGTTCCGAGAATTCTCAATCCGAGGATGTAAGGAGGTGAGGCACGCACACACTCGGTTATATATACGGCATGGGAGTGGCAAACAGAGATCAGCGACTCTGCGATGGACACATAGGCGACCTGGAGAGTCGAAGCCACGGGCGAGGATCTCATTCAAAGTGGCTCTGCGGACCTAAGCTGAGTGGCGCGACGCTGATACCGGATGGTATACGATCCAAACGACTACTGCATATCCTCTAGTGTCGTTTCAGCACCGGCGGGCAGTACTTTGCCGCCGTTTATGGAAACACAATCCAGATTTTCAGCACATGGAACTTTGAGAACCTGGCCAACCTCAAAGGCCATAATGGCAAAGTGCGGTCGATCTACTGGACAAACGACGATAGCAAGATCGTCACCGCCGGCATGGACGGCGCGATTTACGACTGGCTGCTGAAAGACCTGACCGGTTCTAGCGGTACAGGAGTGAAGCGTGAAGGCGAGAGTATCCTCAAGAGCTGTAGCTACACTTGTGCCATCTCGTCTCCGGATGGTAAGACCATCTTTGCGGTTGGCAGCGATAGGACGTTGAAGGTAAGGGCCAGAGAAATGGCATGCCAAATTGCCATGGATGTCCATGTTTCTGTCACTCAACCGACGCACATCTCAGGAAATTACCGACTCGCAAATCGTGAAAGAGGTCGAGTCGGACTGCGTGTATACCCAGATCGTATTGTCCCATTCCGGCCGAATGATGTTTGCAGGTAATGAAGTACCTCCTGTGGCTTTGTGAATGGCCTCGTTGGCACGGTTACGCTTGAAGACGGAACGCCGTTGCAGTAGCTATGTCGTGTGGCCGGTTGGCTGGATGTAATGGAGCTACGACAGGCCAAGTTGCTAACCTGACCGTCTTGGATTCCATCCAAGGGACCTCGAATGGCACGATCCGATCCATCAAATTCCCGCTTGCCTCCGACACGGGCGAATATCAGGAGCACCAGGGACACAGCGCGGCCGTTACCAAGCTTCGGGTTTCCTTTGACGACCAGTTTCTGTTTTCGACGTCTGAAGACGGATGTCTCTACGTGTACAAAGTCAGCGACAAAGAAGGCAGAGGTATCAAGCGAGACAAGGAAATCACATATTCTGACGAGGTACAGATCCCAGATCGGGGGCGGTCCTCGAGCCTTGATTTGTGGGAGTGGAGCGAGAGCCATACCGTCGTAAGCCCGAGTGTGCAGCATGAGAGCTAGGAATCAATAGTGTCGATTATGTCTGATTGACCAGCGGACCACCGATGCAAGCAGGCTGGCCGGCTGGATAACAATGGCCCCGGGTCAGACCGGACGAGGCTGGTTGTGTAGTCAATGGGTGCGTACTGATTGCACATCGGTATAACTCGACGACCACCATAGATATTGGTGACAAAATCCGACCTGGAGGAGAAAAACTCCATGATGCTCGAGCTCAAGACCCGCGTGGAGGAGCTCAAGATGGAGAACGAGTACCAGCTGCGCCTCAAGGACATGAACTTCAATGAAAAGATCAAGGAGGTCACCGAAAAGTTCATGCAGGAGATCGAGGCCCTCAAGATCACCTCGACAGTTCTCCGAACCGACAAGGAGAAGGAGGAAGTGCGCCACGACGAGGAGATGGGAGAGGAGAGAGAGCGCCACAACAAGGAGCTGACTGAACTCGAGGCGCTCTATAATGCTAAACTCATGTCCGAGTACGAAAAGTACCAGGACCTACAAGTCAAAACTGCCGATCTGCAGGAGTACTGGGAAAAGCAGATGCGCGGCATGCAGACGATAAAGGAAAACGCACTTGTGGAGCTGACTGCCCAGTTCGAAGCCAAGCTGAGGGAGAAGCAAACTGAAATCGATCAGGTAAGTTGTTGTCGCGGTTTCGGGATATCTTTGTGCGGACCTGGGGGACAGCAGTAAGAATTCGCCCATATCGGATAGCACCGGACTGACTTGGTACGCTTGGTGCATCCCGCAGTTGCAGGAGGAGATGAGATACCAGTCGCGCGAGTTTCAAGAGACCACCCAAGGCACCGAAGAAGATGTGGATGCGGAGATCATGGAGCTGCGGCACCGCTACGAAAAGAAGCTGAAAGAAGAGCGCGAGGTCGGACTGCGCCTCAAAGGCGAGAACGGAATCATGCGAAAGAAGTTCAACACTCTGCAGAGCGAGATTGACGCCCACAAGTCTGAGATTGCTAAAATGGCGGCAGAAGAAAAAAAGCTGCACGGAGTCATCAAAGGGCTCGAGAAGGACATTGCGGGGCTCAAGAAGGAGGCACGTTGTTTGCTGCTTGGTTCGACAATGGGTAGTTGCACTGGTGGTTGCGCTGGTAGCTGTCATGGCAGTGTCGTGACGACTGACATGTATATGGCTCTCTGTGGTTTGCAGATCCAAGAGCGCGACGAGACGATCCAGGACAAGGAGAAGAGAATCTATGACCTCAAGAAGAAGAACCAAGAGCTGGAAAAGTTCAAGTTTGTGCTGGACTACAAGATCAAGGAGCTGAAGCGCCAGATTGAGCCGAGAGAGCAAGACATCCAAGGCATGACACATCAGATCAAGGTAAAACTGTAGCGTGAATTGATTCAGTTGCGCCAAATAGTGTCAATATCATCCGAAAGCCGACCCGACGGCCCAACGCCGGGGACATCTGGATATGAACAGTGGCAATGATTTTAACTATGACTCCGACGACGCTGCAGGAAATGGATGTCGAGCTAGAGCACTACAACAGAGCCAATTTGAGGCTCGAAACAACCATCTCCGAGCTCAAATCCAAGCTCAGAATGGCCGAGCTGAATGTGGACAAGGAAAAGGCAAAGGTCCAGCAGGGCATGGCGGTGATCAAGCGCTTCAAGCGCGACGTCAACAACTGTGTGCAGTACATCCAAGAGCCCGCGCAGCTCATGGTAGGTTGCACGTTTGGTGGCTGCAGAAATGCACAGACCTGTCCAGTGCGACGGAGATCCGGTCTGCGATGTTCGGCCGCATGGATACGAGGACATACGCATGCGCTAGCGAGACACAGTTGTCTACAGCGGAGGATGTGCCGGCTCGGAGCATCGAGCCCAGCGGATCGATTCGGGCGGATCTGGACTGACCATGTGGGTGCCGGCCGCCAGGCTCACGTCAAGGAGCTCTTCGGAAAATATTCGCGGGAATGGGTCAAGGACGACGTTGAGATGGAGCTCGACATCCAGGAAGAGTACGCTCGCCAGAAGCAGCATCTCAGGCGGACAGTGCGCACACTCCGGAAGCAGGTCATGGAGGACCAGGGCAGCCACAAGGCCGACAATCTCGACGTGATGAACGAAAACGTTCTACTGATCAAGGAGATCAACCAACTCCGCAAGGAAATGCGCATATCCAAGCAAAAGGAGAAGGCTGCTGAGATTACGCTAAGGCACTTTATCCCAGCCACAGTTGACCTTGGGGACGCAGGACCAGCGCCAGCAGCCGCTGCACCAGAGCCTTTGCCGGAGGCCGAGAATGGTCCGCCGGAACGACTCCACTTGCCGCCCCTCCGACAGACTGTCGACTGAGGAAGGGTGATGGGCCGGTGGGCCGGCTTTTGTTTCTGCTGGCAGCCCAGGCCGGATCGGGTCCTTGCTGTCCCAAAGCGGCGGTCGATGAGCAGACCCACAGCATCCCAATAGAGCGGATGACCGCAATTGCCTGTTGAAACAGAGGGCGTCCCGTCGACTATGGGCGGCACTGCAGCGGTTGCAGCAACAGAGTGGGCGTTCCAAAGATCTCTGGCCCAGCCCTGTCGTTACGGCGAATGGCGACATTTCGGGCTGCCTTTGGGGCCGGCTTGTGTGTCCGACTGGAGCCAGGAGTCAGGAAGCCGCGACGGAACCACAACCGGTGAAGCCGCCACAGCACTCGGCCCAGCACTCGGCACCAACACGGCGGTCGCAGCACCGGCCCAGCACCGGCCCAGCACGCTGCTGCTCTCGCACCGCCGTCCAAGCCCGTCGGGATTCCATATCCCCGCATCGCATGCTGCTCCGCTGCCTGCACGCCGTCTGCACCTCGTCGTGTCGTCTGCACCTCGTCTTGTCCCCTTCCGGCCTCGGCGGCTCGGCGCGCCCCAAACGACCGCCGTCACGTGGGCGGGGTGGGCGCTGATGCGCGGCCCTTGTGTCTGGCTTCTCGCCTCGCTGTCTTCTCGCCTGCTGGGTTCAGGCCAGAGGGTTTTTCTTCTGGGTCTGGTCCTCGCATCGCAACCAAGGAGCCTTTCCGAGCCCGGGTGCTTCCTGTGCTGTCCAGGACGAGAGCGCTGCCTGTTTGTCGAGCTGCTGGATCTGCCGCACACCCGCTGCTCTCGCGCCGATCTGGACGCAGAGGTGAGATGCTCTGGCCAGCTCGTCCTGCCTGCATTTGCCCAAGCTTTCGGTCGCTAACCGGACCCTTGACCTCCTAATCACCGGGCGATCTGCATCCAGTCTCTCCGCAACCAACCAAAGTCACCACCGAGATCCAAGATCATCCAAAGCAAGCCCACCAACTCCCCGAACAGCCTAGCTGCTGCCTGCGCCTTGTGAAATCACTGCCGATCATCCACATCCTCAGTCTTGGCTCCGCCGTCCTTTCCCTCCGTTCGCTGACTGCAGCGCCCGTCATTTGCTCCATTTGCGCTCGCTAGCCATGAGGGCAATCAAACAACCCAAATCCGTCCAGTCCGAGCCCGAAGGCTCGCCAGAGATTCGCAAGTCACGCCGTATCAAAGCTCAGCAGTCACCGATCCACAGCGAGTGCCCAGACGACCGCCGACACCAGGTCGGTGGTAGGGAAAGGCCAAGGACCGCCTATCGCACCCGCGTGCCCACATTCAACGATAGCGAAAGCGAAGATGATCAGCCGCAATCAAAAGATTCGGACCGGCTGCGATTCATGGAGATGCAGGTGGACTCGCTGTTCCCGGAGGAGCATCCCAGCGACGATGACGATGCTGGAGCTGGGGGTTTCGATGAAAATGATGTCAGCTCCAATAGCCCCCAGCGAACCAAACAGGTCGACCTGCGGCCAAGTCGGGCTGCTCTGAGGGAACCGAGGCGCTCGTCTTCACGCCCGGCTCGCCTCCGAGTCGCCGGGACAGCGCCGGCTCCAGACTGGGACACCAGCTCGTCTGACCGAAACTCTTCTCCCGCTCCACACCCCTCTCTTCATCCGCCTGTCTTGAGGACCCGGCGCTCGTACAGCCAGGCGGCTGTTGCGTCGCCAGTTGCTTCGACTGCATCTGAGCCGCCGAGTCCAGTTCCGCAGGCTCGAGTCTCGACCCGACATTCTCGCATGTCTGAGCCACACCCCGACTTTGCTCTGGCTCCTGTCGACTTTGACTATTACGCAACCTGCGATTTGCCTATGGTCGCTCTCGACAAAAGCCGATACCGTTCTATGACCAACGCTACTCGATGCCAGTCTCAGATCCGCGACTTTTTCAAAGCCCCGGTGGGCGGCATCATGAGTGGGCCTATGGACACTGGTTTTGGATCCTGCGGGATTGTGATGGAGGCCTCGCTTCGGAAACTGATTGGCGGCCAACTCGATGGAGACTTGAAGGATGCCGTTGGCTGGAAGGGCAAGCTGAACTACTACACCATGTGTCTGCGCCAGCGGCGCATCTTGGACGCCGAGCAAGCCAGTCTGGCTCTCATCGACGACTACATGAGCAAGCTTGACTCGGACGGTGACGAACTGTCCGAGGACGAGGGTCGAGCAAGCCGCTCCAAGAGAGTCAGACGCCACAGCTCGGCTGTCGGGGCCGAGGAACGCACCGGACGGACACGGACAACGAATGCTCGAAGCAGATACCAGCAGCGCGAGCGATCCCCGACCGAGTCGCTGTCGCGATCGCCCAGCCGAAGCACAGTTCGATCGCCCGCCCGAAGCACCCAGTCGTCCAACAGCATACAAACGACAAACCGAACCCGGTTCCCTGTCCTGGGGAAACTTGGACGCGAAGCCGAGGAAGCCTGGAACAGCTCGGAGGAGGTTCGGGTGCTCCACGCCAAGAAGCCCTATCTTGCCTCTGGGCTGTACTCGCAGGAACATAAGCTCGATCCAGAGCTGCGCGAGAGATACCGGAAGCAGCGGCGTGTTGGCCAAATGTATAGCGAATTCAAGTTCCCCCCGCTCCTGCATCTTGGCGAACGCATGATCGACGAGGAGCAGGAGTTCATTGTGCCATACGACATCCAGCTCTACGTGGATTCGATGGGCGGTCCTCAAATGGTGAGCAACTGGGTATTTCTGCAGCCCCATGTCTTCGTCTGCCATGAGCCGATGTCATGCAGGATAACGTAAAGGCGAGGCTCGATTGGCTTATTCGATGGGTGTGGCCACGCAGATACCTTGTGCTGGTCGCACGACAAGCGAATACTCACGCACCCATGTCTACCCTTGGCAACACCACTAGTGCCGCACTATTTTGACGGCGTCCGATACCGATCACAAACCAAGCCCCTTCCGCAAAGTGCGCGCGAGTAAGTACCAGAAGCAGAGGCGCACCTTGACACGTTGCAAGCAGCAAATGCTCGAATCTAACCACGTCTTCTCCCTGGCCTCCAGACATTTTTGTTGACCGGCCGCCGCGAAAGGCGAAAGAGGCCCCCGTCTGTGTCTGTATGCCTCCTGCAGACGGCGGGCTGGGTTGTCTTGAGGACTGTCTGAACAGGTACGCCGCATCCGTGGTGGCTCGAACGCCTTGAGTTTGCACTTGTGTGTTGTCGCACTAACGCCCGCATGGCTGCTCTGGTCTGCGTAGATGTATGTTTATCGAGTGCGATGTCAAGACCTGTCCGTGTGGATCGCAGTGCTCGAACCAGGCTTTTCAGCGAAGAGACGAGGTCAAGGAGCTGGAAGTTCACTGGGTATGTCGCAATATGTGAATTCACCTCACTCGCTCGCGCCCGCCAACGCGATGCGGCCCTCAGTAACCTGGATGCCGAAAACTTGATGCGATCACGTTTTCCGACATACAGACGCAGGCCCGTGGATACGGCCTCAGGACCAACGTCGACATTCCCAAGGGCACACTGGTACACGAATACCGCGGCGAGGTTATCTCACAGCAGACATGTCTCGATCGCATGAGCACCATCTACAAAGACCAGACATGCTGCTATTTTTTGAATTACGCCAACGGCGAGGTCATCGATGCGTGCCAGAAGGGTACCGTGGCCCGGTTCGTCAACCACAGCTGCGACCCCAACTGTCACATCGAGAAATGGTAAGATCGATGCATATTCTTGGACAACCTGCGAGATGCACAGCGAGCGTGCAAAATCGATGTGCTCGCGTCGGGAAGCTTCAGCCCATCAGCGACGCAACTGATCATGCTGCTGGCGCTGCAACAACCAGGTTCATCAACGGCGAGTTTGGAGTCGGTCTGTTCTCCTCAGTGGACATCCCAAAGGGCACCGAGTTGACGTACGACTATCGCTTTGACGCCTTCGGGCCCATGCAAAAGTGCTTCTGCGGAGCGACAAAGTGTCGAGGTAAGAATATGGGACTGCAGTAGCAACGCCGGTCTTGCAAGCAGGTCAAGCTGCGAGAGCGCAGTGATGCAATGTATTTGAGATGGCCCGACGAGCAGGACCCGCGGCGATGGTCTACCGACTGAATCACCAATACCCCGCCGTGCCTAATAGGATATATTGGAGTCAGCAAGGCAGACGCTGAAGCTAGAGGTAGAGCCGCATAGTGTGATCTCAGGGAGTGCTTGATGGAAACGTCATCGCCACATTCGAGCATGCGATCTCGACTGGCCCACAGGGTGTCCCGTCACAAGCCGGATCTGTCGCCGCACCTTTTCCTGACGATTGCGATCCACACTGCCCTGTTCCAGAGAAAATAGCCACCAAGACTGGGACGTCTGCTGCCACAAAGGGCAAGAGGCACGTCCGGCGTGCACACCAGTCCAGCACTGCCGGAGACGAACGCGACTTTTGGGTTCGGAAGCAGCAGTTTGACCGCCTGCAATATCAGTTCAAGGATATCATGAAGCACAGGGCTAGCTTTCTGCACACCCGCCTTTTCCTCATCCGCAACCTCCGCAGCCGACTCTGCAAGGATATACGTCTACGGCAGTCCGCGAGCGCGAACGGGACGCTGTTGCCGGACTCGGTCAGCATCTATGCAACTACTTCCAAACGGTCATCTGTTCGGAAGGCTGACGAAGGTGTTCAGTTCGCTTTAGAGTCGCCCACCAGCGAAGCTGCGGCCACGAAGGAGATGCTGGTGGAGCGAAGGTCTCGGTCGATCAACCAGATTTTGGAGGACCTGAGGATGTCAGCAGAGGCGACCAAGAAGCACTCGACGGATGACATGGACGGCCTGTTTGATGAACCGCTCTGTGGCTTTGCACGCGCGGACGAATTTGCAGTGCCAGAGGCAGCCTCGGCCGTCCAGCTGAATCGGCTGCCCAGTGAAAACCTGTTGAGAATGGATCTCGATCTTGACTTTGATCTGAGCGTGGATGTATCCAGGACCTGTTCGGATACAGACTCGATGGGAAGCCCTTCGATTGAGCACCTCAGGCTCTTCAACGAATCCGTGGCAGCAAGAGAAGCCGGTGGAAGCGACGGCGCAGCGAAAACGGCGCAGAGCCCAAGTCCCATAGGTACCTTGTCTGCCCGTACTTTGCGCAGGTCGATTCGCGGCGTTGAACATAAGAGCGAGCGCGCAGCCTTATGCGCAGGGCTTCTGACCCGCTTCTACTCGTATCTGCAACAGGCAAGGAAAACATCGAAGTGCAAAAGGCGACCGCAGGCGAGAGTCAGAAGCGCAAGTCGCGGAAGCCGCCGCGTCCCTCCATCAGCGAGCGAGACTATTGGGTCCGAAAGCATTACTATGAGCGCCTGGAGGACCAGTACAAGCGAGCTGTTCGAAACCGAGAATACCACAGCTCAGCGCGAATCTTCCTGGTGCGCAACCTCGAAAAGCAGTACCTCAAGAGACTGCATGAGTTCCCCAAGCCTGCCGCCGCCAACTCACAAGCGCCCTCAACCCGGCGAAAGCGCACTCAATCTGCGCCTGAATCGGAGGTTGTCTTCGTTAAACGTCCACGAAAGCCCATGGCAAAGATCCTGGAAGATCTGGCCGCAGCGGCCCAGCTGGACCCTGCAAGTCAAACAGCCGTCCAGCTATGTATGATCGACTCCGCTGCCGACCTCGATGGCCACGCGTGTCTCGATGTCGACGAGCTCCCTGGCGAAACCACCAAGGCGGCGTCGAAAGGCAGCCTGAAGGCTCAAGAGAGGGTGTGCTCAGCCGAATCAAACTCCTCGGACGACGATCCGTCCATCGGAGTCTATCAGGCCGGCGACAAACCACAGCCAGCAAAGGCTTCAGGGGCATCCCAGCAGCACAACGGTTGGAGAGTGCAGCGACCAACGAGGACGCTGTTCCATGGCGATCTCTAAGAGACAACGGCTGTGCGCTGTCCTGGCAGCTGATGCTTAGATACCGGATCGGGATCACAATCGGAGCCAGATGAGAGGATGAATAGAGGCCTCGTATCGACAACGCATGATGCCATGGTAGTCCAGCTGCGGGAACCAAGCTGTTCGGGCTGCCTGCTTGTGCTGGGTTTCCCACAGTCAGTTGCCCCACCAGCGGGAGATGCTGGTCTGTGCTGGGCGAGACCATTCGCACATAGCCGCTCGCTGCTGCGACACACATGCCCTTGCGGCGGCAGTCGACGCATCAGCGATAACGGTGGGTCGGATGGACACCCACGAACCGCTTGGTGGTTGTCCTTGGTCGGGTCTGGGGGTTGTCTCGATGCTGGCCCTTTTTTTCTTTTGCCACATTTGTCCAAAATAGGAAGGCCTGGCGAGAACGTCCTCGCTGCTCCTCGCGCCGCCCTCGCCGCGGCTCGCTCTCCCCCCGGCGCCTCTTCGTTCTCCCCCAGCCCGGCCAGGCGTTTCTCTTCGCCCAGCCCGCATCAATCGCCGTCCAGACCGCACCTGCCTCTGCCATAACCGCCGCCATGGGTGAATCTCGCACCGAACTCATCGCCTGGGTCAACGACCTCACACAGCTGGGCATCTCCAAGATCGAACAATGTGGAACAGGCGCCGTCCACTGCCAAATCGTCGACTCGATCTACCGTGATGTGAGTTGGTCGTCTCCCCCCCCCCGCCCTTCTCGTCTCTCCCGTTCCCGTTGGTATGGCGACCTTCTGCCGCCTACCATCGTATCCTTGCTGCCATCGGCCGATACCCGAGAGCCAGATCCTCTCGACCGGGTACACATCTTCTGGCCCGGGTTGTCGGCGGTGGCCGCTGATCGCCACCTGCCCCTTTCCAAGCGGCAGCTTGGTAGCCCTGGTGCCTGCTCACGAAGGAGACGGAAGCACCATGGTTCAAGCAGATCGTCCAGGTGGCCGATTGCCTGCAAAGCCATCCAGCCCTTGCCAGTGTCTCTGCGCTTCGGCGAGTCTCTGGGTAGCTCGTCGGCAGTTGTATCGAGCGGGCTCTTGGACCTGGACGACGGCAGAGCCCCAACGAGTCCGGCGCAAGACAGCCAGCTGATCAGCCCTGTGTCCTCGTTCGGCTGTCAACCTGGCTTCGGTCGGGTGATCGGCCACAGTGTGGCGGCTGACCTGGGCCACCGACCGAGCCGGACACCCTCTGGCGGCATTCGAGCAACAGAGGATCGATTGCCGTTTGTAACGAACCTCTTCCCATCTGCCCCCTCCCGCCCCAAACCCGGGTGGCTTCTTCTGGGCGAATGCTTTGCCCTGGGAATCTGCATGCTCAAGGTTCCGCTGTCCAAGGTCAAGTTCAACGCCAAGCACGAGTATGAGTATGTCAGCAACTTCAAGATCCTCCAGGGTGCCTTTGACAAGCACAAGATCGAGAACTCCATTCCTGTCGAGCGTCTGCAGAGATGCAAGTTCCAGGACAATCTAGAGTTCCTGCAGTGGATGAAAAAGTGAGTCATTTTCGAGGCAGCGCCTTAGCAAGGACGGGGAGAGGACAAGCTGGACATACGCCAATGTCCGCAAATCGCACTGTTCGGCAGTGGTTCGATATCGAGTCACTCCATTTTTTTGAATGGCCCCTAAAGTGGTGACCAGACAGTCGCTAAGATGACTCGACTGACACTCCATTCTCGGGACTAGATACTGGGACCAGTACTATCCCGGCGGAACTTACGATGCCGTCGCCCGCCGCAAGGGCGCTGACATTGGAGCCAAGCCCGCTGCCGGCACCGCATCGACCCGAAGCGCCACTTCATCAACCTCGAACCTCAAGAAGACCCCATCTGTCCCCTCTGTCGCCACGTCCACAAACCGGCTAGCTGCTGCCGCTGCTGCTTCCAAGCGGCCGGCTGCCACGAGCCGTGCCCCCGCCGGCATGGCTTCGAGCCCAAGCCAGTGGGAGGCCGAAAAGCAAGAGCTCGAGCAAGAGTACAACCGCATGGTCCAGGACCTGACCCAGCAGGTCTTGGAGCTCAAGGTTACCGTTGAGCAGGTCGAGAAGGAGCGCGAGTTTTACTTTGGCAAGCTGCGCGAGATCGAGGTCTATGTCCAGCAGCTTCTGGATAACGGCTCGACTGCTCCCCCCATGTCCATCCTCCAGGAGATCCAAGGAATCATGTACAAGGTAGGGTCGTCGAGGTGCTGATGGAAAACAGAGCGTTTTGGGAGCAGTGGCGGGAGGATATGTGTCAGCGCACCACCTGTCGACATCAATGTGTCATGAAGTTGGAGCTGGCATGTCATTGTCTGTGGCCATGTGATGCCGCCTCGATGCTGGACGAGAACGGTGCTAGAATGCCTTGGTACTCGCAGCAGGAGGATGCTCGTGGTGCAGAGCAATAACTGCATGAGGAAACATTGGAGCCCGAGATTTGAAGATCGCTCAGTCGATCAAGGCGGCTGTGTTGCATCGGGAAACTGGAAGGAGGCACATCGGCGCTGCTCACACCATCCCATCTAACACCACATGCGCTTTTGGTTCGACAGACCGAGGACGGTTTTGAAGTCCCTGAGGGTGCCGAGTACGAGGAGGAAACCTACTAAAGCCCACGCCCATGCACAAGAATCGGACGGAGCATATTGTAGATCCTCCAGGCGGCGACAGCCTCTCCGGCTCCGTCGAGTTTTCACTTTGCCTCCCTGTTGTTTTCAGCGTGCTTTGCGAGCAAATACATCGATCTACCGACCCACGTGCACCAGATTCAGGGGAATGGATGAGAGGATGTTCCCAAGGCGAGATCATCGGAGAATGCCACTGGAAGAATCTCTGCGGTCGTTGCACTCTGGGCATGGGGGACGTTGGAGCAAACACGTTTTGAAACAGGACATCATCACAAACGGATGGCTTGTGGGTCGGTTGATGCTGATCGATCTGGCTGGACGGCTTGCTGGTCCTCATCGTGCCCACTCACTCCATGCATCTCCCTCACAGGGGAATGGCTTGACCTACTCGACCGGGTGTGATATGATCCAACTACGCCGTGTTTGTCCGAATGAGACGGTGTGTCCCATCGTTTATTCAACACGCTGTACACAGCGCGAGACGGTGTCGCCACAAACGCCTGGTCAAGCCAAAGATGATCGAACACACCGTGAACGCCTGATCCGATGCAACCAAGAAAATAGGAAGGGGGAGGAGTGGAAGGAACGAGAACGAGAAGTGAACAATGAATCAAACAAAGTACAGAGGGAAGAAAGGCCAAATGCAGACTGGAGCATTGGCCAACGGAAAGATGGGAAAATACGACTGACTGAGCGGTTTCGTGCAGAAGCATGATAGGGAGAGGCACCTTCTCCAGAAAGCAGACAAGGCGACGCACGGCCAAGCCACCGACGGAGTAATTGGCAAGCCACCCTTTGGAGGAAGTCGGATTGCAGTCATGAGCTTAGGCGCTGTCGTTGCCATACGCTCCCACTCTCTTTGACTCTCCGCTGAGATGCTCGGTTGATGGGCGCTGGATGTTGGCAGACCAGGTCCGAATGTGGTCAGCCCCGTGCTTGAACTGAGTGCCAATATCGACGGGATTGAGGCAAAGCGAGAGTGCCTTTCCAAACGACAGCGACTTTGAGCCAGTGTTGGAATAGCCCTTGGCGCTGAATGCGTAGAGATGCACGATCGAGACAACAAACATCTCGAAGCAGACCAGCATGGATTGGACACCGTTTCCGACGTTGGTGCGGGACCAGTACTGGGTGGCCTGGATGACACCGTAGTGAACAAGCATGCCGATGAGCAAGTTCTGCCACATGGTGAGCAGGATGACCAGCTTGATGGAGAGGAACTATCGCAGGACAGTATCGGGAAGCAAGGACGGCGGGTTAGTTACTGGCCGATGTCGTTGCCGTCGTCGGTACAAGGTGACGAGTGCGGACATTTGGGAGCCCTGAAGGGCATATCCGTCGATGGAACCAACACCTGAGCATCGGTGCGACAACACAATGGCGGCGCCAGTCCAAAGTGCATCGCCAGAGAACCACAGCCGGTTGCTTACCTTCGAGAAGGGGTTGTAGCTCTCGATTTCATCGTGGATGGTGTAGTACATGGTGATGAGCGCATACATGCAGATGCTGACGCTGGTGACGTTCAGAACCATATACCAAAAGTGACCATAGACCGGCGAGAAGGACTCGGGGCAGTAGCGCTGGAGAGCTTGAAGGACAACGGCGACAAGCGTCATCACAGGTCGAACGACGACGTACTGAAGGACAGCGACTCGGTTTCCAGGCAAGAACCAGCGGGAAGCCGGGTTGTATCGGGGCAGAAGGAAGCCAATGAAAGGGTATTTCATCATGCCCTTGGTTTTGAGATGCTCCTCGACGTCGCCGGCGTAGCTCATGATCAGAGCGTAGAAGCTGTAGACGACAAAGGCCTCATAGCAGTCGCGGATCATGAAGTAGTAGACCGCATAGGTGTAGTAGCGGAAGGCACACCACGAGAGGATCGAGTAGATCGGAATGAAGAGCAGGATGCGGACAATGTGGCGCTGCTGGCTGGGGTTGCTGAAGTTTCGGAGATGAGTGGAGATCAGGTATCCGGAGATGACGGTGGCGAAAAAGGCAAGGGCGCCGCATGCTGCCCACATGTACGAATGCAGCTCGAGGCGGAAGAGCGTGTCTGGGTATCGCAGGTCGATCTGGGTGGTGGGATCGATGTACTGCGAGTTGTCCTGGCAAGGGCAGAGCGAGAGATGGAAGCGGGTGTTGGTGACTGGGCGGCAATCGGCCAGCAGGACATGGTCGCCAATCCCAGCAAGAAGGCACTGATTGCCACAAAGAAGAAGAACATGGTATCCAGCAAAAGAATGATCGCCGCCACCGAAAGCGGCAGAGTTTCCGACAGGACAAGACAGCACAGGACAGGGCAGACAGCCGGTGGCCATGAGCGACAATCGGCGGCGCACGGGCGGCCGGGACGGGCCTGGTGCTGAGCACGGCCGTGCAAGGCCACGCAGGGCCCGGGAAAACTTACATCGCAAATCGCGACGGCAGAAGTGTTGGAAGACATGGTTGGGCCAGGAAGGTGCGCGGCGGCTGCAGCGATGCGGGGGAGCTGGTTGCTGGGGGAGAAGGTCGAAAGGGCGGCGGTTTTGAGGCGGCTGGGTCTGAGAGGGACGAAGAGCGCGGGGCGGGATGACGGGGCAGAGCTGTGGCCCTTGTTGTTTGTATGGGGCGGGGCGGGAACACAGGCGCGCGGGGCGGTGGGACGAGCGCGGCCGCCAAGGGCGATTCTGTACATGGCGGCTTGGGTGGAGTAGTTCGGATACAAACGAGTCGATGGGGTGGTGCAAGTGATGGTGCAAGGGATGGTGCAAGGGGTGGCTCAACGGAGTGATACCATCTCGGGCTTGGCTGCACTCGATTGCACGGAGTGGGTCTGTGCCTCGATCTTGGCAGTTCTTGGCAAATCGCAAGTTCAGCAAGGACGCTCACCAGCCCGAAGCCCTGGGTCGATGCAGGACGATCATGAGACCGAGGAGGGATCCTCCGTGGCGACGACGGCACCATCGTCAACTAATGCCATCTGGCATCACATTGCAATTGGAGCCAGCTGTATTGAGGAGGCGATCGCCAAGGCCGGATCAAGGAAGGCAATCGCAGGATGTACAAGGGCCATCCGAGTCCATTCCTCGACACCCACCATTCCGATCGACAGCCACCGAGTCCATCCGCCCACCGAGTCCCATCAGCCCATCAAGCCAAGATATTTGCTCTGCAGCTATGCCTGCTTCTTCCCGACACTCCACTTGGCCCGTTTGTTCTTCTGGGCGCTCTTGCTCTTTCCGTCCTGTGTCGCTATCGTGGCGGGTTCTCTGGCTGATGTGGGGCGAGTCTCCTGGGTCTGGCTCGGCGGCGGCGGGCCGGTCTTCTTCAAAATCGACACTGGCACTTTGGCGCCACCTGCAGGTTTGCCGGCAGAGGAATCATTTGGCGTAGAGCTCGCCTTGGACGGCTTGCTTTTGGGCGTCGGCGCATCCGGCTTCGATTCGGGCTTCGATTCGGGCTTCGATTCGGGCTGGGAGGTCTTGGGAGACGTCTGCAAGCGCTTGTTCTGTCGCTTGGCCTTCTTCTTCTGGTGCCGACTCTGGTGCGGCTTTCCGCCCTCTCGTCCGGGCTTGTCGTCTCCAAAGGAAATGGTCAAACGCGGCTTGCCTTCGGCTGCGCTCAATCGACTTCCCTTGCTGCCCGATGGCCCATCGTCCTCCTCATCGTCGTCCTCATCGTCGTCGTCATCGTGTCGATCAGGGAGATGGGCGGAATCGTCTGCTTCTTCCTCGAGCTCGGCTTCGCTTGTCTTTCGCTTTCGGTTTGTGGGCTTGGAATTGCGGTTAGGCAGCGAAACAGTCACGCACGTCAGACGACAGTTGGCATTGTACTCGGTAACCGGAGTAAGCGGAACGGCAGCAATCTTGCGGAGCGTCTTGGGCGTCTCCTCGGCTGCGTCATCAGACGGCTCGACTTTGGAGGCCCCAACGGCCTCGGCAAAGTTCCACAAGCGGATGCCACCATCCGACGAGCAAGTGACGATCACCGTTGGCCGAGCAACCCCAGAGTCAGGAGAGCCCTCGAGGGCATGCAGATCTTTGACGCGGAAGCCGTGGCCGGTATCCCAGCGAGCCAGGCAGCGCCCTTGGAGCGACCAAACGCCGACGGTTTTGTCTTCGCCGCCGGTCAAGACAACTTGGCTGGTCGCATCAACGCCTTCGCCCAGGGCGCCGGCAGCATCCCCCAGACGAACAAACGCCAGGGTCGTGATCTTGCCGATGCCTTCGATTTTGCCGACGACCTCGCCAGAGTCGACATCCGAGATTTGCACGACTCGGTCCATCAAAACGGCATGGTAATCGCCGTCGGGGCTCCAGCACACCCGCTCGGCAGGTTTGGGCAGCTTAGTTGAGTGGGCGCAGACGGCCTTGGCCATGTCCCAAACCTTCAAGAGACCGTCTCTCGCCACACTCAACAGCACCTTGCCAGAGGGGTGGATGTCGATCCAGTCCACGGCACCTCGGTGTCCCTTCAAGGTCGATAGCAGCTCCCAGTCGCGGGTGCGCACGATCGAGATGGTACCGTCCTCGGAGGCAGCAATCAGATGGGACTTTTTGAAGAACTTGAGGCAGGTGATCGACCCATTGTGATGCATCAGCGACCCGATTTCCTTACGGATCTGCAGGTCGTACAGCTTGATGTGCTCGTCGGTCGAGCCCGTCGCCAGGAACCGGCCGGTGGTGGCAAGGCATTTGATGCAGGTGATGTGCGACGGATAGATGAAGACGGGCGTGAGGGTGATCGGGGCAGGCGGGGCCGGGGCTTCTTGGCTCGTTTCAGAGGCGGGCTGGTGAGAAGACCCGGCGTCGGTCCAGAAGGCGTCGATGCCGTAGAGTAGACGCTCGTAGGTGCCGGCAATGATTCGAAAGTCCTCAACCTTGTCGCCGGCGGGCGAGTCGCTGTGTGCAAGGGTTGTTTGGGGCGCCATCGATGCACGGTGCTGCGATTGAGATCGAGAAGGGCAGCAGTGGAGGCTGAGCTGGGATGTGCGCTTCGGCGGGTGCGATAGCCGTCAGGGTTCCTCGCCGATGGCAGACAGAGAGCGATCAGCCAGCGGATGGATCGATGGATTGATGGGTTGGGTGCCCGCGAACCCGACAAGCAAAAACAAAAAAAAGCGCAGCCGCAGCTGATTGGCGGCGCAGCGAAGCGCGTCGAGGCCAAGAGCACCCTGGCGAGAACACCCCGGCCAGCAATGAGACAGGATGCATCCCGCTATCGATAGCGCACGGCTGCGTAGGACTGTGTCGAGCAGGACGGCATTGGTGTTGGAGCCAGTCGCAGCCAGGCACGGCGAGGTGCGTCGGGTCCCTGCAAGCTGGCTCCATCATCAACGCCGTCCTGCTCGACGATATTGGGATTCACCGTCTACCTGCTCTGCCTTACTGCTGCTGCGATGTTGTCAGCCAATCCTCATCGTATTGACTTGTAACCTGTTAAAATCACGATGAGATACGCTACATCATGCTCGGCCAAGAATGACCGAGCGTGTCAACATCTCCCCGGAACCTGATATCTCGTCGGCCAAGTCCATCGCAGGAGTCCGAGCGCCGATCGACGTCACTCCGGCAGGCGGCCGATCAACATCATTTCACCCACAAGAGCCACACAAGCCACACAAGTCACCCCTGTGTGAAGGTGTTCCGATTCAAATAAATCCGTAGTAACAACTCTGTCCGCGCTGGTATCTTCTCGTCCAGTCTCGCTCGCGGCGCATATCCCTCTTCATATCATAGTCAAGCATGGGCCAGTCACACTCAAAACATAACACCGGCAAGGCACTGGCACCCGAAACGCACTGTAAGCCAGACTCGGCCATTCATTCGTCCGGGGCGAAAATCTGTCCCTGATTTGCAATCCGGAACGCTGCCTTCCAGAGGCATCTGTGCCGACCCGTCCCAGTGCTTAGTCCGCCTGCCCTCCTTGTGCTGCTCCTTGTGCTGCTCCTGGTGCTGCTCCTGGCGATGTATTGAAATGCACCCATTTCATTCGATCTCCAGTCACACACAACGAGTTCCAGCGATTAAAATACCAGTTTGAAAAGAACGCAGACGAGGATTTCACCATCACCAAGGATCTATTTCGACATGTAAGACGTCGCGGCAACGCGAGGCTCTGTTGCTTGGCGATGGCCGATCCTTCAAACGGATACGCTTGGACGATACCTCGTCGACGGTGGTTAGCCAAGATCCGGCAGCCAGAGGGACACTGCTGAGCACATTGCTGAATAGAGGATCCGCAGCGGCTCCTTTTGCCATCCGGTCTCGCGGGTTTCACGCGATGTGTCCCAGGATATTGCTCGTTTTGCCTTCAGATTAGCCCTCGCCTCTCGCCGCAAGAGGCTCGGCATGTCGATCCGCCCGCTAGACAATCACAATCAGATTCCACCACTCTCCGATCTAACAACGGCTGCTTTTGGTATCGCTGTCGCGCCGCCGTCCTGCAGATCCTGGAAAACCATGTCCATTGCTGGTCCGTCGGCGCACAATACCTGTTTCTGGAACGGCTGTTTGATGCCTTTGATCTGGACGGGAACAAAAAGATTGACTTTCGAGAATTCATCAAGGGTCTGAGCGTCTTCTTGAAGGGTACCCCACAGGAAAAGCTCGAACGTAAGCGGTCCCGCCTCTGCCCCCGAGGAATGTCTGCTCCGGAGAAGAGCGTTGGGGAGGGATCGAGTGGCCCTGGAGAGGCTGGATGAAAGGGCGAATGGAAGCTCTATCGACTGACGACGCGATGGGTTGCATGGGCAACTGGGCCGGTAATCGGCAGTGTCATTCAGGATCTACGATCTGGACAAGAGCGGCACGATCGAGCCCAAGGAGCTGATCAAGGTCATGGGCCAGATGTACTCGGCATTTTACAACGAGGACCAAACCAGACGGATCCAGGACACTGTCAACCAGCTCTTCAATGACCTGGACATCAACAACGACGGGTCTTTGGTAGGTAGCGCAGAACAGCGGTGCAATGTGCGGCCGTTGTAGGGAAGCTTCCGCCGGCTCAGGGCAGCAGCTGTAACACTCGAGGTTCTCCACAGTCACTCACAGAGTTCAAGCTGATGGCGCTAAAAGAGCCCATGATCGTCGATTTCCTCGAGCAGTTCCTCATCACCACAAGCGAATAGGCGCAATACAGCATTGCCATCGCGCACGTATGCTCCAGTCCAGCCTGAATGCGAGAACTGGATGCGGTGTCACGCAGCGGGATGCAGCAAATGATCAGCCAAGTCCAGACGATGGCTTGGGCACGGTGGATGGAGCGTGCCCTTGGTTTGGGCAAAGTAGGTGAGATGGTTGATGTATTTGCAGGATGCTCGTGCGGTACCAACGATGCGGGGATATAGTGATCAAGTGGCTCTCTGGCGTTTCTACTTGATCAAGAAGACACCGGCCAAGGCGGAGAGCACGGCGAAGGCCCACAACTGCGATGAGATGGCCGTTTTGAAACCAGCGGAGGTGGATGGCGAAGCGGCACTGGAGCCAGAGGGAGACAAAGTACTCGAGGTCGCCGGAGCAGCGGCGGACGAGGTAGCCACAGCCTTCCAGATGACGGCAGAGGCAACCAGCTGCGATGAGGCAGGAACGAACAGACGGAGCTCGTTGAAGTCGGCAAAAGAAACAGCGCGGCCGGCGGCGGTCGTCAGCTGGAACTTGGGAGAGTCGCCCGGGCCGAGCTGCGAAGACACAGGGGTGTCGACGACCTGGGCGGCCGAGGTGTTGCCGACCATGCCGCCGTACCAGTACGACTCGGGGGCCTGGAGGAAGGTGAAGTTGTGGACGATGAACTGCACCAACAGGAGAGAGAGCGAGTCGAGCAGTTAGTGATCAGGGTCTTCGCTCTTCGCTCTTCGCGAGCTGGCCAAGCGGTACTCAAGGGACGGTGATCGGATTCCCAGGAGCATGCCAGGGAAACATACAGTGCATCCATCGAGGATCTCGACGGTGCCATAGATCGTGATGATGTTCTGATTATTGTTGACCCAGCTCTGGCTCTGCGAGACAAGCGTAGCGTTTGGAATGATGCCGGCGGGCATGGCACTGGGGCTGCAGACAGAGGCCCAGGCGGACCATGAATGAGCCAGGACAGCAAGGAGGGCGATGGCCCAGACCGAAAGCGATCGCGAGGACATTGGGGGCGGATGGTGATGGAGACGAAGGGAGCTGGACGGAACTGGTGGGGGTTATATCCCCGGCGGCCCCCTTCGGACGCAGGACCCCGCCGGCATTCCGTCGATGATTCCGTCGGCGAGATCGGGAGTCAGAGTGCGGTGCTGGTCCTTGTGGAGGCGGTGGCTGCTCCAAACAAAGCCCCGTCAGGACACCGCCGAACGCCAGAGGCACCCAGGGCGACGCTCGACAAGGTGTCCCATTGGCCATTCAACTCGCAATGCAGATGGAACACCCTCATTTTCGAATCGGCCGCACACATCCACCAAGGGCCATGTGGCCAAGCGGCTCGTCCGCCCCAAGGACCGAGTGCATGCACCGCACTCTCGAATCGCGATGGCAACGACTGCCGATTGTTGCCGCAGGAGATCGACCGGATGTATTCGAGACTGATCCCCCCAAGCCAACAAAATGTTGATTGTCAGCTGAGACCATGCGGTTTCTGGATCGTCGCGCTTCGGGCCAGCGATTACTGCAGTGAACACGGGTACTGCCCCGAGTTTCTTCGCACTAGCTGTCCTCCATCTCCTTTTTGACCCGGGCCATCTCGTCGTCCAGGGCCCGCAGGTTTTCGCGCAGGCTTTGAGCATCTTCGAGCCGCCTCCGCTTCACTGCATCCTCGAGGAACTTTTGAACGAGCTGGCGCTGCTCTGTCAGCACATCGTATTGCTGGCGCAGCTCGCGCAGTCGATCAATGTCTTTGACGGCCGTGGCCTGGATGGGGATTGAGTCCACATTCGGCTCCTTGCCCTTGGTGTCGCTTTGCAGCTTCGGAAGGAGATTGAGGGTGTACATATTGGACTGGATGTACTGTGTGCACGATAGCTGAATGTTGGAGTGGATGCGTTGCTGGGTGCTGCTTTCTGCTGCGAACGACTTGATCCGCTTGCTGCAAGCCGGCGTTGGTTGAGGACGAGTGAGTCAAACAGTTGTTCAGATGGAGGGGGCACTCAGCATCCACAAGTTCCGAGCATGTGCCGCCATGCTCACCCGAGTGCATCCATCTGTGAAAACAGATCGGTAATGTCCTTCTTGTATTTTACTGCCACGAGATAGTCCCTGTCCTTGAGTGTCAGATTCTTGCGCTCTCTGTCGATATCGGAGAGCATGGGAAGCCGGGGAGGTAGTGTCAGTTGATGAATACCCTCGCTTTAGCCAGAGACTGCTTCATGTTGCGCCGACCACGGAGCAGGGCAGAGCAAAGCAAATCATTGCATACATGAGATCCATGACAACATCTTGGAATCGCGGCAGGATGGTCTCAATGGACTCGCGAATCTTGATGATTTTCTGATACACTACGACAAACGGAGGCGTCTGCTCCTCTGGTTTCTTGCGCCGGAGGACTAGCCGCTTGCAGTTGTTGCATGTCCGCAGCTCCCCGGCCAGCTCCTTTGTGTCTGTGTGTATCGACAGCGCAAAGCAGTGATGCCGTGGGACGAGTTTGTGTCAGCAGCATGGAATAGATCGTGAAGCAGGTGTGAGATGTGAAACCAGCAGCAAATCACTCATCCAATGGACTCGTGTGTCTAGGCAAATGCATCTCGCCCATCGCATGCATTGGCTACATCTCACGAACCTGGGTCGACCACGGGTATCGCAGCCGAGCACGTGTCGAGTCCACATACTACCCGACCACAAGTGCGGCAGTGGTGCCGCCGATTCAGAGCCCCGAAAGTAGAGCTGTGACGTGTGGAGCATCAGCATACCATCCAACGTTGCAAGGCCGCTGACACCGGGCACACTCAACCATATGCGAGCGGGTGTCTGGGACTTGCAGGCTTACGAGCAGAACGGGCACGCCTTAACACCGCCGTCATCTTCCCATTTGACGATATCTTGTTCGAGGGCTTCATTTGATCACGATTCCCAGAGAGTGGTTGGTTCGTACCGATGCGCAATTCAGTGGTTGTATAAGCCAGCAACATTAGACAAACATTGTTGGCGAACATTGGCAAAGACAAAAGCGATACCGCGGTGCAAGATCCGGTTAGAATTTTGCCAACGAGACAATGCACTGGCACGGTCGGCTTAAGCCAAGAGATCGGCAAGGTCGAAGCCAGGCGCAGCACGGTATGCTCCGATGCAAAGCGGTAGAGCCAAAGGCGGACTGGGGCCAAAGTCAGACACATGTGCGTGCACCAACCTCTCAGATTGTTTGTCATGAGCAATCCGCCCATCGAGCTGATCGACGAGCGCTTGTTCACCATTCGATGCTCAGATACGTATAGTTTCGTAAGCTGCGCCAGCGGCAAGATGGCCACAGACAGAAGAAATAAGTTGTCACCAAGCTGTTGCTGCAGACGTGTGCGATATTGGCTGCGGGAGACAGGACATACCTTGTCGAATCGGTTCTCCAGTTTGTTGACCTCCAGCAGGACCCGCTGAACTCGTTCACGGCGCAGCTGCGAAAAGACATGGGTGTGGCTTCGAGTGACGCCTGGATGTAGAGCAATCGCAGCAATCAGCAGCGAAGAGTTGGACTGACGGCAAAAAAGGCACATGCGCGAGCTTGGAGTGGAGAGACATTGATTACGGGCTCATCTGCTCCTACCGTTGTTGTCGCCATAGCCTTCGCGGTGAGTGTAGCAAGACTCGCAAACCCGACACCAAATGCCCTTCTCGGGATCATGTCGAGCATCCAGAGCCAGTCTGATCTGGAACGAAGTGTGGCTGTCGCAAAAGAGCTTGCCGCATCTGCCACGGGAGAAACAGTGATGATCCCACAGCATTGCATCGCAGCATTACATCGCAGCATTGCATCGCAGTATCGCCGCGTCAGTACTGCGACACCGATGTCGCATCCGGGCGGGCTCTTGCACCCAAGCCGACCCCCAGACCACAGTCAGAGACATCGTACCTGCGACAGTTCTGCTTGCCGAAGCGCAGCCCAAGGGCTCGGCCACATCCCGGCGTCGAGCAGAGATCGTTTCCTGTCTCTCGCTGCCAATGCGTCTTTTTAAGGCCAAACTCGGGGTCACGGATCTCGGCTGGCCCCGTCGAGCCCTGGGGCTGCGATCCCGACGACCCGCTAGGGCTGGCCATTGAGTTAGGATTCAACTCGATCGGGTTCGAAACCAAGCCGAGCTTGTCCATGTTGGAGAGGATGTTCATCTTGTCGAACGAGAGCGAGGTGGTTGCATCGCGAGCGGCCTTGGAGAGCGGGTTGATGACCTTTTCCTTGGTTTTGCGCAAAAACGAAAAGATGGCGGCCGATGTGTCGTCTTCGTTGTGCATATCATCGAGATGCTGGTTGAGTTGGTACAGATTCTGCATCGGGACGTCTTGCACCAAGATTGCCGAGCAGGGTTAGGAGATTCCACGGTGCGTGCCCGCCAAGGCGGTGGCATCGAAATGCGGTCAAGGATAGCAACGCATTTGTTCGAGGACCATGGAATGGTGAATAGCACGGGCATGGTGAGCGGCAGTCTCCCGGGAATGGCGGGTGCTGCTCTGGCTGCTCTGGCTGCTCTGGCTGCTCTGGCTGCTCTGGCTGCTCTGGCTGCTCTGGCTGCTCTGGCTGCTCTGGCTGCTCTGGTCGCTACAGCTGCTCCTCGTCACGACTGGTCCAGGGTCTCGCTGATGATGCCGATAGCAGCGACTCCTGCCGGGCATCTGCTCCCCCTCCAGCGATCCCGCACCGCCTTGAACCTACTGCAGATGGGGCATTCGATTGTGGCGGGAGCCTCGTGGGTGGACTGCACCGGAACAGAGTTGCGAGGCCGGGGGTTCCCGATCGCCAGTGACGATGTCCTCGGTTGGAAATCGCGCTCGTGGCTGTTATCGATAACCTGGGTCGCCTGAGCGACCTCGTCACCCGCATGTGTGGTAGACCGGGGTGTCTGGGGAGAAGATGCAAAGCTCGGCAGTGACTCGGATCGTTCGAGGGTGGACCTCTGGGTCCCTGTCCGGAACGAGCCCCGCTTGAAGACGAGGTCCGAGGGCGTATTCATTGTGCAGTCGGATCGACGGGTTCAGGTCTATCGAGAGGCCGACGCAGGATGGAGCAGATGGGTTGATGAGCAGTGCCGGGAGAGGTGGAGGGGGAAGAGAAGCGATGAGGTCGCCAGACGACGGATGGGCGAGGAAGTGGGTATCAATCGAGCCAACAGTACGAGGATCGAGGCGCTTGGCGAGCCAGACTGTATGGAGGAGGCAGCGATGAAAAAAAACGAGGGAGGGTGCCGAAGCAACACTCTGAATCACCGTCGACTCGCCGTCCGAGGGAGGGCAGTGAGCCCGCTGGAGGGAGGAAGAAGGCCGCAGGAAAGACCAAGGCAGAAGCAGGTCGGCTCTGCCCTGGCCGATTTCGCACCCAACACCGCCACGGGCAACAAGGGCCGCGCCGACCGGATTCTGCGCAAGATCTGTGGAAAGGACCGGTGGGTTGCCATGCTGACCAGCGGGCATTGCTCGCAAATGAAACGAGCACGGCATGCCCGTATATCATTTGCAATCGCAGACTGTATATCATTTGCAATCGCGGACTGTAATCACTTGCATCGAGAAATGGTGCATGATCAAGTGGCCTCCTGTTTGGGTCGGGGCGTCCCCGACAGCTCATGGATCCGGCTGATAGTACGTCCAAAGTCCACGCCCTCTGCCTTGCCCGCAGATGTATCGTCGGCACCGGTCCCAAGATCGGCCTCCGGGATGGAGGATGCTGGCCGCAGTTTTCCCGAGTTGCTGTCGCTGATCTGGGGTCCTACATGAGGGCCTGTTGCGCCGAAGCCTTCGATCCGAAACAGCTCCTCCGGGGCACCGGCGGCGGACATGACAATCCGGACCTTCGTCGCCATGCATGTCAATACCGGTCGAGGGCCGATTTCAGTGGGAGGCAATCATCCGTTCACACCGCAACGGATCCATCGACGCCGTTGAATTGCTGGTCGACAGAGGCTCACCTTGTTGTCATACAGTGCATCGACGAGCATGATCAGTCTCCGAACCTGGTCCTTCTGCTTGACAGTCATCTTTGGAACTCGCTCGATCACAACAACGTCAAACTCGTGGGCAATGGCCAAGTAGTCTGCAACGCCAAACGGCTGGATTCCAATCGGCGGTGATATCGAATGATAACCGAGCATGAGTCAGCGGTGAGATACAGGGCTCCAGAGACACATTCGCTTCGCCAATGCGGAGCGCTTTTGGCCAGCGGACCTGCTCCATGGCTTTGCCCGAGCCAACGCCGAGTACCGGGCAGACGCCCGACGAACACTGACCTTGATACGGTCTCCGCAGAGGTAGTCAAAGTCAAAGATGGCGATTCGGGCAGAGGTCTCGGGTACGATAGTCCTGCGACCGTAGACTTCCAGCGACCTCGGGACGAACCGGTGACGGGATCGCATCTCCTGGATGTAGTCGTTGTACTCGCGCGATCTCGAAGGATTTGAAAGATCATAATACGAGTCGAGCCCTTCGAGAGCCCAGCCAGGTCAGTGCGCACAGACAACCACAGGAAAGACGAGCATGATGGGCATTCGGAGTACTGTCTGTCAAAGCATGCGAACGACGAGAGTGTATGTTGATATTGCGAGAAAGAGAACTCACCGATGCCTGCCAGCTGACGGTAGTCATGCTCGCCTCCCAGGTGATAGATTTCACAGCCCTGCTCCAGCAGATGGATCAGAGGGCGATACGACTTTTGATGGAATGCCCTTCCTCCCAGTTCTTTGGTTTAGATGCAATATCGTCCAAGGCCAGCAATCGATGCGTATGGCATTGCCGTTAGTGAAACGAAGGTTTTCACGGAGCACATATCTCTTTGTCCATCGGTACTGTATCGGTGCTGCATCAGTACGGCACCGGTCGGTGGGCTCCCACAAGGCATTGCAATCGGTCCGGTGCAATTACCCCTTGGCGTCTGGTTCGAGGTTGTAACAAGGACGCTGCCCATTGCAAACGAATGCAGCAGACACTGTCCCAGAATCGAGGCGGTCGCCACATCGGGCAGCTGAAACTCGTCGACAAAGAGCAACCAAGCCTCTTGATGTAGCTGGGTAGCAACATAGTGCGAGACATGTCCAGATCGTTGGCTGATCGGGAGGCGACTGGGGGCAAGTGAGATGGTTAGCGCCCAAACCGAATATGCTCGCTGCTTCTCAGCGTCCTCACAGCTCCTCATGCGATGCACTCTGCTGGTAAGCCGTCCATTCCGGTTCAGCAATCGCCCAGTAACGGCTCGTTCTCAGCGATGCAGACCACTCAACTGCCAGTCCCGCATATGTGAGTGGATCTTGGCCATTAGTTGATCAAAATGCAGTCGAATCTTCTTCTCGACGCCGACGCTTTCGCACAAAAGATCCATGAGCATGGTCTTGCCGCTACTGTGGAGTTTCAGTCGCTCCGCGTGAGCATGGGTCACAAGGGCAGCAGGGATCCCATCAACGCAGCCGATCGGTATTCGCAGGCTCCACTGCGTGCCGGATCAGACTCTTACCCAACTCTTCCGTGGATCCAAAGCCCTCGAGGGATCGACGTTGGTCGACCCGGAGCATCAGCGGCGCTCGCGCGAGTCGATCGTGGGCTTGATGTGGTCAAGGGAGACGCAGAATATGGATCGATAGGTGGACTCGGATCCTGAACACGGCCAGAAATCAGCAAACTGCCGTACCATCGGAAACGAAGCCAGCCACGGCATACCTACAGATTGACTCGCCAATGCGCTGTTGTACTCCTCCAGGCGGTGCCAGAGACTCTTGATCTGTAGAGGCCAGCATCACAGGGCATCAGCGGCGACGACCTATGGCCAGGTACTGCTCAGTACTCAGCCATCTCCAGCGATGCCTGCGACTTGCCTTCCCAACTGCGGCGACCTGTTGTCTATCCAAATAGAACTGGTGGCCCAGGGCCAGCTCGCGGTATCGCTCAACGGGATTCTCTCGAGGAAGCTGCGATCTGTGTGCAAGAAGCTTCAGTGCAAGGGCAAGTTGGCCGATCTCTCGGGTTCTTCGAGCTTTGAGACACAGTGAATAGACCAGCACCACCCAAAAGCTCACTCAAAGCCGCTTTGGCCTGGAGAAAGGCTGCTGTTTCCCTGGACAGATGCGTTCCGTCGATCCAGGGCAAATCTCTCCCTCCACCACGATGCACTTTAGATCCGCCAGGCTTGGACTCACCTGCTGGTGTAGTGGACGAGCCGGACTGGCACCCGGTCGCATCGCTCCACACATCGCACAAGCTGCCTCAGACCTGCTGTTGGGTTCATGGTCGCTGCTGCGATGGGGACAGGCAGCCAGGAACTCGCTGCAAAATCTTGGCCGCAGACATGCCCGCATCACGTGCTTACGGGCGACGCCGATTCGCGAGCGGCCCTCTTGGGCTCTGTGCCGGCGTTCTTCGCTTGGCCACCGGCTTCATCTCGATCCAGGTGAGTCCCATCCATCCAGTCCCATCCAGCCCCCGCCCTCGCCTCGGCCTCGCCCGGCGACCCAACGTATGTGCACCTTTAGGAGATGCCCCCTGATCCGCAGCGACTCTGGCTCTGACTTGGCTACTTGCATCGTCCGGCTCTGCATCCAAGATTCATCCAGCTCGCCCAACTCGTCCAACCAATCTTCGTCAACCGGCATCCTGTAGCTACCAGCCATGGCCGACAACATCACCGTGATCATCTCCGTCGTTATCCTCATATTCGTTATCCGATATATCTTTGGTGAGCAGACGCCTCTGACTGCGATTCGGGACTGCGATTCGGGTCTGTGTCCGGCAGGGGTGTCGGGCGACCCCGAGCGCTTTCATCAGAGGGATTTTCTAACCCGAGCAACCTCTTCGGGCCGTGTGTGCATCGTACGATCTGCACGCCCGCGGCAATAATCCTGGATTGCTGTGCTTTGACTTGCTGCAGGCGGGCCGTCTCGAAGATCCAGCGATGTGCCCCAGACTTATCCGACTCAAGCCAACTCGGCCCCTCGATACCGGGTAACTCCAGACAAGGTACGCATGCTGTCGATCCGAGAGAAGTCGACTTGCGGGCATCGACCGCTCGCTAAGGTCGTTACGGCGTACGGATGCGCATTCATCGCACGGCGCGAGTGGCTCTGGGGCAATGATGGCGAACTGGGCACCAAGGCTGCGAACCCGCCCCGGCTTAGATGGCCGAGCGAACGGCTAACAACAGGCCCTGTCTTTGTCTCGGTTGCGACGGCCAGGTCGAAGCGGTCCTGTCCATGTTCCCGCATTTCCCCCGTCAGGTTGTCGAGGCTGACCTCGGACAAACTGGCAGCGTCGAGCGCACAATAGAAAATATCCTGAGCAACCGTCTCGTTGCGGTGAGTCATCCCGGCAGAGGTTACAGTGTTTCTCGAGGCAGCGCGACAACACTTTGCTGAACGTTACTTTCGATAGGCCTGGGCGACGGATGGCTGATGCCCGGCACGGGTCCCAGCGCATGCGACCGAGGAACGAGCGGTAGTCCTTGGGCATGCATCGCTGACGTTCTTTGCCTATTGCCTTCCCGGATCCCAGCCCCCGCCGCCCGAACCCGTCGGCTCATCCCCAAGCCCAACCAAGGCTTCCCTGGCCGAGAGTATTGACTTTTCCAAGCCTGCTGTGGAGCCGCCGCGGGTGTGGGAGCAGACTCCCGAAGGACGGCAAGCGAACCTGCGCGCGCGGAAAGAGTTCATGGTCCGACAGGCCCGAGCGTAAGTAAGATGCGATGCACGGAGGCGCTCAGCGGATGGCCACATATCCTGATGCCAGCATAGGATCGCTCAAAGCCGATTTGAGGGGGGAGAATCCACGTCCTTGGACGCGGGAATAGGCGGCGACAGACACAGAAAGGACCCAACGAAGATGTCGCCGCTGATGATCCGCAAGCAAACCCCAATCCCACATGAGCAGTTTGCGGACAGAGCATGCGAACAGCTCTCTGAGTTCTGATGAATACCGCCTTCCATCGTCAAACGCAGCAAGCTGCTGGAGAAGCAGCAGGCAAGCGAGGAACAAGCCTCGCCCAAGAGCGACTGAGCCTGAATACTGTTTCACTCTGCGGAATGGGCAACGGTGCCAGCATGCAAAGGGCCGCACCTGAATGCTGGTGATTGGAGAGCAACTCTACGATCATGCGAGCAATCCGCCGATGGTCGGCTGCCAGGCAAACACCCAGTGACGCAGAATAAAGTGTACACATGTTGAAACGGGATACTTCAACGGGAAGGCGGCTTGTATAGATTGAATGGTGTTGATCGGTCTGGCTGAATGAAGTCGATCGGCATCCGAACCCCAATATAATCCGTTCGCCGAGGTCACTTACTCCATACATCCCCATGTTTACTCAGGACGCCGAGAGTGGTGATTATAGCCGGCTTGGTTACTCTGGATCGAGTGCAAGACATGATCCGACGATATCGAGTTTGTCTGAAGGAGGCGGTATCTCCCAATCGGTCATTCAAGCCATGAGGATTTGTGTCGGTGGGGTGGGCGTTGGCAAGCAATGCTTCCAAACGTCGGCATGATCTGCGGGATCTGCGGAATCGAGACATCAATGCCAGCCAATGACAGTCGCAAGTGGATCCAAGACGGTGCTTCCCAGACCAACGAACACAACTATCGCCAGCGAAATCAGGAAGGCATTCCCATGGTCTGCTCGCTGGGGGCCACAGATCGCTGCGAGGGACACTCGGAGACACACTGTCCCGCTTCGTTCTGAACAAGCCGAGAGATCAGTGCATGTTTCGTATTTCCATGGATGGAGTGCACGCAACTCGGTCGCCGCAATCTGTGTGCCGAGCAACGGCAGCAGCATGGCTTGAACAGCCGGAGTGCAAATCTGGGACTTGGCGATGACTGCTCAGCCGAGTCAAAGAAAGCGTCGCTGTATTGAGTGGCATGAAGGCGATGATGGTGCAATACTCCCAGTCATACTCTGCCAAACAGACAACCGAGACAAGACAACCAACAAACGAGAAGAACAGCGAGTGGATATCAAGTGGGAAAGCAGCCCAGGGGAAGGTTGGGGCGGAGATGGAAAGAACAAGCACAATACAAAGCAACGACAGAAGGAGGAGTGTGCTTGCTGTGAGACTCAGTCGAGGACTCAGTCGAGGACACTGGATCGATGGTGTGGTCGAACAACCAGGATCTGCCAGGTGAGACTCTGGGTGAAGCACCGAGGGCTATCCGAGTGTAGTGCATCAACTGCCACTGCCGGTCACTGCTGGCCATGCCTCAGGACAACCCATCGGTGCAGCCTGGTCCAGCACATCTGTGCCATTCAGTTGCGGCCAGTGCGGCCAAAGACGCTGACATCGGGATAGTCGTCCGTCTGGAGCGGCGAGACAGGCTCGGGCGGAGCATGGAGGTACTTCACACGGTCCAAGAATCGGAGACATCGCTCGACGACATTCTCGGCCGGGGGACTCGGTGTCGGATAGATCGAGCGGGTGTTGGGGTTGTCGACCTGGACGGACATGTCCATCAGCATGTGCATCAGCGGGAACAGGGCGTTGGTCTCGACGGAGGGAGCCGAGTGGAGCAGGATCTTGAACTGCTCGCGTGTCTCGAACATGACTCGCCAGCCCATGGCATTGACGATCTCAAAGATCTTCTTCTCGGCGATGAGGCTGAGCATGGAGTGTCGGTGTGAGATGGGCGGTGTGAGATGGGTTGGTGTGTGATGGGTTGGTGTGGTGAGCCGGGTGCTGTCCCATCCATTCTCTATCCATGCCCTTCCTTCTCACTCGCTGCTCCCCCAGCATGTCATGAGCCACATCCTCACCTGTTCTCCGAGTCGCTGACATGAAACACAAAGTTGGAGAGGGCCTGCTCCGAGGCCACAATCGCCGTGACGACCTTGGCCACATGGTCGACCGGGTCCATGGTCAGGGTGACGGGGGTTGCATGGGAGGGAGCGATTCCGATCTGGATGCATCCCTTGACATATCGCCAGATGTAGTCATCAACGTTGCATGCTGGTGGCGAGAGAGAGATGGAGAAAGCGAGTGAGTGTCGGCCGAGGACTCACCAAGCACATCACCACATCACCACATCACCACATCACCACATCACCACATCACCATCACCACATCACCACATCACCACTCGCTCACCTCCGTATCGGCTCTCGCCGACGATCGCGGCCGGTCGGATGATCGTCACCGGCACGCCCCTCGATCGTGCCTTGTGGACCAGCTGCTCCGAGACCCACTTGGTCTGTGCGTAGCCGCCAGAGAGGTTCCAGTTCAGCGACATTCGCTCCTCGAGCGGCTGGGCCGAGCCCTTCATCGGCAGCGTGCCGATCGTCGAGATGTAGTGGAGCGGCTTCAAGTGGTGGGTCGTGGCCAGTCTCAATGCCGTCGCCGTGCCGAGGACGTTCGGGCCCTTGAGTGCCTCGTAGTTGTAGAGCCAGTGGACCTCGGCACCGTTGTGCACAATCACATCACTCTGCTCGCTGATCTCCTGCCATCGCTCGTCCGACAGCCCCCACTTGTCCTGTGCCAGGTCGCCGGGAAGACCCACGATCCTGGGACGGATGTTGTGCTCGAGGTCGTGCATCTGCTGCTGGTTGAGGATCAGCTTGCTGGCCGTGTCAAAGATGCGGTCGATGGCGGCCGGCTCGTCCTTGGCTCGGACAAGGCAGTAGATCTTGGCGCTGGGGAACCTGCTGGCCAGCTCGTACAGCAGGAATGCGCCGAGAAACCCAGTGGCCCCCGTCAGGACGATGCCGCGAGGATTGTCGGGATAGACAAACCGAGGGAGGCCGTCGGCCGTCACACCCGCATCGTCGAACCTGACGGCTTCCTGGTACAGATCCACGGTCGGCGGGACCATCAGTCTGTCGTCGAGCATGTCGATGGCAAGCTGGGCGACATCGGTGGGTGTCATTCCGTTCGACAGCAGGATCAGCGGCGAGATCTCGACATCCAGCTCGTCCTTGATGGCGAGGGACAGGCGGCCGGCGCTGAGCGAGTCAAAGCCGACACCGCCAATGTAGTAGTTGCGGCCATCAAGGGCGGCCCTGCCCAGGACCCGGCTGCCGATCTGAGAGATCTTGGCAGCGACGCGGGACAGGAGAGTGTTGTCGATCCTGAGAGCCGGATAGACGACCGACGCAGTGTACTGCTCGACATTCTCGGCAAACAGCCTGAGCTTCTTGAGGTCGCGCTTGTTGGAGTCGTTGAAGGGGAATCGCTCGAGCGCAAAGCAGTTGTGGATCGGGACCTTGGCGACGTTCGAGAGCGCAAAGAGCTCCTCGGTCATCAGGATGATGTTGGCGGGGACTCAGGAGGATGGCAGGGCCGCTTTGGGGGACATAGAGCATCACGATGCGCTTCTCGGAGGTCATGACAAAGGCACAGTCGGCGATCGAGTGGCTCAGGTTCTGGTTGACAAGCTCCTCGAGGGCATTGAGGTCGACATAGACGCCGTTGACCTTGACCTTCTGGTCGAATCTGGAGCGGTGCATGTGGAGGGATGATGTGGTGTGATGGGATAGCAATGTGGTGAGAGGTGATGTGGGTGAGAGGTGTGATGAGGTCGATACATGGCAATTGGATGAGTGGTGGATGGGTGGGTGGTGAGGCAGGAGATGAATGCCACATCGCAGCCAACATACCGACACAGTGCCTCTGCATCGCACCCACCTTCCGACCACAGTGAACTCGTTCTCGCTGACCATCTCGACCCAGTCCATGGTGCAGACACGAGGAGAGCCGTCGCTGAGGAAGCCAAAGTATCCAATCTTGTTGTCCGGGTCGGCGTTGACAAAGCTGGGATGATCCTTGACCGGATGGTCGGGATCGACAGCAAAGACAAGGACGCCGCCGTTGGAGAACCTTCTGTCGATGAAGTTGCCGTGCTCGTCGATGATATGGCAGCGGACTCCTGGCTTGGCGAGTTTGTACACAAGTTTGGGAGGGACTTCGGTGACATCGGCCGGGAGACTGAAGTATGTAGCGGCTCCAATCAACAGAGACTGATGAAGCAAATCGTTGCTCCGGTCAGTCGAGTAGTAAACATCATATTTTGCTTGACATTCAATGATGACGGACCTCGCTGCATCCGTAGACAGATTGAATCTCGGCATTTGGGAAGCGGCGTCTGGCTTCACAAACGACGCTTCGGGGCACGATTTCGGACCCAAGGAGGATCTTTCTTGTTCCTCGCCAAACTGATGTGTCTGTTTTCCGACACTCCGACTCCAATCAACAGCTTCAAAAACGATGGCGGCTACGAGAATAACAGGAATTTAGCACTCGTTTCACCGAAACAGTGTGCCTTCGGCCATCTAAGGAGTTCATACCATGAAGAGATAAGCAAGACCATCGTCAAGCATCTTGGAAATACTTCGGACTTTCTCAACAGGGTTCGGAGTTGCTCTGGGGATCCATGCTGACCCTTGGAGATTCAGTGCAGTCAAGAAAAGATTCAATGTGGCAAGGAATGAGGGCGCCTCAAGAAGGAATATTCGTTAGCATAGAATTGCGACGGAGGTTAAAGACCATCAAGTTTTGACTCACTTGGCATATTCCGATATTGCAATGTGTGAATCCGACAGATTCTCGAGCAGTTATGGGGCCGTAATGAGAGTATATGAAACTGATACACATTCATGAGCATAGGTCAGTGATCTCCGTTGATTCGCTTCGGACTGTGCTCAATACACGGTCTCGACCCACTTACGTCTTGGGGATGCCTGTCGAGGAGTAACAAGAACCACCATGAGCATCATGCATATCCTGTGATGACCCACAGACACTTGCTCGCTCGTACCATGCCATCAGATGCGCCACTCATCCGATGTATCAAGCACTCCGCCCAGACACATAGCTGGCGGATACTCTGACAGCCATCCATACCTGTCGTTCCAGAAGTGCATGCATAGGCGATGAACTCATCGAGAGGCTCGCACGCCTCAAGCGAGGGCAGTGGGATGTCGTCCAGCATCGGGAATGTCGATGCATCCACAAGAGTCACTCCCTGTGTGCGTCCGGGTTTGACGCAGTGGTGCAGGATATACTTGATTGAGTATCTGGATGGATGCAGCCCTGTCAGCTGCTGTTTATCAATCGACACCCTCTCTGCCGCCATCATCACTTCTGAGGTCGAACTATCTCACAGACAATAGACATGCCCACAGACGATCCAGACATGCCCACAGACAACACACCTGTCGCACAGAGCCTTTCGGGCAGCCGGAGGCAGGTTGAGACCAAAGTTGATTGTCTTCCTGGATGGTGGTCAAGGGACGAGCGAGGAGAGTCAGGAGGATCACAGAGCCAGGAGGGAGGATCACAGAGCCAGGAGGGAGGATCGCAGAGTCAGGAGGGATCACAAACCAGGACAGAGCATGAACGATGGCACTGGATCGACAGTGCTGGTGGCGGATGTGTGGAGCAAGCAAGCAGCAGACGACTGATGCAGCGGGACTCGCCCTCGATCGCATCCAAGCAGCACTCACTTGCCAAGCATCCACACTGCAAGGGAATAGAACACCCAGTTGACCTCGGACTCGCAGAAGGTGCCAATGACCTCGTGGTCGGCGTCGTCCCAGCCGGCGAGGGCCCTGAGCCCCTGGGCGATCGAGTATGCTCTCCTCCACACCTGGCGATAGGAGTGTCGCTCGGAGGCGCCGCTTTCGTATGTGTTGATCAGGAGGGCATCGGGCTCGTCGCGGGCGCCGTTGATGAGACACTCGATGGGATGGAGCCAGGGACCAAGGGAGTCGGCTGGTTTGGAGGATGCCGTGTCTGACGGCTCGGGCTGGGTTTGCTGGACAGGGGCTTTCGAGGTTGTGTCATCCACATCCATATCGACATCCACATCCATCGACGACTTGGCCGGGAGACTGGAGCTCGAGGCCATTTGGTGGCGGATGCGACGGAGCAGGGGAGATCGGGGGAGGAAGAGGACGAGGAGAGGGAAAGGGGCAGGCAAGACGAGATGCGGCGGGATGGAGTGGGATGGGATGTGGGATGTGGGATGTGGGATGGGATGTGGGATGTGGGATGTGGGATGTGGGATGTGGGGTGTGGGATGGCATGCAGATTCACCCCCTCGCCGATCGGAATGGCCATGACTGGTTCGGGGTTCGCGTCTGTGGAACCTGGGGCGAGTGGTCCACCTGCCACTCTGGCATTGGCTGTCGCTGCTCGGCTGTCGCTGGTGGCATCTGTGGGTGTCTGTCTCTGCTCCGATAATGCAGGAGCACCACGGGATAATGCAGAAGCACCATGGGATAATGCAGTGGATGGGAGCAAAGTGGAAAGCGCCACCGCACCCCTCGATTGCCTCTCTGCCTTTGCTCCATCTCTCCCGCCATCGGAGTATCCCCCAAACAGGATGCGATATCTTGTTGGATCAACGAAAGATGCAATGCCTGCAACATTAGCCAGATCAAGTGGGGCGCACGATTGCTTTCGGGGTGGCTGCTCACTTCCCTGTTGGTTGCAATCGCACCCACCTTCACCGGTCTGTCCCATAGCCATCCGTCACATCCAGTGATCGATCGATCAACTCCAGAACGGCAGCGACGGTGCCGGGACCTATGGATGACAAGCTCGAAGGAATCAATGTTTATTCAGGGATTCGCACACATTTGCTGATATTGGAGCGATTTGGCCTCACAGATCGAGCTAGTTGCGGCAGGTGAAGCTGGCCGGATCGCAGGACAGTCCCGAGGCACAGGTGCCGAGCACGATCCAGGTGTCCACACAGATGAGGATGTCGTTGGCCGAGCCGCAGCTGAATTGACCACCAACAGAGCAGGGCTGGCCGGCGGTGGGGAGGCCAGTGGGGATGGCGGAGGGAGTCGTGGTCTGCTTGGTAGAAGTCTGCTTGGTGGTGGTCTGCTTGGTAGTAGTCTGCTTGGTAGTAGTCTGCTTGGTGGTGGTCTTCTTGGTGGTGGTAATGACAACGGGGGTGGTCGTGGAAGCAGCAGCAGTGGTAGTGGCAGAGGTGGTGGTGGTGGAGACAGCGGCACTGGTGGAGACAACGGCACTGGTGGAAGACCCGCCCGACGAACAAGTGCCCAGGACGTTGTTCAGCCACATGGCAAGGCGATATCCGGCCTTGGCCAGCTGGAGGTCGACAATGCTCTTGACGTTCTGTGAATCGACAGCAGCATCAGTACCATCCACACTCCACGGCTTCCTTTGATCAGGTCAGGGCGTGCTTACATTGAAATAGTCGCCGCCAAGATCATCGCCCGAGGTGGCCTCGGCGTTGAAGACAGTCGAGCAGTCAAACGAGTTCGAGTCAGCGGCCCAGGCCGAGGGGCAGGCGTTGCTCGAGAGATCGGTGCAGGCCACCCACGAGGCCGTCTGGGAGGCATAGTCGTTCTGGATCTTGGAGATCAGAGCGTTGGCAAAGGTGGTGTAGCTGTTGCCATAGTCCTCGGCCATGATTTTCTCCTGCCAGCAGATGCACATGTGTCAGTGGGGCTCGAAGCGGCATTGATGGTGCTCCAGGATTGTGGCTGCTGCAAACCGCCCACAAGTGTCAAGCCTCAGCGGATGGACTCACAGGGATTTCGGTGTCCCAGATGTGATGCAGGTTTGTCTTGACGCCGTCAAACACAACGGGGATGTTGTTTCCGCCCAGATCGCGGCCACACTGGGTGAGAGAGTGGTTGCGTCAGCGGTTGCGTCGGTGTCTGGCAGCAACAAGAGCATCAGTCGATGTGCGATGCCAGTACTCACGGCGTGCAGGGGCTGGGTGATGTCACCGAGGAAGTCTGCATGCATCCAACGATGTGAGGAGTGTTAGTTCCCAATGCCAGCGGTCCCGTCTCGGCGCAGTGCTGGTGGAGGCAAGCATCTCACGATCGCTGTCATGAGCATCAGTCCAGTGAGATCCTCGACTCCAGCGCGACAGTATGGTGCTTGCATCTCCCCTGTCCGACCGGTGTCTTGGCGGAACTGGAGTTACTCACGGGTCAAGAACTCTGGAAGAAGCAGGAACAACAGAAACAAGAGCAAGAACCCGCGGTGGGCCGGCGAAGCAGTCAGCTGGATACAAGCACCTGGTCGGGCAATCGGATCATGCGTTCATGGAATCGCACGCGGGTCTGCGGTACTTACGGAGGGCTTCGACCTGGGCAGACTGGCCGTAGTTGTTGTTGCAGTTCAGTCTGCTGGTGTAGTTGGCGATGGCGCCAACAACGCAGTTGCCTCCGGGGCAATCCCGCGCGTAGTTGAAGCTGTAGATTCCAACAGGCGGCCAGTCGGTTGTGGCCAGATGGTCAGCGGGACGAGCGAGGCAGTATCCGACAGGGCTCGAGGGCGGGGTGGGAGACAGCGGGACACTTACGAGCACGAAACCGGTGGGTTGTCGACAGTGTCGACAAAGTCTGTGGAGAGTGTCGGAGGTCAGCGGCTGGCTTGGAAAATCGAGGTCAGCCAACGACCCAGGTGACAGTCGACTGGAACTCACGCAGCGGGGCGGACCAGGTGTAGCCAGCAGTGTACTTGACTTGATCGGCCCAATTGCACACGGACGAAGCGGGGACGCTGGCTTCGAGAGTGTTGCCATAGCTGGCAAGCAACTGGAGCTGGTTGATGACATTGATGGAGTTCTGGAAACAAGCAGCCAGGATAGGTTGGCGAGCCGAGCCGGAGTAAGTCGACGAGCCAAAGTCGGTCTCGTCCAGGCGCCGAGTGGTCTGGACATTGCCGACACAGGCAACGGCACCGCACCTGCGACAGGAAGCTCTGGGCCACATTGCCGACGAGCATATGGCCAGTGGCGCCCCAGGCGGCGACACCGTCAGCGGCCAAGACCAGAGCGACAGCGGCGGTGCAGACAGAGGTGAGCTTGAACATGGCGGCGACTGGTGAGATTATAGAAGAGGGACTACTCCGATGAGGTGCCTTGCGCCTTGTGCAGCGGCTCTTGCGGCTTGTTCATTCCCAGAGCCGTTTCGAAACGAGACACCTTCCCACGCGGATGATCGATCTGGCTGACTCATGTCGATCGGCCACCGAACCCGCTCGCCGAGGTCGCCCACTCCATGCATCTCCATGTTCGCTCAGGACACCTAGGGATATGATTTGACCCACTCGGTTCAGAGTATGATCCGATCCGACGATGTCATGTTTGTCTGCAAGGATCACTTCTCATCGTCCATTCATTTGACTGTCCGTCTCGCCTGGGCTTGTGCGATGCCATAGATGTGCGCAGCCACACAAACAGTGAAGCCCAAACTGGCTCGCCTGGACACAGCCGCCCTAAAATAGCCGCCGCGCCACAGCTCTCCACCGACACAGAAACTGTGCCGAGCCACACACACACACACGTTTGCTCGATCTGCCTGCGTCTCGGCTTGGACTTGATCGCTTGCATCGAAGCCTGTGCCTTGGCCTGGGTTTGATCGACCTCTGGCAACTTGACGGACGAACGCACCGAGAAGCAGCCCACGTCGCCATCGTCCGGTCCCGAACGCTGCTCGTCCCAGCCGTGCGGTCATCTCCAGCCAGCGATTCGTCTGTCCTGAGCCAGCCAACCAGCCTTTCGCTGTCCGTGTCTCCAAACTTCCTGCAACTCACTTTGTAGAACGATACCGGTGTTTTCGTCAAAATGTCCGTTGCGAACTCGTCGTCTGCAGGGCTGCCGCCGCATCACCACGAACACAGCCGCGACCACGACCACAGCCATCCGCTCGGCCATCCCAATCCCGCGGCCCATTCCGATGCTCATATCTTCAACATGAATAAGCTCATGCAGGCTGCCCAGCAGCACCCTGCCGAGGCTACCGTCACGGCCTCCAAAGCCCTGGCCCAGCTCGAGAGCGCCGGCGGAACTGACAAGCCAGGCTGATTCCGCATCGGTCGTGCCGGGCTTCTATGCCGGTCTTGCCAAGGCGCTGGCCACCAAGTCGGCGTTCACGGCGACGGCCGTCAGCAAGGGCCTGCTCAAGTGGTGGTTCCGGTTCCCGGTCAAACTCTTTCGCCCCGTCGCAGTCAACCCGTGGCTGGTGTTCAACAGCATGGCCCAGAAGGAGGGCAAAAAGGTGTCGGTCAAGTACGTCCGAGATGTGGTTGCCGATGAAGGGGTAAGCGCCAGGTCGCAGTGTCGCTCGCGGCCGCTGATCGGCACGGGCGATGTCGTTGGTTGTCGCAGTGCTGCTGTCTTGGCGATTCGGAGTAATCGACGACTGGTGCGATCACTGCCCGTGATCAGCAAGTTGTCGCTGGCGATAACGACCCGCAGGCTGATGCACCTCTGTCTTTCCATCGCAGTGGGGTGTCCTTGGCAAGAACATGATGCCCCTCCTTGTCGCAAATGCCTGCGTTGGCGCATTGCTCTTCAACGTCTATGGCGGCGTGACCGACTACATGGAGGCCCAGGGCTCGTTCCACTACCACACTCCGTTCGTGGCGGGCTTCCTTGCTGGTGGGGCACAGGCTGCTCTTGCAACCCCGCTCGACAATATGCAGCGGCACGTCAACCCCGCCGATATTGTCGAGCGTCGGCACGAAGGCATCATCCGGTTCACGTACAACACCATTCGCCAGACGCTGCCGTCCGGATTCTGGGCAAGCACCAAGTTCCTGTACACGGGCCTGGGATTCACCGCCTTCAAGGATGCCCTTGGCTTCTCCATGTTCTTTGGCGTCTTTGAGGGCGTGCGACATGTCGGCAAGTCTCTTGTGGCAGAGTTCTTCAACTCACATGTCTCCCTGCCTACTCCAGCCGGGATTCTGCAGAATATCATCCCGATCCGGCCGCCCACCGAAGCCGTGCAGATCGGCGCACCGGCACAAGGCGAGCAAGTCGTTGTCCTGCCGACCTTCAATGCCCTCGAAGCCCGAGCCAACCAGGGTTTTGTCGAGATGGAGACGGAGGAGGAGCTTCAGCGGCGGCGGTCGCTGACATTTACGCTGCTGAACGCCCTCGCTGTGATCACGGCCGGGGCTGCAGCAGGCATGGCGTACCAGGTCGTCATCTTCCCGGTGGAAAACATCCGTGCCATGATCGGCAACGCCGCCGCCGAGGCGGCCGTCTCGAATGGCGACTGCGGCAACACGGCCAAGATGCGAGCCGAGCGGCACATGAGCCTCAGGGATGTTGTGCGGCTCCTGCGGAACGAAGGCTTCAAGCCCTTTTACAGTGGCATCCTGCCGCATCTGATCCGGGTGATGCCTCCAAGCGCCCTCGGGTTGCTTGCCTACGAAATCGCGAGCTCCCAGTTCTTTGACAACGAGGACAGCCTGGAAAACTGAGCGGGGCGACCGACTGGGACAGCAGAAGGGAGCATCCTCGTGCGGCTCGACGCGAAGACGATGCTGGGATGGACAAGCACTGCCACTTGGAGTGCCGTTGCATAGAAACAGAAGCAGAAGCAGAAGCAGGATGGTACTATGTACAACTTGTTGTTAGATGCAGACGAATCCTGTCGGCGATATCCCTCGCTGCTTGTCGAATCGCAGCATTGGTTCTCTGCGAAGCATTCTCGAGCCTCATGTTCCCACCATGTGCACAGCATGTCCGTCATGTCGCCGTCGGTTCCAGCAATCCCAACTTCGGCCTCAATCTGAAATTCATCCGACCCGAGCCTGCGTCGCTGCCCTCGCCTTTTCGACCTCGACCCATGTATCCCTTTGCATTTCATAACTGTCCCAATATCGCATCATACCACACCTATCCACACTATTTGTCGAGGCACTCATGACGGCCGCCTGTCGTGATCCTAGCAACTCCGGATGCGACGCTGAGGGACGTTCCGGGTCTGGTCTGTGACGGCCATTTTCCTTGCTACTAAATACATGCAACAGTGACCTGACCCGCTGGATGTGTCTCGTGTCTCGTGGTGTGAATGGTTGCGAGCCGATCCGTGCGAGCCTATCCGCGAGGCCTGGGAGTCCGTATTCAAGACGAGTCCGCATGCATGGAGTGTCCAAGGCAAGAGTATAGCCTCCTGTCTGCAACAGGGCCACAGTCTGGTCTCTGGAAACGAGATCAATTCGCAAGCACGCCTTGGCGGACCGTCTCGAGATACCAGAGCTGAAGCATTGATGTGACCGTGGCCGTCGCCACACAAATACTGGGAATAATATATTCAAGACTACAAGCGATGAATAGCCGCACTTTCTAACCCGCCATGCAGGCCTGTGGTGTGTTTCAGAGGCCAGTCACAGCCTGGTATCGAGCGAATCAAGGTGAGGTGAAAGCGGATTCAATGTATCGAGGTCCGAGTGCGGTCTGATTTTCGCTGGACCCGATGCGTGGAGGTTGATGGTACAGTCGATGACAGCCGGAGGCGATAGTCCGGCTTCGATGCATGTGTGCTTCACAATGGCGCTCCACGGATACAGCACAGCGAGGTGTCTCGGATCGGTCGGGGTGCCCGTTACTGATGACCTGGATGCGCCCGAGTCCGGTCCGGATCGATCTAGTTGATTGCTGCAGGCATATTCATTCCCTTGAACCGTCGGCCACGTCGCTGGTAGGCCAGGTCGACATAGTCCTTGTGCCCATCCAGCAGCCGCTTCTTCTCCGGGACGGCGCCCTGTTTGGGGCCGGTGTCATCGGCAGGCACACCAGCCTCCATTTCATAGTCTTCATCTTCGTCATCGTCATCGCCCTGGTCTCGAGTCGAGGCCAATTTGGCATTCCGTTTCGATTTTGACCGTAGCTGGGCGGTGGTGTTGACGGCATTGGCGATGAGGGCTGGCAGGGGACTGGCCGAGGCGGCGGGCGAGCTGTCGGCGGCGCCGGCGACAGCAGCCTGGATGACTTTGGTGAGGACCTTCTTTGCATCGGAGGTGCTGAGGGGCTTCTGGATGGCACCTGGGTCCGAGTCCTTGACGATCTTGATCATGTCCTTTTCCTTCTGTGAAGCGTTGCAGCAGATGCACACAGGCAATGGAGACAGCGGCACAAGAGAAGAAGGACGACGGAGGGTTAGCGAGGGACGGGTTGGACATGGAAATGCAGCTCGGACGGCACGGAGAGGAACGTCGACATGCCTTGGTGGGTCGCTTGAAGAACTTTGCGGACTTGCCCATGACTGCGGTGATGGATGTAGGTGGAGTGATGCACTATGAAAAAAGTTCTTGTTAATAAAATGAGCGAGAACGAAAAAACGCGCTCTCGGAGCCACCTCGGTTGGCGAGAAGAGCAATCTCTGGCGAGAGACCCCCGAGGGAAGGCGAGAAGCCTCTCGCCGTCACACACACACACTTTGCACAAGGGAGTCAAACACCTCCCATCGACCATCCCAAGAGGGATGGCAACCCCGAAGTGGACTGCCCAGAATATGGGCGACCCGGCATCCACTGTCGAAATGCACAAGGAACAAGATGCTTACAGTCTATCCAGAAAGAAACGGGACAGATCCCCTTTCTGGCTTCAGACTGACTTGTAGGCCCAGCGGGTAGGCCATGGCATTGCACTCCTGCCTTCGTCGGCAATCGCTTTGTTTCGTTGGTTTCGGGAGCACAGTCTTGAATACACCCGGTCGATCTCCTGTGGCGATGGTCGACTGGCATACCGAGATCATGTTCCGTGAGGCATTGATGTCTCGATGTGTGAGTGTGGTGCAGCTTGCACAGCTCCGTACATAATGTGGCTTCTCGACATCAAGATACTCGGGTGACTCAAGTCGCTTGGCTTCCCGACAAGGTGAGCACACCTGGGATGTGTTGAACTCGTTCACCGAGCACACATGGATCTTGGAGACGGATCGGTCTGGTGGTCGTCTCTGGTGGTGGTGGAACTGCTCAAAGTACTTGGCGAACCTGAGTCTCCTGGGACTGGATGCATATCCCTTCCCTTGCTTCCAGGATGCATTCCCAAAGGCAATCACCACCTCGGTCTCCTTTGGTGCCTGGTCAATGACTTGCTTGCACATCTCGTGGACGGTGCGCTGTCGCTTGCTGTGGAGATCAAGCCGTTTGAACCGCCGTCGCCGGGTCAGGCTGAAGTACAGCTGCTTGGCCAGCATGTCTCCATCGAACACATGGCGAATATATAGCAGGAAGGGATACATCCCAGGGATCTTGGGGCTTGGTGTAGTGCTCATCCATTTCTGCAGACCAAGGGCCTTGTGGGTGCTCTGGATCCACCTGGTCGCTTGGGTGGTGCCAGTTCGATGCTGGTACTCCTTGTTGGAGAACGACACGATCTTCTCGTTGGCGCGCTGTGCCTTGGTCACCTTGACACCGTCTTGCTCCTGGATGGATGGTTGTCCGGGTGCTCGAATGACAGCGGTGAAGATCGATCCCACACCAGGGTCGATCCCGATCCATGTGGTCCGAGAGTCGTCAATGGGACCGACTCTGGCCTGGATCTTCTTCTCGGGGGTGAGCTCGGGTGTCTTGTCCACGGTTTCTGGTTTGACATTAGGATCTTTCATCTTCAGGATCTTGTACTTGAGTGTGGTGATCGAGCACCCGACCCCATCGGTGCTGATCTCGCAGCCAAAGAGCTGCTTGCCTTCCTCCCTGGCACCAAAGAGTCTCGGATCCAGCTTGAAGTTGGTCTGCCAGAAGGTCTCTTGCTTTGTGGTGCCATTGACCTTGGTCTTCAGGTCGTCCCACTTGAGTCCAGTGCCAGTCTGGTATCCAAGGATCTCCCACAATGCTTTGGTGTCGAGCTTGACATACTTTGCTCTGGCATCACAGAGGGGAACCAAGGTGCACTGTGCTCGAGGGGCATTGTGTCGCTTCTTGGTCTGGGCAAGTCGGTCGGTGAGGCGCTTGATTCGCTTCGTGTTGATGGTGATCTGCTTGTCCACCTCCTCGTGCTGGGTCTGGAGATCTTTGAGTCTGTCAGCCCCGATGTGGTGGATGGGTTGGCTCATCTCCTCGTTCAGTCGCCCACGCTCTCCTTTCAGAACATCGGTCACCCTCACGAGCCTGGGAATGATCATCTTCTGAAAGACCACCATGAAGAGGGCCTCCTTCAGGTGGGTCAGGCGAGAGACCTCACTGGCCAGTTTCGATACAACTCGATACAGGTCCTGGTGGCTTTCGTACCGAAACTTATACAGCTGGTCGGCATGGTGGGCGAAGGATTTTCTCAGATCAACGAGGAGTGTCTTGGAGAGGGGATTCTCCATCAACTTGACACAGTTGTCGACGTGTGTGTGACGTTTGACATCCTTCGGAGCAACCAGGACCAGATTGCAGTATCGGCGTAGAAGGGACCAATACCGATCGAGAATATGGGTCTCACAGTTGACGGCATAGGCCTTGACAGCCAAACCAAGGACCTGTGAACCAGTACCCTTTGGGAGGGACACTGGAGGCAGGATACACGTCTCACTCCATGTACTTCGGTACATCTCATAGGTGTCGAGGAGGTGCCTGTCATCTTCTGGGGTGTTCGTCCTGACACCCACTGTTCCTGTCTGCACCATGTTGAAACACTTTCGAACAAACGAGGAATCACTCGACGACACAGTGGGGAGAGTGATGCCCTCGTCCAAGCACCGCCTGAGATGCAGCTCCAGGAGACGAGATGCTTCGTACTGGACTTGGGTCATGGCCCGGACAGTCTCCTCGATCTTGTCGTGCAAGGCATCGTTCTTGATGATGGCATCGAGGGTGCACTTGACGATCGAGTACTCGGCCTTGGCATACTCGTTGGGGCCACAGTCAGGCAAGGTAGAGCTCCAGAGTGTTATAGAAACGGCACTTTGGGGTGTTGCTTCTGGTATGACCCTCTTCCCCGCACGTGGCACATACAGGGACCTTGGGTGCTTGGCTGACCATTTCAGCGACCGAGGCAGGGCTGCTGTCGACTCTGGCTGTACACTTCTTGGTGAAGGGTTTGACATGGTTGGTCAGGCCACAGGCACGACACGATTTGATGGTGAACTTCTTGGCCACAGGAGAGTCACTGGGTGATCCCGGGTCGGGATCGGGGGGTGTCTTTCGCTTGGGAGCCATCTGGCGAGAAAATAGCAGCGATGGCTGGTTCTGCCCTTGGGGAAGAAAAATTCTCCTCAAAACCAGCGCATTTTGGGCTGGCAGTGATACTGTGCAGTGGCGTCCTTGATTCGGATCCAGAAACGCATCGCTCGCTCAATCAGTCGTGGGAAGACATCTTGTCAAGGTGAGTCTTGCCTGATAGCCAAACGATCATGCCATCTCGCTGACACACAGCCACGCTTGACTAGGTTTCCAACCAGAGAGATTCAGACGGTGGTGGTTCTTGTCCGCAATCGGAGTGGAGCTTCCAACAATGATACAATTGGTCATTCCTCCACACCAATTGCCCACCCTCACCATCAATCGGCTCAAGGTGATACCAAATGCCGTCAACCGACCATGGCCGGATTCCAACTTTTGCTGCTCCACATTCGACGTGACTTTCAGGTGACCGAGATGAGCAGCCTCGAGGGGGACGGAAAAAATTGATAGTGATGGTTGTGGGCCAAGAAGAAAGGCGCAGCAGTCGGAGTTGAATTAGGGTTGTATCCAGGGCAGAGCCAGGGTTAGGGTTTGAGCATGTGTCCGGCACGTGTGCTCATCCCGTGATCTGGTCCCCTGACCGCATGAGTCACTCCAGACGGCTGGCCACATCTGGCCAGCCACCCCGTGTTCCCACCCCCACCGCGGGCCCCGGTTCGTGCGCGGGCGCCGAGCGCCGATTGGTCTCCCTTGCCAGTGAATGGCCAGAGATACGGGCTGGGCCGAAAGCCGATAGGTAATGTCTGTGCGACGCAGCTCTCGCCGAGACGCTCTCGCCGTGCTCTCGCCGCGGCTAGATGCTGGGACGGCGAGCGGTTCGGGTCTCGCCGTGTCGTTATCAGCGGAGGTTTCGGCTTGCCATTCCGTTGGTGCTGGTGCGCCGTTATCGCCCGTGTGCGAGCAAGCGGTTCGTGGGACAGCTGTGCAGTGTCGAGGTGCGCTTCAGTCGCCTGTGTATCCGCACTGTGGACTGTGTTTGCAGCTCTGCGGGAGTGGCTGAGTCCACTGCCGCAGCAGCCCCGCCACAGCTGGCTGCTCTGATACACAAACAGCACCACACAGCACAGCACCACACAGCACAACGGCACACACAAACACCCGCCTCCGCCGACACAACAAACACAGACAACACGCCGCCCTCTGGTGTCTTTGCCGCCGCCCTTGCCTTGGGTATCTTCCTTCTGGCCCGCCGCGGTATATCTTGGCCGTCCTTCGCCGTCCTTCGCCGTTCTTCGCTGACCTTCTTCTGCTGCCTTGCGTCCTTGGCCTACGTCTTTGGCCTGTGTCCTTGGCTGCATTCGCCGCTTGCGCCCTGCTTGTCGCAATAGCAAACATCCGTCTTCGCCGTCCCCGCCCCTCCCACCCTCCCAGTGCAATATTTGCACGGGGCCCGATCGTCGTTCCGTCTTGCGTTCTGGTCCTTTCCTGACCTGCGGCCCCTCCCCTCGGCCTACTTCTCACTCACATTCCCCCGTTGCCGATCTTCTCCCACCGGCACTCCAGCTCCGTGTAAATACCCCCGCTAGGTCCCTGAGTGTAGCACGCTTTCCGAGAGCAATAAACGAAACTGCCGTTTGCCCTCCTCCAATTGCCACTCCTTCCCAGCCCTTCCCCCACAACCCCTTCAATCCCCACCACCTCCGATTTTGCCGGTCTCTTGGATCCGGACCCTCTTCGTCCGAAACCCCGAGTGCGAGCCAAGTGTCTTTCCCTCGTTTGTGCTCTAAATCATCCCAGGCGGTCTAAGAACGCCCCAAGCATCCATTTTGTGTCTCTGGAGATCATCAGAAATCGCTGGCTGTTGCTAGATATCGCCGAGCATCTTTGACTGGACAGCATCTCCCGATCTTCAACTCCCACACACACTGCAACTGCATTCGGTCTCGCCGACTAGACCCGACCGCATCTCGACTCATCTCCGGCCGACCATCAGTCTCTCTCCCTCCGGGCGTGCTTGAATCTGCTCGCAATCTGCGCAATCGCAGACAAACAATCACAGCCGCAATCTCAGTCACCATCGCAGGCGCACTGTCTCAACCACAATCGCCACCCCCCACACCCATGTCGACTTCAATGCCCGCCTCGGCACCTCCTGCCGTCATGGAGCGCTCCCCCATGTTCACCAAGGTCAACTCCTCCAATGGCGGATGCGCCTCTCCGGCCGTCGTCTCGGCCCTGGCCTTTGGCCTTCAGCAACAGCAGTCGAACACTCCCTCGGGCGCCAGCGTCATCCGACGCACCCCCGAGCCGCCAACCCCGCTGCGGGCCCCGATAACCCTGCAGCGGGCCAAGGACCAGCAATCGTACACGGCCCGGACCTCTTGCACTGGCCCGCTCGTCAAGCCGCTCGGCAACCTGGTGCTCTCCCCCACCAGCTCGTCTCCTGAGCTCAATACCTCCTCGACTCTTGTCTCCGAGTCCGCCTCCCAGGGCCGCGGCAGCGACGAGGCCAACCCGTCGTCCCTCTCCTCTCGCAGCGCCCTTGAGCAGCGGCGGTCCTCCAACGTCGTTGTCAAGCGGCGTCAGTCCTCCACCTCGGTGAGCGCCGGGACACCCAACGACGTAATGACTCCTCAGATCAATGCATTTTCGTACAGCTCGCTGGATCCCTCGCCCGCGGTCTCGTTCTTGGCCGCCTTTGCGGACGCCTCGCCGACAGGTGCGTACAGTTACACCCGGTAGCGCTTTCTCTGTTTGCCCCGCCCACGTACAGCCGAAGCCTCCGGCTCGCCCACTCTGCCCTCCCTCCCCCTTCCCGAATCACGCCCGCGGCCATTGGTAGATCGCTTTTTTGCTTCGCTATCGCACGGCTTGGCAGGGGTGATCGGTTGAGAAGGCGTGCGCATTCCGCATTATCGTTTGTCTTGTCGTTTGTCTTGTCGTTTGTCTTGTCGTTTGTCTCGTCGTTTGTCTTGTCGTTTGGCTCCACACGCTAATTTGTGCGACCCCCCCTGCCTTTGGCTCAACAGCACAACATCTCCCGTACCAAGAAGGCGATCAAGTCGGCGACTGGATGCTGGTGCGCAAGGTTGGCCAGGGATCCTTCTCGGAAGTGTTTGAGGTCGAGCTGCAGAGCCTGAGCCACCCAACTCACCCCGCCCGTGCTGCCCTGAAGGCTATCCAGAAAAAGTCACATCCAGACATTTCGCAAGAATCCCTCGAGCGCTCGGTTTTGCACGAAGTTGACCTCTGGAAGGACCTGATCCACCCCAACATCAACCGCATGATTGAGTTCATCGAGACGGCCGACGCCATCTTTGTTGTCTCCGAGTTTTGTGACAGCGGCAACCTCTTCCAAATGATCCAGACACACGGCGCCCTGGCCGAGTTCAAAGCCATCAGCATCGTCCGCCAGGTGGCCGAAGCCGTGCGCTATCTTCATCTGGACCACCGCATCGCCCACCGCGACATCAAGCTCGAGAACATCCTTGTGGACGATGTCAGCAACACCGTCAAGCTCTGCGACTTTGGCCTTTCCGAGCGCTTTGCCATCAGCCCGGCGTGCTCCTTCTCGGCCATGTCCGACTTTTCGGCCGACAATGGCGACGTTGCCGGCATTGCTGGCTCGATCCACTACTGTGCCCCCGAGGAGCTGCAGGAGGGCGCCACCTCGCCTGTCACCGGCACCGGATGCCACGTCAGCGCCGCCGCGAGCGATATCTGGTCGCTCGGCTGCGTGCTCTTTGCAACCGTGACGGGAACCCTCCCCTTCAACGACGACTATTTGCCGCGGCTGCAGTTCAGCATCATCAACGGCCGCTACGACAAGTCCCGCTTTGTCGATTGCTCCGTCTCGGAGCTCTGCCAGAGCCTGATCGAGGGAATGCTGCAGACCAAGATCGAGAACCGGCTCACGATCGAGCAGGTCCTGGACCATCCCTGGCTCAAGCTCGACCAGAGCCAGTAAGCCGCCACTGCAGGGCTCCTCTTGGTCCACAACCACTCTGTCCAGCGATCAGGCTGGTGCCATTTTTTTGCCCTCGAGCGGCACCCACCGCACCCAGCTCCGTCTCCATTTCGCACTGCAGTGCTGTTTGAGCCTCCCTCCACCATACCTCTTGTCCACATCGCATCGCCCACTGCACGCCGTTTTGCTGCTGCACGTACTGCATCTTTAATCCCCTCCCTCCCTCACCACCCAAGACCATTCTGGTTAATGTCTCTATTCCCCCCACCACCCATCTTTTTTTTTGGTCGTCCTCTTCTCGCCGCCCGGCTGCTAACCGCTATCCGGTCTGCATTCCCGTCTCGCTTGCGAGGCATCTCGAGTCGGACTGCTCACACACACCCCTCAGCATGCACCTTTTTGGATATCGCTTGTGCTTGCCGTTTTGTTCATTTGCTTGCTATCGTCTATTCCTTGTAGTCCAATATCAGTACCAGCTTTCACCTTGTCTTTGCCTGCCAAGTTCTCGTTCTCGCCATGGTGGCTTGGCGCCACGCCTTCTCCCCGCCCACTGCTTCCTCTTGCCTCCGTCTCACCATGCTGCTGGAGAAGGAAAGCGATGGAGACATTTTCTCTCTTTTCTTTTTGAATACAAAGTAATCCGAGCTCGCCCCATCTCGCCGCCATCGCAATAATAGTGCCAAGCAGTAGAGATGACACGGAGCAGACTCGCTGCCGCGGATGGCTGGATCTCGCGATATTCCTGCCCTCAATCTCCCAGATTCAGACCAGGGGACGGTTCAGGGGCATGACAGACGCCAGGCAAGTCTGCGGATGTCTCACGACGATGGATTCAATCCGATAATCCAAAAAGTGGGGGAGAGCGAGGGAAACAAACGCAAGTAAAGATTTGAGAAAGCGATAGAGGCGATCAAGCGGAGCGGAAAGCGATTGAAATAGAGTGAGGAAACGGTGGGCGATGGCGGGGGGGGGCATTGCCAATACCAACAGAGGCATTGGCACAGGGCAGAGGGCGGACCGGTGCTGGATGGATTGGCGACAGTGACGGCGGCGGTGGTGGTGGACTTGATCATGAGCTCGAGACTTGCTTGGCTATCAATGCCATCGTTGGACATGGAGCAAGCGACATACAAACCAAATGCCTGCAGGATCCCAATAAAATGCTCGCCTGGCCGCCGCTGTCTCCCCGCCCCTTCTCTCCTGACAAATATCAATTACATCCAGAATACATAGAGACCGGCGACAAGACCCAGAGACCCGAGAACCAGCCCGTGGTCGCCCAGGAATCCGCCGCGAGACGAGCCGGCCCCGTTCTTGAATGGACTGACGACGATGGTGTTGTTGACCTGGGCAGTGGGCTGCACCGCCGGCGCCGCAGCGGAGGCTGCGAGCAGATAGACAGGGCCAGACCAAGCCTGGATGCCATTCTGCGTGCCATCCGCAACCTTGAGCTGTGTGGCGTTGAAATAGGTGTAGATCAGGTAGGTTTCGGTTGGCTGGGGAGCCCAGGCTTTGCTCGAATTGCCTGTGGTGGTGCCGTCGGTCGTTGCCGCAGTCGGGGCGGCAGAGCTAGCGTCGATCTGGACGCTGGGCTCGAGCGTAAACGAGACCGAGGACGAGCCGGCGGGCCAGGTGAGCGGAGCAGCTGCATAGCTGGCGACCAGGCCAGTGCCGTTGGATGAATCGAGGGGCGTGACGATGACGGTGTTGACGGTGTGGCCTCCTGCCGTGAACTGTGCCAGGCTCACGGGCTTCTTGACCATGTACGAGAACTGCACCCGACCGGGCTTGAGCTGAAGGGCAACGTTGGTTTCGGTCTCGACATAGCTGACGACGATGGTGTTGCTGTCGGTCCAGTTGATCTGCATCGGGATGATGGAGATTGCACCCGAGGACATTGACGTCGGCGGCACCGATGAGTTGCACTGGACCGGGCTGCAGTTTGTCGTGAAGGTCAGGACGGCGAACGAGTGCTCGACCAGCACGGAGAGCAGCAGCAGGACGGCAAGGCGGGTTTGAACGAGGCGGAATTGAGCGAGTGACTTGAGCATGATCAACGGAGCAGCGACCCGGTGAATTGGGGAGAGGGATTGAACTTGTTGATGTCGGATTCAAAGTTGGCTGTTTTGTCCGTCCAAGAGGCTAGCTGGATACGCGGCTGGCTGCAGTGGTCGAGGAGGTCGAGGAGGTCGAGGAGGTCGAGTGGGCTGAAGCTACTGGTGGATCAAGCTGCGGTGTAGCTCGCGGTGTCGCTGGAGATGGTGTCGATGAGGACAAGGTGGCCCGGCAGCGGTGTATGAGGAGGAATGGCAGGACGAGACCTGCGGCTGGCTGGGGGAGATGGATCTGTTTTGGAGACAGCGTCTATGGAACGCTGCGGGAGACGGGCTGTCTGGGCTGCTCGCCGGCGGCAGGAACGGGGGAGGGTGTTGAGAGCAGAAAGGAGGGATCGGAGGGATGGGTGGTTGGTCAGATGTCCAGGAGCGGGGGTCTTTGGTCGAAAATAAGGGGTGGGCGGTGCGGCTGGGCTGGTGGTCCCGTCTTGGTGGAGCAGGGATGTCCGGGACGGAGATGCGATGGCGACGGCGATGGCGATGGCGATGGCGATGGGTGCCGAGATGGGTGCCGAGATGGGTGCCAAGATGGCGATGGGACAGCCAACGATGGCGAGGAAGAGCGGATGCGTTGAGTCGTTCGTGGGTGGATTTGTCGAGCTCGTTTCGGTCGGTCAGTCGTCGCTTTGTTTGCCGGGTCTGTTTGTTGCCCTGCGCACAGCCGGCACCGCCGCACGCACCGCCGCATGCACGGCCACGCATGGCACCAGTTTTTTTTTCATCAGATGGGTCCGGTTATTAGACAGACTTTTGCCTTAGCGTCCCGTTCGGGCTCTGGCACTGGTTGCACGCATGGCACCAGATATGCAATCCGCTCGCTCGACACGACTGGTCCATGTACACTATACACATAGCAAATGGGACACTTGCCCATGACCCATATGTCAGCGTAGTGTGGGATGACATGCGTCTAGCTATGCCACAAGAAATAAAACAGATCACTTTGGCAGCCTCCGAGTGAAGACCGCCGGTCGCTCTCTGGTCTCCACAATCGACCTGCACACTGCGATCATGTTGCGCGCCGCATTGACGTCGCGATTCCACACTGTCCGGCAGCTGGGATTCTTGCAGCTCCTGACAAAGTGGGAATTCGCAACACTGGGCGCATCGAGTCCTTCCAACCGAACTGGCTCCAGGCACTTGGAGCACACTTGCGAGGTGTTGAACTCGTTCGTCGAGGCCACCTTGACGCTTCCATGATGGTGATTGGGACGGCGTCGGTGGTGCTCGAATTGCTCAAAGTACTGAGCAAACCGCTGCCTCCGAGGGCTGGATGCATAGCCCTTGCCTTGTCGCCATGACGCATTGCCAAAGGCGATCACCACATCGGTCCGTATCGGGGCGTGCTTCAGGACGGCCTTGCACATCCTGTCGACGGCCACTTGGCGCCTCTTGTGGCCCGTGAATCGATGGTGACGGGCCTTCTTGCCAAGGTGGAAGTCGAGCTGCACTCGCAGCTCCGGTCGCAGGACATGGGTGAGATGGACCTTGAAAGCCTCCGAGGATGACACCTTGGGCGAGGGGGTGGTCGACATCCAGGTCTCGATGCTGAGTCGATACTTCATGGTGTTGTGCCACTCAGTATTGGACATATGGCCACACATGTGCTGGTAGTGGCCATTGGAGAACGAGACCACCTCGTCTTGGTGGCCCGGTGCTTGGATGACCGCCGTGAAGATGGAGCCGACTCCAGGATCGATGCCAATCCAAGTGGTGCGGTTGGGGTTTGGGTCACCGATGTGGGCCTGGATACGCTGTTCGGCAGTCGGAGGAGGCTCGATGGTCTCGGTGTGATCGGTTCGAGGCAGAAACTTGACGAGGCCGATGGTGCATCCAATGCCATCGGTGCTGATCTCGTAGTTGAACAGCTTGTGATTGATATCCCGGTCACGGAAGAGGGAACTACGCAGCTTGAAGCAGCTGCGCCAGAGACGATCCTGGTTGTTGACACCGTCATCACCTTCTTCCTTGAGCATGTCCCAGGTGAGGCCAAGACGATGTTCGGTGTCAAGGAGTTCCCAGAGAGTGACCGTGTCAATCTTGACATACTTGGCCGTGGCAGTGCATAGAGGAACCATCGTGCACACGGCCGGAGGAGTGTCGACGGCGAGCTGCTTGAGTGCCCAGTTGAGTCTGGATGCCAGCTTGTTGATCTTGGACTTGGTGGTGCCGAGCTCAGACTTGGCCGTGGTGAACCTCTTGTCGTCGGAGGGAATGCCTTGGGTAGTGAGCTCGTCCAGCTTGGCCCGGCGCTGCAGCTCGGTGACTCGGAGGGCGGGCATGTCACAGTCGATCCACTTGTGGACATTGTCGACCATCTTGTCTCGGGCGAGGATTCTCACATGGTGTGAGAGGCGATGGAGGGCCCGGAAGCGGTCCTGGTCGTTGCTGTACCGAAACTCGTCCAGGACGTGGCCAAAGTCTGGATAGAGGAACTCGAGATCGGCCTTGGGTGGAGTCTGCCCTGGTTTCTCGAAGAGCTCGAGACAGGCCTCGATGGCTTCGTGCTTATGCTTGTTGGCTGGGAAGACGGCAGCGCAGAAGCGGCGAAGGAGTCGCCAGTAGGCCAGGTCGAGGTGGGTGGTGCAGTTGGTGGCATAGGCATTGACAGCGAGTGTGAGAAGCTGACTGTGAGCACCATCAGGCAGACGAGGGGCCGGAGGCAGGTCTGCGTGCCGAGTGATCTGGTAGTCGCGAAAGGAAGCGACCAGATGCTTGTTGTATTTCTCATTGTCCCTGGTCGGGGAGAGCGCATCGGCCTCGACAATCGTGAAGCATTGACGGATGAAAGCAGGGGTGGTCTTGGAAATGACGGGGACGGGAAGATCCTGCTCGATGCACCGGAGGATGTGCAGGTTGAGCAGCCTGGATGCCTCGAACTGGATCTGGGTCATGGCCTCGACGGTGGCTTGGATCTTGTCGCGGAGAGCGGGATTGAGCCACTCGCCGTACTCGTTCTTCCAGAAGAGTCCATCCATGGTCTGCTTGAAGCAGCTGTATTGGGGGACGGATGTCCTGCCATCTTCCATGAGAGGAACGACCGAGCTCTTGAGGGGCCAGTAGTTGGGACAAGCCTTGCTCGAAGCCCGAGAGTGACCTGGGAGCTGGCATGAAGCACAGACAGGACCGGGGTCGGTGGTGTCGACATCCATCGACTCGACAGGAAGCTCGGTGGGTGTGGGTGCGGGCACAGGAGGAGGAGTGGGTGGTGTGGCCCTGGTTGTGGTGCGTTTGGGCCTGGGTGGCCGAGAGGGGCCGCCCTTGCGCTTCGGAGGCATGAGCGCGGAGGGTGCTGGATGCCTGCAAGTGGTACTGGTCAGGGCAAAGACTTTTTTTATCGTAGAATGGCGCGATGTTCAGATCAAGGCGAGATGAGGGAAGAAAGGATATCGGAGGAGGTGTGGCTTTTATACCTGGGCTCGTCTGGCGGACTGGCAGAGGGTCATCGGGTGAGCAATCCTCCTTGATGCGCCAAGCAATCCACACGACGAAACGATGGCCACATGCATCGACCATCCACGCCAACAAAGCCACTGACAAGGAATGATGGCGCCTTGGCAGTCGAATCAGATCATCGATCAGATTGCACACCTTCCGCCAGCTGGGGTCTTGGAGTGCCAGCGGTGAATGGTGCTCTTGGACACACTGAAGATGGTGGTGACCTTGCGCAAGCTGCGGAGCAGCGAGTAGCATCGCAACGCTGCGATGCGGAAATCGAGGTTGCTGTGTTTGGCCATGAATGCGATGAGTGGGTGGGTGTGTATTCAAGTTTCAGAAAAATACACAGTATGGCTCAAAACGGGGGGGGTGTCCCGTTTCATTTTGGAAACGCTGTATTTCGGCACGGTGCTCTCCAAGTCAATCGCATGCAGTGGCCGGGGTGAAGAGGGCACGAACGAGCACTTGTCCGCTTCGTTCTGCGCCGGCCGTGTTGCATCGCAGCCACCGTCATCTACTGCTTGCGCTTCGCGAAGCTGACGACCCGGCCATCCTTGCCCAGTACGACACGGTAGGCATCTGGGTCGAATCCATGGATCCTGCCTTTGGCCTCGTCGATCGCCCTCTGGATGACCAGATCAGTGTTCTCGGCCTCGTCGTGGGGAAGAGTGATCGCTCCCAGTGGCTTGCCTAGCAGCTGCATCCCACAAGGAAACCCCAGTGGATATTCAGTTGTTCGTCGAAGCGGATTCATGTGCCAAACAGAGCGGGCGCTGATCAGCCAAGCGACACCACATCTGGCCGAGTGGTATCACATCCAGTCGAGTGGCATCACATCCAGTCGAGTGGCATCACATCCAGTCGAGTGGCATCACATCCAGTCGAGTGGCATCACATCCAGTCGACCCAGTACTCCAATCAACTCAGTCAGCCCGGTGGCCTCGTGCCCCACATCCGCCACGCAAACTGCAGGAATCAGTGCATATGCTTACATTCACCGATACCCGGACTTTGGCTGCTTGTGTGCTGGTGCATCGAGGCCATGTTGCATCGATGTCGAGCTGTCGTCGGCATTCGCTTCCCAGTGTGGGCGCAAAGACCGTGATCATCCGAATCAGATCCTCCACACCAGAGACAAACACCTCTGCTTGTACACTCGGGCTGTCTGCGGCCTGCAGCTGCGCTTGCTGGTCCGTGAGCCAATTCGTAAGCTTCATGAGATCGCTGATGGCGACGTTCAAATGATACGTGTCCTGGAGCTGGGTCGTCACCGACCGGATCGTTGCATCCACCAGCGTCGGTTCCGACTCCGACTCAGTCACGGTGGTATCACGAATCTGTCTGGTATGCTGTTGACCCTGGAGCTTGAGTGCGGCAGCCGCATCGCAGAGTTGCTTCATTTTGACCATCCACCGCTCCATGCCTACGATGGCGCGCTCGTCCCAACGAAGATCGTCTTGTGGAGGTGCTTTGAAGAGAATGTACAGCCTCAATGCATCCGCCCCGTGCCGTTTGATAATCTCCTGGAGGACACGCCGTTGTAACAGCGCCTAGGGGTGTTAGATTGCGGATTCTTGGATCCGCCTTGACTGGTGCGACATGCGAGCCTCTGGTATCCAATCTGGTATCCAAAGCGGAAACTCACGGCCGGGTCGACTCCGTTGGACTTGGACTTGCTCATTTTTTCCCACGACTCTACAGCTCGGTGTCCGTCGCGAGTCCTCATTTCGCTGCCTGTCAGCGATGGGCAAGTGACTCAGTATCCTGGCCGTAGGACATGGGCCATTCATGCTGTATCGGCCACGAGATACCTGGATGCCGTGTCTATCTATCTACATTCACGCCCGATCGATTGAAGCTGCTGCGTACCGTCGATGACGACATCATCGGGTCTGAGATACCGCCCAGATTGGGAGCACTTCCACGTTCGTCCTTGGACCATTCCCTGTGCATGAAACCGGCCGGCCAAGCCGATGAGCCATCAAGCACATCGGTGCTCTGCATGATCTGGCCTGAGATCAATTGTCCTCTTGGATCCAGACAATAGCCAGTAGTAGACTCCAGTACAAGGCCGGGCTTTGCCTCAAACATACCTGTGCAAGCAGCTTCTGGAACGGCTCCCCGTCCGTGCTCGATCCGGCCCAGACTCCTTGTCGATGCAGAAACTTTCCAACAAACCGCGCATACAGCAAATGCATGATTGAGTGCTCCACGCCGCCGACATACAAGTTCACGGGCAAGCTGGCACTCTTGTGCCGTGCGGACATTCTGGTTCACACACCGTTCCGTCAAAGCGAATGTTAGATCAAACTCTTGGACGGTGGGACAGGCGACGCACGGGGTCGCAAGCGGCAGATACTCACTCATGGTGATTGTTGGGGTCGCAGAAGCGCAGCCAGTACCATGACGAGTCGACAAAGGTGTCCATGGTGTCGGTCTCTCGGGTTGCCTCTCGATTGCACCTGTGGTTGGAAGAAAGCCAATGAGGCGACTGTGCCTTCTGGGCTGGCATAGAGGCGAATTGTGGATGGTCTCTGCCCACAAGCTGTTCCCACAAGCTGTTCCCAGAGACTCGAGTTGATCTGGTTTCAATGCAGGCAGTTGGCTCACTTTGGACACCGACACGACTTCCAGTCCTCGTGCCGTGCGAGAGGCGATCCGCCTTCCCTGTCGAGGGCATGATCCGTCGGGAGGATGACCGGAAGCTGATCATCAGGAACGGGAACTGGCTGTTGGGTTCCATCGCCATCAGCATTAGCATGCACATCCACAGTTGCTGTCAGCTAAGTATGTCATGACACTGTGCGACAACTGACCCCGCAGAGCCAGTGGAAGCGAGACAGGGAGCAGAAGTACACCAAACATTCAACCTGGATACTTGCCCCGCAGTGTGTGCAGTGGATAATGGGAATCGGTGTGCCCCAGTAGCGCTGCCGAGAGACGAGCCAGTCGCGGAGACGATACTGCCGATAGAGAAAGTATATGACCAAGGTGCCCGATTGTGCTCCATGTCGATCCGTGGACCTCGCCCAGCGAGGCGGCTTGCTTGAGGCTTCACTGTGGTTCATCACAGCGAGCCGTTCACGATTCGCAGTGAGCTCCCTACCTTGACAGACGGCTTGACCGGGAGCCCTGTCCACGAAGCGGTCCCGGATCCGGATGCGTGAGGCAGTCCTTCGTCGTCGCTCAGGTTCCCGGACAGAGTCGGCGGTGCCAGTTTGACAGGGACACACCCACCAGCACCTCTCGGCCGTGCGAGCAGCGGCAGTTCAAGGGCTTCCCGCAGCCCCGGCTCTCTCGGGTCGCGACCGGCTGGGTGCTGTATGCGCTCTTTGATTTGAGCTGAAAGCTCTGGTGAAATCCAGCTGCATCCATAGCAAGGCAAGGTCATCTACTCTGGCTTACGAGCGACGGCACCCCTGCCACTGTGCTTTGAGGCCGCGATGCGCAAGCTCCCACCCGACAAAGTCATTTGCCAGCCAAGAAGCTTACCTCGACTCCAAGATAGAATGCTCGGCCGAGATCCAGATCTCGGACACTGCTTGGAGCTGCTGGACATCCTCGGCAAACACTCGCGCTGTAAACCCAGTGCTTGTGCCGTCCTGAAAGGAGGGGGGAGGAATCCCGAGACCGATGTCCATGTTTCGTTTGCAGGGAGACATCCATCCCATGAGCGGATATGCACAGATTAGCCAACAGACCATAGATTGCTGCCGCGACGGACTTCGTCACTCGGGGTTCGCCATTTGGACCACACATCGCAGCAAATGCGTCGGCGTCGGCGTCGCTGTCCAGCATGCCGGCTCTCACCCGGGTCAGAATATCAACGGGAGTCTCGATGCCCATTCTTCGTCCGATCCACCTGTACTGGTTGTTTATCACGTTGGCAGGCCAATCGACCTTGGCGAGGCCGCGGTGAAGCTCCTGGAAACAGCAGCCATCGGTCAAAGCGATTATAGGGACGGCAGCCGATCCGGCGATGCAACCTGAGACAGCAGGATGGCATGCATACCTCGCAAAACTCTGTGATCTTGAAAAACCACTGTTTGAGATGCCGCTTCTCGACCAAGGCACCGGAGCGCTCTGCTCGGCCGCATTCGTCCACCTGGATTCGGCCACATCGGCGACGCCAGTTGTCAGAGACTGACTGGTGGCATCATATCCGAGGCCGATACTGAGGCTGGTGTTGAGGCCGCTGAGCAATTCCCAAATCCAACATTGACTGCTGCCCACGGCCGACACCGGATCTGCGACTGCACCTGCTCGTTCGCCAGAACAGTTCGATCGACCGGGTCCCAGTTGACGAGGGCCTCCCTTTGGTACGCAAGGCCGCTTTGGAACAGATCCAGGAAGAGCTTCTGGGTCCATCTGTAGTATGCAGGATCGCACGTTCGGATTTCCTGGGCAGGCACAGGCGCACGGGCAAGATACAGATGATTCAGACGGCTGGCACTGGCCAAAGTGCAGGGTCTCCCCTCCCATCCCCTTCATCTGCTCCATAGAGCAACGGCATATCAAAGGGTGAACGAGGGGGCTCGGGCCGAAGCGGGGATGGGCATATCAACACTCACCCGAGTCCAATCGAAATCAACGCCCATCAAGTGCATCTGGGCCTTCATCTTGTCGATGTTGTCGGCCGTCCACTCGTGCGGAGGGATGCCGTGATCGATCGCAGCATTCTCGGCAGGGAGACCAAAGGCATCCCAGCCTATGGGATGAATGACCTGTGGATGACCACGAGAGCATCAGATCGAGCGATCCATCCTGGATCGAAAGGGATATGCCAGGAGCATCCAAAGACCTGACGACAAGCTGTGGCCGAGACTCGCCATCACCGCTGTTGCCACTATTGCCACTATTGCAGGTATTGTTGGTATTACTGCTGCTCTGCCATCGCATTGGATACAGCTGATCGATAGATGGATGCTGACGGAGCACCTTCTGCGGCACCAACCTCGAATCCTTGTGCTTTCCTGAACCGGCTGATGACATCCGAGATGGTGTAGACCCGGGTGTGGCCCAGATGCAGGTTGCCGGATGGATATGGAAACATCGGGAGGACATAGAAGCTCGCATGTTGCTGTTGCGACCCTTGAGCGCCGCTGTGGGCTGCTGAGCGCAATTGTCGACGAAGTGGCAGGCAATAGAGGCTCCAGTGTCTTGACCAAGGGGCCGAGAGGACCGATAGTCGCTGAGACGTGAACCGGGGACATCGACCACTGGCAGGCAGCATGCTGGGCTGAAGGATTCGGCCGATGGGCAGAGGTGTCGGTCAAGCCTGCGGCTGGGGGAAGGCGGTCGTCGGCTTTGAGGCGAGATCGAGACAGGGTTCGGATGAGCACGGCGCCGTCCAAGACAGAAAGCAATGTCGATCGGCACTGCCCCTGATTGACGAACACTGCCAATAGAACGGGACATTCTCGGCCAATGTCCTCCCGTCTCATCTCCCGTCCAGCAATGCCCTTTCTCATGAACCAACGCAGACACTCTATGTATTGCCAGTCGATGGAACTATATTACGGCTGCTTGGAAAAGCGAGCGGGTGGAATTACAAGCGGGTTGTGAGGGATTGTATGATGGGATGGGGGAGGGAAACAAAGAGCCGACGCTGCAGCCCATACAGCCGACATCGACAGGGTCCTGCTCGGCGCGTTGAGGCCAGAATCAATCTGGTTGTGGGTTGGTGCCGAGGAGGTGTGGTTTAGTTGGTCTTGGTCTTCTTACCCTTCTTGGTGGCCTTGGTGGTGGTCTTGGTCTTGGTGGTCTTGGTCTTCTTGGTGGTCTTGGACTTGCCGGTGGTCTTGGTGGTCTTGCCAGTGGTCTTGGCAGGGGTAGTAGTAGTAGTGGTGGTGGTGGAGGTGGTCTTGGAGGTGGCCTTGGTGGTGCTGACGGCCTTGGTGGTGCTGGTGGCCGGAGGAGGGCCGACAGGGACACCGGGGACGGTGCCGCTGCAGCGGCTGCTGCCGGGAATCAGAGCCTTGCAGAGATCCTGGGAAAGGGACGTGACATCGATGTTGTCAGACGAGTCTGGGGTCTTGAAGAGTTCCCAGTAGAAACCGCCAGAGTACTTGGGGTGGAAGGCCTGGATCATGGAGGGAGCCGCGGAGGTGGTGAGGTTGGCCATGTACTGGGGATCGGTGGGGTAGGCGGGGGTACCGATCTCGTAGCCGACGTTGGCGGGGATCTTGGCGGTGTCGTAGGTGCCCATGTAGAAAGCAACCTGCTGCTGCAGCGAGCAGACGCCGGGGGCGGGGCACTCCTGCGAGGCCTCGCTGGTGGACAGATCGTAGCTCATGATGTTGATGCCGCCGGCATTGGCGCCAGTGGACATAAACTTGATGATGTCGGGGTAGTACTGGTTGGCATAGTACCAGATACCCTTGAGGTTGCCACCCCACCAGTCGGTGCTCCAGGCACCGGCAGCACTGGCGGCCGTCGAGACCTTGAGCGAGGGCTGGTGCTTCTGGATGCTGAGGATGATGTCCTTGATGATGGCGCTGTACTTGTAGACGGTCTGGTACAGATGGCAAGGCTTGTCGCACTTGGCATCGCCAGTCTTGAAGGTATCGGCGTGCCCTGCATGAAGCGGTGGTGTGCATCTTGGGTCAGCAAATGCGACCGAGCGAATCTGGATTTCCAGCGATGGAGCAACCGGGGGGGAAGGTGGCTCTTGTTCTGCCCAACCGGCTCCGCGGATGCGATGCAGACGACGACCTCGCATCGATGCTGTTGCACCGGTAGGCTCACGATTCAAACAGAAATGACACTTACAGAACTCCTCGTAGTCGATGTCAACACCGGCAACGCCGAGATCGGTGGCGAGAAGGACCAAATCCTCATAGGGATCGCGCTTCTGGGTGAAGAAGCTGTTCCAGCCGGGAACGGTCACGGTGCGCTTGGACCAGGGGTCGGTGAAGCTCTGTCCACCGTAGATATCAGGGTGCCAGACGGGGGGAGTCTTCTTGGGGGCACCAGCCTGGACATACGACTGCGCCTGCTGCCACAGAGCCGAGTTGGAAGGCTCCGGGAAGACGGCATACGAGGCCATGGTGTCGCCGTTGCTGGGGGGATCGCAAGCTGTGGGGAGGGGGAAGACAGAGGATTCGTTGGCACACCAGGAATACAGCGACTCATTGCGGGCACCATGCAGAAGTTGCGAATCGATGGCCACCAATGCGTACCATAGCAGAAGAGGTTGGACTCGTTGCAGTTGTTGATGTTGCCACCGCCGTACTGCGCGATGATGCCGGCGTTGTCGCCGCCATAGGGAGCGATGGAGTTGGCGAGGTAAGGGTCTGAAAGGACAAGTCGTGAAGTTAGCCTGGGAGACCTCTTGGGAAGTCAGACATCCGTGCTTCATGGACGAGCCAGGTCGCGAGACTTACAAGGGAAGCAGCTGTCTGGAGGTTTCCAAAGGGGGTATTGATAGGGCGGGGATTGGAGTTGGCGTCGACGATGGCGGTGCGTTTGGCAATGGACAGAGAAGCATTGAAATGTCAGCCGTAGCCGAGATACAGCGGATGCCGCCAGGCACCATGATTCTGCAGGACATGGCATGCGCTGTGCCACAGACTCGACTTACAGCTCCATCCGCCCATCGAGAGGAAGACCTCGACTCCGGCCTTCTGGAGGGTGCTGACGTAGCCCTTGATCTGATTGGAAAGCAGCGTGCACGGTCAAGACGCAGGCCGAGTCAGGCAACATGTACATCGAGACATCGAGGGGACGGGGAGGAGACTGGAGATGCTGCACGAACCTCGGCAAAGCCATAGTCCGAGGCCGAGGTGGGGTAGCCCAGACCCACGGTCTCGAGGGTGTTGCTGCCAGCAACATAGACCAGATCGGGGCGGACAAACGAGATCCAGATGCGGTTCAGCGGCAGGGTGGCGGCGTTGTCGGCGAGGGCCTTGAGCTTCTGGGCACCTTGGTCGTCGATGAGCAGATAGCCGCCGACGAGACCGGGGGCGGTGGCCGCGGCCTGGACAGCCTGGGCGGCAGAGGCCAGCACGGCGAGGACGAGCGAGGACTTGAGCAGATTCATGGCTGCGAGATGGGATCGGACTAGGAGGATGACCAGCACTCGGCGCTTGAGCCGATGGCCGCTGCGACTTGACTTTATATGCGCCAGCCCCGTCCTTGCCTGCAGTCGGCACAAACGGCGACCAAGGGAAAAAGCGTCTGGCCTTGCTGCCCCTGTCCCGCGCCTTGCTGTCCTCTCTTGCATCTTCCGTCCTCGTCTGCATCTTGATTCTGCCTGTTTTATTGCATCGTTCTGGCCTGCGCCGTGGTCCTTGCTGCTGGTCGTGTGCAGGTGCCGCCCCACAAGGGCCTTGCCTTCCTCGCCCCTTTGCCCTCCCCATCGCCGAGCCACAGAGCAGCCAGGGCCCTTTTCTCTGTCCTTGATGGGTGCCTGGCGATGCTCCCGCCGCCTTTTTTCTTCTGCTCATGCGACCAACGCCTTGCCTTTTGCACCCCCCTTGCCGTGCACAAGAGCGCCGCTCTTGACCCTCGGCGACATGTCCCAGGAGGAGGCGTGTCGCTGCCAGCCTTGCTTGTGCCTCTTGTCCCTCGGCTCGTGCTCCGCGGGCTACTGGGACATACCATTGTGCGGCAGGCAGCTCAGCACTCGTGCCGCTCGCATGACGGCGTCGCATGTCCAGGGCTGCCTGGTGGCGTGGGCTCCGATGCGATGCAGCGACAGATGTGTATTGCTGCCCACCAGCTGTCGCGATACAATCGCACCTGACAGCAGATGCAGTCGCGATACAATCCAGATGTCGCTCTGGTCTGTCGCCGACACTTGTCCACGCCAATCTTGGCCCGGCCACACCAAGATTCCATCGCATCGGCTATCGTGGACGCAGCTACGTCAGCCACGAAATCTCCTCGGGTGGTGCCCACTTGGTCGTCACCTTCTTCTTGTAGGTGAAAAAGTTGAGAGCGTCGACTGGGAGGAGGGAATGCGGACGAGTCCACACCCCCGCAGCAAAGGGGTGCGTCAGATTCCAAGCCCGCAGATGTTGCCAGCAGATATGCAATAATCTAATCGGCGATGCAGCCCGAGCCTTGGCATTCCCGCCGCGCCGTCTCCATTGTCCTTCTCCTCCTCCCTACCTCCCGTAATGTCCGAGTCAGCAAAGCTCGACTTGTTGATGCCGCCAAACGAGAACGGCTCGCGAGGGACCGGGACGCCGATGTTGACTCCAATCATGCCAGCACCGAAGCGCTTGGTGAACCATTCGGCAACCCCGCCATCTCGGGTGTAGATGCATGCTGACCAGATGACAGGCCAGGAGTGTCAATGCTGCATACTCGCTCCATGCTCTGTTGCCAGCAAGCCCACTGCAGCAGCAAATCTAGCAGCACACAGTCCAGGCCGAGCTGAACCCCCACACAAGTCGCTGGCATTCCCCGAGCCAGCAGCTGCTTTCCGCGCTCGACCCACCGGCATTTCCATATGGATTGGCGTTCTCAATCTCGATGGCCTGTTCCTTGGAGTCGCACGCCAGGATGCTCAGGACCGGGCCGAAAATCTCGTCGTGCAGGGCAGGGTCGCTGCGGTTGTTGTGCAAAATAATAGTCGGGCCAATCCAGAACCCGCTGCCTCCTTTGTTCATCCACTTGCGTCCGTCAAGCAGGATCTTCTCTCCATTTTCTTCGGCCTGAGAAATGTAGCTGCTGATTCTCTTGAGGGAGGCCTCGTCGATAACAGGGCCGACTTGACCGGTGCTCTGTCCGGCAGTCAGACTCGTGGCCTTTGCCACAATGCTCTCGATGAGGGTCGGCTGCTCGCCAATGCAGAGTAGCACCGATGCAGCCATGCACCTCTGTCCGGAGCAGCCTATTACAGAGATGAAAATGAGTACAGAATTTACATCCACCGTGGGATGTGTGCTCTCGATATCACCACCACCGTCGGCGCTGTGGTCATCCGTTCTGAGCATCGCCGCACATCGGCATCGGCCGCCACTGCCTTACCCGTAAACGAACTGACGACGTCCTGGGCTGTCATGTCAATGTTGCAGTCCGGATAGGCAACGAGGTGGTTCTTGGCCCCGCCTGGAGCACCGCAATCATGCCGACATCTTATCAGCTACAGCCGCAGCTTGACTCTCAACGGCACATTCGACTCCATCCGCTGCAGCAGCTGCACCTTCAGCTGCAACCATAGCCCCGCTTTGGCAGAGTTTACCCTGTTTGAAGTCGCATACTTTCCTCCCCATATCCTCTCACCCCTGCTTTATGCATTCCATGCTTTTCATCATCGCTCGCACTGACCTAGCGCAAGGACACGCTTGTTGAGACCCCGGCATTGCTTCATCAGCAACTCGGCGACGGCCGAAGTGCCCACAAATGTGACCGCATTGACATCTGCGTGCTCGCAAAGCATTCGTGCGGCTGCAGAAGGCATATGTCAGCGCTTGGATTCTCTAGATGCTGGCTCGACTGCGCCGTATCCAAGCTCTCCTGGCGGGTCGTGAGCCCAGATTCTCTCGAAGTCGTGTCGGTGGCGACGGATACTTACTTTCAGGACCGCCATGGACCAGGTTGACGACGCCGTCCGGCAAACCAGCCTCCTTCATCAAGGTCATCACATACGTCATGGTCATCGGAACCTTCTCGGAAGGCTTCAGAACCAAGCAGTTGCCCGTCGTGATAGCGATCGGGAGCGTCCAGAACGGGACCATGAAGGGAAAGTCTGCATATGCATCCGCAAGCCGCGTGAGATCAGAGTTCGCACATTCTGCACCGAGCAGACGGACATGGGCGGTGATGCTGCAGCCAGGCTGCCACGACTTACTGAATGGAACAATCGAGCACACGATGCCGAGGGGATTGAGCGAGTCGCGGCATGCCACTGGAGCAAGTGATTGGAAAAGACGGGTTGTTGCAATCAAGATCGGTAGTGCCAGAAGGATGTGGATCCTATGCTTGGAGTCAGTCGGACGTCCATCCCCTCATCGTCTGCAGCTCAAACAGCCCGCTGTACCTCCACGGCTGACGTCGAGAATATGTCCCTGCATCAGCTGGGGCAACGACAGTGCAAACTCAAGAGTCTCGTTGCCCTTGGCGATCTCGGCCAACGCCTCGGTGCGGTTCTTTGCGATCAGGGCAAGTCCCCGTTCGGGAATTTGTCGAGAAACCAATCGATCGAGTCAGAAGGATGTCGCTGCGATACCAACATACCGCGAGACGAGGCAAGCCAAAGCAAGACAAGCCAAGGCAAGGCAAGTCGAGTCCTCGGAAGTTGAATGAGCAGCCACCACGAAATTTACCTTGCCATGTTCGAGCACAATCAGGTCGGCGATGTGATCGGCGTTCTTCACAATGAGTTGGTGGAGACGGATCATGATCTGGATACGATCCTTGACGGTGCGGGATCTGGGTATCGGCGCCCAAGTGATCAGATACAGAGCAGTCATGTCCGGGCTGCTTTCAACGGAGCCAGCGTCGCTTGGTCGCCTACCTCCACGCCTCAAAAGCCTGTATGATACGGACAGCATTCGCATATCATGGTTAGCATTCGCTGGCTTTCAGAGTCCCAAAGAGCAACCAGCGCTGCCCAGAGCGCCGGAATGCTAGGCGAAGAGTGGCCAGCAGAAGGATCATGCCGTCGCAGTCAGTTATAGCGCCTGCCGCCATACCTTCTTGCAGCTCGCCACCGCCAGATCAACGTCCTCTCGTTTGGACAGAGGGGCATAGCTGACAATCTCGCCGGTCGCTGGGGATGTGACCGGAATGAACTTTGTCGTGTCGCTCACGAGCTTGAGGTCCCACTCTGTCGTGGCGACATACGTATTGTCGACCCAATTGAGCAGCGGCTTCTGCATATAGGCGAGCGCCTGCAGCTGCACCTGGACTTTCTGCGAGCCGATCATGCCCGTCATGGTGGTGGTGCTTATATTGGAGAGACTTGGGGAGGGAGGCTGAGATCGAGTCGGATCCGATTCTTGAGGCAGTCGGGGAGAGGCTGGCCGAGGCGGAGGACGATGGCTGAGACGGAAACGGGGCGGACAGGGCGAGGGCGGGAGAGACGGGACGGGTCGTTGATATAGGGACAGACGATGAGCAGCACCCTGTCTGCGCGGGCTCGCCGGGTGGTCATGAGGTCCCGGGATGCGAGCGAGTACCCTTGGCCGGTGGATCTCTGGCGAGCCAGAGACGCAGGATGCCGCGTGGGAAACAGGATCGTTGGGCTCGGAACAACCAGCCAGGTTTTCTTTTTTTTCGCGCTCTGGCATGAGTCGACCTGATCCAGACTGCACCCGCTGCTGGATCGCTGTTGGATCGCCGTTGGACTGCCGTCGAGGTCGACCCCACCAGAGCCGTCCGCCATGTGGATTCCTGCCGGACCAACCCGCCTCTTCGCCTCGCTGCCCCGCCGATGGGCAGACACAGTGTTCGCCAGGATACGGTCGCTCGGCTCGGCCTGCCGACCACATTCGACAGCAACCGGGCATGGTGCAGCATCGCAGTGGCTGCGGGAGGACGTCCAGCTCTATGTGCACAAGAACCAGCTCTTCCTCAAGGGCGCCTATTTCCTGGGCGCCTCGCAGCTGTTCATGTGGCTCAACATTGCCGAGCTGGCCTGGAGCCATCTGGCTTCATCCGAGTCCGACTCGGAGGGGTATGGCACGGCATTTGCATGTCTGCTGGCATCGGTATCCGATCCATCTGCGTCTGAATCGGATTTGCTCGCGATCACAGCCTCACCATCGACCTGTCTTCCATGTCCTCAATGCCACCCAACTTTGCGCTCGTGGCCCCAGGATCCAGCAGTATCAGCCCGCCTCGATGACATATCGGTGGGCCGCCACTGGCTTCTGCATCGGCGTCGGTGTGGTCTTCATGGCCGTTCCTCACGTCTACGCCTCAAAGTAAGTCTCTGGCTGCCTCACTTTCCTCAGCCGTCTGCTCGCCTGCGGCCGATATCATCGGCACAGGATCGATTGTATGTTCCATCGGCTCCTCATCATGATCCTATCCATCCCGAACATGATGTGGCGGCAGGCGCATCAAGCAGCTCACTCTGCTTCGAGGCGGAAAGGAGGTCATGATCCAGACCTCAAACCTACTTGGCCGAAACAAGTACATCGTCCCCGCCACGAGGCTGAAGGCCAAGGAGCGTTGTAGTGAAGGTGAGCCGTCCGTTTGCAGTGCTCGAGTCGCAGCGCCCTCATCCAGGACACCGAGCAGCGATCTGATCTCGATGATGGTGACCTTCACGACACCGCTGTTGTTCTGGGTGGATCCATCCCAGCTCGAAGCCAGACAGCATCAAAGAGTCCAGCCTCAGGATGGTCCAGGGCCCTTGGCAGCCAAGACTACTATCTTATGGAATACACTGGCAAGCCATACAAGTCCTTCCTGCTCAACCGCGGGGCGACATTCAGCGACCGCAAGCTCTTTGACACCCTCTTCTTCAAGCCTTGATGCGAACCGCCGCCACCGATCGAGATGCTCACGAGCCAAGGACGTGGATGTGTCTCTATTCCATGTTGCCCATGCAGCCCTTTGGCTGTGGTCCAGACAGGCGCCCGAGTGTATCTAGCCCTATGCCGTTGTCTCGTCAAACACCAGCTGATACAACTGGTCAATATCATCATAATCGCCGAGCTTGTAGTTGCTGAAGAGATGCGTGTTCCCGGTATCGCTAAGATAGATCGTCGTAGTCGTCAGTGACAGTGTTGCCGAAACGGTTGTTTCGCATGTGTGCATCAACGCCTCGCTGCTGGGCAGTCAATAGAACTCAGCCAACGCTTCGCACTGAGATCGAGCTCGTCCGGCTCATCATCCTGGCCCGATCCGAATTGCGGGGGGAGGGAATGCAGGACTCACCGAAAGCCGTTTTTCTCATAGAGGCCCTTGGCCCGGACATTGCCCTGCCACACTCCGAGCCAGACCGTGCGGATGCCCCGGCTCTTGAGCGTCTCAAGAAGCCAGGTCAAAAAGTATTGTCCTCGCCCACCGCCGTGGGCCGACTTGGCCAGATAGAGCCGCTGCAGCTCCATGATGGGGTCGGGTCCATCGATGCCGGGCTCGCGGCTGTTTCGCAGGAGAGCATACCCGAGGATCTCGTCGCCCTCAAGCAGAAAGTAGACCTCGGTGCTCGGGCTCGCGAGGGCTGCTTGCATCAGCGGCAGATCGAAGCTCTCGACGAGCAGCTTCTGGAACTCCTGCGGATTGTAGTATCGCTCCCATGTCTCGGTAAATGTCGAGATGGCGATGCGGCTGAGGATCTCGGCGTCGGCCAGGGTTGCCTGTCGGATGTGCATGGCGGGCGAGCGAGCGGATGTGCGGGGCGGGTGAGGGAGAGGGCCGCAGATGGACGACGATGCTTTTGAGCACGATCGAGCAACGAAGTCGGGCATCCCGGCCATGGGGTCATGGGCCGCCTTGTGCCGGGTTGCGGGACAGACCCAGGCCCACGACGGATTGCGGTGGAGGCGACTTTCGTTCTCGTCCCGGGCTTGTCTCGGCCGAGCTTGCCTCCCATCATACCGACATTTCCCGCATCGGCATCCCATCAGCAACAACAGCAACGACACCACCCCCATGGTCCCGTCCCGGCTCATCGCTTTTCCCGCGGCTCTGGCGGCCGCCCTCACCTTCTTCGTCGCCGCTGCCGAGCCGCACCAAGCCCAGCAAGTCGTCGCATTGGAGTATCCCTCCTCTTCAGGCATCCGCTATCGCTGCAATCTGTCCGAGTATGACTTCCCGCCAGCTCCAAGCGCTGCGTCGTCTGCTGCGGCTGCCCTCGTCGAGACAGTGTCGCTCGTGCTGGCTTCGCTGTCCTCCTCGACCTACACGCACTTTTCGTCCATGTCCTATGAGCACGGCATCTACCGCACAGACTGCTCCTGTCTGATCAGCTACATTCTCAATGCCGCTCCTGCGTCCCAGCCTGGATCGCTGGCGCTGTACTTTGAGGACGTCCCCAAGGACGACAGTCCCACAGTAGCGCCCCCAATGCCTCGCGCCGGACAGTATGTCGGATTCTTCCAGACGCTTTTGCGACAGCGCCAGGCCCACAGCCGATGGAAAGCCGTTGCCAGCGTCCTGGACATCCAGCGGGGCGACCTCATCGGCTGGTCGATCCCAAGTCGAGGCAGTCCGAGCGACACCGGGCATATCGTCGTGGCCATGACGTCGTCGCAGCCAAGCGATGTGATGCAGTCTTCATATCCCTCTGTGTGGCTCCAAGTGTTTGATGCATCTCAATCCAGGCACGAGGACGATACCCGCTGCGACAGTAGAAGCTGCCACCCGGGTCTCGGCACCGGGTCGATCCTGCTCTTCTACGACCCCGTCGATGGCTCGCCAGTGGCGTTCAAGTTCCATGCCCAAGCAACCTTCCGGGACTATCCCATAGCCATGGCACGGCTGCTGTAGACGGCTGTTGTCGATGGTTCTCCTTCGGATACGCAAGCGGTCGATGGTTCTCCTCCGGGTGTGCAAGCGATCGATGGTTGCCCCTATAAGCCAAACACCCCTTTCGCCTCGACACCGCACCGCCACGGAATCGTCCATGTTGGGCCTCGATCGCTGTGGAGAATTGATGTGTATAAGGAATCAGAAGCAGATGCTGAGCAATCGGCGTGACAAGCCGGCCGAGTTGACGAATATATGACAGAAGGCAAAGATTTGGATATGGAGAGCGCCAAACGAGCGCCTGGGGGGGGGTGGGCCGTACGGAAGTTCCTGGCAGACTCCGATACAGTCGGTCGATGGTGATTGCGCGACGGTGCCGTTGGGAAGCGCTGGGCGAAGGGCCCCGGGTACTGCCTTGGATTTGGATTTGGATTTGGATTTGGATTTGGATTTGGATTTGAATCAGTGGGCATAATTCTGGCATGGGGGAGCGCCAGAGGGCCGAACAGCTCCTCGGTCGCTGGTCGACGGATTCGCAGGCTGCTCCATGTTGCACTCGAGGATCTCGAGACGAAACCTGTCGACATGCATTACACTTCCCCCAGTCGGTCTTGTCCATGCGATCGGGAGGTAAGTGCATCCAGAAGCCGAGAGAGCAACATCGACAAGGTGCATCAGTTTGGATGTCTTTGGGTTGCTGTGGCACTCGAAGCCAGTTTTCGTTATCACACGGCATCTCGGTGCTTGGTCGAGCGGGTGCCATGTCGACAGTCCCCAGCCAACCGGTCCGAAAGGACCCAAGCACCCGGCGATGCGGCATGGCTGACTCCATTCTTTCTGGCACGCTGCCGTCGGACCTAATGGCACACAGGCACCGTCGTTGTGTCTTGGTGATAGATAGGCAAAGTCGAGCAGCGCCATGCAGAGCCCTACCTGAATCCCTTGGATCTGTACAGGGCCAGGGCTTTCTCGTTCTGATCCCAGACCTTGAGCCACATCGTCCGGGCGCCCTTGGCTAAGAGCAGCTCGATAGTGGCGTTCAAAAAGTACCGGCCGGCTCCCTGTCCCTGGAATTCCTTGAGCAGATAGAAGCGCTCGATCTCGACACATGGGGCGGGTCCTTGGACCGTCTGGCCGCGATGCCACCGCATCTGGCAGTAGCCGATGGGCCGGGCACCGCCGTCGGCAGCACCAGGAACGGTGTCCATGAAAAAGTACGCCTCGTACTCGGGGCTCTCGAGGTTGGAGCGGGTGGCCTCCACCGAAAAGGACTCGTCGAGGTAGGAGCGAAAGACATCGTCGGGATAGAGGTGCGCCCAAGCGTGGAAAGTCTCGATCGCCATGGCCGAGAGCGTCTCTGCATCGTCGGGGCCGAGCTTCAGAAGATGCATGGTGCTGCGGATCTCGGCCAAGCACGGTCGTCGCCGGTCCAGAGGCCTGGTCGCCGGTGCAGATCGAGCCCAAGGGATGGGTGTTGCCGGTGCTGGGTCTGGCGCGGGGTTTGTTGGCGCTTTCTGGCTGTTCTCGCTGGGAACCGCCTGATCTGAGGGATTGAATGCCTTGTCGCCGTCGCCGTTGTCGCCTCGACCCTGGACTTTTGGTCTCGATCAGGTCGCTTCCTGGCCCGTCCATCCCCCGAGTCCTCCTGCACCCAGTCCGGTCCGAAAGCCATGAGCAGCGCCTACGCCGTCAATTACCATCTGCGGTATGCTTGTCCTTACGGCACTGCCCCTCCTGCGGACTCTCGCAGCAGCATCACTCAGCCGCCATGCTCCCTCGCCCTCTGCACAGGGCCCACAAGCGCGATACCTTCATCGAGTTCATCAAGTCGCTGCTGCTCAATCCGTTTGTTCTGCACACGAGGATCAAGGACCCAGACCACTCGGCCTGGAGTCCGCTAGGCCCTCCCGGCACCATCCAGGCCCTTCAGGCGGCCCAGACGACCCAGACGACCCAGACAGGCTCCGGCCTCGACCGGGATCTGGACCGTTACTGTGAGGTCCTGGAGTGCATCGAAGAGCTCATTGTCGACCACATTCACAACCACGAGCAAGGTGAGTGGCATGCCGAGCCACAGCCCGCTCTGTTCTGTGCATTTCGAGCAGCATCCGATAACCCGATAGTCCCTGGGTGCAAATGCGACTCTGAACCGGCCTGGTGCTGCTTCCGCCGCAGGCCACCCCGAGCTTTCTCGCCTCGTCCAGCTCGTGCCATCCATCGGCCGGTTCTACACCCCGCTGCCGCTCAAGACGGCGTTTCTGAAGGTGAACAAGGCAAGAGCAATCGCTGCCCGCCGCAACGTCCCGCCTTCTTTCAACGACATCCGCTACATTCTCAACTCGGCACAGGTACGGAGATGCACTCGCGCATGAGCCGCCTGGATGCAGGAGCCAGAGTCCCGTTCCCCATGTCCGGACTCATGGACGCTTCTCCTGGAGGGAAGTGCCATGCGTGCACTCATCGCGGCAGCCCTTGGCTCCGTCTCCCTCTCGAAACACAGGTCCTGGCTATCCACCCGGCCCTCCGGCTTGTCACCTTGTGAGTGCACATTGATATTCACCCCTGCCCCATCGTGTCCTTGCCGGTCTGAGAGTGCATGTACGGGCGCAAGTGCCATCACTCAATACCACGATCCTTTGCCACCGATTTGCACAGCGACGGGGACATGACGCTCTATGCCGATGGCGCCGACTTTGAGCGCGACTCGCAGCTCGTTGGGCTCATCATCGACCTGCTGAAGCATGGCCTTCATGTCGCCGTCGTGACTGCCGCTGGGTACCCCGGCAACGCCGCACGATACGAAAAGCGTCTGTCGGGCCTGCTGGAAGGCATGCGTGGCAGCAACCTCGGCAGCGTGTGTCTGGAGCGGTTCTATGTCCTGGGTAGGTGCAAGGCGGATGGCGTTCGATCGAGGGTCTCTCGGCCACCGGGTTCGATAAAGGCCCGCGCATCAATAGGTACGAGACCGCAGCCGTTTTGCTTTGCTGACACTGCCCTCATCCTCCCCAAGGTGGCGAGTGCAACTATCTGTTCCAGTACAATGCAGCGTCGGGCTCCTTGGTGTACATCCCCGAGGAGAGTTATCAGTCCGAGGCCGTCAAGTGCTGGTCCAACGCCACCGACCGGATTACCGATCTCCTCAACATTGCCCAGGCAAACCTCGAAAGCTATCGCACCGAGCTCGGCCTCACGGATGATCGCGCCTTCATCGTGAGAAAGCCCAGAGCCCTGGGGCTCTGCGCTGCTCCAGGCGTCAAGCTCACTCGCGAAGTTCTGGTGAGAATAAGGGGCCGCTCCATCACAGCCGACAGTCACCGCATCGCCATGTATCAGTGCGAGTTGCTGCAAGGCTTTGCCCCGACTATGCATTGCATCCACTATGCTGAGCTTTGCTGTCCCTCGCTCCCAGGATGAATGCGCTCTCGGCGTCCAAAAGACCCTCAACAACTATCTGTATTTGGGGAAACTCAAGGCCGCAGCCCGCGGAGATGCCAGCTGGGTCTCGATCCCGTTCTGCGCCTTCAACGGCGGAAACGACATGTGGGTCGATATCGGCAACAAGCTCATCGGTGTGCAAATTCTGCAGCAGTATCTTGGCACCCACGGACACGAAACCCTCCATCTCGGCGACCAGGTGAGCTTGGCTGGCACATGGGGGCGCGAATGCGGAACTGCAGACACTGTGGACCACGCAGATACCCGGCAGCCGGCTGTTCAAGTGTCTGGTTGAGTGCTGGCATTGTCTGCACTTCTAACTTCTGCCTGCCGGCACCGTGGCTGCCGACTGTGACCGCAACATGCGCCAGTTCCTCTCCACAGGCAACGACATTGCTACCCGCTCGGCCTGCTGCACCATATGGATCACCAGCCCTGAAGAGACGGCCGAGGTCCTCAATGATCTCCGCGATTTGCTCGAGTCTAGGGCTTAATCTACTGATTCGCAGCAGCACTGTCGAGGGCGAGAAGTGCAGGACAGCGTGCCATCCCTTGCCCCCACACCGGCAACGAGACCATGACTCGACGGCCGGATAGCTTCAAATATATGTATATATTCATGATTGTCGAGCGTCTCCTCAAAGAAGTGACCCGCCACATCATCTGTTTGCTTGTGCACAGCGATGCAAGCTGGGCCGAGCCATGGTGATTTCTCTCTCGCTCCTGTTCATCGTCATTTTTGTGTATCCTCGATCACCGTGCTTCAGGCTTCGCCTCACACGGCTTGCTTGCTTGTCCGCTTTCACTCTCGGGTCTCTCACTTGACTTTGTTTTTGGCTTTCTTCTTCCCACTTGAGCTGCTGCCGTTGCTGTCGCCGGCTTCGTGGCTCTCGCGGGCATCGTGGCGATGGGCCTCCTCATCTCGAAGCTGCTTCATCCACATCTCGTGGTATACGCCGTCCCGCTTCTGCATAAGCTCTGCGTGGTTTCCCCGTTCGACAATCTCGCCTTTGTGGAGTACCAGGATGACATCCGCGTGGATGACGGTGCTGAGTCTGTGGGCCACGATCAGCGTAGTGCGGTTGGCCGTCATTCTCTGCAGCGCAGCTTGAATCTGCCGCTCGGTGTGCTGTTGGTTACAAGTGGATTGTCAGTCGCCTGCAACTGCCGAGCCAGTTCGTCGACACTGCGCTCCTTGCTCTCCCAGCCAGCTTGACCGCGTCGTTCCTGCATCTGGCTCTGTGGGTGCTGTGTAGATCATGCTACCCACCGTGTCGAGGGCAGAGGTGGCTTCGTCGAGTAGGACAATTTTGGGGTCTTTTAGGATCGTCCGCGCGATTGCGACCCGTTGCTTTTCTCCGCCGCTGAGACGCAGACCTCGTTCGCCCACGCGGGTATCGAATCCTGACCCCGGATGGCAACAAGGCGCACTCGATTTAGCGAATATCCTCATGCAAGAACGTATCCCTTAGTCTCCAATACACGCCCGGTTTGCCCATACTCCCGGCATATCATCGTCGTGGAGTTGCTGCTTACCGTCCGGGAAACATAATATCGAGTCGTGGATCTGTGCCGCTTTGGTGGCGGCGCACAGCTCCTCTTCGGATGCCTCCGGACGGCCATACAGGATGTTGTATCGCATGGTGTCGTTAAAGAGAACTGTATCCTGTAAAACACACCAGGGCGGCGGTGATAGGATCAGGATCGAGACGACGACAAGCGCCATATCCAGTGCAAACTCATATCAATCCATGCCGATCCATGTCAATCCATGATGGCCCTGTTACCTGAGGCACGACTCCGATGACGCTGCGCAGAGACCCCAGTTTCACCGATCGTATGTCTTGTCCGTCGATCGTGATTCGGCCCTCCTGCACATCATAGAAACGGAAGAGCAGGCGCAATATTGTGCTCTTGCCGCTGCCCGTTGGACCGACCAGAGCAACCGTCGATCCAGCCTCGATCTTGAATGATATGTTGCGCAGAATGGGCCGGCGTGCATCGTAGTAGAAGCAAACATTCTCTGACAGCGTTGATAGGGCCGCGGTCAGTGTCGTTACAGCGCCCATGGCGATTTTGAAGGGCAGACGAGGACGACTTGAGTACGCCTTGGCTCTGTGGACTGGCATTGCTCTCCTCTGGAGTGAGGCCACTCACCAAACTCGACCTCGCCGGCAGTAACGACCAGCGGCACAGCATTGGGGTCATCGTCGACTTCGATGGGCTCATCCAGCAGGTCGAGCATTTTCTCCATGTCCACAAAGTTTTTCTTTTGCAGCGTATCACACAGGCACGGGTTGCAAGAGCCAGAATCAAGGTGTTGTCTGGAGTGAGCCTCGGGAGTCAAAGATGGTCTGGGTCCGATGTGCCACATCCATATGGCATAAGATGACCCACCTGGATGACCCGATAGTAGTTCTGCTCGGCGGCATTCAGTACAAAGGTTAGACTCGCCGTTGCAGTACCAAAGTGGCAGGACCGTTCGCAGTCCATGCGCTGGCAATGCGTAGCACCAGCAGTATCCCCGCAGATCACACCCTTGACCATGGTATGCGCTCATGCACAACTCACGCCAAAGTAGTTTAGTGGGCCGTAGAGTTGGGTGATGTAGCTGAGGTACTGAACCAAATCGCCGATCGTCATAGTTTTTTCGATAATGACGCGGCGCGCGCAGAGACCGCATCCGATCAGGAGCCCGAACTGCACAATGAAGTTCTGGGCGGTGTTGAGGGCGCTCTGGCTGAGCGAGTTGATGAGATCGGCATGCTGATACTTGTTCAGGGCCTGTGTGTACTGCGCGACCTCGTAGGACTCGGCGTTGTAGTACTTGACAGTCTCAAAGTTGAGCAGCGAGTCGACGGCCTTGGCTTCCATTTCGTTGTCGAGTTGGTTGGTGAGCTTCTTGTATTTTGTCCTCCACTCGGTGATGGTGATGGTGACGATCAGGTACAGCACCATGGTGACAAACACGATCATCCCAAAGGTCAAGTCAAATTCCATCGTAAAGTAGATGCATGCAACGACAATGTCGATGAGCGTGGGTATCACGTTGAAAAGGATCGACGACAAGAGCGAAACAATGGATGCGACGCCTCGGTCTGCAAGGAGAGCGGAATGGGTGGGATTAGAAGTGATCCCGGCAGTGTCCCCAGGACTTTGGCGGGGATCTTGCGTCCGTGCGATGCTCCAGCGGCTCTAACAGCGGGATTGCCATGACTACAGCCTTACCCTGCACTCGAAGAATCTCGCCCGTCTTTCGGTTCAGATGGAAGCGCAGCGACAGACTGAGCACAGCCCAAGTGCACATGAAGCCATGGAGTGAGTGAGTGCCCCCCAGCGGACCATGCGTGCCAGCACAGGGATGAAGCCCGAGTTGGCAGCGAACTGGCCACCCAACGGCCCTTTCATGGATGCGAGACACAGGCGGACGTACTGGTGCAGATGCTCAAACATCTTGATGGATATCTCACGAGTCGTGAACTAGTGGAAGCAGTCGCCGTGTCAGCACTCCACCATCGCAGTCCCGATGTCAGCCATACACACCATGCTGCGAGCTCTTGCGAGACACTTGGTACCTGCCCAACCGGGATCCACAGATACGTTTGCAGGCCCGCAAGCAGCCCGCCGTTGCCTTGCAGGAGACGCAGAAACACAAAGAGAAGCAGATCCGGCCAGGGAATGACGGACTCTAGCTGCTCGAGTGTGAAGCTGCTGGACGTGCTCAGCATATCCAAAAGTCGATCATCGCCCATGACTTCGATCAGCCGCTTGTACTGCTTGGGGACCCAGAGGTTGACCGCTCGGCCCAGGATCAGCAGGACGCCGCAGCACATCACCATGAGCTGCAACCTCCAGTTCTTGATGCCGCTTGGCCACAGGAACGGCATGAGCCGCCGGATATGACGGGAAAACTGCCCGAGGGTCTTTGGCGGGGCATACTTGTCGGGCTCGCCCGTCTCCGTGGGCCTGCTGTCGTCATAGAGCTGTGAATTCCAGCGACACTTGAGAAGCCAGATGCTGCATCCGACCAGCACGGCAGTCATGAGCCACCGCAAGACCAGCAGCAGAACATACGGTGCCTCGACCTCGTAGCTGTCCTCCGGAAACTTGCTGGCGTTGCCGAGATAGGCCCACAGATGAGCGGCCTCGATCGTGGCGAGAGCCCAGGCATATCCCCAGAACAGATAGGAGGCCGTTGAGGGGACGGTAGGAGGGTATCGCGGTGCAGCAAAATACTCGGCAGCCCAGGGAAGGACAGCGAGGGTATAGAGGACGATGAACTGGGCCCGGGGCGGTGTTGCTGGCGCCGGAAGAGAGCCCGGCGATAGACGGCTGAGCAGGAATCCTGCAATTTCGATGCCAGAGACCAGGATGGTCCAGAGCACCACCCGCCGAGCTGCCGCGATGGTGCGTCTGGCTGAGGGACTTAGCGGCTTTGGGGGTGCTATTGAAGACCCATGAACCGAGGGAGCCGGCTGCTCTTCGTCGTCATCTGAGTGTCGGGCCATGATCAGGAACAGGCAGCAGCAGCGTCATGTGCAATACGCCCCGCCGGTCTGTTCTTGGGGCCGTCAGCGGCCAGCAGCAACTCACCCGGAAGCAGTGGCTCCTCTTCATCCGAGTGCTGATGAGAGCGATACCGAGAGGCCAGGGCTCCAATCCATCGGACAGCCGCAAATACGATCAGCAAAACACTCAGGAGCGTGCGCAGGACGCACGGCGACAGGATGCCAAGCTCGGGAATGAACTGAGGCTGCGGGCAGAACGGAACCGAAACGAATGGATCCATGGCGTGCGGATCGGCTGGCATGCGAGAGCGAGTCGCTCGCGGATCTGGGGGGGGGGAGAGGATCGGGACTGATCTGCGGCAGATGGAGGAGGCAGAGGGCAGGGTATGCAAGACCCGAATTGGAGCTGGCCGAGGGCGATGGGCGGGGAGCTCTTGGGCAGGCAAAGATGGACTGCAACAGCCCCAAGAGCGCCCAGGGCCGCGATCAATGTGCCGATGACGACAGCAGCGGTGGTTGCGACGGATCACCGGGGAACGGGCTGGTCAGACCAGCTATGCGGCTTCCGACTTTCGGCTTCCGGCTCCAACCCAGCGACGTCGCTGCAGTCTGCTCGAAAGCGGATAGCCGTGCCGGCTGCAGAACAAGCCAATTGCGGGTGTAGAAGCAGGCCGAGCCCGTGGGAGTGTTGTTTCTCTCGACCAAGCATGTATTTGCGGCTCACTGCAAGCCGAGCGCCTTCGATTCTGTCTCGTAGATCACCATGCGCCAGAGTTTCTTCACAAACGTCTCCGCGTCGTCAAGGGCCTGGGTTCAGAGGAACGGGCAGATCAGTACCCACGAGTCGGTGGACACACCTCGCTTTCCCAAAGCTCGCCACAGAGACATCAACCACCAGGACGACGCCCAGTGTGCTGCTCACCATCTCAATGTCCGCAAAGAGCTGGCCGGCGCTCTTTTGGTCCCTCAGGGCTTGCAGAATAAAGTTGATCAAGTCCTGCTCCTCCTGGCCGAGATACTCAAGGATCTTCTTGGAGACGAACGGCTTGAGCTTCGCGTTGACGGTGGTGTCGTCCAGATGGCTCCAGCGAACAGTGTAGCCCCAAATGCTCTCGCGATCCGAGGGAATCGACTCGATCAGGTCTGTGATGGCCCTCTTACGCTCGTCTACCGTCATGATCCGGCCGACGACGCCTGTCGGCGCAGCGGGAGGATTCACGGCCACAGGTGTCTCGGAAGCCTCGGCCTTGTCCTGGTTTTGGTGGCTGTCGAGCATGGCCTCGAGGTCTTGCGAGCCCGCCTGGTCGGTAACGCCTCCGGCGGCAATACGGGCAGCCTCCTCCTGCTCATCCTGCCGATCGCGCGTATCGTTGTCGAGCTCCTTCTGCCGGATCGGTTGTCGATGCGACCACCATCGTTGCCTGTTGACAGAGCCATTGGCGATTGCCACGATTAGTAGATGCAGGAGCATCGGATAGCTGACAGCCCGCACGCCAGACACGATCACAAGCACTAATGTCTGGCTTGATCCCTTTCAAATAGAGCAGCATGGTGCCTGCAGTGGCTCCGTGCGATAGAGGCCGTGCTCGCAAGTTACGCAGCACTGGTGTCGCTCACCTGTCGCGATAAAACAGTTCGTCACCCTTTTCATTCTCGGCATCGTCATCCCACTCGGCATAGAGCTTCAGCATGTGCTCCCGTCGTCGTGCACGCTCCTTCTCGTCATCGGCCTCCTTGAGAAGATCCGACTCGTACTTGCGAATGCGTGCCTGTTCGCGGGCCTCGAGACGCCGCTCCCGCTGGAAATATCCACGAGCGAATATCGACGGTGGACACATCCGGTGGCCGGACAAGGCGTCAGACCCGTATGGATGCAAGGTATGCACGAAGTACGCACGGAGAGTGAGGCCAAGTGCCCCCGACATCCACTTACGTCTTGGAAAGCCTGGAGCATCTCCGCCTCGCGCTTTTCGACCCGACGCTTCTCTTCTTCCTCGTCTTCATCGTACTCCTTGAGCCGCTTCAGGACCTGGCGGTCGACTTTGAATTCATCCTGAGTCATGCTCTTTTCGATCTGCCGCTCTCGCTCGCGCTCGTCGCGCCGCCGCTGCTCAACCTCCATCTCCTCGCGCTTCTTCTTCATCTTGTCCTTGGCGGCCGATCGCTCTCGGAAGAAGGCAATCTCGCGACTGATGATTTCTCTCTGTGTTGGCGACATATCGGCAGGAAGATCCTCGCCGTTGTCGTGGTCATCTGTCTCGGTGATGTTCTTCATCGTGGACTGCAAGAAGTTGTCGGCCAGGGCAGACTTCATGGCTTCCAACACCGAATCCAGTGACTTTTTGGCCTCGTCGATACTCTGGGAAAACACTTCGTTCTTGCATCCATGGACATGCACGAGGAAAGAATACAGAGTGCGATGGCGGTGCGGTGAGCTTGCTGCTGCGCTGCGTCCAATGGGCAGGATCTGGCTGCGGTCAGCATCGATCGCACAGAGTGCTGTCCCAACCTACATCGGACATCTTTTTCTTGATATCCTCCAGCGGGAAGCGTGCTCCGTTGTCGGTTTGAATCTGTCACATTCAGGATGGCAAGGTGCAATGAGAACAGTGGGCTGATCCTTCCTTTCCCGGCAGACTCACGGAAACCACCGATGCGACATCACAGCGTTGCGTTAATGTGGAGCGGCTGAGGCTTACTCGGACGCTTCGAGCAGCACCGTTGTTGAAGCTGGGTAGCTCCAGGGGATTCACGGCCTTGATGATTTCCAGGGCCCGCACAACTGACTCGGGGTCTTCGAAGATGGCAAACCCAAAGGGCTTGGGCTTCCCGGTCGAGTCAGTGACCCGTCGCCAAGTCTGGACAGGGCCAAAGGTCTGGATGGGAAGCCACATGAAACGCAGACTCTGGTCAGTGGACAGACGGGCTCATCCGGCCAATACAAACTCATTTGCAGCAGCGCTCGACCGATTTGAAGCCGCAAAAAAAACAGCCAGCACGATCGCCGGGCTTCCCGAATGAGCAGAACAGCCAAAGGCCCCTGTGCCTCACCGCGAGGAACTTCTCGACCCATTCGTCCGGTACGCCATCCGAAATGCCGCTGACAAATAGAATCGAGAGCTTGTTTTCGGGATCAATGGTTGCCCGGGCTGGCAGACTCAGGTGCGGCGACACAATCGGCGGCCGGGCCGAGGCAGGGCCGTTGGCCGAGGGAGCTACGACGGGCTGGCTGTTTGCACCCGTGGCGAAAGGAACCGGTGGCCGGGCCGGGAAAGGTGCCGAGCCTCCAGGCGGCAGAAACGGCGGTTGGCTGCCTGGCGGCATCGTTTGGCCCGGCCCTCTGAAGCCCGCGGGAGGAGGGCGGAATGCTGCTGCCGAGGGTCCGGGGATAGAATATGCATTCCAGCATCAAAATGCGATCCGATGGCAAGATCAGATATGGCTCCCCGATCATGAAGCGATCGACGACAGAGCACAGGATGTGCGGGCCGGCAGGATCGGTACTTACGGAACGGCTGCGGCGGTCTCGAGTCCATCTCCGTGTGGCGACTGGGGCGTTCGATTGCGCAGATGCAAGTCTCTGCGGAGGGTGATCTAGATCGGGATCGATCGATCGACGGTCTGGGTGCTGACGCCCGACGAGACTGCTTTGTCCAGAGCGAGAAGAGACGCGGCTGAGATGCGGCGAGGGCCGGGCGAGGGCGTCTCGCCGGATTTCGAATCCTGCACCGTTTGGCCTCACCGACGTTTCGGCATATCAACTGCATCGACATCATCAGCTGCAATCGACGATACCCGCTGCATCGACGACATCAGCCTCACCCGATAATCCATCTCCTGACTTGACGGTAGCAACACATTCGCCGTCCTTGCGATTCAGCGCTCCTTCCACCAACGATGCCATTTGGCCATCGCGCCGTCGCCAGGTCGTTCCCGTTTCCAAAGTCGTATGTTTTTCAGCCCGTCCCTCCCCTTCTCCTTCGGTCTGTCCTTCATCCTGTCTCGGCCCGCTCGCTTCTGTACGCCGCGTCGCCGATGAGTACACTCAAGACATCTGTCGATGATCTGGTCTTCCAGAACACCATCACTGTCCAGCTGAGCTGCGACCCTCTCACTCCCGGGACACCCTTCGAGCGCCCCGAGTCCCGGAATGCGATGGCCCATACGCCCAGACAGGTCCGAAAGGCCCACTTTTCGTACGTCGAGCCCGAAGAAGCCCCCGAACCGTACTTTATCGCGGCCTCGACGCACGCCGGCCGTGAGATCGATCTCGACATCCCGACGATCCTCGCCAGCCCAGAGGAGCGACAGAAGCTTGTAGACTTTGTCGCAGGCATACGGAAGGCCAAAGGTGCGGCAGCTCGCCCTCGGGAATAGGCAGACAAGAGGGGAAGGTATCGATACCCGGATGCCGGCCGCGTACTAATGAAGTGTGTCGCTGTTGTTCGATGGTCCCAGGGTCGAATCCGTGGGCTTATGCATATGCTGGCCACCAGTTTGGTTCGTTTGCAGGTCAGCTCGGAGATGGCCGAGCCATCTCTCTCGGTAAGTCTCTGCATCCCGACTCAAACAGCACATCGGACGCCCTGCATTTCCTCAGAGCCGAGTCCTCCACGATCTTGTCCGTGCGTACTGATGCCGTGAATGAAATCTACCAGGCGAAGTCGTCAATACCCGCGGCCGGCGATGGGAACTGCAGCTGAAAGGTAGCGACTGCGGGCAAGTCAAGTCGAGCAACGGTGTAGTTCAAGACAGATCACACAGCCTTTCGGCTTTCTAACTTTGTCAGTCTCTCCGCTGTCCTTGCTGCTGTCCAGGTGCCGGAATGACGCCGTATTCTCGGTTCGCCGACGGCTATGCCGTTCTACGCTCGAGCATCCGCGAGTTCCTGTGCTCTGAAGCTATGTTCCATCTCGGCATCCCAACGACGCGAGCGTTGGCCCTCATCGGGTCGTCCCGGATCGTTCAGCGAGAGCAGGATGAGTCCGGGGCCATCGTTTGCCGTCTGGCTCCGAGCTGGATCCGGCTCGGCAACTTCGAGCTGTTCTACGCCACGGGCGACTCCGAGAACCTGCAGAAGCTTGCCGACTATGCGATTACGATGCACTTTCCCGAGATCCAGCCCCCGGACGGAAGTGTGGATGGACCACAGACGGGCAAATACACCCAGCTCCTCGAGCGGGTAGTCGCAAAAACGGCCGAGATGATCGCTCACTGGCAAGCATACGGTACTATCTGAGCCTATGTTCAAACGATAGCAGCTGTTGCATCAGTGCGGATTGCAGTCATGCTGTTCGGAGACTCTGAACCCAGGGCTCGTGGCTGTTGTGATTCGCCGACTGATACAGACCATACGAGTATCGCTATTCTGACTGTATATTTGTTGCGCTCGCGCCGTGCATGGCGCTGTGGCATTACTTATCGGTGGTAAATGGCAACACAGGGTTCTGCCATGGTATGTTGGCAATCGTACCCGCAAGCTGCTGCCATTTGCTGCTGCGTGCAGCTGGCTCTCCATTTGTCGTCAGCCTCTCCCTTGCAACATCTAATGCACCGAACTGGCTGGCATTCATTCACAGGCGTCATGAATACCGACAACTTCAGTATCCTGGGTCTCACGATTGATTACGGGTATGTGCAGCGATTCGTTGTGTCGCGCGGTTGGACTACATAATGACCCTGGCTCTGACCGACAACCTCCACCCAGACCGTTCCAGTTCCTGGATGGATACGATCCGGATTACGTTTGCAACAAATCGGATTTCACCGGGATGTACGCCTTCTCGGAGCAGCCTGAGGTTGGGCTGAGAAACATGGTCAAGTTTGCTACAGCCATCAGTCCTCTGATCATCCAAGAATGCGGCGGCGACCGTGAAAAGGCGTCAGGCGAGCTCCGACCAGCCCTGAACCAGTATTCGTCGATTCTGTCGGATCGATATGGCAGGCTGATGGCCAAGGTGCGCAAATGCAAATAATGTCAAAGTGCTTGTGGGGTGGAGTCACTCTTCCTGTGTCCGCTCGTCATCGAGGAATGCTTTTGTGAGCATCAGGGTGCTTGCGGGACGGTCAGTGTATGTGCTGTGCTTCCTACTAACGATGGTATCCTCACATGCTCTGTATCTATAACTGTGCCTGACGAGCAGAAGATTGGCCTTGCTACTTACAAGGAAACCGATCTCCAAGACGTGATCTACCCACTCCTGACGATCATCGCCAAAGAGGCGGTGGACTATACGCTCTTCTTCCGGTCCTTATCACAGTTCTCGATCGCCTCAACAGATGCCCTCTACCCTACCGAAGCCTGCTCCCGCACCGGGCCGACAGAGCCGCGCCTGATCATTGCTCAGGCGAAGCCCAGCCTTGGGGCGGCGCTGCAGCCGTGGCTAGAGATCTATCGCAAGCGTCTGCTGGAGGACATTTCCGGTCCTGACGAGAGCTGCCCGCTTGTCACAGCCAGTCGCGAGGCCGAGCGGAGAAAGCAGATGGACTCGATCAACCCCCGATACATTCTGCGGAACCATCTGGCGCAAACGGTGATTGAAGCAGCCGAGGTCGGCAACTATGCTGAGGTCAACGAGCTCCTCAATGTTCTATCGCGGCCTTTTGAAGACGGCAGCATCCAGGAGCAGGAACGATGGGGCGGCGCTGTGCCGGACTGGGCCGCGGGCGTCAAGTGCAGCTGCTCATCATAGTCCGCAGGAACGTGGTCGATTCCTCTGCCAATATCACTTGTTGCCGCCCGTATATTCCGCGAGTGCATGAGCCCCCCCCCTGCGCATGCATTGCCTGTTGAGAATAGTACATGACCTTTGGATGCAGAGCTGCCGTTACCACCGATGTCCCGCACGATCGCCGCGGCCCGCCAAAAATCACAGAATCCAGGGCCCAGGAGCTTCCTCGTCTTCCCTCGCTGTTTGGAGGAGCTTGCGCGCCAATGGCCGGGCTGAAGCACTGCCGGACAACCAAGTCGATCAAGTGCAGCGCATCATGGCCACTGTATCTCGTATCGTCGGAGTGCGGGTGGAGGCGCCAAAGTCCTCGACATGGCCTGCCCTGGCTCTGGTCCACCGAGGCTGGGCTGTTCTTGATCTTGGCGATCTCGCAGGCAAAAAAAAGGCACATGTGAACCGGTCCATGTCTGCGATCGCGGCACTCTCATTCTCGGGCATCGTGTATGCAGAGCCGGGGCAGCGGTTCGAGTTTTGCCCAAACATTCCTCATGTGCTCGGACATGTCGGCAGCTGGAATCTGACAGCAGTTGACGGCACAGTCCGTCCGCCGGGCTGGATCGACTTTGATCGCCGCACGGGATGCATACATGGTACGGCATCGATTGGCATGCCCCTGGATGGATGTGCCCCTGATGGATGTGCCCCTGGATGGATGTGCTTCCGCAACTCCCTTGGTATTCACGGCACAATTCGCCTCTCCGACCTCTGATTACCAGGCCAGCCCTCGCCAGACGCCGTTCCGACCCAGCTCTTCCTGCTCGCCCCGATGGGCTCGGCCGGCCTGTTTGCGACCCAAGTGACTCTGTGTCTCGGCCACTCGTGCCCACCTTCGATTCCCACCCTGACCAGGCTCCAGCGCACCGGCATATACATCCAGGACTGTGGATACAGCCCGCCTCCCATGGCCATTGTGGGCCGGCAGTGGAACTACACTTTCCCGCGGAACGTTGTCTTTGGCAATGCCCTCGTCTACACTGTGCGGATATCGCCCGCCGACAGCTGGATCCGGGTCAGCAGTCTGTTCTTCTCGGGCGTGCCCAGGAAGACTGGATGGAGCAACGTTGAAGTGCTTGTGCAGGATGCCGCCAATGCCTCCGCGCGGCTGCTGCTTGCGGTGCAGGCCATCGGAGTCGATTCAAGGCCGCCAGGAACCCTCTCCAGATCCAGCGCCAAACCAGCAGGAACCCAGCCAGCGAACCCAAATCCATTACAGCACCCAGGCACATCTGTGACGGTCTCTGCTTTTGTATCGGCGTCGCCATCTGCAGTCGCACCGCCCGATGTCGACCACTCGAACATGGACCAGGGTCTCGATGACTCGCACTTGATCGTTGTCGTTGCGGTTCTGTCACTACTGATTGCTGCTGCCCTTGTACTTGCCATCATCCTCTGGTGCGGTCGCCGCAACTCAAGCCGCCACCGCAGCAGTCAGTTACCCATCGACCAAGAACTGGCAAGAGACACATCCAAGTCACCGACACCACTATCGACGGTTGCTGGGCTTGCCGCTTGTTCTGACAGCCGGACCCGCCCGCCGTGTCAGATCCTTACCCCGTGGGAACATGCTCTTGCCGAGCATCGGCTGTCGCCTTTCTATCCGCCGGCAGTTGACACATACCGCCGACCGGTCTCGCGGTCGGTATCGTCTCTCTTGTCTCAGCAAAAGAGGCGTCTGATGCAAGCGATGCCACGGCCCACTTCGACTCCAAGCCTGGGCTCATGCAGTCGGGGCACACGGGCCGCTCTGCTTGGGCCGCAGGATCCGGCCCCGTCGCTGTCGTCGGTGCGATATCGCTCCAGGCCGATTTCGCAGTGGATGATCCTGCCATCGAGCGCGACAGACTCGCATTCCAACTGGCGGGACTCGGAGACGACCGGCCTCGCGGGGTATCTGGAAGACTCGTGCTCCTCGCTCTACACGCAAGAGTAGGCAGAGGTGTCTTTACCATGCATGGAGATTTGCTGCAGGCCAGCATCAATACAGTCAATCCAGAAAGAAACGGGGCAGTTACTTTCTGGCACCAGCGACACAGGACTGCTGATCCGTAGGCTCTAGCGAGCAAGCCATGCGATTGTTCTCGTCCTGGTTGGCAATCTCCTAATGTGGTGCATTCACTCGACCCTCTGGACAGCTCCATGGTTTCTCGATATCAAGATACTCGGCCTTGTCGAGTCGCTTGGCTTCTCAGCACTGTGAGCACACCTGGAGATCGAGTCGCTTGAATCGCCGTGGCTGGGTGGTGTCCTTGATTCAAAACACAGAATGGTCATGGCCAGCGGGCGATGTTTCGAGTGATAGCATTCACCAACGACCAATATCCGTTTTGACAGTAAATTCCTCTCAGACTTTGCCTCGACGACCAAAGCGAGCAGGGCGGAAGCAACCTTGGTCGAGGTCGTCGCCTGCTCGCACCGCATCCGGAATACACATGTCCGTCTGCATGCCCGCGGATGTACAAACGCATGACCACGAGCACATCGCCGCCGGGCTGGTCGTTCTTGTCGACAGTGGCAAATTTGCGCTGCCCGGCTGATCAGGCCTGACATCCCCTGGATATCGAGCCTCGGCGCCCCATGGGGACAGCCCTCGTGCCAGTCGTCTGCCTCTTGCTCTTGCCGCCGAGTTGCCCCTTCCCCCATGATGCGATGCTGCTCACGGCCTCTTGCATCCGTCCTGCATCCCTGCTGCAGCCGGGCTTTGCTGCGTGTCCCTGTCGCCATCTGGTCTGCCTTGTCGTCCTGCCGCGATCTTTGCTGTCTCGTGGCCCAAGGTTTTGCAAGTCGCTCGTGCCGCCCGAACCTGGCTGATGCAGCAGCCGCCCTTTCTTTTCCGATGCTGGGCGTGGGGGGAAGAAAGATCGGCCGTGTGTCGCTCACACTATCCCACACGACCAGGCAGCAGACCGCCACCACCACCACCACCCCTCCATCCCCGCTTTCGCTGGGCCTCCCGCCGCCCAGGCCGCCTTGTCCAGCAAGCAACACCCGTTGTCACTTTCTGTGCTGCTTGTCCTCCACTGCCTTACTCCAGAGGAAGGAAGGGAAGGTGCACGGACGCCCTTTCCCACAGTCCCGCGCCGCTTGCGGCTGGGCCTGTGCGCCCCAGCATCGCCCTGTCGCGCCGGTCACGCTGGCGGCCTTTCTTTTTCGCCCTTGATGGCGGCCTGGACCTTTCCTTTCTGTGTCAAGGCGACGGAGGAACAGCGAGAAGAGCGGCCGTCCGGTGTCTGGGCATGGATCGCTGTGAGTGAGCGTGGTGTCGCCTGCCTTGTCTGGGCTGGGGCTGTCGGCCGTGTATGGCTGTGTATAAAGCGGCTGCAGCCCCCTCGCCCAGGGCTTGTGGTCGTCGCTCCTGGGTCCTGCTCCTGTCCGTATCCATCCGCCCGTCCCTCTGTCCATTCGCCATGCTGGTTTCCAGAACCCTTCTCGCCGGAGCTGGTCTCCTCCTCGCCTCGTCCTCCGTCTCGGCCAGCGCCTCCAGCGCCGGCGTCAGCAACCGAGTGATCGGCTACCATGAGTCGTGGTACTACTACGACTCGCCTGGCAACAAGCCCTTCGATGTATGGGATCTGTCTGCACCTGCCATCTGCAACTGCCATCTGCAACTGCCGTCTGCAACTGCCGCCTGTGTCGATGCTCTCCCAGCGCTCTAACACTCTGCCGGCATCCAACAGTTCACCCCGACCATCGTCTCCAAGTACACCCACATCAACTACGCCTTCGCCACCATCCACTACCACCCTCCCACTGACCAGTACTACATCGGCTTCACCGACTCCAACGCCGACTATGTACGTTGCACCGATTGCATGTGTCTCTCCCTCGCCTGGTGGTGGTGGATTGGGTCTCGTTCGCTCGATGCCGATACTCTGATTGACTTTATCGGTCTTTGCACCACATCCACTCCATGCAGCTTGACTGCGTTGGCACCAGCTGCCCCAGCGAGTGTATCCCCGTTCCCCAGAACCAGCTCTGCACCCCCGCCGGCAAGAAGACCGCCTCCAAGGTCGCCATGGTCCCCTACATCGGTGCCTCTGGTGCCTGCCCCGACACCACCTGCTTCAACCCCTCGTCGGCCCCCGGCTCGCCCCGCACTCCCCCGTGCGAGGCCGTCCTGGACTCCAACATCCAGAAGAGCGGCAGCACCCCGGTCCTCTGCGGCAACTATGCCTATCTCATGAGCAAGGTCAAGAAGTCGGCCCCCAACCTCCGCTACCTCATCTCGGTCGGCGGCTGGTACGACTCGAACCTGTTCTCGGCCGCCACCGAGGACAAGTACATCGACAAGCTCGTCACCAGCATCGTCAAGTTTGTCCAGTTCTTTGGCTTTGACGGTGTTGACTTTGACTGGGAGTACCCCGGGTGGGAGCACGGCGGCGAGCCCGTCAGCCCCAATGCCCCCTCGGGCACCGGCAACTCGGAGAACACCTACGACTGCTCCGTCACCAAGTGCGCTTACCCTCAGCGCACCAACGACACTGCAAAGTACTCCAACCTGATGGCCAAGGTCCGTGCATGCCTTCACCGGTGCCGGCAAGAACCCCCACGGCGAGAACTACCTCATCTCGATCGCCGCCCCCGCCGGTCTCGACAAGATCAACAAGATCGACACCAAGGCCGTCTGCAACTCGGTCGACTATGTCAACATCATGACCTACGACATCCACGGCGAGTGGGAATCCACCACGAACCACCAGGCCGGTATCTACGACGATACTCCCAACCCCACCGCTCCCGAGACCTCGGTCGACGTTGCCGTCACTCAGTGGCTCCAGGGCTGCCCCTCCAGCAAGGTCGTCATTGGCATTCCCTTCTACGGCCACGCCTGGTCCCAGGTCAAGGACGGTGGCTCGCACGGTCTCTTCCAGGCCGGCTCTCCCCCCACCAACGCCGACGCCTACAACTACCACCAGATCATCACCGACAAGACCCTGACCACCTACTGGGACGACAAGGCCCAGGCCAGCTATGCTTATAGCGCCTCCGAGTCGCTCTTTGTCTCCTTCGACGACCCCCAGGCCATCTCGGCCAAGGTCCGCTACGCCCAATCCAAGAACCTCGGCGGCTTCATGGTATGTCCAATGCTTGATGTCGATGCCGATGTCAATGTCAATGTCGATGTCAATGTCGATGGCAATACGCCGCGCGATCACTTCTACTTGCAGGAGAGAACGCATCTCTTCCCTCGTTCTCCCTTCCCGCATCCGACGCCAGTCTCTGGCCAAGAGTCGGCTCCTTATTTGAGACCGACACTGGTATGCTCACCATGTACTATCTCTTCGTTCGTTCGTTCGTTCCAGGTCTGGCCCATCGATGGTGATGACGCCAACGACACCCTCCTCACCGCCCTGACCTCCAACCCTGGCCCTGTCCCTCCCCCTCCTCCTCCGGCCACCTCCACCGCTGCCAGCAGCAAGACCACCACCACTGTCGTCAAGACCAGCACCGTTGTTCCTCCTCCTCCTCCCACCACCAAGAGCACCAAGACCAAGACCACCAAGACCACCACCAAGAAGACCAAGACCACCACCAAGAAGGGCAAGACCACTACCAAGAAGGGCAAGAAGACCAAGACTAACTAGATGTCTATGTCCTGATATCTTCCCCCCCCCTTCCCTTTCCCTGGCGGAGCTGGAGAAGGGGAAGGTTTCCCATCCGATCCACCCCGACTGGGCGACTCCTGTCCCATCTCGTCTGTCGACGAGAAGACTGCGCCCAATCGCTCCTTTAACAACGCCCCTCCTCCCCCCCCCTATTCCTTTCTCTCTCCCTTGCCTGGCTGGGGCCGTCTAATCGATAATGTATGACCCCTAAATGCACGAAATACAAATCTATGAAAAAAAGAAAGATGGCCCGAACAATTGATGCTGGCCACGACCATGTCACCGCAGCCCAAGCGGAAGCAATGGCTGTGCATGCGACAAGGGGGGTGCGATGATGTGATGGATATGGGAGAGGTGGTGGTGGAGGGAGGGAAATCAATCACTCGACACTTTCACCATCGTCAATGCATCATCATCATCGATGCATCCATCATTGATCGCACAAGAATGCGATTTCAACTTCCAAAGGAGACGAGGTGTGGCCCCCTCGACTTCGAAAGCCGCATGTTTCGGTTTTTGTTGGACTTTGCGCTATATTACTGGAAGTAAGATTGTGTGTATGGCTGCAAGGAAGCTGGGTTGCATCCGTAATACTGGGGGGCGGCGGGGGGGATAGAGGAGCGGCAGGGCGGGATCGCTTATTCGTGCTTATGGGCATATCCCTGGGGATGCGACTGGTGGAACTTCCAGGCCGTGGCCACGATCTTGTCGATCGAGTCGTACTGGCGCACCTGTGACAGAGCGCAGCAAGGCCGCCGATGACTCTGCCAACTCCGCTCCGCAGCCTCGTCCGCAGGCATCCGCACCTTCCGCAGCCACGCCCGCCGACCGCAGGCACCAGCTCACCGCCTGCGGACCGCGAGAGGAGGGTCGATAAATAGGATGCCCTTGAGCTTAACAAATAAACTCCAGGCAGACAACGCCAGTAAAACCAGTCCCAGCCCGATCCCAGTTCAGTCCCAGCCCAGGTCCAGTCCCAGCCCAGTTCCCATCCCCGTTACAGTTTGTCTGCCTCCTCTCATCATGAACCCCGAAGGCCACCCCGATGGAAACGCCGACAACATGAATCAAGTCCTCGCGGCATACAACCACCTTCGCGATCAATTCACCCAGCTGCAGGCCCACATGGCCGCTCTGCAACAGGCCCAAGCTGCAGCCAATAACCTTGCCCAGTTCCAGGCGCATGCCGTCCACAACGACCGAGAACCTAGAGTCGCTGACCCCGCCTTCTTTTCGGGCCGCCGTTCGGAATCTAGAAGCTTCGTCAATCAACTCCGACTTGTGTTTTCCATGCAAGCCCAACGATACAATACCGACCGAATTCAGGTCATGTATGCCGCCAGCTTCCTTAGGGAGTGTAAGGAGTGAACAAGCGCAAGGACGAAGACCAAGTGCTTGGTATGAGCTTTATTAGCTTTTAGCCCCGAACACCAAAGAACAAGTTTTGTTCGAACTGGTGTTCAACATAGGCTCAGACATGCAGGGCTATTTATAGACCGGGAGAAGGTCGAGGGGCAAAAGTGGGCGAGAAGGGTGGAGCATCACAGAGAAGCGAGAAGGGGGTGCGAGAGTGGCTGGTGTGCAAGCGAGAGAGGCTTGGCACAGCCCGGGGACATGTGCCGAGCGGTGGGGGAGGCAGGAAACCAGTAGACGCGGGTGGCAACGGCGCGTGCTCATGCATGGGGGCAAACAAACACGTGGGGACTCATGATTGGTGCGGAGGGCGAGAGCATGCGGGACAATCTCATTGGTCCGTTGTGATGCTGGTCATCACACTATCTCCTCCTTAAACTACGGCGTGTTCCATCTTGAGTTCTCCTGGGGCCAGGCTTGTCTGGGTAGCGTCGGTGGTACTCCGCGGCCACCGTTGGGGCAAAGACAATGTCGGCGGGCTCCCAACTTCGATCGGTGACCGGGTAGCCTTTCCAATCGATGAGATAGTGCAGCTTTCCGCGCACGAACTTGGAGTCTAAGATCTCTTCGACCTCCCACTCCAAGTTCCCATCGATGACCACCGCAGGGGGCGGCGCTTGCACCCGACCCGGAAGCGAGTTCTTCTTGTAGGGCTCAAGAAGAGACACATGGAACACCGGGTGCACCTTTATGTCCTTTGGCAAGTCCAGGCGGAAAGCCAATGTCCCGACGGCCTCGAGGATGGTGAATGGTCCAATCCTCTGGTAATCCAGCTTCTTGCTTGGGCGAGTGGTGCTGATGTTACGAGTCAGCACCCAGACTTGATCGCCCGGACGCAAGTCGGAGCCTGGGACCTCCGGAGATCTGAGAAGTGCTTGTAGTCAGACTTTGCCTTCTCAAGATTCTCCTTCAACAGTGCCAGGTTCCGCTGGAGATGTTCAACCCTCTCCGTGGCAGAGGGGAACATCAGGGCCGCCAGCGACAACGGGGACTTCGAACCTTGGGTGGAACCCATAGGTTGCCAAGAATGGCGAGGCATGTGTTGACGAGTTCTCGAGGTTATTGTAAGAGAACTCGGCCAACGGCAGCAGCTCGGCCCAGTCATCTTGCTGATACGACGTGTAACAGCGCAGGTATTGGTTGATGACCTGGTTGACCCTCTCAGTCTGTCCATCGGTCTGGGGATGGAAGGCCGTGGACAGACTGGTTTGGATCCCGAGCTGCGTGCAGAGTGCCTTCCAGAACCGAGAGGTGAACTGACTTCCTCGGTCTGAAAACCACTGTGTCGGGGAGGCCATGGAGACGAAAGACATTGTCGAGGAACAGTGACGCAGTCTCCTCCGCCGACGGCAGTGAACGCCAGGACATAAAGTGTGCCATCTTTGTGAGGCTGCATACCACCACAAAGATGCAGGTGTGACCCTTGGACTTTGGCAGATCAGTGATAAAGTCCATGGTCAGTGTCCCCCAGGGTCGATCGGCTGTCTGGAGTGGCAACAGGAACCCAAACGGCTTGTGTCGCGGAGCTTTCGAGCGTGCACAGGTGTCGCACGTCGAGACGTACTCTTTGACATCTTTCCGATAGGTTTGCCACCAAAACTGTCGCGATACCAGAGCCAGAGTCCGTCGGATGCCTGGATGACCCACAGCGACTGGGTCATGGCACGACTTGAGCGCCGGAACTCGGCACGACTCTGGGACCACAATCCTGTTCTGGAAGGTGAGGTACTGTAAGGAGTGAACAAGCGCAAGGACGAAGACCAAGTGCTTGGTATGAGCTTTATTAGCTTTTAGCCCCGAACACCAAAGAACAAGTTTTGTTCGAACTGGTGTTCAACATAGGCTCAGACATGCAGGGCTATTTATAGACCGGGAGAAGGTCGAGGGGCAAAAGTGGGCGAGAAGGGTGGAGCATCACAGAGAAGCGAGAAGGGGGTGCGAGAGTGGCTGGTGTGCAAGCGAGAGAGGCTTGGCACAGCCCGGGGACATGTGCCGAGCGGTGGGGGAGGCAGGAAACCAGTAGACGCGGGTGGCAACGGCGCGTGCTCATGCATGGGGGCAAACAAACACGTGGGGACTCATGATTGGTGCGGAGGGCGAGAGCATGCGGGACAATCTCATTGGTCCGTTTGTGATGCTGGTCATCACAGGGAGACTGCCGCCGCATGGTTTGCTCCGATCCTGGAGAGAAACGACCCAACTGTCCTCGAGAACTTTGAAGAGTTCATTAGGAGATTCAACGCCTCCTTCGGAGACCCGGACCGTACCAAATCCGCGGAGAGGGCGATCGATGCCCTCGTCCAAAGGGGACGCTCCGCTGCAGCATATATTGCGGAGTTTCGCCGCCTCGCCGTAGACACCAACTGGAACGAGGCCGCCCTGCGTCACGCCCTCCGTCGTGGACTCAACTCAGAAGTTAAGGACGAGTTGGCCAAGTCCAGGGAGCCCGACGAGTTCGAGGAATGGGTAAACCATATTATCAGCATTGATGCCCGACTCTTTGAACGCCGAAGGGGAGCAACGCACCGAACGTCGCCCCTCGCACCCCGAACCCAGACAGCTTCACAGGGCCGCCCCCACCTCACACCATGCGTCTCAGATAACACCGATGGAGGTGGATGCCCTCCGAGGACAAGAACCATCGGGTCATGCCAGCCAAGTTAAGCTTACGCAAGAAGAGCGCGACAGGCGCCGTAAGCTTGGCCCTCTGTATGTATTGCTCTGCAAAGGGGCACTATGCCAAGAACTGCCCCGAGAAGCAGGGTTTTCGCTGAGTCCGACGGTTGCTACAGGAGTACCGTCGGACCCACCTCACCTAGAACCTCCTGACCCTCCGTGTCTCTCAAGCGGACACATTAGTAGTCTTACCAATAACGGGGCACCACTCAGCCTCGAAACCCAAGCCTTGTGTTGCTATGGGAGCACTAGCTTCCAAATGGTTGCTTTCATCGACTCCGGGTCACAATTGAATTGTATAGACATTGACGTAGCTGCCAAACACCGACTTCCCCTTCGTCGCCTCGAGCATCCAATCCAAGGTTACGCCGTGGATGGGAAGCTCCTCGCTTCAGGCCACATCACAGATGAGACCGAGCCGCTCGCAATGACCATCAATGGTCACCGTGAGGTGATCAGCTTCAAGTTGATTCAATCCCCGTATCACGAACTCATCCTGGGATACCCCTGGCTGAAAACCCACGAGCCTAATATCAGCTGGGCTACGCGGGATATACGCTTTGACTCCCCTCACTGCCTGTAACGTCCACTACTGGGACGTTGGGGCAAGACGGGGAGGGAGGGGGTACAAGACAAGACAGGACGGGGCAGAACAGGGCGGTGCTAGGCTACTCTAGCGGACGGGTGAGCTCGGGGAGCACTTACGTTTATTCACGATAAAACCGAACTCCAGACAAACGGGGGGAACGGGGGCAACCCGCAGGTATACCCTGCGGTGGCCTGCCTGCGGTGCGTGAAAACGCAAAGCGCAGCACAGGTCACGACCCACTGCGCCGCGCAGTACGCGCAGTACGCGCAGCACAGCGTCGGAGATACCATCTCCTACACTC